TACGGATTGCCCTGCACTGGGAGTAGAACCCTGAGGACTCTAAACCCTAAACCCTAAACCCTAAACCCTAAACCCTAAACCCTAAACCCTAAACCCTAAACCCTAAACCCTAAACCCTAAACCCTAAACCCTAAACCCTAAACCCTAAACCCTAAACCCTAAACCCTAAACCCTAAACCCTAAACCCTAAACCCTAAACCCTAAACCCTAAACCCTAAACCCTAAACCTGTTTTTCTAGGGTTGTTTAGGGGAGTTCCGGATTTTGAAAGTACTAATGCGCACCTTTACGCGGCTTTTAAGCTATGTATCTCTCTAATATTCTATCCACTAAGTCACTTTTTACGCTAATCACCATCGGTTCACCATCAATGCGCCAGCTTGGCTTGTTATTCTCGGCGCTTGCACACTCTGCTTTCTTCTTTCTCTTTCGTTTCTTCTTCAATTTACCTTCGATCATAACGCGGTCAAATTTGATGTCGCTTTGTTCCATCACCTCTTCGACATCGAGAACACCTCTCGTGAGTTTCATGCGGACTACGAAATATTGGCATAGCCTCGCAAGTTTCGTCGGTGCATTTATTTTCGTAATATCGTGCGAAAGAAGTCTTAGAACAATATTTTCACTCAACGCATTTGCAAAAAGTCTCGCGCGAAAGCTCAACGCCGTGGCTAAGCAGAGATCGTCTACATCTTCATAGTTGCTCTCAAATAAGACGTTGGCGAGTTTTAACACGTCTGTTTCTTTTCGAATCACTGGCAAGATTCTTTGACAATTGTAAACGTGTCGCTGCTGCATGAGAAAACTGTACAGAGCACCTCTGAGTTCGTTACTGGAAAATCGCAAACGCATGAAGAGAAGATTCACAAAGTAGGCACAGTTAATCATAATGGTCTCCCTTCGCCGACTCACGAAGACATGTTAACGAAATCTTTGCTCGACCAAAATCCACACTCTTCCTCACCAAATGGTCCTTGCAGAGTTTTTTCTACATCCAATTCACAGAATGTTCCCGGTTTCGTCGCGCAAACAATGGGCGATTGAGATTTTTTCTTCCAGCGCAAATGATTCCATACCTTTTCCCTTCTCCTCAACGCGTATTGCTGGAGAGCCTTGGCCCCTTTCAAATGATCGCCATCATATCTGAAATTTCCAAAGAAAGATTTGAGTATTCCCGAAGAGGATGCCTCGTCCTCGCTGACGAAAAACTTTCGCCACTCAGTCGGCGTCATCAAATCGACGACAGAATTTGCCGAACCGCATTCGCAGAAATACAGAAGAAGAGCTTTTGAAAAAACTTCATCGCTTGGAACGAGCTCGTCCAGCAGCCGATGCGTGAACTTGCTGCGAATGTCATACTTTTCTGTTCGCGCACTCATGCTATCATACACCCAACACATTGCTTCTTTTCGAGAGGTTGGCGTAGCTTCGAGCAGCTCTGTTTGAAGTTTACGAAGCATTTCTGTTTCTTTTCCATAATCATCACTCTTCGCCGTCATCGTCGTCGTATCAGCTCGTAAATCCATCTGCACCGCTTCTTGTTTAACTGGACATGCCCGCCTGTCGTCGTTTGCATCGATTCATCTCGAGTTCCGAGGAAAGGAAAAACGAGAAGAAGAAAGGAGAGACAATCAGTGCTGTCTTCGTCGAGACGGAATGTTTCACAAAATGGGATCGCGTGGACAGAAACGCGACGATTGGGACTGCCACGACGAGCGATTTTAGTGCATTCGTTATTCCAGACTCCATCGCAGCCTTCGTGCATTCCTCCCTGCGCTTGTAAAAGTCGTCCATGGAACGAGAATGTGAGTTGTGGTAAAATATTTAATGAAGAAAAGTTATTTCCTATTGTGCCTGAACAATACTTGGATTTCGTGGAAGAAACGTGGGATGATGAAACGACCGGCGAAATCTAAAAGGCGAACACGCGTAAATGTGGTTTAAACATCGCGAACGCGCACCTTATCACGTTGCTTCCGTATTAATACTACTCCTAACGCTACAGCCTACTATTTAAACGAAAATATGATCGTGCGGAAAATTATCAAATGGCGTTCATAATCGCTTGTCTATCCAACGAAAAGTTTTTCAAGGATGAGAACGATTCCATCCTAAATGCCGCCATATTTCTTTCATCGTACTTTCCGTACACGTTCTCCGCAGCTTGTTCCATAAATCGATTTTCCAGGGCTTCGATTGAAGTGAATCCTCCCCCGTAGTCGTCATCTTCGTCGTCGGATTCGACGTACTGTTTTGCAATAAATTGCCCGGGAGAGTTCATCGGCGCGTCGATTGAATTTTGAATTTTGATGTTTTTCTTGCGAGCTGATTTTATCCACTGCGTCAACCCATAGTAAAACTCGTGAACTCCGAAATATCTAACTCCTTTGACGCGCTTGCTCGTTTTTATGTTTGGATCTAAATTCCCGATTGGATGCCAACAAATTTGCGAAATCTCTTCTCTCGTGTACGTGGCAAAGTGCGTTTGCTCCGAGACTCCGGGAATAATGTACAACGTCGTTTCTTGCTTCGTAACTCCTTTCTTCGTATGAAACACGAACTCGTTTTCATCAATCAAACTCGAAATGTTTACGCCAATTTCTTCTTCAACTTCTCTCGCCGCACACGTAGTCATCTTCTCTCCGTCGTTGATTTTACCTTTTGGAAAACCCCACGAGGAATTTTTTGCCATGCCTTTCACGAGAATAACCTTATCCATGTCCGGATTGAGTAAGATTGCACCCGCACACGGTACGCTAAACTTATACATGACGAATTTACCATATATCTCCTTCGCTTTTGGAGCGAATCTTTTCAATTGTGGGATCGTCAGGTATAGCAATTCGGCAAAGTTCGATAAAGAAAACTTTGGCAGCGTCGCGTCGTTTTTGCGACTGAAATCTTCGTAATGCCACCATGCGAGTTCAATTAAGAACAAGATCCGATTCGGATTGGCGAGTTCTTCAGCCGGTACGTTCAAGACGAAGCGCATCGCCAAGTCTTCTAAAAGAATAACCGGTACGCCATTTATGTTTTTGGCAGCAGCTTTCTTCTTTCCCATTTTCTTGTACGTTTTTGTGTGTTGACTCTTTGTCTTCTTCTGTCGCGTTTAGGTGCTTTTACGAATGCACAGAGATGTTCGTACGTATGAATATATATACGGATAGATCGACTGTGTGTGCGATATTAGAATTACCAAGTTGTTCGCTTTCCTTCTCAGTTAACAAGAAACGCGCGTTTTTAATGCCGCCAATTCTTTTTCCAAATCTTCCAAAAAAGAGTAAAAAAAGAAATCCAAACAAATTTCGCGTAAAAATGGTAAATAATCTTTTACTCCCGACGACGGCAGAATACAGGGAGCGATGATGAGAAGCGCACTCCGAGAACGATTTTCAAAAGAATGGTTCGCTAAAGAAGGCGTGTGTGCGAGCGTGTTGGGCGTAGACGGAGCCGTGAATTGGTTACTGAAACAAAAAGATTTTAACGACGACGACGACAGAAAACAAGTCAACGAACTCGAACTGCTTTCAATCACACCTTTCGACTATTGCTTGCGCATTGCTGCGAATGTAATTCCAAATCCAATCAATGAGTCCATGCAAAAGTATTTCTTCCGAGAAGGAGAGCGAGGAAGAGCGTCGAGCGAGGAGGAGTTTTTTGTCGCCCATTTGCCGAGAGCCGATGAGCTCGATTGGCAAAACGAAGATTGCGTATCTATTATGGCTGGAGCGGACAGAATCAAAGACGGTTTGCCGGGACACGTACTAATCGTACCGAAAAACGGCTCGAAACATTGGAAATTCGGAAACATCACGTTGTTCCTCTTTCACGCGAGAAAAGGCAGGAAGGAGAAGATGGCGATAGAATTTCTCGAGCGGTTGCGTAGAAGTTGCATTCGTTACGCTTTCAATCGCGGTTGGACGCGTATAGGCATCTATTTTCGCCCATGGGGAAATGATAATTGCGACAGCGACAGCAACAGCAACTTTAGCAACAGAAACGAGGGAATCGAAAAAATCATGCGAGCACACGTCGTGAACCTCGCGCGGGCCGGACCTGGTCTTTCGAACACGAGGTGGAAAAACTTGACTCTAGACGACGCCATCGAGGTTCTCGGCGGCAGGAGAAGAATCGCGAGTGGACGCGCGATAGACGTCAAGCAAGAGCATAGAAGAAACGAAAGATTAGTAGACGTAGAGCACATCGTAGAAGTAGTAGAAGTAGTAGAAGTAGCAGAAGAAGAAAGGGAGTCGCATTCGTCGTCGGTATCGCCGCAACTACCTCCTTCAATCAAAAAATTAGATCGAAAAGTGAACACGGAAATTCGTCAACTTCGGAGTAAACATACGCAAGTTTCCGACGGAGAAGAAGGTCGAGGTGTTCGAGTCGAAGACGCGACGATGTTTTTCGAGTCTTCGGAGGGTAAATCATACGTGAACCTATCTAACGACGCGGAGCAGAAAGCGCTTGAGTTACTAAACTTGTACTAATATTAATGCTATTCTATCTTCTATTCGCGTTGAAGGCTATTTGCGCGTCCGACGCTCGATGTTTGAAAGTACCTCCTGATTTTGAAAGAGTTCGCATGGCGCCGCATTGATTGCATTTATCCATCATTTTTGGATTCATGTGACCGTCGCACTTGTAGCTCTGGCACGGCCACCATCCTCGGGATAATTTCTCTTGTTTATCTTTATTTTCTGCGTCCGCTTCTGCTTTGTCTTTCGCGTGTACCGTGCCTTGTAAATACGTCTTTTGTTTCGCGAGCTCGCGATATTGTTCGAGCGTCATCGCGGCTCCAAATCCAGGGACCGGTGGAGTCGCATCTACCGGAGCAGGAGCATCGCTTCTCTTCACCTCGTCTTTGCCCTCGTGCTGGGGATTGTTTTTGTCGCTTATATCTTCATCTCTCGGTGCCGACGGTGGTGCGCCTGTCGTTATTTCTGTTATTTCTTTTTTGTCCAAAGTTTCACATTTCCTCTTCTTCTTCTTCGAATCTAATTCGACGACTTCTGCTCCTTCTTCTTCTCGTCGCTTTCGTCGTCGTCTTTTTGAATCCGCGTCGCATTTCTTCTCTTTCTTCTTCTTCTCTTTGCTCTTTCTCTTTTCTTTACGACGTCGACTTTTCTTGTCGCTACTCTTTTTCCGTCTCTTCGATGATGACGAAGAAGAAGAAGAAGAAGAAAAAGACAGAGAAGAAGACGACGACGACGACGACGACGACGAGAAGGAGGAGGAAGAGGAGTTCAACAAGTCCGAGGATTCAGACGACTCGTATCGTTTACGTTTTCTTTTCCTCTCCTTCATTTCGATGTTAAATTTAAAGAAGGATTGGAGAAGTTTATCGAGCGAGCGCGGAGAAAGTTGTTTTGTTTTGATGTGTGTTTTTCTCACACGAGAAAGTCGTCCAAAGTTTGTGATGTCTGATGAGCACATTTTTGCATTTTTGAGCGGGGGGGCGAGGCAACTTCAACAACAAGAATTGGAAGAGATAAAAATCTTCATAATAATAAGAAGAAGAAGAAGTAAGAAGTCGTACTCAGACGTATACCACGCATTCATCATCTTCATCGCGCGCACGAGATCATCGTGCGTACCACTCTTTGCGCGTCGTAATCTGACTACTAATAGCGAGTAAAACAACAAGAAGAGGGAATTTTGACGACGACGACGACGACGACCTTTGCAGAAAAGAAAGAAAGAGAACACGTGTCCTTACGAGAAAGCATCCTCTCCATGTTTACGACACGAATGCTTAGGCGTGCTATGACACACGCCGCCGCGTCCTCTTCATCGTCTACCGCGAGACAATCGACGATTAAGTCAACAAAACAGGTCATGGAGCTCACGGAAGCGGCGGCGAAGCGAATACACGAATTGCTCGGGAACAAGGGTGCCGAATACCTTAAAATTGGCATTCGCACGCGAGGGTGCAACGGCATGACGTACACGATGAACTACGCAGACGAGAAAGATAGAGGTAAATTTGACGAAGTCGTTGATCAACACGGAGTGAAAGTGATCATAGAGCCGAATGCTTTGATGTCAATTATAGGAACAAAAATGGATTTCGTCAGCGATAATCTTCGCTCCGAGTTTACGTTTGAGAATCCAAACGCGAAAGCCTCGTGCGGATGCGGCGAATCGTTCTCGGTGTAAAGAAGATCATCCAGACAATGAAACGAAAAGGGTAGTAGAATAGTATAAAGTAGCAAACAAGAAAGCAATCAAAGCAACAACTTAGCAGAATTATCATCATCATCATCGTCACCGTTCAACATCATCGCAAAAATTGTAATAAAAAATGCTCAACAAAATTATCACTTAAGAGACTATGCGCCGAGTCCGAGATTCTTCTTCCGTTGCGTGACATCAATGGGCGTCTTAATCCCATCTTCTTTCGGACCAAGGCCTCTTCCGCTGAAACCCATCTTTTCCATCATTTTCCTAGAAATGTCGTTTGCGAATTTTGCGAATCGAGCAGAGCTTTGTTCAATTTCGACTGCGTCGACGAGCTTTTTCGAACGTGTGGTATTGGTATCTACATCCGTTCCAGTACTCGGCACAAAATCAACTGAAGTCGAAAATGAGGGGAGCTTCTCATCTTTCTTTCTGCGAAACATGGATTTTTTGCTCTCTTTCTTCGTTTGATTAGTACTATCGGCGGCGTGCCTAATTTTTCGTAAACGTAAACGTTCCATTCTCTCGGGACTATTGAGATACTCCTCTCTGCTCATAATTGGGGTGCAGATATCATCAATTTCTGCACGCTCTTTGCTGTTTGGTTCTGGAATGTAAGAATCACGTGTTCTCTTGATAATCAAAGTATCCTCTTTCGTGTTCGTCGTTTGTTCAAGTCTGTATCTCAGCGCGAGCGCTTTCACAAGCTTCGCGTGAGTACGAGACACATCAGTGAAGATTAAATACGATTCTTCCTCACCACCATCGCTCAAACTTGGCTCGCTTTCTAATTGAGCGAGTGCTTCAAAGTCTCTTCGCACTCTTTCTATCCACCGCATATTATCCTTATTATCCCCTTCACCACTGTTGTTCACAGCTCCTTGTTTTTCTTTTCTTCTCGAGATTTTTCGCTCCGCTCTCTCCTCTCTCAAACGTGCCATGTGCAATTTCTTCATTTGCTTCTTCTCGCCTGGAATGATGAAGCGTTTCTTTGCTTTCTTATTGACTAAGCTATTATCATTCCTGCCTGTGGACCATTGCCAATCCGGCTCTCGCCGCGCTTCAGAATCGGTCTGATCCCCTAATATTCCGAATTTATCGTCGTCACTTTCGTCTGTTGTTGACATGAGGAATACGTTAAATTATCTTACAAGAGATGCTGGAACACATATCGCGCAGCGCATTACTTTAGTTCATTACGAAGCATCGCGATATTTATTTCTTACACGAAAACCACTCACGCAATACGCCGCGACACTTATACACTAAATTGTGCAGATTTATCTCTCACAAAAGTCCCTATGTACTTCACTTTTTCACGTGCGAGTCAGCAAGTGAGCGAGTCAATCTTTTGTCTGTGACACCTATGTATACGTGTCGAGTTACTTCGCTCTCACAACCGTCGTCGTCTTTTCGAGGAATACCCGCTGTAAATCGTACATTGTTCCGCGGCAACCAGTATAAATGTCTGTCTTCATCGATAAAGAAATGCCGACGAAGCAGAAAATTTCGAATATATTCGACCGCAACGCAACCGTCATCGTCACCCAACGATGACAAAAACGATGAAAGCAAAGCCGAGAGCGAGGAACGTAAAGCCAAATTCTGGAATATCTTCTTAACAGATGCAATCGAGATATCGGGAAGCGGTGTCCCAAAGGTTAAACGTTATAAAACCGAGGAAAACAAAACACCTAATTCAATCAAAAACGAAGAAGGAAAAGCAAAAATAGAAGTGCAAGGTGATGGATTTCTCCAACGCCTCACAGTTGTAGGATTGATATTGAGCGCGTGCTTCTTGATATCGGCAGTTCAAGCGACGCATTTTGCAACCGTGAAGTGGTGCTTGATGAATCCTGTTACCTTGTTCCAAAACTCCGAAGTCTCTCGTGAGGTTGTCCGTAGACTAATCGCACCGGGCGTGCGTTATATTGCGGCATATTTCTTCGCGCGTTGGCGGGTCAGATGGGCGTTGGGCTTTGCTGTACTCTCATTCATAGCTCCAGCGGTAGAATTCGACTAGTTTATTAATCATACTATTAGACAGAGGCATTTACATTTACTACGCTTATAAAGACTACTTGTGTGCGAGCTTGAGCAAGCTCCTAATTTCCTTCTCGTCGAGAAAATAAGGCATCCGTTCGTTACTCGAAAGTAAAATCAAGTTCGCTTGCCACCCGTTGCTAACTATTTGGTTATGAAACGCATTCACGTCTGCTTTCGCGCGTCGAGATGATTCTGATACTGCCCAATCGTACGCTTCTTTCTCGTTTAAATCCTTTCGAAACGGCAAGTTGCGAATATGCGCGACTTGCAAAATACCCTGTAAAACGTCTTTCGAAGTTGCGCGGTGCGACAAAGCGAGGAGCGCCCTTCCTTTATACTTTAACGGTTTCCGATCACGCATGAATATTCCAGATAGAACAGTTCTTTTCTTTTGCACATACGGTTCGTAAGATAAGACGTACGGTCTGTGTACGTCATCTTTAAAAGCAGATGCGAGCGCGTCTAGTGTCGAACACGCGTTCCCTAAACTTGTTACTCTCAACGGAAGCGCCGACGCATCGAGACGGGCAGGGAACAACAAGCGCTCTTTTTCCGCAACTTGAAGTTGAGTAGCGAGCTTCTTTTCCCGAACAAAAGCTTCGGCAATAATTTCAGCGCGCTCTTTATTCACCGTTCGAAGCTGAACCGACTTCAGCTGTTTATGAATCGAAACTAAATCAATCGACGCTAAAATAGGAAATAGCGCCAACGGAACCGCGCGTTGAAGAGCTAGGGACACAAACTTTGTTTGAAACTTCATGACTGATACTCCCAGAGCTAAGCCAATGTTATCCGCCAAGACTTGTTGCGCAGACGTTTTCGCTGCTATTTCACCTAAATTCTCCTCCAATGCGAATGTTTTTTGAATCGGCGGTCTGACAACGTTGCCAGTTGTTATCCCGATCGACTTGCCAACGTTTGCAACCGTGGCGATGGCCAAGAAATGTTTGGGAAAGAAGGGCGTTATCGTCTCTATAAACACAGCGCCTGTGTACACCAAGGAGGACGAAAATCGCAAACGCTTTACATCTGAATCAAAACTTCTACCAAAGTTAGTTGCCACAGAGAGCTTTCCTAATCTACCTAATCCATCTTTCAACACCCAATTCAAAGCCGCCGCGGCCGGTATTGATCTTGAAGCACCAAGACCGATAGCCGCAAGCATTTGTTGCGTCGCTAGAACCGTCATGCAAGAACTCGCGATTCGTTGCGTGAAGCGATATTTCGCATAGTCCCAATAATCCGACGTCACGGAAGTTTTCTGCGGGAAGAATGAGTCTCGGATGTTATCTATTTGTCGAAGGAAAGCTCGTTTTTTCCTACCCAAGTGTAACGGATCGAAAGAGAAAGCGCCGTTCTTGTTTGAGCTCAAGTCTCGTGCCTCCTCCGGCGACAGTAAACGAAGCTTGTTGCCATCGAGCGCATACTGAAGCTTAAAATTAGAGCCTTTCCGGCTTTCCCAAATAGACAGCGGAATGGCTCTTTTCTTGTTGTTTGTGTTCGTCGTGCCATCGCTCGCGTGCGTTCTCGATTTCTGCTTTTTGTTTTCACCTTTCGTCTTAGAAGAAGAGGAAGAAGAAGAGGTAACGGAGGCGAAGACGTTGCTGTTTTGACCAAGACGTCTCTGTTTCTGAACAAATCTCTTTTCAGCGACTGGATGTTGTTTCATATCATCGCGCGAGTGTGAATTCGTATTACCATTTGTTGCCGATGCGTACTCGTTTGTGCGCGAACGTTGATGTTGAAATCGGTGTTGCTGGCGGCGACAAGATGATGGCGAACTCATCTTCCTTTTCTCATGCGCAAGTTTCCCTCACTTCCTCGAGCGGTAACGAAAGTGAGAAGAAGGATAAAAAGACGGTTTGTTCCTCAGGATGAAATGTTCCGAGCGTGAATGAATGGAGCACGGATTCGCGCCTTCTCAGAGTTTCTCCACCGCGCATATAAAATGAGGATTGCGTTTGCGTGTTTGTGTCCTAAAAATCTGTGTGGCCTCATTTTATTTCAACCAACTGCGAGATATTCTCTCGCTCTAATAGTCTATTCCTAATACATCTAACGCTTTCTTCATATCATCGGGTAGAGGCGCTTCAAAACTCAGCCGTTCATTCGTCAAAGGATGCGTAACTTCTAATCGATACGCGTGTAACGCTTGCCTATCTAAATCTAAGCCATCTTTCGCCCATTTGCCCTTCGGTTTATCCGCTGACCATTTGTATCGCGGCTTGGAGGTGGAATCGTCCGACCACGCGTCGCAGCGTGGAACGACCCACCGCGCGTGTGGACCGTAGAGCATGTCGCCAAGAATTGGTAAACCGGCGTGTGCTAAATGAACGCGTATCTGATGTGTGCGACCTGTTTTTGGAGATGCCAACACGAGCGCTGCTACAGAAATGGGATTCCACGAGCCGCTTTCGTTTTTTTTCTCAACGTTCGTATTTTCTGTGCCCTCGAGCAAAATCGATACCCCACGCGCACGCTCCGTGGGTAAGCTATCTATCGCTAGTTCATCGTCTTTTTTCCAAGAAAAGAAATCGAACGTCGTCCTCGACTCTTTGGCCTCAAGGTCATCTGTTGCAAATGAAACTGCCCGCCCCTCTTTACACTTATTGCAACTTGAAATCGGCGCGTTTACTTCAAAAGCTTGCACTTCTTCTTTCCCCAGAGGCAGAACCCCAACACACAGTGCGAGGTATGTTTTCTTTGCCTCGCGTGTCATGAACTGCTCCGCAAAACCTCTCGTTAATAACGGATTCTTTACAAACAGAATGACACCAGAAGTGTCCATATCCAATCGGTGCACGATGTAACACTCTTTCCCGCCGAGGTGCGAAATACATCTGTTGATTAAGCTCGTTCCAGTGTGTCGATGGATTGGATGCGTTCGTAAATACGGCGGCTTATTGACGACTAATATATCTTCGTTTTCAAATATAACTTCAACTGGAGTCGTATCGTTATTGAGGGGTATGGATTTTGAATGTAACCTGAGCGCGTTCTTGACTCGAAGTTCGGTGACGTTCAAAGTTTGCGCAACTTCAGCATGCGACATTCGAGCGCCATCGGTGAAAGCCAAGCGTTTCATTTCCTCGAGCATTTCGTTCGCGTGCTTCTGTGCTTTTACCATGATTAAATCCATATCCTCGGTCATCCACGCTTCTTTCCCTACGGCGCTTTCGATATCCGGACAACATTTTTGAGTGTGACGCCGAAATACGGTTGCTTTGCATTGGGCGTTGCAAGCTGGACAAAAATACGACGGATGCGTTCGCTTATTCTCAGTCCGCGATGCGCGCCGAGACGGTCGAAACGTAATTTCACTGTTTGGATTCACCACTGTTTCGTTCCTAGTCATCTCACTACCATCTTCGTCAAGTGCATGGTTTAGAAATCCGCCGTCGGAAGCCATTCTCCTTTTCGTTACTACTTTCTTGGACAAAGTCGTCGTCGAGCGTCTGCTGCGTGCAATAGTTCCGGGTGATGATGCAGACGATGCAGAAGTTGATGTACGAGAAGTAAGAAGTCGTGGGAGCGCGTGCACGTGCGTTTTTATCGCACGAAGTATTAAGCTATGTCCTGGCCGGAGCATCTTTTGAAGGAAATTCGGCTACGCGTGTGTGCTCCATTTTTTTTCTTCATCCTTGTGCATGCGAAACGCGAAAAAGTATTGTACCGTAGATTACAAAGTTTATTACAAAAAGTAGCACGCGAGTTCCGGGATATTATGCAAAACCCCACGCTAAATCGGGATCATCTACTTCAACGTGAACGTCGCCGTCTTCAGACCATACGGATGCATCCCCGGCACCGACTCTTAAAACCTTCGGCACGTCTCCGATAGACAAATCGATAACCGTCGAAGCGAGTTGTTCAGCGTCCGTGCCGGCATCCAATACGAAGGCGCATCTCGAATATTCGTCTCTCATAACGATAGGTTGAACATCTCCATCAAAAGGTACCGTCGAACACATCAACGGCGCATCGAGCAAGTCGAGCAAGGCCAGAGTGACTTCGCAGTCAGGAAGTCTACATCCGATTGTCTTTCGCTGTTGGCATTTAGAAAGCCTGGTGTGCCCGGCCGATGAGGTATCCAGGAGACATATTTTCGGTAACGATTTTGATGCGGGTAAAATGAAAGTATACGGTCCTGGAAGGCACTTCCGAGCTAATTTGAACGGATCCGCCATTCCCGGTCGCGTCGCCGGCGGAAACCCGAGCGTATAGGTGTCGATATCTTGAAACCCTCTGCATAAGATGGATAACGGTTTGTTCGAGTCGATGCCTTTAATGGTGTATAGGTTCTGAATCGCGTCCTTATTATTCAAATCGGCGACGAACGAGTATTTTGTATCCGTGGGGATGATTCCAACGCCTCCTCTTCGCAGGAGGTCTGCGCACTCTTCCAGCGTTCTCATGTTTGGGTTCGTTCGTGTCACCTCGAACAGTTCAGCGGTATCTTCGGACAGTCCGATGCCCACTCCACCTCCACCTCCGCCAGCTCCGCCATTTTTATTCTTATTCCCTCGTTTAGCGCGCATTATTACGGCCCCGCCTCTTTTCACGCGCGTCAAATACGTCGCATTCGCACCTCTTCGCGACGACGACGACGACGACGACTCTGATTGGCAAACAAGAGACGACGAGTTTGTTAATAGTCTCGTTGCATTTAATGAGTGCATCATATTGGTCGTTCGCTTAGCCTTCTTTCCCTCTGCACGCGACTAAAACGTCTGTCTCGGTACGTTTCTCTCTTTCGACGCACTGTGCGTGCAATTCGTCTCGAGTGCTTCACGCGTCCGCGCTAAAAGGTTTTTCTAAAGAATTCTCCCAGACACACAGTGACGTCCTCTCTCTTAAAGTCTATCTGCTTTTTTCAGAGGAAGAGAAAACAAGAAAAAGTTCATCGTCTATCTTGTGGGACAACTCGATCCAAGTGGTTTTAGATACCCTCACACATAGCGCACGACTACGCGCTCGTTCTATTTCCGTCGCGTATTTGTCTCGCGGCATACACGTCTCTCCCTTTTTATATACAGACGTACACACATACATATTCATCGGGAGGAAAGTACGTATACTAGAGAACAATCTTCTGTCCCACACACTGATTTGTTCAAGAAGAAACAACAACAACAACAACAACAACAACAACAACGAAATCGAGCGCGTGTTGGTGTATTTGTAGAAAGAAGAAGGAGAAGAAGAAGGAAAAGAAGAAGAAGAGGACATTAAGTGAGTGAAAGGGAGGGAGAAGACCTGTGATTTTGAAACATGAGCTCACGTCAGCACTCTCCGAAGGCGTCCAAGCCGTTTGCGAAATCACCGACGCTTTGGCTCGCCGGAGTCTCTCGCTCGTTGGAGGAACCGAAAAATAGAAGAGCAGTGTTTTCTATTTTAGCACTTTTGACTGGATTAGTTGCGCTCACGGCGTTATTTGAAACCGAAAACCAACTGTTTCCGGTGCAACGATCGCTCATTCCCATCAACGCGGACCAAATTTACAGAAGAGTGTGGAACGATCCGTGGAACTCGGGCACTTCGAGCGCGTCGTCGAAATCATCGGACGGAAGCAACAACACATTTACGACGAGACAATCAAAACCGAAAGTTATCATCGAAGGGAAGCGCGATAAATCGAATCAAAAAGATCTCACTCGTTCCTGGCAAGGCGTGTTGTCCGTTGTCGTTTTTGTTTGCGGGTACGCACTCGCCATCGCCGAGGAATCGATCGGACGCGGATTTAAGAAATCGATTCCCATTACCGTCGCCGCTGGGATCATCTGGGTATTAGTCGCCTTGGGTTATCGCGATAAAGGACATGCCGTCGCTCTGGTGACGCAAGCCGCTCGACATAATCTCACAGAGTTTGTCGAAGTGTTTCTGTTTCTTTTATGCGCCATGACTTTCATTAATACGATGACTCAGCTCAACGTTTTCGCGCGCATTCGCTCCTGGTTACAAGAGAGTGGATTTTCGTATCGCAGTTGCTTCTGGGTCACTGGAACTGTTGCTTTTTGGCTGTCGCCAATTGCGGATAACCTAACGACCGCCGTTCTGATGGGTGCAGTCGTCTCAGCTGTAGGTAAAGGCGAGCCAGAGTACGTGGCAATGTGTTGCGTGAACATCGTCGTCGCCGCAAATTCTGGCGGAGCATTTAGTCCCTTTGGTGATTTGACGACGCTCATGGTGTGGCAGCGAGGCACACTGTCACTCGCAGATTTTCCTCGTCTTCTTATTCCGAGCATAGTCAACTGGGTCGTTCCGGCGTGTTTGATGCACCCGTACGTTAAAGATGGTGCGCCCCAGAAAGCGTCAGAGGAAGATCTTGCGAGTTCGCGCTTGAAACCAGGTGCCGTTGAAGTCATCTGTTTATTTCTGGGGACAGTCGTCATGACGGCCATGTTTCACTCCTACGCGCACCTTCCACCTGTTTTGGGCATGATGACCGGTTTAGGATTGCTTAAACTGTTCGGATGGAGTCGGACGTCAAAGACTTCCTCCCAAAGAGGAACTATGAGCGACGACGCTGGGGGAGGTAATTATAGTTTAGAAATGGATGGAGTGCTGAACCAAAAGGATGACTTGGAGTACGCGCGAACGAAAAAAGGGAACGATAGAGCTTTAGATATTTTTAAGCGATTAGAACAAACGGAGTGGGATACGTTAATTTTTTTCTACGGCGTGATCATGTGCGTCGGAGGCTTAGGTGTCTTAGGATATTTAGAACTACTTTCGCACAACTCGTTTCGCGTTTTGGGGGCAAACGCGGCGTGTATTCTCATTGGATTATTGAGTGCGGTCATTGATAACATACCGATGATGTATGCGGTTTTATCCACCGAACCAGCCATGTCAAAATCCGAATGGCTGCTCATCACCCTCTCGGCGGGAGTCGGTGGGAGCTTATTTTCAGTCGGCTCTGCTGCGGGCGTAGGTTTGATGGGTGTTTCGCACTCGTACACCTTTTTATCTCATCTCAGATGGACTCCAATCGTGCTGGTTGGATACTTTGCGTCTATTTTAACCCACTTTATGGTAAATGGAATGTAGAGATTGTAATCAAATAATACTAATAATATTGTCGTCGCTTTTCAATATACGGAAGATGTCTTGTGTTTGCCTTCGAAATCCCTGCTCCTCGAAAAATAGGGGATTACTCGTATTGTAAAACTTTATCCTCACACACGGGATGAACACCACCGGAGTAAATCAGTACAATTCCAAGTTCGTTGCGCGCAGTTTGGCGAAGAAAGTATACCAACGCTCTACTCGTCACTGTGTCTCGATTCAGCGTTCTTCACGGTCGAAGATGGTAAGCGAGGAAGAAGTAAATTACGAAATAGGGCAGCGCATAGAAACACAAGAAGATGCTGCGGTTTTTATAAAGGCAGAAACGGAAAAGGGAACAATCTTGAGCGAGCGTGGGTACGGTGCGTGCAAACCGCCATTCTCGTACTGGCCGTACTTTTTGCGGTGTGCAAATCGGCCGTTTGATGCTACGAACGATAGAGAAGGATACATTAATCTCGCAGTTGCTCAAAATTTCCTCGCCAAACAAGACGTGCAGGACAAAGTGAAAGAGATATGTAAGAATAACGAAAACGATGCTTTGATATTTGGCCTCGAGGCGGCTGGTTATGACAATATGAAGGGAATCGAAAGATTGAGGAAAGCGTTCAGTAATCACGCTAATAGAATAATTTCTCCAAACTTCGCGTGGCACGAGGACGACGTGTGCGTATCCTCGGGCGTCGGCGCTTGCATTGACAACCTAGTCTTTGCGATTGCAGACTCGAATGATTTCATTCTTATTCCAGCACCTTATTATCCAGCATTCACAAACGATTTAGGAGTTCGCTGTAGAGTACGAGCCGTGCCTGTATATAATTCGAGCGGAGATGTGACAGTGCTACCCTCGCTCGAAGATTTTAAACGTGCCGAAGAAAACGCCGTCGGCGAAGGCGAAGGAATGTGTCGGGCGTTACTCTTAACAAACCCGAACAACCCTTTAGGAATTATATATGAGCCAGGAGACTACAGAAGGTGTGTTGATTGGGCACTGGAGAAACAAATTCACTGTATTTCGGATGAGGTATACGCCGGAAGCATTTACGATAGCGAAATGAACGCGAAGACGCGCGGCTTTATCAGCGCTGCGGAGCTGGTCGAAGAGCACACTCCCTACGGCCCGCATATACTCACCGGGCTCTCGAAGGACTTTTGTGCATCAGGTTACAGAGTAGGAGCTATATTAACAAAATCAAAACCTGTGCAAACTGCACTGTCGAACGTTTCTTACTTTTGTGCCGTTCCGGGACCGTTTCAACACGTGATTGCGGCAATGCTTGAAGATGAAGTTTGGGTCGATGAGCTTTTCTCAATGAATAGAACGCGTTTGAAGCAATCGCGAGATGTGCTCGTCGCGTCGTTAAATGAAAAAAAGATACCTCACATCGTTCCAAACGCAGGCTTATTCATTTGGATTGATTTATCCAACGAGTTGAAAGAGCAAACATTCGAAGAAGAAAAGAAACTATGGAAAATTTTATTCGAAGAGACGCATCTCATGCTCACTCCAGGTAAAGACGCAAAGAACAAGAAACCGGGGACTTTCCGTGCATGTTTTGCAGCGACGCCGTTTGAGTCTCTGAAAGTCGCAATCGAACGAATATCAACTGGATTGGAAATGTATAGAAATTTGTAGAAACCATCATGTACCCTATTAATTTAAAACATACACCTTCACTTACTATTTGTTGGCGTCATCTTCTACTGATTTCTTTTTTTTCACGGCTACTCCCGTCACTTTCTTCTTCTTTTTCTTTTCCTTCGTGTCGGTCGTCTTTTTATCGTTCTCATCAACTGAGTCATCTGACGTTTTCTCTAACGCTTTGACTTTTTTTTTAAGTTCTTCAGCAAGTGTTGGAGGGAACTTTGCGAAAGTTTTGAAAGCCCACGGCGACGTGTTACTCATAGACACCTCTTGCTCTTTTGCCGCTGGAACTGCTTTTCCGAAAAAGTTCGAGGAGCTCGACGAATTTTCTCCAATCAGACGAAGAGCTTCGCGAATAGCCGCATCGAGTTGTTCGTCGACTTCGTTCATATTACCAGGTGCTCTTTTCACTTCCACGTCTGGTATGACGCCTGTGTTTTCAACTGAATTTGTCAAGTTGTTGTGTTCATTTTCGTCGTCATCTTGGAGACATACGTTTTGGGTAGGCATGCTCAGAACAGAACCGTCATTTAAGACATCTGATCGGCTCACCGCTAACAACCCTCCCCAGGTCCGTTCGCCAACGACAGATCCGATTCCTAGTTTCTGAAACGCGTGCGCGGCAAGTTCTGCGTCACTTCCAGTATTTTCATCTACTAACGCAACCATTCCAACACTCAAAGGAGAGCGGGGCGGATAAATAAGTGGTGATCCTCGTCGTGGAACATCCATTGCAAGCGCTCGTTGCGTTAATGTTTGTAAGAGGAGTGCGCTGATATTGCCACCTCCGTTACCTCTTAAGTCTATGATTAAAACACGTTGATTAATCGATTCAGTTTGATATGACCGCCAGAATTGCGAAAACCCGAGTCTCTCCATATCACTCAAGTGGAGATAACCTACTTTGTCGTCGCTGGTTTTGTGCACGTACTCTGTTCTTTTATTGATGCAGTCGCGATAACGAGGATCTAGTTCTTGACTCAGGGCGCGTGTGCGTGTCGCTACTAAATCACCGCTATCTTTTTTCAAAACCGAAAGGAGAACTTCGCGGCCTGCGGTTTCGTATAAAAGCATTCCGGGAGTTTTTTCCGGTGTTAAACGAACTCGGTTGATTGCTCCGAGTACGTCTCCTACCTGTATATCAGCACTCGCTCTGTACAAAGATCCAGAATTTTGTGACGACCACGGGTCGCCTTTCACGATTGATTGGATTTCGTAACCACCGAGGGAATCGTCCCACTCAGAGAAATTCGCTCCCAAGAAACCAGGTTGATGGTCGCGATCGAGTTCAGCCCGTCCGTCATCCCCAATTGATACGTGCGCATGTGAAAACCCAAGTTCACTGAGCATATCTGATACTACAACTGCAAACTCCGCGCGTGTATTTATCCTTGGTAGCGTACTCACTGCCGTTCTCAACGCTTCCTTCCAATCAAAGTCTTCACGTGATAACGGGTCGATGAACAAATCGTCGCGAACACGTCGCCATATTTCTAATAACATTTGGGCCCACTCATCTTTTGGGCGAACTAATACTCGCACACGATCGAGAGATATTGTACCTGATTTACGCGTGCGATACAAAAGATCGTCGGAATCTTCATCCTCTGGTTTGGATCCTGCCTTATACGCGGTTAACTCAGACGTGTATCCCTTTTCGGACTTCTCGAGCACCATAATCTTTTTATTCATCGATACGTGAACATCCGTGACTCCACTAGAAACGAGAACTTGTGCCGATAGATCGCGAACGTCGAATGAAATGAGCGAACCGCCTCGTTCCTGGTCCAAGTCATCCTCGCTGCTTGTTAAATTGACTTCTCCGCTCGATATGGTTGGATATTTAACAACCATGAATCGATCGTGTCGTATGGCAACCAAATCGCTATATCTACCTAATGGTAATGGGAGCGCGACAGCGCGCTCTGCTATACCATCAAAGTCAATCTCAATAGGATTTGGCGGTTTGTCGTGGAGTGCGTCCTCCTCCTCCTCCTCCTCCTCCTCCTCCTCGTCATCTTCGTCATCTCCGTTAACATCCTTATCTCTCCTTTCTTTCGATTTCGATTTCATGCCTTTATCCTCCTCTTTTTCTTCCTCTCCCTCTTCCTTTTTATCCTTGCCATCTTCCTCGTCGTTCTCATTCTTATCGTCGTCTAGATCTGCATCGCCGAGAGCGAGGGATTCAGTGTAGGACTCGTCTCCCACCGGGCGAATCTCTTTCAGGTGCGGATCCCGGACGTTTTTACGTAAACGCAAACAATACACGGTTTCGAGGTGAGGAAAGCTCATGCCTTGCAGAAGTGCATCGTATTGTGGCTGAAGCTCTCGCGCGCTGAGAAAAAATAGATAGCGTCCGTCCGGGTCCCACGACGCGCATGAATCTCCTAAAATTGGTTTTGTCACAGTTTGCGTTGCCCCGGTACGGACGTCCAGAATTTTAATGACTTCCGCGTCTCGTCGACGAAACGTGTAGGCTATCCAGTTTCCACACGGCGACCACGAGCATTGATACATTCCACGATCTTCAAGACTTTTATCTGCAAGTTTGGTCTCTCCCGTGTTAATGTCTATTACTAAGAGTTCGGCGCGGTGATTTACTACGCACGCGAGTGGAGCTTCCGGCGATAGTACCATTTCTTCCACGCGTCCAAGAGTTTGGGGAGGAATATTCAGTCGCTTTGGCATTCTCCGATTATCTTCCCAGTGTACTTCTATATCATCCTCACCTGTCTGATCGCTGACAATTACGAGTCGTTCCGCGTCGTAAGTGAACCTCGCGAACCTACTCCTCGCCTGCGCATTCGATTCGCGCATAATTTTTGCGCATAAAGCGCTACCCATAGGATCTTCACTGTTTTCTTCTTTTTCATCTTTTCGAGGCTTTATTGGAGCGTATTTCAAAGCTGGTCCGTCCCAGAGACCAAAAGAGTTTACTTCTCCGCGTACAATCGTCGTCATAAAACGACCGGCGGGATCTATATCCCAATCTTGGACGTAGTGCTCGGAGGTGACGTATCGTTGTTCCAGCTGCTTTCTAGGTCCGGTCCATTTGAACGCAACCTGCTGTATACTATCGCTTCCCTTTTTCAAATCAGCTGTGTAGAGATGGCCACATCGGGATGCATACGTGCACTTCCCGGATGGTTCTATAGAATACGATTGAATATTCGCGTCTTTCACGAGAAGCGTCGGCTGGCGCGAAAGCTCATTCTGCGCGTTGTCTGCTACAGAAAATGACCACAATCCTCGCTCACCTTGTTTTGACTCGGCTAAGAACACCATCGCGGAGTTGTCCAACCACTTTGGCTGCGATACAAACGTGAAGAAATCATCCAAAGCATCTACTCGTTTAAAGTCTGTGTATGTTTTACCATCTTTTCCTTGAGGATTGGGGCAACTGTTTTTGGCAATCCAGATGTCTCCGCTGGCTCCGCCACCATACTTCCTCCACGGTCTCGTTGCCTGAGTATTACGACCAAACAAAGCTAATGTACCGTCAACATTCACTTCAAATGCAGTCGCCGGTCCCAAGTTTAGCTTTTTCGGATGCATCGCAATGGGCATATCGGATTTTTTTTCTTGATTCTTATAATCCAGACGTAACGTATACACGTCCGTTTCGTCCGGCGTTTGTTGTTGTGAAGAAGATGCAAAGAACAGCTCACTCCCGTCATCCGAAAAAGAAAGTGGTCTTATAAAATCAGCACCCATATACGTGATTTGTTTAACCGCACCTCCCTCAGTTGGAACGAGAAAGAGTTCCATGGCGTAATATTCTATCGCCGCAAACACGACGAAAGTCCCGCATTTGGAGATTAGAGGTGAAAAGCACTCTCCCGTAGCTGTCGTGAGTCGATGCGGTCGTATCTTCTGTTTCTGATCATTAGCATTCACAAAAATGGAATACAGTTCGTCCTCGGCGACAAATACAATTGTCATTTCGTTTTCACCTGATGCGGAAGTCGAGGGCGCTACTTGCGGTTGCTGAACGAACGCGCCGTCGTCGCCGTCTTCGTTGGCGTCGTTCGTCGCCTCAATTGCATTATCCGAATCGCGCAGGCGAGAACCGCGCTCGCGTCGTCGTCGTCGTCTCGCGTTCGTCTGACAACACTTCGATGGTGAAACCCGAGAGAAAGTAGACACGTCTTGAAAACGCGCGGCCCTCATTGATACCGTTCGGTCAGCGAAGATATGATGGGTTACCTGCTCTCCTTTTTTGTTGTGGGGGTAATTTCTACCACAACCACTTTAATATCACAAAAAGTACAACCACACCACAATCCACATCCTCCAATAATAATCCCCTAAAAAAAGGGCGACAAGGAATCCTCCTTCCTTCCTCCTTTATTTAGTTTGCAGGAAGGCGATGAAGAAAAGAGGAAAGATATTTGTGGGGTTGGAAAGTTGCTTGGATGCGTTTGGGGGCATCGAACAAAACTTTCGAAACGTGTGCGAAGAAATCGAATATGTCGCAACGTATTACGTGATTTTTTCGAAAGCCGATTTGAAGTCCCTCGTGAAGTGTTCGGAAAGATTGATGGTCGATGAAAACGGAAGAGAGAGACACGAAATTGAAAGAAAAGCTGCCATTCGAGCTGTCGAGGCTGTGCGAGCCATTCCAAAGTTGAAATCGAGCGACAAGAAACATCTGGCAAAACGCATCAAGTCAGCTCATATTTCTACTAGGAGAAAGGAAAGAAATACAAAGAATATGGAAAGAGAAGAAGAAGAAGAAGAAGAAGAAGAAGAAGAAGAAGAACAAGGTGAAGCGATGATTGCGCGACTCCCCGACGAAATCATGCGAGAAATATTTGCTCACTTTAGAAGTAAAACGGATGTAGCTGTGGCGTCGTGCGTGTGTGCGCGCTGGAAACGTATTTTGTCGTGTCAGAAGAAAGAAAAGAGCAATTGGTACGCCGCGTTACATATGGACAGAGAAACCGGACGTTGTACCACGCGCGATGGAAGATTAGTGTGGGAAACGATGGTAAAGAATATTGCAAATTCGGGTGTCGATGATGAGGAACATGTAGCGCTTAAATCCAAGATAGAAGTATACGCCTTCATAAGGGAAAATGTTCGCTCGCAAAGAAGAAGAGAGATAGACTCGGATTTCTCAGACACGACGAGCGAAGACGATGATGAGGATGAGGATGATGAGATGAAGGAGGAGGTGAACGACGTCGACGATACCGACATCAAGAAACGAGTGATGTCGCACCGATTTTGGAACGTCCGTAAATATCTGTAAGTTCGTGTGTAGAAAAAAGTATGACGTGTAAGTTTTAGCGGGGAGAGGGCAATAGTAATAGATTCTTAGGGGTTGTTTTGGATCAAAGTTTGTATGGTGTAGTTTTTGCTTTTACGCGATGAAATGACACTGACTATCCGCCCTCTTGATCTTTTCTGGCCAAAGCGAGCGCCGCACTAACTGGATTTGGAATTTCAGACGGTGAATCAACCGCGTACGCTCCGCCGCTACCGAATTGGTCGTCCGGCGGTTGATACGCCCTCGCCGAAGCGTTGGATAGGGGTGTTACAGTCGGCGTGTGTGGGTTTTGTTCCCCACCTATCGGAGTATGAAACGTAGCCTGTGGAGATCCCCCCATTTCAATTTCTTGCACACCCTTCCTCTCACCAGTTCTATAATCCAATTGCGCGCCATTTTCGTACACATACGCGCCAGGTCCTGGATTTGCGCTCCACGCCGCTCTGCGAATGCTCTGAGCGTTCCTTCGTTTCTGTCTTTGCTTTACGCAGCAAACAGTACCGACGATCGCGAGTACGAGTAGAATAATAACAACTGCAAAACCTATCGTGAGCTCTTTTTTGGTATATTTGGAGGATGTTGTTGAAGAAGTTCCGAGCGGATCGATTCCAATATTTTCGCATTGTGCGCCGTAATATCCCGAAATGCAATTACACCCACTTCCCGCGCACTCACCTCCGTTTTCGCAATATGCCACCGGATGGAATTCATCGCACTTGTTCACAGACTTCTCGCAGTGTTCCCCGGCATAACTTCCCGTGCACGTGCACGATGCTAATCCACCAGTGTTGCACACGCCGCTGTTTAAGCAATAATGGTTGCTACCTACGCAATCTTGGATATTTTGTACTTCCGTTTGACACTGGTTTCCCGTAAAGTGTGGGTCACAACGGCAGCCTGAACCTGAACCCGAAATTGGGCATAAACCATCGTTGTAGCACTCGACCCCCCCCGGGCATGCGTTAACTTTTACGCCACAATCACTCTGTCCATAATCTGGAGGACATAAACACTTCATTAGGCTGTCAGGGTCGCAATATCCGCCGTTTTTACATTCTGTAGTCCCACACGGAACGTCGTCGCACGATGGGCCTTGACAACTTCCATTCCAGGATGCCGCTCGCACTTCTTTAAAGCCGACAGAAAGAAGAACACAGAAGAACGAGAGGAGCACGACGTGAAACCTCGCCGCGTGTAGATTATTAGTGCTTTGATGTGGCCGCTTCGCGATCATCTTATATATTCATATATACAAACACACGCGCGCGCTCGTGGGTTCTTGGGTTCTCGATTCGTCGCTTTTGTTTTCTGTGAGTTGAGGAAAAAATGAGGAAAAAGGAAAAGTCAAACTTCAAAAGAATATTTGTAGATTTGCGAGACACAGAGAGAGGAGGAAGAGAAAGAGGAAGAGGAGGAGGAAGAGATCGATAAACGAGTAACGCAGAAGGAACGACACGAAGAATGACTTCAACCTCCTACTCGCATCATCCTCATCGTCCTCATCGACACTTGGAAGATGTTCACGAAGACAGCTTTCGCGTGCATTACAGAATAAATGCACTCTCAAAATCAGAAGCGCTATCCATCGTCGACGAACTTCGGTACGAGCAAACCGTGGAGCTTCCCGAACAGCTCGTGCCGAGAGAATCCTGGATTGGACGCAACGTTGTTGGGCAAATAAACGCGCTGGAAGAAGAAAGTGAAGGAGTAGAAGGAGGAGAAGGAAAAGGAGCAAAGAGCGACGGCGCCGTCGGAAAAGACGAAAAAACACGCTTCGTGGCGAAAGTGACATATCGCAACGAAACGAGCGGGAACGAATTGCCTCAGCTCATCAATGTCATATTCGGCAACACTTCGATTAAAGAGAATGTGATGGTGATTGATATAGAGTTTGGGAAACACGTAGAATCATCGTTTTGCGGGCCCAGATTTGGAGTTCGCGGGTTACGGAAGCTACTGAACGTAAAGTATGGACCGTTGCTGATGACGGCGCTGAAGCCGATGGGGACGTCATCGGATAAGCTCGCCGAAATGGCCTTTGCATTCGCACTCGGTGGTATTGACATCATAAAAGACGACCATGGCTTAGCGAATCAAGTGTACGCACCTTTTGAAGAACGCGTGACGAAGTGTGCTCAAGCTGTACGTCGAGCGAATGATATTACTGGAAGAAACTGTTTGTACGCGCCGTGTTTGAATGCTCCGGCGCACTTAGTTTTAAAGCGCGCAGAGTTTGCCAAGCGCGCAGGGTGTGGTGCAGTCTTGATGCTTCCAGGAATCACCGGACTCGACGTTTGCCGTGCCTTGGCGGAAGACGACGATTTCAATCTTCCAATCATAGCGCACCCGGCTATATCTGGCTCTATGCTCGGCGGCGGATCAAAGAATGAAGTCAGAGGTTTTTCTCACGGTGTACTCTTAGGTTTACTTCCTCGTTTGGCAGGCTGCGATGCGACGATATTCCCAAATTTCGGTGGTCGATTTGGTTTTTCCAAAGATGAATGCAAAGATATCCAAAAAGCGTGTACGAGTATTCTAGGCTCGAAACCGGCTATCTTCCCGTCGCCGGGTGGCGGGATGACTCTCGAGAGGATTAAGAGCATGCGCCAATTCTACGGTGGTCAAGACGTGTTGTTACTCATCGGTGGAAGTTTATACTCCCACTCGAACGACTTGACGGCTAATGCGCGTCACTTTTTACAAATGTCCGGCCGAATTGATGCCTACGGGCCCAACGAGCGCCCCATCGACGGTTTGAATCACAATGGAATTACGAACTTGTACTCTCCACAACAACAGGATAACGTAGAAAAGTCAAATTTACGTACGAATATTAGCGATCGTGAAGCGGCAGCGTCGCGTTTTGAAAGCATATTTGCAGCGTCTCCTGCGCATTTGAAGCAACGCCAATCTCCGTCTCCGCATCGGCTGTCGTATAATGATGACGACAAAACGAAAGTTACGCCAACGAAACAGAGCGATCGGTACGATGACAATCACCATGGACACCACCGTCTTACAACAACACCTTCTCATCACGCGCCAATGACACCATCGAGTGCTGAAGTGAGCGAATTACGGGAGAAAAATGCCGCTTTAGAGAAAAAGCTAGACGAGCTCACCTCTCTGGTGGCCAAATTAGCGCATAGCGCGGATGCGAAGAGTTCCTCCGCAAATCACAGACACGCCACAGACGGTCCTTTAGAAGGTAACCATAGCAAAGTGTTGATAAAGAAAGAGAAGAAGTTCATGTGGAACCGCGTTGAAAGGGAAATGTACAAAATGGACGGTGGTAGTTTCAAAGGATGTTCGCGAGTTGAACTCATTGGGAAAAGGGGCGAATCGACGAATTTTCATGTTCGATACTTTGAAGTGGCTCCTGGTGGATGGACGACGTTGGAACATCACCAACACGAGCACGTTGTTGTTATCGTGCGTGGTTCCGGGTACATTCAGCTCGGGAGCGAAGCGTATGCCATGCATGTTGGCGATGTCGGTTACACGGCGCCGGGAGATGTCCATCAACTTCGATGCGCCGAGGAAGCGACGGATAATTTTGGGTTTATTTGCATCGTGTCGGCGGAGAGAGACAGGCCAATAGAGGTCGACGCGAGCGAACACTTGATATATTGCGAAAGCGTCTCCGGTAACCATCTCGAAGACGCTATTCGAAAATCTTTGCAAGCGCAAGCGAAACATCGCGCGGCACAGGAAAAGCTGAAAAACCCAGACGGATCCTACGCCGAAGGTAGCGCGTGCGAATGGCGCCCTCCGGGAAAGAAGTGAGCATGGGATGATATGGTAGCAATCGTTAATAGCTTATGACAAAAGCTAATTTCATTTCCTATTTTTTATGTACCTCCTAAAAAACGCTCTGTTTTAATACATTAGTTGCCTTCACTTTTTTTGGACTCTGTCTGCTCCCACGCCGCAACTTTGAAGGAACTCACGGCAAAGTCAATCTCGTCCTCGGTGATTTGGTAGTGGAACGCAACACGAACTGAATTTGGGTCGTTGAAAGGATACGGTGCGCCAAACGCAGTCACCAAAACCCCGTACTTCTTTTTCAACCAGGCGACTATATCGTGGATCGTGACGTCCTTCTTCAAACGTTGGAACGAGAGGATGACCAAATTACTCTCAACAGGTCCACACACTTTAATATTTTCGATTTTCTCCACACCTTTTGCAAACAGAAGCGCTAATCGATTGGATTTCGTTACGTTTTGTTCCCACGCGTCTACGCCAACATCCGCGGCGGCGGCGAGAACCCCTACTTGTCGCATGCCGCCTCCCAACGCTTTGCGCAACCTTTTGCACTTTCGTATGAAAGCTTCCGTACCTAATATGACGGAACCTATTGGTGCGCCGACTGCTTTCGACAAGCACACAGAAACTGAATCGCATTTCGCAACGGCGTCTTTTAAGCTAACTTTGTTCTTTATGCAAGCGTTCCATATTCTTGCGCCGTCCATGTGTATTTTCACGCGCTTGTCTTCGTCGCCGCCGTCGGCGTCGCCCTCTCCCTTTTTTGTCGCCGCTTTCACTTTGTCGCAAACTTCGTCCACGTACGATTGCTTTAGTACTCTCCCGCCGCACTTGTTGTGCGTTTGTTCCAAGCACACGACTCGAGTCGTCGGGAAATGATCGTCCTCAACCCGAATAGAGTCTAAAATATGCTCGATGTTCATGGTGCCATCTTGCTCGTTCGGTATTTGTCTCGGGTGTGCTCCTCCTATGGTTGCCCCGGAGCCTTGCTCGTAGAGCGTGATGTGCGACGCAGATCCGCATATGTATTCTGACCCTCTTCTTTCGCAGTGCACGGAGACTGCTATCAAATTTGCCATCGTTCCACTCGGCACAAACACCGCTTTTTCTTTTCCAAACATCATCGCCAAGCGCGCCTCTAAATCCAAAACCAATTCGTCGTCCCCGAAAACGTCGTCGCCGACGCCTTCGTCCACGGAGTCGTACATGGCTTGTCGCATTTCTTTATTAGGTTTCGTGACCGTGTCTGATCGACAGTCGATGACGAGAGCAGACATAACGGAAGGCGTCGTGTCCACCATCTTCTACTACCTTTTCCTAATACGACACAGTAAAAGGTCGCGCTCTGATGAACGCTGCTGTTTTTTATTGACGAAACACAAGAAAAACATCCTCACAACTCACACTTCCTCAAAACACCACCCCCGCATCAAAATAAAAATGGCGACAACTGGAGGTGGGGATACACAACAACAACAACAGAAACAACAACACACGACACCGCAACACAAACAAACCGTTTTGGATTTAGGAAAGTACATCGACAAAGGCGTGCGAGTGAAACTTTCCGGAGGGAGAGAGGTAGAAGGCATTTTAAAAGGATTCGATCAGCTCTTGAATCTCGTTCTCGACGAAACGAAAGAGTATTTACGAGACGTGGACGACCCGTTGAGAATAACGGACGAAACGAGAAACTTAGGATTGATTGTGACCAGAGGGACGAGCGTTATGGTCGTATCGCCGTTAGATGGGTTGAAAGAAATCGAGAACCCGTTCGCGGTAGCCCCCGAAGAGTATTAGAGAGAGAAAAGAGAAGAGAGAGAGAGTAGTTCTTGTTGTAATCACCACCCATTTCTCTGAAATGTTGTTGCTTATTTTTTCTAAAAAACTTTTCTTCAACTTATTTCACACAAACACTCTTCTGTTCTTCGTCACAATGACGATCGCGCGAAGCGAACGCTTTTTGTGGAGTTTCATCGGCCTCGTAGGCGGCTCTGTAGCGTGCGTTCAGACGCAAAGAACGCTTTGGCGATCAACTTCGGAGTTATCGGATTCATTTTTAAGTCCACCTCCACCTTCTCCTTCGTCTTTAAAATCTTCTTTGGGAAACCCTTCTACAACTACGAGAGAAGAAGAGGAAGAAGAAGGATTTGTTTTTGGTAAATTTGCAAAGGCTAAAGCGAAACGTATTTGGAACGAAAGCGTCGATTTTACGTTCAAACCAATCGTAGAGTACCTATCTAGGAAGGGCTATTGAATTCAATGATGATGCACAGCACCTCGACTTCTGTTTCTCTATCTTCTTCTTCTTCTTCTTCTTTTTCTTCTTGGATGAGGAAAGTGACAGTTGAAAAAAGTTGCCTTGTGCCGAGAAACTCTTCTGCGCGTTCTCCCTTTCGTCGTGGCAACATTGGCGTCGGTGTTCAACGATGCGCAACGCCAACGAGAATATATGCCGCTTCAACGACCAAACCGGATTATTCGTCGCCAGATTTTGAGCTCGCGCACGCTCCGATTGAGAAACAACTTTTACCAAACGGTCCGTGGAAAGTCATCCCAAACGCCGGCGTCACCGCGCCGGAAGGGTTTCAAGTTTCAGCCTACAAAGCTGGTTTAAGAAAATCAGGCACTAGAGCAGATTGCGCTTTGATCGTTGCCGACGAATCGTGCTCGTGCGCTGGAGTGTTCACGCTGAATGCCGTGTGTGCAGCGCCGGTGCAGTTTTGTAAAAAACAATTGGAGGTGAAATCGACTTCGAGAGCTATTTTGATCAACGCAGGACAAGCGAACGCGGCGACTGGTGTTCTTGGCGACGAGGATGCCATGACGTGCGCCAAAGCGGTCTCTGACGTCACCGGACTCGATTCTTCGGATGTTTTACTCATGTCAACTGGCGTTATCGGTCGCAGAATTAAAATGGATAAATTTGTACCGGCAATCCAAGCGTTGGGAGAACATCTCGAACGATCCGACGCGGCGTCCATGGCGGCTGCTACATCCATCTGCACGACGGACGTTGTTCGAAAAACGCTCGCCATTGAAGTGGACATCAATGGAACGAAGGTGAAATTCGGAGGCATGTCGAAAGGGAGTGGGATGATTCACCCCAACATGGGCACGATGCTCGCGGTGGTCACCTCGGACGCCAACGTTTCGCCGGATGTTTGGACGAAAATGGTCAAGCGCGTGGGGACAAAAAGTTTTAATCAGATTTCTGTCGACGGCGATACGTCTACAAACGATTCACTCGTTTGTTTTGCTTCCGGTAGAAGTGGCATGAAGCAAATAACCGATGAAAATTCCCCAGAGGCGAAACAGGTTGAGGAAGCGCTCAATGCTATCAACTTGGGTTTGGCTAAAGCAATTGCGTGGGACGGCGAAGGCGCCACGTGCCTTTTTGAAACGAATGTCAAGGGCGCAAAAGATGACGAGGACGCACGCACCATAGCAAGAAGTGTAATTTGCTCGTCTCTTTTGAAAGCGGCTATATTTGGCCACGATCCGAACTGGGGAAGAATTGCCTGTGCGGCGGGCTACGCCAAGACGAAGTCTGCTTTGGATCAAAATCGTCTGAACATAGCAATGGGAGGCATTACGCTGATGAAAGATGGACAACCGGTAGACTTTGACGAAAAAAAAGCGTCGACGTATTTGAAGGAAACGACGTCGAAGCACGGTACCGTAGTTGTTGACATTGAAGTTGGAAATGGAAGCGGCTACGGACAAGCCTGGGGTTGCGATTTGTCTTACGATTACGTCAAGATTAACGCTGAGTATACGACCTAATAGCGCATTGAGAATATAAATATGTACTGGTAGGATGCTGTTTGAATTACATTATAATGATAGCAATAACAATAATAATAGTTCTACTTTTTAAAGCGGATTGACCTCGAGTCCAGGTCGCGCTAACCCTCCTAAGAATGGATCGTCGAACTGAAAGCCTTCCGGTCCTTTCATGAATCTATGTTTACCTTGCAACTTCGCGATTGGCTCCATTGAATCGATGCACACCTTTTGCGCGTTGTTCAAACGAAATTTAGCCGCTTTACAACAAGCCTCGACTTCAGAATCTTCCATAGCTTCGTCCAAAATGACAGCAACGCCTCTTTGAATCGACCATCTCGTCAAAATGGAGTTGATATCTTTCGGGTCACTTTCATCCGCCGCCGAGGAGGCGTCGAGTAAGCGCTGGTGTTCTCTCACTTCTTTCACACCAGCACAAATAGACCCTCGGGAGAGTAGCGCTAATCCCCATCTGCGACACACGCCGACGAGCTTTCTCTGCGAAAGCATCGGGTGCAGCTCGACTTCGTTCACGACAGGTTTGATTTCACACGCTTTCACGAGATTTTCAACTGCCAAAACTGAAAAATTACACACCCCGAGAGATTTCACTTTACCTTTCGACACGAGCGCCTCCATTTGCTTCCACGCGTGTCCGAGAGTCACAGACTTGTCCATTTGCATGGGCCACTCGATGGAGAACAAATCGAGGGACTCTAGACCGAGTTTCGACAACACGGCGTCGCAACTTTCTTCGACTTTCCCCCACTCGTCGCACGCCAACACAGCAGATACGAACAAAGACTCTCGAGGTTTCGACGAAGATGCGATCGCACTCTTCGCCAACTCTAAGTCTTCGCTTTCTTTGGATGACCCGCACCTTACGTGTCTCACGCACTCATACTTCAAACACTTGCTCGCGTTTTTTGGGACGCATCCAAACATAGGCAATCGATATCCGTTTGCTCCACCGCCGAGCGCCACTGACTCTTGCTCGACGCTCGGATCAAATTTGGATTCTTCTGGCGTTTTCAAGTAATAAGGCGTTCCTGGTTTCGGTTTGTTCGGATCTCCAGCTGGCGCAGGTCCGTCCCACACGGCGGTTGGTTTTCTCCCTCCTTGATAAAACTGCTGCCCCGGTGGCGGCAAAAACTGTTGTCCATTTTTTTGCATCTGCTCGATTTGCGCTCGAGTTGGAGGATACGCCGGCAAGGTTGGATTGTATCCATTCACGTACCCGGAGACGGAATATCCACCAGTACTGCTACCGTACCCTCCTCCTCCTCCTCCTCCTCCAGAAGAGTATTGGTGCGTTCCTGGATAGTTTTGTTGTTGTCGCATGGAGCTCGGGCAGGAGGCCCAGGATTTCTGCGCCGACCCATCGGAACCCGAGGCGGTGAAGCCGTTCTTCTTGGAGAAGCGCTCCATGGGTTGACAGCCATCGGAAGCCATTATGTTGCCTTTCTTAGTATCTCTGTTTCGCTCCTGATGAATGCGGTTGCGTGGTGTGTGTGTGTGTACTACTTCTGTAGGATTAAAGAAGTGTCGACGTTGCCTTTGTGAAGATGTGTACGTCACGTTCTTTCCAAAAAATGTCCACGTCATATGGGAAACGAAACAAAACAAACAACAAAAATTTTCGTGAAAACTTATAGTGTGACTTTGTAATGATGAACATAACAACAGTAAAAGTGTGTGATGATAAAAAGAGCGTCCGTCGTCGTCGTGGTTGTATGTGTACAAAGTTTTTACTAGTCGTCGTAATCCACGCTCGCGTCGTTGATCTTGCTCAGGTACATGTCGTAATACTCCCCGGCTTTTTCCAAATCGCCGAGCTCGGTGTACATATCCGCGATGGATCCGACGGCGTCCATGTCGCCCGTGTAATCTTTAATCGCTTTGGAAATATCGAGAACTTCTTCCATGTATTTAATCGCGTCTGAAAGCTCGCCCATCGCTTTTTTCGTAGCGCCAAGACCTCGAACGGCGCGTCGCATTTTGATTTGATCGCCGTTCATTCTCGAAAGCGCCAAAGCTTTTTCAAACGACGATATCGCCTCTTGGTAACTTTTTTCTCTCAAAAGCTGTCTTCCTTTCTTCAAGTTCACTCTCGTCTCGTCATATTCGCTATCATCCACGGAGTCTTCCGGACCGACGGCAAAGTCTGTCTTCTTTCCTCCCTTACTGGCATCATCGCCGTCGTCTTTTATCGCTGCTTCGTCTTTGCTACCCGAGGCCAGTTCTGACATCGAAGCCGACATTGGTGAGTCTACTGGCGTCCCTGCCATTTGCGCCCCGGCGTACCCTAACGACGCACCCATACCTGTTGGATTGCGTTTACTTCTCGCAGTCAGCGACTGGTTAATAGCTCTCAGCTTTTCATTCAACTCGTCCACGATAATCTTCTGTTGTCTCGCTCGAATCCCCGAAGCCGTGGCGCCGATGAGCGCTAAGAGCTCCGTGATCCCAACGATGTCTATTCCAGACGGCGTGACACACAAAGCTTCACCTCTTGCGACGGCATCTCTCGAGTTCGCCTCGATTCTTTCTTGCTGTGCCTTGAACGAGTCAGCTTCAGCGTTCAAGATGTCCACTTTTTTCATCTCTTGTTCTCGCACTCGCGCCAACTCGTCGTTCACCGCGGTAACTTTTTTCATTTCTCCCGCCCTTATCCGATTCTCTTCCGCGATAATTTCTTCTTCCAATTTACGTATTCGCGCATATGATGCTGCTTCCTCTTCTTCTCTTCTCTTCTCCAAATCAGGAGGGAGAAGATTAATCGTCGCCGCATTTGCTACGTTGTTGGTGTTGATATCCTCTCCGAGAAATCCGCCTCCTCCCATCATCACGGAAACGGACACTGCACACACGCTCGCCGCAAATCTTCTCCTCAACAAAGATGAAGAAGGAGATGGTGACGACGACGACGCGCTCTCTTCTTCGTTTTTATCCCCATCTTTGTCCATCAAAGGACGAGCATCATCACGCGCCGTAATGCTGTTGATGTAATCTTCTTCTTTATCCGAAACGACTCTTGGAGGAGGTGGTGCGAAGGTTGACTTCTTTTGCGCGCCGCGCTTTCCTTTTCTCATCGTCGTCGTCGTCTTCGACGAGACAAAAGCCGACGTCGACGCCATCGACGCTACTGTTGATGTCATCGTTATCCTTAATCGTATTTCAATTAAAGTTGTGAGGTGGTGTGAAGGAGGCGTGTGTACAGACACAGACGCAAATATCGAAAACGACGATTTCCTTCTCTTTTTCGAAAGAGAAGATTTCTCTGCGAAACTGTGTGCTAAACCCTGATTCGAGAAGGGAAAAAGAAAAGGAGAAAGTGCTTTCTGTCTGTCCCTCTTCCTCTTCGCGTTTCGGAAACGCTCCATAAAATAAATAGAGTTGTTGTGGTGTGACGGCGGCGCGCGCGCTTTATCTATATTTTACACAGAGTAGTCGTAATAGCAGAGGGAAAGAAATAGACACACGCACGCACAAACATCATGTCGGTATCGTCTCCGATGCTGTTAGGTGGCGTGCCTGCGCTTCCGCTCCGAGGAGAAGCGTCGTCAACTTCGAAGCGTCCTGGAGTTTGGAGCAGCCGTCAAACCTCCTCGTCTTCTCGTTTAAATTCTTCTCCTTTTCCTTCTTCTTTTCCTTCATCATCATCGAAAAGGAGCAGACGAGGAGGAAGAGGACGCGCACGAGTACATGTGAACGCGTTGTTCGGCGGTAAAGGAGGCGACGGTGCCTCGAAAGAGACGTCGACATCATCGTCCGGGACCAAGACAAAGGGAAAGGGATCATTGGCATCGGGGGATAAGAAACAGAAGAAAAAGTCAGCTCCTTCTTCTTCTACTCCTTCTTCGTCTTCGGCGGGCGAAAGCGCGACGAATGCAACTGGAAAGAAGAAAGCATCGTCCTCCTCCACGTCGCCGAAGAAGAGAAGTACGAAAGGGGAAACGATTTTGACCGATCCTTCGTTCGGGGGCGTGCGTTGGTTTCGTAGGCAAAAGAAAAAAGCGTACGAGTATTGGAGAGCGCGATCGGATCGAGGGCACTTGCAAGTAGGCTCTTGGGGTCAAAACGCGAGAATGCCACGGTATCTACCACAGTCTTCCTATATTCCCGGGGACGCGTCCTCGAATCCGTATTTACGAAACCAAAAGAAGCTCTCTATCGAGGACTTGCAGTTTACGCAAATGGGTCGTGCGAAGCTTCAAAAGCACAGGCAATCCATCGCATATTCAAGGTTTTGTTTAGATTTAATCGAGGAAAGAATTGACGAGGTATACGTAGACGTTATCGGTCAAATAGCGAGATATTACGCGGTATACCCGGACGGTAGACTCGCGGTTTGTCAAGTGCCGACGCTAGACAGTCGAGAACTTCGAGACCTTTTCAGAATGCTCGAGATTAATCCCATGCCTTTGAAAGAGGAGAGCACGTTCTCTTTGGAAACTGTGCTTCCAGACGGAAGTTCAGTGGACGCGAAAACAGGTTTTGCGAGCAATTACTTCATTCCCGGCTTTTTGATCTTTGTAATTTGGGGCGCCGTTTTCTACATGACGCGTTTCCAAGAAGATTGGGACGATCGACAAAGATTGTTAGAGATTGATCGTCAAAACGAAGAGCGTGCCGCCATGGAAAAAGAAGACGCGATGCTCATTCGCATCAAAGATTCCATGATTGGGTTAAAAGATAAAGAAGGGAAAGACGCCAAACGGTATAAGGAATTGCAAAAAGAATTTCAGAATCGCCAAGCGGGTTTGATACAAGAGGCGGAAATGAAGAAAGAAAAGCAGATGCGAAAGTTGAGCAAGAAAGCGCGAGAAAGCGAAGAAAGAGGCGAAGCTGGAATTTTCGATCCAAAAGCGAATGCATTTTTAGAGCTAGGTGCGAGAGTCGTAAAAGCGCGAACGAAACAAGGGCAAGAGGAAGCAGTAGAGGAGAAGAAAGATACGGAAGAGAAAAAGAAGAAGAAAAAAGAAGACGGCGATAAAGAAGAAGAGGGAAAAGATTCCAGACGTAAGATGAAGAAAGGGAAACTGAATTCCAAGATGGCCATGCGCGATCACGACAGTAAAGTAGTTCTCTTCGAAGACGTTGCCGGTATCGACCAGGCCAAGGTTGAATTGACTGAAGTCGTCGATTTCTTTTTGAAACCTGAAAAATTTAAAGCGTCGGGAGCGAGAACGCCGAAAGGCGTCTTGTTAACGGGTCCTCCGGGGTGCGGGAAGACGCTTCTCGCCCGTGCCGTCGCCGGTGAAGCTGGCGCCACGTTTTTCTCCATCACTGCTTCCGAGTTTGTCGAGATGTTTGTCGGTGTAGGGGCTGCTCGCGTGAGAGATTTGTTTGCGCAAGCCAAGAGACAAGCGCCGTCGATTATTTTCATCGACGAGCTCGATGCGGTTGGAAGACCTCGAGGTGGAGGTGGTTCAGGGAACGACGAGCGAGATCAAACGTTGAACCAAATGTTGGTCGAGCTCGATGGTTTTGCTACAGATACGCAAGTTGTTGTGATTGCTGCTACGAACAGAGCGGACGTTTTAGATTCTGCGCTCGTCAGAGCCGGTAGATTCGATCGTAAAGTTGTTGTCTCTTTACCAGAGTTTAAAGGAAGAATGGCAATTTTACAAGTTCACTGTAAAGATAAAAAATTAGCGGAAGAAATCGACTGGGTTACGTTATCGGAAGAAATGGACGGATTTTCAGGTGCACAGCTCGCTCAAGTCGTGAATATGGCGTGCTTGCAAGCGGCGAAGGACAATCGAGAGTCGCTCACAAATGCCGATTTTAGAACTGCCTTGGATATAGAAATAATGGGGAAGTTGTTGCCGTTCACCATCGGTCCCGAAAACGAAAAGCGCTTGGCGTTGATTCACTCTGCAGCGGCTATCGCCTACGAAATGCACGTGCCTGACATCGCAAGAGTATCTTTCGTCACAGTCTTGGCGCGCGAATCCAACACCACCGGTCAAGTTTGTTTGCTCTCAGAACCGGACAACGATCGAACGAAAATTTTTACCAAATCGTTTCATCGCCGACTGATGCGAGTAGCTTACTCTGCTGGTTGCTTTGAGGAATTATACTACGGTTTCGATAAAAACTCCAAAGCTTCGGCGGCGTACGATGGGCGAGCTCGTGAACTCGCCATTAGTATGGTTCACGAAGCTGGCATGTCTGACGTGAAAGATTCGTACTTTGCGCTTTCGATCAATTACGATGTGCTCGAATTGTCAACGTTCTTGAAAGATAAAAGAAGAGGTTATCTCCTTTCTAATGTCGATAAAGAGATGTATTCGAAGGCCGAATTTGAAATTCGAGACATTATGCGCCAAAGTCGAAACGAAGCTATGGAGTTTGTAAAAAGACAGAGACCGGCAATCGAGGAACTCGCGCGACGCGTTCTCGCGAGCGAAAAGAAGACGGTTTTGAGTTATGAAATTCGAGAAATCATTGAGAAATTTGGTGTCAAGGAAGACATTGAAACCACCGTGGGGCCGCTGGGAAGCTCGAGAAAACCTATCGCCGAATGGGATTCAGAAGGAATACCGACAAACTTACGATCAAGATAAAAATAGATGTAAATGATTAGAAATTTGATTCACTGCCAGAGCAAAAATATACAAATCCTAAAGTGTAACCGCATACGACCCGCTTATAAAATAACTTCCCTCCCTGGATTGTCGACGTCTCTGTTTGTTGCGTTGAACATATCATCTAGCTCACGGACTCTTTGGTTCGCGCCTTCGATATCGCCGCTTAACCGTAACAAATCAGCCGCGAGTTGCATGAGAGGTTCGTGCGTGGAGACACCATTGGATTCAGCTTCGGAAACAATTTCAAGAGCACGAGAATAGTTACCACAATTCGCCTCAAACGCAGCGTAGCCGTGCCAGAGTTCGGCAAAATTACTGCACGCTTTGCACCCATCGGTAAACAATTCTCTAGCGACGTCGTCGTTGCCGCTTTCTTGCTCGAGAAGCGCCCACGCTTGATACAGAAATCCTGACAAACGTGTCGTCCCGCTTTTTAGTCCGTTTCTAAACATATCTCGCGCTATTTCAGGACCTTGCATGCGTTTTTCCCACTGGCCCCACTGCATCCACGCGGTTGCATCGGATCTATCTTCTTTCACCGCGGCTGCAAATAACGCACGAGTCGCATCTTCCGTTCCAGCTCTTTTTTCGAGCAGCGCCCATAATCTGTTGTGAGTGGATCGTTCCCGTCGGCTCGCTCGGGCGCTCGGTGGAACTCTCTTTTGTTGCATGCACTCGTCGCGTCCTAGGATGAATAACTGTCGCGCGCGTCCCACGTTGCCGTTGATAAACTCAGCGTGCGCCTCAGCAGTGATGCACGGTAAATTAAGAATCCCGTCTTTTCGAGCCCGTGACCCGCGCTCGAAAGCTTCAACAGCTCCTTCGAAATCGAACAAATCGCTTTTGCACATCCCGAGAGCGTGCCAGACGTGCGGGTCAAACATTCCAGCGTCCAACTGATTCCCGAACGATCTTTCACTAAGAACTTCGAGTTTTTCCAACGCTTCTTCTGTTCTATTTTCTCTTCGCAAATACATCGCCTCTGCTAAATAAAGTTTCGACTCTCCAGGACATCTTCTAATACCCTCCGTTATGATATCGTACTCGCGCGATGTTACCGAACGCTTATTACTATCACTCGCATCAAATTTACTCGTAAAAGCCCTCTCACTCAAACTCCAAGACGTATAAGTTTCCGCTCTGCTTGGATTTAATTTTGCCGCCAATCTAAATTTTTCGCTCACACGCTCTTCGAATACCTTTCTAATAGAATCGTTGCTATCACTATTGCTACTCTTACTGCTACCATTTCTACCATTCACGACATCCTTAACCTCGGAATTAGTTTGATTTTGCAGCGTCAACATGCGCTTACTCAATAAGTCTGCCCAATTCGTCAATAAATGTACCGATTCAGACGAGAACGATGAAGATTTCGACGATTCGAGAAGAGCCCATCCTCGCTCGAACAGTTCCTCCGCTTTGTCAAAGTTTCCACACGAAGTTTCAAACATCGCAAATTGCGTGTATCCTGAACTTGAAGCATTGGCGTTTCGCCCGGATTGCTTCTCGATGGATTTCTCGTAATACTTCCTCGCCTGTTTTCTATCTCCGACTCGATTTTCTAAATTTGCCAACGCGTTATACGTTGTAGACCTCGGCGTTATTTCCAAAGATTTCATCAGCAACTTCCTCGCCTTGTCGTAATTACCTCTCTTCTGTTCCATCATACCCCATGCGTGCGGAGCGGCGAAATTCTTCGAGTCTACCGCGCACGCGAGAGCGAATTTTTCGCGAGCGAGTTTATAGTTTCTCTCGCTTTCGAGTAAAACTGCCCACGTCGTCAACGTCCCTGAACTCAAGTTCTTCTCCTCGACGCTCTCGTTGTGTACTTCCAGTGCCTTCAGCGCTTCTTTTATTGCGTTATTATTTTTATTTATGTCGCGTCGCGAGTAGTTTCTCAATTGTTTGACGAGTTCGTTCACTACTTTCCCTTCCTTTGGATGTTGGATAAACAATTCGCGCATTTGTTCCAAAGCCTCTTCTCTGTCTTCGTCGGACATTGACGATTTCGATTTCATCTTCGATTCGCGAAAACGTGTGCTGATATCATCCTCGCCGCGGTCGTCCTTAGACGACCCTAGATTTGACGACGACGAGGAAGGTGACTGTTGTCCAGCGTTGTCGCTTTTGTCGTGTTGCTCGTGAACGACGACGTTTAATCTTTGCGTTCTTCCTCGACGGAGTTGATGTTTATGAGCAGCAGCGTGATGCGAGACGAGCGAAGCACGATCGAAGGATGACGCCGATGATGAAACTGTCACTCCTCCTCGTGATGAGGTGGAAGCAACCGCAATCATCGGCGTTCGTATATCTTCCTTCTTCTCTTTTGTTTTGTTTTATTGTGTTTGTACAATTCGCGTATCCATCTTTTGTTTTTTTGAGGGGAGAAAGAGAGTGATGCACGGACTCTCTCGTGTGTGCGTTTGAGGAGTATCGGCATACACAAAATACAATTGAAGTATTATTGTATTATTCTAATAAATTACTTGACTAATCCTATGACAAAGACGCCGTGCATGGACGAAAACGGCGCGTTAATGTTCAGCACGCCGTTGCTTTCAAAAGCCACGTCGCTGGTATTCTTTTGTGGCGATCTAGGCGGATTTAAGTTTGCTTGTTTCCATGACGCGTTTAATTCGTCATCTCCTAATACGCGCACGCGCTCTACTTCGGTTTCGTCGATAAAAAATGGTACCTTTGATGAAACCGGGTCATATGTGCTCGTCGCGAGGGCGTAACGAGACCACCACAGTTTCTTCCTGTTGCGTCCACTCGGTGACGCGTGCGCGAACGATATGCCGTCGTCGTTGTAATACGCACCTCGCGCTTCGCCTTTCTCGTCCGGGGCGATGGAAATAGTGATTGGATCGTTTCGTTGAGCCTTCGTAGAACGACGCGCGCGTTCCTTTGTGATTAGAATACTACCACCTCTTTGAAACTGCGGAATGTCGCGCATGGTGACTTTCTTCATGAACTCTTTTGGACCAAAGTGCTTTTCGTTCGTATCGACGTCGTACCAAACGCCTTTTGGTAAATATATTTCAATTTGGGAAGCGCCGGCTTCCATGACTGGGTATACGAGCAGCGCGTCGCCGAGCATGAAGCAATCATCTTTGCGAAGGACTCTCGGGTCGTCTGGGAATGCATAAAACAACGGCCGCACGATTGGAGTGCCTAATCGACTGTTTTCATCGAAGAGCGCGTAAAACGTAGGCAACAATCGGTACCGGTTTCGAATGGCCTCGCGAATTAAGTTTGTATTTTCGTCACCAAAAAGCCACGGCTCGCGACGTTTCGTGTCAATGTGCGCGTGTCCACGCATGAAAGGATAGAAAGCACCGAGTTGATACCATCTAACGAGCAATTCAGAATCAGGATTGCCGAAAAAACCACCAATGTCTGCGCCCGAGAATGGTAACCCGGTAAGTCCAAGCGTCAAGACCATCGGAACGGAGACTCTGAGATGTTCCCAATCTGCGGCGTTGTCGCCAGTCCAAATCGGACCTATTCTTTGCGTCCCCGCGAAAAAAGCGCGCGATAAAACAAATGGTCGTTCATTTTGCCTCTTTTCGATACCTTCTGCCGTTGCCATATGATAATACATGCCGAAAACATTGTGCACTTCTCTGTGTTCGACCTCGCCGTGATGGATCAAATCTTTTTGCATTGTAATTTCTGGCCCGTTGAACACGGACGGTTCGTTCATATCGTTCCACACGTATAAATCAGGCGTCGAGCCTTTATACGAGTCCAAGGCAAATTTAGACGCCCACCACGAACGAACGTCCGGGTTTGTGACGTCTAAATACATGGAAGAGCCTGGCCAACACCAGCCGTCGAAATCTGTCGTTTTGTCGTTCTTTTTCACGTAATACTGTTTCGACTCGGCCTCTTTGAATATTGGATACTTGTCATCTTTCTTTACGTGAGGATCTATGATGACAACCATTTTGCGCCCCTTTTCTGCGATATCGTTAATCATGCGTTCCGGCGTTGGGAATTTTGTGCTGTCCCACGTCATGTACCTTTTCCCGTCCGTGTGTTCAATGTCGAGCCAAATGACGTCGTATGGAATGTCGTGCTCATCAAATCCAGCGTCCACTTCCTCCACATCTTGCTCGTCGCGATAGTTCCAGCGACACTGGTGGTATCCGAGAGAAAATAGCGGCGGCAACGCAGTCGTGCCTAGAAAATCGCCGTACATTTTATGAATGCTCGCAAAATCCATTCCTGGAAACAAAAACAAATCGAGCGCACCGGATTCTGCCATCCAATGCGACGTGCGCTCGTCTAACGAACTTTCCTCTTTCACGATATCCACGTACGTTTCTGTCGGATTGTGGAAATACATGCCAGACGATATCGTCTCCCTCGCCTTACCGTCGTCATTCCCGGCTCCATTTACATTTTTACTCCCGTGCGCGAGCAACATCGGGATGGATCCGTACAATCCAAAAGGGGATTCCGATTCGTATTCGAAAACGTCTAAATTGTATAATCTGTACGGTTCTGATTCGTGATGTAGTTTCTGATCCACCTCTTCTTGCGACGACGGTCGTTTAATCGTAGATTTCAAGCTCAAACTCGTCGCGCGTTCCGGTAAACCGTACATGTCCGTCGCGTTCGGGAACGACACGTCGAACGAAATCGCCGTGTTTCCGTACGGTCTCGAATCCGTGTGCGAGTTGAACGTTTCTACCGTGTTGTCTCCTTCTCGAGCGAGACCACTCACATCATCTACCGTCTCAAACGCGAACGTCTCTTCTCGATTGAACGCCATAACTTCAACACCGTCTCGTTCTACGACCACAGCCAGCGGCGTTTCGTGCTCTACGCGAACGCGAACGTTCATCCCGCTGGCAACCATTTTCAACACCGTTTCTGTCTTCCCGCTCTCCGCGTTCTTTTCCATGTTCCTCTCTACCACCCATTTCGTCTGCAACGCCTTCACGGTTTCCTCTGGTACCAAGACATCTTTCGGCACGTACCTCGGGTGTAAGATATCGTCGAACCGGAGTCGCACGGCACCGTTCGCGTACGCATTCAGTTTCATCTCCACCGATGTTTTCATATCATCTAAGAGCACATCGAACGACGCTTCATCTTCGTCTTCTTCTTCCTTTCTATTACTGCGCTCTTGCGACGACGACGACGACGACGACGCTGATGATGATGATGACGATGATGGTACGATCAACTTCCCGATAGAATACGCTTTCGGCGCGGCGTCCCGGTGTCGATTACAAAACGACGACGTTTCGTACGTCTTGAAATCTTGCGCTTTAAACGCTCCCACTTTTACGAGAGAGAAGATGAAGAAGAAGAAGAAGAAGAAGGAAGAGAAGAAGAAGAAAGGAAACGAGGAAAAGGTTCTCGGTCTCGATGCTCTCGTTTTTGTCGTCGTCGTCGAGATCATTCTTCTTTCTTTTGAAGTCTTTTAAGTGTCTCTAGAGTGTGTGGTTCCTCCTTCTGTGAAGTGTTACGACGTAAACTTTTGGACTGTGAAGAGAGAGACTTCTTCTCTTCTTCGTCAGAAAAAACCTCCAAAGGTCTGCTCTCGTCGTACTTTTTTATTGTGTTCACGCACAGAAGAAGATATACGAGATGCCGTCGTCGTCCCAATCGTCGTCGTCTAAACCGCAACCGATTGTTCGACAAGTTGGGTTTACCATCGGCGAAGAAGACGGGAACGCGACGACGAATACAAACACCGGTTTAGGCAGTAAAAAAACAACGCCGTCGTCGTCCTCTGCGGTGATTGGGAGCAGTACGAACGATGTCGTCGCGACGAGTAAAGAAGAGAACGACGACGCCGCGGTGGCATCCATCACGGCCGGGTTTGGAAGCGTCTTAAACGTGTCTTCTTTGCATCAACAAAGTCCAGAGAGGAAGAAGACGAAAGAAGAAAAGCCGGTGCAAGAAAAAGAAGCTGATGGTGCTCCTGCTCCTCCTCCTCCTCCTCCTCTTCCAGAGAGCGATAAAGACGAAGAAAAGAAACGAAAAGCTGAGGAAAAAGAACGCAGACGACAAGAACATCTGGCGAGAATGGCTTCAGAAGGGAAACCGGAACCGAAATTACAAAAAGCGGCGTCGAAAGCAGAACGAAGGGCGCAGCAAGAGGCGCAAAGAGCGGCGAAGGAACAAGAGAAGAGTAGCGGCGGCGCCGCGACGAAGAAGAAGCAAGAGAAGGGTGGTAGCACTACTACTACTACTACTACTAGTAGTAAAGGGGGTAGCGCGCCGAGTGGTAGCGGCGATAAGAGTGCCTCGACAGTAGGAGGTGGTTCCACGGACGAGACGCATCGATCATTCGCGGACGTTCGTACAAAGACGCGCAAAGATTCGCACTTTTGCGAGCGGCATTTCTCGCACCTCAATTTGCATCAAACGTCCACATCAAATAAAATCGACCACGATTTGATCGAGTTTCAGTATCCGTGCGTGGAAAGATTAGCAGAAGCATATCAAACGAGAAAGTGCGTGGGAAGTACGAACAGAGTTCGTCAACTGTTGTTGTGTTTAAAGGAAGTCGTGCAATCGTACTCGCACAAATCTGGGAGCTATTCGCAAGCGTTGTTAGTTTTGATTAACCACGTCATTTCGAGAATTCAAGAGGCTCGACCGATTTCTACGAGCATGGGGAACGCCGTGAAATCGTTAAAAACGCACTTAGCAGTGCTTTCTCAAGGTGAGAAATTGAAAGAAGCCAGAGACGACGCGGAGATGATGACAGTTGAAGCTCAAAAGAAGAAAACGCTCGAACATCTCGAGGATACTTTGAAAGAATACGTCGAAAGAGCGGTCGAGACGATCGTCAAAACACTTTCGACCTATTACGCGGAGAAGCAAGTTCAACACGTGGTGACGTTTGGACATTCTGAATCGGTTGTGAAATCATTAATACGTGCAAAAGAGAGCGGATACGAAAACATGTGCGTCACCATAGTCGACGCCGCGCCGTCGTTTGAGGGACGAAAAACGTTAAATCATCTCCTCGATGCGGACATTTCGTGCGAATATACGCTCATGCACGGCATGGATGTGGTCTTTCAACGCTTCAGTAATAGTAGAGACGGAGCAGACCAATCCATGGTTTGTTGCATTGGCGCGAGCGCCGTCCTCGCGAACGGGAAAATCATGTCTCGAGCCGGATCTGCGAGCTTTTGCAACGCGGCGAAAAGTAGGGGAGTGAAGGTGCTCGTCGCTGCTGAAACGATCAAGTTTCACGAACGGGTCGGTATTGATTCCGTGCTACACAACGATATCCAAGATTTCGTCATCGAACCAGGAATGATTTCGAATTTGCGTAAACTGTGCTTATCGTACGATCTCGTGGAGGATATCGGCGAGATCGTTTGCGAGAAAGGAATTATTGCTCCAGGGAAAGCGGTAAACTTCGTTATTTAGTTTTCAAGTCTTATAATATTTTGCTATATTAATGCGCCTACTAGTTTACAATTCAACGCTGATCTGCTACTTCTACTATTTGTCGTTCTCTTCGTGCCACTGCTTTATTCGAGCTTTCACCATGTCGTTTGTCGTGAAAGATATGGCCACCGCCAGAGGCCCCTTCATCCAATTCATCGTCAATCCTTTGTACAGTCCCGATAATCCCTCCGTTTTGCCTATGTGCACGAGTGCACTTACGACGGAAGATGTTCCATTCACTTGTCCGTGTACTTGTACTCGTCGTCGGACAATATCTAACGGATACGTGCATGTCTGCGCCAATAAACCGGCAAAACCGCCGAATAGTAAACGGCTCGTCACCGGAAGGTCCTCGCGCGAGGAGGACTCGTCCATTTTCACGTCGTCGCCATCTTTTTGTTCATGCTGTTTCATTTTTATCGACGCCGCTTTCAAGGTTTCAAACGTGGCGAACGAAATTCCAGCGTAAGGCATTATTCCTAAAAGCGTAGGCGTTAATCCAGACGCCAATCCGCGAACCCCTCTTTTCTTGATGATATCGACTAAATCTTCAATGGCTGCTTTCTTGTGCGTTTCCGCACCTGCCGCAAATCTCGCGCGCAATAAGTCGAGTGGATACGTCAACGTCGTCGCCGTCGCGCCCGACATCGCACCGGCAACGAATCGCGCAAAGGTCGGCGTTCCCGAACTTTCGTTTCCATCGCTCAGATAGTGCGTCGTTTTTTCTAAATACTTTGGGAAGGCGAAAAAACTCGTCGCCGCGTACGGAATGACTCGAAGCATCTGCACGCCATTCCCACGCCATAATGCAATAACCCCATCCTCTCTGACTATTTTTTTCCCCAACTCAAACGCACTGTTTACTGTAAACTTTCTGTTTGGATCTACTTGGTACATGATTTTTACGCGATCTAAAGGCGCTATGGTCGTTTTCGCGCACGCTCCAGCCGTGGCGCCGGCGATGAGCGCTTCTAAACTCGATATTTGTTTTCTCTCGTCGTACGTCGCCGGTGTTGGCGTGGGGGGCGAGTTTGATAATTCCGCGCGAGCATCGTGAATTATGTTCTGAAATATATCGTTCGCGGTGAATCCCAACGCGCTCGCCAACGGGCCTTTCAACCACGTCAGCGTAACACCTTTGAACAAACCGTTTCGTAAACCTTCCGTTTGATAAATGCGTAATAAGCCTTGCGACACCGAAGAATACATCGGTTTACACCCAGGCGTCCCTGCCGGCGAGGCGGGGTTTTTCGAAACGCCGCCGACTTGTAATCGTCGTCGAACGATGTGTAAAGGATACGTGACGGTTTGCGCAATCATACCGGCGGTTGCGCCGGCGGCTAATTTCCCGGCGATCAACATTCTCGGGTGGTCCTCAAACGCTTGCGGATGCCTTCTAATGCTCAGTTCAAATCTACTCTTTAACGTCTCGTACGCTGCAAACGAGATCCCTCCGTAAGGAACAATCCCCATGAGCGTCGGCGTTATCCCCGTGTACAGCGCTCTCACGCCGCCCCCTGTGGTCACGGCTCTGAACAACACCCTCGAACTTTCTGTTAGAGACCCGCTAAACCGCTTTAAGTGTTTGCTCGACTCAGCACCGTCCACAAACGCAGCACTTCTGGCGTGTAACAAATCGAGAGGGTAGGTCAACGCCGTCGCTGTCGTTCCGGCTAATGCGCCCGCGGTGAAACGCGTAAACACCGTCCCGCTTTGCTGTTCCGTGAAATCCAAATCGTCTTCGTCATACATCGCTTTGATCAAAAACTTGTTGTATATGTTATAGGTCCCAAACGTTGTCGCGGAATACGGCAAGATTCGTGCAATTGCTGGCGTTGCGCCTCGCCATAACGCCGTCACGCCTTCATTTTTCACGATATTTTTTGTCGTCTGCATGCCTTTTTGGAACGTGAAATTCCCTCCATCCGATTGGATTTGAAACAACAGTTTTACTCTATCGATAGGCGCCGTGGAGAATCTCGATAAGGCGCCCGCGCACGCGCCAGCGGCAAACCGTTCCCCCGTCGTCGGTTCTCTTCTCAAAATCTCTTTTCTCTGCTGTACCTCTTCCTCTTTCGGCGGGTTCCTGTGCACTAAACGACGAAACATTTTTTGTTTGTTTGTTCTCTCTTTCTCTCTCTCTCTCTCGGGTCTCTCAAACTCTCAACATCATCATAATCATCATCTTCGTTGTAGTATCGATAGTATTGATAGTATTATTATTATTATCAGGTACAATTATTACATATATATAAAGAATCGCGGTCGACGCGTCCTTTTGTGTTAATGATGCGTGTTAATGCGTGGTGCTCTCTTCTTTCCGGTTGAACGCGCTTTCTCTTTCTCTTTCTCTTAAAATTAGGTATGACAACAGAAAGAGAGTGATGAGAGACCAAAACCACGAATGTACTATTTAGGGTATGAAAATGACGCTCTTGATTTTTTTCTTGGAGACAGACGTTTGTGTGTTTGTTTGTCGTCTTTTTGTACGATTCGTCCTCAAAAGTTGTCTCACGCACACACATCGCGCGCGCGCTACTATCACATCTCTCTGAAAGAGTTTAAAAATACCATCATCGAAGAGAAAGAACTATACTACCACGAATAAAGGTTGTTGTTTGTTGCCACGACCACAGAGTTTTAAAAGAGAAGAGAGAGATTGTCTCCTCCTCAATTTTGAAAGAAAGAAAGAGAAAAAGCCCAAAAAGGGGGAGAGTTGTCGTCAAAAAAGAAGATGAGCGACGAAGGTGGTGGTGGCTCTGCCGCCGCACGCACCCGCTCGAAGGCGCGAGTGATGCAAGAGATGGACGCGAATGCAAATAACACCGCGACTGGTAATAAGCCGCCGAGTTCGGCGCAGACGATGGACAAGATACAATCGAGGTACGTGAAATTCAATCCAGTTTGATAGTTTTTTTGTTTGTACCCCTCTTTCCAACGGACGTTTTTTTCCTCCTTTTTGCGCAAATGTTAATCGTCGTCGTCTGTGTGCGATTGAACACAGAAGACGATATGCGTTCGGATCTTTCTTTGTTTTTTGCGCGTTTGGTGTCTGTGCGCATTAGCTGGGGGGATGGTATCGTCGTCATCATCATCAACACGTCGTGCCTCCTTGCACCCAATTTGACAAAACTAACCAACACCATTCCCCTACAAAAATTTAAAATTCGACAGAATGTCTGCGTTTCGAGCGAAAACTGACAAACAGGGCAGTAAAACCGCATCGCGAGTCTCATCTGCGGTCAAACCGAATTTGCGAGCGTTGAACGATCAAAACTATAACAACGGCGATAACACCGGGACTTTCGTGTTCAACACCGCGGCAAAAGAGCGATCGAAGATTGCAGCTTTGAGCAAGTCGTTGTACGAACCGGAGGATGGCAACGGCGAGAATTACTCGGCGCTCATCGAGAAGTTACTCACGTGGAGACCGACGTCTGACAAAGGTTCCCCGGAGTACATGAAAGAGTTGTTAGGGCACGTTCAATCGCAGAAGAAAACGTTGAAGGCTTTGGTAAAGTTGAGAGAACAATTCGTCGTTGGCGCTGGAAGGATCGAGCGAGACTTGCTCAGAGCAGCGCGCAACGCGGAGAACAACACCGGCTCGATCCCACACACGCAACAAGAGTTGGCTGAAATCCACGCCGAGCGAGAAAAGTTGACGAAAATGCAGAGAGAGTCGCAAGAGCATCTGCTCAAAGTGCAAGAGGCGGAAGAGAAGCTGTCGAAAGCTACGGAAGACTTGGAACAAGAGCGCGCGCGAATTCGCGAAGAAGAGCACAGCGCGGTGATGGCAGCCTTGAACAAAAAGATTGCCATCGCGGAATCGAAAGTCGATGAAGCCATGAGAGCAGAGCAGAAGTTGCAAGAAGAGACGCACAAGTACGAGCAGTTGAAGTCTATGGAGGATTTAGGCGTCGCTGAAGCTTCGCAGAATGTGAAGAAGGCTTTGGATGAAGCGAGTCAAGCGAGAGCGGAGACGCAAGAAGCGAAGCACAATCTGTTCGAGTTGAAAGAAGAGCATGCAAACTTGAAAGGTAGATACGAAAGTTTGAACGAAAAATACGCGGCAGAACGAGACTCGTGGGCGCAAGAAAAGCGGGAGATGGACGCGTCGAGGGAGAAATTGCAAATGATGGTGAACGATATGAACTCGACGACTGATATGATGGAGAAAGAGAAGAATGCTTTGTTGGCGGAGAAGGAAGCGTTGGAGCAGAGTTTACAAAGCGAGATTGACAAGATCATGGCTGAAGCGGCGAAAGAGAAAGAGCTGGCCGTGGAAAATTTGGAACAACAGCTTACGGCAGAAGCGAGGGAGACGTTGGAAAACGAGAAGGCGGCGTGGCAGTTGCAAATGGAGGAGAAGCTCAAGGAGCAGATTGGTGAATCCAAGGATGGTTTTAATCAGCGATTTGAAGATTTGAATCAACGCTTAGCCGAGCAAAAGGAGAAGCACGATCTTATTTGCAAATCTATGCTCAAAGAAGCTGAAGCGACGAGAGCGCAATTGACCGCCGAGCACCAGGCGGCGTTGAAGCAAGCCACGCACGAGGCTGAGTTGGAAATTGCAGCGACAAAAACGGCGCTCGCACACGCCGAGAAGAACAACGAGCAGCTCCAGAACGAAGTCAACAGAGCTCGCGACGCTTTGTCGATGGATCAATCGGAGAGATCCTCGGTGAAGGATATTGCCTCGATGTTGTCGGAACACGCGGACAAGCTGAGCGAGAAATATGCTCGCGAAAAGAAGGAAGCGCTGGTGGAAAAAGAGCGAGAGTTGCAACGAGAACACAAAGCTTCGATGGAAGTGGCACAGGCGAATTTTGCGAAGGAGATGGAATCCGCGAAGGAGAATTTGAGGTCTCAATTGGAGTTGAAGGCGGCGCAGGTGTTAGACTTCAGGTTGGAGGAACAAGCCGCGACGCTTAGAGAGTTATCCGCCGAAGACAAAATGGTCACTCTTCAAGAAACTGAATTGAAACACAAAGAAGACATTGCGAAGTTACGCGCCGAATTCGACGCCGAAGCTGGGAAAAGAGTGCGAGAGGCTCTGGAGAGTTCGAAAGGGCGAAGCAAAGACGCGATGCTCGCCGCGGAGAGAGAGGCAAAGGCACGCTTCGACAAGCAGCTCGAATCTAAGATGGAAGCATTCGAGGCTGAGTTAGAGTCGCAACGAGCCGTGTTAACGAAGGAGTCTTCGATCGCTTTGGAAAATTTGAGGCAGCAGTTACTCAGTGAGGCTGAAGCAGAGCGCGACGCCTTGGAAGCGCAACTTCGAGCGGAGGCGCAGACTTTCATGGAGAGATCGAAACAACAAACTTTGCGTACGCACCGTGCCGAAATGGAAAAGCTCGCCGCCGAATTGGAGAGAAAAGCCGGGGAAGCGAGAGAGACAGCTGTCAGCGAAGCGGTCGAGAACTTGCGCGCAGAGATGGAGGATGAGAAGCAAGCGATTATCGAGGCGACGTTGGCTGAAATGTCCGCAAAGTCTCAAGCCCAGTTAGCGTCTGAAAAGGCAAAGATCCAAGCGGGTGCGGTTGCTCAAAACTCAGCGCAAATCAACGAGTTGAAAGAAGCACTCGAAAACGAGCGCCTCAAGATTGTTGCTCTGGAAGCGGCCGCCGCCGCCGCCGGGAGCATGGCGAGTGCGGTTCCCGCCGCGACTTCCGAGGAGTTGGAAACTGCAAAGGCCAACTGGAAAAAGTACGAAGCCAAAGCAAATTTACTCGAAAATACGATCGCCCAATCCGTTCAGTCTGCCATGCACTCTAAGGAAGAGATGTTTATTCGTGAGAAAGCTGATGCGATTACCAAGTTGACGGTTGAATACGAGATGAAGATTAAGCGCGCGGTGGATGAAGAGCGCGAACGCCTTCACTCAAAGAACGCGATTGATCCATCTGTGAACTCACAAGCAGAGCTGAATTTGCGCGAAGAGTTGTTGCGAGTCCAAGAGGAAAAGAACGCCGCATTGAGAAAGGAGAAGGAAGTCGCAAGACAGCTCGAGGAATCCAAGGCGACGGTGGAGTCCTTGAAGTCGAGAACATCTCAGTCAGATCAAAAGAGCCAAACGTTGTTGGATCTCACGAACCAAGCCGAAAGAGCGAAAGCGGAAGCAAACGCGACGTTGAAACGCGCGCAGAAGATTGAAGAAGAAGCCATGAGAAACGCAGACAGGTTGCAAGAGATGGAGCAACAGTTACTCGAGGCTGAAGAAATTCGACGCGCGATGCACAACCAGATTCAAGAATTACGTGGAAACGTCCGGGTATTCGCGCGCATGCGTCCCCCGTTCGTTGGTGAAGAAGATTACTGCTCGGTCGATGCTTTGGACAAAGATTCAATCGCCGTTACGGTTCCAGAACTTGAACCGAGAGTATTTAATTTCGATCGCGTGTTTGACGCCGCCGCCTCGCAAACGGAAGTTTTCGAGGAAGTCGAGTCTATGATTACGTCGGCGATGGATGGTTACAAAGTGTGCTTGTTCTCTTACGGCCAAACCGGAAGTGGGAAAACGCACACTATGTTAGGTTCCGGAGACGGCGAAGATCGTGGTATAATTCCTCGAGCGGTGAGTGCCATTCTCGAGCGCAAGGAAAAGTTGCTCGAGAAAGGATACGAGTACGAAATCGAAGCATCATACGTAGAAATCTACAACGACCAAATTCGAGATTTATTAGCTGGGCCGAACGCAAAGCACTCCGAGCGACATAACATCGTCACTGCTCCGGAAGGTGGATGTCCAACCGTCGCGGGCGTCGTGAGAGAATACATCGATTCCGTTTCAGCCGCGGCAGCTCTCGTCCGAAAGGCAACTGCTGCGCGCGCCGTTGAAGCGACAGAGATGAACACGCACTCTTCGCGATCGCACACGTTGTTCTTAGTATACATTACTGGCGTTCACATTGCTACAGGAACGCAACTTTCTGGATGTTTGAATCTCGTCGACTTGGCCGGGTCAGAGCGCACGAAGCGTTCGGGCGCCCAAGGCACGCGAATGTCAGAAGCGTGCGCGATAAATAAGTCACTCTCTTGTTTAGGGGACGTCTTTGCGTCCATCGCGAGAGGTGATAAGCACGTGCCGTATAGAAATTCGAAGTTGACGTATCTTTTAGCACCATGTTTGGGAGGCGACGGTAAGACGCTCATGTTTGTAAACGTAGCTCCGGAGGAGGAATCCGCGGAAGAAACCGTGGCGTCTCTGCGATTCGCATCCACGGTAAATGCTGTAGAATTAGGCCACGGTAAACGGGCAAAACGAAACGTCACTTCCATGTGGCCATCGTTTGGTAACTCGCAATTGAGCAAGGAACCGCCCTCTACCAGTCAGCAACGAAGACTGAGCAGCAGAAATCTACCGCCGCCGTCGACTGCGGCGCGAAGACAAAGTAGTGGTAGATTAGGATCGTACGGTGGACAACAAACGGGACAAAAGAGAGGTCGCTCTGCCGCAGAAGAGAATACGACTTCGTATGTAGGAGGGCCTTCGAAGACACCTCGACGAACTCGAGGCGGTCGGCGTTGGGAATAATAAAATAAACGAAAGAAGGACGAGAGAGAGAGGAGGAAGCGCTCTTTCGTCTCGAATATAAAATCATAATAGTGTGTTACAGAACTACTAGCAACAACAACAACTGCGTATCTTATATATCATTTTTAATATCATTTACACGAGACCTTGTACAAATAACTTTATAAATATACATTTTTATTAAAAGCGTCGCGCAGGCGCGTGCGATACTATGACAAGGAAAGAGTGCTAATAAGGAAGTCAGTCAGTTTTGTTTTGGAAAAAAACACCTAATAAAACGAACAACAAGCATCTTCACTTTTAGTTCCTTCTCTCTCATCATCATGTCGTCCTCTTCTGCGCTTTGTTCTTGTTTGAGCAGCGGAAGCAGCGTCACGTCCACGCATCGTCGTCGCAGAGCGTCGTCGTCTTCGTCGTTGACGTCTTCTTCTTCTTCGTCCTCTTTCTCTTCTTCCCGTCGTGGATTCTCGCCGCCCTCGGTTTATCTCAACAAGAACAAGAACAAGAACAACATTAACAACAAAAACAACAACACTAGCAGCAGCAGCAGCGGTAGAAGAAGATCATCATCATCGTCGTCGAAATTAAAAGTATGCGCGGCGATGAGTTCGATCGATGACCCGAACTTTGCGGACTTGTCCGACCGATTGAAACTCGATAACGTTCGTCAGTCGCTCATTCGTCAAGAAGACTCAATAATCTTCGCGTTAATCGAACGCTCGCAGTATAAAGTGAACGATAAGATTTATAAGACGAACTCTATCGATGTGCCGTGTTACGACGCGAAAACTGGCGTGAGAAGCTCGATGATTGAGTTTATGTTGAGAGAACGAGAACAGATGGATGGGAAAATTCGAAGGTACACTTCGCCGGACGAACACGCGTTTTACCCGGAAAGTTTACCACCGTTGGTTATACCACCGATGAACTTTGGGGAGGTTTTGCACGAATGCGCGTTGAAAATTAATATCAACGATAGAATTAAAGAGATGTACGTGGAGAATATTGTTCCGGGAATGTGCGAGAGCGGCGATGATAACAACTACGGGTCCGCCGGCTTGTGCGACGTGAACTGTTTGCAATTAATATCGAGACGGATTCATTACGGAAAATTTGTCGCGGAGGCAAAGTTTAGAGCGCAACCGGATGAATATTCTGATTTGATTCGCAAACAAGACGGGAACGGATTGATGCAGTTGTTGACGAATCAAGCGGTGGAAGACAGAGTGGTTGCGAGAGTCACGAACAAGGCGGCGTTTTACGGGCAAGACATCAACGAGGAAGTTCCAGATGCGAGCAAAGTTTTGACGAATCCAGAAAACCAAAAGTATAAAGTCGCGCCGGAAATCATCGCGGATTTGTACTTTAAGTGGATCATGCCGATGACAAAAGACGTGCAAGTTGAATATTTATTGCAAAGGTTGGATTAAATTGATCGATTAAATTACTATGCGAATTGTTTTTAACTAACTACACTATTATATTTCGAACGTACCGGTACCCCGGAGGTATAATTGCTATATTATTATATTTAAAATGTGTATCTACATAAACTAAACGCGCGGGCACCTAACGCATGCGTGAACAAAAGCTGTCATTATCGCGCACTCTTAACCGACAAAGTGTATGCCGTGTTCGTTGAACACTGCCAACAGTTGTAAGAAATCATCCTGCGTCATTTTACTCGAGCGCATCTCCACGTATCCGTTCGTGTTTAATACCTTTTCGATTAACTCTTTCACGTGATCCTTGACTTCCTGTCGTTTCTCCTTGTTATTCGCCTCTTCCTCGGCTAATTCCATGGCGTCATCATCTAATAAATTCACCTTTACTGCTTTAAACGTCAAATAGTTCTTCGTTAACAACTCCAACACCGTTTTCGTTCGAAAAATCCCCCCTAACGTCTTATTTTTCCTCCCAAAGCACAAGCGAATTAAACCATCCCACTCTCGAAAGTTCACCTGCACTGGAGGTTTCCTCGGCTCGATTCTCACCACGGACGAATCGACTTTCGGCGGCGGTCGGAAATTGTTCTTCCCTACTTTTAAAATGTGTTGCGTCTTCGCCAACAGCTGCGTGTTCACCGCCAAGCGACAATACTGCGCGTCGCCAGCCTTCGCGACCATTCGCATGGCAAACTCTCTCTGAAACATCAGCGTCGCGCTTCGAAACTGTGGTCGATGCGAGAGCAACTTAAACGTCAGCGGCGAAGAAATCTGATACGGCACGTTTGCCACGCACACGTCGAAATACGGTAACTCAACCTTCATGAAATCCCCTTGTATGATTTCCAATTTTGACTGGTACGGCGACCCTTGCACTCTCCGTTGCAACTCCAAGACCATTCTCGCGTCGTACTCGATCGCGACGACTTTCTTACACGTCTCTAGTAATTTCATGGTCAAGTTCCCGGTCCCTGGTCCAATCTCTAACGCGACGTCGGTGCTTTTCGCTCCTGATTTCTGAATTATCGAATCCACAATCGCCGGGTTTTTTAGAATGTGTTGGCCGTAGGACTTCAAGAACTGAATGCCTTGATACGCCGCTCTCGTTGACATGTCTTTCGCTGCCTTGGAGCCACCATTTTTCTTGGCCACGCCTCCAGCCACGCGTAATCCGTTGTTCATTTTTCTTGCTTTTATTACTTCAGAGAGAACAGAGAGAGAGAACAGAGAGAGAGAGAGAGAGTGAGAGTGTGATTTATGTTGTCGACTTTTTTCCTCTGAGAATGATCCGTGAATGCGTTTACGAGTAAAAGGCCGCCAAAAAATTCCCACCTTCAAAAAAGCATAGAATTCACACAAAAACGACACAAAAACACACATCAACACATTATTTGAAGAAACGTGTACACGCAAAAAGCCAGAAGAGCACGACGGTTTTATTATATAAGAGAGGATTTTGACGATATCAAAATACTCATTATTACGATGATGATGCTGTTGGAGAGGAAGGCGACGACGACAACGCGTGATGATGATGATGATATCAAAAACGCAGCAGCAGCAGAAGAAGTTTCCCGGGAAAATTTTCAAAATCACGAAGGAGAAGACGAAAAGAACACCACCACGCAGGAGAAGAAGTTAAAGAAGAAGAAGAAGAAGAAGCGCGATGTTGATGGGACGACGACGATGCGAGATGCAGAACAGGGAGACGATGATCAATTCGTTCGCGGGGCGGAGGAGGAAAGAGTCGCCGCGAAGAGAAAGAGAAAGGAAGAAGGAGAAGTGGTGATGAAAGGGTTGAGGGAAGGCTTCGGTGTGAATACCACAGTCGCAACCGCCGAGACGACGACGACTCAGACGACGACGACGACGCGGGAACAAAGAGTAGAAGAAGAAAAAGAAGAAGAAGAAGAAGAAGAAGACGAACGGCAACCGAGAGATCCTATGACGATTGATTGCGTAGATATTGAACATACTAGAGCAGAAGACGCACCACTCTCGTCGTCGTCGTCACCGCCGCCGTTATTATTGTTAGCATCATCGAAGAAAACGACTTCGGCAACGGTGAAACAACCGCGCGAGCGGTGGACGGACGCCGAGCACGCGCTGTTCACGGATGGTTTGAAAATGTACGGCCGAGCGTGGAAAAAGCTAGAAGAACGCGTGAGAACGAAAACAGTGGTGCAAATTCGATCGCACGCGCAAAAGTTTTTCGATAAGTTGCAAAGAGGTGAAGGGATGGAAGAGGAATCGAAAGAGGAGAAGAAGGCGTTGTTGAAAGCGTGGGCGAGAAAGGTTGTCGGTGGAGGTGCTGGTGAGACCTCAGATACTAATACTGCTGGAGATGTTCCTGCGTCTACTCCTACAACAAAGGCAACGAAGAAGAAAAGCGGTGCTCTTACCGCGGAAGAAGCACCGCCATTATCTCAAGTTGAAACTGCCGCGACGCGAATGGAGGCGCCAACGAAAAGAGACGAGTTAAATGAAAGCATTCAAAAGGATGTGAAAGATCCGATGACGACGCCGACACCGACAACGGAGAAATTTGCAGCGGAGGTTGTTGACTACAATATCGACGGGAATACTACGAGCAATAGCAATAAAAAGACGCGTCAATCGAAGTCGCTCTCGTTGTTGTGCGAAAGGTTTCTCAGCTTGTACAGCTCTGGGTACGAGAATTTGATTTCGTTAGACGAAGTGTGCTCGACATTAGGCGTCGAAAGACGTAGAATTTACGACATCGTAAACGTTTTAGAAGCTGTTGAAGTCGTAGTTAAAAAAGGCAAAAACCAATACGCGTGGTTTGGCGTTTCCAGGCTCCCTAGCGCCATTGAGAAGATTGAAAAGTTTGGCGCTGAATCTTTCGACATCAAGTTACCGGAGAAGCTCTCGTTGCAAGTGTTTGAAAACTCACTTCCGTTTCAATCGGGCGGTAAAGATGCAATTAATGGTGTCAAGTCCGTAGCAAACGGTGAAGAAGATCCTACTCTTCCTGCGAACAAAGCTAAAGCTACCGCCGCTGGAAAGAAGGAAACGTCCGAGAGAAGAGAGAAATCGCTCAGTTTGATGACGCAAAAGTTCATTACGCTGTTCATGGAAGCGGAAGATGGCGTCTTGGGACTGGAGGACGCCGCCGCCGCGATGTTGATGAGTGAAGGCAGCACTGGTCCAAAAGCGACGAAAGACTTCAACGATAACGAGTTGAAGAAGAAAATCCGAAGATTATATGACATAGCGAATATCTTATCGAGTTTGCGCTTACTATCAAAGATTCATCTCATGGACAGCAGAAAGCCAGCTTTCAGATGGATGCGCGCTGAGGATACGATAAGAAAACTGATCGCGACTGGAAAGGAACACGAGTGGTTCGGCACTACTCCAAAGTCTCCAGATGCGAGAGGTCAACTCGTGGTGAGTCCCGTGAAGGAAGGAGTGAGTGACGACGCTGCGATAGGTGCGCTCACCACGGATACCGTGCCGCGATTACTCCCATCGGCTATAACGGCTTTAGGAAGAAAGGACCGACACGTCTTCGCCGCCCTGCAAACCATGGAAAAACTCCTTCAAGCGCAAGCGGAAGATTTGTCCGCGAAGAGTGCGGCTCAATCCACGGTACCAGATGGACAAAAGAAGATACCGGAGATGTTTCTAACAACAGCAAATTTGTTCGGGGCTGGGGAGAGTTTTCAATCGAAAACTGGCGATGGTATTTTCAATCAATACATCAACAACTTTACGCAGAATATGCGAAAGTAAATAGCTGTGCAATCAACTGTTGTAAAAAAGGTGAAGGTTTTTTTGATTAAAATCGCGAAACACGCACACACACACCCTCTCTCTCTCTCTCTCATACGTTCGATAAGAGCACCCTTAAATGTTCACTCCTCTTTAATACCATTACTTCGATTGTTGTCCTTTGCCGGTCCTGTGCTGCACAATTAAGCGGCGACTATCGACAAAGATGTTGCTCGATTGCGCGACAGCTGCTTCGCACTCACTGCGAGATGCATATTCAATGAAGCAAAACTTCTTTCTCTCTTCTCCAAAATCGTCTTTCGGGAATCCAAAATCGATCGATATTATGTCGCCAAATTTGGAGAACTCTCTTCTCATGGCCGAAGCAGGAGTGTGAAAATGAATATTTTTCACAAACACGACGTGAGAAGACGACGTTTGCTTAATAACCGCGGTCGGCGTTGGTTTCTTTTTCTGCTTCAACTCAGCGAGAAGCTGTTGCTTTGCCTCGGCCAAGTTTACATCACCGAGTGGTTTCGTTTTCTCGTACCCCGGTGGCGGCGTCTTCTTCGAATCGATACTTCCCGGGGACTTTCCACTTCCTACCTCCGAATCTATCTCGTCGTGTCTCCTGTGTTCCTTTTTCTCCGTATAAAGCGCATCGATTTGCTTCTCGATGAATTTCATCTCGTGCTTCGTCGTCGTATCTCCAAACGATGTTCGCCTACCGCCTTCTACTCTTCCTCTTCCTCCAGTTGGGCGCGGAGCAGGTATCGGTGTTGTTGGCGCCATCTGTTGCCGTTCTTCTTGTTTCCTAGGCGTCGACGTAACTGGTTTTGGCGTCGACGGAGGAAACACCTTCACCGCGCCGTCGTATAAGTCTGCGCCCGTATCTCTCGTCCCAACGCCTTTATCGATTTGATGCTCGCGGCTGAGCTGTAATAACTCGTTCGTACACACAAACTCGTATGACTGTTGTTGTTCTGGTTGTTGTTGTTGTTGCTGTTGGTGGTATTGTCCGTGCTCGACTCGACCTCCTCCCCTCGCCGTCGTCAAAAGAAACGTCTGGGAAAAATTCCTTCTGCTCTTTTCCTCTCCAAGATTATTACTGCTACTGAACGCTCCTTTAACCAACACGAGCAGCGTCTTGTCTTGCACAAAAGTCACCTCCGAGGCATCTAAACTCGAAATCGTCGTGTTCAAATCCATGTAATACTTCTCGTGGGAAGTGAAATGTGATTGCAGAGACGCGCGTGAGTCTTGAACTTCGTTCTTCGGGGGCAGCGTTAGGTTTGTTTTCGAAGTTGTTGTTGCGTCTTTACCTCCGTTTTTGGTTTTGTTGTTGTTGTTGCCATTCGAAACGTACGAAGTGGCCCTGTGCGCAAAAGGCGAATAAAAGATCGACGGAACTTTCTTAGGCGCATTGTGTAGTGTTGTGTAATACTTCTGGATGAAGTGTCGGGCGATTGAGTCCGCGGAAGAGGAGGAGGAGGAGGATTTCGAAGACATATTTGTGTGTGTGATGAAAGCGCGTATTTTTTGATTAAAAAATGTATCTTTGAAATTTAGGGGTCTCTCCTTTGTCTTGAGTTTTTAAAAGTATGCTATATAATAGTACATGGATTCAACTCCGACGCGGCTTCTTGCACGCGCGGACGTGACTGGCGTGTCCAACGGCTGAAGCACAAACGCGTCCGCACTTTTCGCACGTTCGAGGCACGTTCACGAATGTTCGTTTTTTGTTGTTATCCGAACGAATGTTCGGGTCGTACGGCGGCATCGACGTGTGTTGTCGTTGTTGTTGTTGTTGTAGTTGCGACGGTGGTGGTGGTGGCGGCGGCATGGATGGTTCTTGCGACATTCCTCGCGCGCCTCTTCCCTCTCGCGCTCTTCGCATCTTCTCCATGTTTCCGGCATAGACGTAATCGCTTTCAATTTTCTGTCCGGCACCTTGGCGTCTTGCGCGACCGGTAGTGACCGTGGGCACTTCTTCGTCCGATACGTACGGTTCGAATCCAGACATGCCAAACTCGTTCACTCGTGGATGCGGTGACTGCTTTCGCTCGGCTCGCGTTGCCCTCGATGTCGTTTTTGTAGTCGTTTTTGCGCTTGCAGTGTTAATGATATTATTATTGTTGTTCGCAGCGTTCATTTTCTCGAGATATTCAGCGCTACGATGCGGCTGTTTGGATCGATACTTTTTCGATGCGGCGAGCATTGCGCGAACTTTCGCCGGATGTTCTTCCGCGTGTTTTTTTACGTGCGCGACAAAACCAGGGTGAGACTTACACACCTTGCCACACACGGTACACCTCGCGATTTCGTGTTGCTCAAACAACGTCGCGGCTAAAGGTCGCGTAGGTTGTGACGGAGCTAACATTTCCGTCGTATCGTTATTCATACGGCTGGAACCTCTCGCAGGCGATGATCCAGTGTTGTTATTCTTCGCGCGAGGTGACGATGTACCACCGCCACCGCCACCAGTGTTCTTATGGTGCGAATTTTTTTGTTGCGCGTTTTGTTGGCGGTGATGTTGTCTTTGCTGTTGTTGTTGGTGCTCCTGACGCTGCCTTTGCATTTGCTGCTGGCGTTGCATTTGCTGTTGCTGCTGAAACATATGTTGTTGCATTTGGTGCTGTTGCTGTTGCATTTGGTGTTGAAGCATTGAATAACGTTGTTGCTGAGTGGCGTTCGGTGGCAGTTGCAATGGCGGCAAATTCATCATGTTGCCACTGCCGTACAGATCGTTCATGGTATTATTATGCGTATCTTTCTTTGCGCCTTTCTTCTTGCTCTTTTTCCCGTTGCTGTTGTTGTTGTTCGCAACGTTGTTGTATCGCATTTGAAGTTGTTGCTGCTGCATTTGCAAGTGTTGCATTTGTTGCTGATACTGTTGAAGCTGGAAGTTATAACTGTTTGCGTTTGCGTTGTTGTTTTTATTATTTTTATTATTATTCGCGTTCCAATTATCGTTCACTCGCATACCTCCGAAACCTATGTACGAGTTGTCATACATACCAGCTTCGTTGAAATATCCACCTTGTTGGCCGGTACCGTTCCCACGTCTGTTGCTGTTGTTATTGTTGTTGTTATTATTATTACCATATTGTTGCATCCCGCGTTTCGGTTTCCATTGTTGCTGTTGTCGTCCCAAGCTACTCGTGTTCGTCCTTCGCATCTGTTGTTGTTGTTGTTGCTGGAGTCGAAGCTGTTGTTGTCTTCGTTGGTATTGTTGTTGCTGGCTATTGTTATACTGTTGTCCTCCTTTTTTATCATTATTATTATTATTATTATTATTATTCATCGCGTGCTTGTTCACCCCACCGTTGTTATTAATAGCGATACCTAAGGTTGACTTATCCCCCAACCATTCAAAGCTCTTCTCCCCACTTTCCTTCCCGTTTCCTTTCCCATGACTCCCCAACCGCGTGTTCGCTTTGTAATCCTCGTTTCGGATAAATATTTCCCCGTCCGCTACAAGTGCAGACGCGTTCGCCGTGTTCTGTCCGTTCACGTTCAACGTCGGTAACGACGTGCACTCGATTCTCACCCACGCGTTTGTTCCATCTTCAAACGTCACGTGAAACGGGTGCGACTCGCTCGGGTCGTGGAAGACGATGCAAGCTATCGTCGGCCTCTTGTACGAGTTGCCGGCGGTTCCCGTGCCTCGTTCTATTTTCATTCTTCGCCCGAGCCATAAATGATGATCATGATACTGATGTTTGTTGTTGTTGTTGTTGTTGTTATCATTCTCGTTATTGCGCTCCTTCATCAAAGAAGGTTTCAAAAGTACTCCTCCCTCGTCGTTCTCATTTTCTCTCTTCGTCGTCCCGTCGTCGTTTACGTCGTCGCCTTCTTTATTCGTCTTCTCTTTTGCGCTCCCATCGACTCCCCTCATTTCTTCTTCTCCCTCTCCCTCTTCTTCTTCTTCTTCCTCTTCTTCTCCGCCGTCCTCGATGATGTCTTCACTGTTCTTCTTTGTCTTCTTCTTCTTTGTCTTCTTCGTATTTACTTCCACGCCCAACAAAGCAGCAGCAAAACCACCACCACCATCACCATCACCGACATCTTCTTCTTCTTCTTCTTCTTCTTTTTCACTCGTCGTCGTCGTTTCCGTCGTCGTCTTCATCGCATCAAATATATATAAATCCCCTTTTTCTGTTCACGTCCTCCTCTTTCGTTTTGTGTGTTGTTCTCATTCATAAAAAAGTGAAGAAGAGAAAAGTCAAAAACACAATTTTACACACGATTTTTTTTGCCCCCTCTTCTCTCATCAACATCAACGATGATGATGATGATGAAATATGACTTTGCGCGACGACCGAGACGACGAAATACTATTTGAAGAAGAAGAAAAGTACTAACACGCATGGGAAGATGATGTTCACGCCTCCGCCAAAAAACAACACCTCTTCGCGTTCTTCTTTAGGAGGAGGCGGCGTCGACGATTCAGACGATTTAGACGATGAAAAGAAGACGAAGAAGAGCAGCAACATTAACATTAACAACAAACGTTCTTCTTCTGCTTTCTCGACGACGCCTCCGCCGTTGTCGTCGGTGTCCTCCTCCTCGATGATGACGATGAAGAAGAAAATACTCGTGTTAACGAAAGAGCGAGACGAGGCGAGGGAATTCGGAGAGACTGCCGTTGCGCTCTTCAAGAAGGAAAAACTTCAGATGAAGAACGAAGCGAAGGAAACGCAGGTTCAATTGCTGAACGAGAAAAGACTCTGGGAACAAGAGAGGAAAAGGTTGAACAAAGAAATGAAGAGGTTGGAGAACGAAGTGGAGAGGTTGAAGAGAGAGAAGGAAGAGGAGGAGAGGAAACGGACGTCGATGGAGAACGAAAATCATCGGGCGACGACGAGCGCCCCCGCGGAAGACGACAAAGCCGAGAACAACAACAATAACGCCAACGAAATATCTTTGACTGAATTTTTAGACATGGAAGTCGCATTACATAAAGAGCGCGAAAGGAGCGCGCAATTAGAGAGAGATTTAGAAGCGAGAGCGAAAGAACACGCGATGAAGAACGAACAGACAAAACTTGAAATATCCAAGATGACCGCGGAGAGGGAGACGTTGAAGGCAAACGTGAAGAACTTGTATAAAAAATTGAACGATTGGGATCAAATGCAAGCGGAGAATTTGAAAGCGCACGAAGCGTTGCTCAGAAAAGAGGTCGAGGTACACAAGCAACACTACCAGAACGAGCTCGAGAGAGCGCAAAAGGAGCACGAATTCCATTTGCAATACGAAAAGAATCAAAAGGAACAGCAGTACGAAAGATACGAAAGAGAGAAGAACGAGATCGCCGAGAGAGAATACTCGAAATATAGAAGGGAGGTGGAACGGGCGGTATCCGAAGCACGAGCAAAAGCCGAAGAAGAGTTCAACGAAAAGATAGAACGGTTCGAACGAGAAACGAGATCGAAAGAACGCGAAGTTCGAAAAGAAATTCGATTGTTGGAAATCGAGTGCGAGAAAATGGTGGAAGCGCGAGTGAAAGAGGCGGTGAAAACGATCGCGCGCTCCGTTGAGGAAACTTTCGATATGACAGCAAACACTGGATTAGGTTTTACGAAAGCTTTGGACGAGCAGAAAAAGAAAATAGATGCTTTGGGTATGAAGTGCGCGACGATGGTTGAAAAAGCCAAAATAAAGCTGGAGAAAATCGCGGTGAAAAGAGAAGAGGCGTTGAGAGAACTCGCGAATGCGATTGAAATGACGAGCGACAAAAGACGAGAGTTTGAAAAATACGAAGAGAGAATGCATCAACGCGAGTTCCATGCTCATCACCATCATCGCACACGGGCATATCAAACTTCTGAACAAGAAGTAGAAGAAGAGTACGACGATCCGTTTTCGCCGGAATCGAAAAGTTACGTCTCCAGAGGAGATGATGAAGATTTCGATTACAACTGCTTAGATCCATTCGGAGACGCCTCCAACCGAAACGTAACATCGAATCAACATCATCATCATCACCGTCACGATGAAAACGACGAAGTGCACACGTTGATGCGGCAGGTAAAGCTCCTACGAAGAGAACTCGAAGGTTTGGCAAAAACTAGGAAAGACGAAAGCAGCGCTTTGAAGCAAAAAATATTGAGAACGGCGGAGAGAAAGAGAGAGAAGAAGAAGGAAAAGAAAGAGATCCTGACCTCCGTGCGCTCGCGTTTAGATTCGCTCATGCTGATGAATTAGATATTTAGTTATGTAGTACAAGACATTCGGACATGTATATTAAAAAATTTGCTCAAATTTTAGCTGCGTGATGTTGTTGCTGGAGCACCCCCTCTCTTTTTGTATATAAAACGCGAGCGAGCGAGCGAGAGTTTAATGTCTCTCTCTCTCCCCCCCTCTTTCTATGACGATATAATAACGCGTTGCACGTATTATTAAATGTCAGAAATCTTCGTCAACAAATCGTCCACGGTTTGTTCCAACTCCTTTCTCGATTCCTTGAACAAAACGTATCTGTACACGAACCAGGCGGAGTATCCCAAACCGACCAACTCCATGACTTTCGGCAACAACGGGATGGCGTTGATTGCTCCGACGACGGTGGAGGACAACCACAACGCGGCCGTCGCACCGGCGACGTACGTGATCACTTGGCCTTTGTTTTCGGTGTCGTCCCACTTTTCCGAGATAGTTTTCACGAGTTCTTTCGTGTCAAACTTCTCCGCGCGAACGATTAAAGAGCGAGAGGCGGATCGTTGTTGATTCTGTTAAGAAGAAGAAGAAGGTGAGCATGATGAAAAAAAAATACCATCACGCGTTAAAGCGGTGATACCCGAAGAGAGATCTGCGCAATATTGCGCGTTCCAGGAAAGGTAAAATAAAGGAGTGCACACCCTCGCGTCCGGCGCGCGCGGACCGGATTTAGGAAAAATATCTCCTCTCTTTCAAATTCAAAAAGAGACGAGAAAGATCACGATACAATTTCACACCCACCTTCTTCATCATCGGCGCGGCGGCAATCTTCGCCGCGTGCCCTCGTTGGAAAGAGGAGGAGACAGATGAGGATCTTCTCGCAGAACCCAAACGCATCATCTTTTGGGAGATCGGTTGGAAAGTAGCGGTAGTAGTTATCGCAGACATTTTCTTTTCAGTTGTTGTTGTTTATATTCTGACGACGTTTCGTTCGGGATTTTTGCAGTCGTCTGCCAAATCTGCCTCTCGATTTCATTCATTCATTTTTGTTGCCCAAACAAACAAACAACACAAAGTTTTGTTGGACTGACTCTCTTTTTTAACTTCCCTCATCACACTTTTGTTCGCCGAAAAGTTTTGAAAGAGATGATGGAAGAAGAGTCTCTCGGTCCTCCTTCTCCTCCTCCTCCTCCTCCTCCTGCTTCTTCTTCAGAGAAAGAAGAGGCGCGTGATGGAACGACGACGACGGTGAGAGTGGTGAGCGTTTGTGTGCGAGAAGAAGAAGAAGAAGAAGAAGAAGAAGTGGAAAACGGAGATGATGTTGATGATGCCGGTGAAGAAGATGTGAACAACGAGAACAAAAACAACGAAGATGACAAAAGTGAAAAAAAATGGCTCGAGAAAGCGAAAGACGGATGGCGCACGATGCGAGAGAAGAAGCGAGAGAAGCGAGAGGAGATTGAGAAAATGATCGCAGATGTAAGTGGCAGCGGCGCAAAGGAAGAAGAGGAGGAGGAGGAGGAGGAGGAGGAAGATGAAGATGAAGACGAAAAAGAAAACGATTCCATGATGGTGTCGATGATGAATGCTGAGAATAATAGTAATAGCAATAAAAAGAGTAGCAATAAAAAGAGAGTCAAACTGCGAACACAAACGGCGGCGTACAAAGTGACGAGGAAAATCAGATCAGCGACGGAGCGAATACGAATGATTGGATCACTTTGCGAGAAATGGGAGAGAAGATTGTTGTCAGTAGTCGTCGGCGCTGGCGATGAAGAGAGCGAGAACGACGACGCCGGAAACAAAACAGTTGAGCTGGAGGAGTTGGAAGACTTGTGCGTATCTTTGGTGTCGATATTGAACGAAAGCGTGGGAAAGCTGCGAGCATACGTGAAAGAGAGCAGAGAGAAAGTGTTACCAAACGGAAGCGTGGGAAAGAAAGAAGATGAATTAGAAAAAGTAGAGCAAAAGGAGGCCAAAGAGCAGTTACGCGAGAAGGCAGGTTTCAAAATCATAGCGCGCTGCCTGGAGCGTTCGGAAACTTTGGAGAAGCGCGTGATACAGTCCATGGCAAAATTAAATGCGAAAAATAAAGAGCTCGTGCGCGTGAGAGGCGACGACTCGCGAATTCCATCGAGTGAAATCAAATCGAAGGCTGCGTTGGTCGTGGATGCGTTTACGCTTTACCTCAAAAGCGAAGAGCAACATTTGAAGAACGAGAACGAACGCGCGGCGAGGCTAAAAAGAGAACAGACGGTGGCAACGAAAAAAAAAGAGAACAAAACGAAAGAAGATCCAACGCCAGTGAACTTATCCAGCCTCGATGCTTCGACTGAAGTGTTCAAGTGCTTGAAGTGCGATTTAGCGTTCCAATCGTTCGCCTCACGCAACACGCACATGGAAGTCAAGCACTTCGACGGGGCGAAAATGTTCTTCTGCAATAAGTGCGATGGCACGTATACGAGTAGAACTTCTCTCCACAGGCACGTAAACAAACACCACTCGCAAAAGTGGGCGTGTAGATCGTGCAACCCGATTCGTTGCTTCAAATCTAGGTACGATTTGAGGAAACACGAAGAAAGTAAGCACTACGAAGAAATGAAGAAAAGAAGACGCGAGTTGGGAGAAGAAGAAGAAGAAGAAGAGGGAGACGACGATACGACTCCAAAGAAAAGTTCAAAAGATATGAAAACAGCAAAGAAGAGCAAAAAAGAGACGCTCGACGAAACGTTCTATACGTTTGTAAACGGGTTCTTCTTAGAAAGTAGCGACGAGGACGAGGACGAATAGAAAATAGAAGCAGATGAGAGAGAGAGGGACACGCGCGCTCGCATTGTATTTTAAAGTTAGGAGAGCATTGTAAAATGCTGGGTACTTTTAACAAAGTTATTTTTTTCAGAGTTTAAAGTGCTTGTTGTACGGCTCCACGAATTGAAAGTCGCATATGATCGATCTGCCCGCAAACCATCGATTGTTCAAGCCAAACTGAGCTTTCTTTGCCGCTTCGACGTCGTCGAATTTCAAATAGCAAAAACCGTACGGGTTCTCTTTATCAACGTGCGCGTGCACGCACTCCCCGTATTTCGAGACTTCACCTTTCACGTCTTCTTCGATGTCTAACCACCACTCCTCGTCTGTCTCTTCCGCGGGGTCGAACAAGTTCTTTAACAACACGCACTTCGTGGGGATCGGAGATGATGGACCGAAAAAGCCTTGCGTCATCATGATCAACTCTCTCTTCTCTTCCTCTTTGGTTTTGATTTTTACCGCATTGTGCGTCAAGGTCGCCGTCGGGATAGCACCAATAGTTGTCGCGTCGCCGCCTGCTAATTTCTGCATAAGTTCGGCTCTTTTTGCTGCATCCATCTTCGCATACGTCGCGGTATCGTCCATTTGCCCACCCACGCGATCGTCATCGTCCTCCTCGCCGCCGCCGCCGCCGCCGCCGACGTCGCCACCGCCGCTTCTATCGTTGTTTCTATTTTTGTTATCATTCTTCGCACCACCTTGTCCTGCCGCGACGGATATTTTCAAAGCCTGTCCAACGAGCTCTAACCCATTTAATTGCGAGACGGCGAGCATGGCGTGCGACCACTCGCGATATTGCACGATTCCGTGTCCATTCGATTGCCCGTTTCCATCTCTGGAAATTTCAATCGCGTCCAACGCGCCAAACGGTTCAAACACCGCTTTTACGTCTTCTTCGGCTAAACCTTCGTGTAAACCGGCAACAAAAAGCGCACACGGTCCACTCTGTTGCGTTCCATCGCCATTTCCTCGTTTCCCTTTCCCTGTGACGCCTTTTGCCGCCTGCTCGGCTTCCCAAGCGATGTTTTTCTCAGCCTCGGAATGTTTCACCATTACTTTTTGTCCTCTCAACGTCTCCCCGGTCAGCTCCAACGCTTTCGGAATGGACGATTTATCTTGAAACTCGACGTACGCCATTCCTTTCGATATCGGCCTGTTTCTATCGTAAATAATTCGCACATCCGTGACCTCCCCGGCTTTCATGAAAAATTTGAAAATATCGCGTTCGTCGCTCTTCGTGCTCAAATTATACGCGAAACACGTCCGCGTATCTCTATCAATCTTCTCCAACGCGCGTTTCTCTTCCATAGCTCTTCTTTCTTCTTTCTTTCTCCTCCTGTTCGCTTCTCTTTCCGCGGACGTTTCTCGCGGTTTATTATTACTTCGATCTCTCGAGTCGTCGCGTTCGCGGTCCCGACCTCTTCCGCTCCCGCCGCCTCGTCTGCCGTTATCGCGATAATCTCTCGAGCGCGACCGGTGTCTCTGCCTTTTCTCCCCTCGGCTCCCTCCTCCACCACCACCACTACCGCGTTCGCGTTCTCGAGACCGATCTCGAGACGAACCTCTTCTGTCTAGTCGTTTCCCATCCTCCTCGCTTTCCCTTCCTCCTCGTCTCCCTCTCTTCTCGTCAGAAGCTGAAGTTGCTCTCTTTTTTCCTCCTCTCCCACGACCATCATCATCATCCTCATCGTCCCCGCTAAACTCTCGCTCGTTTATCGAAGACGTCGTTTTCTTCTCGTCTTCTCTGTCATCGGCGCGTCCTTTCCTCCTCCTTTCTTCTTTTTTCTTCAAGCCTTTTCCGCCGCCTTCGTCGTCGTCGGAAATCGTTTTCGACGATGATTTCAGATGATGATCAGTACCACGGGAAGAACGAGTGGTCGTCGTCGCAGTAATACTCGTACGCGTCGTCGTCGTCGTCGGATGATTCGAAGAAGAAGGATCGTCCAATCGACGCTCTAACGCGTCCCAGGCTTCCTCGTCCGAGTTCTCCGAGTTCACGCCGCCGCCACCCATTATTATTATTATTATGTGATGGTTGTGTGTGTGTGTGTGTTAATTCGTTTTGTCTGCTTTTTTTGTTTGAAGCGAAATGAAGAAAAAAAATATTTCACGAGGAAAAAAAGTTGAGGAAAAAAAAGCACTTGAAAAAGAACATGAGCTTTTTTAACGAAAACACAGAAGAAAAGACACAGCAGACAAAAGATACACCAAGAAGAAGAAGGATGATGACGACGATGATAGAAAAATGATAGAAAAATGAACCCACCCACGCTTACTCCTACGACGAGTGGTGGTTTTGGTTTTGGTGGTAGAAATGAGGAGGAGGACAGAGTGCGAATGGTATTGGAACGGATGATGATGATGATGATGGTTTTTAAATCATCATCAAAATCACGTGGTGGTGGTTCTCATTCTTCTTCTTCGCAACTGTATTTTGTTGATGATGAGGGTGAGGATGAGGAAAATAAAGCGGGGAAGAAAAAGTGCGTTTGGAAACACTTGGACGAGGAAGAAGAGAGAGAAAGTACAGACGTCGTTTTTCGATGCGCGAAAGAAATCGCGGAAAAATCCTTTGCCGCGTTAGACGTGTACCGGTTACATTTTCTTTGTTTCACTCAAAATCATCGTCGTGTTTGTGATGAGACGGAAGGAGAAGAAGAAGAAGAAGAAGAAAAGCGCGAGCGAAGAAGAGCATCAAACAAAAGAACAAAAAGAAGAAAAAGAAGAAGAAGAGCAGAGTTGGTCCTCGCAAAACTCTTGTTTAATAACGGAGACTACTTGTGCGCTTTGGTCGTTTTAAGTTTGAGAGTAGACGAAGAAGACGACATCGTATCGTCGACGTCCGCGGTAGAGGTTGAGGAGGATGACGGTATCGAAGAAGAGACAAAAACGCTCGAGGGCAAGTGCGCGGAAGAGATTTCAAAGAAACGACTGGAGAAAAAGAAGCGCGAGAAATCCTTTGCTAATGCGCATAAACAAGAACACGAGCAAGAAAATTTTGAACAGGATTCAGTAGATGTAACAACAACAACAACACCATTGCCGACGCAGCAGAACGCAAACTTTTTTTACGACGATATTCCCGCCGTGCTCCTTCGAAATGGCGCGTACGAAACATCCAAAGCAATTGGATTAGCACGACTCGCGTCTACGTCCACTTCTACCGATCGAACGAACAACATCATTAACGATGAACAAATAGCCGCGGCAAACGCTTACAACGTCGCTTTAGCGTGTTTAGGTGCGAACAACGACCTCGAATCGGCGCTCGAATTGCTCTCTCGAAGCGACGTGCTTCGAACGTATCGTTTCGACCAAAACTATTGGTTGCGAGTTTCCTCCTGCATGCTTCAGTGGCACGATAAAACCAAAAGCAAGAAGACGAGCGATGAAAACAGACGACTTTTGAAACTCGTATCTTCGTGTATACGCTCGGCAAAGTTTGTAAAAGAGTTACGCCAAAGAGGCTGGAACATATTTTTGATCCTCCGTTCTCGCGGGAGGGATACTAATAAAGAAGAAGAAGAAAACGAAAATGATGATGATGAGAGCGTTTCTTCTTCTTCTGCGCTCCTCGACGAGATCTGCGATAGGTTTAAAGTCGCCGCGTTCGAGTGCAAATCTGGTAGTACTATTACGTAGTTTTTGGTTCGATCAAAATTCCTCATTATTTTATTTCAACACACCAAAAGCGAAAGGATAATTATTATTACTCGTAGTCTAGAATAGTAGTATTAAGATGGTGATGATGATGATGATGATGATGAATGCAGTATCATCATCATCACCATCACTTCATCCTCGTCCTCGTTTTCGTCGCAATCATCGCTTCCTGACCAGAGCGCAGTCCGAAGCGGACGCGAGCACGTCTGCTTCAACAAGCAGCAATTCCTCCAATTCAGAAAAAACGACGGCGACGGGGATGAATTTAGCAACAACAACTCCTGCGTTGTCCAACAAAGACCAGTTCGTGAACTTTTTCCGCACGGCTTTACCGTACATCACCATGCACAAATCATCCGTGTTCGTGATTCACATCCCCGGAAACGTGATGAGAGACAAAAAGTCGAACGTGTTTAAATCCGTCATGCAAGATATCATAATCTTGAGAGAATTAGGGGTGAAGTTAGTGTTAGTGTTAGGTTCGGACTCGCAAATATCGGATTTGACTGCACTGAAAGGAGAGAAGCCAAAGTTTTCGGTGAGCAAGTTTGGAGCGACGAGAAGAATTACGGACGAGTTTTCGTTGGAAGCGGCGATGGAGGCGTGCGGGAGAAACAACATCGCGGTCCAGGCGCAGTTAACGCGAGGACCGGATGTGAGATTGACGAGGAAACACGGCGACCATTATTCGGATACCGGTGGGTTTAGTGGGGATGGGAACAACAGTGGCGGCAGAAAAGAGAACATCAGAGATATCAAAAACAACGGACGAAACTTTCCAGTCGCGACGAGCGGGAATTACGTGTACGCTCGAAGACGCGGAGTCGTCGATGGCGTCGATTACGGGTTAACCGGGGAAGTCGTGAAAATTGACAAGACGTCAATTTTGGAGACTTTAGAGCAAGGCGACGTGGTGCTACTCTCGAGTTTAGGCTTTAACGCCGCGGGAGAGGTTTTTAATTGCGTGTCGAGAGATATCGCAGTCGCTGCGGCCATAGAACTCAACGCGGATAAATTAATCGTTTTACCTGAAGACGGATATTTACCTCGAGATGAAACGACAAACGGGAAAGTGAAGAGTTATTTCACGCTCTCGGATGCGAAGAAGTGGATGAAAAATTTTGCCAAAGGTACTGAATACGAAGATCTGGTGGAAAACCATCGCGCGTATGCGTGGTTGCGAAGTGGATACGCGAGTAACGGGTCATCTGATGTCCCCGGAAACGGCGGCGCGTCTACGAATACAAAGAACCCGTTTACATCGAGCGGGGAAAATATTCAAGTAAACTCGTGGATGCGCGCGCAAGAGATGGACTACGAGTGGCGCGTGCCGTCGTGCCCGATTGAAATGTGTGCGGCGACGTTTGCGTGCCACTGCGGCGTGAAGCGAGTTCACATGGTGGATCCGAACAAGAGCGGAAGTCTCTTGATGGAATTGTTCACGTCCGACGGCGAAGGAACCATGGTTGCTGGTGATCGATACGAAGGCACGAGAAAAGCTACAATTTACGACTGCATTGGCATTCACGACATGTTACAACCTTTGGCGGATGCTGGCATTGTCGTGTATCGCACGGAAGAAGAATTGAGACGTTCGGTGATGAACGAAAGAGTTTCCTTCTTTGTGACCGAACGCGACGGCAACATCATCGCGTGCGCGTCCTTAACGGAATACGAAAACGGGAAAAGTTACGAAATTGGTTCCTTTGCCGTCGCAAGAGAATACAGACGAGAAGGCAGAGGCGACGCTTTGTTATCGTATTTGGAAGAGCACGCCTCGGAGAAAGGGTGCGAACGCTTGTTTTTATTGACGACGAGAACAGCGGAGTGGTTCACCTCTCGAGGCTTTGAATTCGACGGCGCCGCCGAAGACGAAAGTTCAACCTTACCGAAAGGTAAAGAGGTTGTCAAAGGACGAGGCTCGCTTTTGTTTTCGAAATACATGACTATTGACAGTTTTTTAGAAGAGAGTTAGTTTGAGTGACCGTGGTAAAGTCTATGCAGTTTGATGAAGTATTGAATATTATTATTGTTAGTAGTATATCAAGAATTCTTTGCTATTTCAAGAAAACCTTTTCGCGTTCGGTATCATCACATCTGCGAACCGTTTATTCGCGTCTACTAACTTTGCATTTACCAAGTCATTCGAATACGCTCTCAACTCTGCGGTTTCTTTCGTCTTTCCAGTTCGAACGTGTCTATCGATGACCCTTTTCGTCGCCTCGTCCACCGGACAGTTGACGTACCACGCCTCGTCGAAACACGTCTCGTCTAAAAGTCTCGACCACGGCTGCTCGGGAAGAAATAAATAGTTCCCTTCCACTAAAATAATCTTATGTCTCTTGTATTCCACGAGAATGTCGTTTTCCACCGGATCGCCTTTCCCGTGATCGAAACTGGGGAAAGAACCGCTCCCGCTTTTCCGTAAGTTCACGATATCGTTCACGAACCTTTCGCTGTCAAAAGTAAACGGCGCGCCTCGCTTCGCCAACGCGTGTTGCGGGTTGTCCATCTTTTCCAGTTGGCTTCGGTAATAGTGATAGCCGTCCATCGGGACAATCGCTATGTCATACGCCGCGCTCTCGTTGTTATTACTATTATTATTAGTATTCTGTTCGTTTTCATTCTCCTCGTTCTCGTCCTCTTCTAACTCCTCGTTTACTCCTCCTCCTCTGTCGCCGCCGCCGCCGCTGCTCGCGGTATTCGCACTCTTCCTTCTTTCGAGTTTTCGAAACTGTCTGCACACTTGTTTCGCGAGCGTGCTTTTCCCACCACCCGGTGGCCCGGCTATTCCGACTATAATTTGCGCGTCTTTACCGCTCGGGTGTAACTCTTTCGCCAAACGTAAGCGTCTCGCGCACGCTCTCGCCACGTCCAGAAACGTCGTCGTGTCGCTTATCGCGTTCGTATTGGCGAAACTTTCCGCAGACGATGGGAGGAACGTGAATTTACTCTCCACTCCGATGATGGTATTACTTCTTCTTCTTCTGTTACTTCTTCTGTTACTTCTTCTTCTTAACGACGACGACGACGACGACGATGGTGACGATGGCGCGCACCGGTAGCAGCATCCAAAAGTCGTCATCCTCGTCGCTTTTAAAAACTGTGATGACTCTCTCGTCGTGCTTTTACTCGTTCCCTTTGTGCTTTGTGAGATAAAAAATGACGAATTTAATTGACGAAAAAACAGTTGAGTTGAAAAATAAAAATTCTTCTCTCTTCTGTTGCTTCTTCTTCTGTTCATTAAAAAATTTCAAGCATGCGCTGTGTTGTTGCATCAGCGGCGGCGATTGAAGGGCACTCCTCACAATCCGTCGTCGTCGTGGCTTCATCGTCGTCGTCATCTTCACGACCACCAAAATTAAAACCCTGTCTTTTGAAATTGTGTCGTCGGGGTTATTCTTCTTCGAGAAGAAGAAAATGCAAAGCGCTTCGAAACGCTCCTCCTCGGATAGAAGGTGAAGATGATGATGAAGAAGAAGCTAAAGAAGAAGTTGATGACGACTTGGACGCGACGAGAAGCACCAACAAAACCACCAAAACCATCAAAAGAAGGAGAAGAGACATCGTGCTGGCTTTACAATCATCTTCGATGTTGTTCACAAAGAAAAGCTTTGCTCGTAATGGAGAAGAAGAAGATATGTATTCAATATCGAGCAACAACAGTATTACTAATAATAATACGTATTACAAATACGAAATCAACGCGAGGAAGAGACTGTTGGAAACGCAAAGGTTATACGCGTTACAACCAGAAGTCGATGAAAGGAGTAATAATGATGTTGATGATACGAATAATAATAATAGTAATAATAGTAATAGTAATGAATCCGTAATAGAGATACCGATGACGTACGACGGCGCGTCTTTCGTGTTGGATTATTACATCGGCGACGCGAGCGTGAGAGGCGTGGTGGATACCGGGTCTCCGTTTATAACCATTCAAGGTGGGAATGGGAGCGAAAATTGGGGGTTTGTGACGCAAAATGATATTCGGCCGAGCCCGTACGGGGAGACGTACGAAGTGTACGGGTTACAAGTGGATTCGAGCACCGTGTGGTGCTTGGGTGATTTGCGGTTCACGACCGGTTTTAACGATGAGTCGCGTTCGCGTTCGCGCGATTGGAATTTACGGGAGATGGTTTTAGGCGTCGTCAACGGGTCCATGGCAAACGTGGGCGGGTCTATAAACGGCGCGAACGCGTCGTTCGTTGGATTGACTAAATACCGACAAGACTGGATTCGACCGACGTTTTTAGAACAAACCGATGTGAGCTCTTTTTCCATGAATTTCGAGAAGGAAACGTTGACGCTCTCGAGGAAGAATTTAATCGATAGAAGAAACGATGCGAACGTTTTAGCGATGATTGATTTACGACCACTCGGATCACCGGTGTATCACTACGCGGTTCTGTTGGACGATTTGTACATCAACGGGGAAAAACATATATTTAAAAACAAGAACGAAAAGACGTACGTCATTTTCGATAGCGGGACGACCGGATTGTTAGTGTCTCAAGATTTATACGAAAATTCAGCCTTTCGAGATGGCGCGTTTCAAGCCGCGATGACTTTTACAGACGTGAAAGGAAACAAAAGCTCCGTCGCCATCGGGTCGTCCATTCGCACGTGCACGAGGAAGTGTTTGTTTCTTTGTCTGCCGCTCAAAGTGCCTTGGGACGGCGTCCTCGAGGAAAAATCGAACGTCATTTTTGCCGGTTTAGCGGTTTTAATGAATCAAGGTGAGATCACCGTCGACGCGGACGAAGGCGTGCTCAGATTAAAGTCAGACCCTGGCGTGAGTAGAATGGAATTTGAAGCAGACGAAGAAGGGTTCATTCCAATCAGAACGAGAGGAAAATTAGCGAGCGATATCAAACTGTACAACGAAACGTAAAGAATTTTGGCTATAGATAGCGCGGCGCCGCGCGGCAACATACTGTAACATTAGCGTGTACTGTAAGTAAAGAAATAAAAAAGTGTACCTAGGTAGTACCAGGTACTCGTAGTAATATTATTAAAAACTCGTCGCGACGATATTAAACAAACAAACAAACATTACATTTTTTTCTTGCAATCCGCGTGTGCTTTGTCACCCATCGCGTACGCTTCTCTGACATCGGTCTCACCATTCATCGCGTAGACGTCGTTGAACGAGTGCGGGTTGGTGGCCATTTTAATCTTGAACACTTTGCCGCCGCACTGCGATATCGTACTCGTCATCGTCAACTTCTCCTTGGACTTGGGCATGAACACGTTCGTGTACACTTGGCCGTCCGGTAAAATCAACCCGTCGTCGCTCTCGTCGACGACGTTATATATGATTGCGTTCGATGCTCTGATTTTTTTCGCGGTGACGTTGACCAACAAGCAGTTCTCGACCTGAATGTCGCCGCAGTTGACGTTACTCACGACGGAGGATTTCACCGACCCGCTCTTCGCCGTGGACGCGACGATGACTGACTTGTTCGATTCGTCGTCGATAGAGGCTTGAAAGTTTGCCAACTTCACGTCGCGACTCGGGATATTCAAATACAATCTCAACGCCTCTGCTTCGGCATCGTCTCCAGTCACCATCAAGTTGTTCTTTCTGTACAACTTCAACAAGCCGTAATCCCACCAATACGAGCCTTGGCCGACGTCCACCGCGCCGAACAACTTCTTCTCAGGAAACTGCTCCAACAAAGCTTGTTTGAACTTCGTCATGCGATCGTGGTGCGCTTCCGCTTGCTCTCGCGTCTCATCTTTCGTTTGCATAATCTTCGCGTAGTTTTCTTTCGTCATCGTCAACGGCATCCAAAAGTGCGGATCGGAATCAAACTTGGCGGTTTTCCCCGCCAACTCCTTCTCGAACTCGCTCAACATCAAACTTAACATTTCGTGGCCCAGTGAAAACGATCCTAAACTCGGACCGACTTGTTTCACCGATCCGAACGATTTCAATAGCTCCGACGCGGTCGCGTGGCTGACTTTTTCAACCTGCGTCGCCTCGTTCTCGCCGTTCACCGCGATTAACCCGTAGTTGGAGAAACCTTTCTCGTTCCACTCTGTTTCGTTCGGCATTGGGCCCATGACGGCTAAAATATCCGCGTGGTGTTCGCCAGATTTGTTGTGCCCTGCGGATGGAATGAAAATCTGGTCGCCCCAAAACACGGAGACTCTTCCCGGTCGCTCTTTGGCGTACCTGTTCGTCTGTCTCACCACCGCCTCGAGGATGGTCAAGTTTCTCGCTTCCCCGGCGACTTCCACCACCGCGGGTAACTTGACCCCAGGTTTGTTGTTATTCTCCGCCCCGGGTAACGGCGCTAACCTGGTCCCTTTCCCGGCCGTGTGGTACAAACCGATCGACCCGCCGTTGCTTAAAATCAAATCCAAATCCTTCGCGTCTTTCGCCTCCGCCAACTTTTTCGCCTTCGCGTACGCGTACAAAGTGCCCAATCCGTTCCCGGCGCCGTCTTTGTTCGTCCAGTCCTCGCACACGGCGTAAACTAAGGCGTCTTTTTTACACGCCGACCCTCGCGTTTGTACCAACCGTTCGCCCCAGTACGTCGCTTGGTGTTCGGTCGAGCAACAGACGATGACGGCGTCGAAACCGGTTTCGTTGGCGTTCATCTCACGTATCGATTCGAGCATAGATTTTTGCTTTTCCTCTTGGGAAGACTCCATTCCGTTAAAAGAAAACGCGTTGCCCATCTTGTTGGTCCGGAACGGCGCGCAGAGGAGGTTGAAGGACGAAATTTTTCCCGTTGGTTTTGTTGCGCTGCGTAGTAATACGCAGCTGTTCTGCGTTTTTCTTCTGCGGTATTATTCTTTTCTTACTCGTCGTAATTGTCTCTTTTTTTTCGTGTTACAACGAACTTTACAAGAAAATTAGGCAAAGAGCAAAGAAGGGGTATTCTTTTCCATCGTCATCGTCGTCGCAGGAGCCACTTTTAGGTGCGTGCGGCTGCTGTGTATACTACTTGTACTATTATTATTATTATTATTATTACTACTACTACTACTACTTGGTACTACTATACGTGTACTACTACGGAGTAAGCTTTTCGAGGACATCTTTCCTCTCTCTCATCCACGCGTTCAGAGAAAATTCTTCTTCTTCTTCTTCTTCTTCTTCGAATACGCAAAAGATGAACGTCTTGGCGTCGGCGATGGAGAAGCTTTTGGCGACCAACGCCTTGCGAGGCTTGTACGGGAGATAGACCATTCGGTCGAAGAAGACGGAAGCGATGGCTCGAATGACTCCCCTCGGCTGCGAAGAAGAAGATGTTGTCGTAGTTGCTTTCAATTCGGGAACGTTCCAGGAGGACGGGTGCATGCCGACTTTATGCGTCACGTGTACTTCGCCCGCGCCTCTTTTCTTCTTTGATTTTTTCTTTCTCAACACGACGGCGGCGTTCGCGATGAACGTTAGTGTCAAATTCCTATTCAGCTCCACGTCGGCTGGGTTTCTACCATCCGCGCCTTCTCGCGCGCCGTCTTTCGCCTCGCCGGTGTCCTCTTCTCTCGAGACGCACGGGAAATTCCAGACGATTTTATCGAAACCTTCATCTATGCACTTTTCGACTCGCTCGAGAACATCTCTCTTATTACTTGCGGCGACGGCGGCGGCATCCATCAAGCTCTCTTTCAATTTCGCCGCGTCCACCCCGTGCAACACCAAAACGTCCTCGCCGCAAACCGCCAACTCATCCAACGTCGCCTTTATCGCGTCTTTCCCGTACGCCTTCTCCAAGCTCGCCTTCGTCTCGTGCGTCGTCGCGATCAACTTTACCTTTTTTAATCGTTTCGCCAAGCTCAAAGAAAACGTTAAATCTCCGTCGCCGACGGTTAAGATCCGGTCGCCTTTCGCGTACAAGCCAACGACTGATTGTTTTTCGTTTCTCGCATTTTGTTCTTCTTCTTCTTCTTCTTGGTGATGATGATACCTCTTAAATCGTTCGCACTCCTCCGGTCGCTTCAAAACGATTTTACTACTACTACTGCTCTTCTTCACATCGTCCTCACCACTTAAACAACATTCGCGCCTCATCTTCTCAACTTTTCGTACACACGCTTCGCATTTTTTGTTCAACATAAAGTTGCTGCACGACAGTTGCTCTTTAAACGCAAACATTGGAGGAGGAGGAGACAAAGAAGAACTCTTCTTCTTCTTGAAACCCCCATCAATGTTTTCGTCGTCACAACGCGTCTTCTTCCTCTTGTTCTTCTTCTTCTCCTTCTTCTTCCTCTTCCTCTCGCTGTTGTTGTTTTCCTCCTCCATCATCGTCCTTATTTTTAATAGGGGGGATTTGTTGCTTTGACAGACGTTTGATGAAATTTTTCATAAAAAACAGCCCCCTCTTTGTGGGATTTGACGCAAAAATGACACCTGTCACTTCTTCTCCCTCTTCACGTCTTCATCATCCTCTCGCGAGCGAGCAGCCAAAAGAAGAAAAGGTTTTGTCGTTGCATCGAGAAGAAGAAGAAGAAGAAGAGAAAGAAGAAGAGAAAGAGTCTGCAGGTGAGGACGATGATGGTATCGATTACGATCGAGAAAATATATTATGTTCTTCACCGCGAACGCGCGCTTTAGACCATTTCAGAGACGACCGGCTCTTACAGTCCGCGAGATTGCTCCGGAAAATATGCGACAGTTTAGTGTCATCATCAGAGGAAGAAGAAGACAAAGAAGAGTTAAAAGATACAAAAGAGAAAGAGAAAGACAAGTTGGTCAAATACGTTCTGGAAAAAGCGAAACAGTCGGAGTCGTTCATCGAGATGTTGAGAGAAGACGCGGAGAAAGATTCGTCCTGGGAAACGCAGAAATCTTTCTCTTTTGGCGGGAGAGACCAGACGAAAATTTATTACAAGACGACGGAAAACGATACGAAATTGATTTTACGAGTAGACCAGGCGATTAAAAGAGAGATGTTAGTGCCAGTGTTAGCGACGTTGAATGAAAGTCAGCTGTACGCGTCGTGGTTACCTTCGTGGACGATGCCGAAATTGAAATTTTCGCGAACCGAAAAGCTCGACCAACGCGGCCGATGTTCGCAGCTTTTACTCGTTACGGTGGAGTGTCCGTGGCCGTTTTCAACCAGAGAGGTTGTTTTGGACGCGCTGGCTTTTGATGATATCGACGAAAGTGGCGTGGTGGCGGTATTGTTGAACAGTTGCGATTGCGAGGACGACGAGAGAGTCCCGGCGATTGACCATAAGTTTGGCCAGTGCACGCGAGTGGACTTTCACGGAGGATTTTTGTTTCGAGCGATTCCGAGCGAAGGCGAGGCGTGGAAGAAAGCGAGGGAAAAGCACGAAGACGAGATGATTGTGTCGTTTATATTTAATATCGACCCGAAGATTTCGTACGTTCCGGTTTCAATCATACAGTTTATAACGAGGACGGTGATTGGGACGTTGTGGGGGATGTTTATGAAAATCGCGAGTAAAGTGAAAAACGGAGAGATGAAAGAACACGCCGAGGCGATACAATCGAAAAGACTCGTTTTGTACGATTGGGTCGACGAACGAGTAAAAAGCATGTTCGCGCGAATCTTTTGAGTCCGTGTGTGCGCATCAAGATACCTAGGTAGTAATTTACGTAGTTTTTTTATAGTAGGAGTAGCCAGAAACGCAGCGACGCGCGCGTACGTGTGATGATGCATTTGAGCTGAAAAGTTCATTTTGTTTTTAAAAAGCGAGAGAGACGCAATCAATCAATCAATTTATTCATCATTAAAGTTCTTTCAAGACGACTTTCATGGACGGTACCTCCCCTAACGCTCTAATTTGTCTTTTCAGAGATAACATCGTGCTCGTACAAATGAGCATGCTCGTAAAACCGACGTTCACTCCGTACGTACCTCTCACGTACTCGTCCGCTATGGAGCACACGCACGCGATTAATCCTAACAAGACGCCGCCGAAGAATTTCGCGCCGTTTTGTAAATCCCGCAAATATTTTTCCGTTTGAACGCCAGGTCGAACGTTTGGTATTCTCGCACCTATTTTTGTGATGTATTCCGCAACTTCTTTTGGCGTATTTTGTACGTCGATGTATGAACCGGCGATGCAAAAGACGAATAAGAAAACGTAGTAACTGAAATTAGTCGGGTCGCAAATGGACACTAAAGTCTTCCCGATTGCGGCTGGCATGGCTGGCGCGACTTGTTCGCGGAAGAAACCACACAGCATGCTAAACGCGATGATCATAGTCATACCACCAGGGTTGACACGAATAGGAATCTCCGAAGATTCGGATTGGGCGGATTTCGGGAGCTGCGACGCGTCCGGGCCTTGGAAAAATTGCAGAGGGATTTTACACGTCCCTTCGTTGAGTAAAGCGGACGCGAAAGTTAACAGTACCACAAACCCAGAGATAGTCAAGAACGCCGGGTTCACCACTAAACCTCTCACGGATTCTAAAAGACTACCGGAGGAGACGAACGCTGCCGCGGCTGCCGCCGCCGTCCCGCCGCTGCTCGTCACTTTTTCTACGAAGATTGCATTCTTCACCGTCGACGCGTAGGACGCACAAATGGACATGGTTATAATCATCCCGCTTCCTTCCCCAATCCCGTAATCGGTAATTTCTTGCGCAACCCACGTGATAGTCATTGCCCCGGCGGCGAACAACATCGTTGCCGTCATATAATACAAAAAACCGGGAATCGCCATGGCGCATAAATATTTCAACTTGTGCGCCTCAATCGCTCCTAAAATCAACGCAATAATCAACGTCAAATACCGTCCTTGTTGTTTTAACTTTTCCATCCCCATTCTATCTTTCTTCATCTCTTTCATTTGAGGGTCTATGGCCATTAATACTTGCATGATAATGCTCCCAGCTACAAACGGACCTATACCTAAATGAAAAATAGTCACCCCGCCGTGTTCGGTAATCTGCCTGGCGCCTCCGAGCACGTCGCCCATGTGCGCGAACGAGGGGTCTTCCATTAATTTCTTCGCCATATCTGCCATTGGACCGGACGATTGCGTCACACTTCCAACTTTTGACGCATCAAATAATCTCGATTGGCCTATATACCCAGCTCGCAACACCGTCAACATTCCCGTACACGCGACGATTCTTCGCGTGATGTCGCTCGTAAACGGTTTCAACAGAAACCGCGCGACGGGATGCGCGTCCCTTCTCAATCCTAAATTATACCACTTCTCTTGGTCTATTCTCTCCCCGTACTCGTTCAAACTCTCCGGATCAATCGTCGATGACTCCGCGTCGAATAAATTCCGAAACCTCTCCTCGTCCGACACCGGGGCATCGTAGTTATCTTTCGGTAACAAACGCTCTAATTTGTTTTCCGCCGATAACGGTTTCGGGATGTATAACTCTTGGTCGACTTCTGCTGCGGTGTTTGTGTATTTTGTAATCTCGTTCTCACCACCTCCGTTTTCGTTTTCGTTTTCATCGTCGTCGTCGTCGTCATTTTCCTCTTCCTCGTACTCTTCAAACGACGATTTCGCGAGGCACAAGAACCCGCGATGAAGATGATGTTGATTTCCAAAAACAAAATCACCCAAGTCCTTTTTTTGACGAAAACGACGAAAATGATGATTTTGATGCGTTCCTCTTCGTGTTCTTTCGTGTTCGTCATCGAAGACTCCACGTCCTCCTCTCAAAGCAGCGGCGGCATGATTTCTCCTCCTCTCTTTTCGAGAGCAGCAACCAGAAGACGAAGAAACAGAAGAAGGAGAAGGAAGAAGACAACAACAAGGGAACGCAAAAGTCATTTTTTTCTCTTCTTCTTTGTGATGAGAAAATTTCTTTTTTTTTTCAAAAAACAACAGACAGACGAAAAAAAAGCGAAAATCAAAAATTGAATACTTTTTTGTGTTTCCGAGAAGGGCAACTCTCTCTCTAAAATACGCGCATTTAATACGAGCGTTTTTTTTTCTTCTTTTGTAGAGCGATTATGCCGAAACTGGACGCGTATTTAGCGTCGTCGTCGTCGTCCAACGAGAACAAGAAGAACAGGAAAAAGAAGAAGAGCGTTTTAGGAGACGACGACGACGATGGGAGCGACACGAGCAGCAGCAATAACAGCAGCAGCAGCAGCAGCAGCGGCGAGGACGACGACGAGGAGGAGGAAAAAAAAGAAACGGGAGGAAACGAGACCAACAAAACGAAAACCATTCCTCTTTCTCCTCCTCCGACGTACCCTGCGACGTTATTGAAACCGAAAAGGAAAACAGGGAAGGAGATTTACGACGGAATACCGAAATACATACGGGATAAAATTATCAACCCGGAAGTTTTAATAAACTGGACACCTGGTGAGGAGGAAAACGGGGAGGAGATACCTGAGCCTGAATTTGAACCCGTCCCGGCGCATCCGCCGAGACGAAAGTGTCCAGAAGGAACGGAGCTTCCGTATCCGTGGGAAAGCGAAATTGGGAAGCCGTTACCGAACGAACGATTAATACGGAAGATGCTCGGCGAACCGAAAAAGTACAGACAACCGGACGGGTCCTTAGGTCCAACGCCGAGACCGAAAAACCCGTGGACCGTGGCGAACAGGAAAGAGTTTTCCGATTTGGTGCACTACTGTCGCACGAACGGAGGATTATCTGAAGCCGACGGGTATGTAGACGGCGTCTCGTATCGATACAGCATCGGGTGCACGTGGACGCAACACAGACTGTACATGGAACAAATCCACCAATACCCAGAAGTTAACGAGCGCGGCGAATGGTTCGGCTTTGACCCGAAAAAAATCCACCCGATTGATGACGACCCGACGCACTTCATCACCAAAGCCAAAGCGGACTCGTACCGCGAGCTCGAAAAACGAGGCATCAATGGTACCAAGCTCGAAGAGATGTTTAAAGAAGAAACTCTGAACAAATCCGGCGGCTGGCACTGGGGCGATGGCACCGAACCGTCGCACACCGACGGAGGCCCAAACGACGCCAACGACGGCGAGGAACGAGACATCGAGAGCGAACCGGAGGATCCAGAAACCTCCCGGTGCCCGGAATCCCTCGAGTGGGTCGAAGAACACATCGCGAGAGAGAAAGAAGATGAAAGCCTAAGGAGAAGAGCTGAGAATTAATCCAAGGAGAAAAGAAGAAGAAGAAAGAAAAGAAACTCGCGAGGAGGAGCAAAAGCGCGTTTGTCTGTTATAAAATTATGAGTTTTCATCAGTCAAAAAACGCGTCGAGTCACATTTCGTGTCTTTTCGTTTCCCATTGCATGCCTTCTCTCTCCCGCCTTTTTTGTGCTTTTTTTTCTTCTTTTCTCTTCTTCTTCTTCAGAATTCCAAAACACCACAAAAACAGCACGGAAGAACATCCACAGCACGACTACTAAAAGAGAAAGGTATAATCATCTTTAAAGTTTCTTCTCGTTCTAGAGAGAGCAGTTATCATCTGCTCACGCGTCGTCGTTCTTTTTCTCGAAGAGAGAGATTTTTTATTCGACGCGCACCCAAAAGGCGAAGCGTCGTGTTTATTACGTCGTCTTTCTTCTTCGTCTCGGGGAGGAGGCCGCACAGCCGCCTATAATCGATCGAGATTCTTTTTTTCTCTGCTAAAGCGCGCGCACGAAAGAGTACTTCTCGAGAGAGAGCGAGAACAACGACGTACTACGAACGTAACAACGACGACGACAACAACGCGAAGCAGTCATCAAAAGCGAAGAGAACAAAACGGACAGAGAAACGACGAGAGAGAAAGAGACAGACAGAAGAGAGAAGAAAATCAATCGACGCTTCTTTGTCGAAAAAAAGTAGACCAAAACTGACCTTTGATTTCTCTCTCTCGTTTTTTACACTCACAAAACCAAAACAAACAAACAAAACAAACAACTCTACGATGAAACAGAGTTTTATGGAAAGTGGACAAAATCAACAAACAAATTCTGCGAGCGGGACACACGAAACTTCTTCTTCTGCGATTCAAACGACCGGTTCGTTAAAGTCCGGCGTACCTCTGCCGAAACCAAACTTGACGACTGGCGGGAAGAAGGTTGGTTTGAAATCGAAGAAGAATGTCGAGCAGCACAATAATTTTAACGGAAGCAGCGGCGATGCAGCTGGGACGGCGGCGAGCAACAATAACGGAGAGCATTCGCACGCAAAGAACAAAGGAAATAATACTAACAACAACGGACGAAAAAGTAGTAGTAAGAAGAACGGGGAAGCGGCGGCGACGGCGGAGAGAGCCGGGGATGGAAGCACGAGCGGGGACGTCTTTCACGACGCTTTAGCGCCGGAGGAAGCACAACAGAAAGCAGCCAAACTAAAAAAGAAAAAGCAAGTGAAGAAGAAAAAAGAGCATTCATTGGACGATGGCGTGTCGCGATTATCGTTGGAAGACGGTGCGGAGGGAACGATGAGCATTCCGTCGCCTTCGATGATGCCGGGGGGGATGCCGCCGCCGCCGCTCGGGAGACCGCCAAAGTCGCCAATAAAACCAGAACAACCGTCGAGAAAGAGCAGCGCAAAACCTCGCGGAACGCGTAAGATGGTCGCTTCGCAACCGATTGCCCCTCCACCGTTGCCATCGGGTGCACCGCCGCCGCTACCGGGTGACCCGTTGTCCGCTAACGCGGAACAAAGGAAATCGGGAGGAAAGACGCAAGGCGGAACGTACGTTCCACCTTCGCAACGAGAAGGAAGAAAATCGTCCCGAACCGCGCAAAAGTCAACAGCAAAATCACCGTTAGGGAAGAAAGCAATTACTCACGACGAAGCGAGAGGCGATCCGGATTACGATCGCAACGATCCGAATTTGATTCGAGGCGGCGCCTTGCATCATCGCGAGCAGTTTGGACACACGAGTTTGAGCGGACGCTCGAGCCCGAATCATCACGCCTCGCTCGCCGAGGAACAAGCGGCGCAAAAGCAAGCGAAGAAAGATCAGCAAAAGAAAGAGAAACCGGCGCCTCCAAAACTCACGGCTGAGCAACAGAAGCAACAAGCAACCGGGCGAGAGATTCGCAAATTTCTCGATTCCAACGATATTAACGGAGCTTTAGATGTTTTTTACGCCAAGAGAGATTTCGGTGGAATCGACGTGGAAGCTTTTAAAATTTTGGTTGCTGGGTGCGTGAAGATGGCGGCGATTCAAGACGGCTTACGGGTCGTTGAGTACGCGAAGAGTAAAGGTTTGAAGATCTCGCTTCGAAATTTTACCGGCTTACTCCAGACGATACCGCAACGTTCAAACCCGATGGATACGGCTGATTTACTCGCCGCGCTTGAGTACGTCATCGATTACGAAGACAGACGCGTTCGAAACTATCACTTTCACTTCGCAAAACTTATCGTGCAAGAGTTTCTCGAAGAAGCTTTACAAACGCTCGATCGTGTGGCAAACGCGCCGGCGTTTGGCTTGCAAGAAAACGGACTTGCTGCCATGGACGTTCGATTGGAACCACTGCGTAAACCCGGTCAAGTTGGTTTAACAATTCCCGCGCTCGCAGCCGAGATGCAAAAGAATCTCATGAAAGGTGACGCGGTCTTGCTATCGAGAACTTCCGCCACAAAGAATATCATGACGCTAGGCGAATTACCGAAACACTCTAAAGCCGCGCTCGAAGCAGCTGGCGAGAGCACGGTGAAAGCGTTATCGATGGAGCAAGGCGAAAGACCGGCGCGACGAAGCTACAACTACAGCGCCGCGGAGGAGTACGAAGCTGAAGTCTGTCAACTTGGGAACAACATTGCCGTCCGTTTACTCGGCGTCGACCCGAGAGACGCCGCGAGCATTTCTGGTTCCGGTTGGCGCGTTGATAAGTTGGCGAACAGAACGAGTTACTTGCGTCAGTTGAACGCGCTGCAAGATTTGATGGAGATGAAGGGGCCAGTCGGCAACAAAGCCGGAGTCGATCCAGGAATTCGAGACATTTTACTCGCTGGATGGGATAACAACAAGAAGGCTATTGAATCCATTCCAGATTTATGCGCGGCTGAGTTGAACGGGGAAACCATGCACGCGGCTACAAAGCAACGCATGCTCGACATGGCTCAAGATATTCCTGCGATGCAGCACATGAATAAGTCGCAACACGAGGCCTTGCGAGCGGCATTGTTCCAACGCATCACATTGATTCAAGGCCCGCCGGGTACAGGTAAAACGCACACCGCGGTTGCGTTGGTGCAAATGTGGCTGAAGTGTCGCACGATGCCGATTCTGTGTACATCTGATTCGAACATTGCAGTGGATAACTTAGTTGACGGTTTGTCGCGAGCAGGGGTTCGTGTTGCGCGTATTGGTCGTCCAGAAGCCGTGCGTCAAGACCTGATGCCGTTTATGGTTGAATCTATCGCCGGAATCGAACCAGGCTCGAACATGTCGAAAGATCAACAGTATCAAGCCATCAACGGAGTTTTACGACGAGCGGAAGTTATTTGCGCGACGTGCGCGGGTGCCGGGAGCGATATCCTCGAACGATTTTCCTTTGCCGCGTGTCTCATTGATGAAGCCACGCAAGCGACGGAGCCGGCAACGGTTGTGCCCATGACAAAAGGCTGTAAACAAATCGTCCTCATCGGTGATCAAAACCAGTTACCGCCGACGATTATTTCCCGCGATGCGGACGAACGCGGTCTCGGAACGAGTCTTTTTGAAAGAATGCTTTCGCGCGGTATTCGAACATTTATGCTTAAAGTGCAATATCGTATGCACCCGGCGATTGCAAAGTTCCCATCGCAGCAATTCTACAGCAACGAGTTACTTTCCGGTACGCCTCCTTCGCAAAGGCGAGCGCCGCAAGGGTTCGATTGGCCAGTACCCGCAGTGCCGTTGGCGTTTGTTGATTGCCCGGAAGGTGAAGAACGATCTGATGGCGCTTCGCAAATGAACACGATTGAAGCGCAAAAAGTTGTAACGCTGGTGAAGAAGTTGATGGCTGAACACGAAGTTTTAGCGTGCGATATCGGTATCGTTTCACCGTACGCCGCGCAAGTGCGAGCGATCAAAAAGCTTTTGCAACCCAATGCGGTTAAACGAACGAGATTTGACGCACCAGCCGCACCAGACTCCGATGCCGCCATCGAAGTTTGTTCCATCGATGGTTTCCAAGGTCGAGAGAAAGAAGTTATCGTATTCTCGTGCACGAGAGCAAACTTGATGGGTAATGTCGGTTTCTTAGCCGATCGCAGACGCGTAAACGTCATGTTGACCAGAGCGAGAAGAGGTTTGATTATCGTCGGGCACTTGAGAACTTTGCGAGGAGAACCAGAAGTTTGGGGACCGTGGTTAACCTGGGCCGGCGAAAATGGTTTAATCTGCGGTTTGTCCGCCACGGATGCCGACGCTGCGAACAGTTTGGCTACGATTGGTATGAGTTCCTACGCCGAAATCGGAGGCAGCGGTGTTGGCGAAACTGTCAACACTAGTGCGATGCTCGTTCCGTCGGCGTGGGCAGACGATTCCAAGAATACTGGCATGCACCGCATCGAATCTGGATCGAAGCTCGTTCAAAGAGAACACATCCCGGAAGCGTGGGACGATAGCGACGACGAGAACGCGGACGTGGACGCCATCGTACCGAGCGCGAGCGTGAGCTCGTTTGTTACGAGTGCGATTTCGACGGATGACCAAGATCCTGATTCTGCCTGGGATGAAGATGATGAAGACGACGACGGCGGTGAGGAAACAGCAACAACTACTTCGGTTGTGACTTCTTCGACGGATGAAGAAGATGGCAATGACGATGAGGCGTAAAAGAGAAAGGGAGGGGCGAGAGAGAGAGAGACAGAGAGAGAAAGAGAGAGAGAGAAGAAGAGAGGAGGTGGAGGTGTTTGCGTTGTGATTACAATATACTACATTGATTGAAATTTATTTCTTTTGCTTTTTGCTCTTCTTCTTTTCCTTCTTTTCCTTCTTTTCCTTCTTTTCGGCTTTCTTGCGCTTTTTAGTTCTGTCGATTTTGTTCTTTTGTTCTTCGTCGTCGTCATTAAATCGAACTTTTGTGCCTTGGAAATCGACAATATTGGTGTGCGTACTACCTTCACCGTTACCGTTCGCCATGGAAGGTGGTCGACCACCACCGCACACGGCTAACACGAGCGCGTCCAAACCTTCCTTATCCGTCGCTCGCGAAGCGGTAATCTGTTTCTCTTTTAAAGACCGGAGGACTGTGCGTAAATCAAACTCAGCCTCTCTTTGCGCTTTCCGAGCCGGTTGTAACGCCAAATTGCTGTGCATTTCCTTTGCCTTTTCGCGCGATCCAAGAACGGCTCGAGAAGATCGACTCAACATTTTCTTTTCGAAAAGTGGAAGAGCGTAGTTGAAACCGTTCACGGAGCCGTGTTTTCCTACACCTTCGATGAGCGTATCAGCGAATAAGACCGCGTCACTGATGGCCTGATTCGCACCTTGCGCTTTGAATGGCGTCATCGGATGCGCCGCATCACCAATGATTGTTACGCGACGAGAAATGCTCGCTTTCGGACGAAGGACGTCAGTTTCTAACAACTCGCGGTCGTAGACAGGGTAGCCGCTCATGCAATTTAGCGGAGTTTTTGTCAGCATCTCTGGAATGGGATCGTGCCAATTCCCGCATCGTCTGGAGATTTCAGCCTTCAACGTGCTTGCATCTCTTGTGTACTTTCTCGCCGTATCTTCTGAGCACGGGAACGAGAGCTGCCACATCGTTGAATTTTTCGTGAATGGCATGGCGTAAATCCGCGTGGTCCCGTCTACGGTTTCAAAGATACGACGCTTCGCCAACGGGATTTTCAGTATCTCGTCGTTAACAATACCTAAGACTACACACAAACCGACGTAGTTTAATCGGTCTCCCGGTAATTCCAACTGACGCCGGACGGTGGAGAAAATACCATCCGAGCCGATTAATAGAGCGCCTTCAATTTTCGTATCGTCGATGAGAGTCACGGTGACTTTATCTTTGTCGCTATCGTCGTAACTTTTTAACTTGCTATTCCACCGAATCGTATCCGGACGCACGGCTTCGAGAATTCGTTGGCGAAGTACCTGCCTCGGTATGTGAATGAATCGACCCGAGTTTTGGACTTCTTGCCTGTCCTTGCTCTTGACACCAAACGCCTCGCCAAAGAACCCGATGATTTCGCCTTGCTGCGAGAACGTATAGTGCGAAGTGGACGGTGCATCATCTCCAGAGATATCGACGCCCATCGCTTGCATTGCATCCGTCGCTTGCACCGTGAGACCGTACCCTTGAGCCCTGGAATCAAAACTCGCATCCGATTCCAAGACGACAACATCGAATCCTTTCTTTTGAAGCGACACTGCTAAAGCCGCGCCGCCGATGCCGCCGCCGGCGACGATGATACGACCGCACTCGGATACGTCTACGTTTGCGTCGTAAACGTCGTTGGTGGCCGAAGACATTCGCCTTTGTTGTTTCAATTGTTTCACAACTGCCGTTTGATTGGCTTTTTGAAACGCCCACTCTAAGTTATCTAAATCTTCTTCACCGAAATCGTCCATAATTCGTTCCACCACTTTCGCCATGGAGCTAAATAATTCGTCGTCCACCTTGCCGGCGTTTGCAAACGTCCACGCCACGTTCGTAATATCCGTCGCGGTAAACTCATTCACGCGTTTCACCGCCGCTCGCGCTAACGACGATACTAAATTATCGTCCAACTTACCAGCCTTATCGTACGTCCACGCTAGATTTGCTATATTCGGTGCATCTAAATCGTCCAAGCGCGATTTTAAGAGCGACACTTTCACCGCTTCCAACAACTCCACATCAAACCTACCTAATTTCGAAAACGACCAGGTCAAGTTTACGATATCTTGCGTGTTAAAATCGTGCAAGTATTTTTCTGCCATTCGAGCTAGGACAGTAAACAGCGCGTCGTCTAAGTGACACGCTTTCCCGTACGCCCATGCTATATTTGCGATATCTTGTGCGTTGAAATCCGTTCCGTTGTTTGCAAACATTTTACGCTCGATGTTTTTACCAAAAGTGGTGAAAAGCTCTGCGTTCAAATGTCCAGCTTTGGCAAACGACCACACTGAATTCGACAAACCTTGCGCGTTCAAGTTTCCCATGTGTCTTTCCGCGTTCTTTGCTAAAGTAGTAAACAACTCGGCGTCGTACTGCCCGGCTTTCGCAAACGCCCAACACAAATTTGAGAAATCTTGCGCGTTGAAACGATCCATATTTTTCTGGGCCGTCTGCGCGATTGTTCGGAACAAAGTAGCGTCAACGTATCCAATCTTTGATAAAGCCCATGCCGTGTTCGATAATCCTTGCGAGTTGAAACCGTGCAATTGACCATCGATAGCTTTTGCTAACGCCTTGAACAATTTTGCGTTGTCGCACTCCGCCGTGGCGAACGCCCAAAATACGTTCGTAATCTCTTGCGAGTTGAATCTGTCCATCTGTTTCTCCGCCATTTCCGCCAAGTTCGCAAACATTCCCGGGTCAAAATATCCGCTTTTTGCAAACGCCCACGCTATGTTTGCTATTTCTTGACCGTTACACTCCGCCAAATGCCTCCCGATAGCTTCCGCTAACTGCTTCACCAGCCCGTTCTCGTCGCGAGCGCCGACGCCACATTTCGCGACGCCGTGCGCGATATTCGCCAATTCTCTTCCTCGTATGCCAGAAGAGTCGCTTGCTATAACATCTCTCGTGCGCTCGACCAGTAACGCTAACCCATCTTCGTGCTCGCTTTGCCAATCGCTACTAAAACTACTCGCGCTGGTGGTGATTCTTCCCAATAAATTCCAAAACGCCGACAAGTGAATGTGGTTGAACCGCTTCCAGTGTTTTCGCGTGAGCTCGAACATTTCGCGCAAACTCTTCGCATTTTTAATGTTGGCCGTTAACAGCGCCGGCGATGGTCCGTTTATGTTGTTGTTATTATTGTTGCCACCACTCGCGACGGCGTTCTTCTTCTTCTTCTTCTCCTCTTTCGTCGGAATTGGAATTGGATTCAGTCCGGCCTCTTTTCTCGCGTCCGCTTCGCTCATGCCTCGCTCTTCCACGAGCTGTTTCGCTTTCAATTTCATCCGCTCTTTCTTGCCCATCTTTTTCTTTTTCTTTTTTACATCTTTTACGCCGTCATCGGCATCGTCGGCGACGCTCATCGCGCCGCCGCCCGTCGATGGTGATGCGTGCAACGCAATGAGTGAAGGAAAGTACGAGAGTGTTTTACAGGTGAATTTTACTGCTAGAGCCTAGATGTCTATATGCGAGTATAATTTTCAACTCTACACTTAACCGGCCATCCCGTCTCTCCACGCGACGTTTACACAATCTCCCTCCAAGAACGATACCGATGCTGATTTACCATCACCTCTCAAAACAGTTTCTTTGAATTTTGCGTAAGGCGAGGAGGCGATAGTTTCCTCCGCGTTTCTCGCGAACGCGTAGGAGTCTTGCAACCGCTTTTTGAGTAACGAGACCGAGGTAAAATCGTCGCCGTGAACAAATGAACATCCGTTTCCATTCGCTTTCGCGATACTACTATTAGCATCGTCTTTAAAAATCGATGAGAGGAGCTTTAGAAACTGCATTTTCAAATCGTACTTTGACGCGCGAGGTGGTTTACCTCGCCCAGATATTGCCAAACCAGTTCGTCCGTCGTGGACGCGCGCGATGGTATCGTACGCGCACCAGGATACAGATTCGTCAGATTCGCCGACGTCGGCGCGAGCGCGAACGGATCGTTCCTTGAACTCGATCGATATAGATGCCATCTGAGTGCATAAATGTTTCGTAGCTTTGTTTTCATAATTCTTACCGTTCAACGATGGAGAAGAGCAGCACGTGCGCCCGTACGTTGCTTCAAACAGGCGGTCACCGTCATATTTTCTCGAACACGCTACACTACTCAGCACTATTGGCTCTTTGATAAACGAAGCCGTTAAAATCGATCCTTGAACGCCACGTGCACACCAAATCGCGATCTTATCCGAGCACGAAAGCGTTTGTTTGGGATTCCCGATTGCTTCGCGAACACCCCCACGTAAAACAACACATCCTGGTGGTACTTTCTCGTCATCGATGGTATTATGGGCTGAGGAGACGTTAGTGCCTTTACGTGTCGCGTGCGGAAAGCAACTTAACGAGCTTTCCAAGTTCAGACTCGCTGAACCACACGGTGCACTTGATACGTACAAGTGTATCTCAACGTCGTCGCGTTTGCGAAACCATCCATCGTTCATCTCCAAAACGCTAAAGTTATTGTCATCGTTATATTGTACCGCAGCGCCCGAAGATGCCATTTTACCACCAGGAACACTATCATTCATCTCCGCGTACAAATAACGCAGAAAGTTCCGTCGCGCAAGAATTTCTGCGTGCGAATCGCGAATGACATCATCTCTGCTCGATACAAATGCAGATCCTGCTACGTCTGGTGGTACGAATTTTGTTCCAACACCTAAACTTGCGACTTTTACGCGAGAGGTGCTCTTCTCATACGCAACAAAGGCAGCAAAGCACGCCGCACCTTTGGCGTTTTCATAATGCCTTTTGCAATATCGTTTATACGTACCAAACGCATGCGACGCGATCCGATTACTTTTTAAGCGAGCGGCGGCATCTGTATTGTCACCGCGCTTAGTCGCTTCGAGCGCTCGCGTTTCACACTCCTGGGCATCCCAAACACCGTCCGGTTTAGGTTGATACTGAGTATGAGACGTATCATCGTGATCACAGTCATCCTCATCGCTACTTCCTCCATCGATTGCGGCGTTTCCATGTCTATTTCGACACAAGTTTGTCAGTGACGTTAAGAAGTCATCCGATATATCGTTCCCGTGTGCCCAAATCGTTCGCATCGGCTGACCGTTATTCAAACGCATTTCCATCGCACGAAGTAATTCGTGCGCACCTTCCTCGTTGAAACCGACATGATCAACGTGTACCTCGACGAGCGTTTCTTCGAGTGTAATGAGCTTAGCGATGAGACGCACACCAGCGTTCCCTATTGGATTCCCTCCTATGTCTAAAATTTCTAATCCCCTAATACTACTATTACCGCTTAAACGCTCCTTCGTTCGCGCAGTAAACGCGTCAACGATAGATTGAGCACCAATTGGACCTATTTTATTCCCATAGAGAGCAACTTCTAACACACAGGTATGCTTTGCAAATAGTTCGGATAAGTGCGCGCATCCCTCGTCATTAATATCATTGTGGTGTAAACCGATGGACTCTAAAAAGGGCATTCGCCTTAGAATTCTCGGCGCGATCACCTCGCACCCGACGCACCCGAAACCAACTTCACCTAAACTTCGCATGGCTTCACCTTTTCGATTTTGTCGACACTTTTCGTATAAACCGTTGAACGCGCACAGTGCGAGTAGTCGCTTACACCAAGACGATGAGAACCCCGGATTTCCATCGCACATCAATTGTAAGGGAGATGAAAACGACGCGTCGTTATTTTCCTTTTCACAACAATGCACGGAAAACTTCTCAAAAAACTGTTTGAATCCATTCTCGGTTATGTTGTTGTTCCGCACATCCACAGCGTTTTTTAATATCACGATATCCTCGAACAGACGCATAAATATGCCGTCGGTCACGTTGCAATTCGAAACTCCTTCCTTCTTCAGTCTCCTTCTCAAATATCCAACCGCGTTTCTTTCCAACGCCTCTCCCAGCCTTCCAATCGCCGCCGCCGAGAACGTCCCTCCTGAACAATTTACGTCCGTCAACACGCACGAACTGCCCGTATCCTCGCAAAACCTCAGAACCGCATCTATGGTCCTATCTGTCAACCGTTTATTGTTTCTTAAGTTCAACGCTCTCAAACGCTTCAACGATGAAGGCGACGCCAAAAGACTTTCCACGAACGCGTCGTCCACGTCGCAGCTGGACGCGTTCAATCTCTCCACGCGAACATTTCTCGTCCTCCTCAAACACTCCACGAACTTGTCGCATCCTTTCTGATTCCTGAACGCCTTCTCGTTTCCACTCACGTTCATCTCTCGCAAGCGCTCTAGAATTGTGTTTTTCTTCTCCTCCTTTTCGTCCTCGAACAGACTTTCCAAAAATAACGAACTGTTGTTGTTGTTGTTCTCCTCTTCTTCTTCCTCGCACGACGACGACAACACTCTCACGCTCGAGACGTTCAACGCGCGACAACAGCGCGTGTTATTATTATTATCAATCGACGACGATTGAAATATCAACCGAATGCAACTCTTAAACGTTTTCCAAGAATCAAATTCGCAATCTTTCAAGTTCACCATCGTTTCACCAAAATCGTTTCGTTCAGTCGTGCGCTTTTCGAGAAACGCTTCGAGGTTGGTTTCCTTCGTCGCGAGTTTGTTTCCCTTCTTACGTTTAGGACGGTGAAAGCGTTCGTTGTTCATTCTTTACGACGATTCAGACGACGACGACGAAAAGGCGCACTTCGACATCATTTTGAGCGGCAGAGAGAAGCGTAGTATTATTTGAGGAACGAGGGAAGAGTGATGTGTGAATAATGCGTGAAGTGAAGAGTATCGACTCTAACACGACAACAAAAGTACGCGTAGAAACGTCTTAATAATTTCAATCGTCTTCCTCCTCCTCGTCGTCGTCGTCATCTTCTTCCATATCTTCCTTACGGTCGGCTTTTACGAACGGGTCTTCCTCGTCTTCCGAGTCGTCCATGTCTTCGTCCTCGTCCTCGTCCGAATCGTCGTCGTCGGTTTCCCACTCTTCGCCTTCGCTATTGTCCTCGTCGAAATCATCCTCTTCGTCGCTCTCGTCTTCTCCACCACCCCCGACGACTAAATCGTCTAAAACGTCCACTGCCTCGTGGTATTCCGCCGCTGGTATACCTCGTTCGTCCTCGTTTAACCTCGCGTTTTCGTTTGCGTCTTGCACCTCGTCTCGCGAACTCGCGTAGAGCAACAAGTCTAACCGTCCCATGAGGTGCAACAGAGGTTCTCGTTGCGCCGTCCGCGCGTTAATTTGTGATTGTAAATGCGCCAACGTTCTCTGCGCGTTCGGCGAGACGCTGGCAAACCCAGCGTGTCTCACCAACGTCGCTCGGCACCACTTGGCCAACCGTTCCCCGCGATTCGGTTTGTCTTTCATGTTATCGAGGCATACGCTCAAAAGTTTCATCGCCAGAGGACCGCTCAAGCGCCCGACCGTGGTTTCAATCACGCGTTTATCGTGCACGGAGAAGCACCTTTCCAATAACTGCACGTCATCCGCGGCTAACGCTTGCGCGAGAAGCGTCGCCAAAGAGTCCGCTTTCGGTGGCACGAACGATGGTGCCGCCGTCGCGTCTTTATCGTCGTCGTTCTTCGTCGTCGTTGTCTTCTTTTCCGAGGTGGTGGCTCCACCCCCATTGACGGAAACTTCCAACGCTCTCACTCGCTCTCCGAGCGTCCGCATGTCGTCGTCGTCGTCTGTTTCCTCTTCAAATTCTTCTCCGTTTTTGTTGTTGTTGTTGTTATTACCATCGTCGTCTACTTCTTCTTCTTCTCCTTCTTTTGTTCCTCTTTCTCCTCCTCGGCTTTTCCTTTTCGATTTGCTCAAAGTGCTGCTCTTCTTCTTCCCCGGCGGCTGATGATGATGATGATGCGATTGATTTATCTCGTCCTCCTTTTCGCCGCCTCTTTGTTGTACTACTAATACTTGTTCCTCTCGTTCCCGAGAAAGAATAGGAGGAATCCCATCGATGACGTGAACGACCTTGTTGTTGTTCGTGCCGCTCTGCTTCCGTCGCGACGACATCTTCTTCTTAAATACCTCTCTTTTTGCCGTTGTTGTGCACTCTCTCCCTTCTTCTTCTCTCGCTTAAAGAATACTTACTACTAAGTGTGTTTTGGTGTCTTGACAAATTATTCGACAGCCAAAAAGAGTGAAGAAGAAGGAAAAGACGAAAAAAAAAAATCAAAAATTTTTTTTTTTCTCTCGTCGTCTGTTCTCAAATATCTCGTCACTTTCATCAGCTCTTCTTCTCTTTCGAGAAGAAGAAGTTAAAGAGAAGAAGAAGGAGAAGACGAAGAACACAGAAGAACCACAAAGAACCACCTCATCTCTTCTTCTCGAACCACACTTAAGTACACGCAACAAAAGTGATCATGCGTTTAAAAGACGAGGAGGCGTGGAGGAGGCTACAAAAAAATTAGTAATTTGAAAACGCGCGCAAACAGATTTTGCGCAAAAAGCACGGAAGAAGAAGAAAAGAGAGACAACGAAACTTTTACGACGACGATGACGGGCGAACAACAGCACGAACCACCAGGAAAGCCGACTTTATTATCGACGTGTTTCCTGTGTTGCAAACCGAACTTCGTTCCGAAACGACCTCGGAAAGTCGTCCAGGACGTCCTCGCGTCTTTGCAAAAAGACGAGTGGCTCGGTCCGATTTTTCTTCCCAACGACGTCCACTCCAAACGAGTCCACCAGTCGTGCGGTCTGTGGTGCCCGGAAGTGTATTACGACCACGAGAAAGAACGACTGAGGAAATTACCGGACGCGATTCAACGGTCGAAGAAAATTCCGTGTCATAAGTGTAAACAGAAAGGCGCGGCGATCGGGTGCGTCGTTCCGGAATGTCCGAGGAGTTACCACTTGATTTGCGCGCACGACGATAAGTGCGCGTTTAACACGAGCACGTATTCGTTGGCGTGCCCGATGCATATTAAACGGTTGACGAGTAAAAACGCAATCGAGTGGACGAATTTCGCACTGGAGGAGTTGTTACATCCCAAAGAGGAGGAGGAGGATGAAGGAAACGAAGACGCGTTGGAAAGAGATTCGGAAGACGAGTTTAACGGTGAGAACAAAAGAAACAACGCCTCGAGATTTAGAGTTTCGAGAACAATCGCGGACGACGGTATGTCGTACTTGCCGTTAGCGGCGGCCAGAGCTGGCGCAGAGATTAAACCGAGAGGGAATAAAGCCGCGCGATTCGACCACACGTTCGCGCGAAGTCGCGAGGCTTTGATTCGTAAATCCGTCCAAGACGCCGAACGGAGAGAACGGAAACGGAAAGAAAACGAAATAGACGAGATTATTCTACACGCGAACAACGACGAGTTGGCGTTTCACAAACGAGAGAAAAACAGAAAAATGAAAGATACGACGCGGATCGAACGCTTCACCGTCGGAGGCGGGAGTGTAAATACGGAAACGAACACGTTTGGCCATCCCGACGGGTGGGATTCCATCGCCGGTAACCCGGAGATTATACACGCGTTGAAAGAAGTGACCGTTTTACCGTTGTTGTATCCAGATATTTTTAAAGGCGTGGGTGTGAATAAAGCGCGCGGGATTTTACTCCACGGCGCGCCTGGGACCGGGAAAACCGCCGCCATTCGCGCGTTGGTTGGCGCGGTTGCGAAGCAGAATATGAAGAGAGTCAACGAAGGCGGCGGCGAAGACCAACAAAAAATAACCTTCTTTTGTCGCAAAGGCGCGGACTGCTTGGGTAAATATTCCGGCGAAGCAGAAAGAACGTTGCGATTGATCTTCGAAGAGGCGCAGAAATGCGCTCCGAGTGTCATATTCTTTGACGAAATGGACGGATTAGCTCCGAACCGAGCGAACCAAGCGAGCGATTCGTCCAACATTCACGCCTCGGTCGTGACGACATTATTATCGTTAATGGATGGCGTTTCCGATCGCGGACAAGTCATCGTCATCGGCGCAACAAATAGACCAGACGCTATCGATCCAGCGTTGCGACGTCCCGGTCGGTTCGACCGAGAAATCTTATTCTCGTTGCCGAACGAAGACGCGCGATTCGAGATTTTAAAATGCCACACTTCGAAATGGACGCCCAAACCGCCTACGGATGCAACATTGCGTTGGGTCGCGAAGGAAACGAACAACTGCTCCGGTGCCGATTTACGCGCGACGTGTAACGCGGCGTTGATCTCATCCTTGATGCGGTTTTTGCGAAATCAATTGTTAGTGAATCCTCCGACGATTACTCGCAACGTTCACAAAGCGAAAAAGACAAAAAACAAACTCCTCAACGAGTGTTTCCAGAGCAGAGACGAGTTAATGGCGATGTTTGACCACGCGTTACCGGAGAACGAAACGACTAAGAAACTCAAGAGTTTCGTCACGAAACAGCACGAGACGGACGTCGTTCGTCACGTCGGTCGCGAGTTGACGTTGCGAGGCTGGGACGCGTTGGGCACTCGCGTGGAAGTGTATTGGTCCCGAGCGAACACGTTTCGTCGGTGCACGATATCCTCGTTCGATCCTACAACTTTGCGACACAGATGTGAATACGATGACGTCGAAGGTTCGATGTTTCGAAACGGCGAGAAGATTATCCGCGAGGAGTGGTTACCTTTGTTTCGTCCCGGGACCCTGGTGAAAATTTTAAAAGCTGAAGACGAGGATCGAGAAATTCTCGACGAGGCGAAACGGAACACGATTATTGAAATCGCCGTTCGCGCGAACGCGTTGAAGAAACGACACAAAGAAAGTTTAGAATCCTTCGTGTTGGCGCAAAGCAAAGGCGAAGTAAAAGGTGTGGAGCGCGCGGATTGGAGAGTTGGTTTGGAAAAGCACAGCGGGAACAAGGCGTCCTCGAGAAGGTCGTCGGCGTTCGCGCGCGCGCCGGTTGGAGAGGCGTTACCGAACTATTTAATCGGCACGACAAAACTTCACGAATGCATAACGTCGGCGTCCAAACCGATGAAGAAAATAGGTGGATCTTTGAGTAAAATTCTGTTCGCAAACTGTCCGGCGCAAACGTCTTTACTCGGATTAGCGAGTCTTCAATTACAGTTGGATCCGGTGAAAGTCGTGTGTCAAATCGACTTGGCGTCCATCCTCGAACGCGGCGACGGCGACGCGTTGATCGGCACGCAAAGAATATTGAGCGAAAACTTGGTGAAATTAAAAATCGCCGAAGGCGAAGACGAAGAAGACAACGTCATTCTTTTGCTCTTACCAAAACTCGAGACGTGGGCGCTCGCCGCCGAGATGCACGAAAGCGACAGGATGGAAGGAGGGGGAGGGGGAGGCGTTTTAACCACCTCCAAAGCATGGGATTGCGTCGCGCAAACCGTGGACGACTGTCGCGGGCGGGGTATCGAGAACGTCTTCCTTGCCGCGACGTGTGCGTTTGATTCGAAACATTTACCGAAATCCATGCGCGCGTTTTTTACGACAAAGACGTATTCAAATGTCGGCGACGTGTTGGACTTGGATGCGTTGAAAATGAAGTTGGCAGAGAACGTCGTCTCGGCTTCGTTCGTTCCCGTGTTCTTTCGAGAACTTTTACGGTTAGAAGAAGAACAAGAAGAACAAGAAGAGGTTGAATACGAGGACGAGGACGATCACGAAGAAGAGGAAGAACAAAAAGAGGAAGAAAAGGAACGCTCCGATTTCATCTTACTCAAACGTCTTCAAAAAGAAAACGACGACATCAGTTCCGAGTTGCGCCTGTTAACCGCGCACTTAGTCCGTTTAGACCGCTTGAAACCGTTTTTTGAGAGCGAAGCTGGCAGGTTTTGGAGAGACGTGGACGCGAACACGTGCTTGTCCTCTCTGGACGAATTCGTGGAGTCGTTACAGTTGGCGACGGCAAAAATCACGCGTGGCCGCAATCCAAAGTTCATCTTAGGTAACGGGAAGAAGATGGCGTTGCGAAGCGCCGCCTCGTATTGCCTAGATTTGACCGAGGAGTTCATCGTCGCCAGAGGTTTACGACAAATGCAAAAGAAAAGCGACGAGACGAAGAAACAGTTGACGATGTTGAAAGCAGCGGAACCTTTGAACGACGACGACGAGGATGGAAAAGAAGAACAAGAGAACAAGAAGGAAAATAATGTTCAAGTGAAAGCGACGACGACGACGACTCGAAAGCGCAAACGCAGAACATCTTCCTCTCTCCGTCATCGCTCTGCGCCAGGAATAAACGCGACGATTAAAATCAAACGTACCGTGTTACAACCGATACTAAAAGCCGTGGCGGAAAAGATGATGTTCGTTACGTCCTCCACGACGACGACACCGACTCATCTCACCGTCGAAGACGTCTTGCGCGAGAGAGACTCGCTCTCGATAACTCTCGCTCGCCGCGCGAAGCTCGCCGCCGCGAGAGCCTTCGAGAAGAGAAAACGTTTCTTCTTCGCTTTTGATAAAACAAACAACGAAGAAGATACAGACGAAGAAGACCGGATAGTGAAGAAAATCAACGAAGATAGTGCTCGCGATGATAGCGACGATAGCCATTTAGCTCTCATCCTCCGTTCCATGATGGATGGTATTTTATAAATTGAAACATTTCTTTTTACTTTTTTTAATTAAAGCAGATTGAAATTTTTAAAACGCGTACCAACAACAACACAACAACACACACACACACGAATAATAATAACAATAATAATAATAATAATCGGACACAAACTTTTACTTTTATCACGACTTTTAAACGATGGGAGGAGAGACAAAAGAAACCGAGTCAGACCCGAACTGGTTCCAAAAGAACTACGATATAGACGACACGGAAACGTTCTCTTTGCATTACGACAAAGATTTCCACGCTCGAAAATACGAAATGTTGGAAGTGTCGGATGAGATTTACGAGCAGCTAATGTCCGACGGAAACGACGGCACGATCGAGTTTAAAGGCGAACCAGAGGAAGAAGCGGTGCTGTGCACGAAGAACAAAACGTTCGTGGTGAAACGAGTGGATACTTCGAACACGTTACTGTTGTGCGCACCTCCCGGGAAGTTTGACGACGGGACGATTGAGAGAGATGCGGATGGGAAGAAAATAGCGAAAACGCACGCGCAAGTGTCCTCGCATTTAGATTTGACGGAAATCGCGCCCAGATTGGAGAAGTTGAAGATGTTTTTAGAGAAGAAGTTTATGATTACGAAATCCTCTGTCGAAGAGGAAGAATTAGAAGAAGATGGAAAGAAAACTTCAAAATCGTCTTCGTCGTACGGGTTTGATTTTTTGCTCTCGAAAGTGCAAGCGAGCGAGATGGAGTTGAAGGACGCGTTGGAAAATCCGTCGAGTTTGATTAACGCGGTCGAGGTTGGAGAGAATAGATGGAGAGGAATAGACGAAGAGGCAATTGAGTACGTTTTAGGGATTGTCATGGCGAGCGCGGTGGAGAGTGGGAAGTATGATTTTAGTAAAAGTGAAGACGTGGGGATGACCGCGCCGGAGGCGTTTGAGTTCACGGAAAAGAAGTTTCCAATGGAGGTGTTAGATCTCGTTTTGAAAAAGTTTGGCTTTACTAACAAAAACATGAATTCTACGCTCTTGGGGAAGAAGAGAGCAAGGGAGGAAGAAGGAGGAGGAGAACAAGAACAAGAACGAGGAGTAAAAACAACGAAAGATTTAGTCGTGCGGTTCAAGTTGGAGCGATACATCAAGCACAGATTCGAGCAAAACGCAAAATTCAACTACTTGGAAGCTATCAAAGCCGTCAACGAAGAGATTATCATCGACGAGTTTAAAATCGATATCGATGAGGATAAGAAAACGATGGATGCGCTGTTTGCCGGATTGGCGTTTTTCGCCTCCGAGAACGAGTTCAAACGAAACGTTGCGAGCGCGTTAGTCGCGAACGCGATGCCGAGAGAACCAAAAGATAGATTCGCAGTCTTGTGGAAATCAAAGCCGAAATGGTTGTTAACAGAATTAGAGCCGTATTTGGAAGGGATGGTGAAAACTCCCGGGATGACGCGAGAGGCGATGCTGTTGAAATATTGCCGAGTTTCGTCCGGGAGCAAAAAAATTGGCGGCGAAATTGGTGGGGACTTTTACAGCAAACGGTGAAGTAGACGGATGTAATTAATACACACAAAATATATAAACCGCGCTGGAATCACTGTAGTAATATATAGTACTCCCATCTACAAGCAAAAAATAAACGGGCTTTGCCGATAATCGAAATCGGGGCCTCCCCCATGTTTAGAACATTTCACTAAGGTTTTACCCGAAGGGGGAATCATACCACTAGACCACAAAGCCATTATAGGAATGGATTTCGCGCGATGAAAATCGCACAGCATTTGCGCATTATTAAGGGTTTACGGCCGAAATTAAGAAATAAGTATGTCACATTCAGACCCTAAAAAAAAGAGAAAAAAAGGGAAAAAAGGGAAAGAAGTGCTTTAAAAAAGTCGTCGACGACGACGACGATGACGACGACGGGATTACCACGCGCGTCGTCGTCGCATCGTCAGGCTTTTCCTTCGTTTCGTCGTCGTTGTTGTCGTTGTTGTTGTTGTTGTTCCCGAGTTTTATACCGCCGCAACAAAGAACAAATTACCCTTGACCAACTAAGAAGAAGAAGAAGATATTATTATCCAAAAGCGCACCCAGAAAGAGAAACGAAAGAAGAAGAAGAAGAAGAAGAAGAAGAAGAAGAAGAAGAAGAAGAACGCGACGACGTCGTTCGAATCAACGAGCGATTTCACTGGAGCAAGAAACTTTCGAATTCTGACGAGGACACGATTACGAGGGATGATTTGCGGATGATGCCGAAAGAGTACTTTAACAAAAAGAACAACAACACCAATACTAACATTCAAGAAGTGCATCGAGATCGAGACACGTCGGTCTTGGTGACCGACGAGCAATTGCAGAGAGAGTTTTTCAGGGACAATCGCGACCGCGAGATAGAATCAGAAGAAGACGGCGAATACTCGAAAATGAAAGAGCGCTTACTTTTACTTCTGCCGTCGCTGCGAACGACAACGAACGCGAACAACAATAAGCGACTCGTCGAAGATTTACTCTTCCGGGTCGGTCTCGAACGCGTTTCGTCTCGATTGTTGTCCATGCGGAAAATCTTCCCGACTTGCGACGTGGCCGAAATGGCCAGTAAGAATCCCAAAGTGTACTTAAACTTTAGTAGTAGTAATAGTAGTAGTGATAGTAAAATCGAACGCGGCGCCGAAGAAGACAAACGCGAAGATGCTAAAATCGAACGCGAGTGGCGAATGGAAATCGATACATTGGAAGACATGTTCCCATTCGCCGGCCAAAACGGCTTACCAAACGTCCAAAGAATGGTACAAGCCGTGCCTCAAATGCTCGATTCTCGCTTTGTCCAAAGAAGCATCCAAGCTTTGATCTCCTCGAAATTAGCCGAGGACGAGCTCGACGCGAAAACGAAACTGCACAAAAATCCGCGTTTGATATTAAACGTGGAATCCTCCAGCAACCGATCGCGGTTCGAGAGCGCGAGTCATTTCGATCAAACCAACGTGAAAAGGAATAAAGTTGTCTTCCACGATTCGAAAGTGAGGGAGACGTATTACGATACTTCGTAATAAAAGTAGTAATATAATAAGAGGACTCGCAGTAGATGTGAATAATGTGAGCACTTTAACTTGTTTTTTTTGGATGTTTTGGATAAAAATTGCACGCAAAAAACACACACAAAAACACACACAAGACACACATGCGCGCGCACTCCTCCTTCTCCTTTTCTTACTTTTGCACGACAAACCACAGGGCGAATACAAACAACACCACTACGACTACTTCCACGACTGATTATTCCAGAAGAATTTTAATGATATACAACGCGAGAAAAGCAAAAATCGAGCGCGACCGACGACGACGCATCCAACAGCAGTCGACGTTAGATGACGACGAAAGGATGAACGAAGAAAACGTCGACGACATCGAGGTGAATTTAGATGTTGCCTTAGCGAATTGGACCAGAGAACGACGAGGTCAAACGTTGTTTCAAACGTTTATCGAAGAGAACGAGGCGTTCGAGAGTTCCCAATACGATCTTTTCCACGGCGCGTGTTTGATAGCGATGCACGCGAATCCAGAGTTGGACGTAAACGAGCAGAAAAATCGAGTGAAAGCGTTGGCGGAGGAGGTGGAGAAAGAGTTGCCGGAAAACCGAGAGGAGCGCTTTACCTTGCGTACGATTAAGAAAATCTCCACGCTTTTATTCAACAAAGAGGTGAATCCAGAGACGGCGTTTCAAGGGAATCTGGAGGATTATTACGCCGTCGGAAACTCGTGCGTGGACAAAGTTTTGGATACGAAGCGAGGAATTCCGATTACGTTATCTTTGATATACATGGAAATCGCGAAAATGGTCGGAATTAACATGGTTGGCGTGAATCTTCCCGGACATTTTATGATTCGCCCAGCAGATGTGCCCGAATGTGAGATTTTAGTCGATTGTTTTCACGATGGAGACGTGTTGTTCGTAGAAGACGCCGAAGAAATGCTCTCCAAACTGTATAGACTACGGAAAGGCGAACGAGTCACCATCGATAGATCTTTTCTGGAAGATAACCACTTAAAACCGAGAGCATTTTACACGAGAATGCTGACGAACCTCAAGTCCATATACTTTAACAAGAGCGATTACAAGAACGCGTTGGCGATGTGCGAATACCAGAAGTACTGCTCGCCGGATGGGGCGATAAGAATAATGAACGTGAGAGACTCTGGGATGTGTCATTTTTTACTACACAACTACAGCGACGCAATGTTAGACTTAACGGAATATTTAGAGTCTGAGTATTCCAGCAATATCAGCGCGGAAGATAGAGCTAGCGTTCAGAACATGCGAGATCAAGCGAGGTTGCACTTATCGCGCTTTTAGGAGGATTAAAATATTAGCCGTTCGATTAAATCATCATCGTCGTCCTCATCATTAGTTAGTGTACACTATTTCTATTATTATTATTATTACCCACTACAACATAATCTCTCTTCTATGCTATTTCTATATTCCTATCATCATCATCATCATCATTTCGTGTACGCTCGTCGCGCCATCTTCTTGTTATGCTTCTTCTTCTTCTTGGACATCGAGCCTATAAACACCGGGAGCTCTACCCGTTCCTCGTCCTCGTCTGCGTCACCCTCTTCCACTCCTTCTTCTCGCATCATCAGCTCCTTCTCTAGCTTCTGCTCCAAAACCAACTCAATTTCCGCTTTCCTCGCCATCATGATCTTCTTCCTCTTCTCGATCGGAAACGCTTTCCCGCTGTATTCCATCTTCCCAACCACGCCTCCAGATTTACTCTTCAACGATTTGACCAAAATCTCCTCCCCGGGTTCGCTCACGCACGTTTTCAAATCCACCTTCCTCTCGTCCGGTTTCGAGCTCGATCCGTGCACCGTCGGCACCTCGCTTTGTGTTCTTTTCCTCTCCAATCGCTCCATCATTTCTTTCTTCTCCTCTTTTTTCCTTTTCGCGAACGCTTCCATGAACGCCGCCTTTTGCAAGTACACATCTTTCGTTTTTCTTCTCGTCAGGTGCGTTTCGCGACTGGTGTGTTCATATTTGCGACCGATGCCTTTCGAGCGCGCTCGGTGCATTCTTACTGTTTATATACACTTCGTCTTCTTCTCTCTCTCTCGTTTCTTCTTTCTACGCGTGATAAAAGCCCAAAGTGTGTGTGTGCGCTCTCTTTGTGTGAGAAACGTCCAAGTTTTTGTTCGTGCGTGCATTTTCCCCCAAACCAAACGAAAAACATTTTCAAAAACCACCCAAACGGCATAAACACAAACACACTTACACGTAAGTATGTTTGAAAAGCTCTTCGCGTGGTGCGGGTTACACCGCCCCGGGAAAGAAGACGGTAAAGAGAACGCGACGACGACTGGAGGATCGGACGATCTCGCGATCGACGACAACAGCTCCGACGTCGGTTCGGAAGCCGGGAGTTCCATGATCTCGGTGGAAGAACTCGACCCGGTCACCGGGAAACCGACGAGAGTTTTGAAGAAGAAGAAAAGTTTAATCGGCCGAGCGTACCGGAAGGTGACGAAATCGAGGAGCGGGAAAAATAAGAAAAGCGGTGGTGCAGAGGAGGACGGGGTAGCAGCGGCGGGAGGAGTAGCAGGTGGTGGGGCGTAGAAGGATCAAGGAGAGAAAAGAAATGAATATCCGAACGGACTAACGGACACTCTCGTCAGGAAAAGGAAACAAAAAATTGAACACAACGCGAAAGAAGTAAATACTCCACGCTCGAAAAGTGAACGACGAGAGCGAGAGAGAAAGCGCGACGAGAAACAACAACAACAACAACAACAACAAGAGAGAGAGAGAGAGAGATCGAGAGGAATCTTCTCTTTATTTATATATATATTTTTATAACGTTTTGTACTATTATCACACACACGCACCAAAAGCTCTGCTCGTGTACAAATATCTGCGCTTCGTTTCCCTGTCCAGGCTGTCCTCTCGTTCCCCAAAGGTCACGTGAAAAACCTCACAACGCACCCAAAGCGCGCTGCTCGGAGTAAAAGAAAAGAAAGAGCTTTCTCTGCTCTCTCTCTCTTTCTCTCTCGTCCTCACTTTTTGCTGGTCTCGCTTCTCAATCTCGCGTAACACGTATACTATGTTTGATTTCCAAGCCTGTTGCGGGGGCGCGAGAACGGGGAAGAAGAAAAAAGCATCCGATGATGATGATGATGATGCTGACGGTGATGATGAAAATGAATGCAAAAAGAAGAAGAGGATGCCAGAGCTGACCATATACGGATTAGAGAAAATCGAAGAGAGCAACGAAGAAGAAGGCGAAGAAGAAGAAGAAGAGTCCGATGAAGAAGACGAGCTTGAGGAGGAAAAGAAAGACGACAGCGCGAAAGAGTCCGAAGAAGATGAAGATGATGATAAATCCACCCCTGGGCTTCGTCTTTCTCCAAAAATTCTCGTTGAGAAGAAGAAAACGAGCAGTAGTCTAGTCGCGCAAACGCGAGCGGCGAAAGCAGCCGCCGCAGTAGCAGCACAATCAACAACAACAGAAATACAACCGACGAAAACGAGAAATAAGAAAGAGAAGAGAGAGTTTCGTAAAAAAATGGCCGAGGAGAAAGCCGAGCAGCAACTGGAACGCCGAGCGAAGAAGCGAGGGAACGACGGCGGGCAAGGGAAAAGGAAAGGGTCGAAGAGCAAGAAGGCGTTTTTGCAATCGAACTTTAAGCCGACGTTGGCGTTGTAAAGAAACAAATGTTTTTATGTATTGTTCTATCCTAAAATCTGTTGTTAAAAGTTTTACGCTCCTTCTTCCTGCTTCGCTTTCGCTTTCGCGCGCTTCTTGGCGTTTTTCTTGGCGTTGCGAGACCGAGTATCCAATGGGGCAGCATTCGGATCCACTCCAGTTTCGTTCTTATTTGAAGACTTATTTCGTTTACCCCACGCGGAGGAGGCGTACGACGCCATGCGCGCTTCTTTATCGTCGTCGTCATCATCATCGTCGTCTTCTTTATCGTCTTTATTCTTGCGCTTTTTACCGTCGCCTCGTTTCTTCTCGTCTTGCCTCTTTTGCTTCAAGAACTTCTCGGCCAACTCGCGCGCTCTCGCGCGATTTTTCGCGCTCAAGAACCCTTCGTCTTCTCTGTACGGCGCGATTTTCTTCAAACTGACTATTTGATTTAAATCCTTATCGTCCAAGGAGAGAATTTCGCGCGTAGTTAAGCCGTAGTTGGACGGCGCGACTTCTTTGTATTGAAACCGAGTCGGTAATCCATCGACGAAATCTTCGTAATCGAGGGAATAAAACTCATCCATTTTCTGCTGCAACTCTTTCTTCCATCGCTTCAAAGCGCGTTTGGAGTACACGTTTTCTTGATTTTGATCGTTATCGTCGTCGTCGTCGTTTTGATCATCTGCTGCGTCTCCGTCTCGCTCCTCTGCCGCGTTGTCGTCGCTATCGTCTTCATCATCATCTCCGTCCAATAAATCCTTCTCGGCTTGTAACTTTGCGTCTACTTTTGCCATGTTCTTCCGAATCTTCTCGAAGCGTTCGTTTTCTCTCGCGTTGACCTCCTCTGGTGCTTTCATCAACACCTTCAACTCGTCCTCTACATCGTCGTCAAACTCCGGTTTAATTGGGTTCCCGTCTTCATCCTCCAACTCTTGATAGGCTTCGTCGTTCTCTTTACTCTCGTACAATTCTCGCATCGCCCGATCGTGCGCGTCTGGATCAAATTCTTGAGTTAAATCGGCAATCTTTGCCGCGTCAGTGCCGGAAATGCCACCAATTTTCGAAATCAAATCGACTTTTTTACGAATCTCTTCTCTCTTTAAGTTCTTCAAGCGTTTGACTTCCTCCATCAACTTTTGCCGCTCGGTCTGTTTCCTCTCTTTTACGCTTTGTCTCTTCTCGCGACGACGGGTGTCTTCGCGACGAAGCGTCCCGTCGATGTTTCTCGCGTGCGACCGAATAGATGTCCCCCCTGGCTCTTCGAATCGGAAGTTGTATTCGTGTTCAAACTGTTCTTGTCTTTCTAAATCTTCCTCGGAGGAATCCGAATCTGAATCTCCTCCGTTTGTTCTTCCATCGGCGTTGATATCCGTCCATTTGCGATTGACGATGTAATCTTTCAAAAACTCGTCCTCGTCTTTCAAAACCTCGGCTAACTTTTTCTTATTCTCGTCTTCTATTTTATGAGTGCTGTCCTTCGCGTTGTTGTTGTCGAATTTCTCTGCGCGTTTCTTCACGACTAATCCTCCGATGTCGTCGTCTGAATCTGAATCTGAATTTCCGTCGTCGTCGTCGCCGCTACTACTACTACTGTTATTGCTCCTGCTATTACCGGCGGCGCTTTTGAACGCCTTCTTCAACGCCTCTTGCTCTTCCACGTACGACGGGCCGGCATCTTTGTTTCGTTTGCCTAACCCATCTTCGTCGTCGTCCGATTCGTACGTCCTGGCGCCGCCTTCGAGCAAGTCTCTCGCTTGCACTTCCCGCAACGTCATCTTCTTCTTCTTTTTCTTCTTCTTCTTTTTATCGGAGTCATCAGGTCCAGAATCGGATTCAGACTCCGAAGAGGAGGAAGAAGAGGAAGATTCGTCGTACAACTTCGCGTTCGGATCGTACACCGACGGATCTTTATTCTTCAACTTTGTCAACACGTCCACGAACTGCTTCTCTTTCGTCTCTGGAATATCGCCCTCGTCCGAACTGCTGCTCTCATCATCGTCGTCATCATCAGAATCGCTGCTCCCATCGCTCTTCTTCTGTTTCATCATCATCCCTTTCACTAAATACTCTTTCCCGACTTTTTCTTTCAACCGGTGTTCCTCTTTCCTCCGTTCGTTGTGTTCGAAGCGCGAGGCAAATTTTTGGTTGATTTTCAGCGTGTCTTTTTTTTTCATCTTCTTCTTCTTCTTCTTTTCCTCGTCGTCGTCGGAAGACAAAGAAGAAGAAGAAGAAGAAGAAGATCCATCCTCGTCGCTTTTATGACGGTCAAACATTACGCGAGAAGAACAGTCTCACTTATAGTCGCAGAGCTCTCTTCTTTTTCTTTAACTGATACTACGTGTTGATGATGATGAATGAGATTCCAAACGAGTAGTAAATTCCAAGTGAAGTGCAGACGTGTTTTGGCGGCGGTTGCGCTCCTCTTTTTACTCTAGAGCTCCTCTTTTTGCTCCTTTTCCTTCTACGAGAGCAAAAAAAAAATGAACACGCGAAAAAAATGAACAAAAAAAGGAGGGACTTTTTGATGAACGAAAGGGGGGTCAAGTCGTCACATATTTATTCGTATATTACAGGAGTACAGGAGTAACACACACACACAGTATTCCTCGTAACTGCGCGCAAAACAAAGAGAGCGAGAGAGAGAGAGAAGCGGAGAGGCGCGAAGCACTTTTTTTATCGACGATGAATGCGACGACGACGATGCGGCAACAAAAACGATTCTTCGTCGACAACAACAAAGGGGTTGTTTTTTCTCTTCTTTTGTTCTTCGTTTTTGCGTCGTTGTTCTCTCTAACTGTCGTGAATGCGTTCGAGTCGCCGGCGAAAGCTTCCCTGAAAGCGTTCGAAGTCGTGACGTTTTCAAAAGTAGAAACGACGAGGGCGACGAAATCATCTTTAACTTCCTCTCCTGACGATGATACTGATGAAAAGATTACCGCGGTTGAATTCACCGCGTTCGGGACGCACTTTCGCGTGAACGTGGAACAATCGTACAAAAAATTTCTCAAAAATGGCGCCTTGTTCGTGGACCAATTGAACGGAAACGAACCGAAGTCGATCGATTGGGTGAATACGCTCGAGTTGGAACGAGAGAAGAAATGCTTTTACGACGGTAAAACCGTGCTTTCTTCTTCTTCGACGACGACTGCGGGAACGAAAAATGCGAATAACATCGCGTCTGGGAATCTTTGCCCGGGGGGATCTCGCGCGCACTTCAACGTCGTCGCGAAGAATGAGAGCATTTCTTTGGCGTCGCCGCACGCGGACTTTACCGAGGACGTGGCGCAGGAGAAGATGAGACGGCGAAGAAGCCGTTCGCTTTTACAGGATGATGACGCGGATGGCGATGATTCGATTGCGACCAGTGATAGAATCAGTTTGAGTAAGAAGTTACGATCGACGTATTTCATCGCCTTTCGAGCGGAAGACGAACTCGACAACAACTTGGAAGGGACCAGATTCGACGAGGTAATGTATAAACCTGGGACCACCGCCGACGACGAACACGGACACAAGAAACGAATGCGACGAAGGCTTAATCACGCCGGCGAACATTGGACTGCTCAGTTGGAAACGTACGTCATCATCGATATGAAACGCTCCGCGGACTACATAAATGATGGGAAGACGGATATGGATTGCATCATGGATTCGTTGGCGGTTATGAACTTTGTCAACGCGCTTTACGACGGGGTCTTTGATGTCGAATTAAACGTGGTCGTGAGTGGATTCGGTATCTTTAGCGCGAGTCAAGGAAATACTGTTTCGGACGGTAATCTTGGAACGTCGGAACCGTGGACGCACGCCACGCTTGCGGACGATACCGAGGCGTGCGATTATTGTGAAAATGATGATGAAGTCGACGTGGAAAAATTCTTAGACAACGTTTCGAATTGGGTGGTTGAGCAGGATGCTTCTTTTTTCAACGGCGCGGACGATGTCGTTGTACTGTCTGGACACGATTTTGACGGCGGTACCATTGGACTTGCGTGGTTGGGTACGGTTTGCGCAACATGGGCGCAAAACGTAAACGAGGTCAGATACACCAATACGTTGCGATACAGCGCTGCAACCGTTGCGCACGAAATAGGACATAACCTTGGATTTCCGCACGATGGTGATGGCGATTCTGGCACAGAGAGTTGCCCTGCTGCTGGATTAATTATGGCCGCGCTTGCGGGTAATGAACTCGAAACGCAATGGTCGACGTGCTCGAAAGACGTATACAACGATAAAATCGAAGACATGAAGTCGTGCTTGACTCAAGGGAATACCAACGTTTGCGGTAACGGAATCGTTGAAGAAGGTGAAGAGTGCGATTGTTACGGTAAAGATTGCACGAACACTTTATATTACGGTGCAAATGAACAAAACTGTTGCGATGCGTCCACGTGTAAACTGAAAACAGGTAAAACGTGTTCGAGTTACCACGACGGCTGTTGTACCGACGCGTGCAGCATCGCGGCGAAGGATGTCGTGTGCAGAGCCGCCGCTGGTGAAGGTGGATGCGATGTTGCAGAAACGTGCGATGGCGTTTCGAAATCGTGCGATTCGCGCGATTACTGGAAACCGTACGGGACAATTTGCACAGTTGATTCGAAGACGGGTGGGTGCTATAAAAACGAATGCAGAGTTGACCTTCCCCAAGCAGAAAACAAACCGTGCTTTTGGTTGTGGGGAGGTGTGTACTATGCAACAAAGAAGGGTGCTCCGTGCTCAACGGACACGATTTCTGGCGTCTACTCAAAAGTATGCGACGGTGAAGGCGCTTGCGTCTCCCCTACAATGTTGGATTACGATAACAACGCCATCACGAATACGCAAAAATGCGACGCGTCGGAGAAAACACCAGAAAACGGAAGTATCGGTGCTTGCAAAGAGTTACTCTCGCACGGCGAAACGTGTATTTTCAATTGCAACTCTGGATACTCCCTTTCCGGAGCAACCTCGTGTTCTGCAGGCAAGACAATAAGTACTGCCGCGTGCAAACCGAACTCTGTTGCAGCGATTGAATCTTCCTTGGAACTTTCGCCATACTCCGTCGCAACATTTTTGGACGCGCAAAAGACCGCCTTTATCGCGGGCATGGCTTCCTACTTGGCCGTTGAAGTCGATAAAATCACCATCACGGATATCACCGATGTTGTTTTCAGTGGCGCCGACGACGATAATTACCGGCGACGAAAATTAACCGCGACGAACGCCGTCCAAGTCGATTTCAAAGTCGAAACGTCCTCGTTCGCCAACCTCGCCGTCGTGGAAACGAAACTGGTCACCGATGACGCGACAAACTTGGTCGCAGCGCTCGATGGACAAGCTGATTTAACTGTCACTGTCAGTTCTATCAAGGCGCCAATTACCGTCGTAAAACTCGCGCCTCCGCCGAGTCCTCCTCCACCGAGTCCTCCTCCGACGAGCACTTTGATTATTTCGCCGGCGGCGCGTCGCGCCGCCTTTTCTCCTTCCGAGTTTTACTTTTTAACGTTTTTTACGAGCGTTTTACTCCTCGCGTTCGCGTAAAATGATGAATGATAAGTATTGCCTGTGTTGATTACGAGTATACCAGCTCCTTTTACGTGTACATATGTAATTCGAATTGTCTTAAAGCTTTGTATATAAACTCCTGCAACACGTGTGTGCCTACATTTTTTTTTTTTAAGAAATCAAAATCATCCTTTTTTCTCAAAAACACACGACACATTTTTCGAAGATCTCTTCGTTTGAATACTACTATTATTAACGCGTAACACTTGTTGCAACTCTCATCGTCGTCGTCATCATCGCACATATATCATCATCGGAGGAGGAGAAGTACAGAGAATATATTGTTGTTGTTGTTGTTGTTAAAATAATATGGCGGGTTCGTTGATGAAGCGCATGTCTTCTTCGTTTAAGAAGAAGAAATCCATCATCAAAGATGACGACGACGAGACGAACGCATCTGCATCGTCCTCGTTTCCGTCGTCGTCTGTATCGTCGAACGAGGAGAAAAAGATGACAGGTGGTGGTGGTAATACGAAGACTAATACGAATGGGAGTGATTACGTGGCACCGAAGAAAAGAAACGAGTTTACGTTTACGCTCCCGTCGTCCTCGGACGAACGGGACCAGAAGTGGGACGTCATCATCGTTGGCGCCGGCGTCGCGGGGGCTTCGTTGGCGTGCGTGTTAGGCGACGAAGGGAGGAAAGTGTTGTGCGTGGAACGAGACGCGACGACGCCGGAAAGAATCGTCGGGGAGTTGTTACAACCGGGCGGGTATAAGAAATTGAAAGAGTTAGGTTTAGAATCGTGCGTGGAGAACATCGACGCGCAGAAAGTGTACGGATATACCATGTATAAAGACGGGGAGGAGGCGACGATGATGTATCCGCTGGACGAGCAATCGCTGAACGATGATATCGCCGGGAGGTCGTTTCATAACGGGAGGTTCGTGCAACAGTTGAGAAGGAAAGCGTACGGGAATAAAAACGTGACTTTGAGAGAAGGGACGGTGAAGTTTTTAGTGAAAGAAAACGGGGAGACGTGGAACGACGAGGCGAACGACGGTGGCGTCGCCGGCATCGCGTACGACATCGGAGGCGACGAGTGGGTGAACGGGCAATTAGTCGCAGGAAAGGAGAAACCGAAAAGGTTTACGTCCTACGCGCCGTTGACCATCGTGTGCGATGGGCACTTTTCCTCTTTGAGGAAAAAGTTAGCGGATAATAAGATTGATCACCCTTCGCACTTTGTCGGGTTGATTTTAGACGGCGCGCCGAGCGAAATTTTAGGCGAAAACGCGAATCAAGGCCACGTGGTTTTGGGAGATCCATCTCCGGTTTTGTTCTACCCGATCTCCTCGAAAGAAGTTCGGTGTTTGGTGGATATTCCTTCACACGTGAAAATGCCTCGCGTCAAAGACGGGTCGATGGCGAAGTACGTCTTGGAGAAAATTTTACCACAAGTTCCTAAGCGCGTGCAACCGTATTTGAAAATTGCCGTCGAACGCGGCGACTTTAAGGCAATGCCGAACAAAACGATGCCGGCGAATCCGAAGCGAACAAAAGGGGCAGTTTTGCTCGGGGATTCGTTTAACATGCGCCATCCGTTGACCGGGGGTGGCATGACCGTCGCTTTGAGCGACATCGCCACCTTCAAATCGACGCTACAACCGTTGGGTCCGTCTTTCCGCGACGGCCAGTCGGACGCGTACAACATCTCCGGCATACAAAAAGCCGTCGACGAATTCTACGCGCACCGAACGCGACCGGCGTTAACCATCAACACCTTGGCCAACGCCTTGTATAAAGTCTTTACCAAATCCGAAAACTCCGGCATGGAAGAGATGCGCAAAGCGTGCTTTCAATACCTCAAGCTCGGCGGTGGATACGCTCGAGGTCCCATCGCCTTACTCTCCGGTTTAGACCCGAACCCTTTGAATTTAGTCACGCATTTCTTCGCCGTCGCGGTGTTTGGCATGGGTCGTTTACTCGTCCCGCTCCCGACTCCCGAACGGTGTTGGGAAGGCTTGAAAGTTTTAAGCGGCGCGACGCAAATCATCGTCCCCATCGTCAACGGCGAGGGAATTTTACGCATGTTCTTCCCGGCAACCATTCGAAGACGTTTGGGATACATCTGACTGAGATAAATACCCGAGATATTGGTACATAAGTAGCGCAAATTTTTAGCCCTTGATGTGAAAAAAATTCAAAGATTCAAAAAATCTCTCAATTTCTCGCTCGCTCTGATTTGTCCGCACAAATCGGATAACGACGGGGGATAACCTTAATTGACACACGCTTTACATATCCGCGCAACATATTTATGTATTTTAAAAGCACCTAAATTGCGCGCGCGCCTCTACTCGATTCGTTTTATACGTGGAATTACTCTCCGTCTCGTTTTCGCAGAAAAGTAGTTTTTGACCAACGTTATTAGTGTTTGTATTCGTTGCGCGCGAAAGCGTTCGTTTCCTCAAATCCGATGGACGACGCACATTGGAAAGCGACGGAGAGCAACGCGATGGGAGAAGGCAACGAGAACAACAACGTGGCGGATTGTTTATCGCTCCCGAGCAACGCCGCGAGAGAAAACGAACAACAACAACAACAAGAACAATGCGGTGGTGGTGATGTCGGTGGCTCGAACACCTTGTGCGGCGGCGCGACGAGTAAAAACGAAAACAACAAGGCGTTTTACAACGAGTCCACGGGGTCGAAACAAGCGAAGATGAGAAAAGTCGCGCACGAAGCCGCGTTGGCGAACGTGATGACAGATTTAGATATCATAGACAACGGGTACCGAAACTCACCGTACGTTATCGTGGACGGCGATGGAGTTTTGTTTTCCGGAGCGCCGAAACCGAGAAACGAGAAGGAGCGATTGTTAGCGGTGCGAGCGAGCGGAATTTTAGACATCGAGAACAAAGACGCGGACGAACATTTTGATTTGTTGACGTCGATTTGCGCGACGGCATTGAGAGTGCCGATGTGTTTAGTCACCATAGTAGGGAAGAACAAGCAAACATTTAGGGCGAATATTGGGTTAGATGCGACGGAGACGAAGAGGGAGAACAGTTTCTGTGGATGGACGCTGTTGCCGAAAGAACCGAAAGTATTGGTCGTGGAAGACGCGATGCAAGATTTTCGGTTTCAAACGAACGAGTTAGTTTTAGGTCCGCCGCATTTGCGGTTTTACGCCGGCGCACCGATTATCGTTCGAGGCGTGCGGTTCGGATCGTTTTGCGTTTTGGATACGAAGCCGAGGCACGACATGTCTGGGGAAGATTTGAACTTATTGACTCGATTAGCGGACGCGTGCGCGAAAACGATCGAGAAGACGGCGATGCAGATGTATTTCATGGACGCGATTGATGATAGCGATAGAGGGTTCATGTTGATCAGTTTAGGTTCGGTAGATAAAAAAGAAGAAGATGACGATTGTCGTGATAAAGAAAAAAAAGAAGAAGAAGAAGAACGAATTCCCGATGAGTACGGGAATTATATATATAATCGCGAAGACCAGGAAAACATGGACGAAGACGAAGAGGAACGCGATGCGACGATGTCCATAGTGTACGCAAACACAGCGACGAAGAGACTCTTGGGGTTTTCAAAGGAGAAAAACTTCACCGGCGAATCCTTGTATACGCTATTTTCCGAAGCGAGCGCGAGTGGACAGATCAAACCCAACCCGGGCGAGAGGAGCGTTGATGAGTTTTTCGAGGAGATTTTGAACGACGAAAACGAAGAGAAGAACGAGAAAACCGGGAAGATGACGAAGAGAAACTTTGCGAGAGAGTTTTCAATTTCAAAAGAGTTTTCGGTGACAACACCAACCACATCGGCAACTGCTAAACGAGGAGACGAGGGGAAGGACGCGACAAAAGAGAAGGAGAAAAAGAACAACAACAAGAACAACAAGAACATGGTTGAGAACATGACGCAAACGTCCTCTCGTCACATTCGCGTGGAACTTTCGAGAAAAGCGTCTACGTTTCAGCGGATACGAAAGAGCGGCGCGAAGAACTCGACGCTGTCGCCGCCGCCGACGCCTGGATCGCAAGACATCATACTCGACAACGACAATGAAGGGAGCGAGGAAGATGACGAACTCAATGCGTCGCAACACCTACCGAAAAACTTAAGTGCATTCCATGTTATTGTCGTAAATATCACGGACATCACGTGCGAAGTTAACGAACGTCTTCAATCGTTAAAGAGCGTACAAGAAAAATAAGAAAAGTCACCGCCGCTTTTGCGCTTTGTAGTATTAGTAAATATGTATTCTTACACTGCGTTGTTATTAGCACATAAATATACCCACTGCACCTGGTATAATGATTACTAATCGTCATCTTGAAACGGATACGGTTCGTCCTCGATCGGTCCTAACGACGTCACGCGCAACGCAAACTTACAATTCTTCACCACCCTCTCGCTTTCTTGCGTTTGCCCGACGTAACTAGACGACAAATCGCTCCTCAATCCGTCTTTAACAAAGTGCACTTTCACTCTCACGTTGACTGATTCCAAAGCGCCCTCCACCACGCCGCACACAACCTCGCAATACGACAAACTGTTCGTATATTTTTCCGGCAACTCCACGAAATCCGCCAAAGAGAGATCCTCGATCGCTAACGTAACGCTCTCGTGACTACTACTACTGTTACTGTTCATGTTGCTGGTACTGTTGTCATTCGTGGTGGGAGTATTACCACTACTACCGTTACTACTACTATTACTGCTCCAATCGACTAATCGACACCGCGCGTTGAGGAACATGCGAAACCCGACAAACGCCACGTTCTCCATAACCTCTCGAAACGTTTTGCACGAATCCGCCGCGTTATTACTGCCCCCGTAATAACTGCCATTCCCCACTCCGTTCCCACCACCGCCAGTATTCATCATCTTCGCCAGATACTCCTCGATCAATCGATTCCCGATCGATTTCCCAATCCCCCGTAATTTCGCATTCACGAACGAAGCGTCCCCGTTCGCGTCTCTCAACAACTGCACGAGAAACGCCCCGTACGTCAGCGAGAACAACTCCGAGTTTACTTTTTCCAAAGCGGTCGACTGAAACGTAATTCTCCCGAGTTGTTCTTTCGCGGTTTCCGTCGTCGTCGTCGTCGGTGCGTGCGCATTCACCGCGAGTGAAGAAAACGACGACGGAGACGACGATTGGTGGTGTTGGTGTTGCGTTGGATTTGGTCGCTGCGAAGGCTGCTGCGATACAGGGTAACGCGCGTTGTGTTGACTGTTGCTGTGCTGAGCGTGAGTAGGAGGAGAATGAGGAGGAGGCGGTGGTGCCGTACTCCTCAACGGAGGAGGAGGAGAAGGAGGAGGATTCATTTCTCAACGTCTTGTAATACAAAGAGAGTTGGGGGAAAATGAAGACTCAAAGGGTCCAAAAAATGATATTCGCGCGGCGCGCGAGAGTGATAAAGGGAAAGTGCTGGCGTGAAGGTACTTTTGTACGGGTATGTATTTGTACTACGCTAAGGACTATATACGAAGGCTAATGACAGAGACGCTTGTGCCTTTTCAAAGTATTAGATCGACGAAAACGCTTCTCGCACAAATCGCATTCGTACGGTTTCTCGCCCGTGTGAATAAGCTTGTGGCTTCGCAAATGACCAGAATGACGAAAACGCCACTCGCACACGTCACACTCATACGGTCTCTCGTTCGTGTGAATACGCATGTGCCTTTTCAAATTACCAGAATCACGAAAAGCTTTATCGCAAAAATCACATTCGTACGGTTTCTCGTTCGTGTGAATGCGCATGTGGGTTTGCAAATGACCAGATTGACGAAAACACTTCCAGCAAACATCGCATTTGTACGGTTTCTCGTTCGTGTGAGTACGCATGTGTCTGGTCAACTGTGATGGATATCGAAACACCTTCTCGCACACATCGCACTCGTGCCCTATCTTTCTCTTCGCTCCTTCCCTAACAGTTATCTCTTCTTCTCCTTCTTCTACTCCCTCTTCTTCGTCTTCTTTTTGTATCTGATTTTGATTCGCCTCGAGACCATCCTCCTCATCATCAGGAATCCTCAAACACAACACCAAATTTGGTTCTTCTTCTTCTCTCGAAACCTTCAAAACCGTCCTCCTCGCGTTCACCGCTCTTTTCGGATGTGGACTCTTTCTTCGTCTCGCGGTAGTATACGTACTCGTACGCGAGACTTTAGAGGGGAGGAGGAGGTTGACTCCTACGGTGCGCATGTCTTTATTTTGTGTGATCAGAAAGGAGGAGGAGAAAAAAAAAAGTAGACGCTCGTGCAGAAGACGAAAAAAAAAACAAGCAAAAAAAAAACAAGCAAAAACCTCAAAAAAGAACCCGTTGGTTTTCTCTTCTTTGTGGGGTAATTTGAGCGCACCAACGACATAAATTAAGACACAGAAAGGACACATCATCACGTATAATACCATGTTGGGAACAACGACCGCCTCGACGAGCGCGTCGAGGACGAGCAACAGGAGCGCCTCGTCTTCTGTCTCTTCGTACTCTTCGTCTGTCTCTCCTTCTTCGGTTTCGTGTTCTTACCGGCGGAAAAGATTAACGAGAAGAACGAAAACACGTCAGCAGCCGATCTCCTCCGCGCGCGAGAAAACCACCGCGACTTCTTGGTCTTCTTCTTTCACTTCTTCTTCGGCGAGAAGCGGCGTAAACGACGGCAGAATGAATTCCTGGACGAACTGCTCGACGAGTTCTTCTTCTTCTTCTTCTCTGTTTCTTAGTCGTCCTCGCGCGACGAGAGATTACGACGGAAGAGGATGTGATGAGAGTTTTTCTGCGTCGAGACGAGATCAAATCGTCGTCGTCTCGGAGGCGAAACTGCGAAACCGAAAAAATAAACATCGAACGCGTGCGATTCTTCCGGACTCGAATACCTCAGCAGAGACAGCAAATAATAGCAGTAGCACAAGCAACGGAATCGAACAGGTGGAAGGCGCGCAACCGCTGGACGAAACGTACGCGATTCCGGGCGTCCCGCCTCTCGCGAGCGACCAAGAGGCGAAGAGAGACGCCGTGCGAAGAGTGTCTCGGTTGAGCTCTTTAGTCGCGTTGAAAGATTTGTATCGAGAACTCATCGAAGCGGCTACTTTATTGGAAGAGCTGAAAGATTTCGACGCGACGCCTCTGCAGGATGATTTGAAAGGGTCGTTTGAGTACTCCGATACGAGCGGCGGCCAATCCTCTCAACAAGACGGGGAAACCGTGGTGAGTTTAGAAAAGAGATGTTCCAACTTTGAAGCGGTGTTGGAGCAAGTGGAGAATATCTTTCAAAGTCGCGAGCGGTTGCAAGAGAAGCTTGGGTTTATGGACGCGCCTTTGACCGCCCTGACGACGATGTTGACGTCGTCTTTGAAGTCCTCCAACGACGAGGACGATATTGAAGACGCCTTATCCGCGAAGAAGAATAACGCGTGGGAGATTGCGTTCGACGAGGACAAGGCGAAAGAGGACAAGGAGGTCGTCATCGATACTGTCAAAAAGTACGACAAAGAGTTGGAGGCGCTAGGGAACACATTCATGGAGAAGTGCGCATTCGGAACGGAAGTGCAAGCGGTGAGAGATCGATTGGAACGCGTGAAAGAATACTCAATCGACGAGCAAAGTCCAGGCGAGTACGCCGGCGGCGACGGCATGGGAGGATACGGCGAAGGAGGTTCGAGCGAATCACCGAGCTCTTCTCCCACAAAACTTCGCAGACCGTTAGTGAGAACCGTCGAACGCGTGGAGCGATCGTTGAAATCACCGAGAGTAAAGAACGTCGTCAATAAGGTTTTAGAACCGGAAGTGAGAAAATCGGTGAGAGAAAAGCCGGGTCAAGCTATTCAATCCGTGGCGAGTTATTCCAAAAACGTCTGGGTTCGCCTCAACGGTGGCGACCCAGAGGACGAGCTAGACGCGTCCACCGCGAAGCTCGCGCAAGGAGTAGTCTTGAATCTCCCGAAACCGAAATCGTTGAAAACGGAGAAGGAAAAACTCATCTTGCGCTTATTGATGAAAGTGCAAGACCGAGATAAAATGTTTCTGGAAGTCATGAAAGCACGAGACGCGATCGCCAAGGAAGGCAAAGACTCGTTGTCTCGCGTTCGTTTGGCGGAAAAAGTCCGAAAGTCTGAGGAGCGAGTTTCTTTAATGCGTCGCGTGTTTGCCGTTCGAACGTTACAAACGGAAATGGAGAAAATTTTGGTCGCTTTAGACGACGAGGCGTGCGAAGCGCCCGATCGAGCCAGTTTAAGTGAATTGGGTTTGCTCGTCGCCGAGTTCGGTAAAATGGACGCGCAGTTACGCAAGCTCGTCAGTTTAGTCGATCGAAAAGAAGTATTTTTAATCGAAGACGAAGTTTTGGCGCAACTCGCGGAGGATATCCCGGATATGAAGTCTCGATTAGGCATCCAGGACGGCGGCGATTCGCCGGCGCTCTCGTTGGAAATCCAAACCGAACGGTTCAAAGCTTCCGTCAACGACGCCGGGTCGAAATTGAAAGAAGGCGCGTTGTTCCTCTTCCGCGGGTTCAAGCTCCTCTTCTCCGATTTAGGCGCCACCGGCCGCCTTTTCGGCGTCGCCTTGTTAGGCACCTCCTTGAAACCTCGCGAAGTCCAAACCGTTCGCCAAACGTTTTTGGATCTGTTCACCTTCATTCCTTTCATCATCATCCTCATCACCCCCATCACGCCGTTAGGCCACGTGTTGGTGTACTCCTTCATTCAAAAATACTTCCCAATGCTCTTTCCGTCGCAGTTCACCGCGCGAAGACAAGCTTTGATGCAAAAATACGACGAATTAAGAGCCGAGTTGAAAGAAGCTCGACGCATCGCCGAACAACGCGAAGAGGACGACACGGTGAAAACCGCCATGGCCGCGGTCGCCTCCGTGAAAGGATTAATCGAACACAAAGATCGCGCCGAGTTTTCCGACATAGACGATAAAATGGCAAACATGAGCGTCGACGATGGAGACGACGAAAGCGAAAGCAGCATCACCGGATAGTAACTTATATAAAAGTGTTTCAAACTGTTGTAATAGAAGAAAAAAGCAGATTTGATGCCAAAAGGACGGACGTTTTCTCTCCATAAAAAAGATGCATCACGCTCTTCTAAAAAGTATTCCGAGACTCTTATTATTCACTCCTTCCTGCAAGAGCGGCGGTAAAAACATCGTCAGAAGAAGAGGCGCGATGACCACCACCAATTTCGCTTCGTTGTCTTCTTTGAATCAAGTGTCTTTCGCCGTCCCTGGTCTCGAAATCATCGACCATTCGTTCACCGTTCCGTTGCATCACGCGAAACTCGAGTACAATAAAACGAACGAAAAGATACAAATATTCGTCCGCGAAATCGTCAGTTCGGCGAATAAAGCTTCTGAGAAAAGAGAGACATTAAAAACCGCGCTGTATTTACAAGGCGGGCCTGGATTTGAATGCGCGAGAGTGCAAGAAATAGGCGGTTGGATTGGACACTTGGCGAAGGAGAAGAACATGCGAGTGTTATTACTTGACCAACGAGGGACCGGGCGCTCGTCGCCGATGACAAGACAAAAGTTACTCAGAGAAGAAAATTCAATAGACGAGACGTTGCAATACTATCGAGCGGATTCTATCGTGGAAGATTGCGAATTCGTTAGGAAAGAAATGCTCGGAGAGGAGAAGAAATACGACGTCGTTCTCGGGCAATCTTTCGGAGGATTCTGTTTGACGACGTATTTGAGCAGGTACGGGAACGAGGCGATAGATATGGCGTTGTTGACTGGCGGGGTGCCACCATTGTGTAATAAAGATCCGAAAGACTCGTACGTTAAGTTATTAGATCGAGTGAAGACGCAAACGAAGAAGTATTATTCGAGATTTCCGAGAGATAAGGAGATTATGAAAGAGCTCGCGAAATTGTGCGACGCCAAGGAACGGGTGAAAACGTTAAACGGGAACATCGTCAGCGCCAGAGGAGTTCAGGCCTTAGGATTTTCGTTAGGTACCGCCGGTGGGTTCGAGAGGCTGCATTACATGTTAGAGAACGCGATTTGCGAGGAGAATGGAAAAAGAAGAGTGTCGGATGAGTTTATGAACGCGTTCGATAAGTTCCACCCGTTTGATTCGAACCCGTTGTACGCGTTGATGCACGAATCTATTTATATGAATGGCGGTAACAACAGTTCAAATTGGGCTGCCGAGCGTGCGATAAAAGAAAGAGCGAGCGATTGGGACCCAGTCGCGCCCGAACACGGGGACGATGGTGTTTTGTTCACCGGCGAGATGGTCTTGCCGTTCTTTTACGACGAACTGTCCTATTTGCAGCCGATGAAGCGCGTCGCGCAGGCGTTGCAAGACCGAACGGATTGGCCGAAACTGTACGATTTAGAGAAATTGAGAACGTGTAAAACGAAAACTGCGTGCGCGTTATATTTGGACGACATGTTCGTCGATTTTGATTTAGCCATGGATGTCGTCAATAACTACATGGGTCCGAACGTGCGAGTGTATGCGACGAACGAGTACATGCACTCGGGCATTCGAGAAGACGGGAAAAGAATCATCGATAAGATGATTGCCATGTTAGACGATTCCGATCCTTTGAGATAGATAGATGTGTGGTAAATTATTAGGTGTACCAGGGTACGTAGCAGCTACAACTAATCACTACTGCGCAGTTTAAAGCCGTCTGGCTTTTCAAAATCGAGCCCTTCGGCCCAAGACACGTCCTCGTCCCATAACTCTTCGAGCGTTTTAAATTCCTTTGTCGGTCCGGTGTGAAAAGAGCCGTGTTGCAATCGATACTGTTCCTCGATGCTATCTATTTTCGCTAAATCCTCCGAAGAGATGACAATATCCAGCGCTTCTTTATTTTCTCTCAACCTTTCTTTGTTCACGGTTTTCGGCAACGGCACCGTACCTCGATGAAACACCGCCCAATTGAGACATATCTGCGCCGGAGTCGCGCCGTACTTCTCCGCTAACTCTACAACTATATGATTCGATAAAGGCGGCGCACCGGACCGTTTTCGATTTAAACCGTCCGAGGAAAACTGGTCGCCCGAACCCAACGGCCCGTAACATTGCACCACGATATCGTTCTCTTTACAAAACTCGACCAAATCGTCTTGCCTCCAGTTCGGATGGCACTCTATTTGGTTCACGCTCGGTTTGATTTCGCAACACCTCAGCAACTGTTCCAACTTCTTCCTCGAAAAGTTTGACACGCCAATTCTTTCCACCAAACCTTTCCTCACCAAACGCTCCAACGCTTTCCATTGCGCCTCGATCGACCCGCTCGTCGTCACCGGCCACTGGAGTAACATCAAATCCAGTTTCTCTATCCTCAACTCTTTCAACTGCCTCTTCGTTTCTTCCTCGAACTTCTCCGGCGGTAAGGAATACGTCATCAACTTTGACGTCACGTGCACATCCTCTCGCTTACCTCCGTTTATGTCCTTCACATAAAGTTCGATGGCCTCCCCGACTTCTCTCTGATTCTGGTACACCGGAGCAGAGTCGATGTGTCGGCACAAACCAGACGCTAAAGCTTCGAAAACGATGTCTTTGGTCACGCCGGGAGAGGATTTCCACGTTCCTAATCCCATCCAACCGTGCGGCGTGTTCTGCAGCGTCGTATTCATCGCGTTTGTCTCACTTTTTCCGTTCGTCGTCGTTTCTCTCATCTCCGTTGGTATTCCCCGCGTTGAGAATGATTCTCGCCCCGGAGGCGACGAACCAACCCGCGGCGACGACGGTGGTGACGCCGAGCGAAGCGGCGACGAGTTTTTGCGCGCCGTCTGCGAGTTGTTTCGTGCTCATAAAACTTCTTAAGTATCGGTGTGTTTGTTTGTGACGACGAGATACTGTTGTGCTTTTTCCAACAAACAACTCAAATTTTCTTCTTATTCGCGTATATTTATATTACAACCATAATTTCTCTCTCATCCTCATCAGGACGACGGACTTTTTCTTATTAAAAGTCGTCTTCGTCGCTTCCCCAGGCGTCGTCGGCGGCGCCGGATTGATTTCCGGTCGCGGCGTTGGCACTCGTCACGAGCATGGATTTGAACTTGTCGTCGACGGAGATGATACCGCCCGAGTCGGTTTCTGTTTTCGATTGGTCGGCGCTTCGCTCTTCCCTCCACGCTCTTTGCGCTTCTTTTTCTTTCGCTCTGGCTTCTTTACCGGTGGCGAAAGCAAACGCGTTGCCGCTTTCGAGCTCTTGTAAAGCGCGTTTGATTTGCGAGACGATGAAAGCGTCCGAGTCTGTGTAAAAGGACGTGGCTCTACCAGTCATGCCGTTTCGTCCGGTACGACCGATTCTGTGGACGTAATCTTCAAAGTTCCTCGGCAAGTCCATGTTCACGACGTGTTGGACGCCTTTGACGTCCAATCCTCTCGCCGCGACGTCCGTAGCGACCAAGACGGAACACAAGCCTCTGGTAAAATCCTTCAAAGCTGCTTCGCGTTCGCCTTGCGTTCTCCCGCCGTGTAAAGACGCCGTAGCCACACCTTCCGCGTTCAACATATCCGCCACGTCTTCCGCTTTCGCTTTACGTTCGACAAACACGATGGACATCGGCGGCGCGTTGCCGTGCGCGACCGATTCCATCTTCTCCTCCACGAGCATACGACACAATCGATCGATTTTTGCGACATCGTTCGGTACTTTTTCTAAACTCTGCGCCACGTTCGAGGTTGGCGCCGAGACTGTGCCTACTTTCACTTTTACTGGTTTCACTAAATACTCTCCGGCTAAAACTTCAACTTCCGGCGGCATCGTCGCGCTAAACAACAACGTTTGCCTCGGTTTCGGAGTCGCGTTTAAAATCTCTAAAATTTGTTGTTCAAAACCCATATCTAACATCCGATCGGCTTCGTCCAAGACTAGAAACGACGCGCGTCGTAAATTGGTGTTATTTTGGTGTATGTGATCGATCAACCTCCCCGGCGTGGCGACCACGCACTCGACGCCGTTTCTCAAATCGCCTCTCTGTTCGTTCATGCTCGACCCACCAACGACGATAGTCGTCTTAAAGCGTCTCTTATCGATCGCTTGCGAAAACGCTTTCGTCTCTTTCTCGATTTGTTGCGCCAACTCTCTCGTCGGCGCTAAAACAATCGCCGTCGGTCCGTCTCCTCTTCTCGTCGCGCCGTACGCGTCCGAAATCGACACGCAGTAATGAATCATCGGTATCGCAAACGCGGCTGTTTTCCCGCTCCCAGTCTCCGCGCACCCCAGGACATCGCTCCCGGATAATATCACCGGTATCCCTTGCGCCTGTATCGGCGTCGGCTTATCGAACCCGTGCGCTTTAATCGACAAGGCAATCTCTCTGTCCAATTTCATGTCCTCGAAGCTCTCGATCGGGGCGTACTCGTTCGTGTCTTCTTCCGGGCTTTCCGCGAGAACGTTTAGCCGTTCTCTCATGTCCTCGATTTGTGATTTGGTTAGGTTTAGAACGCGTTCCGACGGTTGCCATTTTGTCTTCGTCTTTATTTTGTTCGTCGTGGTATTATCCTCAGCCGCCGTTGTTGTTCTCGAACGATGTTGTTGATGATTCGACCTTTCCCCGGCGGAAGGGCCTAAGCCGCCGCTGTCGTCGTTGTTAAAGGCACCATTACCACCACCACTTAAAGAAGACGTTGATTCTGCCGCGTCTGAGGCGCGCAGGTGCGGTGGCACGTATCCTCCTCCCATGCTTTCTGCCGCTCTTTTCCTCGTTTTTGCTGCTTTTTTGTTCTCACACGCGGTCGATGTAAAAAGCAGAAACGACCAAACCACAGGAAAACCACATTTTCCTTCCTTATAAAATAACTACAAATTTAGCGCATAATAATACACACACATAACTTTTAAAATATGCCGAAAGAAAGCAGACAACCGTGCAGGTACGAATAATTATACGCGTTGTTTATTATTGGTTTTAGGAGAGATGCGGTGGCGTTTCTCGTTTCGCGTCGCGTCGTTCTCTTCGGCGTTCGTTTTGACGATGGTGATGATGAGATTTTTGATGCGCAAAGCGCGAATTTTTTGTTGGGGTGAGAAAGAGAGAGAGAAAGGAGAACGCGATCGGTGCGAAGGATGGATGACTGTGCAAACGCATAAAACGTGACGCGAGATGTGTGTTTCGCGTTTTTTCTGCGCGAGGTGCCGTTCGCGACAGGCCCGTTCGAGGAGGATTCCGACGGGAGAGATTCCTTTTTTTCTCCCTCTTTCTCCAGCCGGCGGTGGTGTACAAAGCCCCATCCATTTTCCAAAATGCTTCTTCTTTGTCTTCTTCTTGTTCTGACCTCACTCTTTCTCTTCTTTCTTCTTTTAAAAACAACGAAAACTGTAAACAGATTATACGTCCGTGGCGTCATTTTGGGGTACAAAAGAGCGCGAACGAACCAATACGAAAACACCTCTCTGATCAAGTTGGAAAACGTTCCGGACAAATCCTCCACCTCGTTTTACTTGGGGAAGAAATTGTGCTACGTGTACAAGGCGCACACGAAGAAACAAGGGACGGTGTACAGAACCATGTGGGGTAAGGTGACGAGAGCACACGGGACGTCTGGGGTTGTTCGCGCGCAGTTCAAGCACAACTTGCCGCCGACAAGCATCGGGGGTAAGATCAGATGCATGTTGTATCCGAGCAACATCTAATAACGCCAGAGCGCGCTTGAGAGATTTAGCCAAACACAGTCCTAGAATAATATTAATACTTGAATTACTACACTTAGCCTAAACAACTACTATAACTACCACTACCACTACCACTACCACTACTACTTCTATTCTAAAATTGATTCTTCCACGCTTGGACGAACACTCTGCCTTGCGTCAGCAGCGGCGGCGTTCGTTGCAACTCCTCTCGAAACACGTCGAAATCGTATTTTTCCAACTTTTCCAACCACCTCTCCGTCGTCGTCGCTTGCAACAGTAATTTCGCCATGTGCGGGTACTTCTCGCCTAACTTATTCTCCGTAAAATTCCTTCTCGCCGCGGCTAAGTGCCCGACTGCGGCGCTCGCGATTTTATGCGTCACGTTTTTAACGCGTTCGTCTCCGACTTTACCTTCGTACACAGTCTCCGCGCTTAAATTCTCCTCCGCTAACAAATCCATCGGAAAATACGTCTTCCTATTCCTCGCGTTTATCTTCGCCCCTCTCAAACTGTTCGTCAACCCAATCGCGGTCCCTAAGTGCGACGCCACGTGATCGCTCGCCATCGACCGAATATTCTCGCAGTCTAAAGTCACCAACAAAAAATTCCCGTGCGTTTCTCTCGCGAACAGTTCTAAATCCTTCGTCGCGTCGAACGCGTTCGATCCTTTCTCCACGTCCTCCATTCGTGCTTCGATCGCTCTTTTAATCCACGTCACGTATCTCGTCTCGTTAAACGAAGGATCGGATCCCATGACTTCTTTCGCGTGCGTCGCGACCGCGTTTATACATCTCGCGATCGGATGTTCCGGAACGCGCGATTTTTTCCTCCTTGTTGTTGGTGTAAACATGCTTTCCAAATGGTCCATCCACCATCGCAACTTTACAAGCGCGATATCTTTATTCTCTTCTCCTCCTGAATGCGTGCCAATCCCGGCGGTTTCGCAGTTCAACGCTCTCAACGCTAACGGTCCGGCGCGTCTCGAGGCGTCGATGGCGTTCGTGCACAGGTAGGTTTCGTAATCGTTTTGGCGTAACGTCGCGGCGCAGTGACGGAAATCTTCCCGCAACTGTGCAATTTTATTCTCATCGGAGTCGTTGTTTTTGTTGTTGTCGTTCAAAGTCGTTAAAGGTCTTCGAAAAGAGGAGGCTGATAACGACGACGAAGACGCGCTGCAGACAAAAAAGCGACGACTCCCGACGAAAGAAACCAGCGCGCGATGACTTCGAGAAGACGACGACAACATCAGTGATGAAAGTGCATCTCACTCTTCTTGAAGGAAAAAGAATGAGGAAAGAAACGTCTTTTTTCAAGTCTTTTTTCTCATCACATGTATAATAATAATAATAATAATAATAATAACATCATATATATATCTTTTACTACTACTCTTACAAGCTCATCAAAACCTCTCGTATGGCGATGACGTCCGCGTGGTCGTCGCCTAATTGTTGCTTTTGCAGAACCAACGCGCGTTCTAACAACGGCTTCCCTTTATTAGTTTCGCCTAAATCTAATCTGCAAATCGCCAAGTCGGTGAGCGTTTGAACGGAACTCGGATGGTCGTCGCCAAGGGCGTTTTCTTGGATGCGCAAGGCTTGTTCGTATAAAGGGACCGCGCCGAGGTAGTCTTCTTGGTCGGATTTCGCGGCGGCGAGGTCGACGAGAACGCGCGCGTAGTCTGGATGGCGGGTGCCTTTGGTGACGGAGAGCGCGGAGAGTTCGCGTTGGAGTTCTTCGATGGACGGGTAATCGTCTTCGTCTTCGTCGTCGTCGTTGGAATCATCATCGGAGTCATCTTCAGAATCGACTTCGGGTTGTTTTTCTCCTTCGCGCGGACGAGAGAATATCGCTTTATCGGTTTCACTCGCGGCGCTCTTCTTCTTAAACTCAAACGAGTTTGACGGCGCTTCGAATACTTTCGAAGCCGCTTCTTTTTCTACCGCTACTCTACTACTACTCGTTTGATTCTTCGTCGCCGATTCACTCGGTTTCTTTTTCAAATCGATGATTACTTCGTCGTCGTTATTCTTATTTTTATCCTCGACTGATGATACTTTTGCATCTACCGCGCGTTCGACGGCGTCGCGAATTGAACTCTTCAACGTTTTCGGTAGCTTATCGCGCACTTTGCTCCTACCGGTAAACGTCCCGATGAACGCCAACGATTCTACCGCGGCTTTCCTTACCTCGCCAGAATTGTTTTCCAAGTTTTCACAACAAAACGTCAACGCTTTAGACGCAGCGTTGACCGCGTGCACACCGTGAGACGTGTTCATACCGAAACTAGAGCAAATCAAGCCGAGCGTTTCTAAGCGCTTGACCATCGCGCGCGGGGCGACTGGTTTTGACGAGGCAGACGAAACGATCGAAGACGACGACGAGGACGAGCGACCAGAGGACCCTTTCCCTTTCCCTCCAGAGCTACCGACTTTCTTCTTTTGCGCTTCGACTATCTTCTCTAAAATGATGAACGATTCGTGCTGTTTTTCCACCGTGGAGGCAACGTGCGCGAGCGTTTCTTTCGCCGCATCTCTCGCCCGCGCGTGCGCTTCGGCTAAACGTTCGAGCAGGAAAGGCACAACTTCAATGGAAAGAACGGCCGAGACGTTGGTGCCACCGCTACTTTTGGCGTTAAAGTTTGTTTTTTCGCAACAAAACGTGCACAGAATTCGGAGCGTTTCGCACGCGCGAATGAACGCCGATGCTATTTTGTCGCAAAGACACTTTTGCGCCAGAACGCGACAGACCGAGACGAAGAATTGATTCGTATCCTCCACGGTAACACTTTTTGCACTGAGTAGAACCGTGTTCATTTCAGTCAAAGCGGCGTCTCGCGTGCGCCATCGTTCGCTTTTGATGAGTCTCGCAACTACATCCGCGCTAAATATAGCGAACATCGGTTCCATGTCTCTTTCTTCGCTCGCGGAGAGTTGCAACGTTTCTTCCTCCTCCTCGGCGGTGGTTGTCTGAGGAGTGCTGTTCTCCCCGTTCTTCATTATTTCCGATCCAAGAGAGGAAAATCTACTGACTGGAGTGAAAGAAGATCCGCCGTCGCCGTCGCTGTTCCCACTTTGTAAACCTGGCGACGTCGGCGGAGACTTTGCGCGACCACTCGCGCGTGCAGGGATTTCATCGTTCGATAACCCAATAGCGCTGGCGTCGTCGGGCCGCGTGTTTGTGTTTTCGGAAAGCGGAAACTGCGCGGCAACACTCTTCCCTTTCGCGCCGCCGTCGTCTGGGTCAAAATCGAACGACTTATTAGTCGCATTAACGACGATCTCGTTTCCATTCTCGTCGTTTTTCACGCGCATGCCTAAGATTGGACTACTCGCCGCGCTATTATTGTTGTTGTTATTTTGATGCGTCGTCGTCGTGCTTTTCTCAAACGCGTCGAAATCCATCTTTTCAATTTCAGCTTTTAACGTTTTCGCCGTGTCGTAATCTTCCAACCTGACCGCGTTCATTTTCTTCGCTTCGAGTGCAGCTACCGCGGCACCAAACTTACGCAAACGACTCATCACGTCTCTCAATCGCTTCGCTTCGTCGTAATCTTCCACTTCCACTGCTTTTTGTTTCAACGCTTGCGTCTCTTGGATTCGTCTGGCCGTTTTCGCGTCGCACGGCGCGTTTTCAAACATCGGCGGCGACGTGAACGTGGTATTCGTCGTCGCGTTGTTTTTTCGCGTCGTGGTGGTAAACGAGGACGACAGATGCATCGAGCGTGCGTTTGAATTCACAATTTTCGCCTCCGGTGTTCTCGCGGCCGCTGCAAAAAGACTGTTGTTGGCGTTGTTGGCGTTGGCCATTTTTTGCTCGAGCGTCATCCCGATAATCTGAATCTTCGCGATGCCAATCTGCTTGTGTTCGTTCTTCTCGTTCACGTACGCCTCGTCAAACTCTAGCTTCAACCCAACGCAGTTCTCTGCCACTAAATGTATCGTCTTCAACTCTCTCGCGTAAAAATTACTCTCTCTGTTCTCCGTAAACGACACGTACCCGAGCTTCTTCGTCTCTTCTGTACCGGTCTTTTCGTTCACCGTTACCGCCGAGACGTGTACTTTAGAGGCGATTTTATACGCGTGCGAGGTGAGCAACAGCCGATGTACCGTCGCTTTTTTGTTCACAAGTTTCAATATCAGCGTTTGTTTTTCGTTTTGAGTCGGATTTTTTCTCGAGCACCACCCTGCGGATGTTGATGCTCCTCCCGTTGTTTTCTTCTTTGGGTCCTCGTTTTCGGTCGTCGTCGTCAGAGGTGAAGAATTTTGCGTCATCTCTGTCGTTGTTGATGTTTCACCATCCAAAGCCGGCGATAAACGCTCCTCCAGATTCGCCGCTTTAGCGTTTTCATCCTAGTAGTAGTAATAATAATAACAACAAGAAGAACACAAAAAAGAGTGAGTCATCGTAACGCGCAAAACGTAACACAAAAGTCAACATTTTTGAATAATTTTCCAAATTCCCCGTTGATACAACGAACGAAACGACGGGTAAACGCGAGACGAGAAAGACGAGAAAAAGAGTAGAAAACACAGCAGGAGGTGCACTCCTGATGATACTCATTAGTAGTAGTATGTAATACCTCGCTCGTCACCGAAACGACGGTAAACGGAAGTCGAAAGGAAGTGGTGGTCGTTGGTGTCGGTAATGTCATCCTTCTTCTTTTTTTCTGACGAAAATGAAGCAAAACTGTTGCAAAAGTTTTAATAAATGGTAGTATTAAAATCCTATCGCTGTGCGCTATTATACGCGGCAGAAGCGGCGGCGGCGTGGAATTCGTCGACGATTTGCCCTTTGTCGTCTTTGTCGTTGGGGTCGTCGCCGTCGAGGAGCGTATTCTCGTCGTCGCTTCGGGTGGGACTTTTATCGTAGTCTCCCGTTGGCGAGTCTGACATCATGGTCGAGAAGAAGTTTCGGACGACTTGCCAGCCTTTACTGTTGGACGTTTGGGTGGTTTCCTCCGTTTTTGAAGTCGTCGTCTTTTCGGCGGCGGAAGAAAAAAGCATTCGTTGCCTTCTCTCCTTCTCTTCTTCTTCTCCGAAGCGAGGCGCAGCGTTGGCGAGCATTGATTGTTTCTCTTTCTTGTTTTTTGCGCCTTCTGCGACGCTTCGTTTGAACTCTGAACCGGGTGAAAGCACTCCTCGCGTTGGATGATGCCGCGAGGGCGAATTCATCAAGTCGACGCTCGTCACGCGACGGAACCTGTTGGCCACTTCGTGCATAGTTTCCATTCGTTCCGCTTTCATTCGTTCGCAAATCTCTAAAATCGCGGATTCGTACACCATCGGTATGTGATCGGTCATCATTCTCGTGCTTAAAGGAATGTCCGTGAACGCTGTCGCGTGTTTCGGTTGCGCCACAGGACGTTGGCTGGACAGTCGGCGCAAGTGAATCACGCGTCCTGGTTGCACGAGGAAATCGCTTCCCGAATGATCGCGAAGTTCCAATCCGCTCTGGTCGCCTAAATCTTGCCAGCTTGTTTGATCCGAATCTCTCTTCTTCGATTTTTCCGCACCTTCGGTACCACCGTTCGTCGTCGTCGCATCGTCGGCACTTTCGTCTACCTCGCCGCCGTCGGTTTTATTAGCTTCGCCGTTGCTATTTCTATTCGTCAGCTCTATTTGTTCGCTAGTGGTTTCGCTAATGCTATTGCTTCTGCTTGAATTTTGTAATCCGTTGGCAACTTCACGAAATGCGCCTCCGATGGACTTCAGCATTGGTTGCGCGGGAGAGGCGGCATTTAACCGTCTCAGAAGTCGGCGCACGGAGGCATAACATAACCTCGGAATGACATCTTTCCCAGCGACAACCGACGTCACGTAGTCTTGACACTTCAACGATAAATCCAAAGTAACCACCGCCGGCGAGGCGAAGGAAACGACCGTGCAGTTATGCATGACAGACGCAATAGCGCCTTCGCTGTTTGGTAAACCCTCGACACCTTTTTGCGCGGCGCTTATGACATCAACGTCACCAGATCGTAAAAGCATGGCGACGCACACGGCGACAGCTGCACCCATAGAGTGCCCGGTGAGTAACACTTTGAAATCTGGATTTTCGTAACACGCTCTCGTCATTTGCGGCAATCTCGTGGAGATAATTTGCCACGCAGACATGACGACGCCGCTGTGCGCGAACCCTCCGAGGAAAGGCACAGACGTCGAACACGCATCCGTGATGAAATCACTTCCATTCGCGGTACCTCGAATGGCTAAGACCACCAATTTCTCGTTTCGGTCGACGGCGACGTAAGATGCCGGAGAGAATTGTAGCGTTTCCCAATCGGCGACTAATATATCTTCGGGCGAAACATTCGCGTGTTTTGCTGCAGTTTCCGTAATTTTGTCGTGCAAAACGTCCGGATCTTTCTCGTTTTGAATCTCTACGTGTTTCGCAAACGTCGCAAACTTTTCCTTATTCGAAGCGTTCATGAGCAAAGCAGAAAGCGTTCCGTACGCGGCAGACGCGTGTCGTAACGCAGGTTTTAATTCTTCCATAGCTTCCAGCGATACTTCTCCGTCTCTTCTGACGGAGATATTGTTAACGCTAGCGTTACCACTCGCGTTGGCGTTGTTGTTATTGTTGTCAAAAAACAACGCCTCGTCGTGCATTTCATCTTCGTCGTCGCCGTATAAATACTGTTTCGACGTCTTCTTCAATCTCGCCTCCGCGCGTTGTTCTCTCCACAGCATAATACCCGCGATTGGGTCAAATATCGTCATACCTTCAACACCCAACGGTTTCAACTCTTTCATGAGCATAGTCATCACTCGAATCATCGCGCGATTAAACTCGACAATTTCCCACATGGACGAAGGGATAGTCACACCGGAGACTTTCTTCAAATCTTGTTTCTTTCTGAAGTTGCTACTTCCACCTTCTTTCTTTATCGGCGTCGACGTCGGCGTCGGTGTTGGCGTCGGAGCTCCTAATTTTTGCGCGGTTTCTACTTCTCCTCCTTCTTTCTTCATCATCGTCGTCTTCTGCGCCTCTTCCTTGGCCTCTTCCTCGAGCGCGAGCAAGACGTCCTCGGGAATTTCAGAAGGATCTCTCGAGTGCGTCGTCCTCATGAGCGTCTCGTCGTCCATCTTTTCCGGCAACACTGGCAGCGTTCTTCCTTTCTCGTCTTTTGCCATGATGACATTTGACGGCGCTCGCAAGACGATCCCGCCCGGTAACTTCTTCGACGCGTTCGTCCCTTTCGTCCTCTCTAAAACCGTCTCAATCGTTGACTTTTCTGTTTTTTCGCTCTTCTTCTCGCCGCCTTCTCCGCCACCACTATCTTGCACTTCTTCCGCACTCGTCGACACCCACTTCGCGCCTCTCGGCGGCACGAACCCGCCCAAATCGTCAAACAAATAATCCGCGGGATTCTCGCCGTAGCGGTCCGTCCCGAATTGAAACAGCGAAAACCCGCCGCCGCCGCCGAAGCCGCCTTTCTTTTTCTTCTCCTCTACTTCTTCCTCCCCGTTGTCTTTTAATTCTGCTTCTTCTCTGAACAACTTTTCCAGTCGTTTCAAGTTTGGCGAGCATCCGTTCGGGTGGTTTTCCTCAAAATCCTCCATATCGTCCTCCTCCTCGTCTTTGGTGACCGATTCTGGTTCGAACGCCATGAACTTTTGAAACGCGTTTTTCTTCTTCGTCTTCTCATTTTCGGTGGCGTCCGATTTCTCGAAGAACGATCTGAACGAAAAGTTCGGCGTCACGCTTCTCTTTTGCTCTTCCTCTTCGTCTGCATCCTCCCGCCGACGCGCAAAATCCGCAGCTTCGTCTGCGCTCATTTTTACTCAAACGTGAGGCAAAAGAGCGGCTAGAAAACAACAACACCCATCTCGTGCATCTCCCTCCTACACGCGTCGTCGTTTACCTCTCAACGCTCTTTTCGTCGTCGTCGTCGTTGAGACGCTTTCCTCCTCTCTGAATGCGATGCTTTGCGTCGTTGCGAATGTGTCGCGAATGCGAAAATGTGTGACGATTCAAGTAAGGAGTTGCCTCTCTGGTGGTACATTTTTACTAAAATAATCGCAAATACTACGCTACGCTAAATTCGCCTAAACTCTCTACTGTTATAAAATATCTTTACAGGAACCGAAATACACGCCAACCATTGCGTCTCTGGTGGTCACCTGCGCGTGGTTGTGGTGATGATGATGATTGGCGTTCCAAAAACCGTAGGCGTAGTGTCTCGAGGCGAGAAGTTTCGCCCCGACGACTATTTCGCCTTCGATGGAATCGGTGAGCTTGAACTTTCGAGCGAGTTCGGCTTCGACGAGACGACTGGTTACGGTGCACGAAAGTTTGTACGTTTGTTGTTGGTGGTGGTGATGGTCGTTTACGTCGTCGTCGTTGGTACGCGCGAGGAAAAACTGTTTTGCCACGTTCAGCTTAGGACGAAAGGCGGAATCTTTAAGCTGTTTGGCGAGCTCGAAAGAAAGCGTCGAGCCTTTCTGTGGGTCTGCGCGTCGAAGCGCGAACGTACACGCTCGGTGTTTTTCAAATCGTTGCTGCTGGTGAGACTCGACGATTTCACCGGGCTTTATTCTTCCTCGGCTCTTCTTTTCTCGAAGATTGACGGTCGCCGTCGTGTGCGTTCGCGTCTTTTTCCCTTTCGACGACAGGATTTCTTCCGGTGTTTCCTCCGGATCCGGTGGAGAAGTATCATCTGCGACACTACTCGTCGTGTGCGACAAGCTCGCTCGAATGCTTTTCGCGCTGTTTCCGTTCGAGTCAATCGATAGGCGTTGCGCGAAACGAATCTTGCCCGCGTTGTTTTCCAACACGTCCTTTTCGGCTCTACACGAGAGAAGCGCTTTTTTTGTCCCGTTGGAAACGTTCGAGTGCAACACCAATTGTTCGTCAAAACTCGGCGGGGTCACCATCGTCGACGATAACGAACACACGCGTGAAATTAACGAGTGCACGGGCGCGTACCCATTCGAGACCGTCGCTTGAACGCTCGATTTTGTCGGCGTCACTCGCACCGTGGCGTACGTTTTAAGCCGTTCCCGTTTTTCCTTGTTGTTCAGAGTATTCGCTTTTTGTTTCTCTTCTTCTTCTTCTTCTCTTTTCGGTGGTGGTGGTGGCATAAACTTAACCCCGGCTACCATCTCGTCGTCGAGTATGTTCACTGCGTTTCTTATCGCGTCTCCTTTCTTCTTTATCCTCCTCTCGCGCTTTACATCGTTTCCGTCCTCGTACTCGTCCTCTTCGTCTATCCCAACAACCACCAACCTCGACCGCTCGGCGAACACTTCCACCCGATCTTTCAAATTCCGCCCGACAAAAAACGACGAGGGTATCGCGTTCGCGACGACTTGCGCGTCTCGCATGCCGTTCGTCTCGTTCCCGATAAACTGGGCGCGAATTTTTACGTTTGGTCCCGCTTCGCCCGCGACGGATAAAACGACAGACTTTTCATCCAGCGACCCGAGCTGTTTTCTCGTCGCATTCGTGCTCTTCTTCTCGCTCTCGTCTTCAGGATTTTCCGTCTCTTCCTCTTTCTTCTCGCCGCCAGTAGTATCGTTGCCGTTGTGTTGTTGTTTTTGATGATGATGTTGAAAACCTTTCGGTCGTCTCGCTCTCCGTTCGTTCCTAATATCCGCCGCCGCGTAAGGCGCTACGCTGAAAATGTCCTCTTCGCTTCCCCCTAATATCGACGACGACGAGGACAGAAATGCTGGTTTTATTGGTCTCTTTGATTGCGCTTCCATGTTCCACGCGAAAAACGCGCCTTTCCCGCTGCTTTGACTTTTCGCGAATACGACAGTATTTCCAGTTCCATCCTTTCTTATTAGGAAAGGGTGTTGGTGTTCAAGTCGTTGGTGTTCAAAGTCTTCGACGCACCTCGCGATTAAAACGCGTTCCAGAGCGAGCTTGGACTTCCCCGCACCCATGAGTATATCGAGTTAAATGTTTTTAAGACCCTCTCGCTCTCTGAACGCACGAATCAGAGCTCTTCTAGGTACTCGTAGTTTCGCATCATCTCCCGATGCGATTGGCCCCCGGGGTCAAGGTGTACCTGTTCTCACTCGCATTCGGCGGATGATCTCTTCTCTCGCAACGCGTACCGCTCACCCATTCGTCCTCGCACAACGCGCGATACTGCTGAAGGTTTCAGAAGGTCTCTCGTGTGGTTCTTCATTCGTGCGCGAGACGACAGAGTGCGTTTGACTTTTTTTAGTCTGAGGAAAAAACTCGTCAAACATTTTTCCCCGCCGTTGGGATTTTATCCGGAATCTGTTTGGTGTTGTTGTTGTTGTTGTGTGCGTGCGTGTCTTTCATTCGGAACGCACCGTTCTCCGGAAAGGTCTCTCTGTCTTCTCGCCAAACAACAACGCACTCGTTTGACTGTTTTTCGTTGGGCTTTTTCTCGCGCTGAGTGAGGAGGAGTTGTGCGTGCGAGTAAAGCGCGAGGAAAATCATCATCGCGAGCCTTCTCTTCAACGACGACGACGTGAACGTTTCTTCTCCCGAGCGCGCGAGAAGAGATGAAAGGATTTCTTTCGAAACTCAATCTCCGCGGACGAAAGCAGAACGACGACGATGCGGCAGACGAGAACAACACCAACAACACCAACAGACAAAAGAGGAAGCAACGAAAAACTGCACAAAAAATCCGCGAGAAACAAGCGCACGCGATAGAACGAAGCGCGAACAGCGTGCGAGCGATATCAGGTTTGGCGAGTGGGAGCATGCGTTTACTCCCGAATAAAAACGGCAAGAAACCAATCAGCACGAAAACGAACGTGCAAGGTATGGTTGTCGGGTTAGCCGCGCTCGGGGTGGCGCGGAGTATGGCGGAGCGTTCAGTCGTCGCGAAGAAGAAGAAGAAGAGGAAAGAAGGAGTGAGTAGCGAAGAAGAAGAAGAGGAAGAAGATGAAGAAGAAGAGAAAAGAGCGAGGCGCACAACAAACGGGACGACGGTAAAGTTCGCGGCGATGATGGCGACGTTTATAGTCAAACCAGTCACCTTCACCGGCGCGTTCGTGTTGCGAGAGGTGTATCGAAGCGCGTTGGCGTTGTTAGGGGAGACGAATAAGGACGATGGGTCTTCTTCTTCTTTGAAGAATAGCGGCGGCGAGTCCGTGTTAATGACGCCCTCGTTGACTCCAAAAACACCCAGGAGTAGTCGACAGAGCGTGAATTCGAGTCACGACGACGACGAGGATGAGGATGTAGGAAAGAGTGCGAGCGACGCTACAAAAGGTGATACCAATAAATGTTGCTCCAACTGCGGCGTGAAAATAGCCAACGCGTTGCGATGCGCGAGGTGTCGACAAACGTGCTACTGCTCCCAAGAGTGTCAAAAGAGCGAGTGGAACGAGCACAAGAAAACGTGCGTTCCATCGCCCGAGTTGTTGGAAAACACTCGACGAGCGAACGAGGAAGTGCGCGAAGCGACTGTGAACTGGGACGGCACGTTCCAAGCGTCGACGAGTTTGTTCCAAGCGGTGAAACATTTGACGAAATTCGCGAAAAGATGTGGCGATGCGAAAAGTAGCGGCGACGCGTTGTGGATTTCGCTCATATTGTTTGCGAACGAAATCGATTCATATGGAGAAATTAAACGGGAAGATGGGTGGCGAGACGTTACGTTCGATCAGCATTTGGAGACGTGCGAAGCGGCGGCGAGAATTGTCATGCGCTCGGAATTTTTAGAAGGCAGTAGTAACGAAGGTGATAGTAATAGCGATTCCGAAGAAGCCAGAAAGGCAAAGAAAGCGCGCGCGCGAGCGTTGGCGCGTTTAGCTTTGGGTACGTGCGCGCTTCGCGGCGCCAAGAGGAGCACGAAAATCGCTTTGGAAAATTTTTACGACGCTCGCGAAGACGCCGTGAGATGTAAGTGTCCGTTCTTAGCCGCGGAGGCGTGTCGACGGATATGTTCCGCGCACTTGCACACGGGGAACTTTTCGTCGGCGTCGATTGCAATTCAGCAAGCCGTCGAGTTTGCAAAGCTAGTCGCAGAGAAGCAGAAGAAGGAGAATGCTACCAACGAAACGACGACGATGTATTACTACTATCGTTTGTTTCACGCGGATATTCACGAAAGTCTCGAAGTGTGCGTTTGGCTCGAGCACTTAAAGTCGTCGCGAGAATATTTCGGTAAAAACAATACCACGCCTCGCGAACCGAGCGAGCGCGCGCATTTCTTAGCAAAAGATGATTCCTACCTCGAAAAGAAGAGAGCGTCTAATTTGAAAACCGTCGCCATCGGGGAAGCGTTGCTGAAACGCGAGGAGTTAGAAAACGGCGACAACGAGAAGAGCGAGCGCGTCAAGCAAACGGTCTATTTTATTCTCGCAGAGACGTATCACGAACTCAACGAGACGAAGAAGTGCGAAGCGTGCGTGCAAAAAATCCATGGAGGAGCAGGAAATGCTTTCAAATGTGCCTATTGCGACGAGCGCGTCGTTCTCTCAATCGGAGAAGAGATGGATGAAGGTCAAGGGACTTCTGTTTTACCTTGGCAAATGGAATATCGCACGTGCATAAATCCTCGCTCGCCGCATATTTTCCACACCAAGTGCGCGCACGGATTGAAAGCGCCGCATCGGAAGAAACACGAAGCATGCGCGTGTTGCCAACTTTGCGTGAACGAGAAGAATTTTGAATTTTGAAAGAAGAAAATCTCTTCTTTTTTATTCAGAGCGCGACATGACGCAACTCACGCAAACACCCACGAAAAGGTACGCGCGTGATAATCTACAGACCACATTGTTCGGCATCGCTTCGTTTCTTTCTCTTTCTTTCTCTCTTTCTCTCTTCCCGTCTCCCTTTGACGATTGGACTATATATACATTCGCTGACCTCGCGTTATTTTGTTTGTATTCTATTTATAGCAGCGCCTCCCGAACCGGTTCTTCAGCGTCTTTGGAACTCCGCAACGGCCGTCTCGTCGCCATCGCGCACCACATACCAAAGACAGGATACAAGGCGATAAATTCGTACGGGCACAAACCGCGTTTCGTTTCGGAAACGACATCAAAAACCGCGCAAAAAGCGTGTTTTGCCGCACCCGCGAAGAAAACGACGTCCAAGCCGCTTCAAAAATACCACCCATGGGCGGCGCGCAATCGCCCAAAACAGTTCACCGAAAACGTCGTCGGTCGTCGTTTCGGGTTCACCTCCATGAGCGCATCGAGTAAAGAAACCTACCGAGGCTCCAGTCAGGTCTGTTTAGGCGACAAGAGTATCAAAAACACCTTCCAAACGACCAATCGAGCGTTCCAACAAGTCTCCGTGAACTCGCGCTCGTCCAAGGAGAAAAGCTTAGCGATGATGACCAATCAAGGCATAGCCTCGGACGTGGCCAAGCGTTTACACGCGAAGTTAATGCCGAAACCAGAACTCGAGACGACTTTTTAACAGTAGTACTGTGATGTGTATGTGTATACTTAGAACTACAAATGAGCTAATGTTGAGTGCGCATGTGGTACCTTAAACTTTGAGCGTAACGATACCTCTTCTCGCAAACATCGCATTTGTACGGTTTCTCGTTCGTGTGAATACGCATGTGCTTTGTCAAACTACTAGAATCACGAAAAGCTTTATCACAAAAATCGCACTCGTACGGTTTCTCGTTCGTGTGAATGCGCGTGTGGTATTTTAAACCATTAGAATAACGAAAACGCTTCTCGCAAACATCGCATTTGTACGGTTTCTCTTTCGTATGCGTACGCATGTGTTTGGCCAAGTAGGATGGATATCGAAACACCTTCTCGCACACATCGCACTCGTGCCCTCTCTTTCTCTTCGCTCCTTTCCTAACAGTTATCTCTTCTTCTTCTTCTTCTTCTTCTTCTTTTTGTATCTGATGATGATTTGCCTCGAAATCATCATCCTCGTCAGGAATTCTCGAACACAACACCAAAGGTTCTTCTTTCTCTCCCTTCAAAACCGTCCTCGCGTTCACCGCTCTTTTCGGATGTGGATTCTTTCTTCGTCCCATGGTATTATCAGTGCGCGAGACTGTAAAAGAGAGTCGCGTGAGGTTGAAGAATAACGCATCGCATGTGTGATGCGATCAGATAGGAAGAGGAAAAAAAAGTAAAGACATTGAAAAAATGGCAGTCAAGCGCAAAACAAAGAGGCGTTGAAAAATATCTAAAATCCATCTCTCCTGTAACTGTAAAAGAAGATACCAAAAACTACAGAAAAAGAATAAAACTGTCGCACTCCTGAAAAAGAAACCTTTGCGCGGAAGTATCGCGCTACGAAAAGAGCGCACGAAAGACCAGACGCGAATTTGCGCTTTCGTTGTTCAAACAGAGCGCACCAAGTCGTCGTCCGAAAGACGCGGTAAAGTTTTTCGCGTTCGGGAGAAGAGATTTCAGTGCAAAATCTCTCTGCTGACGAAAAAAAAGTCAGAGATCGAGAGATATGTTCGCGTCGTCGCGTAAAGCTTTACCTTTGCTCTCGTGGTTTTTGTTCATCTTCATCGCGTTTCATCACGTGTGTCAGAAAGCACACGCGATGAAAGAATCCACCACGATTTCTCTCTCCTCGCAAACGCAGAAGCACGATATGTTTGACACCTTTGGATTCGACTCGAAATCGAGCTCGATGACGTTTCAGAAATTAAAAATGAAAATTTTAGGCGGAGAAGACTCCGCGACGCCCGCGCGGCTTCCAAAAGTCTACCTGAGTTTGTGTCCTTTGAATGAAAACGCAAACTTGGCGAACGAGGCATCTGCAAGCGATGCGAACGGCGCTTGGTGCGAAGTGAGCGTGGGGAAGTTGAACGAGACGAACGCGTGTCGATTCGTGGCGTTCGCCGGAGAGGAGGAGGAGGAGGAGGAGGAAGAAGAAGAGGAGGCGATAGGAGAACGACGAAGGAGAAGCGGTAGGAGAAGAAGTTTACTCACTGGCGGCGCGTATGGCGATGGTGATGACGGGAATGTGGTGTTTGAAAAAGAATACGCGCCGATGCAAATCAAAGTGAACGAAAAGAAAGTGTACGACATCGCCTTTTTCACGTGCGATTCAAAAGGTACAACGATTGAAATAGACGTCGCATACGAGACTTTAAACGGTGGGAAACACCACTTAAGCACCGAGTGGCAACCAGTAGTGAGCGTCTTTTTGTACATTTTGTTGTGTTACGTGATTTTCTTCATGTTGCAATTGACGCACACGATGTCGATGTGCGCTATATATCGCAGTCAATCCGTCATATCCGCGTTGCACTACGCAATGTGGACGACGCAAGTTATGCGAATGATACATGTGAGTATATCCTTTAATCATTTCAATTACATCGACATAAATGGGACTGTAAATGATTCTTTTTATCATGGCGTTATCATCTGTTCGAGTTTGAAGGAAATGACGTTTTGGACGTTGTTACTCGCCATCGGCGGCGGTTGGCGAGTGACGTCAAATCGAGCGTCGAGAGAGCGGAAGATCATCGGTGGTGTGACTATGTTTATGATATTCACAACTAATCTAGTCGGTCAGATGAATTTAGGCATACGAACGGTCTATTTCGTTTACGCTTTGACGTATTGTGGCGTCATATCAATGACATTGTATGTGAGCTCGAAAACCATACGAACGTTGCACGAGCAACTCGAGATTTTTCGACGATCTGGGGCAACCGAGGAAGAAGTTGCCAGAGCGCCCGTGAGAACGAAAGAACGAATGTACCAGACATTTTACGTCGCGTTTATTGTGTTTTGTGGACTCAAAATTATGAACCAGATTCTTTCCACGTATTTCGAACGCGACCACGCTTGGGTGCAATTATTCTTCTCGGAGTTTATCGATATGATGCTGTGGTGTTTCTTGCTCATTCTCTTCAGGCCAAAAGACCAGACGTACACGACGTCTTTCCCGGCGAATGGGTTCGATCCTTTTGGGTTCGATGCTTCAGTTCGAGCCGCAGAAATGGGCGTACATCCGCGAGAAGGTCTCACGTATCTTCCGGACATTTACGTCGCCGAGGTATCGGCGGCTTCAAAAATCGAAAGAGAATTTCTTCACCGAACTAGAAATGATGATGACGTCGTGGTCGCCGGAATAGCATCGGACCAATCGTCCGACTCTGGCGGAGCCTCTCGATCGTCCACATCTGTGGATTCTATCGAATTATCCGCTCGAGGCGTGATGTCAAAATCCGCCCCCGCGGAGGAATCTTCCACCTCCACTCTGAGTTCTCTCGCCGACGGTGGGGCCGACGTCGAACAAGGCCTCGCATCCCAACAACATCAGAGCATCAGAGCTCGAATGAACGTCTACGTCATCGAAAACCCACCGACGACAAAAGGAGACGGTGCCCCGCTTTCAGAATCCATCGCTTTAGCCATTAAAATCGACGACATCGAAGCGCACCGCGCGCTAGAGAAACGAGAGAGAAGCGTAAATGAAGCCTCCGCCGCCGCCGCGGTATTAGATGAAGAACAAGAAGGGCACGCAGCAGCCGAGTAGAAGTCAAAACGAGAAAACGATCAAAATGTACTGTTATTTATATTTGTAGATTCTAACTGTTGTATTTACGTGCTATTTATTATTTGTGAAGTTGATTTCCCCTCTTAAAAAGCTCCCGCACGATTTTCCTTACTACACTAGAAAAAAGATTTTCACCTCACGAAGAAGTAAAGAGCGAGGGAGCGCGCGTAAGAGAGAGAGATTGGCATCATGAATTCGCGAGGGAGGGAAGACGACAAGAACAACGGCGAGAAGGACTCATCCTCCGTCCACTGGGGGAAAAGAAGGTTCGAGAACGGGGAAGAAAAAATCACGCAAAATCACAAACGAAAATTACGCAAAGAAACGCCGTCGTACCACGGCGGCGTGGACGATGTCACGCGACAACGCATCGAAGACCGAAAGAAGAAACAACCCGGACACAACAGAGGGATCGAATCTTTAAACGAAAAACGGCACGGACGAGGAGGAAAAGGAGAAGGGCGGTTTGATAATAGGAACAGAAAGAGCGGCGGGAACGGTTTACGAGGATTCGAAGACGAAGAAGACGACGGAGAGTGGGAAGAGACGCCGGCGAGACGAGCAAGGGATAGCGGGAACGAGACGCCGTCTTTGAGGCACCTCGACGATTCCAACGAAGACGACGATTCTTGGACGAATAAAGCAAAGATGGGATCGATTAGCCAACCGAGCGGCGGCGGGAATAGAAGGAGCGGGAATAGCAACAGTTCGCATAAGTTTTCCATGCGCTTCGAGGCGGACGACGACGACGACGACGATTCGGTCGCAAAGAACGTGGTAAAAGCGACGCCTTTGACGGCGACGCCGTCTTGGAAGTCCAACGAGTGGATGATGGAGAAGATTACGAAGAATCAAAATCAATTCGTCAAAGAAGGAGATAAACTCACGGTTGTCGAAAACGAAGACTCGCTGGACGTGCTGGAGAATCAACGGATGGAAGAAGAGGCGAGGGAGGAGAATCGATTAGGGAATACAAACAAAGATTTAGATCGCGCGTGGTACGACGACGACGAAGGTGGGGGTGGACACGGCGACGCCTTCGATCCGTTCGGAGAAAAAACAGACGTGAAGTCAAAAGAACGCTTCGAGAGGAAACAGTTGGAGTACGCGAAACGGTTAACCAGAGCGGACGGGTCGTTGATGACGCTGGCAAATTCCGCGCGATTTTCACAAATTCATAAAGACCACGCGACGTGGGAAGAAAACAGAATGTTAACGTCTGGCGTCGCTCGCGTGAAAGAAATCGATTTGATGGCGCAAGACGAAGATTTCGGCGAAGAGAAGGCGATTTTGTTAGTGCACGATACGAAGCCGCCGTTTTTGCAAGGGAAAAGAGCCTTCGCGAAAGCGCAAGAGGCGTCGTTGCCAGTGAAAGATCAAACGAGCGACATGGCGATGATTGCGAGGAAAGGGTCCAACTTAGTTAAAGAAGTTCGAATGAAAAGGGACGAGAATAAAAGTCGCGATCGGTTTTGGGACGTGAAAAACTCGAAAATCGGCGACATCACCGGAACGACAAACGAAGAAGACAAAATCGCGGAAGAACAAAAGATGAAAGAAGATGAGGAAATGCGCAAGCGTGGGGAGAAGAATGACGTCGTTGGTAAAGACGGCGAGATTGATTTCAAAGCGGATTCAAAGTTTGCGGACGCGATGAAGGAAAAATCTGAAGCCCAATCGGATTTCGCCAAGTCAAAAACGATGAAAGAACAGAGAGAATTTTTACCCGTGTATAAGTGTAAAGCAGATTTAATGTCGGTGATTCGCGAGAATCAAATTGTTGTCGTCGTTGGTGAGACTGGATCGGGGAAAACCACGCAAATGACGCAGTACATGCACGAGGCCGGGTACACCACGTTTGGTATGGTTGGGTGCACGCAGCCGAGACGAGTAGCCGCGATGTCTGTAGCGAAGAGAGTTTCCGAGGAATTCGGGTGCGAACTAGGTCGAGAAGTTGGGTACGCGATTCGTTTTGAAGATTGCACGAGTTCAGATACAATTATCAAGTACATGACTGATGGCGTCTTGCTGAGAGAAACGCTCAGAGATTCCGATTTGGACGAGTATTCCGCGATTATCATGGACGAAGCGCACGAGAGAAGTTTGCACACGGATGTACTTTTCGGTATTTTGAAGAAAGTTGTCGCGAGGCGAAGAGATTTCAAGTTAATTGTTACGTCAGCGACGCTAAACGCGTCGAGATTTTCGGATTTTTTCGGTAACGTTCCAGTATTTAACATTCCTGGCCGAACGTTTCCAGTTGAAATCATGTACAGTAAAACGCCCGTGGAAGATTACGTAGAAGGCGCCGTGAAACAAGCGTTGGCTATTCACATGTCTTACCCTCCCGGTGACATTTTGCTTTTCATGACTGGCCAAGAAGAAATTGAAACCGCATGTTACGCGTTGGAAGAACGTATCGCTGAGCTCGAAGCAGACGCCGAAGGGCAGACGAAAATCCCTCCGTTGGCTGTGTTGCCGATTTATTCGCAACTGCCTTCGGATTTACAAGCAAAGATTTTTCAGTCCGCGGAGAAAGGCCATCGTAAGTGCATCGTTTCTACGAATATTGCGGAAACGTCGTTGACGCTAGATGGCGTGAAATACGTCGTCGATACGGGTTACTGTAAGTTGAGTGTGTATAATCCTCGAGTAGGTATGAACGCGTTGCAAGTGTTCCCGTGTTCTCAAGCGGCGGTGAATCAACGTTCGGGAAGAGCCGGGAGAACCGGTCCCGGAATAACCTATCGCTTATACACGGAAATGGCGTACAAATACGAGCTCTTGTCGACGACTGTTCCGGAAATTCAACGGACGAACCTCGGCAACGTCGTTTTGCTCTTGAAATCGCTCAACATTGAAAATCTGTTAGATTTCGATTTCATGGATCCGCCGCCGAAGGAAAACATTTTGAACTCAATGTACCAGCTATGGATTCTCGGTGCGTTGGATAACGTCGGCGGCTTGACAAAACTTGGTTCGAAAATGGTCGAGTTCCCCGTCGATCCTCCGTTAGCCGCGACTTTGTTGAAAGCCGAATCACTCGGGTGTTCCAACGAAATCTTAACCGTCATTTCAATGCTCTCCGTCCCTTCCGTTTTCTTTCGCCCGAAAGATCGCGAAGAAGAGTCCGACGCCATGCGCGAAAAATTTTTCGTTCCAGAAAGCGACCATTTAACGCTTTTAAACGTCTATCAGCAATGGAAAACGAACGGTTATCGCAACGATTGGTGCAACAAGCATTACATTCAAGGTAAAGGCATGAAGAAAGCGAGAGAAGTACGCGCGCAGCTCGCGGATATCATGAAGTCGCAAAAGGTGCAGTTGACCACGTGCGGCTCGGATTGGGATGTCTGCCGACGCGCTTTGTGCGCGTCGTATTTCCATCAAGCCGGTCGTTTACGTGGTATCGGCGAATATGTGAACTGCCGAAACGGTATGCCGTGTCATTTGCACCCTTCCTCTGCGTTGTACGGACTAGGTTACACTCCCGATTACGTGTGCTACCATGAAATCGTAATGACGAGTAAGGAATACATGCAATGCGTGACGGCGGTGGAGCCAGAGTGGTTGGGAGAATTCGGGCCCATGTTTTACACGCTGAAAAAATCACACTCGTCGTTGGCGCAATCGAAAGCGAAGCAAAGAGAAGAGAAGGAGAAGATGAAGATGGAAATGAAGCAGAAAAAAGAGCTCGAAAACGCAGAGAAGAGGAAAATCCAGGAAAAGATGGAGGCGAAGATTGAGAGAGAGTCGAGAAAGATCGTCACGCCAGGAGGAACTGGTTTACGCGCGAGTGGTGCGTCGTCTTCTATTTCCGGTGGTGGCTCGAAGTTTCGAACGCCGTCCTCGAAACGGCCCGGGACGGGTGGGAAGACGCCGAGACGTTTCGGGTTGTAACGCATTGACGCATTCGTATAAATATTTTAGAAATTGTAGAAAGCAGTACGTAGTTAAAAGTTTTAGTAGGAAAAGTAAACAACGCTGAAGCTAAATATTAATATATATATAAATCTATGCGGAAACGCTCAACCGTTTCAAGTGTTCCATGAACACTTGCAAACTCACGTCGTCGGTGAAGATTACATCGCTTCCACCGGCGTGTCCGTACGGCGAGCCTTGCGAATTGTGCGTCGCGGACGGGTTCAATTTAGCTAACAAAAATCTCGCCTGCGACCCGTTTTGATCGCAATCGACCAATCTAGGTACCGGGAACCGTTGGTTTAAGATGTAATTCGCATCTTCTTGCGGCATTTTTAACAACTCTGCGAACGCTTTGTGTTCTTCTTGTTCTTGATATTTCGCCTTGCGCCATTGCGCGATGGTGGAGCCGTGGAAAACGACGACGGAGAAGTACGCGTCTAAGAGTAAGATTCTATCCGGCGCGACCGAACAGACGTCCAACAATACCGGTTCAGGAGGCCCATTGAAGGAATACGCGGTCAATGTCGGTTGAATCATGACTAAAGAATTCAACACGTTTTCGCGCCATAACACTACTCGAAAATACGCGGTTTCGTCCGGCGAGTTGTTGAACACTTGCACGAATTGCGATCGACGCAAGTTGAACATAAACTGCGGAAATAAAGAGAACTGCGGAGCTAACTGGAAAGAGTGCGGATCTTCTTTCCTATACTCGCCAAAGCGTTGACACGCGCCTATTAATTTTCTATCTAACCACCTCGTCGCAGCTGGGCCGTCCATCTCGTCGTCTTGTTCCATTTTCCACGTCAATTGTCGAGCGATCAACACAGCCGCGGCTTCTTGGTCGAAACCCATGGAGATTTCCGGAATGTTTTGCCCGCTCGTCCATCTGCGAGTGGTGGTGATGACTCTCAATCGAGTTTCACCGGTCGGTAACGTTGACGTGCAGTGAAACTGTAAGAAAAACTGAGGCGCGCTTTGATATTGTTGCTGCTGACCGTAGGGGTTTTGACCGTACCCGCCTCCACTAGCTCCGTCTGGCTTCTCTTTCGCGACCTCAAAAAACACCGCCAAAGTCGTGTTCCTAGTCAGCGCGCACATCTTCCAAGCGGTTGTTCCTCCATACCCAATGCTCACATCCGCGACATTTCCTAAATGTCGTCTCGCCGTATCCAACGCCGCGCACGGACCGACGCATCCCGCAACCTTCACGTCTCTCGAGGTGATCACTTCGAAAATTCCATTCGAATGCACTTTTAGCGGCGTCACTTCGTCCGAGGACGACGAAACGCTTTCTGGACTTGGTTCTGGTTTGTTTTGACTCCCGTATAATTTCACAAACGATTTCTTGAACACCACGTGCGAGAACGATTCGGCTAAAACAACCGCCCCGCCGGTTTTTTGCGCGCACCCTTTCATTTCGGCTAATCCAACCTGATCGAGCGCGCACGCAAACACGTCTAAAGAGTGGCCATTCGCGCACAACTGAGTCGCAATCGCGTCGTATTTTTTCTTTGCTTTTGTAAATAAAGGCGCTTTATCTTGCGCGATATCTTTGTGCGATCGAGTCGCATTTTCCAACGCTTTCGGCACGATGTTACCCGGACCCTCTGTACACGGCCCGCCAACGAACAAGCACGCGCGTGCCGGGTGACCGGAAGGACATCCTAAAGACAACAACGTGGATGCGACGGCTAAAGCGGTCCCCGTGGCACGATTATGTCGACTTTGTGGCAACGGCGCGAACGGGTCTCTCGCCAACTCTTCTAAAATCGCCGAGAACGTAAACTCGCACTCAGACAAAGGCACTAAAAACGACGAAGCTGGATTCGTTTGTTGATACGGTTGTTGTTGTTGTTGTTGTTGTTGCGTGTTTGGATTTTGATTCTGACTCTGATATTGTTGTTGTTGCGGTCCACCCCCACCTCTCGAAAATGTCAACTGATCCCTAATCTGCGCGGACGTGTGCTCCTTCCCGCCTCTAAACACGTACGATTTCGGACAGTCCGCAAACTGCAGCTCGTGCACGTGCACGTGCGTCCCGAACGATATCAACCCGACTAAAGAATCTTCCGGCAACAAACTCAGCGCTTGCGTCAAGCTCGCTTTTAAACTCGCCAACTCTTCATCCGACACGCACACGTCCACCAGGAACAAATACGCCGGCGGCGGCGTCACTTTGTTCGGGTTGATCGTATAATCAATCACCAGATAATTCGGAAACAACTCCGCGGGTAAGTTCTGCTCGGTAATCCCCGCGTAATGCGGCGGAAAATTGTTCCTCGCGTGGCAAAACGGGCACACGAACAGTTTCGAGTTGAAGTCGATTTGCGCGTAGGGGTTCAAACACGCCGCGCACGCTTTACACCGCACCGGTTCGTAAGGCACAACCTAAAGCGTATCGAGAGAAGACGAATTGTATAAAGTCAGAAAAGAACAGAAACGTACGCGTTACGACCAAAAATATGCGCGAGAAAGAGAAAAAGAGAGAGGTATTCATCGGATGTCGATGCGCGCTCTTTTTGCTCTTTTTGTCCGTTTCCTCCCTCTTCTTGGAGGAAATTGGATCCAATTCAATCCGCTCTTGAGATTGTTCTCATAAAGTGAGAGACAGAGAGAGAGAGAGCGCGAGAAGACCAAAACGCGACGCGCATCATCGCACGACGAAAGAGCACTCTCTCGCGGGAATAAAGAAATACCGATCTTGATATTCTCATCGTCTTAAAAATGTCTTAAAAACGTACCGGCACGTCCTCGATGTGTTTCAGCGGCGTCACGAGCGCGCCTAAAGGGACGACGCATTTCTGCGCCGATTGGCGATCGTCCGGCCACGCGTTCAGGGAGAATCGAACGCCGTCTTTGTTTTCTAGGTCCGACCAACTCGTCGTCGTCATTATTACGCGTCTTCTCTTTGATGCGTCTTCTTTAAGTTGTCTTTATTCGTGCAACGATTAATTTTGAAGCTTCACTCGAGAAACAGGTGCCTTAATTAAACGGACCAAAAATAAGCAAAAAACGGTTCAATTTACAGACAGAAAAAAAATACACCAAGAGTTGGTTGACATTAAGAAGAAGAAGAAGAAGAAGAAGAATGGGGAAAAAGTTATCTGGAGCGCAGAAGAGGAAGAAGAAGAGGGAAAAGGAAGAGGCTGTTGAACGGGCGAGAGCGGATGTGGAGCGTTTGAAGCTTGGACCGACGAAGATATGGACGGGATTGGTGGTGCATCACAAGGATGTGTTTGTATCGCATGTGCTTCCGAAATTGAATAGGACAGATCGGTTTTTCTTTAAGAAGGTGAATGGAGAGAGTTGGAGTGTGCTTGAGTACGCCGGGTTGAACGTATCGGAAATCGGTTGCACTGTTTATGACTGTTTATCGATTTCGACGTTGGAATTGGTGTGGAATAACGTAGCTTGGGGAGAGAAAAGTAAAATTGGAAGAGTGATGGACCAAGCTTGGTTTTGCTTTCAGGTTGCTTTTACGAACAAACTCGAGTTGCTCAAGTGGGCGAGAGAAGTGAAACAGTGCGAGTGGGATAAACAGACGATTACTTTGGCAGCACTTATGGGTAATCTCGAGATGCTGAAGTATTGCTTCTCGAATGGTTGCCCGTGTGATGAAGAAGAGGCGTGTAAAGTGGCTGCTAAAGAAGGACACCTCGACTGTCTTCGACTTCTTTTCGACAAAGTGGAACCTTCGCGAGATACGGAAAAAGATGCGGCAATACAAGCAGCATGCGGTGGTCACTTAGACATCTTGAAATATTTCGTTGAAGAAAGAAAGATATCGGATGAGGGAAAGTTCACCTGCGTCGGAGGCGCTGCAAAGTATGGCCGAATCGATTGTCTCAAATACTTAGTCGAAGAGGCGAAAGTGCCTATTGACTACTGGGAACACGTCGCGGGAGCTCGTTACTACGAGCAACCCGAGTGCGTGAACTACTTGCTCGAAAAAGGGTCTCCAGAACCAACGGACGAACAATACGCTATGATTGTCGAGATCATAGAAAGGCAGCAAGGCTCTTAAAATAATGGCGGAAGCAATACCGGCGGAAGACTGATACAGAGAGAGAGAGAGTATGTCATACATTTTTACCTCAAAGTCCTCAACAGACCACACAAAATAAAACACAACAAATCATGTATGCACACTCGTCGTAAACGCGAAGATTCGTTTTGATCATCATCATGAGACGACGACGACAGTTGTTGTTCGCGGACTCGATAAAATCTGCGTTCATGCGACGCGTTTCTGAGACTGTGTCGTCGTCGTTACCATCGAGGAGCATCGACGTCGTTTTAGACGCGAGACAGGAGGAAGTCGTCGAGCGTTTATCGAGTTTGTGCGACGACGACGAGAACGACGAGAATGATAACAACAACAACAACTACTACAACAACAACAGTACCAGCGGAAAAAGAAGAAGTAAGAAGAGCGGCGTGTATTTGTACGGATCACCGGGCCGAGGAAAGACGGTACTCGTGGACAGTTTCAAGGATGCGTTCACGAACGAAGAGAAGAAAAAAATCAAGTCGCTTTCGTTTCGCTCGCTCATGGACGAGATGCACGAGAACTTGATGAAGATACGAAATAATGTGCGAAATCCAGTGCGAGAGATTGGGAGTCGGTATAAGAAAGCGCACGAGGTTTTAATCGTGGACGAGGTGGAGGTGACCGACGTCGCCGACGCGCGGATCTGGAAAGCGTTCGTGGAGAGTTACTTAACGGAAGACGACTTGGAAAGCGAGAAGAAGAACACGAAGAAGCGGGAGAAGAACGCGAAGAAGAGAAACATATTAGTGTGCACGTCGAATTTTAAGCCGAAACAGTTGTATAAAGGTGGGTTGAATTGGAAGAGTTTGCTGGTGTCGGAGGTTTTGAGCGAACGTTTGGATGCGGTGTCGTTGGACGGCGAGGAGCACGAGTCGCCAGAGAAATTTCGAGACTATCGAAAAGCTTCGTTCGCCGCAGAAGAAGCATCGGCACGTAAAATCGAGGGAGGGACGTCGTCGTTGTCGTCGTCTTCGTCGTCGATGATTTTCGGGGACGATGCCGACGCCAGCTTACGACTACACTGGGAAAAATTGCTTTCTTCGAAGAATAGGTCGAAAAGACACCATCATGCTCTTTCAGATCGATTGGAAAAAGATATACAAAGTGCAGCGACGAGTATCGAGGCGAACGCGAAAGCGGCGTACTTTGATTTCGCCGCTTTGTGTGGCGCGAACGCGAAATGGTCTCCGAGAGATTACGAGAATCTTTCTAAAGCGTACGAATTTGTGTTTTTGGAATCGATACCGGTATTAGACGTCGCCATTCTCGGTGAAGACGTCGTCCGGCGCTTCGTGATGGTCATCGACGCTTTATACGCGAACAAAACGAAGCTTTACTGTTCATCGCCATCGACGAAGAGCATAGCCGATTTGTTCCCGCAATCATCATCAACACCGTCGCGCGAAAACTCTTCCTCCTCAACTGCAACGGCAACGACAACGTTCGTATCCAAAACAGGAGGCGCCTCCGGGCGAAACGCGACCATGCTTTCCGAAAATATCGAATGGTCCGCCACCGGTTTAACCAAAGCCTCCCTAGCTGCGTTGTCCTCGGGGAGTTTCACGGACAAATCCAAGCCGAGATGCCAGTCGCGTTTGTACGAGATGAAAACCGAGGCGTACAAAAGAGACCGCCCGGCGTAGTACTAGTAGTACTAGTAGTAATAGTAGTAATAGTAATAGTAGTAATAGTAGTAATAGTAATAGTAGTAGTAGTACGCGAGAAGAGCCAACAACAACACACACAAATCGTGCGTGATGGTGATAGAAAAAAAAGGGAGTTGGCGGCAAAGGGTTTGTCGTCGCGCGTGTATTATTGAGCGAAAAGCTGCCTCTTTCCTGCTTAGAAAAGATGACGTGGAATCGCTGGATTTTCCTCCACAAAATCACTCTCGTTTTTTATCAGAACTCCACACACACGTACACATGTTTGCCGTTACCACGACTCCCACTTCGCTTTCATCCTCCGCGACGAGAAGCTTGAAGAATAACAAGTCGTCGTCTCTTTCGAAGCGCGCGAAGTGTTCCTCGATTGTTGTTTCTTCTTCTTCTTCTTCTTCTTCTTCTTCTTCTTCTAAGATGGATGAGAAATTCGATCGCCGGGAAATGTTAAAGAACGCGTTGGTCGCCTCGGTTGGCGTCGTCGCGGCGACTCCGATGCCGGTACGTTCGTTCGTTCGTTTGGTTTTACCGATGATCAGTCGCGTTTTTATGTGCTTCGTTGTCTTTCGTCTCGATCATCAAAAGGCGGAGAAGGAAACCCGACGCGAAAGCGCGTTTGTGGGTTTGATCTCTCACTTTTCTCTCTCGTCTCGCGCACTCGAAAGGTGAGAAAACGGTGCAAAAATGTACTGACGAAACGTTTTTTTTTTAATCTAATCTAACGACCACCAGGCGCTCGCGTTGTTCGGTATCGGCGAAAAGTCGGACGCGAAGTACGAAGAGGACACCAAGGAAGTCATCAACCAAGTTCGCGAAGTTTTGGACTTTCCGATGGGCGCCGACGGGAGAGAACAGTCCATCGAAAAGACGAGAGCGTTGACGAACGAGTGGGTCGCGAGGTACAGAAGATCTGGGGATTATTCCGGCAGACCGTCGTATGGTCTCACGTATTCCGCGTTGAACGCGGTGTCTGGGCACTTTAATAACTTCGGGACGAAATATCCGTTTCCGGCGAAGAGAAAGGATCGAGTTTTTGAGGAGTTGACGAGTGCGGAAACCCAAATTTCCCGAGGTCGCTAAATAGAGAGAGAGAGAGAGAGAGAGATTTATATATTATTATAGAAATGAGATGAAGAAAGAGGGAAGAGAGGTTCTTTGCATTTGCGCTTATAACAACATGTAGCATGTGTTTTATTATTCATTATACCATCTATGCGTGTCATTGTTAAAACCTGACGCTTACGCCACCTGTCTTTCGAACCTTTTTCGATGTGCGTTGCGCGCGAAACTATCCTCGTACCGCTCTCCTATTTTTAATCGTTGGCTTTTTCAGCCAGTTTTTGCTCTAAATGTTCGCACGCACCCGTCACAAACCCTTTCAAATCTTTCATGAATAACTCGCAATCTTCTTTCAGCGCTTTCCTCTCGTTCTCGTCTTCCACTTCCTTCGGTTCCTTCGCTTTCGCGTCGCGAATCTCAAACTCGTCGTCGGCGATAGTTTCGATGCTAATTTCCGGCACCGTGAACGTCCCGTCTACCTCAACGTAACCATCGTCGTAATCAAAATATTCGCCTTTCGTGTACGTCGCTTTTATCTCAAATTCCGTCGTTTCCAAATCTAATCCGTGTTTCATTTTTCCTCTCGACAAGACTATCGAACAGTTCCCAGTGAGCTTTTTCACACTCAACAACAAGAATCTTCTCCTCCATCCACCTCGAACCTCCTTCGATTTGATGTGCTCTTTTTCGCTCGCGAACCATAACTCATCTTTACACTGTCTCCTCAAAATTTCGTTCAACGTCGTTTCTGCCCACGATAAGTACGAGCGCTCCTCGAACGTTTGCGCCGCGTTCCATTTGCTTCCTTTCACTTTCTGGCTTTCTTCCTCCAATCTCAGAGACTCCTCCCGAGTGAGTTGTTTGTTGTTGTTGTTGTTGTTGTCGTTGCCGCCTCCTCCGTCTCCTCCTCCGGGGACGTTGTCCCACCAGTAATGGTAGCCTTTCTTGCTGTTGCATTCAAGGCCGGACATGTTTTCTCGAGTGCGTCAAAGTGGCGTTTTATACGTACTCGAAGAGAAAAATTCTTCTTTTTGCTTAAATATCTAAATATACATACGAGTATTCTACGCTCTAATCCTACTAAAGCCCGGTGCGTTGCCTTAACCGTTCCCGCGCGTTCCCAACCGAGGAAGCCGCGAAGTTTCCCCACGGCCCTCGTCCAAAACCTCTCGTGCTCGTGTTGTGTCTGCTCTCGATCGGCGGTAAGTGCTCGAAACTGGAGTGCTCCGCGTGTATCGGTTCTCGATGTTCGCATTTCTTATCCCAACACGTTTCACATAAGATGTAATTTTTGTCCACACATTGAGAACATTTGAAGGAGTATTGACCTTTCGGAGCGAGCGGGTCGGTCGTCCATAATCGTCGAGCGCCGGATTCGATTTCGTTTTGGCAGTGGCTACATTTTTTGTTCGGCGCGAGGTGGCGTCGGTTCACGCCGGAATCGGTCTCCGACTCTTTCGCCAGGCGAACGTGAGCATCTCTCGCTTTAATCGCCGGCTCTAATCTTTGCAGCAAGATTCGGCACTTTGTCAACAACTTTGCGTTCACTTCTGGTTTCTGCGTGTCCATCGTTAACTCCACCGCGTCCGCGGTTTCCGTAAAACCGCACGCCAACAAACACTCTCGCGCGAATCTCTTCGACCACACTTTCTCTACAAACGACCCCCCAGATTTCTTCGTCAATTTTCTGTACTTCCCTTCGTTCGGTTGTTCGCTGATATTCCTCAAAATCTTATATAAAACGTCTCTCGCGTCCACCCACTCCTTGCACTCGCGAGCGCTTTCGCACCGCGTCAAATACCGCAAAGGCTTCAAAATCAGCAAAATCTCTTCTCTGGTCACCCCGTCTCTCTCAAACAAGTCCACGTCTAATTCCAACTGAAACGTTTGAAACTGCTCCGGTTCCGTCCATCTAGTCTCGTTCGTCTCTCTATTTACGTAATACGCCCGGCCTCTCGTTCGTGCGTCTGCTTCGTCGTCCGAACAGAAATATTGTTCCCAATTGGACATGTTCCGTTTCTTCTTTTATCAATTCGGCAACAGAGGCGCTTTCTTCTTCCTCTTCCTCCCGAACAAAGAGGCGCACGGATTGCAGCAGTAGCAGTATAAACCCGTAAAGCACAAGGAGAGGAAAATCGGGTACCAAAACGCCAGGAGGAATGCAATCGAGAGTTTCATCGTTTGTTTGGTGCACGTTTTTGTGTGAATTTTCACTCCTTTTTCCTCGTTTGAATTTAAGGATAGACCACACAATTATACACAAACTTCTTCATTAAAGAGTTCAAATGTACATCAGCGCATCATCATCTCTGCTTCCGATATCGACGACGAACACCGAAACTCGGATTTTATCCAGCGCGTTCGCGACGTCTTCCTGTTCGGGAAGGAGGCGTTTTAGTGGGAATAAAAATGTACCGAAATCGAATTTCCGGGACGACCCCCGAGGCTCGAAGGCTCCTCGAAGATGTTTTCCGACGAGCGCGAGCGCGTCGTCGTCGTCGTCTCAGGATTCGACGATGACGCCGATTCAACTGCAAGACGTGGCGAGGAAACAGTTCGAGAACCGAGAGCGAAGTCGAGCGCAAATGGTACGTCATCCTCGTTTACTTTTTCTTTCTTCTCGGTGTGTTTGACCGAGAGAGGGTGTTTGGGAAAATTGTCTGACTCAGCACGAAAATTCTTCTTTTTTAGGTGGAACGGCGGTTACAAGCGTTTCGATCGGGAACTTTCGAACCGCCGAGACGAGAGAAAACGCCGTTTAATAAACCAACGCCGCATTTTTTTAGCGCAGGAGTGATGACGCCGAGAAGAACGGCGTTTTTGGAGTTTGAACGGTTGGAGACGTGTTGATGAGTCTCTCTTCTCTTTCTTTCTTCTCGCCGGAGGGAAGCCGAACGAACCGGAAGCCGAGCGAAAACGAAAATGTTGTACCAATACAGGAGTATATATTATTATTATTATTATTATTTAATGCACAGAATGCGACGATGTACGTTATGTGAGGAGCGTATGTGTGTGTGTGTGTCAGTTTTAGATGCGAGCTTATAAAAAGCATCGAGGCGCGCTTTGAACGCGTCGTTGAATCATTTTTAATAGAGAAATCTAAAATACAAATACAAAAGCTAAAAAGAACTACTCAACCCCCCTCTCTGCTACTTCTATCTCGGCCCTAAATACGTCACCTTTCTCACGAACTCCTCCGTGGTATCTTTTGCTCCGACCCCGGTCCCTCTCGGCGTCTTCCTCTCCAAAAGTTGATCCGGTCTCGGCACGAACGTTTGCGAACTCAATCGGCCTTTCGTCACTCTCACTTTCGTCCCGTCGTCTAAATAGCTCGATTGAATCCGAACTCTCCCTCCGGTATTCGGATCGACTAAGCTCACGTTCGAGTAATGTATCGGTTGTTCGACCGATAAAATCTGTCCCGGTGGATTCGGCTCCCCAGGTTGCGGTTGCGGCTTCACGTGTTTCTTCACCAAGTTTAACCCTCCCACGATCAGTTTGTTTTCTTTCCTGAACACTTTCGTGACTTGGCCAATCTGGCCTTTATCTTTCCCCGAGGTGACGATCACTCGATCGCCGGTGAAGATTTTCCACTTGTTGATGAGTTTGTTCGAGCACGCCTTGACGTGTTTGGTGACGTGTTTCGCCGAGCGGCGGAACGCGGAGGCGGAGGACGACGCGGACATGACGATGTTTTACTCCCCCAAAAATCAAAGCAGGGCTGAAATGTGACGATGATGATGAGAGAGAGATCCTTTCACGAATAAACCGCCAAACTTTTGCGACGACAAAGACGACAGTGAACGAAAACCGAACTCGCGCGCTCGCTTTTTCTCAAACGCAAGAGCGTGTATCCGTTTCCCTCTCTCTTTCCGATGTACTATTCTTCTTCGTATTTGTAGAGAATTTAGTGAGGAAATGTCTTCATTTTTTCCCCAACACAAAGAGGGAAAAGAGCAAAGGAGTGAAGGAGCGAGCGCGCTTCGTCGTCTTCTTTTGAGAACGATGGAGGCAGAGGAGGAGGATGAAGGAGAAGAGGAGCGCGAAAGAGGGGTAAAGTCGGAAATGGTGGTGGTTTCGCCGCCGTTTGCCGCGTCGGAGGACTCTTCTTCCAAATCGCGAGAAGAACAACAACAACAACAACAACAACAACAACAACGAGAGGAGACAAAGCCGTTCGAGCGGATCGAGTGGCCTCGACCGAACAAAACGAAACAACCCGGGGATATTTTATTCTGGCCGAGGACGGACCAACCGATAGCGTACACGCACTGGGCGGTATACATTGGTCGGAGGAAACCGATGGGGAATAAATTCGTGGAAAATGAAAGTTTTCCCGAGGCGGTGGTGCACTTGTGGGGCGCAGCGGACGCGAAGGATCGATCGATGTCCAAGGACGCGGCGGTGATTTACAGCGAATTGAGCGAGGTGAATTGCGAGAAGGATGCGCCGAGACCTTTTTGTGGGAATTATAAGTACGATTCGTTGTATACGCCGATGCGACCGAGTCAGATTTTGCATCGAACGTTTGTCGCTTTGGAGCATAAGTTTTACGAAAACGAATTCGGAGGGTACTCGGTGACTCTGAATAATTGCGAGCATTTCGCGACGTGGGCCAGGTACGGGTTTCAGCACTCGAGTCAGGTTGGGGACGTGTTGACGACTGGGTTGAGCGCGTTGGGGACGTTCATGATGGGCCCTCCGGGATTAGCGTTGGGGTACATCGCGGGCAACTTGGTCCAAGACGAAACCAGGAAAGCGAGGAGGCACAAGAATAACCAATTAGACGAGGCTATTAGATCCAGTTATCGGAACGAAAAGAAACAGATGAAACCAGGAATGACAGCGGAGGACAAAGAAGGAGAATCCTCGACGATATACGAAATTCTCGACGAAGAAGCCACTCACGACTTTTCGGACGAGAAAGAAGTCGACTGGACAGTTGACTGCCTCCTAGATTACGTGGAAACGTCAAACGTTCAATTTAGCCAAGAGAAACACGATAAATACGAGCAACACGATAAACACAGGGACGACAACCGGCCGTTTCGTGTGTCTCTGAAAGCCGCGGATGAAAACTCGGCGTTGTACAAGGACCGAAAATCCTCAGCCGGCCAAACGAACATCATCGACGTAGATTCGCGAGGTGAAGTCCGACTCGGCGGCAAAGCGCAACCCAAACCGGAGACCGACTTGAAAGAACTCGCCAAAGACTTGGGTAAAATAGGAAAAGAAGTAGGTAAAGGCATGCTCAGCATGCTCGGCTCCGTCGCCAACGACTTGGCCGAAGCTGCCAAGAAGAGACAAGAAGCGAGAGTAAAGAGAGAAAAAGAGGCGTTGGAAAAGTTGGAAAAATTAAAAGTCCAATCTTCTTCTTCTGCTCCTGCTGCTCCATCGAATACTGCAAACGACGAGAATAACCAACCGTCTGCTTCCAACAGTAACGAAGACCGTTTTTGATGTTGTCGTTGTAAAAATACTATCATCGCACGCGCTGTAAATAAATTACTACCCAAACTGGCAAACGCTCTAATTTTCACTCGTGCACAAAAAAAAGGGGAAAGAAAATTCTTCATTGCAAACACCTCTTCTTTTCGCGCGGCGAGTACTACTACTACATGCCTACCAAAGAGTACCGCATTCCAAAAAGGATCGAGAACGAGAATACCATGTCTGCGACATTAAACGATACGAACGGGGAGGACCCGAACCCGCGCACGGCGACGAAAATGCCCGCGCAAATCAAAAGTAAATTTGGTTTTTCCCGGAGCAACAAAACTATTCCCCAACCGAAATCGAATATCGTCGGTGGAGGAGGACAACAACAACAACAACAACAAAGGCAGCACTTTCAAGACATATCGAATAACAGCGGCGATAGTAACGGTGAGCATTTGAACAATTCGTCGAGAGGGTCGATGATGAAACATACGACGAATGGGTTGCCGAGAGATCCGAGGATTCGACGCCAGGACGGGTCCATATCGGGTGGGATTTTGTACGAAACTGGAGGACGAAAAGTGAACACCTCGAATACGAATACGACTCGCGGGGGTCACAATATTCGAGCACCGTCGGGGCCAGAAGACGAGGACGAGCCGTTTGAATTCGCACACACGTTAGACGAGGAAGAGATGCGGCAGAGAACGCCGGTTGGGGCAACGTATCGCAACACGCATCCGATGTTCGCGAACGGGTTCGGGAACCAACGCGAACAACCGTACGCGCCGAGCAGCCGCGACGGGTCGAATAGCACGATGGCGACGTCGTCGTTTGTAGTACCGGAAGTGCTCTATTGGAAGGATCCGGCGAGGACAACGTTGCACTTTTTCGGTGGGTTTGTCCTCATGGGCACGTTTTATGCGTTGTCCGCGGCGAAGGCGTCGGTGTTTTCGCACTTGGCGTACGCGATGTCCTTAGTGGTGATGGGGAAGTACGTCTTTGCCATTGCGTTCCCGAATGCGGCTAAAGGGATAACGATGAACCCAGAAAAGATGGCAATCAGAGCGAGGAATATGTGTTATAAATTCAACGCCTTCACGGAGAGGCACGAACGGTTTTTCGCGGGTAGAGATAACAAGGCGACGTTGGGCGCGTTTCTCGCGTTGCAAATGGTGAAATGTGTCGGCGGAGCGTTGTCCACGAGACAACTGTTGTTTTTGGCGTACATAGGAGCGTTCACGATGCCGTGCGCTTGGGAGAAACAAAAAGTATTCGTGTACGAGATGTATTGTAAAGTACAAATGGCGATGCAGGAGAAGTGGGCGGAGTTTTCGCCGAGAACGAAAGTGACGAGCGGGGTGTGCGGATCGGTGATGGTGTTCAAATTGGCGAGCGCGCAGACGAGAGTGAATGCGGTATTTTTAGCGCTCGTGTGTTATAGGATTATTAAGGAGCAACAGAGTTTGCGATTGCACGTGCAGCGGATGGAAGATGTAGTCGTAGGAAGCGTGCGGAGGATGAGCCGCTCGTTCGTGGACATGGTATCGCCAGTGCCGAAGCGATTCGGCGCGCGCAGTTAAAAAACAATGTTCTCTCAACTTATCCCAAATATACTCGGTACCTGGGTACTACTATTACTACTATTACTAAACCTAAAATAATATATTGTCACCATCATCGTTTCAATCTTCAAATGCTTTCAGCGCTTCTTTATTTTCATCGCAAAAAGTATTATCGAGAGGAGGATGGGAATTTGGCATATGGTCGGGGATTCGCAAATACATATCGAGCTGCGCCGCGATTTCGTTTAAGCATCGTCTCGCATAAAACGTCTTATACGGGGGAGGCAAAGTGTTTAACATCGCGCCGAGTTCACTCGCTTTTTGCATGGCGTCTTTTCCCTTGACGGGGTCTTTGTTCCCGTACACATCTTTTCCGTCGTAGTCTATATCTACTCTGTTATAAAACACGTTCACGGCAACCGACGGTTCGTTCGTCTCGCTCGGGAGCGACGTGACTCTGTGGAACCAAAGTGCCGGTATGTACAAAGCATCTCCAGGTTCGAGCGTACACACGTGTGCGCGCTCCAATCTAATAGCATCAAAGAGCCTGTAATTATACTCCAACTCTTCGTCGCAGCTGATCTCGTTTATAATTTTTTCGTCGAAGTTTTCATAGCCGCGCATATATTTTAATCTCGCGGACGAGCCCTCGACGTTCAACCACGGTTCACATTCTGGCGCGTACAAAATGACGCGTTTCCTACCGCTCAACTGGTGTAAGATATTGTCTCGAGTATCGAAATGCATCCACAGCGTTGTCCCTGGCGAACTAACGCGCAGAACAGAACTGTGCGTTACAACCGTACCATTACTATTAACATCACTATTATTCCGCGCCGCCGCGTAAAAGCGCTCGACCATTCTCCGCGTCTCGCGACATCTTCCATGAAACGTTGGAGTATCAAACGGATTGCGCTTTGTTTCTGGATCTTGGAAATCGGTCAGAACGTTCGCCGCTTTTTTCGGACCGTTCGTGTGACGCGTGTATAACTTCTCTCCTTTTCGTATTCTTCGAATCATCTCTCGCCAGGGCATTTTCTGAAACGTAAAATTTCTCGGCGTGTTTGGTTTCCTGTGCCCGGCGAGATCGACGTGTGTTGCGCTGGGGTCGTCGATCACGTGCACTTCCACGATCAAATCTTTAAGAAACTCCTCGCTGTTTGTATTTTCCACCGTAATACTCTCGTCCATATACGTTTTATCCGAGAACATCTTATACGGCTCGCCGCCAACGCGTGGATACAAATCTAGGGGATTCTCCGAAAGCGAAATCTCGGGAACATTCACGCTTCTCTCGTTCAAGTCCGGCGGCCATAAGCAACAATTAACCCTTTCACACGCATCGTCACGTCTTCTTCTTCTCGAGTACTTCCCCGGAGGACACGCCCGTTGTTCAACACCACCACCCGTCGTATTCGTCGTCGTTGTTTTTCGTTGCGGCATATTTCACACGCACACCTCTTTTTTTCGATATCTTTTTTGAGGAGGAGGAGGAGGCGAATTCTTTTTTTTTTGGTCAAACTGTCGTTTTTTTCAAGCGCATCAGTCAGACAGATTCGAGAAAAATTTTTAAAAAACGAGACACAAAGAAGAAGAAGAAAAAAAGAACTTCATCGCATCTCCACAAAAAAGCTTTGAGAGTTTCTTCGAAAAGCGCTCTGTGTACGCGCGAAAAGAAGAGGCGTAAGAAAGAAGAACATAAAGAACGAGATAGTATCGCGAGCATTCTTTTCTCGTCGTCGCGTTCTCTTTCTCTCTCTCTCTCTCTCTCTTCTGCTTTTGTGAACGTTGCACGACACACATTCATTTTCCCGGGTAAAATTTCAAATTTTAAAAAGAGAACGAAACATGTACGAAACGCCAAAGAATAACATCAACGATGATAATGATGAAGACAAAGAACCGAAAGATCTGCGCGCGAGACGCACACAAACGACGACACTTGATGACGCTCGCGTGGAAGGAAATATCTTCTTAATAAGGGACGAAAAAACCTCCCCGGAAGAACACGAATCCGCAGCCATTTTGTTCGAGCTGATGTCCGGCGCTGCGAGGGTGGTTTCCCAAGAAGGAGAAAAGAGGAAAAAGAGGAAGAAGCGCGGGAACGCGACGAACAACAACGCGATGATGAACAAAAACGCAAGTAAGATGATGAAAAAGACTTTGATGACTCCAATGGTGACGAATACGATGAAGACGACGAAGCGGAGATTATCGGCGAAGTTCGCGGATGTTGAGGAGACTCGCGCCAGAGACGCCGCTTCCGCCGAGAAAGAGAAGAGGAAGAAGCGAGAACCGAAGAAAGAAGAAACGACGAATGCATCGATGATGAAACGAGAGAAGCAAGGACAACTTCAGCAACGGAACATGTTTATGAATGATTTCGTTTGTAAACAGTTGGAGGCGGACGCGAGCGTGCCGAAAAGCTGGGTCGCGTTCGCGCGAGCGACGGCGCGAGGCGAAGACGCGGCGGTGATAGAAGCGTCGACGTGTTTAGACGACGCCGAGGACGAGTTTAAATATTTTAAAAGTAGACGGAAAACAACAGCGACGACGACGACGAGTAGCAAAAAGAAGAAGAACAACGAAAACGAGGACGAGGACGAGGACGAGGAGAACGAAGCGGGCGTAGAAGACCAGAATGGCGTTTTTATCGACGCCGCGTGTAGAAGAGCGCGATATTCAAAAGGCGTGACGAAACTGAGCGCGGATTTGATTCGACAGAACCCTTCCGCGGCGTGGTTGGAATGCATCGCGGCGGATGCGCACGATCGCGCACGACAAATCTGGCGTACTAAGAAGAGATGCGAAAAAATGCGCAAGCAAAGCATCGCTGCCATGTTCAGAGGCAAAACGATGAACGACGCCTCGGCGCAAAGCAATCGAGAAGCGGCGGTGGAGGATGTGAGCGCCATAGCGCTCGCGAACATCTGCGCAAACTGGGAACTTGGATTGGCCAAAGAGATAGAACTATATTGCGACCAGCTAGAAAATGTGGAACTGATTAGCGAGAAAGCGATTGCGGAGAGCACCACCCCGTCATCATCTGAAGAAAGAACATTCTCGATGGAGCAGTTTGAACGCTCAGACGACCCCGAACACCAAAAGGCGAAGCGGCTCGCGACGAAGCTTCGCACGCACTCAGAAAAGGTAGCGGCGCTGTGGAGACACAACGCCAAAGGTAGAAATGCTTTTTAATATGTATTATGTTTATATTCATTATATTTGTTGTATTACTCGCGTGTTTACTGGCTAACTCAGCAAACCCGCAAAACTGCTCGGTCCGGTTTCCACGTTTCGCTTCGGAAGACACGCAGCCACCATCGCGGCATCTTTGCTCTCGCCACCACCACCGAAGATGACTTGTGCAAATCCATTCATCGTGGATTCTCCGCACGGACGCGATGCGTCGTCTTCTTTACCGATACCGGCAAAGATGGAGTCGAATCCTGCGAGTCCTTGCGGAAGTAAGGAATTGGGAAAATCACCGGTGGAGGTGTTTTCCTTCTCGCCGTCTGGTTTCATCCACATTGAAATTGGCATGTCATTGTCGTCGTTGTTCTCTAAATCGGATTCTCCACCGTACTCCTCTTCCTCTTCTTCTTCTTCCGGCTCTTCTTCGGCTTCGAGCATCGGTTTACGGTTGCGTCTTTCGCGATTGCCGCCGTTGAGTTCGGCTTGCAATTTCAACGCCAACATCGAATCCGTCTCTGGTTTGATCTCTTTTGGCACCGGCTTTTTTGCAAACTTGCTGCTAGTATCTATTTTGCGCTTCTTTTCCTGACTGGAGGGTTTTATCGTCTCGAGCGGTTGTTCTTGTTCGTTGCCGTTCACGAACGCTCCGACGTCAAACGCCGACATGGTAAATTCCGGTGGCGGTAACGGCGTTCGCGTCCTTTCGTCAAACACGGTCGAAAAGTCAAACTTGTTGTTATTATTGTTCGCGCTATCTCTGTTCGCTATCATCTGTTCCTTTATCGCCATTTTTGTTCTATACGTGTAATCTTTTCTCTTCTTGTCCCCGCTTCCATCCGGCGGCGGCAACGGCGCGAATCTCCAACTGTATTTGATTTCAAACGTCTCCGGATACCCTCGCATCTCGTACGCTTTCACCGCGGTCATGTCGCCGATAATCTGCTTATCCCAAACAACGCACGGTTCTAAGTTCACCGAATTATCCCCTCGCATATTCGGACGCATGGTGAACATGAACGCTTTATTCCTCAATCCGTTCTCGTTTCCCGTTTTCCTCTTCTCCTCCTCTCTCGCTTCTCGTTCCAAAAGTGCAGCCGCCTCTTTCCATTTTTCGCTGAAATGGTCGCAAATATCCCCCAACTTTTTCCTCAACCGAAAGGTCAAATCTACGATTGGATTTTGTCTCGTCGATTTGATCGTATTCGATATCAGCTCTGAATCTGGCGTAAATCGAATGGTTATTTTCTTCTTCCCGTCGTCGCAGTGTTGAATCGCTTTCGCTTGGTCCATGTTGATCGCCAAGGAAGGTGACGTTCGAAAAGGTTCCGTCGTCGTCGTCGTCGTCGTCGTCGTCGTCGTTTCCAACGCTCTTTTGTGCTTCGCGTCTCCCGCGACGACTCGCTTCGGCGTCTTCATCTCCTCGTTGTTGTTGTTGTTCGTTCTCATCTTGTCTCCTACAACATGATCTCCTAAAGTCTTCTTCATCTTCGGCCGTCCCACCGGCGCTTTCCCGCTCTTCTCGACCACTTTCCTCCTCTCCTTCTCCATCAACTCCGCCAAGAAAATCGCGTTCCTTTTCACCTCCTCCGGTGAAAAACCATCACTCGTATCCGGAGGATAGTGTTTCGAGGACATGAACGCGAACCAGGCTTTCCAAGAGGACGCTCGATCTTCCTCGTTCGATTTGTCAATTTTTTTAAACTTTTTCTCCGAGTTGAGTAATTGCGTTCGAGAGAGGAGATTGTTGATGCGAGGGAAGATGTAATCTTGGTCCTCGTTTCGCCACATGTCTCGTTTTTTGTTGCTCGGAGACATTCTTTCTCTCTCGGAGGCTAAAGGCACACAAACGCGTTTCCTGGGAAGGCTAAAGGTCGCTGCTTTTGCTGATGTGATACGCGCGCGTATTCAAAGCGAGAGTGAGTACAAATGGAAGAAAATCTCGAGATTTCAAAATCGAAATTCTTTCTCTCTTTCTCTCTCTCCGAAAAGAAAAAGGAACGCAGAAACTCTCTCTTTTCCCTCTCTCTCTCTCTTTACGTTTGAAGTTTTCTCTCTTTCGTCCAAAGAAGGTGCGTTTTGAGCGCACGAACAGAGAGAGAGAGAGAGGGTATGATTTGCTCACGGCGTTTCGTATCTCTCTTCAAAAAGTGTGTCTCTCTCGTCGTGGGAGGTGTTGGATTTTTGAAAAAGTGACGAATTTTTCATTTGAACAGTCGGTCGTCGGTTGAAAAAAAAAAAGAAAAAAAAATCAGAATTTACTCAACTGTCCCCACGAGACCAACACACCTGCGCGTGAAGAAGCACAGAACACTTTTTTATTGTTGACACGCACTGCGCTTACTACTACTACTATACTAATACTAATACTAACACTTTAAGAAGAAGAAGAAGAATGGGCATCGGCACGCACAAAAACGACGCGCTCGTCTGCCTGAACGATTTCGCGTTCACCAACGCCTTGGTGAAGCAAGGGTCGAGACGAGACTGTTTTCGTCATCGGAAGCGCATCGACGACGACGGAGAAAAAGAAGAACAACGAGGAAACGATGCACAAAATTCGATTAGAAAAATACGCACAGAAATCATCGACGAAGGGAACTGCGTGTGCACGTTAGGTCAAACAGATGGCGATTTGAACAACACGCAGACGAAAGTGCACTGCGTGGTGACGGGAACTTTGAATAAACCATACGGGAGGTCCGCGGAAGGGTCGTTGAGAGTGCACGTGAAAATGTCACCCATGGCGCACCCGACGGACGCGCCGATCGAGAAGAATCGAGAACACGAAACGTGCGATGGTTTGTCGAGAATGCTGGAGAAGTGTTTTCGAGACGCGAGGGCGTTGGATTTGGAGAGTTTGTGCGTCAGTGCGGGGAGGTACGTGTGGCATTTAAGGTTGGATGTGACTCTTTTAAATCACGGCGGGGATTTGCCGTTGGCGGTTTCGATAGGCGCGAACTGCGCGTTAGGGAGCTTTCGGAGGTACGAGTGTTCGATAGATAACGAGACGAATCGCGTGACGTTTCACGAGGAACGGGAGAGCGTGAAGTTGCAGCTGATGCATCATCCAGTGGCCGTTCGGTTTGCGTTTTACGATGGAAGTAACAGCAAAGGGAGCGGGATAGACGAAAACGAAGAGAGCAAAGAAGATGCGGACGAAGAGGACGAGAACAACAAACCGCATCAGAAATACGGCGTATTGGTGGACGCAACCGTAGAAGAAGAGGCGTGCGCGATCGGGTTCGCGACAGTTGCGGTAAATGAACACGGAGAGACGTGTTTCTCGACCATGGATTTTATGGGCGAGAGATTAGGGAAGAGCGCGACGCGAGGCGTGGACGCGACGGCGTTGGCGGGAGTACACTCCACCGCGAGCGACGTAGCTAAAGTAGTGTGTAAGGAAATGAAAGAGGCGCACGAAATATTCGAGCAGAAGCGATTGGAAGAAAAAACGAGACGACGGAAATACGATCCAGACGCGCTCGAACGGGCGGCGATGAAAGTCGGCGAGGACGAAGAGAAAGAGGATGGCATTAAGGAAGCGTTACTCGAAGACGCAGAAGCGATGGACGCAGAAGCGCGCGCCAGCGAAGATTCCTCCGATGAAGATGAAGATGATGATGCAGAAGATAAAGAACACGTACCGTTGGTTTCGCTGAAACCTCCACCGAAGAACGCGTCTTCCTCTTCCTCCTCTGAGGAAGAAGAAGAAGAAGAGAAATCGAGCGACGCGGAAGGCGACGATATCGACGATATGTTCGATAAAGCAGAGAAGAAGCAGGCAAAGAAAAGAGCGAAAATTGCCGCGAAAACATGGGACGAGGCCTTACCCGGAGACGGGAAGAAATTATCCGACGCGGTCTTGAAGAAGAAGAAGTTGAATAAAAAGAAAGCGCCGGCCAAAGCGAAGAAATTAACATCATCGTCCAAGAAATGATTTCGTAGTAGAGTAGTACATAGCAAATACTACTCGTCGTAAGAGAACTAAAAACCTTACCTTTACATAGATTGATGAGGTAGTAGTAGGTATAAGAATAGATTTTTATTATTAGAGATTATACAACTTGGTATACTTTTCCGTCAAGTATTTCGTGAACGCTTCCGCATCGAGCGGCTTGCCCGTGACTAAAACCAACAAGTCATCCGCGGAATCGCATTCACTGCCTCGATCGTGGACGTTTACGCGCAACCATTCGCGAAGCGGCGCGAACGTGCCTTTTGCGATGTCGTCCTCCAACGTCGGCAAAGCTTTCTTCGCCGCTTCGAAGATTTGACACGCGTACATTGCACCCAACAGATACGTTGGAAAGTATCCGAACGCGCCAGACGACCAGTGGACGTCTTGTAAAACGCCTCGCGAATCGTCTTCGATGTCCACGTTCAAATATTGTTTCATTTTCTCGTTCCAAAGTTTTGGTAAATCGTCCACGGCGATTTCGCCGCGCATCAAACCAATTTCCAACTCCGTTCGCAACAAAATGTGCAACGGGTACGTCAACTCGTCCGCTTCCACTCGAATCACCGACGGGTTTCTCACGACGTTCAAAGACGCGTGCAACTGTGCTTCGGTCACGTTTTCAAATTCTTTCGGGAACGACTTCTTCAATTCCGGCAAAAGAAACGTGGAAAAAGACGGCGATAACGCGACCATGCGTTCCCACAACAACGATTGCGATTCGTGGACGCCCATCGAGTGCGCGCGCGATACGGGTTGATTCGCGTATTCCGTCACGTTTCTTCCTTGTTCGTACAAAGCGTGCCCGGTTTCGTGAATCGTCCCGGTCAAACCTTCCGACAAATCGTTTTCTTTGTATCGCGTGGTCATTCGTACGTCTCCGGGACCGCAGCCTCCCGTAAACGGATGCACGGAAACATCCAATCTCCCTTTTTCTAAATCAAACCCAAGCTTTAACGCGATCTCCTTCGATAACTTTGCCTGCGTATCCACGTCAAAAGTGCCATTGCTCACCACGTTTTCGCCTTTTTTCAACGCCACCGGCGACTCTTTCGCGTACACTTTTTGAATCAAATCCACGACGCACGTCTTCACGACAGGAAATATCTCATTGAGACGCTCTGCGGTCATTCCTCTCTCGTACTCGTCTAAACTCGTGTTAAACGCATCCTCCCCGGGTTTGATCAACTCGCACCTGCGTTTCACGAGATCAACCCACTCTTTCAATATCGGCGAAAACGTCTGGAAATCCTTCGCCGTTCTCGCCTTCACCCAAATTTGGTACCCCTCGGATTGTAACTCCGCCGCTTTCTTCGCCATATCGCTTGGAATTTTCGCCGACCGTTCGTACTCCTCTTTCGCTCTTTTCACGTTCGCGATATCTTTCGGACGTGAAGGTTGACTGTTCGCGATGAGTTTCCCTAATTCTGAATCGATAGATTTCTGATGAATAACCCCTGCTAATACCGCGGACGCTTTCGAACGCAACAAAGCCGCGTGTTCTCCACTCGGCATCATCGTCAATTCGTCCCACCCGGCTAAACCCGCCAACGAGGACAAGCAATCGATTTCAGCGAGTTTTTCTTTCAACCGCGAATACGTCGTTCCTTCTTCTTTCGTCGTGGACGACATCGCTTTTGCTGCTGGTAAAATTCTCACCACTCTTCTTCTTCTTTCAAACGAGAGTGTTCGTCTCGTCGTTCTCGTTGTCGCGCGAGAAAAGGCCAGTGCCATTCTATTGCGCGCGCGTGTTTGAAACAATGATGAAACAATTCACACAACTTGGGACACGAAATGACAGACACAAGACAGAGAGGAAAAAGTACGAAGCAAAAAGGTGGGAGAAAAAAGCAGAAAAGCAAAAAATGTGAAGGGAGACAAAAACGACGAAAAAGGAAGGATGAATTTTTTCGGATAAAATGGAAAAGAGCACGCAAAAGTCACGAGAGGCGTTACCCTATTATTTGACGCGACTTTTCTCTACTCCGCCACAACGAGAGACCACATCATGGCGGACAGAGGCGGAGGACTGAAGACCTCGTCTACCGCGAAGAACAACAAGGACAACAACACGAACAAAAAGAAATACTACGCGGTCGCGAGTGGACGAAAACCAGGCGTGTACGAAACCTGGGACGAGTGCAAAAAGCAAGTGTTCTCGTTCCCGAACGCGCAGCACAAGGTAAATACTAATACTTTCCCCCCGTCCTTTCCTCCCTTTGCGCGCGCGAATGCGCTGCTCTCTGATGAAAGAATCTCTCGAATCTGACATAAACGCGTTGCCTTTCTCTCTCTTATTCTTATTAAAGAGCTTCTCGGCGCGAGCAGACGCCGAGGCGTGGGTGAAAACAAACGTCGTCGAGAATCCATCGTCTTCCTCCATCGCCGCCGAGGTGAGACCAACGATTCCGACGAACACGCAAAAGAGGAAAGCGCATACAAACAGCACAAAACAAACTTCGATTACAGAATACCTAGACAAAAATGAAGAGGAGTTTGAGGACGACGACGATGGATGGACGACGGAATACGAACCGATGAAACCACTTTCATCACCACCGGCGAAAAGAACAACAACAGCGAGGGGGAAATCCAACGGTAACAACACCAAGAGAAAACTCAACACGTCCGCGAAAGCGAACGCGGAAGAAAACGTACCCTTCGTTTTGGAATTCGACGGCGCGTCGCGAGGAAACCCGGGACCGGCCGGTGCTGGAGCGTTAATTCGAGCGCCGAGAATACCGTCAGACGCGAGAGAGGAAGAAGAAGAAGAAGAAGAAAGGTGTGGTGAAATCATCAAAGAGATTTGCACGTCGTTGGGTGTCGCGACGGTGAACGAGGCGGAGTACCACGCGTTAATTACCGGGTTGAAAGCAGCCATTGAACTCGGGATCGAGGATATTCGGGTCCGAGGCGATAGTAACTTAATCGTCAGTCAAGTGAAAGGCGATTGGAAAGTGAAAGAGCCGAGGTTGATTCCGTTGCACGCGGAGTGTAACGAGATGAAGAAGAAGTTTCGCAGGTTTGATATAGCGCACGTGAGAAGGGAGTTTAATAAAGACGCGGACGCTTTGGCGAATAGCGCTATAGATGATGGAACGCACACGAACGATTACGAGTATAAGATGAGTGGGAGCGGCGGCGGCGGATTTTCCGGCGGCGGCGGTGAAGGCTTGGGTGGCGGGAACGCGAACGCCGCGGCGCGAATGGTTCGACGAGCGCACTACGCCAACATCGCGAGAGCGACGTTGTGTACCATGCGCTTCGCTCGAATAGCTTTGCTGTAAAAAGATGTATAACAGAAGAAACTGTAGTAGTAGTATTAAGAGGACGAAGAAGATGTACTCGTTAATCGTATTGTCGTTGATGATGATATAAATACATGTGCTAAAATTTACTTCTTTGCCGCCGACGATTTGTTGAAGAAGCCTTTCTTCTTGGCCACAGACTCTTGTTTTTCAACCACCAAGCTCGTCGTCGTCACCTCTTTCTTCTCATCTTCAACTTCAACTTGCTCTTCTTCTTTGACTACTTTCGTCGGTTTGCTAAGCACGCGTTCCGTCTCCTCTCGCGCGATTTCTCTCGCCGCCGCCATGGCATCCTTCTTCGCTTGCGACAACTTGTTCTCCATTTCCTTCTCCTCCTTCGCGCGTTTCAGCTCTCGTTCTTTGCGTTCTCTCTTTTCTTTTCGCTTCCGATCTTCCTCTTTCTTCATCGCCTCAAACGCTTCCCGTTCTTTCTTCAACGCATCCAGTTCTTGCTCGAAACGCTTCTTGCGCTCCTCGTTTTCCTTCTCAAACTCGGCCCGAATGTTCTCCGCAGCTAACCGCTCGCGCTCTTCTTGCGCTAAGCGAATTCGTTCTTTCTCGGATTGCTTAAATTCAGGCGTTCTCGGGGAGGAGAGTTTTTCGGAGTACGCCGCGGCGTCGTTCGCGGTGCCGTACGCCGCTCGCGAAGGTAACGGCGGACGGCCGTTACCTTTCCCGCCAGTCTCTTCGTCCACGTCTTGGCGTTGTAACACGCCCGGAATCGCCCACGGGTGCGACACGGAGCTCGGGTACTTTCTCGCGATAGCTAACAAGGCGACGGCTAAAGCTACACACGCGGTACCGATGGCAATGAATGGCGGAGAGTATTCCGCCCACTGCACGAAGGCTTCTTCGCGGTTGCGAGGCTTTTCTCTCGTTTTCTTCCTGATGTCCATCTCGATGGCTTCGGTCAAGTCGTGCGGAGAGACAATCTTCTTGCTGCTGCTCGACGATTTGCTGCTGCTTTTGTTGTTGCTGCTGGATTTTACCGACGATGACTCTTTCTTGCCGACAGAGGGAGAGCTTTCCTTCGAGGATGAAGGAGCGCTCGTCTTGCCCGCGCGTCGAGGCGCTTTCGTCAACGGCTTATCAACCGTTCCGCTCGTCTCTTTCAAAGCCTCTTGTACTTTGGAAGAAGATCGAGAAGAAGAAGAAGATTTCTTCGACGCGTAAGCTTTGCCGGAAGATCTTGTTGATCGATCGTTTCTTTGCTGTTGAACTTGTTCGACGAAATCTTCTCCTCGCGCATCTTCGTAGTCTTCGTCGGTGAGATCCTCGATTGGTTGCGCGTAAGAGGACGAGGAAACCAAGGTTTGTTGACGCGGCGTCCACGTGCGCTGCGGTAATTGCTGACGTTGTTGTTGCTCTTGCGCTCCCGTAGCAGGGACGCGAATAACGACCGGTCCGTTTGTTGCCGCGAATTCCATCTCCGTGTTCGCTCTGCGCAACACCATGGTGGATTTCTTACACGCATTCACCGAGAACGAGCAACTCGCGTATCGAACGGCTTGGCACTCGTACACTTCAGCGACAAAACTTCTTTCGAGCTCACTCGCATTCGCGCTCGCGTCTGGGCACGCGCGCGTTTGCTTACAACTCTGATCCGGGTGTTGCTCGGGGCCGAGTAAAACGCCCTTGGAAGATTCAACGCACGCGTTGACGACGCCAGAGGTTGGGCACTGCGCGTTCCCGAGCTGTCTCGCGGTATCGCACGCCATCGACGCGTCGCCGTTCGGCGTCTCGTCGACAACATCGTAACAGTGGTGCTCAGCCTCGTCGGCTTTGCCTGGGCACGCGCACGAGCACGAGCCGTACGCCGAAGGTGAATCTTCAAAGTTGTTCGAACGAATCGGCGCGTCGGTGAGTCGTTGTGGCGCGAGGTTTATTCCGTTACGCAATCGACTCTTGTCGTCGCCTAGCACGCTCTGTTCTCTCTCGTCGTTCTCTTCCCTCAGATTCCCGTTGTATTGTTGTTGTTGTTGTTGCCTTTGCTCTCGCGATTCTTCGCGATGGATGTTGCGTTCAATTCTTTGAATATTCTCACTGTTCAACTCTTCTTCTTCTTCTTCTCGCGCTTTCTCGTCGTCGACAATGTTGCGATTTCTCCTCGATGCGAGTAATCTTTGCTGCGTCGCCGCATCAGATCGAGGTTGGAGAAATACTCTGCGTTGCGCGTTGCGTTGTCGCATTTGGTGCACGTACGGTGACTCGCCCAAACTCGCCGCTTCTTCCGAAGACATGGCCCCGTCGCCGAGCTTCGCCGTATCTTTCTTCGCGCCCATCATCATGACTCTCACCGGGACGTCGCCTACGACAGCCATTCTCGCCATGTTTTGCGTCGGCGTCAACACTTGTCGGAACCAACTTGTCTTCTTTGTTTCTTGCGCGGAACCTAAACTCGGGACGGAATACTCGTGCGGCTGCGCGTGTTGCACCGCCGGATATTCCGGCACCGCGCTGAACTTTGCGTCCTCGTCGCCGGCTTTCTTCTTCGCCGCTACCGTTTTCGCCGCCGCTTCTTCGAGTTCCGCCATTGGCGTTTTTAAGAATTTCGGGTCGATGCCTTGCTCTTTGTAATACTCCTCCTCGACGACGGTCGGTTCGTGTTTGGACATGTGAATGGCGTCTTGCCATCTTTGCATGGACCCGTACACGTCTTGGCCGGCTTTGACCGCTTTCTTGTGCTCTTGCAAAAATTCCGCGGCCGAGTTCACGGCTTCTACGTAATACCCACCAATCATCTCTTTCCAAACTTGGTCGTGGATTTCGCGGTCTTCTTCGTATTCTTGGACTTTCCTGCCGTCCGCGGTGGTGACCACGGTTCCGTCGCCAATCGGCACTCTCTTCGGTCTGCCGCTTTCCGGATCAATGACCACTTTCGTGTTCATCTTCTCCTTCCCGTCTGGGCCAATTTGAATGCCGCTCTCTTGCTGCGCTAACGCCGACAAGTGCGGCTCCCCGTCCACCACGCGAAACTTTCCGTCATCTAAGCCTTTCATGCCAATCGTATCCGGCTCTAATCCAACCTTGGCGGCGCCCCACAACGCGTGCGCTAAAAACGTATCGTCTCTCTGGTAACTCTCGCAATTACCCGTTTCTCCGCTCGTTCGCCCAAAAGTCACAATCGCGATGTTTTCTTTCGGCAACATGAAAATAGCGGACCCTTTATCGCCGAGAGTCATCGCCACGAACGACGTCGTCGACGCGCCGAAAAGAGGACCGCGCAAATTCTTCGCCGCGTGGCCGCACGGGGTCGACCCCAACGCCACCGGCGAACAGCACGTCGCTTTCTTCGGGATTTTCTCGTCTTTCTCCAACGGTTGGTGCACCCACGTCAATAACCCGTGCTTATCGTTTTGCTCGGTTTGCGTGAACACCTCGTACGCGAAGTCTTTGTTGAACAACTGAATGGAATGCCCCGTTTTGTCTAAAGTCACGCCTTTGTTCAAAAACAGCTGCGCCAACTTCAACGCGTCTCTGCAAGACAAACTGAACCTCCCGGTGAGCGAAAATTCCCCGTCCGTTTGATCGTCGCCGTTCAAAAAAGCCTCTTGCAACCCGAGCGGTTCTAAAACCGCCTTTGTCGCCCACTCCTTCGCGTCTCTCTTCACCCGTCTAAACACCGCGTGCTGAATCGCATCCTCCACGACTTTCAAATACAACGAATTCCTGTGATCTCTATCGAAACTATCGTCCAAATCCCACTCTTGTCCGGGTTTGTTCGCTCTTTGGTTCTCTTCTACCGCGCCGCCGTGCGTTTGCTGCAAAATATGCCTCGCCGTCACCGTCGTATCTTTCCCGAAAATCTCAACCGCTAACGGCGTGTAATCTAACAGCGGCTGATCGAGTTCAATCAACCCGTCTTTCACCGCGGCACCAATCATCGCCAGCGATAAAAGCGCGCCAGATGTATCCGTCGTCCTTTTCGCGTTTGGACTCGAGGCAAAACCTGGGTAGTTTTCGTGCACGATGGCGCCGTCCTTGGCGACTAAGAAGCAGTCTCGCCCAGGGAGGACCGAGAGACGCGCGTCTGCCGTCTGTGTATTCGTAGTGTATGATGAATAACGACGCGTAATAAAAGAAACGTTCATAAAGGTCAGTCGTCGTCGAAAACGAGGATCGAAAGAAAGACCAGACGCGCGCCAAAAGATGATTTTTAAACGAGAGAGAGAGAGAGAAGAGGAAGAAGAGGACGACAAATGTTCCCCGACCTCCAAATGCGAGCCGCGGCTCTCTCGGATGAGATACAAAAAGAGAGAGAGAGACAAAAAGAATACACGTACCTCTAAGCTGCTCTGACTCAAACCTTTGGACGCGGGGGTGGCGAATTGCCACTCTCCTCCTCCCTCGCTGCCGTGCGCGTCCTTTTGTGCGCTGTCGTCATCATCCTCCGGAGCGATGGTCTCGGGCGTTGTTCTCGTCGTCGTTTTCCCCAAAGAAGAGGATGGATTTTGTTCTTCGAACGATGCCAACTCTTTCTGCGCGTGCACACCTGTTATACTCGTCGCCAAATCGAGAATAATAAGAAACAACAGCGAGGACGAAACGACGGCGAAGAAGAACGTCATCGTTCGTCCGTTCGTCGTCCTCCGCGAGTTCGTCGTCATTATCCTCTCTCTCCTATACGTGTGTGTGATTTTTGACGGGGAGTCTCTCTTTTGGTTCTCGTTGTGTTCTTGTTAAACCCTACCTATGGTAACAAACCCTAAACAAAAAGTGCTCTAAAATTTTTTTGTGGGGAATATGCACAAAAAGCAGAAGAATTTCATCGCATCACAGAACACACATATTTAAGACATAGCACACGCGCGCGCTCATTATTTAACCAAGTCGTCGTGCGCACGGAAGAGAGGCGCAACACTACTCCAAAAACAGTGAAACTCGTTTTTTATTATAAAGTTCTCTTTGAATGATTTATTAAAGTTCTTTTTACGTTGAATTATATACACTAATAAGAGCTTAACGAAAGAAGGAGAGAAAAAAAATGGTGGCGGTTGTGGTACCCTCCCCTGGGGGTGTTCCTTTTTTTTCTTCCTTTGTGTTCGCGACGACTTTGACGACGACGGCTTCGTGGTGTTCTCCTCGAGGAGGAGGATCAGGTGCTCGTGGAGGAAAACGCGCGTTTCGTTTTAAAGCGGTTTTTGTTGCGAAAGGAGGAGGAGAAGGATTTGTTGGACGAGAATGGATAATTGGAGAAGAACAGAAAAGCTCTCGTGGTGGTTTTTTAACGAACTGTAGTAGGAGGAGTAAAAAGAGGAGTGGTGCGACGAAGATCACGAAAAGCGTTTTAGACGAGGAGAAAGAGGAGAAGAACACAGAGAACGGCGATTTTACCGCCAAAAGTGTTGGTAAAAATCAGTGTCACTATTGCGACCGAACCGCGTCCTCTCGATGGTACAAGAACAAGACCCAATGCAACGCCTGCTATAACCGAGCGAGACGAATTCGGATTAAGAATGATCTCCAAACGCACTCGTGCGAAATGTGTCAAACGTCGAGTTCGGTCGAGTGGTACCGAAACAAGTTCGTCGGCGGGAAAACTGGGCGGCTGTGTCATTCGTGTTACTGTCGGGAACGAGCGACGGCGCTCGACGTGAGGTGCGCGCAGTGTCAGAACGAAAGGACGAGCGGGAACTGGGCGATACCGAAGAATAAAGGCAAGTTTAAACACGGAGATCGGTTGTGTAACGCTTGCTACAGAAGGGAATTAGTCTCTTTGAAAGTAGAGGCGCGACGCGAAGAGGAAAAAATTACGACGAGCGAAGGAGGAGGAGGAGGATCGCATATGTATTCGCGTCGATGATTTATTTATCATTATTGTACAAATATCTATTATCTAATGTTGATGATGCTACCTACGTATGTAAAAAAGCTCTATCTAATCTCTCATCACAGCTTACTCCTTGATCGTAAAGAAGAAGAAGAAGAAGAAGGACTCGTCCACGATATCACCTTCCCCGGGTTCATTATGTTCAAAGGATCCAACGCTTTCTTTATCGACCTTTGGATATCAATGTGCGCCTCGCCGTGTTCGCGGACGATGTGTTTCATCTTCCCGACGCCAACGCCGTGTTCGCCCGAAGCGACACCTCCGACGTCTAACGCGGCGTTGACTAACTCCTCTTCTAATTTGTGTAACTCTTTTTCGTTATCGTCGTTGAACGGAATTAAGCAGTGGTAATTGCCATCCGCGATGTGGCAACACATCACGCACGGGAATCTCGCTCGTTTAAACAACCTTTCTGCGTTGGCGATCGAGTCCGCGAGTTTCGAAATCGGTACGCACACGTCCCCGACGTAAACTTTCTCTTTTTTGTGCGTGCCCAACTGTATGCCGCGATATCGCATCGCCCCAAGATAGCATCCTCTTCTCGCTTCCCAAATTGAATCCAACTCGTCGGCGTTTTTCGCAAACTGTATCGTGCTCTTTCGACAGTTTTTCGAGGTCGCGAGTTCGATGAAACGGTCGTAATCTGCTTTCGCTCTCTCGTATCCGCCTTCGTCGGGTAGCTTGGAATCCACAAACTCTAAAAATAACGTAGGCGTTTCAATCATTTTCGTCTTAAACACGACGTTTGAGACTTGCACGCCTTCCGAGTTTAACATTTCGCACCTCAACAGCGTCTCCAAATTGGCGTTTCGCGCCAACACGACTGTTTCCGCGGCGTCGCGAACCGTTTCAAATTGCACCACCGCCCCGACTCTCGTTTTTGGAATCGGAAACAATTTCACGGTCAGTTCCGTGATCACGCCTAAAGTGCCTTCCGCGCCTAAAAACAGAGCGTTTAACTCGTACCCCGTTGAGCTTTTCCTCACGTTTCGTCTGGTTTCGATGCACTCGCCTTTCGGCGTGACGACTTTCATGCTCACGATATTTTCCTTCGACGTTCCGTACTTGAGCGTTGACAATCCGCTCCCCCCCGTGCTCGCCATCCCGCCGACGCTTGGATTCGAGGACGGATCCGGGCCGAATATAAACCCATACGGTTCTAAAAACGTATTCAACTCGTTCTTCAACACGCCCGCGCCGACCGTCGCGGTGCGTTGCATCTCATCCATCGACATCGTTTTCAAAAGCGACACGTCCAAAACAATCCCACCAAAGTACGCCACGCACCCGCCTTCCAATCCCGTCCCGGCGCCTCTCGGAACCACTGGTTTCTTGAACTCCGCGCACGCGCGAACGATATTTTCAACCTCTCGCGTTGTTTTCACTCGCACCACAGCCTCCATCAGTTCTCCTCCTCCTTTACGTCCGTGCATATTGCCCATATCTCTTTTGCACGATTCAAAGAACTCCCCCGTCGTGTGCACTCTCGACGACCCCGCGTCGTTTTCGTCGTCGTCGTCATCATCCGCGAGCGCTTCTCGTAATCGCTCGAGAAAGAACTCATTATTTTCCTCACACTCTTCCTTTCTCGATGACGATGATGATGATGATGATGTGACGCGCATTCTTTACGACGAGACGTACTAATAACTCTCTCTTTGTTCCGCGAAGCAGCTTTTCTTCGTAAAGGAAGTTTACTCTTTTCCTCAAACTCTTCCTCCTTTCTCGACGACGACGACGATATCAGTGCATTCTCAAAAACGAGAGACGTCTACTTATTAAACTCTCTCTTTAGTGTTATTCATGCGGCGTTGTTGCTTTGAAGGAATCCCGATGGAAGCTTTTGGAAAGTTTTTTCAATCGTCACAACTTGTCTTCGTGCGTCTTCGAATATAACAACGCGCAGATATATTACGAACGCGTTTGTCAAAGAGATCTAATAGAATATACACACATATATATATTAAAGCAACGGGAGAAGAATGAATTTTGGAGGCATGCCCCGCGGGGGCGGACGGAAGGTAACATAGATTTGTTCTCGGATATATGCGTTTTCGTCTTTGACGCGACGACGACTCTTTGTGGCTGCGGTTCTCGTGCCGCAATGAGAAGAAATCCAATCCATCTTTTTTTTCCTGCTTTCGCGCGCGAGTTTATATAGTCTATCTCTTCTTTCTCAGAGATGATCATCCCTCTCTCTTTTTGTGTGCCGCGGAGCATTCGAGAGGGAGATCGGGTTTTCCAAAACGCGCGCTCTTCGTAAGAGAGAGAGAGAGAGACACACGGATGATGTGGTTTCCGATCTCCCCAGGAAGGGAAAAAAGAGAGAGAGAAGACCAACACTCTTGATCTCTCACCCAACGTTGGAAAAGAAGTGTAAAAGAGAGGAAAAAAAAAACGAATCGACAGCCAAAACATAACATATCGAAGAAAGAAAGAGAAAGAGCTTTTGAAGAGAAAGAGAGAGAGAAAGAGAGTGTTTTTTAAGAGAAAAGAGAGACATTTTTCCTCCTTTCTCTCTCTCCTTTCTCTGACTTCCCCGGAGGGAGGAGCGAGTTGAAAAGCAGACAGACATTTTTCGCATCACCGCGTGACACTGACCTCATCTCTCTCTCTCTCTTTTATTACTTCACGCGACGATGAAATAATACTTTATTATAGTCCAACGATACGAAACTGTACGACGTGCTCGGGATTTCGAAATCCGCGGACGCGACGGAGATTAAAAAAGCGTACAGAAAAGCGGCGATTAAGAATCATCCGGATAAAGGCGGCGACGAGGCGAAGTTTAAAGAGTGCACGCACGCGTACGAGGTTTTATCCGACCCAGAGAAGAGAGAGTTGTACGATAACTACGGCGAAGAGGCGTTGAAAGATGGCGGGGGCGGTTTCGGCGGAGGCGGAGGGTCGCCGTTTGATATTTTTGAGCAGATGTTTGGCGGGAATCCGTTTGGCGGCGGCGGTGGTGGGAGAGGAGGCGGGCGGTCGAGAGTGAGAAGAGGAGAAGACGTCGTCCACGGGTTGAAGTTATCGTTAGAGGATTTATACAACGGCGTGACGAAGAAGTTATCGCTGGCGAAGAATATTATTTGCCCGAAGTGTACCGGGACCGGGTCCAAGTCCGGCGCCTTGGGTACGTGTCGAACGTGTTCCGGTTCCGGCGTGAAGTTGGTCGTTCGACAAATTGCTCCGGGCATGGTGCAACAAATGCAAACCGTCTGTCCGGATTGTCACGGAAACGGTCAAACGATTTCGGAAAAAGACAAATGTCCGGGATGTAAAGCGCAAAAAGTGGTCCAAGAGAAGAAAGTTTTGGAAGTGCACATCGAGAAAGGTATGATGCACAACCAAAAGATTGTGTTTAACGGCGAAGCGGACGAGGCGCCGGATACCGTTCCCGGGGATATTGTTTTTGTTGTTCAACAAAAAGAACACAAGACGTTCACGAGAAAAGGAAGCGATTTGTTCTTTGAGAAGAAGTTGACGTTGACCGAGGCGTTGTGCGGTTTCAAGTTTCAAATCGAACACTTGGATGGACGAAAATTAATCGTCGGGTGCGAGCCGGGAGAGATTATTCGCCCGGGAGATTTGAAATCCATCCAAAACGAAGGCATGCCAATCCGAGGGAACCCGTTCAACAAGGGGAAAATGTTTGTGAAGTTTACCATCGAGTTCCCGAAGAACGGCGAGATGTCCGGCGATCAAATCCAAGCGTTGGAGAACATCTTACCGAAACGACCGACGGTTGAATTAGACTTGGAACACGGCGAGGAATCGGATTTGCACGACGTCGACCCGCAAGTAGAAGCGAGAAGGAGAGAAGAGGAGAAGAGAGCGGCTGGGAACGCCTACGATGAAGAGGACGAGGACGAGAGAGGAGGCGAGAGAGTGCAGTGCGCGCAACAATAAATGAAAAGAGAAAATCCGGGTCATCATCATCATCACTATCATCATCATTACTATCACCACCATCATCATTACTATCATTACCACCATAACGAAAGATGATAAATACGCGAAAGAGAGAGAGAGAGAGAGAGAGAGAGTGAGAGAATAAGAGTAAGAGTTAAGAGTGAATATATATAAAATAAGAGAGCGATTACACAAACAAACAAAAAGTAATATTACATCGCGTGCGCTCTCTCTTGTCGTCGTCATCATTTGATGACACTTGAACTTTACAAATCCCAAGACGTTTCTCAGTCTCGCAATTATCATCGATAGGAAAGAATCCATCCGATTTCCTTTTGTACGTCTTCACGTCGAACGGTTGTTTGATCGTAACAGCTGGATGATTTCTCGCGTCCGCCGCGTACATTTTCCTCCCCTCGTTTCGATTCAGGAATACCTCCGAAATCTCCCCGTCTTTTGAGGCGACTCGGCATGCTTTTCTCTTCTCGTCCTCGTCCTCGTGAAAAAAGAGACCCTTCTTCTGAATCCTTTTCATCATTCACGACGCCGGCGCGAGAAAAATCCGTTCGACCCATTCGCCTCGAACGACCGATAAATTCTCCCACGCGTTCGCTCCGAAAACGTATTCAAACGCGCCGCTGTACCACACGAGAGACCATAAAACGCAAACCCCGACGTAAATTTGTACTCCGAATTTCATTTTCGAGACGTATTCGTCCACCACTTTATCCGTTCTGATGCTCGTATTCGATGAAGAAGCCTTTGGGGAAAAGTAATACGCGCACGCGGCCCAGACGAGCGGTAAGAAAAAGTACCCGAGGTGGTAGGATTTCCGGCACAAACGCCGAGCGGTTAACGTTTGTTCGCCGAAACTGATATCGTCGATGGTGGAGACGTGTGAAGGTGGTGCGTCCTGTGAAGTTTTGAGAAGATCAATGAGGGTAAGAAGAGAGAGAAACCGCGCGCGTTACGAGAGAGATGAGAAATCCAATCCAGAGAGACGAGATGTGTTTATGCGCGACTAAAAACGATGATATCATCGCGAACGAGTCAGAAAACGCACCTCCACGTCGTCGTCGTCCTCGACGACAGCCATGAATTCGTATATCTTCTCGTTTTTTTGCGCGTTCTCTGTCCTCGACCGCGCGAAACGGAGCTTTCAGAGAGCGTCGAGAGAATGAAGAACTTTTGCTTTCGCGCTTCACTTTTTCCCCACGGGACTGAAAAGCTCTCTCGAGGGATTCTTTCCCGTACGAGTACTATGAGCGGAACGAAAGAAGAATCAGACGACGCGTTCCACATCTGGCCGCAACTCAAAGGCGACAAACACTTCGTGCACTCCTTACCGTTATCCGACGTGTATTTAAACAACGACTCGACTTGGCCCTGGGTCGTTCTCGTTCCACGGGAAAACGATATGGTTGAATACCACGATTTATCGAACGAAGCGCAGATGCAACTGATGCGAGAGATGAGCGCACTCTCGAGAGTTTTATTGAAAGGGTGGCCTACGATTGCAAAACTGAACACCGGGATGATTGGGTGCGTGTGCAGGCAATTACACTGCCATATTTTAGGACGATTCGAGAACGATAAATGCTGGCCCAATCCGGTTTGGGGAGCCTCCGAGGCGAAGAAATATAGCGAGGAGGAGGCGAAAGAAACGAAGGAGAAACTAGAGAAGCTGATTAAAGAAGAAGAAGAGGAGTTGTTGTTGTTGTCGAAGTCGTCTACAAATTAGATTTACAAGTGCGGGTGTTATTAAATTTTCCTCCACATCGCGATGATTGCGTTCCTCAAAAGACGCGCGCAAAAGCGTTGTTTTTTATCATCGCGCGCCTCGGATTAAATGGTCCCCGAGCGCTTTTTTCGCGGGCGATAACGTCATTATCTCGCACCCGGTATCGGTGACGAGTAACGTGTGTTCGCACTGCGCGGTCCACTTCCCGTCCGCGGTGACGGAAGTCCACCCGTCTTTCCACATGATGTCTCTCGTCCCGCCGATGGTCAACATCGGTTCAATCGTAAACGTCATTCCGGCTTCGATCGTCCCCGGATCGTTGTTTCGGTGGTGCCGTATCGTTGGCCCGGAATGGAACTCTTTCCCAACTCCGTGACCGACGAATTTATCCACGACGCCGAATTTGTGCTTATCAGCTATCTCGTGAATCGTCGCGCCGATTCTTCGTAAAGGCACGCCCGGTTTCACAATCTTTATCGCCGCTTCTAACGCGTCCTCGGTCACTCTGCACAACGTCTCCACTTGCTCGGAAACCTTCCCAACCCGAATCGTTCTCGAGGTATCCCCGTGATATCCGTTCAAATACACCGTCACGTCAACGTTGATGATATCCCCATCCAACAACGTCTCGTCCGGCGTGGGTATCCCGTGGCATATGCACTCGTTCAAGGACGTGCACACGGATTTCGGAAACTCGCCGTAGTTCAAAGGACTCGGGTACGCTCCCGCGTCGATGATCATCAGATGTACTTTTTCGTCGATCTCCTCCGTCGTCACTCCAGGTTTACATAAACTCTCCGCGTAATCCAAAACTTCCGCGGCTAATAAACCCGCCTTGCGCATCCCTTCGATTTCATCAAGCGTTCGAGCGAATTGATACTTCGCGTCGTTATACGGTGGTAAAACCCCGGTCTCGGCGTAATGTGGTTTCAACGTGTCTTCGTACACTTTCCTCATTTTGGTCACCGTGCCTGGTTTCAACGCTTTCCTGTTTTGAAACCCATTTTCCTCGCGTCCGTTGACCGTGTTCTGGACTTTCTCTTTCGTTTTGTTTAGGATTTCCGAGGCGAACCCGGATTTCTTTTTGCACTCGATCGCCGTCGGGGTGAACACCGTTCTCGCTTTCGTTCTCGCATTTGCGAATCCTAATCCGCCTCGGTACGCCGTCGACGCCCGCAAGAGCCTGAACTTTGCCACCAAAGGGACGTTTTTATACGTGTGCATCGGATTTCTCTCTCTTTCTGCGTACCTATGCGCGCGTGTGTGTATCTGTGCGTCCGGAAAAGCTTTGAGAATGGAGCAAATTCACTTTTAGATAAAATGGAAAAATCTCGAACTTTTCCCCAAACATCCATCTTTGTTCTCGGGTCGGGAGATGATGATGACGAGACCCTTTTCCTCCTCCTTTTCCTCTGAAAGGTTCCGAGTGAGAAGCGCGACGAGGAGGTCGTTCTTTGCTTCTTTGAATTCTAGAAGACAAAGAGGAGGAAGAAGACAGAGAAGAGGAGGAGAGCTCGGGGTTGTTTTTGCCGCCAACGAGGAGGACACGTTTGAGAAGGAGGAGGAGGAAAAGCAGAGCGTAACGACGACGACGATGACGGTACTAAAAAGCAAACAGAGGCAGAGAGACCATCGGAAACGAAATCGCGTGCGGAACAAAGAGAAAAACGACGAGGTTGTTCGAGAGGTTTTGGAACGGTTTTTACAGGTGTTGAAACCGTTGTACGAGGAGGAAAAGGAAAAGGAGGAAATTTCGTCGAAAGAACACCAACAACTCGATTCTTCGTTTCGAGCGATGTATAATATAAGACAAAGAAGAAACGAGGAGGAGGAGGAGGAAAGTTTCTCTCCTCCTCCTAATCCTTTGGCGATGACGACGACGACGACAATAATAGATTGGTCTCGGTTTCCGAAGAGCGCCGATCCGGCGCGGGCTATAGGCACGGCGAAGAAAACGTCGGCGGCGAGAGGCGTTCGGAAACGGAAACAGATTGAACAGATTTACGAAGCGTTGCGCTCGCGAAACGTGTTAGGCGGTAGTGATGGTAGTAGTAGTGGTAGTAGTAGTGGTAGTAGTAGTAGTAGTAGTGAGCATAGCTGCGGTAGTAGTAGCGGTAGTACGAGGAGTAAAAAGAAGACAATCGTGGATTTCGGATGCGGGACGGGGAATTTGCTCTTAGCTCTTGCTTTCCTGTTTCCCGAACACGACTTTATCGGCGTCGATTTGAACGAAACGTCCATTCGTATGCTCGACGAACGCATAGAAAGCGCGAAGTTAACAAACGTGCGATCGAAATTATCTTTAATCGAAACGTTCGACGAGGATTTTGACGTCGCGTTGGCGTTACACGTGTGCGGTAAAGCCACAGACGTCGTTTTGCAGACGTGCGTGGAGAAGCAGAAAGATTTCGCGTGCGTGCCGTGTTGCGTGGGGAAAGTACAAGCGAACGGACATCGCTCGGTTGGCGGAATGCGCAAAAAATTAATAAACGTGGACGTCGTCGGTTCGAAGAACAATAACAACAACACCATCGCCAACAAAAAGAACAACAGCGAGAAAGAAATTCGACATCCTCGCTCGAACTTAATGCGCGCAATTTGCGACGAAGAAACGTTCATGGAGGTGGCAAAACTCGCCGACTGGTCCGGGAACGACCAGGTATCCGCCTACGAAGCGTCCAAACACTCTCGCTTGCCAAGAGAAGCCAAAAGCGCGATCGAACTCGACCGACTCTATAGGTGCGTAGAGAAAGGCTACCGCGGTTCCGTGGAATTGATAAAGCTCGACGACGAATGCGGGTTGAGGAACGATTTGATTTTAGGCCACGTCGTCCATCATCATCATCATGTCGTTTAATATATATCCTATAATATTGCATTTGTGTGCACTCACATCACACATTCGTCCATCGCGATGTCGTTTACTCTATTTACTACTTTTCGTTGTTGTTGTTGCATTTGTGTGCACTTTACCGCACAAAATCACACACACATATAATACTATATGTTCGACGATTTTGAAGACAACGGAGAAGAGGAGGACTCCTCGGACGCGGAATACGCGGACATCGACGCCACCGCGGACGATGGTCTGTTCGGAGGAACCCAAAAAGACAAGACATCGTCCTCGGAAAAGGAATCGATCGTTTTTCTCGTCGATTGCGCGAAAACGAATCGACTGCCGATTTCGAAAAACTACTTCTATTACGGCGACGATGCAGACGATGAAAACACCAAAGAAAGCGAACAAACGCAGAAATCGAGTAATTACGTCCAAGTCGCGTTAAACGCGTACCGAAACGTCCTCAGAGACCGAGTGGTGTGCACTCCGGACGATGAAATCGGATTAGTGTTTTACAACACGAAAAACCGTTCCGGCGAGTTGGAGTTTGATAACATTTTCGTCTTCCACGAGTTGGCGCCGATTACCGCGGAAAGAGTCGGCGCGATTGCAAACTTCATCGATAACGGAGAGTTTGGAGAGATGTTATTCGAAGATCAAATTGGAAGCAGCAATTACGGTGAAGAAGAAGACAAAGAGAAGGAAGAAGAGAACGCGATGAACCACGCGTTGTGGACGGCGTCGCACATGTTGAGTAGGAACGCGAAGACGCGGAGGAGCGCGTACGTGTTCACGAACGACGATGCGGTGTTTAGGTCGAAGAAAGAGGCCGAGGGGACGTCCTCAATGGGCACGCCGAAGAAGGAGAAGAAGAAGAGCAAAAGTAGTAGGAAGACGGCGAAAGAAGCGACAATCGCGAGGTGCGAAGAGATGGCCAACGCGGGCGTGAAGTTAGAATTGTTTCCGGGACCGAAAATCGGCGACGACGGCAAACTCGTCGAACGCGACGGAGAGAAAGAGTTCGCGTTTCAAAATTTTGACGTCTCCGAAGGGTCGTTTTGGCGAGAGGCGCTGAGGAAGTTCCGTTCCGCGAGGAAGAAACGAGAGAAGAAGGAGATGACTCGCCGAAGGAAGATTGTGATGCAAACGCTGAAAGACGCCGGAGACGACGAGGAGGTACAGAGGATGTTGAAAGAAGAAGAGGCGTGGATGGAGAGACGGAAGATTCGGAACAACGGTATTGAGTTGCAACAGCACAAAACGGTCGTGAAAGATACTTTGAACAACAACAACGAAGATGAAAGAGCGTCGGACGAAGACGAGTGTTTAGATATCGTGCTCTCGTCGAAAACGAGAGTGGAAAACTTGGAGGTGGTCTCCAGACGCAAAGTCACCAGACGCCGACCTCGGAAAACGAAAGTTTGGTTCAACGACGGCACGTTCGCGTTGCCGTTCACTGTGGTACACTTGGTACAAAAGACAACTAAACCGGCGCCGAAATACGTGGACGCGGAGGATCATCAAGATTTAAGAACGGAAACGGTGTATTTAGATAAAGAATCCGGAGAAGTCGTCGCGCCGAAGAAGTCGTATTTAGAGATTGGACCAGAGAAACAAAAAGTCATCGTCAAGAACGCGGAGAAGCAAGCGACGTACGCGGCGAGTAAGAATTTCCACGCGAACGCGTGTAAGCTTGGAATGCACTGCTTAGGTTTCGTGGATACGAGTGAAGTGACGCAACGAGATCGACTGTTGAAAGGACAAGGTAAATTCGTGAGAGCGGACGAAACCGTGTTTGGCGGAAAAGAGGCGTTTAGCGCGTTGTTAACGGCGTGCGCGGAAAGGCACGTATCGATGCTGTGCGCGGACGTGTACAACGCGAAGTCTCAGGTGAAGTACGTCGCGTTGATCCCACAAGTTGAAAACGACGCGTATTTAGGCGTTCCCGCGGGATTCCACGTGGTTAAAGTTCCTTTTCGAGACGATTTGCGCCAACCGGAAAAGGCAATTGGCAAATCTGCGCCGCAAACGAGCGCGACGGAGACGCAAATCCAAGCCGCGGAAGCTTTGGTAGAATCTCTGGAACTCCAAGAGTACCACCCGACGAGAATTTCAAACCCGGAGTTACAGGCGCACTATAAAGCTTTAGAAGCGATCGCGTTGAACAAACGCAAAGTGGAGAAAATCTCGGACGATACCGCCCCGCCGATTGAACAGCTTTGGAAAGAGCACGGCGTCATCGCGCACATTCGTAATTTCAGTCAAACGACGTACGGCATCGAACAACAAGACCGAGTTGGTGGAAACGACGAGGACGCGGACGAGGACGACGATGGGAACGGCATCATTGGTCTTAAACGAAAAGCCCGCGGGGGGTCGTCGAAAGGCGGCGAAAAGGCTCTCAAAACGGTCGTCCAAGAAATCCGTCCCGGATTTGAAACTTTCGTCAAGAAAGCAAAGAAAGGCTCTCTGAGCGAATTAACCGTCGATGTGCTGAAAACGTACCTGGACGCGCACAATTTACCGAAAAGTGGGAATAAAGCGAGCATAATATCGCGCATTGAAAAACACGCGAAAGATCTCGATACCGCCAAAACCGTAAGTGGTTTCGAGGAGGACGGAGCGGCGAAAGAGGACGACGACATCTTCTCCTCCTTCTAAAAAACATACTTAAAAAACACAGCTTTTAATAACAAAGATGCAGGGAAAGAAAAGAAAAGAGACACACTACTCCTGTAAAACACACAGTCATCATCATCAATGTCATCATCACGCGAAGACGTGAAAATTTTCCTCACTTTTTCTGGGAAAAAGTCACACAAATATGAGTCGGCAACAACACGCATCCGCCTCGGCGGCGGCGGTAAAGAAAGAAGACCAAGACCAAGAAGACCAAGCAGGCGTAGAAGAAAACGAGGAGAAAGTCGAAAAGGATACAAATAAGGAAGAGGACGAAGATCGTGATCCGTTGTATCCGCCCCTCGATTACTCGAAAATCTTTTATCGGAATGTCACCGACGACGACCTGGAACTCGCCGCTCTCGCGGCGGAATTCCGACACTTTTACCGAAACTCTCCGTATTACATCCACAGTAAAGACACGACGAATAGAGATTTAGACGACGAGTGGACGAAGAGTTGGAAGGATTTATCATCGAAGAAAAAGGAAACGAAACCTTTGAATCCTCCTCCTCTTAAGGAGGAGGAGGAGGAGGAGGAGGAGGAAAAGAAGACAAAGAAGACCAAAGAGGGAAGTAAAAAGAAGAAGAGCAATCAACCGAATCAAGAGGAGGAAAAGGAAGAAAAAGAGAAAAAATGGACGTTAGAGGACACGGTGGAAGATTGGATGTTCGACCCGAAGTACGGGTTCCCGGCGGAAATCATGGAGGAGTTCGCGCGTTTGCGACCGCCGGCGATGAATCCGAGGATGAATAGAAAGGAGCGAGAGGAGGAGGATTTGGAGGAGAAGGAAGGAGAGAAGATCTCTGGCGGCGGTGGGAATAGTAAGAGAGCGACGACGACAATACCGGCGAAGAGGAAAGGGAGCGGCGCCGGCGCCGCGAGTAAAAGCGAGGACAAGAAGAAGAAGAAGAAGAAGTCCGCAGCCGCGGAGGATAACTTTGGCGACCGGTTGAACAAACTGGAAGAGTTGGAAGCGGAAGAAGAGGACGAGTATCAATCCTCCTCCGAAGACGACGAGATGGAAGGGTACGAGTTTGGCGACGACGAGGAAGAAGAAGAAGAAGAGGAATATCGCTCGTCCTCGGACGACGAAGATAAAGTGGCCACCGCGAGCGGGAAGGCGAAATCCGCCGGGAAGGATTTGACTCGACTCTCGAAAGCGGCCAGAGACGCCGAGGAGAAAACAAGGAAACGAAGACTCAAACGGAAGTTAGAGAAAAGAAAACGAGGCGGGAAATCGGCGACGACGTTAGACGACTCCACGGACGAGGATACCGAGAGACCAGAGGACGACCGCGGCGGAGTGAAAGTCGAAGACGACGACGACGATAACAACAACAACAACAACAACAACGCGCGAAGAAGTGGCCGACGACGACGCGGAGGCGGAGATCACGACGTCATCAAAACCAACCAAACGAGCAGCCGCTCCAAAAAGAAAGACGACCGCCGCCGCCGCGACGACAACAACATCAAGAACGACCGCCACCGCGGGGCCAGCGACGACGACGACGCGAACAACAACAACAACAACAATGAAACTGACGACACCGACGACGACGACGGTCCTGAAGATTTCGGCCAGTTTGAAAACGACGAAGACTCGCTCGAGGAAACCGAACACGAGGCATACTTTTAGCAGTACGTATTTTAGGAAAAACGCAGATCGAGCGAGAGCGAGAGAGACAGACTACTACTACTACGAATAACAAAAATACTAACAATAATAGCTTGGAATGAAAGAGACAACGCGCGTGGCATTCACAAAACGAACTCTGCAGTTCCAACACCAACGAATGTCTCTTTCTCTTCGTCTCGTCTTTCTCTCTACACTCACATTTTTAGGGGAAACTCAACCCCTAAGAGCTCTCTCTCTCTCTCTCTGCTAAACGTAAACGCATGCACTCTTTCTCTACCTTTGCAACACAGCGCGACGCATTCCACATCATCTACTCCTCACTATTGCCCTTGCATTTTCCCTAAAATCACCTGTCCGCTTTCCATGTACCTCAACGCGCAGTGACTCAAACACGTCCCTTCGTACGAACTCAATTTCGAGCTCGGGCTACTGACGCACTTCTCGAAGCACACCGAGGCGAGTTGCGCGACGACTTCGTTGAACACGGCTTTTCGCTTTTCCTCCTCGAGGAATTGTTGCATTCTTGGGTCCATTTGGGCGTGTTGAGAGGCGTCTGACATTGTTTCTCACTCTTTCTCTTTTGCGCTTCAACGGGAATGGGGAACACGCTGAGGAAAATCGTCACAAAATGGATCCTGCGGAAGTCCTCGAGCGTGAGCTACGTGCGAGAGAACTTTTCAACAGCGGCGTTAATGTTGGTACTAGCAGTAGTCACCGACGACGCAAAAGCTCAGGCGAGGACGAAACCGATGTCACGGACGACGAAAACGGGATAAGAAGAAGCGCAACAACAACAACAACAGTAGACGTCGGAACGAATTCAAAGAGTAAAAAACCTTTAACGAGGCGTCTCTTCTTGCGAGGAGAGAATACCTATACGGGTGAACAGAAAACGAGGAAAAGACGAGGGAGGTTTATGCGTGCCGTTCAGATTGGATTTGGCGCGGATAATGATGATGATGAGGAGGAGGAGGAGGATGTGAAATTTGCCTTCAAAATCTTCTTTGGACTGTTCCTTCTCTTGATATCTGTACTCCTGCGCTCTAATGCGAACGATTCCTACCGATGGCTCGAGCTCGAAAAGAAAGCAGAAAAAGAACGATTTTCAAGTTTACGAGCGGAAGGTGCGATGAAAGAAGTGGAGAAGAACATGATCGAATTCATAGAGACGAGTTTGCGAGAAGCGAAGAAGGAGAGCGCGGGAGAAATTCGCTGTCCGCCGAAGCGGAAGTGTCCGCCGAAGCCGACGTGCGAAGAGGAGGAAGGAGAGGAGGGGTCTCGGAGACGACGCAGAAATTTGTTGTCCTCCGGTGAAGATGGAGACGATTACCAGAGCAGCAGTAGTAGTAAAGCGGCAGACGACCCGTTCTTGGACGATTTGATACCGAAAAGAGGCAAACACGATTTCAAAATTTTCGTCTACGATTTGAAACCTGAATTCAACGCGGATTTAGCCAGAGACCAACCGAGATGTCGCACAGATCAATACGGCACTGAAATTCGTTTCCACGAGAACTTGTTGCATCATTCGGTGTTAACCAACGATCCAGAGGAGGCGGAGTTTTTCTTCGTTCCAATATACGGCGAGTGTTACTTGTTCCGAGAGACGCAAAACTCGGGCACGAACAACGCGATGAAAGTGACGAATTTGTGGTATCGAGACGCGTTGAAAACGATTCAAACGGAGTACCCGTATTGGAACAGAACTGATGGGAGAGACCACGTGTGGTCGTTTCCCGGCGCCAGAGGGCCGCATATTTTTAGAGATTGGAAAAAGCTGATTAAGAAATCAATCTTTCTCACGCCGGAAGGCGATCGGTCGTTCGGAGAACAGTTCAACACGTGGAAAGATATCGTCATTCCAGGATTAGAACCGGATTCAGAGTTCATCGATGGTAAGTTAAGGAAACAATCGTCGTTAAAGAAAGATATATTTGCGTTCTTCCGAGGGACAATTTTAAACAAAGCCGGTATATTGGCGTACTCGCGAGGTATTCGACCAAAGATGGAAGCGGCGTTTAAGAAACACAAAGACGTCATTTTCACGGAGGAAATCCCATCGTGCGATCGCGACTGTTATCGCAAAGAGTTAAGGAAATCCACGTTTTGCTTGTGTCCGAGAGGATGGTCGCCGTGGACGTTGAGAGCGTACCAAGCGATGATGGTCGGGTGCATCCCAGTCATCATCGCCGACGAAATCGAGCTGCCGTACGAAAACAGTTTAGATTGGACCAAGCTCAGCGTGAAAATCGCCGAAGTCGACGCCGAGAAAACGATTGATATTCTGAAACAAATTTCGAAATCAGAAATCAGAAACAAACAGAAAGCGATCGAGAAAGTGTGGAAATCCGTCGCCTGGGGAAGCAATCCAAAAAAGTTGGACCCGATGGACGCGATGGAGTGCGTTTTACACGAACTCGGTCGAAAGAAACGCGCGATGAAAGCGAGCACGCAAACTTTTTGGTTCGAATGAAAAGTTTGTTACTTTTAATTACTTAAAAGTAGTAGTAGTAGTAGTAGTAGTAGTAATAGTAGTAGTAGTAATAATAATAGTAGTACATGTAGTGTAGCACTGGATGAGCGCGATGATAGAGAGAATATATCATGTGATATAGCGTCAATCACGTGAGAAACCTCAGAAACCCCAATCCTAACGCTCCAACCGACACTAACGTCCCTAACCCGTACCGAATGATATCGTTCACTTTTATTTCTAGATGTGTTCGCATGGATTGAATTTCCCTATCTAACCGCAACTCCGTGCTTAACAGTTTGTTATCGATCAAGGTCAAGTTATCTTGCATCCTTCCCTTCTCTAAATTCAAGTCCAACCTGGACGTTTGATTCATCTTCTCGAAGTTGTACCGCAACTCGGACCTGATTTTCTCCGCCTCTTGCTTTAAATCCTTCTCCACGGTTTCCGATTTCACGTTCGCGCGTTCGATCCTCGCGTCCGAGATCATCTGGTACCGTTCGAACTTGTGTCGATTGCGTTGCGCTTCCACTTGCAATTCCGCGTGCGTGACAAAGTCTGCGGATTTTAAACACGAGACGAACATCCGCACGGCTTCTTCGGCTTGCTTTTCGGTAAAAATATCGTTCTTTTGTAACTGTCTCGTGAGCGCGAGGGTGTCGATCTCGCGGAACATGCCACTTCCGGTGCTGTTGAAGTGCATCGTCGTTTGTCCTCCTCCTGAATTGAAATTGGAATTCGTTTCCCCGTTGAAAGTATTGTCCGATTCATAAGACGACGACGAAAACCGTAAAAGTCGTCGACACAACGACGACGACGACGCGGTACTATTGGCTGCTCGTCGAAACGATGTTATCATTTGTGTGTGTGTGTGTGTGTGTTATGTTTGCGCGCAAAGGTGTGACGAAAAGATTGAATTCAATTGGAAGAAAAAACAGTTAACAACAACCTCATTAAAAACAACGCAAAAGACGAAAGGGATGACGACGACGACGAACTACTCGTGGTATCGATGGTGTCCCCGTCCTACTCGTCGTTCTCGTTTTCGCTCTTTTTCGTCACACAGTTCGAGAAGCAGACGCGACGCGACCTTCACCGAAGAAGGGAAGAAGAAGAAGAAGAATGAATTCGCTTCGGGGATTAAGCCGCCAGTGCAGTCAAGTTCATCGTCATCGTCGACGGGAGGAGAGAGAAGGAAGAAGAAGACAAAAGAAACACGCTTCTCAGAAAACGAGGAGGAGGATAAAAAGAGCACAAACGGATGGCGAATATTCGACGTCCACATCGACGCTTCGGAGGATGTCGGTAAAGACGATTTCTCGATTTCTAAACCAATACTCGAGCGAGTCTGTAAAGTCTTACATCTTGACATCGAGGACGATATCGAGCGAAAGATGAAGAAAACGAGCATTGAAACTATCCTCCAACGAAACGACGACTATATGATGAAGCAACGGATACGAGTGGCGAGGAAATCGTGCGACGCTAGAGGAGGAGGAGGAGGCGCGCGCAGAACGAAGACGAAGAACGCTAACGACCACCATGAAGAAGAAGATGAAGATGATGATGATAAACACCGCGTGCAGTTTTCGTACGTGATTGATGTTTCGGACGAGTTCGTGGAGATGTGCGGCGGGTCTGCGAAAAGAGTGCGCGCGGAGAGGAAGAAAGTGGAACGGACGAAGATGGAGGAGAAGGAGGAGGAGAAGGTCGACGTAAACGGGTTTAGTAGAGATGATGAGTTCAAGGAGGAGAAGAACAAGAACAAAAAAAGAACGGTCGTTATCGTCGGTTTAGGTCCCGCGGGGTTGTTTTGCGCGTTGACGTTGGCGAGACTGAGCGCGGACACGAAAGTAGTCATCTTAGAGCGAGGCGAACCGGTCGAGAGACGAGGAAAAGCCATCGGCGCTTTGTTCCACAGGAGACGGTTATCGGAGACCTCGAATTTGTGTTACGGCGAAGGCGGTGCCGGGACGTGGAGCGACGGGAAACTCACGACGAGGATTGGTAGAAACGGCGAGGAAGTGAAAGACGTGTTTAAAACGTTCGTGGAATTTGGCGCGCCGCCGGAGATTTTGCAAATGGGGAAGCCGCATCTAGGAACGGACCGAATGGTGAAGATTTTACGAAACGCGAGGTACGAATTGGAAAAGATGGGGTGCGAGATTATGTTTGACGAGACGTGCCGGACAGTTATGGTGGAAGATAACAAGGCAGTGGGTGTGACGACAGAGTCGGGGAAAACGATTCACGCCGAAGCGGTGGTTTTAGCCACCGGTCACTCGTCGAGAGCTTTGTTCGAACAACTCTCCAACGACGGCGTATTACTCGAATTTCAATCATTCGCGAGTGGTTTTCGTATCGAACACCCGCAGGAATTGTTAAACGAGTTACAATACGGGGAACGGTTCGCAAAAGAAGTCGAACGAGGGAAAGGGCGCATTCCCGTCGCCGATTACAGAGTCGCGCATACGAACAAAGAGGACAATCGAGGCGTGTTTTCGTTTTGTATGTGTCCCGGAGGTCAAATCGTTCCGACGTCGACAAATGTGCACGAGTTATGCATTAACGGCATGTCATTCAGTCGCCGTCAGTCGCTTTGGGCGAATTCTGGGTTAGTCACGAACGTCAAGTTGGAAGATTGCGCGCCGTTCAACGACGAACACGAAACGAAGCCGCATTTGAGCGGCATTCTATTTCAACAGGACATCGAACGGAAAGCGGCTGTTTTAGGTGGCGGCGATTTAACGGTACCCGTACAAACCGCTCACGATTTCTTGCTCGGCGTTGTTTCGGACGAGAAATCCTTGCCGAGCTCCTCGTACCGTCTCGGCATTAAATCTGCCGATTTGACGACGCTATACCCGCAACATCTCACCGAAGCTATTCAGTTTGCGTTGAAAAAATTCGATAAACAAATGCCCGGATACGCGGGAAAGGAAGCATTGATACACGCCCCAGAAACGCGAACGAGTAGTCCCGTGCGCATAGTTCGCAACTCGGAATCGTTAGAGAGCGAAAACACGGAAAATTTATTCCCAATTGGCGAAGGCGCGGGGTATGCTGGCGGAATCGTCAGCGCCGCTGTCGATGGCATGTGCGCGAGTAAGAAAGTGTTGGCGAAGTTACTAAAAGTCGTTTGATTTTTTTTATCCACGTTGTAATAACAGTAATAATATGATCTGTAAAGCATACCAGTACTGTACGTTTACCATACGGTAATAATAATAATAATACATACAAGTTTGTTATCTCGTCGTCGCTAGGAAAAAATCCTGCCGAGATCTTTGCGAGCGAGAAAGTTGCCTCCAACCACCGGCACTTCGCTCGTCCACTCCTTCTCTTCTTCGCTCAACCCTTCTCCAATCGGTACGTACTCTCCCGCCGGCGCGTCGCTCCCGAAATTCGCATATCCCGGTGGCGCGTCTAAAACTTCGTCCGGAATGCACCCTAAAGTTCTCTCCATGATTTCAGTCACCGTTAAATTTGGTTCTTTCTTCCTCGAACCTTGCAACTGATCGTCCACTAACCGTTTCCAAATCTTCGCGTTCGTGCACCCGGCAAAAATGTTCTGTATCGAGTGCATGAAATGTCTCGGCGCCGGGACCGGGCTTCCGTCTTTCATGGTTCCATTTTTACCTTGCGTCGCGTCGCAGTACTTGGCGTATTTCGCTAACAAGTCTCTCCTAGATTTACACGGATTTTCCGATTCGCCAAAGAGCTCCACGTCGGCGCGAGATAACAAACCCCAAGGGTCCGCGTGCGCCTGCCTGCCAATCATGACGCCTTTAATCGTGTTTGCTGTAGCTTTATCGGTCGGTTGACATCTCAGTTGCGTCTTCACTTCCTCCAACGTCTTCACGCCGCCGTTTAAGAAGAACTCGCACTCCGGAAAATCTCTCGCCAACGCGTACACCCACTCGTGCCTCAATGGCGGTATCGAACGATTTTGACTCGGAGAGATGCCATTCAACAACGCTTTCCTACAGTGCACGTGAAACCTTCTTACCGGTGATTTACTCGCGATCGTTTCTACGAACCTATACAACTCGTCGTACGAGTCGTTCCCGTCTACGCCGATCCTACACTTCACGGAAATGGGAATCCCGTCCGCGTTCTTCGCCATCGCCGCGCAGCATTCCGCCACCAAATCTGGATCTCGCATTAACGTCGCTCCAAAACACCCTTTCCCGGCTACTTTTTCACTCGGACACCCGCAGTTTAAGTTAATCTCGTCGTACCCGTGCGGCTTGGCTAAACTCGCGGAAAATCCAAGCGCGTCCGCGTCCGACCCTCCCAATTGCATCACCAACGGGTGTTGATTCAACGTAAAATCCACGTACTTATTCCTTAACTCCACGGGCACGTGTTTCAACGTCATGTCCACTTCCATCTCGGTCCACAACCACACTCGTTTCGAGAGCAATCGACACAAATACCGAAAATGGTTGTGCGTGTACTCCATCATCGGCGCTATCGACAACAACGCTCGCGACGTCGACGGCACGTTCGCCGTCTCCCTATCTCGAGACCATTTCGGCCGCGCGTGTTCCTCCAAGTTTAACTCATCATCTGTTTTTAAAGTTAAAATCGATCCTCCCGATTCATTGTTTCTCGAATACGCTTCGAACGCTCTCGCTTTGCCTTTCTCAAAGTTCTCGCTTTTGACCATCTTTTCCGTCCAATCTCTTCCTCCTTCTGTTTCTTCTTTCTCTTTGTCTTCTTCCGTCGAGACGACCTTTTCCGAGTGGAACGACGACGAATTATTCGTTTCGCTTCGAATGCTACTCAATACAGATCTCTTCTTTGCAGCACAAGCGGCGGTTCGAGTCTTCTTCGCCGCCAGAAAAGAATTGGATTTCGCCGCCAAAGAACGAGGAAAGAACTTTCTCCCCAAAATGGTCGTTCTCGTCGTCGAGAAGGAGCAAGAAGAAGAACAAGAGGAAAAGGAGGAGAATCCAACGCACCCGCGCAGCATAAAGCGAAGTCCGCGGAGTGCTCGGAAAGAGGAAGTCGAGCGAGGAATAATGATTTGTTGTGAGAGGGGAATTGGAAGTGACGTTTTGCGTCACTTTATTCCACGTCGTGGATAAAGATGATGTTTTCTCTGGCGACCCACACAAATGCGGTGGTTGGGAACGCCTTCTCCTGCAAAGGAGCAGGAAACAGAAGGAAGCAGTCGTCGAAACGAGTGGTGCGATCCGGCGCGAAAGCGGACGAGGATGATAAAGATCCCGTTCAAGAAACGTTCAAGAAGTTTTACAAACCGAACAGCGGGAAACGAATAAAGTACGGCGTGTTTCAAGAAACCTTGAGTGAGTCGGATAAGAATACGTACACGGAACAAGAGAAGACAAATTTGAGAGTAAAAGCCGCGGAGGAGTTAACCGTGATCGACGACGAGGAGAGGAAGAGGAGAGGTTGGTTTTGGTTTTGTTTTTCTCTTCAAATCCGTTTCGTAGTCGTTTCTCCTTCTTTTATTCGCATTTTACGCGTGCGTGCGTTTCATAGAGCAGTACTATAGGAGGACGTGTAACTGACATTTTTTACATCTCGATTACGTAATACAAACAAGGAACGGTTGGTCGCGTGTTTGCATCGGCGACTGCGCTCGCGGCGGTTTTGCAAGTGTTCGTCTTCCCGCAACCGATATTCGCGCGCGTAGCGCTTTTCCCGATGGTGTATCTTTCCTACGGATTCCTCGCTTCGGAACGGAGCGGCATGTGAAACATAGCGCAAGCCGGCGCTTGGGACGTCGCCGGAGAGTTGGAGGAAATCGAGGATAAGGATTTAGCGAAGAGGATTCGAGAGAAGGTGAATTCGTTTAATCAAAACGGCGCTTTGATTAGTTTAGTTATTATGGTGGTGTATTTGTTGGTGCCGGATTTTTCAGTCGCGACGACGGCGGTGCAAGCCGCGAACGGAGGAGGTACTACCAGCGGCGGCGCGAGTGATTTGAAGCATTTCATGCACAAGGAAGGGAGCGGATTGAAAAATTTCATGCACGTGGACGGCGAGCGATTGAAGAATATCTTGTAGAAAAGAAGACGAGCAGCGAGCGCAGCAGATTTATTATCACGAGGTGACGACTGGAACGCAAATTCGTATTGTAATCTTTTAAGGTATACGCGAAGCGTTTTCTCAGTCCGATAAACGTAATAAATCTGCTCGAATGGTTAGTTATCGAATAATTATTAGAGATGTAATATTATAGAAAAAACGCGGCTATTGGTATCAAATTTAGTCGATTCGTCGGATGTTCAATTCCGCTAATTGCTCCGTCGTCGCCTCTCCCGGTGCTCTGGTCAACAGACACTGCCCGGTGGTTGTTTTTGGAAACGCGATGACGTCTCGTATGCTCTTCGCGCCGCATAAAAGCATCACTAATCTATCGACGCCAATGGCGAACCCGCCGTGAGGCGGCGCCCCGTATTGAAACGCTTCGAGCAAGTACCCGAACTTATCCTCGGCTTCCTCGGTGGACATCCCGATCGCTTTGAATACTTTTTCTTGGACGTCGCGCCGGTAAATTCTTAAGCTTCCGCCGCCAATTTCGACGCCGTTATATACTAAATCGTACGCAATCGCTCGCGCCTCGGTTAAATCGTCTGGGTTTTTCTCGTAATCTTCCGTGTTTGGCGCGGTGAACGGATGGTGACACGCCTCGAACCTTTCCTCGTCTTCGTTGTACTCAAACATCGGGAAATCAGTCACCCACAAAACGGCGTGCGCTTTTGGGTCGATCAAATTCAACACGCTCGCGCATTTGTGTCTCACTTTATCCAACGCCGTGTTTACGACTTTCGTTTTTCCGGCGACGAAAAGAAGCAAACTCCCCGGCGGCGCGGTGGATTTCGCGATTATTTCTTCCGCGCACTTCGCCAAGCCTTCGACTAAACCTTTCGCGCCTTCCAACGTCTTCCCGTCCTCTGCGACTCGGCAAAAGAACACTCCGCTTGCACTTCCCGCGTTTACCGCGTCTTCGAAAATCTCGCCTTTTGGTTTTAATTTCGCGTTGGATATTTTATTCTTGCCCGCTTGAGAATCGTCCACAACTAAGACTTTCACGCTCGATCGCGATGTCTCCAACGCCGATTTAAACGGTGGAAACTCGGTGTCTTTCAAAACGTCGTTCAACGTCGTCATCTCTAGATCAAACCGCAAATCCGGTTTGTCGCTTCCGTACTTTTCCATCGCCTCGGCGTAGGTCATTCTTCGAAACGGTTGTTGCACTTTCTTGTGCATGCCGCTCGCCTCTAAAAATACTCTCTCGGCGACGTTCATGATACCATCCGCGTCGGTAAACGACATTTCCACGTCCAACTGCGTGAATTCCGGTTGTCTATCGGCGCGTAAATCTTCGTCTCGAAAACACCTGGCGACTTGGTAATACCGGTCGCATCCAGAAACCATCAACATCTGTTTAAACAACTGCGGCGATTGCGGCAGAGCGTAACAACTCCCCGCCGAGGCTGTCCTCGCCGGGACCAAATAATCCCTCGCGCCTTCCGGCGTTGGTCGACTCAACACCGGCGTTTCGATTTCCATGAAATCAAACTCCTCTTCTAACACTTTCCTCATCTGCCGAATCGCCTCGTGCCTTCGTCTCAAGTTTTTCAACATTTTCGGTCTTCGCAAATCCAACACTCGATTTTTCAACCTCACCTCCTCGCTCGATTTCTCCGCGTTGCCGGCTTTTTCGCTCTCGGAAATCGAAAACGGCAAAGATTTGGACACCACGTTCAGAACTTCAATCGATTCCACCTCTACTTCCACCTCCCCAGTCTTTATGTTCTTATTCTTGTTATTCCGCTCGCGAACGACGCCGACGACTTTCACCACGCACTCCGAGCGCAAACTCGATAAAATCTCGTCAATCTTAGCTTGATTCGCGTGTATGCCCTCCGCCGCGCCGATGATTTGCACCAACCCAGAGTGGTCTCGCACGTCCGCGAAGCAAATCCCGCCCATATCTCTTTGCTTATCCACCCACCCGCACAGAGAGACTTTCTCGCCCACCGAGGATATGTCTAAACTTCCGCACAAGGTTGTTCTCGTCGGCCAGGAAAGGAGAGAGGAGACGAACTGTTTCGTCGCATTGCCTTCCGTTTCTGAAGAAGAAGAAGAAGAAGAAGAAGAGGAAGAAGAGGAAGAGGTGACAATCGTCCTCCTCCCGTTGTTTTTCTGCTGTCGTTCTTTGTGTCGCTGTTGTTGTCCTTCCTTCTTCCGGAGAAGCCCGAAACTCGTTCGCCTCGCCGCCGAATAATTTTGCGACGATGATGATGATGGTGTCATCACGTTGGAACAAAAAGACTTCATCATCCTCGCACCCTTAAAGCTGTTTTTCGTCGTCGTCGTCGTCAAAGTAGCAGCAGTAGTCGTCCTAATCGTGCTTTGGCTTCGTCTCAAAAGGAGTAAAATATTCGTCGTTTTCGTCGTCGTCGTCGTTCCAGAGATGATGCGTATTCGCATTTATCTCTTTAAAGTGTAGTGCACTCTTTGTTTTGTTCTCCCGAAAAGTAACAAAAACACAGAACAAAAAAGAAGTCAAAAAAAAAAATGGAAACCCTAAATAGTTCTTTTTTTTTTGCCTTCCAAGAAAGAATGAGAGACGAGCGTGTTCATTTTTACAGTTAAAGAGAGAACGAGCGAAAGAAGACGAGGATGAAGGGCTGCGTCTTCGTTGGCCACCACCAAAACGTGGGGGTGGCCGCTGCTTTGTCTTCGCACTCTTCTTTGAGAGCAGCTTTTCCTTCTTCAGGAGGAGGAAAATCTTCCAAAGTATTTTCTTCTTTAAGGAGGAGGAGGCGTTCGAAAGACGTCGTTCAAAGTTCCCAATGTGGGAGCCACGAAGGGAGAGATTACGTGGCGAAACAGATTGTGAGCACGACGACGCATGCATCCTCGTCCGAAGAAGAGGCAACGAAAAGAAGAAACCAAGTGATCGTCTCCCCGTCGATCGCGAAAGCAAACTTATGGGATTTGAAACAGTCCGTGGAGAAAGTCCTCGAGGCTGGCGCGGAGTGGTTGCACGTCTCCGTGCAAGACGGCTCCTCGTACGCGCCGAAAATATCCTTAGGCTCCCCAGTGGTGAAATGTTTACGAACGAACGTGAGTCTTCTTGAAAAAATGTGAAAATAGATGTGAAATTGAACACGCGTGAACCGATGGATCGAATCGAGGAATTCGTTTCTGCAGGCGCGGATGTCATCACGTTCGCACCTGAGGCGGCGAAACAACCGATGGCAGTTTTACAAAAGATCAAACACTCGGCGAAGGAACGCGAGAGAGACATTCTCGCCGGGATCGTGCTGAATCCGTCCACGGGTTTATATGCGATCGAAGAACTCCGTCCGTATTGCGACGTCGTCGTCGTCATGCTGGTAAACCCAGGCTTGGGAACCACGCCGTACAAGACGCTGGACGAAAAAATCAAACGCGTGCGAAGTGTGCGAGAGTATTTCGGTCCCGCGACGAGAGTGCAAATCGACGGCGGCGTCGACGAGCGCTCGGCGAAGGAACTGATTAAAGCGGGCGCGGATACGATCGTCGCGGGAAGCGCGGTTTTCAAATCCGACGACCCGGCGAGAGTCATCCGCGCTTTGAAAGGAGAAGAAGGAGGCGTTTCGAACAAAGAACATCCTCGCCCTCGCTGAAGGGAAGAGTTTGATCGAAGAGATCTAGAGCGCGCCGCGCGTATTATAAACGCAAAGAAGAATTTTTATATATTTTACGCGAAAGGAAAGAGAAAGAGAAAGAGAAAGAGCGCGGCGAGCACGTTGTATCACATACATAGAGAACCATTGTAAAGCATAATAAACGCACAAATGTACACATAAACAATGTACCTGTTTTTATTAGTATTAAACACAAAAAAACGAGAGAAAGAAAGAGTTCTATTATCTACGCACGTGCGTGCTCTTGTCTTCCTCAGCGAAAAGTGAGCATCAGTTTCCAACACACGCATCACTTAAAGAGAGGGGATGATGTGACGAGTGAAAAAAAAGCAAAAAAACTTTTGGGACGCGAGAAAAGAGCTTTTTGGTGTTCGACGTGTTCGCGCCTCTTCGCGCCTTCTTTCAGTCTCTCGTTTTAAGGCGTTCTCGGAAAAAAGGGGGAAAAAAAAAAAAGTTCAGCTGAACTTTATCTCTCCGATCGTTATTAATTAGTACATAAAATAGTTTCTCACTATGGCTACTGTTCCGTGTACTGAAGCAGCTTTCAAGCTCACCCCCCTCTCGGGCATGGGTACCATGGGTTCCCGAGAGTACTACACGATGACGGAAGGCGCGTCGACGTGCGACAAGCAAGCCTCGTAAGTGGACTTTTCAAATCATATCTTTTCATTTCATTATCCTCGCCGATGCGTCGTCCTCGCCGACGACGATGCAATTTTCTCCCGAAACGTCGTCGCGCGCTGTCTGACCGTCCAAACGTCCTCCACTTCGATTTGAAAGAAGAAAAGAGCGAAAGAAGTTACCATCTTTCGTTTTTGTTCTTTCTCGTGAAGATCGGCGTTTGTTCAGTCGGCCATTTCTGCGCGCGAAGATCATCAACCTCCTTTCCAGGAGAAGGTTTGTGCGGCGGGTATTCAAGGGCGACTTTTCGCGCTCGAAAGGTCGCCTTCATTTCGAAAAAACGCTTCTTGGTTTTAACAAAAAAAAAAAAAAAAAACTGAGATCGATTGACTAACCCCACAACTCTCTTCTCTTGTCTTCATACAAAACGTATAACACTATAGGTTTTTCGGCGGCGACGCGGCTCTTTCCGAAGGTGCCGGTTACGGCATCGTCCTCGGCTTCGGGATTGGTTTCTCTTTGATCACCACTCTCTTGGTCTACTTGGACAAACGATTCAACGGGACGAACATCTCGTCTGAATTTTTCAACACCGCCGGTCGTACCGTGAAGACGGGTTTGACCGCGGCGGTTATCGTTTCGCAGTGGACGTGGGCCGCGACTTTGTTGCAGTCCTCGAACGTTGCCTATCAGTATGGTGTTTCCGGTCCGTTTTGGTACGCGTCCGGTGCCACCATCCAAGTGCTTTTGTTTGGCATCTTGGCGATTCAAGTGAAGAGGTATGCGCCGAACGCGCACACGATTTGTGAGATCATCGACGCCAGATGGGGCGCCACCGCTCACAAGGTCTTCTTGTTCTTTTGCTTCTTGACGAACATCATCGTTTCGTCTATGTTGATTTTGGGCGGCGCGGCCACTGTGAACGCGTTGACCGGTATGGACATCTACACCGCTGGTTTCTTGATTCCGTTGGGCGTTATCGTGTACACGATGGCCGGCGGCTTGAAGGCGACGTTTATGGCGTCGTACTTGCACACCGCGATCATTTTCGCCGTGTTAGTTACGTTTTTGTTCAAAGTGTACGCCTCGAGCGACGACTTGGTCGGCTCCCCGAGCAAGGTCTACAAAGCTTTGGAAGCGGTTTCCAGCTCCACGAGAGACTGCTCCGCCATCCCGGCGAAGCAAAACTGCGGTCCAGTCAAAGACAACCAAGGCGGTTCGTTCTTGACCATGTTGTCCAAGGGCGGTATCATCTTCGGTATCATCAACATCGTCGGTAACTTTGGTACCGTCTTTGTCGATCAATCTTACTGGCAATCTGCCATCGCCGCCAAGCCGAGCTCCTCCACCAAGGGTTACTTGTTGGGTGGTTTGGTCTGGTTTACCATTCCGTTCGCGTTGGCTACCGCCATGGGCTTAGCCACCGTCGCGATGGATTTACCGGTCACCTCTGGCGAAGCCGGCGACGGTTTGGTCCCGCCGGCCGCCGCCGTTCACTTCTTCGGTAAGGGTGGTGCCATGATGATCACCATTATGTTGTTTATGGCCATCACTTCCACCGGTTCCGCGGAACAAATCGCCGTCTCTTCCTTGATTGCGTACGACATCTACAAGAAGTACATCAACCCGAAGGCGACTGGCGAGCAAATCTTGAAGGTTTCCAGAGTTGCAATCTTGGGCTTCGGTTTGTTCATGGGCGTCTTGTCCATCATCCTCTTTGAATTGGGCTTGTCTTTGGGCTTTGTCTATTTGATGATGGGTATCTTCATCGGCTCCGCGGTCATGCCGGTTGCCTTTGTGTTGACCTGGAAGGACGCCTCGGCGACTGGCGCGATCGCCGGTGCCGTCATCGGCCAAATCTGCGCGATGATTACCTGGATTGTCTGCTCCACCTTCGAAAGAGATGCTGACGGCAAGCACGGTACCGTTGACTTGGATACTTTGGGTGGTAACTACCCGATGTTGGCCGGTAACGTCATGGCGATTGGCATGTCCGGTATCGTCTGCGCGGTCATCTCCATGATGAACCCGCAAAACTTCGACTTCAACACCTTGAAGGATGGCATCGCTTTGATCGATGACAAGCTTCCAGAGTTGGATCCGGAAGAAAACGACCAAGCTATGTTGGATGCCTCCTTGAAGTGGATCACTAAGTGGGGCGTCGGCTTCACCGTCGTCATGATCTTCATCTGGCCGTTGTTGTCCTTGCCGGCTGGCTGCGGCGACGGCACCTGCGGTGTCTTCTCCGAAGGTTACTTCACCTTGTGGGTCTCCATTGCCTTGGCGTGGGGTCTCCTCGCGACGGTCGTCATCATTGTCTTGCCGTTGTACGAATCCAGAGAAGTTCTCGGCGGCGTCATCAAGGGTATCTTCACCGGTGCCAAGGCGAGCGACTCTGCGTAAATATTTTATAGTATTTACGACAACGAGCTCTTGTACGCAAACGACCGAGGTGTCGACGCGCGCACGCGACTTTTAAAAATCTCGAACGATCTTTGATAAGTCAAAGAAAGAGCATCGCATAAAATTAATGATAGTGATTTAATTTATTTAATTTATTATTTGCGCTACAAATTATATTTAACTGATCATAATGTTAACAACGCGAGTCTTGAAATCTAATTCGTCTTTTTCCTCGCGGACGACCTGGTCCCCTTTCTCGCCGGCGGTTGACCTCTACCCGCGCTACTTTTACTATTCGATGATGAGGACTTGCCCTTCTTCTTCTTTCCACCAAACAAGGTCGTTTTCGCCTCTTTCGCAATCTGCCACAACCACGCCACGTTCAGCAACGAAAACATGCCGAGCATGACCACGACGCCGTAGACCACTTCCCTCGGGCACGGATACTCGAACCCGGCGGGTAAATTCTTCGCGTCTAAAATGAACATCGTGTCTTCGTACACCTGCTTACTCATAAAGAACCAACCGTACACTCGAAAATACACAAACAGACTGGCAAAAAGAACCTTCAACCCGATGTCAACCACACCCTTCATCCCACTCCCGATCGTCGACGGATAATACCTCCCCAAATCAATCGCCGCGAGCGGCAAATTCGTCAACTCGCACGCGCCGAAATAATACACCGCGTAATACTGCATGTACGGAACACTCATCGTCCAATAACTCAAAACCGTGGATAATAACTGCGACCCCAAAAATTCCGGCCAGGCTAAGTCAAACTCGCCCATGGAGATGAAAAATTTCCAAATCTGAGACGCGAACGCAATCTTCGCGATTCCGGGTAACCCGTCCACTTTGTCAAACACTCTTTCAAACGCGGTCGTTTCCTTGTGCGCTAAACCATTGAAATACCAAATCTGCGTCGCTTTCACGACGATATGAAACGTAGGCATTAAATAAAGTAACTGAAACGCGGCTAAATACGCGTTCTTCTGTATCTCTTTGTTCTTTTTAAGGTTGCTTTTTATCCAGAAACAAACGATCGGGAAGCCGACGCAGAGACCTAACAGCCATTTCAGGACGAGCAAATCGCTCCACACCGGGGAACTTTGGCGTAAACCGAGACCTGGGACGCCCCATTGCGGGAGGTTTAAAGGTCTGTGTCTGTCTGGAATACCTTTTGCTCCTTCGTTCGCATTCAATCCTGCTTCTTCTCGCGCGTTTTCCATGTTTACTCTCGCGTGTGGTTTTCTCTGACCTTTTTGCGCCGTCTTTTGGTCTCTTGGGTGGAGATTTTCTTGTGTTGGTATTTAGGGTTTTGTACTTAATTGTCGTGTGGAATTTATGCTGACTCAGAGAGAGAGAGAGAGACTTCATAACACAACAACGAGCGCGAGACACGACACAACACACAAAGGAGAGATGAGGAAAAAAGAGCACAACGGTGTAAAGAACTCTTACCTTGAGAACTGATACGAAACGTAATGGGAGTGAGCCTTTTAAAAATGGACCCGGGGGATTCCTCGGTCCATTCCGGGAAGAATCTGTCTTCTCGGGGAGAAAATCAATCCGCCAATCACTGGGCGGTGAGAACGATCGTGAAGAAAGGCGAGGATCGATTCCTGGTGTGCGAAGATTTGCGAGCGCTTTTCTTGGACGATACGAAAGAGTTGTTAGTGTTGCCGATGCCAAAACCAGGCGCGATTACGGCGACGTTTACGGTGTTCGATGGGCACGTGGATAATTCCGCGAGCAGTTTTTGCGAACAGAGGTGGTTGGAACACTTGAAGTTAGCGGTGGAGAAACAGACGAAGTTCAAGAACGATTTGAGCGTCCACGGGAGCACAAGAGGGAAGGAGAGAGCGACACACCAGAGAGTGATGCATACGAGCGACGAGAATAATGCGGAGATCATTCACGATTTGGAATCCGTGGTGTCCGAAGCGGTGAGCTCGATGGAGGCGGCGTATAAGGAGAGCAATTCAGGAGGCGCCGGCGGATGTTTCGGAGGATGTTTTGGAAATCCGCAAGGGAGGTTTCCCAAAGGAGGATCGACGATGTGTTCGGTTTTAGTGCAAAGAGGCGTGACGGACGACGAGGAAGATGTGAAGAGCGCGTCGTTTTATATCGTATGCGCGAATGTAGGGGATAGCTCGTGCTTAATGCTGCCGCACCCGGACGATAAGGAAGAAGATTTCTCGGAAGGGAATGATACTAAGTACCAAAGATTAGCACGAGAACACTCGCCGGATGATCCTTTAGAAGCGCAACGATTGGTTTCGGCTGGGTATAGACTCGCACGAATGTCGAATAACAGAAGCGGGAAAGAGGCGGGGCCGTTGCGGATGTACCCCGGGGGAATCGCGGTTTCGCGAGCAATCGGCAATTTCATGCGCAAAGACGCGATTATTAGCGAGCCCGAGTGCACGAGAGTGAAATTACCTCGAAACGGCGCGAGGATTTTAGTCGCCTCGGACGGTGTCTTTGCCGCGCTGAACGATTCTGAAATATCCAAAATCTGTTCCAAACATAAACAAGCGAGCGAGTGCGTGGACGCGGTGGTGGATAGAGTTCTCGAAAAAAGAGGACGACACGACGATATTACCTTGATTGTTTGCGACGTACCGAAACCGGAAGAGTATTTAAAGGCGTTCAGAATGAACGTCGGCACGAGCGATACGTTAAAAGTCTACACGAGAGTGTGCTCGCCAAAAGGTTTGAAGGGGAGCAGTAAGAGCGGGCGAGAGCAAGAAGACCAGATTCCAGAGTTTGTCGAAGGCGATATTACCGTTCACGAAGGCGGCGTCTTTGACGAGCAGTACGAAAAAACTATTTTCGACGATTACGAGTTTGGCGATTTACTCGGAAGAGGCGTGTACGGATCCGTTCGATTAGCCAGAGCGAAAATAAACGATACGGGAGAAGCTTTTGCGATAAAATCCGTGGTCAACTCTGTGGATTACGCGCACCAAATCCGAAACGAAATTGAAACCTTGCGCGTGTTGTCCGGGAAACACCCGAACTTGCCGACATTAATAGCAGTATACGAGGATAAATCGAGAAAACTTTTCGGTGGTGGCATCATATATCTCGTCACGGACGTTTGTCAGGGCTCCTCGTTGTTCGATGCGATTTCGAAACGTAAGATCTTCGACGAACGCGATTGGCGACTGGTCGCCACGCAGTTACTCAGCGCGGTGTCGTTCATGCACTCCTTAGGAGTCGTACACAGAGACATCAAACCAGATAACATCATGTGTAAACATGAATGGACGATTGATTCGGAACCGCACTTGCAGATCATCGACTTCGGCTCGGCTTCGTTTTGTAAGAAGAACGAAAAGCTTCGCGGGTACCACGGTACGAAATTCTTCACCAGTCCGGAAATGTGCAACAGAGGATTGTACGACGAAAAGACCGATAATTGGGCGGTTGGCGTTGTTATGATTGTTTTATTAACGGGTTACCCGGAAGGCGTGCAAGTGCAAGAAACGTGGCAGAAGTTGTTGCGAGGCATTTTACCGGAATCTTTAATCGAAACCGCGCCGAGCGAGAAGTTTATCGAGTTGATCAAAATGTGTTTGACGATTGATTACGAGAAACGACCGAGTTGCGCGGCGATATTGAAAGCGTGCGAGAATTGGTTACACGATGCCGACGATAAGAGAAAGAAAAAGACGAGCAAGAGTAGCAATAGCAACAACAACAACAACAACAACAAGGCGTTGTTGATTTCCAAATCAGTATTAGCCGTGGAGTATGAAAAGCATGTCGCCAATCTTCTCTCCGTGTGCGCGTCCGCGAAGGTTGTGTCTAAAATTTTGAGCGTCGTCAACGTCATACAGAAAACGAGAAGTCAACGAGAAAGAGATTGTGTTGATGATAGCGATACGGACACGTCCTTATTGTACGACGCGTACGTATTAGCTGAAGATTTAGAAGACGCCGCGCGACGGTCCAACGCGAGCGATGTCGCCATGCAATTAGAAAGCTTGCGTCATCTCCACGGCTCTTCGGCGCTGACGATTGATTTGGAAAAGTTGAAAGAGCTCGAATCGTTACACAGAAGACACGACCACTTGTACAAAGCCATCAAAGCGTCTGCATCCAGTGAAACGAAAGTGTCTGAGTTCACGCAAATGCGTGAAAATAGAGACGTCGTTCAAAGCACCGTCCACGGGGAAATGTTGTACGCCATGTTATACGCCAAGAATAACGTTTCAAACGACAACTCCATGCGCGGGAACGATACCTCAGTGCGTGGGTCATCCGAAAAGAGCGACTGGGTGCAAGAACCGTTGCACGAAGAAGTTCGGATGAAGAGGAGAAGCAGCTATTTAGAACTCGATCATTGATACGTCTCGAAGATATATTTATTATTGACTTTGGTGATTACAAAAAGAAAGAAAAAATGTACAATGACAGGCACGAAAGAAAATCTCACCCGCGACGCATCCCAACCTCTCAACTCCCTCCTCTTTCGTTATATGGAGGGCACCCGATTTCCGTTTCGAGCGGCTGCAAGCACTCGCGCAAAACGCCGTAGGCGGATTCGATGTCGCTTGCTAAGACTCTCAGTACTAAGCTATCCTTTTCGTTCCCTTCCTCATTCATTCTTTGCGTTTTGGATTCAGACGCGGTCGCGAGCGAGTACGAAACGCCAGCCGGAAGCGGTGATTTAGCAGTCAACCAACTCGCGGCGTTGGTAGTTCTTTTTGACGAGTCTTTCGCGTACTCCGCGCACTTTCTACGCGCAGCTTCCGTTCTCGGTCCGATTAAAATGACGCTCGCGATGACGTGTGCGTTTGCCATGCGTTTCGCGAGACTCTCTTCCTCGTTGTTCGATGCGGCGTTTTCCAGTCGTTGCGATTCGATGACATTTACGGTATCATCTCCAGTCGTCACGGTCGTTCGCGTAAGAAACGAACGAAACGCCCATCTCGCGTCGTCGTGTGCGACTCTTCCAGCGGTGATCCAATCCACGAAACACAAGCTTGAAGAATCATCTGCTAATGAAATCTCGTGCACTTGCTCAAACTTTGCGTCTTTAAAACACTGCGCCGGGTCCGGTAACCAACAGAGAAGCGCATTCGTTCCAACTTTTGCCTCGAGCGTTTGCTTTGTCGTCTTGGTGTTTTCGCTGTCGACGTCATTACAGGTACCATTTGCCGATGATGGTTTGATAGATTTATACACTTTCGTCGTTCCTTGCGTGCACACGCTCGCGGTGCAATTTTTCTGCACGTCCACCGACATCGGCACCAAGTCGCCGGAAACTAAACCTCCCCCATATGAAACGGTATAAAACCAAGCGCAATCGACTGATTTGTCAAATTGCACTTTTTTTGGATACAAAATGCGCAAAGGATAGGTCGAAAACAACTTCGTCGCGGAAGATATCGAGGACTGCAAGGAAACCTCGATGAGACCCGCAAACGCGGCGGTTTCTTTCTCGACTTCCATCATCGCAATTTTATCTTCTCGTTCTCGTCCACCGTTCATTTTCGATTCTTAGCTGTTGAATAAACGACCGTGCAACTGATCGTGTGCAGCTGCGAACATTTCTGCCAACGGTGCCGATACAGCGGCACTTTGAACATCGCTTCCTCTTTTAATCGCTTCCTCGCACATATCCTCCATCGTTTTCGTCGATTTTCGCAAAATCGACGCCACTTCGAGCGGTCCAACGACGTTTAATCGCGTCGCCGCCGAGCACGCATCACGAACAGTCACGTAGACAAACATACGAATCGTTATTCTTTCGGAAATGCCTAAAATGCCGCACACGGCACCAAAGACGCAAGCGAGGTGACCGACGCGAGTGTTTGGTTTTGAGGCTTGTTTAAGCGCCTTTAACTTTTGCGAAATACTCGAGGAGTCTCCCGAAAACGCAGCGACAGCGGCTCGACAGAGCGCCGTACCCGTGGATAAAGACGCCCGAAGAGCCGGTGCGTTCCCTGTGAGCATGGCGTGAAGAATCGCGTTTTCTTTTGACCACGCCGAGATGTCCTCGACTTCCGCTCTTCCTTCGAACGAGGATGATGAATCGAACCGGTTTCTCGCGGCTAATACAAAAGGTGCGAGTGTCGAGCACGCGTTTCGAGCAATGTCTGAAACAAACGTCGAAACATCTACTCCGTGACCGTTACCTGTATCTATAAATCCAAATTGCGTTGCTGCTTCGAGGCCGTTGGAGTGCGCGAACCCGCCCGTAGGGAGCAAAGGATCGAGCAGCTGCCACGCCGTCCAAAAATCGTTGTTATTGTCGCTCATGATTGTTGTACTCTTTCTTCTTCTCCTTCTTCTTCTCTTTGTCTAATACGTTTTCCTTCTGTGATCTAATATCTAATCCCGTCGCAATACCACCGCGTTGTGGTAAGATATCTCGGTCTCGTTAGTAATAATAATAAATAATAATAATAAATAATGATAAAAGTGCACTTCGCGTTCAAAGATTCAATCTCACCGTCTAGAACAAGAAGTATCTTTGCGCCAACGGCAACTCTTGGGCCGGTTCGCACTTCAATTCAACGCCGTCTGCGGTCACCTTGTACGTCTCCGGATCGACTTCAATCTTTGGCATGACGTCGTTCAGTTTCATGTCTTTCTTCGTGACACCGCGAATGTTGCACACAGGCTCGACGCGTTTTTGCAAACCGTACGTCTTTCCGACGGATTTTTTCGCCGCGAGCTTACTCACGAATGCGATCGAACTTTTACCCACGTTTGAGGCAGCAAACATTGGACGAGAAATAACTGGCTCTGGCGATGGAATAGACGCGTTAGCGTCGCCCATTTGCGCCCAAGCGACGAGACCACCCTTGACGATGAGTTCCGGCTTGGCGCCAAAGAAGCTTGGTTTCCACAAGCACAAATCGGCGAGCTTACCAACCTCAACAGAACCAATCAAGTGCGACATTCCGTGTGCTAAGGACGGATTGATTGTATATTTCGCAATGTATCGCTTCACACGGAAGTTGTCGCTATTCGTCCCCTCGTCTTCTGGCAAAGGACCTCGTTGCTGCTTATTCTTGTGCGCCGTTTGCCACGTGCGCGTGATGACTTCGCCGACGCGACCCATGGCTTGAGAATCGGAAGACATGATAGATAACGCGCCCATATCGTGCAAAACATCTTCCGCGGCGATCGTTTCCGCGCGAATTCTTGACTCCGCAAACGCAACGTCTTCGGCAATATTCTTGTCCAAATGATGACAATGCATGAGCATGTCCAAGTGCTCGTCGATGGTGTTCTTGGTGAACGGTCTCGTCGGGTTCGTGGATGAGGGTAACACGGCAAGCTCACCCGCAACTTTGATAATATCCGGAGCGTGACCACCGCCGGCACCTTCGCTGTGGTACGTGTGAATTGTTCGTCCTTTGAACGCTTCAATCGATGTTTCCACGCAACACGATTCGTTGAGCGTATCGGTGTGGATAGTCACCGCAATATCTTCCTTTTCCGCGACGGTTAAGCACGCATCGATAGCCGCCGGAGTCGTCCCCCAATCTTCATGGAGTTTTAAACCAACTGCCCCAGCTTCGACGATTTCGTTCAAGCCAGACCCTTTATGGTCGGACGTGTTGCCTTTACCCGTAAACCCGAAATTCATGGGAAACGTATCCGTGCTTTGTAACATCATCTTCATCTGTTCCGGCGCCGGCGTACAGGTTGTCGCGCACGTGCCCGTGGCTGGTCCCGTTCCACCGCCTAACAAAGTCGTCAAACCGCTCGCGATAGCTTCGGTCAAAATTTGTGGACAAATAAAGTGCACGTGCGTGTCTAAACCACCCGCGGTGACAATCAAACCTTCGGCGGAGATGACCTCCGTGTTCACGCCGACAACCATCCCCGGGGTTACGTTTTCCATGACGTCCGGGTTACCGGCTTTGCCAATGCCAACAATCATACCGCCGTTGATACCAATATCGCATTTAAATATTCCAGTGTAATCGACGACGAGCGCGTTCGTGACGACGCAATCTAAAGTATCATTCGCGCCTAAACCGGCGTTTTGCCCCATGCCTTCTCGAAGCGTTTTACCTCCGCCAAACTTACACTCGTCGCCTAAGGTGGCGTAATCCTTCTCCACCGTGATGTATAAATCCGTATCGCCTAAGCGAACGCGATCGCCGGTCGTCGGACCGTACATGTCCGCGTACTTGGATCTTGGTAAAGTGATCGCGTCGCTCGACTCTTCGTCGTCGTCTTCGCTCTGGTGCGCGTTGACGCCCATGATTTTTGTCACCGAATCCAACACTTTCTTTTGGTCCTTTTCGCTGAGAGGATAGGTTATTTTCATGCCATCGCAGACGTTATTCCCACCTTTTACGACGCAGTTACCTCCGATTGGGCAAATTTGAACTTTTTTCGTTTCCCCTGGCTCAAATCGAACAGCCGTGCCTGCTGGAATGGCGAGCTTATACCCGCACGCCTTCACTCGATCGATGCGCAACGACTTGTTCGTTTCCACCAAATGAAAGTGACTGCCGACTTGAATCGGTCGATCGCACGTGTTTGTCACGAGCAAAGTTTTCACTTTTCTTCCTTCCAAAAGCGTCAAACTACCTTTGACAGTTTCTAACTCGCCTGGAATCAAATCCGACGACGTCGTCTTTGGAAACGCATCCGCGGACGGTACCGGTAAAAACGATCCTTTCAACGCCAACGCCAAATCTCCATCTTCGCGGCAAATCGGCCCGTGCACCGAGACTAATTTCGTTCCGTCCGTAAACGTCCCTTCAACTTGGACTTCCCCGCATAACGTCGCAACGCCGGGTAAGACTTGTCGCGTCCCCAAAATCGTTCTCGCCTTCTCCACAATCTGTGCGACGGACTGTTCGCTTCCGTTTTCCGGACCTTCTCGAATGAGCTCGAGAATCTGGTTCGCGAGCAACGCCGTCGCCTCGGGGTGATTGAGACGAATCCCTGACGCCAGTCTTTTCTGCGCCAAGTGAGCGGCTTGCGCCACGGCGAACTTGTCCACTTCTCTGGGAGATAACCGCATTTTGTACTACGTATTATTATATCTTCCTTACTACGAGTAGTATTCTTTCTCTTCCTATATCCCGTGCAGCCGACTTTGGCGAGTTTCGGGACGAGTTTCTTCAGTATAAACTTTCTGTACGAACTCGACGGCGCTTTCTGTTTCAACACGTACGCGAACGACTTTAATGTCGCTCTTTCGTCGTTTACGTCGTTCCCAGAAACCAAAGAAGAAAAATAATCGAGCTTCTCCGGAACGAGCTGCTTAATTTGTCTTCTTTTTTGCTCCTCGACGACGACAAAACCAGTCGATGTGGTTTTCGCGTTCGATGTTTTGAGCACACAACCAGAAACACCAATTTCAGGAGCGCTCGTTTTCAACGACTTATTCGTCCTCTTCTGACTCCTCAAATTCGATGATTTTGATCTCGGCGCGTGTTTCCGTCTGTTTCTCTGCCTTTTCCTTTTCGTCAAGCGGAGTTCCTCGACGACGGTCTTCTGACAATCGGAGGAGCCTTCCACGCTCTTCTTTTCCATGCAACGACGGTTTTTAGAAACCCTCTCTCTCTCCCTTAAATTCTTCCTCTGATGTGTATACTAACGTTTCGAGAGAGTAAGAGAGAGAGAGATTTAATAACAAAAAACCGCGATTATTAAAAAGACACGACTTAAACGAAGCGCTCAAAAGGAGTGCTGCTCTGCTTTTCTCGAGCGACTCTTCCTCTCTCTGTTCTTTCTCTCTTTTCGCGTTTCGAGAGTCTCTTTGTGATGCATTTTTCACGACCTTTCAGAGAGACAAAATCAGTTAGGGTTTCAACTGTTTTCTAAAAGCAGAGAGAAACGGAGAGGGGCCGCTTTGTTGCGCGCGCAGTGTTGCGCGTCATAAAGAAAAAGTGCGAAGAGAGGGACAGAGAGAGAGCTTCTCTGATTCTCACTGTTATTAGTCGTAGAATTAGTGTTACCAAATGACGACGCGCGGACACGGACACGGACACGGACACGGAATGCATTCCAAAGACGACGAAGAAAAAGTCCCGGACGGTTTCAAGCGAGTGATGTCAAACGACGACGGCATCACGTATTACGAAGAAATATCCACGGGACGCAAATTACACTCGCACGACGGCTTGAAACCGCACTCGCACGACCCGATACCGAATAAAGGGTCGTTTTTGAACCGGAGAATAGCGACGTATAAGAACAGAGACTTTTCCGAAAGATGTTTTACGGTTGGGATCGGAGGCCCAGTCGGTACTGGGAAGACGGCGTTGATGTTGCAACTGTGCAGATATTTCACGAAAGAAGCGACGGAAGCATCGCACGAGAGAAGAGAAAACATCGTCGCGGTGACGAACGATATATTTACGAAAGAAGACGGCGAGTTTTTAGCGAAACACGAGGCGTTACCGATAGAGCGCATCCGCGCGGTGGAAACCGGCGGGTGTCCGCACGCGGCGATACGCGAAGACATTGGCGCGAATTTGAGCGAAGTCGAAAGCTTAACCGGGAAGTTCAACCCAGAGTTTTGTTTGTTAGAATCTGGAGGGGATAACTTAGCCGCGAATTTCTCGCGAGAGCTCGCCGATTTTATCATCTACGTCATCGACGTGTGCGGCGGAGATAAGATCCCGCGGAAAGGCGGACCCGGAGTAACGCAGGCGGATTTGTTAATAATCAACAAGAAAGAGTTAGCCGACGCGGTTGGCGCGAGCGTGGACGTCATGACCCGCGACGCTAACGCGCAACGCGAAGGCGGGCCGGTGATTGTCGCCAGCGTGAAAACCGGAGACGGCGTGAGAGAGATTGCGGGGCACATTTTGAAAGCCCACGACGAGGCGATGTGTTACGGTCACGCGCATCATCATCACTGATGAGAGTAGTAGTATTGTCGATCCATCTTCCATCCATCTCACATCGCGCGTAGTTGTGTTATTTGTTGTTTTTAATAAGCGCGGGTGGTTAAATGTTTCATCAAAACAACTTGCTCTCATTTCGTCACATTTTCATCATCATCATCATGTTGTATCAACAGTATTCTTCGTCGCTTTCTCTCGCCGTCTCAAGAGTATCATCATCATCATCAACATCATCATCGCGACGACGAGGGGGTGACTCTTTCCGAACAACAACAACAACAACACGATGGAGAACGTCCCGACGGAGAAGGACAAAGAAGGTAACTGTAACGGTGTTTGATTCGTCGCGGCAAAACAGCAACATCGGCGCCAGCACGAGTGGTAAAGACACCGAGGACGACGCAAAGATTGGGGTTGGAAGTTCGCTTTTTAAGCGCATTCAACTCGCATCGGACGGATACGTTCGCCTGGCGTTACCCGGGAACGAATCCCGTGAGGTGGATAAAAGACCAATTTCAGACCTCTTGTACGGGTTTCTCTTCGCGTTTGGAACTTTAGCGATACTGGGTACGATCGATGCACTGATCGAAGTGAACTTTCAGAAACCGTTTTTTATCGGTGCGTGGGGCACGATTTCGGTTTTAGCGTTTGGCACGAACGATGCTCCGGCGTTGCGGATGTGGAACGTCGTCGTCGCGACCGTGTTTGCTTCGTTCGTGGCGATTTGTTTCGTGAAATTCTTCGGGACGACGGTGATAACGAGAGCGTTAGCGGTGGCGATATCGATCGCGTTTATGATGTGGACTGGAGCGATTCATCCGCCCGGTGGTGCCGCGTGCGTTATCGCTATGGATATGATTAAATGGCAAGAGCTTGGATTTTTGTACGCTTTGTATCCGACGGTTTTAGGGAGCGCGTTTATATGCGCCAGCGGCGCGGTCTGTTCGAAAGTCAAGAAACGTTGGCCGTTTACGATTGAAGACGTGAAGAGTGCGATGATGAATATGAAACGACCAAACGGAAAAGAAATGGTCCAAACGTTGAAAAGCTGCGGAAGCGGAGGTATTTTTGCCTACGGCATCATGAACACGCTCTGGTACTCCTTCGGCATCGTGACCGCAGTGTACGCCATCACCGCCAGCGGTGCGACGTCTCTCGCGCTCATCAAACCAAAACTTTTACCAGCCTTAGCTGCTGTCTGGGCCGGATCCCAAGCGACCAAACTCTTCCGCATCTCCTCCTCCATCGCGTTAGCGCCTCTGTGCGATAAAATTTTAAACCGAGTCAACCGTCGATTGAACGAAACGAACAGATTTTCCAAGTCCCAAACTCTGTTTTGGACGTGCATCGCCACCGTCCTCCTCGGGTGTGCGTTCATAGCCGCGTGCACGTTCGCTTTTTTAGCCAAAGCGAAGTTGTTCGTTTAATAAAAAGTTTACGTAAAACGTATAATAGTAGCGCTCGAAAAGTCCGAGAAAAATCTGCCAGAGCAGCTAAATATCTCCAGAAATCAAGGACAACAAATCATCGTTAGTACGCGTTGTTCAGATGCTCTCCCCGAACGACAGCGCTCCAGAAACGTGCGTTTTTCTTTCATCATCTCTCATAAAAGCGCTTTGAGTATTTCTCTTTCGTTCTTTCGTTCTTTCTTTCGTTCTCTTTCTAACCGTCCGTCCGTCGTCTTTCAAAATCACTTTCAAAAACAGAATGTCCCGAGACGCTGACGCTCGAGGAGGAGCGTCGACGTCGTTAATCGAAGACGACTCCTCGATGCGAAATCAATGGATGAAATTCAAAACGAAATTTCTCGCGTGTTTCTGGGACTTCGAAGCCGAGCTCGCGGATTGGTTCGGTTTGAACACCAGTAAGTTTTACGAAGAGTTGGAGATGAAGGAAGATTTAGAACGAGAGGAAGAGGAGGAGAAGGCGAGGAAAGAGAGGAAAGACGGGGTGGAAATGGCGAAAATGGAGATGGCGTCTTAGCAGAGTCGTTTGAAACGAACAACAACAGTCGAGATGATGGTTTATAAACCCTCTCTCATTTCATCCGTCGGTCGCCGTTCGCGTCGTCTCGCTCTCCGCGCAAAGCGAGTTGAAACAAACGCTTCGTTGCGGAGGACGAGAAAAGCGGGTATACGCATCTCTTTTCAGTCCTCGCTCTCCTCCTCCTCGAACTGATGAAAACGACGCTCTTCTTCTTCTTAAAGTTGTCGTGAAACGCTTTCGATTTCGTAAAAACCAAGAGCAGCGAGAAGAAGAAGTCGGAGGACCCCCGCTCCTGCTACGCTCCGCAAAAGCAGAAAGAGCAGCACAATGGAGTGATTTTCCCCCATTGTTTCCCTCGCAATCCCACGTCTTCAAAAGCTTTTCATCAGCGAGAACACGAGTAAGAGCGCGTAAAAGTATCCACCAAACTAAGTAAAGTATCATCTGAAGCGAGATTTAAAAGAATGAAGCACGAATACCGATCGTTTTCTCTCCTCTTCTTCCTCTTTGTTTCAATCTTCCTCCAAAATCATTCATCGCATCACGCGGCAACATTCTTCGTCAAAGCCGAGCGAATGGATTTCAAAACCTTGCGAAAGACGCGATCGATTCCTCTCACGAATGAAAATGGGTTGAGCATGTGCACGATGACCTTAAACACTCAGGAAATGTTTGGATGCTACACGAATCAGAACGAGAATGGTAAACGAGGGAAGATTGTGCGCGTGGAGACCGAGGCTCAGTTGGAGGCTTTTGGGACTGAAAAGAGAGGAGAGAAAGAAGCGAACGTGGTGACGGCGCCGATGAGAATGATGAAACAAGTTTTGAAAAAAGTGGAAGAGAGTAAAGATGTTCTCGTTTCTGCTGTTCTCGTCGAGCATCCATTGGCGTTTCTTGATGCGAATAAGGGAGGAGATGATGCGGAGAAGGAAGCGGCGGAAGCTGGATTCTATCGCGGCGTGCCGGAATCCGACTCGAAAGAGGACACGAAAAGAGTGAACGTAGGCCAAACGCCGGTGGCGTTTTTAGGCGTAAACGCGACGAGGAAAGTCGTTTGGGCGGCAAACGAGAACGTGAAGAGAGAAAAGGTACAAAAATCGTCGAAAACAAATTTCATGGGTAGAGACGAGCTTTTATACGCTTCCGTGGACGGCGCGATGGACGCCGCGGGGAAGACGAGCGAGGATATGAAACGCGCGAATAGCATCACGTGTTTAGATAAAAGGACGTGTTTGCCCATTGGAGGGTACTCGATCGCGACGGCATTTTTAGATGGGTTTTCCAGATACTTGTACAACGAAAGCGCGCCTTCGATATTCGTGACCGCGAGGTTGGATAAAACGACGTCCATGTTTCGCGACGAAGCGCGAGGCGCAAACGCGGTATACTCGAGTTTGATTTCTTTCTTAGTCGCCGCGGAAGTGGTGAATGATTTAGTCGTAGACGGACCAAACTTGGAGAAACCAATCGTGTTTGCCGCGTTTGCCGGAGAAGAGTACGACTTAGTCGGGTCGAAGAGGATGATGGAAGAGTTCCCGGGGTTGGTGGATACCGTAGTTGAAATTGGACCGGTTGGCTTTGCCTCTTCTTCAAAAGACGCGTTGTACGTCCACGAACAATACAACCAGACCGACGATACGTTCGAAGATTTCTTAAAAGTCCAAAGCGCGGCGAACCGAGAAACGCTCGGCGAAGATTCGTTGTCCGTGAAAGAAGTCTCTCGAGGCGTCGAGGTCCCGAAAGGCTCCTCTTTGAACTCGTTCACCAACGTCAGCGGAAGTCGATTGACTTTAACCGATTACAACACGTTCGAATCGGATGATCCTTTTTACGGAACTATGTTTGATTCTGGTTTGGATAAAATCAACGTGAAACGAATCGCCGAAGTTGCTCGATTAGTTGCCGGCGCCGCGCTTCGCATGAGCATGAAAGACAAGGAACAATTCGCGGTGAAGGAGGACGTTTTAAATAAACTGGTCGACAACGATTTCGTGCAGCAAACGATCGCGACGGCCTCGGAGTTGGCGGAATGTTTAGTCGATCCGAAAGTTGGTTTAAGAAAGTGTTCGTTTTCTCAAAAGTACGACGTGTTCGGCTCAAATGCCCCGTCCGAAGAAGACGAAGCGAACGAAACAAACAACATCGGATCCTCCTACGTCGGCGTCGTTCAATACATCCCAGAAGATATTCAAACCTCCGAAGCGAAATCACCGATTCAGAGATTTGTATACGAGCACCTCTCGCGCGTTGCCAACGGCACGGCAAGCACAACGTATCGTCTCGCTTTGCCTTCACAACTCAAGTTTGACCGGGACTCGTACGCGTGGCAAGTTCGGGACGGAAACGCGAACGGGTACGAAATCTGGACTGAATCGAATTGGTCGGCGAAAATCGGCGTGACTATCGAGAGCAACAAAGGGTGGTTCTTTGAGCCGATCGCGACGGCGTGTGCCGTAGTGATTGCCACTTTGTTCTGTTTCTTCGGCGAGCGGATGTTGGAACGCGCGTTGACACGAGGAGGAAGCTCGAGCTCGACTTCCTCCCAAAAGCTTAATAGCGGTATGGATTTAGATTAGTAGTACAAGAAGCGCGCGTGAAATTGATCATAAAGTAGTAGTATGAATAGCAGTAGTAAATGCACGCGTTTTATATAGGTACCTGGTGCCGAAGCACGGTATATAAAAACGCTGGAAACGACAAAAATGAACTCGCGAAAGATCAACTTATTAGAAAAAAATTAATAGCTCCACTGGAAGGAGTCGTTGGCGACCGCGGCGACTAACCCGTTCTTCTCGTACCTATCGCTTTCATCCCACGCCATCAAACCGCCCATAACTTCCATCTTAATTTTCTTCGCGCACGCGTCTTCCGTGGACATGTGCTTATACCACCTCTCCAAACTCGGTCTTCCGTCGAAAACGTTCTCCCACCCGAAGTACTTTGGCAACAAGTGGGTCATAAACACGAAGGTCGGAAACAACGCCGCGTCCGCCGTGGACGGCTTATCTCCGCACAAATACGGCCCAGGTTCAAACCCACCGACGGTTTTCTCCATAACGTCCAACAACCGATCGATTTCGCTAATTTGCTCCGCCCTTACCTCCGGCGACATCGGTCCTCGATACATGCACCCTTGAATCGGCGTCAAATACACGTCGTGCCACCTCGTCGCCAAATTACACGCCGTCTTCGCCTCCAACGTCTCCGGCCTTAAACTCGGACCTTGCTTCTCGAACGCGTCGCACAAATACTGACTGATCACTTCCGACTCTGGTATCGCTTGTCCGTCTTTCGTCACCAGTAAGGGCATTTTCCCTTGCGGATGCATCTCCAGAAACTCCGGCGACTTCAAGCCCCCTAACGTGCTCGGATTCTTAAACTCAAACTCATCCTCGATGTTTTTCCAGCAAATAATTAACCGGTTCCTCGCGCCGTTGTTGGAAACTGGAACGTCGTAGAAGATGTTTTTATACACCGGATCGAGCGCGGCTTCGAAATCCCCCGTCGTTTCTTCCGAGGAAGATTCCGCCGCACTCATCAAAGCACATCTCCCCCTCCTCCTCTTATTCATTTTCTCGCCACCATTAAAACCGCTTTTCCTCAAAGCAGCGGCACCACCACTCCCGCAAAGGCGAAACGACGACGACGAAGGTTGTTGTTTCGTGCTCTTCTTCGAGGAGGAAGACGAGGTGGCGGAATTCCCGCTCTGGTATCGCTGGGTATGAATCGTCTGCATCATCATCGTAGTCATCATGATGTTGGTTTTCTATCCTCTTTCTCTCTCTATTATCTGAATGAGGAGGAAAATGCACGAGTGATGCGTTTCGTCTCTTTTTCGGTGCAAAAAAACGTTTCTGCCTTTTTTTCACTTTTTTTTGTTTTTTGGTCTCTCCTTTCTTTCTTTCTTTCTTGCATCACTCGAAAAAGAAGCTTTTTTGCGCCACTCTGTGCGCTCTCTGTGTGTATTCTTTCGCCGCTGCCCTTTCTCCTCTTTGCGAGAAGAAGAGAGCGTTTCACGTTTTGAAAGAAGAAGAAGAAGAACAAAGCTTTGTCGATCGTCGCGTTCGTGTGATCGGTAAAGCAGCGCTGTTCTTTTTGAAAACGGGAGAGAAGAAGAAAGAGGAGTTTCCGAGAGAATTCCATTGAAATTTCAAAAATCAAATCGTCTCTCGAGTCATCATCATCATCATCATCATCATGGGGCAACAAACGCAACATCTCCGACCGAACGAAATCAACGGGTTATTCCAAAACCAGTCGTTAACGCTGGAAGCGAAAGCGATGAGAGCGTTAACCGCTCTCATTCAAAAGAAAGAGTTCGACTCCCGAGAGAAGGAAGAGGATTACGTGGAGGATATTTTAAACGCTTTGGACGGGAAGTGCTTGCAAACGAGCGTGGTCTCGGAGGAGATCGCGCGGGAGGCGGTGGGCGAGATGGAGAGGAAGAAGGAGATTGAAAACGTGATAAATCGTGATGCGCCGATGGCGGTGGACGAAGAAGACGGAGAGGTAGGAGAAAAAGAAGATGATGATGATGTTGATGTTGATGATGAATCGGACGACGAGGACCGAGCGAACCAAGAGAGATTGCAAAACGAACTCCGGGACGAAGCCATCGTCGTGTGCGACGCGTTCGCGCACGCGCCTCGGTATCAGTACGACGAAACGAGAAACGTGTTTGCGAAAATCGACCAACCGGCGACGATGGACGCCGAGGCGGATTCGAAAATCAACGTCTATCGGGAACGGTTTCATTTGTTGAGGCAGAGAATGAGCAGGCACGAGAGTTTTACGAAACCGGCGTTTGGGAAGAAGAAAAAAGGTAACGAAGATGCGAGTACGAACGCGAATAACACGAACGAGTTGACGCCGCTTCGATCGTTGGTCGGTCAGTGTTACGGGCCGAGAGTCGTCATGGGATGTTTGTCGCAAGTGGAAGACGGTATTTTTCACTTGGAAGATCCGACTGGGTCAATGAGAATTGATTTGACCGCGGCGGCGGCGACGAGTGGGATGTTTTGCGAGAATTGCGTGGTAATTGCGACAGGAGAAGTGAGGAAGACTGACGGCATTTTTGAAGTGTCCGCGTTGGGCCATCCACCGGCGGAGACGAGAAGGAAAACGCTGGAAGCGACCAACGCGACGGATTTTATGGGCGCCGCGCAAGGTGGAAAACACGTCGCGCTGCGACCGAGAGATTTAGACGAGTTGATCAAAACAGAAAAGAAAGCGAAAGACGAACGATTCGTCGTCATTTCCGATTGTTACTTGGACGATTCCAAATGTTTGAGACGATTGAGGAATATTTTTGAAGTGTACGATCAATCGCCGAAACCGCCCGGGTTGTTTGTGTTTATGGGGGATTTCACGCGAGTACCGTTTGGTCCGACGAAGTATGATTTCGCGTCGTACACGAAATCGTTCGACCAGTTGGCGGATTTGTTGGACGAATACCCGTCTATTCGCGAAGAGTGTCGCTTCGTGTTTGTCCCCGGGCCGGGCGATCCCGGAAATACGAGCGCCTATCCAAGACCAGGATTGCCTGCCGCGTTGAGAGGTCATAAAATCACCGCGTGCTTGCAAAAAGTAGAGTTTGCGTCTAATCCGTGTAAGATTCGATGGCATTCGCAAGATTTGGTCTTTTTCCGAGACGATTTACAAGCCAGAGCGCGACGAGGGTGTGTGTTACCGCCGGTGGACGATTTGGGCACGGAGGAAGACGACGAGCGATTACAGTTAGACATGTCACCGAGAGAACGTGAACGACGAAAAGCAATGCGAGAAAAACCTTTGTTCCATCACTTGGCGATGACTTTAGTTCAGCAATCGCACTTATCGCCGTTGCCGTTGACGCAAATGCCGATTTATTGGGAGAGAGACCAGGCGATGTGGTTGTACCCGGCGCCGAATGCTATTTTCTTAGGCGATCGATCGGAAACGCAGTGTAAAATGACTGACGTGTGTGGTGTGGAAACGATGATGGTAAACCCAGGATGTTTCGCGGACGATGGGAGTTTTGCGATTTATAATCCAAGCGAACGAGAAGCGGATTTATCCGTCGTGAGCGCCGCGGAGATGTAAAACACGAAGAACAGTCAAATCTAGGAAATTACTATATTAAGATCTATTAGTGATAATACAAATATTAATAATAATACTTGCACGAATTGACTTCTCTAAGTATCTATCTATCTACCTATCTACCTCTTCATTGCGCTTGTTTTGTATGTAATACATTTTCCCGACGTTAGCGCGCCTCCTTCGAGTTTGTTCCTGAGAGCGCGGAATGAAGGATTTCCCCCAGAGCGTCTCCTTGGAGGCGTCGTAGTCATTTATTGTGACATTCATCGCGGCGTACTCTTTCATTTGCTCCTCGATGTTGGCACCGGCACCCGAAGACTCCTCTTTGAACGTGTCGAAAAACAACGACTCGAACGCGGAGGAGCAGTATCGTGAAGAACTCTCCTCTTGTTCGTCTTCTTCTTCTTCGCGTTGACCGGTTTTGCCGTTGCATACTTCAATCACATCCTCTTCACCCGCCGTCCATATTAAACAGTGTGGGTTATCAAACACGACGACAGAGTCCGTGTCGATGGGAGCCAAGTCGAATTTTCTCTCGCACTGCATCAGCACCGGGTGGTTGACGCTCGGAAACGTTTTTGAAACGCGACAGCAAAATGCTCGAGCGCAGTGCTTATACGCAAACTTCCTCCCTATGGTTATCGATTGAATAAAAATAGGCTCCGTAAGTTTCGTGGCCAATAAACTACCCTGCACGCCGAGTGCATTCCACGAGGCTATTTTATCCGAGCATGTACACATTCGTCCGGCTCGATTTTCTCCGACTGGCAAAGTACCCTTTGCGAGCGTTCCGTTCTCGTATAACACGCTCACCCCCGCGACCGCCGCCGAGCTCGCATCATCGTCCTCGTCGTTTTTCGCAGGCATCGAGACCACCGTCGCTTTCTTCAACGCCACCGCCACGGAGCCTTTCTGAACGTCTAGTGGTAAAAATGGTGTCTCGTGCGTTTGCGTCGGCATCGTAAACGGCCCGATCTTGGTGTCGTTTCCATCGTCCATTCCTCCTTTGGCCCATTTTCGTATAGTCGCGTTCCCGCACGGACACGAAGAGACGTATAAATGAATGCTCTTGTGCGTTTTCATTTGAAAGAGCACCCTGTCGCCCCCGCCGTCGTCTCGTTTCACTCTCTCGAGTAGAAATGAATCCTCTGTGTCCTCGTAGCCTTCGTTCGATAACGCTTTCATTTCCAACGCTAAATACCTCTTCAACGCTCTCCTCGCCAACACCTCCGCGTGTAAATCTCTCAGCTTACCTCTCTCGTAACTCTTCTTTTCCATCTCCCGATCAAAATCCTCGTCCGAAATCGTCTTCGTCCCGTTCGCGATGGTCAAGCACGTCATCCTGTTCGTTCGCGCGTCGAGCGCGATAAACGCGCTCATAACAGTCCTCAGATGATGATTTTCCTCCTCCTCATTCGCTGCTCTCAAATTATATTCACGCGCCGTATTCTCTCGCAAACGCGAGAACGTTTCGATTGCAACGTTCGAAATCGATTCCGCGAACGCGCACGAACTCGCTCGCGACTTTTCGCCGCATCTTTTTCCCGTTTTGGTCGTCATCTCTGTCCTCGTCATCATCTCGGGGTGTTCACTTCACCTCAGTGAGAGGTGCACTTCTTCAAAGCAACTTTGTATTCATCCTCGCACGACGCTTGGTCCAAACGATTTCCTCGCGCAACATCATCATCACCGCCTGTTATTGCTGCTCCTGCTGCTCCTGCTTTTGCTGCGCGTAACGACAGTGATGACTTACACGCGAACAGCGCTTCTCTGGCTATGTTCTTGCACTTCTCGTCGATGATGAACAAAGACGGCGACGACGTTTCTTCCTTCTTGGCGTAACGATACGTCGCGTAGCCGAGCGCAGAAAAAGCAAAGACAACCGGTGGCAAGAACACGAATGCCATAAAACAACACCAGGCAGGAGATGATGAATGTGTGGTGAGGACGAAGACGCGAAAGAGGACGAGTTTGAATACCTAGTAGTAGTAGTAATAATAATAATGACGAAACAATTGGTTTGTTTCTGCTCTTTCTAGTATTGGGTGTCGCGGAGTCGTCATCACCATCATCATCACTACGACTCACATGGCTTTCCCTAGCTGCATTTTCCTCTTGAACATCAAACTCGTGTTGTGCATCAACCCGTCGATGATCCCTACCACGCTATACACGCCACCAACGATGGCCATTAACGTGGTTATGAATTGGTAAAACTCGCGTCTTTTCTCGACGCCTAAAATTTGCACCGGGGACGGGGTGAAGTGGAATTTCGCTCTCGGCGTTTCCCCGTCTGGGGTTTTGACCGAATGCGTGTGTTGGGTGTATTCGTACACGTTGAACGGTTGCGCGAACGGGCCCAGGGGTTGCATGGTGGTTAACACCGTTTGTAAGTAATGCTCGTGCGACGTTCGCGGGTTTTTCGAGACGACGAAATCGTTCGCCAATTTGTCGTGCCAATCTCCTTCTTTTTCGCCTCTGTGGAATCGAGCCATATATTTTTGCCTCGACGCGGATAATTGTTGACCGAAGTAGAAGTGGTGAACTTGGTGCGTGACGTTTAATTTGTCCACGTCGAAGGAGTGGCCGTTTTTGGCATCCGCGGTAAAAAAGACGTGTCCGGGGACTTTTTTCACCAAGACGAAACCGGTGATGGAACACCCCGTGCTCGCTCTGGTTTGGACCACGTCCGCGTGGTTGGCGACTTTGAAATCGATTTGCTCGTTCGGTCGCGGCGGTTGCGGTTTCTTCTCGTTATCTTTCGTCGGTTTCCCTTTTGGTACTGGAATGTTCCCTTCGCCGCCCGCGGGAACGTCCACCATGCTCTTCCCAAACTCTACAATCGCGCTCACGGTTCTGTCCCCGTGATAGGACGCGTGATCCGTGTGTCTCCCATGCGCGATTAAATCCGACCCTCTCGTAAAGATTCTCACCGTCGGATACCCTTGAATGTGATGTTTCCTGCACAACTGCTCGTGCTCCACGCAATTGACTCTCCCGAGCGCAATCGAGTGCATGTTTTGCGAATTCGTGTTGAACGTCTCGTGCAACTGAATCGCCGCCGCGTCAAACACCGGTTGCAACCGTTGACTCCACGGACACCACGGCGCGTAAAAATTGATCATCGTCACCGAATGCGCGTCGTTAAACGCTTGCATCTCTTCCTCTGTCGTCAACGGTTCCGCGCTCGAGTGCGTCACTCGTCCAGTCGCCAACGCTTCCTTGTGCTTCTCCACCACAATCTGCGCCTCCGTCAACTCTTCCTCGTTCACGTGCGCGTCTCCATCCTTCCCTGGCGTCTTCTCCGCCCACGCCAAAGGCCCAGTCGGTCGAAAATTCCCATCGATTGGTCTCTTAAACACCGTCTTGGTCAGATTATACCTCGTCAATCCCAACGCGTCCCCAACATCCACCGACGCGAACTCGCACGACAAAGCCGGAAAAGACACGTTAAAGTTAATCCGTAACAACTCTCCATCCACCGACCGATCGACGACCACTTTCGTCTCGAACGTCGTTTTCAAATACGCTCGCGTTTCTGCGATCAAAAGAAACACGATTAAAGATGTCGCCAGGATGGAGAGGATCGTCCCCAGGTACGTGCCTTGCGTCATGTCGCGCGGGATTTTCCGGTAGAAATCCATCCCTTTCGCTTTGGTTAAAATGCCCATCTTTTATTTCTCGTATATTTCTCTCTAAATCTCTCTCACTCTCTCTCTCTCTCTCTTTCACACACACGCAGGAGGAGCAACTCAGAGTCGTGGTGCTGCGCTAAAAAACAAACGCAGACAGCAAACAAAGTCGAGTTTGTTCTCTTCTTCTGCAAAAGGTCTAATAATGTCTCTCGACGATGATTTTTTTTGTGTGTGTTGGTTTGTTGTGAAAGAAAAGAAAAAATCTCTTTTTCTTACTCGATTTCGCTCGCAGTCCTTTCTTTTTTTATTCGAAAAGAAGTCAAAGAAATTTCTTCACTTTATTTAAAAAAGAAAACGCAAGCTCATCAGACACTTCGTTTCTTTTCTATTCGTAACACACATCCAAGGCAGTAAATATTGCATTCGTACACCGATACCTTTTTAAAACACCTGATAATTATTACTAATGAGAGAGGTTATTTCCATCCACATCGGCCAAGCTGGCGTGCAAACTGGTGCGCTTTGTTTTTTGGTTTTGGTTTTTCTCGCATGTGGACGCATGTGCGAAGATTCTCTCATTCTCTCTCTCTCTGTCGTTGACTTTTTTTCTTCTTCTTCTTTCTTGGGAGATGATGACGACGACGACGACGACAAAACTGACCTCTCTCAACGTTCTCTGTTGATGCGCTTTTTTCGAATGATGAACAACAGGTAACTCGTGCTGGGAGCTGTATTGCTTGGAGGTGCGCGTTTGATGATGTCGTTGTCTCTTTTCTCTCTTCAAATGTTTCTAATTTTGGGTAAAAAATTACATTGACTGACTTTGACTTTTCATCATCTCTCTCTTCTTTCTATATATATAGCATGGCATCAACCCGGACGGGCAAATGCCGGCCGACAAAACCATCGGCGGTGGCGACGACGCGTTTAACACGTTCTTCTCCGAAACTGGCGCGGGTAAGCACGTCCCGCGATGCGTATTTCTCGATCTCGAACCGACCGTCATCGACGAGGTGAGAACGGGGACCTACCGCCAATTGTTCCATCCGGAACAGTTGATTTCCGGGAAAGAGGACGCCGCGAACAACTTTGCCAGAGGCCATTATACCATTGGTAAAGAGATTGTCGATTTGGCGTTGGACAGAATTCGCAAGTTGGCGGATAACTGCACCGGGTTGCAAGGCTTTTTGGTGTTCAACGCCGTCGGCGGCGGGACCGGCTCTGGTCTTGGGTCGTTGCTTTTGGAACGTTTGTCCGTCGATTACGGGAAGAAATCGAAGTTGGGTTTCACCATTTACCCGTCACCGCAAGTCTCCACGGCAGTCGTTGAACCGTACAACTCCGTTTTGAGTACGCACGCGTTGTTGGAACACACCGACGTGGCCGTCATGTTGGACAACGAGGCGGTGTACGACATCTGCCGCAGATCGTTGGATATCGAACGACCGACGTATACGAACTTGAACCGTTTGATCGCGCAAGTGATCTCGTCGTTGACTGCCAGTTTACGATTCGACGGTGCGTTGAACGTCGACGTGACGGAGTTCCAAACCAACTTGGTTCCGTACCCGAGAATTCACTTCATGTTGTCCTCGTACGCGCCGGTTATTTCCGCGGAAAAGGCGTACCACGAACAACTCTCGGTCGCTGAAATCACCAACTCCGCGTTCGAGCCGTCCTCGATGATGGCGAAGTGCGATCCGAGACACGGTAAGTACATGGCGTGCTGCTTGATGTACAGAGGCGACGTCGTACCGAAAGACGTCAACGCTGCCGTCGCTTCGATCAAGACGAAGAGAACCATCCAATTCGTCGATTGGTGCCCGACTGGTTTCAAGTGCGGTATTAACTACCAACCGCCGACGGTTGTCCCGGGTGGTGACTTGGCGAAAGTACAACGCGCTGTGTGCATGATTTCTAACTCCACCGCCATCGCGGAAGTCTTCTCCAGACTCGACCACAAGTTTGACTTGATGTACGCCAAGAGAGCGTTCGTCCACTGGTACGTCGGCGAAGGCATGGAAGAAGGCGAATTCTCCGAAGCGAGAGAAGATTTGGCCGCTTTGGAGAAGGATTACGAAGAAGTCGGCGCGGAATCCGGCGAAGGCGAGGGCGAAATGGACGAAGAGTATTAAACTTTTCTCGTGTCGACTTTTCCGATAATACTTGTGCGTTTAGATTTGAGATGTTGGAAACATATTTCAAGCGAAACGCGGTTGGTGGCGGCTCCCTCATTTTAACTAGGTACACACTCTATTTAAATATCTAATAATGCAGAACTATTTATTACTATTAATACTATTGGTACTAGTATCATCATCATCTCCGCTACTATCGGGCTCTAGCCATTCCACGTTTTCAAAGAGCGCGTCGTGGTCGCCTTCGCAAATGTCGTTCTTTCCAACCAACTCCTTCACCACGATGTCGTCGAACAAAACTTTCCCTTTTCGGTCTCGGTAAAGCACGTACACGTTGGCTTTTTGTACTGGTTTGCGGGGCGAGATTATGCCGACGCGCTTGGTCCACATTTTCAAAGCCGAGAAACCAAGAGTGTATCCGTACGTGGACGTGCCGTCGGTGTGTTCGAGGTCGATGTAGACGCCGTACGAGGAAACTTTTGGTTTCGGGTAGTTGAACGGATCCAAACGATGAAACTTTGAGGCTTCGTCAAAAATTGCTTTGCTCTTGGCGGAGACGTATATCGGCGTCGCGACTTTCGCATCGTTGGAGGATAAGGAGGAGAACTCGATGACTTGCCTCGCGCCTCGCGATTCGCCAAATCCAGGGTTCCTCAAAACCAAAGCGCCGTGCGTGCTCGAATCGTCGCCGCTGCTGCTTTCGTCGTCGTACGTGTCCCCTAAGTTGTGTCTCGTTAACCTGTTCTTGATGTTGTTCGGGTTGCGCCAATCGAATCCTTTCTCGAAGCCTAGCCATGCGTCTACGTATCCACCCGTTTCCGTTTCGAATCCTCCGTTGATTATTTTGTTGTTATTCCCATTTGTACTCTCATCGTTTTCGTTGTTCAATCGAGCGCACAATAATCTCGATATCGCGTGGACTTTTAAACTAAGACGATCCGTCTCTTTCTTATGCATCGCTCGAGCATCTTCGAACGCTTTTCTATCATACCTTGCGTATTTCAAAACGCCACCTAACCCAACGCTTTCAATAATTTCGTTCGTTTCGTAGGGAAGTAACGTTCTGGCGCGGTAATCGAAGCGTCGACTCTTTTTGGCTAAAGAACCGACCGAGTCGATTCGGTAGAAGAACGTCGGGAGCGGTACGACAGTAACACCTCGATTTTGATTATGCGAAGCGTCTTTTGCACGCATAGCGAGTTTGGCGAAGAGCGACCAATCTTCGCCGGCGGCGTCGTTACCGGGAATATCGTCCCACCCGCCGACAGACTCTAACGCCTTTCTGCGAAAGAGTGCGTTGGCGTCGCCGAAACAATCTTCGTAAACGCCCAGCGAGGTGGATGCCCCAAGAGGTATCCAACCGCCGAGATCGAATTGATTACCACCTAACGCCGGCTTTTTCAAATCAAGTTCGCTTGTTCCAACGAAATAGGCGTTTCCGGGCGCGACAGCATCTGCCTCGGAGGCGAGGATAGCCGTGACGAGCGTTGAAACTTGAGAAGTGCTCGCTAAGTTGTCGTCGTCGGCAAACAAAACGTATTCGCCTCGAGCATTTTTCAAGCCAACATTCCTGGCTCCGGAAAGCGACGCGGCGATTGGGCCGAGACGGACTAACTTGTACATGTTCCTGTGCGGGTTCGTATCCGAGGACTTTTCTCTACTGGCGAGAAGATTTTCGATGGTATTTAGCATTTCAGTGGTCTCTGGCGTTTTCCTCGAGCCGTTATCGACCACAATCAAATCCATTTTATCGTAGTCTTGCGCCAAATGCGAGGCGACGGCGTCGATCAAAAATTTCGGTCTATCTTTGTGTACGACAACGACGGTGACTCGAGGCGACGGGTGTCTTGAAGCCGGCGGGATCGGTAATAAAGCACCTTTCTTTCGTTTTATCGCTCTGTGCAATCCAACCCATTTCATCTCGATGATATCGTCGTACGATTTCGCAAACGGTGTCTTACTCGACGCATCCGGGCGATAGACGCCACCGCCTTCGCCGACGCGACGATCAAACACGCGTAACATTGTTTCCACGCAATCGTGAGCCGTATCGTCCCCGTAAGAAACGCGCGAACGAATGGTGTCGTCAAAAATCTTTGCGCGATCTAACGCCGCGTTCGAGGCTAAAAACGGCGCATTCGCGGCGACGAGTTCGGCAATTTTCAAACTTTCTCTCGCAAAGTAAAACGTCGAGTTTTGCGCCGGTGGGAAGATGACGACAATTGCGCCACTACTTTTCGCGACGTCTTTACTCGATTTTACCGACGTGTCGTCGTTTGCATAGTGTTCGAGCGTTTTGCTGTAAAAATGTTCGTCCTCGTATTCTTTAATCGCCGAGGTATCAATCAGATTCCCTACAATGTCCTCGCTTCCAAATCCCGCCAGAAAAGACGCGATGCGTTCGGTACCTTTCTTTTTATCACCCACATGACCGTGCACGGTGATATCGTCCAAATCGTATACGGAGTTTTCGCCTCGAAATTCAACCTCGAGCGGTTCCACCGCATTCGCGCCGACAGGCGCGACGACGCTCGTTTTGCGTTTCTCCAACACGCGATCGAGCACGTCCAAAAAAGACGTCAAACCTTCGCCTTCGTCGAAGTCTCCCCAATACGCGAACGACTTCACTTTTTTTCTCGTCAGTGGGTTGGTGTTATCATTATTGACATCCTCGCCTTCCATCTTTTCCAGTTTCGATCTCGTTAGCCTCGATTCCGGAGAGCTCGGCAACCTCAGAACCAAAGATCTCGCCGTCTCGAACTGTTTCGATTGGAGTCCGTCTATCGCGTTACCACCAATCCCTCGAGCTAATAATCCTTTTGGAAACGCAAAGTCACCACCTAACCCGTTTTTCCTTCTCCGCGCTTCAAATGTTGCTAAATTTTCATCGTCAAAAATGAGCACATCGGCGGTCGCGGATACGACGGCGTCCATGTGTTCGCTTTCTAACATGTTTCTACTACTACTACTACTGCTACTACTGCTACTATCGCTGCTGCTAAAGGCTTTATTCATGCCATTCAAATCCGTTTGAGACGCGATAATCCTGTGCGCAACAATCGGTACATCTTTCAACGCCACTCTCTCGCGTCTCGCCAACGCGCTAAAATGCGCCAACGTCGGATTAAAAAAATGCCCTACGTCGCACTTTCGATCGTGAAACGTATCGCTCAAACGCAAAAAAGCCGCGTGCGACCTTTTCACCTCTTCGCTACCATCTATAGAACTACTCCTGAGCACTTCCGTGACTAAAACATCCTTCCCTCTCCTCAACGGTTCTCGACTTCCCATCGCCGCGTTGCTCGGCGCGAACATCGCTCTTTGAAACGCGTCTGGATTAAAGTTGTTCTCGCGTCCCGAACCGACCGAGACGATCGCCGTCACTCGCCAAAAATCGTACTCTTCCTCCTTTCTGTTCGATGAGAGAAACGAACGCAGTAAACTGGCAACTTTGTGCGAGAGTGGATGTTTCGTATTAGCGATTTTCTCGTCCAGAAAGAAGCACAGATTTTGGTCTCGTTTTTTCTCTCGTTCGCTCGATCCTTCTTGTTGGAAAAAAGACAGTTTGACACCTTTGATGGTGCTCTCTTTCTCGACGATGGAAGAGTCTTCTTTTATCATCGAGAAAGAACTTTGAGAACTGCGCCGCGTGGTTAAGAGTATAATCGTGATCATCATCATCGCGATTATCCATCTCGGAAGCCGCTTCTTCTCGTTCGTGAATACATTGGAAACGTGAGCGAATTTGGAAATCCATTTTTTATATCTATTCTTCGATGGCGAAGAGGATCGATAATGACGCGATGATCTGCCGCCGTACTCTCGGGAGGCGACCGTGATTGGGTCGTGCCACGCACCACCATTACCACCACTACTGCCGCCGCGTCTGGGACGCATCGGGGCGCCGTGCAGCATTATGAAAGAAAGAGTTTTGGTGTGACGTTTTGTTGTTACTTAGGTGATTCGAGAGAAAAATTCGAGAGAGAAGCAGAGACAAACACATCTCGCTTTTGATGCGTGCCGCCGTTTTGATGTGCGTTAATGCAATGCATTTGCGCGAGAAATCGTTACTCATCATATCATCAAAGGCTACGTGCTATTATATTATAATTTTTCAACCACGCGTAACTTCGCGCTCCGACTCCTCGCGTTGACTTTAATTTCCTCCTCCGAAGCGCCGATTGGTTTCCGGTTGATCATTTTGACTATTTTCGGTGACGACGAGGGGTTTGACGACGAAGCATCGTCAAACTCCTCCGGCGGGAGGAACATCATCGCGCTTCTCCCAACCGTCGGTTCTCGCGATTCCGGAACGCCGGCGAATTTTCGGAACTGTTTTTTCACTATGGCGTCTTCCAACGAGTGAAAGGTGATTATGGCTAAACGACCACCCGGATTGAGGACCTCGATGGCTTGAGGTATCACGCGTTCGATGACACCGAGTTCGTCGTTGGTGACTATTCGCACGGCTTGGAACGCGCGCGTCGCCGGGTGGATTTTTTCGCGCTTCCCCGGCGGGTTGCCTAAAGCTTTGACCAGTTCTAAAGTCGTTTCGATTGGTTTTTCCATTCGTCGTTCGCAGACGCGTTTCGCGAGGAGTTTCCAATGTCTTTCGCCGCCGTAATCGCGAAAGATGCGACCTAAATCTTCCTCGGACCATCCGTTGACGACGTCGAACGCGGTCAAAGACGACGACGACGACGAAGACGACGACGCGCTCGTTGTACCGCCGCACATCCGCATATCTAACGGCCCGTCGTTCTGAAACGAAAATCCTCTCTCCGCTCGATCTAAATGCATAGACGAAACCCCTAAATCTAACAAAATCGAATCCGCACCGTCCACGCCGATATCTCGCAACGCCGCGCGCATCTGGTCAAAGTTGTTTCGCACGAAGTGCAACGCGACGCCGCCGTCGTTACTCTTCTTCTCGCCGCCGCTCGCATCGTCTACACCTAAACTCCTCTCTACTCTCGGTCTCGCGATTTCAATCGCCGTCTCGTCCACGTCAAACCCGACGAACGTTTTCACTTCCTCTTTGTGTTGCTCTAAAACTTTCGTCGCGTGCCCACCGGCGCCTAAAGTCCCGTCGATGTGCGTCTGAATCTTCACCGGTTTAAACGCGTCCAACACTTCGCTCAAAAGGACGGACACGTGGCCGTGGTGCGCAGCTTCGATGTTCTCTCGTTTTTTCTTTTCATGTCGTTCGTCGCTTTTGTTGTTGGTGTCGTCGTCGTTGCTTTTTGAGGAGGACGTCGTCGCGTTCGTCGTGGTAGTCTTCTTCTTCGCCGCGAACGCGGACGCGTTCGATTGTGTTCGTTGCGCGTGATGGGGGAAACGAAATCCAACGTGTTCGTGATGATGACGACGATGACTTCCCCGCGGTGTCGTCGTCTTCGTTAAAAAATAAGACCCACGAGACCACCCGCGTTGCATGGTGGTCGTTTTCGTCGTCATCGAAGAAACGAGGACGTTTGCGAGAGGAGGAGGAAAAGTGCGGAGGACAGTTGTGTTTGTGTGGTATTTTGTGCTGCTGCTGTGTGTAAACGTGTGTGTGTATCTCGAGTTTATTAGTATTCAAACAGAGCGAGTACATTCAGTTTTCTTCCTCTGTTTCTGAGTCTTCTGCGACGTGTAACACTCCGTCTTCGTATTGCCAACCATCTGGTAATGGGCAGTTATTGTCGAGGAGGTATTGTAAACATTCGGTTTCGATGTTCTCGTGCGCTCCTCGTACCGCTTCTTCGTCCCACGGCACTTTGGCGGTTTCGCGCAAGTACTTCAAACAGTCTAAGTGGCCCTTTTCGGCTGCATATGCACACGCATCTTCGCAAAATTGATCATACTTACGCTCAACAAGATATTCGAGTATGTGAAGATGACCATTTAAAGCCGCCCAATTGGCAGTTTCCGAATACCAAGGCGCTTTGACTTCTTCGCGTAAGTATTTGAGGCACTCGAGATTACCTCCTGAGGCAGCACTTGCACACGCACTCTCATCGATAGGACACTCATTTGCAACGCAATACTTTACCATTTCCAGATTACCTTGACATGCGCCCGCATCAATCGTCCATTCATCCCACTCACACTTTTTCTCCTCTCGCGCCCACTTGAGCAACTCGAGTGTATTCGTTTCAGCAACTTTCCAGCAGAAAGTTGTTTCGTCTTTGCGCCAGTGTCTCGGCCACAACGATCGATTCTCCCACGCAAACTCCAAAGTCGATATCGATGACATCTCCTCCACTCTCAACTTCTTTTTCAACTCCCCCTTGCGAGACGATCTCTTAATCAACTTTCTCGTTTCACTATTCACTCCGTACAAGAATTTCACATCATTCGAATTCAATCTCGGAAGAATGTGTTTGAAACAAATATCGTCGTCATTCACGATCAAACTCCACACATCTCTCTCCCCAATCCGTCTTTTCTGCGCTCGCGTCCTCACTCCAGACATGATTTGACGTTTGTCTCGCGACGCAAGAAAGACTTCTCCACCTCTTCTTTCACTTCTTCTTTCTCTCAAACGTGTCACAACAAAAGAAGAGATGTGAAATGAAATTGTTTTTTCCAAGAAGAAAAAAACAGCCGTTTTTTAGGAAAATCTTCATTTTGGTGAAAAGACAGATCCAACACCACATGCAACACATGCGTTACTATCAATAATACTAATAATAACATGAGACGGAAGAATCCACATCCGCAGCGCGCGGTGAACGCGAGGACGGTTTTGAAGGTGTCGTATTTGGATGCGAGAGATAAAGAAGAAGAAGAAGAAGAAGTGGAAGAAGAAGAAGAGCAACCAACACCGGTGTTGTGTTTGAAGATTCCTGACGAGGACGACGTCGTTTTTGAAGTCGAGCAAAAGGAGATACGAAAAGAAACGACGACGACGAAGAGAGGGAAGAGGAAGAGAGAGCACGAGTGCGATGTTTGCGAGAAGGTGCTTGTTAGTTCATCACTTTTGGCTATACACATGCGTATTCACACGAACGAGAAACCGTACGAATGTGATGTGTGCGAGAAGCGTTTTCGTCAAGCTGGTCATTTGAAAATCCACGTGCGTATTCACACGAACGAGAAACCGTACGAATGCCACGTGTGCGAGAAGCGTTTTCGTCAATCTGGTACTTTGAAAATCCACAAGCGTATTCACACGAACGAGAAACCGTACGAATGCCACGTGTGCGAGAAGCGTTTTCGTCAATCTGGTAGTTTGAAAATCTACAAGCGTATTCACACGAACGAGAAACCGTTTGAATGCCACGTGTGCGAGAAGAGGTATCGTCATGCGAATAGTTTAAAGTACCACGTGGGTACTCAACATTAACTCTTTTAAAGTCCAAGTTTACATACACATACATAACCATACGAATGCCACGCGTGCGAGAAGAGGTATCGTCACGCGAGTAGTTTAAAGTACCACGTGCGTACTCAACATTAACTCTTTTAAAGTCCAAGTTTACACACGCACACACACCAGTACAGCAAAATACCTCGTTTCTCACAAAACAAAAAAAAGACTGCTTCTTTGCGAAAATTTTTCAAAATCAGCACAAAAAAAGTTCTCGAAAGAGTTGCTCACAATCTTGAAAGAGATAGAGAAAATGACGGCTTCTTCTGGGAGGAGGAGGTCTTCGCGAGTCGTCGCGTCGTCATCAGCGGCAGCTGTTCCCTCCCGTCGTCGTCCTCCTCCCGTTTTGGCGGCTTCGTCGACAAAGGTATTAAAAAAAGCAAAGACGACGATTGGAAAGAAGAAATCCACGGTGGCACAAAAAGTGACGTCGTCGTTAGATTCCATCCAAACGCCGAATATTCCCTCTGGTGGTCGAAAGAACAACAACAAAAAGCGCAATTATCATCTCGACAACGATTCGTCGTTGAGGTCTTCTCCGACGTCGACGATTGAGACGACGACGAATACCGGTGGTGGCAGACGATTATCCGCCGCGCACGTTTTAAAGGATGACGACGACGATTTCGAGAATGATTACTCGAAAAAGGAGACCAAAACGAACAAAAAAGCGAGAAAGACGAAGGAGGAGGAAACGACGAGCGACAAAAAGAAAGAAGAAGAAGACCAAGGATCGATAATAACAGACGAGAAGAACGAAGGTGGACGAGAGTTATTTTTAACGGCGTACGAGAAAGAACGAGAAATCAGATTGCAAAAGAACCGAGCGCGGATGGAAGCTTTGAACATTCGGCAGTTGGCGTCAGAGATGATGACGACGACGGAGAGGCAACAAAGAGGAACGACCGGACCGTCGCAGCGAGGCTTGAGGAAGAAAGAGAAGAAGGCGAAAGAGCCAGTCGTGCTGAGGAGGAGCGGGAGACGAACCGGAGGGGTGGCTGAGTTAGCCGGCGGGATCGATCAGGAGAGGAGAGACGGGTCGATTGTTTTGGCGGACGGGAGGATGATTACGCAAGGGTCCGGCGGTTTGGAAACGAGAGAAGAAGAGAAGAAAAAAGGCGCCGGCGAGGCGATTCTTTCTTTGACCGTGACTGCGAACGAAAAGACGAAAACGGTGAAAGTTGAACTGAGTTCGAAGTTTATTTCAAAGTGCGAGAGCACGAAAGGAGACGACGAATCGGACGCGAAGTTTATCGAGTATCTTCATCGAACGACGAGAGGAATCAAGACGACAAAAACGAAGACGAATACGACGAGTTTAAAATCGCTCTTGAGCGCGAAAACTTTGGATTTGAAAGAAGACGACGTCGCCAAGTGCACGGAAAGAGCCGTGACGCACGCGGATTTTCATCCGTCCACGTCGGAAATCATCTTAGCCTCTGGCGATAAAGATGGGAACGTTTCGTTGTGGAGAGTGGACGACGAGGACGAGGACACGCACGGCGTCTATTGTTTCAAGCCGCACTCGCAATACGTCTCGCACGTTAAATTTGGAAACGGGAACGGCATCATCGGATCCAACTTGTTGAGTTGCGCGTACGACGGACACGTGTGGATGTTAGACAGCGAACGCGGGGAGTTTTGGGAACTCTTCTCCGGCGCCGAACACGACATTGAATTCGCGTCCATGGAAACCAATGTCGATGGCAACGTCATCTACGGCGGCGATAACGACGGCATGTTGAACTTGATCGATTTACGAGCGAGCACAAAGAAACTCGCAGCTCAATTCGCGCTCGGAGAGAAGCGAATCAATACGGTGTCGTTCAATACGAACGATTTATTCTCCATCGCGACGTCTTCGGCCATGCGCAAAGGTGGCGGCGAAATCTGCGTCTGGGATTTAAGAAAGGTGTGCGGTATTTCGAGCAGTACTAAACAACAAAAACCCGTGCACCAATTACTGCACAAAAAATCCACGCAAAGCGCGTATTGGAATCCAGACGGGAAGCGACTGTTAACCACGTGCTACGACGACTGCGTCCGCGTGTGGAACCCGTCCGTCTCGTCCTCGAAACCGGAAGTATCCATTCGACACAACACGCAAACCGGTCGATGGGTGCTCCCGTTCCGCGCGAAATGGGTCGGCGACGACGGCATCGCCGTCGGAAGCATGAAGAGAGAAGTTGAAATCTTCGACGCGCAGTCGGGAAAACGCGGCCTGCGTCTGCACAGCCCAGAGTTGATGACGGCTATTCCTTCCCGAGTGGCCGTGCACCCGACCGCAAATATCGTCGCCGGGTGCACCAGTTCCGGCAGATGCCACATCTACCGTTAATAATACACACACACGTATACATACTAGAACAGCAACCTTGTAAATAGAACAAAAAGCTGCTCATTTTTTTGTGTGAAAAAAATGTTTGACTGGAAACCAACAGGAACCACCAAATTCGACCACGTGGAGGAAAAGGAGAAGTTTTTCGACTGTGCATTTTATCCATTTCGAATAGTTTTGTCGCTTTTTGTCTCCTTTTCCTCCTCATCGAGGTTTTAGGGAGGTTATTCCTTTGAATTTCCCCATAACTTCTCTGAGAGTTTCCCCGAAGCACGTTATCACGAGAGGACACGCGCACATTAAAAGAACAGCAGGAGTAGCATCGTCATCATCACATCATCATCATCATGCGCACGTTTGCGGTGAACTTTGTCAAAACGCCGTGCTCGACGTCAAATCGAAATGTGCTTCCCCATCGTCACGGGAAACAACAACCTTCTTGGACGACGACGGACACGAAGAACGACAGAAACAACAACAACAACAGTACTACGGGGAAACGAGGGTCGATTTCAATCGTCCCTCGCTCAGATAACGGCGCGTACCCGCACACGTTATCCACGGCGATTAAAGATCCAATCACCCCGCACGGGCCTCGCTTTTACGAGTACGGCGGGTTTGACATCGACCCAGAGTTGCAACACAATCGCAAGGCGTACATAAACGAACGCATCGACGTGGTCACGAAACATTTTCCGAACGCGATCGGGATGGATGATTTCTTATTTCGCACGGAAGTTATGCTTCGAAGATTTGGGTTTACCGCGGACAACAGCATCGCGTTGACGTCGTTGTGTCGAGACGAAATCACGTTTCCGCTCAAGACGGCTATTCACGACATTTTCGGGTACTCGTTGGACGTGGACGGTTTGGGCGGGGTGATTACCGCCGGGACGACCGGGTTGGGAGCGGGCTTTTCGCACGCGCCGATTGATTTTGCCACTGGGAGAGAGAGGTACGTTCTGTTTGCGTTGCCTCACATCGCGATCGATGCGGAAGGGAAGATTGGATCGGTCATTCGAAGCGGTCGGGCGCAGCAGTCGTGCGCCTGCGGGGCTTTGGTCAAAATGCAACCGATGTTTAAGCAATATAAAGAAGGGACGTTGAACAGAGAGAGCGAGGAGACGTGTTGGCACGACCCGTTAGATCCGGAGTTTTCTATTTTAACCAATAGAATGATGAAAGCTATAGATAAAGAGGATATTCCGGATAAAGGTTTGGGTCTCGTCGAGGTCACAAAGTTGGCGAATAGAGTTATCCAAAGCGACATGGCGGATTTAATCGAGAAAACCGTGGACGTGGAGAAAGCGGATTACGCCGTCATTACTGGCATTCAAATTCACTCCACAAGAGTCGCGAAATCGAAGGTGTGGCACCCACACTTGGAATTTATCGCGCCGACGAGCATGTACATCGTCAACAACGGGATCAAACACACGATGGATATCATGGGCATCGATCCGCCGACGCCGAGGCAATTGTTTAAAATCGGAGCCGGGGAAGTTATTTACGAGTTACCGAAACCCAAAGGAGGCGGATGGTTTTAGACGAGAGCGAACGACTGATACTTTTTATTATATTAATCTTCATCATATCATACAAAAAGTGGTACCAAATGATTACATCTATCTCTAAATTCTCAACCGGCGAGTAACGAGAGCAGACCGCCGCCCATACTCTGCGCGCCGTCCATCACGTGCGTGTACCAATTCAACATGATTGTTTTTCTGGCACCTTTCGATTTCCCCACAACTTTTTCCACGGAATGAAACGACGATCGCGTCACCGGAAACGCGTACGCTGTGTTCGCGACAAACGCCATCTTCTTTTCGCACGGCGCCGATCCGTCAATTTTGTCTCTCAGTTTGTGTTGCTCCGGAGTATGCAAACACGTGCCGTACGTATACACCGAACTTTCCTCGTTCGCATCTTGCGGTAAATACAACTGAAACGTTAAAATTTTCTTCCTGTTATCCGGATGCGTTCCTATGCTAAATCCTCCGGCGTCGCTTTGGACGCGAAAATCTCTCGACGCCGGTTTCTTACTAATCTTAAACTTCATAAACAACGCCAACTTCACGCTCGGCGAGTACAACGCTTTCGTCGCTCTCTCCCAGACTTTCTTCGCTCTCAATACTTTCCCCCACTTCTTCTCGTCTCTCAGTTTCAAAATATCAAACGCGGAACACTTGTACCTCTTATCCGCGTCTTTCCTCCCGACTTGCCCGGCGTTCGCTCTCTGGTCTTTCATTAACGCGTACGCCGGAGGGAAATACGCGTTCATATCGTCGTATAAATCTTCCGGTAAAATATCGCAGAAATATGCCGATTTAAACGGGTCTTTGTTTAAAGTCGCTTCGTGGATCGCGTTGACTATGTGTTTCACGTCTTTCCTCGCGTCGTATTGATATAACATCGAAGAAGACGATGCATCTTTACTATTACTACTAAATCCTGAGGATTTTTCCACTCCTAAAGAAGCTGCTCCATCCTCCTCCGTTTTGCTTCGATTACAGTGAATAAAATACTCGTTCGGATCAAAATCTCCTCCTTTCTTCGATATTGGCACGTGCTCCTTCGCCACGTTTTCGTCGTACTGTCGTTCTTTCGCTTTCCTCTTCTTCTTTATCGTCAAAGTCGTCGTCCTTCTCTCGTCCTCTTGGTGTTCCAATTCCGTTACGAATAATCCATTTTTATCGCCGATGGTATTCGTAGTAGTAGTACTAGTAAAGACGATGAACCCACCGAAAACAACGACCAACAAAAACAAGAGCAATAACAGCAGCGCGAACTTCCTTTTCTGCGTCGAATTTCGGCTTTGTTGCGAGAGTGTGTGAGGAGCAATCGCGTGCATTTGTATCTAAACGAGTGAAGACATTTTTCCACTTTACTCCACTAAAAAGCGCTTAGAAACACGATGCCGGAAGAACACGATAAAGACCATCTTTCGAAAGAACAAAAGAGGAAGAAAATGCTCGCGCACATCTCCCAGCGCGTCCACGCGTCCTCGCCTTTACCGAAAAACAACGGAGAGAGAAAGTTGCAAACGAAGTTGGATGCGCTGATGCATCGACTGCAAGACGAAACGGTCTCGGAAACGAATCTGGTGGACCTTTTAACGGAATACGCGCTGACGTTGCAAGAACAAGCGGAACAGTTCAAAGAAGAAGAAGAAAACGGAGACGTGGTGGAAGGGTTGCACGCGAAAGCGTGCGTCGCGTACGAGTTCGCGTCCAAATGGAAAGAAAGGTATACGATTTACTACAACTGGGCGATAGCGGTTGGCGACCGCGCGCGAGTGTTGGAAAGGAAAAGACCGGAGGAAGCGAGGGTATTGTGGCGAGAGGCGTGCGAGAAGTACGAAAAAGCGGTGGCAGTTGGAATGGAGCGGTCGTATTTGAGAGGAAAAGGAGAAGGAGGCGAGATGGTGACCTCGATGAGCGTATCGCGAGCGTTGAATAACCACGGGTTGGCGTTGCGACAGAGAGCGATGTTGATGACGGATTCGGAGACAGAGGAGTCTACCGAGAGTAAATCGAAATGCTTGAGCGAAGCAATTCTGAAATTTCGAAGGGCAATTCGCATTTCACCTGATTTCCATCGAGCGGCGTATAATTTAGGCACGGTGGAGTTCGCTCGAGGTCAGATGGAACGCGCTGCGGTGTACGTTTTTTCGGCGTTGGCGATGGTGACTTCTGCGTTGCCGTCTTCGTCGGAAACGGAAAACGCGAAAGTAGTCTACTCGCAAAGCGCACAGCTAGTCGAAACCGCGTTGCCGGACACGCAATGCGGCGACGATTCTCTCTTCGCTGGAAACGTTTGGTTCGCCGGCGGCGTAGGAGGAAAGCGAGGCGGAGAAGTAGCGAACAAAAGACGAACGACGATAACCGATTTCGATTGGGCGCGACGTCGCTTCGCCGTCTGCGCATCTGCTTTCAAAACCGTCGACTCCGCGCAAACATTTCGCATCAAGAGTGAATCCGGAGATTACGTGCCTTCACGAAACGACGCGTGGGGTGACGATGCGGCTCCGGATACTCATTTCAACGTCAATCTCCCCATGCTTTCCGTCGAGTCGTGCGAACCGATTTCGGACATCTCGCGTCCGCCAAACTGTTTCGCTTTCCTCCTCTCCGTCCGAGATGATTTGGAACACGCAGAAAAAGAAGAAAACGATGATAAGTATTCTCCACATGCGGTCGTCCGTCACTACCGCTTCGCCTGCGAAACCGAATCCGAGCGAGACGTCTGGGTGGACGCGATCGCGCTAATAGCGTCGTTGGCCAAAAGAGGAAAATCGGAACACTTAAAGTCTTGCTTGTTGAGCTTGAAAACGAAGCGTAAGAAAAGAGTTGGATTCGTTTAGTTTAGATTAGAGAGAGAAATAGATAGAGTTAGAGGATTGTATTTTAGCGCAAAAATGTTACTTTAAAGCTTCACTCTCGTTTTGACACGTCGGAAAAAAAAAGACATTTCAAACCAATTCAAACGCTTCATTCTTTTTGCGGCGGTTTAAACCGTCGACACAACACGAGCAGATACGATGCAAGAAACGAAAGAACAGACGACGATTCAAACGACGGGGGGGAAGAAAAAAGGCGCGCTGTCGTCCGCGCTCACCCAGTCTTTGATAAACTCTGATGCTTCCTCTTTGGCCCCGATTTGTACCACAACGGGTGGGTTTGGGAACGATATCACTACGACTACTCTTGATGATTCAGACGACATGCAAAAGCGAATAGGCATCCCCATTCACAAGCGAACGAACAATTACGGCGACTCTTCGCGAGGCAGACACGGGCGGGAATATTTCGACGACGAGGAATTACACGGGAAAAGCATAGGGAGGCAACACGGGAGTTATAACTACATCGAAAAGTTCGCGGACGTGAACGATATCGAAGCGATGGGATCGCCGACGAGTAAAATGATGATGAATGGGAGTAGCAACAACAGAGATCATAACAGCTATTTATTAAGACGACAGAATAGCGCTGGTGGTGGGGGTGGGGGGGGTGGGGAGAGCACTTCGGTAGGCGCTCGAACGATACCGCAAGTTCACATGTACGCGGAGTCGAACGCGATTCCTATTTCGCGGTCGTTTGAGAATTTAGAAGTTGGGCCGATGGGGTTGTGCGGGTCGCCGTCGGCAAATGCTGGCGGGCAACCGAGTTCGCCGGTTATTGTAGTGCACACGAAAGAGATGGACGAGGACGCCGGGAACGTCGGGATGGCGGGAGGACGAAATCGATCGAGAAGTTTCTCGTCTTTACTGTTGTTGGAGGCGCAAGAGATTCGGGCGGGAAACAGTCCGAGACATAGTCGCTTGAGCGGAGCTGAATGAAGGAGTACCGTAACTTAGCTTTTGTGTATTCTTGTGTAATTTGATGTATTGTTTTAGTATTATTTGGATGCGGTTGTCGCTAATAGATCTGTCATAACTTTTAATCGAGCCTGAACCGCGGCTAACTGTTCCCTCAACTCTTTCGCCTCAGCTTGCGCCTTTTCCACCACATCCGGTCGAGCTTTGCTCAAGAAAGCCTCCGAGTTCAATCGTCCGTTCAAACCGTTCAAATCTTTTTCCAACTTTTCGGCTTGTTTCTTCAACCGTTTAGACTCTTTCGCTGGATCCGCTAAGCCGGCTAAGGATAAGAATACTTCCACGCCATCGGCGACGATGGCGTTGACGTAATCGGACGGGTTTTGCTCGCAATCGGCAGGAGCTGAAGACGCGACCGTGGTCGACGCCGGGTCTAATCTCGCCAACGAGCACAAGACGGCCACTTCGCTTTGCAAATCGGAAAGCAACGCCGAGGAATCTTTAACGACAATCGTGCAATTTTCTATTTTCTTCGCCGGTTCGACGTTGTATTCTGCTCGCGCGTTTCGAATTTTTGTGACGACACTTCTCAGTGTTTCGTACGATTGTTCCGCGGCATCATCTTTCTTCTGGTCGGTTTCCGGCCACGATTGCGAGATTAACAAATCGCCCGAATGCGGCAACGCCTGCCAAATCTCCTCCGTGACGTAAGGTACAAACGGGTGTAACAGTCTCAAAATGCTATCGCACGCGTATAAAGTTACCGCCAACGCGCGTTTCTTCCCTTCTGGATCGTCTTTGTTGTTGAATTTAGTTTTAATAGACTCGATGAACCAATCCGCGAAATCATCGTAGAAGAACCCGTAGGCGTTGCGACCGGCGATGCCGAAATCGTACTTGTCCAAAGATTTCGTCACTTGATCGACGGTTTGGTGCAATTTGGAGATGATCCATCGCTCGGAAAGCGATAAGGACGAAGTATCCGAAGATGCAATCGTTTCGGACATTTTTTGAATCTCTATGCGCTCGTCGTCGCTCAATTCTTCCATGGCGAACAAGACGAATTTACCGGCGTTCCAAACTTTGTTCGTGAAATTTCTGTTGCTCTTCAATCGTTCCAAACTCAAGTTCAAGTCTTGTCCGGGACTGGTACCAGTCGCCAAGGTGAATCGTAAAGCGTCGCATCCGACGTCACCGATAACTCCCAACGGGTCGACGACGTTGCCTAACGATTTCGACATCTTTCTTCCTTGTTCGTCTCGAACTAAACCGTGTAAATACACCGTGTGAAACGGCAACTTACCCGTCATGCCGTAGGACATCATGATCATTCTCGCCACCCAAAAGAACAAAATATCGTGTCCAGTTTCCAACACAGACCCTGGAAAATACTTCCTGAAATCTGGAGCGTTTTCATCTGGCCAACCCATGGTTGAAAACGGCCACAAACCGCTCGAAAACCACGTGTCCAACACGTCTTCGTCTCGGTACAAAATAATCTCCTCGCCGTATTTCGCCTCGGCTTGGGCTCGTGCATCTTTGTCGTTCTTCGCCACGACGTACTTCTTCGACGCGCCTTTACCTTCGCCTTTCTTTGCATTCTGTAAATCTTCTATGCTATCGTGAACGTACCACACCGGGATGCGATGACCCCACCACAATTGTCTGGAGATGCACCAATCCTTGCAATCGCTCAGCCAGGTCTCGTAAACTTTCTCGAAACGTTTAGGGACAATCGTCAACTCGCCTGTTTTCAAGGCGTTCAGCGCTGGCGTGGACATAGTTTCCATCTTGCAAAACCACTGCTCGGACACCATGGGTTCGATGACCTCGCCGCCTCTTTGCGATCGCGGCACTCTCGTTTCGTAATCTTCCTTCTTAATCGCCAAGCCATCTTTTTCCAAATCTTCCCATATTTTCACGCGGCACTCGGCGCGATCTAAACCAGCGTACGCTTGCGCGTTCGCACTCATCGTCCCGTCTTTGTTCATGATGTTGATAAATTCCAAATCGCGTTTTTTACCCATGTCGTAATCGTTCGGGTCGTGCGCCGGCGTAATTTTCAACGCGCCCGTACCGAATTCCATGTCGACGTAGTCGTCAGCGATGACTGGAATTTTCCTCCCGTTCGTTCCAGGAACGACGCAGAATTTGCCGACGAAATCCTTATATCTCGGATCTTCTGGGTGCACGGCCACGGCGGTATCCCCGACGATCGTTTCCGGTCTCGTCGTGGCAACCGGTAAAAACTTCGTGTTATCCTCCTCGTATCCTTCCAACGGGTACTTGAAGTGAAACAAAAATCCGGGTTCATCGCTATACTCCACCTCTAAATCCGACACCGCTGTTTGTAATTTTGGCGCCCAGTTCACCATGTACGACCCTCTGTAAATCAATTTTTGTTCGTGTAATCGACTGAACGCTTCCAAAACGCCTTCGCTTAAGTTATCGTCCAAGGTGAATCGCTCGCGACTCCAGTCGCAACTCGCGCCTAAACGTTTAATCTGATTTTGAATCCTATCCCCGTACTCTTTCTTCCACTTCCACGTTCTCTTCTCGAACTCCTCTCTCCCAACACCAATCCTCGACAGACCTTCGCTTTCCAGTTGCCTCTCCACGACAAGCTGCGTCGCGATCCCAGCGTGATCCGTCCCCGGCAACCACAACGTCGGATGTCCTCGCATCCGCATCGATCGACTCATCACGTCTTGAATCGTCACAAACATCGCGTGACCCATGTGTAACGCTCCAGTCACGTTCGGTGGTGGCATCGGAATCGTAAACGGTTCCTTCTCGTCGTTCGGTTTCGGTTTAAACGCGCCGGACTGTTCCCATCTTTTATATAAAGGTTCCTCCACGTCCGTGTGCTCGAAATTTTTAGGCAAATCGCCGTGTTTTTTCCCCGGCGACACCCCAGCAGCAGCGGCGGCGACGGTAGTCAACCCCACCCTTCGATAATTGCGCGTCGAGGCGATGACGATGCCTCGCGTTCGCACGGTCGCTTTCATCATCATCGCCGCCGCAGGAGCAACCTGTCGATAGGGGGGAGTTTTTGCGCTTTTCGTCGCCGTCACATTGATTCGCCGCAAAACCTGCGCGCGCTTAGTACGCAACATCGTCGCCTTCCGACTCGAACGATAACAAGAAGCAGACGATGACGAAGACGAAGACGACGAAGCGATGGAACCTTCCGCTCTGTTGATGAGAGTGACCACCGTAGCGTTCAGTAGCGTCATGCAAATTTAGATAAAGTGCGTGTGTGAATAAATACTTTTGCCGTGGTGGTGGTGAATGGAGGATGGAGAATGTGTGAAATAACCCTCGATTGAGGTTTTTTAATTTTTGATTTGAATGCGTGTGGTGAAAGAAATTTTTACTTCTGATTATGTGTGTGTGTGCCGTTATCACTACAACGAGTAGTAAACGCGCGAGAGAGAGGAGAATTCGGCTCAGGTTTTCTTTTGTAATCACCGAATCTTCATCTTCAAGCTTCTGTTTTGTTACATCATCGCCGAACCCTCTTTCTCTGCCCGGCGCGTACGAGCTGTTGTTGTCGTCGTCGACGCGTTTACTTTCTGTTCAAAGTTTGTTCTTCTTCTCCCTCTTCTTTTTCGTCTGCATCAGTGGACGGCGAAGGCGCCGGCGCGAGGCCCAAGGCAACGTCCAAATTCTCAATTGGGTCGTATCCCAAGAGAATTGATGCGAGATTTTTTCTGACGACGTCGTCGGCGATCGTTCCCGGTCCGTTTAACTCGAACAACGCTCTGATCGCGTCTCGTAACGCGTCTTTTTGCGCGTCGTCTAAGACGCCGTCGCCGTCGAAGGGTAAGAGTACCGTGTCGATAACGTGAATTATGCCGTTACAGGCAATCAAGTCCGGTTTGATGATGGTACCTTCCGAACCAAGCGCTCGGACGGTGATGTTTTCCGGGTTCGCCTCAATCTTCAACGGCATGACTTCACCGAGAGCGTCTCTCAAATATCGATACGGACCTTCCAACGCTCGCAACTCTGCTTCCGTCAAGTTCGACTCAGGAACCGCGTGGTGCGCGATCAATCGCGCCTCGTACTCGTCTTCGCCCCAAAGCTCCGAGACGAACTCTTCGAACCGATCGTACCCAGACCAGTCCACGAGATCTTGAATAGCCTCATCGGACGGCGCGAATAACGTGTCCGATCTTGAATACGATTTCAACGCGTCCGTCACTTTCGGATACCGCAAACTAACGTTAAAAAACCTCGATAACTCTGGCGTCTGAGCGAGGATTTCGTACATGGTGTTGTTCTCCGGACAAGAGGGAGCATCCGTTTGTTCGACCAAGTTCTGCGTCTCTCGGATATCTCTCTCTCCGTCTTGGAGAAGTTTTCTCCCGTACGCGTTATACGCCAACCTCGAGGAAAAACGTACACCAGAAGGTCTCCGCGCGCCTGTTTTTGAGTACGAGCCGTACAGTTTCGCTTCGCACGAGGAGAAGATGCCGAGAAGCGCGAGGAAAAGGAGGATAATCATGGATGCTATACTCTTTTTTTTTGTATCTAAAAACTCGTGTTTGTGAGGATTTTTGAAAAGAGTAAAAAATACGACTGGGAAGCGCCAGAAAAAAAAAACATATCTATCTCTGTCTATCTCTAACAAAACAAAAACAGTACGCGATGATGTTTACGACGTGGACGGGGACAACGACGACGACGTTACGCGCGAGGACGACTTTGAGGAGGAGGACGGGAACGGCGCAGAAGAAGGTGACGACGAAAAGAAGAGGAGCATCGAGGAGAAAATCGTCGTCTGTTAAATTTTTTTGCTTGAAGAAAACAGCCGAGCTCGACGTGGCCACGGGCATAGGCATCGAGAAACTCAGATCATCAACGACGAGCGATGGAAGAAGCGGCGGCAAAGTCGTTGGCGCATCGACGACGATGCGACGACATTTTCCTCCCCCCATGCATTATTCGTCCGAGTACACGCCCGGGATGAGTGTCGTTGGAGGGGTGTTCTTGGCCACGAGTTTGGTGACGAAGTATTTGACAACGGGCGAGGCGATTGGAGTGTCTGGTTTGCACCGACATCTTCGAAAACCGGCGTTTTTGCTGGGGTTGTTGGTAGGGACGCACGTGCTCTTGAATTACGCGTTGGACGTGAGTTATTTACTTCCCGACGGCGGCTTTCAGTCGGTACAAAACGCAGCGCGGTTAGGTTTTGCCGGTCTGTGCGTTGGCGTCGGATCGGCGTGCGCCGGCGGATGCACTTCTGGGCACGCGTTGAGCGGCGTCGCGAGACTCTCGAAGAGAAGTTTAGTGGCCGCGAGCATATTTGTGATTGTTGGCATGATCACCGCGAGCGTTTTCGATACCGCGAGTGCGATGGATGTGGTGTTGATGATTCCTGGAAAAAGGACGTGGGACTTGGAACTTTTTTTCGAGAAGATGTTTTACAACGCGGATGTAATCGAGCCGTGGGTTGCGAGAGTGTGCTACGCGGTATTCGTCAAGGCGAAAACTGCGTTGACTTTCGTGTTGATCGCGCTTCCAGTCGGATCGATCGTCGCCGGTTTGTACGCGTACTACCAGTATATCAATGGTAATGATCCATGGGAAGAAAATTTTGAACGTTTGCGGACGATAAGAGAGACAGAAACGCCAGAAGAGAAAAAACGCCTTTTGGACGAAACGTTTCACGTTAAAGACGAAGAAGAAAGGCCACCTCCCGTACGTGATATCATATCGCGGGGAGCTTTCATTTTGTGCGCCCTCGCGTGCGGATTTTTTGCCATCGCAGCCGCAGAAGCCGAGAGTGCTTTTCACACGTCTAAACTACTCTTGATTTGGCTTTCTAGTTTAGCGTTTTATGCCATCGTTACGCTTGTTGGTGTGTATGGAAAAAATAAACGCCTTCGCGCGTGTACGAAATCCCTCGCGAAAGCGGTTTCGGGATCTTTGTTTGGACTGGCGCTTTGTGTCGGCGGGATGACCGATCCGGCGAAAGTATCTGCCTTTCTCTCCGTGAACAAAAAGACGTTCGATCCGAGTTTACTCGTCTTTCTTTTCGTCGCGTTGGCTTTCGCGATACCGATTTTTGCATACATAAAAGGTTGGAAAGCCTGGAATGTGTTAGAGAAAAAGTACCAAGACGAAGGCTTGCGAATGAAGCGCTCGTTCTTTGGAGACGAGCTCGCGCAGCCTGATAAACCAAACGAACCTTTCGAGTGGAGAATTTTAGTCGGTGCCTCGATCTTTGGGTTGGGATGGGGTCTCGCCGCGTTGTGCCCTGGTCCCATGTACGTCAATTTTTCCGCCGCCTTATTCGACGGTTCCCTTCAATTCGATAAAGGCATCGGTCTCTTCTTTGCGACGTTCATCGCTGGGCAAACAATGTTTCGAACTCTCGCGCACGCGTTGAATATTGACGGTAAGATAAACTCAACGATTGTTATGGAAGAAAATAAGGAAACGCTCGCGCGCTTGGATAAAGCCGACTCGCTCGAAGAGCTTCGCCGTTTGCTCTCGAAAGCGCTTGGGAGCTCCGAAGACGCCGTCGTGAAAACTGTGGCGTATTCCGAAGGCGATCGCTCCGTTATCCCTTTAACGAACGATGACGACGTGCTCGTGATGTACGCGACTTGGGAATCAGAAAAGACAGGTCGAGATCGTAAAGCGCGTTTGAGGTTTTATGTGGACAAGAGCGAGGAGGAGGAGAAGACGTCGTCCCCTTCGAAAGAGGCGAAGCGCATGGCGCCGCATGGCGCCGAGAAGAAGTAATAAACTTATTCTTGCCATGGTTTTAATAAATATAAATGGAGTTTACATACATGTTTTACATTACATATAGATCTTAGTGTCCTAGTGCAGTAGTAGTTTACTCGCTCAAAATACGAGATAGGAGTCATCGAGCTCGACGCTCAAATCATTCAAATCCACATTTTCCGGCATATTGGTGAGAGACAAAATTTCCTCGTCGTCGTCGCCGAAAGCGTTCGCATTGAAGAGAGGATGTTCGTTTGCAACCGTCGTCGGAGAGCCGTTACTGGATCCACCGTTCGCATTCGCCGAATCAGCCGCGATTGCTCTGTTTATCTTCTCAACCTCGTGAGCGCGGAGTAAATCCTTGAGCGAATTTGATTTCGTGAGTTTCAAACCGAGCGGCAACTGTGGCGCCGGGCCGCCTCCGGCGGCAAAGTTTTGTTGTCCACCTTGTTGGTACAACGCGGGCGAGCTGCCACTTCCGTTGGGATTTTGATAGTGCAAATGCGAACCGTGATGATGCTGTTGATGATGTGGATGATACGGATGCGCCCTGTGCACCGGAGACCCGTTCAATCCAGTCGTCGTCGGAAACTGCGGCATCGACTCAACGCGATGGAGATGACCTTGCTGCTGATTATGTTGAGGATACTGCTGATACTGTTGCATGTGAGGAGGCACGTGGTGGTATTGCTGTTGCTGCTGATACTGAACGTGATGTTGCTGTTGCTGAGGCGGATGTTGGTAATATACGACGCGTCCGGTTTGATCAATATAGGATCCGTGCTGTGGTTGTTGTTGATGTTGTTGACGATGATGATGATAATAATACTGTTGTTGATGATGATAATGGTGGTCACCCGGGCCCGGTGCGGGGAGGATGTGCGCCGGTTTGATCGCCAGACGTCGCTGCTGCACTTTTGACTTCGATATTTTTGCGCGTTGCGCTTTCGGCAAGATACCCACGTGTTGTTGTAACGAAGGCATGCGAGCCATTGGATTGTGTGGTTGCTGCGGCTGCTGTTGCGGCTGTTCTTGTGGTTGCAGCGGCTGTTGTTGCGGCTGCTGATACTGAACGTGCTGCTGCTGCGGCTGCTGTGGCTGGAACTGTGACTGTTGGTACTGAACATGTTGCTGCGGCTGCTGCTGGTACTGTTGTTGCATCGAATGTTGTTGCTGGTGATGTTGCTGATGCTGCTGATGCATCGATTGTTGCTGTTGCGGGTGCAAAGGAACTAACTGATCAAGTCGATGGAGTTGATCGAAAGACGAGCTAAGTTGGGCGTTCGAGGCCGCCGCGCTCCATGCTCTGTTCCCAAACTTGCGTTGCGATCGTTTACCTTTCGTCTTTGAGGGCACTTTAACAACTGCTCCGCTAAATTCGTAGCTGTTGTTGTTAATGTCGTTGTTACCGCTACCATCGGTCTTATTGATAGCCTCTTCGCTCCCCGACGCCTTCAGCGGCATCATGGTATCTTCGCTCGAGTCATCAGAACCGTTGTGTCTGTTCTGTTCTGCCCTGATCGTCGTTGGTCCTAAAATCCTCTTATTGCAGGGCATAACTCCCGACCGCCTCAAAACTTCCGCCATTTTCACGTTTCCGGAATCTCTCAACATGTTTCGAACGCAGTGCTGCCATAAATTTGCCGAGTTTTGTCGAGCTAAAGGAATGCGAATCACGTCGCACACGCCCTCTCGGATGGCGCGAATGACAACGTCCTCTTCCTGTTGCTTCGTCGCGGCGTCTTCCTCATCGCTATTGTTAGTATTGTTGCTACTATTTTCGTTTTCGTCGTTGGTGATGGCGACGGCGGCGGCGGCGGTGGTGGTGGTGGTGGTGGTGGTGGTGGCGGTAGTCACGTCGGCGTCGATTTTATTACTGTTATCTGCTACCGGCGAGGACGACGACGTCAAATGAATCGCTTCTAAACGATCCATGGCGTTTCCTTCTGCCTTTGCGACTAATGCTTTTGCTTCTTTTTCCGCCTTATCTGCGTCTTCGTCTCTTTGCATCAACACCACTGGAACTTTCGCGCACAATTTCCTCAAAGTCGTCTTAATCTTTGCTTTCTTCTTCTCGATGTTCGTCGTGCTCCCGCCGCCGCTGTTATCGGACCGCGGTGGACTCTTATTACTCGCGTCGTCTGAATCGTCGTCGTCGCCGCCATTCCTACTCTTCGCTTCTCCGTTACCGTTGTTCAAAACCTCAAAGCTCTTTTCGTCCTTCTTTTTCTCCCGCGCATCCGTCTCTTCCCTCAGCACCAGCCGCATCATCCTTCCGTCCAGTAAAGCCACGTCAAAGGTTTCCTTCGACGCATCTTCCACGCACTTTTCCAGCGATTCCGATCGCGTGACTGTTCGTTTAACGAGCAAATGAATGAGGTGTTTTTTAGAAAAGGAGAAGAAAAAAGTGTGTCAATTTATTATAGCGCATACGCTCGCGCAAAGAGAGAGAGAGTTACAGGGAGAGATCGTCCTCGTCACCCACTGAGAATATCTTCTCGTCCATATCCAGAAATGATCAGATCTGATCTGCGGTAAACTCCGACCACCTTCCCGCGCGTACGTATGAATGTGAGATGTTCTCACCGCCTTGGAAACGTTCACGGACCATCCTTGCTTCTGGGGAACCTTTCTGTCCGTTTCGAGCGCGAATATGCTCATCTTTATCGCGGGAAAGCGACGCGATGATGATGATGATGAAACGAGCGGAAAAATCCAAAAAGCACGAGCGCGCGTAACCGAAATTTATAATCTAAAAATCCGCTTCGTAAACGCGCGCGTAACGACCACACGCGACGAGACGATGCGCTCACCTTCGTAACACAAGGATTCTAACACTTCTTTACTCTCCGAAAACGTCGTTTCGTCTTCCGTGACGAGGACAACCTGATGATGAGAGAACGGATATATTTGATGGTCAGAGATTGATTTTTAAACGCGGGGGGAGCAGTCCCCTCTCTCTCGATGAGACGATGATGAAGCGGAGAAAAAAAGAAACGCACCTTTAAACCTTTCGGGAACCCGGGTCGTAAACTTCGCACGAACGTCATCACGTCCGCGCCGCCCATGGCGATTGCAGACCGCGCGCCGGGCATGTTGTGTTCTTTATCTGTGTGTTATAGTGTGTGTTCGTGCGCTCGTCTTGGAGACTCTGGTGGGAGAGTTTATCTGAAAACTTTTCGAAAGAGGCGAACGCTCTCTCCGTACTACGAAAAATACTCTCAAAACGAGAAGATATTTCAGTCGTCTCGTGACTGGATATGTGTTTCGAGAGATCTTTCCGTCAGAGAAGGCGTGGTATTGGTGCAGAAAGCAGCAGGCAAACAACACAATAAAGAAGAGAGTTGTTTGTTCTTTCTTTACTCGTTTGGGGAAAAGAAACGCCTCCTTTTCGTGGCTCTGTTTGTTTTGTCCTCAGAGAGAGAGAAGAATACACACGTATATAAAATGAGGACGACGTCGTGCACCACCACCACTTCCTACGCGTCGTGTTCTTTCCGCGTTCGACGGAAGAGGACTTCGACGAAAAGAAATTCGATTCGATTTTTCTCGACGGTATCGTCTTCGTCATCTTTCGAAAGAGATGACGACGACGACGCCGTGGCGACGATGGAGCGGAAAAGCAGCGGCGAGACGTCGACGTCCTCCTCTTTTACGATGACGACAACGAGCGTCACTTTGAGAGAAGACAAAGAAGAAACAAAAGCGGTGAAAACGTTCAAGATGAGACAAGGCAGGCACGCTTCGTTTTCGGCGAAAAAATCCGGCACGGTGCACGTGCTCGAGGTGTCGGATCCTTCGAGAGGGTTACGAGAATACATGAGCTTACCGGCGACGTCGTACTCTACTTTAGACGGAGAAACGGTGAAACGAATAGACGACTGCACGTTCGAGTGCACGCTAGGGACGCTCTCATTTCTTGGGTTTAAGATTACGCCGACGGTCACGGCGAAGGTGGACGTGAGGCCGAACGGCGCGGGGCCGATGATTTCAGTCGAAGAGGCGACGATTTCGGGGAGTAAGATTGTGGAAGATGCGAACGAACAGTTTCAGTTGAGTTCGGTGAACGACGTGTCGTGGTTTGATTCCGCGACGGAGGAGTTTCCGAACCAGAAAACGATTCAATCGGATACGACGGTGAGCGTGTATTTGATCGTGCCGAGGTGGTTTCCGTTTACGGTGAAGAGCACGGAGAGGACCGGGAGGTTTGTCGTGAATCAAGTGGTTGGTCAAGTTGTTCCGAGATTTTTGAAACAGTTGAAAGCGGATTACGAGGTGTGGAGTTTAGGGGACGATTCGAGGAAAGCCGTGTGTGAGGGCGGGTTGTTTGACGTCGATCAATCGAAAAGCAATCCGGAGATGTGCGACGTATCTTCAAAGGAAGAAGACGAACAGGATTGAGAGATCGTTAGTATTTTTCACGAAAGTGAATTTAAGATGTTTTAATATTGACATTATTATTATTTGCGGCAGCGGCGTGTGCATTGTAAAACTTGAATAATAATAAGGTGTCGTTACGTTCTTTCTTCTTCTTTAACTTCTTCGACGATATCGACCGCGGCGTTGACCGCGTCCAATCGCGACCAGTTTCCGTGCTTGTCGACTTCAAACGACGCCGCGCTCGTACTAATATTCTTGTTCTCCCCATCAATTTTTTGAACGAGATACAACGCGTATATAAAACTCAGCCTACGAAAGGCGAGCGAGGAAACGTAGAGGATGTACGCTTGGAAAACGAGCATGCAACTATCCGCGATCGCTTCTACTCTCGATTTTTGAAACGCTTCTCCTCCCATGGAATATAAACTCGCGTACGCTTTCGACCAAAACAAAAGAGCAAACAAATTACACACCTGTTCCGCGTGATTCACAGACGATACCGTCTGTTCGCGCACCTGGTTTGCCGTTTGTCTCAAAAGTATCGCGTGTAACACGCATAAAACCGCGTTGCCTATAAACTCTACTTTTCGTCTCGAAATCATAACCGCGATAAAATACGCCGAAGAAACTAACGGCGCGTACGCGAGCGTCTTCAAACGTCTCCGCTTTTCGGCGCAGTCCTCGGTTTCCGCTAACGAACAGTCGCGTTCCATCGCATCGCTCGCGGGAACGAATATCGATTCAAAGTAATCGATCGCTTTTACGAGCATTTATATTTTCAAGTGTATTATTATTCGCGAGAGAAGGAAGAAAAAAGAAAACGAAGGAGAGAGAGAGAGAGAGAGATCTGAGCGTTTTTTTTCTTTTTGGCTCAGAAGCCAAAACAACGTAGTGCTAATCAAAAGTTCACGCGCGCACTCCGCGCGCCATGAATTCAGAGAACACCATTCACCTTGTCATCATCATCGCCAAGAAGAAACGAGAACTCTCATTCGTGACTCGCTCTCTCTCTCTCTCTGTGTTCACTCTCTCTCTCTCTCTGTGTTCTTGTTGTTGTTGTTTGTTTTCACTTTTCACCCACAAAAGTGGGCGTTAGATACAAAAATAAAAACTCTCTTCCCCTCCTCTCTCTCTCTCGTTTTTGGACGAAAGTATACGCTCATCATCGGCTCAAATGATACGATTGTGTAATCAAAGGACTCCACGAGTACTTCATAAGCAGCTGATACGGGTAGTTTCCGTTTTTTTTGTCATCATCGCCGCGCGTTGTCTCTTCTTCGTCCATACGAGAGAGAGAGAGAGAGAGAGAAAAAGAAAGAAAGAGAAGAGCGCGCAAAAACGACGGACGAAAATTTTGTATCTCACACAAAATACGCGAAACGTGGAAAAAAAACAAGGTGTCGTTGCCGCTGCTGCTTTTCTGCCGCCACTCGAGAGAGAGAGAGAGAGAGAGAGAGAGAGAGAGAGGCTCAGAAACACGTTGCATAATCACGCAGTTTTCTGTCATACTTCGACGTTTACTTATTTTGCATTTTTGTTGATCATCATCGCCTACTAAAGGGCGATCGATTTTAAAACGAGAGCAGAGAGAGAGCGCAGACTGAGGTTTAATGAAGAGTGAGAAGACTTTTCGCAGACGAGAGAAAAAGTACAAAAAACAAAAAAAAACATCAAAAAACACTTGAAAGTAAGTATTGAGCGCTCGGGGAGCTTCCACGAAGGAGTAGTTAAGCCCACGAACAAATGCTTCTCACCGGGTACAGGAGAACTGAGTGTGCGTGAGTACACAATTATCCGGACGACTTTGTACACGAGTGAAAACACTTACGGTGAGTAATGTGTAGATTGGAGTTTGAAGTGTAAGGGAAAAAAAGAGCATGCCTCGTCGTCGTCCTCCTCTCTCCTTCCTCCTCCTCCTCTCTTTCCTCTTCGTCTCTCTCGTCTTCTTCTCCAACAAAAGCGAGAATAAGAGGCATACTCTCGAAGATTTCGCGTTTGAAACATCGCAAGAACTTTTCAGCGGGACGTGGAGAAACGTCGTCGCCTTTGATTCCAAATCCATCCGAGAGAGGAAAGAGCGATTGGCGAACGTGTTTCATTTAGGGAACGCGGACGATTTTGCGAGGAAGAGAAGAGAGGGAGAGGAAAGGGAAGAAGAGGAGGAGAAGGTGTCGGTGCCTTTGTTGACAACGAACCGGGCGGAGACGAGGAGTAGCGACGACGACGACGACGGCAACGCGCGTTGATAAAGATGTAGAAAGAAAGAGTAGAGTATTAGGGGATTATGTGTTAGATGTTTTTAGATATTTCAATGTTTCTCTCTCTCACTCTCTCTCTCTCTCGTCTTCAGTGCGTATATAAACGAAGTTTTTTGTGCGTCCGTAAGCTCTTTTTACTTACTTACCTGGGCGAGTGATCGAGCGCATCCAAGACGCGCGCGCGCGCTTGATTTCTTTCTCACGCGAAAGGCGCGCTCGATCGACCACCGACGATGGCGTTCGTAACGTTCACGGCAACAATCGCTCCGACGAGAACTCCAGCTGCTTTCAAAAGGTTCTTATCTTCCTCGGATAAACCATTTTTAAACGCTTTCGCCCTCCTCCATAAGTCTCGAAAGCGTCTTCTCGCGTCTCGCGTGAACCTTCGCCGCGCGGCGCCGGCCGCGCGGCGAAGGTCTACCGCCGCTTTTCGTGCGTTGCGCAAGAACGCGCGCACTTCTGTTCTCAACGCTTCCAGGAATGATTTCTTCCTCTCTTTCTTCTTTTCTTCCCTTTCGTCTCTCTCGTCAGAAGAAGAATGCTTCGAATCTTCGCCCAAGTCCGAAAACTCTTCTATTTCCGAACCACCACTCTGATCCTCCGTTCTTCTCCTTCCTTTCGTCGTCGTCGTTGTTTTCTCCGAGACGACGTTTTCTTCTCCTTCGTTTTTTCCCGTCCTCGTCGCAACGGTACCCCCAATCTCCAGCGACGCCGGCGGCGAGAGCGACAGTAATCCTCCTTTCTTCCTCCTCAAAGTCTCCTCTTCGCTCTCGCTCTTCTCCTCCCGCATCGTCCGTTCGTTCTCGTCCTCGCCGCTCGCTTCCGATTTTTCCATCACGTCCCAAGACGACTCTTCCTCTTCCTCTTCCTCTTTAATATCTTCGGTAAAAAAAGTTTCCTCTTTCATGTCTTCTTTGTGGTCCTCTTCTTCTTCTGACGACGGCAAAGTCTCCTCCTTCTTTATTTCTTTGTCTTCTGCGCCTTCTTTATCGTCACTTGTTGCGCGTCTTCTTCTTCTCGGCTTTACGCCTTCTTCTTCTTTCTCGGACATCTTACGTGCGCCCTTACGTTGTGTGGGAGTTACTCGTATTTTTTGCTTTTAAAAAAACTCACAAATATTTTTACCTCTTTCCTCTCTGCTCGTGTTGTCGTTGAGAAGCGCTTCGAACGAACTCGCGAGCAGCTCGCGTGACTGTCCTGAAATATATAACACAATTGCTTCTCGATGCGTCTGATCGAGTTAGATGTGATATAATTGCGTTTTAGTACGTTTGGTATTTCATGCGTTTATGAGAGTGTTTTGACTCGTATTTTTTGGTAAAAACCACACTCTTTTCCACACAAAAAACAAAACAATAAAACGATGAGAAGAGCATTGTCGTTGTTGGAGAAAACCTCTCGTCGTAGCAGCATTAGCGGTAGTAATAATAATAGTAATAATACTTTAGCAGTAGCTCGTCAAAGCGATAATGCTTTCTTCTCGGGCAGAAATGGTTTTGGTTTTGGAGAGAGGCGCGCGATATCTTTTCTTCTTCAGAAGAGAAATGGCGATTGGAAAACACCTAATAATAATAATAATAATACTAATACGAACGCGTCGTACTCGACGAAAGGTCGGCGCCAATCCGCGCCGAAAGGGTTTACTCCACCGGCCGCGATGGCGGCGAAAGCGACGTCGAATAATATCAACTTTAACCCGTTTCAATCGAGCTCGAACGCACTCGCGGAACCGTATCGAGGGAGGAGGAAAATGCCGAGCTCGATGACGAAAATACCTCGATATTTATACGATATCGGCTTGAACAAAGCGAAGGACATATATTGCACGTCGAAAGTGACATCGGCAATTAAAGGGTTCGATTTAAACATGTTTAAGAGAGATGCGTCGATATTGTACGAGGAGATATCGAGAGCGATTGCGAATAACAATTTGTCCAGTTGTCGCCGAGACGTGAGCGATAAAGTGATGCAAGAGTTGAAGCAAGAGCAGAAAAGAAGGACGAAGAACGGGTGGTCGAGGATTCGGTGGAATTTGAGCGAAAAAGGGGTGGAGAACGTTTCCGTGGTGCAAGGACGGATGATGGCGACCAGTCAGGACTTGACCAACGCGTTCGCGCAGTTTACGGTGAGGTTCGAGAGCAGACAAGAGTTTGGCGCGTACGACGACAACGACCGGTTAGTCGCCGGGGATTCCGAGGAGGTTGGGGCAAATTTGAAGGTTGTAGATCATTGGGTGTTTGAGAGAGGTATAGGACCAATTCACAAGACGAATTCGAGGTGGCGGTTGTGCGCGAGACTGATCGTAGAGGAGTGATTTTTGAATGGGAAGATGAATTTTCTTGCATACGCGTGGGTGCGCGTGTGTGAATTAGGAGTGTATATTAATTGATACTATGATCTCATATAACATGCATTCATTTTCAACCAATCGTCGTCTCTAAGTTAATATCAATCCTTGATAGTAAATGCGGAATGCTACTCGCCACGGCTCCAAACTTCTCGGCGTTGTCGTACAACTCGAAAATCGGTACCGCCACCAACTTGCTCGTCTTTGGCACCGCAAAGTAACACTTCTCCGGCAACTCCACTAAAAACACCTCCAACGTTTCTTTCGGTTTCGTAACGTGCGGTGGCAAATACGGGTACATTTGCGGCTCGAATCCTATCCTGTACCACGTGGACAACTGATCTAAAATGTCAAACGAGGCTCTCAAATTCGCCTCGTTCGATTCGTTCGGCGCGGCTAATTTGTTCGCTAACTTTCTCTTCAACCCTTCCGTGGTCCCTTCCCCGGCTCTTAACCTCCCACCAGGTAACCGAAACGTGCTCGTACTCGCGGAAAAGTGCTGCCCAGGTCTGTCCCACTGCGACGCCGGCTTTCCGTCCGCCGTTCGCTGCTGCGCGCCCGGAGGCAACGTCGATTCTTGCAACAACAAGACGTGCGGACACCCGTGCTGATTCACCACGCACACGCCAGCCACGGACCGTCTCGCAATCCCTCCGCTTTTTTCGTACTGCTCTCGAATCCTTCTTAATCTCGCATCTTTCGCGTTACTTTTTTCCTCCTCTTCTCCTCCTTCTCCGCCTTCTTTCTTCTTCACCACTTTTACGCCAAACGTGTAATTCCCCAACGAGTGCACGTTCAATCGTTTCGATTTGGACAGTATCCCTCGCATGGAGGCCATTTGTTGTCGCAGTAAATCATCGTCATCCATCGCGTTCGGATGACCACGACCACCCGCGCCTCCCAAAGCGCCTTCTCCGTGCTCCTCTCCTTCTTTCTCCTCTCCTCCATTAACAACACCTTCATCAAACATTCCCCCTGCATCATCATCATCATTGCCGTCTTCCTCTAACGCCTTCTCGTGCGCTTTGATGTCCTCGAATTCAAAGTCTTCATCCTCCGAATCCTCATTTTCGTCACCACCACCACCATCGTCGTCGTTTTTGCCGCTCATTTGTTGTCTTCTTCTTCTTCTTCTTTAATGAAGCCTCTTCTTTGTGTTGTCTTCTTCGCGTTGTCTTCTTTGTGGCAATCGCTTTTCCTTCTAAAGTTTTGTCTTTTGCAATTAGGTTTTAACACCCTAAATTTTCAATTTCAAAATGTGCCTCTCCAAAAAAGGGAAAAAGCGACAAAAAACAACTCCCTGCGCGCGCTCGACACACACGCTACTTTCGGGGAACGACAACGCCCGAAGAAAGACTCGCGATGACGACGACGACGATTCGGAGGATTCAGACCCCCTCGTTGTCGTCGTCGTCTTCATTTTTTTTGCGGAGGAGGAGTAGGAGAAGGAAGAGAGGAGGGAGACAGCAACAACAACAACAAACCAATTCGTTGGTCGTAACGGCAACATTATTCTCGAGTCACGGGCGCTTTGTTGTTGCGAGAACTGACGAATGCGCGTCGTCCTCGTCTGTTGGCGAGAGTAGTGTTGCGAGTAAAAGGCTGCCTTCTTCAAGAAGAAGGAGCGTTTTGATGAGCCCCCCGGCGAAAGCGGCGTCGATAACGCCGTCGGATGATTACTTGGACGGGGAACGTTTAAATTTTTACGCAACGACCAAAACGACGAAAAACGCTCCCGACGACTGGTTGAATGCGAGCGAGAAGCGAAAGAGGAACATTTTACTCCCTTCCTCTTCTTTGGAGGAAGAAGACGCGGACGACGACATCTACCAACTCACGAGAGAAGACGAGAGTGTGCACGAGGAAATGTGGCTGGAAATTATGGAAATAGTGGCGACGTTTGGCACCATCGGCGGCGGCATCGCCGCCGTCGCGCTCGGCGAAGTGTACTTGTGTTCGCTCGTCATCGTGTTACCGATACTGGCGTTTTCGTTGAAGAAAAAGAGGGAGACGAAAGTGAGAGAGAAGACGCGGATGCGATTGATGCAGTTGAAAGAAGAGTTGATGGTGGTGACGAGGAATAAGACGACCAATGCGACCGTGATGAACTTATCCTCGCAGTTGCAAAAGAAGAACATGGTCGCGCTCGAGTTTGCCATTCAAAGAGCTTTGAAAGAAGATGGCGCGGAGTTCAGCAAGAAAATTGACGCTCGATTAGACGCGCTGGAAAGGGCGATGCAAAGAGCCGCGGAGAAGCAAGCGGCGAGTCAACGAGATTCCGGTGCCGTGGCTGGGATGTTAGCCAGGGACGTCGCGGATGCTAGGATTGACCAGAGAGAGAATTTTAAAAAAATGTACCGCGAGTTGGAAGAGGCGACCAAGTTATCGATGACGGAAAACGAACGAACGAGGCAACAGGTCCAGAAAGAGTTGGAAACGTTGTGGGAGCTGGTGGAAAACGTGGAGAGGGAGATTTCCGGGGTCAGTGACGGCGTTGGAGAGCGGTTGACGATGATTTTAGAGGCAAGAGCGGCGGAACAGAAAAGGTTGAGAGAAGAAGAGGAAGAAGAAACGGAGAAGAAGAATCCGTTTGAGAACAAAGCGATTGCTGAATTCGCGTTTTCCGAGGAGTTGCAAAACAGAGTGGATGAGATTGCAAAGCTCGCAGACGCGGTGCAACGCGTGAAAGAAGCCATCGACGCCAGAAACGAGGCTGAGCTCGGGAACGAGCTGATTTCAAAGATGGACGAGAGTCAGTGGCAAGCGCTCGGTTTGCGATTTGACGCGCTCTCGGAAATGGCAGAAACGACCGCCGAGCGAGTGGTTTCGGAAATCAGTGAATCGATCGAAAAAAAGAGAGGAGTGTTTTTGAGCGATGATGATAGCGGTGATGCGAACGCTGCGATGATCAATGCGATGAAAATGGGCGCGAACAAAATCATCGCCGCCAAGGAGAAGGAAGAGTCGTATTATTCGTTAGATCTGGACGATGATAGCGTGGACGATATGAACGAATCGAAAACCGGATTTGAGCGCGCGTTGCGACGAACGGGAAGCGTTGAAATGGTTGCAGAAACTGTGAAAGCCAGTAGTGATGAAGATAGCAGGCGAAGGCAAGAGCCATCGGCGTCCATGCAGACGAGGATGGCGATGCAACAACCGACGACGTCCACATCGGAAACAAATAGTAATAGCAACAACAACAGCAAAGAATCATTTAGCAGCAGCGTCACTAGCGATGCTCCGATAAACGCCCAGCCTGGCGTAACGAAAGAAAGCGCGTTCGAAAACATGCAAGCGATGCTCAGAACGGAAGAAGTAGAGGAAGATATCTTCGACCCGTTCGCCGGAATAGCGGCGTCCGCGTCGGAAGAGTCTTCAGAAGTCACCGCGAGTGCAATTAGCGAAATAGTCACCGACATAGCAGATGCCAAGAAGCAAGTAGATCAGAAAGCCCAAGAACCGATCGCGTTGGCATCGTCGTCGTCGTCGTCGTCGTTCGACGAGAAAATCGCTTCGGGTTTAGAAAGCTTACGCCAAGGCCGCAAGCTCGCGCGAGCGGCTGAAGACGAATCGGCGAAACCTGCGGTATCTTTGGAAAACCTCATGTCCGCGGAAGAGTGTTTTGCGAACGCCGCCAATGACTTTGTCGTCGCCGTAGAAGTAGAACCGAGCGCAGTTTCAGCGAAAGGGAATCTGGGCAACGCGCTTCTCGCTCGAGGCGTCGCGTTGCGAGCTTTACGAGATGCCACCGCCGAACGCGTGTTTGGTTCTTCGTCGAAAAAAGGTGCATTTGGCGGTTTAAGTGAAGAAGACGTGCGCTTCTACGGCGAAACCGCCGAGGACGCGCTCGTGGATGCCGGCAAATACTTTCGAGCCGTCGCCGTCGAAGACCGCACAGCAGCGGCGGCTGCGGATGAAAATGAGCAACAAGCCTCTACTTCTTCATCGTCGTCGGTTGCCGTAATCGTAGCGCTCATCGCCTGGGGACGAGCGTTATCGCAACGCGGTGCGCTCGTCCGCGATGACGCCGAAGTTTTCAATTTATACGATTCCGAGGAGGAGGAAGACGAATCTGTCATTACGAGTAACTTGGCGGACGCCTCGAAGTTGTTCCTCGCCGCGGCGGAAAAGCACCGAGCGGCTATCGAAAAATGTGCCTCGGCTGAAGAAGAACAAGGAGACGCTAAGAAAACCAGCGCCGCCAAAACGCTCATCCAATCCAGACGCATCGAAGCCTACTGTCGCTGGGGCGAAGCCCTAGAGTCTGCCGCAGAGTGCGAGTTCGCACTCGGAAGCGGTAAAGAACGCGAACTTTGGACGGCGGCGAGCGGAGCGTACGGTGAGAGCGAACGCCTCGGTGAAGAAAGCGGCGCCGCCACTGCCGGCGTCGAAAGGTGTGAAGCAAAGCTCGGCGAAGATTTCGAATAATAAAGTATGAACCGGAGGCGACTACCTAAGCACCGTAGATTTTCTGTGTTAATTAATATTACTAAACTAATCCTAGAATCAGTTTTTCAACTGGATCCATGATCTTAACGCGCCTTTTGGATGGCACGCCGCCTTTCTCAACCGCCAACTCGCGTAATGCCGCAGCCGCAGCTTTGGCCGTCTTACTTGCCCCTGAGCGGATAAACACCGCGGGCCAACCCATCGGGGCATCCGCGGTCACCCATGTCCCGCTCCCACTACTTTCCTCGTCGTCGCCACTTTTTTTCTTTCTTACCGCCGACGTCGATATCGGCGCTAAAATGGTTGTCCACGCGTCCATCCACACGTCTTCGCGAGGTAAATAACAATGCACTCTCGACGTTTTACGATCCAAAACCGGCGCGATCAACAAGTCCCGTCCGAGTAAAAACTGCGAGGTCAAATCACTCGCTACTTCGTCGTAGGTGTAGTGAATGAACATCATTCGCGTCATAGGTAAACCGACGTTTTCCGCCTCGCGCATAGCTTCGCGTTTGTATTCGAGCAACGCAATGTGCATGGACGTGCACCACGCTAAATGCGCAATAATCTCCTCGTCGTCCCATACTTGCGCGTTGTGGTGTGGTCTGTTTCCTTGGTGTGAACGATACACAGCGTCTGAAAACGCATTCAATTCCATCCATCGCATCAGCAATTCTTTCGATCGGTGTCGCCCCGGCGTCGCCGTGTACCCGCCGATATCCGAATGACTCAAAGTCAAACCGCTTAAAGCGCCGGTTAATATGCCATTCAGCGCGGATTTAATGCCGTCTCGATTATCCCAACTCACGAGTTGGTCGCCAACCCACTGAACGCTCGTAAATGACGGCGTCAATAAACTCGCCGATCTCGTCCAGAAAAATCCCGTTTTCTCCAAGCCGGCGCGTCGCAGAGCGCGTTTTTGAATCCTCGCCCAATCTTCCGGGTACCGGTTGTGCGTTAAAATTGGTAACTCTCCAGATTTCAGAGTTGCATCGAACGGTAAATATTCTCCAAAATCTGCCATGAACGCTTTCGCTTTTGTCGCGACGAGCATATCGACGATGACATTTTCGATCCATACGCACGCACTCCGGGTTGGTTAAATCCAACAAGGAAAACGTAACCCCTGGTTCACTCACGAAACCGTACCCTTCGCCTTTCTTGTTCTTGATGAAGTACCCATTCTCTAAAGCAAAACGGTATAAATCTCCGTGATGGTCTTTCGAGTCCATCAAAAACGGATTCACGTACGTTGCCAAGTGTGTGCCTTTCTTTTCAAACTCCTCGCGCAACGCGTGCCAATCCGTGTATAAATCTTCATCGAGTTTCCAGTTCCACCAGACGCGTTCGATGCCGATGCTCGTGTTTCGAAATCCCGACCAATCTTGTAACCAAAACCCGGCTATTTTCACCCCGCCATCGGTTAGCTGTTTTTCGATGCGTCTGACTTTACTTGGACCGCCAGTCATACCGACGATGACGCCTCGCATCGCCCATTCCGGTAACGGTTTAATGCGTCCAGAATATTCCGTGTACGCTTGTAATACGCCCGGAATATCTATCGCTGCGATGATTTGACCGCAAACTATGCCGGTAGGCGCAACCACGTGCACGCTGATTGCGTTTTCCTCCGTAAAATCAAACTCAGAATACGTGTAATTGGTGAGAAAAAACGATCGCGCCTTCGAGGTGACGTAATGTGGAATCGCCGAGTAGGTTGTCCACCAATCGCCGCTGGAACCTTTAAATAGGAGCTCCGCGGTCGCAGAAATCGGTTGCTTCCCTCTCCCTACGCCTTGTTCGCCAGTTATGATTGGCACTCTCCTACCTGTGTGTTCGATCGATGTGTATTGTTCACCTAATCCATACACTCGCTCGCGCTTCTCCACCGCGTGCGTCAAAATCAAATGGTTCAAGTTCACCATCCTCCGATTCCTCCTCGGGGATCTTTGAACGCCCGGAACGATTTCGTCCCAAATAATCGTGAATCCAATTCTATCATCGCTTCTGGATGCAAGCGCGACGGAATATGACGCTCTCAATTTCGCGTTTGCTTTCTGCTTCGCTAACTCAATTTCCGATTCTTGGTCGTCCGAGAAGAGCGCGTGGTACATTTTACTTCGTCGTTCGTAAAATGTGTTCACGAAGTGGTCAATCCACGCGTCCTCTTTCACCACCGTCCCTTTGATGACTATGCACTCCACTAATTCTACGTTACTATTGCTATTCTGACTATTCCCATTATTACCACTACCACTACTACTACTACTACTACTACTACTACCGCTACTATCGACTTCAATCAACGCGACGCCTCCGCCGCCGTCGTCTTTGTCCTCCTCCTCAACATCCGTCGTCCTCGTCTTCCTCTCCACCCTCCCGTCGTAATGCACCTCGCACGTCTTCCTTTCCATACTATCGATCGTCTGTACCGTCGTTCTCAACTTATCTAAAACCTGTATCCTAAAATGCCCGTGGATCAACTGGTGCACTTTAATCGGCCCGCTCGCGAGCGTTAAAAACGGTCTCTTGGAGATGGACGACCACGTTTCCGTGATTGGACACAAGCGCTGCCGGAAACAAAACTTGGCTCTCTTGTGCGTGATTTTCAGCGTTTGCTCCGTGTTTTGCCACTGCGTCGTAAAGAAGATAGAAGAAGAGTCGTGCGAACGATATCGTCGGGTCAGTAAACGCTGAAGATGTGATGATGAATGTGTGCGCGCAAAGAAGAAGAAGAAGAAAATTTTAATCCGAAAACTCTCTCACCTGGACGGTAAATTTCCCAACATCAAACCTCACATCCCCCAAATCCGAAGCCACCCTCCCTTCCTCTGAAATCTTATGATACGTCTTATCCACGTACGGTGCGATGATAAATATGATCGCCAACACGAACGCGGAGGAGAATATTGGAATTTTCGGTCGGTAGAGTTGCGTCCGGACGAGTTTGATGGCGCGTTTGATGGGGGATTTCGGGGGTCCAATTTTCCCCAATTTTGTGTTTCCTCCTCCTTTTCCTCGTTCTTCTTTTGCTGTTGAAGAGCGAGGACCTCGTCGCGGTGGCGTCGAGGGTGGCGTGCTCTCCTCTTCTTCTAATTTGCGTCGGCGTCGCGCCGTTGATGGTGGCATGATGTGATTGATGTTTACGTGTGTGTTGTACGTGTTGTGTGCGTTTTTTTTGAAGCATATGACTCGACAAAAGAAAAACTCTACAAAAATTTCTCATCTGAAAGCGAAGACGTTGAACAACATGGACCCTTTCAAATGCTCCGGTTGCTCGACAATTACCCGCGGAAACTTTCCCCTCGATTTTAACAAAGCGACGACGTCTTGAACTCCGGTTTTATCCTCCTTATCGTGGACTTCTACGACGATCGTTTCGATGTGTGCAAAATCTTCCTCGAGTATGCCGCGAAGGACGGAGAGCTCGTATCTCTCCACGTCGATTTTTAAGAGGTTGATTTTTTTCTTCTTCTTGTCCTTGTTGTTCTCGTTCGTTTCGTCTTTGAAGATGGCGTTGGATAAAGTCACGCACGGAACGGTTTCAATTCTTTTCCCTCGCGATAACCACTTCACGACGAAGAAACAGATGGATTTAATAAACGCAGACTTGACGAAAAACAGATTCTTCTCCAAGACGAACCTCGCGAATGTTTTCAACATCAGAAACGTCGGCGCGTGTTTTATAATCAACGCCACGGCGTATTCGACGACATTTGCGAGCGTCTCTTTCTCGTCTTCAATCGCCGTCGACCACCCTGCAGCGTTTGGAAACGACGTAAACGAGATTGAATCTTCTTCCCCGTCGCCGACGGCTTCGTTCGCCAAACGCAACGATACGTTCGGATCGTCCTTAAACTTCCTCTCCAAGTTGCGCTTCAACGCTTTGTACGTTTCCGGTGACGGTTCGAACGCGTATAATATGCACTTTCTGTTATTTTGTGACTTTTTTTTCAGCGCTTCCAACGCGAACAATCCGATGTTTGCGCCCACGTCGACAATCACCGTAACAGCTTCTTCTCCTCCCGTTAGGGGTTGTTCTGCACCTTGAATCAGATACAAATCATCCGTCGATATCTCATCGAATAAAAACTTCACGTCCAGCTCTGACACGTAATCAATCAACACGTTATCCGGTAACAGAGCTTGTTTTTCTTTTCTGTTCAGCGTTACGGTCTTCTTCTTCTTCTTTTTCTGCCGCTGCTGCTCGCGCTGCTTCTCAAAGCCCGACGATGCACACGCACCACCCCTGATGATGGATTTCATCTTCCGCTGACTGAAGCCAAAACCAGTATCATCATCCTTCTTGCGGCAATGATGATGATACTGGTAATGAGAAAGAGAAGACGAGAGTGCCATCATCATCCTCATCGTTGATTTCAGATATGGTGTCGTCGTATTCTTTCGCGTCGTTTACGTCGTCGTCGTATCATCATCATCATCCTGTTGGGTGGTTTGAAGCGCTCGCACACCCCTAACTGTCTTTTTCTCTCTAACTCAACGATTAGGGTTTGAAACCCTAAGTTTGATTTTGAATACATTTAAAAACAGAAGAACAACGACAGAAGAGAACACGCTTTCGCGCGCGCGCATTAAAAACAATCAGAGAAGAAGAGAGAGTAAGAGAAGCGCAGATCTCTTCGTAAAGTATTTTTAAGCGCAGTAGAGCGCGAGGTTTGTTGTTGAAGAAGAGGTTTTGAAACAACAACAACAACAACAACCGAGAGACAAAGAGAGAAAGAGAGATCTTCGTCAGAGAGAGAAATCTTTGTTTGCGCGAAAGTGTTAAAGAGATAATGGCGATGACTTTGGACGAGGAGGACAAAATCGAAGAAGAGACTCCTCCTAACGATGAAAACAACACGAACGCGTGCCGTTGGCAAGACGTGCCGTTGATTCCTCAGCTCGTTGGTACCGTGTCACCGTGTTCGTGGTACTCGGAAAAAGATGGGTGCATTTACTCCTGGGGAGGACAGAGCGGCGAAGGCGAGGAAGCCTCGAGGGAGGAGATGAAGGTTTTGGACTTGGTCGGTGCGTGCGTTTCTTTCGTTTTTCCTGCTTTTGCGCGTTTGTACTGATTGCTCACGTTTTTTATATCTTTCTCTTTATTATTGCGCTTCCAACTACAGGCGGCGAATTCGCGCATTGGACGTTTCACGTGGAAAACAGCCCGAACCCGGACGCGTTTCCGTCGTTTTGCGCGAGAGAATTGAAGACGAGCAGCCGTAAGAAGACGACGACGAAGAAGAAGAATGAAAAAGATGAAGAAGACGAGGTCTTGACGTTTTTGTCCGGCGGTGCGGAAGAAGGGGAGAACGGCGGTGCCGGTGACGACCATCATCCGTCGACGAGTGGTAGTAAAACCGTCGCGCGAACGTACGACTCCGCGTTGAAAAAATGGACCATTTTGGAGCCAGCGGCAGATAGGAAGATCAACGCGGTACCTGACGAAAGGTTTGGCGCGTCGTCGACCTTCATTAGCGATCAGAAGGTGGTGCTGTTTGGAGGAGTGAAGAAACGCATTCCGCCTTTGAAACCCAAGCGCATATGTGGCCCGCACCTCATTAAGGAGAGCGATCTCCCTACGGAACATGAAGCTGCGATGAAGAAACAGAACGCCGCGTATACGAATGAGACGTACATTTTCGATTTCAAATCCAACACTTGGAATCACGTGAGGGTGCCAGTAAGGAAATGTCCTCCAGCTCGAGCGTTTGCGAGTTTAATCTCTGTTACGGATGACGTTGCGTTTCTCTTTGGCGGCGTAGATGCTGCCGGCAGGTGCTTCAACGACGTCTGGAAGTTTGACTTTAAGAACAAAAACGAGCCATGGAAAGAAATTCTTGCGGAGAAAGAGGCACACGAAATGATTCCACCGAGAATGTTGCACGCCGTCTGCGCGCTTCCCGACGGCGATGGTATGCTTGTCGTTGGTGGGAGAGGCAGTAAGAACGAATGCCTCGGCGATGCGTGGATCTTCTCGTGCGAGTTTAGCGTTTGGCAAAAGTTACCGGAATACATGTCACCGAAGATGGGAGTATTTGGTGCAAGGCTCGTTCCAGCTCGATCGGCGGTGTTTCGAATCGGTGGCGCGTTTGCAGATGAGGTAGAAGGGAATCAAGTTATGATTGAAGAATCGAACGTTACGGGCACGAATACCGCCGCCTCTTCGCAAAAAAAGAAGAAGAAATCAAAAGTCTCTGCGGTGGAGTTATCGACAACTAATTCAGGCGCGTCATTTTTTGCCGGTGCTGGGTTAACGCACGGCAACGAACTCACGAACCCAGAGTTATTTGACGATGATGATAAAAAAGAAAATTTGTGGGACGACGTGTTCCCGCTGAAAGACTGCTGGGACGCAGATGCCGCCGCCCTGACGACGGATCTTAAAACCAGGAAAAAGAAGAAATCGGCTGGCGGCGACATGAAGCTGCCAAGTGTTAGTATTACCCCGACGAAGACGAAAAAGGATCTATCGATTTCTACGAAAAAGTCTACCGAAGTGCAGCCTTCGTTGGAACAGAGCAGCGGCCGCGAAAACGCGAACAACGTGACATCCATCGCTACGACAGAAACGCCACGAGCCGGAGTCCGGTCCGCGTTTGAGCCCGTCAAAGGTTCGCAAGCGTTTAAAGTGGACGGTAGATCTGCTCCACCGCCGGCGGCGCCCGTCGCCAACTGCGAGTTCTGTGTCGTTGAATTCAAAGGCAAGACGAGAAATCAAATGTTGATGAAGCACCGAGAGGAGTGTTCGAAAAACCCGAAGAACATCATCGGCGAAGCGACCGAAAAGATTGCCTTATCATTCTCAAAGGCCGACCGGCTTTTAGGCTTGCCCAAGCTGAAGGTGCAAAAATCTGCCGCCCCGAAATCCCACGGCGGCGATTTGCCCAGCTTGAGTCCGCGCGCCAGTCGAGAAGAAGTGCTCGTCCCGGGCGTGCGTCCAGCACCTTCGGACGACGAGGACGAGGATAAAGTCAACGCTGTCAAGAAGAAAAAGATGAAGAAACAACCTTCCAAGCTCGGGCGATCGAGTTCGTCTCAGATGAAAGTTGCCTCGGCCGGGAGCGGCGAGGTCGGAGGCAAAAGCAGCGGAGGAGATGCGCCGAACAACAACGCCGCTGCGGCCGCCGCGGGAGCAAAGAAGAACGAAGAAAAGGAAAAAGCGACAACGACGACGCCTGCAAACAACGAGAAGAGCATGCCACCCAAAAAGAGAAAGTTGGCCGAAGACGGGGCTACGCAAAAGAACGAGACGACGGAAGAGGAGAGAGAGGCGTTGAGGAACGAAGAATGCTACCAAAGGGTGATGCAGAGAAGCGTGAACTTGCCCAGATTGCATAACGCATCTGGAGCCTTGACGGTCTCAGAAGCAGATTTGATGAAATCGTTTGCACAACTGGCTAATATGAAAGAAGACGCGTTCAAAATAATGGACAACAAGATGAAGGCGGAGGAGAAAGAGATTTGGGACGGAGCGGCGAAACACCTGGCGAATGCAATGCAGAGCAAAGATTACGACAAACTCTTCAAAGAGCTGAGTACTAACGGCACAACAACAACAACCTCTCCATACAAAAAGGCGAAAGGAGGAGGAAAACTTCCAGCGATTGGTTCGAAAGTCGATTCTTCCAAGAGTAAAATTACGGGCACTTTTGACGCCGGGTACTTCGTAGAGCTCGTCATCGACGGCAAGAAATGCTCGGGGATTGCATTTTCACCAGTTTTGAAAACGACCACCATTGGCGGGAAACAATAGCAGAATCAATAGCAGCAAGTGTTATATAAAGCACGCATATACAGCAGCATACGTATTAGTATAGTATTCGTAGTATATCTTGTCCGCATTAACAAAATAAGGGAGAAACTAACCGCCTCGTAACTTTCGTGAGTACTCTCAGATCCTTCTCCGCGAAGAATATAGGTAAAACGTACGTCGCGAAAACAATTATCAATATGAACAAAAAAGGATAAAACGTAGCCACGGGTAACACAGTATTCTTATCGAAATCTGTCGAACGCGATACTGTAAAGACGACCGCAAAGGATAGTATTTGCAAAATCGTGTACGCGTTGATTACGCCCAGACGCACGAAACGGAAACTCTCTTCCGCTCGGTGGTTCACTTGCTCTCTTTGCGTAAACATGAGAAGGAACCGTTTCCATATATCGTTATCTTCTAAGGACGTGTAACCCATGTAGAGTAAAAAACCGGATATCGCTGCTACAGGTATTTCTCCATATAACGCGTGACGAAAAACCCATAAGGAAAGTAAACGAAGCAAACTCGCGCATAAGTTCGTAAATCTTCCGTTTTCTGTGGCTGAAATAATATGCGTTTTTGCCACGTAATCTTCTTGATACTCGACGCTCAAACTCGAAATTCTCGCGTGGATGGGCGAGTGCGGTAAAGATGGTATAGCGATTGGAAGGCCGAACAAACCTTGCAACGCGTTTATAACCCCGACGATAAAGTAATCGTAATGATACGATTTACCTTTCTTAAGCTTATTCTCCGGTCGGTTCGAAAGAACCGCTGAGATTTGGCTCTCAAAAAATACTTGCACTGCGAGTGATACGCCGCAAAAGCAAGCGACGAGTACTGATTTTGGATTATCTTTCATCTCGGAATACCTTGCGGGCGTATATGTTGGCCACATTGTGCCACTCAGTTTGTACCTCTCGTCATGGACTCGATCGACCGGCACGTCTGGCGCGATGTAGCTCACGCCCGTAAATACCAATAAACCAATCGCCGGCGCCAAATCGGATAAGACTTTCCGTATCGTCGTCTTTAGAAACGGACTCGTTTTAATTGATTGTATTTTTCTACTCAAGCTGAACGTTCCAATGTGTAAAATGAAATACTTGAGAAACTCGGAAACTGTTTCCGCGCTTTGCATGCCTTTGTTGCGCATGGCGTTTATCGATGAATACATGAAAATAACCGCGACGAACATTCGCAGGCATTCGGCAAAGAATCTTCCAACGTATTTAATCAGCGACGCACCCGAAAAAGAGGCAAAGAGCATAGACGATAAGCCAGAGACCAGGGCGACGATGGAATAGAACGTTACCATGTGCGCGTTCAATCGAGACGCGGTTATCCTCACGACTTGAAGAAACGCTAACGTTGGACCGGTTATCCGAAATACTAACGCGGATTGCCCACCAAACAACGAAAATGCCACATTTGCCAAAGCTTCGGAGGTTAGAAAGCTCTCCAGGCCAATGCGTTCGTCGGAGTCGATGGTAAAAACCAAACCCACCGCCAAACAAGGAACCGTAGTGTTGAAGAAGAGCCAGACGATTGTGTTCAAAGCTCGAAAAAATGTAGGCGCGTCTTTAAAGGCGTCCGCGAAATCGCTCCAATAACGTTTCTTAACGACGCGATGAAAATCATCCGAGATTCGTGCGAAAAAGGAAATATTTGAGCAGCACCGTCGTTGTATTGCTTTTCTCTGTTCTCTGTCTGCTTCCTCTTCTATTAAAGTTGTTTCGAGAAGTGAAAACGTTCGTTCTTGAGGTTGTCCGTTTCCATCGTCGTCGCCTCCGTGACGATACAAGAAACGACACATAGCCTCTCGAAATTCGCTCACAGATCCCGCAGCGAGTGCTTCGAAGTAAAACTCTTCGTCACTAAAGAGAGTGGCAATAGTCCCACTCGTGGCGAGTGCGTTTTTTGTTTGTTTGTGCATAGCGTAAGCATCCGTGATGACCAAGACGACGAATTTATACCCGTTCCTATTATTATTATTATTATTATTGAAAGGAAGGGGAGAAAACGAAACTTTCAACCACTCTTTTGCGCGCGCGATGATAACCAGCCTTGCCGATTTTAACACGCACGTTTTTGCGGAAACAGGGATTATGAGCGCCCCGTTACTTTGTACAGAAGCGGTTGCGACAGACGAATTCATCGCGTCGTCCAAGAAAATCGAAGAGATCAACGCCGCGGATTCATCGCTGCTGTTATCATCAAAATGCGTCTTAGCTTTCTCGACCATTTTCTTCACCACATCTCGCAACGTCTTTATGCTCGTCTTCTCCGCGGATTCGCCTTCACCAGTCTCCGCCGCCGCCTCCGATGCCACGTTCTCATCATCCACATCTAACAAAAGCACCGCGTCTAACTTCTCCGACCGCGATCTCGCCTCTACCAACCTCATCCTCCCACCATCATCATCTTCTCCCAAACCAACTCTCGATATAAACTTCAAATCGTTCGCCGCCGACCGTTCTTTCCGTAAATCTTTCTTTTGTAACCTCGCGAACACGCGATAGAAAATCATCTGCTCTCCCGCTTCTCCTCCTTCCTCTTGGACGCTTTCCTCTGCAATTAAACCACTCCTGCTACTGTTCGAAGAATCCTCCGTAACAGAGATATTCTGGTCATCGTCTACGCTCTCCTGCGTGAACCGCCTCTTGATCGGAGACGTCATCGCCAGCACCACGTGATTGGAAGCAGCAGCGTTTCGGAGTTCTCCGTCGTCGTCTCTTTTCTCTTCCTTCTCGGCTGTTGTTGTCTCGAGGACGAGTAGGTTTTCGTCTTTTGTTCTCGTTTTTAAACCCTCTTTGTCTTCTTCTTTTCCTTTCGTTCTCTCCTCGCCTCTCCTCTCTTCTCCTCCTTTTTCTTCTTCTGCTTCTTTGTCCTCCATCGCGTCGTCTTCGTCGTCGTCGACAGAAGAAGACATCGATTGTTGGTGTTCCTCGTTTTTTTAACCGCTTTTCGCGTATTTTTTACTCTTCTTGAAAATATGTCTAGGGTTTTTATTAGGGTTTGAAAACCTAAACCCTAAACTAGTTGTAGTCTTTTATTAGGGGAGTTGTGTTGGCAAAAAACACCACTTAATAACACATGATGCTCCTCCTTCCTCCGATCGCGTCGAGAACCTCCTCCTCTTTCTCTGCCTCCTCCAGCTGCTCTCGCGAGCGACGACGACGAGAGCATTCTTTTTTGAGAGCGGTTGTTCGATTTTGCAGTCAAAGTTCTGCTTCTCTTTCTTCTTCTTCTTCTTTTTTTCGAGCATCATCATCAATTTCATCATCGACGCTTAGGAGGAAGAGGACGCGAAGAAGCGAGAGAACAAAAATCAGCGCAGGTTTATTCGGGCAATCGAAAGAAGAAAAGATCGTGGAACAATACTTAAACTCAAAAGAAGGCCACGAGGCGATCTTAAAGGCGAAACGAGAAGGGAAATCGAAGAAAGAGTTACTCAAAATGCACAAAAGAGATATCGTCCGGTTGTACACACAAACCAAAGATATGAAGCTCCCGTTCCATATCGTTTCGCAAAGTCAACGCCTGGTCTTCGCGAGCTTCCTCAACGCCGTCATCGACATTCCAATCCTAAACGAAGCCACGGAACAAATTATTTTCATGAAAGCGGTGGATGTCATCGCGGACGCGATCGAACGTCAGTTGGAAAAGATGGGGAGCAAAGCCTTCTTCGAAGGCGTGACGGACGCCGGCGAGTCGAGAGTCGACGTGTGGGTGGTCGCCACGGCGACGAAGATTAACGAGAAAATAGATATTCCAGTTTTGAACGAAAAGCAAGAGCAAGAGGCGATCGAGTTCGTGTTACACGCCATGGCGGAAAGATTTTTGGCCAGTCAAGGGAAAACCATCGCCGAGAAGAAGGGGAAAGGGAAGATGTTTGGTTTCATCTGATTTTCATCTGATGATAGTTGTTGTAACTGTATCACATCGAAAAAAGCTGCCATAAATTTTCACACGTTCCCGAGAAAAATTCTAAATAAGAGTAAGAATGTGTCGTCGAGTGCAGTGTTCCAAGTGCGACAAACCAACCTGGTGAGATTATTCTTTCGCGTGCCGTTATTCGTTTTAATCCGTCTTCTCGTTTCCTTTCTGTATATCTCTCTCTATCTATCTATCTTTCCTTCAAAATGTCTCATCTCTTTCCAGGTAAAAATTCTGATGAACATTTTCAACACGCAGGGCTGGATGTGGGATGCACATCGAAACCGCCTTAGCCGGGGTTAAAGAAGAAGACAGATGCAAATGCGAGCGAGGCTCGGTGTTCGGGTCCTTGCTCGGTAAATGGAAGTAGCACATTTCGTGAGCGGACGTGTTGTGGTTACGTTTAGAAATTAGAAGTGTGTTTCTTACGTGAGATTCTCACGTCATGCTATCGTTATACCTCTCTGTTCAAAAACTCTCCGCTACGCGCTGCGCTAATTCTATGTCTACGATAATCGTCTTTAAATACGAGCATTATCATTATTATTAGTAGTATCTTCTTTGTCGTCGATGTGGTCGTCGTGGCTGTCATCAAACTTCCCGGCTTTATCGAAGCTCGCGCAAAACTGGTCGTGTACTTCTCTCACCGGCTTTAAGACGCCTTTCGCGATAGTCGCGGCTGGGATGAGATTTTTACACCCCTGCGGATGGCATTCGGAACACCACTGTTCGGGAAATAAACCGATATCGTTTATGGAGTGCTCGAACTGTTTTGTTTTCGCGCGGTCGGTGAAACCACCGAACGCGTCTCGAGTGGTTTCGAGTTTAATTACTAACGGTAATCGGTTGGAGAGTTTTGAGATTTCCAGCTCTGTCGCGTGCGTCGGGATGGCGAACGAAGAAGCGCCGTGTTGTTGTTCTTCTTCCTTTCCGCCGCCAACTTTCAAGGTTGGGAATTCGCCGCGCATGATTTTTACGCTCTCTGGAGCCGCGCCTAAAGGTTTGATGTTCACTCCGTTCACTTTCGCCTCTCGCGCGAGTTTTGACGGCGAAACGAAATGGTCCAAAGGACACGTTCCCGGAATGTGGTTGCTATCGCGACTGCCCGGATAGTGACACTGAAAGGTGAAGATGTTATCGTGACCGCCCCAAACTTTATCGCACCAACACGGCATCGGCGGGATCAATAGCGTTCGCTTCAACGAAGCTGCGACGGCCATAGCGTTCGCCAAGGCTTTAATGTGTCCAGAACCGGCGACGAGATGGTCGGTGATAGAGGGCGTGTCGTGCGAAGAGATGGCGCCGTGGTCGTCGACGGCGTCGTCGTCCCATAAGTGAGCGGAAGCGTCAAACGTGATAAACTTTTCTTCTCTTTCTTCTTCAGGGACGCGCCACAGTCCAGCTTCCATGAACCTCCATTTTTTTGCATCGCCAGAACTGCCGTCAAAAGTATACGTCGCGTGTACCGCAAACGGCGTCTTCTTTTCCTTCTCGTGAAATTTTTGCACCATGTACACGTGACCGGGATTAAACTTCGCCACTGGAAACACTCCTAACAACGTGTCCCCTTCCGCGGCGACCAAGACGCGCTTGTTCTCCTTCGGCCCGAGAGTTCGCGTTCCATCCATGCGCATCACCTCCAAACCAGGCCACGCGTTTTCTTTCCTCGACATCGCGTTGAACACCTGTTGATCGCTGGTTAATCGATGAAACCTTCCATCCGTCGCGCTCAAATGCAAGTTCCATTGCTTCGCCCATTGAATCCCACCTTTCGTGTGTCTCAAAAACACAATCCCGGTGTTAAAGACGCCTCCTTTGGCGTAATTCCCACCGTCTCTCTCGTCCGACGTCGGCGATAAATTATCGCTCGACACAATCACGTCGGCGGCTTTCAACTCTTCACACCCGTCGATATCGAACGATAAATTCTCCACCACTTTCCCGTCTTCGCTCACCTTCTCGCATTTCAAGTACTCCTCGGGATTCTTCAACCAAACGACGTCCGCGTCAGACATGACGACATCAAACCCAAACTCGAGTAAACTCGTCGCGTGCGAAATGCGCATCTTTGCAAAATTCTTCCACGCCTTCGAGGCGTGCGAACTTCCTTGCGCTTCCAAGTGGTGGTCCACGCGATAGGTAAACGCCTGTCCTTCGCCACCGTGCGATTCGTCCCCAACTGTTTTCTTCAAAATCTCGAACGCGTCGTCGTCTAAAGCACCAATCAACGTCGTCATCCCAATCGCTTTCGCCCACAAGATGAAATTCACCGCTAACTCTATGTGATGCGAGTTTGCGAACGACACCACCACCGCGCTGCCGCGATGTAAGCCCATGCGATTGACGACTTCGATCAACTCATCCGGAGCGTTTGGAAAGGACATTTTATCCACCCGAACTTTACTTTGCGAGTGAAATTTCCTCTCCATTTCTGCCGTCACCGGTGGTGGCGAAACATTCGGCGGCGGAGGGAAATCCGGCAAGGGTGGCACATTTTCCTCCTCCTCGCTACGGGTGGTGGTTCTCTCGACATCATCATCATCAAATCGCAACTCTCCTAACGGCGGCACGTACTTCTTCCTATCACTACTCCTATCCTCCCATCTACCATTATTACCAACCTCGTCGTCGTCGTCCTCGCGAGGAATGATGATGTCGTCGTAATCCTCGTGATTCTTCGGCGTCCCGCCTACCGGTAAGTGATTCCTCTTCTCGTGAGACTTCGGGACTCGAAATGTCATCCGTCGCATCCACGCGTACTTCTCCGTCTTTTGCAACTGGTCCACGTAGAGGAACAGGAAAAATCCAATAACAGTGACCGATAAAGAACGACGGACGAGTTTCTTCTTCAAAAGCGAAGTCGTGGTCGCGCTCGAGGAGGCGAAGTCCCTCATCTTTTCTTTCTATTATCCTAAAAGGAGTGTTTACCCGAAAGTGAGGACGAAAAGTGCGGCTTTTTCTCGCGTTCTCGTTTTTCCGAAATGAATGAAGAAAAATACACGGACGCTCTTCATCTTCATGTTCTCGCATTATCCTCGCAAAATCTCCTCGGCTCTTCTCCTGGCGACGTTTGCACACTTTTTCTCTAAATCTCGAAACCACGTTTCAAACGAATCTCTCAATCCAAAGCGACTTTTCTCGATCAACTTGGAGACGACGGCGACGACGCCTTTGAGTTCGCGAAGTTCTTTCACCGCGTTTGAGTGTTCGGTTTTTTTTGTTTTGATTTGTTCGAGGAGTTTACGCTCGTGGATCGCGCGTTCGGAGAAGGAGAATTGGGAGGATGGATTTAAGCGCGACGCTTCTTTTTGTATTCGAGTGGATTGGATGGATTGACGGAGGTTGGCGAAGTCGAGTTTGAGTTGGAGGACGCGATCGCGGACGAGAGCGGCGACGGCGAGGGTGGAGGATTTTTTTTGCTCGTTGGCGGTTATCGCTTGGGAAAGAGAGAGGACGTGCGAGGAAGAAGAGGATAGGAACGCGGAGAAAGCGAGCTTTTTGTCGAGGAGAAGGGAGCGATGGTAGTCGAGGTCGAAGTTTTCTGCGTCGTCGTCGAGAAGAGGATTCGCGGGATTTGGATTTTCTGCTGCTTGGATCTGTTCGCGCGCGTCGTTCATGTCGGCATCATGCTCACCAGCGCCGTTGTCGTTGTCGTCGTCGTCGTCGTCGCTTGTTTCAGCAGTATTATCATCATCATCATCACCTCCTTCTTCTTCTTCTTCTTCTTCTTCTTCTTCTTCTTCTTCTTCTTCTTCTTCTTTTTCTTCTTTCCGTTCAATAGAGAGAGCAGTAACTTGAGAAGGTTTCAAACTTGCACTTTTACCATCATCATCATCATCATCATCATCATCACCGCATGTAACTAAAACCTTCCTCTCTAAGATTGCGTACGCTTCTTTCAGCGCGTTCAGTTCTTCTATTAGACGGGCGTTCTCTGCTCGTAAACGTTTAATCACCAACTCAGGGACGATTTCTTGGTTTACGTGATACTCGTTCGTGACGCACGATACGCGTTGCGCAAATCTGCACGTCGCCACGTTTTCAGTTAATTGCGCTTCGTCGTGCGAACACGTCGCAATCATGACGGTGTTACAGTTACCTCCGAGCGAATCTCGAAGCATGCATGTTACTATTGAATTCCGATACGGCACGTGATACGTAGCGTTGGCGTCGTTTTTTCTTCGTCGAAGTAGTTGTTGCTCTTGCAAAGCGACGATGACTCGTTCGAGATAGTGCAAGGATAAGTTAATATGCTTAGCTTCTGTGAGCACGGAACCGTCTATTTTTGTTTTTGAGACTCGTTCGGAACCAGCGAGATCGACAATGTTCAACTTTGCTCTTTGTAGAGTATCGTCGCCGGACGTTCGTTTCTCGATCGTGATTGTGAACACGCAATGGGAACGACTCGATGCTAAGTTTAGCGGCGTTTCAGCAACTGCGCGATTCGCATCGCCGGCAAAGAGTAAATCCATCGCTTCTTCTTCGCTGCAAATTCTATGCGTGGATATGCCTTTCAAATGGAACGTTTTCTTTTCGTCTTCTTGAAGATAAACTCGAGGTAAATGAAGTTGATGTTGTTGTTGTTGCTGGTTTCTCGATGACGATGGTTCTAGATCGATGCGATTGTTGCCAATTTCCCTCGACACTTGAAACATTTCTGCTTCATTCATATCATCATCTTTAGCATTGACATCATCATCATCATTATTATTACCATCGCGTGAACATTCCTCGACGCCTCCCCGCAAAAACATAGACGACATGTTCAAATCATGCCTCCCTAACAAATCGTACGCTTGCTCGTTATACACCTCCACGTACTCGCACGTCGCGTCAAACGTGACCACTTTGTTCCCGTTTTTCTCCTCTTCCTTTCTCTTTCTCTTCTCCATCTCTCGAAATACCGTTTCTAAACTCCTCGGAATTATTCCTCGATTCTCAAACGCGCCGTCGTTCCCGCCGGTGATCGTATGCGTCTTCCCGGACCCGGTTTGCCCGTACGCGAATATCGTTCCGTTGACGCCATCTAAACAGTTCAAAACGACGTTTCTCGCGCACACATCGAAAGTATCTTCCTGCGACGCGTTTTCGTCCAAGATTTCATCGAAGAAGGTAAACATCTGACTTCCTCTCTTCGCGTATTTTTTACTCGCAGCAGCAGCAGAAGCACTCTCCTTCTCCTCGTCCTCCTGTTCGTCCTCCTCGCAGTCGAACGATACCATCTTTTTCTTTTCGTCGTCCTCTCCTTCGCGTTCTTCCACGCGCACTCGTTTCGAGAGATGATCGTGAGATGGCTTCAATCGAAGATACACCGCTATTCTTTTGCTCTTTTTCTTCTCGTCTTTTTCTTCTTCTTCTTCGTCTCGGTCGTCGTCTGAATCGTCACTCCTCCCAGCGAAAGAAGAAGAAGAAGAAGAAGACTCTCTCTCTTCGTCCGCAACAGGAGGAGGAGGAGGAGTAATAATAGTATTCGCATCGTCTGTCATCGCTGTAAAGCGAAAGAGATGCTATTCGTGTAACAACAGTGTGGCTGTTTTCAGTCAAACTTTTTCTTTGCCTTCCGGGGTCGTATTTTTTGACTTTTTCTCTCTCTCTCTTTACTTGATGAAACGCTAATACATCAAAGGCGCAAAAGACGACGGGGATGATATATTTTAGTACGTTGTTCTAAATACTCTCTCTCTCTCTTCTCTGTTGTTACAAAATGCTACGGATGATGTGTGTATTTATTGTTAGTCATTTAAAATCCGAGTCTCAATCTGACGATGATATTGCGAACCCGATTATATACGCAATCGTCAAAAGCGGGGTCCGCCGACGCCGTCCCAAAACAACTTTTCGGACGTCAACATTAATTAATTCTTCGCGATCCCGGTTGGATTCTCCGCTTTTTCAATCTCAATCTCGTGCGAAAACTCCCACGGTTTCCACTCTCGCATCTTTGGAATCAGCTCCAACTCGTCTCTCGCTTGCACCGCTAACTCTTCGATTTGCCCAGCCGCGATCGTCTCTTCAATTTCGCTCACCGTTTTCCCACTTAACGTCACTTTCTTTCGGTGCTTGTACATTTCTTCCACGACTGTTCTGTACGCCGCGTTCTCCGGCACGAACTGGATCTTTTCCAGGACTTGGTCGCATAAATTCGCGTACGTGTTTATCGGGTCGTTCATCACCGGTAAACCGACTAAACCGGTGGTTTTTTTAAGGGATTCATTCGCACGATTTGTATTCGTAAAAGGTACGCACGCGCTCGTCCTCAAAAAACGAAATAAAGTCGCTTTTGTCGATATCGTCGTCGTCGTCGCGAAGTGAGAGGAGAGCGCTCTTTTCAACGACCGAGAAGAAGAGCGCATCATTTTTTTGTGTGTTCTATTCTCAGAAAGATGATGATGATGATGATGATGTGGTTGTGTTTTTGAGGATGAAAAATGAAGGAACAGGAACAAATCGATTGATGAAAAAAAAAAAATTTCTTTCGAAAAAATTTCAAAAAACCAAAAACTTTTTGCTCACTTTTTCTTACGAAACACACACACTGTGAGAGCGCTTTGTACTACTACTAAAACGACTCGTAAGAATAAGAGCACGAATAAAATGTCGAGCAGCAGCGAGGAGGAGGAAGAAGACGAGGAAGAAGACCAGCGAGAAGAAGAATCGGAGGAAGAGGAGGAAGAAGAAGAAGATTCGGATTCGGAGTACCGTCATTCCCAGGATGATGATGATGGTGAAAATTTCATCCGGGAACAAAACGTGAAAGCGTTGCGAGATGGCCTTCCGCTCTCGAAAATTCGATACGCGTCGGTTCTGAGCAATTTAAAACCTCCGGAACCAGACGAGGTTATTTTGAAGAGACACTTTGCGCCGCTCGTTCCCGGTGGGGCGTTGCAAACGGGTACGTTTTTAGTGTGTTTGTTTGTATGCTTTCTCTTTCGCGCGTTCGGAGGAGGGGAGTCGATTTTGGATTTTTGAACGATTCTTTTTCGTCCGTCGTTTTCAGTCTTTTGGGTGCCCACTTTTGAAAAAAAAGCACATCATCTCTTTCTCTCTCTGTTTCTTCTCTGTTCGTCGTTATTGCGTTTACATTACATTTCAGTTCTGACGATTCTATTTCGAAAACGTTTTCTTTTTCTGTCATACAGCTGGGTTACAAAGAGCGATTCTCGCTCGGAAAATATTCATCCCGTTCGGATCGAAGCTCAAAGTCGAGTTGCCGAGAATTATCCCGTCCGACGCGGATGCGGAAGATATCGTGCTCCCAGAAGGCGTCGAAGAGTTGGTGTTGTGGCAAGACGAGGATAAGGAAAGAGAAGAGGCGAAGAGTTCGTTACCTGCGGTGAAAGTGGATAACATGTTGACCAGGTGGTTGCGACCGCATCAACGGGAAGGGGTATCGTTTTTGTACGAGTGCGTGATGGGTTTGCGCGGGTTTGAAGGCGCCGGTTGTATCTTAGCCGACGATATGGGCTTAGGGAAGACGCTGCAAGCGATTGCTTTGATGTGGACTTTGTTGAACACGAGCATCGAGGAAGATCAAAAACCGACGGTGAAAAAAGTGGTCATTGTCTGTCCGACGTCGTTGGTGGCGAACTGGGACGCGGAGTGCATAAAATGGTTGAAAGGGAAAGTGAAGACGACGCCGATTTGCGGAGACTCGAGAGCGGACGCGGAAAGCGCGGTGAAGATGTTCTTAGCGCCACAGTCCAGATCGCAAGTCTTAATTGTTTCCTACGAAACGTTTCGAATATATCACGAACGATTTACCACGGAAAGTTCGTGTCAGTTGGTCATTTGCGACGAGGCGCACAGATTGAAAAACGGCGAGACGTTGACGAACCAAGCTTTGGCCAAGATGGCGTGTAAACGACGCATCATGCTTTCCGGAACGCCGATGCAAAACCACTTGGACGAGTTTTATAGCATGGTGTCGTTTTGTAACCCTGGGATTTTAGGCACGACGAAGGAGTTCGCGAAGAAATACGAGCGACCAATTTTAGCCGGGAGAGAACCATACGCCACGGACGCCGAGTTGGCAAAAGCGAACGAACGAAACGAAATGTTGAGCGTTATCGTGAACAAGTTCATCTTGAGAAGAACGAACACAATTTTATCCAAGCACTTACCCCCGAAAGTGATTGAAATCGTGTGTTGTAAGACGACGCCTCTGCAAAGATCGATTTACGAACACTTATTGTCCGAGAAGGCGAGAATCGCGCAGAAAACCGGGAAACAGATGGACGTTTTGGCGTGCATCACGGCTTTGAAAAAGCTGTGCAATCACCCGAAATTGATTTTTGATGCCATTCGGGAAAAGAAGTACGCCGGGAAAACCGATGGTGGGAACGCGATCGACGATAATTTGACGCCGTATTTCCACGGTTTGTACGACGGCGGCGGCTCGGGAAGAGGCGGTCGAGCGGGCGGGCAGATGTGCGAAGGGTGGGAATGGCACGGCGGAAAATTCGCCGTTTTAGCTCGATTATTGCACCAGTTACGCACGGAAACGAGCGATCGGATCGTGATTATCTCCAACTACACGCAAACGCTAGATTTGGTGGAAATTTTGTGCCGTCAAAACAACTACCCGTCCTTGCGCTTGGACGGAGGAACGAGTATTAACAAAAGACAGAAACTCGTCAACGCGTTCAACGATTTGACGAACAACGAGTTTATCTTTTTGCTCTCTTCCAAAGCTGGTGGGTGTGGTATTAACTTAGTCGGTGGGAACCGTTTGGTGTTATTTGACCCGGACTGGAACCCGGCGAACGATAAGCAAGCCGCGGCGAGATGTTGGCGAGACGGTCAAAAGAAAAAGTGCTACGAGTACCGATTTCTTTCCTCGGGGACGATCGAGGAGAAGGTGTTCCAAAGACAATTGGCGAAGCAAGCGCTAACGAGCGTTGTCGATGGGCGAGGATCAGGTTTAGAGCAAATGTCGATGACGACGGAGGATTTGCAGCAGTTGTTTTCTTTGGACGTGGAGTGTCCGAGCGATACGCACAGAACGTGCGATTGTACGCGATGTCCCGACGTTCATCGCAAGATTGAAGAAAATACGACGACGACGATGATGAATCACAGCAGCATTTCGAGCGAGGATAACGCGATTGGTGGTGGTGTGAACGACCCTTTACCGGAAGAAAAGCAATTGGAGGACTTCGACGAAGCGAAACTGAACACTTGGGCGCACCATTATCGCATGTCGCACGTCCCCGACGCGCAGTTACGCAAAGCTGCCGGCGAAGACGTGACGTTTGTTTTCTCGCTCGAAGTCGACGGCGCGAGGATTGCAGAGATGCAAGAAAGAGCGTTAGCGTTGGCGGAGAAGAAGAGGAAAGAGAATCCTGTCGTTGCAAATAAAGACAGAGAGGAAGAGGAGGAAGACGATAGCGACAGCGATAGCGACAGCGACGGTTCATCATCGCTATCGTCATCATCGTCTCTTACAGACGACGAGAAAGAAGAAAGAGAAGAAGTAAACGAAGAAGAAGAAACAGTAACTGTCACGAAAAAGAAGGCGAAAGCGTTGAAAGACGTGAGCTCGAACGAAATGGAAACACGCATTGCGATTACAAAAACTTTGACTGCCACCGAGAAGAAGAAAAATACGCCGACTCCCTCCAGCGGTTGCGGAAGGCAAACGTCGTCATCGGCCAAGCGCCACAAAGCAGCGATTAGTGACGACGACGAAGACGACGAAGAGGAGGGCGAAGAGGAGGAAAAGAGCTATGATGCACACGAGGAACAACACGACAAAGAAGAAGAGGAACTCGCCCCTCCTCTAAAGAACGAGAAGACGAACGAGAAAAAAACGATGACGAGGAAGAATATCCGCAAGTCAAAGGATGATCCAAATACTTGCGTCAACTGTAACAAGAAATCCGACAAGAAAGAAATGGTCCCGTGCGCTGGTTGCGAGAGAAAATTTCATTGGTTTTGCAACGATCCGCCGATGAGTAAAAAGCCAACGAAAAGGAGTCATCCAACGGGTTGGTTCTGCAAGGATTGCAACGAAGACGGAGAGAAAGAAGATGAAGAAGAAGATAAAGATAAAGATAAAGATGATGACGATGAAGAAGAAGAACTCGCTCTCACCGCGGAACCGGCGAAAAAAAGGAAAGTGTTATCGGATGATATGATTATCGTCTTGGACGACTCAGAGGAGGAGGAGGAGGAAGAAGAATATCGAGAAGAATCTGAATCTGAAGAAGATGACGATGATCAAGTTCCCGACTCTGAAGACGACGATTAATATACACTGGAACGTTGTTATATATATATTAAAAAGAACAAAACACTCTCACTCGCTCACTCTTTCTCTCTCTCTCTCTCTTTATCGCATCTGAGCTTCCGCCGCTTCGCTCACGACTGGCAAATTCACGTACCTCCCCGTCGCGCACCCGACCGCACACAACGCGAACGCCACGACCAACCCTACCCAAATAACGTTATACATCCACTTCGACAAGAAATACGGAATAGTTATGCCTAAAATCTCCCTCGAAAACAAAGATTCCAACAACCCCGGAAATATCAACACAATGTCCAACAGTATCGCCTGCATTCCGTTAAAGCGACAAAACCTGCTCAAGTTTTGGTTCCTCGCCACGCCTAAATACGCGGCAAAAAACGGAATCAAATTCCCCAGCGGTAACGTGGCTACAATTTTCACGATAGGTAAGAGCGGTTGCAACATAATTATCGCCGCCGGAAACGCCGCGAAGAAGTATCGCGAGTATCTTAGGCCGGATATCAACGGGAGCAAGTACGGGAGAAACGCCACCACTCGGTCCGAGACTGGAACTAAGGACGTGCCGCCGCCGCCAGCTTTCGTCTGAACCACCACCATTCTTTTGTTGAGCGTCGTCGTCGTCCTCGTCGTCGCGAACATTGATCGAGACGAAGAAGAAGGAGAAGAGAGAGAACAACAACACGCCGCCGTCGATGATGAATTCTTTGAATTCATCTTAAAGGTTTGTTGTCTTTCTCTTTCTCTTCCTCTTCCGATTCGTTCCAAGCGCGTTTGGGGGAGAAGGAAACGACATCTCCTCCTTAAATCCTTTTGGAGAGAGGAAGAAGAATCCACCACGAAAGTTGTTCTGTTCGTCGTCGTCGAGAGCATTTTTTCTATTACATATACAATTGAAGTGAAGACGAAAGAAAAAATTTCCAAAGCGGTTACTTGTCTGACTGTCTGACTGTTGTTGTTCCAAAAAAGAAAAAGAAGAGAGTCTCTTTCGCACCAAACGGCGGCGAAGAAAGTGTTCTTTTGAGTATTCGTTGAGTATGTGATGTGAATGTATGTACAACAGGACTATGAGAGAGAGCTAATGTTGAGTGCGCATGTGGTATTTTAAACTCTTAGCGTAACGATACCTCTTCTCGCACACGTGGCATTCATACGGTTTCTCTTTCGTGTGAATACGCTTGTGGCTTTTCAAATTACTAGATTGAGTGAAACGCTTCTCGCAAACATCACATTCGTACGGTTTCTCGTTTGTGTGAATACGCGTGTGTTTTTGCAAATGACCATATTGACGAAAAGCTTTATCGCACACATCACATTCGTATGGTCTCTCGTTCGTGTGAATACGCGTGTGGTTTTTCAAAGCACTAGAATCACTGAAACGCTTCTCGCACACATCACACTCGTACGGTTTCTCGTTCGTGTGAATACGCATGTGGGCTTTCAAATTATCAGATCGAGTAAACACCTTCTCGCAAACATCGCACTCGTGCCCTCTCTTTCTCTTCACTCCTTTAGCGTCTTTCCGCGTCTGATTTTGCTCCACGACATCGTCACACGGCACGCACATAATCCTCCGCAATTGCTCTACGTCGTCGTCTTCTCCCTCTTCTTCTTCTTCTTCTTTTCGTATCTGATTTTGATTCGCCTCGAGATCATCCTCCTCGTCAGGAATCCTCGAACACAACACCGGTTCTTCTTCTTCCACTTCTTCTTCTTTATCTCTCGCCACCTTCAAAACCGTCCTCGCGTTCACCGCGCGTTTAGGATGTGGATTCTTTCTTCGTCCCATGGTATTATCAGTGCGCGAGACTTTAAAAGAGAGTCGTGCGAGGTTGAAGAATAACGTATTATCGCATGTGTGATGTGATCAGAGCGTCTCAGAGAAAAGTATTGTTTAGGGTTTACATCATCACTCACAAACCCTAAACATGAGAAAACGCAAGCCGCGGGCATTTCGTCGAAGCACGCGAGGCGAGAAGTCGCGAAAGATTCTCACGCTCTCGTTTCTTCAGAAAGAGAAGATACGAGAGAGACAGAGAGACAGAGAGGAATAATGAACACGATGTCCTCTTCCTCTTCCTCTTACGGAACAGCTCATACGAACACGAACAAACACAACGAACGAGAAGCGTTGTTGTTCGAATCCAATCGGGACGACGACGTCCAAAAGACGAAGAAAACATCATCTTCGCGCATCGCGAACGTGTTACTGAACCGAAAGACGCTCGCTTTGGGCGCTTTAGCGTTCGTCTCCGTCGGCGCGTTAACCGCCGTCAAGTCTTCTCGCGGTGGTGGTAGTTCCTCGTTCGCGACGTTAGGCGGAGCGAAAGATACCTTGTTGCCCCATTCGTTCAGCGAGCTCGGGAAAAAAGCATCTTCCGCTCCTTTGGGTTTAAGAAAGAAAAATTCTTCGATGGAGAAGGTGGGATTACTCGGCGCCATGGACGTCCACGCGTGGCCGGACCCTTTCGAAGAAGTCCAACGAGTCGCGCAGGAAGAGGCGCCGGCGGTTGAAGAAGAAGCGACAAAAGAAGAAGAAGAAGTAAAACAACAACCAGATTACGAGGAAATTCAAGCCGCGGAACAACAACAACAACCGGTTGCCGAGGCGGTTGTAGAAGAAGTCCCCACGACAAACGTGATGGAAACGGCCAACCCGCAGTGGGTGAACACGAACGCGTTGGCAGTGCAGCAACAAGCGAACATCGCGGCGCAGGTTGGCGCGTCCGGGATCGTCGCGTCGGCGGTGGCCATCGATCCGCAAACGGGGCAGCCGTTTGCCACGCCGGCGGATGGAGGCGCCTCGTTGTCGCAAAGTTTGAACACGGATTTATCGAAACCGCCGGCGAGTTGGCCGGTGGATATGGAGAGTGGCGTGCAATGCAACCCGATCATTGGGTGCGTCGCGGGCGTGCCGTATCCGGGCATCGGGTGTTGCGAAACCGCGATGTTGACGCCGGAGGATGTGGCGCCGACGCAGACGCAACAACAAGTGCCGGTGAACCCGTACCAGTATCCGATCGCTGGTGCGGTGACCACGCAACCCGCCGCGGCGCTTCCGTATCAACAACAACCGCAACAAGTCTATCAACAACAACAACCAGTACAACAACAACAAGCGCAAGATCCGTACGCCGCGTACCAGCAACAATTACAAGCCGCGCCGGGGGCGTACGCCACCGTCGCCGCTGCGGCGACTGGTAGTATCGCGCAACCAGGGGCGGAAATCAACCCTGTTGGCGAGAACGGTTTACCGGAGTGTAACGTCGCCGAAGATTGCGTCGCCGGCGTTCCGATTCCGGGCATCGGCTGCTGCAACGAAGCCGAAAAGGCGTTGATCATTGCCGACGCGCAAAGTAGACAACAAATTGACCCGGTGACGGGCGTCCCGTGTAACACGGACGCGAATTGCGTCGCCGGTGTCCCGATTCCAGGCATTGGTTGCTGCGAGTCTGCGCAAGCGATGGTTGGTTCCCAAGAGCAACAAACGCAATTCTATCAGCAACAACAACAAATTCCGGGCCAATACATTGGCGTCCCGCAAGCTGTGGATCCATCCACATTGCCGGCGGCGTTCGCCCCGGGCGTCAACCCGTTCGCATCGGCCGTTATCACCGCTGAAAATGCGCAACCGCAAATGTTGAACCAAATTGATCCGGTTACCGGCCAAGCGTGCAACCCGAACCCGGGCTGCGTCGCCGGCGTCCCGATCCCGGGCGTTGGGTGCTGCACCGGTACCGCCTCGCGAATGATTCCAGGCTCGCCGCTCGTCGACGCTGCGACTGGTTTACCGTTAGTTAATCAAAATCCAGTCGATCCGGCGACGGGAAAACCGCTCTTCATGAAGGCGTGCGACGCCACGCCTACGTGCGTGGCGGGCGTCCCGACCGCGGGAGTGGACTCGTGCTGTAAACAAGGCGAATGCGACCCGTCCCCGACTTGCACCGCCGGTGGCTTAGAACCAGGAGTAAACAACTGTTGCCACGTTTGCGATGGGAACCCGGAATGCCAAGTTGGCTCTGAGTTCCCGGGCATCGACACGTGCTGCAAACCGCCGCCCCCGCCGGATTACGACGGCACGCCGGGTAACTGCGACGCGAACCCGTCCTGCCAACCGGGCGTTCCGGACCTGGGGAAGAACACGTGTTGCCCCGACAACGCGGCCTGCGACACGACGCCTGAGTGCATCCCAGGTGGTACCGTCCCAGGTGTCGATACGTGCTGTGCGGACACGTGCTTGGTGAAGCAAAAAGTCCAACAAACAGAGTTGGGCACCAGCGAAGTCGAAACGAAGAAACAAAATCCATGGAAAGGCTGTAACCCGGACCCGAAGTGCCTCCCAGGCATTGACATCCCAGGCGTGGACAACTGCTGCAAAAACTGCGAACCAGGCGTCCCGACCCCGGGCGTGGACGATTGCACCGTCGCCCGAAAGCGCATGTGGGCTCGATCCATGCGACGAAACGGCATGAAAAACGACCAAATCAACGAAGTCATCCAAAAAGAATCTAAACACATAGAGCAAACGGCCGAGGAGAAGGAACAACAACGACAGCAAATGATGTTAGAGTTGAAAAATCGAATCAAAGAAGAAATGGCGAGAAAAGAGGATCTGTTGAAGACGAAAAAAGCGCAGGCGAGATCGAGCGCGAGAGCGAGCGCGAGAGCCAGTCGAGGGAGCACCGCCGCCTAAATATAAAGTAAAAGAAGTCGTATTATCCTACAAGAGCGAGAACAAGATGAAGAAAACCGCCAACAATTTTATATTATACATATATTTATTCATTATTATTATCAGTATCATACTCTTTTGCACGTAAAAGAACATGCTGTGGAGGAAAAAACTGTATTAAATGTGAGCACAAACAGGAGAAAAAATTAGTGGCTAAAATCGATCTGCCTTTGTACCAAAAAGCAGTCACTCGCACTAATCTTTTTTCTCCTCATTCAGACGCACACTTTACACCTACACCTTTACCACAAAAAATAATCATGTTCTCCGCTACTACCGCGCACACGACGTTTACCGCGTCCATCGTCGCTTTGAGACCGACGACGAAGACCACCTCGAAGAGGTCGGCGACTTTTGTTGTGCGTTTTATAATTCTTTTTGCATTTTTGTTTCCCGTGTGACGGCACGACAGATTCCCGAGACGTCATCATTTCATTCTCGTTTTGATTAGAGAGAAATACTGTGCACGCGAGATGGTTTCTCTCTGTCTCGCGCGGGAAGTCTCTTTAGCTCTCTCTCTTTAGCTCTCTCTCGGCTTTTACTGACAGCATTTTCTTTCTCTCTCTCTTTTGAACGCATGTTGTTATTATTATTATTATTATTATTATTATTATTATTATTATATCACCAAAACAGACGAGAGCGGAACAAATGAACCAAGAGATGTCCGGCGGCGAACTCGGTTTGGGCGAGCTCGAAGACATCATGGACATGGCGGACGGAGGATCCCCGATCCCAGGCTTTGTCAAAGATATGGACATCCCGGAGTTGACGAAAGCGTTTGAAATTTTGGGCTCCACGGAAACGTCCTTGGGCGAAGCTTTGTTCGTCGAAAAGTACGGCGAAACTTTGTTCAGACAGTCCGGGTGGACGCCGACCGCGGAATTGATCAACGGTCGATGCGCGCAAATTGGCTTCGTGTTGGCGCTGTTGAACACTTTCAACGCGGACGTGTTGACGGGCATCTCCACGCACCCGATCTTGGTCGCGTTGACGGTTGCCGGCATTGCCGGTGCCTCCATCGTCCCGGTCGTCGAACCGCAAGGGTACTTCCCGTCCGCGTTGAAGGACGGCGTCATGGGCGTGTACAAGGGGGCCAAGTTGGACGAGAAGTTCACGCCAACTGCCGAAATGGTTAACGGCAGAGCCGCCATGGTCGGCATGGCTGTCTTTTTGTTGACCGCGACCATCTTCTAAACCCAAGTTGGACCAAGTTGGTACATATACATAAAGTTCGGTGACCAAAAATGGTAGTTCGGTGAAATACACAAAGGTATATATATCGAGAGTATATCATAGAAAGAGAGAGAATTAGTTCCAAAGAGGAAAATTTACTTATACTTAGAAAACAAAACCATAACTACTATATCATAACTATTTGTTTAATCCGTCTTCAACGGCATCGTCTCCTTTCTAATCCCATCTTTATTCATCACAAACAACTCCACCGCGTCTCCGGTATAAATGTCTCTCTCTCCAGCCGTGGCAAAACAATCTTTAATCAAATCAATCGCCTCTTCTTCGCTCAACGGCGTCGCGCTACTCACCGCCGGCAACACCAACGGACTGACCGTTTTCAACTGATTATCCAACACCGGCATAATCAACTGCTGCCCACTCCCTTGACAGGAATAATTCGTCCTCTCGTAACTCCCGACCGCATCGTACGTAAACACCGCCCCTTTACCTTCCGCATCTAAACCAGCCACGATGTTGAACGCGTAATACGGAAAAAACCTTCGCATGTACAGCGTATTCGAAAGCATCTGCGCAAACGCCACGCACCCGATGGGTTTGTTATTCGCAAACTGATACTGATCGCACCTCCCTTTCAACAACTTCTTCAACGTCGCCGCGTCTGCCATAAACCCAGCCGACGCCATCAACGTTTTCGGGGACATTTCGTCCACTTTCGTATACTGCCTCGTCATGATCGAATACCCCGTGCTCATCCTCGTATCGGCTGCGCAAATCACGTAATCCTCCCCGGCAACAGCCATAACCGTGCCTCCGTTGTTATCGTACGGCGACCACGTCGCGTGTTGTTTCGTGTGGTTCCCGTGATAACTCGACGGGTTGAAATTGTTCTCCCCGACCGCGTCGTACGTCTCCATCTTTGTCTTCTATTTGTCTACTCTTCTTTGCCGTTATTGGATGAGATCGCTTATTAGTTAGAGAAAAAACTCTCTCAAACTCTCTCTCTTTCTTCTCTCACGCTCAAAAACACCTCGCGCGATGAGAGCGCGACAACAAAAGCAGTAACTCTTTTTCTCTCTCTCTCTTTATTCTTCTTCTTCTTTGTCTTCTTATATTCTTCTCTTCGTCGTCAAAGATCCACCAAAAGAGTGACGAAAACTTTTCGGCTTCCCTTTCTCTCTTTTTTCTAAACCCTAATCTTAATGAAACCCTAACTTTTAAATTTTTTAACCCACTTACAATTTTTTTTCTCTCTCGAGAGCTCGTGGAAAAGAACAAAAAGACAGACAAAACGACGACACAAACACACTCTTACTCCTTTCTTCTTTCGAAAGAAGAAGAAGACGCACAACCAGAAGATGGCGATCGAAATGGACCTGTTCCGCTCGGAGGAGATGGAACTGGTCCAACTGATCATCCCCGCGGAAGCCGCGCACGACACGGTGCAAACTTTAGGTTCGGTTGGTTTAGTCGCGTTTCGAGATTTGAATAAAGATAAATCGGCGTTTCAGAAAACGTACGCGAATCAGGTGAAACGGTGCGACGAGATGCTGAGGAAGTTAAGGTTTTTTACCGAGCACATGAATAAAGCGGGGATTACGATACGGAAAGAGATTGGTGATGGTAGTGGTGGTGGTTACGGTGGGAGGTTTAACAGTAACGAGGAGGAGACAGACGGATACGGACGAGAGAACAACAACAACAACAGAGTCATTTCGATCGACGAGCTCGAACACACGCTGGACGTGTTATCGGAAGAAGTCTCTCAGTTATCCGCCAACACGGAAAAGCTGAGACGATCGCACGGAGAGCTGGTGGAATTGCAGTTGGTTTTAGAGAAAGCGGGCGGGTTTTTCGAGGAAGCGCGGTCGGACGCGAATAGGCACCAGGACGAGGAAGATTCGTTGAGGATGATGCGAAGGGAAAACGCGCGACAGGACGAGGAGAGTTTGTTGTCGAGTTCGTTTCGAAGCGAAATCGATGACGAAGGATTAGGAAACGGGGGGTCGCCGTCGCGAATGACTCGACGAACTGGGTCGTTTATCGATCAAAATCATCCGGATCACGACGTTGAGAGGAACGACGCTTCCATGGGCGGCGTCGCGGCGAGCGCGAGGTTGGGATTTATTACCGGAACGATCAACACGGAGAAAGTGCACGCGTTCGAGCGCGTTTTGTTTCGCGCGACGAGAGGAAACGTGTTTTTGAAGTTGGCGAACATCGACGGGCACGTGGAAGAGCCGACGACGGGGGAGAAGACGTTTAAGACGGTGTACGTGGTTTTTTTCGCCGGCGAGAGGGCGAGGAATAAGATTGTGAAAATTTGCGAAGGGTTCAACGCGAACAGGTACCCGTTTCCGGAAGACTTCACGAGACAGAGGCAAATGAACGCGGAGTGTTCGGGGAGATTGGTCGAGTTACGGTCGACGTTAGAGGCGAGCATACGACACAGAGATCGAACGTTGAGTAAAGTCGCGAAAGATTTGTGGTTCTGGTTTACCCTGGTGAGAAGAGAGAAGGCGACGTATCACGCGATGAACATGTTTTCGATCGACGTGACGAGGAAATGTTTAGTCGCCGAAGGGTGGTGTCCAACTTCTGCGAAGAGCAGAGTCTCGGAGGCAGTGGTAATAGCCAATCGAAACTCGTCGGCATCCGTCGGAACGATTTTCGCGTCCATCTCGCACAAAGGTCAAACGCCACCGACGTACTACCGCACCACAAAGTGGACGAACGTGTTTCAACAAATCGTCGAAGCGTACGGGGTTGCGAGATATCGCGAAGTGAACCCGACGGTTATGACGATCGTAACGTTTCCATTTCTGTTCGCGGTTATGTTTGGCGATTTCGGCCACGGTATTATAATGCTCGCGTTTGCAATCTACATGGTCCTTAAGGAAAGACAAATCTCGGAAAAACCAATGGGCGAAATCTTCTCGATGGTATTTCACGCGCGGTATTGTATTTTGGTAATGGCGGCGTTTTCCGTGTATACGGGCGTTCTGTATAACGAGTGCTTTTCTGTGCCGATGAAAATATTCGGCGCTTCGAAGTACGTATGCGACCCGATCGATCCGACGAAAGATACCACGTGCGATTCACAATACACCACTGGTTTAGTCTCGCGAGATGATTCCGCGTATCCGTTTGGTGTCGACCCGGTTTGGCACGGAACTCGGTCAGAACTTCCGTTTTTGAATTCTCTGAAGATGAAAATGTCCATCTTGTTAGGCGTGACGCAAATGATGGTTGGGATTTTCATGTCGCTTTTGAATCAATTGAAAGACGGTGATTGGCTGTCCGTGTATTGCGAATTTATCCCTCAAGTTGTCTTCTTGGGCGGATTATTTGGATACCTTTCGTTCCTGATCGTTTTGAAATGGATTACCCCCGGGTGTACCGCGGATTTGTACCACGTAATGATTTACATGTTCTTAGCGCCCGGCAACGTCGATTGCATGGGCGAAGGACCAGGAGGAAGCGCCGGGTGCCCTGAGAACAAAATGTTCCCAGGCCAAGGCGGATTGCAGTTGTTGATTTTGTTTGGTTGTTTCGTCGCGGTGCCGGTCATGCTGTTCCCGAAACCAATCATTTTAAAAAGACGACACGAACAAAAAAACCGAGGCGGCACGTACGTTCGTTTGGACGAAAACGACGGCGACGGCATGCAACAATTGAACAGCTCGGAAGAGTTAAGATCCCTCGGTGGAAACAGCAGTAATAATAACAACAGTAGCGGCGACGACCACGGTCATGGCGATGGAGAGTTTGATTTTGGAGACGTTTTAGTCCACCAAATGATCCACACGATTGAATTCGTCCTAGGCGCAATTTCCAACACGGCGAGTTATTTGCGTCTTTGGGCGCTTTCCTTAGCGCACGCGCAACTCTCTGCGGTTTTTTGGGATCGATGTCTCATGGCAGCAGTTGAGAGTGGATCCATAGTTGCCATCGTCATTGGATTTGGCGTGTGGTTAGGCGCGACGTTAGGCGTCTTGTTAGGTATGGAGAGTTTGAGCGCGTTTTTGCACGCCTTACGTTTGCACTGGGTGGAATACCAAAACAAATTCTACAAAGGCGACGGTATAAAGTTTACCCCGTTAGAGTTCACGTCGTTGACGGGAATGCCAGAGGAGGCGAGCTAAAGAAAGAGATGCAACGACGTACTAGTAATAATAATCACTTCAAAATCAATGTTTTAATTAATCTGAAAGAAGATGAGAGAGACACATACACGCATAAACTATTTAAATCATCGAGCGCGTTCTGCGCAAATTCTTTGGAAGTCTCGTTTCGTTCTTTCTCGCCTCATATGCGCTTCTCATCCTGGCAACCTGGTGCATCGAAACGGAGTTTTTCGAGAGATTTTCGAGAAAAGAGCACATGGAGTCTCGCGCGACGACCAGCGCGAAGAAAGTCGACGCCGCTCGATTCGTTCGAATGCGGTCGTCTTCGATTGTAAAATCTTCAGTTTCAAAGAAAGCGACGTTAGATGCAATCATCAAAACAAAGAATGAAAGAATCACGACAGTTTTTACCACGATTTCGTGGAGAATTGCGGTGTTCTCTGCACAGTACTCCTTCGCCGCGTCGTCGAGGATTGCTTTGAAGCGAAAAGAAAATCCAGAGTAAATAATCTCTTCGATTCCATCGTGTATTTTTTTACCGAAAGCGACTGTTTTATAAAACATTTTTCGTTCGGTGAAGATGCTCCATATCCACGTTTTAGTGTACGCTAAGTCTACTAGGACGCACAGAAAAATTGGAGCGAACACGGAGACGATAAAAGCCGTCGAGTCGATGAATATGCTTTGTGCGTTTATAGCCGCGATCAAAATCAGCGAGAGGATCATCGCAGAGAACGCCAGGAATGTTGCTCGATTATTACTATCCAAGATTCTTTCCATGCTAGGCAGGATACCTTTGCGACAACAGCGTAGCAGACGATAGCACGCGGTTTCAATCTTCGCGACAGGTTCGGCATACATCTCATCATCTCTTTCTTCTCTTTCCGCCCGTTCTCGAGAAAAAAAGGTTTTCGCGAGCTCGCTACCGAAGTTTTTTTCCGTGAGTAAAGAAGCAAACGTGCCAATGTACGAAACACCGGTACCGCGTTGCGTATTTGCAAAGACGACGCGCGTATTTTTCTTCAACAAAACGAGATCGTTTGTGGTAAAAACGCACGTTTTCGAGGCGAAAAAGTGTGCTATTTTCGGGTCTGAAACGATCGACGCCGGTGGATTTCTAAGAAAGACAAAGTGTCTTCCGGACACTAACGCTCTCCCTACGCCAATGCTATCGATATTATGCAAAAGCGTCGTTTTGTTACGTTTTCGCGGCGTGGTGTTGAACAATACGCCAACGTTATATACGTCGAGGTCTTTTTCCTTCTTTGTCCTTTTATTATTTCTCTCCGTCGGCGTCGAAGGCAAAATTTCACTCCGCGTCATCACAGTTCCGCCGGGTGTCATCATCAAAGACGTCAACAATCCGTTTGCTATCTTTGCTCTCAAGTTGATTTCATTTGAAGCATCATCGACGTCTTCTTCTTCTTCTTCTTTGGTAAACGCGAGGATGTTGTTTAAAACCTCTTCCTTTGAGAAACACAAGAAACGAGGACACGTTTTCCCCTCGGTGATATATACCATCCCTTCCTTGATATGATGATCCGTAAAGGTTGGAGGAAAATAGCGATCGAAGTAGTCGTTGATGTTGCTACTGCCACTGCTGTATTTTTTATTGTGAATAATCTGATGAGTGCCGTCGACGATCCGATCGAAGAGTTGGTCGCGATATTTACCGACGATGTATATTTCATCGCCCGGCGAGTTTGCGAAAGCGCCCACGGCAATTTTAGGAATCGTTTGTTGTTCGTTATCGTCGCAGACGTATTGCAGCCAAGATCTTCTTCTTCTGTGTTTCATGACAAATCGCGCGATAAAGAAGCGTCTCTCGAATATCTCTAACATTAAAATTGCGGTAACGTACACCCCCTGCCACGCTTCGCCTTTGCTCGCGGAAAGCGCCAAAATCGCCGCGCACGCGACCATAAAACTCGCGCTGAGAAGTACTTCACCGACGCTTTCCTTCTTTATGATCTTCGCTCTCGCGATATCTACCATTTTCTTAATCGTAAGGTATTCATCGTCGTCTGTATCATTTTTCTTCACCATCGCCAAAGAGACGAACGTTTCGCACCATCTCCTTTTTTTCAACTTCTCTTCTCTCCAACTCTCAATCGCTCTCACCAAAGCCTCCACTGCGCTCGTCAAAAACAACCAAAGCGACATCATCCCATCATCCCACGTCCTCTCCTCGTCGCCAAACACTTTTTCCTCGACGTACTTTCGCAACAACCACGCGCCAATCAGTAATCGCGCGGAAAATTTCAGCAGCAGAAACAACACTTCCATCGTCTCGTTTTTATCTCGCATATTTTTTTATCGCGTGTGTGATGCAATCATCATTTGTAGGAGAAAAAAAAAAGTTTTCTCAAGATCTCAAACATTCACATCATCGCGTCGTAAGGACATCATCATCATCGAGAGCAGTAACACGACTCGCTCCGATTACTTTTGGCGCGAAGAAAATTCGGTAAAAGCAGCTCTCGATGTGAAACAACAAACAAGCGTTTCCCTCCGAGCAAAAATTGAAGAAGAGACGTTCACATGTCAGAGATATGATATATAATAAATGTAAACAACTCGAAAAAAAAAACATCGGAAAAGCGAACAAAAAACAACCGATAAAAATTCCTTCATCTGGTGCATTTAAAAAAACACAAGCACTTTTCACACAAAAAAGAAGAGAACGAGCGACGCAATTATTTTATCAACAACACACACACAAAGACAACAACAACAACAACAACAAGAACGAGAAGAGCGACGACTTTATAACAACAGCAGAATAATAATAAAATGACGACGGCACACCGCGCGACCTGGTACACCGCTCGAGGGCACGAAGAACAAGGCGGCGCGAGAGTTTTTGCACCGTCGAAAATGCGGTCGAAATTAGACGCCCCGGGAATGTTGACCATGAAGACGAGGTGGAAAACGAAAGAGGAAGAAGAGATGGAAAGTTTACGAACGAACGACAACAACACTAATAACGAAGACGAAAAGATGACGACGATGCGAATGAAGTTATTGGAGAAAGAGAGAGCGCACTTTCGGAAGAAGAAGATGGAACGGCAGATTATGGGGAGCGAAAAGGAGGAGGAAGAAGAAGGAGAAGATCAGCGAGGGAACAAGAACAGATTAAGAATAGAGGCGGGAACGACGCGAAGCGCGTTTCAAGCCAACCCGGACGACGCGGACGACGACGATTCTGAGAACGAAGGAGATAACTCAGACGACGACGGTGAAAAGAAGAATTCAGACGACGAGGAAAACGAGTCAGATTCCGACGACGACGAGTCAGATTCCGACGACGACGCGGCGGCGCTGATGGAAGAACTCGAACGCATCAAAGCGCAACGCGCTTTGGAAAACGAACGAAAAGAACGCGAGCGAGAACATCTCGAAGAGATGGAGCAAAGAGACGCGTTAAAAATGGGCAACCCTTTGTTAAGAGATGAAATGGCGGACGCGAACGACGGCGGCGCAGGCAAAAAGAAATCATCAGCCACTTTAAAGCGACGATGGGACGACGACACCGTCTTTCGAAACCAAGCGCGGGACGAGCCGAAACGGGAGAAGAGATTCGTCAACGATACCATACGAAGCGATTTCCACAAGAGGTTTTTGAACCGTTACATCAAATAATTCATAGTTTAGAGAAAAGAGAGGATTTGTAAGAGTGTATTCTCGTAGTAAAACCTATCCATCGTTTACCATCATCGTCTTCATCGGATTGACGTCGTCCTTATGAAGACCCATCGGGGAAAAGAGAATTCAATTCGCTTCGTCACAAAAACAACGCATCTCATACACATAAGAAGAAAGAATACTCTGCTACGAATACTCATGTTGTTCTCTGCGGCTGCCGTTCGCACGTCCTCGCACGTACTCTCTCGCTGCTCGTCGCACGGGGTGAGGTCGTTTTTGCGTCATCAATCGTCGTGTTCCTCTTCTTCTTTCTCTCAGCGCGTTGCCGCCAAAATCCATCCTCGTCGTCACAATCGTCATCGCGCAAAGTCTTTCTCAGCGGCGGCGGCATCAAATGGAGGTGAAAAAGAAGTCGCGAAAGGCGACCGGGTTGAAATCCATTACGTCGGCACTTTAGAATCCGACGGAACTGAGTTCGACTCTTCGAGAGAGAGAGGCGTGCCGTTGCCGTTTACCGTCGGCCAAGGGCAGATGATAAAAGGGTTCGACGACGGCGTTTTAGGGATGAAAATCGGGGAAATGAAGACGCTGGTGTTACCACCTTCAATGGCGTACGGGGACGTCTCGCCGGAAAACGTTCTGAGAGTCCCGAAAAAAGACGTCGTGGACGCGATCGGGGCAGAGGAGTGCGTGATTGGCGCGAAGTTAATGGTTGGTCAAGGGATGCCGGCGACGATTACGGAAATCACGGAGGAGGAAATCGCGTTGGACGCGAACCATCCGTTAGCCGGGCAGACGTTGAAGTTTGAAGTGGAGTTGATGGATTTACAACGAACGGAAGTGAAACACAACGATAAGTTCAAGTGTTTTTTTGAGATTGATTTAGACGGTGAGCCGAGCGGGAGAATCGTGATGGAGTTGAGAGGGGACGTCGCGCCGAAGACGTGCGAGAACTTTCGAGCGTTGTGCACCGGCGAAGCTGGTTTTGGATACGAAGGATCTCCGTTCCACAGAGTTATTCCGGGGTTTATGTGCCAAGGCGGTGATTTTACCAACCAAAACGGGACCGGGGGTAAATCCATCTTCGGGAACAAGTTCGAGGACGAAAACTTTGTGTTGAAGCACGAAGGCGCGGGAACGTTGTCCATGGCCAACGCCGGGCCGAACACGAACGGTTCTCAATTTTTCTTGTGCACGGGAGAGACGCAATGGTTGGACGGTAAGCACGTCGTTTTCGGTAAAGTTGTCGAAGGCATGGACGTCGTGGCGGCGATTGAAGCCGTTGGTTCGCAAAGCGGAAAGACGAGCAAAAAAGTTACCGTGAGAGCGTCCGGGGAATGCTAAAGAATAATAAAAGGAGGAGGAGAGAGAAAAGGAAAGTGTTTACGTGTCTTTTGTAGTTGGTCATTATTTAATACAATATATATTTAAGCTCTATATACTCATGGTAGTACAGTTGTTGTTGTTGTTGTTGATATTGTCACTTGTTTGCAGCGGCGTTGGCGGCGAAGGCTACGGGGTTTCCTAATTCGACGTTGTCGCTACCGGTGTTGTTCGTCGCGTTCGCGTCCTCGTCTTCGTCCTCGTTTTGTAATCTCGAAAACGCCGCCCGTCCTACTCCTACTCCACCACCACCACTACCTACACCACCGCCGCCTGCACCGCCACTGCCACCAATTGGTCGCCCACCAAACGTCGGTCGCATAAAGCCGTATTCCACTTTATCCCAGGTATCGAAGAAGAAATATTTCACTTTTGTAAAATTCCGCGACCAGTGGTTGAACCCGCCTCCCATCGCCGCTCTTTCAGCGTCTTGAATCGCACGCATTTCCGCTCTCATGACTGGGTCGTTCGCAATTTCCCCGTCGTTGTCGTCGTCGTCGTAATCCCCTCGATCGAATGCGTTCGAATGACTCACGTCGTCCGGGTCGTGCAACTTCCATTTTTGCATCAAAGGTAAACACGCGCCGCCGAGGCCCAACGTGGAAATCACGCAAATCACTAACGTCGCAGTTTCTATCGCCGGCGATCCTCTCACGTTCGCCGATGGGTTCGTCGAAGGCATCGCCAACGCTAAAGCATACGCTACCGCACCGCGTAAACCACACGCCGCGTGCATTTTTTGAATATTCTCCGGAATCTTCTCCGTGCGCACCTCGTTGGCGACTTTGGACAACGGGAAAATGTTCGCGAAGCGCGAGGCTAACGCCAACGGAAACCCGAATAAAATCATACCAACGTCAAAAACGTGAGGAGCAGTGGCGACTTGTAAACCTAAATACGCGAAAACGAACGTTTCCGATAAAAATGCAATCGCTTCGAACGATTTAAAAACCGCCACTTTCGCCTCCGCGCCGACGTTGTGGTACGAGTAATGCGCGTTGCCAATCCCGGTGAAAAAGATGCTCATAATCCCAGAACACCCGACATTTTCCGCGATGACGTAGGAGAAATATCCATCTAATAATAACAAAGCAAACGTATACGCGGTTCCGTTATACGACGCGGCGACGTGTACCCCCGGGTCGTTCAAACCCAACCGCTTCGTCGTAAACGCGCACACCAAGGCGCACAAAATCCCAATCGTCATCGACCCAATGCTCACGCCTATGAACTGAAATATCACCGTGAAGAACGTTTTAATGGTGAAATCTACGGAGTAAAACTTCTCCAGCGTCCTAAACAACACCACCGCCACGGCATCGTTCAACACCGACTCGCCAAACACCAAATTATACAACAGCGGAGGCGCCTTCACGTCCGCGAATACGCTCAACGTCGCCACCGGATCCGTCGCCGATATCAACGTCCCGTACATCAAACACTCTAAAAACCTGTTCGACCCCAAATGCTTCTTCGATATAATCCCTATTAAAGTCAAAAACCACGTCCCTAACCCGAACACGAACGCGCTAATCACCGTCCCTACAAACGCGAATAAAGATATCGTCCAAAAATCTTGAAAGAAATTTTTCCTTTGCAAGTTCAATCCCGCGGAGTAAATAATGATGGGTAAAAACCCGTAAAAGAACGCGTTCGGTGAGAACATGAACAGTCGATCGACTTTATCGTGCATGGTGGAATTGATTATCGCTCCAGAGATCATCCCGATGCATAAGGACGCTCCCGACGGTTGTAAATACGTCCAGTTGAATCTCTGAATCAGGAACGAGACGATGATGCACGCGCTGAACATAAACGTCGCCGCCTGTATTTTTTTACCATAATATATATAACACGTAACACAGAGAGAGAGAGAGCGCAAAGAAAGAGGTCAGAAAACTTTGTAACGAGAGCGTTTATGCGAAGAAGAAGAAGAAGTACACGAAGAAGAAGCAAAAAAACGGTTGCCTAATCCTCCTCTCCTCTCACTCGCACATAAAAGCACACACACGCGTATAAAATAAATACACATTCAATTCGTACCAGCATGGCGAACGAGGCGATCGCTTCATCGATGGATTTCTTTTCCACTCGATCCGCCGTCGCGCTATTTTCGTCTTCGGAAGAAGACATCATCTCTCTCTCTCTTCTGCGCTCTCTCTTCTCAAAGAGTCTTCGTAAAGTCTTCTTGGTGCGTTCTTAGTCTTTTCTTCAACGATGAATTTTTTCTAGAGAGAGAAAGTGCAAAAAAAGAAGAGAATTTGTTTGTGTCTTTGAAAAAAAATTCTTTTTGTGTCTCTCTCTTTTCTTTTTTCACTCTTCTTTTTAATTGCTTTTTGTTTTTTTTTGCTTCTTTTTTGCTCTCACTCAAAAAGCTGCTTTTTTTCTCTTCTTTTTGCTCTCTGCCACGTCTGCCCCTCATCAAACACGAAAAAATCTCGAACTCTTTTCTCTCGCAACACACACACAAAACTCTCTCTTTTTTTTTTACGTCACATTTTTTAAAAATTTACAAGCGCTTCTCTTCTGTTGTTGCTCTTCTTCTTTCTGTTGCGAGAGAACACGAGCGGGGTACACGAAGGAGACTTTGAGGTGATGACGACGGCGGCAGACTTGGTGGCGAGCGCGTTCGAGACGTTTTTTAGCAGCAGTGGTGCTACTTTTGATGTCGTGACGTACAGAACTTTGAGTCGAAAATTCGCGCTCACGGCACGCGCGGGGAAACGATTGCTGTGGACGATTTTAAACGCGATGCCACGAGAGGAGAGGGAGAAGTGGACGTGCGTCGTGTGCGTTTCGCGTGAGAGAAGGGTAGAGTTGAAACGTTTGGAAGAAGAAGAAGAAGGAAACGAGTTTGAAGGAGAAGAAGATGTGGCGGTGTACGCTTTAGTGAGGAAAAGAGAAGAGGAAAACGTGTTGGAACAGTTAGTTCGAGAGGAAGAGAAGGAGACGAAAATGCAATTGGACTCAGAAGAGGATGTATCTTGGATGTTGAAACACGGCGCGTTTGCAAAATCAGACGTGGCGAAGAGGTTACCGAGAGGGAAGAAGTTTACTTCCTCTGGCGCGACGACGACAAAAAGCGCGGCGGAACAGAAGAAGCCGGCGGCGAGCGCGGCGACGGCGAAGAAACCGAGCGCCACCGGGCCTAAGAGCGGCAACATCGCGAGCATGTTTGGCGGCACCGGGAAGAAAACGGTCGCGAACCCGAAGGAACCGGCGGTGGCGAAGAAGAAAACGACGCCAAAGAAGAAAACTCCGGAAAAGAAGAAGGCTAAAACGCCGACGCCGAAGAAGAAAGCGCCGGCGGCGACGAACGCGGATGCGATGATTGAACACGAAGAAGGGGATTCAGATTCGGATGATTTAGGAGGCGGTGGAAGGGGGAACCGGCGATTGTCCGGCGGGAAACGCGCGTTTGTCGACGACGAGGAAGAAGAAGAAGAAGAAGAGGAAGAGCCGGCGACAACGCCGGTGAAAAAAATGAAGAAAAGTGATGAAGATAGCGAACCGCCAAGTCCTGAGATTATCGATAAAGAGCCCGAGGAAGAAGAGACGCCGCGACGCCGGTCGACGAGAAGTACGCCGTCCAAAGCGGCACCGACGCCAAAGTCGAGCTCGAAGAAAGAGAAACCGTTGAGTAAGAAAGCGCAGAAAGATATCGTCAAAGCGAGGAAAGCAAGAATGCAGAAGAAAGTGATCGAGGAGATGGACGACGAAACAGGAGAGGAGTTGATGCGGACAATTTTCGTCGATCCGACAACGAATGAGGAGTGTAACGAAGACGGGACGTTAAAAGCCAAATAGCTAATCAATACAAAATATATATAGTACATGCGCTATAATTCTACTTTACTAATTCGTCTTCGCGTTCGTCTCGTTTGCTTTTCCGAAGTTGTATCGTCTTCTTCAGCGACGCCGGCTAAGTCGCACGCAACGGCTCTACTATTCAACGGTTGCAGCGAAATATCATCGAAAAGGGCCGCACGTGGACGCCATCTTCGCATACACACGAGTGTTATCGAAGCGATTCGCTTCTCTTCGTCAATAACGGCAATACTTCGCGACCACTCGCTACTTTCCGGGAAATTTGCCGATACGCCGTACTTCTTCGTGCCGTCGGAAAATTCAACATCCGCGTGTAAGGAAAAGTCAGCCGACTTCTCGAACGTATCGAGGAGTTCAACGTCGTCGTCTTTTGATGCGTCGATGATAACTTTTGCCCACCCAGAAAGAACGAGAGGTTCGGCTTCGAGCTGATTGACTTCTATTCTTTGCCACGCGCCGCTTACGAGAGTTGACCCGGCGGCGTCCTCCGTTAACATCTCTTCGTTACCTGGGACGAGTATCGCGCCATCTACAGGTTTGAAACCTCCTTCACCGTGCACGTGCCAGTTATCTTGTGAAGACAAAGGGGCGGCATCAAAGGTGCCGTCTGCGACGTATTCTGTCTCAGTAGTACTACCGTAAGTTAAAGTTTTGCAGAGCACTTTCAAAGCGACTTTGCCTAACGCGGCATCCGCCCCTCCGCCTCCATCCTCTTTCCGCAAAGTTCGCACTGTTTTCTCCATCGCTTCGTATTCTTTGCGCATTGTTTTTGAAAACGTGGCGAGCTGAACGAGTTCTTCGCCGAGCGGTGCAAATCCTCTCAAAGGACCGGTAAATTGAATATCTTCGTACGGGTCGGAAGAGGAAGCATCAGCCTCCTTTTGCTTTGACATACTCTTCGCGTGCGTTCGATACTTATACAACGCGGGCGCCGGGACGGTGACGAGCTTCAAACCCGAGCTCGATGCTTTGGCGAGAATCTCCCAATCTTGCAAAGAATACGAGGTATCTTTCGCGAAACCTTCGAGACTTGTAAACGCGGACTTTCTCCACAAGGCATTCGCGTCTCCGAATACATTTTCAAAAATACCGGGAAACAACGCGTTCCCGAGAGGATGATACGAGCCGACGACAACGTTCGTCCCGTTCGCTGCGGTTACGAAAAATTCGTTCGACGCCGTGACGACGTCAGCTTTCGTGTGCACTAACACTCGGAGCATCGTTTCAATTTCGTTCGTTTCGGCTAAGTTATCGTCGTCGGAGAATAAAACGTACTCGGTTTTTTCGGAGAGTTTTGAACATCCGAAATTCCTCGCCTCGCCGAGATATTTCCCCGGTTTCGCTATTTTCACAATTTTCACGCTTTTAAGAGTATCATCCTTCTTCCTGGAATACACGAACTGTTCCAATCGTTTCACGTGCGCTTCCTCCGAACCGTCGTCTACTATAACGATTTCAACCTTGCGATGCGTTTGTTGCAACAAAGCCTCCACGGCTTTCTCGCAATACTCCGGTCGATTTTTGTGCGTCATCACCACACCTACGAGCGATTCGTCCGCGAACGAGCTCCCCATTTCTCTCGCCATTCTAATCTCCGTCGCGCTGTTCCTTCTCTTCTCTCTGATTTCTCGCAATCTTCTCTCGAACGACGTTACCTCAATCGTCTCCGCGCGTTTCCTCGATTCCATTCGCATCCACTGCGCCTCCATATCGTCCAGCATTTTTTCGCTCCTCGTACTACTCTCGCTACTATTATCGTCCTCCTCCTCAACATCGTCATCACCATTAACATCGTCATCATCAGCAGCAGCATCAGCACTATGATTATTTCCACCAAATCCGACTCCAGTAATCGTTGCAAACGACACGTCGTCGAATAAACTCTCCGTCGCGCCGCCTCGCGTTTCTTTCCCAATCGCAGCGAAATACATCAACGCTTCCGAATCGTCCTCGACGAACGCGTACACTTCTTCCTCCTTCTCCTCTTCTCCTTCTCCTCCTCCTCTTCTTCTGCGTTCTCTCCTCTCCCTGATCCATTGACTCACCCGTACCGATAACGCGCGCGTTCGAGGTCCACCGATCGGTGGTTTGTTTTCATCTTCTCTTCTCGGCAACGTCGCGTACTCGAACGAGAGCATCATCGTTTCTCCCGTCGTCGTCTGAATCGTCGTCTGAATCGTATTCTTTATCTTCTTTGTCTTCTCGCGCTCTCGCCGCCGCTCTTCGTTTTTCCTCTCCTCTTCTTCTTCTGATGCTAAAACTCTTCGCTTCAACAGTTCGCACCGGTCGTTTCTATCGTCCGCGGCGAATAAAATCGTCACAACCATTGCTCTTCTTCTCTCTTCACTCGTTTTGGTATTCTCTCGCAATGCTGTTCGAATCTGTCGCGCTCTCGCGTCGATTCCCGCGCAGTCTTTCCTCCGATTGCCGTTGAGAATCACGACGAGATTTTCACCGCTCGGAACTCCATTCGTCCTCGTTTCTCTCGTCGTTTGTGCCGAAGAAGACGCGAACACGCGACAGAAAACGACGACAAAAACGAGGAAGCAAAAGAGTTTGAAGGAGAGGAGACGAAGTTTAAAAGTCGTCGCATTCGTCGTCATCGCAACAAAGCGCGAGAGAGAATGTTATGAAGCAAATTCGCTCAACTTTTTCCTCAGACTTAACGAACTCTAAACTCAACGCTCTTTGCTTTAAACGCGAGCAAAACGTATGCGTTTATCAATACCTATACAAACTCTCCAACGACGATGATGATGATATGTGGTGGTGGTGATATCGCCGTCGTCGATTGTGATGATGATGATGATGAGACAACCCCGGCTGCATTCTTGCGACGCATCGAAACGCCGTGCGCGTACACCGCGATGCGATGCGAGTTTATGAATAACAACGGCGAAAAAGGTACCGTCGCGATAGAAAGAATCGATTTCCACGCGAAGAGAGTATTCGCGAGCTTAAGCGAGGAGAAACGAACCGGGTGTTTGTTCGAAAACCATTGGCAAAAGTGCAGAGACGCTCTGGAAAAGGTGACGAGGACTGCTTTTCTCAAACGCCAAAACGCGGGTTTTAAGAAAGGGAGGTACATGGCGACGATTGCAATCGAAGACGATCGAGACGAAAAGAAAATGAACGTGCACGCGTTATTGACGCCGTTAATAACAACGCGTAAAGATGAGAAAAAAGGAGACGAAGAGGTGACGGCGCTCGATCGATACGCGTTACTTCGAGGCGCGCCGAGAGAGCGACCGCACGCGAAGCACACGGAGTGGGTGAAAAAGAGGGAAGGGTTAGAGATTGAGAGGAATGAATGGAACGCGAGAGAAGACGTAAAAGAAACGAGGCGGAAGAGGACGTTTGTGGAGTGCGTGTTGAGTAAACGAACAACGGGAAGCGGTAGCGCTCTTCAGGAGGAGGATTTTCAGATTTGCGAAGGATTGACGACAAACGTGTTCGTATTAAAACGGGATGATGCGCATTCGAACGGCGGCAGCAGAGGTGGTTTGATACTCCAAACGGCACCAGACGCGGACGTGTTACTCGGCGTCGCTCGTCGTGCCATCTTGGACGCTTTTCCTTCTTCGAAAAACGATTCCGAAGAAGACGAGAATTGCAAAGACGCAAAAATCCGTCTCTCCTTGACCCATCCTCTCTGGTCCGAACGCGAGACGTGGATCGCCTTATTCACCGTCAACTGCGTCGTCGGCGCGAAACTCTACCACGGCATCGTCAACTCGTACACGGGAGAGGAGGTGAACTTTCCACCTCTTCCAATCATCAAAGAATCCGGAGTTGAAGGACGAGAAAAAGGACTCTCTTTCCTCTTCCGAACCGCTTTCTCTTCTTCCTCTCAAAAGTCCTCGTTCCCGTTCGACCTGTTCGAATAAATGATAAATAAACGCATAGAAATAGAGAGTAGTATAGTTTTATGAAAGTGTTTCTTCGAAGAGAATAAAGACTAGCAGTTGTTGTCGTTTTAAAGCGACTTGTGTAGTGAAAACTCACATCCTAACAATAAACGAGAAAAAGGAGAAAAAGAAAGAAGGATGCATGGAAAAAAGGGCAAAAAAATTCAAAATTCATAAAAATTCAAAAACACTCGAGTTTCTTAAAAAAACCGAGAAAAGCGCTGCCATTTAGGAGACTTTTTCACCACACAAGAACAAGAGAAGAAGACGCATTCATCATTGCGCGCGCGCACATAATAACACAACAATGTCACCTTTGACGACACCGTTTTTAGCGAAGAAGAAGGAGAAGAAAGTATTGCGTTTTTTGCCTTCTGGCAATACGAATACGACTCATAATGGTGCTAAAAAAGGATGTTCGAAGTGTCGGTACGCGATTCGAGGATGCCGACGATGCGTTGAAAATTTTATCACGTACAGCGAAGAGAAGAAGAAGAAATTTAAAAAGGCAGAGACGATTCAGACGACGACTTTAAAACAGACGGAGAAGGAGAAGACAAAGAGAAAGGCTTCGATCGCGTCCTCGTCTGAAAAGAAGAAGAAGGTAAAGAAGACCACGGAAGAGGAGGAGGAAAAGGAGACGAAAAAGAAGACGAAGAAGAAGAGAGAGACTGTAAAACCGAGGACGATTTCGCCCCCAAAATCATCAGCATTCTCACTATTGAAGGATGAGAGGAAGAAAAACGACGACGACGACGAGAAAAAAGATGACTTTGATGAGGAAAAACAGAAGAAGACTCCTGAAACGACCACCTTTGCGACGAGAGCAGCGGATGATGATGAGACGCGAACGATGCTGCCGGTGGAAATGCAATCACCGATCATCGGTCGACGCGAATACATAATAGACGCGGAGGATACGAATACTAAAGAGGAAGAAGAAGAAGAAGAAGAACCGCCGTCGACGTTGAAGAGAGCGTTGCACAAATCGCTCTTCTTCTTTGACCAACAGACGGAGGAGGAAGAGAAGGAAGAGAAGGAAGTCGCGAGAACGCCTTTGAAACCGGTGCAACCTTCATCGCTCGTCGTAAAAGTCGCGGAGCGAAAGCAACTTTTGGCGGTGTCTCCTGGAACGCTCCGGACTGCAAACGAAAGCGTGTGGTGGGAGACGGAAAAGGAAGAGGAGGAGGAGGAAAACCCGGAGCAGATGAAACACAGACTGCGTCGAGAGGCTTTAGATCAAAGAGAGAAAGAGGAGAGTCGAGACGCTCGAGAGAAATACAAAAACGCGGAGGCGTTTGAAACGACGAAATCGAAGTTATCCTTCGACTGCGAAGACCCGAGTTACGATTTCTTATCCGCGGTCCCGGAGTACAACAACGATCCGTTTCAAACCGTTCTGAGTCGTTTGCAGGACACGTCGCCGTCGAAACACGCGCCACCGCCACCACCGGTCGTCCTCGCCCTCGGAGGAAAAGGAGGAGGAGGAGACGAGGAGACGAAAAAAAGAGACGCGCTGTGCCAGCTTCGTACGTTAAGTACTCTAACGAACAAACAACAACAACAACAACAACAACAACAACAACAACAACAACAACACATCATTAGCAGAGAACAAACGCTCGCCGTCTTGATGCAGCAGCGACAGTTGACGGAGCAGAGAGGAGAGTATATAGCAAACACAGGAGGAGGAGGAAAAGGAGGAAAAGGAGCTCCCTTTTCCTATTAGCCAGTTGTTTTTGAATGAAACGCATTTTTCATCTCGAATGAAATTTTTCTCTTTTTTCGTCTCCTTCACAAAGAAAAGTTGGGTTTTCGGACAAGAGACAACTGCTTTTCACGCAAACTTCATTATACACACATCAATATATTGTTGTTTGAAAGATGGCACCGACGAAGAAGGGTACGTTCTTGTTTCGTTAAACAGATATATATATACTGATTTGGAATCTGCTTGGATATGCGCGCGGATAACTTCGCGTCGTCCTTTTTTTTGTCTCCTTCGTAAGCGCGTAGTACATTTGGGACTTATTCGTCGCGTTCTCTAAAATTGCGGGCTCTGCGCAATCGATTTAGGCTCGGAAAAACCTCTCGCGACCGTTCAATGAGACCAAAGACTGACGGATATCCTTTAACTTAAATTCATTCAACAGACGAAAAAGTGAGCAAAGCGGCCAAAGCGGCCAAGTACGTGAAGAAGGGCGCGAAAGGGAAGCTTCTCAAGAAGCGATTTTCGCCAACGTTTCACCGACCGAGAACGTTGAAAAATGCGCGCGCGCCAAAGTACCCGAGAGTTTCGGTGCCGCCGCCGCAAAAGCTCGATCAATTCCAGGTACGCAACAGTTGTTTCACGCGATGGTAGCATTAGAATCAGGAGGGAGGAATCGCGAAAGGGTGAACCAGACTGGTTTACGACGCGCATTTTTCGATGGGGCTTTCGCACTCTCAGTTTGTACTGGACGAAGGCTCCTCCTCGTTTACTTTCTCTCTCGGAGCCGCCAACCACCTTTCCGCTCTCGCTTTCGATCTGAACTAACCCATCGTTCTCTTCTCTCTCTCACTTTCGTAAACAGGTGTTGAAGTTTCCGTTGACGACTGAATCCGCAAACCAAAAAATCGAAGAGAACAACACGTTGGTCTTCATCGTCGACGCCAGAGCGACGAAGGTCCAAATCAAAGCGGCTGTGAACAGAATGTACGACATCAAGTGTGAGAAGGTGAACACGTTGATTCGTCCGGACGGCCAAAAGAAGGCGTACGTTCGCTTGACTGCGGACTACGACGCTTTGGACGTTGCGAACAAGATTGGCATCATCTAATCAGAGAGTAATTTTTTAGTCAGGCGGGTGTGCGGAGAGATTTACGTAAATAGAAACCTATTATAGCTTTGTGTGATGAGCGCGTCGAGAGTGAAGACTGCGCTTCTAATTTAGTCTGAGGAGGTCCTTGTTCGGTTAGAACTTAAAATCGTTGTGTAATATTGATATTTAATGTGATCGAAACATAAGAAAAAACAACAACAACACTTGTGTTTTGTTATTTTCAATCAGCAGCAGAGAAGTAATTTTTGCCTCGAAAACGAGGAAAAAAATGTTATCTCGAAACCACCAAAATACGCGAAGTATTATTTCGACGCGTATACTATGCCACCGTTTTAGCTCCGGAGCATGTCGCATCCGCATCGGCAGCATCCGCAACTCACGGTTTTTCCCGCGATACAAACGTCTCTCGTCGTTTCGAAGAAGAACAAAATTCGCGCGGGCGTCGCTCTTCCCCATCTGAACACCAACACCATCGGTTTGACGCAACGAGAAGAGGAGGAAAAAGAAAACTCACCGAACACGCAGTCGCTGTTGCTGGGGGCGTTTGCTGCGGTCGAACATAAGGATGACGAGGACGAGGACGTCGACGATTTCCTCAAGAATAAGTACGACGAGGAGGAGGAGGAAGAGGAAGAGGAAGATACGAACGGATGCTTCGCGTCGCTCGGAAACTTGGAGGAGGAAGAGGAGGAGGAGTACGAGGCAAGAGGAGGAGAGAAAGAGTCGTCTTTCTTACAGTTTTTGAAAACGAGCGGTTTTGGAAACGTCAGTCCAATCGCACCTCCTCTAGATGACAAGTATAACAACTACGACACGAAGACTGCGCACACGACGTGGTCGTCGGAATCGAACGACGAGTTTGGGTTTCCTATATCGTTGGCCGCGCCGGAGGCGATGACGAGAGAAAGTTCGATGAACGATTTTTCGCATCTGTTTGGCAATTACGAAAAGACACACAAAGACGTGCTGGATGCCATCGAAAAGGAGCGAAGTGCAATGGACCAGATGCAATTGATTTTAACGCAACCACCGCAACCACCGCCACAACCAACGTTAGTGCGAACTTTGAACGATGGAATATCGGCGCCGCCCGCGATGCCGCCGCAGATGGAAAATGTCGTCATGAAAAGAAGACCAGGTCGGCCGAGGAAATTATTTCCTTCGATAAAGAAAAGCAACACACCAAAGAAGAGAAAGAAGAGTAACAAGGACGACGAGGACGGTGAAGTTCTCGTTGAAACTCGAGAGGGAAATCTTTCGCCGGATTTGGACGTTCAACTTCTGGCATCGAGGAACCGCGAATCTTCGTTAAACGCCGTTAACGACGCCGTTGGTAATAATGACAGCAGTAAAAACAACAACAAAAGTGTTTCAAGAGAATCAAAAAAGTCTGCTCGTTCAACGAGTAAGTTTCGAGGCGTCACGCATCACTGCCGAACCGGACGGTGGGAAGCGCACATCTGGCAAGATGGGAAACAAATTTACCTCGGCGGTTTCGACGGCGAAGAACAGGCGGCGCTTGCTTACGATATTGCAGCGGTTAAATGTAGAGGAATTTCTGCGATTACGAATTTTGATAGATCGAATTATTCTCGAGAACTCGCGAGTTTGCAGCAGGTGAACGAAAGAGAGCTCATACTTTCTCTTCGTCGCCAATCGAAAGGCCCCGGTGGAGTGACGAAAAAATCTTCCAGCAAGTTCCGAGGAGTTACAAAACATCAGAAAGGAAAATGGGAAGCACGAATCGGTCAATTAGTCGGTAAGAAATATAAATATCTCGGTTTGCACGAAACCGAGGATGCCGCTGCCATGGCATACGACGAAGAAGCCGTTCGTTTGAAAGGTTTTGACGCTGTGACAAATTTCGATATTAGCGAGTACGCGGACGTGTTAGCCGAGCACCATACGAATAAGATGAAAGAAGCTGTCGCTTTGAAAGAGAAGTACGCGGCCAGATGTACCGCAGTAAGCGTACCTATGGGGTCGTTAAACCCTTCTCCTCACGAGCTTCCAAACACCTCCGAGCGAAGAGTGACGACGAGATCATCTGCAGCTACCACGAATACGGTACAAAAACGAAGGACGACGACGACGACGATCGCGAGCAACACGAAGAAACAAAGAGAACTCGTACCGCACGTGCTTGGTCCTGCGGCGGCGACGACGCCAAGTACAAACGCTTTAAACGCGGTGAAGTTCTTTTTCAACAACAGTAAACCACAAACGCGGGAAGAAAAAGAAGATGAAGACGAAGATGAAAAATATAATCAAGACGAAGAAGTCGATGAAGACGACGCTTTCGAATACGGGACAACGGATAATATGCATCAAAGCCGAGATATGTGATTATGTTATACCAATATATTAAATACTTTTAAATCTTACGTTGCAACGCAAGCGCACACGCGTACTCCTCTTTTACATCTCCCTTTCGCTGCGCGCCCCGTAATATCTCTCTCGCCCCTCCTCTTTTCTCGCTCTCGCTTTTTCTCTCCCTCTCTCTCTCTCTTTCTAATATAATATACCCTCATCTCTCCCCGTCTCTCTCTTTCTCCTTCTCTCTCTCTCTCTTTCTCGCGCGCGTTAAAATATATATATGTATGTGCTCTTTTTCTTCAGTGTTTTATGATATATTTAGTTGCCCGCTTTTTGCTTAGCTAATCTCGCGAGAGTCTTGAAAGACTCGACTTGGACCAAAACCAACGGCGAGAACAACACCAAGCACACGGCAATCAACTTGCCGCTGCCGCCTTCCTTGGCAGCCGCCGGGGCCGGCGCCGCTTTCGCGGCTGGCGCAGCCTTCTCCTTACCAGCGCCCGGGGACGGCAAAGACGGCAAGGAGAACGACGGCAAGGAAAACCCGCCGCCACTTTCCTTCGGCGCCGCGGCTTCCTTCTTCGCCTTCTTACCGCCTTTGGCTAAACTCTTCGTCTTTGGCGCTTGTTGGACGATCGCTCTTTTCTGGGTGTACTCCGCCAACAACGCATCCGCGGCAGCCTTGGAATCACCCGCGGCGAATTGGGCGATTTCAGACGCCGCAAACGCCGGTTGCGCGAGCATGGACACGGACAACACGGTCGCGACGGCGGCTTGTTGCAAGGAAGACGAAGATCTCTTTTCTTCCGTCTCCTCCTTTTGGGCCGAGCATCGGAGGATGGATTTGGAGGAGGATTTCACCTTCTTGGCTTTGTGAACGACAACTTTTTGCGTCGTGCCGACGATGTTTGAAGATTGCGCGACAGAAAACATTACGTTTTGTTGGATGCTTAGTTTGTGATACTTTTTAAATCGGAGAACAACGGGGTGCTGTTGCTGCTTTTATGTGAAGATAGATATTGTAAACCCAAATCAAGCGATGGAAAAATTGGATTATCTTCCCTGCGGATAACCTTCTTAGATGAAAAATCAAAGGGCAAACAAAGGGCGAAAAACACACCAAAAAATACTCGAGATACTCGTGAAGGGTTTAAGGATCAAAATCATTTCCATCGCTTTTTTGTTGTTTTACGAAATTTGAAATAAAATACACGCATTGAAATCGAACAAGTACTTACTACTTCAGAGGCGACGGCTGCTTGTTGCTCTTGCCGCCAGTGCTCTTGTTGACGACCGGGGGCGTCCCGCTGAACGCGTTTCCGTCGAAGTGTTCATTTTTCATGGCTTCTAAGCTGGCGACGATGTCCACGAACTTTGGACGTTCTTTACTATTTTCTTTCCAACAGTTTTTCATCAACGTTTCCCAACCGTCGCAGGGAGGGTCGATATCGACGGTGACTTGCGCGTCCTTAGTCGCCGCGCGATACGGTCCCGTTCGAGGCGATAAAGCGTCGTCGCCAGGGACGGTTGGACGAAGTTGGTGCATCATGAGTCCGCCGTACAAGGCGTACTCGTCTAAACCGTAGTGCGGTAATTGAGACGTCCAGAGCTCCCACATGACGATGGCGAACGAATACACGTCTGCGCTTTCCGTCACTTTATCTGGACTGCGCAAGACTTCTGGCGCGGTCCAAGGCAACGTGCCTCGTCGAGAGTTGACGCCTGATACGAACGAGGCTTGTGAACGACGTCGTTTGGATAAACCAAAATCGCACACTTTACACACTAATCGTCGACCTCTCACCGCGGCTAACACGTTGTCGGATTTTAAATCGAAATGGACGAACCGTTTCGCGTGCAAGTACTCCATTCCTCTCGCGACGTCTAAGCAGAGCTGCAGACGCGTTTTGGCGTCTAAGCGAGAACGAGTGGCGGTTGAAGCGGCAACTTTCGCGAGTAATTCAGCCTGTAAAGCTACGTCACCGTTTGCTTTCTTAACCGCGTCTTGTCTCGCCGCCTCGCGATCTTTCGCGCGTTCGCGCTCTTTCGCCAAGACTCTTTGTAACGATCCTCCGCTCAGAAATTCTTCGACGATACCTGGACGATCGCCATCGGTCACGACACCGAAAATAGAGACGACGTTTGGATGGCTTAAAGTCGCCAACGTCTCAGCCTCGCGCAAAAAGTGTTCGTGTTGTTCTTCCTTTTCTTTTCTTTTCTTCTCTTTGTGCATGTTGTCCATATCGTCCATGTTTTTCTTCGCGTTATTTCGGCGACGGGATTTATCATCCTTAAAATCGTCGTCATCATTATCAGCGTCATCATTATCAGCGTCATCATCGCCGCTATTACTATTGCTAATAAACTCTTCGTCTTCAAAGATGTTATCTAACCCGTCGCGACCGTGACGTTTTGGAGAACCAGGGGGCGAAAATACAAACTCGCGATTGATAAATTTCACCGCAACCTCCGCGCCTCGCCATACCGCTGCATAGACTTCACCGAAAGCACCACCGCCTAACCGCGCGCCTAAGGTAAGGTCTGATCTCGGAATAATTTGCAATCCTCCGTGACTTCTGGGCGACTTTGAAGGTTCGATGCTTAGAGACGGCGACCCGTTCCTCGTTTGAGTTTCGTCGATTGCGCCGTTGCTGGCGTCTTCAAACGTCGTCGTCGTCGTCCTCGTTGCTACTGTTGTCGTCGCGTTATTGTTCTCTGCTACTTGTTGTTGTTGTTGTTGTTGTTGTTCTCCTTGTTGTTGTTGTTGTTTATTGCTATTTTCATCTCTGTTCGCGTCCAGTTCCATCGCAGTGCGATTATTCGACCCGTACATGTTCGTCGCCTTCTCGACGACGTATATTTTCAACTTCTTTCTCGAATCAACCGCGTGTACCGTCTCCCATTCCTCCATCATCGTCTCCACGTCGTCGTCGTTCTTCACCGATATGACATGATCGCCATCCGGATACAAAATTTGCACGTTGTTCCTCTTCGTCGGCTCTTCTTCTTCGACAATCTTCGTCTTCATTTCCTCGAACGTCGCGTTTCGCATCAAGGACACGATCCTCGTCTCGCCGCCTAAATACTCTTTCCCGGTGCCCCGATCGACTAAGAATCCGCCACTAAACACCATCGCTTTTATCTTCACTGTCCTGTCCACTTGCTGTTGTTTGTTTTTCTTCTTCGTGCTCGTCACCACGTCTGCTTCCGTATCTGACGTGCTCGGCGTCGCCGCGCTCCCGACCGCGCTTCCCGCCGTGCTCGTCTGTGGTTGGTTTTGGAGCAAAGAATTCAACTCTCCTCCCGAGCCTCTTCGACTCCCCCCGCCGATATTGATGGCTAACAACGCGTGTGAAGCGTCTAAAATCTTATCGTCCAAGTCGATGTCGTAGGAGAGGTTCTCGATTTCTCGCGAGTTTGTTCGTCGGTGGGATCCTCGCGACCGCAAGGAGTCCTCGGTTAAATTCATCCGGCGGTCCTCGGGGAGTTTTCCTTTGATGCCGTCTAACACGTTCATATTTTTCTTCGATATTCCAGAGTTGGAGGTACCGGAGTCTCTGTTGATGGTCGAGTTCGAGCTCATCTCTTTGTCTTCTTCTTTGTCTTCTTAGATGCCAGGAGGAGAGAAGAGAGAGAACGACAGAGACGCAAGAGCGCGTTGAATGCGCTCTGAGGGTGGTGCGTACCAATAATAATGAAAATTAATTAACTAAAGAGGGGAAGGCGGAAAGAAGGAAAAAAGAGAGTCTCAGAGCGAGCGTGTGCCGCCAATGTATCTGCCCAAAGTGCCTTCTTGAAGAAAACTGTCGTATAAATTTAAAAATAATAATAATAATAATACTCGGAGAAAGAGTACGCGAGTACTCGCAACCTAATAAATAATAATTACCTTTTCGCGTTTTGCGCGAGAGATGAAACGCTCCTGGCAATCTTCTGGACGCGATCTTCGCTCATTGTGACTCTCGCTTCGACTAACGCTAAGGTTTGGGTCAACACGTCGAGTTGACCGACGGCGCGTCGTAAGGTTTGAGCGAGTTCCGCGTATTCCGAAGCCGACGAGAAAGAAGAAGAAGGTTGGATTTTTTGCTTCGTCGTCGTGAAAGGTGTCCCATCGAAAGGAGATGGTCTGGTGGTGGTGATTTTGGTGGTAGGCGTCGGCGGCGGTGGTGGTGGTGGGCGTCTTTTTCTCGTGTACGTTTTGTTCTCTTCGCGTTCTTCGTCGTTTTCTACTTGGTATTTTTTGTCGTGCGTTTGTTTTTCCGCGAGCACGACGTTTTCGAACGAGCGGTTAAACCCGCTTTTCCAAATCGTGACGATACCATCGCTACCACCGCACGCAAATGTGCTTCCATCTGCAGTAAACGCCGCGCAATTTACAGAACCCTCGTGTGCTTTGAGCGTCCACGCGCAGCGTTGGTCTCGAAAATCCCAAATTTTCGTCGAGCCGTCCGCGGAGGTCGTCGCCAGAAAGTCTCCAGCTGGGTGCCACTGCACGTCCGTTATCGCATCTCGATGTGAATAGACGTACGAATCGATCGTAGATTCGAATATTTTGCGTCGTGAACGCGTGTCGTATACTCTTAAACCACCATTAGAGTCGCCGACGGCAATGGAAGTTCCAGCCGATGGCCTCAGAGCGACGCACCGCGGCGTCGAAGAAGAAACGTCGTGATCCTCTCCTTTCCTTCGATCAATTTCAACGCCTCCAGCGCATACGTCCCATAATCGCCACGTTTTATCGTCCGAGACCGAACACGCGATCGCTCCATCGCTCGTAATCACCGCTTGCCGAATCCAATTGGAATGTCCTTTCAAAGAGAGTTTGAACTTTGGCGAAACCAGCGGGTTGGACGCGTCCCACAGTTTGCACAATTTATCGTCCGAGGCGGATAATAAAAGCCGGTCGCTATCGCTGTATTGCAACGAACGAATCGCACCCGAGTGCGCCGATCTCAAAACCACCGACTTTCCTTCCCTGTTGTGTTTGAAGAGGAATAAGAGATGAGAGACGTTTTGTGAGCCTAAAGCCTCTTCGCAAAAGGTCCGCGCATAAAAGAGAGAAGAAAAAGCCAGAGACTACTCCTTTGGTCAACAAACAACAACACAAACAGAAAAAAAAATACGACAAGAAGAGAAAGAAACGAATAAACATACGCGGTCGCTTTCCAAACCCGTATAGATCGATCTAAACCCGCGCTGGCGCATCTCCCGCCTTCGCCTTCTCTCTCCGTGTGCGCTAACGCGAGCACGTCTCTCTCGTGCCCGAGAAATCGCACCGGTCTTTTCCTATTCTTTATTAAAGCATAAGCTCCTTGTCCTCCTCCTCCTGATCTTTCTCCTCCGACGTGCCAAAACATAATCGACCCGTCTCCCGTGCTCGCGGAAAAAATATACCGCTTGCTCTGCGGGGCGAACGCGAGAGAAGTTATCGCGTTGTTTCGGTGTCCTCCTTTTAACGATTGGAGCAAGTACGGATCGTCTGCGGATCCTCCCGATCCTCCTCCTGATCCTCCTCCCGCGTGAAAGACTGTCATTTTCTCAAGCGATGCGCGCGAAAGAGTAATAAAGTGTGCGAGAGTTTTTCTTCGCTTCTTTAAACGACGCGACGACTCTACGACAACCACCCCTGCCTGACAACTCTTTTTTGTTTTTTTTGTTGTGCTTTTATCATCGATCGCGTATTTTTTGTTGACCAATCACGCACAAGGACTCGCGACCACTTCTCCTCAGAAGCGCAGAGACCCCCCCCCACTGTGCAAGTGGCAAGGAGAGATGGAAAACACAAAAAATTCAAAAAACAAAAAAAAATTTGTTCAAAGCGAGAGATATTTCCCGCATCATCATCATCATCATCATCATCATCATCAAACGTAGCAGCAGCAGGAGCGGCTTTTCGAGGGGAAGAGAAAGAGAGAGAAATCTATCATCTCTGTTTCGTTGTTAGTATTATTAGATCGCACACCACCAACAACGAGAGAAGACAAGCGCGGAGGACGCGACGACGCTTATTAACAACAACAAAACTTGAAAATCAACACATCCAAAAATGTTTTCGAAGCGAGGAGGCCAACCGACGTCTTCGTCAGAGGATTTACTCCGAACGCAAATTCGCGCGCAGGCGAGAGAAATAGCATCCCTGCAGAGAGGTTTAGTCGAACTGAGAAGAGAAAACGCGAAATTATCGGACATGGATAAGAGACCTCTGATGGAGAAATTTAAAGACAACGTGAAGCAACTCGGGAGAGACACCGAGTGGTTCAAATTGACAAAAATCGACGAGGAAATCACGGTGAACACGTATCGTTCAAAAACGGACGCGAAATTTAACTTGATTAAACAACCAGCGACGGTTTCCGCGACGTTTCCGGAGTTGCAGAACGCGAAGATAACGGTGGAAACGTCCTCGGCGTTACCCGTGAGAATAGAGTTGAATTCGCAACCGTTCAGAAGGGAAATTTTATCGGTAAAGGCGAAATTTGATTTGGAACGACTGTTCAATTTGAACAACGGTCCGACGCTGGTCGTGCAACCGACGCCGTCGGCGTTTAAATTGAATCGAGAAACAAAATGGAATCCGACGTTAGAAAAAGAGATGGCAATAGACAACGTGCACGTTGTTGGGAAATATACTATTGTGAACGATTCGGTGTCGTTAGATCACGTGGACTTTGAGGCGACGACGACGCATAAAGACTACGGACAGTTTCGGTTGAAGAAAGTATCGCACCACACAATGATGGAAGAAACGAAAGATGTGGACGCGGACGGGTATTGGCAGTTGAAATGGAAGATGATGGGGAAACATGGAATCACGTTGACCGGAGACGCGACGACAAAGGATGCTGGGGAAGTTGAAGCGAGAGTGAAGAAGCACTTTTCGAAGAGAATCCACGTTTCGGTGGGAGGAAAAGCCATGGCTCAAGAAGTAGACGCGACGATTGGGTATCAGTTTATCGACGAATTAGCGGGTTGGGAGGTTATCGCTAAGAGTGTAGCGACGAGAGATGGCGTGCAGAACCCAGAGTTTCTATTAAACCACGCCTGGGAGTTCAAGACTGAAAATGTTTGATACGCTTTTGCTCTCGTGCGGTTATGCCCAAATGTTTATATTTATTCTTTACCTTTACTAAAGCAAGCGCTCTACGATTTAAATAATGCGTGTGTATGTGATGTGAATTGCAGCTGTTGTTACAAAATGACGACGAGTGTGATACCACGATTTCTGGTGGGTATCGCTGTCGTCGTTGTTCCTCCTCAACCTCCTCAATCTAATACGATTGCTTCCTGGCTGTCGTTACTTTGTTGCGCGACGCGTTTCTTTTTCGCGCTGTTTCTGTTATTCACAGGCGACGCAGCGCGCTTTCTATTTGCGGATGATGGTTTCGCTCGAAATAAAGACGGTGGCGATGGCGATTGTTGCGATTCTATTAGATCCAAATCAATCACGTTATCTTTCGTCGCGGCTTCTATCCTTCTCTTCGCTTCCGCCGCTTCGCGTTCTCTCTTTGCTCGCCTTTCTGCTCTAAGCTTACCGGCGTTCGGATTCGGTTTCTCCCCTGATGATGCTAAATCAATCACGACTGCTTCGCCAGGTTTTTCGTTGTTCTTGTTATTGTAGTTATTCCTCATTTGCGGTTGTTCATGTCGCACTTTCTCGCGAAAATCTTCCAAGGATGCTTTTATCGCCGCGTCTTTATCTTGCTGGTACTTTGCTTCCAAATCGCGAACTTTCTTCATCGCTCCAAACGCGTCGTTAATTCTACCTAGCCTTCTCTGCTTATCTTCCCTTTGTTGTATTCGTTCTTCTTCTAGTGCTTGCCGTCTGCGTGCTTCTTCTATCCGTTGCTGCTCTCGCTGACGTTGACGCCCAGGTGCGTGGTCCATGATACCAAACATCATACCTAGAATATCTAAAGGATTATGGCCATGTTCCGCAGGGATGTCGTCCTCCATACCGCGTGCTCTGCCACCTTTTTTCTTCTGCGGCTTATTTCTGCTTTTCTTTAACGCAACGAGCGACTTTTGAACATCCTTCTTAGTAAGGTTCAAATCTTTCAACTCCTTCTCCAACGCGTCCAACACTTCCGTCACGAACTTTTCCTCCTTGAGCTCGAAATAAGACGTCAAATCCCTCAATCTTCTCAGTCGTTGCGACTCGTCAAACGCTGCGGGACTTCCATACGTTCCTGGAGGATGACCTCTGTTGTTTACCGTCGACTTGTTCTTCTGCGCCCACTTTGTGACTTGCTTACCTAACTCGCACCCGCCGATGTGCGCGTGCGCGTCCCTACCGCAATCCGCCAAACAATACGCGCAAAACCCAGCCTGACATCTCGCACATCTTAAGGCAAAACATCCGTCAAAATCTACGAACGCTTGTTCGCACCTCGGGCAACTCAACGTCAAAACTTTCTCAATCACGTGTTCCTTCGCCAACCGTAACTTCTCCTCCGCCGAACTCGTCTCCATCGCCCTTTTTTTCTCCCTCGCCAACCGCTCCTCGAAGTCTTTCTCCACTTGCTCTACGATCTGTTTCTCTTTCAGCGCTAATTTTTGCCTATTGTATTCGTTAAATGTTTCCGCCTCGCAGAACCGAGCTACGTCGCGATCGTCAAACGCTTTCGCCGGGCACCGCTGCTCCTTCGGCACCGCCTCGGAGAACATCGGACACATGATGTTCCCGTTTCGTTTTTCTCGCTCCCTGTTATGTCGTTTCCGAGAGGAAGAGAGCGGGTGAAGGAAAAGCAGAGTTTTAGGCTCGTCAGTTTATGCGCGACGATACAAAAGTTCGCGCAAAGAGCGAAGAAGAAGAAGAAGAAGGCTGCAAATGTGAGCACGCGAAAAGATCTTTTTTTTAACGACAGTCGAACGAACAAAAAAAGGGAAGAGGAGACACCCGTTGATGATGGATGAGAACAACGCGCTTTCGTTCTCTCTCTCTCTCCTCTAAACGTTTTCCACACGTAATGAATCGTAAAAAAACGAAACGAACGTACCCGGCGCCTTTCGCGGTTTCCACTTTCACGTGCTCGTTGAAGCATTCCGCGCACGTCACGTGTCCACTCGCGCATTCAATCACCTCGCAATCCCCCAACTCGGTCTCGTCGGAATAGCAAACGCAACACCGCATATTCTTTCCTCTTTTCTTTTTCTTAAGTCCTCTTTTGCGATTTTGAGAGATTAAAAGAAACCTCTCTTCTCTCTCTCTCTCTCTCTATCTCGCGTTTCGCGTCTCTTTCGATGGAGAGATGAAACTAAAAAGAGAGAGAGAGAAGATGTTTCTTCTTCTTCGGTAAAATGGTCAGAATTTTTATGACGCGACAACACAGAAGAGAGAAAAACAAAATCACCTAAAAATACTTGATTGTAATCACAACGCGCAATATAAATAATTTTCACACACAACAACGTGTACTACTAAGTCTGCTCTCAGGTGTACGTACTATTATAAGCGAATTTTAGGACCTTTTGGACCTCCACTTCCTTTTTTACCGCCTCCTTTCTTCTTCTTATCTTTGGTAAAAGTAGGGACCGCCGCGGGACCTTCTCCGGGAATCCATTCGCCGCCCATAACGAATTCCCTTCGTTCTTGTTTCATAAACTTTTTACCACCACCACCACCGCCGCTTTTATTATTCGTCGTAGTATTTCCTTCATCTTCTTCTGATCCTTCCTCCACTTCTAAAAGGTCTCTCGCTTTTTCTCTTTTATTTCGTCGAGAGATGTCGGCGTCGGGCAACGCGTATTGGAAAGCTTCGGAGAAGAGCGCGGTGCACCCAGCCCCTGTGCTCGCGCTGGCCAACTTCAAAACGTTACTCGAGCGTTTGATGAATTTCAACTCTCGTTCGAGCAGGAACATTCTTTTGCAAAGTTCTTCGGTTCGAACCATATCGGTTTTGTTTAAAACGACGTGAACTGGAACTTTACCGTATTTGGAGAGGTAGGAGAGCATCTCGCGATCGGATTTTTTCGGTCCGTGTCGAGAATCGATGACGACGAATATGCATTTCAGATTCGGTCTCGTGGTTAAGTACTCGTCCATTAAGCGATTCCAGGTTTCTACCATGCTCTCATCGGCAAAAGCAAAGCCGTATCCAGGTAAATCGACCACCCGTAAACGCGAATCGATGTCGTAAAAGTTTAAACTTTTCGTCTTCCCTGGCGTATCGCTCGACCTCGCCGCCGCCGATAAAGTAATAGCGTTAATCAAACTCGATTTACCGACATTTGAGCGCCCACAAAAAGCTACTTCGGGTACTTCCACGGTCACGTCCATCCCGTTTTCGTCTTTTCTTCTCACTTCCGTGCTCGGCATTTCCTCGATCCTCTTCGAAGCGGCGGCGATGAATTTCGTATTCCTCTTCTTCGTCCTCCCGAGTAAATCTTTATGCGCCTCTGGGACGACGCCATACAACACGTATTTCCTTAACGTCGGATTCACGTTCAATTCTGCGGCCGCTTCTGCCTGGCCACCTTCCGAAGCCGCTTTACTCGCCCGATTTCTCAATATTCTCGCCCTCTTCCCCGCCTCCGATAACGACACGCACGCCTCCAACTCTTCGATCTGTTTCCGATGTTTATTCGTCACCGGTAACGCTCTAAATTTCCCTCTGTTGCTCATCCGATTGTCTTTATTATCCACGATTTCATCGATTAATCGTTCCATTTTTTGTAAGTCTATTTGCGATATCGTGCTTCGCAACGGAACTCCGGAATACTCATCCCCTTCGCCTTCTCCTTCTTTTTCTCCTTCTTCGCCGCCTTTCTCGCCAGCACCAGCACTCCTCTCCGCGCCGTCGCCGTTCTCGAAGAAATGAGCGCTGCTTTTGAAATTTTCACCTGTCCGAGCTTCTCTTTCCTCCTCGTCCACCGACGACGAAGACGACGAAGAAGAGGAAGAAGTCTTTTTACCATCGTCAAAGAATCCCCTCCTCGCCGCCACCACGAATTGGTTCTGTTGTTGCCGCCCATGTCTTCTTCTCTCAAAAGAAGAAGAAAAAGAAGAAGAATTAGATGGAAAAAAGGTGGTCGTGAATCTCGCCAATAATAAACATTTATTATTATTATTATTATTATTATTACATCCACGCGACGAATAAGACGTGCAAGCGAAGCCGCTCGAGACGCGTCTAGCGATGATATTTTGCGCCATTTTTGAAGCAGTTGGTCAATTTGGTTTGTGAGGAAAAATTCTGAAAACTAAAAATTCTTGTGTTTTTCGTTCGCTTGGAAAACGAGACAAAAAGGAGAATACCTTTACCTACCTCACCTAAACACACATTTAGCGCGCAAACACAACACACACGAAAGAAAGAAAGAGAGACGGAAAGAATACAGAGTTTATTATTAGATTCTACGATATATATATATATATATATATAACATGCACGCGATGATGACACCACGCTTTTCATGCCAAGGAGTACACCCCGCGAGGAGGACGAGCTTTGTATCTTCGATGGTGTTGTTAGGGGTTGATGAACACTGGACGACGCGGAGTAATAACAGACGTTCTATTAGTTCTCAACGGAGGAAAAGAAACGGAAAGAATGCCATTTCGAGCAGTAACAGCAGCAGCAATAACAATAGCAGCAATAACGGCGAGGACGACGATAGAATAGTCAACGAGGAGGAAGAGCGATATAAAATGGAAACCAAATCTAGAGCAAACAAACTGAGAGCTAAAGTTATCAAACAATATCTCGGCGCGATGGGTGAAAAAACGAACGATTGCTTCGATAAGGAAGACTTAGTCGAACGGTTGACGCGAGCGTGGATGGCAAAGAGTCAAAACTCTGTGCGCGTGCCTTTGCGAAGAGTCGCCGGGGTACCCGGAAATCCGAGAGCGGGCTATTGTTTGGTCACGCTCAACGTAAAAACCGAGGACGAGGACGGTGAACGGTTTTGCGATTTTCTCATCGACAGCGGCGCGACCGTCGCGTTGGTGTCGCCGGAGTTGAGGAAGATGATGGGGAAGTTTGCCGAGGACGGCGCCGCGTTGAAAGGGTTAGGGGCGATGGGGGAAACGATCCGGCAAAAAGTAGTCATCAAGAATCCTTCGTTAGGGGCGGTTGAAATACCAGAGTTGGACGCTGTGGTTACGGATTTACGAAGTACCGGGCTACCGCCCGTCGTCGGTGGACTTTTAGGTTTGGATTTTCTCAAGCGCTTCGAAGTTGAGTTTGATTTCGATAAGGAGATTATCGCGTTTCACCCAAAAGGGAGCGCGATTACGGGCGTGTGCGATGTATCCGAATTAATTAAGATTAGATTGAAAACGCACCCTACCGGTTTGCAATTGGCGCCTATTTCTTTGAATAACTGCGCGCCATTTGACGCGATTATTGATATGGGCTCGTTGTTTTCCGTGATTAATTGGAAAGCGTCGGAAAGAGCTGGTGTGACGAAAGATTCGCCGGATTTGGACTCGAGCGGGGTAATCTCAAATGACGTGACGGGAGCGCAAATGGGTCTGGCGATTGGTAAGTTTAATTTGAGAGTACTCGGCGAAGGAGGTAATTCTGATCTTGCTCACGATTTAGAATCGACGTACAAAGGCGCCGCGTGCGTTGGAGACTTACCTGCATTCGAAACGCTGGGCGCGAAGAACGAACCGTTCGCGACGATAGGTATGGACGTGATTGGAAGAAAGAGACTCGTTCTGGATATGTATAATCACAGAATCTACCTGAGTCCAGGCGAATGAATGATGAACGGCGTGCAATAACGTATAAATTATGCTTATGAAATAATATTTTAGAGAGAAAAACCTTCGCCTTTTTGCGGAATGCCTGGCGCGTCCGCTTCCAGACCGGCGAATAACTCGTCCCAGGTCTCGCCTCTTCTTCCTCTCGGCCCCATCTGCCGCTCGCCGTCCGTTTCTTTATTCGCGTTCGACGCGAATACTTCCGCCATCGGTTTTCCCGTATCTCTGTAATAGAGTTCAAACGTCGCGTTTTTCGCGTCGTCTCTTTTTAAACACTCGACACACACCGCCGCGACGTCTTCTCTCGAAACGCGCCCGCTTACATCATCGCCTTGGTTCAATTCGCACGCCGACACTCCTCTCGGCGGATCTTCAGTCAATCCACCCGGTCTGACAATCGTATAAAAGTCGTCCTCTCGTTCGTAATACAAGGCGCGCACCGCGTCTTCGCCTTCGATTTTTGCACGCATGATACCTCCGAACAAGTTCAAGAATATGTACACCGGAGAGTACGGTTTACTCACCGCGCCCGACGTCACGACGACGTATCTCTTCACAGATTTCGAACTCAAACATGCTCTGGCCACTTTTATGCACCCATCTCTGTCGATTTCTTGAGGCGATCCCCCGTCTTTACTCGAACTCGCCGCGAAAATCACCGATTCCGCGCCGTCGATGGCGTTCGTAATCTCCGCCATGGACGACGTCACCGAACACTGCTTCGTCGTCACTCTCCCTCTCGCCTCTTCTTTAATATCCGAAGTCAGAGATGGAAAACTCCCGTTCCGAGTTGCCGCGACGACGTCCCACCCGTTCTCGGCCGCGTATTTCACGCACCGTTTCCCCGTTTTCCCGTTCGCTCCAATCACCACAATTTGGCCTTCGCCTCCTTTTGCTAAGACAGCGTTCGCACCTCTCCTCCTCCGAGTTTTAGAAGATGATAACGACGACGACGACGACGACGACATCTTTTTTCGACCACCAAAAACACCGTCATCAAAACGACCCACCCGCGCGGTGGCACAAAAAGAAGAACTCGCGGAAGAAGAACTCGCGGCAGACGCAATCATCATCGTTTGAGACGGACGAACGCAAAGTTGTGAAAGAGAAGAAAAGAGAGGGAAAGGAGAGCGTCGTTTGATGACGTGCAAAAATAAAAAAGGAGGAGAGCGCGAGTTGAGATTTTTTCCTTATGAGAGTGCGAGTAGTTTTCAGCCATGAAAAAGAAAAACTGAGCACCTCCTCCTCACAAAAAAGAAGCGCAATACAAGAAGAGAAAGAGAGAGACTTATTAAAACGATGATGAATATGATGATGAGAAATACACCTTTGCTCCTCCTCCAATCGACATCATCATCATCGACGCGCAGTACTGATAAGTACGGAAAACCCTCATTTCGACGACGAGGACCCACTACCCAAGCCATGGCCGCCGGGACGACGACGACGACGACGATGGAAAATGATGACAAAATCGAAACGTCATCATCATCATCATCATCATCATCATCGTCTCCCCAAAAACAACAAGAACAAAGCACGATTAACGTCTTCGTCGATGCCGCCGTTCGCTCGGGGCGAGGAAGAAGCGAAGAAGATGAAAAGAAAGTCACTTTGGAAGAGATTTTAGGCATATCCAGTGGTGGACCTCCGCGGTTTTTCAGTCCACTCGTGGAGGAGGAGGAGGAGGAAGACGTCGTCGTGGAAAAGAAACGAGAAAAAAGAGAGAAGAAACCATTGATGATTTACTTACCCGGATTAGACGGCACGGGATTCAGCGCATCTTCGCAATTCGCCACGTTATCGAAAGAGTTTGATTTGGTGTGCCTGAACATCCCGTCGAACGATCGTTCGGACGTGTTTGAAATCGTGGACATCGTGCGAGCGTTTATCGAACGAGCGAAGGAAGAACATCCGGAAAGGGAGGTGCAGTTGATCGGGGAGAGCATGGGAGGCGCGATGTCTTTGTTCGTGTGCTTGAAACACCCAGAGTTGGTGACGAGAGCGACGGTGGTGAATCCGGCGTCGTCGTTTGATAGGAGCGTGTGGCCGTCCGTCGGGCCTTTGTTGCCTCAGATTCCGGAAAATTTGTACGCCGGGTTGCCGTTTGCGCTTTCGCCGGTACTCATAGATCCCATTCGATTAGCGACAGAAGCCGTGGAACTTGGAAATTTGAGCGAAACTTTAGAAAAGATGACGGCGATGTTACCGGCGTTGGGATCATTGGCGACCATTATTCCCAGAGATACGTTGAAACACCGTTTACAAATTCTAACGGACGCGTGCGTGTACATCAACGACAATGACGGCGAAAAGTTGAAGAACGCGAGAGTGCCAGTATTAGTCGTGGCGAGTACGAACGATTTGCTCATTCCTTCGAACGAAGAAGCGCCTCGATTGCAAAAACTCATGGGCACAAAAAAATGCAAGATAGAAATCTTAGAAGGCGCGTCGCACGCGGCGTTGCAAGAGAAAGGCATGGATATCGTTCATTTGATGAAACGCCACGATTGGATCTCGAGGCCGGTGGAGGACGAGAATCGATTATCCAGAGACCCCACGTTCACGCCTCCGAGCGAGTCGCAAATTGAAAAGGCGCGAGACGGGTTACAGTTTTTGCGATCAGTGCACTCGCCGGTGTTCTTTTCGACCAGAGAACGCGACGGACAAGTCATCAACGGCTTGGACGCCGTGCCGACGTGGAGAGGCACCGGGAACCGTCCAGTTTTATTGGTCGGTAACCACCAAACGTTCGCGCCTGATTTAGGTTTTCTCGTGGATGAGTTTTTGAAACAAAAGAACGTGTGCGTCCGAGGACTTGCTCATCCGGTCGTCTCGAGAGATAATGGGAACGGCACGGGTGCCATGCAAACCGAAGATGACGACGAAGAGGAAAACCCGTTGGAGAAGCAACTCCGAGAGGCGACGAAAAATACGCCGTTTGCGCAATTCATGCCCGAATCGAAAGAAGAAAAGCGACGTCAACGTCGAGCCGGTGTCCCGAACGGAGGTCCGTTTGGTGGCGGTAACTTTTCTGATTTCGGCGCCGTGCCCGTTTCCGGGAAGAACTTTTACAAGCTTTTGAAGGCGAACGAAACCGTTTTACTCTTCCCTGGCGGCGTTCGAGAAGCGTTCAAACGTAAAAATGAAAAGTACCAGTTATTTTGGCCGTCGAAACCGGAGTTTGTGAAAATGGCGATTCGATTCAACGCTATTATTGTTCCGTTTGCGGCAGTTGGTGCGGAGGACTCGTTCGATATCGTCATGGACGCTGAAGATATGTTGTCTAACCCAATTCTCGGGGACCGCGTGAAAGCGCAAATGGAAAAAGTGCCGAAAGCGAGGCAGTTTGATTCTCGAGAAACCGAAGATAACATGAAACCAGAATCGTTCGTGCAACCAGTACTCGTACCGACTACACCGCAAAGGTTTTACTTTCGTTTCATGAAACCGATCGATACAAATGGGATGGACCGAAACGACGAAGAAGCAGTGAAAAGGATTTACGCCGAGACAAAGATGAGCGTAGAAGACGGCATCGAGTATCTCAAAGAACGACGCGAGAGCGACCCGTTCAAAGACGTCGCGCCGAGAGTCTTATACGAATCAGCCGCGAAAAAACAAGCGCCTACATTTGTGCCGTATTAGTTCGAATTATTAGAGATAGTGTTTAGAAACCTAATGTGTACAGTAAGTAATGTTCTTTTGAATGCTCTAAAATAAATAGCTCATTTGAACAAATTCACAACTCGACTAACAATTTTTGATGATGATGGGTTTTTATTTAATACTTCTTACTTTTTGTTCGCCCCCTCGGCGGCGAAAGCTTTCGTTTTATTCGCGTGCTCTTGAATCTTAAACTGCGTCATCGTATTTAACATTTCAGGCGTGGCAGCCCCGTCGTCGCTTCCGTGCGCGGAGGATTGGACCGAGGCCATCAACTTTGAAATTTCACGACCGCTAAAGCCAACCGTTTTCTTCGCCACGTCTCTTAAATGTTCCTCCGTGACGCCGTTGACCGGAACCGGACGATCCGGAATTTTACCAAACCCGAGCGTTTTCATAATGCCGCCTAGAAACGTCCTCGATGGTTGCTCGTCCCCTGGATCTGCTCCACGAACGATGAGTTTATCGAAGTATTGCTTCACCAAACGAAAGCGAGTTTCTTCGTCAGGCAACGCGAATTCCATGGTCTCGTCCACGCGATCTAAAACCGCCGAATCTAAGTCCTCCGGTCGGTTCGTCGCCATTACTAAAGTCACGTCTCTGCTCATTTCCCCAGTTCTATACAACAACGCGTTTAACGCCGATCTGGTCTCTTGCGAGGCGACGTTCCCACCTCTTTTCGCTAAAAACGCATCCGCTTCGTCGATGAATAACAACAAACCTTTGCGCGAAGTGCCGGCCCAATCGAACATCTCGTGAATTTTCGTCACGGCGGACGCCCCTAACGGCGCCACGTCCCCGCCAGTCATTAAAGCGTAATCCAAACCAGAGTGTCTCGCTAATCGTTTCGCTGCCATCGTTTTCCCGGTTCCCGGTGGTCCATACAGCAAGATGTTTCTGAACGGTGCCTTCCTCGCTCTGGTATTCGCCGTCGCCGTCGCCAACTGTTTCACTCGCGTTTCCATCGATTTTTCCAACTGGACGTCGCCTAAAATGTTTGCGCCGGCCGATTGCGGTTTCCAAAACGCCCCTCTCGACGTCTCTCGAATCAAACTCGGTTGTCCCAAATACTTTTCCAGCTGCTTAAACCCAAACTTTGCGCCTTCGCGAGACGAATACACCCCAGCCGCTAACACGGACAAACCGCCAACCAACATGGTCATCTGTTGCGGATTCGAAAGCAACTCCGTGGCGCCTCTCCCGAAATACACCATACCTTCTTGCACAACTTTAATCGCTTTCGTCGTTTCCGCCTCAACCTTTGCCAACATTTGCCTACGAATCACGTCTTCGTTCTGTCGATTTTCCAACGTCCTCCCTTCCGCCTCGGCGATTGCTTTTGCTCGCATGTTCTCCTGTTCCAATTTAGCTTTAAACTCCTCCGTCGCTCTTTTTTCCATTTGAATCTTCCTTTCCGTATCTCGTCTCAACGCCTCCGCTCGTTCCGCCGCTTGCTCTTGCATCTTCACCAACTCCGCGTTCCTCGCTCGAGCGGCTTCGTTTTCCCCTTGTTGCCGTTTCCTCGCCAACTCGTCCTCGTACTGTTTCAACTGCGCGTTCTGTTCCGCTCTTTGCGTTTCCAACTTCCTCTGCTGTTCCCACATCACTTTTTCTCTCTCCGTCGCGTGCTGTGCGGCCACCGCGTTCATCCTCGCCTCTTCCGCCTTCGCCTCCGTTTGTTTCGTCACCTCTTGCTTCCCAGATAAGTCGATCACGTTCTTCGCGTACGGAGACTTGTTGATTTCTCTCAGCGCTTTCGCGCCTCGCTCTAACGCTTCCGGGTCAAACGCCGCGTTTTGAGATTTATTCGACCCTCCTTCGGACGAAGAAGTACTCCCTCCCCGAGCTCCTCCTCCTAAAAAAGGCATCCGTTTTGTTGTTTTCCCCGATGATGATGATGACGACGATTCATCAGCGCATTCCGCCGTGGAAAAAAGAACGTTATACTTTCTCGCAAAATCTCTCATCTTCCCCACAGAAGAAGAAGACGATGATGAAGAATGAGTACCACCGCTAATGTCGGTAGTATCATCGCGACGACTGCCCATCCTGCTCTTTGTTGTTAATTTAGATAGAGAAATGTGTTTTTGTGGGGATTGATTGAAAGAAACACGTGTGTGTTTTCTGGCGGCGGTCTGGCTACAAAAGCAGCTCAAAAAAGGAAAAAAACTCTTCCGTGTCTCAAAATGAATGATTTTTGTCTCCTCTTTTTTGCATTTGTCCCCCTCATTCATCATCACACCATATAACAAACACAAAACACTAATGGTCGCAAAAGAAGAAGAAGAAGTAGAGGCGGAGTGGATCTCCGGGGACGAGTTGGAGTTATTCGAAGGAAAATCAAATTGGGTGGACGCGTCGAAGCACGGATGTTTGTCGAAACTTTTAAGCGCCGCCGAGTTCGGCAACGCTGATTTTTGTTCGGAAGCTTTGAGAGATATCGAAGACGAATTTGTAAACGCGAAAGGGGACGATGGAGATACGAGTTTACATTTAGCGTGTTTGTACGGACACGTGGACGTGGTGAAGGTTTTGTTGAGCGATGAGAGAGTCGATGTGAACGCGAGGGATGACGACGATGGAACGAGTTTGGCGGATGCGTCGGCGAGTGGATTTCACGAAATCGTTGCATTGCTTCTCGCGAAGAAAGGGATAGAAGTGAATTTGAAAGACTCGGACGGAGAAACCGCGCTAGATTGCGCGATACGAGGGGAACACGAGAAGTGCGTGGAATTGTTGAAAGCAGCTGGAGGGAAGGAAGGCGAGTTGTGATGATGATGATGACATTATTAAAGTAGCGCGTTTTTAGTAAAAGTGTGCGTTGTTAGCCAAGCGAAACTATAAGTAGTATGTATATTAGATTAAATTAAACGACGTCTATGACGTCTTCTATCGACTTTTCGTTCACGTCGTCCTCGCGAATATTATCTTCTTCTTCGCTCGCGTTCTCGTTGTTCTCGTCGCTCTCTTCATTATCACTATTTTCTCCGTCTTTTGGCGCGTCCATGGAGATTTCTAAAAGTTCCTCTCGCGCTTTCTCCACCTTCCCGGGTAACTCGACGACGGCGAGCTTAATGCCGGATTGCGTCACCGCGCGCCTACCACCGTGTCGAGTAACTGAATACGCAACGAGTAGCCGACACCCATCTTGCGCGATTGTCGGGTAATTAAAGTGTAAACCAGGACTAGAGTCTTCTAAGAGTTGTAACTTCGACCATTTGTGACCGTCCGAGGAGAGCGCGACGGAGAGTTTCCTTCGAACGCCACTCATGGCATCATTATATGCGAGCGCGAGAGATCCTCCTAAATTTGTCGGTGCGCCTTTCGAACTTTCCAATCGAATTAGATTAACTTTCGAGTTTGGATTCGGAACGCTCGTTCGTTCGGCGTTCGACCACGATTTACCTCCGTCTTTTGAAATTTGCTTGTATAAATATTTCTCGCCGGAACGATGGAGCAACAACAAATCTTTCGTGTCACCAACCTCCGCGACGGTACCTTCAATGAGCCAACGCACGCCTCTCGCTCTGTACGAACCAACGACTGACCAGGATTTGCCTTGATCTTTTGAGAGCAAAACGCCCGCGGACGTTCTCGTTCCTTTCGAGACGCTCGGTTTACACGTGTTGGAATGCGGTGATTCTCGCCACATCGGTAGTACCCAATACCCGGTAGGTTCGTGCACCGCGAGCTGATTAGAAACCAGTTTCGGAAGATGATTGGATTCTGCCGCTTGCATCAAGATGGTTTTTGGTGCGCTCCACTGAATGCCGTCTAAAGATTTAATGACTTGAATGTCCCCTCCCGGCGCGTATTTCACTTTACCGTGACCGGCATTTTTTCTGCAACTCGTCGACGCGGCGTAGAACAACCACGCGACGCCGGTGTTTGGATCCTTGTGCCAAACAGGGCCCCATACAGCCGCTGTAGATGGTGTCACGGGAATTGGAATCACCATCGGTGGCGTCCACGTCCCAGTCGGGTCGTCCGCGAAGGAAATAACAATCTTCTGCCCGAACGCACCTTCGAAGGAATTGGACGCTTGCCACGTCGCCGCCCATTTCCACGGTGAGTTTTTCGGCGCCTCGCCAATCATCACCATGTGGCCGTACTTGAAACTCTCCCCATTTCTGAATAAAAACGATTGTTTCAACACGATATTCTTCTTCGCCTCCTTCGAGCCGCATCCATTCTTGTACCCGCCTTTGGCGATGTACGCTTCGGAGACGCCGATAGGATCGGGGATCTCCTTGGAGTGTCCGTCGACGTACACTTTACCTTTAAAATGCTTAATTAACGCCTTTTGCGTTTTCACTCGATCGTCGTCGACGATCAAGTCGTCTAGTATAACTTTTATCGGCGCGTTCGACGAGGATATCGCGTTGCTACTTATTGTGCTATTCTCAAACTCTCCTTCTTCGTGGTTATGGTACTCCGTATCCAGAATCTCGTTTGCCTTACCGTCACCTTCTCCCTCGTGGTTATTATCCTCGTCCTCGTCCCCGGGTTCGTCCTCGTCGTCCTGACGGAATCCTAAAATACTCTCCGCGTATTCGTGTCCAGGTATGTGTTCCCACACGTCGTGCATCGCGTGTCCAAACGCACTCATCATGCCCATATTATTAGCATCATCATCATCGTTATCATCGTTACGCTCTAATTCTATTTCGTTTCCTTTTGGTTTTCTGTGCGTCTCTTCCATGCTCGCAACTTCTTCGTTCGATAAGGAAGACGACGACGATGATGGATGTACCACTTTCTTTTGTTTGTGTTGAAGGCCGTGCGCTCGACTGTTTCGAGACTCGAGGAACTCGTTGGTATTCACGGGAGCGTGATGGGTGGAATACACGCGAGTCGAAGCCACGGTTAAGAGGTACAACGAAACGAGCAAGATGAAGAAGGTGGCGAAAGCGCGTCGCGCACTTTTCTTGCTCGCCGCAGACATCTTTTTTCGTGCGTGTGTGGGTGGATGGGGAAGAACTGAGGAAGCATTGTGTGATATCTTTCTTTAAAATACACGCGCGCGTATCGCACTATCGATTAAAACTAAAAATGCATTTCAACTAATCTCATTCACTCTTCCTCTCGTTTTTCAACGACAGATTTACTATTTGTTTTTATTTTCTCGCGCGTTTGGTAGCAGCGCTCGTGGGTGCCTTACTTAGTACGGCTCGCTTCTTCGTCGTCGCCGGTTTCTTCTTGTCCTCCGTCTTTGTTTTCTCCTTCTTTGGCTTTTTACCCACAGGCGCGGTCTCGTTGACCTCCACGAACGCGTCAACGTTCGCATCGTCGTCGTCTGCAAAAGCACCGTCCTCCTCTCCGCCGACGACATCCGCTTTGTTTGCTCTTTCAAAGACGAGGTCGTCTTTAAAACCGTACCTGGCGTAGCCGTCCGTTTCCGCCGCGCGATCGATGGTCAATTTGTCTGGAGAGATGTCTTTATCCGTATCTTCAAAGACGTAATCGTCTTCGTATAATATCGATTTGAGCGAGCTTGCTGCATCATCGGTGTCATCTTCGGACCCACTTAATTCGCCGTCATGATATTGAGTGTAATTGGAGAAGAAGGATCGAAAATTTGCTCGAGTAGGAGCCTCAATCGTGCAGCCTCGTTTTCGAGCACTTTCAACGAGCGCACCCCAATTTGGATCCGTCATCATGGCTTTCGCGTTTCCTAGAACAAACATGGAGCATTTAGCGCGCGTTAAGCCGACATTTATGCGACGTTCGTCCGCGACGAAGCCTAATACATTACGTCTGCTTTTGGTATTAGCATTCGAAGCTTTTTTCGAGATTTGAAACATATCGTTCAAGGGCGCGCGCACGAGCGAGAAAATGACGACGTCCTTCTCGCTTCCTTGAGAGTTATCGATGGATAACACCTCAACGATACGACCGTAGTTGTGCATTCCACCAAACTTTCTCTCAAGTTTGCGACGAATCATCGAAACTTGCGCCCGATACGGAGAAATGATGGCAATTTTTGGACCTTCTCTTTTCAGTACTGGATTCGCTTTCAACAGCTGATGCGCAAGCTCGACGGCAAAAGTCGCTTCTTCTTCGTTTACCCAGGAAAAGCCACTCGACGAAGACTCTTCTTTTCCATGCTGCACGTCGTAAAATACAAAAGGCTTGTATAATTTACACTCGTGCCATTCTCGATAGTTTTGCGTTAAAAGTCCTGGTCCATCGCGCAACTCGCCGCCGTAGAATTGATCCGAGGGAAACTCTCTAATTTCTGGAAGCATTCTGTATTGCGTCGACAACTTGTGCACCGGATATGCTGAATCCATGAGTCTTTTAAACAAGGATTGCTCGTAGTTGTTCTTGGCGCACTCTCGAGAAAGTACTGTGGCCGGTAACTGCGCCGGGTCACCAACTAAGTAGACTTGTTTCGCCTTAATTTCCGTCAATGGAATCAATATCGATGGCTCTACCGCTTGCGCGGCTTCATCTACGATGATGACGTCAAACTTTGTCTTCATCCTACGGAAAATTTCAGACCCGGCAGCGGACAACGTCGTGCACACGATTTTAGCCTCGTCTAATATGATTCGTCTGAAGCGTCTGTTATCCTGGAAGGAACCGAATTTCTTGAGACCTTTTTCATCTTTACCTCCGCCACCGCTGAAATACTCTTTTCCGTAGTCTTGTTTTATGCGCTCTTCAATGAGCCTTTCTAAACTTACATTCGCCACGTCTTTTCGGAAATTGCCGCCGACACGCACGATGCTAGGCTTATAAGACTTCCCGTGTTCATCGAGTAATTCCTTACGCAAAATTCTACGGACAATTTCATCAACGGCTGAATTTGAAGGCGCGCAAACTAAAATTTTCGATCGTCTGGATATGCTAGGTCCCATGAGTTCGATTGGAATAGTGCTCGAGGGAGCGGTGTGGCCCCTTCTCTGGTTTTCAATATTGGCACTGTTCTTGTTTCCGTCGTTGGTTCCGTTGTTTTCTTCGTCATCGTCCGAAGTGTCGCCTAAATCGATGTTCGGCAAGCAATCTCTTGGATTAGTTATTCCAAACAACCACGGTTGCGCCTTCATCCTCATCGCGAGCTTTTCTTCCTCGGTGATTGTACTTTTCTTTTTGTTGTTCCAATCATCTCCTCGGTTTGCGACGTGATTGCGATTTATCGGTTGCGCTGCTAAAATCACCGATAAAAGGGAAATAATCGTGGTGGTTTTCCCCGTCCCCGGTGGTCCTTGAATTAACACGAGCGGATTTTCTTTCGTGAGCGCCGTAGTCGTCGCAATTTTGAGCTGCGATTGATCTGACCTTCCTTTTGCTTTCATCGCGTCCGATAAATCTTTCGGGATTTCCCAGCTCGGTTGATATTGCCGCTGTTGCTTATGCTGCTGCTCTTTCTTCTGCTTTTTCGTTACGTTCGCGTTACTAACGGTTGTGTTATCGCTATTATTGCTCGCATCCAGGATCAAATCAGCGAATGGAATAGAAGAAACTTCTTGCACGGCGAGCCACTCCCGTCGCGCCGTGCTCATATTGCACACGCGCGTCAAGTGCCACGAGTGGTTGTTACTCAATAACTTAGCTCGAATATTCGCGAGTCTCTCGTTATCTTCGTCCAACGCATCTTTAGTGCTATTCGTCTGTCGCTGTTGCTGTTGCCCAGATTTTTTCTTCTGTATCATCGGTGGCGAAAACAAGCGCACTTTCACTTCCGTATCGCTCACTCTCCCTTGGCAAAACGCGAAGCAATAATCCACGCCTTTTTCAATCTTCTCGTCTTCGGAGACCGAGTTCAGCTTGGAGAGGAAGAGTAAATCGTTCTCGTTGAACTGTTCGCACTGTTGCTGCGTTTCGAACGACGCGACGGCGGTGTACAAACACATCTTCAACGTCTTTTCCTTTTGCTCCTCGTCTTTTTTATTCTTCTCGATGGTGGTTGAGCTTTTCGTCGTCGTCGCCGCCGCCGCGGTGGTGGTGGTGGTGGCGGCGTTTTTAGAGGACAACGCGTTCACGCGCACGGCGCACTTCTCGCACACGACCGTCGCGCTGCCGTTCCCGTCTCCTTTCAAAACGATCGCTTTCGCTTCCTCCAACAAGAACGAAGAGAAGCACTGGATGTATTCTTTCGCGTTGGAAAAGCGCAAAGGGATCGGTTTCAACGAAGAAGAGGGAGTTTTGGTGACAGTCTTTTTAGCGGTATTACTTTGTTGATACGCACTCATGCTCTCAGCGTAGATTTTATAGTAATCCCAGGCGAGGATTTGGGTGAGGAACGGGGCGAACGCGCCGAGGGTGTCGTCGCCGTCGTCGTCGTCGCCGACGCCGCCGCTCATTTTGAGATGAGGGCTGAACGCTTTTTTTTTGACGAAAATAAAGAAAATTACAAAGAGGAGGAAAGAAGAAAACACGAGCGAGCGCGAACTATGGTATTACATCCGAGGCTGTGTAAACGCTCTCGCACCCACGAGGGATGCGCCCAATCTCACTCTCTCTCTTTTGTTGTTCGTGTTTTTGTTCGTGTTGTTCTTGTTGTCGTACCTTTGGTTTAACCTTGGAAATGAAATCCGATCCGTCGGCGCGACACTCTTCAAGCAGAACGCCCTTCTCTGGATATACGGTTAACATCCAACACTCTTTGCTGACCTCTTGGTCTCCTTCGTCTTCTTCTCCATCATCTTTTTTTTCCGTTTCTTCTTCTTTTTCTTCTTTTGACTCTTCTCTTTCTTCGTCTTCTTTTTTCTCCACCGCTGCTTCTGCTTTGGCTTCGTGCCACTTAAAATACCCAGGCGGAAAGTCTTCGGAATTCAGTCTCACCCAATCGCCTCGTCTCGCATCGACGCGAATAATCTCGTCGCAATGTTTACCTCCTATCGTATGCGCGTCTAATTTTGGTTTTATTCGAACAGGAACCCACGATTTAGAGACGACTCGAAACGTTCTCGTCCGGCTGTAGTCGATGGTCACCATGTGCTCGTGATCCAGCAAATCGCTAGCTTCCTTTGTCGCCAAGACTTGATTGACTGCCGGTAGCGTGTGCGAACCTCTCATGAACTTTAACAGGTCACCAAATTCAGGGTGCGTGGTGAGCATCCAACCGAGCGTTTTCAGATTGTCCTTCTTCTCTTCTTTCTTCTTGAATTTCACTTGATCTTCTTCTTCTTCTTCTTCTTCTTCGTCCAAAATTTCAAGCCAATCGCCGTGCTTTGAAACGGCAACGACCTTTTCACCTTTCTTTTTCACCCCACGAAGCGATGAATCGATGTGTGGTTGCATTCTCACCGGAACGCGAGCGTACGAAACTAACCACTCTTGTCTCAATTCACCGCGTTTTGCCCTTTTCGTCAGCAAATGCCACGACTCCTCGTTCCCGTTTAACGCCGAATCGATTCGTCCAATGAAACTCGCATGCGTTGAATTTGTTCTGTCCCCGTGATTATTTTTTTCTTCAAACGCGTCTCGTTCAAACGCGGTCCCGCCAACTGCAAAACCTTGTAATCCTAAGAATTGGTGTTCCAACGGAGTCACTCGTTTCGAGTTCCTCTCCACGTGTTCGACTAAATCGTTCAAGTCCAACTTCATTCTTTTTGTTTTTCCTTTTCTTTTTTTTTGTGAGCGTTTTTTTTTATCAACAACTTTTTTTTTTTTTCTCCTCCTGCTCTCTCTCTCTACAAAATCTGCTCGTCGTCCTAAATATGGGACGACGACCAACGAATAAGAAACAAAAGGCAACGAAGAAGAATACGGATTCTTCTGTTTCTCCTCCTCCTCCTCCTTCGACTCTTCTTTCCGTCGTACCGGATTTCGGCGATCAAAAGAAGAAGACGAAGAAGAAGAGAAAAGAACGAGAAGAAGAAGAAGAAGAAGAATTCGCGCCGGCGGTAAAAACGACCACAACAACTGTCCTCCCTTCCACCAAGAACAGAAAACAACGCAGAGCGGAAGCGAAGCTCGCGACGGAGAAGGGAGAGAAAGATGAAGGAATTAAAGAAGATGATCAATCACAACAACAACAAAAGGAGGAAGAGGAGGAGAAGAAGAAAGAAGATGAAAAGGAATTGACGCCTCCTCGAGAGGTGGACGTGGAACACGAGGGCGAAAATACCACCGTTCGCGAGATTTTACGTTTGCCGAGATATTTCGATGATGACTTTGAAGCGGCTGCCATGCGGTGTTTTCGGTGCGGTAAAGGTGGTCACCGCGAGTTTGAGTGCACGTTACCGGCGAAGCAAAAGCCGTGTCACTTGTGCGGTGATTTTGACCATCAAGCGAGAGACTGCCCGAAAGGTTTATGTTTCAACTGTTTGACGCCGGGACACAGGTCGAGAGATTGCGAGGAAAGGAGAGGTATTGGAAGAGACCAGCAGTCTCTGTGTTGTTTGAGGTGCGGGAGATCTGGACACGTCGTAGAAAAGTGCATGTTTACGTTTTCAGAGGCTGATTTGAAGCGCATGCCGTGTTACGTGTGTGGAGAGTTCGGGCACTTGTGTTGCGCGCCACAAGATTCGCAACCTCCCGGAAAACTAAGTTGCGTGAAATGCGGCGGCGAAGGACACGTGGAGAGTACGTGTAGACATTCGAACTTCCGAAGGTCTCAAGGCGGTTTCGAATGTTTTAATTGTGGTGGTCCACATTTAGCGAGAGAGTGTCCCAATTCGAGACTCTCGGGCGGAGCCGCATCGCGATATTCACCTTCGCATTTAGGCATCAAAGGAGGTGGTGGATGGGGCGGAACGGGTAGCAGTGGAAATAATAGCATGAGTAGATTAGGTAGTGGTGGTGGTGGTGGTGGTGGTGGTGGTGGAATGTACGGTGGAGGAGGAGGAGGAACGTTCTTTGGAGGAGGAGGAGGGCGATTTACGCCTAAAACATTCCCGAATGTACCACCGAGATTCCAAGGGCGCATTGATACCTCCAACTCGGTGCCACCACCGTCCGGCAAGTACCATAAATTCGATTAGAACATATAGATAGTTGTCTGTAAATTATCTCTCTTATTAAAAAAGGATTAATAGTATGTGCTTGTGTCTCTCTATCTCACTCTTTAAAAATGTTTATCGATACCATCTCTCACTCTCTCTCTCTCTCTCTCTCTTTCCCTCAAACGAACGAAAGAATCCCGCCGTATCTTTGTCTCTCTCTATTTCTCTGTCTCTCTCATTAATTCTCTGAATGAATAATACCTCCTATCGCTTTACGAACATTGATGAATTTACCCAGTAATACCATGTTCGGTTTCGAATTCGCCAATCGCCTTCTTCGCGACGTCTGTCGACAAATCTTCCGGCTTCTCCCACGTCAATTCAGTGTCTTTAAAACCGGCCCAGCGGACCAAGTACTCTTTGCGTCCAGCTTCTGGATACGCGATACCGATGATGGTGTCGACTTCAGGCTCAGCCTTTGCTTCCGCCTTTGCCTTCTTTTTTGGATGGTGCTCAGGTCCGATCGGGACGTGCTCCCACTGCCCGTTTTCCTTTTTAACGTAATCCTTGCACTTCTCAATTTTTCGTCGAGACATCGCGTTCTTCACGCCAGCTTCGCTCGCATCGAGCGCTTTGCACAGCTCGTGTAAAGTGTGCGATCTTGCGGTTTGCTTCGTCAAAAACTGTGTGCAAAAAAAAATAGTCAGTCAGTGTATATTCCAAGAGAAAAAGAAGCGAGTTTCTCTTTCTTTCTTCTTTCTTCGACTCGTTTGCGCGCTCAGCTGCAAGCATTCATCACTCTTGGTCCGTGACCTTTCAAACGAATTTTCTCAACGCATTTGTCATCATCGCGCGCAAAGAAGAAGAAGAAAGTGTCCACCTTTATTGCGCGCGCTTTGTTTTCTCCGAGAAGGAAAATACGCGGAAGTCGTGCGACGAGCGATTCAAAATTCAAACGCGATTCAAAATTCAAACCCGAAGAGGAGAACTAAAGGGGACAAAAACAAAAAAACAAAACTTACCGAATAATCGATGTGCTTGTGCGCGTGCGCAGGAACTTCCTCCGCCGCTGGCGGTTGCTCTAATTTTTGAGACATGTTTTGCGCGTTGTTGTGTGTGTTTAAAGTGTGTGTGGTAGAAAAAGTGTGTGGTTTTGTTGTGTGTTGGTTTTCTTTTTTGTTTTTTTGGAGAGAAAAGAGCGAGGGGGGGGTGCTCAAAATTCTCTCTCTCCGAGCCTTCTCACAGAATCAGATTCGTTTTCGCCCAAAAAAATCCGAAAAAACGTATCTAACCAATCGAGCCTTCACGTCACTTTTTGTTATTGAACCGTCGCGCGCGCTCACAAACGCTCCTTTTGAACACGCGCGAAAACACACGCACAAAAAAAAGAAGCAGAGAGACGCTCGATTGCCTGCGCTTTAAAACTGTATCTTCTGAGGTAACTGCGAGATCGCCTTTTAAGAGGTGAAAGAGAGAGAGAGGTTAAATTAAAAAAATGGGACCGAAAAAGTCGCCATCGAGAAAATCGAAATCGAAAGAACCAACGCCCGATCCGCCGAGCGGGTTAGGAGATGTGGATAACACTAATAACAAAGGAGGAGGAGACGATGGAAAAGATGAAGATGCGGGAGGGAAAGTTTCGTCCCCAAAAGGTGGAAAAAAAACCGTAGAAATGATACAAAACGAAATAGCAATGTTAGAGAAGCAAGCGTACGATACGAAATCGAAGCTCTTGAACGAGTCGCAATTTTCCGAGCTTCTTGGATTGCAAAGCGAAGACGAGCCTGAATTTATTGACGAAATTATAGAGATGTACACCGCAGACGCTCGATCAATGTTAGACGAATTGAAGACTCTGTATAGCGCAAAAGACAAAGAGATTGACTTTGATGTCATTCGCGGGACTTTGCACAAATTAAAAGGGTCCTCGTCGACGTTTGGCGCGGATGGAGTGACAGAGATGTGCGACCAGCTTCGCGAGCTGTGCATCGAGAAAAACGTGAAAGACGCGAGGGAGGGGCCCAACTCGTTGGTTGAGCTCGAGAAGAGAGTGGAGATTTTGGCAGAATTTTTGACAAAGTACATGGAGAAGCTGAAAGAGCTCGCGGCTGCGAAGAATCAATCTTGAATCCATTCGTCATCATTCTTTTGATATTCTTCTATTGGTATGTGTGTGTGTATGTGTGTGTATAGTAATTTAGCTCGAGAACCAAGGACAACAACAAGCCAACATTTTTTTTGTTTGCCGGTGTAATTCTACAAATAAACTACATGGAAACAACAACTACGTTAAATACATTAAGACGAGCGAAAGCTCGCGTTTAAGCTAGAAAGGAGCGAAACTGCCGGTTCAACCTTTTCAGATATCGTTCGACGATCGTACGATCCTTTTTGCATAGCTAAAGAGTGACCCATGTAAATCGCCAGCGCCTCCAGTTCTTTTTCGCTGGCGTTTGTTCTTCTCAAATGCGTGACAATCATATCACGAACCAAGTGCGGATTGGTTCGTTTTCCCGTCAGTCTCATGGACGTGGATGTAAACAGCCTATAAATTCCAGCATCGTTGAACGGTTGCCCATTCTTTCTCGAAAACAAAAAATCGTGCTGCGGCTTTAAATGCTCCCTATAGTTGTTCACAAAATTTTCCAAGTGCGGGTACAAATCCGGAGCAATCACCAACGGTGGACGAACGCCGTAGTCTTTCCCTGTTTTGTAGTCATTTGGCCCGTGTTTAATAATCCATCTCGCTTCTTTCTCGTCTTCTTTCTCTTCTCGAATTAAAGTCTTTCCTATGCGCAACTCTCTCAAAGTGCGCTGACGATCGGGAACACACGACAAAATGGCAAAAATCAAATATCTTTGCATGCTCCATGCGATAGCACTTTGCGATCTTTTGTGACTCGTGACGTAATTCAGGGCCATTTCATCTTTTAATATATCGCATACTTGGAGGTAGTCCCCCCAATCGAGCCATTTCAATTTCTCGTTCGACATGAGAGGAGATTTGGACGCTCTGCTTTTGGCATCTTTGGCGAGTCTTCGCAACTCTTTGATGAGAGGAATATCTTGATAAGGCAAAGCATCTTCACCGGGTTGAAATTTCGATTTAGCGCCGTACATAAACTTTGCAGCAGCTATGCAACTTCTCGTGATGAGCAATTCGTAGTTTGCCGAGATGCCTCTTTCTACGGTGAGATATTGTAAGTAATCGAACGTCACATCCGCGGCGCTTGCTTTCATGCTCGGGAAAAGCATCGAGAGCGATTTCAAATCTTCGACTTTGTATTCTTTCTCTTTCACGAGCCAACCGCAGATACCTCGTATGTGCTCTTCGTATTTGTTCGCCGTGACGTTTGCAATTGGTGCTTCCTGAGGCCCAAGTCGTCGTCGAGTGAGGAACGTTTTCATTTTCGAGAGTTCTTTTTGTAACGAGTTTGGGAGATCGGAAAAGCTCAGACGATAATTTTCCAGCTGCGAGTTTCTTTGCGTCACTCGCACGCCGTCGCACAGAACTCCCGTGCGTATTCTCCGTTTCATTCGTTTTAGTGTTCTTTTTTTAACCGGTGATTGTAGTGGTGATGATGAAGAAGATGATGTGCTGCTGTTTTCGTTCTCTTCGTTTTCCTCCAATATGTGCACCTTCAATTTTACCGCTTCTTCTTCCTTTCCTTCCTCTTCTTTTCGTCGTTGCCGTTCCGCTTGTTTCATTCTTTTCTTTTCCAGGATCATTTCTTCTCTTTCAGTCGCCGCGGCTAACTTCTCCTTTTCTTCTCTGTACTCTTTTTCTCTCTCCATTTTCCTTTCCTCTCTCGCCTTCTTCCTCTCTTCTCTTTGCACTTCTTTCTCTTCCTCCTCGGTCCAGATTCCCAATTTCTCTCTCAACGCCCTCGCTAAATCTTTCTTATCAACTCCGATAGTTTCAAGTAAATCTTCTCCGTTTACGCGAAGTAAATCTCTTGGATGTTTAATAGAGCTCTCTCGTAGTAATTTCACGACCTCTCGAACGTTTATTTTTGCGTTGTTGTCGTTACACTTTTGGACAAAATCCGGAAGCGCGAAAGGGTCGTTTCTTTTGAGCATCTTCTTGTACGTTTCCTCTTCGTCTTCCCTCGAGGAGGAGGAAGAAGATGCCACGCTCGCGTTCACAACGACTGAGGATGATTTGCGACGAACACATGTCGTCAGTATTTGTGCGTGTTGGTTGTGCTGAAAGTGGTCATGCTGCTGCTGAGCAGCGCGTGTGTGAAACAGAGTACGAGTTGAAATGTATCTGCGCATTTTTTTTCAAGAGAGTTTTTGTCCTTCCTTCCCCTCCCTCTCTTTTTTTTTCTTGAGGGGGAGCAACGGAGAGCCTTGAGCCGAATGTACCTACAAATAATACTAGTAGCCTAAAAACTATTATTCTACTACACCTCGAAGCGAGTACCGACGCACTCTTCGTGCTTCTTCCAAAACTTACCCATCATCTCCTCGGTAATCGGTTTCGCTTTCGGTTCGTGAGGTTCCGGGAAACCTTTACCCCGCATACCGTGCGACGGACCGTAAAATTTACCGCTTTCCACATCCATCGAGTACGAACACAGTAAGATACCCGCCGCACCATCTTCAGCAGATTGAAAGAACGGTTTGATGAGATTCATCACAAAGTGGTTAAATCTTCCTCCTGATTTTGCGTGCGTGGTTTGTAATTCAGTCGCCGCAAAGCCTGGATGCGCGACGAGCGCTTTCACGTTTGTAATCTTTTTTTTACGCAAACGCGAGTCTAGCGCTTTGGTAAACACAATGTTTGCTAGTTTGGTTTGCCCATACATTTGCCAAGGAGTAGAGTAGTGTTCAGAACATTCTGGGTGTTTTTCTAACGACGTTAAATCGAACTCGCCGTTCGTATTCGCGGCAACCGACGCGTGATTCACGACTCGCGCGTCTTTGGATTTTGACAGCAACGGGAACACGCCTTGCGTCAACAAAAAGTGCGACAAACAGTTCACTTGCATTTGCTGGTCGAATCCGTTTTCCTCGGTGCCTTTGAATGGCAACGCCATGATCCCCGCGTTGTTGCACAAAACGTCCAAAACGTCCGCGTTCTTCTTCACTTCCTTGACGGCTTTTCGTACCGACGAAAACTTTTGCAAATCGCAATCGATGTGAATCGCATCTGGAGCACCGTGCGCTCGGCCAACTCTTACGACTTCCTCCCACGCCTTCTCGCTCCGATCGCTCGTTCGGTTCAGCATTAAAACTTTCGCGCCTTTTTCTGCAAATCCTTTCGCCAACGCTAATCCCGTCCCCGAAGTTGTCCCGGTTATCGCAACAGTCTTGCCTTTTTGTTCCGGCGTTTTATCCAATAAATCTCTCCAAATCACAGAGTCGCACTTCAAAGGCTCGTACTCTCGAAACAACGACGCGATGCCGACAGATGCGACCCCGACTCCAGCCACGGCCGCGTACAGCGCAGCCATTGATTTGATTCGATGATGATGCGTTTGTTCTTGGCAACGAACTAACTCACTTGCTATGCATAATAATGGCTAGTTTTTTTTCTTTTTCTGTGTGCAAAAGTGGCAAAAGTTGCTCTCTTAAAAAAAAAAGTCAACCAAAGCTCCCTCACAAAACACACACTACTTTTCGTTGTTTGTGAGATCGGATCGTTTATAACAACTTTGAAAGTTCTTCTTCACTTCGTATCACACACACACACGCAGAGATACACAGAGTAATCGAAAAAGATCATCAGTAACAGCGGCACACGAGGAGTGTGAAAAGAGAAAAAAGAATCATGAGCGTGATGGGAAACGCGAACCCGTCGGTGCTCGGTGAAGGCGCGAGCGAAGAAAAAGGCGAACACGCTCGTTTGCAATCTTTCGTCGGCGCGATGGCCATCGCGGACTTGGTCAAATCGACTCTCGGACCGAAAGGGATGGATAAGATTTTACAATCGGTTTCGAAAGGGAACGCAGTGACCGTGACGAACGATGGCGCGACGATATTGAAATCTATTTACGTGGATAATCCAGCCGCGAAGGTGTTGGTGGACATATCGAAAGCGCAAGACGACGAGGTGGGAGACGGGACGACCTCGGTCGTCGTTTTCGCCGGGGAGTTGTTGAGACAGGCGGAGTTGTTGGTGAACCAAAAGATTCATCCGATGACGATTATCCAGGGGTTTCGAGAGGCCTGCGACGTGGCCAGGCAGGCTTTGGAGGACGCCGCGAGAGATAATCACGCGGACCAGGAGAAGTTTCGAGAAGATTTGATGAACATCGCGAGGACGACGTTGAGTTCAAAAATTTTGACCCACGATAAAGATCATTTCGCGAAATTAGCCGTAGATGCCATCCTGCGATTGAAAGGATCAGGGAACTTAGAGATGGTCCAGTTGATCGAGAAGCCCGGAGGGAGTTTGAAGGATTCGTATTTGGACGAGGGGTTTATTTTGGACAAGAAGTTTGGCGTCGGGCAACCGAAGAGGATCGAAAACGCGAAAATTTTAATCGCGAATACTGGGATGGATACGGATAAAATTAAAATTTACGGCGCGAGAGTACGAGTGGATTCGATGACGAAAGTAGCGGAGATTGAAGACGCGGAGAAGTTGAAGATGCGAAACAAGTGCGAGAAAATTATCGCGCACGGCTGCAACGTGTTTATCAACCGACAGTTGATTTATAATTACCCGGAACAGATTTTCGCGGACGCCGGAGTGGCAGCGATTGAACACGCCGATTTTGAAGGCGTGGAGCGATTGGCTTTAGTTACTGGTGGAGATATTTTGAGTACGTTCGATACTCCGGAATCGGCAAAGTTAGGGGAGTGCGATTTAATCGAAGAGATTATGATTGGCGAAGATCGTTTGATTAAATTCTCCGGCGTGGCGAAAGGCGAGGCATGCACGATTGTTTTAAGAGGGGCATCCACGCATATTTTAGCCGAAGCGGAACGTTCCCTGCACGATGCGTTGTGCGTGTTGAACACGGCGGTTAAGGACTCGCGCGTTATCTGTGGCGGCGGGTGCGCGGAGATGATCATGTCCAAAGCTGTTGAACAACTCGCCGAAAAGACGCCGGGGAAGCGTTCGCTCGCGATGGAGTGCTTCGCCAAAGCATTGAGGTGCATTCCATCGATTATTTGCGATAACGCGGGTTTAGATTCCGGTGAAATCGTTTCGCAGTTGAGAGCGAGACACGCGGAAGGTGAAACGAACATGGGCGTGAACGTTTTGAACGGACAAGTTGGCGATATGACCGAGTTGGGTATTACCGAAAGCTTTAGAGTGAAACAACAGGTACTTTTATCCGCCACGGAGGCAGCGGAAATGATTGTCAGAGTGGACGATATCATCAAGTGCGCGCCGAGACAACGAGCGGATTAGTAGAAGAAAGAGCAAAGGAGAAAAGGGGAGGAGAAAGAAAACGTTTTGCGGACGGCGGTGCGCAAAGGAGTAAACTAAAAATAGAAGAATACATATTTAGAGAGTGTCAGTGATGCAAAAGGCAGCAATACGTAGGAACAATAAGAAAAAGAAGAAGAAGAGCAACAACAACAGCGTTTCAATCTAGTGCTGTGCGGTGAAATCCCAGGCACCACACCGCGACCAGTCCAACATTTTCCACTTCTTTTTTTATCGATTATCGTCTGTCCCACTTGGTTTGTCCTCATAATAAAAATGAGATTTTTCTACACGTCGTCTTTGTTCTCTATCCGATAACGAGCGAGCGATGCGACGACACGCCATCGAGCAGGTCGTCCTCTCCTCCTCTAATCGTCTGTCGAAGCGAAGACCGTCAGCGAAGAGATTCAAAACTGATCTCATCCCGATGTTTGTCGGCGCTTTAATAGCGTGTTTTTTCCTCTCGATCGTCTGGACCGTTCGAATACAAAAAGTTGAAGAGAAAAAACACGGAGGAAAGGACGTGTTGGACGGATTAGTCCCGAACACGAACACGAAATTCTTGAAGAGTACTCCTCCGGAAGAGTTTTCCGCGATTCCTAAAGACGATTACGCCAACGATGACGATATTGATGATGATAACGAGGATGACGATAATGAGAGAGGAAGAGATGATGAAGAGCAACAACGACAGGAGGAAGAAGAGGAGAAAAAACGAAGACAAGCTACAGACGAGTACCAGAAAAATATCGAGAACAGAGCGAAAGCGACGTCGAGAATGAACGAACACACTCGAGAAGAAGTCATCGAGGAGCTTTTCGAGAAGGCTCAGCGCGAAGATGAGAAAAAGCACGACGCGCAGGTGTTTGAAAGTTTATCGCTCGATGGAGAAGAAAAAGAAGAAGTGAAAAAGGCGGTTCTGAAGAAAGAGGAAGAGGTTGTTCAGCTATCGATGAAACCGTCGCTCGTACCAGTTGTTAAGAAAGAGAAGAAAGCAGAGAAGAGGAAAGAAACTGAAGTGGAAGAAATTGAAGAGGAAATCACGGACGAGACGAAGGCTTCGGTTGCGCAAAAGGCGAGAAAACACAAATCGCTCCACGCGACAACTTTGAAACATCTCGCCGCTTTGGCGAGGACTCCGACGGTGCTCTCTTTGGAGAGAAAAGTGACTGCGCATGGTAAGATTACGTGTGGTGGTACGGAAGCCGTCGTATTCAAGACGTGGCATAACTTTTTCACCGCAAACGAGAACATCACGCGAACTTTACCTCCGGTGGAACCGAGAATAACCGAAGTGGTCAATCACGCGCAACGGTATTGTAGACATCGAGGCGAGTGCGACTTCACGAAAATCTATGCGAACGTGAAATTGAAAAACGACGAAAATATGAATAAGAAACAACCCTATAAAAACGATGAGGTATTGCCCACGTGTGCAGTCGTCGGGAACGCTGGTTCGCTCAGGAACGCAAAGTTTGGCGAAGAAATTGACGCGCACGATATTGTTTTGCGTTTCAACAATGGTCGCGCGAAACATTTCGAGAAGCAAGTGGGTACAAAAGGGCATCTTCGAATGTATAACGGACCGTACGTCGAGGGCAAAATGGGTGGTGAAGTGACCATAGCACAGCTTAGAGATTCGAGCGTGAATCATTGGATTCGACAATATGAAAAGCATCGTGAGACGTTCCCAGAATCGTTCATCATGGACCCAGAAATTATTTGTCGAGCTTGGGATTTAGTGAACAGAGAAGGGGAGAAACCTTCCTCTGGTATGGTTGGCATCACGTTTGCCATGCGCTTATGCAGTTCAGTAGATATTTACGGGTTCAGCGCTGAGTCATACTTCAACGAAACAGAACGTCCGCACTATTACGACTGGGAACGACCGAAGCTGGGAAGAGAAAACGTGCACCCGTTTGAAGCCGAGCGTAAGATTTATAAAGCTTTGCAGAAAGAAGGTTTGATTACGCTTCACGAAGTAGAGGTAGGAGATGAGAATAGTAATAATCCTAGCAACGATAGTAGTACTAGCAGCAGCAGTAGCAGCAATAGCAACAATCACGATGAAAATTGAAAAAAAAATGATTTCTTCTTCAATAATTTTACACGTACACACACACACACGCATACGCATCAGAGTTAAAGAATGGCACAACAACCTCCTCCGCTCTCTTCGCTCAACCAGGCCATCGAGAAAGCTTTAGAAAGCGTGACTGAGTGCGAGAGATCTCTTAACACCGGAGAAAACGACGGTCTGATAAATAAAATGGAATCTTTAGTCAATCACTTCACTCTTTTACGGGAAGCCTCGAGTACCGATGAGACGGAAATTCCAATCTCAGTTATCAAACAGATCGACGAAGGGAAACGGCCGATGGCGAGAATGGTGGAGAGAATACTGAGCGTGGGGAAGACGAACGAGGTGACGAAAGGGAAGGCGAACGTGTTTGCGGAGTTTGAGAAGAGTTTAGAAAAGGAGTTAGGAGAGAAGAAATAGAAAATTTAGAAACGCAGAAACAACACACAGAATAGTTTATGCGTATAGGTAGAAGCAAACAAAATAGCGATGTAGAGTTACGTAGAGAGTTGATAATAACTATAATAAAAGGCAGAGCAAAAGCCGAACGTGCATAGAAATGTGTGCAAATCTTAATATTTTCTTTTACGTGTATCTCGTATCTACTCTATTAAAATGTTATACAAACGCGCTGCGCCGGCGAAAGAGAGAGAGGGAGAACGAAACATCATCGTCATCTTCACCTCCGCGAATAAATTCCCTTCTCTCTCTCTACTTCTCTCTATGTAACGATAAAAACGAAGAATAAACATGTGAATGACCGATCGTCTCAGCAACACTGCGACTTTTGTCTGTTTTGTCCCGCGTTTGCATCTAAAACGACGCCGCCTCGCCCTCCTTCCTGCGGCGTCGCTCTCGCCTGTTTCGGCAACTTATTCGCAATGGAATAAAACAAATCGTTCACGCACTCCCCACTCTTAGCGCTTGTTTCTAAAAATATTGACAATTTTTGCTCCTCCGCGTACGCTTCCGCCTCTTCCTTCGACACTTTCCGCATGTCTTTACAATCGCTCTTATTCCCGGCTAGAGCGATGACTAAATTCGCGTTTCCTTGTCGTTGCAGTTCTCTCACCCAACTCTTTGCCCGTTGCCAGGACTGTTGCGATTGCATATCGTACACAATAATCGCCGCAGCTGCGCCACGATAATACATCGGTGCTAACGAGTGATACCTTTCCTGTCCAGCCGTATCCCAAATCTCAAACTTTACCACATGATCGTCAACCGTCACCGTTTGTGTCATGAAGGCAGCACCGATCGTGCTCTCTTGGTGCTCAAAGAATTGTCCTTTGACGAATCGAAGCACCAAGGAGGATTTCCCGGCGCCCATGTCTCCTAACAGCACCAGTTTTGCCTGCGTTTGAGATTGTTGCGCTCCATGTGAAGAGTTGGACATGATGTTTACTCTTCCAGAAAAAGAGAAGAAGGCAACTTCTTTCTTTCTCTATTAATTATAATAACGGACTTTAAAAGTCCAAATCTCTCTCCCTCAAATAATAATACTAATAATAATAACAATAACAGCGCGTGTGTGCGATGATGCGCGAGCAATACCGCAAGAGCAGGAGTGACAGATGATGAGAGAACTGAAGGAGAAGAAGAAGAAGAAGGTCTTTTCTCTTTCGCTTTTCAGAATTTAATAATGTGTTGTTTGTTGTGACGAAGAGTCGCGCAAGATTTTTATTCAAAGAGAAGAAAAACTCTCGAGCTCGCCAAAATCTCAAAACTCGTCGTCATTTTCACAAAACAGGACGACGACGGTCGGTGTCGCCAATTACCAAAAATTACGATGGATAAATTTTAACAACACGCGGACAGAAGACGATGAAAGGGAGAAGAGAGCACGACAAGAGGACGACCCAAAACTCCTCCTCTTCGGAAGGAGAACAAGAGGAAGAAGAAAATGGGAAGAAAGAAGAAGAAGGAGAAGGATACTCCTCTTCTGCGACGAGCACGAAACTCTTCCTGTTTTTATTTCTCGTTTACTTTCTTTCCGTCCTGATGGCGTCCTTCTCGAATTCGATTGCGGAGAATTTACCGAAAGCGTTTGGGACGATAACTTTGTTGTGGTTCGGCAGAGGGAGGATTTTAGGAAGCGGCGGCGGCGGCGGCGAGGCAAACAACGATGCGAACGGGATTTTTAAGAGCAACAACAACAACAACCGTCGAGGTTGGACGTCGAAAAAAGGAGACTCCGACGAAGACGACGAGAAAACAAATTCCTCGATTGGTGAAGAGGACAAAAATGGTGTCATGGCGCGGGAAGCGGCGGATACGACGAGGAGGAAGAATAACAATCGACGCGCGCGACGGTTCGCGAAACTCGACGCAAAAATCGTCGAGAGTTGGATTAAAATCAGAGAAGTCGTGATTAAAAGGTACGTCAATCACTGGTTCAAAACAATCAGCGACGACGACGAAGTACCGAACGCGTGCCGAGCGGTTATGGACGACGCGTTTCTAGAACTCGAAAAGAGAGCGACGAGAAATATCAACTTGCCAAAATTGTTGCTCTCAGATTTACCGTCTATTTTACAAGACGCGTTTGAGATGTACCGCGAAGGAAAAGCGATGATTGGTGGTGGAGATGACGACGCGTTGTTATCCATGAATAAAGACGTGGTGGACGAAAGTCTCGCAGAGGCATTGAGGCACATGAAGAACGAAAACGGAGGAGGCGAGTCGAGACTTCACCCGGCAGTACGAAACGAGAGGAAACAACGCAGGTTAGCCAGAGCGTACGCGAACGCACTCGCCTCGAAAGTGTTGACGAACGAAACGAATAATGGGTTGACTGAACCGCTCGCGAGAGAGTTGATTGTCGCTTCGATACACTTGCCGATTGTTCGTTTGTTTACGCCGAGACTCGTGACGAAACTCTTACTCATTCTCCTCGGCACAGACGATGAAGATTACATTAGCAGCACGAATAGCATCAACGATAAAATATTATCGGATAGAACGAAAGGAAACGGAGAGAACGGTGGACGACAAAATGGGATGGCACAAGGAGAAGGGATTGTTCATAATAAAGTACCAACATCGTCTCCGATAAAAAATGGCGATAAAAACGGATTGGGAGGAATAGTGCGCAACGAAAGAAACTCCTCAGCGAAGAAGAAATCTCCGAAAAGAATAGGATGGGAAGACGATATTGCACCCGCATCTGCGCCTTCATCGTTTAAAGCCCGCGTGACTGGAGTAGAAATTGCCGGGAGTGGCATAGCCGCGTTTGCGGTGTATCTCGTTTCGGTAGAATCCTTCGAGGACGGAAACAGTTGGATCGTACCTCGACGGTACTCGAACTTTGAATCGCTCCATCGGAAGCTCACGTCAATTAATCCTGAATTCAAAGGCGAATTTCCACCGAAAAATTGGGGGTATAACAACCTAGATGGCGCATTTATAGAAAAGAGACGACAACAGCTGGACTTGTACGTGCAAGAGATGTTAACAGACGACATCATCAAAGACTGCGAACACATTTTCCATTTTCTAGTCACGAGGAATAGAAGCCTGATGGGAGGCAGTGGAGGGTCCACGATTCGAAATGGTGGCAATGGTGATGAAAACGCGTCTATGCTGTCATCCTCGGAGATGAGACCGGTGACTCTGTCGAACTTACCGCCGTTAAGAACGACGATTTCGACGACCAACGAAAACACGTACATAACGACGCCTACGGGCCACGGGGGAGGACACAGAAGAATATTGTCCATCGAACAGATGGAACTTTTAGATTCTCCTCCGAAAAAAGGAAGTAAGTTTGTGTCAGGGTCTACGGACTTTGCACATTCGCCTTTGAATTGGGAAACGCTCATGCGAACCTTTGACGAGTGCGAACAAGTTACCGCCACCGATAGCGTGTCGACTATTTTCGCCTCCGAAGTTTTGAACGGCCCAATGCTTGGTTTATTCGAAACTGTTTTTAAAATGCACACGAAAGGCGTGGTGAGACGTTCATTCGTCTCTTTGGCGCGTCAGACCGTAGAATTTTTCCTCGGTTCCGCAGTTGAAGATTTTGTCTCTCGAAGTTTCAACCAACTCCAAGCGTCTTTCTTGATGAACTTGATAAAAGATACCGTGTGGCCGGACGAAAAAGAAGGCGGAATGACCCCGTACGATGAATACAAGCTTTCGCTCACGCCTGCGGAGGAGAAGCAAATAGACGAAACGAACAAAGAAATTTTGCGAAGAGTGTTGTTGAAAAGATTGTCCCAAAAGCTCTCGCCTATAGTCGGCGAGAGCACGGCGAGTCGAGGGACTTTAGAACTCTTCAGTCTCGTGCAGTCGGAAACGATGTGTCAACACGTCGGTTTATTGTTGTTTGAAACTTTGAGTTGCGAGTTAGTCCCGGAGACTATAATCGAATTATCCTACTCCAACGCGAAAGCGATGAAGAATGCATCGTCCTCGTCGGAGAAGAAGAAGACGTTGAAGAAGACGAAGACGAAGTAATATTTTTTTAAGAGTTGACTTGTACTATGGTAAACAAAGGAAAAAAGGAAAAAGGAAAAATCTCAAATTTTGACTCGTTTTTGTACCCCTAAATAGGAGAAAAGCCCTGACGTGGCGTTCTCCACCACGAGAAAGCATCTCGTTTTCTCTCTCGTTTTGGTTTAAAATGAAGAAGAGAAAAGAATGATTTCGAAGCGAAAATCGTTATTCAGGCGAACGCGTGTTGGTTAAATTCCCTCGCAACTTAAAAGTTTAACATCTCTTAAACTACTACAACATCATCTTCATCATACAATGAAGTTAAAGTGTGAAATTTGCCCGCAACAAGCGACGTACGTCGTTGGGTGCGGAAACAAAGCGGCGTGCAACGGATGCGTCAAGACGAAGAAATGCAACCCGTCTCAAGAACGCGCGACGGAAATCACGCAGCAAGACGCGCAAGCGATGCCGTGCGATATCTGCAAGTCGAACCCGGTCTCCGTGGTCTGCCACGAAGATCGCGCGTTCTTGTGCACCAACTGTGACTTGAAAATCCACAGCGCGAACGACTTTGCTGGGCACCACCAACGTTTCGCTTTCACCGCGGCGAAGATGGCGATCCCGGAAGGCGTGAGCAAAGTGAAACCGGCAACCCCGGCGCACGTTCCGATCACCATCAGAACGAACAAGGTACGATACATCGTTTTTTACCCTCTCGAACGCAGAAAGGAAGGATGATCATCGCGTGAAACGTAATTGATTACTTCTTTTTCCGTACAAAAATTGCGCTTCCGTCGGGATTAGATCACGTGAGAAAACGTTTTATCTCTCCTTCTTTTTTGTATCTTTCTTCCCTTTGCTTGGCTGCAATTCACTCTCGTCGAAGCAGAGATGATTTCAGACCAAGAGAGAGATGGTTTTTTTACGAAACGAGGAAAGAAAAAAAAATTTTACGAAGAGGAAATAAAAGAGGGGTGCCTTCAAAAAAGTAAAAACTGACCAATTCCAATTTCTCTCTACACTTCAAAAACCACACAGCGAAAGAACATTGCGCAAAGCAACAACAACAACACGAACACGAACAACAAAAACAACAACATCAAAGAAGAAGAAGAAGAGCAACACTTCTTCGACGAAGACTGCCACGTCGTCCCGGAATACGTTCCAGTTGAGCTCATCGACGCGAACGACGTCGAGCAAGTCTCGGAGTTGTACTCTTCGGTGAACACCGGCGTCGAGTTTTTTCCGTCTGCCGCCGCTACCACGGCGAACGTGTACGTGCCCACGGCGAAATCGCAAAAGAGATCTTCCTTTGAAGACTTCTTGGGTGAATTCATCGGGTACGAAGAGACGATCGACGATGCGATTGTCCCGACGTTTTAATTTTGTATTGAAGCGTTCAAGCAATCGGCGACGAGGCGTAAAAAATTGAGGAGGTGGAGAGAGAAAAAGAGGTGGTTGTTGTGTGTGTTCGGCGGCGCAGTGTGCGCGCGCTCATTTTGGTTTTAAAGCAAATTTCAAAATCAGAGACACTTAAAGTTTAAAGAAGGAAACTTTTTAAAAGTCAAAAGAAATAATCCATGACACGTCTCGATGGCATGCGGATCTTTTTGTACCGCACAGACGTCGACTCTGGTGGGTGATTGGATGTTATTTCGTTGTGATTACAGAGACAAAATGTAATATATAAACACTTAAAACGAATCAAATTATCAAATGCTATCTTTAACCACAACACAGCTATCGTCTTCTACCGCCGTAGGCGCTTTTTCGCTCCGAGCTTAAGAAGGAAGGCTGTGCGTCTTTCTTCTTATCAGACTCCAAGTCTCGATGAATCTCCTCGTTCGTCTCTCTCGCGTCTTTGTCTAATTTATCCCTTCTCGAGGAGCGGTGCGAATCGTAATTCTCCGCCGCTTCGTTCATTTCTCTCAACCTCTTCTCTTTCTCTTCTTGCGAAAGCTTTCCAGCTCTGTGCCCGACGTTATTTCGTCTCGAATCCCATTTTGGTTGTTCCACTTTCGGCGCTCTTCGTTCTTTTTCTTTTTCGCTCTCGCGCCATTCATGTCTTCGATTTCTTCTCGCCTCAGCTGCCTGTTCCGCGCGCTCGTTTGCGTACGACATGCCGTATTGATCGTCTTTTTCTCTTTCGATGGTTGACTTTCGACGAGGTGGCGGTGATCGGCTTCTCGACCTCGAAGATGAAGGAGATGAATGTCTTCTTTTTTTTCTCGAGGAAGATTCTTTGCTGCGTCTTTTTCGTCTTCTCTCTCGAGAATACGAAGACGTGGAGGAAGAATCGTCGTCGTCGTCGTCGTCGTCGCTACCACTGCTGCTGCTACCACTATAGTCGTCACGACCCCGGCGACTACGACGCGAGGATTTTCCTCCTTTTCTCCTCTCTTCCTCGCGAACTTCTTCTCTGATTTTCTCGCGATACTTTTCCTTCTTCCGTTCCTTCTTCGCGCGTTTGCGTTCTTTCTTCTCTCTCGCTTTTTCCTTCTTTCGTCTTTTCCTCTCGTCCACTTCTCGTCTTATTTGTTCTCTCCTCACCGGATTGCTCGCGATATTTTCTCTGGCTTGTATCTCGCGTTGTTTCATCGCCAACAGTGGATCGTTGTTCATTTTATTCCACTGCTCGACTCTTTGTTTCGGGTCGTCCATATTCGGCGCGAGATATTCCGCCCTCCGTTCCGGTCGTTCCGGCGGCAAGTCCTCTCGTCGTTCTCGTTCTCGTTTCAACTCTTCCGGTTCTTCCTCTCCTTCTGCTCGAGTAAATTTCGTATCTTCTAATCTCGTCCCTTCCGCTAACGAACCTTTATACATCCAATCCAACCGTTCGCTCTTCTTTGAATGTCCGGCGTCCACGGCGTCTTGTTGCAACTCCGCCAACTTTCTCTCCTCTTGAATTTCCTTCTTCATCTCCTCCAGTTTTCTCTTCTCGTGTTCGGCTTGTTGCTCTCGCTTCCAGACCTCTTCGATCATTTGGAAGCCACCGGTGTGCCATGATTTCTTGTTTAAAAACGCTGTCGTATCGTGTGACGATTGATGAAAAAGAGAGAAACACCAAACACGGTTAGTTTTAATAAAAGACCACAACATCACAAAAGAATTGGAGAGAGCGGCGACGAATTTTACTCTTCCAATGATTGATGGTGATGAAAGAGAGACGACGAAAGATTTTCAAACGAATTAAAAAGAAAAAGAAAAAGAACGCACCTAAACCGCCCCCCATTTTGAACCGACGACGACGTTTTGCGTTATTCTTCTCGTGTTCTTCTCTTATTCACGGTCGGTGGTTTAAGAAGAAGAAGATTCGCGGTATATAATTGATTGTTTGATGGTGGGGCTCCACTTTCTGCCGATTTTCAGACATGAATTTTTTTCTCTTTTTTTCATTCTTCACTTTTCAGTCACTCTCATCTCCCTCTCTCTCCCTGTAAACGCGCATGCTCGGCGGCGGCAGCATCTTGTCGTTTACGTCGTTTACGTCATCGTCGTCGTATCTCACATCTTTGACAACTTCTTCCCTTCTGGCGAACAACAGAAGAAAAAAATCATCATCATCATCATCGTATTCGATTGCAAAGAAAAAAGCTTCATTCATAAATAAGAAGAAGAAGAATATCACCACCACCATGGCGACCCCGAAAACCACCGAGGAGGAAGCCGCGCATCCGAACGAGAACGACGAGAAAATAACGAACGCTTCGTGTTATTGCGGTAAAATTAAAATGGAGATTTTAGGTAAACCGATAGCGGTTTCCATATGCCACTGCACGGTCTGCCGTAGACTGTCTGGAGGTGCCTTTAGTTTGCAGTCGTTGCACTCGCAAAAAAATTTTACGTGCGCGGCGACGGAGAACGATTTATGGTCGATTCAATCCTCGCCAAACGTCACCCGGTATAGATGTAAAGAGTGTGGTAGTCCTGTGTATGCTACTTTGGGGAAAGGGAAGACGTACGTCGTGCCTCGAAGCGCGTTGACGAACATCGCCAAGGACGACCAGAGTTTCAAACCCACGCATCACATGCATTATAAACAACGATGTATAGATATAGAAGACGAGCTACCAAAATTTGTGGGGACGAGTGCCCCAGGACGAGCGGAAATTTGGAATCCATCTTTAGATTAGCGATCACTTAGTTTGTAAATTGTCTTTAGTATTGTTGCATTTGTATATTCTAAACCAATCTGTCTATCGTTCTCTCTCTATGTTCGTCACCGATATCCCACTTCCATCGTCCATCTCTTCTATGCTCGAATACGCGTCTAACTTGACGTGCTCTGATCCCACGAAGACTCCCGTGAAGAGTAAAAATAACGCCAGAAACACCGCCGTGTCTTGTATCAACGCGCGAGTTAACTGCACTAAAGCTACGCGAACGCCAGCCGCCCACCTCGCCGCAAACCCGGGCAGTTTCAATCGAGAGATGACTCTAGAATCTAAAATTGTTTTCTGTTGTTCCATGTCTGCTTCTGTTAACGTCGTCGGCAAGAGCAGCACGAATGCGGTCGATAGAACCGTAAACTCAAAAGCGAGGAACACCAAAAATGGAGAAGAGAGATAGGCCACGTGCAATTCTCGTTCGCTCACTTCTATGTATTCTATGTACGCGGACAAAATCATGGCCGTTAGGGAGAGAATCAGTTTCCTCGTCGTATTCGTGTGTTTCAAAGTCAACGCCAAACACATCGGCACGCGAACGTTAAACGCCACAACTTCTTTCTTGCTCTCGTTCAGCGCTTGCGTTAGCATTTCCCGGTTCCAGGAGTTCTCTCTCGTCGCTCTCCCTGGGGATTTTATTCCCGTCGAAGGACTTCTTGCACTGCTTCTCTTCACTTTTGATCTCACATCGTCATCACTATCACTATGAATACCGTCGTCGTCTGATTCTTCTTCTTTATCCTTTTTTCTCTGCGATCGACGCATTGTTGTTGCTGTTTCAGATGATATTGCGCGTTTGGTATCTTCCTTGTTATGAAGAAATTTATTTTGATATAACGTCTAACGGTCTTGGCAGTACGGTGCTACGGTTACGTTCAAAAATGTTTATCTATCTGTACAAATGCAATATGCTGCTGCTTTAACTATAACAATAGTAAGAAGAAGTTCGCGCGTATAAAACTACTTCCTTCATCAATCTTCGCCCAACCGTTTACTCTCTACGTCCTGGAAACTCATGACGCGTAAGACGGCTTCGGAGAGTTTTGAAACGCCTTCTTGAATTTCCGAGGCGCTCAAATGCGCAAAACATAACCGAATGTATCTCTCTAAATCCTCTTTACACGCATCGTTGGCTGAACATCTTTCACCGGCTAAATAGGCAACTTTTAAATGCTGCGCGTACGGCTCTAAACTTTTGCTCGTCACGCCTTCCGGAAGTTTTATCCAGACAAAATAGCCTCCCGACGGTTTCTCAAACTCCCATCCGCATCCTTCTCGTTCGAGTTTGTTGCACAAAACCGCGCAACGACTGGCGTAAGAACCCTTCAAATCGTTCATGAATGCCTCCGTTTCGGTTTGCTTGATTGCTTCACACACTACGTTTGCAGAAAATCCAGCGGAGTTGCCACCGGAAATAATGTACCCTCGCTTTGAAAATTTCCCTCGCATGACAGAATCCGCGGTCTCAATCCAACCGACTCGTAACGCCGGCGCGAGAATTTTAGTGAAACTAGACACAGAAACAACCGCTCGAAAATCTCCGTTAGCTTCTTCCGGATTTTTTGCCAAGTATTTTCTTTCAACTTTACAAAATCGATCGGGCAAAGGCTCTTTCGACCAGCTCAGAATGTGGTACACTTCGTCGGCGATGATGTGGAACTTATATTCATGCGCGAGTCTTACCAACTCCTCTCGCGCTTTTTGCGGCATCGTCACACCTTGCGGATTCGAATGCGTTGGCACGATGTATACCAACTTTGGTCGAAACAAAACTTTTCGTTTCTTCCTCGGCGTCGCGCCGACGTTCTCGAGAATAGAGTTGATTGGGTTGATAAACGTGTCCCCTTCTTCCAATCGTATCTTCAGCGCATTCACGTCCAAACCGAATTCGTTACTTTTCACCGTCGTTATTTCCATATCGTGGTCTTCGAATATCTTCGTTGCCAAGAAGTACGTCGCTTTCTCGCATACGACGATATCGTTCGGTTTCGCTAATATCGACGTCGCCATTTCGATGCCGTGCGATACGCCCGAAGTAAAGAATAGATCTTCCGGTTGCAACACGTTTTTCGTCGCCGTCGTCGCTGACGTCGTCGTCGTCGTCGTCCCCGCCTTGCTTTGCATCTTCGTCTCGTCGTTTTCATTTTGCTCTGTTTTTGCTTGATATCCTGTTACTCTCATTTCCTCTTCCTTTTCCTCTTCTTTATATTGTCTTCTCAAGAACGAGCACAACTCTTCCACGGCTCCAGTTGGTCCTTCCGAGGGAATATAGTTCAGATCTAACTGATTGTGCTTCAACTTCGATCCGCATCTCTTCAAAGCGTCGGATATGATCTTATTCGGTAGCTCCGAGTGCATCGGATGCCCCACGGCTAAATTGATGGTATCTTTCGGTTGGTTCGCGAGTAACGGACTTTGCGTCGGTCCAATTTTTGCCGAAGCCATGGTGGTTGTCGTTGGATAGTAGCAGGAGTGTTTCCTTTTATTCGTCGTAGGCGTGGTGGTGCTTTTAATAGTGTTTATGATCTTACTCGGCGAAGATGATGATTTTGGTTGCACGGAGTAGTTGTGGTTCGTGAGAAAGTGATGACTCATATATGATGTGAGACGAGCGACTGGAACGTTTTACGAATGAGGAAGAGGAGGATGCTTCCCCCTTTTGCAAAAAAGCAAAATCTTACTAAAAAATGTGTGCTCTCCCCACACCACACTTTTTCCTCTCTCTCTCTGAGAGTAGAAGGACGACGACGACGACGACGGAGAGAGCAGTCGTGCGCCCGCAATAATGTTTTGAAGAAAAATGTCTTCTCCCTTCTTCGTCTTCTTCTTCTTGGTCTTCTTCTTCGGAGGGGGAGGGACGATTCACATCGCGAGAGGAGAGGAAAGCGTGAGTGCGATGACTATTCGAGGAGGAGGAGGAGGAGGAGGAATAAGAAGAAGAAGACCAAAACGGAGAGAAGAAGAGGCGTGCGGATGTGAAATAGGCGTGGAGGAGTACGATGCGCACGAAGAGAGCAACTGGTGGGATACGAGAACGAAGATACCGTTCGCTTCCGCCAAAGACGCTTTGGAGAAGATGTCGTTCAACAACTCCGTATTGGTGATGATGACGAACGCAGGGGAGGTGGATTTACTGGATAATTACTTGTGTTCTTTGCGTTTGTCTGGTTTGAATAAGTACATCGTCTTTGCGACGGACGAGAGGGCGATGAAACATCTGGAGTATCGCGGATACAATGCCGTGGACGGAACGAATATCATTAAGAACAACAACAATAACGCAAAGAAGAAAGAGGGTGATAGCAAGGAAGAAAACGAGGAAGAAGAGGAAAAGATAAAAACGGAGATTAAACTGAGCAGTAAAGACGCTGAATTCGGGCGAAAAGCGTGGAAGCGCCTGACCCAAGCAAAGCTGAAAATTGTTGAGTTTGTCTTGAAGAGCGGCTACGACGCCTTTCTTACCGACGTAGATATCGTCGCGTTTCATAACTTCATGCCAGAGCTTATCAAAACCTCGGAAAAAAATCTCTGGCTGAGAGATGGCCAAGAAGTGAACACTGGTTTCTACTTTATGCGGAAGAAATCGAGTAATTTAAACTTGCTCGAAGCGGCGTTTCAGCGAATCAAAGAAACGCACGGAAGTCACGACGACCAGAAAATAATCAACGCCATAATGAAATCTTCTCAGCGAAAGTTTTTACCCACCCCTGAGTATGCCAACGGATGTTTCATGAAAACCGAAAGCGGTCGAACGGCAGTGGCAAACGGCAAAGTCAAGGCGGTCCACGTCAACTGCGCGCAATCGAAAGTGGTCAAACACAAAATTATGTGTCGACGAGGCCTTTGGTTTTGTCGCCAGCCTCCTACGTCGGCGCACGTCGCGCACGACGGGGGTCAAACGTGCGTAAAACCTGGTGGAACGTACGTAGTAAACGACGAGAGGAAAGTTTAGAGAGTATTTAGATTAACATTAGATCGTATTAGTTGTGATAGTTTTCTGTAGATTTGTACCATCATCAGTGTGTATTTGATCGAATATTATGTTTCCCGTCCCAGCTCTCAACATTCATTTTTTAGGGTATCCCCAAACATGCCAAAGCGATGAGAAAAACTCAGAACGAGAAGGGCTTCAAAAAACGAAGAAAAACAACATTTCTTTATTCAAAGCGCCGCACACCGGGTGTTGTCTCAGATGCAGTCACAAAGCGTGATGAGCTCGGCGAAACCGACGAACGGGACTCTTTTCGGGTCTCGTCACGACGTTTCTGCTGCCGCGTTAAAGAAGGCCTCAACGAAAGCGCAGCAACAACAAAGCCGTCGTCGTCTTCAACCGATCGATGCGGTTTCGGCTGCTGGAAAAGAGTTCAGAGCCTGGGACGATGCCAAGAACAGCAAGAAAAGAACCGATCTGAAGAAGATCATGATCATCGGTGCGGGACCGATTGTCATTGGACAGGTAATTACGCTCTCTCTTCTCTCCGTCTTCGTCTTCTTCATCGACCCACCGCCCGTGAGAAGCAGCGGTAGGAGGGTTGGTGACGATACGATGATGATGATGAGTTTTAAAATAGTTTGTCTGTGTTTTTGGTTTGTTTTTGGTTCAAATTTTCAAACAACACCAACAAAAATCGCGTCGGTGTCGCGACACGTTGTTTTTCTCTCCTCTCTCTCCCATAAAAAAGGAGAAGAGAGAGAAATGTGGGTGCTGAAAAATATTTTGGTTTTTTGGGGCTCTTCTCTCGTATTTTAAACTGACTTTCTCTCTCTACTCTTTCTCTAAGGCGTGCGAGTTTGATTACTCCGGAACGCAAGCGTGTAAAGCGCTTCGAGCGGAAGGGTACGACGTTATTTTAATAAACTCCAACCCGGCGACTATTATGACTGACCCGGAAACAGCGGCGAGAACGTTCATTACGCCAATGACGCCGGAATACGTTGAAAAAATCATCGCTGCTGAAAAGCCAGACGCGGTGTTGCCAACCATGGGTGGGCAAACCGCCTTGAACTTGACCAAAGCCTTGGCAGAGGCTGGTATTTTTGAAAAATACGGCGTGGAGCTCATCGGCGCGAAACTTCCCGCGATTAACAAAGCTGAAGATCGTCAGTTGTTCAAAGATGCAATGACTAAAATTGGATTGAAAACGCCGCAGTCGGGAACTGCGGAAACTTGGGAACAGGCGAAGGAAATTGCTGCGGAAATTGGAACATTGCCTTTGATTATTCGACCGGCGTTCACGTTAGGCGGCTCTGGAGGCGGCATCGCGTACAACATGAAAGAGTTTGAGCAAATCACGAAAGGGGGCTTGGATGCTTCGGCAACCTCGCAAGTCTTGATTGAACAATCTTTACTCGGCTGGAAAGAGTATGAATTAGAGGTCATGCGCGATTTGGCGGACAACGTCGTCATCGTTTGCTCTATCGAGAACTTTGATCCCATGGGCGTGCACACGGGTGATTCGATCACCATCGCCCCGGCGCAAACTTTGACGGATAAGGAATATCAACGGTTGAGAGATGCATCTTTAGCGATTATTCGTGAAATTGGCGTCGAGTGTGGTGGATCGAACGTGCAAATGGCCGTAAACCCGGCTGATGGTGAATTGATGATTATCGAAATGAACCCGCGCGTTTCGAGGTCTTCAGCCTTGGCTTCCAAAGCGACAGGTTTTCCAATCGCCAAGATGGCAGCGAAAATGGCTTTGGGTGCGACCATGGACGGTATTCCGAACGACATTACCATGAAAACGCCAGCTGCGTTTGAACCTTCGATTGATTACGTTGTCACGAAAATTCCTCGATTCGCTTTCGAGAAATTCCCGGGCGCCGAACCGATTTTAACGACTCAAATGAAATCTGTCGGTGAAGCGATGGCCATGGGAAGAACGTGGCAAGAATCATTCAACAAAGCGCTTCGCTCGTTGGAAACTGGCTTATCTGGTTGGGGCTTGAACAAGAACGATGGTTTCATGCAAAACGACCCGGAATTGATTAAAGAACGCTTAGTTGTCCCATCCCCGGAACGCGTCGTCGCCTTGCACGAAGCTTTCATGTCTGGAATGTCCGAGGATGAGATCATTAGACTCACCACGATGGATCCATGGTTTATTCGTCAGCTTGGTGACTTGTACCAAACCGAATGTTGGTTAAAATCTTTGAGCTCCATGGACGATTTGTCCGTGGAAGACTGGACTCAAGTAAAGCGACGAGGATATTCCGATGCGCAAATCTGTAGAGCCTTTCCGGGAACTGTGGAGGCCGATGTTAGACAAAAACGAAAATCTATGGGTGTTGTCGCGGCAATGAAGCGTGTCGATACGTGCGCGGCGGAATTTGAATCAGACACGCCGTACATGTATTCTTCGTACGATGGCAGCTGCGAAGCGAAACCGACGAATGGGCGCAAAATCTTGATTCTTGGTGGTGGACCAAACCGTATTGGTCAAGGTATTGAATTTGACTATTGCTGCTGTCATGCCGCCTTTGCGCTTTCCGATGCCGGCTACGAAACTATCATGTTGAACTCCAACCCGGAGACTGTCTCTACGGATTACGATACTTCCGATCGTTTGTATTTTGAACCACTCACCGTCGAAGATGTCTTGAACGTTTGCGAAGTTGAACGGCCTGAAGGTATTATCGTACAATTTGGCGGTCAAACTCCGCTGTCTTTGGCTACAAAACTCGAAGCTGCTTTGAAGGCGAATCCGATTCAAGCCGCGTCAGGCAATGGCGTGACGCACATTCTCGGCACACCGCCAGATTCGATCGATGCCGCGGAAGATCGAGACCGATGGATGGATATCCTCAAGGAACTCGATATTCGACAACCGGCTGGGGGTGTTTGCGTTGACGAAGGTGAAGCTTTGAGTACAGCAGAACGTGTTGGTTACCCGGTTATGGTTCGTCCGTCTTACGTTCTCGGTGGACGTGCGATGGAAGTTGTTTCCACACCATCGCAGTTGAAGAGATATTTGAGCACAGCTGTTGAAGTCGATCCGGAACGCCCAGTTTTGGTCGATAAATATCTCGACCAAGCGACGGAATTGGATGTTGATGCTTTGTGTGATTCTTTTGGCAACGTCGTTATCGGTGGTATCATGGAACATATCGAGCAAGCTGGGGTGCATTCTGGTGATTCTGCCTGCTCTTTGCCGACCCAAACGGTTCCGGAATCGGCTTTAGCGACGATTCGTGAGTGGACACCGAAACTTGCTCGACGTTTAGGTGTCGTCGGATTATTGAATATGCAATATGCAGTTATGCCAGATGGCACGCCGTACATTATTGAAGCGAATCCGAGAGCTTCGAGAACGGTTCCATTTGTTTCGAAGGCGATTGGACATCCGTTGGCGAAATATGCCTCGTTAGTTATGGCCGGTCAATCGCTGGAGGAGATTGGGTTTATGCAAGAACCGATCACGAAGCACATTTCTGTTAAAGAAGCTGTATTACCATTCGACAAATTTCTAGGGTGCGACACGTTGTTAGGACCTGAGATGAGATCAACCGGTGAGGTTATGGGCATTGACTTTGATTTTGAGCGCGCGTACTGCAAGGCTCAAATCGCTGCCGGACAAAAGTTGCCAAAGTCTGGAAAGGTGTTCATCTCCGTCAAAAATTCGGACAAAGAAGCTATGGTCCCGGTCGCTAAAAATCTTGTAGACATGGGGTTCGAAATTTTGTCAACGGGCGGAACTGCTACCACTTTAGAAAGCGCTGGCATCAAGGTGACAAAAGTGAAGAAGATTCACGAAGGTCGACCAAACATTGGTGATATCTTGCGTGACGGTGATTTGAAGTTGATGTTTGTCACGTCTTCTGGTGACGCGAACGATTTAACAGACGGCCGCGAGTTGAGAAGAACCGCTGTTGGCTTGAAAGTTCCTATTTGCACGACTGTCGCTGGTATTAAAGCAACCGCAGGCTCCTTGAAAATCTTACAAGAAGGAAACTTACAAATGCAAGCCTTGCAAGATTTTTTCTAGATCCAAAAAATATTTAAATATCTGAAGCTCATATCGATTCTAAATACTAAGTAATGATGATAAAAGTATACACTACTAACTCCGCACATCTTCCCTCTCAGCATGCTTTCATCTCTTCTTCTTCTTCGCATTCTTCGCGTCTTCTCGAATTTGCTCGAAACGCGGTCGTTGTTCAAATACTCGCGAGGATTCTTTGGCTCCTACTGACGCACTTCGTCCATTTGTGGAAGGACGATTCTTCATTTCTCTATATTTTGCGATTAAATCTTCTCTCAAAACTGCCATGTCGTGTTGTCTTTTCAATCCAATGATTGGACCTTGACGCGACCTCGTCGCTTTTTTCTTTTTCATGTTGGAGTTTGCATTGAACATGAGGTCAGCGAAAATTTTAGATTGACGATTTCCAGCGCCTCCATTTATACCATTTTTTGCACCACCACCACCACCTTTCCTCTTTATGGTAATTTGCGGCGGTGCCTCTGCAACTTCTCCGAACTTAGGCAGTTCTTTGACTATGCCGAGAAACTTTTCCTTTTCTTCTTCCTCTATCCTTGCTTGCGCTCGTTGTTCCTTCTTCCTCTCGCGAAGCGATTTATACTTAGTCTTCTTCGTTTTCTTTATCTTTTTGCCTTCTTCTCCGAGGATGTCTTCGTCGAACAATTGACCCTTTTCACCTTTATCGGGCATGTTCCTCCTTCGAATTTCTTCTCCCACCTCTTCACTATCATCATCGCCGCTAAAACTACTACTACTGTTACCGCCGTCGTCGTCATCGTTTCTTTCGCTTTCTCTCTTTTCTTCTTCTTCTTCTTCTTCTTCTTCTTCTTCTTCTTCTGTATCGTCGTCCTTGTCGTCCCTATCGTTCGTCTTCTGAGTTGTCTTTGAAGCCGGCAGTGCTTCTACATCATCCTGAACGCCCGCATATTCTCTCGCATTCGCGAAATCTTCGTCGTAAAAGCCTTCGTATTTCTTTTCGTCCTCGTCTTTCTTCCGTTCTTTCTTCTTCGTCTTATTTTCGTTCCTGTTATTGTTGTTCCTGTTATTCTTTCCATTCTTACCCTCCTCGTCGTCTTCGACCGCTGCCACTAAATCGTCCACGTTCAGTCCGTTTTCTCTTCTTTTCTTGATTTCTTGTCTCATCTGTCTCTTTTTAATCTCCTCTTGCGCGCGCATAAACCTCTTGAAAGACGACGGCGCTTCCAACATGGTGTCCGCTTTCAAAGCTTTTTCCACGTAAGAGACGTCGTGCTCTCGAAACGTGTTGTTCTTCTTATCGTACGTCCTGCCCTCTTTCAGCGCTTTCTGCCGTCGCCGTTGCCCTTTACCTCGCTCGCCGGTGCCCATCGTGTGTGTGTTCTGTTTCTTCTTCTTCTTCTTCTTATATCGCGCGCGTCGTCGTCGTCGTCGTCGCGTCAAAGTTTGTGTCGGCTGAAGCGATGAATTTTTGTAACAAACTCTCATGAAAAAAGAGAGACTTGCTCTTCATCAAATTTCCAAAAGAGAACAGCACTTTTGCGTACTCTACATTATTATTTATTGATATGGCACCTCCTTCGATAGACCCACTGGTGGACCAACCGATGAGCTCGGGGAGAAAGGAAGTCTCCTTATCCGCCTTTGCGTTTCTCTTTTCGGAAATCGTCCAATACCATTTGCAACGCGTCTCGGACACGAACGAATTAGAGTTGAAGTTGGAAGAAGCGGGCGCACACGTCGGAAGACGAGTGTTAGAGTTACTCGCGTACAGAGAGAAACCAACGAGAAGAGAGACGAGATTGAATGGAATCTTGACGTTCATACAGAACAACGTGTGGAAGAACCTGTTTGGACGCTCGGCGGATTCGTTGGAAATATATAACGACGACGAGTACATGATTTCAGATCGAGACGTTTTAGTGAACAGATTCATATCGGTGCCGAAAGATTATCAAGGGATGAATTGCGCGAGTTTTGTCGCCGGAGTGGTGAAAGGGTGCTTAGAAAGTGCCGGGTTTGACGCGCAAGTGTCGGCGTATGACGCACCGACCGCGGATGATGGGCACTATTCAGTGGCGAGAACAAACTTTTTAGTGAAAGTAGACGCAAACGTTCTCGAACGCGAGCAAAGTTTTTAGACATAAATGATGGTTCAAATCTTTAGAGTAAACGTAGACGTAGCATATTAACATATAGTGTAATGCATAGTAGTAATAATAGCAGTAGTATATTTCATTCTAATCAATCTAATTGGTCGATGGCCCAATTGAGATGTGCACGGAATTGCATCGCAGCCGGATAACTCATGTCTCTCGGGACACCGACTCGTTCTCTCAAGTAGCGCAGGCACTTTGCGATTTCTTTGTCCTTCTTCGGTTCTGACGGTTGTAGTGGCTCAGCCGAGCCGTCAAGCATAGCGTCGGCGACGATTCGCAACCATGCATCGACCGAGTCCACGTATTTCTCGTTTGGAACTGCGTATGGATCCGCAAGCGGTGCCTGAAATTGTTTCCTTCCTGCTTCGCCGGCGCCGCGACAGGCAAATCTGGCGACATTTTTCGAATTAGATATGAGTTTATACGCAGCTTCATGTCGGGCTTCTTCTTCTTTCCCAACATCGCACGCGTTAATAGGTTCCAAAGAATTCGTATTCAATTGAATCGGGAGTCTCCAGCTATCTCCTTCTCCGTTGATGATGCGCATCGCTTCTTTGACTTCAGCCGTGTTATCTTCGTAACCAGGTCCATATTGCGGCGGAATGTTCATCACATGCGTGTAATAATCCGATTTCGTGGCTCTATATTCTGGGATCTCCTCAAACGCTTGAAACCATCGTTCGATGTTTTTCCATCTGCTATTTCCTCGCAAGTTTAGCCCTTTCCAATATACACACGAAGCGTTCATTCTCTCCACGTGACTGACAAACTGTAAATCTACGAGACTCGGATGTTCTTGATTTTCCAAAAACCACGGTCCGGCAGTAACTCCCAGCGCTTGTTCAATTCGGTCTAATGTAGCCTCGAATCCGCCTCTCGCCCCTCCGACGCCAAATGGCATCGACGGGCGAAAGATGAATCCACACCACGCTCCAAATAATTCTCTTTCCATTCCCAAAAGTTGGTTTACTCTATCAAACTCTTGTTCGGGAACCATAACTTTGTATTCTGGACCGGTAAACTCTCTCTCAATTCGTGCCATGATTTGAAGACTTTCCGTCATCAATTCGCCGTCGAGCTCTATCGCGGGTAACAGGCCGTTTGGAACTTTATCTAAGAATGCTTTCGGCTTATCACCGTACGAACGCATGTTAATTTTTTCGACTCGAAACGGAACGCGTTTTATGAGTAACATCAAGAGCGTTTTTTGGCAATACGGACACCACGCCGCGTGGTCTCTATATAACGTCAATCGCACGTCATCTTCCGATTTCGCGCTGTATAAATGCAGCAGATTATCCACGTGTGGTTCAGCTTTTCCCCCTTTCCTCTGTTCCGCTTGCTCTTTCATTTTCAATCCCGTTTCGGTGCTTTCTGATTTCGATTGTAAGTCTGCCCAAGAAGAAGAGGATGACGCCGATGTTGTGTTCACCATCCTCATCGTTCTTCTTTCTCTTGTTGTCGTTGTTGTCGCACAGTTCTTCCTCTTATTATTATTATTATTATTATTCTGTACGTGATGATGATGATAATATCCAGCGGTAGGGCCAGTGGTGAAGACGGAGTTTCTCGCTTGATGTTGCGCGAACATATCTTTCGACGAGACGAATATTTTTGTGTGGACGATGATGAAAGACGAAAGAGAAAAGTCTACAAAAATCGATAGAGCGATTTGGATCGAACATTATTCACGTTGAAGGATTAATACGTAATACATAATGAAATCTCTCTCTCTCTCTCTTACATATTTACCACTTGACCAAAGAAGGCTCCATTTCGTCCGGAGCTAAGTAACCCATCAAGTTGATGTAAGTTCCGGTGATGTTCGCCAAGCCGGCTTCGGGTAAATCGTCTCTCAACTCGACGCTCGCCGGTAAACCAGGGCCGCCGATGGCGACAGGAACCGGGGCCAACGTGTGCGAAGTCAACGGCAAAGGTTTACCATCCGCATCCTTTAAGCACTCCTTCTTCTTGCTTCGCTGTACCATATCGTCGGCGTTGCCATGGTCGGCAGTTACCAAAAATACACCTCCCAACTCATCCACCAAGTCCAACAATTCTTTCAAGCACGCGTCGCACTCTTCGCAGGCGGCAATTGTAGCGGCGAGATCGCCCGTGTGACCAACCATATCTGGATTCGCATAATTCACGCGAACAACGTCGTATTTGCCAGATATCATCGCTTCCTTCCCAGCGGCTGTAATTTCTCTCGCTTTCATCAACGGCTTTTCGTTGAATTGGCAATTATCCGAAGGAATTTGGACAAACGTTTCCAACGCTTCGTCAAAATATCCGGATCGGTTTCCGTTCCAAAAGAAGGTAACGTGTCCAAATTTTTGCGTTTCCGAGCACGCGAAAGTTCGCAAACCGTTCTTAGCAAAATATTCACCCGACGTTCTCTCGATTAAAGGCGGTGGAACGAGATAATTCGTCGGTAAGTGCAAATCGCCGTCGTATTGCATCATGCCGGCGTATAACATCTTCGGGAAACGTTTTCTGTTGAACGAATCAAAGTTTTCGTATTCCAAAGCTTTTGAAATCTCAACGACACGGTCGGCGCGAAAGTTGCAGCACACGACGGCATCTCCGTCTTGGACAGCGCCAACTGGAGCACCGGCTTCGTCGATGATGACGAAGGCAGGAATGTATTGATCGGAAACATCGGCTGTCTTCAGCGTTTTCAAAGCCGTCGCGGCGTCGGTAAACGTATGTTCAGCTTCGCCTAAAATGTGCGCGTTGTACCCTCTTTCGACCATCCCCCAATCTGCTTCGTAGCGATCCATAGTCACGCTCATTCTTCCACCTCCAGAACCAACTTTCGCATCGCATCCTGCTTTCGTGAAGTCATCTAAATCTTTTTGTAAAGTCGCGAGGTACTCGTGGCACGTTCCGTCTGGGACATCTCGGCCATCCGTGAGAATGTGCAAACGCATGCGTTTACACCCATCTTTCACGGCTCCTTTCATGACGCCTAAGAGTTGGTCGTATCGCGAGTGCACGCCACCGTTCGAGAGCAACGTAATCAAGTGCAACGTGTTGGACGCGAACGCCGGTTTTATGTAGTTCCACCCGGGGTCGGTGAACATGGTACCTTTTTCGAGAGAAATGTCCACCAACGAAGCGCCTTGCGCGATGATTTTACCCGCACCTAACGCGTTGTGACCGACTTCTGAGTTTCCCATGTCATCATTCGTGGGTAAACCGACGGCTTTTCCGTGAGCGAGCACGGAGCGGTAGTATTTTGATCCCTGGTCCCGTAATTTGTCCATCGTCGGCGTCTTCGCGACGTGACAGGCGTTGTACTCGTCTTTGATGTCGTTCTCGCCCCATCCGTCGAGAATGCAGACTAAAACGGGTTTCTTCTTTGGAATGACCGGATGCGGTTGTAACTCCATCTTTCAATATACTATTTATATCCGCGCGCGAGATGAATTAAAGTAGTTATATTCCAATAATTATCCGGGTTTTTCCCAGAATTTTCTGTACTGCTGTCAGCTGTACCCTAATTTCTCTCTTTTCTCTCTCGGCGAGGGAGGCCTCACATCACAAACTATACGAAAGAGTCATTTTTCCTAAAAGTGTACTACTATTCTATACAACCAGACGAACAACTGATGCCGGCTAAGCGTCCACTCGTCCACGCCCAGAGAAAATTAAACCCACCGATTCTTCCGAATATATCGCATATCTCTCCGCACACGTAAATGTTCTTCATCTCTTTCAGCTCCATGGTTTTGGTATCGATGCCTTCGAGCGCGATGCCGCCGCCGGTGACTTCAGCTTTTCTGTAGCCTTGGTGACCGGTCGCTTTGATTTCGTAATTCGAAAGAATATCGATCAAATGCACCCTTTTCTTCTTCGGTAAGTTTGAGACGTTCGTAGTCAAATCCACTTCGGCTTCTTTCAAAAGCGCTTCGCACAAACGCGTGGGTAAGAGCGGCTTTAAGCGTCTCACGACCAAGTCCGAACCGCTTTTTCCAGGGCTCAAAACTTCGTTCCAATCGCAGGACGGGTTCCAGTTCACGACCAGTTTACTACTGCTACTACTGCTGACGCTGCTACTATTGCTATTTCTACTTGAATTATTCTCGATACTGCCATCTGCAATACTCTTAACCACGTTATGGCTTAAATCTAAAATCGACGGACCAGAATACCCTTTATGCGTAAACAAGAAACCCATTCTCGCGGCTTGCTTCGCTTTCTTCTTTTCAACTTTTTTTATCTTTACTTGACAATCGAGCGATACTCCTGGAAGATACTCGCCGCCTGGATGCTCTCCTACCAACGGCACTAACGCTGGATACGGTTTGTTCACGCCAACTTTCAAATCTCTTTCGGCGATGACGTATCCCGTGCCGTCTGTCCCTACTGCGGGGAAGGAAGAGCCGCCCATCGATAACACCAAGACGTCCGCTTCGATATCTTTTCCGTCCTCGGTATTCACGACGTACGTATCGTTCGCTTCATTTTTTGTGATTTTCTTCACGTTTGTTTCGTACTGGAACGTAACCCCCTCTCGTTTACACGCCTCGACGAGTTTATCTCTCACTTCTCTCGAAGAGTTGGAAAGAGGAAAATATTTGTTCGTCGTGTGTTCGATGCCGAGCTCGAGTCGCACGTCGTCTCGAAGCCAACTCAAACACTTTGGAACCGTCCAGCTTTGTAAAATAGCTTTCGCCAGGCGAGGATTAGAGTCCGTGACGTAATCATCTATGGTCGCTTCCACTGGTAACACGTTACATCGCGCTCCTCCGGACATTAAAATTTTCTTCCCGCTCTCTTTCGTCTTCTCGTACACAGTAACTCTCACGACAGTTTTTGCATCCTTTTGCGTGACGGCGGCGAAATACGCCGCCGTCAATCCAGCTGCGCCCGAGCCTAAAATCGCAACTTCTTTCACACGAGCCGCTGCTGCTACTGCTGAAGATGATGATGATGATGAAGCCGTTATTACTACTGTTCTACATTCCCGTTTCGTAGGACGACGACGAAGTTGGTCGTTATTTTTTTTCCAAGACGAGTGCGAGTCGTACGCTGTTGTTGTTGTTCTTGTTGATGACCTCACTGCTGCCAAAGCACAGCCTCTGATCTGCTGATGCGTCGTCGTCATTTTCCCGGCGCGAAGATGATGAGAATACTGGAAAGCGCGATAATAACGCTGAGCTCCTCCTCCGGTCGTGGTGGTCAGAAGTCTTGCACCCACTTTGGAGGCCAGGAACATTCACCACTACCTTTTTTTTGTGAAGGGCGGCCAAACAACTGCCAAAAGAGCGAAAAAAAACAAAGAACAAACACAACAGCAAACAGTTTTGTTTTTCGCGCCGTTTCGTGTCAGAAGGTCAGGGCACAAACCAACAACAAAGGGCGACTTTTGGACTTAACTTAAAAGGGGGTTGGCGGCCTTTCCAACCACGAAAAAAAAAGATTAGAAGAAGAGCATCACTATTATTACGTTACTCGTGGACAAGAAAGAGACGCCGCCAGCACATACAACAACAAGAAGAAGAAGAAGAAAGTATCTCTCCTTCCCACGCATCAAACACGCAAGAAAGAAGAGCTTGTGAATAAACGCATCGTCGTCGTCGCCGTCGTTTCGTGTGAAAAAACATTTCGATCGTCTTTTGTTCCAAAAAAAAGTATAATCTCCCGTCGCAGAAGAATAAACGCGCGAGAGAAAGATGAGCAGTAACAACGACAACATGAAGAGCGCCATGACCATTATTGGTGTTTCTGGTTCTGTGTACATCGCCGTGAAGATGTCCTGGTTTCGTAAGAACCCGTTCCACGTCTTCTCTGGCAAAACTGGCGCCATGTCGAAGAGTTTAGTCGACGCCGGGATTCAGTCCTACAACGCCTTCTTCGAACAAGAAGACGGGAAAGGCGTCGGGACGAAAATCGTGTCCACTCCGGATTTTGTGAACAAGTTTTACTCTTTAATCACGGACTTTTACGAATATGGATGGGGTGAATCTTTCCACTTTGCGGCGAGAGAGAAAGGAGAGTCTTTTGAAAAGTCCATCATTCGCCAAGAGCTCGCCATCGCGGAAAATATCGGCTTGAAACCAGGAATGAATGTGTTGGACCTCGGGTGTGGTGTTGGTGGCCCAATGAGAAATATCGTCCAAGGAACCGGTGGTAAAGTCACTGGCATCACGATTAACGAATACCAAGTTGGCAGATGTGAAACGTTGAACAAGGCGGCAAAGTTGGACCACTTGACGGAGATTATCCAAGGTAACTTCATGGATTTAACAAAGGTTTTCAAGGACAGAAAGTTTGACGGCGCGTACGCGATTGAAGCCGCGTGCCACGCGAGTAACACGCAAGCGTTGTACGAACAAGTCTTTGCCGTCTTGAAACCGGGCGCTTCCTTTGCTTCGTACGAATGGTTGCGAACAGATAAATACGACCCTACGAACAAAACTCACGTAGATATCGTCGACGGTATCGCAGAAGGTAACGCTCTGCCAGAAGTCCGCACGATAGAAGATTGCATTCAAGCCGCGAAAGGTGCTGGTTTTGAAGTTACTTTAACTTTTGATCGCGCGACGACGGGTGGCGTTCCGTGGCAACAAGCCATGAAATCTGCTCGCAGAGCTGCGTATTTGACGCACCTCATGACTGGTTTGTTAGAGTTTATTGGGTTTGCGCCGAAGGGTACTCAAGCGGTTCACACTATGTTGCTCAAAGCAGCAGTGAACCTCGAGAAGTCTGGTGACTTGGGTATCTTCTCTCCGATGTACTTGATCGTCATGAAGAAGCCGCTTTCGGCATAAAAAAGGAGAACCTGAACGCACGAGAGAAAGATAAAAGAATGAAGGATTGTTTAAGCGGAGGTTTCGATTACTATATATAAATAAATTTTTTAGACATTTAATGAGTAAACCTATATATGTATTGTGCAAAAGTTGTTCGAATGATTAATGCGCGCATCGAATGTGATGAAAATAAGATATTGTTTCCATTGTCGTCATCATAGTAGGTGTACTGTTTGCGATGAAATACAAAACATTGAATGTGTTGTCGTGTTGAAACTTCTTCATTACATAATGTGAATTTTTTACGGTTTACCGCTGCTGACCTTGACCATGGAGGCGCGCACTAACTTTTCGCCCACTAAATACCCTTTTCTGAACTCTTCCATGATGTGGTCTTCCGCTACATCCTCCGATTCTTCTCTCATAATAGCCTCGTGTACGTTCGGGTCGAACGGTTCGCCTTCGCCTGGAACAACTTTCAATCCCTCAGCTTCTAACGTTTCGAGCAATTGCTTGTGAAGCAGCTGATATCCTTTGATTATCTTTTCTTCTCCTTCGTTTTCGCCCTTGACGTTCTTCGCCGTCAAGTCAAAGTTATCTAACACTGGCAACATAGCTTCGACCATCTTCGATTTCACCGCCGGCGCCAAGTCTGCTTTTTCCTTCGCCGTTCTCTTTTGGAAGTTTTGGAAGTCCGCCACGGATCGCAAGTATTGATCTTGAATCGCCGCTTTCTGGTCTTGCTCGCCTTGGACTTGCGCTTCCATATCCTTCACGGACTTTTCCAAAGCCATGACTTCTGTTTGGAACTTGGCCAACACGTCCACGTCGTTATCCGAGTTTTCCATCAACTGCGCGAAATAGGAAGTAAACTGGGACTCCTTCAACGCAGACGAGTCATCGTCCGATTTCTCCTCCTCTTCTTCTACTACTTCTGCGTCGTTGTCGTCTTCATCTTCCACTTCGATGGCTTTAGATACGATCAAGCTTCTTTTCGTATCGCGAAGAAGAAGAAAATTTGTTGCCGTCGTCTTCTTCGATTGGTTTCGATTATTTGCATAATAAAAAGTCAAGGAGGAGGAGGAGGAAGAAGAGGACGAAGAAGAGGACGAAGAAGAGCGACGACGACGACTCGAGGCGGCAGACGCGCGAACAACGGAGAACGATGAACAACCAGAGGATGCAAACATTTTTTTTTATCGCGATAGACAGACAGACCCCCTCCTGTTTTTGCCAAAAACGACGGCGGACACACGCAAAAAGGAGGAAAAAACCATGGTGCACCCTCATCTCATCCGTTTTTCCTCCTCTCTCTTTCTTCTTCACATCTCTCCTCCTCTCTCCTCTCTTTTCTCCTCCTCTTTCCGCAAACAACAAAAGAAGAAAAACTTCTTCTTCTCTCTCTCTCTTTTACTCTCTCTCTCTCTTTTATAACAACAAGAACCAATATATTATAAATAAAACGAGTATTATGCTCAGCGAGGAGGAAAACTACGCGCTTTTACTCTCCACTTTAGCCGGGTTGAGCACCTCCGTCGGGGGCGTTTTAGCCGTATGGAAACGACCCGATGCGAAGCTGTTAGCGTTCTTATTAGGGACGGCTATTGGAGTTATGGCCACGTTATCTTTCGTAGAATTATACGTGAAAAATGTTCTGGAGAATGGATTTTGGGGAGTCACTCTGTCCACCATGGCGGGTGCGGTTTTATACGCCATCGTGGAGCCGTTGTTACCTCACGTCGATTTGTTTGAAAAAGATGGTCCCGGTGGAACCAAACAGAAACAAAATGGAGGAGGATCGGGAGGATCGGGAGGAGGGAAAGTGAAGAGCAGCGAATCGAACACGTCATCATCTTTATCGAAATCAATGTCCTCGTCCATGTCTTCTGCTATGAACGAGCGGGGCAATCCTGTGCCGGGCGAAACCGAAGCTTCGCGCGGTCGTTTGATGCGCTTGGGTATTTTAATGGCGGTTGCTATGACTTTACACAACATTCCAGAAGGTTTCGCCGTGGCATTTTCATCTTTCACTGAAATTGGGCCGATAATGGCCATCGCAATTGGTTTACACAACGTGCCGGAGGGTATTATTGTCGCCGCACCGGTGTATGCTGCAACGGGATCAAGGAGGAAAGCACTGGCGTTGGCGACGGCTTCGGGTTTGAGCGAACCGCTCGGAGCATTGTTTGCGTTATTTTTTATTCAGCCGTACTTGACGCCTTTGCGATTACAATACATGTTAGCTGCAACTGGTGGAGTTATGTCTGCGGTGTGTTTTATCGAGCTTTGGCCGGAAGGAAAGAAATGTAAAAATGATTTGAGTTTAGCGAAAGGAGTGATACTTGGGAGCGCCTTGATGCTCGGTACGCTCTACGTCGGCGTTTAAGGAAATGAAATATCTATGTATATCTTAGTCATCATAGAGATGGTGTTGCATTTACAAAATAGTTATTGTTGTTAATATTGTTGTTGATATTGTTGTTTAATATAGTTGTAATTTTGATACAAGAAAAGTTAACGCGTGTGGCGTCGCTTTCAATTCTCCATTCATATCAACCACAATTCAATCATCATTCGGTCGTCGTCACAAAATAGCGCACGTGCAAAACACAAACGCAAACCCAAAGAAGAGAGAAAGAAAGAAAGAAGTGATTGATAAACAATGTCCGCGACTGATAACGAGGAAGAAAAGAAGAAAGAAAAAGACGAAGTGGACGAACTCGTCGAGTTTTTGTCGGACAAGCGTTCGGATGTGAGAAAAGAAGCCGCCACCATCGTCGCCGGCTTAACCGGCACGGACGATGGCTTACAAACCTTGACTGATAAAAGAGAAACTTTAATCTCTCATTTGCTTCATTTGTTAGGGAAAGATCCCCCGGAATCTACCCCATCCGCTCAGGCGCTGATCAACTTGACCGGACACTCCTTGGAAGTCGTCTCGTTGGCGGTGAACAAAGGTGCCGTAGAAAGATGCATAGATTTTATTAAAGATGGCGAGTGCGCACCCGTGGATTTACTCCTGTCGCTCTTAGCCAACATAACGAAAGCAGAAGGTGGTGTACACGTTCTTTCTCAAGAAGGTAAACCACTGGAAGGATTTTACATCCAAAGACTCGTGCAGTTGTTAGTCAGCGGGAAGCCTCAAGAGACGTACGCGCAAGCGGCGAGCGTTTTATGCAACGTCTCCAGGCATCCCATAGGAAGAAAAGTGATTCTCGATCGAAAAGGGTCCATAGTCAATCTAGTTACTCCGATGTTAGCATCCACGTGCGATATTAGAAGAGAGCGTATCGCGGCGACCATACAAAACTTGTGTTGCGACTCGGAATCTAGAAAAAAACTCTTAGCGTTGGACTCGGAAGAAACGCCTATTGTGAAAGCACTTCTTCGACCAATAAGTGGTGCCAAAGTGAATAAAGAACTTTCCGATAACGTTAGGCGCGGCTGTGCGGGTGCAATTTTACTATTAGCTAAAGAGGCGGAGGGAAGAGAGATCATGAAGAAGCTCGATGCTCCCGTTTTGTTGAAGCAAGGTTATGAGCTGGAAGAAGAATCGGACGTTTGTGACGCGTTGGAACAGACCGGGGACGTGTTCTTAAAACACGGGATGGTCCCGGACGATATGGTTCCAAAAGACGTATCCGCTGAGGTCATTCCTGAAGGAGAAGAAGGAGAAGAAGAAGAATTACCGCCGCTCATAATGGGTTTGAAAAATTCAAGTTTGAATCAAGTCGATTGAAGCATAAAAAATGTAATATTATTCAAGATGAAAACAACTTTGTTGCCTGTTTTAAAGTATTGTACAAAATTTTCTGCGCTGCTGCTACTGCTGCTACTACTATCATCTATTGTTTCTAAAGATACTGTGGTACCTGCTAAATTTCTTTCTGAATGATCACAAACTTTTCAACAAACGATGGGGAGAAATATGGAAATTTCTCTTTTGTTAGCCGCAGCAACTCTTCCGCCGGAGAGACATGTCAAAGTGGTTGAATCGAACCCGATATCGCCCGAACACACTTTACTCTTATTCTCGATATCGTAAATAGTTAAAGCGGAAGTACCTTCACCAGCTGTCACAATCGCTCTTCCGTTGAATGTAAAAGCTGGACAATATAACATCTTGTGTTTTTGAACTCGCGGGTGTTTGTGGGCATTGAATCGGTGAAGCTTTCCTCCATCAACGCGTCGAACGTCCCATAAGTTGATTGAATCATCAAACGCGGACGTAACAATTTGATTGATATCACCTTCAACGTTCCATTCGACGAAATTTACCGCGCAGCCGCCGTGAGCATTCTCGATGTGGTGCACCGGTCTCGCTTTCGAGTCTCGTGTGTCCCAAATGGCGACGATGCCATCGTTCCCACACGTGGCAAACACGTCCTCGCTCCTCGCTTTCACGCATTTTACCACGCCAGAATGGAAATCATCGAATCTTCTCAAAACCTTGAGTTGACCGTCCTCGGTTATTCTCGAAGAACACACGCTCCTATCTTTTGAAGCCGTAAAAATCGAGTTTTCGTTGAAGACGTTCAACGAAAACACGCCGGCTTCGTGCATGTCTGTGTTTCTGGTTTGTAAGGTCGGAGTTTGCTTTTTGACTTCAACGGATGCGATGTTCCACAAAGCTATAGTACCATCCATACCACCAGCGGTAGCGAGCACATTGTTGCGGTTGTTCACAAACTGCGCGTTTGCGCACCACCCTTGATGGGCCTTGTAAGACAGGAGTAAGTCGGAAGCCGACGAGAAGATTGAAACAATTCCACCATCTCCAGCTGCGGCGATCAAACCATAATTTCTACCTTCATCGATGGAATAGTACCCTTTTTTAATCGATTGGTCGACGAGTTTCTTCTCATTGGCTTCTTTATATCCTCTGAGGAACACCGAAGAAGAAAGAGAAGGAGGAGGAGGAGAGGGAGGAGAAGAAGGCAAAGTCGGAGGAGGCTTGTGTTGTTCTTGTCGTTGTCGTTGTTCACAATAATACCAAACAGCGGACGTTTCAAACAATTCTTCTCCTTCTTCTTGATCTTCTTCTTCTGGTATCTCTTCTAATGATTTGTTTTGCTCTCCGTCTGCTCCTTCGTTTCCGTTCTGTCTCGCTGTTCTTGTTCTCGTTGAGCGTCTTAGTATTTTCGTTTCAACACTCCTCCTCAGCGTCCTCAATGATGATGATAACGGTCTCTTCTTACTCTTCTTATTCATGCCATTAATCGTACTTCCTAAAACATCAATACCCATGTTTTGCATGATTTGTTGGTTTCTTTGTATTCGGGTTAATCTTTCGAGTTCATAGGCGCACAGTGTGCCTCCCGTCCCTTCGGCGTTGTTGTTCTTTTCTTCCTTTGGTTTAAATTCAAAATTTTCTTTTCCGTCGAGAGCCAACGCCTCGGCATCATCGCTCACGATCATCATTCAACCAAACAGACGTTCCGCGGCACTTTGTTAGATCTCACTCAGGTTCGGTACGACCCGATTGAGGTTCCCCTCGCTTGTCTAAACCTTCCTTTAAAAATGACGAAAATTCCTTGTAATTCTGTTTATTTTTATTTTTATTTCCTTCTTTTTTCGAGAAGATGTGATATTCCCGAACTTCTATTCACGTCTCACAGCTTCTGAATTTATTATATGTGTAAATATGTAACTGAATGCGCGAATTTCATTTTTCCGGGGATTTTATTTTATTTTTATTTTAACCAAAATTAATTCGACGAATTGTTTAAACACACTGATCATTTTTTCATGCACAAAAAGGAAAATTTCTCATAGTAGTTAACGGATTACTAATTTTCCATGCATCAAGGTGTACTTAAATTCATATTTAATTCAGATTAATGCCATTTTTGAAAAATTATATTTTATTTATTTATTTATTTCACCGAGAATTTAAAATATTCCCATAATTTGGCAGGTATTCTCAAGTTTAAAAGATCAAATACTTGTAATAATTAATTTAAAGGTGGATAAATTCCTTTTCACTGGGATTATCGCTTGGGAGGAAAAGTTCAGAAGCAAAGAAGCAACCAACAACATCACAAATCTTCATTTTCTGTTCTCTCCTCCAGGAGAAAACGAGAAGAAGAAAACAAAAATGATGTCGAGAAAGACAACAGTTCGCGTCTTATAACTGTGAAAACGCTGTCAATGTCTGAATTGATGCTGTTTTTGCCGCCCGATAACGACAGCATGACGAATGGAGCGGTTATTTCACTTCTGAATTTGCACTTGGAAAAGCTCCTGGCCTGTTCCTCTGATGAATTTAAGATAGTTCTTCGCCAGGATTCATCGATACCAAAAATATTGGATTCCTACCTTCAGTATCGACAAAGATCGTTCGATAAAGCCGTCGACATTCAACCGAGCCGAGAAGAGGACGATTTAGCAAAACGGATATTTTTATTGCTGATGAGAATTTCCTCTGAAAAGGAGAAAGCAGTCACAAAGAGGTTCTTTACGGTACCGAGAATAATCGACATAGCCACGTTATTCGCTCCTACGAACAGACTCTTGGTGGCAAATTTGTTCGAAAACGTGTACGGGGTAGCTCCTGAGATTTTCACGACGGAATTGAACGAAAGTTTCCAAGTAATCTCGAATAACTTTACCTCATTGGTGCGCGGGGACATCGCTTCCTCTTCCGAAGTCTCGAAGGAAGACGCGCTTCGCTATCTCCGAGATGCGGCGAGAAGTTTGGTTGCATTCGTCCACGCTCTTCCTTTTGATGACGAGAAGAGAAAAGGAAGATGGTGGGACAAAAGTTTTGTCGATTCAGTGAGTAGAGTTATTGACCACCTGAATGGTAGTAACACTGGAGATGACGAAATGCTTGCAAAAGATGTGTCAAAGAGTTTTGAAGAACTTCGCAGACTTGTTGTAGGCGATGGTGCTATTAATACTCCACCATCTATGTCGAAAGAAGCGAAGTATGTAATTGACGAAATCCGTTCCATATTACCGGACTACAGTGAAGCATTCTTGTTGAAATGCGTGGACGTGTACGGACTCAACGCAGAACGAATCACCCAACACCTATTAGAAGGAGACGTGCCAAAGGAGCTTTTCGAAGAGAAGAAGAAAAAGAAGGAAGTGGCTCAACAACGACCGCCAGTGCCAAAACAACAACAACAACAAAGAGAAACGAAAAGCTTTTTGAACCCCAAAGCGGAAGGATTTTACGTGCCACAACCAAAGAAGTTTACCACAGAGGCAAAGAATGTGCTGGATAAGTCAACTCGTTCCAACAAAGAGGCCGTGTTGAGACTCCTCGAAAATCTCGAATACGAAGACGAATACGACGATTCGTTTGACGATTTACCTCCGCCACCTCCAAACGCGGTAGAAAAGCTTGAAGACGACGCGGACCCAGAATCTGAAGAAAAAGAGTTTTGGTTTTTCAAAGGGCGCGTATACAACGCACCTAAAGAAGGTGCTATAGTTATTAAAGCTCGGTCTCCTCAAGAAGCTTCTCGCATAGCAGTGGCACAAATAGACTCCGAGAAAACGTTTGGTTTAGGTGAAGGTGGGAATAAAGCTGTATTTCCTCGACACGATGCGTCTATTTCGGGAGAACACCATCTGCAAGGTGGACGACAGCAGTCGAAAAAAGGAGGAGGGGGAAAAGCTTCTGGTGTCAGCACTCGCGGGGCTGGGTCCAACGCCCCGTCTTTTCAGGAACGAAACAGGCGGAAAGCGGCTTCATCGAGGAAACGCGACGTAATATAGGAAGAAAGATAAAAAGATAGACAGATAGTTAGAGAGAGGTGTTAGCAGCGCATAATAATAATAAGAATAATACTTAGAAGTGTAGAAATGTAGAAGTGAAACACAAAAAGCTCATGCAAAAAAAAAAGACGTTTTTTTCCTTTCTCGGTCGTTACAAATTTGCTCTCTCGTGTTTTGTAATAAAAAGGGGGATGGAAGATGGACACGGAGAAAGCGAAAATACGGATCCTGGAACGACTACTACAACCACTGGTAAAGAACGCATGAGTGAAAGGGAAAGCGGCACTACCACGACCACGACGTCGTTTTTGTCCACCGCGTACGCGATATCTTTCAGCGATTTCCTTCTCGTCTTTCTCCTGTTTCTTCTCTTTCTGATTGTCTTACGAAAAGTGTATCGGTACGCGTTTAAGAAGAAAGATAAAACGAAAAAGAAGAAGAAGAATTAGAGAACATGAAATCTTCCACTCCACTCCTCCTCGATGCTCTGAAACGACGAAGCGAGAGGCACCGGATGGAATCTCACGTCATTCTCTCCCCCGTTTTCGAAGTTTTGAGTCTCGATTTTTGCCAGAACAAGAAGGAGTCGCAGAAGAGAAGTAGGAGAAAATCAAACGAACATCTGAATCTGGCAGTTGCTGAACTTCAAAGAATAATCAAGTCACAGCTCGTATCGCGGAAAGATGCGATGGCAATGTTACTCTTCATATGGGCAAACTGCGATGGTTACGAACAAAACTTCTTTCCTACTAAATCAGAATACGATGACGGTGTCGACGCGTTGTTGAAACGTTTTCGAGTCAGCACGGAAGCGTTCGTCCACGTGGTCTTGAGTTGTGATTTGCTCCACGAATTCAAATTGGCGTTAGAAGATGCAAATGATACTTATTTGAATGAGCGAATGGCTTCCGCAGTATTCTCGCTCGCTCAGAATGAAGCTTCGGGACAAATAGTTGACATTATCGAGAAACAAAAGACGGACGGCGGTGACGGAAAGTACCGTACTCCTTTTTTGCAAAACAATACGATTCGCAGGCTAGAAATGCATAAATATGTGGGAGAGATGAACAACAACGACGACGGTAATAGTTTTAATAACAGCTCTCATTTTGAGGGAGTCGTGGAGAAAGAAATGGTTAAAGTCATGAATCGCATCAATTACGAGAAGCAAATGTCTGTGAAAGAAGCAGTTCAGTTCTCCAGAAGTTTACTCCCTCTGAAACTTTCATATCCGGCAAAGTTCACGCAACTGTTGCTTCATTACGCTGCTGAAAATAGCTCGAATATGCCCTTGATTTTAAGTGCGGCGTATAATTCTCCTGGACTCATTGAATTGGAATTTTTTATTCGCGCTTTTAGAGAATTAGTGGCGACAAAACCGCATTTGCTGACTACACTGAACACATTCATAGCTTCATTATTTAACGAGGACATGGCTAGAATGCACACGGATGGTAATGGGAATTATGATAGTTCTCTATTCGATCCCAGAGAAGGAATTCTGTACGTTGTGTTTCCGTTACTTCACAGTAGCAACGAGAGTGGCATCCTAGAATTTGCGATACATCTTTTGCGAGACATTACTATCAACGACACTCAGTTCGATTACACCTTGGTATTTCGAACGTATCCAGGTAGTATTCTGTTATCTTTGGCCTCTGTGGTTAATTCTCGGAATGCCGATGACGGGTGTTCAGAACGTGTGCGGGAGTTGGCATCTTCGACTTTATCTGTCTATGTTGATAGATTTGGGCAACTCGCAAAGGAGAAAAGAATTCATCTCACAAAGCATGCGTTGGGGTCGATCGAAAAATTGAGTTCTGTTGCTGTTTCCCATTTAGATTGGGACACGCGACTGAGAATCGAGCCGGTGCTGAAGTACGGTCGACGTAAACACGGTTCAGTCAGCGAGAAACCACCGCCAAGTTTGAATTGCAAATTTGATTCTGTCACGCTCTGGATTAAGAAAGTTCTCGAAGATATATTCTGCATCTCTCGGTCTGGCGATGAAGCTTTATCGCGAGTATTACGTTTGTTGTTTCCATTCGAACGAGAGGTTTTAGAAGAAAGGGAAGAGTTCGATTCCAATATCGATGCATGCTTAATTCAGTTCAGAAGTATACTCGTCGAAGTCAGTGTAAAGTATCGAGACCATTTAAAGCTGGCGCTATTATGGGCAAGCTCGGAGGTTTTCCCTCGTTGTACGTTTTCTGAAATTCGGAGAATAATATTTGGTCTGTTTCCAAAGCTTCTTCCTCAATTCTTGAACACGTTTGACGTAAGTGTAAGAGCGTATGAGGATGAGATAGCAACGGATGGTATTGCGCTGGATTTGTTTGTCAAAGTGATCGAGACGACGCAAAATACAATCGACTTTGAAATCTTGACTCGGCAACTCGCCAATATAGTTTCCTCATCGCCTCGAGAGTCGTTCGCGTTCCAGCTTCTAGGCTTTAGGAATTTATGCTCGGCACTATCCATTGTTTCTATGTCATCCAGAGGTGGATCTAAGAGTCGGGCAGAAGGCGCACTTTCTGCTGCTGCTTTTGATATTTTAGCTAAAGTAGTAACATCGAGCGAGTCCGAGGAAAACAAAAGGAAAAAGTTGGAAGAAATGCTCGAGGTTCTTCCGAAACCTGCTCTTCCATACATAGTAAAACAGATCAAATTAGAAATTAGTAAGTTGTAGCATATAATAAGGATAGCTATGATAGCTTTGCCGCTGACCTAGTAATATATATATAAATAAAAACGAGCACTTTTCTTCGCTAAACTATTGTCTTTCTATTTTCTTTACTATCGTTGCTTCCTATTAATGGTTGAGTTTTGCTCAACGCGTGGTGATCTAAGATTGGATCGAGCTCGTCGTAATTGGGCACAGTAGTTGCAATCCATTTTCCGTTACGCACGACGAGTCTATCGTGTTGAGATCTCGAAAACAACTCAGAGTATTGTCGACCGCGAAAGATCACAAAGTTTGCCGGACCGCCTTCTTTTAGCAATCCGTGAGTTTCACCTATTCCCATCGCCTGTGCAGGCGTTGTCGTGACAGCTTTAGGCCAGTCCCCAAGAGAAGGACGGTCTAAATGGGCAATGAAGACGCTGAGACGAAAAACTTCGAGCATATCCAAGTCCCCGTATCCGTAAAACTGATCTCTGATGTTATCGCTCGCTAAACATACTGGAATATTTCTTGTGGTAATCTCCTTCAAAAGAGGAATTCCACGACGTCTCGGCGTTTTTTCTCCTAGTTCACACCTATTTTGAAGCCATTGATTTACCATAGGTAGACTAACGATGGTAATATTGGCTCTCTTTGCGGCTTGTAACATGATTTCCAAATTCTCGGCGGTTTGCGCCGCTAAAGAACAACAATGCCCGCAAACGATCTGTCCTTTGTAATTGTTTCTAATCGCTGCGTCAGATATGTGCAACAAACCTTTCGACTCTTCGTTACCGTTTTCATCGACGTGAAAATCTAAGTCAAGTTCAAATTCTATTGCGAGTTGGAACACTTTATCGAGCAAAGCGTGTATCTCGTCCCCGCACGTCGTGTGGGGATCCAAATCTGTCCCTCCGTAGTCAGAACACGACACAGCGGCACCTAAAATCCCTTTGTGCGCTTTAACCGTCCGAGCTAGATTTCTACTAGAGTGTTCGTCTTTGAAAAAGCTCAAAATTGATAACGAGACCCCTTGTAGTTCTATTCGTCCTTTCCATTTTTCTCGAAGTTTCATAAACGCCGGCCAAGTCAGCGCGCCTTGAGTCGGACCAGACATCAAATGAGTTCGAATAGCGGACGTGCCGTGCGCGTACGCTGTCTTTAGAGAAAATTCCATTCTCGCCATGAGTTCTTCTTCCGTCCAGTGTATTTCATCGATTTGACAGGACTTGTCCGCACCGGCTAAAGATCCCGATTCGTTTCGACTTCGTTCGCACGTGTGCGATTTATCCACATGAGTGTGGATATCGCAAAAGGTGGGCATGCACACCCCTTTCTTCGCGTCGAGGACGGTTCCTTCTTCTTCTTCTTCTTCTCCTTCTGAAGAAGGCTTAATTCGTGCGATTATCCCGTCTTTGACAGTTATGTCTACCAAAACCAATCCATCTCTATCTCCAGATGGGTTCGTTGTTCGGAAAGCGACTTCTGGAGTGCCTTTCGAGGACGAAACTGAATTCAGAACATCATCGGTTTTTGTCCCATTATCCTCGGCGAAAGATAATAAAACCACAGGCACTCTCGCGTTTTTAACGGTATACGACGAAGCAGTGCTCTCCGGTGGTTTTATCCACGCCGCCGCATTCATGATTACGCGCGCGTGTTTATGTTTATGCGTGCGGTCTCTCTCTTTCTCTCACGCGCACAAAACTTCTTCTAAAGTCTTCCAATTTTTGCTGACTCGCGCCATTTTTTTGCCAAAGGACGCGAAAAAAACTCACTTTTGGCGGAGCTTTTTATTCCTTTTTTGAAACGAGACGACGATTCGTCACACAGAAGACCAACGGCTGCCCTGTGGACGACGGTTAAAAACGTCGAAAAGTGAAGAAGAAAAAAGAAAGAATCTCATTTGAAAGCACACCGTGGCCGGGAAGAGAGGTTGAATAATAATAATAATTAATACTCGAGAGAGAAAGAAGAGGAAGACGAAGAAGAAGAACCACAAATGTTGAACCCGAACGCGAAGACGTTTACGTTCAACCCAACTGCAACTTCTTCCCATTTCAATGCCGCTTCGACTTTGAATGAGAGCGAGGGAGGAGTTCAGGACTTGACATCAAGTTTAGGAGACTTTGGATTCGTAAACGAGGATGATGCGGACGATCTTTCCGCGCTCGTAAAGGGTGGAGAAGGTTTAGATGGTGGTGCTGTGAGTGAAGGAGGAGTACACTACACAGAAAGAGACTATTATTACGACAACAACAACAACAACAACAACATTCAGTCGAACGCCAGTAGTAGTCAGCAGGAGCAACAGTTTGATGATATACCCGACGAGGAGAAAATGAGATGGCTCGTGCAAGAATTCCCGAATATAGACGAAGCTATACTCGAAGATATCTTGTTCAACGCCGCTCATCATGATATAAACTGCGCGTTAGATTTATTAGAGGAGTTGGAAGGTGACTACGAAGCGCCGGTGCCAGAAGCGCCGGCGATTAACGAAGAAAATTTTCCTTCTCTCGGTGGCGGTGGTGCTGGATATGGCAACAACAACAACAACAACAACAACATAGCAGCAAAGAAGGAAGAACTACCTCAAAAGATTTATCTCTCTGGAGGAAGATCGAATTACGTTGACAGGCAAGCTCCAGCAACGTCGTCCTGGGCCACCTCCTCGCATCCGCCCTCTTCGATGACCACACGGTCGACGTACTTTGATTCACAGAATGAAATATCGACAAAAACTACTGAATGGGTGGAAACCGGTGATCTAGTGTCCAATCTGTACAAAGAAAATCGAGCAGATGCGCGTGATTTAGCGCGCGTGAGAAACGTCTGCTACGAACAAGCGACGACTGCTTTTCTTTCAGGTAATAAAGCTCTGGCGAAAGAACTATCGGCAAAAGGAAAAGAAGCCGCGAATGCAATGCAACGAGCTCATGAGCAAGCTTCGAATCAGATATACTCCGAAAGAAACAGGAATAACAGTAGCACGATAGATTTACACGGGCTTCACGTAGCCGAGGCGCTTCAAATTCTAAAGCGAGAGTTAGGCGCCGGCGGTGGAAGGTCTCGCGGAGAGTTTATTAGCATCCTCGTCGGTACAGGACATCACACCAAAGGGGCTCGAACGCCCAGTCGATTACCATCGAGCGTCGAACAGTGGTTGATTTCGGAAAAGATTCATTTTACCGAGCCAGTCTCGGGAGAGTTTTTAGTACGAGTTTTGTAATAAATTTTTAATAGTGCTTCGTGCGAGTACTGGTAACCACCACTCTTCCTCTTTTGTCTTTCAAGAATTCAGGTTTTAGCGAAAATCTCCACAAAACAAAGTGATGAGGTAGAGAAAGAGACGTCGTGATCATCATCGCAACTTATCATCAGGTATCATCATGTACTTTCTCGTCTCAGACGAGGAATCTGCACAAACGCCCTCTCGGAAGGATGAGATCGACGAGACGCAAGAGTTTAACGCGCGCTTGTTCGGGTGCGAATTCGTTCGAAGATGCGGTCGCATGTTGAAACTCAATCAATCTTGCATCGCGACTGGTCAAGTGTTGTTGCACAGATTTTACTTCAAGAAGTCTCTGAAGAAATTTGACGTCAAGCGCATGGCAGCAACGTCCATATGGTTAGCCTCGAAGCTCGAGGAGTCTCCTAGAAAACTCAGGGACGTTGTAAATGTGCTCGTTCGAGTGGAAGAACGAATGGAAGGGAAGAAGAGTTCAGAAACCGTCGTATTGGACGTGTATTCAGATCGATTCGAGGATATTAAAGAAGATTTGGTACGAAAAGAAAGGCACATGCTCAAAGAGTTTGGGTTTGTGATCAAAATTGAACATCCGCATAAGTTTGTGTTGAACTATTTGCAAATATTATCCTTGGCCGAGAATAAACAGTTGACGCAGAAAGCGCTGAATCATACGAACGACGCGTTGCACACGACCATATGCGTTCGGTTCAACTCGGAAACGATTGCATGCGCTAGCATATATTTAGCAGCTAGAGAAATGAACGTCGCGTTACCGGAGAATCCTCATCAGTGGTGGTTATTATTCGATGTTGTTCTAGAGGACATCGAGTGCGTGTGCGACTCGTTGGAAATTTTATATAAATACATATACATAGAATATCCACCAAAGTACGAGCTGTTAGGGGAGCTTCCTCCGGGTGACTTCGAGCAACCAAAAGGCGACGGAGGAAAAAGGAAAAGGTAGATGAACATAATAGAATAAAGAGTAGGAAATTAACGTGATGTATGAGATAGATAGAATGTAGAATAAGCTTGGGCGTTGTCGAAAAAAATCGTGACACATAGAAAATAGTGGAAATCATAATACACATTTTTATTACTTCGCTTCCAATAAATCGCTCAACTGATTGGTGTAAAAGTCCGGTACGATGTCGTTCTTCGGGCTCAACAAGCGATCCTCCGTCGTCACGCCAGATAACACCAACAAAGTGGACAAGCCGCCGTCTTTACCGAACAAAATGTCGGTATCGAGACGATCGCCAACCATGCAAATTTCATCCTTCGGAATGGAGTACTTCTCGGCGATGTAGTCCAACATGAAAGAGGATGGTTTCCCGACAACAATCGGCTCTTGTTGCGTGGAACCTTTAATGCATCCAACCATAGAACCGTTCCCGGCCCACTCTTGGGCAGAAGTTAAGTGCGTCACCGCATCCGTGTTGGTTGCGATGAACAAACATCCCGGGTTCTCGCGAATGCAAAGCGTCGCTTGCTGAATTTTGTGATAGTTGAAATGTCTGTCAAAGCCAACGATAACTGCGCTGACATCTTTGTCGTGATCCATGTACAAACCTTCGCTCAAAGTGACTTCTTTACCCTTATCGGCTTCGCAACCGGACCACTTGATGCCGAGCAAGTCGAGTTCTTCCCCGATACCGGTTTCCCCAACAACGTAGACTTTACCGTCGAACTTGATGGATTCGAGGTACGCGGCAGCCGCAAAAGAGGAGGAAAAGATGTTTTCCGCGGTGATGTTCAACCCCAAACTGGTAAACTTCTTCAAATATCCCGCTCGGGACTTGGTGGAGTTGTTGGTGATGAAAAACAATTGCTTGCCCATACTCTTGAGCATGTCAATAGTCTCCGGAACGCCATCAATCAACGAGTCTCCCTTCCAAATGACACCATCGCAATCGAAAATAAACGTTTTGGTCTTATCGAGCAACTTTTTCGCTTCCGCGATGTCCATTTTACGCTGCTTGTGCGCCATAGAAGCAGAGATTTGTGTCGTGGCAGATACTCTCTTCGATTGATTTCTTTTCCCAGAGGAAGCGACTTTGTTTTGAACGAGAACGGAACGCGCTGCGACTGACGAACTGGCAAAGGATGACATATGTGGGTCGTATATGTGTGTGAGTTCGTGTGTGTGAATATATATATATATATATAATGTATATATATGTATATACTATTACGCGAGAGAAAGTAACGACGATGACGATGTGTTTTTTCTCTTCGTTTGTTCTGATTATCCATCGCGTGTGTGTTCGTGGTCCACGTGTTCCATTGAATATTCCTCTCCTGTTCTGCCGAACAGAAAGAAGGCTCGTCAAAATTTTATCTCTCTTTTTCTCGTTTTCCTCTCGCAAACAAAAATAAAAAACGAGGGACAAGAAAAAAGTGCATTCATACAAAGTTGCGCGCGCGAAGAGTAGTTTTCTGTAAGTACGCACGACGACGAGAGCATGGGAATGCAAGCTTTACCTTTAATTCGAACCACGACATTCTTTTGCGGATCGTTAAAAAACAGCGGTAAATCTTTAGTAAGAAGAGCTATTAAATCATCGAGCACTCGAAGAAACACGACGACGACGACGACGACTGCGACGATGGAAAAACACGATTTTGATTACGATATTTTCGTCATCGGAGGCGGCTCTGGCGGCGTCCGCGCCTCAAGAATGTCATCCACCGCGGGTGCTAAGGTAGGTTTAGTCGAATTACCGTTTAATCCGGTATCTTCGGACACGCAAGGTGGGTTAGGAGGCACGTGCGTCATTCGTGGCTGCGTTCCGAAAAAGCTCTTCGTGTTCGGCTCTGGGTTCAAAGCCGAGTTCGAAGACGCCGCAGGTTTCGGGTGGGACGTAGACCCGAACCCGAAATTGAACTGGTCGAAACTCTTAGAGGCGAAAACAAAAGAAATCACGAGATTGAACGGAATTTACGGTCGATTATTAGACGGTTCTGGCGTGACTGCGTACGAAGGCGGCGGCAAACTTTTGGATAAACACACGGTAGAAATCACGAAAGCGGACAACACGAAAGAGAAAGTTACCGCGCAAAATATCTTAATCGCGACTGGTGGACGCGCAGTGAGACCAGATATACCGGGTAAAGAACTTGGCATTGACTCTGACGACGCGCTATCCTTAGAAAAGTTGCCGAAAAAAGTAGCGATTGTTGGTTCTGGATACATCGCCGTAGAGTTTGCGGGCATTTATCAAGGATTAGGTTGCGAAGTTGATTTGATTTTCCGTCAACCGTTACCGTTGAAAGGTTTCGATACAGAAATCCGCGAAAACGTGATGAACACCTTAAAGTCGCGCGGCATTAACGTGCACGAATCGACGACGCCGGAGTCCTTAAAAGAAGATGGCAAAGGCGGCATCGACTTTGCGCTCTCCGGCGGGAAGACCATCAACACGGAGGTCGTCATGTTTGCCACCGGTCGCGCGCCGAACACGACGAGGCCAGACATAGGATTAAAAAACGCTGGCGTCGAACTCGATTCTGCCGACGCCATCAAGGTAGACAAGTACTCGAGAACTAACATTCCAAACATTTACGCCGTCGGGGACGTGACCAACCGCATCAACTTGACGCCGGTAGCTTTAATGGAAGGCATGGCATTCGTTGAAACGGTTGTGAGAGGAAACGACAAAGAACCAGATTACGAAAATGTTCCGTGCGCGGTATTTTCCCAACCACCCGTAGCATGCGTTGGTTTGACTGAAGAACAAGCCATCGCGGAAGGGCGCACTTGCGACATCTACACGTCTTCGTTCACCCCGATGAAGTTGACTTTAGCTGGAAGAACGGAGAAAGCGTTCATGAAACTCGTCGTCGATACCAAGGATGATAAAGTTATCGGTTGTCACATGGTTGGTCCGGATTCAGCTGAAATCATGCAAGGTATGGGCGTTGCTTTGAAGTGTGGAGCGACCAAGGCGCAGTTTGATTCGTGCGTCGGTATTCACCCGTCCAGCGCGGAGGAGTTTGTAACGATGCGAACGAAAACTCGAACTGTCGGTCCGAACGCTGGCGCCGCTTAATAAAGAACAGGGGGATCGAGAAAGAGAGAGAGAGAGAGAGAAGTCCTTGTTGTGTGTTTTAATTTTTGAGTACAAAATCGTCATCATTATCAATCTTCATTTGTTTAATTTCAGAGTATATTCGTCTATATGGGTTCCTTTTGGAAGAGAGTCTCTGATACACGCACGAGTTTAATTGATGTCACTTTTGCTGACGCACTCGAAAAGATATTTTTGCCAAGATCGCTCCAGAATTTAGTGAAGAAAGAAGTGCGCACGTATACGTGTACAGATCACAGATCTCACAAAGACAGAGTGGTCGACGACGGTTACCGAACGCATTGAACCAGATCGCATTTGATGACTGGGATGAAGCGCAAAAGCGAGGACATTCACGCCTCGTTTGCGAAGAATGATTTACCACAGATTCCGAAACGCGGCGGAGAAGCAGCAGTTGACGTTGACGTTGAAGGAGGCAAAATAATGCCTTTTATCACGACGACAGAAAAGAAGACGACCGAGGAAGAGAACGCGACTCCGACGAAACGAAGAAAGAGCAAACAATCGACGGACTTCTTCAACGAGTTACCGTCGTTGATGGGTTTGGAAACGCTCCCAACGATTTCCAGACAGAACTCCTTCAGCATTTATAACAACGGTGGAGACATCACTCGAGTTTTATCGAGTAACAATTTATTCGCTGCGGAGGAAGACGTCCCGCCTGCATCCTTAGGCGCGGTCCCTCCTCTACGATCTGTGTTGAAAGAAGAAGAAGAAGAAGAAGAGGGAAACGCCATATACAACGCCGATAACATCGTTAATACCACGCATGCAAACAACGAGGTAGCGAATACTTCCAACGCCGCGAACGCCAACAATACTTTATGGGAGTCACTAGACTTGCCGATGCCGCCGATGCACCCGACGCCAATGACGAACAACAACTACAGCGCGCACGAACAAGAGATTATTCTCGGCTCCAAATCATTCACGTTAGGAACACCATATGCGACACAGAACGAATTAATGCGAATGAATGTAAATAAGAACGACAAGAACAATACCAAGAATACCGGCAACAAAAAGGCGAAGGTGACTGCCGGAAAAAATGCTGCAGGCGGTAAGCAAGCACCGTCGAAAGCTCAACAACAAAAGAATCGTCGACAAACCGTCAAGGCGAAGAAGGATGCGATATTGGCGGTTGATAAAATCATGGCGGATAACGCTAAAAACCTCAGCCCACCGCGGAACTTGCTCAACAACGACGCCAGATTGCGAACGACTGAAGTTCAGGAAGCAAATGGGCAGTACCAATACTTCCACGCGCAACAAGAACAAACCATGCAGAAAAGAAACGAGAGAATGACGACTATGGCGACACTCACGACGCCATCAGATGAAGAAAATGCGAATCCGCCCTCTAACGGCTCGCGCGAAGACGAAAATAATAAGAAAAGCGACAACAACAATCGAAGCAGCGATAACAACAGCAACGAGACGAGTTTGGTAAAAGAAGTAGGAAACAGCGCTGATGGCGCGACGAATAACGACGACAAGAACAACAAAAAGAACAAAAGTATTCAACAACAACAACAACATCATCATCATCATCAACAACAGCAAAGAAATTCTCAAGCAGAATTAATGCTCTTGGAAGAGTTTCAAACCGTCGTTCGCAATTTATATTCCGTCACTCGCGAGAATATCAAAAACTCGCTGTATCGATTGGCGGAAGAGGCGAAGAATAGAGCAGCCGGGGCGACCATCCTTAAACAGAAAGACCACGTCATGGTTGATCAGTCCGTGGTCAATCTTCTCTATCAACGATATTAGAGCGAGAGAGATCTCATACAAATAGTCCTTTGCATTTCATGCGCATATTGTATTATATTTTCACTTTGTACTTTGAAATCGTTCACAGTATCTCCCGTATCGGTATCTCGTATTGGGGGGGAATCCAAAATTTTCTTCTTTCCTTCTCCTTCTTCACTTTCTGTCTCCCTTTCTTCGACACACGCGCACAGTATCACATCACACGCAGAAAGAAATGGATCGAGTACTCTTCTCTTTCGCTTCTACTTCGTCCTCCTTCTCCTCCTCCTCCTCCTCCTCCTCTTCTTCTTCTATTAGAAATCACCATAATCAGTTTCAACGATTTACTTTTTACAACGAACAACATCAACGACAACAACAACAACAGCGAATAAGAAGAAGAAGAAGAAGACTCGAGGCATACACTAACGCTTCTAGGTACAATAATAATGATAATATTAAAGACGACGACGTTTTGATCGAGCTTAAAGACGTTCGAAAACAGTTTGGGAGCAAAAAAGTATTAGACGGGGTGTCGTTGAAAATCAGACGAGGTGAAGCGGTTGGTATTATTGGACCTTCCGGGACGGGCAAATCGACAGTGCTCCGCGTCATGGCTGGGTTACTCTTACCAGATTCTGGAGACGTCATCATTAGAGGTAAAAAACGGGAAGGTTTAGCGTCCGATGAGAAGAACCCGAGCTTGAAAGTTGGGATGGTTTTCCAAAGCGCGGCGTTGTTTGACTCGTTAACGGTTGGCGAAAACGTTGGTTTTCGTTTGTACGAACACTCTTCTTTACCGGAATCAGAAATTAGGAAAATCGTTGGTGAGTCTTTAACTGCAGTAGGATTAGCAGGATCGGAGGATAAATACCCCGCACAACTTTCCGGAGGTATGAAAAAACGAGCGGCGTTAGCGAGAGCGATTATCAAAGACGATATCGTCAACAAAGAAAACATGGGATCCACCACAGCCGCCACGGGAAGAATAGAGGAAGTTGTCATGTACGATGAACCTACTGCTGGCTTAGATCCTATTGCTTCTACAACGATTGAGAACTTAATGAGAGATTTGCAGGATACGCCGAACCATCCGTCGTCGAGTGGGGTGTCCTCGTACATTGTAGTTACGCACCAACATTCCACGATTCGAAGAGCCGTCGATAGGTTGGTCTTTCTGCACCAAGGTAAAGTTGTCTGGGAAGGATCGGCTACGGATTTTGACCGAACAAACGAACCAATTGTTCGGCAATTCGCAACCGGGGCTCTAAACGGACCTATTAGCTATACATAGAGGTGCTATTATTTGTCATTTATTATATTCACATCAACGACAACGTCCACGACATCTTCATCGTTTGATACTTCTATTCCTCCCTCGTTACTATTACCACTATCACTGCTTTTCGCTTCATCTTCTATTGTGCTTAGTTGTTCTACTTGTGTTGAAGGCGCTGCACTACTGCTGTTATTTTTTACTATAGCTGGAAACTCCGGGAGTGTTTCGCCAGGTAATCGTGGCAAGGTTGGCAACGTCCTGCACCGACCACCGAACTCGTAATCTCGCGGATCGCAAGGGTTCGGTAGAATCTCCTTCCCGGTGATTTCATTGATGAGAAACTTCTTGTTGTAATAATTATCTAATCTTTTCTGGTCCAGCATGGATTTATCCTCTTTCGTTTTCGCTAATAAGTTTTGGATGAGCTCACTCTGCTCCGGGTCGACGCCACTGAAGGAAGGATTTCCAGCTTCCACTTTTTGGACGTTCCCGAACGATGCGATGGTAAGCGCCGCGCTCGCGACTATAAACTGACGGAGTATAATAGGATGTTTTTGATGATCGTATGCACGACGAGGAGGAGAAGAAGAAGAAGGCGTTGGAGGAACGCACGAAGAGAAAGAAGGTGCCACGCAACGAAACATTTTGTTTCTGTGTTTTGTTTTTATGCGGACGGAGTGTTTTGAAAATGCTGACATGATGAGAATTCTTGACTTCTTGAGATATTGAGCGTTCTAAAATTTGTATATTAGTTCTTCTTTGATTTCGAAAACCCGCCGACACCTTTCGATTTCTTGAATCCACCGACGACACCTTTACTTCCTTTCTTCTTTTCCAGTTCCTTTCTCTTTCCAATCGTGCTACTCTTGACCGTGGCCGCGCCGAAGAACGATTCCAAACGATTTTGAGAAGCGACGCCGGCTTTCGCTTTTTTGATTCTCGCCAAGGCGTTGCGAACGCGCTCTTCGTTGAACGATTTCTCTTTGACCAAGAACTCAATAACGCCTTCTTCGTTCGGTTTGGACCATTTCAATTCCAAGTTGTTCGTATCGATGACTTCGGGTTCTTTGAATAATTGTCTGGCTTCTTTGTACATGAAGTTTTCTGGGACGACGTATTTTTTATCCTTGATGTTCTCGAGGATAGTTTCGATATTTTTATATTCGCGAATCAACTGTAACGCCGTCACTGGACCAATACCACGGATTGAGTCCGTGTAATCGCATCCACATAGGATGCACAAGTCGATAAATTGGTCGTAATCCAAATCTAAACCTTTGAGAACCTTATCGAAATCGTACTCCGCGATGTCCTTCTTTTGCGACGCCGGCGCCATCAAGTTACGAATCAAACGCGGGCACGCAAACGTTAACGTATCCATATCTTCCGTAGCCGCTCCGTGCACTAAACCAGCTTTGCACATAGCCGCACACGTCGCCTCTGCTTCGCACGGCGCTTCAAACACAGGCACTCCGAGTAATTTCACCAATCGCATGACTTCTTGGTTTTGTTCCTTGGACACTCTTACGGTTCGTTTTGCCGCCTTCTCAATCGCATCTTTATCGCCCGTTTCTCTCGCCACTTCTAAATCCTTCTCCGCTTGGTCTCTCTTATCTTTTCTTTTCGCCAATTCTCCTCCTTTCAAAGTCGGTGGTTTTCCGTCAAACACGTACACCGGTTTAATCCCGGCTTCAAGCATCCGACACGTGCGAGACAAGACACCGATGAGATGTGCGGTGACTTGTCCGTTCTCGTCCGTTAACTGACTCTCCCCAGAGCGACCGACAACCATCTGTGTAGAAAACGAGAGAACAAAAAATAATAACGCGTCAGATGTGTTCGCAATGATGAGGCTGGATGAAAAAGGGATGCTTTGCCGATGAGAGTGATGAAAGCGTGAGACTGAGGATGAAACAAACTTTTTGAATTTCGAACGACGAACGATGTTTTTCTCACCAGATACTGATAGATGTGCATGGACGCGTCGATGGCTATTTTCCGGTCCAGGTACGATTGGAACTTTCTCTCCATGGAGCACCCCGGAGAGTGCTCGGCCAATAGTTTTGACAGACCTTTGATGCCCATTTTTATTCCTTATACTATATTTGTATCTGATGATGTGAATACATTTTATGGAGAGTCTCCTTGTGAATTCTTGCTTTTCTCTCAAAAAATTCTGTTGAACTCAAATACTGCTTGAGATCCCTTCGTCCTCATAGTATTTCTCACATCATACAAAAACAGTAATAATAAACCGAGACAACAACAACAACAACAACAAGAGATGGCGGGTTTACTCCAAGGCGATCGAGGAAAAATGATGATGAAGATCTATCACGGATCTTCTTTCGCGTTAGCCGGTTTAGTCCCAGCCGCGATGGTCATTCGAGACGGAAATTTACCCGTCGATTTAGCCTTGGGAGTTGCCTTACCGGTGCACTCGCACATCGGGTTAAACTTTGTGATTAGCGATTACGTGCCAAAATCTGCGCGATTACCCGCTCGTGCATCGGTGTTAGGCGTTACGGTGGCGACTTTATACGGGTTGTTCCAGTTGAACATGTACGGAGAAGGGGTTTCGAAAACAGCTAAAAGGCTCTGGAGATCGTAAAAAGAGGAGATGCGCACGCACTGGAAAAAGAGAAGAAGAAAGGAAAGAAGCTTACACGCAGCGAACCGCCTGTCTAGTAGCCATTATATATCATAGCTTTGTGTAGTAGATAAAAAATCACCTTTGTACAATATTTACACTTTTAATGCTGATCATCTTCATCATCACGAAGAAATCAGCTTCGTCAAGACTATCCATAATCTCGCACCTAAGAAGTTGTTCGTTGTCCGTACGAGAACAGAACCCGCTCTGGAAATTTTTGGGGGCAACTTTTCGTAAATAACTCGTTCAATACCGTTGACGATTTGGTACCTGGTATTCGCAGACACGGACATGTGGATACCTCCCAACATTATGGATTGTACGAACACGCCTGGAAAGAATCCAGCCAAGTTCCCTCCCAAAGCCTTGGCAAAGAAAGTAGCCACCGTACACGTCGCGCTACCAATGACTAAATAAAATTTCGCCTTTGCGAAGTAACACCCTATCCGCTCTTTTATCGAGTAGTCGCCAGCTTGAAAGACGTGCGCCAACGCAGGCTTACCTCCACCGCTACCATCTTTATCAACAGAGGAACCCGTCGGAGCTAAAAAATATACTATTAAGGTATCATTCAACGCCGCAGAGAGCATTTGAACGAGCGCGGCCAGTCGAATAGTTGGCGTCCACGCTTCCGAATTCAACCCCGTCACCCATATCAACACAGAGAGCGTAATGAGCTCATCGATACATATTTCAGTTAATAACTTAAAGACAAAGTTCTTATCGGCTTCTAAGCGCTGATTAATCCCACTCTTGAACGATGCCAAGGCGTTCTCGACGAACATTTTTCCTCTCCCAAAAATAGAGGAAGGGGTCTTTTCTCCATCCTCATCGGGCCAAGAGGAAGCACCTCCGGCAGCTGTCGTCGAATTTGTTATCGTCAACGCTCGTGAAAGCGCGACAGTTTGATAATATTTACTGCTGCTACTACTACTCGCCTGTGTCTCTTTATTCATATCATCGTTTTTACTTCCATCGTCGATGTAATTCGTAATCCTCACGAGCGACGACGACTTGCTCTTATTATTGCGTACGGACGCGATTCGAGGCCGTTGGAACAAAAAAGATGTCGAGGACGATGAAAAATCGTTTCTTCTCGCCGGGCTGCTCGACAGAACATATCGTCCCCGAGACTGACGACGACGAGAGGAAGCGCAAGAGAAGGAAGATGATGTGACGTTCTTCGGGGAAGAGAACGAAGTTGCCATCGTAAACATGGTTGTTTGAATAACTTTATTTAATAGGGGTAAATAAAATAACGACCTTTCGGGGACGTTTGTTGAAGTGAATTTTTTTTTCCCGCTTTCCGCGGGATTCCCCCCTTCGCCCTTCAAAGTCATCGTGCATTCAAGACAACTCGTTCTCTCTCTTTCTTATTCGTCGGCACGCGAGCTCTGGACACATATCACATTTATACTATTTTCAATTTAAAAATTGGTATGTTAAATGGTCATTACAAAGAATATATTAAAGGCTAAATTAAGCGACGACTCGGCTCCACGGGTGGTCGATCTCACCGTATTGTATAGCAGTCAGCGTGTTCGTCATCCTGACTTGAAACGCGTTTTCAGAAAACGCGTTTTTCGGTACGGAATAATCGATGCCATCGTACGATATAGACGAGATAGGTTGAATAACCGCAGCCGTCCCCGTACCGAAAATTTCGTATACGTCTTCTCTAATGAACGCGTCGAGCACTTCCTGCAACGGCAACATTCTCTCCGTGACTTTACACTCGCCCCACTCTCTCGCTAAATCAATCACCGACTGTCTCGTGATTCCGGCTAAAATAGTTCCATCTTCTAAGCTCGGCGTGACGAGCTCTATTTCCCCCATATTATTCTTCCAAAATAGAAAAATATTCATCGTACCAGCTTCAGTGATGTATTGCTCCTTATCGTACACGAATAACGCCTGCGATGCGCCTGCATTCGCGGCGTCTCGTTGCGCCATCACGGTTGGACTGTAGTTACCTCCAAACTTTACGTTACCAGTGCCCCCTGGCCAAGCGCGAATCCATTTCGAATCTACAGCAAGTTTAATAGGAACGAAACCAGATTTAAAATACGGCCCAACTGGTGACATCATCACGTATAAATGAGCTTCTGATGTTTGGGTTAATCCTAACCACGGCGTGGTGCTAAAAATCAAAGGGCGTAAATACATCGCGTAGCCTTTCTTCCTCGGTATCCACTCTTTGTCAACTTTTAAAAGCGCTTCGATGCACTTCAACAATTCCTCGCCGTTAAAGGCGGGTAAACATAATCTAGAGGCGGAAAAGTTTAAGCGCTCCATGTTTTTCTCCGGTCTGAACATACGAACGTTGCCGTTCGAATCGATGTATGCCTTCATCCCTTCGTAACACTCGTTGGCGTAGTGAAACACGTGCGCGAAAGGGTGCAACGCAATCGGTCCGGATTGAATGATTTGTGGATTCGACCATCCAAGTCCGTTCCGCCATTCAACTTTAAGCATGTGGTCAGAAATAACCTGCGTTTAAAAGCGAGCAGAAGAGAGAAGAGAGGTGAGTTTTGAGATTCAGATGTTTTCGTCTCGAGAACTCAGACAGAGAGAGAGAGAGGAAAAGGGAGTCTGAAGGAAAAGAAGAAGAGGATAGATAAATCTTACCTTGCCGAAACCGAGTTGTTCGTCCGGGCATCGAGGCAACGGACGCGTCGTCGGATATATCTCTAAATTGGCAAACTGTTAATGATATTTCAGGAAGATTTGATGAGAAGAATCGTGTATCTGTCAGCGAGATGTTTACGAGAGAAAAAGATGACGAACACTCCCCGTGTTGTTTGAGAAGGAGAGAGAGAGAGAAAAGGAGTTTACAATTTCAATAAGCGCGCGCGAGTTCACCGCTCTAATAATTAAAAGAAAAAAGAAGCACTGCTCACGTTCACATCTTGCATCGGTCCGCTGAAGTTGATTGGCGTGTTCGCTCGGTTGAGCTGGAGCGATTTACGCGGTGATCGCTGCGCCATATTCCCGGAGAAAAAAATATAAACTCCTTCGTCGTCGTCGTCGTCGTCCGAGAAGTCGCGCTTTTTCGAACCACACGAAAACTCTCTTTTCTCTCTTTCCTTTTTTTGTGCACGGGTCTGTCTCGCTTCTCTTGCTGACGGAGAGAACGCCACACCCCCAACAAGCAAGAGGAAGAAGATACGAAATAAAAATCGGCACAAACAAAGAGAGCACTCTCGCGCTTTTCTTTCTTCTCTTCGTGTGACAGAAAAAGTACGCACACTCTTACTCTCATCATGGCCACCACTTCAACCGTGATGAAGTCGAGCGCGATGATGAACTGCTCTCAGCAGCAGCAGCAAAGATCATCGTCGTTGTCGAGCAGACGAATCTCTTCTTCGAGCAAAAGATCCATCGGGGTCTCTTTGAACCGTAGAAAACAAAATTCCTCTTCGTCTTCCAGAAAGGAAACCGTCGTCGTCTCGGCATCTTCGGCCAAGATTAAGGTTGTCGGATGCGGTGGCGGTGGTGGTAACGCCGTGAATCGCATGATCGAAGCTGGCGTCTCGGTAAGTTTATGCGCAGAGCGCATAGCTCTTCGTTCATGTTTTCTACACAAAGCGCTCGCTCTCTCCACGACGACGATTCGAAATTGTCTCAGAACATCTCTCTCTCTCTCTCTCTCTCACTCGTCTCGCGCGTTTTTCACCCTCGTCATCGATCGATCTTCCACGTGTTGTTGTTTCTGTGTTGCAAGACGTTGTTCGGCTTCCATTTATCGGCGCGATCTGACTGTTTAAGAGAGAGCTCGCGCGCGAGGGAATCACAATTTTCTCTTTTTTGTTGAATTTGAATCTCCTCGTCTCTTTCTTTCTTTCTTTCAAGAAAAGCAACAACAACAACAAACAACGACAACATGACGCGAAAGAAGATACTCCTCAAAAACTCACCACACACGCTTCTCCTCTCACTACGAAACGCATCATATGAACAGGGCGTTGAATTTTGGGTCGTAAACACGGATGCGCAAGCGTTAGTGAACGCGCAAACTGTCAATGTATGTCAAATAGGTGAACAAGTTACGAGAGGTTTGGGATGCGGCGGGAACCCGGAACTCGGGGAAGTTGCCGCGAACGAAAGTCGAGATAAATTGAACGAAATCGTGAAAGGATCGGACTTGGTGTTCATCACTGCTGGTATGGGTGGTGGTACGGGCTCTGGATCTGCCCCGGTTGTTGCGAGAATGTCCAAGGAAGCTGGAAACTTGACGGTCGGCGTCGTGACGTACCCGTTCTCTTTTGAAGGTAGAAGACGCATCGTGCAAGCGACTGAAGCTATCGATGCCTTGAGAAAAAACGTGGACACTTTGATCGTCATTCCCAACGATCGCTTGTTAGATGTGTGCCCGGAAGGCACCCCGTTGCAAGAGGCGTTCTTGTTGGCGGACGATGTTCTCAGACAAGGTGTTCAAGGTATTTCCGACATTATCACCGTCTCTGGTTTAGTCAATGTCGATTTTGCCGATGTTAAAACCGTCATGAAAGATTCCGGAACCGCCATGTTGGGTGTTGGTGTTTCTTCGGGTAAGAACAGAGCGGAAGAAGCCGCCGTGGCAGCCATGTCTGCGCCGTTGGTTGAAAATTCCATCGATAAAGCCACCGGTATTGTCTTCAATATTTCTGGCGGTCCGGACATGACGTTGCAAGAGATCAACACGATCTCCGAAGTCGTCACGGACATGGCTGATCCAAGTGCGAACGTCATCTTCGGCGCAGTGGTCGATGATAAGTTTTCGGGTCAAATTTCAGTAACAATCATAGCAACCGGTTTCACTCCTGCGATGACGCAACGAGGTGGATTTTCTTTTGAAGCTCAAGAGCAAGCGCCGCCGCCGCCACCGCAGCAGCCGCCGCAACAAAAGAGAGGGGGATTCTTCGGGAGATAATCATCGTGGAAAGAAGAGATGAATTAAGAGAGAGAGAGAGAGAAAAGGAAAATCTGTAAAAAAGAAAAGAATGAATAAAAAGAAATCCGAGACCACCGCGCGCTTTCGAACATCTTTCGAGCAATTTAGAACGTTGTGATTATTTATGATACTCCATTGTTTATAATAATATACACTTTCAAACATAATTGCATCAACCATGTTACTAGTACAGAAAGAAAGTTTTCTTTCTCAATCAATTCGATTTTGCTGATTATCTTCCGGTTTATCGAACCATTTTGATCGATAATACTTCAGCATTCCTCTCATTTTTACTACCCAAACTAAGTTCAACAGGAATCCGCCGAAAATCAAAACAAGCAAGATTCCTCTCACAAAGCTAGGTATAATTTTATCCTCTCCCTTCCCAAACCGAGGAAGTAAAAGCAAGATTCCGTGTCCAAACATGATCACCCGCACAAAAATAAAAACGTAGCTAAAAACGGAGGAAATGTGGTATTCTAATCTATTTCCGGCGGGTAAACCTCTGTACTTCATCCCAACTTTTTGGGCGATATAATCCACAATCGGAAGCGTGTATTCCATCTCCTTACACGACTTGATGAACCATCTCATGTTCAAAAATGGCGTCGACGCTTCACAAATCGTCAAGTATCCCAACATCAACGGATATCCTCCGTAAATATACGCCGAAAATCCAGCCACGAAAAACAACACGTGGTGAACGACCATATCGATGCCCCCCAACTCTGGAAAGAGGTGCACCACGTGAAAGAAATCCTGGATCATGTACGACAAAAACGCCACAGAAATGAATTCACAAAACGCCACGAAGCTTCCATCCGTTGACTCGTACAAAATCACTTGTTCGTTCTGCGGCGCGTTGTACAACGCGCAGATTATTTTCACCCCTCCCCAGGTGAGAAAAGTGGCGTGCACCGTGCTCACGCAATACGAAGGCGCCGTTCTCTTGAATAACTTTTCCTTCTCTGAATTATCCGGTAAGACGTTCAAGAAGAATTTGGAGAGAACGAATTGTATCTCCCAGAAAATCACCCCGGCGAGGAGCTTGATGATTTCCACCATGAACGGTTGCGAAAAGAAGGAGTTGGAGGAGGTGATTTCATCGCTCAAATCGGTTGCCATCGATTCCATCTCCTCCTAGATTTTCTTTTTCCCTCCTCCTCTAATAAGAAGAGTAACGACGACTGAACAGTTTATATGCGCGCGCACAACTACAACCACAACTGAGAGTAAAGTAGTACTGTTTGTTTGTGCGTGTGTTGGTGATGTCCTGTGCGCGTGGAGAACAGAGAAGAGAGTCTGATGATGAAACGTGTATATTCTTTTTCTTCTTTTATCTTTTTGGGTGGAGTGTTCACGGGTTGAGCTGACAGGCAACATGCATGGCATAGAGTGAAAAGACAACCTCCTCAAAAAACACGAAGAGGCAAACTCTCTTCTTTATTCGTTAGACGCGCTCGCTCGCTTTTGGAGAGCGCTCTGATAGGTAGAGAAGAACACGACGACGCGGTTGTAAAAGTAGTAGGAGAAGAAGAGGAGGAGGTAGAACAAAAGGTGAGAGTGAGAAGAAGAGCAGAGAGGATCAACAACAACAACAAGAACAAACATGTCGTGGCAAGAGATGATTGAAAACTTGCAAACCGTCGCGTTGCCGGACGGCACGCAGCTCGGGATGTTGAGCGCTTGCGCGATTTGCGATCTGCAAGGGAACTTATGGGGTCAATCCGAGGGATTCCCCGGAATTGCCACGGATGAAGCGCAAAAGTTGATGGAACTCTTCGCGGATCCTTTCTCGCACTGCGCGAACGGGATATACATTGGAGGCACGAAGGTATACTAACATGTTTCCTATTTATTCTTCTTCGCATCATCGTCTTCCTCATCCGGTTCAACATCAGTCGTTTTTTTATTTTTAAACTTTTCTCACAAAAATACTCACAAAAACTCGTTTTGTTTTACAAAACAGTACGTCTATTTAAACGGTTCGGACGAAGACGGAGGGGTCGTTCGAGGGAAGAGAGGCACGGAGTACGGTTTAGTCGTGAAGAAGTGCAAAACATGCTTCGTTATTGGTATTCACGGAAACAACCTGGAGACGCGACAGTGCTCGGCGCACGTGGAGGGGTTCGGCGAATATCTCGTCGGGCAAGGCATGTAGTTGAAGAGAGAAAGACGTCGTTTATGAAATATACACACAAAAAGAAAGTTCTTATTCTTACGCGCTATTAGTATTAAGTACTCTACATTTACAATTAATCTATGGTTCATCCCGCATGGCGCGCGCTCGCGCGAGCTCTGCTGCGGATGAAGAGCCGCCTGCATTCTGCGACGAAGACGTGCCTTGAATGCCTTCGGCTCGAGTCAACTTGGGCGTTTTGCGCAATCTATCGACATTCAGTCTACCATTCAAATCCTTATCTAAACCACCCGCGCTCCAACGTTCTTTCTTCATGCTCTTTTTCTTCTCGAAACGTAAACGCTTCTCGGCTTCGTGCGCTCGAGACCCAGGCTCGACGTTTTCGTCGTCGTCGGCTACAATTTTCCTGTGCGCCAAATCGTCGTACTCTTCCTCTTCCTCGTCGTCACCTCCTTTCTTCCTATTTTTCCTTTTAGCTTTTAATGGTTTCAGTTCCTCGTCGTCGTCGTCATCGAAGTCGTCGTCCACTTCGTCCGCATCGTCCTCGTCTTCGTCCTCGCCTTCTTCATTTTTTCGTTTCGTCGCGTTCGCCGCCTTTTCTGCTTTTGCTAATCTCTTCAGCACTTGCGCTCTCGCCTTTTCTTTCTCCGCTTTATCCTCCGCTTGCTGCATGGCTAATAAACTATTCTTGATCTTCGTCGCCATCTCCCTTTGCGCCGCTGAAGCTTTCTCGGCCTGCTTCCTCAGTTTCACCTCTTGCTTCAACTCCTTCTCCAACGTCGTGAGTTCCGTGCGCAACTCTTTCGTCATCGCGTTCAAGTCTAAATTATCGTGTTTACACCGTTCCAATTTGCTCTCTATTCTCGCCACCTCATTAACTTTCGTCGTCGACGTCGTTACCTCCTCCGATAACGACGTTCTATCCTTCACGCATCCGTCTAATTTTTTCTGCAGCGTTTGTTGCGATATCTCCAGCGCCTGATTTCTCCTCTCTTTCTCCTTCACCTCTTTTTCCACTTTCGATAACTTCGTCTCTGCCTGCCTCGCGTCTTGCTCTCTGTGCGAAGCTTTCGTCGTCATTTCCCTTAAATTCCTCTCTAACTTGAATTTCGATCGCTCCAGTTGCTCTTGACTCGACTGCATCGTCTCTTTTTGTTGTAAAAACTCGTGATATTGAACGTACGGGAAAAACGTCGCCAATACGAACACAAAGACGAACAGTTTTTGGAGGAAAGAGAAAAAAGCTTCCATCTTACTCCTGCTCCCATCCCAGACAGACGACCCCGAGTTGGAATACTTCACCAGACCCATGAATACTAACAGCAACGATGAATAGTATCGGCGGCGTGGAAAGGAGAGTGAGAGAGAGTAAGAGTAAGAGAGCTCTTCTATCTCTTCCGATGATATGAAGAATGTTTTTGTTGATTGATTTTTTTCTCAAGCAAAAGTCGCTCCTCTTTTCTGTTGTTGTTGTTTTTTCTTAGTTTTTGTTGTTTTTGATTCCTTTTGTTTGCATGAGGAAAGCACAAAGGCAACAACGAAACGTCATTTCTACTCCCCTTAATAATAAACACCACACATCACACACACATATAAAAGAGACAACCACACAGAAGAAGATGTTATCCCCCATGATTTTATCGTCTAATGTTACCACCACTCGCGTGGCGTCCTTCAGATCCTGCTCTTCTTCTTCTTCTTCTTCTTCTTCTTCTTCCAGCGGTAAAAAAATGCTCCAATCATCATCATCATCGACGTCGATGAAAAGAACATCAACAACAACAACAAACTTTAATAAAAGGTTGACAGAACAGAAAAGAGGGAGAAGATCTGCGATGATAATCAAGAGCGGCAACGGCGACGATACGCTGAAAAACTTGGAGTCTCTGTTACCAGAGGACGATTCCGAACGGTTGCAAAAGGAAAGAGAAAGAGAAGCGGAAGAAAAATACAAGGAAAAACAGGAACAGAAAAGATTAGCGGAGGATTTGGCGAGCGCGATTAAGAACCAAGAGAAAAATAAGAAGAACACGTTCACGATGGGTGACGACGGGGAGTACGATTTTGCGCAGAAATCTATCGCCGCGTTGTGCTACATGTTACCTCTGCTGGACTCGTTGAAGTATTCAAAATTTCTGTTGATTCAGTTCCCGCTCGCGTCGTTGGCGTTGTTACCGCTGAAGCCGCTGATTGAGTTATGGTTCGCGCTTGGGTTCTTACAAATTGCCGTATTTTTTGGCATGTATTTGGGCGTAATACAAAACCAGAACATGTCAAGATTTGTGAGGTTTAACGCGCAACAGGCGATTTTGTTGGATATTTTGTTGATTCTTCCGGACGTGTTGACACGATTGTTCGCCGGGATGGACGGGCAAGGACCAACCGGAGGAATAGGTCTCCAGGCGGAAGTGATTATGTTCAACTCAGTGTTTTTGTATACCTACATCTCTTGCCTCGTAGGTTCTGTATCCGCGACGTCGGGTAAAACGGTCAAGTTGCCGCTCATCGGGGACGCGTCGGACTCGCAAACGAGATAATAAAATGGACACTTTTTAATACTATTCGATACAATCACAACTACAGCGACAAAAACGACAACTTCACATTTCTAATTGACTACAGTTTTACATCTCGAGCATGTCGCTGCGTTTACTCTTTGGTCGTCGCGCGGGTGCGGCTTTTTTCTTCTTTTGGCTCGAAGATGCATCTACTCCCGCGTTATCCTTGATGAAGGACACGGTTCCTTTTCGTACTTCTCTGTTCTTCTTCTTCGTAGCCGCCGGTTTCTTCTTCGCGACGACGGCTTGCTTCTTCTTTGCTCGCGCGCTCGATTTACCTCCCCCCGCAGGTGCAGCTGGCTTTTCTTTAATGTCGCCTCGCACGTCCGCTAAGATAGATTCAAAAGATAAACCAGCTTCGCCGTATCCGTCCGAATCCGAGTCGCCGTCATCATCTTTTTCGTCTTTATCTTTGTCATCTTCTTCTTCCTCGTCGTCGTCGTCGCTTCCAAATTTATCGAGAATTTTATCGTCTAAACCAGGACCGTCTTCGTCGTCGTCTATTTCAACATCCTCGGATTCAGAAGCTTCACCGCCATCTTCGTCTTCGTCATCATCTTCTTCGGAACCAGCAGCCGCTCTGCTTCTTTTTCTCGTCTGCCCTCTTTCGTCTTCTACTTCTTCCACTTCGTCGTCTTCGTCCAACGCATCCTCGTCTTCTTCGTCGTCACTACTTTCAATTTCTACATCCTCTATTTCGTCATCTCGCGCATCTTCGGCGTCGAACAATCCATTTGCGCGCGGAATTCGTCGGTTGACTTGTTTCACTAACAAATCTCTCGCCGTTTGCGTCATCGCTTCAGCGGCGTCGCGTTCTGATTTTGATACGTTTTCGGACACGCCCCCGCCGCCGTTCTTGGCGCTCTTAGCGTCTCGAACTGCCGCTAAGACGTCTTCGCTCGGCGGTAGCGAGGGCGGTGGTGCAAAGTAAGGAATTCGACCGCGCTGCCAATCAAATAGAATAGACTTGGCTACCGAATTTAAATCGGGTTCACCCCCTTTTAATAATTTGCCTTGATTCCTCGCGACTTGTTCGAGAAAATGCGTCGGCGAAGTCCAAGACGCGACTCGGTAGGCTCTTCGCAAATATTCCGGCTTTACTCTCGCTACGACGTCTGGTATGTGGTCCGCAGCGTCATCCATCTTCTCTATTCTAACAACGCCTTTCAAAACGGCATCCGTATCAGTATCCTCGGTATCGTGATACACGACGCCGGGACAATCGATGAGAAAAATACGCTTGGTCAAGTTAACGTATTGCCAAACTTTCGTTTCGCCAGGAATCGGAGCCGTCACGCACACGCGTTTCGTTCGCAAAGCGTTGATGACGCTTGATTTACCTACGTTTGGATACCCAATGAATCCTACGGAAATATTTTGTTTATCGGACCTCAAACGAGAGAATTGTCTCAGGACAGATAAGAGCGCACCCTTCCCAAACGGATTCGTCACCGAGGCGTGGAACGCGATGGTCGGGTACTCCTTCGATAACGCGTACAACCATCGTTTGGTGACCCATGCGGGAACTAAATCAACTTTATTGAGCAATAGAATCAAGTGCTTGTGCCGTTTCATCGCGTCCATTTTCAAATGCTTCTCTAAATGTTCGCATCGCGTGCCCAAAGGATCCCTCACGTCCAACACTTGAATCAAAACGTCCGAAGAGTCGACGACTTTATACAATTCTCCCCAAATTCTTTTGGATTGTCCTTTTTGAAACAGTTCATCGCCACCGGCTTTCCGTACACCATCATCTGCAGTCACCAAATCGCGGTCGTGAAGTGCTCCAGTCTCTATGCCTTCGTCGTACGCTTCTCCCGCCAGTTCAGCGGTTTGCGCCATCGCCATTATGTCGTCCATTTGCAAGTTTGGCTTCTTCCTCGTTTTCTTCGCTCCAAACACGCTCGAAAACGGCGTTTGGTTCAACAACTTCACTCGTCTCGATCTTCCTTTCTCTGGGTCCGCCAATAACGACAGGGGAAGTTTCTTCTGCTTCAAAATCACCTGATATCCGTCCGCCGTTTTCTCCGCCATCTCGTCTCTAAACTCAGCCAGTTGCTTCTGGCCTATAACTCGTGTATTCCCGAACCATCTTCGATCGGGAACGATTCTCGTGCTCGGTAACTCCTTCGATTGTAACTCTTGCTTTAAAATCTTCCCTTTTTTATCTCGTATCGGTCGTTGTTTGTACATTTTCAATCGTCTCACGGTCGCCGCGCTTCTTTGCGAGTTCCCGTGCGCGCTTCCTTTCGTTCTGTTTTCCGTGCTCATGGAGTGTTTCGGTTTCGCCGCACCACCACCACCTGCACCACCACCCATCGGCGATTTCTTCTCTCTCGTCTTCTTCGCCATCTTTGTAGTATCTCTCGGTCGTCAAATGTGTGCGTTTGTGTGTGTGTTTGTGTTTCAAGCCGGCGGGCGTCCGAACGACAACGCGAAAATGAATGCGGAGAAATTTCTTTACGCCGCCAGACAAAAAAAAGCCAAACTTTTTGTGATTTGTGTGATTTGAGTTTCTCTCTCTGCCTGCAAAAGTGCGTCATAAAAATAAAATTCCTTTCTCTCCTGGGTGAACCAAGAAAGAGCGCACACCTTTTCGGCAAAGGTAAAAAGAATACTCACCGCACGGATAAGGAAAGGAGGACGATGGAAGCGAGCGACGACGATCGCAGCAGTCACGGGTTGACCTGTCACACCGCACCTGTACGTTTTATATTGATTTATATTATAGATTCTTTGTTCTTTCACGTTTCACCTTTTCTCGCTCCAGTGGCTGACGGCGAATCGCACACTTTTCTCTTTCTCTCTCTTCTGTGTGTACTCATAAACAGGGCGTCATCTTCGAGTCTACGGACGAATTGAAAGCGCACTATCGAACAGATTGGCACAGATATAACTTGAAGCGAGACACGAGCGGATTACCGGTGGTTGGGAAAGAACTGTTCGACCGAGTGGTGATGCAAGCGGAAGCGAGTAAGTCGGCGTCGCAAAAAGTGGTATCGAACGCGCACTTGAAGAGGAAAGAGGAAGTGCCGAGATCGGTCGCTCGAGCGAGACGATTGCAAGAGTGGTGCGATCATCACAGAGAAGAAATCGAAGAGGCGGAGAGAAAAATCGCAGCCGGAGAAGATTTGTGGGAATCTTCAGAAGAGGACGACGGGGATGACAACGGTTCGGATTGGGAATCCGTGGACGAAGACGAAGCGGAGGCTGTTTTAGCGAGAATTGAGTCGATGAACATCGAAGAAGGAGAGGAGGACGAAGATGAGTTTCCAGATAACGACGGAAATTCTGCGACGGTTACTCTCGCGGACAACGGCTTTGAGTTAATCATTCACAGACCGGATGGCCAAACGAAAAGAATAGGACCGCGAGAGCTCAAGCGTTACTACAAACAAAGACACAAACCATCGGACGAGAGAGAAGAAGATGAAATCGCGAGAGAAGAACTGTACGAAAGAATGACGAAGCACATCCCGGAGAAGAAATTAGGCACAGTTAAAGGCGAGAGAGGAAACGGCAACGGTTTAGCGCAGAGATGGGTGAAAATCAATCAGCTGCAAAGGCGTTCGGAGAAGAGTCAGCAAAAGTACATGGCAAAGTCGCACAACATTTTTGCCGGTTCTGGGAACAAGAAGTTTGACATGAACATGCAAAACGCAAAGACAAAGTTACCAAAATCTGTTCCGTATTAGTCTGTATGTAGTGAATGGTTGTAACTTGATGTAGGATACCACAAAGTAATCGTAAAATCACACCATATCGCTTGCCTCGAACATGTCAAACACTTCCCAGAGCAAGTCAAACAACAATAATAATCTCGGTGTGCGTCATAAAAAATCTCACATAACTACCACCTTTTACTCCTCGCTCAACATTGCGAACATCAATACATCACGAATAAAATGAGTAACATACGCACCATTCACGATACTCCAACAGCGAGTAGCAACCGTTTTTCCATGAGTCCCATCGGTGGAAACCCGATATACGTTGGAACTGTGTTTGGGATTGAAATTACTCTTCACCCGTTGTTGCTATTGTATTTCGTAATCTCCGCCGCACTCCCGTGGTTGCTGAATTCGTCCACGATGACGATGAAAGTTTGGTTATATTTAGTCGTCGTGAACATTCCTTTGTTGTTTGGTACCGTTTTACTGCACGAATTGGGCCACTGTTTCGCGACTAGAAAAGTCGGAGGCGAAGTTCATGGCATTCTGTTATGGCCTCTGGGAGGACTCGCATACATCGGTCACAGCGGAGATGCTAAGGATGATTTGATCGTCTCCATAGCTGGTCCTTTAACGCACATACCTCAAGCACTGTTGTGGTATGGATTATCTCAAGCTTTTACTCGGGGGACGTTTATGGACATGTTGTGCGTTCAAGCCTTATGGCTCAATATCTCGTTGATGCTTTTCAATCTCTTCATTCCCTGCTATCCTTTAGATGGAGGTAGAATTTTCGCAGCGTCGTTGCAACTGATGAAAGTGAGAGTTGATATCGCAGCAAAGATTTGCGCGTTCGTTTCATTAGTGTGCGCTCTTGGCATTGGTTTGTATGGCTTTCTTTATAATGAAATAATCGCCATGTTCATCGGCTTTTGGTGCGCTCAAGAATCGTATAATCTCTACGTCCACACGAAAGAAGAACGGTTGCAAGAGCATCAGCTTTTCAGTAAATACGCTATCGAGACGAACGATGGCCCGTACAATCAAATTTAGTAGATTTTCTTTTCTATTTTGTCATGCAGCGTTGTATAATATTACATACCTAGTAGTTCCTAATAATAAAATAAATACGAGTCTTTTCTCTCTCTCTCTCTCAGCGCGCGTTGATGGATGAAGACGACTTCGTTGAAAAATCAAGAAATACAATCGGGTCCAAAGCCTCTAAGCGCTTAATCTGAGCCTCAGTTAATTTTCCTTTTCTGTACGCCTCCTTTTGATCTTCTATCCAGGCTTTGATGCTGTTTGCTTTCTGCAAATTTACTACCCTTTTCCTACTCACGTAATCTGACATTTCCGATAAATTTTTCAACCACGCGGCGGAAATAGGCGTTAAGTCGACGCCGATGATGGCTAATTTATCCAACTGTCTCTCCGTTAACTCACCTTTTTCAGCCATTTCTCTCGTTTTCATCAGCCATACCGCCAAAGGACTTCCCAAAGGAGGCTCTGCATATTGTCCTCGCTCGGCTAAAAACATGGCCATATCCGAAGCGGATTCGTCAAAAGCAGTCAGTCCGCCTTGGAAATTTATGTTCACCACTGAAACGGTACTCTCCGCCTCGTCTTCGTCGAGTTTTAAACCTAAAGTACGCAATCGAAACTCGCGTTTCTTCGAAAGTTTTCCATTCTTGAACAACGATCGTTGTTTCGCAACCCACCTTCCTAAACCGCCTTTCTCGCGTTCGGAATAACTCGGATCGCAGTTCCCGGTGATGCACTGGTACTCAACCAACTCGTCGAACCAACTTTCCCAGACCGTGTTTGCTTGTAAAACCTTGGTCTCTGGTTCTAATGCGTCGAAACCTACAATATCGAGCAAATACAGTTGCTCTTGAGCTAACGATCCGGATGTTCTATTCAAGCGCGTCTCCAAGACCCATTCTCTCAATGTCTCTGGCGCTCTCTTCACCAAACCTTTCGTTCTCGCGTAATACGTTTCCTTCACCTGGCCGCTTTCGTCTCTCAACGGCGGTCTCCCAGTCCGCTCGCGCATTCGAACTCTCCCTAACGTACCTCCACTCTCCGATAACTGTCTCGCGGCGTACTCTAATAAACTAAAATTCCATCTCGACTGCGTCGGTGAAACCGCCAACACCTGCGGCGCCGCTCGGATAACTTGTCGAACTTCTTCCTGAGACAAGCCGCACCTTCTAAAAACTTCTATAGCATTCTGAGCATTTTCCGCGATGAGTTTCATCCGTTTTCGATCGACTAACGCTCTGCCTCTGGCGGTAATCCGCCACGCTGCCGCGGCTGAAAATGTCGCCACCGCTTCGTCTTCTGTAAAACCGACGACTTCTACCAAGTAATCTTCCACGTACGCTTGCATGTTACTCGGTCGTTTTCGAGACGCCAACGGTTCAATCACGCGTCGTTTCTGTTTCAAAGATGGGAAAATCTCTTCTCCCCATCCTTCGCCTTTCCTCTCAAGCTCCCAGACGAGTTCGGTGTTGATTTGATTAATCTGCGTGCCTCTGTTTGCGCTCGGCGGAGCGGGCGAAGGTGCCGACTTTGCCGAAGATATTCTGCTGCCGCTGCTGCTCCTGCTTTGGACATTTTTCTCGGAAGAACTCGCTTGCAACTTCGATCTGCTCCGTCGATCGTCTCGACTCCTCTCTTCCTCCTCGTCGTCTTCCTCGCTCTCCTCGTCCACGGATCGACCGTAATCGATCGAAGACGCGCGGACGCAGAGAACATCACCATCCCTTCTCCTCCTCGTTTCCTCCCTTACGCAAAAGCCGAAGGAGAACTGGTTTTGGGAGCCAGCGTTGTGCAGATGACGCATTTTCTTTCCTCCTCCTCTTCCTTTTTGCATCGACGACGACGATACAGACGGATGATTGGAGATCCTCGCCAACATTCCGCGCATTATCTCTCTTTGTGCCTCTCTTTACTTCCTCTTACGAACTGTGATCATTTGTTCATCTCGTCGTATGCGCGTGGTAAAAAATTCTATGGGGATGATGCAACAAATCGTATCTTCTTCTACGACTTTAAAAGAGATCCAAACACAAAAAAAGCTTTGGTTCAAAAAAATAAATAATGAAAATAATTAATGAAAATTCAGGTCCCAGAACTGACGGACAAAAACCAGTTTTTAAAGCAGTTCAGTGCAGTTCAGTCTTATAAAGAATACAAACGCCACACACGCGATGGGACTCAGAGCGTCGAAACCAAAACACGTCCTGAATGCTACGACGACGACGACGACGACGACGGGCACCCCCCAACAAACGACTCCCGGTGGACTTCGCGTGCGTATTTCTTCTTCTTTGTATTCTTCTTTGTATTCTTCTTCTTTGTATTCTTCCCTGCATGACAAAAAATGAACGAATCGAATAACGCTCTCTCCTCTTCATCCCCTTCTTCCTTTCCTACATCCTTATTGAACAACGACAGTTGACGAGTAAGCTTTTGAGAAGGTTGGAAGGGTCCTCCTCCGCCACCTCCTTCTCCTCCGCCTCGTCGAACGCTTCTCAACAAAGACGACGGGAAAGTGGTGGGAGCATTCCCTCAACCTCATCATCGGACCATTATTTCTTACAAACGAAACCGGAACTCGCGCAGTTACTCCAAACGACCTCGAAATATAACGAAGCCTTATTAAAACACGAACAAAATGAAATAGATAGCTTAGCGAAATACATCAAAGAGATTGAAGCCGTGGAGAAGAATCCGTACGAGGAAGACTTTAAGAGCGAGAGCGAACGCGAAACGTTGAGCGCGGCGAAGCGTAAACTCGAGACGTCTTCGAGGAAAGTGAAAGAGTGCTTCGAGAAGGAGTCGGAAGAGTCGGGAGAAGAGTCGCGATTACCGACGAGGTGCAGAGCAGTCGTCGCGGAGTACGAAAAGTGCGGGCAAGAGGCGTTGGAGGCGTTCGTAGAGGCAAATAGAAGTTGAAATCATCACATAGAGAGTAAAAATAGAATTTTTCTCTTCTTTTTCTTATTCTCGTAACGACCTGCGGCAGAATATCTCACACGCGTTTGGAAAAAAAATGTGCTTCAATGTTTGTCGTCGTGATGGTGGTGGTGGTTTAGGCCAGAGATGATGAAGAAGAAAACATCATCATAAAGGGATACATATCATCATCACCATGCACCTCGATGAAGCCGTCGCGGTCGGATCCTTCCTCGTCTGCGTCGTCTGTTCGCACTTGCTCAATCGTCAAAGGCACGAGCGACGGATAATTCACGACTCTCGCTTTCAGCCGTCCGTGGACGAGCGATGGAGGAGGAAGAGGATAAATATGATGAAGATGAAGAAGAAGAAGAACAGAAGAAGAAGCAAAAGTTACGCGTGGAATGGCGATGATGACGATAACGACACTCCTCGCGCGATGATGAGAGACGGAAGGAAAAGCGGAGAGTCGGAAACGAGATTTCACGACGTGTCGGAATACCTCTCCTCCTCCGACGAAGCGAACGAGAACGACTACGACATCGACGAACTGTTGGACGGAGACTATTTCGAATCCGACGTCGACGAGGACTTTTTCGACACTCGGTCTCGTTTATCCTCAACAAATAATGTCAGCTCGACGACGACGACGACGACGGGTGGTGGTGGTGGTGGTGGTGGTAGAAGAAAACTCGGCGAGTTGCCGGACGAAACGGCGTACCAGATTTGGTCCACGGCAAAGCTCCGCAACCATCCGTGCGTGCCGTATTGCACGTGGCGGCTGAACGACGAAAACGATACAGCTCAAAACGGAGGACGAGATATGCTTCTCGTGAGAATAGGCGCGGCAAATTCAGAGCTATCTCACGAAAACAAGCAACTCATGGACCAAGTGATGGTGTCTACTTTATACCACGGCGTCAAAACGCGCCTATTAGATCGAGACTATCGAACAGTCCCAGGTCAAATAGACGTCCTCATCGACATGCACGGATGCGGTTTAACTAACCCGCCTCCTTTTGACGTCATCGCGAGAGGCTTATCCGCCATCGGAGAGCTCTTTTACGAGCGCGCGAAAGTCCACAGGATCGGTAACCCGCCGCGAGGAACGCAGATTTTAATCAACGCCGTCATGGTGTTATTACCGAAAGAGATGCGAGATTCCGTGAAGATTGTCGTTTTGAGAGACAAACAGAGCGACGAGACCATGAAGCGCGCGTACGAGGCGAAGTGTTTAGTCTGCGATAGCATGAAATAGAAAAAATTTAGAAATGCAATAAGGTTTTAGACGATTAAATAATAAGGAATGCGCAATCGATGAACACGAAAGAACAAAGCAAAAAGCATAAAGCAAAAATAATTGAGTGAATGCGCGCCCTTGATTAAACTTCACTTGAAGTCATAACTGACAAGTAACAACAACAACAACAACAACAACAACATTAACTTTAACGCAACAACATGGTATCATTATTACGATCATCGCGTCTTTCTTTTTTCCTCCTCGTGTGTTTTTGTCTTGAATTCCTTCTTTCTCCTGTCCTCGCCGGTGGTCACGGAAATTCCGCGTTATATCACGAACTGAAACGGACGTACGGTTTCGGGAACAAAGAACCAGACGCGGTGCACGATAAACCTCCGGAACCGGAGGTTAGGAAACCAGCGAATTTGCACGAAGTCGGGAAAGATTTAGACCACGAAAAGTTAAAGGAAGAGTTTGAGTTGTTTCCGGAGCATCACAAAATCGATAACGCGGTTCACTGGTCGGGGATAACCGCGTTGAAACAAGGGATAAAACTCGGGAACAACACGTACGTGCAAACGACTTTAGACTTAGGAGCAAACGTGAACATGACGTTGAAAGGTTCGAGACCGATCCATTTTAGCGCCGCACACTGTCCTTTCCGCGAGCAAGTGCAGATTGGGAAGACGTTAGTCGAGCACGGTGCGAGCGTCGTGGATGTCAACGAAGACGGGTATCAACCCATTCACTTCGCTTCGAGGATGTGGCAACCGTTATGTATAAACTACGTCGAATGGTTGCTACGAAACGAAAGCGTTGACGTGAACGAGCGACGCTCGATGGGTAACGAGACGACGCCGTTGCACGAAGCAGCGTTACGATCTTCGCTGAAAATGGTCCAGATGTTAGTAGAGAAAGGCGCGGTGGTTGACGCCTTGGATACCGACGGCGATACCGCTTTGCATAAAGCGGTAAAAGGAGATCACTTGCCGGCCATGCATCACTTGTTGAAGAGCGGTGCAAATCCCCACTTGAAGAATAAACGAAACGTATCGCCGTTCGAGTTGGCGCAGAAAATGAAAAAGGATTTTGACACGATGCAAGTATTTAAGAAAGATTACGGTTGGAAACACGATGCAGGACTCGCGCACACCGAGTTGTAAAAGATTTTGACTTTTAATATATGTGTTGTACAACAAGAAATTTTTACAATGCATGTACTCTATCGATACTATTATTATTTATTTAGCTTCTATCGCTAATTTAGCCGCTAATTTAGCTTCTACCGATGCTTTTTGGTGGAAGGAAAGGAATGTTCGGATGGGACTCAGGTGAAGCGTCCGGGTCGGGTTTCCACATCTTTATCGTTTTGTCCGCTTCGCAAGAAATCAATCTCTCCCCAGTCTTATCGAAACCCAGCGCGAATATGCCAGCTTCGGCTTCCATGGAACCCGGTTGAACCTGCGTTTGTAACGATTGGAAGCAATGTCCGGTTTCGTAATCCCAAAAGCGCATGCTACCGTCGTCTCCTCCAGAAATCATGACGTTGTCTTCGTTGAGCGCCATGGCGTTGACGATGGCGTTTTGCTTAGATAACATGTTATGCTTGAACTGACCATCTGGCAAACCAAACTTCTTGATGTTATCTGCCGAAGCGGAACTAAACTCCCAGTACTTCTGATGCATAACCATCGCGCGAACCCCTTTCTTGTGATGCGTCAACGTCTTCATGCACTTACCCGCTGCTAAGTCCCACGTCTTGATGGTCGAATCGTAACTCCCCGTGATGATTTGAGGATCTACGTTCTCGGTAATGATCGATCCTACGGTTGATTCGTGTCCAGACAAACAAAAAACTTGCGCTTTTGTGCGCATATCCCAAACTCTGCACGCAGAATCTCGACCACCAGTCATCAATATATCCAAGTCCGGATGTAACGCTATCGAATACACGCCGCTCAAGTGGCCGTGGTAGTTTCTAATCACTTTATTGTATTCTAAATCCCAACACTTGACTTTCTTATCTGCACCGCACGAGAACATGTACGGATGCTTGTCCGAAATGGCTAATCCCATCACTTGCTCGATGTGACCGGTCAAAGTTAACTTCAACCCCCCCGTGGCTAAATCCCAAATTTTTATGCAACGATCTCCAGAACCGGTGGCGAACCACTCGTTCGACTTGTCCACAGCAACCGAGCGCACCCATCCTTGATGACCCGAGATGACTCTGTATAACTTCCAAGGTTTCTTCCACTCCGGTCTCGGCCACTTGGACGCTAAATTTGCCGTCACGAGCGCGCTCGATTTCATATTTGCGTTTGCGCCAAAAACCGAAGACTTTGAAGCGGCGTTTGCGTCTGCGTTGAATTGCACCAACGCCCCACTCTTCTCTCCCAGTTCTTGGCTCTTCAACTTGGCTAAAATTCCACCCGACGCGTTCGCTTCCACCTTTTCGCGAACTGGTTCGTCGATGAAATCGATCAAAGATGCCAAGTCCGTTTTTTCGTTGTCGTCTGTAAGTTTCCTCTTGTTCTTTGCCGCCAAATTCGCTGCTTCGGCTAAACCAGGAATGGTATTTTCGAAGCGCTTGTTATTACTCGCATCGTTTGCTCCCGCGGCAGAGTTTGCTCTGTTGTTGTTGTTGTTGTTGTTGTTGTTGTTGTTGTTCTTATTGTCTCTGGATTTAATCTCCGGCGGTGCCATGTGCCGCACGGCTTCGTATTCGTCCCGAATTTTCACGCTCATTTTTCGTTCGATCGAAGGTCGATGCATGAACATTTCTTCTTCTCCTCCTTCTTTCTCTCCAATCGAGAACAACGCTTTCGTTCTCTTGGCGGAAAGTTCCGCCAGCGCTACCGGGTCTGGACCTTTCACTTTCGTCATTTCTATTGTTGTGGCTGCGTTTTATTCGTCGTATTTAAAGAAGGAAGGAATGAAGAATTGTGTTTCCGAGCGAAGGCGGCTGTCAGCTTGTGAAGAATACGAAAAAAATGAAAAAGAAAGAGAGAGAGGGAGAGAGGAAGAGGAACAGTGAGTTAGTATTTTCCTATGTTCGTTCATGCATTATTTTTCAATCTTCTTCTACTCTTCTCGCTCGTCGTTAATCACGCGTATTCTGCTCGCGTTTTTGGTCAACCAAAGCGCAAACTCCGGCGAACGCGCTAACGATTCCAAAGCGGCGTTCGTGGATTCCGTTTCGAGCTCGTCGGCTTCCTCGGCGCTTAAAAATCTTCCCCGAGAGTTACTCGCGAGACCAACGGGAGGCATTCGCTTTTTATCCTTTCCGTTGGAGCTACTCGTCGTCGTCGAGAACGGGGGAGGCGATTTCTTTTTACCCCCACTGTTGCTATTTTTTGTCGTCTTTTTACCGCTGGAGGATCCGCCACCTGGCGTCGGTTGCGGCGTGGCGGGTTCGCTTTTGTCTCCGCCACTAAACGGATTCAAATTCCTAACTAAACTGAACGGTGAAAGTGATGACGAGCGCTTATTCCGTGTTTCGGAATCTGCGTTTTTCTCCATTGGTGTAAACGGTGAAGGCGCAACGCGCGGCTCTGGATCCATCGTGGCTGGTAGTCTGCGACGAAGTTCGTATTCAGTTTCTTCCTCTTCGTCGCTGTAAAATTCATCGTCGTACTCGAACGATTTTCTATCGTCGGAAGATTTCTTCTTATCGAACAAATGAAAAGTAAACGCGTGAAATGCAAGCCGTAAAGTTCTCTTCACGTCTTTTGCGAACGCTGCGGCGGGACCGGCTACGATTGTACTTCCGGCGAGGAGTGCAAGCGTGTTCCCGGTTTGCGCGTCTCGAGTGCAAAACTTGAGCATAATCACGCCAAATACTGAAATGGAGAAGCTGGTAAACTGTTTCCAACCTTTCACGACTTCCCCGCTTCTGTCGTCTACCACCCATTTCTTGACGAACATGACGCCTAAACCGGAAGATACCAAGAAAAATCCAACGACGAGCAGAGCTATGTAAATCGTCTTTGGTTCATCGGGATCGGCGTTGCGAAGGACGCCCCACGAGGCGCGTATCGGCTTAGACATCCCTCTCCAAAGGTACTCTAATACTATCTTCCACTTATCCACGGGCACAAAATGATACGCAAACGTCGTCACGAGCGTTGAACTGATACCGAAAAACGTTCTCGTCGCTCTTCCCGACGGCGTCAGTCTCGTCAATTGGAGAAGGACTAAACAGAGCAACATGGCTGTCGATAAAGACATCGCGGCTATGTAAAAGCACCACGGAGATGTGGCAATGACGGGTGCTAAGGTCATCGAGCTAATACCACCGACAAATCTCAAGAACAGGTTTGAATCAAAGTACTCTCGAACGGTTATTTCATACGTCACCTTCCCATTAGATTTTCCGCCAGAAGGGTTGCATTGCAACACGTACACCGCGCTCTTCTCTTGGAACGGACTCATGTTTGCGACTAAAGTCGATGGAGACTTCTTCGTTGCCTTTGACGAACTGCTGCGACTATTTTTACTACCGTTACTATTACCACTCGTGTGTGCCTCATTTTTCTTCTTCTTCTCCTCTCTCTTCATCTTTAATCGTCGATATTGCCAATTCTTTGCCGTCCTCTTCCCTTCTTCCTCTTCCAAAACGTCTTCCTCTTTCCCAACCTTCAACGCGCACTGATTCGCTTTCACGCTCCCGTCTGCATCTTTCAACGCTACCTCAATCGCATCAAACGTTCTCCAAATGGCATATTTTGGGTATCCCTTGATAAAGAATCGGCTCTGTTCTTCTACTTTATTCCAAGGCACATCTTTCCCTTTGGATGCGATTTTTGTTTCACCACCGCTCCTCCTCCCATCGTCGTTAAAAGAGACGACGACGTTTGAGTCTGTTTCTTGTGTTCCCCCTCCTCTCTCGTCGTAAAGGTTGTTGTTATCATCGCAGAGACTCGTCTCGCACAACGCGAGAAGAGTGAGAGCGAAAACAAACAGAGCGACTCTTCTTCCTCCTCCTCCTCTCATTATTATAGCGCGGCGCTCTCTCGCAGGGTGTATATCTAAGAATACAGTTCCTTTCTTATTATAATAACGCCGATGTGGTGTCTTCCCCTTTTTTTTTGGTGCTGGCGGTTACTGGTCTCACGCAAGTGTCGTCAAAATCGCTCAAAAAAGCAAAATGTAGCGAGGGAGGATTTTGGCCACCCGATGAAAAGAAGTATCTTTTGTGTGAAGGTAATCCAACAATCGTCATCACAAAGAGCGAGGAGTACATACGACAACTCTCGCTTCCAACGTGCCCCACTCTGAACAGGGAAAAACGTGCGCACGCATTTCACCGAGAAACAAGAAGGCTTTTTACTGTTTGACTGTATTTCCGAACGTTCTCACGTAAAGAAAAATGAGCGGCACGCAAATGATGACGACGATGCGCGCTTCGACGACGATCCGTTGTTGCGCTTCTTCGAATCAACAAAAATCGACTTCCTCCTCGTCGTCTTCGAGAAGAATCCCGAAATCTTCGAGCAATAACATCAGCAACGAAGCCGGTAAAGATGCGTTGCCATCGTCTCGCGCAACAGCTACCGCCGCTGTGTCCTCTGTCGCCGCGTTGAGCAGCGCTGGACCGGCTTTGGCCGATGGGTTGAGTGATTTTCAGGTACCGGATATGTCGTCGGCGATGGCGGAAATGCCAAAGGTGGACTTTAGTGGCTTCGCGTCGAAGCTTAAAGATATCAAAGTTCCGGAAATCGACACGTCTGCGTTCGACGAGTTGAAGGAGAAAGCTTCATCGGCTCTGGATGATGCTACGTCGGCTCTGGATGACTTCGACCCAAACGCTCTTCAAGCGCAACTACAGTCGAAGGTTTCCGAGATCCAGTCAACTCCGGCACCTGTTACCGTTCCGTCTATTCCAAAACCTTCTGTTTCTGTGACTATTGAAACACCGTCCGCGTCCGTAGAGATGCCTGCGATGCCTGCGATGCCTGCGATGCCGGAAATGCCTGCGATGCCCGCGATGCCTGCGATGCCGGAAATGCCTGCGATGTCGGAAATGCCCGTATTGCCAGAAATGCCCGCGATGCCGGAGTTGCCAGAGTTGCCTCCTCTTCCAGATCTTCCCTCTGTGGAAGATGTGATGGCGAGCTTCACGAGTGTCATCGATTCCGTGCCTGTCCCGGAAGATCTCCAGCCTTTAGTAGCCGCTATTAAACAAAATCCAGACACGGGCGTTGCCTTGCTTGCTTTCATCTTTGGATCTCCGGTTTTACTTGCAGTATTAGGTGCGGCTTTGCGTGGATACGATGGTGATGTCCGCCCGAAAGCTTGCTATGAATCGCTCGAGAAGAATGGTAACGCAAAGATTATCGACACCCGCTCGGAAGAAGCGATAAGGAACGAAGGCGTTCCCGATTTGAGAGGATCGGCGAGAAACAAAGGGGAAATCGTTCGTGTCGTGAAATTGAACGAGAAAGAACGAAGACAAACGCGCGGCGCGAGACAGATTGAACTCACGATTGCAGCGGAGAAGATTAAGAAGTTATCTTCGATTGGCTCGAAGTTGTACTTTATTGGTCCAGATGCGAAGGACTTGGCCAAGACGGTCAAAAGTGAAACTTTTGCTCGTAAGTGCTACACTATTTCTGGTGGATTTGAAGGCTACCGATCGTCTGGCTTGAAGTTGAGAAAAGGTGGCTATAAAAAGAACGTTGCCGAGGTTGCTGCCGAGGAAGCGTCGGAGATTGGAAGCAGAGCGACGCGCGCCGTCCAAAGCAGTGTCGGCTCTGTCTCGACGACTGTGAAAACTGCGGACGATTCGATGAAGGTTGTGTACGGGCTCCTCGCGCTCGGCGTTGTGGTCGGAGCGATCGAGTACGAAAAGACGTTGCAATTCATCGGCGTCGTCGGTATCGAATTGACTTTGTTGAACGCGTTCTTGTCGTACGAAAATCCTCTCGATGCGATTTCAGCGTTTGGTAACTTTGTTTCTCCGGTGACGCAGCCGATTACGAACGCGATTGGCGCTAAAGCCGGCGAAGTCGCCAACGAGGCCGTGAGTATTGCGTCGGAAAAAGTGAAGGAGTCCGTTAGCGAGATTTCTGTTCCGGAAGTTGATTTGGACCAAATTCCAGGCGGTTCCGGCCTCAAGCGTTCGCTGGAGAAGCGAGGGGCTTCCAAACAGTCCGCGGTCGAAGAGGACGAATAAAAACAAGAACACTTAAAATAAAGAATAAACAGTAGAACGCACAATATATTTACCATAGCAGAAAAGAAGAAGCAATGCATATGATTGAACAATAATTTCACGCATCATATAAATATATCATCTGATCAAATCCTCGCTTTTCTCACGCGCCTTCTTGGATTTTCCTTTTTCACCCTTTCACAAGCATCCCAAATCTTCTTCTTCTTCATCACAAAATTGAAGCAGACGTACTCTCTCTCTCTGCGATAAAGAGAAGGAAGAGAACACGCACGCATGCACGACTAATATTAAGAGCACGCTCGAGGCGGCACGCACTACGCGCGAGGATGAGAACGCGCCGGTTTACCGCTCTCCTTGTTCTTCTCGTCTTCATCGTCTCCCTCGCGTCTTCTTGTTCCGGAGAAGATGTTGGTGAGCACGTTCCTCCTTTGCCACACGAACAGGATGATGAACACGACCACCATCACCACCACGACGTAACCATGGACGTAACCATGGAAGCGCCGGATGAGTTGTTCGAATACGAAGCGGAGTTGGTGGACGAACGCCTCGAGGAGGAAGAGAATGAGATGGACGAACAATTCTTGAAAAATCAAGAGCAGCAGATTTTACGCGACGGTGATGGCGAAAAGCGTAATATCGTGGATCCTGAAGAAATCTTGGAGCAAGTGGAGGATATCTACGCTGGGTTTGATGAAAAGAAAGGATGGTTATTTGCCAACTACACTTCGCGCGTTTCCACGGAGAAGGCGGTAGATGCGCTTTTGCAAGAAGGACAACGCGCGTTGGATTTCGCAGAACAGAACGATGCACTATTTCACGTTCAGAATAGTCCACATTTTGCAAGGAGTACTAATTTACCGAACGAACAAAGCATTCCTTTAGAATTCGCGCGCTTGTGGATTGCTTCGGAAGCGTTATTCGTGCTAGCTGCGGCGTTGGAAACAGGCACGCTTCCTTTATCCGCCTTGTCGCAATCGCAAAGAGATATGTTTGCCAAGACGAATGATGAACATATTCCATGGACTTTAAAAGCTTTGCGAGCTGCACATTTCGCAGGAAACGACGGAGCTTCGGTAGCTCTCGCAGACAGAGCGCTCATCGGTCGAGGTGGTGTCGCCGAAAATTGTCAAATGGCAGTGCGACTACTGCATCCGCTTGCCGCAAAGCGCGAACTGGAGATTCAGAAAGCAGGTGCGGGTTCTGTTTCTGGTATGCCAGTACAGGCTACGTGGTTGAGAGACCGCGAGCGGGACGCTTCCTGGCACTCCAACGCCATGGAAGAAAGTTTAGCGGAAGAGCATCAAAAAAATTTTGTGGGAGGTGCGGATGATTCGAACGAATTTACGCCTCATGGAAATAGCGGTACGCCGGAAAGCACGAGAGCCGAAGGATACCGAAGATTGATGGGCACAGATGGTAGAGATAGAGACGAGATTGGAGCTTTACAACGTTTTGAGAATGCGGCGCGACGCGGAGATCGTTTAGCCGCCTTCAACGCAGGCTTCATGCACATGAGGGGTACTTCAGAGAATGTTCCCGTGAATGTTACTGCCGCTGAAATATATTTCAAGCAGGCTGGAGATGTGAACGGAGGTGGTGCCTTTAACGGTATCGGAGTCATTTATTACAACAAGAAAGATTTCGTCACCGCAAGACATTGGTTTGAGAAAGGAATGGCAGCGAACAATCCCGATTGCTTTTACAACATGGGCACGTTGCACCTGCACGGACTCGGCAACTTGGAAAGAAATGCCACTCAAGGATTTCTGATGTACGAAAAAGCGTCCAAAAGCGGTCACTGGAAAGCGCCGTTTGATTTGGCCAGAATGCATATGAACGGACAGGGAACGCCACAAAATTGTACGAGAGCTACCCGTTTATTTCGAATTTTCTACGACGAGCGAACGGGATGGGCGGATGAACTAGAGAACGCAATGGCTATGTTAGATGGAGTCGACGAGAATAGAAAAAAACTGAAAGGTGTGCCCCGAGATCCTTTTGGAGCGTTGATTCTGTACTCGCTTTACGCAGAACAGGGAAGTGAAGTTGCAACACAAAATATCGCTTGGATGCTCAGGAAAAATCTCACCGGTATCGAAATACCAAATAGATTTGAACTCGCTGGTTCGTTACTGCGACGCGTCACGCGTTCACCAGGTTTAGCTCCTGAAGCCAACATCGATTTAGGAAACATGCTTTGGAATAAGCAAATCGAAGCTACGCCACAAGATTTTGCGTTGTGTGACGACGAAGAAAGATTTATGGTTTCTCAAGGTCGCGACGCGATCGAAGGTGAATCTGACAACGCCGAACCTACTGGGAATAGTGATGCGAGTGCGATGCATTATAACGCTGCGGTTCACAGATACAGAAGAGCAACAGAAGGGGATTTACAACTTCCGGAAGCGTATCATGCTTTGGCTTGGGCACATTTCACGGGTAAAGGAGAAGGTAAAAACAGTACCGCAGTTCTCTTGCATCTCGACAAAGCGATGGAATTATCCAGATACGACGCGGAAATGTTCCCGAGTATCTTATTCTACGCGTACGTCCGCATCGCTTCCTCTTTCGACGGGTTCATTTCGTTGAAAAGGTTATTCGGTAGATTCCTTTCCTGCATCCTTGATATCGACAGAGATAGCATTGAGAGGTATTACAAAGAGAACTCTACTTTGGTGCACGGGTTCGTGACGATTTTGGCACTCGTCATACCACGTTTCCTCTTTTTTAGATACGCTGCTGCTGCCGCCGCCGCCCAGAATAGATAACTAGGAATAGATGAAATAGATATTATACCGGGATGGTGAACGTAGAGAAATATTTGTATAAAAGAAAATGCTCCACACCCTTCTTTCCGCCGCCACTAAAAGCTACTATTCTAAAATTGTATTTGTTCTTACTTTCTTTTCGTCTCCTTCCTTAGGTCAGGGCGTAAGTTCCTCTTCCATCGCGGTCAACTTATCGTTCGGGTCATCCATCGTCAAATAGTCGTAAGGAGCTTCGATCTGTACGCGCTCAGGTCTTGCCAATTGAATTTTAGCCTTTTTCATGGCTTGGACGAACGATAACCACAACTCAGAACGAATACCGAGGAACTGGTCTTTATTAATGGCTTCGACGTAGAACGAAAACTCCAACATGATTCCATCCGGCGTCACTTCTTCTATAAAAACGCGCCTGTGTAGCGTTTTCAACACTCGCGGATCGTTTTTGATCATCGTTCTAAACGTTGACAGCAATTTGGAGAGTTGACTCGCGTCTTTTAATCTGACTGTCATTTTCTCGTTGAATCTAAACTCTCTTCCTCGTCGAGTGACGTTGATGATTGACATTGCACCGAGTTCAGAGTTTGGAAGTAATATAACTTCTCTCTCTAAAGTTTTAATAGCCGTGCGAAACAAACCAATATCAATGATTTGACCCTCCGCGTAGTTCAACTCCTTCCCTTCTCTTGGAATTTTAACCGTATCGCCAATTATAAATGGGGTCGTTGTGTACAATAAGACGCCCATAAGAGCATTTTCTAATACCTGTTTGGACGCCAAACCGATGGCAATACCGGAAACGCCCCCGACAGTAACTAATGCGCCCAAGTTCAATCCTATTGCTTTGAAACAAAAGATTGCCGTCACGACCCAGGTGATAATTTCCGTCACTCTCTCCGCCCCGTTCACTCTCGCTAAAGTTGCCGGCGCCGCTCCGCTCTTCTCCAACCTACTCCACGCGCTCGAGAAAAACTTCTTCTCCCACGAAAACGTCGCCGCGACCAGGCCGCTCAAAATACACAAATACGTAATCGCTTGCACCGCGTAAATAATTCGAGCGACTTCAAATACAGCAGATCCAATCAATAACGCGCCAATCCCTCTGCTCCCGGAAGCTATCAACAAACCTCTCTCCACCGAACCTGCGATATCTTTAATAATCTCCTGAACTCTTTCGCTGAAACGAAAGAACCCGCTGAACAGAGATAATCGTAAAATCGACCCGAGAAAGAACAATAACGCCGCGTCTTCTAAATACACTCGAATAATTTTATCCGGACTCGGCGCCGGCGTCAAACCGAGAAATCGTCCAAAAGCCTCGAATATAAACTGCGCGACGATAGCGCCCGTTATTTCCGCCGTCTCTCTCGTGTTTATGGCTAAAAAAGCGGCATAAAACGAAAAAGCGCCGACGCATAACGTGATCAGTTTCGTCAACCACGAGTCTTCTTCGGCCAGGACGGGTACTCCCGGGAGTAACGTCCGCGGCGCGTTCTTTCCACCTTTCATAATCTCCGTCCCTCCCTTACTCGAAGAAGAAGACGAGGAAGAATCATCCAAAATGGTATCCATGGAATACATATCGTCAGAGGTTGCGTCTGCTGGTGCTTCGCGCGCTATTATTCTTTCTCGAATTTGTCCTCCTTCTTCTCTTTCCCTTTGTCTTCTTTGTCTTCTTCGTGTTGATGAAATTGTGTTCGTTAGAGAGGCGGCGAAAAAAAGAGTGACTTTGTCATCTTTCTCGTAATTGTTGTTTCCTCTTCTTCTCCTTTGTGTTCTTCTCTTTAACGACGACGAGAGAAAGGCTCGAGAGTAAGAAGAAGAACAGAACCGTGATGATGATGATGATGATGATGATGATGTCGAGCACACACCGCGCGACGACGATTGCATCGCTCGCGTGTTTGCTGTCATCATCGTCCCGGTCGTGGTGGTCATTTTTTTAATGGAGAGAGATGTGAGAGTGTGAAAACCTCTCTCGACAGTCCCCCATGCATTTTTTTGCAAAGGAAGAGGATTTGCGCCAAAATTTGCACAAAATCGCAAGCCAAACCACATAATTTCATTCATTTTATTGCTTTCGCGCCATAATAGTAGTAGTAGTAAATGATGATTATGTTTACCTCTACTTCCCTCTCATCAAAATCAGCCTTGGCGCAGAGAGGAGCACCACGGACGACGACAAGAGCAGCGTCGAAACCGTGTTGTTGTTCAACTGCGACTGCGACTACTGTTGAGAAGAGGAAGAAGAAAATGATGAAAATGATGACGACGACGAGAGGAAGAAGAGGAAAAGGAATGTTGAAATCATCATCATCAGAAGAGTCGTCGAAAGTTGCGATTGAAGACGACGACGACGACGACGACGACGACTTTTTACAGTTTCTGGAAGACTCCATGGAAGTCGCGGCTGGGGAGAAAAGAGATGACGATTGGATCGGCGAACCAGGCTCGGCCATGCGAGGCGAAGAGTTGAGGAAGTTAGTGTTGAAACGATACGGAAAGTTGTACGACACGAGAATTTGTCAGAGACGAGATTCGATGAATAAGTTGCAGTTGTTTTTACAAATAATGTGGAAGTTTGTCGGACAGAAGAGTTTTCCGATGACGGAGGCGGAATACATCGAACAAACCGACGCGGTGGCGGAAATATTGACCATGAAGAATAGGCAGGATTTAGTACGCGCGAACTTACCGATTTGGCCAAAATGGCCGAAGATGGATACCACGGGAGCAAACGCGGTCATGATTCCTTTGGACATCGACGAAGAGGATCTAACCATTGACGGCGAATAATAAATAGTAAACGAGTCTGTCTGTAGTAGTTGGTAGAGCTAAATGTGTTGTATATCTTCTCGTAGGTATTAATAAAGTGTGTTTGGACTCTCTCTCTCTCTCTCTCTCTCTCTCTTCTAGTGCGCTGTGCCCGTCGCCGCGACTTTCAAGTTTGGCAACACCTCCAACCCGTCTCTAATCTCCAGTAACTCTATCTGCTGCTTCACGCGAGCTAATCTCGCGTACAACGGCCTCGCGTGTTTTTTATCCGCTTTGCTCGCGACTATGTTATTCATTTTCATCAACCTCGCGTCGTACGCTCGAAGTCTTTTTTTCAAATTGCTCTTCTCTTGTAACAACCCCTCTCGACTCATCTGTCTTACGCTGGTTGGATATAACGCTTCCAACGCGCTTCCGCAACATCTCTCGGACTCTGCTCGCATGGAATCAAAACAAGACGGGTCGAAGAGAAACTCCGAGATGAATTCGTCCGAGAGTAATTCTAGAGTGTAATCTCTCGCTAATACATCTTCTTCTTCTTCTTCTTCTTCTTCGATACCATTCTCATCATCTTTTTCCAACGTTCTTCTCACATCATCATCGTCGCTTTTTCCACTACTACTCTTACTCTTACTATTACTCTCGCTTTTACGACGAAGAACTGAAATATTTTCAAAATTCTTCCCGCCTCGTTTTGTTCCTTCTAATTCTTCTTTATACGACGACGACGACGACGCAAAATCATCGCGAAGACTGATATTATTCGTGGCGTCGCGAAGCATCAGATAGGGGAAGAAGAATTTTTTGTGCGGGGGGCTGTCGAGTTCATTTTTTTTTTGAATTTTTTCTCGTGCATGCTCTCGTTTGCCCCACACTCTTCTTGGATTTAAAAAAACGCTCGAAAAACTCTTTTCAATTTAATTCAGAGATCTCCAAACACATTTTTGCGCCGCGAGAATACTTACTTACTACGCGCATTTATAGAGTACCCACCAAAACAACGTAGTAGGAAGAAGAATATCACGCAAAAACGACGATGGTGTCCTTCAACGCGAGAAACAGAGAAGAAGAAGACGACGATCACGATTTTGATAAAAAAAAAACCGATCAGGAGGAAAAATTCGCATGGCAGGAAAACTTGCGCGAGGACGATCCGTGGAAACACGTGAAAGATATCAAAGGGGATTTGCATTACCGAGTGTTGTCGATTCCTCGAAACGCGACGATGAGAGAGATTAAAGCGGCGTATCGGCAAAAAGCGCGCGAACATCATCCGGATAAAGGCGGTTGCAGCGAAACGTTCGATAAAGTGCAAAAAGCGTTCGAGACGTTGTCCTGTCCCAAGAAACGAGAGCAGTACGACAGGTTACAACACGTGACGCAATATCGGTACATACCGGGCGTGACGCAAAGAGCAGTCGGAGGAGAGGATTTACTGTTGGACGATATCGCCCGATTAGGGTTAGAAACAGACGCGAGCACGCAGTTGGTGGTGTTGTGCGAGGTGTGCGGGAGACCGTCGACGAGAGTGTGCATGTGCTCGTTGTATTATTGCGATTTTTGCGAACGGAAGCAACACTGGAAAGGCGAGTTTGGTTTGCACTGGCCAGTGACGCAGAGCGATCGTTTGAAGGTGGATTTGGCAAAAAAAGAGTTGGAGGAGAAGAAAAAAGAAGACGCGAGGAGATACGAGTTGGAAGATCCAAACTTCAGAGATCCGGCGTCTTTGAGAGAGATTCGCGAGTTCAAAGAACACGCCGCGGAGATTTACGGCGTGAGGAAACGAGATCAAACGAGGGTGTTCGATATGCGTTTGGCGAGATATTACATGTGGGCACAGACGACGCGTCATGTATACGTCGCGATCATGTTACCGACTGGATATAAAGATAAAGAGCTGCACATGGACTTCAGAGGGCAAGTGTTAGTGGTTCAAAGCGAAGACTCGCCTCCGGTGGTGGAAAGACACCTCGCGTTTCAACCGTCGCGCGAGTTTCCCGTGCAAACCATGCAAACGGAGGATAAAAGATTTTTCGTGCTCTCGATTCCGAAAAGCAACATGGGAGAAGATATCAAACAGTGCTTTGAAGGTGATCCAGACTACGCGCGATGCATGCAACCGCCGTATACTTTACACGAATCAAATACTGAAGTCATCATGGAATTTGAACTGCCGTTTTGGATCGACGAGGAAGACGTTCGCGTGGACATTACGAAACGTACCGTTCGCGTTCGCGTGACGAACGAAATCGATACGATACGTCATTTCTGGTGGAAAACGCAAGGGCACGAAGAGTTGCGCAAGAACTGGGAAGCAATCGTTCCTGAAGAGTGCGCGTGGTCTTTAGACGACGAAAGCATAAACTCAAAAGGCGAAAAATGTCGCCTTTTGATGATTTGCCTCGCAAAGCCTTTGCCAGATCAAGAAGAGAAAGAATATAAGAAAAACTCGCGCCAAGATAACAGATTTGCATTGGCAAAGTGGGTTGACACTTCAACAACCCAAGAGTCCGGTGTCCGATTCTTTATCGAAGACGAAGACGATTTCGATCTCGAGTCGTTGCTCATATCGATGGTGTTTATGGAAACGGGCTCGTCTTTTGTACCCGTCAAACCAGAATACGCGTATCGCGCACCGTTCGATACTTCGAAAACAATAAAAGACGTAAATTTACTCCCGAAAAGAGTAAAAACGTTGCTGGATAAGATGCTAGACGGAACAGAAGTGTTTGAAAAGAACGAAGAAGAAGGAAGAGGAGAAGGAGGGAACCTCGAGGCGATTGCGAACGAATAAAAAAAAGACAAATTGAGACATGCCGACATTGAATGTAATTCAACTCGCTAAAAATGCGTACTAATAACACTAAATACTAAATATAACTAATAAGATGAAGCTAATGATCCTATTGTACTAAAAATCTGGAATGTCTTCATCCGAAAGCTCATCTTCATCCTGCCAAAAGTTTCCTTCCGCTTCAGAATCAGATTCGCGTTCTTCAAAAAATCTGTGTCGATCCGCCACACCAGCGGAAGATAAAAATCTTTTATCGTCAGTATTGCTCACCAGTACTTCTTGATCTAATCCAATATACGTGTCTGACATGATAAAGACCGTGATATCTGTAACACTCATACCTCGTGGAAAGTTATCAATTTTTAAAACTGCGTCAAAGGTGTCTGCATACTGAGCTCGGCGCATTGCCACGAGTTCGCCGGTGCGCCTCTTTTCCCCTAACACGATCCACCAACCTTCGTCTTTCTGTTTCGGAAATCTCGGCGCATACGCCCTAGGTGCGGTTTTACGTCCCGATTTCTTACCAGAACGTTTCAACGATACTTTCACAGAAACGTTGCGACGTCCATCGCTGCTGTTGACTTTATCTTCCACTAAAGTGGCTTTCATGTCTAACAGCGGGAGGTTTGCGCAGACGTTGTAAATCGCCTCACTTTTAGATTTCGAGAGACCAGCCTTTGACATAGCCTCGAAGAATGCGCTCTTGCGGTGAATAGCCAGAAACACGAGCTGTGGAAGACACGTTATCTTTGAAAAGCGTTCCAATTTAGAAACCTCCTCGTCGGCAATTTTTGGTAATAGGAGCAAAGAGTTGTCGTTTATGGAGAGCCCTTGAATAATCATTTGCGTCAAGTTCATTATTGATAACGCTGTCGACAACCATCCAGCTTCGCTGACTATTTCCGTCATAGCTTGCAGAATTCTTTGCGATTGGTCGAGTACAGACTTCGTATCCGTATGGTAATCCGACATTGGTAAAGGAAGTCGTAAAAAGTGCGCCTGGAAGAGTAAAGAAGCCTTGACGTGCGGGTCGTCGTACGCTCGTCGATCGACTTGATAACCTCCAGCTTTGAGGACATTTATCGCTAAATCTGCGTTTAACTTATCTTCGTTATGACGAACCGGGATTTCATCGTATTCTGCAACATCACACAAGGTTGTCAAAACATCCTCTAAAGTGTTCGATTTCTTCAAACGTTTGGAGAAAACAGCCATGGTTTTGAAATTTAAGTAATAGAAACTCGCAATTCTGCCGAGCATTAAAGGTTTAATGGAATCATCTTCGTCGTTAATAGCGAGACATTTTGCACTCGCGAGCGTTTCCATGGTGTTTTCAACCATTTCTGATAGGTATGAGTTCACGGTTTCGTGATTCGTATCCTCGAGGTTGTAATAGGTTGGATTTTTCATGGCGCGACGGAAGAAATACGTCCACGTTAGGTAATCCACGGCGTCTTGCTTCGATTTTATAGCTCCACCAACGACCTCGGCGTTGAAGTGATCTTCTAAACATTCATTAAAGCTTGATTCCACTGGAAATGGTTCGTACAAGAACTTTTTGTAAAAATTCTTCTTCGGTTCGTGTACGAGAACGACGCAACAGCCGCTTTTATCAAACTGCGGACGCCCAGCTCTCCCCATCATCTGCAACACATCGGTGATGGGAAAGTCTTGGTAACGTTTTGTTTTCCCGTCGTAAAACTCAGTTCCTTTAATAACAACCAAATGCGCTGGTAAGTTCACGCCCCAAGCTAGAGTAGATGTCGACACCAACACTTGAATTTTACATTCTGCAAATAACTGCTCCGCGACGCCGCGATCTTCCGGGGAAAGACCCGCGTGGTGTAAACCAATACCGAATTGCAACGTATGCTTCAAAGCTGGATCTTGAATCTTCGCGATTCTTTGCTCCAGTTCTTGACTGTTGCAGTGCACAAAAGCATCTGGATTCTCGTCAGCAGCTGCGTAGGCAATCAAATCGAGCGCCGTCAATCTCGTTTGTCTTCTCGAGGAGACAAATACCAACGCCGGTTTCAGAGGCGAGTGCGTTCGAATCGCCGCGTAGGTGGGTTTATTCATAGAAAGCATGCGAGGACAATAAAACTTCCCTGGAAAACCTTGAATGTGACATTCGAGTGGCACTGGACGAACAGATGGACGGAAGTTAAACAAACCTTTATCGTTCTCGATACCAAGCCAGTCCCCTAAATCTCTTGCGTTTGCCAAAGCGGTCGATAATCCGACGATGCGAATTTTCGATTTTGTTCGCGCGGAAATATAATTCATTCTAGAAACGATAGCTTCCAAAATTGGTCCGCGATCGGCACCTAAAAGATGAATCTCGTCAATAATGACGAGTTTGACTTTGCTAACGTAAGAGCGGGACTGCCAATTTCGAGAAATACCGTCCCATTTTTCTGGAGTTGCGACGATGATATCCGCACGTAGTAACGCACGCAAATCCGGTGTATAATCGCCAGTAAGTTCTACCATCTTCTTATTCACAGTTGGACAGAAGTACTTCTTCCAATCATCCACGCGCTCGCGAACGAGTGCTTTCAAAGGCGCGATGTAGACAACCTTACTCCCTGGCGGTTCATCTCGAAACATTTTTAGAATTGTAAGTTCCGATGATATCGTTTTCCCCGAACCCGTAGGTGCTCCCAAAAGAACGTTGTGGTTCGTATGGTACAACGTGTGAAATGCTTGCGTTTGAATCGCGTTGAAATGTGTAAATTTCTTTTCATAGAGGGACTCATACGTCGGATTATTGAGCGCGGATCTTGGAAGCGGTTCCAAATCGAGTAGCTCAGTATTCGGCGGCGGTTCCGTCGGTAAAACAATGTCCTCTAAATCGAGTTCTAAGAACGATTCGCATCCTAACCAATACAAATGCGTTGCCCTTAAGAAGTATTGGGGCGGTCGTGGATCAAAAATTGGAATGGTAAACGCCAACGTCATTCTACCTTCTTTGTATTGCTTTTTGCTCAAAGTGAAAGTCTCCGTGTGATAAATGTGCTCATTCACGGGATCCTCCACCCAAATCAACCATTGTTGCGCTTGCCCGTGAACTTCATCTCTCCACATGAACTCAGGCGTAAGAGTTGCGGAAACTCGAAGCACAGAGCGCGTGATCGGCCGAACTACAGCTTCAAGATTGACGTGAGGGAGTTGTTCGACGCAGCGTTTCACTTGCGCTCCAACGACAGCATTGAGTCGCAGTAAATCACCAACTTCCTTTGCACTCACATCGATCAAGCGATCGACGGTGGCATCCTTCTCTTCCAGCTTATAGATTGTCTCTGGCTTCAGAGTATTTTCGAACTGACGTAGTGGTGAGTGGTGTGGCCATAATCTTCGATCTACCGCTTTTGAAAGCGTTAACAGTGTTTCTGCCAGCGATGGCCATCCACGCTTAAGCATGAGCTCGAACAAAGCGCGACATATTCTGCTGGCATTTTGAGAAATGTAACTTGAATCTGCAACTAATGAAAACGATTCTAATCGCTTCCGAGATACGTATACTTGCAAGAGTAAATTAACCTTGGCAATTTTATCGCTCATGTCACCTTTAATCTCAATCGGACAGGCGGAACGACGGTTTCTTCGAAGTGCCTCGAGTTCTGGCATTTCATCTTCTCTCGGCGCGATATTTTCAAACTCAGAGGAGTGCGAGATTACGTGCAACACTTCTGGCAAGGACATGTGTCGATTCATCATCTCTTCGAACAATTCCATGGAAGTAACTTTGATGTAGAAGTGCGACGCGATGCGTCCAGCTTCGGTTTGATACAGTTGGCCTGATTGTTCGTCGAAGCGAATCATCTTAGCCTTGTGTAGCTTTCTCGCTGCTGTTTTAATCAAGTTTCTCCGATGCTCGATGAGCCCGGGATCCAAGCGAACTTCATCCCATGTCAAAGCATATCCGAGTGGATTTTGCTCCATTCTCGTGTGTAAGTAAGAGTAACTCAACCACTGCGCGCCTTCGCGGACATTCGTTACGGTTCCTAACACAATTTCGGCGTTCAAATTATCCGCCAAACACTCGATGAATTGCGACTCAATCGGAGTGGAGTGCGTCAACATTGCAACATATTTCGTGAGCTTCTTATGTTCGGTGATAATGACACCCTCACCACTGGTATCGAAACCCGGCCGACCTGCTCTGCCAAAAATTTGCTGTACATCTAGAACACCAAGGTCCTTAAAACCTCCCGCACTCGCGTCGTAGAGCTGCGTTCCCTTGATGATGACTTGATGGGCGGGTAAGTTTACCCCCCATGCTAAAGTTGCCGTACATACTAATACTTTGATCACACCGGCGGCAAACATTTGCTCCACTAACGTCCGATCTTTTCGAAGCATCCCAGCGTTGTGACAGCCAAAACCTTTAAAGAATAATTCTTTCATCTCTTGGTTTCTTGATCGCGACACTTCTCTAGCGAATATCGATTTCTCCTCGTGTGTGTCGTTCTCAAACAACTCGAGTTCGCCTTCTTCTCCCGCTATTTCAGCCAACTGTCGCGCTGTTTTTACCGTATCCTTTCTTGAATGCACAAAGACCATCGCCTGTTTACCCTTACGAAGTGCCTCGCACGCTTTCTTAAAAGCTATTCGAATAGTCACATTCTGACGTTTCATTGCGTTTGTCTCTGAAACGCCAATGAAAACTTGTGTGAGCGGAATCGGTCTGTACGATTGGTCAAATACGAACAAGCCTTTACCTTCGGTGACACCTAAAAACCGCGCAACATCTCTCGGATTGGGCAAAGTTGCCGACAAACCGACAATTCGAATCATTGATTGCGTTTGCTCGACTTGACGACGCGTTCGCGCCACTAGAGTTTCAATGACCGGTCCTCGCTCGTCGTTCAATAAGTGCACTTCATCGATAATAAGGAGTCTGAGAGTGGAGGCTACGGAAACTTCACCACCTTTTCGCGTGATGACGTCCCATTTCTCTGGCGTCGTAACAATAACGTGCGTTTCTTCTAATTCTCTCTTGGAGAGCTGCGTATCGCCAGTTAGTTCTCGACACACCATCCCCAATTCGTCGAGTCGCTTCTGAAACGTCCGCGTGACTTCAGCCGCCAATGCCTTCATCGGCGCCACGTAAACAATCTTGAAATCGTCGTGTTCGTGCAAGCAATTATTCTCTTCGTCAAAATGTTTAGCTATTTCTTGCATCGCGCATAGCATAGCAATATTCGTCTTTCCTGCACCAGTAGGTGCGCATACAAGAACGTTCTCGTTCGACGTATACGCGCACTCAAAAATTTTGGACTGAATACGATTAAATGTCTGAATACCTTTGAACGCAGTTTGAGCCCAAGCCGGGAGATAAGACACAGAAACTTGTAATTCACCGTCTGCCACGGCGTCAGGGATACGCGCAGGTACGTAAATTTCTTCGTAACCTTCCAAGACTTTACGAGTCGTTCCCGGCGGCAGAGCTTTTTTTCCGCCGTCTGTTCCGAGACCTAGTCCGCGCAAACTGTTCAGAATGTCATCCACACTTCCCGGCGCGGCTTCGTTTCTGTTCGGTAGCGGTAACAAATCGTCGCAGAAAGCGCCATAACCAAGTCCAGAATCGTTCGTAAACCATTCTAACAAATATTCTCCATGACCACCAGCAGCGCGTCGTTTATTCCTCCGTTCTTCTTTCTTTCGGATTTTCTCCATCGCGACGTCCGTCGTTGATCGAACGGAGACGGCAGATTTACTTTTCGCATAATCATCCTGGGCAGATTCTTCTGGATCAAACGCTTCTTTTAAAGCTTGCAGCCGTCGTCTGATGGCATCCGCAAGTTGACCTCGTCTTTCGCAAACGCTCGCGACGAGATCAAATCCACCGTCACCGAGTAAATCGAACAACTCAGATGCAACCTGGTCGTCGCTGCTCGAAGTGTTCAAGCACACGCGACAGATATTTCCGCAAATATCCGTCCAACCTGCAAATGCATCTGAATTCTGATTGTTTTCTCTAAATATTTCGCATTGTTCGCGAAGCCAAGATAGAATTGAGCCAGAGCCGGCTTGAAGAGAAGTTGACACCTCGCTCTCAGTACCTAATGCGTCCAGCTCGTGGAACGAAGGAGTCCTCGACCGTTCTAGCTCTAAAGATGCGAACGCATTCGCGCTATCTAAACCGCGCGTCATATTCGATAAAATTGTAGATTCTAAGCCACTGGATATTTGGTCGCAGTGTTGATTACTGCTGTCAAAGTCATTCGCTCCGTAAAATCTCGGTGGCACGAAAAACATATCCTCCCCGTAATACGTCTCTTTTTTTCCCCCTACTCCCATCGACGTGCCATTCAAATCGCCACCAGTACTACTCGTGCTTCCTACTCTTCTTAGTGCGTTTGCGCTTTGCCAAAAATCTTTCCATCGCTGCGCGGCTTCACCGGTTTCGCTCAACACGCCCCCTAGTCTCGCTTTCACAAAACCAAAAGCTTCTCTCTCGTTTCCCCTCCTTTTCCCTTGCACTTTCTTTCTCTCCAATTCCGGCGCGTTCGAATACTCAACGACATCTTCTAAATCTGCCTCCAACTTCCAATCTACATCGCAATTCGTTGCCACCGCTGCATATAAATCTGCCGGCGCTTCTAAAAGTTCATCCGGCGAAATCAAGTCATTCTCCAAACGCAACAACTGTATCGACGCGTCCGCGACTAAATCGAGCGCGAGCCTCGTCTCCTCGTCAAAATCCTCCAAAGAAGAAGACGAAGTTTTCAAAGCTACATCAGATAACTTCAAAAGTGCCAAATCTCTGTTCTTGGTCGCTTTCTTCGCGGTTTGCCGAAAGGACAAGGATGGTGATGATGTCTTTGTCGTCGCGCTCCCTATTTGCTTTGCACGAGCCACGAACGCTTCATCCACATCGCTCACGTACCAATATCTATCGATACTATCATCGCTTCCATCGCCACTTTTGCCTCCACACCGCGCTCGCAAAAATGTCGTCAGACGCGGCGGTGGTCTTCGAGAGGAAGAGGAGGAGGAGGAGGAGGAGGAGGAGGAAGTTGATAATGGTGCCATCGCGTGTGAGGCAGAGGAAGAAATCACCTAGATATTGAAAAGATGCACTTTCATCTTCATCCGCGCTTCACTCTTCTTCCTTATCATCATCCTTCTTCTTTCGAACTTGTACTTGAGGCACTGCATCTTTATCTTTCTCTTCTTCTCCTTCTTCTTTTGTGCTTTCTTCGGGGAAGCGCGAGTGTGATTGATCGCTCAAACACTTTTTGTTTTGAGAATGATGCAAATGCGAGAGGGTTCTGCAAAGTCCCCATACTTTTTGAGCACGACGAACGAAACCACTCAGGACGACTTCTTAAGAACATGTCTTCTCGAAGGAACGCCAGCGAGAGCGATAAAGACGAGACATCGAGCGCGTCTCCCTCTTCTAGTCCTTCTACCGCTGCTGCACTCGAAGGCATGGCGGAAGCCATCGAAAAAGGAGCGCATCTCCCCTCCGTGGATGAAAGAATAAAACACGCTTTAGAATGTCCTTGCGTGAAACCATTGAGAGATACGTCGTGCGGAGAAGAGTTCGACATGGCGTTGACGTGTTTTATGAAAGCAGACGAAGCGACGAGAGCGAGCGATTGTGCGGACAGGTTCGTGGCGTTGCACCAGTGCATGGTTAAGCATAGCGAGGAGTTTAAAGAATTCGCGGAGGAGCTGGTGAAACATAAAAACGTCGAAGGTCCAGCGCAAGTGTAATGTGTTCATACGCAGGAGGAAGTTTCTAGCAAGAGATAGATAGATAGATTGAGAAAAATACGCAGGTATATTTCGATGGAGTATGATAGTGATAGTGATATAGTGCGGTAGTGGTAGTAGTAGTAGTAATAGTTTGCAATTCATTAAATGATATTTGTTGTTGTTGTGTTTCGAACGTCGTTTACAACGAAAGCGTCATCCAATGCGCCGCTTTTGCCGATACCGACGCCTTGGCCGTTTTAAGTTTAGCCGCTAAAAGAGCGTCGGCAATCGTAAACGTACTTCCACACACGTAATCGTTCGCGCCTTCCAACGCTTTTTCGACTCTCGTGACAACCTCGTCGACGTTGGCGTGATGGAACAACTCAATAAGAGCTTCGCACTTGGCGTTGTCCTTCGCGGCGGTTGGTAACAACGCGAGACTGGACGCTTGCGTCATCTTCGCGAGATATCTTGCAATAGCCGTAGCTGACGTCAACACAAAATCACCGTCTGCGATCATAGCCGGACCAACGATGTTTTCTGGGTCTGGAAACAATCCTTTCTCTTCCTCCGTGACGTCCACGGCGATGGATTTTTTCGTCGCCGTGGTGTCCGGAAGCTTTGATAGAATCGATTCCAAAGCCATGGACCCGGCACAATCGCCAGCGTTGACAAAAACGCTCAAAGAATTCGCGGAATCCGCACCATTCACTCCACCAAACAACGGTGCCGGCGCCGGTGAAACCGCTACCAAACGTTTCTTCTTGTCTAACTTGCTCACGAACGGAATGAACTCGATGCCGCACATCCAAGGGCGCAACGCGGGAGGTACCACCAACCCGTCTGGGGTTTGCCAGTTCTCCAACAAGCAACACAATGATCTCTCCGTAGCAGTTAACGTCGAATTCAACAAGTGCACGTATGACTTGGTCTTTTCCGGGCCTTTCTGCGGCGCGCCGTAACGAATTTCCAATCGTCTGGATTGGTAATCTGTACAGTTCGAGCAAGACACCAACTCTCGGTGAGTTCTAGAGGACGGAAACCACGCTTCTAAATCGTACTTTTTCGCCGCGGCGTCGTTTAACTCGCCGGAAACTATGTTCACAACGTTATACGGAATGTTCAAAGATTGGTAAAAAGCCTCTGCGTTTCCAATCAATCTGTCCATTTCTTCCCACGAAGCGTTGCCTTCCGGCGTCACGGCTACGAATTGTTCAACCTTCTCGAACTGATGCACGCGAAAGATACCGAGCGTATCTCTCCCGTGACTCCCAACCTCTTTTCTGAAACACGTGGAATACCCAGACAAACGAATGGGTAAATCCTTCTCGTTCAACCATAACTTTCTTAAATACGAGCAGCACGTTTGTTCGCTAGTAGCGATTAAATACTTATCGTCACCTTCTCCGGTCACTTTGTACAACTGCTCGTCGAAATCGGCTAATTGCGCGCACTCTGCCATTCTGTCTTTTCTCATAAAAAATGGCGTCGCTAGCGGAGAATGCCCTCTCGCCGCCAAAAACGACAACGCGTAGTTAATCATCGCTTGGTTCAACAACACCCCGGCGCCTTTCAAATAATACCCTCTCCCTCCAGCCACGTCTGCGCCTTTCTCCAAATCTGCAATATCCAACATTCCAACCAAATCTACGTGATTCGGTAAATCCTCTTCCATTCTTCTTTCCCCCCACGTCGCATGCACCGTGTTAAATTCCTCGTCGTTATTCACCGGCACCGAGTCGTGGACGATATTCCCAATCTTCAATAACAACTCGTTCGTTTCCTGTTCCAAAGTCTTCTCCAGCTCCACGGTGTCTTTTCTAAGCTGGTCCACTCGCTTCACTTCTGGCATCAACTTTTCCGCCTCTTCCTTCTCCCCTGCTTTCATCTTCAACGCCACCGCTTTGTTCGCTTTGTTAAAATCCGCATTCAGCTTATCGAGATCGAATCGAACCGAGCGCCATTGCGCGTCTTTTTCGATGCACTGGTCGACAATTTCCACGGACTTGTACCGACGTTTTTGCGACTCTTTCACGACATCCTGTTTAGATTCAGTAATATTTCGCGCGCACAGAAGAAGTGAATATTATTAATACTCGTCAGTCCTTGATATCAGAAAGAGAGAGAGCTAATAAAAACGAGACGAATAAAAATCCATGTCGGCGCTTTTTCATCAAAAATCGTCTCCAATCATCATCGCACGACGTAAACGACGACGGAACGACGAAGAACAAAGAAAAACATCGACAAAAACAACGAGCAGCGAAAGAGGTATATTAAAAGTGGTCGCAACAAAACGCACCGGGTCGCCGCCTTTCTCCGGTCTCAGTAAGTTTATATCGAGCATATTTTTGTTTTGAGCGTGGTTTTCTGTGGTGTGTTTTTTTCTTAAAACACTTTCATTTGGGGGAATAAAAAAAGGGTTCGTCGTTCACTCCTTTAAGCAGTCGTCCACCCCTCACACGTTGCACAGTTTTTGCGCGCATACTTAATAATAATGTCGAAACCGTCGAGGTACTCCAATCGCGTGCCTACGACTCGTACTACTACTGCTGCTGCTGGTGCTACTATGAGTACGTATGCGAATAGTATTATGGTGGAGAAACCTTTATCCTACGAAGGACCGTGCCACCGGTGTAACAAACTCGGGCACCAGGCGAAGGATTGTTCGAAACCTCGGATATGCGGGAAGTGCGGGCAGAAAGGACACGTGGAGAGAAACTGTGATAACGATAATAATTATAGCAACAACAACAACAACGCGCATCATCAAAAGAAGAAGCAGCAAAAGTATCGCTCGGTGTGTAAACGATGCGGTCAGAAAGGCGGACACTCTTCGTCGAGATGTCCGAACGTTTCCAGGTGTAAAATATGCACGGAAAACCACGAGACGAGAGAGTGTCCGAGAAATTTAGGCGGGACCGTGAGTAAGAAAAGGAGAGAGATTGAGGAGCAGCAGTCGTTCGTGGAGCAGAAAAGACGAGCGGTGATGATGGAGGAGGTTGGTGGTGGGAGAAGAGGCGACGGCGTCGACGAGGCGATGGGCGGCGACGACGGCGCCGAGAAACGATTACGAAAAGGAGGCGTCCTCGCGAGGAAGAAAGTGAAACTCGTTCGCGTACAGAAGATGAAGCCTCCGTCGTCGGCATTTGAACAGGCGAAGGAAGGCAACAAGTGCGTGCCGCTCGTTGATTACGCTTCGTCCTCGGATGAATGATAGAATTTTTTTAGAGCAAAGCTTCTGCTTTAGGGAATAGTAAATAGCTTCCGAAATTGTGAGAGAAATAGATGCACGACGCAAACACACGTAGACGGTGATGATGATGATACCTAATACATACTACTAACAACAGAGTTTACACTCAATCCCTCTCTTCTCGATTTTATCTGTCGACTATTTTATATTCTACTAGTATTTTGATGCGCGTCAATCGAAACATCGATTTCACGCACGAACGCGATCCTTGTTCTCTCCTCTCTCTCTCTTCTAAATCGCCATCAACTCTCCAAAAGCTCTCATAAACACCACGGACCCGAAAAAGATGGCCGCCGAGCGCAGTAACTCCACGTTCGCTCTTCGCACTTCCGGCGACGCGTGCGTGAACTCTCTGTCGATGATGTCTTTGACCCCCATTTTTGTTTATTCTTTTGAAGCACTTTTGCGCGTAAAAGACGAGAGAATTTGTGTGGAAGTTGTTCCAACATAATTAGTCCACACTGCTATAATATAGACAGTTACACTGACACACACTGACACCACGAAAGAGAAAGCGCGCGAAATAGCTTTTCATGACGACGACGGAGGAGGAGAAGTCTTCTATTTCTTCTTCGTTCACGGAAACGCTCTCCACAGACTTCATCTCTCGGGAAGAAATCGAGTCCATGGCGAGAACGCAAAAAGAAGCCGTCCAAAAGTTGCAAAACGCGAGTAAAAAACTCGACCTGTTTACGCATAAATCGAAAGAGAACATGGCAGACTCGAAGGAAAAACTCGCCGAAGCGGACGAGAGTTTACGAAATATAGCGGAAGATTTGAGGTGCATACACGGGGTGTGTGCGCGCGTGAAGAAAGGGTTGAAGAGTGCGAGTCAAGCGAACCCGAGAGTAGTTTGAGAGAAGAAGGTTGTTAGATACTCAGAGAGAATTTTAGAACTTAGTATTAGTACATGTAGCTTTATTTAGATCTTATACACGACGGCATTTCGGCCTTTGAAAGGTAAAAACGTAACTTTGATATCCTTATCTTTGCGGAGTAAGTAATCGACAAACTCCTTTTGCGTCGTGACCGTCCCGCCGTCTTCGGTGAATCTCTCTGGAAACATGGTCGGGAAGACGCAGCAAGGGACCACGGCGAAGGATTTGTTCAGTTCGAGAGCGGCGTCGACGATGCTTTCGGTGGCTTGGTCAGAATGTAAACCAACCAGGACATCCGCAGACTCCAGCTTATGTCGAGTTCTTTCGTTGACGCCCCAAAATTCTTCTCGCACGTGCTCAAACGTGGAGAGCGCATATTCTTCTTCTTCTTTCGCGTCTCTTAAAATTGGAGGAATTTTTACCGCTCGCTTCGGAAATGTTTCTAATTCTTGATTCTTATCGTATTTTGTCTCGTAATACGACTGATAATCAGGAGTATCAACTTTGCCGTCGCCGAGATTCGTGTACGCCAAAACGCGCTTCTCGTGTTGTTTCAATCTTTCCTCTTCTTCCTCGTTGGCGACGAGCATCCAGTTTTCTAATCGCAACCACTTCTGAACAGATGACGCGTTATTATCATCATAGCTATGTTTATTATCGCTATCGCTATCTCTATCGCTATCGCTGCTGCTGCTGCTACTGCTATTTCTGCTATCGACGCTTTGTAATGCTCTTCGACGAGCGTTCTTAATCTTGGCTTGAATCTTCGTCAACGCGACACACCTCGGTTCCCAGAGAATGACATTCTTCCATTTTTCCACGTTGAGTTCATAGGATAACGTTCCTGAACCTCCAGCGACATCTACGAAAGTTTCAGCTTCCGGAAACGTTTCGCATAAAAACGTCGCGAAGAGACGCTCTGCTTCGGCTTTATTCTTTTTATTCTTCGCGTGGGCCTCTTGTTCTCCTTCCACGTACGCCGTCTGCGCGGCATAGCTTTTTCCTCTCTTCGAAGCGTTCACTCTACTTTGCTGCATCGCTTCGAGCAAATCGTCGTTCGCGTAGTGTCTTTTCGTACATAACGGGTCGTTGCACTCGGCGCCCAGTATAAACGTGCGACAGACCGACGGCGATATCAACGCCGCCGCAGTCCCATTGGGAGGAGTCGAAGATGACGAAGCGCCAGATAAAGACGAAGAGGAAGTGTTCTTACCATCCAAATCCGCCAAAAACTTTCTCGCGTTCACGACCATCGACGCCGGCGCCATATCCAATAACTCCGGCACATCTTCCGTTTCTACGTACACCCCTTTCGTCCTTTCGCCTCTTCTCCCGCTCGCGTCGTGGTCGTATTCTTTTCCTCGAAAACGAACAGTTGCTCCCACCCTGATGCGCTTCGTCACGTTCGGTTCTGTGACTTTCAAGTAATAATATTGCTGCCGCTGCTGCTGATCGTGTTCGGCGACGCAGACGACGTCGAGAAACGTGAGACGTTTCCCCAACGTCGCGCGTCTCGTCACCACGCCTTGATTCGTTACCACGTTCTCCAAACTTCCCTCCCACGATGCATAAAAAAGCGCATTGGTCCTCTTGTTCTTCTTCGTCGTCGTCCTCGTCATCATCATCATCCTCGTCAGTGGTTTTCGCAACGACGACGACGACGACGACGATAACGACTTCGAGAGAAGTAGCATTTTTCAGCCTCTCTCTCTCTCTCTCGCCGTCGTCGTCGTCGTCGTCGTCGTCAACAATCTCCTTTTTTGTAGTGGGGGCAGAATTGTGAGAAATTTAACCATCAGACCAAGTGGCGGCTCTTCTTTTTCTTCATTCCTTTTGCATTCATTCAAACTCATTACACACACACACACACCCTCAGCGCGCAGACGTACGAAGAGAATACCCTCTCGCCGATCGCTCTCTCTCTCTCTCACTGTATATATATATATGGTGCGTCGTCGTCTCACTCCTCTCTTTCTCTTTCTCTTTCTCGAAATTAAGAATTTTCCCCTCTCTCTCTGCTCGTGTTGTTGTGTTGTTTCGAAACGACGACGACGACGACGACGACCGACGACGCGTTTTCATCGCGTCACGGCTGACATCAACTCTTTCTCTCTTTTGCTCCGTTTCCTCTGTTTGCGATATAAACAGGCCAGGAAAGGAATCCATCCTCTTCTTCGCAGAGTTCAGTACGTCGGCACGAACGGACAAACCTATCAGTTGTGGTCGACGGTCAAACACCACCAGGATCGATTTTTCTTGTCGCAAGACCAATACACGCATCCAGCTTGGACTGGGATTCCTCCAAAAAGCGCGGCGACGGGACAGGCGGCGAAGTTCAAGAGACGAGGGTTTGACTTTTTGAGCGGGTTGAAAGGGAGAGCGACTAATCAGCAGCAACAAGGCGCGAAGAAACAACCAACGAAGAAGTAAAGAAAGAAAAAACATCGATCATCGTTATGTCGGGTAGTTTTGTTCGCGAGACGACGGCGTCGATAGCTTGGAACGCTCGAATTTCAAAGAATAGTACGAATAGCAACAACAAGAAAATGTCAACACCATCAACCGTGAGGAGGACGAAAAACGCGTATACATTTCGCGTTACCGCAACCGGTGGTGACGGCGATGAAAAACCAGATCCGAACGAGTGGATGCAAAACGCGAGAAAGGATACCGAACGTCGAGCGATGCAATTTCGCAAGGCGAGAGAGGTTAGTAGTGGAGCAAAAGAAAAACGCGAACCGCGAAGGTATTCTCGTGCCGGTCGCGATCTGGACAAGATTAGAACGGCGATATCCCGAGGTTGGGTCCTCGATGAAGAGACGGGCGAGTACGTAAAGCCAGAATCCTCCATCGGTGACTTTGAAGCCTCTTCCTCCGAGGAAAACGGCGTAGCCACTGATGCGCCTGGCATCTGGGAACCTGATATGGTTTCCTCGAAAGAATGGAAAGACCAGTGGACGATGACGTACGACGAATGGAAGGTGATTCAAGCGGAAGCGAAAAACGCCATCTTTCCGCAAGATTGTTTGAAAGTTTTCGAAAATGGCGGCTTGCGTCGCGTTTCTCCGAACATTGCCGGTAAAATGCTCCAAATTTTGGGAAATAAAGTTCAAAGCGTCAAAATGGATCGCTTTGAACGCGCAGGGATTCGACGAGACCCGCGATTCGCACACTTGGTTGGTTTAACCGTCGCCGCGGCGCGTCAAAATTCCGAAGAGTTCAAGACGTCAGCCGTGTGTCAAGCAATTTGGGGTCTCGCCGTCGTCTCCGGCGAGGCTGCAAATGCGGCCGAAATGGAAGTGTTGTCGAACCGAGCAGCGCGTTCGGTGGTGGAGATGAAACCAAAGGACGTCACGAATGTTGCTTGGGCATTAGCGTCATGTCGACACGCCAACGAAGGTTTGTTTTCCGCCATTAATGAATACGCCGAGCAAGGCGGATTGAAAGGATTTGACTCCTTTAAAATCACAACGTTATGCTGGGCCACGGCTCACTTACAAATGGATGGCGATGGAATCATCAAGGGAGTCGCGAAGTGGGCTTCCAATGCCCCAGGATCAAACGAAGGCGAAGACGGTACGCAACAAACCGTGAACAAATTGAAAGGCGCGCAGCTTTGCACGTTGAGTTGGTCGCTCGTGAACTTGCGTAATGACGTGGGATTGAACTCGGACATTTTGAAAACTGTTTGGAGTCACGTGTGCTCTCAAGAAGGTATCAAAAAGTTCATGGAAGACGATAGCATTCGAGGACGAGACTTGAATCAGCTGTACCAAACAGCTATGGCGATTTCATCGTCCGATACCAATAAAAACGCGACTCTCCCGGATGCTTTAATGGAAAAGTGCTCCAACGCGTGGGCCGAACAACGTCGTCCGCCGGTTATTTCTTGGTTTCAACGGGACGTTGCGGCTATTCTCTCGTACATGGGTGAAAAGTACGAGGAAGAAGCTATCGTTGCGGGCTATCGCGTGGATGTTTTGCTCGAATCCATCGGCGTCGTTCTCGAAGTCGACGGACCTTCGCACTTTGCGCGCAATGTGAAAGATCACGCGCTCGGTCAAACGAATTTGAAGCGCAACTTATTAAAAGCGGCTGGATATAAAATCTTTCCCATCGCTGTGACAGAGTGGGATTTGTTATTTAATGTTGAAGATAAATCTGATTACGTTCGAGCTGGGTTAGATGCGCTCGCAAATGGAGAAGACATTCCAGACATTGTGCCGAGCGAAGATTTCTCCTCGGCGCAAAGGGACAGTAAAAACGAAGGCGATAGGGGTGGATCTGCTTGGAACAGACGTCAAATGAGCACAATGTAGATATTATTAATAATCGTTGCTGTTGTACCTAGGTGATTACACCTTGCATATTATTTTCATTTATTATTAATATTAATTCCTCCCTCCGCTCTTTACACTCTCCGGCGAATCTGGAGCAGCGCTCGGCTGACTCTTCGATAAAGATTTCAAGGACGGAAGTGGAAGCAATCTAAACGAAGACCCGACTTCACGTAACCGTAACTTATTCCATTCGACCCATTTTCTTTGCTTTAAATCCGGCTCGATGTTCTCAAACGTTGCCGTCACGGCTTCTAAATCTGGATAACTCACTCTCAAACAGGTCAACAGTCTCTCCGGTAACTCTTTTTCGTTTTCGCCTTGGACAACCACCCCGATATCTAAAATCAAATACTTAAAGAACGCGTGACACGTCCTCAACGAATTCGTTGCCAACGGTTTGAACGCGTGTCCATCAATATCAATTTCAAAGCACCCTCCTCTTTTAGTAAAATTCCCAGTTCTATCCGTCATGAAAGGTTTCCCGTTCCCTTTTGAAAGCGCCATGCGTACCGGCCACGGCAACTCGTGCTGCCCTCCTTTCACCATGACCACCACTTTCGTTTTCTGTCTCGTCACGCACTGATGCGGTGGTCCATCGAACCCATCCTTTCCATCTGTACCTTCGATGTATCTCAACAATAAGCTCAACTCTGGCGGTAAATCCTTCCAATCTTTCGTATTCTCAAATGCCTCTCTCGCCCAATCCGATATCTTGCACACCATCGCCACTTGATGACCTTGCCCATCCGGAGGTATTTTCGCCAATTTACTAAACACACCACCTTCGGGAGGATAATCTGGAATCATCACGTTCACAATCAATACCGAAGGCACCCTCTCTCTAATCAATTCTCCAACCTTTTTACCTAATATCTTCTCGTGTACGTCCATCACTTTCTTCTCCGAGCGAAACACCAACAGTTGTTGCACCTCGTACGCCGAAGATTGACTGGTAAACTTCTTTCGGTCTCTTTTATAATGTTTCCCTCGAAGTAAAAACGTGTGCGAATTCCCAAGATTTCCAGACCACGTCGATGGCTTTCCTACTAACGGTTCGTTCACTGGCGTGTCGTATCGCGGTATCGAAGCGCCTTTCATGGAAGTATCGCCTTGCAAGTTGCCTAAAATCGGATGCAAGTGGTGCGCGTACGGTTGAAAGGATTCGTTTCTATCCTTCACCGCGTAATCTGGTGCCGATATGCCATCGTCCGCGTCGTGGAACGCGTCGGTGCCGCTGGCATCTAACGACCTTCGTGTTTGCTCTTGTTTTTTACCGAAGGATGTTTTCTTCTTCACGAGAGATAAAGATCCTCCCCGTTTCTTGTTATCGGAGGAAGAATTTACGTTTCCCCTGGCGGCTTTATCGTCGTCGGTTTTGTTGTCTTTACTTCCACCACCGAAGCAGCCGCACCCCATTTTTGATGTTGATAGTATTTCTCTTTTCGCGTGCGTGGATCAGTTCGCGCGCGAGAGAAGACGATGATGCAGAGACACTATTGATCCGCGACTACGAAGCAGCGCGTATCAATAAAATATTCTCTGACGATGATTTGAGAGGGAGGTTATTAGAAATAAGAGCAAATTTTTTTTTTCAAAAGCTACTTTTTTGCATTTCTGCAAGCGCAAAATAAAATGTGTGTTCTTCTTTCTTTCTTTCTTCCTTACTTCCTCGAGAGAGTACAGTCGGTCACATGATGCTCTCTTCGCGCGCGAGTTCGTAACCGGGCGGGACACTCGGAGCGACTTCTTCCATGGAAGTCGAGGTGAGATAAACAACAGCTGGACCCTGGCGAATGAAACCGTGATCTTCCGCGGCTTCTAACTCGCCCGGCTTCAACACCGGGCCACTGGCTTGGCCGTTCAATTGAGCTTTCCAAAGCGTTCCGAGTGATTCGAGTTCGTCCCGGCGGATTTTCTCTCTCTTGTTCACGCGCTCGCAAAGTAAACGCAAAGTTTCCAAACCGACTCTCGCGCGTTTGAGCAAGGTGATTTCCTCAGCCGTCGGCGGTCGTCGCTTGACGCTAGATTTGACGTAAGACGATCCCTTCGTAGCAATTCCCTTAATCTTACTCGGCTTGATCTTTCGGCCGGCGTCCCGTTTAGCTTGCGTCGAATGATTCTTGCAATAGTGTCCAACCGGCGTGCCTTCGGTTTGCGGACCGTACTCGATGTAATAATTTGCGCGTCTCGCGCAGAGCGGGTGAAAGTACATGCGACAGCCTTCCTTCGAGCACTGGACTTTTGCACCTTCTTTACTACTACACACCGAGCACGTCGCTTGGAGCAATCGCGAAGGGACAGACTCTTCGCCGCGAATAGCTTCCGGCTCGTTGGAGAACAAATCGCACGATATACCCGGCATCCACTTTGCGCAGACAACGTGCGCCCATTTCAGCTTGTGCGGACGCATGTTAGCCGGAGAATCGGTCTTCGGCGTTTGATTCACAAGCGCTTTCGCATCGTCTTTAAGAGCGGACAGCTTTTGGGAAGCGGGCGAAACCATTTCTTCCTTGGTTCTATTCATCGGCGTGTCTTGTTGTGTCTCCATTTCAGGCTGCTCGGCATCTGTCATAGCGACGTCTTTTACATCGACATTTTCCATCTTAACCTCCACCTTTCCACCAGGCGTGCTTGAAGTAGTTCCCGGGCGAGGGGAAGAATTCGGGATTGACGCACATTTCTTCATCTCTGAAAGTGGACTCGAAAGTTTCGCCGGAACCATGGCGCGCATAGCTCCACGCATAACAGGGCAAAGTTCGCACTTCACTCTCGGATCGTACATTAAACCATCGCCAGCCTCGCGCATGTATCTTGGAGGTCTAGTTCTTGGCGCGTTCATTTCTCTCTCGCGGTCTTCGACAATTTGACACGGCCAGCATAACCAATCGCCGTCTGGAATTTCACCAACTCCGTAGCAGTCTTGATGTACGGCGACTTCACAACGTTCGCAAAACATAATCTCATTTGGTGGCTCGGATTCACCGCCGGTGCACACGCAACACAGCGCATCCTCCATAGCCACTATCGTACACAAAGGATCGACGAGCGCGCCCGAGGCGTTGAGGCTTTCCAAGGAGCCATCACCCCCATCCGCCAAGGCGGGGAGTTGTCCGCCGGCGCGAAGTTTCTCAACTCGCCAGCGTCCACCTCGATACCGATTCTCATACGCCTCGACGTCTCTCACCGTCCTTTCCATCTTTTCGAAGCGCTTCTGCACGTTCGGTTGATCAGCCTCTATGCGTTCCAAGAGCTCGTTCGCCATCGTTCGGGTAACGTTGACAACTCTCGCTAAAGCCGCTTGCGCGCGGAGAAGTTCAGCCGTGACTTCATCTGCTGGAGCAAACTTCTCGAATAAGTGCTTGTGTTTGTTCAGTCTTTCGAGCTCTTCCTTCGGGGTGAGTATCTTGCTCTCCGACCTCGGACTTTTCATCCCGAGGTTGTTCTCCATCTCCTTCTGAAGCGATTCTATATTTTCCTTCCTACGCAAGCATTTCAACGGAGCGTTTGGCGTGCCGCACGACGTTCCTTTCTTCATCTTGATGCATATCATGCATTTTTCGGCTAAGCTAGTACCACCGCCGCCGCCGGCAGCTTTGTTCGCAGCGGCAGCTTTCATTTTCGAAACGGCGATTTGCGCATCCTGACGTTCGTCCATCAGAAATTCATTGATATCTGATGGAAGTTCCGGTGCTGGGAATTCTAAAGCTTTCTCCATGTGCTCGTTAACGGCATCTGTCGGACCATGTTTTGGAGACATCGGAGATACCATATCGTCTCGGTAAGATGAATTCTCATTCGCAGATTTGTCGTTCTTGTGCGCCGCCGCTGGCGTCGCAATCTCTGATTTGGACGGAGTTGACGAAGGTTTCATTACCTTTGCCGGCGAAGCGCTCGCGCTCTTGTTGCCGCCTTTCTTGTTGTTCTCTTTTTCGCTCTCTTTTTCTTGGTCGTCGTCGTTGTCGTCGTTGTCGTCCTCCCCTTTCTTGTTGCTCTTCTCTTCTCGATCGTCGTCTTTCCCAGACGGATTCGTTCCACCTTCGTCCTGTTGCTGCCGTTGTTCCACGACTTTTGCCGCCTTATCGAGGACTGCCGCGTGCTTTTCGCAGTACACTCGATAATCAACAACCTCTTCCTTCTTTTTATCCGTTCTAACTTCCATTCGCATGCCTGTCTGCACCGCACACATTGGATGCACGGGAACCGTGCAGTTCCCGTACGCGCACTGAATGCAAGCGCCTTGGTTTCGCGTCTTGCAAACCACGCAGTTCATCGATAAACGTTCTTTAACTAACTTATTCATATTCTCAACCGGTTCCATAGCTTTCGTATTTGAAATAAAGAGTTCTGGAATCCATTGCGCGCAGAACAAGTGCGCCCAACGATTATCTCGCGTAGGTTTCAACGCGCCATCCGGGCACGTACACAAACAGCATTGCTTCTTCACCGTCTTGGAACTTCTCGTCGAGCATGCGCGACACATCCAATCGCCTTCCGGTACTTTCTGTAAACCATAACACGCTAAGTGCACGGCAACATCGCATCCTTCGCAAAAAATGATTGGATCTTCTTCGTACGACTCGCCGTCGAAACACACCCCGCAATACTCTTTGATCTCCTTCAAATCTGCAATCGGAGAGATTCGCGTGACGATAAACTTCGCGTCATCGTTCACTGTCTTCGCTCCGGCAACGTACCCTTTCTGTTTCGTTCCGTGTTCTTTCGATTTTTGTTTCTTTTTCTGCTTGGACTGGATGGATTCTATGCGCGCGTTTTCTCGCGCCCGCCGTCTATTTTCCTCCTCCATTTCCTTCATTTTCCTATCCATCTCTTCCCATTCTTCGTGGTAACTCCTCTCCTTCACCGGCAGCGTCAAGAAATCCGGATCTTCTTCCAATTTCGGTTGACTCGTGCTCGGAATCAACTTTTTCGCGTCTTCAGTCGTCACCTCTCGAAAGTGTTCTTCGCACCACGCGATGAACGGTCCTTGTTCGGGATCGGCCAACGAGGCTCCGACGGGTTTCACCCACGGTTGCATCTCGTCTTGCAAATAGTCCTGCTTGTTTTTTACTTTCGGTTCTTCGTTTTCGGACGTTATTTGTTGCTTCTCTTGCGCGTCGCCTATGGCAGACGTTAACGACGACGGCGCTTTGAAGAAGGTTCTCTTTGTTTCTTCATCATCATCATCGTTCAACGACGCCACCAAAATCGTCGAGAAATTCGTCGTTTTTCCCCGGAGTGACTCGTCCAACAGTCGCAAAGATTCTCTCAGAGAATGAGAAGACTTCCTTTTCTCGTCGTCATCGTTCTTCTTCACGCCATTTCCACCTCCACCACCACCACCACCACCTTGTGCCATGCTGCTGCTGCTGATGATGAAACGATGATCGTCTCTCTGACTCGCTCTGACTCTCTTACTGTGAGGAATAAAACGACAAGTTTTTTTTTCCTTCTTTTCCTCATCAGACAGAAGAGAGAGTTTCTCTCAAGTCAAAATCACCTTCTTCTTTTGCTTTGTCTGACCAAAAAACGCAAGGCAAAAACAACGCACACTCCTCTCTCTCGCCTTTTCCTCTCTTTTCGAAAAAATAAAAAAAAGAGAGAGAAAACGAGCGGAAGATCTGATGTGAGAAACCCCTCACAGAATCTTCTTCTTCTTCTTTTTTCTTTCCTCCGCGAGTGAGTGTTTGTGCTCTCTTTCTCTGACTCTCTTTGCGAACAACAACAACAACACGTGCGAGAGGACGTGGCCGCGCGCGGGAGAAGCGTTACATAAAAACGATCGTCTCGTTTCCTTTTAAAAAGTATTTAGCATTGATTCGAAAGAAAACGAGAGAAGAGAGAGAAACAAAATCATCATCAGATCGAGGACGAGTTTTTCCACGTTCCACAACAAAAGAGAGAAGAAAGAATAGATGTTTGATTTTTTCAAATCTGAAACCAACAACAACAACGAGAACAACAAGAAACGAGGACGAGAAAACGAGAACGAGAACGAGAACACTTTTGAGAACAAGAAGACGAAGATGGAGATAAAAACAGAAGACTTTGGCAGTGGTGGTGCCGCGTTGTTAGGAGCGACGAATGGAATGAATGGAGCGATGGTAATAAATCCAGGAGAAAAATCAAACACGTTGGGCGGGCAAACCGTCGGACACTACGCGAACAGAGACATGCACCTGAGAAAGCAAGAGGAGGACGGGGAGTTGCAATGGAAGGTGATTAAAAACGATGGGAACGAGCAACACTCGATATGGTTGATTGCTTTGAAGAATATATTTAGCAAACAGCTTCCGAACATGCCGAAGGAGTACATCGTTCGATTGGTGTTCGATCCGAGACATCACTCGATGTTGTGTTTGAAGAACGACGTGGTTATTGGAGGGATTACGTATAGGCCTTTCTGGAGGCAAAACATGTGCGAGATTGCGTTTTGCGCTATTTCTGCGAACGAGCAAGTGAAAGGGTACGGGACGAGGTTGATGAATCATTTGAAGGAGTACGTGAAAGAAGAGGAGGACATGACGCATTTAATCACGTTTGCGGATAACAACGCGGTTGGTTATTTTTCCAAGCAAGGTTTTACGAAAGATATTGTCATGGAAAGAGAGAAATGGGTCGGGTACATCAAAGAATACGACGGAGGGACGATTATGGAGTGCGCCTTAGAAGCGCAAATTTCCTACGTCGATTTTCCAAAGAATATTAGAGCGCAGAGAGAATGCGTGGAGGCTAAAGTTAGAGAGATGACCACCGCACACGTCGTGTACCCGGGATTAACGAGATTTAAAGACGGTGGGGAGTTTGGTAAGCACCGAATTACAGATCCGTTGTCGACCATCAAAGGTTTGAAAGAGGCAAAATGGAAAGCGCCGGATCCTCCGAGGTACCGCTTGGTCCACCCGGGGTGCGGGGACGGGTATCCAACCATAGAAAATTTGCACAAGTTCATGCGTTCAATTGTAGCTATCGTTAAAACGCATCCGGACTCTTGGCCGTTTATGAGCGCGGTGAACAAAGAAGAGGTCCCGGATTATTACGAAGTCGTGAAAGATCCGACGGATATAGAAAGCGTCTCCGAACGCTTGGAGAGCGAGAATTATTACGTGACGTTAGAGATGTTCGCGGCGGATTTCAAGAGGATGTTTGAAAATTGCCGCTTATATAATGCCGTGGATACGATTTACTACAAGTGCGCGAATCGACTGGAGTTGTTCTTCGACGCAAAAATAGCGGCGGGGATTACGTTCAAAGTGCGAGAAGCGGGTTCTTACTTGAATCGATGAAAATTGTTTTCTAAGCGCGCAGAGAGAACACAGCAAATATATAATACGATATAATGTACTAGTAAAGAATGAAATGATGATGTACACTCGCTATGCTTTTATCTCGTTTTTGTCATCGTCGCACATTTCGGCGAGATAAATTATAGAGATACTACGCGGTGAACTGTTCGCCGTCGTCAACGATCAAAAATTCGATATCTCGATACGTTTCCTTCCTCCACCCCCTCGCGTCGATATCGTGCATATCAAAATCCTCGTCGATTTCCCACTCTACGCCAAAATCTACAATCTTACACGCTAATTCTATCACAAATATTCCGCAATCGTGTCCGTTTTTCTGTTGCGGCGTATCTTCCAACGAAAACAACTCCACCTCAAAGTTGTTGTTTTCCTTGCCGGCGTCCCCGTCGCCGGCGGTGGACAAAAAATGCGACCCTCTCCCTTCGTTGATCAAAAGCCCTTTCGCGATCTGTTTCGCCATCTTCTCCGCGTGTGGAATGTTCTTATGGCTCATCGAGTCGATGTGCGACCATCTCGCCGGAATATCCGCCGTCACCGCCGGCGTGTGCACCAACAAGGACCAGTGACACCCACCAACGTGTAAACTCAAATCGGTCTCGTCGTTGACTGGTAAACAAAACAATTTCGACCCATCCAGCTCTAAATCCTTCAACAGTTGCGCCGCGTCCAAAATATCTCCGTGTTGCAAGAAATGCGCGACGTTTGGATCGATCAGTTCTCCTTTTAAATGTCGAAACTGTTCGTCTCTCGCTCGTTCCCGGTGTCTCTCGAAACAGAAATTCATGACGATATCGTTTATCCACCCGTCGTGTTCGCAGACGCGCCACAGGTCCGATCGTCGCACGCGAACGAGGTCTTTGTAATCTAACAAGACCGTGTCGTCGTCCATGCGGTTGTTCGAGTGGCACAGCCACGATTGGAGAGTGGTCGAGTTTGCCATTAGAAGAAGTCTGTGATGAGATGTGTGTGACTTTTTGTGTTGTTTGTTGAATTAAAAAATATCTGTTTTTTCTTCCTCAGTCAGTTTGAGGAGAAGAACTCTCGCGTTGTTGTTTTAACGACTTTACACACGAACGACTTTCACACTTTGAGGACGACGACGTAAAGGATGGAAAAGAACAGAGCAGTTTCTTTGCTTGCGTAAAAAGAACTCTCGAGTTGTTTGAACGACCACCACACGAACGAACGACTTTCACAACACTTTGACGACGACGTAAGAAACGATGGATTTCTTTGGTCCGGTAAAATGAATGGCATCAGCAATAAAAAGATTTTCAGTTGGACGGTCGATCGACTCCCGCGAGACGCGGGACAGAAGAAAGCGTCTGGCGTCCCGTTCGGCGTGTTCGTGTCTCCGTTTGGAGAGATGAAGAAGAGAAGGACGACAGAAACGACAACAACAGAAACAACAGAAACATTAGGGAAGAAGAAGAGAGAAGCGGCGGGGAAAATAGCCAGATGTGAGAGCTGTTTCGGGTACGTCAACGCGTTTTGCATGTTCGACGAGGACGGGTTTAATTGCGCCTTGTGTGGGCACGAAACAAAGTGGAAGAACGAGAGAGAACGGGAACGGTATAAGAGAGTGAGTCGATACATCAACGGAAGAAACGAGGACGACCCGAGAGCGAAGAAGTACCTCGAACGGTTGCCAGAGTTGAGAGAGGAGCACAACGAATTTATCGTGGCGGCGGAAAGGGTCAAGGCAAGAACGAGCACGAGTGGACCAACGAGGGTGATTTTGATCGACACGACGGAAGGTGGAAGCGCTTTGGAGATTGCAAAGTCGTCCGCGATGGCGGCTTTGGAAGCGGTGAGCGCAGAAAATGGCGGACAGACGGACGCGACGTTTGCGATTATGACGTTCGACGGAGGTTTGACGGCGTACGATGTCGTTGGACGAAACAAAGTAAGAGTGGACGATATCGATGAGTTGAGGAGAGATGAGGTGTTGATGAGTTTCGAGAAAGTGATGCAAATGCGGAGAGTTTTCGCCAGGGTGGATAAGTATAAAGAGGACATGTTAGCGGCGATTGACTCGATTAGTAGTAGTAATAGCGGTGGTGAAAGTAATACTGCCTTGAATGGGTTGGGAGTGAAGATGGCCAAGTTATCGACCAGCGCAAACGGAGAGGTAGAAGAAGATCCTGAAAACGGATCAGCAACGAAAACAAACACTCGCGGAGAAACACTGACGGTGAGTAAAAGGTACCAAAAGAAGCGGGCGTTTGGTCCGGCGCTTTCGCTCGTCTTGGATTTGCTCGGAGCCATGGAGGATGAGATTACCGAAGATGCGTTCAAGATGATGGAGAGTGAAGATATAAATATCAGAAACGGTGTAGATGTACTTAATTTGAACGGTATGAACGACGATGGAGATGCTGTCGCGATAGGAAATGGCGACGACGATTTTAACGAATTTGAGGAGAACGAGAAAAAGAGAGAGGAGGAACCGTTTGAATTCGACGGAGCGCGCGTGCTGTGCTTTTTATCTGGAATGCCAAACGCAGGTACTGGAAGCATCTATAGCGACAACGACGAGATAAACACTCTACTGAACGATTATTTGAGTGAAATGAGCGCAGATTTGCGCGCGAAAGCGACGGATGCGCTCTTCATGAAAGAGAAGAAGGAGAGCGCGTCGAAGAGAAGGAACGATGATGATACCAACGCTTTCTTCTTCTACGAACACTGCGGTAGACGCGCGAGCGTAAATAACGTTTGCATCGATACAATTCTGTGCTCAAAGCCGTCCGTTTTTTGTGGTTTACACGCGATATCTCCAATCTCGAGCATCTCTGGCGGCATAGTTTTACGAAACGACGAGGAGAGCGATGCTGGCGACATCAGCAGCTTCTTACCGAGCGAAATTTTCAAACTATTACAGAACGTCGACGGGCGCACGGCGAGAGACTGTGCCATTCGACTCCGCACTTCGTCCGAGTATATTGTCGCGAATGCCTACGGCGACTCGTTCAGAGAAGATAAGAAGTACAAGGGATTATACCACGTCGCTAGGATGGAAAAAGCAGACGCGTTTGCGTTTGATTTTGATTTTTCATCAAAAATTGGTTTCGGCGACGAAGACGATTTATCCGTGGCAGAGAACAGTCCGCCTATTTTACAAATGGCGTTTGAATACACAGTAACGGAGTACGACGACGCTTCAACGTCGTATTACTGGCGAAGGCGCATACGCAGAGTGTGCACCTGTGCCAAGAAAGTCGCGCGAACGCCGAGAGAAGTTCGCGACTTTGCGAAAGACGACGCCGTCTTTTCTTTGCTCTGCCGAAAGGTCTTCCACATCATGAAACTCGACGGATTATTCGAATCGCGTTTGTTAGTCATCGATTGGCTCACGGCATTGATTTCAAAATTGGCCAAAATCAGCGGCGATACGTACGTCGACGCTAAATTTGAAAAGAAGCACAACAAAGAAGTCTTTTGTCGCTGCGCGAACGCCTTTTCGCCGACGCGACTGGTTTATACTTTATTAATCTCTAAGAACTCGCCGTTGGTGTTAATGGCGTACGACGGGATGAATAATGAAAACCAGCCAGATCTTAGGAGTTTGAACTTGTTCTTGTGCAAAGATAGGTTAGTTGGAGCCGATTTAATTGACTTTCTTCTCAACGGGTGTGTTTGTGGTGGTAGTAAAAGTTCCACCGATAGAAACGTCGAAGAGGCTCAGGACGAGAAAAAGATGTACTACGGATACGAAGGATTTCTTTCCTTCGTCGAGAGGATTAGCAGCGAAGAGTTTTTGAGTTTGTAGTAGTTTAATAACAGTTTAAAGAAGAAGTAGTATTATCAAGCGCTTTTGGTGGGGGGGAAACGATTTTTGGAGCTTTCAATTTTGAATTTCTCTTATATATTGAATTGTATGGTTGGTTGAGATAAGAATCTCAATGTTTTGTTTGTTTGGTCTTCTTTCGGTGTCTCTTGAGGAGACAGCGAGAGAACGTTTAACAAGAGGTGAACGCTTACGCGGAGGTAAACTCTGTGATGATAAAGAGAGAATTGGAAAGGTGAGTAAATTTCGACCCGTTGAAGGAATTTTAAAAAAAACGCACTGGTGACAGCCTTGGTCCCTTCGGAGACGGCGTGCTTGGCCAATTCACCCGGCAAGATCAATCGAACGGACGTTTGGATTTCTCTGGACGTCACGGTCGGCTTCTTGTTGTATCGGGCCAACTTGGCGGCTTCAGTCGCGATCTTTTCGAAGATGTCGTTGATGAAGGAGTTCATGATGCTCATCGCCTTGGAGGAGATGCCGGTGTCCGGGTGCACTTGCTTCAAGACCTTGTAGATGTAGATCTTGTAGGTTTCGACCTTCTTCTTGGAGGACTTCTTGGCGCCGCCTTTGACGGTCTTCTTTGCTGGTTTCTTGCCGGCCATTTTTGTTATATGTATGTATGTGAGTGTGTTTAATAATGGCGTCGTATTGGAGGGAAATGGTCGAGAAACGAGTGGTTCGAATTTTGAATTGTTTTGGGTTGCAGTTGGATTTTCTAAAATTCGGACAATTAAATTTTTATTTGTGAAAAAAAGCAGAATCTAATGGATCACAGCTTCTCGTGTACGCAATCAATTGGCGCGAAAAGTGTCGCATATGATCATAATTGTTGTTATTCGCGAAGTAAAAGCTGTTGATACCTTTTAATGCGGTATTGATTACTAACGACGAAGAATACTGGATTTAACCCCAAATGGGGGTTCGAAAGATGAATTTAGAGTGGACACTTTTTCAGTTCCCCCTAAAAAACACAAAAACTCCAGCGAGTTCCTCATTAAAACAAACAAACACATAACACAATGTCTGGACGTGGTAAAGGTAAATCCTCCAAAAAAGCTGTCTCGCGATCCGCGAAGGCTGGCCTCCAATTCCCGGTTGGCCGTATCGCTAGGTACGTTATATGTATCGTTTACATTTTACATTCGATGAGAGCGCGATATGGATGATGCATTTTGGAAAAGATGTGGAATGCGACCGTTCCTCGAATAATAGATTTTGAAATTACAAACGCTGACCTTTATTAAACTCTCTTTCTATCCATAAACAGATACCTCAAGGTTGGCAAATTCGCCACCCGTGTTGGTGCTGGTGCCCCGGTCTACTTGGCCGCGGTCTTGGAATACTTAGCGGCTGAAGTTCTCGAACTCGCCGGTAACGCCTCCAGAGACAACAAGAAGTCCAGAATCGTACCGAGACACATCCAATTGGCCATCAGAAACGATGAAGAATTGTCCAAGTTGTTGGGTACGGTCACGATCGCGTCTGGCGGTGTCTTGCCGAACATCCACTCGGTCTTGTTGCCGAAGAAGTCCAAGAAGTAAACTGCCTAACCGCGATTTACTTTGTTAAACTTTTCAAAAAACAAAACAAAAAACATTGAGATTCTTATCTCAACCACATTCAAACGAAAACACATAAGAGAAACTTCACACATTCACACACCATATATGTACGTACACGCCTCTGGATACAGCAATATTGAATACATGCCTTGTTATTAATATCACAAAATTACTCTCTCTAATTATATATTATTTTCCGCTAACGGTGTGACCTGTCGTCGGTCTTTTTTCAAATTCTTCTTGCTCACCAAGTCGTTTTCCACCTCTTTCTCGCACGCCTCTCGCGCCTTTTCAAAAGCCTCCTCGTTTCCAGAGTACTTGGTCGATTTCAAGCGCCCGTAAACTGTTTGCATTTTGTCCATCTGCTTGGTTAATTTCACGACTTCGTATTTCAAGCCTTCTCGTTTTTTCTTCTCGTTCGAGATCTCCTTCGTGAGCGCTTTTATGCGGACCAAGTCCTCCTTCATGCGCTCCTTCGCCTTGCCGTATTTGATTTCGTAAATAGTGCACAGCTTTTTAATCTCCTCAATTTTCTTCTTCTCTTCTTCTTCGTTTGCTTCTGCTTTCTTGGACGGGGAAGAAGAGGGTTCCGCCGAAACTATTCTCATCGTTTTATTCTCAATCTCTTCCAAAGTCTTCTCCAGTGCCTCTCGCAAACGCGCCTGCTCTTCAACCGCCACGACAGCATCCTCGAGCATTTGCTCCATGTCCACGCGTTCGGCGTTCGCTTTGCTCGCCTCCGCGTTTGCTTTCTCAACTTCCACGTTCATTCTCTCAATCTGAACGTTCGCTTCTTCCAACGCGAACCGTAAATCATTCTTCAAAAGTTCTTCCTCTTCCTTCTTGAGTATCGTCGTCGTGTTCTCGCTCGGCGACGCCATCAAACGTTTCTGCAAATCCGCATTTTCCTCTTCCAACTCCGTAATCCGTGACTTCATTATTTCTTCATTCATTAAGACTTCCTCGGTGGTGTTTTTATTACTCTTGTTCTTGATATCGGGAATACTGGTCGTGGTGTTGTTCGTCTTCTCATCCAAACGATACTCGTAATCGATGAGCTTGGAAACGTTTTGCGCCAACTCCATTTTCAATTTCGCGATTTCGTTCATCTTTGCCACGTTGTCTTTTTCAAACCCTCTAATCTTCTCTACCATTTCTTTTATGATCTTTCCATCGCCTTCCGTGTTGTACATTTTCAGAGACTCTTGGACTTTTTTCTCCGCCAATTCAACTTGTAACGCAAACTTTTTCTTCTCCTCGGCAAACTTCTTCTCCTTCTTTTGCAGCGTCAACTCCAATTCTTCCTTCTCGTCGGTAATATTTTCCAGCTTTCTATTCAACTCAAAGTTATCCTCGTCTTCCGAACGCACTTTCAGTTTCAGTTTTCGATTGAATTCCTCGAGTTTCCTCTCGGCGAGAGTAGCGCGTTCCACCGCGGAAGCCAGCTCTAAGTTTCTCGAGACCAACGCCGCTTCGATGGCTTCTTTCGCGCTCACGACGTCCGAATTTTGCGCCTCGTTCTCTAACTTCAGCTTTTTCACGTTCGTTCTCAACTTTTCCAACTCCTTCTCAGCTTGCTCTGCTCTTTTGAACATTTTCTTCGTCTCTGATTTGTACTCGGTTTTCATCGTCTTCATCTTTTCTCCCACTAAATCTTTCTCTTTTTGAATTTCTTTCAATTTCGCCTCTAAAGCTAACACGGCTTCCGTCGTGTGCGGCGTCATTTCTTGTTCTTGTTTTTTACTCCCCTCCTCGGTGTTATCGTTCTGCGTCGTCACCGTTCTGCACTCCGAGGCGGATCGATTCTCATCGACAACTTCTTCAGCCGTCGTTGGAAAAGAAGAAGAAGAGAGCTTCGCCTCCAACTCTTGTATTTTCAAATCCTTGACAGAAAGCGCTTGCTTGAGCGCTTCGACCTCGTCTTCTAACTTCTTCGTCGCGCTCGTCTTTAAAGTTGTGGACGATAACAACTTCTTCTCTAACCGTGCGATTTCCGCGGCTTGTTTCTTTATCAACGCAGTAGTCGCCGTCGCCACTTCGTTCCGTTTCGCTTGATTAGTGACATTTTTCGCCCTGGTTGCAAACCTCAAGGTGGAGCTCGTCTCCTCCACGTGACTCACACACGGCGTCATCGCACAGACGATGGCTGTTTTCGAGTTACCACCTAAAGCGGGTTGTAAAATGCGCGTCAATTTGGAGTCTCGATATGGCACATACCCGCCGCCCGCACCGCCGTTTTTGCTTCCATCCTCCGCGAGTTTATTAATGACGACGCCTAACGTCAATAAAGACTTGTTAATTGACGCACCTTCTTTCGCGCGCTGACCTTCTGCACCTGTTTTCGCCACGCGCTCGGAACCGGCTAAATCGACGAGGTTCAAAACAGAAACGAGCACGTTTTCGTTCGCCACGTCTTCGTCTCCTCCTCCTTTCTCACTACCGCTCTTCGTCCCAGCTCCTACGAAACCGTCCGGTTTCTTAGCATGACCTGACTTATCACTACTATCTAACTCTGAATCTTTTCTTAACTTCGATTCAATACACAGCCTGAAAATAACGTGCGACCGGGAACTTCTCGCGTTCATATTCGTCGCGCCGACGTGTCTATTATTCTGGCCAATCTCTAATACTTTTTGCACTTGTGCCACGTTCTGAACGCGTTCCTCTTTCAAGCCATTGACGACGATTCCTCTCTCCGGATCCTCTTGGATTCTCAACGTCTTGCTAACCTGTCCATGTTCGTCCATTTCCGCGGACGAACGCGCTAATAAATCCAACAAATTCTCGTTATAAATTTCCAAGTAACTCACGCGCACTCGAAACTCTCTTTCCGGACATTTCTCAATCGAATCAAACACGTCTTGAACCGCCAACGGAACAATCCCAGGTTCCGTGCCGATCTCTCCGTGCATGGTGTGCGTTTTTCCGGACGACGTTTGCCCGTACGCGAATACCGTACCATTGAAGCCATCCAAAACCGATTTGACTATTTTCGAAGTTGTCTTGTTGTAGACGTCCAAATTGGAACAGGATTCGTCAAAGACGTTATCGACGCGGTACACCACGGATTCTTTGGAAGTGGAAGTGGTTTCCTGTAAACGATGATAACGAGAGATGAAAGCGTCAGAATGAGAGTATAAACGTATCGAGAACGAGGCATTAAAGAGATATTGATGGATGATAGATATAGAAATACGAGAAGAAATTTCGAGGGGGAATAATAAAAAAACGCACTTTACGAGAGTTGTCCAAAACGATGGCATCTTCCGCGTGCCTCCACGCGCAGCCTAAGTCTTTTTCCGCCTCGTTTAACGGTCTCACCCGGACAGAGACAGATATTTTTTCCTCGCTCGTAAAAGTACTACCACCACCACCACCGGTGCCCATGACGCGTGTGTGTGTGTGTGTATAGAGCGCGTGAAAAATTCTCTCTGCTGCTAAAATGTGTGATATGAATAATGAAGCATTTGCCTTAATTTTTTCATGTCAAAGTCGTCTCTCGATATCGAACGCGAGGAGAGTGTTGCTATCGCTACTAGGACTAAAAGCACTCCTCGGGAGTAACACGTATCCGTCATCTTCATCATCTTTATTTCCGTTTTCAACTATTTTACACCGAACTGGTAGGCGCTTTTCTTCGCCGACGTCATCATCATCGGGAGAAAGAGGAGAAGAAGAAGAGACGACGAGAAAGCCTTCGTAGTCGCCGGCTTTCGGCGTTATGTTTTCGCTCTTGTACGCGACGAAATTTTCGTCATCATCCATCGTTTCTTTCTCCCCGTCGGTTGCTATTATTTTCTCTAAACATAATCGATGGTTCCTACCTAATAACTTCGTCACCGCGTCCACGTCGCCAAATTTCAAGCACGCTCTCACTCTCGACGAGGACACTTGCTCGCCTTTGCACCCGTCGTTATCACACGCCTCCGCGCCGAGTTTATCTGCGTCTAAAAGCGATACTATTTTCACTCGTAATCCGTACTTTTCCCCGAACGAGACCAAATCTTCCGCACTTCCACTCGCGCGGTAGCCGAAACGGTAGTTTTCTCCCGCGACTACCCCGGCAACGCCGAGTCGTTCTTTCAAAGTTTTCACGAAGCGCTCCGGAGACATCTCTCGAATAGACGCAAACGGAACGCCGTGTTCGCGAATGGAGTAACAGTCTGAATCCGACTCCTCCACACCATCTAAAGCTACCAACTCCTCGCTCCACTCTTTCAAAACTCTCCCTCTGTCGCGTTTCGCCGTGACTGGTTTCTTCGGCTTCCATCCCAACACCTCCGCCATGTTCTCGAACGACAACAACACCGCCTGCTGTTTTACCTTTTTGGACGTGCTCTTAGTATTATCTTTACTCAACGTCGCCGCGGCGGCGGCTAAAGCCTTGTGCCCCCTGTGCATGGCATCAAACTTCCCCAACGCAACGATAACCTCCGCACTTTCTCGCCCCGCGTTCCGTTTTATCCTCTCGATGCCATCGTCGCTTTCATCCCCATCGTCGTTCACCGCCTCCAAATCGGAAGATGCAGGCGCCGACGACGATGATGTCGACTTCCCGGAGAACGCTCTCGTCGTCCTCGCGCCTCTGCTCAAAGTATACGTGGTGGTGTTTTTATTCGAATAATAATAATAGCGGTTGAGATGATACCCGTTCAATCGGGCGAGCAGCAGAGCGCTGCTGCTCACGCTGCTGCTGCTCGCCATCATCATTCGTCTTGCGTCGAACGCGTTAAAAAGTGTCTCGGCTGCTTTGACGTCAATTTTTGGTCCATTTTCAGCTTTTTTGCAGGAGAGATAAAGTACGTTCGAGTCGCCAGAAAATCACCCTGCGCGTACAACAGCGCACAACCAAAAACAGCGACAATGTTAGGCTTAACCATGAGAACTGCGTCTTTGGTTGGAACCTCGGTTTCTTCCACGTCCACGAACAGCAGAGGTACGCGGTATTGAACGTTCGCGTTTTATCGTTTAGAGAGGAGCAGCGCGCGTTTTTTTTACTCTCGTTTCTCTCGCAAATTGAGTTATGACTGCGGACCTGCTTGCGAAGGAAAGGCGTCATCCGAGAAGAAAAACAGAAATCGACGACGCGTTCCGGGGTCCGTGCGAATGTCACAGGTTCCGTTTGATGGAAGAAACGCGAAGGAGGTGATGTGAATCACTCGAATTTGCGTTTTTTTTGTGAACGATGGACCTGGAATGCGCAGGAGTCGCGCGCACGGCGGGTTGATTTTCCCTCTCCTCCTGGGTCCTTTTTCCGGTGAACGAGAAAACCTATAAAAACCTGCTTTATCCATTTCTTTCGAATGCGATTTGTATTCGTTTCTTTCTGTACTCACCTTCTTCTCTCTTTCCCTTCTTAATCCACTCTGAATTATCATAATCATCAACAGTTCAAAGACAATCCCCGATGAGACAAACGATGAGAGTGAACGCGGCTTTGGACTTTGCGGAGCTCGAGGAGGAAGTTGCGGCTCCCAAAGCGAGAGCTGTTCGTAAAGATGGCTTGTCCTCGAAGGAAGCGAGAATGTCTCGAAGATTTAGAGCGGCTCAAAAATCCGTTCCGGGCAGAATGCAACCGCAAACGCCGGAACAAGCGATTGCGTTGATGAAAGCGAACTCAAACACGAAGTTTGTGGAGACTGCTGAAGTGCACGCGAGATTAAACATTGACCCGAAATACAACGACCAGCAATTGAGAGCGACGGTTGCGTTGCCGAAAGGAACGGGGAAGACGGTTCGAATTGCCGTCTTGTGCTCTGGGGATAACATTGCTGCCGCGAAGGGTGCTGGTGCGGATTTTGCCGGCGATGATGATTTGGTCGCGGACATTTCGGGTGGTATGTTGGATTTTGACCTCTTGGTGGCGACTCCGGATATGATGCCGAAGGTTGCGAAGTTGGGGAGACAACTCGGTCCGAAGGGTTTGATGCCGAACCCGAAAGCCGGTACGGTGACGACGGATGTTGCCACTACGGTTGGTGAATTTAAGGGTGGTAAGGTTGAGTTTCGTGCAGACAAGCAAGGTATTGTGCACGTTCCGTTTGGCAAGTTGAGCTTTGCCGAGGGTGATTTGATGACGAACTTGCAGTCCATTGTGAATGCTATCGACCAGAACAAGCCGACTGGAGCGAAAGGGAACTACTGGAAATCTTTGTACATCGCTTCTTCCATGGGACCGTCGGTTCAAGTTGAACTTTCCGCGATTAGACAAGTCGACTAAAGCTGCTCAAATAACAAGAAAGAGAGAAGAAAGAATTGTAAAAACCGAAAACCTTAGCTTTAAACTAGAAGAGAGAGATACTTGATTATTATTTGAAATATAATGTGTGATATTGAACTTATATTATTAAAAACTGGAAAACCTCTCTCTCGTTATATGTAGAACTATTGATATCTATCTGGTCTACTTGCATGTACATAAACGTGCGCCGTCGCATTTTAAAATTATAAATACACGAATTTTAAATGATCGTCATAATGTTACTGGTAGCTTTCCAAAGTCGTCTTCGGTTCGTCGAGAATATCCAACGGAAGATCTATGGGATCGATGCGAGAATTCGCGCTGTAATTGGAGTTTTCAGTCAGTCCGGATGAGACCCTCGCGAAACCTTCCTGTTTCGTCAGAGGAACGTTATTCACCGCCGCCTGGTTACCGCTATAGACTACGCCGCTGCTGCTACTAAATGGTTGCGAATGAAAACCACCGGTTAAAGCTGAAGTCGTCGTCCCTGCGCCATTATTACTACCATTTACGTGTTGTTGTTGCTGCTGCCGCTGCTGCTGTTGCTGTTGTTGCTGTTGCAACGCAAACGCCTTTGCTGCGCTTTCGGCAGCCGCGCTTGCGTTTGCGTACAACTGCTCCGCGCCTATCATTCCAGCGATAGAATTATTGGTATTGTACATGCGACCGTCGCTATTATTGTTGTACCCTATCGCCGAGGAGGTCGATTGATCGATAAACGCCTGGTCGATTGAATATCGCTGATTCTGCGGTTGGCGGTAATACGCGCTCGCTTGGACGAAATCCTGCGTCTGCCCGTTCGTCTGATTCGATAAATACGACGGCTGTTCCGGTGCAGAATTTGTAGCCCCAAAGTGCAACTGCTGCTGATGCCCACCTCCACCACTAAAGGTCTGCGCGTAGCGATTATAATTACCACCGTTAATAACATTCGGTTCCTGTCCAGCCGGGCCGGCGTATTGATAGTGATGATGCTGCGGTATCCCCGGTATCGGCTGGCCGCCGCCCGGCGGTTGTGGCGATTGTTGCTGCTGCTGCGCGTAATACGCGGACGCGCCGTTCTGTAACTGTCCAGGCATCGCGCCTCCAACCATGGTCGGTACCGCGCCGTGGAAAAATCGGCAACTGTTGTTTAAAGAAGATGAAGACAAAGAAGAAGAATTTTTTGTTCGAAGGTTGTTAGTTTTTTGACTCGACCTTTTTTTTTGTCGTCTGGCGCGTTTCCAGCGCCGCCCGCGTTTGTGTCGAAGAAAAGGAAATTTTGGGCGGGCCATCTAAATTTACTAACGCACCTGGATCTAAAACACCTCCCGTTTTGGAAGTCTCTGCATATGGGCTGCGACGTCTGTTTGATCGAGAGTAAAAGGAGTACGAGTAGAGTGACATCAGTTTAGTGAGTTTGATTAAGAAAGAGAAAAAAAGAGAGAGAGAGAAACGAAATGCACAATCTCTCAAACGTCGGTTCAAAATTCGTTTCAAAGCCGAATTTGCGTCAGCAAAAAACTTGTCTCACCTGCGGCAACTGCGCGCATAAACCTTCCGCGTGCGCGTGAGAATACTTGCAGTTTTCTCTGAAACACGCTCCCTGTTGTAAGAATGGTCAGATGTTGCGGCATACTATGTAACATAATGTGTAAACCTTTAAAAAGTCTCGGCATATTTCTTCTCCATTCGAAGTCGGTGGTGGCGTCGGAGGGAGAAGAGGATTCGAGTTTCCCCCGGGGGGGGCGTTGAATTGCATTCTCTCTCTTTTTTAATTTATATATATATTATATGTGCTATGCGTGCGCGTGCAAAAGCAGAGAGGGCGGCTAAAACCTAAAGGTTGCGTTTGCGTGCGTTTTCGATCGAGAGCTTTTGGTTCGTTTCTTTCCGCCTCTCCGCTGTGTGAGAGGCAGCAGGGCGGGGGTTTCTGTTTGATTTGCGTATGATGATTATAACGTTTTCGAGGGCAATGACGTTGAAATTAAATTTCGTCGTTGTTCAATTTGGTTCAAAAACGATCTCACGCAGAGACGAACGAGTTTTTCATAAACGAGAGAGATCGAGATTTTTTGGGCGCTTTTTTTTTTTTTCGCTTTTCAGATATCAAAAAATACTCACACAAACTTTGAGAGAGAACGACACGCGAGAGAACAACCAACACCAGGACGACCGAAAACGAGGAGGACGACGACAACCGCGATGATGCGACGACAACACGTAACGACGCAAAGACAAACGACGGGAGGGGTGAATATCATCCAGTCGGTCGCGGACGTTTTGGAACGACTGGTGACGAATAGCGTCGAAGCGAGCGCGAGAGAAGTGTCGTGCGAACTCTTCTTTTCGTCTTCGTCTTCGTTCTCGTCGTTTTTGCCTTCGATGCGGGTCCGAGACGACGGCGAAGGAATGACAGAAAGAGATTTACATTTGGTTGGAGAGTTTGGGTGCACGTCGAAGCGAGGGAAGAGTGGAGCGTCTTTGGCGGCGATTGCGCAGTTGAGCGAGAGAGTTCAGATCGTGACCAGGAAGAAGATGGGTGGGTCTGAAACCGCCTCGCCTTCGACGAGAACGTTTTCGGCGACGCTGGTGTCTTCCGCCGAGGGGAGTAAAAGAAAAGTGAAAGGGATGCTACCGAGCGCGTATCGAAACTCTGGAGCGATTATCACCGTTGATAGAGTCTTTTCTCGAGGGTCTGCTTTGATTCAGAAGAAAATGAAAGCGGATGGGTTTGAGACGTATGCGCAGGCTTGCGAGAAAGAGGCGCGCGAACGGGTGCTTGCCCTTTCGCTTATCAATCCAAAAGTTACTTTGATTTTGACCGTGAAAAAGAAGAGAAACGACGAGGAGTGGGAAGAGAAAGAAGCATTTCGCAGCCGAGGCAATGTTTTGGCGAATTTGGCAGATTTGTACGGCGAGGAAGATGTTACCGTGCGCGCGTTGCGTCCGGTGTGTTACGAGAAAAAAGGTAGCCATGGAGCTCCTCCCTCCATGCGAGCTTCCGGATATATTACTTGGGCCGAAAACTACATTCACAGGAGAAAGATACAGTATCTATACATAAACCGGGCTCACGTGAGAGAGAGAACAAAATACCACACGGTTATAGAGAGATCGTTCGAGGAGATTCACAAAAAGAAATCTTCTTCTGTCGCTTACGTTTTACACATCTCGACAACGACCGCGGACGAAAAGAACGAAGAGTTGATATCAGCCTTCTTACGCGAAACTGTAAAAAAGATCTCTTCCGAAAGTACTGAAGAGAAAATAAACGCGGCAGCTGTAAAGCGCCCTTCTCGTGCGCGCACGGAAGACCGACGTGTTTACCTTTAGGTTCGATTTCTTTTTAAACAAAGAGCGCATACGAGTATTTTTTCAGTTTTTGGGAGTTTCTTTTCCTCATAATTCAAAGTCCACATTCACACAACAATTCCGACGCAATCCTCGAGTAACCACCGCGCATCCAAAAAGGAAAAAAGTACTAAAAGTGAGAAGATAAAGCCATGGTCGTCGCCGCCTTGAAGCCGCAAGACGTGCAGAAACTGACCGTGGTTAAACTTCGAGCAGAACTCGAAAAGAGAAAATTAGATTCCTCGGGAACGAAGCCGATTTTAGTCGCGCGAATGAAAGAGGCTTTGGAGGAGAGAGATGAAGAAGAAGAAGAAGGAAAAGGCGGCAAGGATGCAGACGCTAAAGAGAGGGTGAAGAGCGAGGAGGCAGAGCAGACTCCCGCGACGGAAGAAGAAGATGCGAAAGGAAACGAGTTGGAGACGACGACGACGACGTTTGAAAACAAAGAAGAAGAAACTACTACTACTACTACTACTAATGACGACGAGATAATGGACCCGGCTCCTTCTGTTGAAACGGACGAGGACATTGACCCAGCGTTTGACGCGCACTACGACGGCGCGAATCCAATCGTGAAATCAAATAGATTGACGAACGCTCGAAAAATTCTTCGGAGAAACCCGTACGACGCGACGGCTTGGGACGTGTTCTTCGTCGAGGCGAGAGGGAGGCCGTCCGTGGCGAAGGATGTGTTCGAAGAGATTTTGCGATACCATCCGAGATGCGTGAACGCGTGGATCGCGTACGCGCAAAACGCGATGGAGAAGAAAGACGACGAGGCGGTTTCGGAGATTTTCTCGAGGTGTTTGCGGGACGTTTTGGCGCCAGAGTTGTGGTTGGTGTACGTGAACTACGCAAAAGCGACGAATGAGAACGGGACGACAGAGGAAGGAGCGAGAGCGATTAAAGCGGCGTTTGAATATTGTGTAGATCACGTGGGAGAAGACGTGGAGAGCGGTAAGATTTGGGAGGAATACGTTGATTTCGTAAAAGGAGTGAGCCCGGGATTTATTGCGGTACGTTTATTGAATTTTGAAAATTTTGTTCTTGTTGGTGAAAACGCCGGTGCAACAGAGCGACCAAACTTCGTGGCACGTGATGAGTTATAAGTATCATGGGTAATTTGCGACTGAAACGGGTTCGCCCCCGATAAATGGTGTTGACAACGATGCCTCTGATGCCACGAAAATTTGATCAACATTTTGTCTTTTCTTTTGCTCTCTCTCTCTCTCTCGGGGCGATTTATGAAAATTGCAGAGTCTTCAATTTTGATATTGACATCTTACTCTTTTCTTCTTCTATATTCTTCTTCTTCTCACAGCCGACAGGTGCACAACCCGAGCAGTACGAAACCGCACGAATGATGGAACTCCGTCGCGTGTACCAACGCGCCATTTCCGTTCCCACGCAATCCCTGGAATCTTTAGTGACTGACTACGAGGCTTTTGAAAATTCGTACGATAAAAAGTTTGCGAGAACGTTGCTCGCCGAAAGCACTCCGAAAATATTCGCGTGTAAAACCGCATACAAAGAGCGCGAAGCTTTAAACGCGGCTCTCTTCGAAGGTTTAGGTTACGATTTGCGAGTGCATAAGAACGGTATTGCCGTGGGTGATCCCGTGCACACGACGAAAGCTGCGGATTGTCATTTAGACGCGTTTCGACGATTCATCGCGTGGGAGAAAACGAACCCGCAGAAATTGGAAGCGGTAGGCATTGTTAGCATCGCAGCGGCAAAGAAAGCAGCAGCAGATAAACTAGAAGAAGAGCCGCCTCGCGTTCGAGAACGCATCGCTCTAGCGTACGAAAAGTGTTTGTTGACGTGCGAGAACTACCCAGAAGTTTGGTTAGAATACTCTCACTGGCACGAAAGTGCAGGACGAGCGGGAGATGCGGCTGAAATATTGTCCCGCGCGCGCATAGTGCTTCCGGGGTCAATCATGCTATTGCTTGCTGCCGCTGATTTAGAAGAGTCGCAGCAAAACTTTGAAGGGATGAAAGCTGTGTACGAATCGTACATGGGTTCGTACGAAGAGAAGCGCGAAGCTGAGAAAGCAGCAGCGGGGGGAGAAGGTACAATCGTTAAAATGATGGACGATGACACTTCGGTCGTGTACGCCGAATATATTCGCGCGTGTCGACGCTCGGATTCCCAAGCTTCCTCTCGAAAGGCTTTCTTGCGCGCGCGTAAAGCTCCCGGATGCAGCTGGCTCGTTTACGCCGCCGCCGCTTTGGTGGAATGGCGCTACGATGAAGCCGATAAACCGTGCCGGAATGTATTTGAACTCGGTCTCAAGACGTACATGGACGTACCCGCGTACGTGTTGACGTATACAAATCACTTAATATCGCTTGGAGACGTTGGGAATACGAGGGTAGTCTTTGAACGCGCATTGAGCGTAGGAAAACCAGACGTTTCCATCTTTGACGCTTTTGTGAAATTTGAGCACGAGTACGGCTCGTACGAATCATTTCGCGCCGCTGAAATTCGGAGAAGCGAGTTTTTAGAACCTAGCGCGGCGGCGTCCATGATAGATCCAGGGATTTTCTCGAGAATGACGGTGGCGAAATTAGTCGCGAACGTTTTTGAACGACACAACTTCATCCCAGACGTCGCGCCTTTGAGAAGCGAAAGTTTATCTCACTACGCGAAACTTGGCGTGTCTTCTATTCGGAAGCACATCGCCATGTCCGTTGCCTCGGGTAAAAAAGAAATCTCTCGACCGAAACCACCGCCACCGCCGAAAGCGCCTAAAGGTGCGCCTCCTCCTCCTCCGAAAGTTGTTTCCGCCGAGGCGCCCTCGTCGTCGGCTCTACACGACGCGAAGACGACGACTGCGCCGCGCGCGGCGCCTCCGTCCATCGGTCTTTCCGCTTTACCTGTCGTAGTAGCACCTCATCTCCCGGAAACGCTGCGAGAGTTGTTTAATAAGCTTCCCGGTCCGGTAGCGTTCGCGAAAATGCCAGCACCGAGAGTCGACGCGGTCTTGGACGCTTTGAAAAACGCAGATTTGACCATCGAAGGCAAAGCTGAGTTGTTGGCGCAAATGCAGGGTAAAGATACTCGACCGCAAAGCATGGGCTCGAAAAGAACGGCGACGCAAATGATGACTCCCGATATGATGACAGGAGGCGAACCGTCGTCGTCGTTCAGAATGCCCACGAAGGATGTCTTTCGCGAGCGACAATCTAAGATGCAAAAAGCATCGGCGGAGTATCAATAGAATTTAGCCGGTGTAAAAGAAAAGTCTGTGTTCATCTACGTAAATGTGAGTATAACATATGAAATGTGTGCGTGTTTCTCTCTCTTCTCTCACTCTCTGCCTTTTACTTTGCGCCCTTCCAGGCGGCAGCTAAGTTGTAAGGTTTATGTTACTGCGCGTGTGTATTAGTACTTTTTTCAAAGGGCGGGTGCGCAGAATTCCACTCTTTACTTCCCTCCGACTTGTTCCATCATGACGTCCAACGAGTCGCCGTCTTCCATGTCCAACTCTTGCGGCGTTTGGTCCTCTCTAACTCTCTCCCCGTCGAATAAGAATCGAACGGACCCGGGTTGGAGAGATTTGCGCTGCAAGAACGCGTCGAAGATCTGTTTTGTTCATAAATATGAACGCACGAGAGAGAAAGAGAAAAAACGTGAGCGAGTGCCTTGAGCAGCGGTTGTAAAAATCTCTCATCCAATTCTCTTCTCGTCGTCTTTCGAAGAAGAATAAAACGAAACGCTCGAACGCGTACCTTCTTAAACTTGGTACCCATCTTCACTTTAAAGTGCACCTCGGCGTTGTCCTGTTTTTTAAGAGAGAAAGAGAGAGAGATTTGTGTTTCGTTTGAGCAACGAAGGAAGGAGAGATCGGGGAAGCGATTTTTCAAAAAGGAGAACCACGCGCGTTTTCTAAAAAACAATCCGAGAAGAAGAAGAAGAAGAAGAAGAGCGCGCTTAAAAACGAGAACAGCGGCAGCAACAAACACAACGACGATAAAAACGAACCTGGTCCTTCACTTTCAAGTTGATGTGTTCGCCTTTGTCTTCTTTCTTTTCTTCTTCGGAATCCATTTTATTTCTCGTACAAAGCAGGTGAGATGTGTTTCTTGCGTTTCGTGTGAAAACTCTGAAGCTTTCGAAAGGAAAACCACAGAGTCTAAAGTGTAAAACACACAACACGACGCGAAAGAAGAAGAAACGCAAAAAGAGCGAGATCGAGAATGTCGTCGATTGCCTCGGCGAACAAGAAAAAGATAGCCCTGGTCGCGGCGAGAATATTCCAAACCGCACTGAACGACACGAACGCACCCACGGGGAGAAAACTCTTAAAAAAAGCATTAGTCGGTCCACGATTGACGTCGTGGTACCCGGAAGGTATTCGAAAGATGGACATGCTGTTCGAAGACCCGGACGATAAGAGACGGAAGGTGAAACTAGAGCGGATGAAGAGGAGAGGGAAAGGACCTCCGAAGAAAGGGGAAGGGAAGAGAGCGAAGAAGAAGTAAACGCGAGACAGAATTGTTTTTAGAAAAGCACGGAGTAGTACCAGGAGTACGACACCAAGTAGCGATAGCGTCACGCGAGACAGCATATATTGTTTTTAGAATAGCGTGTACATATACAGTAAATAGAATCACAATTTTACAATTTAAGTATCACCTGCTGTTGGCGATGCACACGACAGATACTAATCGCATCGCCCCGGACGAAAGTAATAACCGGACGTTCTTTTCGCCTCGCATTTCGTGGAAGTAAAAGTAGCCAATCAACGCGGCGACGACCGATGGGAGAGTGCTAATGATCGGAAACGAGATCGACATCGAGAGCACGCGGTTGGCGACAAACCAGGAGGTTTGAGCAATCCCCCACATGACGCCAGAAATAAACGCCGGGACTATGGTTTCTTGACGAAGCTCGGGATATCTATCCGTGGCTTTTCGGACGACGTGCAAGTAATGGAGCGCGAACGCGACGAGCGTAGTTCCAAAGATGCCGCAAAATTGAGAAAACACGTAATCGAGGGCGTCATCGGAATGCGCACCGCTCCGAAGTCTCAAATTTTCCGCCGGGTTAAAGTTCACGCCATAGAGGACTCCAGACAGAAGAGATAATGTAATGCCAAACGTCTGTTTTTTATTGCTCGCATTACGCAACGCTTCGTCCTCGTCGTCGTTGTTGTTATTCAAAAACGCGTTGTCCTCCCTTTCTTCGTCGACGTCGATTCTTCTCATACCACTCGTGCTGTTGCTGTTGCTGCTACTACTGCTATTACTGTTACTATTTGTCGTCCCATCAATCTTCGACGCCACGTACAGTGCCAGACACGCCAACGCGACTCCGAAACCGTTCAACCCTGGCATCGACACCTCCTCTTTGTCCAATCCGAGAATGCCAAATCTCGCGCTCGCCCACCCAGAAAGCATGCACGCGCCGCTCCAAATCATCATCCCGAGCGCTAAACCTATCGATTTGACGATCGGCACCACGCACAAGTTCCCAATCGCCCACAAACTTCCGCCAAACATCGCTTGATATTCAAACTTTGGAAACGATCGCGCGAGGCAAACGACCACTCCAACCGTGAAAACGCCCAGCGTCATGCACACCGAGAAGAAGACGCCGTCGCCGAGGCTGGTGAGTTTCTTCACCGGCACGTAGTTGGAGCCGAAGAATATCGCGGCGACGAGGCAGCACGCGTATCCGAGGACACCGTCCGAGTCCATCGTGCTCTCCTTTGCTCCTCTTTAATAATAATAAGAAGAATATTCTGCGTTGTTTTGTGGGGAAACTCAACGAGTTTTTGGTCACAAAGTCGCACGCGCTTTTTCTCAGATACCGAAGACATTCAAAGTCTCCGTCGTCGCAAAAGAGGGCAAAAGATCATGGGCGGCAAGAAGTCGCGTCTGAGCAAATTTACCGAAGCCGTGCGTCTGTTATTTACTCGCTTTTGCGCGTCCTTTTTTACTCTCTCTTTCTCTCTCTCGTTTTCCGGTGTGGCGGCTAATTCTCTCTCTCTCAATCTCTCTCTTTAAAACAGGACAAAGAAGTGCTCGTGCGCATCGTCAAAGACGCGCAGAGGACGAAAAAAGCCGGCTCGGACGGCACGTTCAATGAATTCGTGGAAAAACACGCGCAGACGGAGAAGTTGAAGCACACGCACGATCCTAATAGGCACGATTGGAAGACGTTGGTGAAATTCGTGGAGAGCGTCTTGGGAAAGGAAGAGGAGGAGGAAAGGAAAAACGAAAACGACGACGAAGAAGAAGACGGAGAGATTGAAAAGGAGAAAACCAAGACTAACGCGACAAAGACGACGAGTAAAGAACAATCATTCGAAGAGACGATTTCTAGACACGCGAATTGGCAAAAGAAGAACAAGAAACGGCAGGAGTGGAAAGTATGGCACGAGAGCTGCGAAGACGAGAAGGAAAAGTACGGCGAGGAAGGTTCGAAGGCAAACGCGCTGTGGAAATTGGTGAACATGTGCGAAGAGAGTCAGCAATTCGACGAGAACTACAATCGATTTCCTTCGCACATGGACAGTTGGTTGAGGACGAGTTATCGACCGGGGAGGTGGTGCGTGGAGAAGAACGTGAGGCCGAGGATGGTGGCGATTGATTGCGAGATGTGCGAGACGACGACGGATAATAAGGCGTTGTGCGCGGTGTCCGCGGTGGACGAAGATGGAAATAAGTTGTTAGACGCTTTGGTAAAACCACCGGATGCGATTATAGATTATAGGCACGAAATTACCGGGTACACGGAGGCGGATTTTAAGGACGTGACGTTGACGTTGGACGAGGCGAGAGCAAAACTGATGCGGTTGTTGGAACGAGGACATGTGGACGACAACGACGGTGAAAAAGAAGAAGGAGAAAAGGATAAGGAGAAGGACGTGCACGGGTGTATTCTCGTTGGTCATTCGTTATCGCACGATTTAAGAGCTTTGCGTTTGGACCACAGGCCAGTCATCGATACGTCTTTGTTGTTTTCGTTCAAGGAACTTCCGAGAGCGACGCCGGCGTTGGCGGATTTATGTCAAATGATTTTAGGATACGAAATGCGAGAGAAAGGATCGGCGCATGAAGCATTCGCGGACGCTTTGACCGCGATGAAAGTCGTAGAAAAGGTCGTGGAAACGAGCATAGCAAAAGCTGAATTTATTTTGCCGGCACCGGAACGGTTGTTAGTGTTATTCGAAGCGAGAAGACAGACGGCGAAGGAGAATAGGAAAAACGGCACGCCGGATAAGAAACGAAAAGGTAACTTTGATGAGAACAGCGGGAAAGTGACTAATCGCGTTGCTGGTCGAACGCTCTTCATCCATCGTCTCCCGCGAGGTGTTAAAAAAGAAGCCATAGAATCCATCTTTGAAAACGTCATCAAGACGAAATTAGAAAAAGAAGACGAGGGCAGTCACGAAGTCATTAAAATCGAGACGATTAAAGGAAAGTTCGAGGTGGAAACCGGCGAAAACGCGCAAGAAAACGAAAGGGTGTCTGTCTTCGCATCTTCCGAAAGAAGCGTCGTCCCAGCTTCCAAGCACGCTCCGACAACTTCTGCTTACGTGGCGTTCGATTCGGTGAAATCCGCCCGCCTCGCTTTCGAACGTCTCCACGGCGCCTTGAGCATCGACGCTCTCGGCCGGCCGCAAAAGAAAGCCAAAATCTCCAAACGTTTCGGCTTCGAAAAGTTAATATGCGTTCGCAACGACACGATCACCGAAAAGGAGGAAGAACAAGTCGCGAAAGTTGCGGAAGAAAAAGAAAAAGCGCCTCTCGCGTTTCCTCCGAGCTCGGCGCAAAAGAAAAAGCCGAGACAACGCAAACCGAAAACAGTTTCGCTCCCTGGCGATACCAAGTAGCGACGATACGGCGCGAGATAGATAGAGAGATAGAGAAAGAGAGAGATAGAGAGAGAGAGAGTCTACAAAACGAGTATGATAATAGGTACGACATGTAATAGATGAACAGCGCTGTGTTTCTCCGATTTTTGGGCATCTGAGTATCCACCACCACCTCCCGTATCTTCTTTTCAAAAGAAACACCATCGTCACAAAAAGACTTGGCCAAGAACACTCTCATCCATCATGCGCGCAGCATTCACGCTCGGCGGAAATGCGAAGACGTGCGCACCAACGACGTCGTATTCCTCCTCGTCTTTTTTGTCTTCTGCGTCTTCTTTGATTCGAAGGAGGAAGGAGAGGCGCGAAGAAAGGAGAGTGTTAATCCGCGCATCGTCTTCTGACGCAAATCCTTCCCGAAACAACTCGTCATCCTCGACGAGCAAAGTCTCGGAGGAGGACGACGAGAGTTTCACGTTGGCGGACGTCGGCGAAGATTCCACGCTCGCGGAGAAAAGGAACGAGTTCCAAGAGGCGATCGCGAAAGCGCAGACGGAACAAAAAGAGAAGAAGATATTCGACGAGAAGAGCGAGAGTTCGACTTGGGAAGTGAAAGGAACTGAAGTTTCTTCTTTACCACCACCACCAGCGGTCGCGAAGCCTTTGACGGATCTGAGTCCGATTAACGTAGACGCGACGGCGATAGAAAAAGAGAAGAAAAGAAATGACGACGACGGCGATAAGGATGAACCACTGCGGATGATTGGTAGCGCGCCGGTCAAGTCGTCTTCGGGAGAACCGACGTTTTCCAAGCAGCTCTCGAGGACGGTGAAAGCGTTGGTTCCCGAAGGCGCGTCCGCGGCGACGGTATTGAAAACGACGAAACGTTTCATGGAGGCTTACGAGGCTGGGTTGACGCCAGAGGAGCAGATTGGGTACGCGCTCGGTGTACCGACTGATAAGTTGAACGAGACGCAGAAGAAGTACGCGCCGTTAGTGGCGGAGAAGTTGAAAGAAAACGCCATGCAGTTGAAAGGCGAGTTGTTAGCGGCGACGAATTTGTACGAAGCTGGGATTCAGGCGTATAGTGTAGGTCAGTATCCGAAAGCGTTGAAATTCTTCGGAAATGCGTTGGAAGAAACGAGTGATACCAGTTTGTTGGGTGGGAAAATCCAAATCTATAAAGCTTTGACGTTGTACGCACTCCGTCGTCTGGAGGAGTGCATCGATTTGTATACGTTTTTGGAAGGAACGCATCCGATCGGAAGCATTCGTCGACAGGCTGGGGAGTTGAAGTATATCGCCGAGGCGCCGAGGTTAGAATTAGAAGAAGACGAATACGTCGACGTGCCGGCGGGAGTGAAAGATGCCAACAGGTATCGGGGATACGGGAAAGTGGTTGGGAAATCGGGAAAACCAAAGGTGCCAAAAACGTACACCGAAGAGGCGATGGAGAGAGTGAACTACGCCAAGTACGCGCCGAATCGGTTACAACTGATTGGGTGGACTGCTGTAGCCATAGGATTAGCTTTGTACGGCGCGTACGTAACGAAATGATTTGTAATAAATTATTATCAATATTCTTATAAATCGTGAAACACTTTTCAGATTACAATTGGAAACGCTCTCTCTCTCTCTCTCTCTCTCCTTGAAAAAGTCGCACGCGTCTCCAAGCCTTTCGGCACGCGCCTACGCACTTTTTCTTCCTTCACGTCCTCTTCATCATCGTCCACCGCCTACTACTCTTTCTAGTTCACACACACAATTTCTCGTCGCTTTTCATATACATTATTGTCGTTGTAATTCTTATTATCCTCATTAATCAATCTCTGGATCGACGATACCTCCGTCGCTGATGGAATACTGCGCCTCGGATTCCGGCAAAGTCGGCGAGCACGCGATTTTTGCTACTCTGTTCCCCCCTCTTCCTTTCCTTAACGCCAATCTCGTTGTACTCGCGTGCGCCATGATGTTACCACCGATTGGTTTTTGCGCGTTTGCGCCGGCAAACATACCGCCTTCTGGGTTCGCGACGACTTGGTTGGAAACGACCACCGCGACGCCAAACTCGTTGGCCAACTTCGCCAAATGTCTCAAAAACTTCCCCAACGCCATTTGCCTAGCGGATAACTCCCCTCTTCCCTCGAATTCCGTTCGGAACAAGTTCGTGGCAGAATCGACGAGGATGAGCGAAAAGAGGTCCTGTGCGAGCAACGCACCCGCCGCTACCAACAACTCTTGCTGGTGCTCCGTGTTGTTCGCTTTCGCGTAGGCGATGTTATCCAAACACGAAGTCCCGTCAACTCCGAATCTTTCCGCGATTTGCACGATACGTTCCGGTCTAAACGTCCCTTCCGTATCGATATACATAACCTTACCACCACCTCCTCCGTTCTCCACTGGAATCTGCCCACTCACCGCTAACGTATGCATCAATTGCGTCTTCCCGGTTCTAAACTCTCCGTAAAGCTCCGTCATCGACCCAGACTCGATCCCCCCCATCAACATATCGTCCAACGGCTGCGACCCGGTGGTTATTTTCACCAAATTCTCTCTCTTCGTCGCAAGCGCCGTCGCGGACTGAAACGTATCGTTACACGTTTTCTTGCTAATCGCCTTCAACTTTTCCACTTTTTGTTCGGACAAGCCTTTGATTTGCGTCAACCATTTCTTCGACGCCCCGGACAACCCCTCCATCGTGCACACGCCCGCGGTTTTGAGCTTCTCGATGTCGTTCGCGTTAATCCCATGGTTCTGTTACATAGAGAGAATAGAGAGAAAGAGAGAGTGAGAGGAGAGGAACGCGTGAGTAGTATTCAGAGAAGAGAGGATAAAGAAGGAGGAAAAAAGAAAAACAAAGATTGCAAATGCGAGCGCAAATGTGTGCACCCTCGCACCCTCCAACGCTTTCCAAGGGAGAAGAAGATTCAAAAATTCCGGCGACGACAAAGTCTAAAATCTTTCTCCAACAAGAAGAAGATCTAAACCTATATCATCGCAACGTACCGAAAGCTCGTCAATTCGCACGCAGTGTGGCATTATCTTCTCCTTCACGAACACGTCCTGGACCGTTTGTTGTCCTTGTTGCGCGTTCTGTTGGACGTTTTGGTTTCTTTCCATCATCGCGCTCATGATGGTTGCCGATTGAGAGGTTGATTTTTCTCAAAAATTGGTTCTCTTTTGTATCTTTCTTTTGTTTCGTGAAGAAGAAGAACAACAACAACAACGATAGAAACGTTTCGAACGCACGAAAAGTGTGTTTGAATGCTCCGTTCGGTTGATGATACGTCGCGTGCGTTTTTGTGCGCGTGACTCTGATGCGTCTCTTCTCGTAAAAAGAGAGAACGTGTGCTACTAGTGAAGCCATTCCCTCTCTCCCAAGTCTCCTCCCTCCCCTTCTCTTTTTGAATTTTTTCAAGAGAAGAAGAAGAAAGAAAACAAAAACAGAAGACAAAATTCGTCATTTTACTCTCATCACTTTTTTTTATCTGGTGTTTTGTTGCACCGCGCCGAAATGCGCTCCCCCCCTCTCTGTTGGGCATTCACCGAGAGACTCGCGATGATGACAACAGCAACAACGACGAGAGCAACGAGAATAGCCGGTCCTCCCTCGAACAGAAATCTTCACTCGTCACGCGTGGGGGAAAACTCTCACTTATACTTTGACGCGTACCGATGAAACGACGATGAAGAGTGCGACAAAGAAGAAGGGACGAGAGGAAGACGAACTCATATTCAGAGGAACCGTCGAGCCGTTTTACTCGTCGGCGCATCCGGTGACCCCCGCGGTACTCTCTCGTCTCGTTGTTGTTCTTCGTTTCGTTTCGTGTTTCCACTGCTTTGCGCGTTCAGATGTACCATTTTTGTGCGATGTGACGCTCTCTCTCTGACGCTCTGACTCTTTCTCTCTGACGCTCTCGCCAAAAACAGGAAGCGTACGGCTTCGCCGGCGTGGTTTTGTCCACCGTCCTCTTCCTCTTCCACCTGTGTCTTCTCTTTTCTACGAATCCAACGGAAGTGCAAAAGGAAGGACAGTTGACACAGACCAAATCCGAACGCGAGGACGACGCGCTCGTCCGGTGTATACTGTTCTCGAAACATTACGCCAAAGCGATCCCTCTGTGGATGAGTTTAGCGGTGTGCATGTACGTGATTTTAGTCGAATGTTTAAGCCGCGTGAAAGTGCTTCCGTTGGACGACGGGCGGTTGTTCACGTACCGCGGAGCGGCGTCTCGCGCCTCCTCCTCGAACGCACTCCGACGAAGAGCACGAAGGAGGAAAGCGGGCGAAAAGGAGGAGGGGGAGGAAAAGGAGACGAAAAGAGGAGGAAGTGGCGGAGGAGGGTTTATCGGCGAGAGCGTGGACGTGAGAGCGTGGAACGAAGCTTTGTTTCGTCGTCGTCCTTCGTGATCTCGGACGACGCGGCGAACGCGCGTTGAGAATAGCAAGTGTTTTAGGAACCAAAATGAGGCCGTTAGAGGGCACAAATTTCTCGCGTTAAAGTTCTTTGCAGAAAGAAAGAGAGAAAGCGTTTCCTCTCCTTTATCCTTCTCTCTCTTTCCCTCTCGGTCGTGTGCGTGTATATTTAATTAATACGCCGCGTTAAGGGCATCGCATTCATCGTCCTCCGCGAGCGCTTCTTTTTTCCTCCTTACGTACCTAATCTCTCGCTCCTAAAAACGCCACAAATTTGCGCAAGACCCCTAACGAAAATACGCTATCTGACTTTAGTTGACGAGGATGACGAAGCCGTTCGCGAAAAGGGGAGCTCGACCGTTGAACGAAAAACCTGACCTCGCGCGCACGCTCGTAAAGTCTCTTTTGAAGGTTTCTAAAGATAAGAGATTCACGATTGATAAGATGAAGAGCACGACCGTTTTACGAAAAGTATTCGCTGATGATGAGGTGCCTTTTGAAAAACTCTGCATGAAAGCGATCTCGTCGAACAAGAACGAGAACGAGAACGTGAACGATCTCGAGCTCGCTGTGATCAAAGTCCCCGCCGCCTGCGATTTGGGCGCTGCTAATGGACCGATCAATCACTTTAAAGAAACGATTCTTCCGAAGATGATCGCAGGAGAAGGAGATTTTCAATTTAACAACGAAGACGAAAAAGCAGCGATTTTGGCGGTTTTAGAATTGGAAATCGAGGACGAAACAATCATCGATTTGAAAACGAACGCACCGTTGAAGACTGCAGCGGAGAAGCTGAGAGATCGCGAACAACAGCCGGAGAAGAAAGATAAGAGGAGAGAGTACAACCAAAGAGACGACGTCAAAGCAAAGAAGAGAGAGTACGAGCAAAGAGACGACGTCAAAGCAAAGAAGAGAGAGTACGACCAAGAGTACAACCAAAGACCGGACGTCAAAGAAAAGAAGAGCGCGTACGCCCAAGAGTACTATGAGTACTATACAAAAGAACGCATACGTTTGTCCTTAAGGGAACAACTCCGAATCCCACCGCCAATCTCTTCGATTGGGGGGAAATGCACGATATGCGCGAGGACGCGTAGTGTCGGGTGGAAGAGCGCGCTTAAGTTTTGTTCTCAAATCGAAAAATATTTTGAGAACGAAGGTTTCCCCGAACCTCAGGGAGCAGACAAGACGCGCCGGTTTCTGAACCACGAGAAAACCAGAAGAGGACGTCAAAGAAAAGAAGAGAAAGGTGGCGTATCCTCGGAAATCGATTTCGCACACGTCATGTGTTTGAATTGCGTGAGGAAGTACGAACGCTCGGCTAAGATGAGATTGGATATCATCCGCTTAAGCGCGGTTGCGGCGGTGAGTGTGGCGAATTAGACGCGCTAAACTCTTTTAAAGTAGAAGAAAAGGAGGAGACCGCTTGAGGAGACTTGGAGAAAACAAGAAATTGAACAAAGTTGAAAAACTGTCACAACTTTATGAAGAACGCGGAGCAACAAACGATACGATATGATACTATAACAGAACAGAAATGTTTTTTTTAACTACGATGAGTACGATAACTTTCACCACATGAATCATAAACTCACGCCGTCCTCGTTCTTCCCGCAAACGCTGATTGGTACTTTTAATCTTACATCGGGTGTCTTTGAAGAGATGAAGGAAATCGAGTCTGATGCGAGTAGAAATGTTCTCTTCAAGTTCTACAAGTTGAACTATCACGACGATTACACCTTCAACTTCGAGAAGATCCATCAAAATGTATATTTGTAAATCTGTGTTTGTGTATTTTTTACGACGCGCGTTGTTGTGCCTGACTGGACCCAAAAGGACCTCCATTTCCGTTGTTGTTCCTCGACCCAGACCCATAAGCACCTCCATTTCCGTTGTTGTTCTCCGAATCCATAAAATCCATCGCAGGCGTAGGTGTCTCGGGAGATGTGGAATCCTCCTCCAGGAATTTAGTATTTAGTGCAATGAGACCTTTTGCCGCTTCAGTAATCCAACCGGTACGTGCCCAACGACGTCGCATGTTGTTGCTCGCCTCGGCGATACTTACGATGCGCCGGTACGACTGACCTCGACTCTCTTCTGGAACCACCTTAACCATGCCAGAAGGCGCTGGAATCGCTTCGATGAAAATGTCCTTTTCGCCCGTTGCGCATTGGAGGTCGCAGAGCATGTAAATACCAAAAACGTGCGGATTCCAGACATTTATCGTGAAATCGAGATCCGCTCGAAGGATCTCATCGCGCGAGCTCAAAATTGTGTACGCCGAATTATCCAAACGCAGAAGTAAATACTTTTCGCGCCACCTTTCCGACGTTACCTCCTCAATGAAAGCTTCTATCGTATTTGAGGCAACCATCATCACAGAGTCTGTCTTTGACTTCTCCGGAGCAGACAACCACCTGAAGAAAGTATCACGCGCGATTTCCTTGAAGAAGTCTGGTGTTCGATGCGGCGGCTTCTTTCCATCTGGCGGCTTCTTTCCATCTGCTTTCTCTTTTCTTGCCCACTCCTCATAGAGCGAGTACGGACAAACGTTTTCCATGGAAATATTTACTTTCGTCGGTAAAAACATTTTGTTGATCCAATCGAAAAGAGCGCGCGTAGTCGAAGGACTTCCATCAGTTTTGTGTGCAAACTCCTGGTTTGGGAAATTGTTGTACCAAGCGTCTCCCTGCGTCGTTTTCTGGTATTCTTCCCATAATTGCGTGTGAATGTCATCCCACGGACCCCAGTTGAAGAACACTTGTTTGACGACGTTGCCTACAAAAGGTGCCGTAAAGCTGGTCAACGATACATAGACAAAATTAATGACGGCCATCGCGTTCATAATAATTCGCCCAGTAAAGGTAGTATCTCTCTGAACCCTCGCGTTTCGCGCGCGCTCAGAGTCGACTTCAACTACTCTCGGGTCTCGCGTCAACTTTTGTTTCCACATTGGAATTCTTTGGTGCAAAATTCGCTCTTCTTCGTCCTGTTCCCATGCCCTTGGTATCCCATTACTTGACGAAACTGGACAAAACTTTCCGAAGAGTTTGTCTTGCAGTTGTTCTCGTCGATCGCCCTCTCCTACTTGCAAAGTTGCAATAGCATCGTTGAACGCTGTTCCGATCTTTTCTTTGACGTTCTCTATCACGTCCAACGTTTGTTTTGGCACAGCAAACTCCTCGTTATCAAAGATGCCACATTTCTCCTTGAGGTATCGCTCGGCCATCTCGTAAATCATTTCCAAGGAAAACTCTTCAGCTTCCGCGTTGAATCTCTGATTGTGACTCCCAACGTTGCCGCTCATTTTTGTTTTACTTTCTAATATCGCAGTATCGCAGGTCTTCTTTGTGAAGAAAGAAAAGTCACTTTTGGTCAACTGCTTTTCGAAGAACGGAAGTGGACTTGATTTATTTTTTTATTTTTTACGCGTACGCGTAAAGCGTTACGGTTTTTTTCTGCACTATGAGTTGGGCACGAGCTAGAAACTGAGGTGCAACGCATGTTGAAACAGATGCGAAAGTTAACCGTGGAGTTGGCCGAGATCGCGGGGAAGGAGAAGGACGGAATTATTCACAGAACATTTGCGCATCAAAATTCCAGCGCCGACAGAAAAGATATCTCTAAAAACGACTCTTTCCCCGAGTACGTTCAGAAACCATTCTTCACGTTCGAAGTCCTCCACGAATCGAAACGGTCTCGGGCGAGAGCGTGCAAAATAACGACTCCGCACGGGACGATTTTTACGCCAGCTTTTGTCGCGGTTGGCACGCAAGGCGCGTTGAAAGCGGTGCCGCATTCGGTATTGGACGATGCCAACTTGGACTTGATGTTTGCGAATACCTACCATTTGTTGCTCCAACCAGGACACGAGCATTTACAAAAAGCCGGAGGAATACACAAATTTATAGGGAGAAATAGACCAACTATTAGCGATAGTGGCGGGTTTCAAGTGTTTTCATTGGGTTTGGATGCGGATGAGTTGGATGAGAGCAAATCCCCTAATAAGAATAACAATGATGACAAAAACAACAACAACAACAACGGCGAACGCAACCACGTCGGCACCGGGACGAAGGAGTTGAAGAGTCGAGGGAAAACGAAGCATAAGCAGCAGAATTTATTGGAAAAAGTAGATGAAGATGGCGTGACGTTTCGTTCGTACCGCGACGGGACGACGTTGAAGTTGACGCCAGAGTCGAGCGTGCAAGCGCAAAAGAACATCGGATGCGACATTATACTTCCTTTGGACGAGTTGACGAAATACGATATCAGTTTACAAGAGCTCTCAGAGTCAGTAGATAGGTCGCACAGATGGGAGACGCGGAGCTTATACGAGCACTTGAAGAATGTGAAAGAGCAGGCAATGTATGCCATTATTCACGGCGGCGTGGATGAGAGGTTGAGAAAGAAGAGCGTGGAATATTTGACGAGTTTGCCTTTTGACGGCTACGCGATTGGTGGGTCGTTAGGGAAGAACAGGGAAGAGCTGAAAGAACTTTTACAGTTTTTGATGCCAATCATTCCGAGGGATAAACCGAATCATTTACTTGGAATTGGAGATTTGCCGTCTATTGCGCACGGAGTACGCATGGGCGTGGATTCGTTCGATAGCGCGTACCCGACTCAAATCGCTCGACACGGGACGCTTTTGTCCGAGAATGGGCCAGTAAATTATAGAAAATCAGAATATAGAGAGCATTTCGGCAAACCTGCTGAAATATTAGGAAATAGTAGTGGCGACGACGAGTGCAAGTGTTTATTGTGCAGAAAACACTCGCTCTCGTATTTAGCGCATCTGGACAGGGCAAACGAACCCATGGCATGGAGCCTCGCGACGGAGCACAATTTACATTTCATGGGACGTACGATGGAAAGGCACAGACAAGCTATAATGAACGATGAGATATGATTATTTAATAGCATTTTGTATTTGTAATAATGCGCGAAAATTAGTACCGCCGGGTTTTGTAAAAGGAACAATTTTCTCTCGTGCGGAAGAGGTCAACACGCCCAAAGTCAACACGTACGCTCCAAAATTTTAGCTCTTTCGAAAAAAAAGTAAATGACTCGCGCAGAAGTCGAAAGACACTGCGTGATGCCAGAGATACAAAACACCGTAGAACCGAGCGCGTTGACGTCGAGATTAGCGCGAATCCACACGCACACGCACACGAATTCGAATACGGAACACGCCAGCACGTGGGTCTTCTTTTCTGCAAAAACGTTCAAAAATACTGACCATACACCCAACTCTTTCTCCTTTTTCTAAATATTATGCATACAGATTGACTATTTGCGAAACAACAGTCGCGGATAACGAGCTCCTCTACGACATCAACCACGTCGGCATCGCCTCCGAAATCGACGCGCAACTTTCCTCAGTCGATCAGACTCTTGAAGCGCTTCGCGATAAATCTCGCTTCGTTGGCGAGGAGGACGAACGCGCGTTTTACCAAAACCGAAAAAGAACTCGCGGAAACGAAACCATCAAATTGCGCAATAAAATAAATGAATCTTTGGCGCATCAGATGGCGTTCTTCACCGAGACAACGACAAAGTTTCCGTGCTTGAACGGATGGTCGAATAACAGTAGTCAACACTTGCCGCCAGAGCACATCTTCTCGCCGACGAGGCCGAAAGAACTTTGACGTGACTATCATATTTTAGATCTTGAGTAAGAGCATCATTCGTCGCGAAGAATGGGCTTTATTGTTATTAATATCGTCAACAGGTCTCGTCCAATTCATGTACAAGAATAAGTCGCTCAGTTTATTCACCATGACGTAAAAGTAAACGCCAATCATCAACGCAAACATGGCGCAGATCAAGATGGTTTTCTTTCCTCTTTTCCTTTCATTGATATTTTTTCTTGTTGGGAAGAAAAGAGGAGGAGGGAGGTGTTCTCCGCGCTCTCGTTGACGACGGGACCACTGGTTACGTTCATTTGAAGGAGAGAAAGGAGGCGATGGGTGCGGTCTATGTGGTCGCGGTGGCGTGTGCGCGTCGTCGTCGTGGATGTTAGATTCATTCATTGTTTTTGCTTTCTTTTCGTCAAAACGTCTTTTTTTATGTGAGATATTTTGAGGTGACCTTTCTCTCTTTATTTATACAAAAATACGTTCTACTATATTTGATTTGATTTGTCGCGAGACGAATCTTAACTCTTCTGCTCTCTGAGCAACGCTAATTGTGCTTTCAACTCCTCCGTGGTCAATTTAGAGATATCCTTCTTGACTAACTCGGCTGACGGTCGAGTAGGCCTCTCTCTCACCGGTAACAAGTTCGACTTATCGGGAATCTTCGGTACGATTTGTCGCAAATCAATCACGTCTCTCATGTAAATATCACTCTCGACCCAATTTTTAAACGATACTAAAGCCCCAATCGCCGTGGCGACTTCTAACGCCAACACGAGCATGGATCGGTACCCTTCCATTTTCCTCATGTTTGCCGCGTCTTTGATGATTTCTTTGCGCATGGAAAACTGTTTCTTCGCCGCGCGTTCCCACCCGTCTTCGTCCATGGATAACTCTTTCACCACGTTTTTGAAAAACTTATTGTGATGTTCCCCTAACCATTGTTCAGCGGCGTCCATTTGCATCTCCTCTTTCGTCCCGGATGTAGATGTTGATCCGCTATCAACGCCTTCGTCGCCGTCGTAATCGTCGTAAGAGTAGTCGTCGCCAAAGTCATCGCTTTGGAATCGAGATACCGGTCGAAAATCCCTGTAATCGTCCTCAAAATCACCACCGTCATCGTCCACGCTCTCCTCACTCCCTTCTCCAAAACTCTCTCCTCCTCCATCGTTCTCCCCGCCACTAAAAGACGTCCTCGTCGGTTCCAACTCGTCCGCGCTGCCAAACCCATCCTCACCAGCAGTACTCTCCCGTCTCATCATCTGTGCCTGCGCCGCAGGACTCGGCATCGACTGCGGTAACTTCATCAACAAAAACCACGCGGCTAACCCTGCGCACGCAATCAAGGCGAGCAAACCGATATTGTTCGATGATGCTGAACTGTTGTTGTACGCTTCCGCCGAAGAAGGATGATGATCCCCATCGTCTTTTTTCTTTTGCAAGATGACATTTAAATCCGTCTCCATCTCCATCAGTTTTTCCTCTCGCGCTTTATCTTCCGCTCTCGCAAAAGAAGAAGACAAAGAATCCGCGCTTTTGTTCTCGTTAGAACTGCTCTTCCCGAAACCAAACAGATCCATGATGCTTCTGTGTTGTGTTGAGAAATGATTAAAATCAAAGTGGAGAAAAGAACAAAAAAAAGTAAAGAATTTTATGAAATCGAGAAAAAGTCTTTTGGGAAGCAAAATTGATATTTTCTTCACACTTCACACGCGCAACAAACATTCTCTCTCTCTCTTAAAATATATACACGCACGCAACGCGTCACGCAGGAGGAGGACGCATTTCTCTTGCGTGCGTGTGTGTGTTTCTCTCTCGCGAATCGATCGCAGGTGAAGAAAAGTTGCTTTTATTTAAAGAGAAATTGGGTAGGGGAAACCTCCGTAACGCTTCTTCTTCATAATAATGAACGGAGCAAACGGAGCGTTTTTGACGAACGCGGAGCCGAGGAAAGGCGATACGACGACGAGCGAAAACGCTTCTTTCTGCAAAAACACGTTCCGATGGGTCGTCGACATCGACCAGTGGCATCCAATCGAAGAACACGAAGGGAGAGAGTTTCAGTTTTTATTAAATTTGATTCAACAGGAAGACGAACGAGAACAAGTTTTGAAGTATTACCATTTCGCGGATAAGAAGAGAGCGCTGGTGTCGAGATTGATGACGCGAGCGGCGTGCGCGAAAGCGAGAGGGTGCAAGTTTGAGGAGGTTATCATCGGGAGGACGAAAGGGAGGAAACCGTTCTTTAAGAACGTGCACGAGGTAGCCGCGAGGACGACGACGACAAACAACGGCGGTAGTAGTAGTATTAGTAACGGCAACGCGACGATGACGATGATGAGAGACGGTGGAAGAATAGGTATTGCGAACGCGCCAAACTTTAACTTTAACGTCAGTCACGAAGGGAAATACGTCGCGTTGGTTTCGGAACCGTACGCGATTTGCGGCGTCGACGTCGCCGCGCCGGACCAACTTCGTCTAGGGAATCGGTCGATTTCCGCCATCGAGGAAATTTTTGAGACGTTCGATACGACGTTACATCCGAAAGAAAAAGCGCAAATTTTAAAACAAAATGGATTATCCAGTCAACTTTCGAGATTTAGACAGATTTGGTCGTTGAAAGAGGCGTGGTCGAAGTGCATGGGGACTGGGTTAGGAGCGAAATTTGCCTCGGCGGAGTTTACGATTTCGCAAGACGTGGAAGCGGCGGTAAATGCCAATAATGACAATGATGACGATGATAAAGTAAAGAGTACTAAACAACAAAACGCAAACGTCCAAATCGACGATAAAAAGGACTTTGGCGGCGCTTGGACCGCTACCATTTCCGTCGATGGCGTCAACGAAATCGGCCAGCGCGACGAAAACTGGAGTTTCTACTTACACCCGTTCCCCCCGCTCGAAGACGTTTACGACATCCCCGACGACGAAACGCACTGGATAACCGTCGCCAGAGGTCCAACCAGCTGCGTCGTTGATGCGCACGGCGAATTCTGGAAAACTTTAAAAGCAAAAAACATCGAATCGAACGAACAAAAAGACACGTGGACGAGAGACATTTGGCGAAGAGCGCCTTCGTTTCGGATGTTGCGGGTGGCGGATTTGGTCCCGGAGGAGTTGCGCTATCGATTTCAGTGTTTGGTGAAAGAGGAGGAAAATTGCGAAAGAGTGTTGGAGAGTATCGCGGCGACGGCGATTGTGAAATGAATGTATGTATGTATGTATATGTGCTGCTTGTATGAATAGTAGTTTTAGAAAACCGAGAACGTTGGTGTAGTATCACAAAAACAAACACAAGAGAGCGTAACGAACTCGTCAAGTGCCTCAAAATTTACCTACTACTCTGCTCTCTGCGAAAGAAGAACACACTCACAAGCGTCAAAGAAAAGAGACAAAAAATGATGATGATGACTATAACGACAGCAACAACACCAAGAACAACACCATCGTGTTTAGCGCAAGGACAGAACAAAAACAAGTATCGCGGTCCGAAACCATCTGATGATTCCATTTTGGATAACGACGGCAAAAACATCAACACGTCCTCTCGTCGTCCTCGAAATCGTCGCGAACAGCTCCTCACCTTGACCGCCACCGTCCTCCTCTCCGTTTCGAGAACTCAACCATCTCACGCGTTCGGCAACGGTTTCCCCGGGTACGACGTCAACGAGAAAGCGAGAAACCTGCAACGCGATGCGATTAAAAACGAGCTCAACGAACAAAAGCGGTTAGCGAGAGAGGAGAAGCAAAAGAGGCGACGAGAGAAATGCGCGAACGGCGAGACAGAATTCTGCGACGACGAGGAGAGCAGCGGGTCGTAGAGACAGAAAGAGAGAGAGCGCGAGCGTGTAGTAGTAATATGATAACCAAATGTGTTTCCCATCGTAAAGCGTTGAAAGTTTCCCCAAACACGTCAAAACTCCTCTGTATTCCAACACATAATGTCGCACCACCGAGGCGGTGCTGGTGGAAACCAGCACCTGCACTACGACGGCACGTACGGACCAATATCCCCCTCGAATTCTCCCGACATTCCATCGCCTCGTCAGTGGACGGAGCCCCCTCCTTCTCCGTCGTCAAAATCTTCGTTCTCTGCGCGAGAGCGACTGGAAACGTTGAAAAGAAATAAAAGTAGGACGAAGAATATCCGCAACATGTTCCCTCGAATGGAACGGATCGCGCTCGTTATCCTAGTCGTCGTATTCTGGACGCAACAAATGTACTCGAATTTTACCATGATGCCTGGTAAAGGGAGTTTAGAGAAGGAACATGAGCACGTATTGGGAGGAGGAGGAGTTAGAAGAGGAGGAGGAGGGGTGTTGACTTCAACGAATCGCAAGAAATCGAACGGCAATAATAATGTCGTGAGGTTCACGACGAGCGATTTAAATTCTGGGATTCACACGGAGACGAGGAGAGTGAGGAGAGAAGGCACCGCGAATCGGAAGGAGAGTATAGGTTCTTCGAAGGAGAAGGACGCCGCGGCGAGCGGCGCCGGTACTCCAGCGCGGCCGGCGACGCCGAGATGGTTCACGAGACAAGCGAGAGAGTTTTGGAAGGTTTATGAAGACGACGTCGCGATGAATTGCCCGGAAGGCACAGACGAGGAGGAAGGATGCGCATTGCCGCAGGAAACGTACGTGAACTTTGCAAAGTTGTCGATTAACGATCAGACGGCGACTTTGAAACATTTGGGTTTGCCGGCGATTCGAGCGAGAGATTTGCTGTTGAACGGCGTTTCGGATGCAGATAAGCAGAGTTTATTGCTGTTGAGCGTAGACGCGACGAGAGCGAAGGAGATTATAGAGTACACGGCAACTTTGCCGGCGTTGAAATTGATTAAGCGGGGGATTTTGAGGTCGCCGAGGAAGGTGTTGGCGGTATTGGCGGCGTTGAACGATAAGACGGAAGCGTTGGATCGCATTTTGCCTCATTTGACGACGACGCGCGGTGGGAGTGCTGGTAGTAGCGAGAACGAGAACGAGGAACACCGTCACCCTCATCATCAACGTTTGCACAAGCAACCGCTCCGACCGTTTCTGTCGTGGTTCCCGGACGCGGATATCGCGGAGCTTCTCTCGGCGTCTTCAGCTTTGCAAGCTTCCATCGCGGTGGAAACGTTATCGCTCAAGAAGCTCGCCGACGTGTTCACGAGAATGCTTACGCCTCCATCGAAAGAAACTGCAACAAGTAGTAGTACTAGCACTAGTGGTAGTAGTGGTTCTCGAGCCAGCGCCGCCGCCAAGCGCCATTCCACTGGTTCGTCATCAACAGCAGCGGCAAAAACCATCGCCATGATTCTCGAAGCCTCCCGCCGGAGCCAAGCGGCGAAAATCCTCGCCCGACTCGACCTCGATTCGCAAACCTTACTTTACTCCAAAATGGACGAAGCTACCGCAGAGGCGTTAAAATCTCGAGTTTCCTTAATCTCCCCCGAATCCATCGAAGAAGAAGACGAATCCGTCGCCCGAACGGATGAAACGCAAACGTTTGATTTCGCGCAAATAAACGACGCCATCCAATCCGTGAATAAAGACATCAAATCGAGCGAAGAGAAAGCGAAAAATGAGCGGGATAAAATGGAAAAAGCCGGTCTGTCCTGGAGAGGCGTCGGTTGGTGATCGTTTTCATCACTGTAGCAGCACATTATATATATAGATTGTAGTAGACATATTTTCGCAGCAAAAAGCTTAGAGAAAAAAGCAAGAGCAAAACTTAAATGACTGCAAATATCTTGTACTCCTCCAAAAGTCGTTTTTTCTTCAGGGAAACTCCTTGAAATCAATCGTCACATCATCGTCATCATCATCCGAGACACGCGCGCGCGCGCACACAGACAGGTCTTCTTTTCTCCTTTTCAATCAAACAGAGAGAGGAGTCGATTCAAACAGTCGCGAAAAGCACCCGTGTACCGCGCTGCTACACCAAAGAAGAAGAAGAAGAAGAAGAAGAAGGACGTTTTTTGGCGTTTGCGTTGAGATTGATTTTCTTAAATCCGATTCACATCGCGCGGAGGAGGAGAAAAAAAACGCGCCCATTCATATTCAAGAGTACTAGTTTAAAAGATGGCGGACACATCGACACAAGAACAACAACAACAACAACAACAACAACCGATGAACTTTCTCGCGACTTTGAAGAACAAAGCGCCGCAGCAAAACGGAACAGGTATGCGTTTATGCGAGAGTATCTAACCTCGGTCTGCACTTTCTCATTTCTTCTGCCCGAGAATCCAACCGGATGGATTGTTTGAGCGTTTTCGACCGGCAAAAGACTTTGCACGTAGTTCACTATTCACACATCGAAACTCTCTTTCTCTCTCTTTCAAACAGGAAAACAACAACAACAACAGAAAAGAACGGCGTCCGCACCGCCCGGGTTTACATCACCATCCGGACAACAACAACAGACGACGAGGACAACGACGGTTTTGGGGGAGGAGCAGATTCCTGGGAAAAAGACGCCAACGACGCCGACGAAGAGTAGCGGCGCGACGAAACCAGCACCGATTGGCATCCCGGAGAAAGAGGACGAGGCGTTCGACCCGAGCTTAGTCTCGCCGCAACTGGCGATGATTAAGAAACTCAGCGCGAAACCGAAGAATAGTCTCGGAGAGGAAGAGGACAAGAACGACCCGAAGAGTCCTTTGGCGTTGTGCAACGACGGGCAAACGAGCGAGTCGCAAAGTTCCGGGACGACCGATCAAGAGTCGGTCAGTTTTCAAGAGAAACTTGTCGCGGATGGCGAAGGTGTTGACGCGAAGAAGGATAGTGCCTCGTCCGCTCAGGCGGGTAAGAAGGGACAGAAACAAAGAGAAGAGGAAAACTACGTGACGCCGCGACCGATTTGGGTGGCAAGGTTGCCGAGACCAGCCTCGGAGAAGTACGACGACCAAAAAGCGCAAAGAGAGAGAGATCAAGTGTTGGACGAGAAGATTAAAGGTTTAACCACGGAAATCGACGCGATGATTAAAGAATCGCAGGAGTTGAAGGTTGAATTGGACGCCAAGAGAGTCGAGTTGAAGAAATCGAGAGAGGAAGTCAAGATGGCGAACGACTTGGTGAAACCGATTCGCGACCGATGGAACGGTCTGCGCGACGCCGAGAAGAGCTTGAAAGAAAAATCGCAAACGATGAAAGGTTTGGACAGTTTAGCGAAACTCGACGCCAAGTTGGACGACTTGGAGAAGAAGATGGAAGACGAGAGCTTGTCGGTTTTGGAACAGAACAAGATTTTGCGCGAGCAGAAAAAGTTGCGAAAAATGCAAACAGAAATCGAGTCTCTCGAAGAGAAGAAGCGTCAAACGACTGGTCCGAATCTAGTTGGTGAAAGTCGCGACGAGCTGAAAGCGCGTTTGAATGCGTGCTCGGAAGCGATCGATGTTTTGAGAGCGAGATTAAAGACGGTTGCGGATTCTCACGACGAGACGTTTGAGCAAATCAAGGTTGTTTCGGAAACGATCACATCTTTGAGAGATAAGCGTTCAAAGTTTATGAAGGAAAGAAGCGCAAAGTACAACGAGTTGGCCGGTGTCAGAAAGGAAATCCAAGTCTTCTCCAAGTTCAGATCGCTCGCCAGAGATGCGCAAGCTTCAATGAACTCGAAAGACGTCGACGTCATTTCAGAAGCGAGAATGAAGTGCGAAGACCACAACGATAAGTTGATTACTCAAATGATTGAGAGTGAAATGTACCGTGAATGGTATATGGTTGAAACCAAACGAGAGCAGTCGGCGGCGAGAGAACGCAAGATGGAAGCGCAAGCGGTGAGGGATGCCGAGAGATTGGCAAAGATTGAAGAAAAGCTCAAGAAATCAAACGCAAAGAGAGAGGAGGAAGAGAAGAAGAAGAAGAAGAAGGAGCAAGACGAAATGGAAAAAGAAAAAGAGGAAGTCGATCCTGCGGCAATTCCAAATGTGGAAAAGCCGGCATCTTCATCATCATTAGCCACCACCGAGAACGCTGTCGAGAAAAAGCTCAACAAGAAACAGAAGCAAAAAGGTGCGAAAAAATCACCGTCAACCGTCGACGTTGCGAACAAGAACGAAGTCAAAGAAGAAGTGCCGAAAATCGCGAAAGTTCCCGAACACATTCTCGAGATTCTGAGCTCAAAAGGTACCAATGATAGCGACGCGAGTGATCCTCCGTTATCTCCGCGGTCTCAAGCGCGCGAAAAATCGCTCGAAGGCGCGCAGTTAAAGGCGCGAAAGCAACAATTAAAGCAGGAACGATTGAAAGCGAGCGCGCAGAAAGCCGAGAAGAACTCTGAATCGACGAAAAGTAAAAGCGAAGAAATGGCCGCCGCGAGTGCCGCTACGCAAGCGGCAAGAGCGCAAATCGAGTTGGAGTTGAAACGCGAAAAGCGCGAAGAGCAAGAGCGATTATCGTCGGCGTCGAAGGATGTTCAGGTTGACAAAGAAGTCGTGAAAGTCGCCGCCAAAGCCGCCAAGCGCGCGGCATTGATGAAGGAAATGAAGAAAGAACGACGCGATAAGATCAAGAAGATACTTCTTGCCATCTTTTTATGTATCGTTGTATCTTTGCTCACCTATTCTCATTTCACGACGAAGCCGGAACCGAAAGTGATCAACATCAACACAAAGTCTTGGAGGCAAGAGGAGCAACAGCAGCAGCAGCAGCCAGAGGTGACATATCAGTTCGAAGAGGAAGAAGGTTTAGAAGACCAGCAACCGCTGTTCAATTCCGAACTATAATACCTAAACTAATACTTTCCATAATACAGAATAAAGTCTCGAGTTCGAGAAAGAGCGAGAGCGAGAGAGAGGAATTATTACTAATTGTTTTAAATAATGCAACCGTGCCGTACAAATAATAACGAACGATGTGAATGTATGTCTTGTGCGTATCTAACTAGTTCTTTACAACCTGGCGCGCGCATCGCGCATTTCTATCTTAACAAAGGTTCGCGAACAAAATACCCTGCGTCCTCTTAATTTCGTTGCTCCATTTGTTCAATGCATCGTACTCGCTTTCTACCCTTTTCTTTTGAAGCTTTTTCCCTTCTTCTTGTTGTTCCTTCTCTTGTTCACTCGCGTCCGCGATGCTCTCTCGGTTAATCTCCAACATCCCGGTCACTTGATTTATCTTCGCGTCTAACACGTCGTCTAATACTAAATTCACGAGCAACGATTCTAACTCTTTCTCGGGAATGTTCAACTCTTCGCTCAAGTGCGGCAATTTCACCTTCGAGTATGGCCGGACTGTTTTTAACAAAACTTGCGTTCGAACGTTGTCCAACAACGCTTGAATGTGTTCGGCGACAAACGCGTCTTCGCTGATACTCTTCTTGTGCTTCTCTAAAAGCGATTCAAACGACGTGATATCGTTAGCTTGGTACGCTTGGACTAGGTCCGTCATCGCCTTCACCTCCTCGTTCGATTGAAACGGTTTCGCTTCTTGCGATCCGAACGGATCCACGTCCGATTGCATCAACATGTTCGCCAACACGAGATACTTCAAACACACCACCCGTCTCGGTAACCCTGCTTCGTCGTAACTCTTAAACGCCTCGAAAAAGTCCGTCGCCGCGTCTCCAAAGTTCCTCTCCGCGATGTGCATTTTGCCACCGCACTCGCGAATGATACCTAGTATTCTCGGGTGCGGAATCGCGCTCTTAATTGCCAAACTCTCTCGGTACAACTCTTTCAACTTTTTCGTGTTCTTTTGCTCGGTGTACATTTGAATCTCCATCGCGTACACCTCCAACAACTGCGTCCCTTTACTTGCCGCATAGTTCCCACTCTCGTCTTCGCACGATTTTCTCAATTCTTTCAACGTCTTCCCCATAGCCGCAAAGTTCTGCCACTTCAACCACAATTTGCACAACTTCAGTTGAATCTTAAACCACAACCGTTCGTTCGCCTCTCTCGTCATCGTTTTCAGCGTCTTCTCGTAAAACTGTTCCAGCAACTCCCGGTCTTCCATTTGGTTCATCGTTTCCAACAAAGAATTCAAAACCTTTTCCGATTTGTTCTTCGTCACCGCTTTCGAGTCGACGTATGTCAACAGCTTCCCTAAACTCTCAATCGCGAGCGCGACGTTCTTCTTCTTCTTCTCCTCCTCTTTCGTTGAAATCGACGCATCCGCACAACCTTTCAATCGTAACTTCACCACCTGTTTCATGGCTTTAAACCCCCACTCGCCGGGTTGACCGCTCTCATCTTCCATGGTCACCACCGCCGTGAACGCCTCGATCGCTTTCTCAAAGTCCTCCGGGTTTTCCAGCAAGCCTGTAATATCAGAAAAGAAACAGTAAAGAGAGAGAGAGAGAGAAAAATTGGAGTTCGTTAGATCTTCGTTTTCTTCGCTTGAACTCTCTTTTCGAGAGAGAGAGAGAGAAAAAAAAACAGAGAAACGAATGTTTTGAACGTACCTTTAGCGTTGTAATATTGGTTCTCCACGTCCACTTGTTCCTCGTCTTGTTCCTCGTCCGAGTATTCGAACCCGTAGTCTTCGTCCATGTCGCTCATGATGATTGAATTTTCTCCTTTTTTGCGAGAGGTTTTTTTGGCGAAACCAAAAATGAGGAAAAATGAGGAAAATCGCTTATTTTAAATGACCACATTTCGATCACGAACCAGATACAACAAAAGAAAAGCAAAGCGCTCCCCTGTCGCGTCGTTCGTCTCTCTCGCGGCGAAGAAGAAAACTCGTCCGTCGTCCACTTTCATTAGTACTCGCAAGAAGCGCGAACGCGCGATATGACGAGGAACGAGCAATCAGAGCGCGACGTGGGGGAGAATCTCGCGGAGGCGCGAGCGTTGTGCGAACGCTTGGACGAAACGCTTAAGAACTGCGCGAGCAAACTTGTAGGGGACGTTTCAACGCGGCGCGTGACCGAGCTCGAAGAGCGGGTGAAAGAGATGGAGGAGGAGATGAGAGAGGTCAAAGAAGAGCTGAGAAACCTTTCGCCGACGCCTTTGTGGAAGGTTGTCACGGATAAGCAGTACAAAGATATCTTCGAGACGCATATTTTATCGAAGTTGGACGACTTGTCTTTCAGAGTGTTTCGAGAGGTGAACACGGAAAGTCGAGACGCGTGTAGACGATCGGGGAGGAAGTTGCGGGAGACTTTTGGGCTTACTACTTACAGTGGTAATCCACCAGTGACAAAGAAAACGACCATTAAGATCGAGGGAAAAGAAGCGCAGCGTTATTTCTGCAGTGAAGCAGCTCGTATGGGAAACCTCGCGTTGGTTCGTTGGTTACGAGAAGTGAAAAAGTTTGATTGGAACGAGCTGACGATCAACGAAGCAGCTGAAAATGGTCATCTTCACATTGTGACGTATTGCACAGAACAGAAATGTCCACGTGGCTCGTTGCCGTGTGCATGTGCTGCCAAATCCGGCCATCTCGATATTCTCAAATACTTGCACGAAAACGGCGCGCCTTGGAATTTGTGGACTTGCACTTTCGCTCGCAAAAACAACCACCTCGAGTGTTTGAACTACGCCAAAGAGAACGGGTGTCAAAACGACACACACGTCCCACAACATTAACAAGTAAACAACGCTCCGTGATGTAACATTGGTGCTGAGATTTAAAAGAAAATGCACACATGTTTAGCACAGAGAGAAAAAGGGAGAGAAAGAGAGAAAGAGATTGAGAGACACATACACACACGCGCAACTAAGAAGAAAATTTTAAAATCTCTACGTATGCGCAAAATCTAAGAACTTACTAATCATAAAACTTACACGGTCGTGGACGCTACTGTTGTTGCCACTTTCTGTTACATCAAACGACTGATATCGCGTCCGAATATTCGCGTTCGCAACATGTCGAAACCAACTTTGAAACTGTTCCCTACGCTCACTTGGCTCACCGTTTCGAAGCTTTTCCAAAACAAACCAGCCATGATGCCTTTCAAAATAGTTACGCCCGGAATATCCGCCACAGCGGCGTCCTTTCCAATGTACGCCAGCGAGCCTCGGTGCGTGTACACAAACTCCGCGTTCGGATCGTCTAACACCGCGTAATTCCCAGTTTCTGCCGCTTTATTGAACCTCTCTGCTAAATAATATCCCTCCTGTTTCGCCACCTGCGCTGTCGCCGGATACGCTTTCGGTTCCAACGTCACGCAATCCCCAATCCCATATATCGACCCGTCCGATCCCTTCACGCGCATGGCCTTATCCGCTAACAACGCTCTTCTGCTCGGTTGCGACCCTTCCGGTAACGAATCCATCACTTTCTCACACACAGGGTTCATCTTAATCCCAGAACACCACACCGCCATCCCAAACGGCAGTTCTTTCTCCTCCCCAGTGTTCTTATCCGCCACCGTCAAGACGCACTGCTTGACCTCTTTCACTTGCGTGTTTAAAATACAATTAATGTTCGCCTTTTGGAAGAAATCCGTGGCGTAGTTTTGAATATCTCTATCGTACGTCGATAACAATCGGTCTTGTAAATCGACAATGTTAATCGACACGTGTTTCAAAAGCCGCTTCGGAAACGTCTTGGCGACGTCGTTATACACTAAATCGTACAATTCCGCGGCTAATTCTACCCCAGTCGGTCCAGCGCCGATAACCACAAACCTCAACAAATCCTCAATCTGTCCAACCGACATCGACGGCAACGCCGCTCTCTCAAATCTCGCGTTCACTTGACTCCGAAACTGCGCCGCGTGCGCCACCTCTTTGAAAAACAAACAGTGCTGCTCCACCCCGGGTACGCCAAACGTGTTCGGAATCGCCCCAACGGCGACAACTAGATAATCGTAATTGATGTCAAAATGTTGCGACTTGTGCTTCCCACCTTCCCCATCGCCACCACCGACATTCGGTAACCACTTGCTCGCCGTCGCGCTCGTTAAATACCTATTGGTAAACGACACCGTCTTCTTCTGCGCGTCCACGCCAGTCGCGGCGGCTTCGTAATATTTGAACCCTTTCTCCGCGATCGGCCTCCGAATGCTCTCCACGATCGATCTCGTCTCAATCGCTCCGGTGGCTACCCCGGGAAGTAACGGCGTGTACAAAAAATAATTCCTCGGCGATACCACCACCACGTTGAACATATCTCGAGCCACTTTTTTATCCAACGCTTTGATAAAACTAATCGCCCCCCACCCGGAGCCTAACACGACGATGGTTTTCTTATTCGGATCGATCGTGCACGATTCAATCGAGGACGTCGGTTCCGGCGCGGAGAGTTTTTGTTCCAACACGCGCTCCAACCGGTCGTTCCAGTGCGAGTCCGCCGCCGCCGCGAACGAACGAGTCGAGGAAGGAGACATACAATTTTGTTTCCTTTTTTCTTCTTGCGTCGCTGTCGAGGAGACACGTGTGTGGAAACGACTTTGATCTTCATCGCTTACGTTTCTCCCAAACGTCGTAAACTCGCTCGTTCGACGAAAGAACCCCGCGCCTTGGCTATGTTTGACCCCGCACGAGGAGGAGGAATAGTAATAGTAATAGTTTTGCCTATGCGCGGTCTTGGACGCGCCTCGTCGGAAGGAGGAGAGGAGCGACATGATGATGATTGATTCCGGATAGAACCGCCGCGCGTCGAAAAAGTGAACGCTTTTTGAGTTTCGTTTGGAAGGCAAAAGTAGGCACTTTAATAATAAGAGGGACTTTTTCTTCACTCTGCGCGCGAGCGCTACTACGTGTGCTATTTATTATTCTACTGTTTTTAAAGCTATTTATATCATTTCTCTCTCTATTCTTTCTATTCTTCTCCGCTGACTTCCATGACAATCTCGCCAAACTTTTGGAGCAATTCTTTGCACTTCACTCGGGCGAATTCGTGGGAGACCATGTAGGAATACGCCAATCCGACGACGACGGGGATGCGCAAGCCTCGGCCGCCGGAGCCGACGAAGAGGAAGAGGATAGATGGTCCGACTCTTTCCGCGTGGTTCCGGAAGTCCCGCCGGAATCGAGTGACGTTGTGGTACAAAAAGAAGGTGGTGCCCAAGGTGAAAATACCACCGACGAGCACGTCTAAGCGGTTAGGGAGGGCGGGAAAGACTTGGATAATCCTTTGCCAGTTGAAGATTTTCCCTAAGCCTCGTGCCGGGGACTGTTGTTGGTTTTGGAACACGACGAATCGTAAACGTTCCGGGCGCCACGGAGGGAACCACAAGACGGAACGGTAGAAGATATTTTCCACGTAGAGGTAGTATTGACCTTTAATACGTATCCAGCTGGCGAGGGAGGTTTTTGGAAGCACGCGGTTACCAATGAAGGTTAAGATTTGAACCAGCGCGAAGGATATCGTTCGCAAAGCGACACCAATCGTCAACGCGAGAAGAAAAGTCGCGAGCACGGCAAATATGTTTGGCAACTCTTCTCGCTCTAGCCATTTTGCGTACTCTGTTCGCTCCAAGTTATAATCGTATTTACACTGATCGCAGGAGAAGTACGATCGCGGATTGGAAGAGAGCGTTCGCCATCGGTCCAAGCATTTCCTGTGGACGAGACCAACGCTCCCTTTGCACATGCACGGTGAAAATAACTTACCAAGCTCACTGTTCTCATCGTTCACGTCGGACATGCATATTCTGCACTGCGGAGGTTCGTCATCCTCCTGGACTCGTTCGGGAAGATTTGGAGCGCGCTCGTGGTCTCTTCTCTCCTCCTCATTCCGTCCTCTGTTCGCGACGTTTTGAATACCAATACGAAGGCGTCGCCGCAAATATCCGAGCCTATCTGTCGCCGTCGCTTGCAACGCTCTCGCGCCGGGAGGTTGATCCATCACGTCTTCTTCCTGTCGTTGCCTTCTTTGTTCGAGTGCAAAGCGGCGTATTCTCGCTTCGCGCTCGAGCGCGCGCAAGCGATTTCTTTCCGCCAAAACGATGTTCGGATTGTTGTAGTTGTTATTGTTATTGTCCTCCATTGAATTAAACGACAAACTTATAACTCCCGCTCGGGCTCTTCTTCTTCTTTCCGTCCACCGCTTCAAACTTCAACTCCTCCAAGTTGATACCGCTCGCCTTCAAATTGGCTTTCGTTTCCATAGAATCCGATATGTCTTTAATCTTCCTGGCAATATCTTCTACTTTTAAATCGTGACAGTTAAACTGATCTTTCACGCCGTTCTCGAATTCAATCGCCACGACCGGTGGCATCTCGTCCGCTCTGATTTTATGCGACACCTCGCACTCCGGGTTGGACTTTTGAGCTCGCGGGGAATAGATGCGGTTCAGGAATTCTCTCATGGCGGTCGCGCGATGATCCATCGGGTTGAACTGGACGTGGATTTTCTTGAGGTGGCGCAATGGCATGGCGACGCTGATTACGTGTGTTGACGCGTCGGTTTACTGCGTTTGCGTTTTGAATGCACGCGGTGGAGAGTGTACGTCGGTGCCGACCTAAGAGTTGTGTGGTTTTTTTTGTAGACGAAGGTCTTTTTGAAACTTCGTATCTTGTGTGTTTCTCTCTCTCTCTTGTCTCTCGTATTGCTCAAATAACGTTGTGATGAAATATGTGTGCGTATAGTAGGCAGCATCCACCCGACCAGTGTTACATCACGGAACGTTGTTTACTTGTTAATGTTGTGGGACGTGTTTGTCGTTTTGACACTTGTTATCTAACGCGTAGACTAAACACTCGAGGTGGTTGTTTTCGCGAGCGAAAGCGCAAGTACGAAAATCCCAAGGCGCGCCGTTTTCGTGCAAGTATTTGAGAATATCGAGATGGCCGAATTTGGCAGCATCTGCACACGTCAACGAGCCACGTGGACATTTCTGTTCTGTGCAATACGTCACAATGTGAAGATGGCCATGTTTAGCTGCTGAGATGATCGTCCGCCGGCTCCAATCAAACTTTTTCACTTCTCGTAACCAACGAACCAACGCGAGGTTTCCCGTAAGAGCTGCTTCACTGCAGAAATGATGCTGCGCTTCTTTTCCCTCGAGCTTTCTGGTCTCTTTCTTTTTCTCTGGTGGTTTACCACTCCACATACTAACTTCAAGGGTCTCCTGCAACTTCCTCCCCGATCGCCTACACGCGTCGCGACTTTCCGTGTTCACCTCTCGAAACACTCTGAAAGACAACTCGTCCAACTTCGATAAAATATGCTTCTCGAAGATATCTTTGTACTTCTTATCCGTCACAACCTTCCACAACGGCGTCGGCGCGTACTTCATCAACTCTCTCTCCACCTCTTCCAACTCCTCCTCCTTCTTTCGCATCTGCGCCTCGAAAACAGATTCGCGCTCTTTCAATCTTTCTTCTTGTTCTTTCACCCGAGCGCGTAACGCCAAAATATCCTCCTCTTCATCGTCATCTTTTCCTTCTCCTCCTTCTTCCGCTCGCGGTCGCTTTTTACTCCCCATTCGTTTCCGCGGTAAACTTCTTTTTGCGAGCGTATCGCGATGCAACGCGCACTTTCCGTCGTCGCGTCTGCGTTTGTTTTTCTCTTCTTCTTCTTCTTTGTCTTCTTTCACGCGTATTTTTTGTGAACAAAGAGGTGCCTTGCAGGGAGCCGTCACTTTTTTCCACGCACCAAACACGTTGACCAAAGAGAGAGAGAGATTAAATCATGACCACATCATCGCTCCCAAAATTAAAACTCACCTACTTCAACATCCAAGGCCCCGCGGAGAAGGTTCGTTTGGCGTTAACGATCGGGAAAGTCCCGTTCGAGGACCACAGAATCGCGATGCCGGGGCAATCCGACGAGTGGAAAGAACAGTATAAACCGAAAACGCCGTTCGGGAAAGTCCCGGTGCTTGAAATCGACGGGAAGGAAGTGGTGTCGCAATCGGACGCGTTGTTACGATACGCGGGGATATTGGCGAACGAGAACGGCGTTGAGTTGTACCCGCAAGGTGGGATGGCGCAATTGAGAACGGACGAGATGATTTCGTTGGTGGATGAGATGGCGAATAGTTGGGCGCCGAGGCTGTACGTCGGTATGCAACCGAAGAATTTCGGATACCCGGACGATGATGCTTGGAAAGGCTCGGATGAACACAAAAAAGCGACCGAAATAGCGCGAACGAGGTGGGTTGACGACGATTTGCCCGTGTATTTAGGGCACGTTAAGAAACAGTTGGCGAAGAGCGGCGGTAAGTTTCTTTGCGGCGAGAAGGTGACCATCGCGGATTGCTACTTAGTCCCGATGTTGAATCGTTTGTCGAGCGGCGGCATCGATTACGTGGATAAAGAGTGCGTGGCCAAGCATGGGGGCGCTGAAGTTACGGATTACGTCGAGAGATTCATGAACATAGAAGAGGTGAAGAAGTGGTACGCGCCGAAGGATGTGTAAGAATAATACGGGTGGATTTGATGAAATGGTTCACGTCGAGTTGGTGAAAACGATAAAGGACAAAACACACGTACATAATAAGTGGTGATACAACAGAAAATACTCGACTATCAGTGCTTTCGTTCTTCTCTCTACTCACTACTACGCCGTAGCCTTCTCGGCTACTACCGGGGGCGCCTGCGGCAATGGAATCTCATCTTTTTCTTCCTCGAACGACAGCTCCATGGAAGGCAAATCGGCTTCTGGATTATCATTCAAATTTCTCAATTCGCCCGGTGCCAAAGCTAACGGGGTCAACGCGGCACTCACGGCTCCACTCAACGCTCCCGTGCCCGTTCTTTTGTTGCTATTATTATTATTATTATCTTTCTTGTTTTTTTCTTCTTCCGCCTTCTTGGTGGCGGTGGTCGCCGCTTCCTTTGTCTTTGCTTTTTTACTCTTCTTCTTCTTCTTTTGTTTGTTACCTTCGCTCGCGTCGTGCGACCCTTCTTCCGATCTATTATTGTTCACGTTTTCGTCGTTGCTCATCGTGTTCCTCCCGTCCTCCTCGTCCTCCTCTTCCTCAACCTCGCTCGGAATAATCCCAATCGTCTGCGCGTAGTTGCATATCTCTTCGTTGAACGCTTCGATCCTTTCCTTCATCTTCAATCGCCGATGATACTCCTTGAAGAACTCCTCGTTTTGCTGTTCCAATTGGTCCCAAATCACCGACGATATCACCTCATCGATCCCGCACTTCTTCTCTAAAATCTCAATCACTTCCTCTTTCGTCGCGTAAAACGTCAAGCATCGCTCGATGAGCGATTGGACGATGAGAATTTCTCGAGTTCCAAACTTTCGAGCCATTTGCTTCCTTTTTCTGAGCTCTCTGCGATTTTTAGATATCAACTGCGACGCGGTCGGTTGTTGTTGCTGTGCAACGTGTTGCATCGGAACAACCCCAGTTGCACCGCTGCGCTGATATTGTTGTTGTTGATTCGTCATAGGATGATGTTCGCCGTACGACGAGACCGCGCTCCGCTCGGACGAGAACGTCTTCATCTCTCTAATCTTCTTCTCTCGACGTCACCCAATTCCAAATCTTTTTTTTTATGTTCTCCGCTCCTTCGCGCAAAACAATCGAGAAGAACGCGCGAGTGTGAATGCAACCGATGTGGTATCGACACACAGACTCGTTGTTCGATTTTGTGGGTACGTTTAATCGGCGAGATTATCTCTTCTCCTCTTTTTGTAAAGAAGCGCGCGTGCGGATAGAATGTGGACAACACCTGGTGATGATGACGACACGCGACTATGGTTTCCAAAAATATCTCTTTTTCATCTTCTCGTTTTGTTGCGCGAGAGCAGTGCCTGCGCGGGAGATTAAATTTAATTGGGCGATTCTTGGTTGTGTCTTGGTTTGTTGCTTTTTTCCTTCTCTCACCAACTACGAGTTTTTCTTTCCCGAACGGCTTCACTTCACTTCATTACTCTTTGTCCCGAAAAGGAAAGTTTAATAAAGGATAAATATGGGAGAAGAGCAAAAGATGAAAACGACGTCACGCTTAGCGAAGAACGCGGAGGAAGCGAAACTCGCTGGTGGGAAGAAACGAGCGACGACGGGGACGACGATGGCGAGCAAGAAGAAAACGACGGGAACACCATCATCAAATCCTCATCCTCATCAAAAAGTGGAAGTGAAGAAAGAGGAGGAGGTTTTAGGAGGCGCTCTTCCTCCGAAACGGACGACGAGACGAACGGCGTCGACGGACGAGCAGATACTGGATGCGTCCGGTGGAGGGAGTGGTGGTGGTGGTGGTGCGTCGACGATGCAGCAGCAGCAACAAAGAGGGAGGACGAAAAAGAAAGCGTCGCCGCCATCGCGGGAAATTGTGGAACCGAAAGAAGAAGAAGAAGAAGAAGAAGAAGAAGAAGAAGAAGAAGAAGAGGAAGAAGAGAAAGACGACGAGGATGCAGAAGAAGAAGAAGAAGAAGAAGAAGAAGAAGAAGCAGACGACGATGATCAGATGGACGTGGACGACGAGGAAGACGCTTTCGAAGAGAGACGAAAAATAGACGCCGATGAAAAATACGAGGCTGATTGGACGGACAAGAAGCAATATTTTCCCATCGATTTGGCCGTATTTGACGCGCAGAAAAAGGCGGAGGCAATGAGTATTAACGACGCCGCGAAAATAGAGAGGGATACCGCGAACGGGAACGAGGAAGAGAAGAAGGGTTTAAGCAGAAAAAATGGAGAATCGATCGCGCAAACGCTGGACGATTTGAGGTCGTCCAAAGGCGAGAAGTTGGTCGCGTGGCAGTTGCCACCGGATTTGCCATTGGCGAACGAAAGAAACGGTAGAAATAGAAATAGCGCAACAGCTGCGGGTAGAAATAACAATAGAAGAGGTGGGAAGAGAACGTCCGCGGGAGCAGGCAACGCTACGAACAGTAGCAACAAGAACAAGAAACAGAAGAAACTTCTCGGCGTTCCCGATTTGAGGGCGGGACAACTCGGAGAGATTGAAGTGTACGCAGATGGCACGGCAAAATTCGTCATCGGCGAATGTAGGTTTGATTTAAAAGACGGTACGGCGTATAGGCACCACGAACAGTTCAATATCATAGATGAAAAGAAGAAAAAATGCGCGTTTGTAGGAGATATCGTAGGTCTAGTCGTAGCTACGCCGGACGTGGACCAATTAATAGAGCAAAGCTCGAAGGAGCAAAGCTACAGTGACGAAGACGACGAGAACTTAGATGGCGATAGCGACGCAGACATCATCCATGCCGATAGCGACTGATGGATGATGGTGTTGTGGAGAGAAGAATTTCTCTAGATATTTGTTTGTGTGTAGTAGAAATATTGACATAGTACGTACTAGTAGTTCAATTAACGAGCTGGGGCCTTCATGTCCGCGTAGACTGAAGCACGCGCGGCGTCGCAAAAAGCACCAACGTTTCCTTCTGGCGTGCCTTGGACCACTCCGTGCCCGACATTCAAAATATGCTTCGAGTTCCCGGCATCTCTCACGTTGTTTGCGACTTCTTTTCGAATTCTCTCCTCCGAGGCGAACAAATACATCGGGTCCATGTTCCCTTGCAAAATTCGATCCGGCATGATCGATCGCGCCTCGGCCATGTCCGTCTCCCAATCTAATCCAATAACATCCGCAGTGGATCTCTTAATTTCGTGTAACTTTCCATGTCCCCCGTTCGCGTGGAAAATCAACGGCGTGTCCGGATATTTCGCTCTCACGATTTCCATCACGCGTTCGTTGTATGGATGCGAAAACTCCGCAAACTGTTGGGGCGACAAATGATGCGCCCACGAATCGAATAACTGCACAACTTGTGCGCCGCAATCAATTTGATGGCACACGTACACCCCCAACGCTTCGGCTAAATGCGCCAAAAACGCGTGTAAAATTTCTGGATTCTTCGTCATCATTTGCTTCGTCACGACCAAGTGTCTGTCCGATTTCCCTTCAATCGCGTACGCCGCTAACGTCCACGGCGCGCCAATAAATCCGAGCATCGTGCTCTGACCTTCAATCTCTTTCCTCAACGTGCTCAAAATCGGACGAATAAACGGCAAGCTCGAATCTGGATCGTCCAACGTCTTCAACTTTTTCACCTCTTCCATCGACCGCACCGGTTCTACGACCGGTCCTTTCCCTCTGACGACATCAAACTCAACCCCAAGCGCTGGCAACGGCGTCAAAATATCCGAAAACATAATCACTCCGTCCGGCTTAAACGCTCTCCATGGTTGCATGGACAACTCGATGGCAATTTCCGGCGTCTCCGACCGATGGCGAAAAGGATACTTCTCCGAATACGCTCTGAATTCCGCCATGTATCTCCCAGCCTGCCTCATCAACCACACCGGCGGCCGTTCGACGTCTTCCCCACGAGCCGCTCTCAAGAGAATCGGATCATCTTTACTACCGTCGTTCGCCGAAGCATCGAGTCTGAAAACCGCGCGTCCTCCTCTTTCTCCTTTTCCTCCTCTGTTATTAATACTCTTCTTCGTCCCACTGCGACGAGACGAAGAATCCAATCGCGTTTGGGTCGTTCCCACGAGGAATGATGACGATGATGCTCTTTGCGAGATGAACATTTTCGTCCTCGTCCTCGTCTACAAATACTCGCACGGAAGAGAAACGAAAGTAGTAGCAGCACACGCGCTCCTAATCAAAGGCGTCGAAAAGTTCTTTATCTGCACTCACCACTTAAGCTTTCGTTCGCGTTGTTCGGCGGATGAAATTTTTCTGTGTGGATATCTGATATCTCTTTTTCCCTTTTCTTATCGAAAGAAAGCGAAGGAGAGAAGAGATCAGATTTTTCTTTTTTTGTTTTTTTTTTTCGACCAAAAAAATTTTGAACACAAAACCAACCAGAGAACTCTTGAGGATTTTTCGAGGGTCCTTTTCCATAGTTCCCCGACCTCTCTCTCTTTCTCTCTCTCTTTCTCTCTCCGCTTTCAAAATCATCATGGACAACGTGTACGCGCTCAACGAACGCGCGGTACGCGCTTTGGAAGATAACGGGATCACCGCGAAAACGATGATACGATTTGCGAGATTAGGTTTATACGCGCAAATAGTTTTGGCTTTGTGGGGGTCGTTATCGTTCACGTACGGGATCATCCACGCCTCCGCGCTCGCGGTGTCGTTGTACGGCGTCGTGGCGTTGGAGTTGAAGACGCCGAGATTGTTGAAAATATACGCCGCGGTGTTGTTGGCGTTGACGATTACGGATTTGCTTTGGTTGTTGAACTTTACCGGTTCTATTTGGGGTGGACGAACGGGCGTGAAGGATCAGTATTACGACACGTTGTCGTACGCGAGCTTGAACTGGACGACGCTCTTCCCGGAGTTTCTCGCGTTTTTGGTTCGGGTCGCGAGCGTGTGTTTGTGGGGAATGCTATGGATGAAAGGAGCGTTGAATGATTTAGAAGGGGAGTGTTTGGATCCAGATAGCGAAGGGTTGATGATGGGTTCCGGTGGGAACTCGTCGTCCCGGACGTACGTGCCCGGGAGCGAATATCAAGACGATTTTTCTCACGTGCAACCCGCGGGAGCGGTTCCGGAAGGGCGGATTAGAGGACAAGGGAGTAGTAAGAAGAAAGGCGGCGGGCCCTCGGATGACTTTTCCCTCAGTGGCGCTGGCTACCAGCAATCGGAAGTGTAATTTGTGCGACTATATGCTTACTGTAATGTGCAACAAAAATTCTAATTATTTATCTGCAACTTTTATCTCGTGTTCTAACTTGACTCTTCTTAATCGTTTCGTTACTACTTGCACTAACTCTGGTTCTTTCAGGAACGCTCTCTGGATGGCGTGCTCGCCGCCTTCTTCCCACTCGTCGCACTCGTTCCTTTCGAACAAGACTAAGTTATCTATGCTCGACGGTTTCGTCACGTCCCAGCGACAAAACTCGAGATTGTTCAACGCCTTCCACGGCGTCGTCGCTAAATCATCGCCGGATTTCGCCAGGGCGCGCGCGTCGCGACGTTGCCACACGTCTTTTATCAAATACGCGATATCATTGATATCTACATCTAACGCGCACTTCCCCAAGCCTCTGCTTTCCTCTCGATCTTTCAATCGATCGAGTTGCGTCTGGTAAGCGACGATTTTCGTATCCACGTCGTTGCCTTCGTCCGGCGATAGCTCGACCGTTTTCGAGAGTTTACACAAAACAAAAGACGCCAACGCGCACCCAAACATTGCCGGAACGGTACCTAAAACCGGTATCGTTCTCACGCGAAAGTTTGGTACGACTTGATAATCGCGAAGCGTTTCGCCTTCTTTCAAATCGACTTCGGTGACCAACTCTCGAACTTGCTTCTCCACGGAAACGAGACAATCCACGCCGTGACTGATGCCATACTTTTTCCGCAAATTATACTTAATCGCACGCATTAACGGGTCAAAATTCGCGTTTGAAATATCACACAGTTTCAATCGCGTTGGATCGCACTTCGATCCGGCGCCGCCGGAGGACACCACCGGTATCTTCCTTCGCGCACACGCCTCTAACAAATCCACTTTCGTGTCGCAGTTATCGATGCAATCGACCACGTACGAAGGCGCTACATTTTCATCACCCTCCGTCGTATTCTCCGTCTCGTTCTTCTTCCACTCCCCTAACACCATCTCTTCGTTTTTCTTCTCGCACATCGCGTTGCATGCCTCAATCTCTGCCTCCGGAAAAATCTTCGCGAAGTGTTTCCTCAACACCTCCGCTTTCGGCTTCCCCACGTCCTCTCTCGTCGCTACCGCGTGTCTGTTCAACGAACTCAACGACACTTGGTCAAAATCTACCACGCGTAATTTCCTTACCCCCGAGCGTAAAAGCATGCTCGCGCAGTGCGAACCAACGCCACCTAACCCGACGACGACGACGAACGCGTCCGCTATGTGCTCTTGACCGAGTTGCCCGAAAAACTGCACGTTTCGCGTGAAATGTTCGCGAACGATATCGTCCGTCGCGTATAAGGTTTTCGAGGAAGCCGAGGATAAAGCTTGAGAGGAAGTTCTCCTCCGACGGCACTCCTCCTCCTCCTCCTCTTCATCCTCATCGCGCGACGGGGCTTGTTCGCCTCTTCTCTTCGACGCGCGGCGAGCGCTAAGTTGTCGTTGTCGTAACAGTAAAATTCGAGACGCCGAAACGCCAATCGCGACCCCGCACCCGAAGAGCGAGAGATACGACAACGCGAGGCTGTTGCTGCCATCGCCGCTCGTCGAAGAAGAAGAAGAATACGCAGAGGTGGACGCCGCGCCTCCTCGGCTCGTCATCGTCTCGATATGCTGCTCACACTTTACTAAAAAGTGCTGCGTGTGTATATAAAGTATTTCTCCCTAACACGACGGCGGAAACCGCTCCTCCCAAACTGTTGTCGTGTACAACTTTTCTCGTCTCTGTGTTAAAAAGTTGCGCTCTTTTGCTTCCTTCTTCAAATCCCGGGGTCCCGTTTGTGTGGCCTGTCAGGGCTTCTTCGGAGGGTAATCGAGATATATATTTTTTGAAAATTTTCCCAAGGCTGTGGTGTGGTTTCGTCGGGCGGCGCGAATCAAATCGAACGTCAGAAATAAACTCTCATCCTCTCGTTGTTGCGAAATTTAACTCGAGTTCACGATGGCAGTTTTTGATGCGGATAAAGACATCTCTCCCGGGATCGTCGTCTCGGTGCCGTTCTTTGGCGGCATCTTGGCGCTGTTGATGATTGGAGGTGCGCGCATTTCTCATTTTTTTTTTCAATCCGGTCTCTTTTCTCTGTGGTATCATTTCCGGCGGTGAGGGGAGATGACGATCGAAGTTCGGTTTTTATTTCGGTCGCTGAGATGCGTTCGAGAGGAGCTTTTCCCGAAAAGTGCGGAACCAAAACGCGCAGGCACTCGAGCTCGATCGGTTCAGCCTGTTTGGTATCGTTTTTGAAACCTTTTCGTGCGCTCTGTCGCTGACCCCAAAATGTCTCTCCTCCCCCGTGATGATGTAAACAATCAATCAATCAATCGCTTTTGTTTTACCACAAATGTACAGTTTTGATGAAGAAAGTTCGAGCCGCCCCGCGTGGTGAAGGACCGCAATTGTTCATCGCGGACCAAATCGCCGAAGGCGCTGTTGCGTTTTTGAAGACTGAGTACACGTATTTACTGCCGTTTGTGGTTATCTGCGCGGCGTTTATTGTTGGCATTTTGGAAGGCCAATCGGGTTCTCCGGTGGACTACTCCGACAACAAGGGCGGGTGGCAAACTACCGTGTGCTTCTTGTCCGGCGCGTCTTTGTCCGCGTTGGCCGGCTGGATGGGCATGAAGATTGCGACGGAAACGAACGTTAAGACGATGCAAGCGGCCAAGGAGTCCTTGAACTCTGCGCTTAAGATTGCCTTTGCCGGCGGCGCCGTTATGGGCTTTTACGTCGTCGCGCTCGGTATCCTCGGTTTGGTCGTGTTGTTCTACGCGTTCTCCATGGGTCAAGACAACGCTCCCGAGGATGGTATCACCTTTGATCCGGACATGAGAGATGCGATCAGATACTTGTCTGGCTTTGGCTTTGGCGCCTCTTCTATCGCTCTTTTTGCGAGAGTCGCGGGGGGTATTTACACCAAGGCTGCCGACGTCGGCGCCGATTTGGTCGGTAAAGTTGAATCTGACATCCCGGAAGATGATCCCCGTAACCCGGCCACTGTTGCCGATAACGTTGGTGACAACGTCGGTGATGTTGCCGGTATGGGTGCTGATTTGTTCGAATCGTTTGTCGGTTCCATTATTGCCTGCGCTTCCTTGGCGAGCTCTCACGCTGAAATCGCGTTGCCGTTCTGGGTCGCCGGTTTCGGTATCTTGGCTGCGACTATTGGTTTCTGGACTGTCTCCACGAAGGACGACGCCGACCAATCCGAATTGCTCCACGCGTTGCACAGAGGCGTTTACTCTTCCTCTATCCTCGTCATTGTCTTTACGATTATCTCCGTCGAAATTTTGTTCAACGGTTCCAAGTTGGGCTACAAGTTCTTCGCGTGTGTCCTCATCGGTCTCATCGCGGGTATCTTAGTCGGCGAAGCCACGGAATACTGCACGTCTTACGCGTACACTCCGGTTAGATCCATCACGCACGCCGGTTCTGCCGGTGGTGCCGCGACTGTCATCATCCAAGGTTTGGGCATTGGTATGATCTCTGTCTTCCCGCCGACCATCGTTATCGTCTTGACGATCCTTTCCACCTTCGTTATTGGCGGCTTGTACGGCATCGCCATCTCCGCTGTTGGTATGTTATCCACGCTTGGCGTCACACTCGCGACTGATGCGTACGGTCCGGTTGCGGACAACGCCGGTGGTATCGCCGAAATGTCTCCGGATGTCGAGGACTACGTTCGCGAACGCACCGACAAATTGGACGCGCTCGGTAACACCACCGCGGCCACGGGTAAGGGTTTTGCCATCGGCTCCGCCGTTTTGACTGCCTTGTCCATGATGAATGCGTTCGTTAAAAACGTTCCGTTCGGATGCGGCGAAGGCGTTGAAAGCAAGTTCTGCCTCGCCGAGAACATGTTGCTCACGGACCCGTACGTCTTGTCTGGCATCATCCTCGGGGCGATGCTTCCATTCTTGTTCGCCGCTTTGACGATGTTGTCCGTCAGAAAAGCTGCGGGCGCGATTATCGTCGAAGTCCAACGCCAGTTCCGCACCATCCCGGGCTTGTTGGAAGGTAAGGAAGGCGTTGTGTGCGACCACATGGCGTGCGTCGAATCGTGCACCAAATCCTCCATCAACGAAATGCTCTTGCCGGGTATCATCGCCGTCTTCACGCCGATCTCCATCGGTTTATTGGTTGGTGCCAAGTGCCTCGGCGGTTTATTGGCGGGTTCCATCGCCTCTGGCTTTATGTTGGCCGTCATGATGTCCAACGCCGGCGGCGCCTGGGACAACTGCAAGAAGTACATCGAAAACGAAAAGGTGTACGGCGGCAAAAAGTCCGACACTCACAAAGCGTGCGTCGTTGGCGACACCGTCGGCGATCCGTTCAAGGATACCTCCGGTCCGGCCTTGAACATCTTGATCAAGTTGATGACTGTCTTCTCCCTCACTCTCGCCCCGGTCTTCAGAGACGACTGGGAGACGTATCAGTACGGTTTGATTGTCTTAGCGGTTGAGATCCTCTTGGTCGCTTTGGCCTACTGGTGGGTCTGGATCAAGAACGGCGACGAAGTCTTCACGCCGAACGACGCGAAGCACAACAAGACCACCTCAGATTAAATAATATACAGCAATATTTATTTGATCACGTGATTGAGAGGTGTTGAGCTTATTAATAAAAGTTGGTTGGCTTCACTTAATACACACACGAAGCTTTTTGTTCTAGTAAATATACATACATGCAAGGAAAGACTTTTTTCATAGCTTGATTTAATCGATACAAATACATACGTTCATTACATACATCTGTGTAGAAGACTACGCGCGCGCGCACACACACATCTAATTGATCTATCCATCTATCTCTTTATCTATCTATCTATCTCTCGAACGCCGCGACGACTCTACTAAATCTCTACTGGTTGCCCCCCTCGGAAGAGCCGTCGTTCCACCCCCTGACCCACTCCTTCCCAAACTTTGCTCTCGTCTTCTCGTCGCTCTTCTCGTCTAAAAACTTCATCACGTGCGCTTTCAGCGCTTTATACGCCTCGTTTTCCTCTCTTAAATATTTCGGCGCTTCGCTTTGTCCAGTCAAATACGAGTACAAATCTGGATTTTCCTCTTCCAAAACTTTTGCGAATTGAGTCAAAAACGAATCGCTCGTCGTTTTCGCGTTCAAGTTTCTCTCGGCCCACTCCCCGACGACCACGTCGAGTTCGAGAAACCCTCTCTGTTTCGCGCGGTAGAGCGTTTTGTTTATCAATCTTTTTCTGTGCTCTTCCTTTTCCTCGTCGTAGTTGTTGTTCGAAAAAGAAGAAGAAGAAGACAAAGAAGAAGAAGAAACGCGCGAAAACGTCGACAAAGCTGCTTTCTTTTTTGTCACCGCCACGCCGGGAGTTCCTCCTCCTCCTCCTCCTCCTCCTCCTCCGAGAAGAAGTGTGCGAGAAAGAAGCGTCGACGACGATGTAAACGACGACGAGAACAGCAGTTGTTGTTGTTGTTGTTGTTGTCGTTGTTCTCTCCTCGCCAGCGCTCGAAGAAGGACACGAAACGCGCTCATTTTTTTTCCCTCTGACGACGACGACGACGAAAGAGGAGTCGTCCAAAACAGAAAACGAGACGAAAAAAAATTCTCTAAAAAAAGTATTTAGGGTCAAACCCTAATAAAGACTTGAAAAATCTCTGGTCGTTTGCCACGTGGGTCCGCGCACGAAAGAAGAAGATTATCCAAACGCGATTGAAGATCATCCAATCGCGTCATAAAGAAGACACACCAACAACAACACACTTTGTTTATTCTTATTAATCAAAATGTCCTCCACAACTGCAATGATGATGCAAACGACGACGACGAAAGCTGTCGTCGTTTCTTCGGTGAACAAGTCCGCGAAAAGAGCGCAATCCGTGCGAACGAAAGCGTTGGCGACGCCGTATCGGTACCCGGAGCAAGGATTTACGGATGAAGTCGTGGAAGAAGTCATCGCGGCGTTCCCGGATAAAGGGATCGCGTCGAACTTGGAAGGGATGATCTTGTTCGCGGCGGATGGGTACGATATTTTGGACGTTCGATCGGACGCGGAGATTGAGTTTGTCGGGAACTTTCCGACCGCGAGAAAGAACAAGGAAGTTGGGGTGCGATTTCATTGCATTCCGTTGATTAACGCGGTGAGAAAGTACGACTCGGAAGTCGGGGCGAAGGTGTACGTGCAATCGAAGAACGAATCGTTCAAAGAGAAGATCGAACAGACGTTTCCGGACAAGGAGGCAAAGATTATCATCACGTGCTCTGACAGCAGAGACCGCGCGATTCAAGCGTTGGAGTTGCTCGACGAGTGGGGATACGTGAACATCGTCGGTCTCAAAGGCGGCTACAACATGTGGAACCGTCAATGGGATCAAAACATGAGAAGACGCAACTTGCCGGGTAACTTCAAGGAAGAGTTTTCTCACGGTGCGGAAGGTATGGGGGTGCACGGCACCGGGGCGTCGTTCCAAAACCAAGATGCGTTCCAATATGCAGACTGGAAAGACTCGACAAAGTGGATGGAATGGACGAGTGGTACGATTCCGGCCGACGAATAAATCTTCGAATAAATTAATATTGTCTCTGTTCCTCGTCACCTGCTCGTTTAATACCATATACAATTACACATTTCTATAAACTTATTACATTCATTTATTATACATTTACTATCTATCGTCTATCGCCTTTTTATACATTATACTATCATCGTCTAATAATCAAGTCGTCCGAGTCGTCCGAGGAGAACGACGCGGAGGATGGCGTCCGAAGTTGGTCGTTTATCCAATCCGCTAATTTCTCCTCTTCCGGGTCATTAGAATCAATAACATCGATATCTCCAGTTAACATGCCGAAATTGGCGATGCCGGTGAACCTGCCCCATTCGGAAGTGCGCATTCTTCGAGATTTACAAGCGCCGACGCCTCGTAAGATGCACTCGTGCTCGTACACTTCGAGGTACCCATACGACGTTCCGCAGTCAGCTTCTAACATTGCCTCTATTGTTACATAATGCACGTTACCTCTTTGTATGTACCCCCCAGGGTGGTCGTGACCTGCTACACAGACTTTCACCGTTTCCGACTTGGATTCAAAATAACTACTAATCACGTCCGCGTTCCAAGCGACCATGCCTTCTCTCGCAGAACCGGGCGCTAATGCGTTGTGCGAACACACGATGACTTTTTTCCCTTCCTTTTCGGCTAAGTCGACTTGCTCCTTCAACCAATTAAATTGTACACTCGCAATACCACCCGACCACGGCTTTGCGTTTCTTTTCTTAAACTCCTCCGTCTTGGACGCGAGCCACGCGTGTCCTTCTTTCCACGCTTCGCTGTTCTCGTCCACATACCTCGGATTCATATCGGTGGTATCTAAACAAAGCAAAACCCAATTCCGGGGTAATTCTACTTTATAATAATCATCCTCTCCGAAGTTCATTTTCTGTTTAAACACCTCTCTGGTGACCGCCATGTCGTGATTCCCGAGCACCGACACCAGTTTCAAATCTTTCGTTAAACTCTTCTCCGTAATCTCAACCATCTCGTTAAACTCTTTCACGTTCCTCGCTTTCACCTCTTCGGACCAACTCGACGCATCTCGGAAATATAAGTTCTCGGCGCTATCCTCGTTGTACCCGTCGTACAAATCTCCCAAATTAATCACGCACGCGAGCGCGTGCGCGTTTTCGCTAAACTCGTTCAAGCAGTTTTTCAGTCTCTCCTTCGCGTCTCGGAAATATTTATTCCGTGTGCCGTACGTGCCGTTCTCTTTATCCGCGTATTGCGCGTCCGCGAATACGCCGAGCGTAAATAGAGGTTTCTTGTGCACGGATTCGAGTCGACTGGACGCGCCCAGCGATTGGTTCGACGGTTGGCGATAGGAGGAGGAGGAGGAGGAGGAGGAGGAGGAGTCTTTGTTTATTCCATCGACATCTTCTTCCCCGAACGAGGAGGAAGCTTTCACCAAAATCACTCGTTTCCATCCTCCTTTTCCTCCTCTTCCTCCCGCGTTTTGCCTCGTCGTCGTCGTTTTTCTCGTGCTCTTAATCGTAATCCTCGTCCTCGTCGTCGTCGTCGGTAGAGAGAAGGACGACATCATCACGCTTTTGATGAAGTTGATGATGATGATGCTTTCAAATGAAGACTTTTCCCCGTTGGAATGGTTTGAAAAGTTTTCTTTCTTTTCGGCACTTTCACGCGCGCAAAGAAAGCGCGCATCATCAAAAGCGACGAGAGAGACTTTAATCGCGTCACCACGATGAGACGCGAGAGATAGAGAGAGAGAGAGAGTGAAAAACCAGCATCATGTGGGGAGGCACTGACACGAATAATAATACGAGTAATAACAATACGAGTACTAGTAATAACACCAACTCGCAATGGAATCAATTCGGTGGATTCAATCAAAACAATCAACAACAGAACGCGAACGCTCCTTCTCCGTTTGGGATCGCAACGACCCCCGCGAATAACAACACGAACAACGCGACGACGTCGACGACGACGGCGGCGGGAGGTGGAGGTTTCAACAGCAGTCCTTTTGGTGGTTTCAATCAACAACCTCAACAACAGCAGCAGCAGCAGCAGCCAGGAATAGGAATAGGAATAGGCGGAGGATTTAATGCACCTTCTTTGTCGTCTCCGTTTGGGGCTTCTGCGAGTGTGAATGCGAACAACAGTCCTTTTGGTGGTAGCGGCGGTGGAGGTACCGCGACTGGTTTTGGAAGCGCGAGTTCCGGTTTCGGTATTCCCGTCGCGACGATGACGACGACGACTGCGGGAGCGGTGCCAGCGTCTCCGTTTGGAGGAGGGTTTGGAACGACGGGTGGAGGAGGAGCCGGCGGATTTGGATCGTTGAATATGCAGAATGCGAATAACAACACCAATAGTCCGTTTGGAAATACTACCACTACTGCCGCTGCTAGTACTACGCCTTTTGGTGGTGGAAGCGGCGGTCTTGGATCCACATTTGGGGGAGGAAGCGGACCTGCTACGACTACTGCGAACAATAACTCGCCGTTCGCCGCAAATCCATCGCCGTTTAGCTCGATACCGTCATCTGTTCCTGCTAATACAAGCAGCAATCCGTTCGGAAGTGGAGGTGCGAATGCGAATACGAGTGGACTCTTTGGCGCGCCGGCGTCGAAACTGGCTCAGCAAAATTTGAACGTGAACGCGTCTCCATTTGCTCCCGCGACGGCAATGCCGTCTCCGTTCGCTCCGTCTTTGTCGTCACCATTCGGTGGTGGAAACGCAGCCGCTACGAAACTAGGAGGAGAGAAGAAGGAAGCGCAAACACAGAACCAATCCACTTTCGGAGGAGGATTAATGGGTGGCGGAAGCTTTAACGACGTGAAAACGACGGCGTCGGGATTGAAAATTCCAACGCCCCGGACACAGATTGGTGGTGATGGTGGTGGTCTTGCTGCTACTGGAATAGCACCGGCTGCTACTGCAACGCCTTCATTTTCCCCTTTCCTTAGCGGCGGAGGCACAAAAGCATCCGCACCTCCCTTACCGAAGACTGCACCTTTCGGTGGCGGCATGCAAGGATCGTCTCTTTTTGGGAAAACGCCACCTCCAAAGCAACAGATGAAGATGACGGCTTCCGCGATTGACGATTTCGGGGATGACTTACACAAAGCGACGTCTGAAAGGCACATCACGGGCACGTGTAACGAAATGTGTCCAACATCCGAGCTTCAACGACGGAGCGAAGAAGGCGACTTGGAACTTTTCGAGCGCGTGGATGGATCGAATAGAAATAAAACGTCCGTCGGTTTGTGTTGCAAAAAGTACACGCGCATTGTAGACGGCGTACAACCAGACATGGTGAGAACTAAATTTGGTTTGGCGAAAACAATGACGCATCTGTGGCGTATTCTCGATGAAAGACCCGAAGCGTTTGTCGTAAAATCAAAGTTTCTTTGGGATCGTTTGCGCTCTGTTCGACAAGATTTAAGTTTGCAGCAAATGTACGACGCGTTCGCCGCGAGCGCTTTGCAACAGATGGTCCGCTACGCGATAATTTCTGAGCACGAATTATGCGAGGACGCAGCGACGGCAATATCTCCTGACGGTCACAATTCGCATTTGAACGTCGAGCAACTCACGAAGACGTTGACGACGTTGCGTCACATATACGATGACCATCGCGCAAAGCAGCAAGCGTTACCGCTCGATCACGAGGCTGAAATGTTTGCGTTGCAACTGTTGTTGCGCATTGACTCTCACGGAAGATATTCCGTGTCCACGCATGAAATGCTCGGCGATTTAAGATCGGCCAGAAATGCGATATTAAATCACGCATTGGTCAATTTTGCTTTAGAATGCAGAAGCGCGTACATCGACGTGAACTGCGCGAAATTTTTCAAGTTGGTCGAGAAAGCAAATTACGTACAAAAGTGCGTTCTGCACAAGTATTTCGTCAAAATGCGTTCTAAAACGCTCGAAAGGTTCAACCAGAGCATGGCAAAAGGTCCGTTCCCAATCAAAGAGCTCGCGCGGATTTTCCGTGCGAGCGAAACGGAAACGGAGGCCTTGTGTTTGCATCACGGTCTGAGCGTTGTTCTGCATCGAGAGGACGGGAAGTGTGTCGAGTTTCGCACAACGACGTTTTCGCATCCAAGCGAAGATTTCGAGACGAAAAAGTCGCCCCTCGTGAGAACGAATATCAATCACAAATATCGACAGTTTATCGTTAGACACGATGAAATTGCTTCGGAAGGTAAGGTTACGGAGCAACTGCCGGTTGGGCAACAGCAGCAGTTACAGCAGCAGCAGCAGCAGCAGCAGTTACAGCAGCAGCAGCAGCAACAACAATTTCCCGAGCTTACAAAGAAACAAAAAGAAGCGCAAGAACTGCGAGAGAAGATCCAAAGAGTCGAAGCGGAACAAAAACGCGCGAAAGCTGCAATTGAAGCGAAGAAGGCAGAGGAAGCCCGCCTGGCGCTCGAGGCAACGAAGCGCGAAGAAGAAGCTCGCGCAAAGGCTGAAGCAGAACGCAAAGAGAAAGAACGCATAGAAAAAGAACGCAAAGAAAAAGAAGCACAATTGAGACGAAAACAAGAAGAAGAGCGCATTCATCTCGAAAAGGAGCGAGCTGAGAAAGAGCGCGCCGAGAAGGAAGCAGCGGCGAAGAAACGCGAGGAAGAGATTCGGGAGCGCAAAGAAAAGCTTGAACGCGAGTATCGAGAAAAGCTGGAGCGCGAGCGTCAAGAGAAGGAACGAATACGTCTGGAAGCTGAAAGAGCTGAACAGTTACGTTTAGAAGAAGAACGGAAGAGGCGCGAAGAGGCAAGACGTCAAGCTGAACTGGCGCGAAGGAAAGCCGAGGAAGAACGCAAAGAGAGAGAACGATTGGAAGCGATTCGATTGCGCCGATTTCGGAAGAATCGAAAAGCGATTTTACAACTGTTCTTGTGGCGTTGGCGAACAAGAAAAGACGAGAGAATCGCGACGAGGAGGAAAGAGAAAGCCTTGTCCATGATGTCATCGTCACCTTCGACGTTTGCCTCTCCAACCTTTTACACTCAACAGAAGCAGCAAGCTCCGGCGAACGACGATCTGCGTAACTTGCTCAAGAAAAGAAACGTTGAGTCGTCGATACCGACGGAAACAAGAAGCAAGAGAGAAGAAAAAGATGGAGCGTACTTTCGCGCGCTCGCAATACAAACGACGACGCTCGTTGACGTCTCTTCCTCGTTCGCGAGACCGCTCGATGTGCCGAAAATTTTAGAATCCACTCGCGCGTTTGCCGCACCCGGAAAAGGAGAAGCGAGACAGACGCGCATTTGGAAATTAGTTCTGTGTAGTGGTGCGGAATACGAACCTCCTTCTGTACACAGAGGTACGAGATCACCAAATGCTGTTGCCGTCGCGGCTTGGTTGCGCGCAAAATTATCCAAAAGCGCGGCGGCAACGAACAAAAGTAGCGAAGAAGAAGGCACAGTTCTAGCGTCGTACGCGTCAAAGCTTTCAATGCGAGAGCCGTTTCACTGGATAATTATCAGAGACATTCCGGGTAAATCATGGACGCCACGTTCGCAACAAGACGAAGAAATGGAAGAGCAAAAGTACGAGGAACAAGTCGCCGGTCTCTCCGCCGGCTGCTTTGTTCTCGATTGCTCGTCTTTATACGAAAATCCGCGAACGAAAATGAAGGAAATTTCGAGAAACGAAGTGCATCGATTGAAACGTTTCGCCGCCGTGACAAAGCGTGGAAATGCACCACTTTTAGTCATCGCTGCGTCAAGTAAAGATCACAGCACAAGTTCATCTAAGAAATTGATCGAAAAAGCGTTCAGAGAGGCGGGAGTTCCATCGTCAGCGTTGATTATGCGCGTGGACGATGCGTTGGCGCGCTTTTCCTCGGCGGCGGCGTCCGGAGGAGAGGAATCTACGATGGAGAAGAAAGACGCCGCGTTCATTGAAAAAATCAATCGCGAACTCGAGAACCAAATCAAAAGATGCGGAAAGGCGTTCACCGGTATTCCAAATCGCGTGGAAACTTCGCTCGCGGAAGTGCTCGAACACGAATTTGCCCCCGTCGCGACCGATTTCGAACGAAAAGTATTGGCAGATTCTTCAAACGCACGAGACGCTGGGGAGAATCCTCCCTCCTTGACGGACTTCAAAATCGTCGTCGATTGTTTCAACGAAGCCATCGATAACGTGAAGAGAAAAATTCGAGAGGCGTGCGAGGAAGATAACGATTTCTGGCCGTACGTCGAGTTATCGGGCGCGTACGCGAACGAAGAGAAGAGAATATTCTTTGAGAATGTCCCTGATCCGCTTTGGCGTAAAGATGTGCCGTATTTGATCGACCAACTCGAAAGGGCAAAACTTCCGCGACCGCCGGTGGATTCGTCGGAAAACAACAAAAACTTTTTTGAAACCTTATCTCGATACGTTTCAGTGTTGGAAGACTCGGAATTCATCGGCGCCGCGAGACGACATCTCCAACGCGCTGGATTTGATTGCGTGCGAACGGCGCTTTCGCTGTGTGAATCGCGAGCGCTCACTTTGCACGCGAGCACGTCTGATGTGAAAGCGTACGTCCGAGACGACGCGTATACGCACTCGTTGCTTTCCTTGAGTAGTAAGAAACGTACGAACGAAATTGGAAGGAGTACTATGAAGAAACGTAGGCAAAGTCCTCTCTCGTATTTATCTCCAACGCGGTCGGCTGGATATCCATCAATCTCTTTGCACTTCCCCACAACTGCTGGCGAAATCGAAGAAGAAGAAAGATTTCCTCACATAATCAATAACCATCATCACGACGACGACGACGACGACGACGACGACAATACTCTCATCGACGAGCGCGACGAAGATAATCGAGAAACCGCCGAAGAAAACGCGCTTCGGAATCTGGTTCGCGCCGAAGTCGCCGCCGCGGACGCCTTCGAGCGATCCTTCGCGATGCCAAAGAAAAAGCCGCGATTACACGCAGACGCCGTCCAAGACTTTACAGAAAAGCTAAGCGAAGAGTTGCACGCAGAGGCAAAGCTCAGAGCGCTCTTTTCGTGAGTCAAAGTCGAGAGATTTTAATAGAGAAACGTCGATAGTATTTTATAGCCGCATAGACGAATTTTAGAACAATGCTTTCCTTTTTGGAAAAGCACGACATAAAAAAAGGCAAACACTCGCGGACCTTTCTTGGGCGGAAAAAGGTTTCATCGCAGACAGACACTCGCTCGAAGTTTTCTCGCTCGAGGAAGTCGCGGTTTTGTGCGCTCTCCTCCTCGCGCGAAGGAATTTAGTATTGGTTTCAGTCGCAACTCTCTCTCTCTCTTTTCTCCAATCCGCCGCCCCCAGAACGGGAGAAACCAAAATGGGATTCTCGAACGCCGCCGCCGCCACCGCTGCCACCACCCCCACCACCACCGTATCTACCGAGAATCAAAAATACCAAGGCATAGACGTCCACTCGTTCGGCATGCGCATCCTCAAAAAGCAAGGCTGGCGAGAAGGTACCGGTTTAGGCCCGAACAAGAGCGGATTGAAGAAACATTTACACGCGTCGAGACGAGAACACAACAGCGGGTTAGGGACGGACAGGAGAGATACCACCGGCGTCGTCGGCGCGGATTGGACCAGGAACGCGAAGAATTTTGATGCCGTTTTGAAAGGACTGGAAGATTACACGAAGAAAGAAGACTTTGACGAGGATGACGAGGATGGGAGTAAAGGAGGAGGAGGAGACAAAAAGAAAGACAAGAAGGAAAAGAAGAAGAAGCGGAAGAAAGAGGAGGAGGAGAAAGCAGAAGAAGACGTTCCGGAACGACCGAGGAGTGCGGTTGGACACACGGGGAGATATCATAAACGAGAGCGGGAGAAAATGCGGGAGTATAGCTACGACGATTTGAACGCGATTTTAGGCGGCGGAGCGTTTGGCGGCTTGGAAGAAGTGAGAGCGAATCACGATTCAGACGACGATAGGAAAGATAGCGATGCGAGCAATGATAGGAAAAAAGTAGATGATGACGATATTAGGAAGAAAGATGACGACGACGACGATGGAAACAGGAAAAAGAAGAAATCGTCGAAGAAGGAGAAGAAGAATAAAAAGAGTGATGGTAGTAAAAAGAGCGACAAAGAAGGTTCGCCTTCGGACGAAATGATGACGACAAAGTTTACGTTTCCTCCGAAACCGAGAGATTGGTGGGGACATGCGTTTGGGTTTTGTCAAGAAGGATGCGGGAAAGACAGCGACGGGTATAACGCGACAGGTAATAACGACGCGATGAACGAAAACAAAGACAAACTCGGCTTTACCGAAGACGAGCAAATCGAACTCTTCGAACGGGCGCACCTCACCGCGACGACGAAATCCTCGCACAGAGGTCTCGGACTCAGCAGCTCTGGGAAAGAAGTCGGTCACGATTTCGAAGGCACAAAAGTCGCGCTCGACCACGACGTCGTCCCCGAAGACGACGAGGACGAGAGGAAAGCAAAAAAAGCGCCTTGGTCTTCGCTCGCCAAGAAACTCTTAAAGAAGAGCGGAAACGACGGTAAACTCGACGCCGACGCGTTCTGGCAAAAGCTCATGAAGAAAGCCTTAGACGGAAACAAACCGGAAAACGCGACCGTTTGGGACGACGCCATGCGATGGACGATTCGGAGAGACGGGAAATTCATCGTCGGTTACGATTTCGTCACCTTGTGTAAATAGTACGCAACTAGACTAAATACTACTAGACATACAACAATATTCCGCCCTCTCTCTACAATATACTACACACCCACTCGTTTTTACACTCCATGCACACGACTAAAACCTTGCTCTCAGCATCAGCGTTCCCCCACGTCTCCGCTTTCCTCACGTCCCTCGCGTCGCTCAGGTGTATAAACTTCGTCTTTCGCCCTTTACACTCTGGACAGGTATAACTCTCGCTCTCGATGCCATCCGCAAACACCGCCCGTTCCTTTCGTTTATCCATTTTTACTCGCATTTGCTCGACTTTGGTTTTCATCTCGTCCGTCATGAATTCCTCGTCGTGCATTTGGAGCACATCGTATGGCTGTATCCTTCCAGAAAGTACGTCCTTTTGCACGCTTTCGTTCCGCTTAAAATTTGCACACAAGAAGCGGATTTTAGATTTATACTGAACTTCACTGACGTTGTGAAACACCGCACTTTCGATCGCCGTCGCCACGTCGAGCAAAGGCGTTTCGTCCTTTAAGCTTTCGCCGAGCATCACGATCGAGTCGCTTCGGATGTCTTCGTCCTCATTTATCATATAGTTTCTCTCTCTTTTAAGAGCACTTCACTTTGGGGAAAAGCAGTTCACTTTTGCTCTCTGAAAGAGAGAGAGAGAGAGGATGGAACAAAACACGACCGCGAGTGGTGGTGGTAGTAGTAGTAATAACAGTACTACTGGTAGCGATTTTGCGTCGTCGGAAGCTCGAGCGCGTTCCTCCGCGCTCGCGTCTTCTTCTTCTTCTTCGTCGTCGAACAAATCCGATTCCAGCGCGGGGAACGAAACGAAGAACAACAAGGCGACGACGGTAACGACGACGACAGAAACGCCTCGCGATACGAATCATCATCAATCGAAGAAAACGCTCCCAGCGAGAACGCTGCTCGGTTTAACCGTTTCCGGCGTCTGCGCCGGCGTATTCGTGGAAACTTTGTTCTACCCTTTGGATACCATCAAAACGCGTTTGCAAGCCGCTCGAGGAGGAGGAGGAGGAGGAGGAGGAGGCAACGCGAATCTCTTCAAAGGCGTGTTCAACGGATTATCGAAGAACATCGCCGGGTGCGTGCCAGCCACGGCCTTGTTTTTCCTCGCGTACGAACCTACGAAGCGATATTTAGAGCGAACGTTACCGCCGGAGCAAAATTACGCGGCGATGTTCGCCGCCGGCGCGACCGGGTGTTTGGCGTCGAGTATCGTGAGAGTGCCGACGGAAGTGATCAAGACGAGAGCGCAAACTGGGAATAAAGTGCAAAGTTTAGGAGGGATTTTACGGGCAAGCGGTATCACCGGGTTGTTTGTCGGATACGGGTCGTTTTTAATTCGGGATTTACCGTTCGATGCCATCGAATTTAGTTTATACGAAGAGGCGAAGATTTCCTACGCCAAGTGGCGAGGACGGACGCCGAGCGAAGTCAGTCGCGCGGAGGCGACAATTTTAGGCGCCACCGCAGGGGGCATCACTGGATTCGTCACCACGCCATTAGACGTCATCAAAACCAGGTTGATGACGGATACGTGCACGATCAGCCCGCTCAAAGGCGTCGTGGATTGCGGCACGAGAATCGTCAGAGAGGAAGGCGCCAAGGCGTTGTTCCGAGGCGCCAGTCCTCGAGTCCTGTGGATCTCCTTAGGCGGTGGCGCGTTTTTCGGGGTGCTAGAAAGCGCGAGGAAAATCTTCGTGCCTGAAAATTGGTAGTTCATGTATTTGTGCGGGCGGTAATTTGCGTCTTTAGTCGTTAGAGTATAGCTTTGTCTTTATAGATAGCCGCGCATAACGAGAGCGAATTGTTCTTAAATCCAACTCTCCTTTTCCCCACAAATTCATTCGTGAAAACGAATTCTAAAGACATGTCCAGTGCTCGCGTACTCCGCCGCGCGTTGCGCTCTCGTTTCGCGTCCACCTCCTCGGAATCTTCTCCTTTCTTCTCGTCCTCTTCCTCGTCCTCCTCCGCGGCGGCGCACGTGGAGCCAGCGGTTCCTTCTTCTTCTTCTTCTTCTTCTTCTTCCCGGGGTGAAAACAGATACGATGCGTCGTCGCTCAAAAGCGACATCATCAACCACATCGGCCAACCGACGTTCCAAACGCACCCGCACTTGTTCAGTGGGGATGATGACTTAACCCCTGGAATCTCGAAAAGTGAATACGCGTCCAGACGAACCAGGTTAGGGAAACTTTTACCGGAAAATGCCGTCGCGATTTTACTCAGCGGAGACGTCTCCTATTACCCGAACACAGTCATACCGCACGCGAGTTATCGACAGGATTCCGATTTTATGTATTTTACCGGGATGATGCAACCACACTCGGCGGCGATGATTATAAAAGACAGAGAAGACGCACCGTTGAGATACGTTTTGTTTACGAGACGGTACGATAAACGAGATGAGATTTGGAACGGTTGGAGAGCGCACCCGGAGGTGGCGGAGACGTTTTTCGGGTGCGACGAATCGGTCGCGATTGAAAGCATGGAAGAATACTTGAGGAAAGTTTTGAAGTCGTCGTCGTCGTCGTCTTCATCGTTTTTAAGTGGTGGTTTATCAACAGCGAGAAAGGTTTTTATGGATAAAGAGCGGTTTGCGACGACTGCGCATGGGAATCAAGTGTTGAAAGTAGTCACCGACGGCGCGTTCCCTACGCAAGCGTTGAAAGCAAAATCGCAAGCGTTGAGGTGGAGAAAATCGGAGAGCGAGTTGATATTGTTGCAAAAATCGGCGAGCGCAAATTTAGAAGGTATAGTAGCGGCCATGAGAAGGTCGAGAACGAACGAGGTGGTCACGGAGAGGGATTTAATGAACGTGCACGAGTATACGGTCAAATCGCTCGGCGCCGATCGATTGGCGTTTCCAACCGTCATGGGGGCTTCAAATCGTGCAACTATTGTCCACTACTACCAAAACGATAGAATTGTTCACCCGAACGATTTGTGTTTGATGGATGCGGGGTGTGAAATGAACGGTTACGTCTCGGATATCACGAGAGTGTGGGCGGGAGGCTCGGAAACGGCTTCGTTCGTCAACGACTACCAAAAAGCAGTGTACGATCGTGTGTGCGACGTGAGAGCTGCGGTACTCGCGAAATTAGAGCGCGATATTCGCTCACAAACACCGGTTTCGTTACACGATTTACACGTTGCATGCGTAGATGCGACGTGCGATGTCCTCGTCGACTTGCTCCCGTCTCAAAGCGGCGGCGAGTCCATCACCAAAAACTCGCTCCTCTCCAAAGGCAAATACGCCCAATACTTCCCCCACGCCGTCTCCCATTGGCTCGGCATGGACACTCACGACACGCCTTTAATCCCAGGCTCCACTTCCATCGAAAAAGGCGTCTGTTTCTCCGTCGAACCGGGGTTATATTTCGACCCAAACGATACGACTTTACCGAAAAGTCTCCGCGGCGTCGGCGCGAGAGTCGAGGACGAGGTGTGCCTGAATGTACGAGGCGAAGTGGACGTTTTGAGTCGAGCCGTGCCCGTAGACAGAGAAGAGTTGGACGCGTTTATTACGAGCAACAGTAGTACATCTGCTGCTACTACTACGACGACGACGACGAGTCAAAAATAGATAGCAGCAGAACGACTAAAGCGTAGTATTAGTATTAGTAGTAGTAGTAGTAGTAGTATTAGTATTCAGTTTTTCCCGCCCAAACTGACTCAAAAGAGCAAGGCACCAAAAAACACCCGCCTAAAAGTACCACACAGACGAGAGAGAAAAAACGAAGCGTCGAGCGTCACAAAATCGTTTTCGCCGCGCAAGTCCGCAACGAAAACACATACATACGAATATCCATTCGCAAACGTTTGCGCACAAGTAGCACGCGAGACTAATTATTTACCCGTTTGCGAGTCGACATCCATCTTTAAATGTCGATCCAACCATGCGCGTAAACAAAAAGAACAACGACATCATAACGTGTTCGTCTGTCTTGAATCACTTGCGCTCGAAAAGAGTTTGTGTTTTTTATTCGCTTTTGTTCTTAGCGCTGTTAGAGGTACGCACATATTCGCGAAAGACGACGTCGATTGATTGGAGAGACAGCCGACGAGTGATATTTTCTCGTTTTCTTCCACGCGCGATGGTCGCGAGTACCGTTTTCGAGGCGGATTCCGCGCGTTGTTTTCATTCATTGAATGCGCTGGGAAGAGCAAATATCGCCACTCGTCAAGTCTTTTCAAACGTTCAAAAATTCAAAGATTGGATTCAAAAGTGTTGACTTTTTTCTTTCACTTCTTCTTCCTTTGTGCGACGGCTGTATTCTGACTGACACGTGATTCATCACCATCATCATCGAAAATGATCAATCTTAACAACAGGTCCTTCTCTGGTCCGTCGTTTTAGTCCCGGGAGACGCAAACTCCGTCTGGAATTTAAGCGCGCAACAGTACTACCAGCGAGAAACTGGAAATCTCAAATCGTTCCAACAACAACCGAGATTTCAAATCCAAGTCAGAGTTTTAGATCTCTATTTGGAATCGCTGGCGCATAAGCAAGAACATTTGTGGAGAAAAGAAGAGTTTAATCTTTACGACAAAAACTTACAACCTTTACACCCGGAACCACCAGATAAGAGGACGGGAATAGGCTTGAGTTTATCTTCGTTGGGGAGGTGTTTATTGGAGGAGGTGGTGTCTTCGAAGTTTTCGAAGTCAACGGCGATTGGCGAGCGCGTCAGCAACTACAATCTTAACGTTCGCGTTTAGTTTAATAGTTTCAGAGGCTCGCTTACTATATAAATCGCTGTATCACTACTAATCTACATACATATCCTGGTCGAAGAAGAAGAAGTTTATAACACACAAACACTTCAAGACGCTAGTTGGACGACAGAACGAACAACTACTACTTTAGAAGAAAAACTACTATATTATTACATATATATATAATCAACAACAACAACAACAAAACAAAAAAAAGGAAAAAATAAAATGGCGAGATTACAACGACCATCCGGAGGCGGCGCCGCGACGAAAGTTGCCGAGTCTGGGTACGTCGAAGCTTCGGTAGCGCCGGCTTCGGCGCCGCCGAAAATTACGTTGCGAAACGTCATTCCGGTGAACGACGTTATCGCGGGCGGTTGCGCTCGTGCCGCGTCGCAGTCGACGATTCACCCACTCGATACCGTCAAGGTCCGCATGCAAGCGTTAGCTGGCAAGGGGAAAGCTGCACAGGAAGCTGCCGCGGTGCAGAAAGCGTCTAAGGCGGTATCCACGGGTAAATATGGCGTCGGGAGCGCCTTCATGGCGAATGGCGGAAGCAAACGCGTCGCGTTGGCTCGAGGCGCTTCAGCCGTCGGCAAAGAGTTTTCCGTGCTTTATAAAGGCGTGTTCGGTGCCGCGAGTGGAGCCGGACTTGCTATCGGCACTTACTTTGCTTTCTACGGCGCCGCGAAGAAATTGTTGGAACGATATTCCGACTACTCCGTCTCCAAGACTGCTTTCGTGGCTGGCGGTATCGGCGCCTTGGGTTCCTCCTTGGTCAAAGTACCCGCCGCGGTTTGTATTCGATCCGTGCAAGCTGGAGTATACCCGAACGTCTTTGCTGCCGCGGGGACAATCACGAAAGCTGCCGGCTGGAGAGGTTTGTTTACGGGGTACGCGCCGACTTTGCTCGAAGACATCCCAGACATGGCGGTCAAATTTGCGGCTTACGAAACTTTGCGAACGATGCATCGCAACTTTTTCAACAAAGACGACGATGAAGCCGATGCTTTTGCAGACATCTCCATGGGTTTGATCGCTGGATCCGTCGCAGCTGCTGCGACGACGCCTTTGGACGTCGTAAAGACGCGCATGATGTGTAACGCCGCTGCGAGACCATCTTTTGGCGGCGCCATTGTGGGCGTATGGAAAGAAGCGCCGGCTGGCTTTATCAAGGGCAAACTTCCCATGTACTTTACTGGTGTCGGCCCTCGTGCATTCTCGAACGGTATCAACTCTGCCATATTCTTCATGTTCTTTGAAGCGATGCGTGCTGGGTTGAAACGTCGCGAAGAGCGCGTTGAACTCGAAAAGAGACGGTTACGAAGAGTCGGGTACAACGGCTCCAAGAACGAAGAGTTTCGATGGGCGAACACCGACCAACAAGTCGGCAGAGTCACGGAAGCCTCCGTGACGACGTCCACTTTACGCCACAAGTTTACGCTTCCCAAGTTGAAGAAGTGTTAAGCGTACTTCCTTTTATTACCACCACCTCCGAAAAAAAGTTGATTGAAAATAATATAAAAAAGCGAGACGAGAAGGTTCTGCAAGAAGCTCGCTCGACGAGATGGTGAAACGACGAAAAAACTCTGTGTTTCCAATTTGTACTTACTTACTTAATATAAATCGTACTATCATCATCCTCAATACTAAAATAATGTTACTGTGTATTATTGTTGTTTTACTGCGTTCTCTCTCTCTCTCTCTCGTTCGCGTTTGGTTTCTAATATATATCTTGTTGTTATTTCAATTCGCATCGTTTACTAAATTTATATGATTCTTCATTTTACGGTTTCACGGCCAAACTCATCGCCTGTTGCTGCTGTTGCTGCGCCACGCGCATCCCCGCCACGTAATTTAAAATCTTCAACCTCGGTCCCGGCGGAATTCGTACCTCTTGCAACGCGTTATCGTTCAACAAAAGCAAACAATCGTCCGTCAACAACCCTCTCTTAAAATTCTTCTCGTACTTCTCCAACCCGAGCGCCGTCAACATCCCAACCGCGTGCGAATAAAACACGTCCGTCTTTTCATTCTTCCCAGAAAACGACTGACCAATCTTCATAAAGGCCCCGTTCAAGAGCGAAAACAAAACGCCCGATTTCACCGCCTCTTGCGCAATCTGCATCGGCCCTTCCGGTATCGCCGCGTCCTGCCCTCCAAACGCCGCCTTCTGCCCGCTCAAACTCGACGACACCGACAGCGCCGCGCCGGCGCCAAACATAGCCAACATCCCGGTTTCAATCTCTGAAAATTTGTTCATCTTCTTAATCCAGCACGTCAACCCGCCTTGGACGGCGGTAAATACCGCTAAGTTCACCGCCAACACGTGCGGCGGTCCCGACATGGCGCCGGACATCGCCGGTTGATTCGCCATCGCCGGGTTCGTCGCCGCTTGTTCCGCGAGGTTTTTGTTCACCGTCCCGAGCACGAAGCCGAGCACGCCACCTGTTTGTTCGTCACAAAAGAAGAGAGAGAGAGAGCGTTAGAGAGAGAGAGAGAACGCGGAAAAGGTTGTTGGTTTTCTAACGACAATCTGATCAACATCGCCGCCAGAAAGAGAGATGAAACGAGAGAAAGAGATCCCTTTCGCGCGTACCTTGCACGGCACTCCCGGCCGAAATCGCGGCAATTTCCACCGGCACAGATTGGTTCTTCAACCACTCGTCTACCTGCTTCTTCTTCTCGGTCACGATATCGCCGATGCCCATGATGTTTGTTTGCTTTTTTAAACAACTTTGTTACAACTTTTTGTGACGATTCAAATCCAGAGATTTGGAGCAAAAAGGAGAGATATTTTAAGCGTTCTCGCGTTTACGATGTTTAATGTTTACGAGTATTATTGTCTCTACTCACAGTGTCTACTTTCTATATGTTCTATCCTTTTCCTCGCGTGTGTTGTGTGGTTTTGGTGTTGTTCTTTTTGTTCTTCTCGTCGTCGTTTCTTGAGCCGCTTTCTGTCGGCTTTCGAGACGTACGTCTTTGTCTTTGTCTTCTCATCTCTCAAAATCATCGTTTCTTTTTCTTCCTTTTCTCCGTCGTCGTCGCGGTCGCGTCCTTTCGTTTTCGTTCGCAAAACTCCTTCTTTTCCTCCGTTCTCTTCTTCTTCGTCGTCTTCTTTTCCTCTTCGTATTCTTTCCACGAGCATGCTCGTCCGGTTCGGAATCGAATCCGTCGTCTTTAACGACTTTCGCAATTCGTCCAACAATTTCACCTCTTTTTTATCCAATTCTTTCAACTCCTTCGCTTTCGTATCCTCGTAATAATCCCGGGCGAGTTCGGCTTTGCGACCAGCCTCGGCGACAGTCGCCGCGTGGCCGGATTTGTGCGTCCCGCCCATCTTTTAAATAGAATTATAAAGCATAGAAGAGGAGTACATGAATGAAATTTGTATTTTGTGACGAGTGATGTTTTTTTGTGTGGACAATTCTACTTCAATTTTCTCTCTCTCTGCTCTCTCTCTCGCGTAGACATTTTTTTTACCTGCGATGACCGCCTCTTCGGTTTCTTCCACTGCCGCTTGTCCTTCCTCCTCCTCTGGACGAGGACGAGGACGGACCACCTTGACCACCATTTTGGGCGTTTCTGCTGGTATAGAACGCGCTTTGACTTTCGTAAAAGGAGTTGTAGAACATGGCGTCCTCCGCGTTTGAGGAGTAAAAATCGCGCGCCGAAGGGCGTCCGTGGCGGCTTCCCGCCGAGTTCGAGCTCGAGGACGCGCGGCGTCGTTGGACGGAGACCGTGCTGTCCCATTGGTACTCAGAGGCGTCGTGGGAACGTCGGTCGGCGGAGGTTTTTAACGCGTCTTTCGCGACGTTGAGATGGTTGAAAACTCTGTTTGCGTCTTCGGTGAGCAGTTTGAGCACGTCCTCGTTCCCGGCGACGAAATGGCTCGGGAGCTCGTTCGGGTGGAAGACTTTGTCCGCGTGCGCGCGCAAGGATAACTTTTTGAACGCTTTCGTGATGTCGCTGTCGCTCAGAGATGTGGTGGACGAGTCGTCGGAGAAACCGAGTATGGCGCGAGCGTGTATTGGAGCGGATTCGCCGTACTGCTGTTCCAATTTGATTTCCACCGCTTTCAACTCTTTCGCGCGACTCTTGGCGTCGTTCTTTTGCTTGACGTCGCCGTTCGCATCCGCCGTTTTCTCGTACATGTTCAAATCTTCTAAAGACTTTTCGAACAAACGCAAGTGCGAGAAGATCGCCGCGCGACGAGAGTACGCTTTCGCGCGCGTCGGGTCGAGAATGATGGCGCGACCGCAATCGAGCATGGCGTCGATGTACTTCTGCGCACCCATACGCGCAGCAGCGCGATTACACAGAATGGCGCTAACAAACTGTTTCGATAACGACGAATTAGACGCCGCGATGCACTTCGTGTAGTGCATCTCGGCCTCGTCGTACTCGCCACTCGAGAATGCGGAGTTCCCGCACATGCGCGCGTCGTATTGATCTTTCAGAACGGCAAAGATAGCTCCGGAGTCGGGACGAATCGCGTTAAACGTGTCTAACATGGTGAACGTTTTATGCTCAGGGCCATCTCCTCCAGGTTCACCAGTTTCTGAGCCGCCAAACGTTGGACCGGTGAAACCGTTCGTTTGTTTCGCGAACCGTTCCAAATCGTCCACGTCACCTAATCCGTAGTGCACGACTATGCGCAACAAAGTCATCTCGATTATGTTCTCTCTGACCGCCATATCGTCTTCCGGTTCGACCACGCGAGGGGGAGAGTGTTTGTTCCTCGTTCCTTTTGGTTTTGTCGGAGATAACGGGGCGAAAAAGTCGAACGATTCCAACGTTTCTAATGCTTCTTTATACTGTCCGCAAATCATGAGCGCGTTTATTTTCAAGCACGCCACGAGCTGCCGAGTGTCCAACGGCATGTGCGTCGCCCTGCCCTCAATATCCGTCGCATCTGTTATCGCCGATTTCACTAACAACTCGTTCTGCACGAAGCTTTCTCCGCCGTTTATGGGTGTTCTTCTCAAAGCGCGTCTCGCGTCGGTGAGATACGTCACATCTGAGATTATTTTCAAACGCTTCGCGTGCTCGAGCTCTACGCGCGCTTCTTCTTTTTCCTTCTCCGAAGCTTTCGAGCTCGAAACAATCGTAGTGTAACACGCACACGCCGCAGTAAAATCAGCCAGACGCTCGTGACATTTCGCTTGACGCAAAATCGGTTTCATGTACGTCGCATCCGCTTTTCTCGCGCGCATGCAATCATCGATGCATTCCTGGATTTTCTGGCGATACTTCCAAAGCATATCCGGCGTGTACTTACCGTCCATCTCCTTCGCTCGTTCTCTCGATTCTTCTATTTGTATAACCATCAGCGTCGATGCCGCTCGGTTGCTCAAAAGTGTCCCCGCTTCTCTGCCTAACAGCTGTCTCGTGGGAAGAAACGGCGCGCCGCTGCCGTTGTTTCTACTCGGCGAAAAACTACCGTGTTTGTCCGGGGACGGCGCAATGCTTTCGAGCATAATTATTGCGCGCGTGTACGTATCTCGAGCCGCGCGGAACTTCTTCAAAGCCTGCTCGTCTTTATCTTGATTCACAAAAGAAGAAGCTTCTTGAAACAATCCGTTCGCTTCGAGTTTATACGCTTTCACATCTTTTTCTACGTTTACCATTTTCTCCATCTCTTTCTCGGACGAAGGACTATTCCTCGAAGGCGACGATCCCATCGCGCGACCGAACGCATTTGTTGCACTACTGCCCGTTGTTGTTGGCGACTTTGGCGAACCCGGTGACTTCACGACGGCAAACTTCTTATACGGTTTTCGCGCACCTTCGCCGTTTACTATTCGCGGGATTGGTCTTCCGTCGGTAGTAAAGTTGTAACCGACGTTAAAGGCAGACGCGCTGGGTAACGGACTACCACTACCGTTGATGTTGTTGCTTTCACCTCCAATGGTCACCTTTGAGAAGGAGTTGCTCAACACCGCCTGCGGGGAAAACGCGCCATTTTCTCGAAAACTCGTCGCGGCTTTCGTCGCCATTTTTGCCGCTTCCTTACTATCGCTCGGAACTTCTTGCATTCTATCGCTATTCGCGCTACTTTTGTTCTGCATTCTACCACCGCTACTGCTGCCTTTTGCTTTACTGCTATTACTCCTACTGTACGACTTTGGCTTTGTCGCGCTTCCACTAAATCCGCCGCCCTCTGAACTTCCGTCGCCACCGCCGCTTTGAAAAATCAACGGCGTCGAAGTCGCGTTCGCCGATCCCGTCGGCGTGGTGGTATTAAAACTCGTCGTCCTCACCCCGGGATGCGTCTCGGCAAACATAGAGGGCGAAAACTCCGTCGGCGTTTTGATGTGCGCCCACTGCGGATTCGGCGGCGACGGTTCTTCTTCTCGTCTCTGCTGACCAAACGTAAATCCAGGTGACGAGGTAAATCCTCCAAACGAAGACGGCGACTCCTCGACGTTGTTGCTATTAGTATTATTCGTGTTCAAAGACGCCGGTGTCCCTTCCGACACGACGCTCATCGGCGACGCCGAACTTTCTTCTCTAAAATCACCAAACACAGTTGGAGAAGTCTCTTTTTGTCCGAACGTGAAGGCAGAGGAGGAGAAGCCGGGGTCGACGCCGCCGAACGGGTTGGCGTTGTCGTCGTCGTTCCTTTTCCCACCCCCAGGATTCGAAGGGGTCGGTCTCACCGAATGCCTCGTGCTCTTGTACGACGACTTGACTCTCCCTTCGGCTGCGAAACCACCACCCGTTTTTTTCTTCCCGGACGAAGTCGTCCTCGTCCTCGTCGTCGCGTGGCCCGGGGAGAAGAACATTATTCGTTTTTCCGCGCGTTGTTCGAGTTCTTCTTCTTCCTCCATCTCGGACATCTCTGATTCTTCTTTTCGGGAAAGAAAGAAGGACTCTCGTCTTTTTGTGCGTTTTTTTCTCGCGTCAAATCGTCGTTGTTGCGCAGCACATTTACTGTATATAAACAACTACTCTCCTCCTTCTGTGTGTGTATATTATACTATGTACGTGTATAACAGAGAAGAGGAACAAAACGTCTTCTCGAGAGCTTCTTCTTCTTCTTAAGAGCGACCCGAGAGCGCAACAGAATGGAGTTTTTACTCGAGAGCTTTCTCGAGATGAGATTTGAGAGAAAAAAAAACTCGCGTGCTCTTGTTTAGGGTTTACACAATTAGGGTTGAACAGCTCCCTCTTTCCTCCTTTTTTTGAAGGAAGGAAAAATTCAAAAATTTTGGAACTCGTCTTTTACTCCTCTCGTCACATTCTCTTTGAGAGCTTTTTGTGCGTGTGTTGTTGTCGACTGGGTCGAGTTGTTCAAACGACGAACAAAAAATGAAGTACGTGGTGGTTTCCGGCGGCGTGGTCTCGGGATTAGGGAAAGGCGTGACGGCGTCTTCGGTCGGCGTGATGCTCTCCGCGGCGGACTACAGAGTGACGCACATAAAAATCGACCCGTACATAAACGTGGACGCCGGGACGATGTCGCCGTTTGAACACGGGGAAACGTACGTTTTGGACGACGGGGGAGAGTCGGATTTGGATTTAGGAAACTACGAACGGTTTTGCGATATCAACTTGACCAGGGACCATAACATCACGACCGGGAAAGTGTATCAGTCGGTGATCGAGAGAGAACGGGAAGGGAAGTATTTAGGGAAAACCGTGCAAGTGATTCCACACGTGACGGATGAAATCCAGGATTGGATCGAACGCGTCGCGCATATTCCGGTGGATGGGAAGGAAGGCCCACCGGACGTGTGCATCGTCGAGCTGGGTGGGACGGTTGGAGACATCGAGAGCATGCCTTTTATCGAAGCTTTGAGGCAGTTTCAGTTTCGCGTCGGGCCGGAAAATTTTTGTTTAGTGCACGTGAGTTTAGTCCCAGTCGTTGGTTCCGTCGGCGAGCAGAAGACGAAACCGACCCAACACTCGATTCAAGCGCTGAGAAGCGCGGGATTGGCGCCGACGATGTTGGCCTGCAGAAGCTCGTCCGCGTTGGATAAAGCGGTGATGGAGAAGTTGGCGTTGTTTTGCCACGTGAGCCCGAACAATATTTTGAACTTGATCGACGTTTCGAATATTTGGCACGTGCCGTTGATTATGGTGGAACAGAAAGCGCATTTGGCTATTCTCGGGCACTTGCAGATGAAGCCGAGACCGTTAAAGTTGGAAGCGTGGAAACACAGAGCGGAAAAGTGGGATAGCGTGCACGTGCCGTGTTCGATTGCGGTGGTTGGGAAGTACACCGGCTTGGGCGATTCGTATTTATCCGTGACGAAGGCGTTGATGCATTCATCAATCGCGTGCGATAGAAAGTTGAAGATTTTATGGATCGAGGCTGAAGATTTGGAAGAAGAGTCTAAACAAGCGAACGAAGATAAGTACGACGAAGCGTGGGCAAAATTGAAAAGGGCGGATGGCGTGTTAGTGCCTGGTGGTTTCGGCGGCAGAGGCGTGGAAGGGAAGATGTGCGCGGCAAAGTACGCGCGAGAGAACGAAATCCCGTACTTGGGCATTTGCTTGGGCATGCAAGTCGCGGTAATTGAGTTTGCCAGGAACGTGTGCGGCCACGCGGACGCGCACTCGACGGAGATGGACCCGACAACGGAGCATCCGGCGGTTATTTTCATGCCGGAAGGATCCAAGACGCACATGGGCGGTACCATGCGTTTGGGCGCGCGAGAAACTATTTTTCAAACGAAAGAGTGCGTGTCGTGGAGATTATACGGTAAGAAAGACGCGGTCGCGGAGAGACATCGACACCGGTACGAGGTGAATCCGGAAATGGTGGACGAGCTTGAGCAAAAAGGGTTGCATTTTGTCGGGAAAGACGAAACCGGAACGAGAATGGAAATTTGCGAATTGGCCAATCATCCGTTTTTCGTGGCGTGCCAGTACCACCCGGAGTTCAAATCGCGACCGGGGAGACCGAGCCCGATGTTTATGGGTTTGTTATTGGCGGCGAGTGGACAGTTGGAGTCGTACGTCTCCGACGAAGCCGTCGAGTTAAGAATTTCAATGGGGAACATGATGCGTTCGCCGATAAAATCGATCAAAGCGGCTGGGTTGTACGTCGGAGGCACGGACTGAAGCAAAGGAGAAAAAGTAAAAAGAGAAAAAGAAAGAGGGATATAAAAGAGGGAGAGAGAGAAAGAGAGAGAGAGAAAGAGATGTGAAGGAAGTAGGTGTGCCTCAGACGTGAAAGCGTGCGTTTATTGTTATTATTATTCTTGTTGATATCACACAGAACTACTACTGGTATTTAAAAAAGGTGACTTTATTACACTCGATGGGAAGACTTTATTATTTTTCACTCATCATCTTCACCCTCTTTATCTCCACCACCGTTCCCGCTAACAACAACCATAGACAAGTCCACCCAGGAGGCATTTCTTTTGTCTTCCAAGTTTTCTTCTCCTTCTTCTTTCCCAGGCGACTTGGCGGCGTGTCGTAAATCGTTCAGCGAGCCGATGTTGCCAAACTCCTCGAAACTCGCAACTTTGACCATACCAGAGATCAAACCCGAACGACTCGGTACTCTGTGCATTTTCGGGGAGTCCGTCAACGCCGCGCTGCTTCTCCTGGCTGGCGACTGCGGCGTGCCGTCTAACAGCGACATCGCGTGCGTGGATCCCATTCTGACGATACCGCGCATGTTTGCACCACTTGCGACGCGTTTCAACGCCGCTTGCGCCGCCTTGACGGCCACCGCTTCCGCTTGGCGATGTTCCTCCTCTGTGCCTTCCTTGTGGTCGTCCTCTTTCGGTGCTGGCGTGTCGTGTTCTGGGAGCGAATCGAGCTTTGAAATATCGAACGGTTTCGCCGCGGCTGATAAATTCGGCGCCGGTCTTTGTTGATCGATGGAATTCCTCCTCGACGACCCGGCCGAATCTTGTTCTCGGTTCGCTTTCATCCACGGTCGACCGGAGATTTCCCCATCGAGAGATTTCCTCCCGGCTTTTTTCCCTAAATCGATGCCTTTCAACGCTGCCGCGACGGCGTCGTGCGCCGCTTCGATTTCTTTCGTCCTCGTTTCTTCCGTCCTTTCGAACCGTCTCGGTATTAAGCTGCGATGTCCATAAATATACGTCCCGGCGGGTAAATCTTCAAACTCTGGCGGGCTCACCTCCATGCCACTCGTATCTTCCGGCAATAACTCCGACGCGCCTTCGAAATTCGACACCACCACGGTCCCATCCGCGCCTCGCCCGTACTTCAACGGAAACTCGCCGCTCGCGTCCCTCGCCGCGAACACGCGCACCGTCCTCGCGTCGTAACACGTAAACGCAAACTTCCCTCTCAATTTCGGCAAGCAGTGCGTCCCGAATGTCTTATACACGTGGCACACCAATTCAGCTTCGTAACATCGTCCTCCTACCAACGTATGCGCCGCTTCCAAAGGATCCGCGTGCGCCCTCTTCTCCAAGTCGTCCCCTCGCCTCCCTTCAGGTGAGAATAACCTCCACGCTAAATAATCCACGTTGGTTAAATGCCCGACGAACGAGACGATGATTTCGTTATCCGTGAACGCTTGCACGTTTGGCCCAACCCCAATGGCAATCCCTCCACCGTTCAACTCGCTCGTCGACTTGTTCGAAAACTCGATAGCTTCCAACGCCTCTCTCACGTGTTGCTCGCTCTGTTGATGCGCTTCCCCGGTGTCGTGATTGATGGATAAGGTTTTCGGCGGGATGACGCACAGGAATTTCCCGGTTCGGCTGTTCATTTTATTGACTCCGCGTGCACTGCGTCGCGTCGTTGGTGCGGGTGAATAACTCTGCGCGAGTGGTCTCGTGATGCGGAACGAGAGCGCTCAAAACCTCGACGATGTAAGAATACGCTCCTGGATACTCTCTTCAACGTATCCAACGTGCTCCTTATTCTCGCTCGCTCGAACGACGACGAGGACACCACGGATGGTAATAAAAGGCGACAACAGACGACGACAAAAATGTGCTGCTTTTGTAAATCAACTCGCTCGTTCGCTCTCGTTTCAAAGCGTTTTGTGCGCTTTTCTTCTCGCGAGAGAAAGAGCGGACGATGAGAGGGAAAAAATATAATGTGACTCATCGGGCTTCTGTCCAATCGCACGAAAATACAAAGAGCTGCCAAAACGCTCTTTTGCACTCAATACGCTTTCTCTCTCAACCGAGATGAGACGCACCGCTGTGTATACTGCGCTCTGTTTTTCGCCATCATCTCATCGATCATCGCTTCCTTCTTAACGCGCGCGCAAAAAACGTGAGAGTCTGTGATGCTGCCTCCTCGCGTTCAAACGAGGACACGCAAGGCACGAGGTGTCGCGTTCTCTCTCTGTCTCTGATCGAGTGTATTATTTTTGTTTCACATGTGCAAAGATCGGAGAAATTTTCGAGAAAAGAGAGACGTTTTCTTTCGAGCGCAAAGGCACCAATTGTATATACCTCAGAAAATTAGAGAAGAGCATACACACTTTGAAAGGGCTTTGTTTCTTCTTTTAAACAACTTCAAATGGCGTTCGGCGGCGGAGGAGGATTCGGGAGCGCGCAGAACGTCCCGCAATCCCCGTTCGGGCAAGCGCCGGCGTCGCCGTTCGGAGGAGGAGGAGGAGGAGGCGTCGCATCGAGTGGTTCGGGAGGATTCGGTGCCCCTTCCAATCAACAAGGAAGTGTTGGAGGTTTGTTTAGTCAACCGTCGAGTGGGGTGGTCGGAGGGTTTGGACAGCAACAACAACAACAAACCGGAAGTGGCCAGTTGGGTGGATTCGGGCAGCCGCAACAACAAACCGGGGGCGTCTCGCCGGGAACGAGTACGTTTTGTAAACTTCGCGCATCGTGTGTTTTGATTTTCAATTTTCCATTCGATTTTGTGTCTTCTTCTACTTCTTCTTGTTCTCTCTTTCGCGAGTAACAACAACGGGTTTCTGCTCGCTTTTCGGCGATCAACGATTCCTTTCGTCGTTCGATCGATCACTACTAACGCGTGATTCTTTCTTTTTAAATAACAGTCGCAAACGCGTGTCGCTTCTGGAACAAAGGCCAGTGTAAATTTGGACAAAGATGTAATAACAAGCACGTGTGCTCGACGTGCGGCAGCTCGGCGCACAGGGCGGTGAATTGCTCGATGTCACCAGGCGTCGCCGGATATCGAGCGACGAGGGTGGTAGATAAGGAGTTGGTTGGGCCGTCGATGACGTACGCGATGTTGCAGTCCATGTCGGCGATGCCGGATCACGATAAACGGAGCGTGGAGGAGTTGCGATACGACGCGTGGTCGAAAGCGGGAGAGCCGGGACAGGCGAGTGGGCAGCAAGGTGGATTTGGATCGGCACAAAGGGGTGGAGCCTTTGGTGCGAGCGGAGGAGGCGCATTCGGTGGATCTAGCTTCGGAGGAGGCGCGGCTACTTCTCCGTCCGGAGGGTTTGGCCAGCCGTCCTCGACGCCGGCGTTTGGGCAAACCCAAGCCGCGTCACCGTTCTCCGGCGGTGGTTCGTCTGCTTTCGGCGCGACAACCACAGCTGGTGGCTTTGGATCGAGTCCGGGAACGTCTGCTTTCGGCGCTAGTGGCAGCGGAGGTGCGTTCGGTCAACAAACATCTCCCCAAGGCGCATTTGGGAGCACTGCGGGGGCCGGAGCCGCGGGGGGGTTTGGAGGAGGCGGGAGTGCATTTGGTGGTGGAGGCCAACAAAGCGGCGGATTATTTGGAGCTAGTGGTGCCGCTGCACCGCAAGCTTCGCCATTTGGAACTTCAACGCAATCGGGCTCGTTGTTTGGGAATCAATCGCAACAAAATCAACCCTCGGCCTTTGGTCAACCTTCGCAAAGTTCTGGCTTCGGCGCGACTCAACAACAACAATCTGGATCATTCTTCGGCTCCAAGCCGGCTGCTGCACCTACTGGTAGTCTTTTTGGAGCTACACCTCAACAAGCGAGTGGTGGGGGCGGCTTGTTCGGGTCCACGGGAGCGTCGTTGGGAGGTACTGGCGGTTTTGGCAGCGCTGCGCCATCGCAGCAGCCTCAGACGCCGGGTTTTGGTGGATTCGGCGGGTCGCAAGGGCAACAACAGCAGCAGCAAAATGCTTTCGGTCAGACGCAATCTACCGGGGGGAGCAGTTTATTTGGAACGCAGCAAACTCAGGGCAGCGGCTCGATCTTTAATCAAGGAGGCCAACAATCTGGGTTCGGCTCTCAGACACAAGCGACGCCAGGTTTCGGTGCTCCCCAGCAGCAACAAGGAGCAGCCGGCTCGCTTTTCGGTGCTAAACCTGCTCAAGCACCAGGAAGTTCTTTTGGTGCGGGCGCATCAACGCCGTCGACTTCTCTCTTTGGAGGAGGAGCGCAGACGTCGCCAGCTGGCGGTCAAAGCGGCTTTGGCGCTGCGCCAGGAAGTGGTGGACTTTTTGGCGCCGCGAAGCCTGCGGCGTCGCCATTTGGTGGCGGTGCACAACAACCGAGCACCGGCGGATTATTTGGTTCAACTGGGGCTGGTGCGAGCGGCGGATTATCCTTAGGTCAAACGCCTACGCAAGGGGCAGGTGGGGGCCTCTTTGGGGGTGGAGGTACTCAAGCGGGAGGCTCGAGTTTATTTGCGCCGAAGCCATTAACTGGAACGACGACACCGGGAGGATCATTGTTTGGAGGAGGTGCGGGTGCACAAACTCAAAGCACCCCCTCGACTGGTCTCTTTGGCGGCGGTCCGTCTTCATTACAGACTCCGTCTTCGAATGCTGGAGGCTTGTTTTCTTCGCAACAGCAGCCGGGGCAGCCGTCGAGCTTGTTCGGAGGCATGAAACCCGCCACGGGTGGTGGGTTATTTGGTAGTGCTCCTGGTACTGGAGGCGGACTTCAATTGCAGCAACAGCCAGCGCAGCAAGCGCCTTCTTTATTCGGCGGTGCCGGTGGCCTTGGTGGAGGTGGGCTATTTTCGCAGCAAGGACAACAACAACAGCAAGGACAGTCGCTCTTTGGACAGCAGCAACAACAAAATCAAGTTCCTTCGTCTCCATACGGCGCTCAGTTACCCGTTCCCAACGCCGGGGCACTCGTTCCCGCGTCATCATCAAAGCCACGTCAGTCACTTCTCGGCGATGCGGGCGTTTCGAGCCACGTTTCGAGATCCACGGCGTCCGCTTTGGCCACGTTCCCTTCGCGACCGCAAACGCCACGAGCGCCGTGGTTACAATCTCGAGGCGCGACATCTGGTGCAAAGCCACCATCCTCGCATCAAAAAGCAGTCGTCTTATCCAGACGAGAACACGGCGGTAGTGGAATGCCGACGTATTTGGATAAACCTTCGCACGACGCATATGAAATCGCGCAACCGGAAGGTGGTGCAGTTCAAGACGGGATCGGAAGGAAGGATTCTCCTGCGAATGGTTGGTTGTTCAAGCCGCGCGAAGATCCCCGCGCTTTATTCATTCGTCCTACGAGCACCTTGATTGGTAACGGCAAAGAAGGTCTCAGTGGAATCTCGTTGGCGACGTACGGAAACGGTAAGGCGTCGTCGCCTAGAGATCAAAGACTCGGTTTACCGTTCGTCGATGAAGATTCTGGAATTACGATTTCACCAACCCTGGACGAACTCAGAGATCTCGTGGAAAAGCGCGGCCCTGAAGCGCTGACGTGCGTCGAGAATTTTTCTGTCACGGACAAGGAGTTTGGCAAAGTTGAATGGCTGGAGCCCGTGGATGTATCAAGATTGGACGTCGCGCGCGTCGTCAAATTTGAAAAGTCGTGCCTGTACTTATATCCCGAAGATGCTGGCGTAGAAGCGCCAGAGACGGGCAAGGGTCTGAAGAAAAGCGCCATGGTCACGCTGACAGGTATTAAGCCGAGAAAAGGTACCGCCGCAGCAAAGAAGAGAATGGAGGAGAAGATTGAAATCCAAACAAAAGCGGCGGGCGGCGAGCTGGTTAGCTACGACGCGGACGTCGGAGAGTGGAAGTTCTCTCTCCATCTGTAATGAGAAAAGTAGATAGGCACTTTACAACGCAAAAAGCACAGTATGTCGGTGGGCGGTTGATGAGCGCGGTAAAGTAAACATATATATAATAGTGATGAGTGTGAAAAAGCAAGTTATGCCGTTGGGTTTTGATGACACCTCGTTACACAACGAAGTTTTAGTGCAAAATTATTAGTTTGCAAATATTATACACCAGTACAAGTACGTACCCATATTCTATGCTAATTCTATATTTACCGTGGTCTATTCGCATTATTCTCTCCTTCCTTTTAATCGTTCGCTGTCCAAGTTTGCTTGCTTGTAGGCGGCTAACGCTTCCGGAGTGAGATTTTTAGTCGCACCGCCGAGATTCAATTTTTTCGCAAAAGTCGCGACAATAAAAGCGACAAAAAGTACGAATACTAAACCTCCAATGCTCGAGCCGTTCGATACTCTCAACCCTTCCGATTCAATGATCAACTCGCCTTCCTCGATTTGCTTGCGTGCCTCCTCTTCGATTTCAGCTTCCTCTTCGCGAAGTTCGTTTTCGTCTTCTTCGTCTTCTTTATCCATCTCTTCCGAAGAGGCGAAAGATGATGTAGTTGAAGAAGAGGACGCGTCGTAATCGTATTCGTCTACACTGTTGATGCTCTTTTTAATCGTAGCCGTCGCACTCGTCTTCTTGATCGAACCATTACTCTTCTCTTTCTTCACCTTCTCCTCCGGCGGGCAACAACTGTCTTCGCACCCCGTATTAGGACATAAGTTACAACTCAACTGACACTCCATGCTCATGTAGTTCGGATTGTTCGTGCACTCGCCAGTGCTCGCCCACGTGCAACACTGATTGTTGTTATCCTTACAAGAACTGCCACCGCTTGCTCCTCGGAGCTTTTCTTCTATCTTTTTCAGTTCAATCATTTCCCTAGACACCGGTTTACATCGCAAAATGTTATTCTCCTTTATCGAGCAATCATACTTTTGCCTCGGCTTGCTGAAATCTAGATCCGTTCTCTTGCACACTTTAAGCGCCCGTTCTTTGGTGCTGTTATACAACGTCTCCGCGACAATGAGCGCGATCTCATCTCGTCGTCGCATCATTGTCCCTTCCCTGGAGCTTATCTCTCCAATCGTAATCGGCTTCTCAAACATCTGTCCTCGCGTACACGACGTCATGTCCGTCCCTTGGTACCAGTGTTTATCGAACGCGTAATCATCTATTCTGTATGTTACCCCGTAGTGCAAAACCACTGGAAACCTTTCATCTTTTGGTGGCATATACCCTGGATACAGCATGAATGAATCCGACACGGAAAACTTCAACTTCCTCTCCGCCGCGGCAAACACGTACCCGTACATCTCCGAAATCCACGGCGGTCCGGCTTTGCCGTTTTGATTAAACACGTCCCCGGTATTCGCCCAGGAATCTGGGTCGCTCCTCACCTGTTCTGTCCAATACAACCACCTCGGCGCGAGCGGCTCTAAATCTTCTCTGTGCATGACCGTGAACCCGCCGACTTGCTGCGCGCCTTCTACGTTCGGGACCCTCGCTTTCACCCCCATGTGATTCTTGGGAAAGATCCCAACTAAATACCCGTAATGCGCGCTCACGGGATTCCCTAACGCCACCCCCAACAAATCTGCATCCATCGACCTCCGAAACGCCATATCTGCATCCAAAACGATGATAAAATCCTCCGTCGGCTTCGCGTGTTCCATCCAGTGCATAATCGAATACGGTTTGTTATACGCCGAATACCTATCCCCGCTCACTGGATGTTTCGCGTAGTTCGGGTGCACGTGCGTGTTCGGTACTATATCTAATCCCGGTGGAGGTGATTGATCGCACGCCATCAATCGCGTGATTTCTCCTTTTTGTTTCACCTTCTTGAACGAATAATACAAGCCCAGAGATTGCCAGTCAAAGTAGGTGTTGCACTCGGTGCTGAAGATGGTGTGGTAGGTTGGTGTTTTTTGCTTATTCTTCTCGCCAAACTCGCTGTCTTTACTCATCAAAAGTTCCCGTCTCGTCGTCGTTTTCGTTCTCTCCTCCGAAATGCGTTCTCCATCTCCCGTTCTTCCCTCATTCGTCGTCATCGTCATCGTATTCGTCGTCGCGAAATCATCTCGATTTCGGTTTTTTCCAAACGACGATTCGATCGACGAGGACATCGAAAAACGCGCCTCGATCATCGAAAGAAAGAGGAACACCAACGTCCAACATCGCGCAAAGCAAAGCACACTCATCGCACTACTATTACTGCTAATGATGATGAGTATAGCGTCTCTCGCGCTCCTCCCTAAAGGGTCCCCTAAATAAATTGTGACGCAAACTTTCGGGAAAAATCATCACTCAGAGAAGCGCGCGTATATGCTTTCGAGCCTTTCACGGTCGCATCCTTCGAAAATCTCCCACTCTTACCAGCAGCGCAGGCGAAAACGGACCGCTACTGCGACTCAGATAATGGCGTCGGGTGATTTGCACAACGTCAAAATGGGCGCCTCTGCGGCCGAGCGAAACGCGCCTCACATCGCGGCAAAAGTCGTGCCGAGACTGCTTCAGATATGCAAAGAAGAAGAAGAAGAGGAGAACATCGATAAGGAGAAGTACGCGTTCGAAATAGGCTCCGGCCAAGGCGTGCACGCGTCCATCATCGCCCCCAAGTTACCGAACATCGAGTTCGTGCTCTCGGACATGGCGGAAGATTACTTTGAACACATAAAAGAGAACGTGAAAAGCATAGACAACGTCTTGCTCCCGCCGGTGACGTTTGACGCGAGAGATGACATCGTGGACGCGCTGATCGTGGATAATTTAAAAGCGGTTATCGGGGCGTGTTTGTTAGTGTTAGTGGTGAACATCTGTCACATAAGTCCAATTGAAACGACCAAAGGGATATTCGCGTCGAGCGAGAAGGTGTTGGCGAAACGAGGCGTTTTGTATATTTACGGACCGTTCAACGTGGACGGGAAGTATACGAGCGAAGGAAACGAGAGGTTCGATAAGAGCATGAAAGAGAAGGACGAGAGGTTTGGTATTAGGGACATATCGGAGTTAGAGGCCATAGGAGAAACGCACGGGATGAAATTGAACGAGATTCACGAGATGCCGGCGAACAACTTTCTCTTGGGTTGGGTTCGGACGCGATGAGAGACGCGGATGATGTATTCTTATTTATTTTATGTTATTGTTATTAAAATACAGGTTTATTCCATGAATTAGTAGTAGTTAGTGGTAGTAGTAATCGTACAGTTCGTTTGTTTCTTGCGTTCCTCCTCGTCGTCGTCGAAAAGTCTCATCAAATTACTTTTCGCTTCGAAACTTCGCCTCGGGGTGATCCCTCGCCAGTTCCTTCCTGTGCAACTCCCTTATAATCTTGTGTTCCCACTGCGGGTGCGGTAAATCCACCGACGCCGCTCTTCGGTTGTTGTTCAAAACATGTCCCCGCTGCTCACCTTCTTCCGCTTTCGGCACTCTGCTCCCGTAGAAAAAATCGTCAAACGACGAGCGCACCGAAGACGACTTCGACTGCCCCTCTTGAGGAGGTTTGGAAAAGCCATAAATGGTCAACTCTTCGTCCCTCTTCGCTTTCACCGCATCGATGTCTAAACTCGCACGTTTCTTCGGCGATGGGCGATGGACCATTGCGTCTCGCATAAACGGTGCGTCGCCGTACGCGTCTTCGCCGTCGACGAAGGAGACGTCGTCTAAAGACATCGCGAACTTTTCCGCGAACGTTTTCGGGGACGATGAGAATTTGGATGATGCGTCAGCATTCTTGTTGGGGGGGTTGGAATTGATGTCTCGCGGCTTGGAGGAAAAAGCTTCTCTGTTGGTGTTGTTGTTCGAGGACGAAGCGCCGCTGGACATTTTGTTGAGCATGTTTTTAATCATTTTGTTGAGAGTAAGATGACTGCGATGATGATGCTGATGAGAAAGTGTGTGTGCTTTCAGCGCGCGCGCGGCAAGAGATGAATTAATAAAGTGGTGGATTAACCTCGCTCGAAAAATGGGGGAAAAAAGGTCGAAAATAAGGAAAAATATCAACGACGAACGAAAAAGCGAGGCAGAGGAGCTCATATCGTTTCCAATCAGAGAGACCTGAGCGACGACGTGATAAAAAAGTTGACGATGTCCGGACGATGCACGCCGTCGTCAGATCCCGCCGCGCAAAGTAGCAGGCGTTTCTTCTTTGTCTTCTTCTTCTTCTTGATCGTCGTCTCTTTTTTTTTCGCGAGGGAAAACTTTTGCCGTTTCGAGAGGAAATGAAGAAGATTTTGGGAAACATTTTGCTTCAGTGTGAGGACGCTTTCTCTCTCTCTTTACGCCGAGGACACTCATCATCATGCGCGCATCATCGACACCGCAGTCGTGCTGCGGTAGCAGTGGACGACTCTCATCCTTCGAGAAGCAGCAGCAAAAACAGCGACATCGTCATCGTCATCGTCGTCATCATCAATCGAAGGGAAGGGGAGGCTTTTTGGCGGCAGAACACCAAAACCAATCGACCAAAACGACCACCTCTGCGACATCATCATCATCATCATCGAAAACGACGAAAACGAGCGAGAAAAGCGCAATCGAGTTCGCCGTGCAGGCGTTGAAGCGAGGATCTGTTATTGCTGTTCCGACGGATACGCTGTATGGTTTCGCCTGCGATGCGTCCAATGCAGAAGCGATTGAAAACCTCTACGCGGTGAAAGGCAGAGAGAAGACGAAACCGGTGGCGGTGTGCGTGAGTCGCGCGGAAGAGGTGAAAAAGATATGCGAGTTAGACGGGAAGATTGAGGAGAGTTTGTTGAGGAAACTGTTACCTGGAGCGGTGACGTTACTGTTTAAGAGGAAATGGACCGAGACGACGCTTTCAAAGTCGCTCAATCCAAACGTCGATAACGTAGGGGTGAGAGTGCCGGATTGTGCGTTTATATTGGACGTGTGCGATGCGTTCGATGGCGCGATAGCGCTGACGAGTGCGAATACGTCCGGGAAACCGAGTTGCGTGGACGTGAACGAGTTTCGAGAGTTACACGAGAAGTGCGAACGCGTCTTCGACGGAGGGAAGATTATCGAAGACGACGGGAGTACCGATTCGGCGCTCTTGCGCGCGGGTAGCACGATCGTTGATTTAAGCAAAGGCGACGGAACATTTCACGTCGTTCGCGACGGATGCGCTCTGACAAACACGACATCAGTCTTACTCGAATACGGATTCATCGAGAGTAAATGACAATTTAAGGATAATAGGCACATCGTCGTCACCCCCGGTGGCGACGTGACGTAGATAGAAGAACCGAACTAGCGTACGATGCGTAGAATGTAACAATACGAAATGTATAAAATCTATTTTTTAACCTCTAATCGACCTATCTCACTCTCGTTTCCTATCGTTATAAATCTTTTCCCTCCACTTTAAAGTTATTCCGCTTCATCGCGAACCACGTCTTCTTAACCAAAAACGCGTAATCTTTCGGCTTCAACGGGTTCACATTGGAAGGTAAATCCTGGGGAAACGCGAAACACGTCGCCAGTGGCATGACGAGAAATAAGTACATCGCCCCAGTGAATGGGAATAAGCCGGCGAAAAGTAAGCTCTTCGAGTGCATTAAGCGTTGAATCGTTTTCCAGATGAAGACGAAGAAGGTGGTTAATACCGTCCTGTGAATAAGAGTTTTTAGGGGAAGATGCAAAAGAGAAACTCAAGTACTTACAGAGCGAGAAGGATGCGAACGGTTTGTTTGGACCAGAACTTGGACGGGTTCGTTTTCCCACTCGAAGTGCGGTTGATATCGAGGACGCCTCGACCGGAGGACATTTGGATGATTCCTCCACGAGAGCGCGTTTGTTTATGTGGAGAATTTCAAAAATAATATAAAGTAGTTACACAAGCTCAAAAGCTTTCGAGCTCAGTGCGAGCTCACAACTGGTATCGTATCGTATCGGAGAGAGAATAGCGTCGAAAGCATCGTAAAAGTCACTCACTCGACGGGATTCTCCTATTTTTTGTGGTAATAATCTTTCGTCGTCTTTTCCTTCCCGCGGCGTTACGTCTCTATCGAGAGTTTCGTAGAGACGGCAAAACCTCGCCTGCGGGCGGTTCTCGCTTTCGTCTTGCGTTTGAAGGCTTCGATTTCTTCGCGGACGCGGAGCTCGACGTTTTCGTCGTCTGAATCGTCGTCGTCTATGGGGACGGGTTTATTCTTTGGCTTGGAGCGTGATGTGAAGATGTCGTTGTTTTTCATTTCTAATTCCTCTTTTTCCTTGTCAGGCAGCGTCGGCGCCAACGCTCTTTCTCTCTCGGCGGCGTATCCCACGTACCCTTCTGAGATTTTTTTGCGAAGGAATGACGCGGTGTGGTTTCGAATCGAAAGCGCGCCGTTAAACAAGAGAGGATGCGCCGCGCGAAGTTCCACAATGCTAGCATTCTCTCGAATGTGCGCGATGACAACGTTTGTGGGCGTCTTACCGTCGCTTATCATCGACACGAGCGCCGGCGTTTTACCGCCGCTTATCATCGTACTTTGCTTCTTCTTCGACGCCGTCTTCGTGGCATCTATTTCTCGCTCGCTCGTGTGCCCAAAATACACAACGTCGTCCTCGTTGTCGTCGTCGTCGTCGTCGTTGCGATGGCTGTTTTTGCGCTTCACTCCATACTGTCCCATAAATTCCGATAGATCTCTCTGCATTCTCGCCACGTCCGCCGCGCATCGCAACACGTCTCTCTGGGTTCTCATCGCAATCTCCTCCATCCCTCTCCTCGTCTCCTTAGCGACGCTTTCCAACGTTTTCTCCACCGCGCTCGTGATTAGTTTCGAAATATCCAACTCGTCGATGGTCTCCTCGTCCTCTCTCTTCCCCGTAGAAGTCACCGGCGGAGGCAATCCAGCGAGTCTTCGGCTTTGCCTCGCCTTCCTCGCGTTCGTTTCGTTTTCCTCGTTATTCTCATCGGTCTGCGTCCCGGCAACCGCCACTCTCTTCTCCGCCGTCAACACCGTCCCGGTTCCATTCGTAAATTCCGGAGGTGACATTGGTCTCATCGCGAGCGCTTGAAGATATTCTTCGTTCTTTTTTCGTTGTTGTTGATGTTGTTGTTGCAACAAAAACGTATTCGCTGCTCTTTCCCGTTGCTCCTCGTTCTTCCGTCTCAGCTCGACGGTTTCTCTCGAGTGAAAACACGGCGGCGATTCTTTCGGCGTCGATTGGTGACAGTAATACTGCGGCTGACTCACGCTGAACAAAACCTCGTTCCCGTACCTCGACGCGCTCTTCGCTTTCTCCACGTTTTGCACAACCACCGGTACATTCGACGGCGACGACGTCTGGTTGTTGTTGTTGTTTTGCGTCGCCGTCGTCTGTTGCTGCAAAAAGAGAGGAGGCGTCGTATTCGCGCGCGGAGAGTGCAAATGCGACCCCTCGTTCGCCTTTTCTCGTTGATTAAACCGTGGAGATTCAAACGGTGGATGATTCTCTCTTCGCGTCGCGTGCGTTCGGTGCGTCAGCGATGGCACGGAGATGGTGTTGTTGTTCGAGACTTGCGTGAGTCTCTTGGACGCGTAAAAGTCTCGAAACATGCGTCAAAAAATATGACGAATTTCTTAATAAAATTGAAAACGCTTCTTTTTTTTTCTCTCATTGACCGCTTCCTACTACTACTACTGCTAGTGTTATTATGATCTTCAATGTCTTCTTTTTCGTCGTCGTCGCGATGGCGAGTGTGTTGTTGTTGTCGTTTACGTCGTCACCTTTTATGGTCGACGCGTACGGCGCGTACGGGAAACCGCGCGACGTGACCAACTTTACCGCGGAACAACTTTTGAATCTCCGGTACGAGTACACGCCGGAAATTACGGGCATGTTTCGAGAGTGCACGGACAAAGAGGAGAGGAAATACGTTTCCTCATTTTTACGCGATCGAGACGAGGAGGAAGTGGTCACGTGTTCGAGGTATTTCGTCGAACTCCGAGGAGGATGTTTCGAAGGACCTGGAAGAGCGCACGTGAGCAAAGAGAGGAAGCCTATGCGGGTATACTACAGCGAAATCGATGAAGAAGACGGCGGGTTTGCGATTTTGAGCGAGTATTTAGGCGAGGAAGAAGGACGGATGTATTCGAGAGTAGAGTATTTTTGCGATTCGGAAACCGCGTACGTGAGAGAAGGCATCGACGGCTATAAAGATGACGAGGGCACATTCGTGTTACCGTATAACGCGTTTTTGATGGATGGGGACGTAAAACTTGGGAGTAGCGAGAAGCAGTATTTGCACTATCAGTCGATGGATACTTCCTGGTATAACGGTAATAAGTTTGATTAAAATGGCAACGCTCTCGCCTTTGCGTTCGCTCGCGGAGAGTAGCTTCTTTCAACTTTATTATTTTTGGGAGTTGGAAATTAAAAATTCTCTTTGCTATATTTCTACGCTTCAAAATCGCTATCGTCCTCTTCTTCCTCTTCTTCCTCTTCTTCTTCTTCCTCCTCTTCTTCTTCTTCTTCTTCTTCTTCTTCTTCTTCTTCCTCTTCGTCATCGTCGTCGTCCCTTTCGGGAGCTTTACGTTTCTTTGATGGCGTGGCACTCTTTTTTACTAGGGGAGCGTCTTTCATTTTCACGTCGCCTTGTTTCGGTCTCTCCGATCTCAACGTTGCCTCGTGGTGTTTAAAGTCCTCTGGATCTTCGCTCCGCGCTGCATCGATGAACTCGTACGTCTTATCTAAGATAGACTCTAGTCGAACCATCCGCACCTCCACAGGAACTTCAGGTTCGTCCTTCAAGCACTGATCGCGATTTGCCAATAACAACGCCTCGTTGAACAAATCCGGGTACCGTTTGGCGTATTTCGGTCGAATCGCCGCCGTCTCCTTATCCGCTTGCGCACGCGTGATGATACCCTTGTGAATGTCGAGTTCGCGAAACTGTTGGTTTTCCTTGTCACGCACAACCTGCGTGAACTTTTTGACTTCTGGATCCGGCTTTCGTTTTTCAGCTTCCAAGTACTCTTCGAACCTCGCAACCGGCTCGACACCTTCAGCGAGAGGCTCTGGGACGCCCGTTTCTCGGACCAAATACTCCAAATCGCGCAAATACTGTTCGTACTTCACGCGCAATGCAAAGGAGGCGGACGTTTGTCCGCTGAGATCGACGCGCAAACCTCGCGCGACCGATTTCCAAAGCTTTTCTCGCGTGATGGTATTGTACCCACCTCGATATAAAGCTTCGACGAGCAAGGCGTACAAATCGAGCGGCTCGCGGCAGAACGTCGGAGGGGTACCGGTGCCGTATTGAATCGGTACTTTCATTTTCAACTCGTTGAACTGATCGATAAACTTCTGCTCTCGAATGCCTTTTGCGTTCCATCCAAGCGCGATGGCGAGATCTTTCGCTTGCTTTTTCATGGCGATGATCTCGTTCGTCTCGCGATACGGCATCGGGTCAGAGGCCAAGTTGCCCGCTCGCGTCAAGTAGGGACTCGCGATTTTCCCACTCGATGGTCCATAAATGTCACAATTCTTTCTTCTTACGTCCTCCGAGATGTCGAATCGGTGCATGATGTACACCGGTTGCTTAGCTCCCGAATTCTCACGGCGCGCAAACTGTTTACTGCCCGTTTGCGACGGCTTGTAAGCCGATATCGGTTCGCGCATGTGCGCTATCAAATCACGATCAACTTGCGGCTTCTTCTTCAAGATCTCCTTTGGTGCGCGTTCAAGTTCCCACGCAGATACCGAAGTCGTCGTAGCGGCTTCCCCGCTGCTTTCTGCATCAATTTTCTCCGAATCCCAAACAACCGTAACCCCGTCAAAAGGCTCTCCTTTTTTCACCTTTGTGACTTTGCCTAGGTATTTGATTTTCTTCGCCGGATCGGTTTCGTTCTCGTCCTCCACAATGCCGCGTTCAATATCTTCAAAAGCTTCGCCGTCTGGAAAGTGCATCATCACTCTATCACCAGCTTTCCAATCAAAATTTTGACCTCTTTCGTATTGCTCGAGAGTGACGATGTAATCCCCTACTTGCCCGCTCGGTATGAGCGGACACGCCAACAAGCGTCTCTTCTCGTCGACCATCTCTTCCTCGTCCGACGACGTTTCTTGCAACTCTCGCTCGAACTCTTCGTCTGAATTCGCGGGTTCTCTCAAATGCTTCTTTTTCTTTTTCTTTGCGACTTTTGAACTTCTCGCTTGTTCAGCTTTTCTCGCCTCTGCTCTCGTCGGTTCATCGATGAGTTCGAGGAGGAACCACGCCCATGGTTCATCGACATGGCCATCGTCGTGCTCTTCCGCGCCTCTAAATGCCGTAGCTCTGACAATACACCGTTCATAGTCGCGAAGTAACGTGGTATCGACAAAATGCGGGGGGATAAGCTCGTCCGAAAGATGCGCTTTCTTAGTATCTCTGTATCCGTTCATGCAGAGCATGACGACGTCGCCGGTTTTGATTTGCGACGCGTGTTTGCCCAAACCTTCTGGATCGGAAAACGCAAAAGTGTGTGCAGAAAGTCTCGCAGGATCGGTCAATTGCAACACGACAAGTTTGTGAAGTAAAGACGCGGCAGAAGTGACATTCAAAGGAACTTCGACGGCATTGTCGTCCATCATTGCTTCGTCATCGCCACAGAAATCTTCGTCTTTGGCGCTACCGTCGCCGGTGCCTTCCGGTGATTTCTTGATGAACTTTTTGACCTTTGCAATCCAAGATTGGCGAGAGTTCTGCCATTGCGGATCCATAACTTGAGATGTGCGGCAGCATGCCTCTAAAAGTAAGAAAGCCTTCATCAATCGTTGCAACACGACGGCTTCTGGCGCGTGCTCTATGATGTTCGTCAGTTCCTGGTCGCACTCCAGAAACTTCTCCGTCCAGCGATAATCTTGCACCCAAAACGGCGTCGAGTGTAACAAATATTGCGCCACAGAAACGAGTTTCAAAGCTTTGGCGTGTGCGTCTCCAAAGACGGCTTCTTTAGAACTACCGCATTTTTCGTCAATCTTCGCATACCCGTCGTATTCTCCATCGATGGACTTGAGAAAATCTTTGAACTTGCTTCGCGTCTCCTCTTCGTCGAGCTTTTCGCTCGTCACGTCGTCGTAGGTCTCACCGAGGGCAGATCTAGAAACCAAGTTCGCCCATCGACATATATATTTCTCGTGTGGATAGTTCGGATCGCACCATTTCGCGAGCTCTATAAGCTCCTCGTTCGGGTAAACGACGCCCCAATTCGAAGCGGACTCGTAAACACCCGGGATGTCCATGGTGACTTGATCGGTATTCGCGACAGGTAAATCGGTGAGATAATTATCCGTATATTCACCATCGTCCACTGGTGGACCAGCAGGTTCAACTTCTTTTTCTTCCTCACCTTCGGAATCGTTGTCTTCGTTGTCCTCGTCGTTTTCGCCATCGCCATCCTCTTGGTCGATTTCTTCCTTCTTTACTTTTTCCGGGGAGGATTTTTTCTCCTCCTTCGATTTCGGCGTCTTAACGTGCCACGACGGTAATGGCGACTCAACAAAAAGCATACCACTTCCGTTCCTCCCGCCGAGTTGGAAGTAACGACGTCCGCGCGCATCAACCGCAACGGGTCTTCCGTGGCGCCAAATTTGTCGATCGTCGTTATCACGATACCATCGCATCGCTTGTCGCGTCCAGAGCATGCGCTTCTCGTCGTCATCCTTCGGTCTTCGCATGTTCGGATCCTCTAAAACAACTGGTGCCTTGACCTCAGCCGTTTGATCGCGGGAAGATGCGGGGAAAATACCCATAGCTTCGTCCTCTTTTCGACGCGTCAAACATGCTTGTCGTAACTGGCGGTTCATACACGTGTGGCAGTGTCCACATCTGTTACTCCGTCGCTTATCTGGTTTTCCGGCCGAATCGGGCGCCGCCGCTTGCAATTGTGCTGCGTCGTCAGGTTTTGTCTTCTCATCTTCCTTCACTTCTTCTTTCTCTTCCTCTTTTACGTCTTCTTGTTTCGCGCCGCCAAAGATGGGGATTTTCAAGGACGCCTCTGGAATGACGATCGGAATCCCAACGTCGAACGCTTTGGAACCGAGTGTATATCGCTTCTTATCACGCACTTCTTCGATTTTTTGCATCTCGTACTCGTGGAAACCTTCGGAATCTGCGGCGATGATGACTAAAGCTGAAGCTAAGGAAACGCGCAAACCGGCATCTAAATCGGACGCATAGACGTTGTCCGCATCGTACATCATCAACTCTTGCAGTTTTTGAACCGCTAATTGTGCCCCAGTTCGAACTCTAGGATTGCACGGTGTCGACGGGAGAAACTCAGTGATCATATCGATTGCCAGCTGTCGCCAATTTAAAGCCGCGAGGTCTTGGAGGCCAATCGTCGGGTCTTGAATCGATCGCGCTTCCGTGAAGCCCAACTTCGAGTTTCTTCTCGTCGTCTCCGAAGAATCCACCGCATCAGCGCGCGCCTCGATGGCTCGAATGGCACCGACGATAACGTCTTGAACGAGCAAATCATCACTCGGAGTGCAATCCTCAGTATTCGATAGGAATGCGTGCGCAAACTTTCTAAGAGTTGTCGTCGGGACGTAGAAAATCGTCTCGTACACGCTCGCGACGTCCCACAGACTCAATACTTCACCGACAATCGCTGGAGAGGCCCACGGAAATTCGTCGATCGCTCTCGAACACTTCGTTGGATCAGCTATGCGAGGTGGAATGACGACTGGTTCTTTACTTTTCTTTAAAGCGAGCGCTCTCGCTTCTGCTCTCGCTTCCTTTGCCGCTTCTTTTTGCGCCAGTCTCAACTCTTTCCTCTCTGCGCGTTCCTTCGCACGTTGAATAGCTCGCTCTTTTCGTTCCATTTCCATCTCCATCCGATCTTTCTTCTGTCTCGCTAACCTGTTTGCAATCATCGTCCATCGACTGAAGGAAATCAAACATCTCGGAAGTTTCCCGGTATACGGCTTACCATGTCTCGAAGCTTCCGTTCCAGGAGGAAGCAGAACGCCTGACTTGACAAGATGTTCGACTTGCGAGCACACAAAGAAACCATCCTTCTTGATTTCTTTCTCCGAGTACGAAAACTCGTCGTCGTCGTCGTCGTCGTCGTCGTCGTCGTCCTCTTCGTCGTCTTCGTCGTCCTCATCTTCCTCTTCCTCGGATTCTCCGTCCGTGCCGTCGTTGTCTTTCTTCTCTTTCAAAGTCTCCTTTTTTACCTTCACGTCAAAATCTACTCTCGGCGCGTTCTTCATCGCCTCCAACACCTTCGTAAACGAACACTCCCAATCTTCTTCGATGCACTTCTTAAACACGCTGGCAAACATTGCCCTCCGTCTCGTCTGTGCGAACGTCGCGGCGTACTTCGCGCCCGGTTGGCCGAGTTTATACCACGCTCTCGGCGTGACCAACCAAATAGAATACGTCCCGCCGCCTTCCACTTCGTCGTACGATACGCACCAATCGAGAACGTCCACCAATTTCAACGGGTGCGGTGGCCTCAGCTGCGGTTGTAGCTTTTTCATCAAAAGCGTCGACGGTAACTCGTTTTCGCCGCCTTCCACTTTTCGCGCTTTCCCGAATACCACCAAATCCGACGGTTTCATCGCCGAAGTCAAGGCGACTAAATTCTTCTCGTCTGCTTTTTCTCTCACGTCGAAATCTTCCAGAATTCGAATGGGAAGGCATTGCGATTGCGATTGCGATTGTTGTTGTTCGCGCGCTGTCGTCGTCGTCGTCGTCGTAACCGGTGCCATTGCTGCCGCAACTCGTGCCGCTGCTGCCGCCGCGTCTCCTCCTCCACCCGCAAATGGCGCTTCTTCCGGCGCGATTTGATGGATGGAATTCTTCTTCTCCTCGACTTTACCATTTGTCTTCGTTGTTGCAGAAGGAACACCACCGTTACCACCACCAAAACCATCATCATCTTTTGTCACCGGCGCCTCTCCTCCCACCACCATCTCAGTCTCCCCGTCGTCCGTCCGCGTCGCCTTCTCCGCCTCCATCACGTGTTTCTCTTTCGACAGAGAGAGTACACGTAAATTTTTATTCAAATTTCCTCCGATGCGCTCTCTCGCTCTCCAAAATCTCTCCTTTCCTTCCGTTCAACTCGATGCACCTCCTCGCCGCTCGGAGTCCAAAAGGGTCTCGCTCGCGATTTCAGACCCGAGCGCCTCTTCCTGTGCGTTTTTAGGAACAGCAAGAAGGGAGATGGTAGGTTTTTTCTGTGACAAGTTGTTGTTTGAACGATCTTCAAAAGCTTTTTTCTCGTTTGCTTTTTCTGTTCGCTCGTTTTTCATCGGACGAAAAAAAGTTTGCGCGAAGAGAGAAAACACACAAGCAACGACAAGCACTTTTTTCACTTTTTTCGTCTCTCTCTTCTTTCTTGCAAAGAAAGCCAAAAAAACTTTTATTTTCCTCCGCAGAGAGAAAAGAGATATAAAAACAGAGAACACAAAAGCGCAGTAAAAGAGATGCCCTTTTCCTCCTCCTCTTCCTCCTCCTCCTCCTCGCGAAAAGCGTTGTTCCGATTCTTCGCGCTGTCGTCCGTCGTTCTTTCTCACTCTTCTTCTCGCGGGAGAGCGGCGGGAGCAGATGGGGTGTTTTTTAAGTACAACAACGCGAAGAGATTTTTAGCACTCTTCTCGACGTCGAGTTCGTTAAAAGATGATGATGATTCCTTCGACGATGATTTGAAGACGACGAAGACGAGAAAGAAGAAGGAACGTTTTCAAGGTCTCGAGAACAACAAGAACGACAAAAACGAAGGTGGGATTCAATTCGCGACGGCGATGACGACGACGTTTTTGAACAGCGGTGAGAATGGTGGTGGTGAGAAGGAGGACGCGAAGATGGTGCGAGAGGCGATGGAGGAAGTGGTCGAAAGAGCGACGAAGAAGTTGAACGGCAAAGTGCCGACGTTTGCGATGTTGTTCGCGACGCCGGAAGCGATGCGAAATTTGACGACGACGACGGGAAAAGAGGAGGACGAGGACGAGAAGAAGAAGAAGAAGAAGAAGATGGCGAAATCCGGCGGCGTTTCCTCGTCGGCGTCGTCGTCGCTGCCAAAGCTGTGCAGAGAGTTGTTGAGAAAGAAGATAAAAGGGAGCGAGGACGTGAAATTAATCGGAGGCGTTGTAGAATCTATCATATCCGGTCACGCGCAAACGCAGAACGGCGTGTCGCTGACGCTGGCGAGCTTTCCGTCCGCGGGCGCGTCGTGCGAAACGTTTCGCTCGAGCGGGGATGATTTGCCCAGCGTGCGTTGGAAGGAGGTCATAGAAGGCGACGCGAGAGGTGATTCGACGGTGTGCTTGACGTTTTGTGCGCCGTCGTTTTCATATGCTGGGGTCGTCGCGGAACCCGATGTTTTTGATGATGATACCGAGGAAGAGGAAGATGAAGACGAGAGTGATGATGTTGAGGACGACGATGGTGATGAAGACGACGACGACAGAAAGAAATCGAAAAGAAACGTTGCTGCGCTGCGCCCGACGTTCCGACCAACTTTGGATTCTTTCTTGACTCGATTACAACACGCCGTGCCGAATAATCTGGTCTGTTTTGGTGGCGCGTTAGAAAACGAGAGTGAAAAGCATTCCGCGCTGTTTTGCGACGACGACGTGTACTCATCGTCTTCTTACTCTGGATGCGTCGGAGTGCTGCTCTACGGCGATGGAGGCTTTGAAGTCAAATCTTCCTCGTTTAGCGAAGGCAAACCTATCGGAAAAGCGATGAAAGTTACAAAAGCTAGTCGTGATGGCACTGAAATCATAGAATTAGATAATGAACCGGCGAGAATGAGGATCTTATCTGTCCTCGCTAAGTCCGGCGCGACGCCGGACGATGAGGATAAAAAAGTCTCCGTCGGGATTGGAGGCTTTCCCGAGAATAGAGTTGGCGAAGATTCGTACGCGTTCGCAAGAGGTGAAGTGGTTTCCTTAGGCGGGCGGGCCTATGTACTGCCGGGGGGGGTCACCCGATTCTCACCCGGTTCGCTTGGAATAAACGGTGCAACGGTGCAAGAAGGTGCCATCGCGCAAATACACATCGACGAAAACGATTCGTCCTCGAGAGAGCGAATGCAGAAAAAGTTTGGGAAGATTGCTGCCTCAAAACCGGCGGGAACGTTATTCTTTTCGGACGTGCGTTCAAACAGAATGTTGGCGGCGGATTTCGCGGAGATGATTGGAAGCAAAGCGGCCGTCGCCGGAGCGTATTTGAGGAAAGAGATCTGCGGCGTCGGTTTCAAGGAAAAGGAAAGATTCGCGGTCACGAAATCCTCGTCCACCGTGCTCGCATTCTATAACAAAGGAACGAAGAATAGCAGTGAGTGACGAAGAAAGTAATACTAGTCATTTTAGTTTTTTAGCGCAGCGCGTTGCAAAGTAGCATTATATGTTTCAATCAATATCTACGTCTATTGTTTGGTTAGAGGCGTCGCCGTACGTTTTCCTCCCCCCGCTCGAGTTGCTTCTCGGTGGCTGCTGCCCGCCCATACCTCCCATGCCTCCCATGCCGCCTGGACCGCCCATACCACCGTACTGGTTTCGTTGCATTTCCTCCATCCTCTGCCTCGCCTGCGCTTGCATCTTTTCCACTCGTTCCGAAATGAACTGAGGAAACAACAAATTCGTCACGAACGCTAACAACGCCACGGAATATAACAACGTCCAAAATATCCCGCTCGAAAACAACCAAATCCAAAACACAAAGTTCGCCACCTTCCCGGCCGGCGTGTTCCTTCCTTTCTGATACGCGTCTCGTATTGGCGGCCACGAATTTTTCACGAACTTGGTCGCGCCTACATTTTTATCGAAATCAACCACGGATTTGCGCACGCCGGCGACGACTTCGTTCGTTTTCGCCCCGACGCCGTACCGAACTTCCAATCGATTCGCAGTTTCTCGAAACGATGACACGAGGGCGTCCACGGATACTTTCTCTTTAACGCCTTTCACGAAATTTTCAAAGAAGTCGTTTTTCGGTTGTTCTTTTCCTTGTTTCTGCTTTGTCGACGAAGAAGACGAAGAGCTCGACTCTGCTCGCGCCGAATCGCTCCTCCTCGACGACGCCGCTTTCTTCTCCCGCGCTCCACCTCCGTTCGCTTTCGCGTCTTCAAACTTCCGCAACAAGTCGCCCTTCTCGAAGCAATCGCTCGTATCGACGCCCTATTTCATTACAACGCGCAGAAAAAAGAAGACAAAGAAGAAGACAAAGAAGAGAGAAATCATCCAAGGCGTCAGCGTTTTGCGCGAGCGGCAACAGCGAACCCATCGACGCAAAGAGGAGAGAAAACCAAACGCGCTTACGAAAGAAATCGAGCTTTATCCGCACGCGAGTAAAGAAAGAAAGAGAGAGAGAGAGAAAGAAAAGAAAAGAAAAGAAAAGAAAAGAAAGAACAAACGTCTCATTCGTTGGTGTTCGTTTCGCATCAACGCAAATTCAGATCCGAAAGATGGTGTTTTTGAATGCATCGTTTAATCATCGACGTTCGTTCGTTCTCGATTTTCCTCTCTTTCTTTCTTTCTCTTTCAGACTCTTTCAGAGAGAAACAGACCCCCGAGAGAATACGTATAACTCAGAAACAACGCACCAGCTCCTCTAACTTTCTTTTCAACTCTCGCGCGGACATATTTTCGTCGCTGTTGTTTTTTGTGTTTCCGTCGTCGTTTTGACTCGTCGTCGCATACGTTGTTGTGGTCGTCTCATTCGTCGTTCGACGGCGTCGAGGAGATCGAAAATCGAATCGAACCGATTTTGTTGTTGTTGACGACGGAGAAGAAGAAGACGAAGAAGAAGAGGAGGCTTTGCAAAACGAACCCCCCGCGCGTGAAAAAGCGACTTTCGAGGAGAAGAGGAGAGAAGACATGATGTTAAAAGCGCAGTTAGTTATTGTGTGTTGTTATTGCTGCGCTCTCAGCAGTCGACTACTAATGGGGAAATCGTCCAAAACACATCTCGTCACAAAACTACTTCCTCTTTCTTGCGCAAGGAATACACAGAGCGCGCGGAAAGCATCAGAAACCATCAGAAAAGTGTAAAAGAGTGCAGAAGAAAATGACATCAGGCGAAAAGGAGGTAGAAAACGACGACGACGGAGAAGAACAAACAATGGCGGAACGCGAGGCGTGGTTACGAAGCCACGGGGTGGAAATCGAAACGGCCGAAGACCGACGGCGGATGAACGTCGAGACGACGACGACGAATAAAGAAGAAGACAAAGAAGAAGACTTAAAAGAAGAAAAGACGACGAAGAAACTCGTGTGCGTGAAAATCCCAAGCGAGGACTTGAATCCGTTCGAGGAGGTGGTTTTAGAGGTCGCGACGCAAAAACTTGGAGACGTCCTTCCGGAGCTTCTGAAACCACACTTTATGGGCGGAGGCGATATCGACGTGAACTTAGCGCGCCAAGCCGCGACGAAGCAACTCGGGGAGGAATTCGCGTCAAAATCACAAAATTTAGGCGTAAGTTTAGCGAAAGAGTGCGCGATGGGAAGCACGGAGACGTTCGCGTTGGTCAGGCCGTCGGAAAAGAACGGCAGGAAAGGCGTGTACATATATTTAGACGAGGTTGGTCTGTTGAAAGGGAAGGCGAAGAACGCGCGAGCGTCTTCACTGGCGGCGTCGTGCGGATTTCCCGGGACGACGTTTCACGGAGACGTTTTTGTTGGGGCGGTGCAAACGGAGCCACAACCGATGCGGTCGGTGGATTTTACTTTGAAAGAGATGGATAGTAGCGCTTCGTGGTTGAAGTTAGCGCCGATGGAGAACGCGGAGTACGCGATATCGATGAAAGAGTTGGAGAAGGCGATGGCGGAGAAAGGCGCCGGGGGTGGACCTGGTTTACAAAGGATAAACATGGGTGGTGGTGGTGGAAACGACGACGGTTCGTTACCTTCCGGCGACGGCGACGGCTACCGATGGGAACAAACCGAAGACGGAGAGGTTGAAATTTCCGTCTACGTCCCGGAAAACACGAGCGCGAAGACCGTCTCGGTCGGCTTCCGAGCCAATTCCTGCGTCGTCATAGATAAGAGCGAAGGTAGTAATAGCGGTAAAACTATCCTCCAAATCGACAACTTATACAACAAAATCCGTCCAGACGAGTGCACGTGGACTATCGCCGGCGGGAGTAAGAAGAACGAAGTGTGCGTCTCGTTGGCCAAAGTCGACGCCGGCGAAACTTGGCCGCAGTTGACAACGACGACTTCTTCCAAATGATATAATACTCTTTATTATTATTATAAAAAGAGTATCATCGCGACAAAGAACGCGTGCCTCTTCTTCTTCTTCTTCTTCTTCTTCTTCTTCTTCTGATGATGAGGGGGCATTGGAATTCTCGTCGACAAAGAGAGCGATTGAACTACCACAGTCTTTTAAACTTCTGCAGAAAGAAGAGAACAAAAAAATTGCAAAACCCTAAAACAAACCCTAAACCTAATTTTTTCTCGCCGCTTCCTTCTTGGGAGCCGCGGCCGCTCTTCGCACATCATCTTCAAACTTATTCTTTCGCTCTCGCGCGCTTACTTACGTATTCTCAGACGAGACTTTCGACGAAAAGAAGAATGAGGGCCAAACCGCGACGAAGTGGTCACGCTGGAGGACGAGCTTCTTCGTCTTTTACCACCTCTTTGTGCGCGCGACGCGCCCTTTTATTCACCGCTGCTCTGACCTCGGTCGCGAATGCGTCCCAAAACCACCAACACCCTCGTCCTTTCCACGAGGCGGCATCGTCGTCGATCTCGTCTTCTAAACGAAAAGTTCTTCTTCCGATAACTCCGGACAACTTCCTCGGCGCGATCGCGGAGTGCCTCGAGGAAGATTCAAACGGCTCGTGCCCGAAATACGGAGAAGAGAGCAAATACGGGGAGATGAAAGATTGGAACGTGAGCGAAGTCACGGACATGGACTACGGGTTCCACAAGCAAGAATCGTTCAACGGGGACGTGTCGAGATGGGACACGTCGTCGGTGACGAGCATGAGAGAGATGTTTAGCGGGGCGAGAGATTTTAGTCCCGATACGAAGAAAGGCTTGGGGAGTTGGGACACGTCGAGCGTGGAAGATATGGGATCGATGTTTAGCGAAGCGTCGAACTTTAACGGGAAAGGATTGGCGAAGTGGAACGTCGGGAAGGTGAAAGATATGAGTTTTATGTTGAAAGACGCGGTGTCGTTCGCGGAAGATTTGAGCGCGTGGAGGCCATTTAAGTGTAAGACGACGTACGGGATGTTTCAAAACGCGGTGGAGTTTGAATCGGACGTGAAAGATTGGGGCTTGTCCGCGACCGCGGATACGAAGGATATGTTTTTAGGCGCGGCGAACTTCTTGGGACGGTTCACGTGCGAGCATCCGTTGAACGGACCGCCGAGCACGTGCGAGGACGAGAAGAAGAAGACTGCGTTGGGCGAAAAGACGACGGTAACGAAGATGACGACTTTGCGTGGCAGCGGCGGCAAATCCAAGAAGAAATCTTTCAAGCGCGTGGCGGCGATGGGGTCGGACGAAGACGACGAAGACGCGGACAAAATTGAGGAAGAAGTGACCACGGTAGCGTCCGAGGATACGACGCACACTTCATCGTCTTCCATTCTTAACACCAACGAAGTCGACACCGATGCAATCGCCGACTCTGTCGACGGCGAAGATGAGGATGACGAGACTTCGGTGCCTTCGGACGTATCCTACCCGCACAGTGAAGCGGATGAACTCACTCCTTCCTCTTCTTCTTGGACGACAACGTCGTCAACTTCGTACGTTTCCTCTTCTTCCACGGATCCGAACATCATAGATTGCAGCGATGGCGATTGTCCACAAGGAACGGCGGATAGCATGAGCGAGTTGGGTCCAGAAGATCGAGACGCAGTGAAGGATGCTCTCGCGATTGATACGGAGTCTGTATCATTGAACAAAGAGTCCCCGTTCGTTACGTCCGAGAAGACTTTAGACGAATTTACGGGTAAAACGGTCAAAGAAGAAGAAGAAGAAGAAGACGAAGACGACGACGAAGATGATGATGATGATTCTGATTCAGAGGTGAACGATGATAGCGATGACGACGACGGCGGCGACGACAATGAAACCGTCGAAGTTAGTAAAGATCAAATCGAAGATCTCGTCGAAGATAAAGAAGCCTTCGATCAAGAGTTTGAGAGATTCATGAGTTCTTCGAAAGAGGAAGATGCAGCATCCGAAGCCACTGCGGCCACGGGTGATGACGAAGAAGTAGAAGAGACGACGACGTCGTCTTCGAAGAAATACTCGTCGCATCACAAGAAAGAACAAGAAGAAGAAAACGAAGAATCAGAACAAGTCGTCTCCGCCTCCATGACCAACCCTTTTAAACTCAAAGCGGATGGTACCGTTTCGAAAAAACATGGCAAAATTTCGGGAAGTCCCTCCTCCTCTTCCTCCTCGAGCAGATCTTCGTTATCGCGAAGTGATTCGTTGACGGCGAAAAGACACCATCTTCACGTGATGGATCAAATCGGCGACGAAGATGTGGACGAAGAGCTCGAGAGATTAAAGAAGAAGTTAGACAGATTACAATCGGAAACGCCAGAAGAAATGCAGGCCGAGCATAATTCGCACGGACACAAGCAGCTTGACGACAGTTCCTTTTATCGGGCCGTATCCAAGTGCATCATCGAGTCCGCCGCCGGTTTATGCGTCGAATACGGCGCGGTCACGCGATTTGGTATGATGCCAGATTGGGACGTTTCGAAAGTTTCAACCATGACGCACGCGTTCCAGCACTATGAAGAGTTCAACGCCGATTTATCGAGTTGGAACACGAAATCTGTCACTGACATGTCGTTTATGTTTTACGATGCCAAGAGTTTCAACTCGGATATTTCGGGTTGGAACGTCGCTGGCGTGACGAACATGAAACAAATGTTCCGAGGTGCGAAATCGTTGAACCAAGACGTCGTCTCTTGGTTTGCCAATCGCCCATCGTCTCAGATGAAAGTCTTAAACATCGACGGTATCTTTGACGGCGCGGAAAAGATTGAAGCGGCGTACGAGTGCGGTTTGAGTAAATTTTTAGACAACGCGATGGACATGTGCAGATTTTCGAACGCCGCCAGAGGCGCGAAAGCGAGCGCGAAGGCGGCGGCAAAGGCGAGGGCCAAGGCGGGCGCCAAATCGAGTGCCAAAACTGCGGCCAAGTCCGGCGCCAAAGCCACCGCGCGTGCCAGCGAAACCGCCAGAGACGCCTCGGAAGCTGAACTCGGTTCGTCTCAAAGCTTCCCTCGTTTGGGATGGAACCTTCCGAGAGAGGAAGCGTCTTCGTCTACCGACGGCGCCGGTTTCGCCACGCTCTACGTGTGCGTCGGCATGGCCATGGTCGCCGTGGCTATTCGCGCGAAGCGTGATTCTATCGTACGCACGATGGAGTCGCACTTCTATTCTTCTCCTTTGGAGAAACACGTGGAAGAAAAAGAAGAAGAAGAGGAAGAGAACCAAAACATCATCATTAGCAACAACACGAACACATACGGAACAACGCTTAGCGAGGAGGAGGAGGAAACTCTCTTGTAATACTGAACACATACAACCGAAAAAATACAACCGAAAAAAAAATTAATGCGCGCGTAAATAAAACCGTGCCGAAACGTCGCCCTTGCTTTCACGTGGAAGGACAAGACTCTCGCGTACTACGTTTTTAGCACGTTCGTCGCCACAAAAATTCACACCAACCAACGAGAGAGAGAGACACACAGAAGAGAGATAAAATGGCAACGGACGAGGAGCTCGAGGCGAAGAAAGTCAACGAGAACGACAAAGCGCCCGAGGGACAAACGCAAGTACCCTCAGAAAAGAAAAAAGTGAAAGACGTGACGGCGATTTTGGAGAGGAAGAAAGCGCCGAACAGACTCGTCGTCGGTGCGTGTTCGTAGAATTGGTTTCATCAGATCTCTCTCGTTAAGTCGATCGGGATTTTCTTTCTTTCTTTCTCTCTCTCTCTCTCTCTCTCGGAGTATTCGCGCGCTCTTTCTCTCTCTTTATCGATCGTCTTTTGCGCGCGCGGTATTCTTTACGTTGATTCGATTCAGATGGTTTTTAGTACGCGTTCTTCCTTCGTTTACGAAGAAACTTTCGTCGTCATCGTCTGATTGTTGACGTAAGTAGTAAGCGGCACCCCCAAGAGACGGACGTTTTTGACCTTCTTTTTCCTTCTCTTAAATTTTCTGTTTTGCGTATAAAAATTGTACTACACAGATGAAGCGGTGAACGACGATAACTCAGTCGTCGCGTTATCCCCGGCGAAAATGGAAGAGCTGCAGCTCTTCCGCGGGGACACGGTTCTCGTGAAAGGAAAAAAGCGCAAAGACACCGTGTGCATCGTCCTAGCGGACGACCAGTGCGACGACGGGAAAGTTCGGATGAACAAAGTGGTGAGGAAAAATTTACGGGTGAGGTTAGGGGACGTGATTTCGATTCATCAGTGCACGGACGTGAAATACGGGGCGAGGATTCACGTGCTGCCGTTTGGGGATACCATCGAAGGCGTTTCTGGGAACTTGTTCGACGTGTATTTGAAGCCGTACTTTTTGGAGGCGTACAGACCGGTGAGGAAAGGGGATACGTTTTTGGCGAGAGGCGGGATGAGAGCGGTGGAATTCAAGGTTGTAGAAACGGATCCGGCGGAGTATTGCATCGTCGCGCCAGACACGGAGATCTTTTGTGAAGGCGAACCGATTAACCGCGAAGACGAGGAACGTTTGGATGAGGTTGGCTACGACGACGTCGGAGGGGTCAGGAAGCAAATGGCGCAAATTCGAGAGTTGGTCGAGTTGCCGTTGCGACATCCGCAGTTGTTCAAAACCATCGGGGTGAAACCGCCGAAAGGTATTTTGTTGTACGGTCCTCCGGGTTCTGGAAAAACCTTGATCGCCAGAGCGGTGGCGAACGAAACCGGCGCGTTTTTCTTTTTAATCAACGGTCCGGAAATCATGTCCAAGTTGGCCGGCGAATCCGAATCCAACTTGAGAAAGGCTTTCGAGGAAGCCGAGAAGAACTCGCCGGCAATTATTTTCATCGACGAAGTCGATTCGATCGCGCCGAAGAGAGACAAGACGAATGGGGAAGTGGAGAGAAGAATCGTATCGCAATTGTTGACGCTGATGGATGGGTTGAAGGCTCGATCGCACATCATCGTCATGGCGGCGACGAATAGACCGAACAGCATCGACCCGGCGTTGAGACGATTTGGTAGATTTGATCGCGAGATTGATATCGGCGTCCCAGACGAAGTTGGACGCTTGGAAGTGATGAGAATACACACGAAGAACATGAAGTTGGACGAGGAGGTTGATTTGGAGGTGGTGGCGAAGGACACGCACGGTTTTGTCGGCGCGGATTTGGCGGCGTTGTGTACCGAAGCCGCGTTGCAATGCATTCGCGAAAAGATGGACGTCATCGATTTGGAAGACGATGAAATCGACGCGGAGATTTTGGATTCGATGGCCATCAGCAACGACCACTTCAAAACCGCTTTGGCGCAAACCAACCCGTCCGCGTTGAGAGAAACTGTGGTGGAAGTACCAAACGTCTCGTGGGACGACGTCGGCGGCTTAGAAACGGTCAAGCAAGAGTTGCAAGAAACCGTGCAATATCCGGTCGAACACCCGGAAAAATTTGAGAAGTTCGGCATGGCACCGAGTAAAGGGGTGTTGTTTTACGGTCCACCGGGTTGCGGTAAGACGTTGTTGGCGAAAGCGATCGCGAACGAGTGCCAAGCGAATTTCATTTCCATTAAAGGCCCGGAGTTGTTAACGATGTGGTTCGGCGAATCGGAATCCAACGTCAGAGAGGTTTTCGATAAAGCCAGGCAAAGCGCCCCGTGCGTGCTGTTCTTCGACGAGCTGGATTCGATTGCGAACCAACGCGGCTCTTCCGCCGGCGACGCCGGCGGTGCCGCCGATCGCGTCTTGAACCAGTTGCTTACGGAAATGGATGGCATGAACTCGAAGAAGACGGTATTTATCATCGGCGCGACGAACCGACCGGATATCATCGATACCGCGTTGATGCGCCCGGGTCGTTTAGATCAGTTGATTTACATCCCGTTACCGGATGACAAATCGAGAATTTCTATCTTTAAAGCGAACTTGAGAAAGTCCCCGATTGCCAACGACGTCGACGTGGAAACTTTGGCCAAGTTTACGCACGGGTACTCTGGTGCCGATATCACGGAAATCTGCCAACGCGCGTGCAAATACGCCATCCGCGAAAGCATCGAGAAAGATATCGAACGCGAACGCGCCATGGCGCAAAAACCAGAAGGTGCCATGGAAGAAGACGAAGAAAACTACGTCGATCCGGTGCCAGAAATCACCAAGGCGCACTTTGAAGAGGCGATGAAGTACGCTCGCCGCTCGGTTTCAGACGCGGACATCCGCAAGTACCAAGCGTTCTCGCAAACTTTACAACAAAGCCGAGGCCACGTGGGCGATTTTAGATTCCCGAACGAAGGCGGAGCTGCTGCTGGCGGTGGTTCCGGCGCGGCTCCGGCGGCTGGCGGCGCCCAAACGGTTGGCGACGCCTTTGCCGCCGCCGCCGCGCAAGACGACGACGACGATTTGTACGATTAAAGTTTTAAGAGAGAGAGAGAGAGTTAGTAGAGAGAAAGAGGAGTCGTAGCAGAAGAACGGAAGAGAACGAGAGACAAAAACACACACAAGAGAAGAAAGAGGGAGAGAGAGAGAAAGAGAAGAAGAACAAATAGATTTTAACTTTTTTTAATACTGAAAATAAAACAGAGAGAGAGAGAGACACAAAACATCAAACCGTTACTCGTAAAAAAAAGCAAGAGAAGGAAAAAAAAAAAATTCTCCCACAAACAAATCAGCATAAATCTCGGAACAAAACGTTCTAAACATGTTAAACATGTTCGGCGTGAAATCCCCGCGCGATGGCGGTGGGAAGAACGCCTCCCCTCGCTATTCCTCCTCTGCCTTCGGTTTGAAAGACTTTGACCTGATGAACGACGACTCGAGCAGAGAACAAGAATCTCTTGCTTCGGCGGAAAAGGTACGGACGATGTGTCTCCTCTTAATAGCCATCATAATGAGTTCCGCGGCGTTGTACTGGTTGCAAAGAGTCCTCGTCCCTTTGGTTTTAGCGGTGATGATGAGCTACACGTTAGCGCCTTTGGTTGATTTTTGCACGCACCGAGCGAAAGTACCACACGGAGCGTCGATTACGATCGCGTTATTCTTTGGTTTAGGAATATTGTGCTCTCTTTTGTTCTTGATTTCGCACAGCGTGAAGGACTTGGTGCAAGACGCGAAGAAATACGAAAGGTACGTCGTTCGATTGACGAACAGAGCGGGAGAGACGCTGTCGAGAAAAAACATCGACATGGACGTGATTGAGGCGCAGTTGCAAGATATCCCGCTGGCGAAGATGGTGGCGCAATCGACGCACGCGATGTTGCAAGCGGTTTTAGACCTGTTGAGTAACGTCGTGTTGGTGTTGATTTTCGTCGTGTATTTGTTGGAAGGGAGACGAAGACAGAAAGTGGAGAGGAGAGTTCCGGGCGGGGTATGGACGAGAATTGAAACGAGGATTAAGCGGTACATTTTGCTGAAGTTTTTTGTGAGCACTTTGAACGGGTTCATCGCGGCGAGCATTTACTACGCGCTGAACGTAGAGTTGGCGATGGTTTTCGGAGTGCTGCACTTTGTGATGAATTTTATTCCGCACGTCGGGCCAATTATCGCGACTGTTTTGCCGCTACCGGTCGTGTTGGTGTCGAAAGATATTCATTTCTTGCACGTGACGTTGGCGATATTACTCCCAGGTATGACGCATTTTACGATTGGAAACGTCGTCGAACCGAAATTGATGGGCGGACACTTGGATTTGCACCCGATTACGGTTCTTTTGTGTTTGATATTTTGGGGTATGTTGTGGGGTATTCCAGGAATGGTTTTGGCGGCACCTATTACGGCGAGCTTGAAGATCTTGTGTGAGTCGGTGGAGGTGATGCATCCTTTAGCTTTGATCTTATCGGGCAACATAGAAGAGGCGTTAGACGGGAAAGCGCCGCCGACGGTGGCGGAGCCATCGATCGAGGAAGGCGTGAGAACAGTGGTTCAAGACACCATGGACGGTTTGCACGCGTTGAAAGAAGTGGCGACAACGGGCGGCGAAGGAGTGCCCACGATGAAGCACGCGAGACATTGAATGTTTTAAATTCTACTAGATACTTGACTACATAATTACAATTCAGCTACTACTTAATATTTTTCTCTTCTCTTTATTCGTGGTGATATTATTACTTGGCATCTTCCAAAGCGGAAGCGCCGGAAATAATTTCAATCAACTCCGTGGTAATCGCCGCTTGTCTCGTTCTGTTGTACAAGAGCGTCAACTTTTGTAACATCTCCGAAGCATTCTTCGAGGACGATTCCATAGATTGCATTCTAGATCCCAATTCCGAAGTGTTGTTTTCCGCCAACGCGTTGTACATAACCGCGCCGGTTTTGAACTCCGCCAAGTCGAGCAAAAACTCCCCACGATCCGGTCCTTCAACCTCGTACGAATCGAATTTATTTTCCAAGTTTTCCGCCGACTTCTCGTACTCTTCCCCAGACAATACCGTCGCAATCGTTGGCTTGAACGAAATAGCCGAAACGAACCTGTTGTACACGATGAGCGCTTTACCCTCGTTGTCCTTCGCCACTTGCTCCGCCAACGCCGAAGCCGTTCCAAATGTCAACGGTTGCTTCGTCGCGTCCACCAACACGTTCGCGAACAGTTCCCCTACTTGCCGTTGCATCAAACCTCTCGCCTTATCGCCAATTACATCCATCGAAATTTCTGACTCTTTATCCTTCGCCGTTTCCAACAACACGTTCGACACTTTGACGACGTTCCCGTTGATGCCGCCGCACAAACCTTTGTCCGAGGAAATCGGCACCATCAACGTCTTCGCCGTCTCCGCGCCGGGTAAATCTCCCAGTAACTTATAAAACGGAGTCACCATCCCTCTCGAGGCAATCGCTTTATCTTGGGCTGGTTTCAATCGAGACGCGGCGACCATCTTCATCGCCTTTGTGATTTTCTGAATGTTCGAGACGGATTTCATGCGTTGTTGCACGATTTGCAAGGAGACGTGACGAACGCCTTCCGGGTGCGCGCTGTTGTTGTTTGAATAAAAGTAGATAAACGTGGAGAAAAGAACGAGAAAAGGTAAGTTTCAAGAAGAATAAGAATGAGCTTAATTTGCCCCTTAATTTGGTCCCCGAAGAAAGACCGACGAGAAAAAAAGTTTGATCGAAGAAAATCATCTCGCGAACAACGCGCATATTCATCCGATCCATCCTCGCGCCCTGACTAAACACGCGTTCTTCGCGCGAACGAATACTTTTAGCACTCGCATTCAGCGCAAACCGGTCTCGAACAATCCCGGATCATCCATCGGGTAGTGGTTCGCGCGATGCAAATTTGCGTAAAATTGAATAAAAATCGAAAATGTGTAAGCGCACCTCGCTAAATCCGCACTCCTCGTGACGGTTTGCCCGACTCTGGAGCTGGTACCACCAACGCTCGTCGCCGAGGCGCGTAAACGCGCATCTTTGAGTAATCGAAACGCGCGATTGCGAGACATTTTTGATCTTCGCAAAAGAGACGTGTGCGGACTATTCTAAACAAACACACGTTTTTCTATGATGCGGTCGTTCCTTTTTCTCCTCCTTTTGTGTGTGCGAAACCAGGAAATCGCAAAAACCCTAAATAGGCAGGCTTGCGACGGCGAATTTCCTTAAAGCGCGCAGAACAACGAACAAGGAAGAAGAAACACAGCAGAGATGACGATCGCATAAAACAAACAAACGGGGCAGTAGGAGTAAAAGAATAAATAATGCTCTCCGACCTCCTGCTCCGCGATATCTGCCATTTCGTCCACCACAACGCCACGCGAGACGTCGAGAGTCTTCTCCAACAGTTGGTGATGGCATCGAAGTCGTTTCCCTCCTCGTCGGATGATGAAAAGTACCAACTCCGAGCGAAAAACTTCATCAACAAACACGCGACGTTCGACGCGCGCGGAGATAAAGTGTGGAAGATGGACGCGGAGTTTGTGTATAAGTTCAACTTGCCGTTTTCGTTCGTCGCGAAGAAAGGGGGTGGTAAGAAGAGCGACGATGGGGGCGATGGTGATGGTGTTGAAGAAGGTGCAGCAGCGGAGGCGGACGGCGCGACCGCGAAGAGGAGAAGAGAGTCTCGAAACGCGACGAGGAGGAACTACGCGGAGATGATGGAAGGAGAGGAAGAGGAAGAGGAGGAAGAACGAGAGGGGAATAAAAAGAGAAGGAAGAAACGATCGAAAGTAGTACAACACGCGGAACGAGAGTCGTCTCCTCCCGTCGACGAGACGCCGGCGCCGTCTCCCGTGGAAGCGAAGAAGAGAGAGACGCGACATCGACGAAAGAAAGAAAAAGAAGAAGCGATGGAAATAGAAGAGGAAACGGATGCTGAAATCCGAGACGGTGAGCGGATGGACGAAGAAACGCAGCGATTGGCTGCTTCGCTCGGGTTTACGAGCGCCATTCGACGAGGGACGTGCAGACATGCTTTATTGGAAGCCATGAGAGATAAACCGGACGGCATTACCGTGGATGAAATCATAGAGACGAGCGAGAAGAACGGGTTAGCGAGGAGTTGGAAGAATAGCAGAGTTCCGAAAAATACCGTCGTGTCGTTGATGGGAGACAAAACGTTCTCTCGAATTGGTCGAGGGTTATACGTGTTGACGTGTTATTTAAACGACGAGGACGGTGAGAATACTCCCCGCGCTGATGATAGTAAGAAAAGAAACGCGACGAAGCCTCGGCTGGAGAAACGTCAAAGCGGACTCATGAAAAAATCCCAGAACAGGGACGAGTACGACGAGAACGAGAACGACGAACCATCGCCAACGAAATGTACCAGCGCGAATGCGATAGAAGATGTGCACGAAGTCGCGTCGACGCGACCGCCGCCGACCGAGATCGTCGACGAGAAGCAGTTGAAAAATCTCGTCGAAAAACGAACGGCGGAGGAGTTGCAGAAGCAAATCGCGGTCGCGTTCGAGGCGCAGGAGAGAGCGGAGCGCATGCAAGATGAACTTTTCGCTAAGGAAGAAGAGTATATGAGAGAAGAACGGGAGAAACGGAAATTCGTCGATGACGCTGAACCAGCTTTTGATGTGCCTGAAGAGCGAGAGACGTTTCAAGGCGACGAGAACGATCGAAAAGCGCTTCTGAAACATCGGAAATGGCTCGAAGAAGAGAAGAGACGACTGATTGCGTTACGAGAGGAGTGGAAGAAAGAACAGCGCGTAAAGCGTAAAAAAGCTCAACTAGCGTTGAAAGAACCCATCAAACTGCCCAAACTAATTCAAAACGAGCGGGTGAAAGTTTTGAAGTTCGCCAACGTCGCCGTCGAGGCGATTAAAGTCATGGAGAGTTTGCGCCAAAAACTAGACCTGGTAAAAAAGAACGAGTACGATTACTCCCAAGACAAAGAAGTCGTGAAATACGCGAATAAATTAGAAAGTCAACAGAAGAAAGAGCATCGAAAAGAAGAAGCTAGGCAAAAAAAGCTAGAAGCCTTGGCGGCAGAGGAAGCGCTGAAGCCAAAACTCACCGAGGAAGAGATTGCGGAGATTGAACGCGCGAAGGCTGAAGCGAACGCGCAGAAAGCCAAAGTAAGAGCGGCCCGGCAAAGGTGGGAGAAAGCGAACAAAGAAAATCCAATCGCAGATGGTGCGTTGAAAAAGTTAGACAAGTGCTTAGCCGATGAAGACGGCAGAGAACCATTCCCGGATGTTGATACTGGAGAGAACGCGACGATGGACGACGTGACGATTGCTGAGATTGAGATTTCAGCATTCATGGACCACGTAGGTCGAGATGTTACGCACGCATTGCCGCCGTCGTTTCAATCGCTTTCATACGAGCTTTCAAATCCAACGGATGCGAGATTAGGAGCGTTGTTTGAGCGCATCTTGCGAGTCTCCATTACCACGGCGTACGATCGATTAGCGGAGTTATGGGACCGAACTTTGGAGATTGGAAGTTGGCAAGAAGTATTAGCGCAGTATTTCACGTACAAGTCAAAATCGATTGTGAACACATCGGTCGTTTCTCCGTACGACGAAGTATTGAATATCGCGCGAAAACTCTCAGAAACTCGATGGAAGAACGTTTCTCGCGCAGAGTTGGTCAGCGTTTTGCGTTTACTGTGCGAAGATTGTTTGGATTCGCAACTGGTGCGCGACGCCATCGAGCGACGAGTACAAGCGATGGATGAAACGAAGAGTAAGTTGTGGCAGAAAAGACGAGAAGAAGTGCGAAAACGCGAGATTGCTGCTGCTACTAATACTGCTAAGAAAGACGCAGATGGACAAAACGTTACGACTAATAATGAAGGTGAAGAGAATAATGCAACGCATGACGAAGAGGGCGAGGATCTCCCGCGGGCGGTTACCGAACGTCAGAAAAGTCTCATCGAGAAGCGTAAATTAGATGAAGAACGTGAAGTTCAACGCAAAAAAGAGGAAGAAGAGTACAAGTTTCATCGCGAAATACATTCATTGCTGGTGAAGTCGCACATTCGCGCGCCAGAGCTCGGAAAAGATCGCGATGGACGGCACTATTACATCTCCATTGGCGGATTTCGGGACGTGCACTCGAAAGCTCCAATCTTTTTAATCTTCGATCCAAAAGCGAGCACGGAGCAGGAAGCTTGGTGTACGATGAAATCCATCGAGGATATCGACAAGTTACTCACTACGTTAAACGAAAAAGGGAAGAAAGAGTCGGCGTTGAAAGACAGAATAATGGGAAGTTACGAATCGTTACGATTGGCGTTTGAGAAACGCGAGAGGAGAGACGCGGTGGCATCCGAACCCACGACAACGACATCTTCACCCGGTGAAAAAGAAAACGCCGTACAAATCGAACAAAAATCTACACGATTATCGAACGAAGATTCGTCGACGCTCTTCATAAAGCGTGAGCTCGGTATTCTCGCGTCGACGTGTGAATTATACGACGCTCCGGTTCCGCAAAGCGCCTCAAATTGGCACGATTGGACGCGCGCGGCGACGAAAACAGTCGGTTCTGATTTGTCGCAAATGGCGTCGTTCGTCAACGAGATTGAAGAATCTGCATTTTTTATCAGCGAACAGCCGAAAGCTGGCGCGATGGGACGAACAGATGTCGTTTCTTTCCACGCGTCGGCGGAAAAGTCTGATGACGACGACGACGACGACGAAGAAGAAGAAGAAGAAGAAGAGCAGGAACGAGATGAAGATGAAGAAATGAGGGATGACGATGCCAACGCTACGAAGAAAGACGAAGCCGCGATGCTTCAACAACAAGAATGGTGGGAAACGTTAGCGCCTCCTCGACATGCCGCGCACGATTCGCTCGCGAAAGCAAAATGCAAACAGATTTGGCGTTCGGACGAAGAAAGAATGACCTGGAAAAAAGTAGTCTCCTCGACGGAAAGTAAAGCGGTAGAATCGTCGGCAGTCTTGGCGCACGCGTTTGCCATTCTGCGCGCACAGTGTAACGTCATGTTCGAAACGCTCGAGAAAGAAAAGAAAGAAAGAGTAAGGCGTCCATCAACGAGAGAATCTCAATACGGTTTACAAGATCCATACGTAACGTTTGTCGATGCTGACGAACGCATACGACAAGGCGGCACGAAACGCACCGGCGCTAGATGCTAAAAAAACGAATAGAACGAAAAGCTTTAGAGAAACACAGAATAAATAATATTGATAGTGTGTATGTGTTGTAATAATAAACTGATATCAAACCAGTTCCGCGTGAAACGCTGATATCGCCGACATCGCTTTGTTCAACGCCGCTAGACGATCTGTGGCATTTCTTCTCATCCTCGCCGAATCCGGATCTTCCGCCAATAATTGTTTCACCGTGCTTGGATGATACAAAGTCGAAATCAAGTGTTGTTGCAACCCTCGAGCTATTGAGTTCACCAAAAAGTGCATGATTGCTTTTGGAACCATATCGGCGAGAACTGATCGCGTGAGTTTGAAGTAACTCGAAAGCAGCGTTCGCGTAACGAGCACTTGCAAAAGCTCCTCGTCGTTATCGATTTCCGAAGGTAATAAGATTCCCGGCGGCGACATCAAGGATACAACTCCAAAGGAAGTATGGTTAAAGTGATCAGACGCGTTAAGATCTTGAATAGACTGTCTCAGCGAGTCGTTTCGTCGTTTCGTTTTTGTTCCTTTACTCCCCGCGTCTTGCGGCTTCTTGGGCGTGTTGCCGTTGCCGCCCCACAAACCTTTCGATATCCACGATATTTTCGGTTCCGAAGCGCCGTTTTCTTTGTCATCGAAATGCGCGGACGCCTCGTTCGATGAGTCCGCTCGATTGTACTCGCCGTGATTGTTATTAAGTTCCGATAGGTTTTTCATTTTCAATGGTGACTTCATCGCGTTCGCCTTCTTCTTCGTCGGCGTCAACTCGTGCGCGTCCTCTTCTCCAACATTTTCCGACATCTCCATATCTTCCCGCTTCTGTTGTTGTTGTTCAGAAAACGCTCTTTCTTTTGCTCGTCTCTTTTCCAACTGCGCTTGCGCCACGCCAAGTGCTCTCGCTCCGCCAATGAAATCTGGGTGGGTGGTGTTGATGTGCGCCAACTGACAATCAACCAAATTCGTAATCATCGATTCTGCCGGATCCAATCCGTTCTTCAAAAACTCTCTCGTCGCTTCTTCGATAGCCTCGGCCAACTTTGGAAACTGTTTCGACACCTCTCTTCGCACGCAATTTGACGTCAATGTGTTCAACTCGTCGTAAACCAACTTCGCGGCTTGATGACACGGATCGGACATTTTCTCGATGGCTTTTCTCGCTAAAATTTCAAACGGTTCCTCCGGCAACAAGAGCACCGCTTTCGTCCCAGCGGCGTTTTGAATGGCCGTTCGAATATCCTCCTCCGATAATTGGTGCGTCGGGTCTAACGAACACAAACCTTTGACGAAAATTTCTTGCAAAACGTAATGCACTCTCGCGCCACCTTCCAAAGAATCCGTGGCTAAATTTTTCGATTTGCCTTGCACAGCGCCGTCGACGGCGTTGCAAAACGTGTGAATTTTCTGCAAAACCACGCTCGCTTGCGCGGAATCCGAGTCAGGAACGCACTCGCCAAACTCCGCGACGTCACACGCCGCTTTATCTCGTCTCTTGGACACGCTTCGGTGTAAATCCGGCAACAATCTCGCCACGTGTTCGGACAATAATCGAGACACGGTGTTCCCCAACGCCTTCATACCGCACCGGCCGATAATCTCCGCGTACTCCTTCCTCGATTGAAAGAAATCCCCTTCCGCGTTCCTCGCTTTTTCCATGCTCACTTTTCCCGCGATATCCGCCTGACATCTATTCACAACCCCAATGTATCCCAGTTTCAACGGCACTACCTCATTTTTCAAATACGCTCTCGCGTCTGTCCCTCGATCCATAATGTCCAACTTCGTAATCACCCCAATCGTTCTCAACCCTTCGGGATCGACCAACTGCGCCAACGTCAACGCGTCCGAGTTTGCCAAATCCGAATTCGCCGGCGATACCGCCAAAATCAAACACGAATCTCTCTTAATGTAACTCAAAATCATATTTCTGATTTGCTTCTCGATATCTTTCGGCTGATCGCCAACCGGCACTCTCGTTATCCCCGGTAAATCCACCAAAGTCATCGTCAACACGTTCGGCGAACAAATTTTCAGACGAATTTGCTGGTCCGACACCGCTTTGTTCGTACCCGTCACTCGGTTCGTCTCCTGGTCAATCTCTCGACGAATCTCTTCGAAGTCCGTGAACCGCTCCCCCGGTCGATGGAGAAACTCGCCCCACTCGCTCGGAGCGTTGGAGCGAGGATTGGTCGGCGTGTGGACCAGTTGCAAGAGAAGAGGTCGACGCGTGCATATTTCCGGACCTCGAGGGAGAAAGTCTCGGCCAACCTGTTGTTATAATCACAATAATAACAATAATAATAATAACGGTATGAAGATGCGCGTGTCGGTCAGTTTTGTGTACATCTCTCGCGCACTTGTTCGCGAGCGCTTTTCGCGAAACACCAACAAAAGAGTTTCTGTTGTTCGTTGGGGAAAGAAAGAATTTCAAAAGGAACAAAAAAAACTGTATCTCGTTTCTCGCAACGCGCGCAAACAACAACAACAGCAAGACGACGCAAAACTTTAAGAAGAAGACGACTTACCAGCGCTTCCAAAACGCTGCTTTTCCCGCTCGATTGGCTCCCGACGACCGCGATTTGAGGCAAATCGATGTCCGACAGTTCCTCCAAACCAGCAGAGGCGAATATGTCTTGTAATTTGTTAATCAGAGGCACTAAAGAGGAGCCTAACGTTTTCTGAGCTCCGACGACATCGGTGGTATCAGTAACTCGCGCGGATGATGGTTTCACCGGCGTGGTGCTTCCTCGCATGGTGGGATGATGTATATGTGTGTGTGTGTGTAGTATTACGACAAAAGCGCGCTGCTTCTTTGCGTTGTTTGTGTCTGGCGGTTTTTTCTGTTTTTTTCTTCCCCCCTTGGTTTTTGGATTTGCTACCCTAAATGTAAATGTTGCGTGTACTTGAACTCCTTTATTTCTAACAACCTATTAATATCACTCTTTACTGTTTACTTTCATCACAGCACGAAAATCTCCGCGCCGCTTTCTACGCCTAAATACGCTAAGGTGTCCTCGTCCGGTTCGAGTTCTGTATATTTTTCTGTTTCGTCTTCGTCGCGGTCGCGAATCGCGAGCGTACTCGTGCCTAATTTCATGCCGAATAACTTCTCGCACGTCGTCTTCACCCGAGCTACGGTGACGCTTTTTGGGAAAGTGCGGTCTTTTGATCCTTTGCCTTCGCGGGTGAGGGTAAGTGCGAGCGAGATGGACGAACTCGCGCCGCCTCCGTTTGTAGATGTACCGTTGCCAGATTCTCTGGATTCGAGCTGCTGTTGCGACTGCGTCGTTTTTGTCGTTTGCACGCCAGCTAACGCCCTCTCGCCGTGCATTTCTTTCAATGCCTTCGCGCGGGGGTGTTTTGCGAGCACTTCGTCCGAGCCCATCTTTGCGTCGAGTTCTTTATCTTCGAGTCTGATGCTACTCGAAGACGAAACTTCCGCCACGACGTTGCGCAAATATCGAATTTCACTCTCCCTCCGTTCTCTCTCTGTAATTTCTGAAGCGTTCAAGGAGAGTAACTTACCTGCTCTCGCGACGATTTCGTGGCGACTCGCGCTATCGTTTTCACAAAACGGATTGTGCGAGAGTCGAACACACTCGAGCCTTGGAAAATGGTCTATTACGTCGACGGATTGCCACGAGCGCACGCGATTGTACCCGAGAAACAATCCTCGAAGGTTTCGAAAGAAGCGTTTGTCGTCGTCGTTCGTGTTGGTATTGTTATTATTATTTTCATCATCATCTTGATACGCGATGTGCTCGACCGAACAATCCGACGCGTACAGAGTTTGCAAGCTTGGCAGAAAACGCAAGGCCCATAAATCGTCCCACTTGATGCACGTGTTCCCGTCCAAACTTAACACTTTCACCTTGGGGAAATATTTCCGCGAAGCTCGTTCGTCCACCGCCGCTATATTTTGCAACTCGTTCCTATCCAACCTCAACTCTTCTAAATTCGGCATCTGGTCGATAATCAAAAGTGCCTTTGCCCAACTCGTTCGCGTCTTATTCAGCGCTAACGTCTTCAAATTTCTAAACTGCGAAGCCGCGAGCGCGACTTCCTTCGCCAACGCAGATGCGTCGCCGCTCTCGATATCGCCAACGTCCTCGTCGTAATACGCATCCGACGCGTCTAAAATTTCAAGGTTCCTAAAATACTTCCCAATCTTCCCGAGCTCGACAAAAGATGTCATCAAGTTCCCAGAAACGTCCACGTGTGTCGCGTTCGCGTTGAACGTCTTCGCGAGTACTTCTTCTCCTTCTTCTTCGTTCAAAGACGACGACGACGACGACGGTCTCGCCTCCTCTCCCTCGTCGTCCTCCGTTCGCGCGGCGCGTCCAGTCACCCTCTCCAACCTCGCGTTCGGAAGCAAAATCCTCTCCAACTCGTTCAGTTTCTTCTGTAAGCTCAATTTTGTCTTCAACTCGATCGTTACGTCCTCCTCTTCGTTTTCGTCCGTTTTCTTCGCTTTTCCTCCGAAAACCAATCGCTTCTCCAATTGCGCATCTTGACTTTCAAATTCGTACTTCTCCTTCGCCGCGGAGACGAAATCCGTCCCAGGCGCGACTTTCTGCGCGCGCACGAAACTCGCTCGTTTCGTCTCCGCCTCTTTTCCTTTTCGTTTGCACTCGAAATACCTCTTTCCGTCGTGTTTCCCGTCGTGTTTCCCTCTGTTCGAGTCGTCCCATTCGACGCCGACCCAGGTCCCGGTTTGACCACGCACCGGGCCGACGTATCGGCAAAAGCCTCGAAAACCGTCCAGCGTTTCCACCCTGCGATCGTTTTTCGTTCTTTTTCGCGACGACGACATTTTGAGAAGAGCACCTTCTTCAGTGCGACTCTTCTTCTTCTTCTTCAGAGGAAACCTTTTAAACGCGCGCGCGCGAGTAAAGCGACGACACCTTTGACGAACAAACGTTTGAAAATTTTTTCCCAAAAGCGAAACAAAAAGACGCCAAAAATAGAAAAAAATGTGGGCACTTTCACGGGAGGAGGCGTGAAGAAACACTTACAGATGGACTTTGAGAAGGCGAAGGACGATGCGGGAGAAGAAAGAGGAGGAGGAAAAGGAGGAGTTGTCTTCGCGTTAGACGCAGAGCTCGCGCGCGAGTTTTTGTTCGAGTGCGATTGCGCGAACGCGATACGGTTGACCGTTCCCGTGCAGTTGGAAAGGAAAACTTCTTTGCCGAGTGGTGAAAGGTGTTCAAAAAAAGTTAGTACCGCGGTTTCGATTCGATCAATCCGCGAGAGTTTCGCGACGTTTTGCGTGAACGTGCGACGGTTGAGTCTCGTTGGGCACTCGGTTCGAACTCTAGAAGATTTAGAACCGCTGAGGAAGCTCCTGTTTTTGTACGATTTGAAATTGCAAACGATCGATGGGCAGTTTGCGAATCCCGTGTGCGAGGTTTTCGGGTACAGGAAAATAGTGAGCGAGGACGTGTGCGAAGGGCGGTTGGTGTATTTAGATGGCGCGAAAGTTGGAAGCGGAGGGACGAGTATGCTGGAAAGGTCGGTAGAGAGGGCGAGACGAGAAGTTTCGGAATACGAGGCGGTAAGGAAAATGAATAAAGAGGGTAAGCGTACGAGCGAGCGTTTGAGTCAACGCGACGTCGAAGCGAAACGCTCGGCGTTGGCAACGACATCTGAAATACGTTTCAACCTTCCGAACGACCAAGTAAGACACTTAAAGCGTCTATTTAGCAAATTCGACGACATATACGCCGCGGCGAACGATTTACAAACGCGAGTAAAAAAATCCTTAGGCGTTTGAACGCAACCGCCAGCACGAGCGGCGAAGCGCAAAGCGACGAAACTCTCATTCTAATCTATCCTTCGCTAGTATTACACGGTTATCATCAAACACTCTACTGCTACTCACCCTATCAAACATCCACACATATACACGCTATGCTATTTCTCTCCTTCCTCTCCCCCGTACTTCTCCATCACTTCTTTCACTCGCTTCGCCGCTTCGTCCATCGAGTCTCGCAGTTTCACACAATCCTCTTCGCTCAATCGAACGTTCGTGGTGGTGGCATTCGAATCGCTGCCACGACTCCCGCGTAATGTCAACACCGCGCTCGCCTGCGCATCTGCCGCACTCTTAGCACTCACAGCGTCTCCTTTGCTCTCTTTCATCTGTTTCAAAGAGGAGTCACAGTTAGGGGAAATGCTCTCTTGGAAGCAACGCGAGAGAACGGAAAAGAATGAACGCGAAGACACGCACGCACGAGAGAGAGAGAGAGAGAAAAGATGAAAAACGTACTCTGAGCGCAGCTTTGGACGCGACCGGAAGTTCCACGCGCCACTCCAAAGCGTCCACCTTCAGTTTGGTGTCGTTCTCGTTCATTTGAAAAGTGAAGTGATGCGAGTCGTCGTTTTAGGGGAAAAGGTCGCCAAAACGTCTCCCCGACTCCAATCTTTCGAGACATGGTGAAGAAGATCTGCGTCTTCGGCTCGGGCTCGTTCGGGACCGCCATGGCCACCTTGGTCGCAAGAAACGACCCTCTCGCGGACGTCGTCATCCTCACGAGACGAGAGGACGTCCAAAGAGGCATCAATGTTGCGCACAAAAATCCCACCCATTGCTCGGAGTTTACGTTATCGAGAAACATTCGAGCGACGACGAATTCGGAAGACGCGCTGCGAAATGCCTCGGTCATCGTGCACGCGATACCTTTGCAAAGCACGGAACAGTTTTTGGACGACGTGATAGATCACATACCGAGACTTGGAGAGATTGTGTTCGTGTCGACGAGTAAAGGCATCGAAACGGAAACGTTGGAGTTGCCGTGTCACTTATTGGAGAGAGTTTTGTACCGGCAAAAGGAGAAGAGCAGACGAAGGACAAACGTAAAGTTGGCGTATTTGAGCGGACCGACGTTTGCGAAACAGTTAATCAACGAAACGCCGTCAGGGGCGGTGATGGCGGCGAGAACGATGGCGCTGTCGAGGAAGGCGTGCGGGTATTTCGCGTCGCCGTCGTTTCGGTGTTATCCGTCCACGGACGTCGTCGGGGTGTGCGTTGGGGGCGCGTTGAAGAACGTGGTGGCGATTTTAGCCGGTGGTTTAGAGGGGATGGGGTTTGGTGTGAACGCGGTGGCGTTGTTAGTAACGAGAGGTTGTAGAGAGATGACGAGGATTGGGATCGCGATGGGCGCGAGCGCGACGACGCTGGGCGGGTTAGCCGGGGTCGGGGATTTGATGCTCACGTGTCTTGGCGCGGACAGTCGGAATAAGGCGGTTGGTTTTGCCGTGGCGTCGGAGGACAAATCGGTGGCGGAAGTTTTGGAGTCGCGCGCGGCGTCTTTGGCAGGCGTGGCGGAAGGCGTGGCGACGGCGCCGGCGGCGGCAAAGTTATGCGACGAGCTCAAAGTGGACGCGCCGATATTTAAAGCGTGCGACCAGATTTTGAAAGGAAAGATAACGACAAAAGAGGCGTTGCATAGGTGCATGACGTTGCCGGTGCGACCGGACGCGCCGTTGAGACGGAAAGGGTTCGTAAAGAGAACGCTTTTTGCGCATGTAGTCACAGCGGGCTTGGCGGTATTCGTGTCCAAGAGACGAAGTAAGGGGAAAAAAGAAGGAAAGGATGTTTAGTTTATTATAGGAGTTCTCTTTGCGCACACCACAGTTTGCAAATGAAAGTCAACTTTTATGCTCGCACGTTTCGTGCATATACATCGTCGAGAGCAGTCCGCGCAACGCGTCTTTTCTTCTTTTGTACTGCACGTATCTAAAACGCCTTTTTTTCATTTTGTGCAAAAAAAAGTGATCTCGTCCACACAAATATTTTTGTATCTCGGGGAAACCAAAGATATAAGCAAAGATATAAAAGAACACACATCATCATGCGCGGCGCACTCGCCCCGTCGACGAGGACGACGGCGACCTGTTACTCCCCGACGCTGAAGAAAAATAATGTTCGCACGAAACACGGATCGATTGGACCTTTGAGATCGTCGGCTCGAAAATGCGCCGTGGTGCGCGTCGTTCGCTCGGAGGCTGACAACCAACCCGAGTCGTCAGCAGCAGCAGCAGGAGCGAAAAGGAGCAGCGCGAGCGCGGAAGAGAGAGAACGAGCGGAAACTTTGAGAAAAGTGGAGGACGCAATCACGAGCGAGGAGGAAATCAAGAGGAACGGGCGGATGGATATGGAGACCGACGGATATTTTAACCCGGAGGATTTCGAGAACGTGGATCCGCAGTTGGCCGAGGACGTCGCGGAGAGGACGATCGAATCGAGTTCGGTGCCTCTTTCGGTGCCGCTGAAGAGCATGGAGACGTCTTCTACATCGGAAGCGAAGGAGGAAGAGGAGGAGGACGTGAATGCGTTAAAGACGGACATGGAAGGGATGAAGAAAACTATGGCGGAGAACCGCAGGAAGGAGATGGATTACATCGTAGAGACGGTTTTGAAATCAGAACGCGTCGTCGCGAGATCTAACGTCAAATCGATAAAGGCGAGGAAGGACGCCGAGTCCGCGGAGATGAACGCGGTTACCGCACGCGAGTTACTCGACGAGAAGAAAGACGTATCTGAACAGGAGATTTCGGATTTGGAAGCGCAAATCAAAGCGCGCTTGGCGCAAGACATCCCTAAAATTTACGACGATGCCGGTGTTTCGATGGACGAAGTACCAGTGCAGCACAATCCTCTCAAGACGATGTCGGGGATGACTGCGTTTATTACGTCGCCGACGCCGCCGCCTGGTTTGACAAACGCTTCGCAAGCGCAAAGAATGGGCGTACCCTTCGATCCCAACGAGCAGTTTGACATTCACGCGTCGTATTTGGAAAAATTCCAAAACTGGACGCCCGCGCTAGTTTTCGTCTACGTCCTCACGCACCCGGGATCGCCGTGTATTTTTGCATCCAAGATTCCGGATATTTTTGGTCTTCCCGACGAAAGCGTTTTACCGCAAGAGCGCGAGTTGGCCAAAGATTTACTCACACAAGAACAAATCAACGATCTGATGGAAGTGCGTCGACGCAACGATATCAAAGCGGCTGGGACGGTACAAAATGTCGCCTCCGAGAAAGATTTATACTGCGCGTTGATTAACAACCGCGTGTTTGTCAAGATTGGCGCGCGCTTCGAGTTACCGCGAGATATTCTCATATCTTCGTGCGGGAAACAACTCGAACAGTTCGATTTGTGCTGCTCTGGGCACCAATGGGCGGTTTGGCAAATCAAGGACGAAGAGAGTGATGCGCATATCGACTCTTCGACCGTTCCGAAGATGGAAACGCCGACTGCGGAGGTTCCTCCTTCTCCTCTGGCGGAAGGCGGCGAGACGGTGGACAATCTTCTCGAGGAGGCAAAAAAACTAATTGAGAAGGAGAAACAGGAACTTGAGGAGGAAGGGCAAAGGTTTCGAGATATCGTGAGCAGACCACACTCGGAAGAAGAGAAGATGCTTTACTCTGCAAAACTCGTCGAGGCAGAAGAAAAGGTTGCGTTTCTCGAAAGAAACTACGCGAAGTTGAAGATGAGAAAGGGTGAAGGCGACGAAAAATTATTCCCGGTTCGCGACGAGAAGAAGAAGCACGTCGGAATCGCGGACGAAAGCGACGCGGAGGAGTACGACGAAAGCGATGTCGTCCAAAAAGCAGCAGAAGATGTCGATGAGTTTGAGTCCGGGTGGGCATAAATGAGGAGGTGCGGAAGAAGACGAGAAAGAGACATTTTTAGATAGACGACGACAAAAACATCGAGGCGAGAGCGAGAGAGCGAGAGCGAGAGTGAGAGAAAGAAAAACACACACAGAGAGAGAGACAAGCGCGATAGTAAACCATATTCCAGAGTTTTCAAACGCAACTAAATATACATCTACACTACAAATACTACACGTGACACTATGTACCGCTTTTACAATACGCTCGTCGGCGATAACTCTTCTTGATCTTCTCCCGAATAATTACTCCCGCGGTACAACTTTGCGAATGATTTCGTACCCACTGGCGGCCTCGGTTTCCCCTCCATCAAAGCTAATCGTTTTCCGGGACGAAGACGTCCAAATCGCTCGCGGGGCTCATCATCTCTGTCCTCGCATTCGACGCAAACGACCTCGTCCATCCAACGCGCATCTCCGCGACGCGCGTTCCTCCTCATCATGGGCATCTCGCACTCGCTACACGTCTCTCTCGCTAAACTCCAGCCTTCCAGCAGTCTCTTGGTTATTTTTTCCGTCGTCAAAAAGGAGGTCGTAGACCGGCTCTTTTCGACGTCGTCGCTTTCCCCGACAGCCGCCGTCTTCACGTTGGCGCAAAATTGGTCCAAATCCATCATCTGCGTCCCGCACCACTCCTCGTTCATCCGCGAATAATAATCCTTTTCCTTCTCCTCCTCTGTGTCGAAACTCGCGCGAGAACTCCTCCAAGGCGTAAACTGTTCTTCTTCTTCTTCTTCTTCTCCTCCTTCGTCGTCCTCACCGCTCGATGATGTCGCCGACCAACACCGAGGGTGTTGATGCGCTTCTTTTTTTAGCCCGACCCTTTTCTTTAACGGAAACATCAAAGTCGAGGTTTTCCTCTCCAATCTCATCATCCTCTTCGACGGGGACGAAGACACCGTTCTTCCCTCTTCCGATTTCGACGACGACGGTGATAACCGCAATCCTTGGAGCAGTTTGGACGAGACTTTAATGAAATGAGTCTCGTCATCATCGTTATTACTGTTCTTCTTCTTCTTCGTCTTCATCTCTTTTTGTTGTATTGTTGTTGTGGTGTTCTTCGAAGAAAGAAAGAGGTCAACACCGCGACGCGACACTTTTTCGTGCTCTGAGAGTGATTTTTGGGAGCGAAGACTCGCTCTCAACGCTCACGTTTCACTTTTTTATACTTGTGAAGTGCAAAAACTCGTTTTTTCGCCAAAAAAACAGACGACTTTTAAAAGCACCAGACGGCATCACATTTGCACATCAACAACGAACGATGATGGTAAACGCATCATCGTCATCATCATCGGTGGTCTTTTCTCAAACAATCGCGGAAGGGCAGGCGCGAAGGAAGTGGTGGTGGTGGTTTTTAGCATTCGCGCGCTTCTTTACTCAGAAGAGGAACTTTGATTTCGACCACCAGGTGACACCGTACGTGAGCACGATTGCGCCTCACGAGGTGTTCCCGAGTGTGGAACTGATTTTTAAGGGAAGCCACCCGGGCGTTTTGAATAAAGGTGCTCAGATTTCTGCGCAGCCGTTTTTCTCTCCCGAGAACAGCGAACGCGTCGCTTTGGAAATGATCGAGGACGCGGAAGAAACGCTGGATATATTCACGCCCGGGGTGAAGTTTTGGTCCTACGAGAGAAGAAGGGGTGATGCGACGACTACGGAGAATGCTACTAAGAATAACAACAACAACAACAACAACAACTGCGGCGGGGTGTTGCCGTCTCGAGCGATGGCGAAAGAGAGTTTTCCGGTGTTCTTCGCGCTGTTGAACGCGGCGAAAAGGAATGTGACCGTGAGAGTGTTGACGAATAAATACGACGACGAGGAGGTTGGGTGCGATGGGAGGGTCACGATGAAAGATTTTCTGTCTTTGGCGAATCCGGAAAAGATGGAGGTGCGCTACTATCGAAGCACTTCGTTCATGCACGCGAAATACATCGCTCGAGACGGAGGGAAAGCGATGTCAATTTCTTCCGTGAATTGGTCGAGAGAAAGCATGAGAGAAAATCGAGAGGCGGGAATTATTTTAAGAGAAGGCGATGGTCCTGATCGTCTGTTTGATCGCGTGTCGAACCGCGCGTTTGAGTACGATTGGAAGCGGGCGCAAAAGCACGCGAGAGGCGTCGAGGACATCGCGAAAGAGGAGATGGCAATCATCAAAGGTAGCGCTGTTGGTGATGCAAAACTTGCAAAGACGAAAGGAATGGCGAATAAAAACGCTAAAAATACTATAGCAAACGACGACTCGGTAAAACCGTTCGTCACGAAAATGGAAAAAATACCTCTCGGTGAAGGGAGCAGCGTCGAAATGTTCGTGTCGCCGGATTTCTCGCGCGACTCGCTTTTGCGCTTCCTTCGAAGCGCAGAGAACGTGGTGTACATTTATACGTACCAAATCACGGACGATGAAATCGCAGACACTCTCGTTGACCTGGCAATGAGGAATGACGTGAAAGTATTTTTGATGCTTTCGCCGCGCATCTACGCGGATTGGGATCGTAAAAAAGCGAGTCAAGTACAGACGAGGTTGAGTAAAGCGGGAGGTAAAAATATTATCATCCACTCCGCACCGAAACATTTTCGGTACTCGCACTTGAAGTTCATCGTGAAAGATCGAAAAAGCACGTTCGAAACACTTTTAATGACGGGAAATTTATCTCCCTCAGACCTACCAGAAGGTAACATCTTCAAGCCGTGTCACGGCATGTCTTCCTGCAGCCGAGCGAATCGCGACATAAACGTGATTTTTCGCGAAAAGGACGGCGCGATCGCTTCAAAGTTCCTGGAAGTGTTTGAAGGCGACTTAAAAATGGCGACGGAGTATTCTAATCCAACAAAGTATTAGAAGATAGTAAAAGAAAGAGAGAGACACGCGCGACACGCGCGCGCATGCATTATCACACAGCTACACAACAGCAAAGATTACAATACAAAACATACAATTAAATACAAACTCGTCACATGTCACGAAGCGTTCTCCTCTCCTCTCCGTTTCGCCTTCCGATTCGCGGCTAAGAAAACCGCCCCGACGACTGCAATCGCCGCCAACACTTTCACGCGAACGTTTCCATTACCACTTCTCTCAAACCCATTATGAGGTGGTGTCATGTTCGCCGCTACATTCGACCTTCCACTGCTCCCGCTTACATTCACACCGAGTCCGCTCGATTTCGGATGTCGTTGTCGATGTCCTCCAAGACCACCTTTAAATGTCGACGACGATGAACCTACCCCTCTCTTCTGCCTCGCTCGAAACAAAATCTCCGCCGCGGATAACTCGTCCTCCACTCCTCCGTCGTTTAAACTCTCTTTTCTTCTCTCCTCGTCCTCTCGCTTCGTCGTCGTCCTTTGAGTATTTTCGTTGTTCGTTTGCGGGTCGTTTTCGTCCTCGTTCCACTCTCTCGCCGCTCGCATTCTCCCACCGGTTTGCCCGTGCTTCTCTCTCATTTTTTTCGCCGCGTTCATTCGAGCGCGCATTCCTGGACCGAATATCGGTCCCTTACCCGCTTCGTCGTCGTCGTCGTCTGATCCTCGATTGGTGAGTTGTTCGTACGCGTTTTTCAGCTCCAGAAACTTCGCGTTTTGTTCTTCGTCGTCGGATTTTGAATTCTCCCCGTCGTCGTCTTTTGCGCGGGAAACGACGTCCGGGTGTAACTTTTTCGCCTTCTCTCGAAACGCGAATTTGATTTCAGATCGAGTGGCCGTCGAGGAAACGCCCAGGATTGCAAAGAGTTTCGATTTGTTCGTCTTCGTCGGGAAGTTGAACCCTGGAGGGGCGTCCTCCTCCGTCATATTGGGGAAAGTTTTGTGAAGAGAAATAGAGGATTACGGACGAAACAGATGATGACTTTAATGGCGTAGTAGCATACACATTACACGCATTCGTAGTAGTTTACAACAACACAAGAAGAATACACTTTGGTGGTTCGAATCGTCTTTTCTCGATGATGATTAAGAAGAAGCGCTCGATTAAGGAACAACCGTCTTTCGGGTAATCTTCGCCGATACCGTCGCGGAACCGTCCATAATGCGTTCGCTCACGATGTGCTCTCCAGCCGGCGTCAACCATCCGCACGAAAACGTCACACCGTCGGTAAACGTCCAAATGTCCAAGCCGTTGTACTGAGTGATCGCGTCTTTCGGGACGCCGTCCATCTCGCTAAACTTCACCTCGCTTCGCGGGTACTCGCCGTATTTCATCGTATTTTTGGTCCCGCCGCAGCTCGCGACTAACGACGCGCCGTTCGTATACTTCTCGTAGTACGCCTCTCGCCACACTTTCACTTCGTTTCTCTTCGCCTCTGTACGCTGTTGCGTTATTCTCACTCTCACGTGCGGTTCCGAATCGACGTACCCGTCTTTCTGCGTACTCCCTTTCCTCGTCAACACGTGCGTCACCGTCTCGTCGTCGCTGGCGTTGAAATCCCCGCACCCTGGATTAAAGTGCAGAACGTTTTTCATTTCGCCTTCAAACTGTTCGTAAATGACCGAGGCGTCCACTTCGCACCCAGCGACTGGTATAAACTTCATATCTTTATACACAACGACATCTCCCTCTCCAGTGGCTTTCATCGCGCACTGCGTCTGCCAATCGAAGACGTCGACCGCCCAATCGTCGTACGCCGGAGGCACCACGTGGTCTGGAAGTTTCGAAGCGTTCGGAAGTTTCGTCGCCTCGTCGACGACGAAATCAACCATGTGGCCTTCCCATTCGCCGGATGGGACCGTTTCTTCGTCGAATTGGAACACTACCAACTCTTGCTGCGAGGACACGGACGATGGTTTCGTTGATGAGTTCCCGCTTCTGCTCTGATGACTCCTCCTCTTCTTCCTCCCCGTCACTTTGCTCCAGGAGCAGTATACCTTCGAAGAACGAGAAGTAGTGATCATGATGCGATGCGCGGATGCGCGTGTGTATATGTTTATTTATAGAGAGAAAGATGGATAAACTTTGAAGAAGCTTTCGTTTGGGAAAACCATCAGTCTCGAAAGAAATCTCCAAAACTTTCTCTCTTGATGCGTTCGGGCGAGACAGAGAGAGATACTCATGTCCTCGTTACTCCCTTCGGTAGTGCGCAATACTACGACGATGATAAATAAACGAAAATGTTGCGCGATAGTTTTACTCTTGCTTTTCCTGGTAAAACTTGTCGCGTTCGCGTTCGTCGCGATGACGTTCGGGGGGAAACACGCGAGGGAATTTGCGAGACAGTTTGCGCTGCTTCCATCGTCATCATCATCGACAATGAGAACAACCATAACGAAAAGATACGACGAGGACAACGATAACTTTGAGGAGGACGTTTTGGTGTACGAACGGAGAGAAGACGAGATGTTCCGTCGCGAGACAGACGATGGATTTTTCGATGATGAGAACAACAACGATGGGAAGAGGAGGAGGAGGAAGAAAAATGTCAACGACGATGACAATGATGAATTCTGTAACGGGAACGCCGCTATTGCGGTGTACGCGAGTAGTAACGAGGACGAATACGCTCGAAAAGTACGGTTGAAGTGTTCGATTGGATCGTTTCGCGCGCACGCGTGTTTCAATCCGAAACGGATAAAGACGGACGAAGCGCACGTCGCGAGAGCGTTTCGAGAGGAGAAATTTAAAGGCGAATCGGTATTCATCGAAAGCGGGAGTCGGTACGTGATCGAAGACAATGATGGAAAAGTGGAAGAGTACGCGAGCGTGTTAGTGTGTAAGAAAAGTAGCGGTGCAAAATGCGAATCGGTAGATGACGCGTTGCCGATATGCCGGGAGGAAACGAGAGGTAAAAAATTGACGAGGTTGGCGCTGAAAGCGGCGACGGATGCGGCGAGGTTCGGGTTTCTCGGAAAAGGCGTGAAAGCGAGAAAGTTTCGACCGGTGCCCAGCGAACACGCGCTGATGAAACAAATGAACGGGGAAAGAAGGCAAGAGACGTGTTTTTTTAAGGAGGTGGTCGCGGAGATTAAGAGAGGGTGCGATGTAGGTGAAAGCGTAAAGAACGACGAAAACGACGAAGAGGAAAGCGACGGATTGAACGAGCTCGTGAGAGGCGGGTACCTCGTTGGATTCAAAGGCGTCGCGATGGTGAAGAAAGTTAAACCGGATACGGACGAGTGCCGCAGTGGTGAGAGTAGTAGTAGTACTAGCAGTAGTGACGACAACTCGGAGGACGACGGGGAAGACGCGTCCTCTTTTGTCGCCGAAAAGAAACTCGAGTTTCTCGTCATCGAAGACATCACGCGGGGCATACAAAACGCCTCCATCGTGGACGTCGACGTCAGTGGTGCACCAGCTTCGGTCTGTCGCTATTGCTCTTTAGACGTGAAGAACTTTCGTCTCGGCGATGGCATCACCAGTGGCGACCGGTTCTTCTGGAAACGCGAAGCGAGGTGCGTGAGCTCCAAAATTTCCGACGTGTTTGAGAACGTCGTCTTGAACGCCCGGTCCTTCTTAGGGGAAGCCGCGGACGGTAAAATCTTTGCCGCTTTACTCAAGACGGAAGTCGAAAATATCGTCGAACTCATGCGCAAACAACGATTCGTCGAATTCACGGACAGTTCCCTCCTCCTCGCGTACGGCTTGTGCCCGAAAACGGGCAAACCAAAAGTGCGCGCTCGCGTCATCGATTTCGGCCACGCCACGTGGCAATCCATCGCGTCCTCGCAAAACACGTTACCATCGAACAAACCTTGGACCTTATCCAAATCCGTGGACAGCTCCAAGTTCACCTGCGGCGCGGAAGAGCTCATGCACAGGCTCGATTACATCGCCACCGGCAAACCAGCGCCGAAACGATGCTTAGCCGCGTGCTTGAACTATTGCGACGCGAGCAAAGCCGAAGGCGGGTACTCGTGTCGCTCTCGAGCGAAGAAGGATGAAAACCCGATCGGTGAGGAGAAAGAGAAGAATTGCCCGTGGGAGTTTAAGAGCGACTATTATTCGTAGAGAGAAACTAGATGTTGTGAGTTGAATCATGCATACATAGCTTGTGACCGATTGAAAGAGCACATTGGAAATAGCGTTTATTTCGTCGTGCTCACTTTCAAGTGGTTTCCTTTTCCCAACCACCAACTCCATTTCTTCATAGAAAAGTTTCACTCATACGAGAACAAATATAACCGAACAACACCTCGCGCTTTGAAACCGCGTCGGCCTCCTTCTCCTCTTCCTCCTCCTTTTTATGTCCTCCACCTCGGACAAGCTCGCGGTCCTTTCCGCCAAGCTCGACGACCTCGCGTCGAAAGCGAACTCGATAAGACACGAGCGAAAGAAACAAAGCGCGAAGCCGGATGAGCTCCCGACGACTTCTACATCGGTTTTACGAGGCCGCCGATTGACACACGTGCCAGATACGCCTTTACAAAGAATACCGTATCATTTGAAATATCATGCGCAGCGATTCGCGGGTTTCATGGCGATCAAACTGAGAGAGTTTCGAGTGTTGGACAGAAGCGTGAAAATGATTGTTCTTTTCGTGCTTGGATTTTTTCTCTTCGTGGGCGTGTTTGCGGTGCGCGGACACGAGGAAAGAGGGTACATTCATAACGACGAACGCGAGGAATACCAAGAAGAGTACGATAGCTCAGAATTTGGCGACAGTCGATTTCACAAAGCTTTGTTTCATCCAGTCTTTCACGCGAGGCAAGTGGTGGATTCGATGAAGACGAACTTCGCGCGGGATAAGTTTGAAAGCTCTCACGCCACGGAGAAGCATCCCTATTCGACGAAAGTGAGTTTTGAGTGTCCAGTGTTGTCGTGCGTGAATGTAGCGTTAGCTGGAGCAGTTGGTGATGGTATGACGGTAAATACGGAGACTATACAAAACGCGTTGGATAGTCTGACGATGAAAGCGCAAGGAAGAACGCAGACGTTGGCGTTTCCGCCGGGAAGATGGTTGACAGGTCCTTTAGAGTTGAAATCGAACGTGAAGATTGTTTTGGATGGTCCGAGAAGTTTTCTAGAGGCGGTGAAATCGACCGATTTGTGGCCTATTGACGATTGGAAAGAGCATCCGTCTTTACCTTCGGATGACCCGACACCCATTTTTCGAGCGTTTATACACGCCTATAATCAAACGAACATTGAAATTTCCGGCGGCGGTACGATTAACGGTCACGGTGATTTTTGGTGGGACCGTAAGACGGACCAGAAGTATTCACCCTCCATGCGTAAGAAAGCGCACGTGCCGAATTTAGTTCATTTAGTCGGCTGCTCGGACGTGAAGATTGAGAACATCGTGTTGACAAACTCGCCCCATTTTACGGTTCGGCCGCAATATTGCAACAAAGTGAGCGTTTCGAGAATCCACATCTCGAATCCTGCGAATTCACCGGGTACGAACGGCGTGGTTTTTGATTCTACGTCGAACTCATTCTTAAGAGATTCGTTCATTACTACCGGTGATAAAGAAGACGCGGTGGCGATCAAATCCGGGAAGGATTACCACGGCAGGAAAGCAAACGTGCCTTCGAAGAACATTCGAGTGGAACACGTGACGATTTTGGGCGGTCACGCCTTGTCGGTTGGAAGCGAAATGAGCGGAGGTGTGTCGAACATTATCTTCTCCGATATTACGTTCGACGGTAGAAATAACAAGTTTGGCGTGGGGAGCGCGAGAGTGAAAACAATGCGCGGTCGAGGTGGTGTCGTAGACCAGATTACGTTTCAAAACATTCGAGGATGGAACGCGTTATACGCTCTGGAATTGTACGAGTATTATTCGAAGCAAGACACGAATGTAGGTCCGGTTTCCAGAGAAGAAACGCCCATCGTAAAGAATATTAACTTTAAGAACGTACACATTGAAGGTATTAAGCGATACGCCGGCGTGATTGCCGGATTACCGGAGATGGCAGTCAGTAACTTGGTCATCGAAAACGTTCACTTGACAAACGTGCATAAAGGGTGGAATTGTCACAAGTTTAAAGAGTGTAATTGGCCAGGAGGTGGATGTAGCTACGGGAAAGTTTCCGACGTGAAACCAGAATTACCGGACGGATGCGTGTTAGACCAAAGCATGATGCCGCACAGACAAACTGTAGGGGATTTGTGGACCCCGGTGGTGCCCCGAACGGGCTTCCTCGGGTAAATTAAATAGATGATTAGCGTAGCAATTCTAGGAATAATAATAATACATAGTATCTAAACTAATAACGTCTAGTCTACTTCTATTTCAAACTTTCTAACCCAAACCATTTCCGCAATTCCTCGGCGACGACAAACGTCACCATCGTTTGCGGCCCCAACCGAATGTAGTTCGCCGTGAAGCCTCGCATCGCACCTCTCAGGGCGCCGTATTCACGCACCACTTCCATCGCCGCCTCTTTCGCCGATAACTTCTTCCCTTCTCCGGAAATAAACATCCTCGTTTTCACCACATCCACTGGATTCGTTGTCGCTGTCGTTATCAACCCCGCCGCCGCGCTCGCTCCAACGTGCGCCATCCAGTCGTCTTTAGCGTTTGGCACCATCTGTATCCACAGCCGTTTCACTTCTCCATACGCGGCGACTTGACTCGCCGTTAATAGCGCCGCTCTCGATGCTGCCATCGAACTCCCTCTCCATAAAGACGACACTCCATCCCTCGCAACTTGTGTTTTGATCGTTTGCCAACTGTCGCCTTTCATTCTCCTCGTCTTCACGAGCTCCGTCGGATTCAACGTGAACGCCGCCAGAGCTCCAGAGCACCCGCCCGCGAGCAACTTTGTCGTCACGCGATTTTCATCCACCCCCCCGAAGAATTCCGAATTGGATACGAGATTCCTCCGAATCGGGTCGTACAACCCTAACCTTAACCCGCCGTACGTCGTCGCTCGCAGCAGAGACGGCGTCAACCCGACGTAAAAACCTCCCACGCCTCGCTCTCGAAAGACCAAGCGAAACGTTTGCAACATGTTGTTTGCGTTTTTCGCATTCGTCGTGTTCAACGCTTGCATCCTCACTTTCACGACATCGATCGGGTTCGTTGTTGCCGTCGCGCACGCCACGGAGACGCCAGATATACATACATTCGGAACCAGCGCGTGTTCGACCATCACAAAATCGCTATTCAATCATCCGTTCAAAGTTTCGCGCGTGCGCAGTCATATTGGTTTTTGGAGCAAAAGAGCGAGAAAAAATCGAGAGGAAAAAGTGTTTAGGGTATACAACCCTAATAAAAGGTCTCTGGCAGAAGGGGGAAAGAAAGAAGAAAAAAGTGCTTCACAAAACCATATCTGAAAGCATTCATCATGGGGAGTTCATCCGACGCGTTGCTCGAACGAATCTCGAACAATACGCCTAAGAAGACGAAGAACATGACGACTCCCGCTGGTGCGAATACCGTGCGTCGGTCGCGGAGGTTATTAGGCCCGTCCGTATCCATCGTCGGCGACGTGGGGGAGAACGAGGAGACGCCGTTGGGGAAGATTCGAGAGACTGTAACGACGACGACGACGTCTCGATTAGGAGGAGGAAAAGGAGGCGCGAACAAGAACAACAACGAGAAAAAGAAGACGGTCAGGTCGCCGTTGATGGACCGAGGGAACGAACGAGACGTTATTACCGTCGAAGAGGAAGAAGAAAACGGGAAGAGGAAGAAGGAGAAGAAGAAAAGCGAAAAGAGAGCTGCTGCTGCTGGGAAAAAGACAACAAAAGCAATAGGCGAGAAGAAGCGGGAGAAACCGGCAACGGCGGCGAGAAAGACGCGAAAAGGGACAAAGGAGCAGGACGAGGAAGAGACGGAAGAGAAGGATCAAAAACAGCCGGAGGAGGAAAGTACGATGGAAACTTATCCGACGACGACGACCGCGTCCGCCGACGACAACCACCAAGACGTCCAAGAACAAGAAAAGATACAAGAAGAAATGGACAACGAAGACCCGATGCAAATATTAAAGCTCGCGGTTGCGACGTGGCAGAAACGCGGGGTGGACCCGTCCGAGGCTATTTTCGAGGCGTTTCCTTTGCGTTTGTCGGAACGAAAGGATGGGGCGACCATGCGGAGGTTGATGGCGGCGTTGGCGGGCGTGGAGTTGGCGCCGACGACGGTGAAGAAGGCGAGAGCGATTCGGGAGGAGATGTTTGAGGACGTGGAAGAAGATGGAGAAGAAGTGTGCGATATGGTCGAAGATAAAGAGGACGTGGGCGAAAGCAAAGCTGACTCGAAGCAAAAACCAAACGCGGAGCTGTCGCTCGAGGACCACGCGACGAGACGATTGAGTTTCGGGTCCGGGAATGGCGGCGAGAAAGAAGAGAACGCGAAAGAACAACACGAAGAAGAAGTAGTAGTAGCAGTAGCAGCAGGCAATGAAGAAGAAGACGAAGAGTTTGGCACGCCGGAAGGGAAAATTGAAGATGAAGAAGGCGATATCGAAGGCACGTTTGATCCGTGTAACTGCGGCGAGCTCGAGTGTCCGAAAGAGAAAATGTTGAAAAACAACGGACCATTTCAGCTCCCGGTAGTCAAACACGAGCAGCCGCAAAAACAAATGACGCCAATTAGAACGTGGATGGATGCAGAGCAACCGTCGTTGGACGAAGAGAATGAGGAGGAGGCAGACGATAGCGAAAGTGTCGCCGCTACGGATATCGACGAAAATTATTCAGTCCGCGACGAGGAGGAGGAAGAGGACAACGAAGATGATGATGTCGGGAGTATTGCGGGCACTGAACACGTCGCGTCGCCTCTCGTTGAGAGCATCATAGAACGCGCTTCGAAGAAAGAAGAAGAAATAAAGGACGAACCAGCACCTCCTGAAAAGGAGGCTGAGGTAGAAGAAGAGGACGAAGTTATAGCCGCGCGACCGAAGCGTAACGCGGCGACCAAGAAGAAAGTTCAAATTTTATCTTCTAGCGACGAAGATGAAGAAGATGAAGAAGCTGAAGAAAAAGATACGAGCGCCGCACCGGTGCGAGCGTCGAGGCGCGTCGCAAATAAGCGGAACGAAATAGCGGAGAAAATATCGAATCGAAGAAGAAATCAAATCTTGGAAGACAGCGACGATTATGAAACCTCAGAAGATGAGGAAGACGACGAGGACGACGATGATGATTCGCTCTCGGAGATTGCAGAAGAAGAGGAAGCAGACGACTCCGAGTTCGCTCCCAGCGACGACGAGGACGACGAAGTGAAACCGTTCTTGAAAACGGCGATGAAAACGGCGATGAAAACGCCCGGACCGCCAGCCAAGACGCCCGGCAGAGTCAACTTCAAAACACCAACGCCTCCAAAAACGGGTCCAAATACGCTATTCCGCGCAATGACGGACAAGAAGTGCAACACGGCATTACGTGCTGCTCGTCTCGCGGCTATGGAAGACGAACAGAAAGACGACGATATTTCTCCGTTCAATCTCGAGCGTTTGCAGACGCCGCCGAACGAGCCGGCGAACATGTCGCCAACGAAAACGTTTTCTGCGTGGAAACCACCGCCCTCACACTCGAAAGCGTTAACGTCGGCGTTGAAATCCGTAGGAAAAACTATCGGCGGTAACTTGAAGAATGGATTTGACTTCAACAAGCACAAAGAGTCCATCACGAGAGCTCTTTTCGACGAGTTCAACGCGAACGTTTTCGATCGACAACTTCCCGATGGATTTGAGATTACTTGGAGTAAGAAACTGCTCACTACGGCTGGCTTAACCGTGTATAAGCGAACCACGATCGAAGGCGTTCGTCATTTCACCGCACGCATTGAGTTGAGCACAAAAGTGCTCGATTCCGTGCACAAGCTCGAATCGACTTTGTTGCACGAAATGTGCCATGCGTCTGCGTGGCTCGTCGATCACGTGGCCAAACCTCCGCACGGTGACGTGTTCAAAAAATGGGCAAAGTTAGCGATGCAAACGTACCCGGGAACGAACGTGTCTACATGCCACGCGTATGCGATACACACGCCGTTCAAATGGAAGTGCAGCCAAACGTGGTGCGAACAAGAATATGGACGACACTCGAAATCCATCGACGTAGAGAAAAAGCGGTGTGGATTATGCGGCGGTCGATTGGAATTTATGGGCAAGTTCACCTCCGACGGCGTCCTCGTGAAAGGCTCGAACATCGAAAAGAAAGCGACTGGGTACGCTAAATTCGTCCAAGATAACTTTGGAGACGTGAAGAAAGAGCTCGGCAATAAGACACCGCACAAGAAAATCATGGAAAAGTTGAGTGAAAAATGGAACGAGGAGAAGAAAGCCGGGAAGAAGAGCGACAGCGGCGAACGCAGCGGCAGCGGCAGCAACAACGAAAGCTTCAGCGAGGATAAAGAAAATATCCCAAAAGAGGAGCCCGGAACGATTTCCAAGGCGGCTGCTAGGTTCACGAAGTTGGCTTTATTCGAAGATGAAATCATGTCCTTTACCGAGAAGAAGAAAAAGAAAAGCGTTTCTATCCAAGAGGAGGAAGACGAAGTCGAGACGAAGATGAAGGCGATGAACTTGAACTCGCTTTTGTTAGAAGAGGAGGAAGAGTGAGACGTTGTATCATACAAGTGCGCGGGGAAACACACACACACACACACAAACAGCAAACATAGTAGTTTTATCTTCTGTTGATTATATCATTTTGTATAAGTATTAAAACAAGTATATAGTAGTACGAGTATGTATCAGAGGTTCCTTCCTTGCTTTCTCGCTAGCTCTTTTCACGCTATGTATCAATTTGTAAAGTTAATGTACTTTTTCCGTCCTCTCCTCTCCTGTGATAGACTTCTACAGTTTTCTCGCGCCGCTGTTCTAACCGAGAGATATTCTCTGCCATCATCTGGCAGTATGGGTCTCACGACAGAGCGTAGACGCGCTCATGAATTTTTAATGAAATTTTTATAAAATCCTCCTCTTTTACTTGGCGCTCGGGTCTTTTTGCGTGTACGTCTTGATGACTTCTCGGAGCATTTCATTCTCTTTCTCCAAAGTCTTGCATCTGTTTTCTAACTCGTCCAAACGCGATTGTCTCTCTCTTTCCGCGTTCTCTAAAGAATTCATGTACGCCTTCTTTCTTTCTCTCGCGTGTTGCGCGGAAACTCGGTTGCGCAACAACCTCTTGAGGCGCTTGCGCTCTCGTTCATCCTCGGCGGTGTTCCCAGTCGGCATAGCCGGCAATTCCTTACCGTCGTCGTAGTCTTCGTTCTTCTTTTTCGGCGGCATGATGCTCGTTGTCGTCGGTGCAGATGTTGTATGTGCTAAATAAGTTGTTGTAGTGTCCTTGTTCTGTTCCTGGCTATTCACCAAATACCCCGAGTGGCCTTCGCTACTCGTCGCCGGCGCGTTGTTCGTTCTCCCGATCGTATCCACGTCAGGAACTACTTGTAAATCCTGGTTATCCGTATACGTGGAACTCGTCGGCTTCGCTTCCCCTCCAAACGACTGCACTCCTTCCGAGCCAGCCTTTCTCTTCAACTGTAACAACTGCTTCCCTTTCGCCGCTAACCGAACTTGTTTTCTCGCCTGTCTAATCTCCTTCGCCGATTGCCTCGCGCGTTCCTCCGGCGTCGGTAATCCGGTTTGTACCGGTGCAAATGTCGCGCCGTGTACGTGTACGGGAACGTGTACCGGTTGAAACTGGTGCAGTTGGAACGGATTGGTTTCTGTTTTTTTTTTCGCGCACGAGAGAATAAAACTCGTCAGTGTCCATCTTTTTCTTTTTCTTGGTTTTTACGGATTCGGATTGGGGTTGGGTTTTGGACTCCTTCGGATAGAAAAATCACGTCCTTCCTTCCCTTTGTCTCTCTCTCTCTCTTTCGAAAGAGCGAAAGTGCGCGGGTCTTTTTCGACCTATTCGAACGAGTGCAAACGAGTGCACACGACGACCGACCGACCGACCGACGCGGGGAAACGACGAGAGAGATGCTCTCTCCGCGCGACGAGAGAAAACGCTGCTAAAAATCTCCTCCGCAAGATCACACGCGAGAAAACCTCCCCCCGTTGTGGGAACGAGAAAAAATCGAGACAAAGACGCGCAAACAAAAGTATCTTACCTTGATGATGGTGCGCAAACCTCACGCGGTTGGTGTAATCCTCCGGGTGCGAGTCCGGACACAATAAATCGGTCAAGTCGTCCACGCCTCTCAAGAGCGAATCGTCGATGTCCGGAACTTCGAAGTGTGACTCGTACCCCATTCACAGCTAATCTCTTTGGATATGTGTCCGTGTTTGAGCTCTTTCTTTCCCGTACTAATTTTCTTTCTCAAAGAAAAAGAGGCACCTTCTCCCTCTGCGTGTGTTTGCTCCTCCCTGTTTCAGCTGCGCCGCGCCAGATTCCTCTCTGCTCGATGGACGACCCTCCCGTCTCTCTCTCTTTACTAACAACAACGCGTTATTCTCGTTTCTGCGGTATGTCCGTTTTGTTTTATGGGGAGAGAAGGAACTCACAATCCACCCAAAAACAGAGGCTTGCCTTTCGCTCTGTAAAGTGTTGGTGTTTTTGGTTCCGTTTGGGTTAATTCGGATATGATTTGATTCGTGGTGCGAGCGCGACTTTGATACCCTAAATTGTGATGTTCCAGCTCTGCTTGTTTTGTCCCTTGAAAATTGGATATAATTCGTTTTTTATATCTCTGTAATGAAAGAACTTTCTCTTACATCATCACACACATCGAGTTCTTCGAACGCATCTGATTGATGAGGCATCGTTGAGGTTTCCTCCGTCGTTCTCGATCGAACGATACGATGAACTTCGTGAAAGCGCAGCTGGAAAAAGCGGAACGATTCGTCGAGAACGTGGAACAGAAAGTCGCCGAGCGAGTCGTTCCAGGATTGAACAACAACAATGATTCAGACGACGACGAGGAGGAGGAGTATTCGGATTCCGAATGGGGGGAGGACGGTAGTATTCGACGCCAAAGACGGCGGCGGCCGAAAGTGGTCTTGTCGGACGATTCGGACAACGAAGAAGAAGGAAAAGAAGAAGTTGCATTTGAAGAGAAGAAGAAGGCAACGAAGAGCGCTTTCAAGGTTGAGGATGTGGCGAGTGGGTACGATGCGAACGACAGAAGCGCAGAAACTGCTTCCGCTGCTTTTCTGACGGAAAATGCGGCGACGACGATTCAGACGACGACGCACTCGTCGCCGTCGAAGCAACTTCTGGGCAAACCGCCCTCGCCGCCAATTTCCGTCGCCAAACAACAGTTAGCGGAGCAGCGAGAACGCGAAAGAGAAGAAGAAGAAGAAGAGAAGAAGAAGAAGAAGAAGAAGGAGAACGCCGTCGTCGTCGTCGCGCGCGACGACGAAGAGTATAAACTGAAAGAGAAGATTGTCTTGTACAAGAATAAAGTTCAAGACTTGAAGTCGGAACGGGACCATTTTCAGAGACTTTTGAGGGACATGCAGAACGAAGCGATGGTGAACACGGATAAGATGATGCTGACGCACACAAAGTTGGAGCGAAAGTTGAAGGAGAAAGAGGCGATGTTAAAGGAGAAGGAGGAGGAGATTAAACGTTTGAACGCGACGGAGAAAATAAGGAACGACGCCGAGGACGAGGCGCAGTCGTTGACGCAGGAGTCGATGGCGAGCGTGTTAGCGGGTGCGAAGGAGGCGCAAATGCGCGCGGAGAGGCAAGCGGAGGCGTCGAGTCGGGAGATTGTGTCGCAACGCGAGGAGTTTTCCAGGAGAGAGGCGGATTTGGAGGACCAGTTGGAACGGTTGAGCCAAGACGTGGCGAAGGTTTCGCAAACGAGCGAGGAGAGAGCGAGGGCGTTGGTGACTTTTGAACGACGAGCGGTCGCGGCGGAGAACGATCACGAGAGGTTGTCCGAGATGATCGCGAGGTTGGAAACGTCGTTGGCGGCAGAGACGAAGAGAGCGGAGAGAGCAGAAGATGACGGCGAGTACGAGAGGATGAAGGAGCAGTTGGAGAGCGCGAACGGAGAGATGCAAAAGTTGAGGAAAGAAGTAGACGCGGCTAAACGTAGAGCGGATATTGCGGAGAGAGATTTGAAAGTGCGAGTTGGCGTTTTAAATGGTAGCAGTAATACGAGCAACGGTGGCGAAAATAACGACGGACTCATGCCGGAAGACCAAAACGAACTCGCGTCGTTGCGGAAACGATCCGAGGAAATGACCAAGTTATTATACGAAAAACAACGACAGTTAGAGAGTTTACAGGGCGAGAAACAAACGTGGAGTATGCGTTTAGAACGCACCAAGGAAGAGTTTATGAATTCCGCGGACGTGTCCGCGAACGCGTCGTCGTCGGCGAAGCGACGAGCAAACGCGATGGATATTGAATCCGGGAGAAATTTTGCCTCTGCCGACGCAGACATCGTGCCCATGGAAGCGTCGAGAACGTTTTCGCGATTAGCGCAAAACAGACGGGTCGGGAAAGTGGTCACCAAAGCATGGCAAGGCTTAGATGCCGCCGCGGCAACTTTATCGGATGGCGTTCGATTGTACCCGATTGCGCGGGTGGCGTTCTTCTCGTACTTGTTTTTTATTCACATGTACGCGTACTTTTTGTTGCACAAGTTGCAACACAACGCGCACATGGCCGAGCTGCATTTACATCATCCTTAGCACTTTTAGTAGGCTTGTTACGCTAGAATATATATACGCATAGTTTATAATCAAACGAAATATCATTTTTCCTTTATAATACAAATCACGTTCTCTCTCTCTCTCTCTTTTTTTCCCGCGTGACTTACGCTTTCTTCTTCTTGTTGGCGCTTTTGTTGTTACTGATACCTTCGCGAAGTAGTGCTACTAATCCCTCTCTCCTTTCTACTAATATAATTGACTAATTGACGTATACATGTGATAACGACGTAATAATAACGCATCATATGCGATTGTGGCGCCGGCATCTCTCTCTACCAACTCGAGACGCCGTAAATCGGGCCTCTGATTCTTCTCGCCAGCTGCATATCCTTCGGCATAATCGTCACCCTCTTCGCATGAATCGCGCACAAATTACAATCCTCGAACAAATGCACTAAAAAGTCCTCCGAGGACTCTTGCAACGCTAACAACGCCTCCGCGGTCCATCGCATCGGTTGATCCGTAAACTCGTTGCAGATCTCTCGAACGAGCCTCGCAAAAGGCAGTTTTCGAATCAACAAGTCGGTTGATTTTTGGTACTTTCTGATTTCTCGAATAGCTAAGGTTCCCGGTTTGTATCTGCGTTTTTGTGGAATTAATGGGCCTGTTTGTTAAAGGAAAAGAGAGAGAGAGAGAAAGAGAAAATCCGTCAGCGTTCGCAGCGCGAGAAAGACAAAGAAGAGGTTGAGGAAAATGTCTCGCTTGGGGGAAAAGGGGGTGAAAATTCAAAAAAATTGGAGCCTAATGGTCTCCTTTGTGCGTTTATGCGCGTCCACAGAACCAACAACACAAACGCGAAAAGTACGTCATCAAAACACTCTCTGAGAAAGAATGCGCTCGTACCGTTTAATCTCCCAAACTCCGGCCGTCTTTGCGGCGTGCCCTGTTTTTAAATCGAACAAAAATCAGAACGTGTTTAAAAGAGTCAGTTTGAATCCAAAACGAGACGATTTAGACGAGAGAGGAAACGAAACGATGGTGAGAAACACGCTTTCTTTCGCGCTTTTTATTTCACAACACGAAGCGCTTCTTCTTTGTTTGCGCACTATTCGGCGCGCAAAGCGTGCACTGCTCTCATCAAAAACAACGACGCGCAACAAATCGTCGTACCTTTCGCCCTATGCTCACCGGCCGGACCATTCTCTGACTCTCTCTCTCTCTCTAAAAATGACGAACGAGAGCTCCTTGTGTTTTCCCTTTCAAAAACGGGCAATGTTAAACCCTACACCCTAAATTTCTAAACGTTTTTTAAAGGAAAGCTCCAACGCGAATTTTCTTAAGTTCGTTCCCGTGGACAAAGGAAGAGAGAGACACGGAGAGAGAAAGAAAGAGAGCGAGAGAGTTTAATCAGAATGACGACGCAAACGGACCCTCTGGCGAAATCGGTCCGCGGGACGAACCCGCAAAACATGATGGAAAAAATTACGAGGGATAAAGTGTACGCGATGACGTTTTGGAAAGAAAAGTGTTTCGCGGTGTCGGCGGAAACGCTGGTGGATTTAGCGGTGACGGATTTGACGCAAATAGGAGGGATATACGGAGGGAACAATCGAGCGACGGAGTTTTTGTGCTTAGCTTTGAAGATGCTGCAAATCGCGCCGGAGAGAGAGATTGTGATTGAGTTTATTAAGAACGAAGACCATAAGTACGCGAGGTTGTTGGGGGCGTTTTATTTACGACTGGTTGGGAACTCCGCGGAGGTGTACAGATATTTAGAACCGTTGCTGAACGATTACAGGAAAGTACGGAGACGCGTGAAAAGTGGCGGGTGCGAGTTAACGACGGTGGATGCGTTCATAGACGAGTTGTTGACGAAAGATTTTTGTTGCGACATCGCGTTGCCGAGACTGGCGAAACGGTTCGCGTTGGAGGCGACGGGCGCGTTGGAGGAGAGGAAGTCGTTGTTAGAGGAAGAGGTTGGTGAAGGCGAGGATTTCGAGACGGTGATTGAAAAAGCCGTGGACGAGGAGATGGCGAAGAGGAGAGCGATGGCGATGCCAGGGGAAACGGTTAACGTAGATGGGGACGATGGGGAGGCTGACGGTGCCGCTACGAAGAAGAAGCGAAGTTTAGAAGAAGAAGAAGAAGAAGAAGAGGGAGAGAAGAATTCGAAGAAAAAGAAGAAGAAAACGGAAGATAAAGAGGAGGACGTGGAGATTGCCGAAGCGAACGCGTTGCGTTTAAAGCTTGGTTTGAAACCGTTGAGAGGTTGAGTTTTTCTCGTGGACGTAAAAAAAATATAGAAATAGAAGAAGCGCGATGATGAAATAGAGCGTGAACGCGGTATTTACCTTGTCTGTGTGATTTTTAATAATAGTATACTAATAACAAATTAATTTATATATTTATGTCCAATAGGCTCAAAGACAATACGCGTTTTGAAACGCGAGAAGCATCGAAGAAAGAAGCGCGAGTGTTTTATTGCATAAAAGCGCGCTCTCTCCTTCTCGAAAGCTCTCCCTCGCGTTTACTTCGCCATCATCATCTTCACAAACTCTTCGTAGTTCACTTCACCATCGCCATCGACATCCGCTTCTCGAATCATCTCGTCGACTTCTTCATCCGTCAACTTCTCGCCCAAGTTCGTCATGACGTGTCTCAATTCCGCCGCGCTGATTGTCCCGTTCCCGTCTTTATCGAACACTTTAAACGCTTCGTGCAATTCTTCTTCGCTGTCGGTGTCTTTCATCTTACGCGCCATCAAGTTGAGAAATTCTGGGAAATCGATGGTGCCGTTGCCATCCGCGTCGACTTCGTTGATCATATCTTGAAGCTCCGCCTCCGTCGGGTTTTGGCCGAGAGATCGCATCACCGTGCCTGCGTTTCGTAAAAGCGCGAAATTCGTAAAGAGAATATTTTCAAGTCAGTCGGGAAAGAAGACCAAGGAGAGGCTTTGAGAGGAGATTTAAAATTCAATCCTCCCCCGGGCGTTTCTTTTCGTTCGCGCGGTCTTTTCGCCCTTCGAGAGAGGACGATCGTAAAGCGCCGCACTTTCGCGTCGTTTTTCTCGCTTCGATCGTTCTCGGAACGCGGGAAAAAGGAGAGAGCGCGAGATCAATTCAAAGAGATCTCAAAGCGGGGAGATCACTTCCAAAAAGGCAACCGGAAAAGCGCTTCTCTGTGTGCTCTCTCTTTCGTTTCCGTTCGTTTCCGTTCGCGCTAAAACGGACGACGAGAGAGAGGAGGAGGAAGAACTGCTTCGTTTTCGCGTCGGACGCGCTTTGCGCGACGAGAGAGGCGGCGCACAGCTTCCGTCGTCGTCGTCGTCATCAGAAACAATGAGATTGTTGACCGCCTTTTTCCAGAAGAATCGAGCGCGAAAGAAGGGAAAATCGACCAAAAATTAAAACGTACCGAGCTCTTTCGTGGTGATGGTCCCGTCGCCGTCTTTATCGAACAAAGCGAACGCTTCTTTGAATTCGGTGATTTGCTCGTCCGTGAGTTCAGCCGCCATGATGTTTTTGTTGCTGTTGTTTTTTTGTGTCGTGTGTGTGCTTTACGCGTGCGCAACAAAAAGAGTGAAGAGCTGGTTTTAAAATTCGATCGTTTCAAACTGGAAACTCTCCTCTCACAAAAGGAGACGGGGGTCGGGAAAAGAATAAAAAAGCGTTCGTTCTGGTGCATTGAAAAATATCAACAGTCGACAGGAAAGCTTTCACCTCTCTCTCTTTAATAGTGCGCGAGCGCGTATGTTTCTTAAAATAAGTATTACAACTGTTTGTAAATTATGTCTCTCTCTCTGACACACTCGAGGGCGTGTTTCTTTCGACGAACATCCATTCTCGCTCTCTTTATACTTCGCCATTCACCACGAGCGTCATCATCGTCATCATCATCCGACAAATAAAAGTCTTCTCTTTCTCTTTCTGGTTACGTCGCGAGCGAGGCGGCGAGGCCTTCTCGGTATCGATCGCCTTTGCTTAAAACGACGGGAGGGATATCTTCGAACGCGAAACTCGCCTCGTTCTCTTCTTCATCGTCGTTGACGATGTGTTCTTGTTTTGCGTCGACGAACGCTTCGCTTTGTAAGATGAGAACGTTGTAGAAGCACCGAGCGGCGGCTTGACGCGTCAAGGCGTTCGATTCGCAAAGCTCGGTCAAGTCGATGGAGGCGCTCGCTTTTTCTTTTTCTTTACCTTCCGTCGAAGCGGCATCAAACGCCGCTTCGCTGGTGTTTGTATCGTCTTGGTTCCACACCGTGTTCGCGGAAAGGAAGACGAGCAAGTTCTTCGCGGCGCGTGGGATGCGTTCATGGCGGTGGCGACCGGAGCAATCCAAGTAGCCTGCCGGTTCTTCTTCCGTCTCTTTCAGAGGCTGACTTTTGTCGAGCGGTTCGTTGGATTTTTGCGAAAAAGTACGGACGAGCATTTCACGATCCTCGTGAATGGTGTCCTCGTGCAAGTTTCCGTGCGATTGTCCGTGCTCGTCCACGAACTCGAGTTCTTTTCCTTCCAACGCGTCCGCTAAGGAGGAGGGCGTGCGAACGACGCTTCCGCCTCGCGTGCTTCGTAAAGATGCCGAAACGCCACCTCCAGAAGAAGGAGTGCGAACGAGTGCCGCGCGTTTCTCTGCTCTTTTACTGGCGTCAAATTTGAGGAAGTGCTCCTCTTCTTCTTCGTCCCAAGCTGGTGGGACGTTGTATCCGTTGTCTTCGTCTTCCGTGGTGTACTCGCCGTCTGGACGTTTAACTTCCGGCGGTGGAACCAACGTGGCGTCGCCAGGAATGGGCGCAAAGTTTACTTTCGATTTGTAATTCGGATACAACATCGCTTCAAACTTCTTCCATCGATCTCCTTTTCGGAAGAACGATTCGCGTCCGGTTCGGAAAGCCGTCGCTCGGAAGTGCGCGGCCAACGCTTTCTCGTCGTTCATCAAATGTATGTCCTTTTCGTCTATTGGAATCTCTTTTCTCGGCCGGTCGCACACGATATCGTCGCAGTTCACTAGCCATTGTTTGTACTCGTCGTTCTCAATGCGCGTTTGGTGATCAAAGATAATCGCACGTTGGTTCGCGAGTCGCGCGACTTTCGGACGTTTTTGTCTCGGACGTACAGGCGCGTTCGCCGCGCGTAAATCAAGAAGTAAACGCTCTTCGCGCTGGTCTTGTTCTTTTTGCGATTGAAACGCGGGTTCAAGGAACGCCTTTTCTTCTTCAGAAGCGTCCATCGGCATCGCAACGAACCCTTGGTGATCCTCATCCTCGGAACCTTCGTCCGGAATCGGCGCCAAAATGTTCTGTTCGTCGTCTTCCTCTTCCATTCCAAACGCGCGTTGACGCTTGCGTTCTCTCGCTTCTTCGTCCCCGGAAAGGTCGTCGTCGTCCATCAGTCCACCGTAACCGAGGCGAAACATCATATCGTCGTCGTCCAAGTCAAGCTTTGCTCTTCTGCTCTTTTCGAGTTGTAAACGCTTGTCGGACTTGCGCTTGGAAGCCGCTTTGTCGTCGTCGCTGTCGCCAGCGTTTTTCGCCCATTGCAAAACCTCCTCATCTCGAAGATAAAACCGATTTTCGCCTCCAGATACGGCTTTAGAACCACTCGGTGCGGCATTGAACTCGCTCATGTTCGACATAGTATCGAGATTCTCATCGTTTCCTCGGCGCGGATCGTCTCTATCGAGGAGCATGTTCATGTCGTAGTCGAGCAAATCGTCGTCGTCCAAACCACTGTTCCCCATTTTACGCCTCTTCTTTGACTTCTTCGTGCCCTCTGCGTCGTCTTTCCCGTCTTCTTCGCCGTTCCCATCCGCGAGCAACTTGACGTCCTCGCGTTTTTGTTTCGATTGTCTCGATTGGATCTTCACCAAGCGTTGCACGACGTCTCGACAATCGTCGTGTAAAAACACAATCTTTCGATTGTATAACGTAACAACGCCTTTTAAAAGTACCGCGGCGAGACGTAAAGCCTACACAGAAAGAGTTGAAGTCATTCTCGAGCAATATGATATAGAAAAATAGTGAAAAGAAAGAGACAAAACTGTTGCCCGAGCGCGTGAGCGCGTGAGAGCGTTCTCGGCTTTGGCTCGTTTCCGGCTCAGAAGAAGCGAAAGTTCATCTTCCTATCGCGCGACGTGAACTACTACACTTGTCACATCGCTCGTTAGAATCATTAGAAGACAATGCGGTAAAAAATCATCATCGCCGTAAACAAAACGTTTCATGTTCATGGGAACCTCGCCGCGCGCTCGCGCGAAGAAACAAACACACGCGAGATCTCACATGTGCGAAAGAGAAGAAAAAAAGAACAACGTACCAAAGGACTGGGCGGTTTCATGATCGTCGCGCACGCTTCGCTGATGGACATCCCGCTCGCTTTCGCGCGCGTCAATCGTTTCGCTTTTTCCGGATGGTGCGCTAAAATCTATAAAGAGAGAGAGAAAGTTTCGTCGTCGTCAGCGCTCGCAAAACCACATGTCTTTTTAAATACGCGAAGAAGAAGAAGAAGAAGAATTCATTCGCGCGCGTGAATAAAACGCGTGGGAAACTCCCGACGCGAACGAAAATAGCATCTCGAAACAAAAGCATCATTACCCAAACGTTCCCGAGCGCGCCTTTCGGGGAGAGTAAGTCGATGGAGTAAAACATAATATAACAACAACAACAACAACGACAACTCTTTTCTCTTCGTTGGTTTTGCGCTTATTTCGTGTCGTCAGTTGTGAGGAAAAAATTTTTGAGAAAAAACACTTGTGAGTTTTCATCAAAACGGCAGAGAAAAAATGGCGACGACGACGAGCAATAACATCAAGAGCTTACACGAAAAGCTCCGCGTGGATTCCGGGAGCTTTCAGCAGTTGCAACAAGGTTTGTTCTTTTTATTCATCGCGTTCTTTCTCGGTAAAAACTGACTCTCTCTTTCTCTTTCTCTCTCACATCGCGCACGATGCGACGATGAAAAACAGAACTGCAAGCGAACATCGAAGCACGAAAAACGTTCACGCAACAAGCGACGGAAAACGAGATGGTGTTGGAAGAGTTGAAATCTTTAGAAGAAGGCGCGAACGTGTATAAACTGATCGGGCCGATGTTAGCGAAACAAGACGTGGTCGAGGCGACGAGTAACGTGACCAAGCGATTGGAGTTCATAAACGCGGAGAGGTTGGTGAAACGTTTTGTTGACTTTTCTCGTTCTCGTTCTTTTTGTTTCTCGTCAAAGCCTTTATTCGTTTTTGATGAATACGCGTCGAACGTTTACTGATTGCACGTTTTCTCTCCTATATTATTCGCACGCAGAACGCGATTGGAAAAAGCTGCGGAGGCTATCGAGAAGAAGTTCGATCAGACACAAAGGGATATTCAGATTTTGCAGCAGCGAATAGCGCAGTTGTCCACGGGCGCCGCCGCGGGAGGAGGCGGCGCGATGTTGGACACGGCGTAACTTAGCAGAGAAGAGTTTTAGAAGCATGTATTACTTCCGTTATATATCAATTAAGGATTAGCAGCAAATGATTGATTTCACATCTATTTCTACAGCGCTACGCATCTATGTGACTATTTATGTGATCTATTTTTACTTCATCGCGGACCGCGATGTTGCGTCCCCGAACGCATGTTTCGAAACGAGTCTCTCGAGCGCATGGCGCGTTCGCTCAAAACACGTTTCGGTGGCACCATTGCCGGATTCGGCCAGACGCACGATTGCGCTTCTTCTGCCGCTCCTCGCAAGTGGTCGACTTTTGAGCGCAAAAGCTTCTTTTTTTGCGTCTCGGCGATGTAACTTTCGACGTTGTCCTTCTTGAACGCTTCAAACGCGTCCAAGTTGGCGCCACGAACTCTCTTCACGAAGACTTCATCCTTTTCGGCTAAAAGCTTCATTGGAAAGGGGTCTGGCGCGGCGTTGTATTCTTCCATGAATCGGTGTCTTGGCTTAATGCGCGTATCGAGCGCCAAGGACCAATACGCCGGAAACGAAATTGCCGTTTGTTTCGTGCCGCCAAGCTCGTCAATTAAGTACTCGTACTTTGGTCGCAAGTTATCTTCCAAAGACAACGAGAAGAACGTGTTCAAGCGACTAATCGTTTTCGCTACTTCTTCGTCGTTCATTTTACAATCTTTCGCGAGAAAATTTACGTGCTCTTTAATCCCATCGAAGGAATATTGCAACGTTTGCGGGTGGCGAAGAATCAACTTGGCGACGTTTTCGTGCGATATCCCCAAATCCTTCAAGAATTCCACTCTCGGTGCGATTTGATCCTCCACCGAGAACGTCAACACCGCCGGGTTTCTCGTGATGACTTTCGCCAAATCTTCGGACGCGATCCCTAACTCGTGCCTGAAATAATCCACTCTCGGTTTCAGAGAGTTTTGCACGGATAAGTGTAAAATCGAAGGCTGCTTGGAAAGCACCGATGCCAACTCCTGCGTATCCAAACCCAAATGCGTTAAATATCTGCACCTCGGGATTGAATGCCTATTTCTTTGCAACAAAATCTGCGGGTCTTTGCTCACAATCTTCACTAAACTCGTCCCTTCTAAACCTAATTCTGACTTCAAGTATTCCACGCGAGAGATAATCTTCGAGACTGGTTTCGAGAACAGTTGTTCTTCGCTTTGTAACATCAACTTTTCCAAATCCTTTTCTTTAAACCCAAGGGAAACCATATACGTCAACATCGGCCGATGTTTCTGTTCCAACGACAAGTTCCTCCGCAACTTCTCGAACGCTTTATCCGGCATCTGTTCGTACTCTTGGTACTCCATGGAGTAATAGTCCACGAACGCTTGGTACTCTGATTTTTTCGTCTGACTTTGCATCTGAGCGCTCGATTTCTTCGACGACGACGAACTCGTCGTCGCCGCTATTCCTCTTATCACCTCCTCCTCCTTCATCGCCAAAGAAACCTTCCCCCCAAGACCGCTACTTAAAAATTTCTTCTTCGCTTTCGTCTTTTTCGATTTTGGCGCCATCGGCGCAAACAAATTCGCCAAGTCTTCCTCCGCGTTCTGCTCTATAATCTGCGCAACCGGTAAACTTCTCCTCGACGCGTTTGCATCCGTCGACATCTCTTCCACGTTTTTCATCGCACTTTGACTCTCGCGAACCTTCGCGACCGTTCCTTCTCCTTCATTTTTGTTCGTCGTTTTTCTGCTTAATTTCACCGCCGTCGTCATCCTCGTCGCTCCCCTCAATTGCGGCTTCGAGGACGAAGTCTCCTTCGACTCGAAACTCTTCGGTGGTTCCGATATCGCGCATTTCAACGTCATCGAGGAAGAAAACATATTTTCAACCGTTCAAATGTAACTCTGTTTGGATGAAAGTACGTTCGCGTCGTCGTCGTAAAGTCGGCGCTCTCGAGAGATGTGTGAGAGATTTTTGCGCTTCTTTGAAATGACGTGTGAGTCACTTTTTTCTCTCGTTTTCCTCAAAATTTTAGGGGGCAGAGAGAATTCGTCAAAGCGCCTAAAGAGGGAAACAACTCTTCTCTCTGTTCCTTGAGAGAGAGAGAGAGAGGGATAGAAGTGAAGAAGGAAAGAAAGAGAGAGAGAAGGGCAAAACAACAGAACTCGAGAACAGAGAGAGAGAGTGCTCTCCGCGAGAGAGAGAGAGAGAGAGAGAGAGAAGGAGAGAGAGAATTTTTATTTCTCAAAGCCGCCGAAGAATCGATTGGAGCAGACCTCTTCTTTCAGGTTTTTACATTCTCAGTCAACAACATCAACGCTCCGCTTGAAAACAAAAACAAACGATGATGACGACGACGACGACGATGCCGACATCATCATCGACCACCGAAGCGTTTTTCTCGAGAAGATCTAGAGCTGCGTGTGTGCTTCGCGGCGGGACGAAGAGGAGGACACCTTTTTTATCGTCAGCAGCCGACAAAAACGGGGAAAACGGGAACCCCGGGGATCGTCGTCGTCATCCGAAAGAACAGTGGCGAGTGTCTCCGACGCCACCGGGTGGCGGGAAAAAGAACGCCTCTTCGAGTTTACGCGCGATTCACGACGCCGTGAACGAGGTGAAAAACGCGAAAGATTTGAGACAGAGTTTACACGAGCTGAGTAAACACACGAAAGGACCTACCACGTCGACGACGGCGCTTCCACCGAAGGATATCAAGACGCAGGAAAGGCGAAGAAAGCAAGAGAGGAGGGCGGTTTTGGAACACATGATCGAAAAAGTGGATTCGAAAACGCACGCTCGAGATATCGAGGAGGAGGATGCGGACGGTCCTTCTTCGTCGTCGTCTTTGACGACGCATACGAAACACCAAATCATTTATCAAGGCGTGGACGGCGGTTTCGTCGTCGGGAGCGAGAAGCCGAGAAAGCACACCGAAGCGTGCGCGTGCCCGAACTGCAACTTCTTACGAAAGCGCATATTGGAAGATAGAGGTAGAGACGAGGTAGAAATTCGAGTGTTAGAGGATGATAGAGTGTTGGAGATGGTCGGGGACGACCCGGAGGCGGTTTTAAGACCGGAAACGACCATGGCGAACGAGTTGAGACGACGCGAGAGGATTTCGATGGCGAACAGAGGCAACGTGCCTTGGAATAAAGGACGTAAACATTCGCAGGAGACGATCGAAAAGATTCGACAGAAGACAATGGAAAGGATGAAAACACCAGAAGTTCGAGCGAAGATACGAGAGGCGGCTTTGTTGAACGCTGGGAAGTTGTCTCCGCACACGAAGGCGCGCATATCGCTTTCCGTGAGAGACGCGATGAAGAAGAAAAAAATTGAGAAAATCAGCGACGAGGAAAATCGTTTGGTACCGAAAGAGAGTAAAATTGGTTTAGCATCGTACGGTGCGTTCGGGAGAAGAGCGTCGGCGGTTGGACGCGTGTATTTTGGAATTACGAGCGAATATGAACGCCTCGCCGTGGAAAATAGAAAGAAGAGGGAGGAACAAGAGAGGCGCAAAGAAGAGAGGAAAAGAGAGACGCAACAACGACAGATGGATGCAAAGGCGAAGAAAGAGGCGGAGAAACGTTTGCGAATTCAACGTGGGTTAGCCTTGCCGACGAAAAAAAGAACGCGCGCGCATAACGAGAAAATTTCTGCGGCGATTAAAGCCAAGTGGAAAGACCCGGAGTATGCGAACAAGTTAAAATCTGTGGCGCACGGCGGCTCGCGAAAACCAACAGTTTACGCTTCATCATCTTCTTCTTCATCATCTTCCGGTGATGGAAAAAGAGAGAAAAAGGAGAAAAAGAAATACAGTAAATACGATCCTGAACGTCGGACTCCAGACGCGACTCCTGCTTCTCAAGAGAAACAACAGTACAGGCGGATGAAGAGAATGGCGGAGATGCAAGCGCAGATTCGCGAACTCGAAGCCAAAAAAGCGCAAACGGAATCGTTGTTGGGCCAAATGAAAATCGCCAACGACGCCGCAAAAGTTGCCGTTTTCAGCTTTGAACAAAAACTCGCGAACGGTGCTTCGATCACGGACGACGATTTTGATAACGACGCGTACGAAAAAGCCAGCTTAGCAAAGGCTAAAACGGAAGAAATGATTGCCGGTTTGTGCGTTTCCATCGAGTCCATGGAGTTGGACATCCAAGACGTCAGTCGAGAAGAGACGAAATGGGCGAGACGATACAACAAAGTGCTCATGGAACAAAAAGAAGAGGAAGCGGCTCGCACTGCCAACGAGAAGAAGATGAAAGCGTATTTGCTCCGCGAGAGAAAGAAGAAAACCGAGGAGGAGTTGAGACAGGAAGAAGAGGATCGGCAAAAAAGAGCGGCGACGGCGGCAAAGTTGAAAGAAGCGCTCATGAAAAACAAAAGCGTCGTGAGCAGCAGGAAGGAGAAAGACGAAGAAGTAGAAGACGAGGATGATAATGGCGACGACAATAGAACCCCAGCTAGAGCTAGATAATAATGCGTATTGTGATCCTATTTTCATATAAATAAGCGATACGCGCGTGCGCCAGAGAACAAACACACATTGAACACCCTCTTCACAAAGAAGGAAAATAAAATGCAGCCCCTCCCCTCCCCTCCAATACAGGACGACCTTCGAAAGCACTCGAAATTTTGGTGAAAAATTCTTGAGCCTTCACGTTTTGCCATTTGAAAAACGCGACGCCACACGAGCGACCAACGATCAGGCCTCAAACAAAAAAAAGAATTTTCGTAACTCTTCACAACGAAAGAAGAAGAAGAACACGTTAAAAAGAACGACGCCGCGAGGAGAGACACCCCCTCGGCTGATAAGTCTAGGACAACTCTTACTCTCTCTCCTTCTCGAGTTGCGAGAGTCAAGCGTGGTGGTGTCTTGTGTGTAATTTTTCGAGCACCAACGGAGAAAAGTTCGAAAAAAAAAGAATTGAAAGATAGATTTCTTTCCGGTCTTCCGTCTCGTCATCTCGGCGACCGAAAGAAGAAGAGTTTCTTTGCATCCTCATCGGAAGAAGGCGAGATATGGCTGGGTACGTTTTATATTTTCTTTCGAGGAAGAAAGAGTTGATCTCTCGATGTGTTGTTGCGAGAAGATCTGCGCGATCGATCTTCTTCTTTGCTTTGCAAACGCGCCGCGCGTTTCGTACGTTTCGTTCGACGGTCGGGGTGAGATTGAGATTGGAAAATTACAAAAACCCCCTTGAAAGTTGAAAAACGCACACATGCGGCTGCCTCCAATGCGAGAGTCTTTTCCGCGGACGACTCTGAAGAAACACTTTGGACTGACCCTTTTAACTTCTTCTTCTTCGTACACAAACAGACAACCGCAAACGTTAACGAATAACCCGCCCCCGGGTGCGGGGATAGGAACGAACGGCGGGGCGCAAGTGGACGACGCCGCGAGAAAACAAGACGCTTTGAGTTATTTGCGACACTTGAAAGATCGCCTGAAAGATAGGAAACAAACGTACGACGAGTTTTTGGAAATCATGAAGGAGTTCAAAGCGCAGAGGTGAGTTTTTTTTTTGCAACAAAGTTTGGGCTGCTTTTTGGTTTTGGTCTTGGGTTACGAGAGAAGAATTTTTTCAAAACGTTTTTGAACGCGCTCGCCGCGAAGAAGGAGAGGATGTAAACCTCGCCAATCTCTTCTCGCTTTCTATTCGTTGCTTGATAGTTGTGTGTGTTTGTGCTGACGCGTCGTGATGACACTTTTTCCTTTTGTCTTTTTTAATATACGAACTGAACAGGATTGATACGGAAGGGGTGATCAAACGCGTGAAGAAAATTTTCAAAGGCCATCGGGATTTGATTTTAGGCTTCAATCAGTTTTTACCTCGAGGGCACGAAATTCGCGTGGAAGATATCGAGAGAGAAGAACGGGAAGAGGCAAAGCGACAAGCGCAAGGGCAAAAGCCGCAAGTGGAGTTTGTCCACGCGATTTCGTACGTGAACAAAATCAAAACTCGTTTCGCGAGCGACGAGAGAGTGTACAAGACGTTTTTGGAGATTTTGAACATGTATAGGAAGAATTTGAAATCAATTTCACAGGTGTACGAGGAAGTCGCGCAATTGTTCAAGTCACACAACGATTTGTTGGAGCAATTTACGTACTTTTTGCCGGATTCGACGCAACAGGCTGGGCAAGGCGCCACCGGAAGAGGGAAAGGCGGGCGAGGCGCTGGCGCGAAGGCGGCTCGGGCGCAACAAGTTCCGGGGCAAAATAGAAGGAAGCAGAAAGGTGGCATGGTAATTGACCAGGCGCAGCAAGATGAGATCACGGAGGAGAAGAGAGCGGCGTTGCAGTTAGCTAAGGAGCTTTCGTATTTTGATAAAGTCAAAGCGAGGTTACGTTCGAAAGACCAATACGCGGATTTTTGCAAGTTGATTACTCTATTCAACGCGGATTTAATTTCCAAGATGGAACTTCAAGGTTTGGTGATGGACATTATTGGGAGATTTCCTGAATTGGTGACCGGATGGAACGAGTTTGTCGCGAGATGCGAATCGATGGACTTTGAAGCCGCCGAGGCGCCGGCGGCGAAGAAAGCAGCCGGGATGAAACTCACGACGCGGGAAGTCACAAAGATGAAAGCGTCCGCTGCGAGAGAAAAGTTCTTATCCAAACCAATCTCTGAGTTGGATTTATCGACGTGCGAACGATGTGGTCCGTCCTACCGTTTGTTGCCGAAGAACTTTCCGAAAATGCACGCGAGCACCCGAACGCCTTTGTGCAAAGAAGTATTGAACGACAATTGGGTCGCGGTGACCTCTGGGTCCGAAGATTACTCGTTTAAAGCCATGAGAAAGAACCAGTACGAAGAAGCGTTGTTTCGATGTGAAGACGATCGCATGGAAATCGACATGGTGCTCGAAACGAACAAGTCTGCGATTGAGGCTTTAGAGAAGGTGCACAAGGAAATCGCCGAGATGTACACGGAAGAGGCGAAAGTCGTTCCAGAGCCCGCGGCCGCGCCGGTGAAGAAAGAAGAAGAAGCTTCTGCCGCTGCTGCTAAACAGACCGATGGCGCCGCGACTACTGGAGGTGAAGCGTCTGCTCCAGTTGAACCCGCGGAAGGTGCAGCTAAGGAAGACAAGAAAGATAGTATGGAAGTTGACGCCGCCAAACCGGCGGAAGCCGCTGCCGTGGAAAAGCCGGCTGCCGCACCGGTGAAAAAGTCGAAAGAAGAAGTTCACGGCGAGAGATTAGCACACTTTCTTCCGGAAGGTACGGTTTCTACAATCGTTTTACGTGCCGTTGAACGAATCTACGGCGACCGCGGACGCGAGATGCGATTCTTGACGATGAACGCGCCGTGGGCTACTATCCCGGTAGTCTTGAGACGTTTGAAACAAAAATCCGAGGAGTGGCAAATCTTGAAAACAGAAATGCTTCCGACTTGGAACGATGTCTGCGCGAAGAACTACAACAAATCTCTCGACCATCGATCCTTTTACTTCAAGCAAGCCGATAAGAAGAACTTATCCGGCAAAGGTATGACGCAAGAGATCAAGGAAGTTTCGGACAAGAAGAAAACGGCAGACGACGCCATTGGTGCGAGAGCCTCGAAATCGCCCGGTGAATCCCCAGATTTGAACTTTGAATACGCCGAGCGCAATGTCCACGATGACGTCTACGCCGTCACGCGCTTTTCCGCTCGCGAAATGATGTCGGGGGAACCGGCTAATAAAGTCATGACGTTCTATAGAGACTTTCTGGAACCGTTCTTTAAAATCAAGCGCGATAACGAGGATGATTTTAAAGATATGACGGCTGAAAACTGCGCGAAAGCCGTCAAAACTGCAGAAGCGAACGCTTCTCCGAATGGAAAAAAGAAAGGTAAGAAAGGCGCGAGCAAAGATTCGAAGAAGAAATCATCGGAAGACGATGACGCAGACGAAGACAAAGACGAGGAAATGGAGAAAGAACCGGATCAAGAAACCGTGGACGAAGGTGACGAGGAAGAGGAAGAAGATCCAGAAGACGAAGGCGTCGCGAGCGTCAAGAAACGTGCCGCTACGCCGAAAGCTTCGAACAAGGAAACGACCGCCGCGGAGGCTTTGGAGAAGGCTCTCGGCTTAACCGGCAACGACGACGACGACGACGACAAGACGAAGGATTCCAGCGAAAGCGACGGCGACGAGAACGATTCTTCCGATTCCGAAGACGGCCAAGACGCGAGGTACAAATCGTGCAGGCCGGTATCCGGGTTCGTTGTCGACGGTAGCTCAAACTCGAAAACTCGATACGTTGATTTGCCCGGTAAAGTCTTTTACGGCGACGAAGGTTTCTATCATCTCATGCGCTTGCATCAGCACTTGTACGATCGTCTTCAAACGGCCCGTGCTTCGGCGACGGCCATGGCAAAGAAAACGAAAGGGAAGAAAGCCGAAGACGTCCACAAAGAGTTCTTGACTCTTTTGTTTAACTTATTGAACGGATCGACGGACCAGTCGCAGTTTGAGGACGATTGTCGTTTGCTCTTAGGCGCGAACTCGTACTTACTCTTTACGCTGGATAAACTCATCTACAAGTTAATCAAACAAGTTCAAGCTTTGTTAGCGGAAGACATCGACGCGAAGCTTTTACACCTCGCGGAGTACGAAGCCACGCGCGACGCGCCGTTCCACGAGGGAGTATACCACGCCAACGCGTGCGTTTTGCTCGGTGACGAATGTGCGTATAGGATTGGCAGCGAAAACAACGGCAAGACGCTCCAAATTCAACTCTGCGAACCGTCTTTAGATAAGATTGACGTTAAAGCGGGAGCGATGGATGGTCATTTTGCGACGCACTTAGAAGGATTCTTGCACGTTGCCGCGCACGAGGACATGACGCTCGTGGAAACTGGCGAGAAAGAGACGGACGAAAAAGAGCGAGCGCCAGTGTTTTTGCGCCGCGCGAAAAAAGGGGCCGGTTTCGTCGTCCACTCTGCCGCAGGCGAAGCGGATTCGCAGCTCAGTTACCAAAGCGCGATGACCAACGCGAGCATTCAAAACGCGTTGGAGTGTAAAATCTCCTGCTCAACGTCCAAAGTGTCTTACGTTTTGGATACCGAAGACGTTTTCTTCCGTTCTCGCGTCCCACCTGGCGGCTATTCGGCGAAATCCTCCGCGCCGCCGGCTAAGAAAGCGAAGAAAGGCAACAGCAAAGACAAAGCCGTCGCAGTCCCTCAACCCGCGGCAAAACCGCTCTCGCGCAAAGAGAAACGCAAAGCGAAGAGCGCGAAATCCAAAGCTCAAATCGAGAAATTCCGAGCGTGGATCGAGAAGAAAACTGCCGAAGCGACCGACGACGAGGAAGAGGACAAGAAAGACGTCAAAGACGAAGAGAAGAAAGAGATGGCGGAAGAGAAGGACGGCGGCGACGAAGCGGAACCCATGGACGCGGCGTAAACGGTAACAATACTAATACTAATAATAACAATAACATGAATAATAATAATAACAACAACAACAACAACACACTAAGCAATAATAGTATAGAGAGAGAAAGAGAAGTCAGGAGGAAGAGAAGAGAGAGAGAAAGCTTTAATAAAATCGTTTTTTATAATACAGAGTACTTAAAACACCATCATCGTTTCACGACAGTTTCCCTCACATCTTTCTTTCTGTTTCTGTTCCAACAGATTCTCTCCAACGCGCGCATGTCACTTTGTCGATCAACGACATCTTTATCTCAATTCACCAGTCGAGGAGGACTCAGGCGACCACCAGCGCGGTCGACATCATCGAGAAGAACTGTTCGTACACATATCGAAATGGCTTCCAACGCGAACGCAGGAGGAGGAACAGAAAACGCGTACGTTTTGTTAACCTTAGAGTACGTTCCAAACATGCTGGAAAAGCGAGGTCCGTACCGAGAGGAGCACATAAACGGGGCGAAGAAAGCGTTCGAGGAAGGGACGTGCGCGATGGCGGGCGCGTTGACCGACCCGGTGGATACCGGCGTGTTTGTGTTCAAAAACGTGGATAAAGACTACGTGGAAAACTTCGTGAGAAACGACGCGTATTATAAAGCGGGGTTGGTGCCGACATATACGATTCGACCGTGGATGGTTGTGGTAGGGAATTAGAGCGTCTTTCGTTTGAGTGTTATGTGTTATACATGAATCGATGTTGAGTACTGTGTGTAAACGTCTCCTTCTCGATGCTACGCCGCGGCGACTCTCGTCGTTCCGGGAGTTCTCGCCGATGCACTTCTCCCGAGGACGACTCCACTTGCGGTTGTTTTCTCGCGGAGAAACAACGCTGATTTTAATTCTGCGTTCTCCGCGGCAACCACCTCGAACTGTTGTATCGCTCTTTCCAAGTTCTTTTCCGCCACCTCTCGTTTCTCTTCGCACGTTTTAATCGATTTTTCGAGGAAATCGAGGCGTTGGACTTTCCTCTCGGCGCGAATTCGCTTCTTCTCCTCGCATTCCGCCTTTGCCTCGGCGAGCTTTGCGGGCGTTTCGGAAGCCTCGGCTTTCGCTTTTGCTCGCTTTGCCTCCGTTTCCGCGTGGTACACCCTCCTCTCCAACTCTGCGATTCTCGCGGATAACTCCACCGTCTTCGCCTCGGCGGATTCCTTCAACCCTCGATAATACAGTTCTGTCTTCTTCATGTGCTCTTCGCTTTCCTTCTCTAAAATGTCAAGCTGTTTCTCTTTGCTCTTCGTCAATCGCTCCACTGTCTCCGCTAAAGTCTGCTCTGCTTTTTCGAAGTGCATCCTCTCCCTCCTCGCGGCGACCTCGCGTTCCTTTTCCCTCTTCTCCTCAAACTCCACGCGCAACTTCGTAATCTCTTTCATCCGCTCAATCTCGCTTTTCCTCACCATTTCTTGACATTTCACCTCCCTCTCCGCAATCTTCCTCTCTTCTTTGCGTATTTTCTCTCTCATCTCCTCCACTCTCTTCTCGAACGTGCTCTTCGCCTCCCTGATCGCCTCGGTACTCTCCGCGCGCGAAAGGTCAACCTTCCCTTCGTTTTCTTTCTGCTCGTGTTTAATCTGTTGCACCTTCGCTCGCACTCGAACGTCCGCTTCATCTTCCACGTCATCGATGCGTCTCTCGTACTCTCGCGCGATCGATTCGCTTCGCTCCAAAGCTCGTTTAGAAATCTCCCAAAACGCGTTTATTTTGTCTCGTTCCAACTGCGCGTGGTTTCGATACGCCGCTTCTTTCGCGAGTTCGGTTTCCAATCTTACGATTTTCGTTTGCAGTTCGGAAAGGACGAACGACGACGAAGAGGAATGCTCTCCTCCCGTCTTTGCCGAATTCGAAGAAGAGGAAGACGACGAAGCGCGCTCTTTCTTTCCTCCTTTCGTCTTCTTGGCGGTGGTTTCGGAACTCTTTTTCTTCTTCCCGGTGTTGTTGTTGTTCGATGACGACGACGATGTGGCGGCGGGCATGTCGTGTCGCGAAAGGCGCTCGAATAATCGGCAATCGATCGATTGGGTTTAGTACTCGTGAGCGGCGTATCGAATGCGCGCGTGTGGGTATCGATTCCTCTCTTTTCAAAGAGTATTTATGTTGGGGAGCGTGCGTCTATTTTTGGATCCTCGCAAAAGGTCAACGTAAAAAAAAATCTTTCTCCTCTTGCGCGGCGGGTTAGTAGTAAGTACTTTTTTGGTATGATATTTCATCACGCGGCATCTTTCACGTCTAATAACTCGACCTCGACGATAATCTCGCTCCCGGGAGGAATCTCGCCTTCGCCTTGGTCGGCGTAGCCTAAATCCGCCGGCGTTTTGATAATTCTGCGACCGCCAACTTTCATACCTTCTAAAGCACCCGGAACGTACACCACCGGCGGTATCGCCGGTCCAGTCTCGCCATTAAATAACCCCCCACCGCCTTCGACGTTTGCGTTCGCGGTTTGTTTTTTAGGCACGATCATCGTCGCTTCTCTCGTTAACGTGTACTTTTCCACCGGCGAGTTCGGTCCCGCGCGCGAACCACCTTTTTGTACCGTCACGTCCACGGTAGTCTCCACTGGTCCCAACAACAACGCTCCAATTTCTTGAATTGGTAAGTTCGCCAAATCTTTCGTCCCATCAATCTCTAAAATCACGTCGTTCGCTTTAAATCCAGCCTTCGCCGCCGGCCCGTCCGGCGACACTTTCACCACATACAACTCCCCAAGTTCCGGATCAATCCTCACCTCTGCACCGATACCGTTTACCGTTTTCCTCTTCAAAGCCTTCGAGTACTCCGTCGGCAACTTCCCGTACGAGAACTGCATCGGTTCCGATACCGTCCTGTTCCCGCCTAGCGTTCTCGCCGTCCTCGTCGAGAGGACGGTCAAACCTCTCAATTTCACGTCAAAGTGAATGGTCGCCAAAGACCCGGACTTTATCTCTTTCCCGTCTCCCACTCTTGAATCTCCAAACTGAACGCCCGCATGTTCCTCGCCCCGAAACTGAAACGGTATGGACGTTTGTAAATTCAAATCGCTCAGCGACGCGCGTTTCGGCTTCAACTCTTTCTGAAAGCCAATCGCAAAGGCTGAGGGAGGGAAAGTGAACAAAGACGTCGTCGACGAGAGCACGAAGGCCAAAGCTGAGGACGATACAACGGACGCTTCAAAAAAAGCTCGCCTCGACGTCTTGTTGTTCAAACTGTGTTCTTCTTTGTCTTCTTCTTCTTCTTCTTCTTCCGTGGCGGTCGCGTTCGTGTCGACAGAAGAAAGAGTTTTGATGTCGTCGTCGGGGAAACTTCTTCGTCGCGTGCGTGTCCTAACGCTGCTCCTTCGTCGCGCAACGGCGGCGGTCGAAGGCGTGCAACCGACCATCGCTAAAGTCGTCATCATTCTCGTAACGGTAGAGTAGCGAAAGTCTGATTCTAAAATGCCTCAAAGTAGTAGTGCGTCGCTGTAGTATGTCGAGAGAGAGATTTGTGAAGCGCAGTTTTCGTTATCCAAAGAGTGAAAGATATTCCGTTACGGATGAAAAATTTTGCGCGGTGGTGCGTATACTTTAGTATTATTAATATTGTATCATTACGTCGTCGACGTGTGTTCCGTGATGATGACTGCGACGATGATCGCACGTTATATCGTGACGATGATTAAAAATCATCGACTCCGCTCGCGCGCTTGAAGGCGACGACGACGCTGGCGGCGACGAGGTTGGCGCAGACGCCGTATAAAATCGCGCTCGTTTTCGCGAACGGTTCTTCTAACGTTTTATCTTCCAAATTCAGTCGCTGCGCTCGGTTTTTAACCTCGCCCGGTTTGAACTGGATGGAGGAGAATAACGGGCACAGACCGTAGTAGGCGAGCAAGATGCCGGAGAGGAAACCGCCGAGATGATCCCAGTTGTTCACGACGTGGGTGGCGCCGTCGGAGGCGGTTTCGGAGGCTATGTAACAGAGCGCGATGGAGGAAGCGCCGATTCGAAACAGACGCGTCGTAAAGCCGCGTTGGTTCCATCCGGATTCGAGGTTGAGGACCGTGTACGTTAATATCGCGCCGTAGAGTGCGAAAACGGCACCAGAACTTCCCGCGATTAATTTCGAGCTGTCGTCGAAGGCTAAAGTCGTGATGGCGCCTCCCGTGGCGCCGAGAAAGTACACCGCTAAAAACGAAGTCGTCCCGAGCAACGTTTCGATTTCTCTCCCAATCAGCCACAGCGACACGTTCGTCGCCAAGACGTGCTCTAACCCAAAATCTGCCAAAGCAGCGGATGGTAACCGCCACCACTCGTTTTGCGTCTTCACCGCATCCGCGAACAACGCAAAATTACTAAAGAAAAACCCGCCCTCCATATTCGCTCCAGTTTTCACGGCGACGAAATCCGCCGCGAAAAAAAACAAGTGCAAAACAGCCAACCGTTCCGCCGCCGTCGGCTCTTCCGTCGGCACGTTGTATATGTTCGACAGAGGAGAAAAAAACGGACTCCAATACTTCGTCACGCCTTCCGCTCGTTGATACTTGGGTCGATTGAGCGGATTATTCGTAGTGCTTTTTTCTCCTTCTCCCGCTCGCGGGGGGCCGCGAAACCCTTTCTTAATCATCCGGAAAAGCACCGGAAGCTTCACATCATCTTCGCCTCCTTCTCCTTCCGCACTGCTTGAGGTTTTTCTTCCCGTCGTCGCATCTTCATCTTTCGCTTCTACAACTGTCGCTTTTGCCTCTTCTTTCTCCTCTTCTTTCGCTTCGGTGATTATTCCGAGCTGCTCTAAGCTCGACAACGCGTCTTCCGACGACGACTTCGATGCAAACGCGTCCTCCTTTTCCTCCTCGTCTCCTTTTTTCGCGGCGGCTTTGAGTCCTCCTTTTCCTTTTCGCAGAGGTGGTCTCATCAGAGTTCTTGAACGAGAATTCCGCAACGCCGTTGGTTTCCGTCGTCGTCTTCCCGTCGTAACGGTGTGCGATGGATTACAACGAATCATCATCGAAGAGAGACTTCTCTCTTTCTCTCTCTCTGAACAATTCGCGCGCGCTGTTGTTCGCGATACTCGCGTCTGCTCTGTATGTATATATATGTATACCTCTTCAAACTGCGCGCAAAAGAGAGACAACGCGTCAGCGCGCAAACGAACAAAAGTGACGAGAGACATTGGAAAATGCATCAGAACGACGACGCACTTCTCGCGCGCACTCCTTGAGCTTTTTCCGGGGCAAACGACGGGAAAAGATTCACGCGACGAGATCATCGACCTGATGATCATCTCGCCGGGGAAAGAGGACGACGACGCGCCTCCCTCTGCCGCTGCAACCGCGGACGACGACGACGCTCTTTCGCGCAAGCGACCGAGAGGAGAGGAGGAGGAGGAAAAGACGAAGAGGACGAGAGTTGATGAGTCGGTGGCGGCGGAGGAAGCGAAGGCGAAGTCTTTGAATGAAAACAACAAAAACAACGACGAGGACGACGACAACAATAACAACAACAGATCAGGCGGCACCGCGTTAATTCGAGGCCTTCCCTCGCGATGGGACGAGAGACGCTTTCGCCTCGCGTTGCACGAGATGCGCGTGACGGGACACACGAAAGTTAAAAAACGAACGGGGTGGACGCACGCGTTCGTGACGTTTAACTTTCCCAAGGAGAGAGATTATTGCCTGAAAAAGTTACAGGAACGAGCGAAGCAGCAAAGAGAGGAGGAGGAGGAGGAAAAGGAAAAGGAAGGAAAGAGCGATGCTGCTTCTGCTGGCGGAGCGATGATGAAAGGTGGCGCTTCGTCGAAAGGATGGAAGTTCGGGAAGAAAGTGACCATGAGCGAGGCGAGAGATAAAGGCGGTAAGAACAGCAGCAACAACGAGGAGAAGAAGGAGAAGAAGAAAACAGCAAAAACGGAGGCGCGAGACGCGGTGTGTCCGTTGTGGAACGTGAAGTATTCGGAACAGTTGAAAATGAAGAAGGCGAAGGTGAGGAAGGCGTTGGCGATGGTGACGGAACTCGTCGGGAAGGCGAACGAGAAGTTTAAGAGGAATAATACTAACAACAACGGGAAAGGAAGTGATGTTGAGGGAGAAGAGGAAACCGAACAGTGGTTGAAAGACGCCAGCGCGAGGAAGAATAAACGGTGTTGCGATTTAGTAGGCATCGTGCGTTCGCCGGTTCTCGAGGGATACAGAAACAAATCGGAGTTTACGATTGGAAATAATAACCAAGGTCAGCCGACGATTGGGTTTAACGTCGGTTTATTCAGAGAAGGAAACGTGGCGATTGGAGAACCCGTTGGATGTAGGAACATTTCAAAGGTGGCGATTTGCGTTCAAGAAGCCGCGCAAAAGTATCTCAGGGACGTCGCCGGTACAGAGGACGCGTTGCCGAGTTGGGATAAGCGAAACGGGAGTGGATTTTGGCGCTTGTTGATTGTTCGTGAAGGTGGATGCGCTCCGTCCATGTTAGGTGATAGTAATAGTAATAATGATAATGATAGTAATCAAAATTGCGCGGCTCCAGCGTGGCGCAAATGGCTTCGATTAGAAGAAGGCGAGAGGGACGAGGATGAAGAAGATGATAACGCTGAAGTGACTGTGAATGGCATCGACGACGCCGAAGACGCGTTATCGTTGGACGCTCCGACGCCAAAAGAAAACTCGGAAGTTATGGTCGTTGTACAAATTAATCCAGGTAAGGAATTCGAAGCGGCGAAAATGGAGAAAGCGCTGAAAGGTATTCGGGACGCCATGGAAACCGCGGCGAGCGCGTTCAAACCGGAATCGTTTTTTATCACCGTGCAATTACGTCAGCACAACGAACTCGTATCAAACATGGCTGCTGCGGATGCACACACGTCCGAGCTTGTTGTTGGTGACAGAAATACTGCGAACAACAAGCCGATGGTTATTTGTGAACACATGTGCGGATTGAAGTTTTCCTTATCGCACTCTGCGTTTTTCCAAGTGAACACCGCCGCCGCGGAATTGCTGTACGCCTTAGCCGGCGAGTGGGCATCGCCGAACGGAAATTCGTTATTGCTCGACGTGTGTTGTGGTACTGGTACGATCGGGTTAACCCTCGCCAATTCGGTTGGGAAGGTTGTCGGATTAGATATTGTCGAAGACGCCATTCGCGACGCGGAGAAAAACTCAAAATTAAACGACAGAACGAATTGCGAATGGATTGCGGGAAAAGCCGAGGATACTTTAGACGTCGTGCTGAAAAAGTACGGCGAGGACGTGAAAACAGTTGCCGGAAACACCAACGAGGAAGAGGGAAGCAAAGATGAACACGAAGAAGAACGACGACAACAACAACAAAAACGAGAGTTCCTCTACGACGACGTCGTGGCCATCGTCGACCCGCCTCGGTGCGGTTTACACAAAAAAGTTCTCAACGCGCTCCGCATGGAGACCAGACTCCGCAAAATAGTCTACGTCTCTTGTAACCCCGAGTCCATGGCGCAAAACTGCGTCGAACTCTGCGCGTTGAGGACGAAAAACATGGGCCCTCCCTTCCGCCCGCGAAAAGCCGCAGCCGTCGATCTGTTCCCGCATACCGCGCACTGCGAAGCCGTTTTGGTCTTAGAACGTTGAAAAATGTTTTTATAATCTCGCGAGCTGATGAAAATTATTCTAAATCTCTCTTCTACGTAACCTTCTCCTCCTCACATCTACTTACTTCTTTCGAAATATCGATCGACGACGACGTCTTTCTTCCCCGGCGCTCGCAATATGTTCCTCTCGCGCAAATACTTCCCGCTTTCGTCCGTCAACGAGCGTTCGGATATCGTCCACCATCCATCTCCTCGAGATATCAATCTGCACGCGAACTGGTTCGTCCCGTCCATTTTCACGTCTCCGGAGAGCATGTACTCTTTCCTCCCGCCTTTCGTCTTGCATCTCGTCTCTTCTTTCCCGATGCCTCTCAGACCAGTTTCCGTGACGTTTTCTTTCGTAAGAGGTGTTTTATCAACCACCCGTAACGTGTAATCGTCTGTGCACGAAATAGTCAAGGTTGTCGTCAACCGGTCCACGATGCCGCACACGAACGCGGGCGCGCCTAAACCAGATAACAACGGGCACAGCGAGTCCGTCGTTTTTTCATCTTCGTCAGAAACAGTCGTCGTCGAGGATGGAACGCGAGACACTTGCGTCCACGTGCCCGCGATGGATTGGTCGCACTTCTTCCCGTACAACACTCGAGCGAATTTCGCGATGATGAAAGAACTCTTCATCTGCTCGGAGGTTTTCTCGGTGAATTTCTCCACGAAATCCGACACGGTTGGAATCTTCCCTCCTTTTCCATCGTGAGTCGACATTTGCTCTCTTATTCCTTTTTTTGTGTGTGCATTTCTGCGCGCGTGTACCTTTCACGCATAAATGACGATAAATTCGTATCTCTAATAAACAACTCTCGAGAGTTTTTCCAATTCTCCATTCTCGCACAGCGAATAGAACACACAAAATGGCGACGCGAAAACTCTTCGACGCGACCGCTCGGTACTTGACCACGAATCACGACGATTCAGACGACGAAAGGAAGAAGATGATGAAATCGATGATGATGAAGCAACATCATACGCAACAACAACAATTACAAAGCAGAGCAAATTCAAAAATCAAATTGGAAATCAACAAACGGTTTCTCGTGTCGACGCTCGCGAACTGCGCGCACGCGAACAGATATCGCGATTCAAACAGCTTATATCGAGCGAAGGAAAAGGAAGACGCGGTGATGAAAACACCGACAACGCGTAAAGGTGGGAGGAAAAAGCAACAACAACAGATGAAGACGCCCGGGACGAAGAAGCGAACACGAAGCGAAGACCAAGAGGAGGAGGACAAAAAGAGAAGACGTGCGGGAGGAGGAGGAGCTTCGACGTCGTCGTCGTCTTCATCTTCGAGCGACGAAAACGACGACGAAAACGAAAACGAAAACGAAAACGACGACATCGAAGATAAAATACGAAAGCTCTTGCTCCTGAGCAAAACGAAAAGAGGGAGAGGTTTAATCGGCGCTCGGATGGACGACGTCGTCAAAGAAGACTGTATCGAGAACGAGAACGCTCGCGGTAGTACTCGTAAAAAGAGTAGCGCGAAGAAGAAGAAAGAGAAGCGCCGCAAAAAAGAGAAGAAGAGAGAGAAGAAAGAAAAGAAGGAGAAGCGCAAAGGGGAGAGAGGGAAACTGAGAGGCGTTAAAGAGAATAGTTCGTAGTTGTAGAGTGTAGTATAAAGTCGCGTATTTTTTTCGTTCGTACAAAGGTATCTTCACAAGGTGTTCCTCGTCTCGAGATGTTGTTAAATTATTCCCCTTCTCCTCCTCCTCGGGAACACCAACACCACGGAGAAAGACGAAGGAGAAGACAAAGGAAACCGAATGCGAGTGCGAATGACACTCCTCGAATGAATGCTCCTCCTGCTTTGCGTCGGTGTTTATGGTGTTCTCGTTGGACTTTGAGGAGGAGGAGGATAAAGACCGTTACGACTGCCTCGCTGCCGCCGCCAGTGACGAGGATGATGTCCAATACTATCAACACAAAGCGCGACTCCTCCGTCATCATCGCCGAGGCTTCCTCCTCTCCTTTCTCGTGCGCGATGACCACCGCCGAGGGGTCCTCCGAACCGGAGAATTGGAGGACGAACAGAAGGAGCGCGGACGACGAGACGGATGAGAAAGAAGGTGGTATCTCGGTTGTTTGGCAGACTTTAGGGAAACCAACGTTGATGAAAATAATCAGCTCGGTCTATATACTCGGGGTGCCTTCGTTGCTGAGCGTTTTGTGCGAACCGGCGATTGGATGCACGGAAAGCTTACTGGTTGGGAGAGTTGGCATGGTGTACTTAGCCGCCATCGCGCCGTCGTCGGTGATGTTTTGGTTGATCGAGGAGGTGTGTTTCGCGTTGAGCGTCGGGGTGACGACGGCGGTGAGCGAAGCGAGCGCGGCGAGGAGTTTGATTTCGTTAGATGAGCTGGACGAGGTAGGAGGAGAAAAAGAAGGAGAAAAAGAAAAGGAAATGAGTAAACGACGACAACAAGGGAATCAAGAGTTCGTGGTCACCGAAGAGACGAGAGAAATTGTGCAAGCGAGCGTGTTAGCCGCGTTTGGGTTAGGCATCGCGTTCGCGCTCGCGATGCAATTCATGTACGCGCCGGCGATGCGAATATTGGGCGTATCTGGTGACGCTTTGAGACTCGGGAGATTATACACGGCCATTCGATGTTTCGGGTTGCCTTTCTTCGCCGTCGGCGTGACCTTTGAGGGCGCGTACATGGGTGAACGAGACGGGATGACGCCATTATGCGCGTTTGGATTAGCCATGTTAGCGACGGTGGTTCTTCAAGTCGCGTTGATTCATCCCAGTTACGGAGGTTTGGCTTCTGTTATCGGTGCCGGTACCGCAATGAGTGTAGGACAACTCGTCGCGGCTGGATTTCTCTTGGTCAGCGCGAACAATCGAGGCTTCTTTAACATCTCCCAAACCGTTCGCCGAAGCTCCAAAGATTTACCGAAACTGCTGATGAAAGCGATTAACCTTCTCAACAAGTCCGACGTCACCGATTCCACCCTCTGGCTTTTCTGCGGTTCCGCCTCGCGAATGCTGGTCTATACTTTGTGCACCGCGCTGGCAACGCAAATAGGTGTCATCGCCGCTGCGAGTAACAAATACGCGCTCGATATATACTTCTTCGTCTGTTACCTCATCGAACCGTTGTTCACGCTCGGCACCGTCCTCCTACCAAAAAAACTGAAAACGAACAAAATTGAAGCGTGTTGGATGCGCAGCATCCTCTTCTGCTTAGCCATTCTCTCCGCGATCATCCTGTGCTGCGTCGCCTCCATCACCATCTCCGCCGCCGGTCACTTCAACCTCATCGAACCCGAACTGGTGAAATCCTTAGCCTCGGTCAAACCGTACGTCGTCGCCTCCGTCGGCGTCGGCTCCTTCACCTACGCCGCCGACGGCATCCGCATAGGCATGGGCGGCGCCAAATACGTCGGCAAAACCCAAATGTTCAATCTCCTCCTCACCGTCGCTTTAGCCGCGTGGATGAAACTATACTCGCCAGGAAGCGCGAGCATGACCTTGAATCACGTCTGGACGCTCATGGTCTCGTTTCAGTTTCTCAGAGTCTGTCAGCACGTCTACGCGAGCGCGAAAAGCGACAAAGAGTTGTTAACGACGACGGAAGGAGAAGAAGGACTCGAAATAAAAGAACTCGGGGACGGAAGGGAGAACAGTCGATGACGCTTTTATGCTTCTATTTATGCTTCTATTTAAGGAGGCGGTTGTAACGTTTACTAGTATATCCAGCGTATTTATTCACATCCACCACATCTTGTCCTCGGGAAAACCCCTCACAACTTTGTTACTTAAAGACGACGGCTTCTTTCGCGAAAGAAGAAGAAGAAGTGTACTCATCATGTCGCCATCAGCAACAACTTCGCGATCATCGTCACGGTTCGCGATTCGGAGATTGCTCGCCTCGGCGCGGGAGATGGCAAAAACGACGACGCTCGAAGGAGAACAACATCGAGAACAACATCACGCGCGTTCGATGATGCAAATGTCTTCTCGCGCCGCATCGAATGTATTCGCGTCGTGTTCGAAAAGGGGTGGTTTTTTGAACGGCACGAGCAACAACAACAGCAACACCACCTTAAAGCGGTTTTGGTCCTCTCCTTTCTCTTCCTCTTGTTCTCATTTCTCTCCGCGAAAGGAGGCTTTGAGCGGCGGAGAGAAGATCAGATTCGGTGGCAAAGTGGACTTTGGTAGGAGTCAAACGAGGCGGAGCTTGAGCGGTACGTGTCGTTGGAGCGGCGGCGGCGGTGGCGCATCACTCGAGAACGCGAAAAGATGGCAGAAGGATACTTCCAACATCGCACCGAAGATGACGATGTTTGGAGGCACTCAAGTCCGCACGTACGCCAAATCACTCTCGCAAATGAAAGAAGCCGGATTGAAAGCGTATAAACCAACCACGCCCGGGTTCCGCGGTCGCGTCATCACGGATCGATCGAAGTTATGGAAAGGCAAACCTTTGAAAGCGTTGACGAAAGGATTAACGAAGAGTGGGGGGAGAAATAATCACGGACGAATCACGGTGTGGCATAAAGGTGGTGGTCACAAGCGTTTGTATCGCGTGATTGATTTTAAGAGAGATTTGTTTGGCGTGAACGGAGTGATTAGAAGGATTGAATACGATCCCAACAGAACGACGAGAATCGCTTTGGTGGATTATCCGGACGGGATTAAACCGAGGTATATTTTAGCACCGGATGGAGCGAAAGCTGGTGACGTGATTTCTTCGAGAGGTGGTCAACCCGCGGACGGTCGTGATCCTTCCTCTGCAATCGACGTTCGTCCGGGTAACGCCATGCCGCTCTCGGAAATGCCCATCGGCACCATCGTGCACAACGTCGAACTCGTCCCCGGTCGCGGCGGCGCTTTAGCGCGCTCCGCCGGTGCCTCAGCCACGTTGGTTAAAAAAGGCGCCGACGGCTATTGTGCCATCAAACTCCCCTCCGGTGAACTCCGCCTCGTCCCGTCCAAATGCGTCGCCACCGTCGGCGTCCTCTCCAACCGCGAGCACCAAAACACCAACATGGGCAAAGCCGGGGCGAAAAGATGGAAAGGCGTCCGTCCAACCGTCCGCGGTACCGCAATGAACCCGATCGACCATCCCCACGGTGGCGGCGAAGGCCGATCGAAAGGTGGCAATCAATCTGTCTCGCCGTGGGGCGTAAACACCAAAGGTAAACGGACGAGAAATAACAAACGCACCGATAACATGCGCCTGCAACGTCGCCCGATGAATAGGAAGCGCTACCCGCTTTTAGCTAAATAATAATTATGTCTTGTGTCATTCGATGATTGAAGTAGAAACGCGTTGAATAGTGTACATTATCGCACAGACCATGCATCGTTGATTCCTCCTCCTCTTCCTCCTTTCCTCTTCGCTTTAGGAGATCGCGTTCGAACGCTTTCGCGTTTCGGCGTTTCTCTCTCGATGTTCTTCACTTTTTCGTCCTCCTTGTAAGAACTTGTCTCTTCTTGTTGAAACGAGAGCGAGCGAGTATCAAACTCCTAAAAAGACTGAGAAGAAGAAGACAAAGAAGACAAAGTCCTCTAGAAGTCAAAGGCGACGAGAGGATATATACATAATACTAATAATGGCTGTTTTCGGGTTCCGCGCGCGCGAGTTCTTCGCGCACACTTTGCGTCCATTTTGGATCCCGTTTGTCCTTCTCTCGCTCGTCCACCTCTTTTGGCACCGAGACGGTTTACAACTGAACCCGAGATTAAATCTCACGGACAAACTCGGGAACGTGGCAGAGCCGGTGGCGCAGTGCGAAACTGGGTTGATCGCCGCGCAAATGTCCGGGCACATCACGGAGGAGAGTTTGCATAAGATTTTACCGAAATGTTACGCGTTGGCGGAGAAGTATCCGAAAAATCCAGCGAAAAGCGTGTACGACGCGATACGCATGGCGCACAAGATGGACGCGGGGAATTCACCTTTGTTCGGTAAGATCGCCCCTCCTATGCCACCGACCAGTCCTCCAAGTCCAACCTGCGACCAGAGCATGAAACACGCGCAGTTGGAGTATTCCAGGAATAAGCACTGCGACTTTTTACCGTCGTTTGCGAAAGACTCCGGGGTGGTCTCGAAAGCGAATAAGAAAGGGAGAATCACGTTCGGCGCGAAGAAAGTGCCGGCAGATTTAGCGGTGCAAGCGTTCGCGAAGAGCAACACGATCGAGGGAGAGTGCAGGATTATCAGTTTGGTCGGGACGACGCCGGAAGGGAGAGCGTTTGCGGGTAGGGTGCACAGCGAGATGTTGGCGAGTAATAGGAAGGAGAATTGCGACGTGAGGTTGTACGAGACGGATAAACAGATGTTGATCGATAATCGACAGGCGAAGAAGGCGTACAATCACATGGGCGTTTTGATTGGGAAGAAGAAGAAGAAAGAGACGATAGATGTTGGGAAGAAGCAAACGCACGCGTACGGGGCGAAGGTTACGGAGTTTATCGATTTGGAGACGAAAACGCCGGACGGGGAGTGGTGCTCCAGCGAAGTCGGTTTGAAGTTGGGCTTTTGCATCAATCACGCGATTAGTTTAGTGCACGTGGATAAGGCGGCGGCGGATATTATGTTGGAAGGAGGGAAGACGATGTTGAAGACGAATAAGATTGCGAGTTTGGTGTTTGATGGTACGTTTCAAATCGCGAAAAGGTTTGAAGATTTGGGCTTTTACGTGTATTTGGTCGGCGATAGAGACCAGAGAGGAAAAGAGGCGGTGTTTTTGAGAATCGACGGGGAATGGTCCGCCAACGGAGCGTTTGCAAAGTACGTCAGAGGAAATGAGTTTACGTTCATGGCGCTGTTACCCAGTCATGGGTTCCACGAGTACATGGTGGAGAATAACTTGATGGTATGCGACGCGTCTTGCGAGTGTAAAGTCGAAGCCGAGTGTTCCTGCAAAAGCGACGGAGGTCAACCGGATTGCCAAGCGGTCTCGAGCGGATGATTGAGAAAAGCTGAGCAACGCAGTCACTATTATTATTATTATTGTTACAATCTTATACAAATCATCATCACTACGTCTATCTCTCCGGCGCGAAACCGGAGACGCACACGAGGTTGATGCAAAATCTCGCTCCTTTCTCGTCTGGAATGTTATGCCCGAGGTGTAAACCATCTCTCGTCACCACCTCGCCGTCGTCTAATATCCTCACGTTCTCCCACACGACGTCTTCCGCCCGAAAAGATGGCCATCCGTGCTTGACGCTTTCCTCCAAAAACTGCGACAGAGGTCGTTTGGTCACTGCAAACACCGGCCGGTTTAGCGCGGAGTCGTAAAACGTCACGTGACCTCCCCCCCCGTCCATCTCTTGATTCAATTCCTCGATAAACTTATCCGCTCTGTTCAACAAGCCGCTCCATTCCGCTCCGTGTCTGTTTCTCGCGCATATTTGTTTCGCCGTCGCGCTTCTCGAATTCCATCTTAAACTTCGTTCTATTCTCGTTCCCAGGACGCGTTGGTTCCTCATGACGGATTCATCCGCTTTCGCTTCCTCGGGTATTCCTTTTTCTCCTCCTCCGAAGTGTTGGTGGTGGAGTTGCGCCTTCGCCAAAGGTGCTAACGCAAAGAAGAGGAGGAGAAAACAGGAGGAGAAAACAGGAGCGACCATCATATTTGCGTGCGTATGAAAGAGTGAAGAAACGTACGAATTTCCCCAAACGAAACACTTCCCGAGACGCGTTTGAGAGATGAATACGGAGATCGACCGACTCGTCAAACGTCTCCAAACGGCGATAGAGGTACATTTGGGAGCACAGAAAGCTTCTCACCAGTACTCGCGGTACGAGATACGCAAACTGTGGCCGTATACCGAACAAGAGATTTCGTTTGAAACGACCACGAAGTTGCTTCGGGAAAGCCGTTCGGGAGGAGGAGAAGAGGAAAGAAAAGTGGACGTGGAGAAACTGATGGCGAACGTCGGGAGCTATTTCCTTTCCCAGAAGAAGGAAAAGGAAGAGGAGAAGACTTTGAGCGATGGCGCGAGTATCTGCGCGCGAGACGTGTTCGATTCGCGAGAGAGTGCTTTCGTTGCAGAGATGAGAACTAAAGTTGTCCTCGAGCGAAGGCTTTCGCAGACGTTGCGAGTGGAATTGAAGAAAGCGAAGAAAGAAAGCGAACGCGCGATGAAAGATATAACGAACAGAACGGAACAGAACGAGGCGTACGTGAAGCAGGTGTACGACTCCGTGGAGACGTGGATGAGGAAAGCGACGGAGATGGAGGAGGAGCGGGATTCGCATCGCGAGCGGTGCGAGAAGCTGGAAAAGGAAAACCGAATGTTAAGGAACGGAGAACGATTCGAGTTGTTGAGGGAAAAGATGATTGTTAGGGAGAGAAAGTTAAAGGAACGACTGGAGGAAGCGCTAAGGTTGGTGGAGGTTTTACGGTTAGAAGGTATAGAAAAGGACGCGGAGTTGATTCGTAATCGAGGCGAGAGAAAAGTAAAATAGGTGTTACGCACACACGGCATAATGTAACATTATATAGAACAGGCGGCAATTTAAAACTACTACTTTAATTAGCAACTAATGCAAGCATCATCAAAATTCATCGTCAACTGTCACCTCTTCCAATGGCAACAGTTTTAAACTCTGCGTGATAGTCTCGAAGATTTCAACGTCTCCGGGCGTCATGCCGTCCTCCGGCATTTGACATTTCACCGAAACGACGTCTCTCCTCCCTAACTTTCTCCCGGATCCTCTCATGCCCGGACCTAACACCGCCACCTCCCAAAAGTGGAAGTTCAACATCGCTTGACTCCTCCACTCGTAAAAATACAAACTGCCGTCTTCCTTTTCTTCCGCTTTGACTAAAAATGTCGCCGCTTTTGCGCCTCCCGTGGCGCCTTCTAACGGCGCAAAGTCGTTCGCTCTCGTCTTGCCCAACTTCTCCGCCGATGTGTATTCCTCCATCTCTAAGTCTCTCAGCTTTGGAATACCGTTCCCACCGTCGCTCTTACTTTCCACTTTCCCAACTGGATTCACGATAACTGTGCACCGTCTTCCTCCGTACTCCGCTCTCGGATGAAACTCTCTCTCCAAAACACCGTTCGGTGTATCCATCAGCCAATCCTCGGGAACTTTCATCGAAAACCCGCGGTCGTAATCCACGTACTCTTTATATTTTACCGGTGGCATGTCCTCCGTTTGGTGCGCCGGGACTGTTTTCTCGTCCTCGTACGCCCACGCCGCTCCTTTATCGTCTTCATTTACTGTCTTTGTTTTCGAGAGCGTACACGCAGTGACGGCGGTGAACACAACCGTCCTCCTGCTCTGTCTTCGAGAGTGATGATTAGCATCATCGGAACAGCACGAGAACGACGCACTTCTTCGCGAATGGTGGTGTTTCTTGCGCATCGTCGAAAAGGGGTGCTTTTGCTTTATCTTTGGTGGTATTGGTGGTGCTTTAGAGGCGAGCATCGTCGTCGTCGTCGTATCGTTCGCAGTGTGAGTCTTTGAAGACTTTTCCCCAAATTCGCCATTTTTATACGCAACTTTTGAAGCACAACGCACAAACACAGTCGGAAACTCGCACATATTGGTCGTGGTGACGCGCTCTCGATCTCAAAATGGCGAAACACCACCCAGACTTAATCATGTGCCGAAAAATGCCCGGCATTGCCATCGGTCGGCTCTGCGAAAAGTGCGACGGAAAATGCGTGATTTGCGATTCCTACGTCCGCCCTTCGACGCTCGTGAGAGTGTGCGACGAGTGCAATTACGGCTCCAATCAAGGAAGGTGCGTCATATGCAGCGCAGTTGGGGTCTCGGACGCGTATTACTGCCAAGGGTGCGTGATACAGGAGAAGGACAGGGACGGGTGTCCAAAGATTATAAACTTAGGGAGCGCCAAGACGGACTTGTTTTACCACAAGAAAGCCGCCGGGGAGATAACGGGGGGAGGGGGGAGGACGTATTAATACTAATAGCGCGGCTGGGGGAGAGAAAGAAAGAAAGAGTTCGTCGTTTGTATATTATCATCATCGTTAGCAGTATTACTTTACACGCAGAGCAGCGGCGCTCTCTTTTCGAGATGCTGAATCCTATTTCTACTACTAGCTGTACACGCCGCGTTTGTTTGTTTCTTCTTCTTCTTCTTCTTCTTCTTCTTCTATCTTCTATCTGTTGCTACCTCTTCTGAGTCGCGAGGAAGACCTTTGGGTCGTCGAAGGGAGCGAATCTCGAGGCGTCGTCAAAGCGTTCGCTCGAGTGGTTCGTCGCGAAGTCGGTTGTTGTTCTTCTTCTTTCTCCTCCTCTGCTTTCGTTTCTTCCGAAATCATTCTCGCTCTGTCTTCATTCTCCATTGCTGTTTCTTCTTCTTCTTCGCTCTTCTTCTTCTCTTTCTTAATGACGCCGTAACTCGGAAAGTTCAAATGAATTTCGTGCGTCTCTGCGACAAAGTCGTTTTCGTCGACGTCTTTCAACAGTTCGTCTCTGATTTCCTTCGCGACGGCTTCAAAGCTCGAGTTAAGACCGTGGAATAAGGCAGCGTTGGTCCATATCAACTCGGCGTCGGATTTGAACGCATCGAGTTGACGATAGTATCGACCTTTGAGTCGGTGTTTTATCCGTTCCAGGGACATCGGAAGCGGAACAATTTTGCAATAGTTTGCGTTTACGCCCAAACTCTCGCGAAGGTAAACGTCGTCGCACGATGCGTCCGTGACGTACGCGAGGAACCTATCGTTGGCGATGAGTTTTTCAACTTTTTGCGTGAGCGCGCGAGTGACTTCGGTAGATAAAGCGGGTCCGAGAAGACAATCGCTCGCTCGATTGCGCTGTCTCGCTTCCGCTGCCCGACGCCAGCGCAATTTATCGTCCGCGTCAAATAGCTCCCAGAAACAGTGCGTGACGGTTTCATTCGCTTGGTTGGAATACGTGATGCGTAAGTTGTTCCACGGCGAGCCGCGCCATCGACCTTCGTTTTTCACAACCGAGGAGATTTCGCCGTGCCACCATGTGCCGAAATTACCCGGATGTTCCTCATCTTCAATCTCCCAATCCCAAAGACAGAAAACATTTTGATCGTTCGCTTTCCATTTCTGCTCGCGAGCGTCTGTAAATCTGTCCACGCAAACGATAAAATCCGGAACGGACAACCTCGGAAGTTTCAGTGAGAACGTTTCCCCGAAGTTTGCGCTTCGCGGGTCTGCGAATCGTAACGTCACTTCACAAATCGTCTCGTATGGGGCATCCGTAATTCTACTTCCGTTACTCGTGTTGATGATATACTTCAAATCTGAGACGACGCAAGGTTCGCAGAATCGAACATCCTCTTTCTCTTCCCAAACGCGGCATGAGAGAGTATCCTCCATTGCATCGAGGAACTCTTCGTGACCTTGGGGGATGTACATGACCGAGTCACCGAGTTGTGGAACGTAACAGCCATATCCCTGGAATTCGCGTAATAACCAACTGAAGCATTGATCGGAACGTTTAGCAGGACCCATGACGAACGTGAGGCGCCCTGGGCGACGGTCTTCTTCTTCTTCTGCTTCATTTTCCTCTGACTCTGAGTTGAGTTGTTGACTATTCTGACGTCGTCTCGTTCGCAGTCGTGCCTCTTCTTCCTCGTCTTCGGCATCTCCATCACTTTCGTACTCTTCTTCCTCGTCGGTATCCGTCTCGGACTCGACGTACGATCTTCGGCCAGCTCTTCGCAAACGGCGTCTGTTTTCAGCCGCCTCAATGCGAACTCTATTATCGGCGCGGCGCCTTCGCGTTCTACGCCGAGTGGTTACGCCCCAATCGTCGTCTTCGTCGTCGTCGGAGGCGTTTGCGTTCTCTGAATCCTCCAATCCTCTTAAATCGTCCATGGCAGCGTCGTTCTCGTTTTCATCGTCGTCATCGTCGTCATCATCTGATATTATAATGTCCGGATCTCTCTCCACGTCGTCTGGATCGTCCACTTCGTCGTCGTTTTCTAATACCGGATCGTCCCCCAAAACGAATTCATTTAGGTTGTATCGATTCGATATCATCAACTGTACCATCGATGAGTGTTGACATCCGTCTCGTCGGTTCCACACACCTTCAAATTCGCGCTCAGACGGGTTTGGAGGAATAGCACAAAAATACTTCTCAAGATTTTCACCCTTCTTGAACGCATCCATGAAAGGAGCCGAGTACGGATCGCCCATTTGATCGCACAGGACTGCTGATCCGAAACTGTAGCGCTCAAAAAGGGTCTCGCCATAAACCAGATTAGCGGGAGGATCCTGGTATACTCTCGCGACACCGTGCTCGTCTCGCGCGATGGCAGATTCTGGGACAAACTCGACGCTGAAAAACTGCTCTTTTTTCTGCGTTAAGTAGCGTTTGTTATCACCGACGCCAAACAGATAGCAATTACCAATTACATCTGAAGCTACAAACGATAACCCATCCGGATTCCAGTGCAACTCCACGATTTTAATGCCATTAAATTCTGGACGGAACGTTCGCATGGATTTCACACCACCACCGATACATCGCATTTCTATTCGACCGTCGTAACCTCCCGTTAAGTAGATTTCTGGATAAAAAGGATGCGGTTCGAGAGTGACAATGGTTTTCTCATGACTATTATGTCCAATGATTCCTTCCGACTCTCCAGAATGCGAATGAAAAAACTCTACCAACGGGGATGCACCGTCGCCCTCAGCTGTACGCATCGCGTTGGCAAATGTAGCGATAACGTATTTATCATCTTTCGTCCAGACCGCTTGAAGAACTTCAAATGGCCTTTGAATATCGCCATTTCCATCCATACACATCTCTCTCCAACATTCAGATTGCGTTTTCCAGACACATCGCACGCGTTTATCGACGCTCGCATTTTTCGTCGACAACGCTATCATCCCATCACCATCTGCGGGTTTCGGCGGCATTCGCCAACACATTACATATCCATCTGAACTTCCCGATATGAAGGTGCGCGGGTCCGTGTTACTGAATTTTGTTACATCTACATCATGCGTGTGCGTAGCACGCGGCGATGTGCCATTACTTGGCATATCGTAAGCGCGCATCGCGTGGATTGGAGGAGCTTCGCCTGCAGCTTCATCATTTATTTTACTCAAATCGAAGTCGTAACAAAACAGTCGAGAAGACGTGAAAGCACACGTATCTGTTCCCCCAATCAAAGCCGTTCCATCACAATTGAAGGAAAGAGTGGATACTCGCGTGAGACGAGTTCGTGGTCTTCCCCGACCGTGTACTTGTTGTTGCCGTTGCTCATGTTGATCTTCCAGAGGATTGTTGTTATTATTATTGTTATTGTTGTTGTTGTTGTTGTTGTTGATGGTGGTGGTGGTGGTGGTATCGTTATCGTTATTTTCGTTCTCGTTCCCATTTCTATCGATGTCGTTGTCTGCCGCCGCTTGCGGTCCTGAAACCATACCGTGGACATCCAAAACGGCCGCATTTTGCTCTCCAGAGTGTTTATACGCGTGCCACAACCTCATCGTTCCATCCTCGCTCGCCGACGCGAGAATCCAAGGTTTTGCCGGATTGAACAATACCACTGTAATTGGCATAAAATGCCCTTTCAAAACAGACACCGGTTCTCCACTCTCTAATTTCCATGTTCTCACGTCTTTATCTAGAGACCCAGACGCGACTAAATAATCTCTCGGACAAACTTCAACGATCGTAATCGGCTCCGTGTGTCCTCGACAACTCGCGAGCAATCTGCCGTTCCTCGCGTTCCATATTTTCACCAACCAATCGTCCGCTCCCGTCACCAACTTATCCCCTTTCTTATTATACACCGCGCAATAACACGCGTCTCTGTGCGCGTGCAGCGTCCTCTGACACTCAAATCTTTCACCAAAATAAGTATCCGCGCATTTTCTCGTAAACGCAGTCTCCCCGTCGTCAAATCCAAAAAATATCTTCTCGTTCGCGTCCTTCTTCGGTCGACGCCCGCCTCTCGCGACCACCGCGAGCGGATTTTTCATCCCCCCCGCCGCCGCGTCGGCGCGCGGCGGCGTCACCGCGTAATGGCTTTCCCAACTATATTTCGTATTCGTATGAGTATCCTTTTCTATCTCATATCGTCTCTGCCGTCGTTTCGCGTCGTTTCGCGTCATCCCAAACTTCGCCTCCATCTCCCACACGCTCATCTCGCGTTCAAATCCGTTCGCATCCATTCGCCTCGGAAGTAGCATTTTCTCCCTCGCCTCTCGCAAAAACACCTCCGCACTTTCTCGAAACTCCAACTTTGAGCGTAAATGCGTCAATATTTGCAGATTAAAGACACTTTCTTCGTCGAGAGAAGAAGAACCTTCGAGCGCTTTCTCCAAGGTCGGACGAAATTGAATCCTCGGTTTGAACCATTCGGAAACGTTTGGGAGAGACATGATGATTGTTTGAAGACGAAGACTGTTAGTATCAGCAGTATTAGTAGTATTCGGAAACGACTGAAACTTGGCGCCTTTGTCTCTCTCTCTTTGTCTCTCTTTACGTCTCTCTCTGTCGCGCAGTCTTCGCGTGTTCAATGCGCACGTTTCTGAGGCAATTCGTCCAATGCATTCACCACAAAAATGAACGCTCGGCAAGCCCCCCCGGACGATTGGTCCGGCCTCCTCAAGAAAGAAGAGGAAGCCTTGATCACAATCATGAAAGAGCGAGCGTTATCTACCTGCTCTCAGATGCAAAAGAACTACTACGAGTGCGTCAAAGGACGCACTTTATCCATCGTCTGGAAGTGTCGAGAGGAAGGGAACGCGTTGAACGAATGTTTGCACCGAGAAACGAGCGAGGAGAAATTGAACGACGTGAAACGGAAGTGGTTAAAAGCTGGGAAGCCGAGAGTTGGGACCACAAATGGAGAGAGGATTCCCGTGGAGTTTTTATAGAGCGTAGCAGAAGAGTAGAGATGCGCGCGTGCGTGTAGCTTAGAGAGAGTCATCGTGTAATACGCGAGAGATAAAATGTATCATCACCCCCAAAAGTTAAGATATTTCCCGCACATTTACCCACGCGTTTACGAGATGTCATCATCCATGAACGCGGTAAAAACGCTTTGTTGTTCTTTCTCGAGCAGCGGTGAGACCAAAAGGTTGTCGACAAAGCCGCTTTTGCGCTCAAAATCGTGCAAAGCCAAAGCTTTTTCTTCTTCCTCTTCTTCTTCCCAAAATGGAAAAACCAAAGCAGCGGCGACGTCGACGGATAAAGATGAGACATCTTTACCTTTCCGAGCGATCCCAGGCGGAACCCCGGAGGACCCTTCGAACGCGCGAAAAGGAAGAAACGACGGTCGACCAACGTATTGCCCACCATCCTACGCGGCCATGTGCATGGACGCGTTCGGATCGGTCCAAGACGCTTTGAACGATGGGGAGAAACTTTTAGAGGTTGAGTTTCCAGCGGTGCCAGGGGAGGATGCGGATTACAAAGCGGCCTCGGACGTGTACATCGACGCGAACGTGCAATACGCGTTAGTGATTGGCTCGAGCTTATACGAGAAGTTGGGGAAGAGAGTGCAGATTTGTTTACCGGATGGGGTGGAGTTTCGAAGGGCGAAGAAGGTGTTTTCGAATTCGTTGATGATGTCCGAAGGCGTTACGCTGAACACGTTGGACGGGAAGAAGCAAGACGCGTCGATTACCGGGATGTTTCAAAAGATGAGCGCGGGGAGAGGGTTGAGGTCTGGGAGTGCGGACGACGAGATGGACGATGATTTTGAGAACGCGGACGTGTTTATCATCGTGAACGTGAGTTGCGGGGAGTTGCCAGATGTGGAACAATTCGTGAAGACGACGTCGGGAGGAAGGCCGATTATTATGTTGAACAATCAGTTGGACACGTTGAGAGCGGATTTGGGGTTGTTTTCGTTTCCTCCGAAGAGTTTGCACTACGATTTCTTGAGTTATTTTAAACCGGTATTTTATTTACGATCGAGAGCGTATTCGAGATCGATTACCGTGTCGCCGTTTGTGGTGAACTATTCCGGCGCGGTGTTTCGAGAGTACCCGGCGCCGTGGCAGGTGATGATTAAACAATCCAACGGGGTTTTAGCGTGCATCGCGGAAGACGAGGACAGATTTACTTTAGGCGAGGCGAAGGAGGAGATGTTGATTGCGCTTGGATTGAGCGATCCGGAGGGGAGTTTCATGAAAACGGCCAGAAGCGGGTTGGTGGTGAACACGTGGTGGGAAGAGGAAGACGACGCGGAAAAGAGCGACGCGTGGAGAACGTAATTTTAAGACATTTAAAGCACTAATAGCAAAGCGGATTTTATTTCAACACAATTATCATATTTTCGTGATAAGAAATTTAGGTATTAATCTCGTTTATTCGCCTCGTCGGGATCGTCCAACGTGAACTCGTTCGCCTCGTTCGCTTGACTCGCCGACCCCGGATGAGTATTACTCCCCGCCCTCGGTACGTCGCTCGAACTCATCTCTAAATCACTCAACAATCGCGACCCACTCGCAACCGCCCTCTCTCTATTCCTCTCGAACCAATTCACAAAGTCCGCCGCGCTGCCACTTCCAACGCTACCCAATCTACTCCTTCGCGAAGTCGCGTTGTTCCCTACGCCCGGTCCGACGAACCGTTGCGCGCCTCGTCCAAACTCCCCGCGGAAGGACTGAAACGCCGCGCCGCACACTCCAAGCGTCGCCAACATCCCGATGATTAAAAATATCCCTAAGAAAATAACTCCAGCTATTCTTTTCGCCCCGTTGTTGTTGTTAATGTCGTTGTTATCGTGGTCTTTATCTATCAACTGTCCTCCTCCTCCTTCTTTCCCTCCTCCTCCTTCTTTCCCTCCTCCTCCTTGGTCTTCTTCTTCCCCGAGAAGACCGACGCCGCCGCGAGCGCCGGTCGTCGCGAGACTTGGCAAAACGACATACTCCGCTTGATTCTGCGTCCCGAATCGAGACCCGGTCGTGCACACCGCTTTCACCACGTGCACGCCTTCTCTTCGTAAAAGAACCGGTTTGTGTAAGTAATCGATCCTCGTTTTCTCCTCCTCCATATCCTCCTCCATATCCTCCTCCTCGGGCGGCTTCCCATCCACCGTCACGACTATTTTCTCGCACTCGCTCTCTCCCATCGCAGTCGTCGCCCCCTTTTTCCTCCTCGTCTGTCTCCCCGGGTCCACGCGCACGAACACCGGTCCTGGATACGCGCCCGAGGGTGGGTGGAACGTCGGCGTCGATGGGATGAGAGATTGATGCCGAGCGGCAAAATCATCATCTTCCCCGGGGTCGTGGTGTTCTTGCGCCCGCGCGATCTTCGCGAAGAGGACGAATGCGACCACGAAAACGAGGCAAAAATGACGACGACGACAAAAAGGGCGAGAGAGTTGACCACAAATCGTCCTCGTTTTCATCGTTTCAAAGCGTTCGATGTTTGTGCTTTCTCCGCGAGTTGAGGAAAAGTGTGAAGAGTCCACTTTGGGAAAAGTTTTGCTTCAGAAGAACATGTATGAGTCGTAAACGGGAGATTGTGCGGGACTCTTACGTCGGCGACGTGACCTCGTTACTCTCGATTGACAAATTAGACGCGCGTTATTTACCGAGACAAACTTTGTTAGCAGGAATCGGGAGCTCGGTCTTGTGGTACGATCCGTTCTTCGTCGCTGATGATGATGATGATGATGACGACGGGGAAAAGCACCGAAGCGAGAAAGAAGACGACTTTTGCGCCGGCGGCGGAGAAGAAGACAAAGCGCCGCCAAAGAAGCGCGACGAGAAAAATAAAAGGAGGAAAGAGTGTTTACTCGCGTCGTGCCCTGTGGCGCTCCCGGAAGGCGCGAGAGTGCACGGGATGAGACGGGAACCGTCGTTGGACGACGCGGAGGATTTGAGCTTCGGGGTGGTGGTTTGGGGAGCGAATTTCGCCAGCGCGGTAGCGCTGAGGTTGCCGAAGAAGAAGACGAGAAGAAAGACTAAAGAGGAAGTAGGAAGCGCGGGTGGTGAGAGTGAGAGCGACTCGTCGGATGTGACGTGGTATTCCGACGATGATGATGATGATGATGGATTTAGGTGCGAATTCATTCTCTCGGTAGGTTGCGCGTTCTCGCATTGGGTGCACGACTGCAAAGTGTGCGCTCCGGACGCGTCTGGGGACGGGTACGGGTACCATTCTTTAGCGGTCGCGCTTTCAGATAATTCGGTGGAAAGGTGGACGTTGCCGTGGAGTGTGAGCGAGTTTGATTGTGCGCCGCGGTGTTTAGATGTTTCTCGATGTGCGGCGGAAAGTTTGTTGTACTGCGCGGCTTTGAGAGGGGAGACGTGGAAGCGGATGCGAGTGTGCGCCGGGACAGCGTTCGGGGAATTATTGGTGTGGTTTTGCGGGAGAGAAAACAAGCAAGGCACGTATCCATACGCGAGTTTACAAGGGCACAACGGTGGTATAATGCGGTGTCGGTTTTCGGAGGATGGGAAGTTTGTCGTGAGCGCGAGCGAGGACAGAACGATTCGAGTTTTCGCGTTGCCGAATATTACGAAAGAGACGAAACAGGGAGAAGAAGGGAAAGACAAATACGACGTCGTTTTTTTGAAATGCGTTCGCGCGTCTGAAGTTATATTCGGTCACAAAGCTAGATGTTGGGATTGCGAGCCGTTATCGTTGAATAAATACGGGAGAGGTAGTTTAGACGTCATCGCGACGACGTGCGAGGACAGAAACGTGCGCGTTTTCGAAGCGCCAAAAGACGAAAATGGTTTCCGGCAAGTTGTCACGAACGGCAAAGATAGATACGCGCTAGAGCCATTCAATGACAACAACGTCAACGTAAAGAATGAGGAAAGAGCAATCGCCACTGAGGGGAAAGGAATTACCGGAGAAGATATAAAAGCGTCGATGTGTTTCAAAGGGTTTCGCGGGAAAGGCGCGTGGCGCACGTGTTGGATGCGTGACGAAAAGAACACGCTTTGGCTCATCGCCGGAGGTTCAGATGGTGGTATCAAAATGTACGACTGTAGTCAAGTTGATACAGGTGTAGATGATGATTGCTTTGATGATAGTAATAGTGTAGATAAAACAATAGCGAAGACTGGTTCGCCAGAGAAAAACACCCGAGATGGAATGTTTGAGGATTTTGAAACGCTCGTGCCGCCAGATTCAGGCGTCGCTCCGGACGAGATTGATCCAGAAAATCCAAACTATATCAAAATAAAGAAAGATAATGAACGCGAAGATTACGCCACAATAGTTCGGGTTTTGGAAAATCAAATGGATGGTACCGTATCTGTCGTTGTGGGAACGAATCATGGCGTATTGTATCTTCTTCGAGTCGAATCGTCGCGCACCAACGGTGAGACGTGTAAAAAGAGCGCAAGGCTTGAAGTTTTGTACAAGCCTGAACGACGTTCAAAAATCATAACCATTGAGTGTGTGAGAAATTCAAACACCGACGAGTTCATCTTTGGCGACGCGACTGGATATCTGCGTCTAGCTTTCCGTTCTTCGCAAACCACTTTCAGCGTCGCCGAAAAACTCTTGTTTGATTTTCCGGTGGCGAAGCCGCGTTTACTTTTACAAGTCTTCCACAGGCGTGAGAAGCTGTACACGCACGACGCCGATGGAATGTTAAAACGTTGGGACTTGGTAACAGCTAGAACGGAAATTGCTGTCACGATGTACGAGAATCGTCGAGTTGTGAGTTTAGAAGATGCGCTTGGTTTTCTCATCGTCGGCGACCAGAGGGGCGGCGTGTGGGTGTACGATTCGAAAACACTCTCTAAAGTCGCGTACGAAATGTCCGCACACGGGAACAATGCGGTGACGTATGTTGATATTCGCTCTACAAATGACAACGATACGTTTCAGTTCATTACCGGAGGAAGAGATGGTGTCATGCGTCGCTGGACAATCGCCGCCTCTGAAAATGGAGGTGTACGTTTGCGCGAGGATACCAAATGGACTTCGCCATCAAAGAATGCGTCTCAGTTTGTCATCACGACGAACACCAGTACTGCAAACGATGGTGATCATATTACGCACGTCGGTGGATTTCGACTCTCGTCGTTTGCAATGTATTCATTAGTATTAGATCGAGAGCTTTTTAGCTTCAATGTCGGCGCTTGGAAAACAGCGCATCATTTCTTAGCAACGAAAACGGGTAAAAATGCCGTATTCGCGCACTGCGCTAAAGCCGGGGTAGTTACCATCAAAGTATCAAAGCCTGGTATAATGAGTGTGAACGCAGAAGATTCCAAAACTGAAGAAAGTGTAGCGAAATCCCTACACACGTGGTCGCACGGTCGCGAAGCGCACGCGGTGGCGATACTTCCACCTGCAGAGTCTGATTTGGAGAGCATCAAGAACGGCGGCAACACATCGGTCGCCGCAGATACCGCAGATGATGTATATTATCGCATGTACAAGGATTCGTACAATCCGTTGTGTTTGATAACATGCTCAGAAAGCGGTGCTATTCATCGTCTTTCATGGGACCGTTACCGTCCAATCGGTGCGCGTCTCTACGACGCTACGGTTGTAGATACGCAAGGAGCCGGCGCCGCGGTCAAGTGTATATCCACGATACAAAAGTCGCGTAATAAGCACATCGTCGTAACCGGCGGCGCAAAAAACATGCTCGCTGCGTTCTTATTTGAATGGATTAAGCACGAAAACAACGAAAACGAAAACGATTGGCGAATATCGACGAAACGACTAGTCTCGCAAAAGTACGTTGATTACGCGCACGGTAGAACCTGGTCGAAAGGTGTTGGATTCATTGAGCCGAAAAATACAGCCGATAAACGCGTGATGGATATATCCGCGTTCGTGCATAAGAGAGAGGACGGATGTGAAGTCGTTCGATGCGCAACCAGTGGTAGCGACGGCGAAATTGCCATAATCGAGCTCGATGAAGTGTCGCGCAAGTTTGAGAAGGTGTACGCTACGTGCTTAAACGACAAGCCTGTGCTTTCGGTATCAACCGTAACTATCGCAAACTGCTCATGCGCAAATACAACGACGACTTTCCTTGCGACGGGAAGTACTGATGGAACAGTTGCTGTTTGGAATGCGAATAACTTAAGCGATCCTTTACTCATTCTAAAAGAGACGCACCAATCCGGAGTGAACGGTATATCTTTGAACGTATACGATGAGAAGCTGAAACTACTCTCACTCGTTACCGGCGGCGATGACCAGAAAGTTACGGTTTCAATTATCGACATCTCTTCGATGAAAGTATTGAAATGTCACCAAGTCACGCTCGCGCATGAATCTGCGATTCGCTCTCTTTGGTCCGACGGTACGAACGTTGTCTCTACCGGTCTCGATCAACGCGTGCACTTTTGGGATGTATCCTTCGATAAGACTTCATCCGTATTAACGGTTTCGAAAGCGAGCACGACTCGAGCGGAGACGCCCGAAATTGAAAGCATCGACGGATACCGTCGGCCTCGCGATGGATTTATCGAGCTCGCCGTGTGCGGCCGAGGCGTCCAAACCTTCTCCTCGCACGTTCACTCTGACTTTGAGCACGCCATCGAAAAGTTCACCAGTTTATCCACGAAAGAGTGGAACGCAAAATACGGTCCTGGATTCCCAAACGTCGCGGAACTTTTACTTCACGTAGACAAACGCGACGGCGAAGGACCAAAAATGGACTCGAGGCGAGCGAGATTGTTCCCAGATGACCTCTTCAGAGAAGTAGATATTAAAGAAGAAGAGCGCGCGAATCAAACAGCGTACGGAAACAAAAACCGACCGAATGGAAAAGGTAGTAAATTTCCCTTCGCGCGGCCGACGCGCGAGAGCGCGCACGTCTCTCCCCCGTGAACTCTGCGTCAACGTGTGTTGTATTATTATTAAAAACTGCTACTGTAAATTCACTAAACGATCTGCTACAAACGATGCGAGAGAATACTGTGAATGTTATTCATTAACTCATCTTGTATTGATAAATCTTCGACATCGCGTGTAAGATGGTCACGAATCCTATGAAGCACACGGACATGACCAGAACAACCACCGGGGTGATTTTCAAACCGGGAGAATCGTCCGTGTAAAACTTAAGGATGGAACTGTTCGCCGCGCCGCCTTTGGCGGCGATGTTGGAGCCAGACCCAGTGCCTGGGCGTTTGCGTAAACCTGGATGGTTTTATTTGGGTGTAAGAGAAAGAAGAGGACGTGTGAGCGTAAGAAACACCGCGTCGGAGAATTGGAAAAAAACGGTCTCGATCGGATGCAATCGAGACGCGCGCGGCGAGAAAGAGAGAAGGAAACAGAATGAAAGATGAGAGATCATCGCGCGAAAGCAGGAACGAGAGAGAAAGGGAGAGAGCGCGAATGGTTCGCACACGCGTCGAGATGATTGAGAAAGAAGAGCGTCGCACCTCCTGCAGATGGTCGGCCGGACATTGGTGTGAAATAATTGCGCGTGAGTTTGTGAGGAGGAGAAAGAAACGAAAGAAAGTTTTAATATGATTGTCTCTATAATAACGCGAATTAAAATCCGCCCCTACTAACTATTCAATCAGCTAAAATCCGTCTCTCTACACCTACACTATTCTCGCGTGTTCTTACAGTCGTCTAAGCAGAAGTTCGTTCTCGGTCCCACGCGCTCCAATCCACGTTCGCGTTTAACGTTTGCGTTTCCTTCCACGTCCAATTTTTGCCTCGGAGGTACCCGCTTCCGTCGCCGACGCAATCGACTTCACGACCGGCGAGAGGGTTGATTTTTGCGTATCGCGCCATTTCTTTCTGACCGAAGGTTAAGTAGCTTTTCACGGTTTCGAGAAAGGCGGATTGCGGTATCGAGGACGGGTTGATTTTGCGTTGGTCTGGGTGTTGATACCGTTCCGCTTTGGTTAAGCGAGCCGAAGCGGAGAGGTCGTGGAGACGCAAGAGTGGACCGGTATCGGTGACGCCAGCGACTTCCCACTTGAAATTCCTTTTGATCCCATCGTCTTCTTCTAAAGCATTCAGAGTTTTCGCCAAATGCGTTAAATCGAGTCTCGGTTGCGTCTCTCGGCTTTGAACGTCCACGAAAGTCGTGTACTTGTGTTCGACTTCGTATCGCTTACCGTCGTAGATTGCGATGCACGTGTCTGTCCCAACCGTAGCTCCGAACAAAGCGTAATAGTGTACCGGCTTCGGTAACTTTACCACCGTCGTCGATACTTCAAACCACTTCGTGATGTCATTTTTATGTTCCCGAACCAATTTCGCGTCTCTCAACACCTTCGAAAACTCCTCCTCGCCTTCCATCGTCAACTCAAACTCTTCGTGGATTCTATCAACGTCGCACGTTCCGCACGCGACCACGTACCCTTTAAAATATTCTAGAAAGTGTTTGTACTTCAACAAACAGTTCTCTTTTTCGTCTCCAACGAACGGTAAATTAAACCTCTCCTTCTCCACTTGATTGATATACGAACACAAACGCAACGCTTTCACGCTCGCCGGCGCGACGACGTTCACGTGTTCAAACTCTCTAAAATCCCCAATCCTCGCCGCTTCCACTAAAATCTCCTCATATTTCACCGCATCGTTCGGATGTAACACGCTAAACACGGAAATCAACCCGTCGATATCGAAATGGTCGCACGTAACTCTCGACACCTTCCCTCTCTTGGTCGTAAATCGATGCCTCGTCTTTATCGCGTGTAATACATTCTCCGTGCTCGTGTCCCCAACTTTCACCTCTCTCGGCGTCGAGGACCCTTTGTGATGCGTGATCGTTTTGTTCTTCGCGTGCGTGCAATCGACGACTAAAACGTCCTCCGCGTGCTCGCTTCCGCTCCACGGAACCCATCCTCGAACGACTCTTTTATACGGGTACTTCTTCTTATAAATAACGATCGTTTTCCCGATTTGGACGAACGCGTACACGCCGACGCATCGGACGAACGAGTGCCAGACGTACAAAGCTGACTTGAACAAGGATAAAAAAGAGCTCGAATGAGGTTGTTCATGATTGAGCACTCCTCCTCCTCCTCTGTGATCGATTGACATGTTTTTAGGAAAGATGAAGATGTGTTTTGAGGAACATTCGATTCGATTTCTCCCCAAAGTTGAAACCGCTTTACAAGGTTGAAAGAAAGGAAGAACGACGAAGATGACGACGATCTCTTCTCTTTTCCAGGTCCTCTCCTTGGTGCTCGTCTCATTCTCCTCAAACGGGGCGAACGGTTTTGCCCTGGACGTCGCGTTTAACAAAACCGAGTGCATCTTTAAAACGTACGACAAATCCCACGCGTTGAGCACGGAAAACGCGCGGACGATGCCGGTGTCCATCTTCAACCATTTCACGATTCCGAGCGGGAAACCGCACGTGTCCGTTTCAATATCCGATCCGTCCGGCGTGAAGAAAGAAATCGTCAGCGCGGCTGGACACGTGGAAGAAACCGTGGACGGGAACGGGTTCGGGCTGTACTCCGCGTGCTTCACGAACAAAGGAGACAACACCAACATCCACAACGACAAGTTGGTCGGCACCAACGCTGGGAAAGTGCAAGTGCACGTGCACTTCTTCCAGCCGCACCACGCCATCTCGGACGAAGAGTTAGAGAAAGAGTTAAAACTGTTAAAAAGACATCAACTGCACATACCTGGGCAGAGTAAAGGTTTACACGCCGATCAGTTGCACGATTCGATCGCATTAGCGGAGTCTTTGATGGACGACGTGCAACGAATCAGAGGCGAGGTGCATTACTTGACGTGGAGGACGAAACGGCACAAGCAAACGGTGGACTCGAACGCGCTGAGGACCGCGTGGTTGACATTTTTAGAGGTGGTCGTTTTGTGCTTTTGCGCGTGGATGCAGATCGACGCGGTGAAAGGGTATTTTGAGACGAGTCGTGGGGATTTAGTGGAAGGAGGGAGGAGTCAAGGGTTTGAATATCAAGGGAAGTACGAGTCGGTGAGGAAGGTGGAACCGGCGCCGGGTTTCGGGCCGGGAAGTTCAAACTTTGGGATGCCGCCGATGCCGCAAATGTTTCAATCGCAGCAACAACAACCAGTGCCACCGCCACAAATCTACCAACAACAACAATATCATCATCAGCAGCAAACACCACCACCACCACCACAGAATCCTCCGCAGATGTACGACGCGCACAAAACGCAATTCGGCAAGAACGAAGAGTTTCAGAGCGAGATCCCGTCGCAAGGCATTCTACCGAATCAATACGGCCGAGCTTCTGCACCGCAATCGAGGACGGGTAGACAGTATCAAGATAGATAGATTCTAATTAATTAAATACGCGGTATATACATTTACAGTATTATATATTCTTTATTACTATGTGACAATCCTAAGAAGAAAACTATTCACTTACTCGGTTGCTCGGCGGCTAAAGCGAACGGCGGCACGTGCTTCTCCGCAGAAAATTCGTGCGCGGTTTCGATGATATGATTTGCTTCTGCGCACACTAACACAGAGCCACAATCGCGTCCTTTCGTTCCACACAAAATCGTGTGCCATCCCATCTTTTTCGCTATCTTTATGTTACTCGTCGAGTCGTCGATAAACACGCACCTTTCTCTCTCTTTCACTCCCGCTATCGCCATAGCTCTTTCGTACGCCTCCTCGTCGTGTTTCGTCGCCCACTCTACCGCTCTCACGTCGATAATATCTATGAACATATCTGAAATCCCTAACAGTTCTAAACATTTCTCCGCGTGGTGCCTCGCCGATGCCGTGAAAATATACATCGGGAAACCTTCCGCTTTCACTTTCAGGAGCACGTCTCTCAGTTTTTCGTCTCTCCCGATGTGCTTTTCCAACGGCACGTCGTGCGCCCACAACAGATACTCGTCCACTGATTTCTCGTCCAGAATCTTCTCCACCATCATTCCTTTTAAGCACGTGCCGTATTTTTTGTACAAGTCGTACGCGTATCCCGGTTTTAGACCGAGCTTACCGACCGTGAATTCCTCTATTCTTTCTGTTAAAAGATTCGCGACGGTCCAATCGTTTTTGTACAAGCAATCGTCCAAATCCCAGAAGATGGTTGCGTTTTGAGAAGGAGCATCACCACCACCACTCGTCGTCATCTCGACTTTTACGCTCTTATTAATAGCACTACTACTACCGATCCTTGCACTCCTCGTTCGTCTTTTTAGTATAGTTCTAAAACTCTCGTTCTTTGTGTTCTTAATATTCGTTTTTAGGGGTGTTGCAATAGGTGTTTTGGTGGTGGTCCTTTGCACCGACATAAACTCTTGTACGTCTGTTTGTGTGCGGTTTTCAGTGTGTTCTTTTCGTTTTGTTTTGGTGTCTGACAATTCGACGACAAAGAAAAGGCTGACTGCGATTCAAATATTGTGTATATCTCCCCCATTCGTATCTTTTTTCCCGAGCGTTACGTATAAAACACATACACAAAACTTGAACGCGCGCGTGGAATTCAAACTCCTTTTTACACGAGAGGCTTGAGAACGAGTTTACGCTTTTCTTTCTTTTGAATCATCATGCGGTTGTTGAACAGTCGTCGTCGTTTCTCCTCGCGTATCGTCACCGCGGAGAAACGAGACGTTGACGTGTACTTTGACCGTTTTCTTCAGATTCCCGAACGACATCTCCTCCGACCGGGACGACGAACGACGACGACGACGGCTTTTGCCGATGACTACGATGATGATCACAGAAGAATGATGACGAGGATAATGCAAAGAACGCGCAGCAGCAGCAGTAGTAGTAGGAGTGGGGTTGGTTTCGTGTCCATCGTGAACGAAAGGAGCAAAGAAGAGGAAGAGTTGGACCAACAACTCGAACGCAGGAAAGAGGAGGGAACGATAGACATTGCGCTTCAATCAAATCAAACGATGATAACGAAGAAAAGCGAGAACAACAACACTTCCCCGGCACCGTTTTGCCGGTTTTGTTTAGAGGAAGAAACGAAAAGTTCAAAGTTAATCTCCCCGTGCGCCTGTAAAGGCTCGCAGCGATTCGTCCACGCGAGCTGTTTGAACCGCTGGCAACTGATGTCGCTGAAGAACGGCTGCGACCGAAACGGCGAAGAGTGTTCGGTGTGCAAGAAAAAGTTCGACAGACCGAAAGATCCGTTTTGGAAGCGAGTGGCGAAGTACGCGTACGTGCACTTGCACAAGAGACGGTGGTTTTACGGGTACGCGTTTTTTAAGTGGTTGAAAATGAGCGTCGATTTGATTCAGTGTTCCGGCGACCAGTTCCCTTTGGTGACTTTAGTCGTCAGCTCGTTGGCGCATTTAGTCGACGCCAACATGCGATATAAACGAATCATCGGATTGATGAACCAAGACACGACCGCGTTATCTATCCTCCAACTCGAACTCTCGGTGTACTTCAACCGAAGCCTCTTCTGGGCTTCCAACGACAACTCGGACTTAGCCAAGTGCGTCGAGGCGTTTGGTTTCATGCTCGCGTGGCCAACCACCGCGCTCACGTTACTCGGCGGCTGGTCCATAAACTTAAACGGCGACATCTGGGGATGGATAAAATCGATAAAAGACTTCGCAGAGGAAAGCAAATACGCCGGAATTTCCAAGAAGACCGCCTTATCCATCGCGCTCGCCAATCTCTTGGTCTTGTTTCCCGTCTACTAATAATATACGCGCTTTCCGCGACACGACGGAGGACGCGATGAAAGAGATACTCTGTACCTACAGTACCGGTACCTAGGTACTCATAATACTACTCAAATTTAATAAAAGCGAAAAAGAAGCGCTTCTTTCGAAAGAGAGAGAGAGAGAGAGAGAGAGAGAGAGAGAGAGAACAGTTAGGCTTTCTCGCGTTGTATCATCATAAAAACATTTTCTTTCCCACACTCGAGGCACCCCCTTTTTGAATTTTCTTTCAAACCCACTTTCAAACCTTTCCAAAACTTCACAAAACCGCGCGACGAATACACGCACACGCGCGCGCGCAAAAACACCCGCGAATACGGCTTTTGAACGTTCACGAGAAACAGTTGTCACCATCGCTTCCTCCCGTCGTTTCGTTCGTGGTTTCTTGCAGCAGGCACACTCGCACCGCGTCGTGAGCAGCGACACCACCGAGCAGCTCGGGGCTTTCTTTCCGCGACGATCGTTTACGTCATTTCTCTCTTCTTCTTCTTCTTCTTCTTCTTCTTCGTTTGAACGGCAAGAAGCGCGATTGAATCCGTCGAAGAGAGCAAAGCTTCACGACAACAACAACAACAACAACTCTTATTTTTCCTCTTCTGTGTCGAGCAGAAGACGCGATACTCATTCGCACAGTCGTTCGCCGGGAGATTTGTTCCGAGCACTCGAGAGACCAACGAAAGAAGGAGCAGACCAAAGGAGTAAAGAGGATTTTTCATTCTCCGAGATGGTGGAAGGCGGGGAGTCCCCGACCTCGCCACTGATGCAACACGGAAAAGATTACGATTTAATCGTCATTGGCGGCGGATCCGGGGGTTTAGCGGCGGCGAAAGAAGCCGCGAAGCACGGGGCGAAAGTCGCGTGCTTTGATTTCGTGAAACCGAGCGAAAGAGGGACGACGTGGGGCTTAGGCGGGACGTGCGTGAACGTCGGTTGTATTCCGAAGAAGTTGATGCACCAGGCAGGGATTTTGGGAGAGTCGTTTTCCGATGCGAACGCGTTTGGGTGGACCGTGGACGAGAAGCAAAAGCACGATTGGGGGAAGATGGTGACCGGGATTCAAGATCACATCGGGTCTTTGAACTTTGGGTACCGAACGGCGTTGAGAGAGAAGAAGGTGGATTATAAGAACGAGTATTGCTCCTTCGTAGACGCGAATACCGTCAAAGGAGTGAACAAAAGAGGCGTGGAGAAGCAATACACGTTCGATAAGTGCGTCATCGCGGTTGGTGGACGACCGAGTTATTTGGACGTTCCAGGCGCTCGAGAGCTGTGCATCACTTCGGACGACGTCTTTTCGTTGGAGAATCCACCGGGGAAAACGTTGTGCGTCGGCGCGAGTTACATCTCGCTGGAAACGGCTGGTTTTTTGACCGCACTTGGTTACGATACGAGCGTTGTCGTGCGATCGGTGTTTTTGAGAGGTTTCGATGCGGAAATTGCGAAGCAAATCGTCGGCCACATGGAACGTCACGGGACTCGAATGATTCGAGACACGACGCCGCAAAAGTTTGAAAAGACGGAAGACGGGAAAATCAAAGTGGAGTTCAAAAACACCATGTTTGGGAATAAGTTCAAAGAAGAGTTCGACACGGTGGTCTTAGCAGTTGGGAGAGATGCAGTGACCGAAGGGTTGAACTTGCCGGCGGCAGGTGTGGAGTTTAACCCGAAGAACGGGAAAATCCCGTGCGTGGATGAACAAACGAACGTTTCCCACATTTACGCCATCGGCGACGTGCTCGATACGAGACAAGAGTTGACACCGGTCGCGATTAAAGCTGGCGTCCGATTGGCGCACAGAATCTTCGGCGACGACGGTAAACCGAAACTGAAAATGAACTACGACCTAGTGCCGACGACGGTGTTCACGCCGTTGGAGTACGGTTGCGTCGGTATGTCCGAAGAGTTGGCGAAGGAGACGTACGGCGAGGAGAACATCGAATCGTTCTTGTCGTACTTCAAACCGCTCGAGTGGACCGTGAACCACGCGGCGCACGATAATGGGAACATGCACAGAGAAGACAACGCGTGTTTCGCGAAAGTTGTCGTAAATAAAGCGGACAGCGATAGAGTTGTTGGTTTGCATTATCTTGGCCCGAATGCCGGCGAGGTGACGCAAGGCTACGCGGTGGCGATGAAAATGAACATGACGAAACAAGATTTGGACGATACGGTTGGGATTCACCCGACGGTCTCCGAACAGTTCACGACCATGTCCATTACGCGTAGCAGCGGAGAGGATCCGCAATCTAAGGGTTGCTGAGGATAAGCGCGTCGCCTGTTCTCGAGATTTTATACATGCTCGAGCGGCGACGCGCAGAATTTTAGCGCTCACGTGGAACAAATATCCATTTTTACGATGTGAAGGTTACGGTGAGTGAAGAGCGAATCAAAATGTTTCAATTCGAGTGTAAATTCAATTTGCACTCTCGTGAGGACGCAAAGCTTGAACGTTATTTTATGACGCGGCTTTGCGACTGATAAGAAACTTTTGATGAAGAAGAGAGACGTGCGCACGCCCCCGCGGGGAAAGCCGGTTTTTTTTGTGAGCTCAACTATTATAGCGCTTTTAACGAAATGAAAACTATACACTATTTTTATATCATTCTAATTAATGCATTCAACGTCTACAGCAGAGCGCGCGCAGCAAGGAGCTATAGTGGTACTTAATCAAAACAGACGAGCCAATCTCAATAATGATTTCACCAAGTGCAACTTCATGCCGTAAGGCGGATACACGATGTTAGAGTCCGAAACTAGACCGAAATCGAACCAGCTCAACCATCTCGTTTTCTGTAACACTGGTTTCCATCGTCGAAAAGATTCCACGCCGGCTAACCCGTGGTGACTTCCATAACCGCTTTCCCCGACGCCACCAAACGGTAAGCCTTCGTGACCGGCTTGGTAAATCACCGAGTTGATGCATACGCCGCCGGATTTCGTGTTGTCTAAAATCAACCTTTGCGTTTTCGCAGATTTGGAAAAGATATACAAACTCAACGGGTTCGGATACTTGTCGTTGATGAACTCGATCGCTTCTTCCGTAGACTTCACAGCTAAAATCGACAAGATTGGCGCGAACGCTTCTTTGCGCATGCACACCGCCTTGTCCGCGTCTAAAACTTTCACTATCGTCGGTTCGGCCATTTTCAACACCTCTATCACTTTGCCGCCACATATAATATTCTCCGCTTTCGAATTCTTCATCTCCTCGGCTTCCTTAGCCATCATCGCGATTCGCGCTTCCGGACCACCGAGTCTTCCCATGGCTTCTGGAACGTCATACCTCGGAAAGAAAGTCTTCACCCACTTTTCGCACTTCTCCGTAAATTCCTTCTCGATGGATTCGTGTACCAACACGTAATCCGGCGAAACACACTGCTGTCCACAATTCAACATTCTCCCCCAGACGCACTGTTTCGCGGCTAAATCCACGTTTCCACAATCCTCACTCACAATCACCGGATTCTTCCCACCCAGTTCTAACACGCACGGTGTCAAATGCTCCGCACATTTCTTCGCGACAATTCGTCCAACTCTACTCGACCCGGTGAAGAAAACCACGTCGAACTCTTTTTGGTCGAGAACTGCGTTCATGGTATCGATTCCATCCCCGGGATGGCCTGCACCGACAACCCTGCACACGTCTGGGTCCATATACTGCGCGATCAAATCGTGCAACAACTTTGCGCTATACTTCGCGTCGTTACTTGGTCTCACGACGACGGAACACCCGGCCGTAATCGCCGACACCACCGGTCCCAACGCCAACAAAAACGGGAAATTCCAAGGCGCTATCACCAGCGCCAACCCAAACGGCTGCGGCTCTAACCACTGCGTGCTCGGTTGACTTATCTGTGCTAACGAATGCTCGTTCGCTTTTTTGTACTTTGGATTCCACCTGCGACAATGTTTCAAACTCTGCTCGATCGAACGCAACGGTATAAACACGTCGTAGATGAACGCTTCCAATCGAGGCCTACCCATATCGTAATACAACGCGTCGCATATCGCTTCCTCGTTTTCTTTCACCAGTCGTTTCAACTGCGTCAACTGTTCGATTCTTTTCTCAATCGGAACGTTCGCGTTTCGTTTCACTTTCTCCTTCATCTCCTTCACCACCGCCGGGATCTCTTTCGGGCCAACGACGATTCGTTTCTCATCGCCTTCCTCGTCGTCTGAATCCGAGGAGAAATCGCCCGCGTATTCCTCGCCAAACTCTTTCGATTCTTTCGAAAACTTTTTCGGTTTCACGAACCGAGGTTTTGGACGCCATTTTCTCTCTGTCTCGTTACTCGCAGACGCCGGGACGAGAAACTTTCTCGGTAAACGTTTCGCCGATTTCGGCCAGAAAATGAAGACGAAAATCATCATCGCGAACAAAAACGATGAAAAAACACTCGCCGCAACGGATGATGATGCTAACATGCCGTCTGGGAGAACAACTTTGACCGATCGGAGAAACGCGTTAAAGAAGAGTGGCGGTGGTTTGGACGCCACGGGGGCAGAGGTGAAGCGCGAGAACAATCCGTCCATTTTTATTATTTTCGTCGTGTTTGTGAGAGGTGATTTGTGAAGCAGAAGAGAAGAGTTTTAAAGAAATCAAATATAACTTGCGCGTGTTGCGATCGATTACCAAGACGCCTACGTGTGCCCAGTCTCTCTTTTTCTCTCGGTTTACACACACACACACGTGCAGAGTGTACGTGTGCATATTTATATACAAATTCATTCATTTTTTATATCGCTGTGCTACCGCTGCTACCTACTCTTTCCTGCGTGCTCTCGCGTGCTCTCTCTTTTTAGTGAAGCGTCCGGCGTGAAAGGACGGCGACGTTTACTTGTTCACCGGATTCCCGACAATCTTCGAAAACTCCTTCACCATGATCCCTTCCTTCTCCAGATTCTGGACGAAAATCGCCTCGTCGAGCTTGGGGAACTCCGCGACTCCGGTGGGCATGTGCGCGATACCTTCCATTATGATATCCTTCCCGCTGCGATACTGGTCGAGGTGCGATATCGTGACGCCTTGTTTGCACATCAAATCCGTAATCTTCATCTCGATCGCCTTCGTGTACGGCGCTCTGAGTTGAATCCTCCTGACGAACGGTAACAGCGGCGACGTTTCGCAGTACGGTCCTTTGATATCTTGCATCGTATCTCTCGCCTTTTCGACTTCCACGTATGAAAATTCCATGGAGTCGAGCGCCTTCTTCAAATCCGCCTCCGTCGCCCCGACGGTCAAAAACATCTTCACCTCCTTCCCTCCTAAACGAAGCTGACGAGACTCTTTAATCTCCGCGTTGATTTGCGATAATCTTTGGAAACATTCCGCCAGGGACGTCGTTCTCGATCCAACCGCGGTGGATATCAACGGAACCGGAGATTCCCCGGAAGCCGCATACGCTCTCACGGGAAAGTTGTTCACGCTGGTGGTACGTTGTTGCGCGTTGACCACAAAAGAAGAGGCTCCGCTTCTCAAAGCCAACGCCGCTCTGCGAACGTAGTTCTGCATCTCGTCTCCTGTCGAGCGTAAAAAAGTGTTCGTGTCGATCCGGATGTGCGTGCACGCGCGAGAAAAAGTGTCGAGAGAATCTCGAATGGAAAATTCTCGTTATCCGTATCTTTGGGAAGAACGCGTCACTTCGTATTAACGTGCTTACACGAAACGGAGTACACTTTACTTAAACGGGTAGAAAATGATGCGCGCTCTTCTCAAAAGGGGTTTGCAACGACACCAGCAACAACATCAGCATCATCAGCGGTGTTCTTTCGTGTTGTTGGATCGAACAACGTCTGCTTCCTCGTTCTCGTTAACGTCGTCGTTTACGTCGTCGTCGACACCGACATCGAACGAAGAAAAGAGCGCTTCTCTCGACAACGACGAGGAGAAGAAGAGTTCAGAGAAAGAAAAAGAGGATCAGGCATCGTTCGGGTACACGTCCGTGCCGAAAACGAAGAAGGAAAGTTTAGTGCGAGACGTGTTTGAATCCGTGGCGCCGAGTTACGACGTCATGAACGATTTGATGTCCGTAGGAATGCATCGACTTTGGAAGGATTACTTCGTGCATAAACTCGCGTCGTTTCCAGGGATGACGCATTTAGACGTCGCCGGTGGAACCGGGGACGTGTCGTTTCGAGTTTTGAAAAAGTTACGGAAGGTGGACAGAGAAGGGAACGGGAAAGAAGCGAAGAGTCGGGTGATTGTGAGCGATATTAATCCGGCGATGTTGAAAGTCGGCGAGGAGCGAGCGGCGACGAAAGGATTGAAGAATCCAGGTTTCGATACGAAGACGGATGCGGAGTTGGAATTTGTGGAAGCGAACGCGGAGAAGTTACCGTTTGAAGACGAGAGTATAGATCAGTACACGATTGCGTTTGGGTTGCGGAACGTGACGAACATTGATATCGCGTTGAGAGAAGCGCGGAGAGTGTTGAAGAAAGGCGGGAGGATTTCGATTTTAGAGTTTTCGCACGTGGAGGAAGAGCCTTTGAAATCTTTGTATAACTTTTACTCTTTTGCTGCGATTCCGACGATGGGTCAGATTGTCGCCAACGATCGAAAGTCGTATCAGTATTTAGTGGAGTCGATTAGGAAGTTTCCGAAACAAGAGCGGTTGTGCGATATCATGAGGGAGGAAGGATTTTCGAGCGTGGATTTTGAAAATATAACCGGCGGCATCGTGGCGATTCATAACGGATATAAACTGTAGAGGTATGTGTGAATAGATTACAAGAGAAATTATGTACAGTATAGTAGTATTAGTTGGTAAAATTGTGGTATACGGTAAAAGTAGTTTAATAACAATCATGTTCAGATGGTTATGTATAGATGAGTACTCGTTCAAAAATATCGTATCGACTGCGTTCTTTCTTTCTTTCATTTAATCATCCGCAAACGCAAAGGGATCGAGGCCCTCGAGACCATCGTCGTCGACGGCGTCATCAGCGCTGGAATCGTCGTCGTTGTGCGCATTTTGCAAAATCTTTGCGCGTAAAAGTGCGTTTTTTGCGGGAGACTTCTTCGTCTTGAGCGTAGCTTTGCGTTGTTGGTGCGATAGCAACGACGCCGGCGGAGGCGTCGGTGTTTTCTTTTTCAGCACCGCCACAGATGGAGCGTGTTGGTTATTTCGGGAAGCTCCCGTCGTCGACTTTCGTACGCGGCCTCTTGAAACGTGCGTCGCTAGTTCTACCAGTGTTGTCGCCGATGGTTTGCTCTTAGTAGGAGCTTCGGATTTCTTCTTCGTCTTCCTCGCCGTCGCTGTCGCCGTTCTCTCCATGGATTGCGTCTCGACGTCGTTTTCGTTCGCGTGGCCTTCCTCCATATCATGACTTTGGATTGTCACGCGTCGACGACGAGAACTTTTCGACGCTGGAGGTTTTTCAACTGTTGGTTTATCGCCAACGGGCGCGTCGTAAAAATTATCTGCGTCTGGATCGAGAGTAAACTTGGTCGATTTCGTCGATTTAGACGTGGATTTTTGTTGATCTCGTTGTTTGAGAGCGCTCTTCTGCGTTGGAGCCGGTGCTTTTCCTCTCAGCTGATCAATGCCATCGTTGAAATTCTCTTCATCCTCGTCTGAACTGTTGTTGTTTTCGTCCGTAGCTTTCGTGGCAGTCGCTTTACTTTGTTTTTGCAAATTCTCGAGTTGCGCCTCGTACGCCGTCTGGCGAAGCTTTGCGTCTCTTTTCAACTCAGCAATCTCGCTCTCCAGCTTCTCGCACTCTTCTTCCTTCGCGATTAAGTTTGCGTTCGCGCGATCGATATCTTTTCTCGCGCTTTCTTTTACCCTTTCAATCTCCTCGCGATTCTGCACCGCTTTCGTGCTTATATACTCCGCGTTTTTCTCCGTCAACTGTTTCCTCGTCTTTTCCACGGTTCGATTTTGCTCTTCTCGGATCTCCCTCTTCTCCTTTTCGTACTTATCCTCTAAATCGTCCAGCTTCTCCGCGTGTTCCTTTTCCAGCCGTTTCTTCTCGTTCTCGCGCTCTGACAATGCATCTTTTGCTTTGTTTCGTTCAAGTTCGAACTCGAACAACTGCTCCTCTTTCTCGCGAAGCGTCGCGTTCACCGCTTCGAGCTGCCTTGTTTCCGTCTCCAATGCCTTTGAAACCTTTTCCAACGCATCTTTCGTCTTTTGCACCTCCAAACGCTCCGTGTCCACAGATTCGCACCACTTCAGCTTATCTTTTTCGTACGTATCCTTTAATTTCGTCAACTCTCCACTTAGCTTCTTCAGTTCCCCTTCGTTCTTCGTCGTCGCTTTCTCCTTCTCCTTTCGTAGAGCGATAAGAGCCTCGTCTTTTTCCACGTTTACTTTCAACAACGCCTCAAAGCTGTCTTTCAGATCCATCGCTTTCTTCTCCGAGCCCGTTGCGCGATGCAATAAGTCCTTCTCGTGTTCCGCTTTCTTCCGTAAATGCGCCAACGCGCCTTCCTTCTCCTCGAGAATTTCCTTCACCTTCTCCTCTTTCTTCGCGACTTTCTCGAACAACTCGCGCTCGCTCACCGTCAACGCTTCGACTCGCTTCACCAACTCCTCGTTCGCAGCGAACAGCCCGTCTCTCTCTTTGATGGAAGTTTTCAACGCTTTCAAATACTTCTCGTCGCATTCCAACCGGTCCGTCAACGCGTCTTGCGCGAACGTCAAGTTCTCATCGCACGTCTTTTCCGCCTTCTCCGCGCGCGCCAACCGGTCGCGTATTTCCTCGTGCGCGCCTTCCACCGCTTTGAATCTCTCGCTCAACTCGCCAATCCTCCTGTTCGCGGAGTTCAAACTCGCGCGTAATTTCGACGTCATCTCTCGTTCGCTCTCTAAATTTCTCCCCATCGTTCTCTCCGTCTTTTCGTATTCCTCCAATTTCTGCGTCATCAAAAGTAACTCTTGCCTCGCTTTCTTCCTGTCCTGCTCGAGCTTTTCCGCCGCGTCTTTGATCGAGCACATGGAGCTGCTCGGCTGCCCGAACGTCGTCACGCGAGGCCTCCCCCCTCCCGATAAACCTAAACCCCAGGTCTGCGTCGTGCGAAGTTCCAAGTTGACGTCGCCGCGGATCGAGTCGAACACGTTGTTTGCCGTCGTCGCGTTGCTCGTATTTTTCCTCTTTTGAAGCTCGTTGGCCGCTCGCTGAGACGACGAAGACACGAGCGCGACCTCGTTGTTGTTGTTGTTGTTGTTCGTGTTTTTCGCGCCTCCTCCTCTTCCTCCTCTTTCTCCCGTCGTCGAGGTGATTAAATTGAACATGGTAAACGCTCCTGCGCTCGATTCTGTCGCGAAGCGCGCGTTTAAAACTTCGCGCGAATGGCGTTTGTCTTCTTCTTCTTTGTCTTCTTCTTTGTCTACTCCGCTTTTTGCGCTTATTTTTTGTGAGGGAAAGGGAAGATGCAAATTCCTCATTTATATCTATTATCCGCCAAAACATCATGGACGTGATCGTAAACTCCGAACAACAACAACAAGATGAACTACAAAAACGTGGTGGTGGTGAACGTTTGGGCGAGACGAGGAGGGAGAGTGGTGGCGCAGTCGCGTCGTCGTCATCGTCTCGAGATGGTAACGGTTGTTCTTTTTTAGGTAATGTCTTCACCTCGAAGATGGGACAAACAACGAACGCGGTGCGGCAAAACTGGCGCGACATGAGAGACCAGTTTTCCACTCGAGAGGCGAACGGGAGTCTCGGTGATTTAGGGACGTTTTTACCGCTTTTGCTAGGTTTGTCCATCACGCAAGGGTTGGATTTAGGGACGACGTTGATTTTTACCGGCGTGTATAACGTTTTCACCGGGTTTCTGTTTGGTATTCCGATGCCTTTGCAGCCGATGAAGACCATCGCGGCGGTGGCGTTGTCGGAAAAACCGTTGACCTTGAATGAAGTCATCGCAGCGGGGATATTTGTGTCGATTATTGTGTTCATAGTCGGTGCGAGTGGGATGATTGACCAATTTAATCGCGTGACGCCGGTGGCGACTATCAGCGGAATGCAGCTCGGCCTCGGTTTGAGTTTAGCGAAGAAAGGATTTACGTTGGCGGCGTATACGTCGAGCTCGATGGGGAGTTTACGGCCTTGGTTTGAACGAGATGGGTTGTTTTTAGCGATTACGAGTGGATTGATTGTGTTGTGGACGAGTGCGCCAAAGCCGCAAAGCGTAGCTGCGATGACGACGAACGCGAAGAAACGCAGCTTACCTCGCGTCCCGGCGGCTTTAGTTTTAGTCGTTTTAGGCTTTATTCTCGCGTTGAGCGTCCCAAACGCGACGAGAAGTTTAAAGTTTGGCCCGACCAAGCCGAAGTTGTTAAGCTTAAACTGGAAGGAAGCGAAAACCGGGATTGTTCGAGCTGGCATTCCGCAATTACCGCTGACCATGCTGAACTCAGTCATCTCCGTGTGCGCGGTGTCGCGAGAGTTGTTTCCGAACCATCCGGCGAAGCCAAGAGACGTGGCGACATCGGTCGGGTTGATGAATTTAATGTCGTGCTGGTTTGGCGCGATGCCGACCTGTCACGGTGCGGGTGGGTTAGCCGCGCACTACCATTTTGGCGCGAGAACAGGTGGTGCGATCTGTTTTCTCGGCGCTTGGAAAGTCTTGCTAGGTATTGTCTTCGGGAGCAGTTTACTTGAACTTCTCGCCAACTTTCCGGAAAGTGTACTCGGCGTGATGCTTTTTTCCGCCAGCTGTGAACTGATGGCGACGGGTTTGCGAGGATCGCCGAAGCAAGCCACCGAGGCGAGCGAGAAGTTCGTGTTGTTGGTCACGGCGAGCGTCACGGTGGCGGCGAAATCAACCTGGGTGGGTTTCGTGTTTGGATTAGGGACGCACGCGCTCTTGCTCGCACGAGCTAAGATTGAAGATTGGTTGAACGATCGTGTTGCGTGCGGTGGCGACGACGTGAATGATATTAACGCAGTTGAAGCGAAAGTCCAAGTCGCCACAAGTTGTTAGATGTTGAAAGATATATAGGTACCAGATAGTTCAAGTGTTATATAGAAAGACAAGTTGCACATAGTATATTAGCACACCGGTACTGGTAAAACATCATTTCATTTTTTTCGTTTTAAGAAGTTATTTCCTTTACTATTGTTTCTTTTCTTGGTCCGGTGGCGGCGGCTGCTTCGGCGGCACCGGTGCTGCCGCCCATGCCGCGCGTTGGGTACCTCCGTATTTGCCTCCGCCACCACCGAAACTTCTACCTCCACCGCCACCGATGTATCCGCCGCCGCCTGCGCCGCCGCCGTAGCCGCCGCGGTGGCTTGCGCCGCTGCCGCGGTACCCGCCGTGACTCCCACTACTCCCACTCGAATATGACCCTTGGTGAGGAGCAGAGCGATTAAATCCCATGGCCATTGCGGGATGTCCGCTACTTCTGCCACCACCGTGAGGATGCGACTGTGGAAACGCAGTTTTCGGCATACCGCCACCAGCGCCGCCACCGCTTCCTCCGCCACCCCCAACGCTCGTTTGTCCAGGCATTCTCGCTTGTTTACTCAACGGCTGCGGCCTCGCCACGTTCGCCGTCGTTCCACTTTCCATTCTTTGTCGCTTTCTAACCTCCTCCTGTTTCGCCTCTTCTCTCCTTTTCTTCGTTTGAAACTCGTGCGACGGTTCATACTGAGGCAGTTTCGCCGGATCGCACGGCAACGGTTTATCCCACATGTAATCGGAATCCATAGCTTTTTCCGCCGTCAAGCGCTTCTCCGGATCCAACGTCAGTAACTGCTCTATCAACTTTAACGCGTTCGGAGAAGCGTGCCTAAAAAACTCCCTCAAACGTCTCGGATGTTTGTTGAACTCCACCACCTTGGACCCGGGTAAATTTTTGCAGTCCGGCCACGTCTCCGGCGTCGGCGTTCCGCACAACTCGAAAATCAACTTCAACTGGTCCATTTCATTCTTCCCGGGCATAATCGGTCTCCCGTGGACTAATTCTGCAAATATACACCCCGCAGACCACATGTCCACGGCTGGTGTATATTTTCTCGCCCCCAACAACAACTCTGGCGGACGGTACCACAACGTAATCACTCTATTCGTCAACGGATTCGCGCCTTCCGCGGTATACGACCGCGCCAAACCAAAATCCGCCAGCTTTAATATCCCTCGGTTATTAATCAACAAATTCGACCCTTTAATATCCCGATGCAAAATATTATTCGCGTGGCAATAATGCAATCCTTGAAACAACTGTTTCATGTAACATTTGATCTGCTCTTCGCTAAATTTCATCCCTGGTCTATCGGCGAGACCGGCTAAATCGTGGTCCATGTACTCAAACACGAGATATATCGATCCTTTCATATCGTTCGCTTTCTGCGCTTTCGAAGTCACGATCTCCTTCAAATTCACCACGTTTTTATGCTTTAACTTTTGTAAAATCTTAATCTCGCGAATCGCGGTGATGGGAAAACCTTCCTTTTCGTTGTCCATGCGGACTTTTTTCAACGCCACGATTTCGTGCGTTGAACGCTCTTTCGCCATGAAGACCATGCCGTACGTGCCTTCTCCAACCTGTGTTATGAGTAGTAAAGAAGAATAAGGATTGAAGAGAACGCGATTGTCAGCGAAAACAAACTCGAAGAAGGAGAAGACAAGGCAAAGAAGACGACAAAGACGCGCAAAAATTGGATCCAAAACACTTACCTGCTCTAACTTCTCGTACGCCTCGACGCTCCTCGTCCTCGACCTGTGCATAGATTCCCGGTCTTTGTTCGTTCGCACCCACTCCTCTTTTTGTTTCCGGGCAGTTTGCGCGACTGAAATCATGTCCTCCTCGCTTTGTTTCGGGGGATTCTTCGAACTCATCATCATCGTCGTCATCGGCTTCCCCGCTTTCTCCGTCTTTTGCGGCGCGGTAACATTCGCGCCGCTGGTCACCGCATTCGTATTCTGGATTCCAGACGTTTGCGCGACAGACGATGCGGCCGTCGTGGTGAGGGTTGTTTCCGCCGGTTTCGCAGCGCCGGATCCTCCTCCGTCGTCTTTGCCGCTCATTTTGATGAGAGGAGTTTTAGAGTGAAGTTTTGAAGATTTTTAGTGTAACGTACTCCTACACGGTCTACATGCTATGCGGGAAAGATGTTCTATGTTCTCTCTCTGAAGTGCTACTCTTTTGCTGCGATCTATTGAAAACTATCATCTCTCTGACTATGTGTGCGCTAATTTCTTCCCCCAGTCGAGCAATCCTTCTCGAAACGCGTCGCATTCAAACGGCGCGTTCGCCGCGTACCTCGCTTTGCCGGATCCGCGCTTTAAAACGCCGTCAACGTAGAGCGTTTGGTGGATTTTCACACGCAGGTGTTCGTGTAAATCCGCGCACCCGGGTTCGGTAGTGAGCAGTAATCGTAATCCAGTTTTCGTTTCGTAAAAGTGGAACTTGTAGTTGTTCGTGCGGAAGGCGCGGAAGTGGTTGTCGCCGAGCGCTCCTCTGCGTTTTGTTTGGGAAAGACAAAAGTAGGAGAGAGAGAAAGCATAAGTGAGCTTAGAAACAAATTACATAACAAAACGTACTTCATCGGGTCCATTTTCATCGCGAACTGATTCATCGTAAAGAAGAGTCCGAACAACGTTTTCGTCTCTTCGTGGACGTTTACGTTTCGAGGGTACGGTCGCGACCACTCGTGGTAGTAGACGATTTCGCCCTGGAAAGTGTTGTTGGGGAAAGAGAGAGAGGAAATGTCAGCGTCAGAGAGAGTTAGAAAAGAGGTTTGTTTTGATAAAAACTCGAACCGCGAGGAGAAGAGAGACAGACACACTTTTTTGTTGAACATGTGAAACGTGTACAGCTTTACCATGGCGTCGCGCACGCGGGAAAAGGTGCTGCACGCGAAAGGTAATTTGCGCTTTTGGAATGTGGAATTTGGAGAGTTGATTTGAGAAGGAAAGAGTCGCACTCGACGAAACAGCGAAGGACGAATGTTCTCGCGGACTTCTCTTCTTTCACGTCTTTTGCGATATTCTCGCTCAATTATGGGATGTTATTACACTATACAATTTCTATTTTCCAACCTCTCTTATGTACATATATTTTCTCTCTCTCTCTCTCTCTCTCTCTATTTTCTTCCCGCGGTCTTCTCGACGAGTTATCATATCAAACAACTCTCGGAACTATTTTATTCGCCGGTTGAAATCCAGTCAACACCTTCGTCGTTTCCTCTTTCGATTTATCTCCGTTTTGGTATCTCGTGCCGTTCTTTCCGACACCCTTTTTCGTGTACTGAGGGTATTGACTCCATCTTTCTTTCTCTTTTCTTTTCTTCTCTTGCGCTTCGGTGTACGAAACGCCGACGAGGTAGCTTTCGAAATTCTCCGTGTTGTAAGCGGTAGAACCGTCTGAGTTGGTAGTTGGTGGCAGTTGAGGTTCAGGCGATCGACTCGGGGAGTACACTCGAACGTTAATGTCTTGATCGCTGACAGACTTTCGAGGCGCGTGCATGGTTTGACCGTCGTCGCCGCGGAAACGGTGGCGTTGTTGCCTTCCCTTGATAGCATCTTGAGTGCTCAAATCAGAAAAGTCATCCATGCTGTCGCGTTTACTCGCATTCGAGTTTTCAAAGTTCTTTCTGCCTTGGTCGTCGGAAAGTTTGTACCACTCAGAGAGCATGACGGTATCGAGCTCGAGTTTCTGGAGCATTTCTGCGGCTGAGGCGGCGTTTAAGGTGGAGTGGATACGCTTTAAGCCATCTTGGTCTTCTTCGATGATAGTTGGGACGCCTTGGAACGTTTGCGAGGATCCATGTTTTGGTAGGAACGTCGCAACAACATCATCTTTCTCGTCGAGTATCGTCTCAGACGGTTTGAACTTTGGTTGTCGTCTCGTCAAGTTGCGAGTCTTCTCGTCGTTTCTTTCGCCGTACACACCACCGACGCGGTCGGTTATGATACCACTCGCGCCCCATTCCACTTGGCGACCTACTAACGATTCGTCGTTCGCGGAACCGTAAGATGCGAGCAACAATCCAGAATCTTTCACCAATTCGGCAGATTTTGGGTTTTCAACGAGTCTGGCTACATCAGCAACGACGCCGCACAAGCCTCCTTTCAAAGCAACCTTCATCGCCGCTTCCACAGAGCGTCGCCGTGGATCGTCGTGATTTTCTTCGCCGTCCGTTAAAATCATCACTGGATACGTACCTTGTAAGGCGCGCATGAGTGTAGCCGCATCTGGATCGAACGACGAAAACACGATGCGTCTATCGTTATGCTCGGAACACGCCGCAAGAATGGACCGTAGCTCGGCTACGAGTCTCGGAGCCTCACACGAGTTGTGCTCGTCGTACTTCAGCTCAATGTTAAATCCAAGTTCTTCGGGAGTATTCGCAAGCACTTCCGATAACGTTGGTATAACGTCCTCGTCTTCCATGATCCACGGTAACGATTTGGAAATGTCGTCGATGGAATGCTCGTGATCAAAGACTCTGTAAAAGACAACTGGATCTAAATCATCCTCGTCGTCATCTTCGTCGTCATCTAACTCGTCGTATGACTCGTCGTCTTCCAACTCCGCGCTTTTTTTCCTGGGTCTGGGCATTGGCAATTTTCCTGTCAGGCGCTCGGAGGTAATCTTTGCCGCCATGGAAAGTTCTTTGAGATCCGCCCATTCGATTTCGCGCACGGAAAAGGAATCAATCGGTCCGTCCCCGCGTTTTACCAGCACAACGTCATCGTGCCAGACCACAGGGACACCATCCGAAGTTACTTGCACGTCAAATTCGCACCATTCCGCACCGTCTTTGTGAGCTTGCGTGAAACTCAAAAGTGTGTTTTCACGAATACCAGGACCAGAAGCGTGATTCATGGCGACGCCGCGATGTCCAATCACTGCGCAACCAATTGGATCATATAAACCGGGGATATTCTCCACGAACGGTTTTGGCGATTGAGTTCTCGAGCGTGATTTCGATTTGTTGCTGCCGTGATGTCCGTGGCCTGGAGTCGTCCTAGAGCGCGCTCGTGGGTGCCGAGCACCAAAATCCTCATCAGGCTCGTCGCCGTTCTCCGAGAGTTGCTCCGAGTCTCGCATCATATTCGTGATAAACTCGGCGCGACGAATGTTCAACATATCTCCTCCGTCCATTTTCCACTCTTTACGAGAGACGACACCAAAGTGTTCAAGAATAGTTGGTGAAATATCCGTATCTTGCGGAGACGGTAAGATCTCCCCAGTCAACTTGCACTCGATGCCAGATTCGATCAAAACCCATCCACTGGCGTGTTGAGAGACTTCTTGCATTCCGGAAACGCCATTCGCACGTAACTGTCTCCCGCCACCTTGACTCCAATCGCTCGCATCGTGCATAGCCTGCATCGATGCTGGCATATCGTTTCGACACGTGCCTCCAGATGGCGACGTAACCATGACGAGCCAATCTTCGTTTTTTATCGTCTCTTGACGCTTTCGCAAAGCCTCGAGGACAGCCGAGACGCGTTTATCCGCGTTCTCAATCGCGTGAAGATATTCTTCTACGTGTGGGCCGAAACCGTGCACGTGTCCTGCAGTTTGAACGTCTGCCATGTGCAGAAATAATGCATCCGGAGTCGTTTCGTCTTTACCATCGTCGAGCGCCTTTTCCGGGACTGCGAGTTGCTGAATGATCGCTCTCGTCGCTTCCGAATCCGTCGCGCCTACCGACACGAGCGCGATGGCTTCTTTCGCTATGATTTTGTGCAAATCCTTCGCGCCGCCAACGGCGGAAGCACAGTTTGCCCACGGACGCGCGAGATGTAATCGCGCGAATACGCCTGTTAACGTGGCGTCATGATCTTCAACAATATCCTTCAAAACCGAAACGGATTGACCAGTCAAAGCAGGTAACATTGCAGACGATGGCGACTTGGACGCGCGCATTGCGGAAACAGTCATATCAAGCGAAAAGCATCCATTTTTATTTCCACGAATAAATGATTTGAACGTCGGAGTATTTGCAATCATCATCGCGTCGGAGCGACATCCCGCGATGGCAATCACTAGCACTTTACGCAGTAGCTTCTTTTTCTTCGGCATCTGTGCGCTATCGGAATCGGGGTGATGCCGATGATGCCTATGGTGACCGGTGTTGTTGCTATTGTTGCTGTTGTTGTGTTTATTCAAGCGCGATGATGGTCGACCAATTCCATTAGACAAAGACCCTGAAATGGACTCCCTTTCCAACTTGAAACGATCGGATTCCCACGAATCCACGCGACGGTGAAGACCTGCTTTTCTGTTCGGACTCGAGCGCGCTACGAACGGTTTCTGCTGCGGAGAAGTCGACATTGTTGTCGGCATTTCTACTATCAAAGTATCACCTCCTTCGTCGCTCATAGAGCATCGATTTGGTGCGAGTTCAGAGTAGTCGACCGAGTTTCTCTTCGACTCTTCATCCGAGGAAAGAGAATTATGATTCGCTGTTGATGTTGTTTGCGCCGTCAAATTTCCCACCGCAACCGCCGCAACAAGGCTTTCTGCTGGATTTGTATTACCATCACCAGTACTTTTTTGCATCACTTCATCAACAATCGTAGCATATGGCGACCCGTCTTCCTCGTCCGGGAAATTCATCGCTATGAAATCATCCAAATACGAATCGACATTAATCAAATTCGCCTTCTTCGCGTTTCTCGCCTTACATAACGGACATGCATCCGGCACAAAGCACACTCTTTGTGTCGCTTTATACGCGCTCGTTAACGCACTCAACGTATTCGAGGACTCTTTCGTCGTCAACCCGTGATTGAACGACTCCGGCTGTCTCGCGTCTGACGAAACGACGCACTTAAAACAAAACCGATGCCTACACGCTAACCTCACCGGGTTCGTCATCACGTCATCGCACACCGAACAAATCCTATCCTCAATCTGTCTCGCCTCCGCAGGTGCCGCCCTCGCAGCTAACAGCTCTGTCCTCGTCACCACCTCCGCCAACGACGTATCCACGAACATCGGCACGTCGCGGATAATCTCCACCGCGTTCTCTCTTTTGTTACAATTCTTATTATACTTCTTCACCGCTTTCACCACCGCGGTGTAATTCAAAATAACAAACGATCTCAATTCGCTCAACTCCGGCGCGAAGTGTTTCACGATTTGCTTCTTCGCCGACTTGAACCGCTCGACGTCGGTTTTTTCGTGCTTTATCTCCTCTTCGAGGATATCCAACTGCCCCCGAAGTCTCGTTTCGGTTTTGACGTAGAAGTCGTTCGCCTGCGCCGTAAACAGTGAAGAAGGAGCAAAAAAGGTGAGTCACGGACGACGAGGAGGAGAGAAAGGAGAGAAAGCGCCGCGTTCGCGCTCTTTAGACATCGTCGTCTCGACAAAGGTGTTGCGCAAAATTTGGAATAATGTCGAGTCCCCGGCGGGAAATTATTCCCTCGGAAGAAGAAAAAGAAACGAATAGATAACAAGAACAACAACGAAACAACACTCGAAGAATGAGACGTACCTTCATAATTTCCGCCTGTAACGTCTTCACGAACAACCCGCTCTTCTCGCCTCCCTCGATGTCTTCTCTTTCCGCGTACAAAGCGTTCTTCAACTCCTTGTACCGAATGTAAAACTCTCGCCATTCCGGGTACCGTTCTTCCACTAAACGGCGTCCAAACTGTACCATTTTATAAAACGATGCTCTTTATATAATATATATCTTCTTCCTCTTTCAGAAGAGAACAAAAAAACGAAGGGAAGGCAGTGAACGAATAAAGTGCGCCGAAGCGCCAAACTGCGCGGGGGGGTGATAAACACACTCTTCAAAGAGAAGAGTGCAGGGAAAGATGAGGAATTTGAGGTACGAGGTTTTCAAATACCTATGGTTTAGGGTTTTAGCTACTTTTGCTGAGTCACGAAGAGAAGAGGAAAAGGACAAACGTGTGCGGTGTACGCATAGACGTGTAAAGAAGTAATAATAATAATAAAAGATTCTTCGAGATGAATAAAAACTAAAACTTTAAACTTCGCGAACTTTAAAACTCTCGACGTCTTCTATCGTCCTCTGCGATTTTCTCCTCGCGCGTTTCTTATTGAACTACTCTTTCTCGACTCGTCTCGCTTCCGCTTGAAGAACAACTAGAGACGGCTTCGCGAGCGCCGGCGCCGGAGGCGAAGGCGGTTCTCGCGAAGAGAAAGAGAAGGAGAGAGAGGGAGAGAGATACATCTGAACGACGCGTCGTCACGCGAAGACGATGATGCACTGGGTCTCTCACTCGCTCTCAAACTCCTCTCGGGATGAGGACAGAAACGCGGGTGTTGAAAAGAGCGCAAACGCTTTCGCCGAGCTCCTCCTTCTAAAACTTCTTCCTAAATAAAATAAAATAATAAATAAAACGTTTCTCGCGATAAAATAGTAGCGTCGCTTTTTTTTTAGAAAGCGGCTTCGCCGTCTTCCTTCTCTTCGTCGTCGTACTCCGCTTCTTCTTCGGCCGTGGCGTCTTGGTACTGCTGGTACTCGCTGACCAAGTCGTTCATGTTCGACTCGGCTTCGGTGAACTCCATCTCGTCCATGCCTTCGCCGGTGTACCAGTGCAAAAACGCTTTGCGCCGGAACATGGAGGTGAACTGTTCGGAGACGCGTTTGAACATTTCTTGAACCGCGGTAGAGTTGCCGATGAACGTCGCGGACATTTTCAACCCTTTTGGAGGAATATCGCAGACGGATGATTTGACGTTGTTCGGGATCCATTCGACGAAGTACGACGAGTTTTTGTTCTGGACGTTTAAGAGTTGTTCGTCGACTTCTTTGGTGGACATGCGACCGCGGAACAAAGCGGAGGCGGTGAGGTAACGACCGTGTCTCGGGTCGGCGGCGCACATCATGTTTTTCGCGTCCCACATTTGTTGCGTGAGTTCCGGAACGGTCAAAGCGCGGTACTGTTGCGATCCGCGAGAGGTGAGCGGCGTGAAACCAACCATGAAAAAGTGCAACCTCGGGAACGGCACCAAGTTCACCGCCAACTTTCTCAAATCCGCGTTCAATTGACCCGGGAATCTCAAGCAGCACGTGATGCCGCTCATGACCGCGGAAATCAAGTGGTTCAAATCACCAAACGTCGGCGTCGTCAGCTTCAACGTTCTGAAGCAAATGTCGTACAACGCTTCGTTGTCCAAAACCATGCACTCGTCGGCGTTTTCGACCAACTGGTGCACGGACAACGTCGCGTTGTACGGCTCGACGACGGTATCGGAAACTTTCGGCGATGGGACGACGGAAAAAGTCATCATCATGCGGTCCGGGTATTCCTCGCGAATCTTGGAAATCATGAGCGTCCCCATGCCTGAACCAGTACCACCACCCAAAGAGTGACAAACTTGGAAGCCTTGCAAGCAATCGCACGACTCGGCTTCTTTACGCACGACGTCCAACACCGAGTCAATCAACTCAGCACCTTCCGTGTAGTGGCCTTTGGCCCAGTTGTTACCAGCGCCAGTTTGTCCGAACGTAAAGTTATCCGGACGGAAAATTTGTCCGTACGGACCAGACCTGACCGAGTCCATCGTCCCGGGTTCCAAATCGACCAAACACGCTCTCGGAACGTATCGACCGCCGGAGGCTTCGTTGAAGTACACGTTGACGCGCTCGAGTTGTAAATCCGAATCGCCGGAGTACGAGCCAGTCGGATCGATCCCGTGCTCATCGCAAATGACCTTTTGAAGTGTAATAAATGAAGAAACGTATGTACCGTCAGCGTTTGCGCGCGTTGAAGATGAAACGTGTGTTGAGAAAAAAAGAGTTGACCGCGCACTCTTCTTCGAACGAGAGAAAAGAGTCGATTGGAAAAAAATCTAAAAAAAGGTCTTCCTCTCGCGTACCTCCCAAAACTTGGCGCCGATCTGGTTACCGCACTGACCGGCTTGAATGTGGACGATTTCACTGTTGTTGATTGGTTGAAGAGCATAATGCAAGCGTCAGTGATGAGAGCAACGCGTCGTCGTTGCGCGCGCGTATTGGAAAAAAACAGAGAGGCGGTGGTCCATCTCGCATGTGAAATGCAAAGAGAAAGGTAGTTGACCAAAACCAAAAACCGATACGCGCGTAAAAAGCCGCGCGCACGCGCGAGCGACGAGAGAATGACGAGTGTGGTTTTTCTCCACATCGTCGCTCTCGTCTTCTCGCTCGCGCTTTGAATGAAAACGAATGAAAGTACTTACCGCATGGTTGATTGTGTGTATCTTTTGTGTGTGTTTGATGTGTTCTCGTTTGCCGCCCTCGGGGAAAGAAAAAGTGAAGAAACTTCAGGGAAAAAGCCGAAAAAAAGAGTTCTCACAAAGTTGTTCTTTTGCTTTTGTGGACCGAAACCGGTGAAAATAGTCGTCTTTCCTTGCGAGGGAGTGGCTATTTTTGGCATCCTTTCACTCGCGTGAGATATTAGGTATTTTGCTCACATCGTCTGTTGTTTGTTTGTTCACACTACACTTATTCACACACAAGAAGAAACGGGCCACCTACCACCCCATCATGCGAACGCTCCAGCTCTCTCCTTCGCGACAAAGCGCCGCCGCGGCGAACAATAATAATAACAGTGCGACGAAGCGACAAAAGCGACGCTCTGTCGTAGTCGTTCGCCTCTCCGCGCGCGCGGAGAACGATGATGATGGGATGATGATGTCCACCCTCCCACTGATAGATATCCAATTTGAAGGGTTCAACTCCCCAGACATTCCCGCTTCGCCAGGGATCTACGCCATCTATAACGACAAGAAAGAACTTCAATACGTTGGTTTGTCTCGCAAAATATCCGCCTCGATTAAGATGCACTGCTTTGAGCTACCGGCGGAGTGCGGGTTTGCAAAGGTTTTGCCCATGGAGGAGGCGACGAAGGTGGATTTGCAAGACGGGTGGAAGCGATGGGTGATGGCGCACGTTTCAGAGAGCGGAGGGAGTTTACCTCCTGGGAATACTCCAAAGAATGAGTTGTGGGCGGATAGAAAGAAACGCGGTCCTTCAAAACCGAGTTTACGATTGACAAATGGTATGACTCCGGACATGTCGTTCGACGCGTTGAAACCGAAGATTCAAGAGGCGATTGACGAGCACAAGATTGTAGCGTTTATTAAAGGGACGAGGGAGGAACCGGAATGTGGTTATTCGCACAGAGTAGTCAACGCGTTGAACTCATTGTTGCTTGATTTCGAGACCGTGAATGTATTAGACGATAAGTATAATCCGAACTTGTTGTACGTGATGAAAGAGTTTAGCGATTGGCCGACGATTCCGCAAGTGTACGCGAATAAGGAATTTTTGGGAGGCCACGATATAATCGTGAAGATGTTTGAGAAAGGCGAGTTAAAAGATGCTTTTAAATAACGAGACAGCGAGTAGATGATGTGTAGTAATGTACGATTATGTGTAGATTTCTAGCAAGAACGATGTACTATATAGGTAGTAAAAACAATATTGAGTGACGTTCTTCTTCTTTTTACGTTTTACGCAACTTTCCCACCGGTTCCGGGAACGTTGAAAAGCACGTAAGGAGTGCTATCTTCCACGCCAATCTTGTCGATGATGTAAAAGCCTTTGTTCTTCAATTCAACGATTTGGCCTAACTGGTATGTGCGCAAGTTACAATCGCCATGGCACATGGTCACTTTGTCAGAGTCCAAGTTCACGAGGTCTTTGAAATCGTCGCCGTCTTCCGGTTGTTTCTTCGTTATCAAGTACCCGAAATCGTGTAATTCGAGGGCAACGAGCTCGTCGTAAGCTGGGAGCCAGTTCACTTTTACTTTTGTGCTTTTCACGTCACCGTCTGGGTTCAAAGTAGCGTCGATCGTCTCGATGGTTTTTCCGTCTTCCGCCACGTGAATCTTCTTCGGAATGGCGTTGCCCCACATGGTAAACGTCGCCTCTTCGCCTTCTTTGAGTTTCAAAGCTTCTTCTTGTTCTAACCAAACTTCTTTCTTTCGCAAAACAACATTAACACCGAGTTCTTTATTCTTTGGGTTTTTCGGTTTGGTGACCCACTTGTCGCCGTCCTCGCAGTTGTCAAAAATCACTTTCACGCGTCCTTCGTCGTTGACCGCGACGTGCATGGGCGTTTCCGGGGCGATGAGTTTCTTGTTCACCGCCCAAATTTTGTCCCATTCCATGGTGTTCATGTTTTTAGACGCGCCTTGCGACAAAATAAACTCTTTCAACGCTTCGATGCGCATGCCTCTTCGAACAACGCCTTGGACGGTGGGAAACCTCGGGTCGGTCCAATCAGCCGCGTGTTTGTTATCGACGAACCATTGCAACTTTCGTTTACTCAACGTCGTATACGTGAAGTTCATTCTCGAATAATCCCACAAGTTCACTTCGCGCTGTCCTTGTGCCTTTTGAATAAACTGGTACTGTTCTTCTCGGTCTTTATACTCGGACGTTCTCAACGCGTGCGTGACGCCTTCAATGGCGTCCACAAACGGACACGCGAAATCGTACGTCGGATACACCTTGTATTTGTCCCCTGTTCTATGATGCGGGGTTTCGATGTTACATCTAAAGCACACCGGATCTCTCATGCACCCGTTGTCCGATTGCATGTTAATTTTAATGCGCACGCAACACTCTACGCCGACGGCCGAACCTTTCTTCATCTCCTCCCAAAGTTTCATATTTTCCTCCACCGATTGTGTGCGACACGCGGATTCAGTCTTACTCATGCGCTCTTCGCGCATTTTGTCCACTGGCGTTGTATCCACGTATAATTTACCCTCTTTCATCATCGTATCTCCCAACTTTAAAATTTGTGGAAACGAATCCGAGGTATACGTCAACTTATCGTAATCCAATCCCAACGTCGCGCAGTCCTTCAAAATGTTATCGACGAAATCTTGCTTCTCCTTGGCTGGATTCGTATCATCGAACCGCAAAATGAGCGTTCCTTTGTACCTCCTCGCGAAGTAATGGTTCAATAAAGCCGCTTTGGCGTGACCGATGTGTAAATATCCCGACGGTTCCGGCGGAAATCTCGTGCACACTTTGCCTTCCTCGGCGTCTTTCAAGTCAATCTCAAACGAGCCGGACGTTGGTTTCTTCCCGCCGCCGTCGTTGCTCTTATTCGCCTCTTTCGCCGCTTTTTTCGCCGCCTTCGCCGCGTCTTTCTTCGCTTGACCTTTGGAAATCTTCCCCGGCTCGCCGCCGCCGACGGCCATCTTTTCCACCCGCTTCCCCAAAGCCTCGACCGCCGCGTCGTCGCCTCCCTCTTCTAAAGCGGGGGCCAAACCCCCCGCAGCGTTCGTCTGCCTCATCAACTCCACGAACCTCTTAATCTCCGCGTATTTCTCCACCACCCCATCTTTCACCCCGTTCAACGCTTTGCACATCGCCACATCCGCCTCCGTCTGCATCCTATCCGTCGCGAAATACGTCCTCGTTTGCAGGTACGAATCGATCGTCTTCAACTGCTTCTCGAGCGTTTTCATCGCATCGCCGTTTTTACTCGCTTTCGCCGCCGTCTTCGCGACCTCTTTCGCCTCCTCCAAAAACTCTCGCACCGATCGCATTTCCTCTTTCGAGAGCAAAGAAGATGTCGTCGATGCACTTTTCGAAGATGATTTCGAAACACCAACAACACCAGCGGCATCATTATTGGTCGCTTTCGACGACGAAGCGCCACCACCACTCTGACCACCGCTGTCACTCGCGCCTTCCTTGCTCGAGGAGGAGGAAGAGTCCAAGGAAGTGCTCGCTTTTGCGCCCATTAGTAGTAGTAGTAGTAGTAGTAGTAGTAGTAGTAGTAAATTCCTTCTAATTTTTTTGTGAGGGCTTTCACCAGGAGCTCCTCTTTTGCGAGAATTGCCAAAAATTGCAAAAATTGCCAAAAAACACTTCTGACTTTTCATCTGAAAATTTTCCTCAAAAGAAATCATATAAACACACTTTTGCGCGATGATGTTTTATAAGTTCGGGATACCAGAATATACTGCTGTGTAATTAAAAGTGATTTTGAGACGATGATGTTTGGGAAGGAGGAGAAAGAGGCGCTTTTGTGGACGATCGTCGGGGAGGGAAACGCGCACAGGATGTACGGGAAAAAACGGATGATGAATAGGAGCGGGGAAACAGTTACGAATGAGAACGAAGAAGAGGAAGAAGAAGAACGCTTTCTCCTGAGACGACGAAAACGACGAAAACGAGAAGAAGATTCGTGTACTACTTTTCTTTCTTCTTTGTCTTCTTCTTTCGATCGGTTCGTGTGGTCGAACGGACGGGAAAGAGACGCGGACGACGAAAAGTCGGTGCTCCAACGAGACTTACGTTTTGCGCTGGGACAGCTCTGCGCGGGGTGCGCGGGAGGGACGATTCAGACGACGAAGGAAGCAGGGAACATTTTGTTCAGCGAGCAGCAACGATTGCGGGTGAAATGGAACACGAGTTTGGTGCGAGCAGAGAATGGGTTTTTTGAGCGCATAGACGCGAGAGAGAAGGAAGAGAAGCGACGGTTGATGAGAAGCGACGACGACGAAGAAGAAGTCGCCGGCGGAGAGAAGAAGGCGCCGCAATTCGCCATTCGCGAGCGCGACTACGATTGGATTCCGTTTTATTCTGCGAGGAGGAGGACATCGACGACGACATCGAAGAGGAAGCGGTCGTTGAATGTCGGTCGAACGATACACGCGTTGGCGATTGAAATAAAGCCAAAGTGCGGATTTACGTTTCGGGAAGATGGGAAATTGAGGTACGACGTGAAGACGAACGCAGAAGATGGAAAAAGAGGGAAAAAGTCCGCGTACGACCCGCGAAAGTTTTTCGAACACTGCGAAATCTGGTCCTTCGCCGACGGCGTGGATTACGAGGCGTTGAAAAAACAGCTGGTGAGAGAGTTAGAGCACATGATTGAAACGCCGAGGAATACGTTTCGAGTGAGAGAGGCAAAGACTGGCGAAGTGCTGTGGGACGCAACAAAAGGCGGTTCGAACGCGAAGCCGCGTTTTTCAAACGTCGTTTCCGAGGCGTTTGCCGGTAAAGTGTCTCTGAAAGAGTTCCTCGAACTCATCGTCACCTCTATACAGCAAGACGGCGCGCTTAAAAGGCTCATTCGCGCGCAAAAATACGGTCGCATGGCCAACGCGTACGATTATTTCGGCCCAGACGAGGAAGAAATCGCCATGCGGCGATTAGCACCGACGAGCATTCGCCGAGCGCACGACGCCGTCCTCGAAAGCTACAAAAACGACACCGACGATACCACCACCACAATCACCAAGCAAAAACAACTCAAAGAAGCCTTTGAAATATGCCAAGACGCCATCCTCTCCGCAATCGCCAAGGACGCGTCCATCATACTCGCCGTCCGTCTCATCCCGGGCGGTGGTATCCATCGACGCCTTTCTCCTCCTCCTCCTCCTCGTCGAAAAAGTGCATCATCTTCATCGCTCGATATCGCGCAAGAACAAAAAAAATACGACGCCTACGACCGCTCGATGGATATCCCGAGAGGTTCGGGAGAGATGAAAGACGGCGCGCCGAGGTTTGCCGTTTCCGTGAACATCTGCGACGTGGGGTTGAAATCCGCGTGGAAAATTCCCCAATGGGCCGAGTTAGACTCGTGACTCTGTTGTTGTCTTGACATTATAATACTGATTTATTAAAGCGCGTATTTTTGTTTCACTTAAAGGAAAAACACTTCAAAACGCCGCCAAAACTGGGGGATTCCTCAGAGTATTCCCTCTGCTGTTCCCGCGAGTAAACACACACACACACACATAAACACACATCTCGACGACTTAATAATATAGTATAATAAAAATGGGCAAATCTGCGCGCGCGAATTGTCGCCGCTCTGTCCGCGCCGAGCGGCGAGACATCGTCTTCAACTCCGAGAAAGAAATCAAGCAATTCGCCGCCAAACAGTCCGCGCTGGAAAAAGCGCTCAACTGCGGGAAAGCGCCGATAACGAATTCTTTAAGACGCAAAGAGCAACAGCGAGAACAACAACACGGCGACGACAAAATGATGATTGAAGACGAGAACAACAACGAGAACAGTAATGGTGGTGAACAAGGTTTAAAGCTGCAAGAATTCGACGAAGACGTGTACGATAAGATGAAGCTGCACGAAAAAATGTACGACGAAGCGAACGCGTGGGGTGTCTCGCTCGGGATCAACAAGAAAGTGCTGCGCGTGAAAGGTGGCGGCGTCCGCCGAGGGAAAGAAAAAGGAGTGATATCGGCGAAGCAGATGGCGTACGCGCAATTTTTCGCCGATCCGAAACTGAAGAAGAAGCAGAAGCGGGCGATGAAGAACGTGGAGAGAGGCGTGCGGCGGGGAACGAGTAGCAGAACAAGTCGGGAAATGATGATGACGGAGTAGAAAGTTAGAGAGAGCGCGTTGTAAATACATAGAGTTGCGCGCGTTTTTATACGCGTGGTAAAGTTTGCGAATGAAAGTTGTGTATCTATCGCGCGGCGTATTTTTGCGCCGCTGCGATTAACCAGAGAGCCAGTCGTACCCGATGTTTCCTCCGTCGTCGCTTTTGTTTGTTTCCACGTCGATATTTTCGAAGAAGTGCTGGGTATCGTCGTCTCTTGTTGTCGCCGTTTCGGCGGCTTCAGGCAGTTCTTCTTCCTTTTCTTCCACATCTTCCTCCTCATTTTGGATGGGAGACGCACTCGCTTCCACGACGTAGGCATCCAAGCCGCGCGCGGGTCCAGGCGCATCTTCCCTACCTCGAAAAAATGACGCCGGTTCCACCGCAGCAGAAAGCTTACCAAACTCACGCACTTCTTCTTCTTCTTTTTCTTTTTCTTTTTCTTTTCCTTCATCTTCTTCTTCTTGTTTGACCTCCATCATCGGCGCCTCTTTTTTTTCTTTCGCTTCTTCTGATGCGCAAGAGTTGACTTTTTCGTTGTCTCCTTCTTTCTCTTCTTCTTCTTCTTCTTCTTCTTTTTGTTCAGTTTCTTCCAGTTTAATAACAGCGTTTTCGACGCTTCCCAACGCCGGCACATGCGTTCCTCCATTTTCTATTTTCTCTGGTACAGGTGGTTCAGGTGGTGGTTTCGGAGGATCCAAATCGGGAGAAAATCCGCTGCATTTGGGCAAACCGTCCTTCTCCGGGTCAATCGGGAATGCAAAATCTGGGCCAAAGTTAAACGACACTCTCGCCCGTTGCGACTGATCTTGCAACGGCGTCGTGTATAACGCCGCCGTAGGAAAGTATCCGGACAACTCCAAGGGTTTCTTTGGATGCACGCACGACCGCAAGGACTCGAACGCGATGCCTTGACACTTCCCATTTTTATAAAATACTATTTTCCCTTCGTTCGGCGAGTTTTGATTCTCCTCGAACGCTTTCGCTTTCAAGCGTTCTTCTCCTTTCCTATTTTTCTTGTTACGTTCTGGCGTCGAGGGTGTTTGCTTTTTCTTCGCCTCCTCGTTCTTGACACCATCATCATCGCCACCACCACTCGTTTCTTGCGCATTTACCTGTTCCTTCTTTTCCACTATTTTCTCGTCTAAATACAAATAACAACCAACCACGTCGCCTTCGCCGTACGGTTCGCCGTACGTCTTCAGCCTCGCCTCGTGATATTTCGACCCAGTCTCCGCGTGATAACCGTATCCTTTGTTATCGAATCCAACCGGTGCGTTCATTTCTCCTCGTTTGGTCATCCACCCTACTCGAACGCACCCGCTCCCTCCTAAATGTTCTATTTTAACCTCAAAGTATCTCGCCGTCGTCGTCGTCTCCCTCGTTTCGTCATCCTCTTTCATCCCCTCCTCCTTCTCCTCCTCCTCGCAAACAACCACCGGCTCTACTCCTCGCGTCCCTTGCACGCACCTGTACCCTTTCTGTGAGCTCGCCACCATCCTCCCGTCGTCCATCAACTCGATTCCTTTCGCCATCGTCGGTCTCGATAAACACACCGGTCTCCACTTCGCGTCGTCCTTCTCTCTCCGCTCGATCTCCTCCTCCTCTTTCCTCAACGCCTCTCGCTTCCGTTTCTGCTGCAGAGACATCATCATCGCGTTGTCTTCTTTGTTCGCGTCCTCGCTCTTCGTCGTTGTTGTAATTGTTGTTGTTGTTGTCTCTCCTCCTCCTCCTCCTGTCGCGTGCGTATTATTCGTAGTAGTAAGCGTCGTCGTCGGCGGCGTCGGCGTTCCAGCTCTCTCCTCGTTTGAAGTGTTCTCTTTTTTCGCCACCACGTCGCATTCTCTCCACGCCTCTTCTTCGTCTTCTTTTTCTTCTCCCTCGTTAAACTTCTTCGCGTAGTTGTTGTTGCACTCCTCTTCCTCTTTTCCTCCTAATCCTCCTCCTCCTCCTCCGTTGTTAAACATCACCCCCCGAGAAGAATTATTCGTGGTAGTATTATTATAGCTCTGATGTTGTTCTCTCATTTCCTTAAACTTCGGCGCGATGGTTGCTTTTAATATGTGCGACGGTGGGCCGTATCGTTTCTGTTTCTTCGCTTTTGATTTCGGGAGGTTCCGGAACTCTTTTTTCCGTCGGTCGATTTTTTTCCCATTCATCATCGTGACACCAACCCCCTTCGTTGTTTTGTGGGTAGATGCTGGTGCATCTTTGCGAGGACGGCCCATATCGAGAATACCAACACCGATGAGTTCTTCTCTCTGCGCCCCGAAAACAAAACGCAGAAACAACAACAACAACTCTCTCTCTCTCTCTCTCTCTCTCTCTCTCTGTGCTTTTCTGTGTGAATTTTTGTAAGGAGAATTCGTTTTAAGGGAGCTTTTTGCCCTAAAAATTTAATTGGGTGGCACTTTTTTTCTTTTCAAAAAAACCTTCAACCGTCGTCACTTTTCTTTTCTTTTCTCCCGTTGTTGTCTGTCCTTTTTCGTCCGTTGGTGTTGTTGTTGAGTGAGAGAGGAGGAGGAGGAGGACGTTAACATCAACAATGGCGCGAGGAGGACCACCGCGAGGAGAAAACGCAGATGTGTCGATGCGTAAAAACAAAGCAGAAACCAACGCGTGGTTTATGAAAGACGACGACGGATTCGAGGAAACGACTTTGACGACCTTTTTTATTCCCGAGAAGAAGTTAAAGAAGAAGAAGACGAAGAAGACGAAGAACGAGGACGAGGACATCCAAGAAGAAGAAGAGACAGAAGCGACGAGGACGACGACGAAAACGAGGTCTTTGGCTCGACGCGCGGCGGAGAAGCAGCGAAAAGCTTTGCTTTTACACAACACGAGGGAGAAAAAGAAAGAGGAGGAAGAGGAGGAAGAGAAGACGAAGACAAAGAATACGTATTCGTCTACGTCGTCAACGTCGGAAAAGAAACAGTTGTTATTGCGAGCGTACGCGTTGGAAAACGCGCAGTTGCGAGAGTCTTTGCGTAAATCTTTAGCCCGCGCGAATTCGTTGGAAACTGAATTGGAAGAGACGACGGAAACTTTATCGCGGAGCGAACGCGCTTTGAAAGACGCTTTGATATCGCATCGAGCGTTACAAAACGAGAGCAAAGAGAGTCGAAAAAGAGATCGGGACGCGTTGAATAGTTTGAGGAAAACGTTGGAGGAAAGGGAAAGGATTTCGAGAGGAGAGCGAGCGAGGTGTGGGAGAGCGTTGCGGTACGCGATGGATTGTTTGAGAGCGCACGCGCCGCTGGCGAAGGACGAGAGGAACCAGGGCGGTTCCGTTCTCGGGAGCGTGGTGGCGGAGCTGGCGAGATTGACGGAGATTGCGGTGAGTGCTGGTGATGCTGGATTCAAAGAGTACGTGGAAGGAAGCGGCGTGGAAGACACGCATCATCACGCGCGAAGAAAGGACGACGATTCAGACGACGACGACGAGCGCGCTCTTTTTCAGCGACAAGCAGACGCCGCGAGAGAAGCGAAAACGAAAATCACGCAACTCGAAGACGAACGAAAACGTCTTTTGCGCGCGTTAGAAGCCGCGACAAACCCGAGCAAAGAGTACATCACCAGAGAAGAAAACCTCTCCTTTTTCTCCGCAAAACCAACCACTCGTGACGAGTTTCTCTTCGAGAACGACTTCGTCGCGCCGAGCCGAGCCGGCGCCGCGACCGCCTTTGCGTCCTCGTCCTCTGAATCCTTTGCGCTCCCGGGCGCCGACGCGCTCGCTCGCGACATAGACGCCTTAGATTCTGAGTTGAAAAAGTTAGCCACCGCCTTCGAAGGTGGTCGTATGTAGATGTATTACGCGTAGTTGTAGTTTTGATAGCAGTTATAGTGTCGATTAAAATTGTGACCCTTTCGCCCCTGGGGGATCGTCCTCGGTACACTCCATCCGCTTGGTCTTCTTCTTCTCAAAACTTTCACCCGTGTGTCAACTCATCCTCACAACTTTAACTCCCCTCTCCGCTTTTGCGCGACTGCGGCCAAAGGACGAAAAGAGTCGATATTCACCACGCTCGACCAGAACGAGAATACTCTAACAGTAGTAGTCGTACTCGCGACGACGATTCAGACGAAAAATGAACGCTTTACTCCGAAGTCGGCGTCTTCTTTCCCCGGGGAAATCCATCTTCGATCGGATGTCCTCTCTCGATATCACCGGCGGTTTTGTCGTCCCACGCGCGGTGATGGACCACGCTTCGTCGTCGTCGTCCTCGTCGAGGATTCATTCGCAGACGACGAATGATACGCATCGTTTTTCGATGATGAAAAGCAGTTTTAAACGCGAGTACTCGAAATCTCTCGGCACCGAGGGCGGCTTAAAACCGGACCAAGTGTTAGTCCCGGAAAGCTACGTGGTTTTAGACCGGAATTCGAGAAATCAAAACGGAAGCGACGAGGAGCATCAGCAACCTGATGGAGAAACGAAAGTGAAAATTAGCACGAAGAACGTCTTCGCGGTCGTCTCGATCGGGTCGCATCAGCACAAAGTATCTCCGGATGATTTGTTCTTCGTAGAAAAGCTCCACGGCGCGCACGTGAACGACGTGGTGGAACTGCCGAGAGTGTTGATGGTCGGGAGCAAAACGAAGACGATTGTGGGGAGACCGGTGGTGGAGAACGCGCGGGTGACGTGCTTAGTGGAAGAGGTTTTGCGAGACGAGAAGACGATTATATTTAAAAAGAGAAGGAGAAAGTATTCGAGACGATGGAACGGCGCGAGGCAAACGATGACTGGTTTAAGAGTGTTAGACGTAGAAGGCATCGACGAATAGTAAGTAAGTATTTAGTATTTCAATTCAGTATTTCAACATCATCAAACAGATCTCTCTCTCACTTCTTCTCCTTCTTCTTCTTATTTGTGTACACGTTTCGCTCGACTTCAAAAGTTCGTATTTTAAATGGCAAACTTTCTCTTCAAATCCATCGCAAAGTGAGACCCGGAAAACTTATCGGCGTTTTGTGACTGTTCAAACCACTCCGTCTTTTCAAAGTTTGTTCGCAACGGCGTGAACGTATCCTTGACCCGTTTTGCCAACGGGTCCAAAGTGCGCTTCATCACGTCGTTGACGTCTTGTAAACTATTAATCCCGAGGAACTTGCACGAGGTCAACACGACGGCGCCGGTGCCCCAAAGAGCCAACGTCCCGCCCCACGCCAACGCTCTTCCCGGCGTCGGATCCGGCAATAACTTCACTTTCTTCTTTCCAATCATAACGAACGTTTCATCTCGCATGTGCTTCGAAGCTCGACTCTCGACGCCGTTAAACCTTTCCGGCGCCGACTCCATCAACTCCATCGCCTTGTGCACCGAGAAAATCGAAGTCCCTTCCACCGCCTGCGTCGAACCGCTCCATTTGGACTTCCCCAAAGACACTCGCGAACCGAGCGTCGCGTGTCCAATAAACACCGGATTCCCCGTGCACGCTCCCGAAATCGAATGCTTCTTGATAAAATCTCGATCCAGCTTTTTCGAATTCACCTCTTCCTTCATCGTAAATTTTTTGTCGAACAACCGCACCGAGTGCGCCAACACTTGCGGTAAGGCACCACTACCACTAGAAGAAGAAGACAAAGAAGAAGACGCGCGTCGCATCGCTTCCTCGTACCTCCCTTCAGTTTTCAGTTTCAAAATATACTCCGCGATTTCTCGCTCTTGCTCTTTGATGAAATACTCGTTCTCGCGAGCGCGTTTCATCACGTTCAACGCGTCCGACATTATTGAAGATACGGTTGGTTGTTGGGAAAAAGAGTTTCCGCTTGCTGACGTGGAATCTTTGTTTACTACTACTCTCGATGGTAAGAAGAAAACGAAGACGATCAAAGAAGAATAACGCGACTACCGTAGTATGATTACTATTCGAGCGTGTTATGTGTGATCTGATGATAAAGGGGGTGGGTGTATCGTGTGCGGAAGTGAAGACTGATTTTCTTAATAAATTGTCGTTATCCAAAACAAGGGACATTTTGTGTGTTACATACAGCGAGCGCAAGAGAAGGCATTTTTACTATTAGTATCTAGGTCTAGAGGACGCGTCGTTCACGTACCGGGCGAAGTCGTCGACGTCTATTTCTTCTTCGTCTTCTTTATGGTTGTCCAATTTTTCTCTGCTTTGGCGGAGAAGAAGAAGACGTCGTCCCAACGCGAAGCGGCGCTGGCGCAAACCCGCTGACGATGAAGACGAAGACGAAGATCGAGGGAGGGCTTTTTCCTTCTCCTTAAGCTTCCTCTTCATTTTCCAAAGTACCACGTTATTTTCTGCGTCTCGGCCGACGAAATCAAATCGAGCTATTTTTCTCCGACCGCGTTCCATGGCGTCCCAACACGACTTGATTCGAGGCGATCGATGGAAAATTTTAGAATCTTCGAAAATGGAGACGGCGTTGCGAGCCGCGAAGGCGACAAAGTTGGACGGTTGGACGAGAAGATGTTCCGAGTCGCAAAAGTCAATCGACGGCGTCGCGTCGCTCTCTCCTTTTGTGTCTTCTTTTTTAATCAGCGCAAATTCAAACCACGCGGCTGCATCATCAGCAGCACAGACATCATCGGCGACGGCGGTATCCTCTCGCTCCTCTTCGCACAACGCGTGGCCGACGTAACATCCGCGTTGGAACCCGTCGCGATGCCATCCAGTATTCGTCCCATTCATAGGACAGAAAATCTCGCACGTGCCATCGATTCTGAACAATTTTTCGTTGTCCTCGCTGAACTGCTTGAAAATGCATTCCGTGACGTACTTCTTCGCGCTTTCGGAAAGCGAGGAAGAAGCGCTTTCTCCTTCCTTTTCGGGAGTAAATATGCAAGCAATTTTTCTTGACGAGGGCACTTTCGATACGGTAAATTTGGTCGTCCCAGTCTTCACATCCGCACTCGTTGTACTCTCTCGCAACGGTTCGTTCGCCACGATCGAGACGAGCGCGATCGAGTCATCATCATCATCATCATCATCATCATCCGTTCGATTGCGAAAGTAGTTTACTTGTTTGACAGTTGGAGAATTTCCACTTCCGACTTTTACGTGCTTTTCGATGTCGGAACCGTACAAACTCGACTCGTCGCAGGTGAAAAGAGAAGGAGACGGCATTCGATTCAGCGGTAATGCGCTTTCTTTCTCGCGTCAGTCACCGTTTGGTGCGCATTGCAAAAGAGTAGCACGTGAGATGAAAAGTGGTGAATTCTTTCTTTGTACAAGTCTTCTTAGTGTTACAACTTCACGCAGACGACGGTCGCCGAAAGCTCGATCGAGCTCTACAGTTTTAGTCTTCGTCGTACGCGCGCGCGCGCGGCTAGTACTGCTACAGCTCCTCTTTTTTGACGTCTTGTCCTTCTTCGTTATCTTTTTCTTCTTCTTCTCTCGCTCGGTTCTCTCCGTTCTTTTCTCTCAAAACGTCTCGCACCGCGTCTTCCTCGATGAGCTCTTCTTCGACGAGCGCGTCGACGACGTCGAGCGGCGGTTTGATTTTCGCATTATCCGGCATTCCGAGCTCGTAAAATTGTTCTTCGGAAAGCCACACGACGTTTGGATCCTCTTCTTCTCCTTTGTTCGATGCCGTCGATTTATCCGCCGAGCGCTTCTCGAAAAAGTCGACGATATCTTGCCTCGATTCAAAGACGTGCACCGATTCCACCTCGATATTTACATCTTCGCTCTTCTCGTTCGTAAGAATTTGGTGAATGTGCTCTCTCGCGACTCTTAGCAGCTCCTCCTTTTCTTCCTGAGTTAACTCGTCGCCAGTTTGAGCGTTGTTCGCCAGGGAAAGTTTTCGATTCAACTCTTTCCTCTTGATGTACGCTTCCGAAGATTCCTCCTCCTCTTCCTCAATCACAAACGTCACCTCCTCGTGCTCATCTTCACTAATCTCAAAATACTGTTTCTTTAGCGTCGGGTATCGGTCGTCTACGATAAAAAAACAAATCGGGTCGCCGATGTAGTTCTTTGCCAACCATTTGTGTTTCGTAAACGTGCTCAACGTCGTGCTCGCCCCGGGCGCTAAATCCGCATATTTGACTTCCTTGCCGTCAAAATCTAACCACGCTAATTCAACGTGCGATTCCATCGAGTTATAAAACTCCGCGCGGACGCTTTGCCTTCCTTGACCTGACTTAAAATAGTTGTTATCTCTATTTGATTTTTTAATCTCCTCCATGGACGCTATTTTTCTCCCTCGATTCCTTCGATGATCTCTCGCGTCTTCATCTCGAAACTGTTTATCACTCTCGTCGCCAGAACCAGCGGTCAAGAACGTCATGTGGTCGTACGTTGCCCTCTCTTGTTCGCTCACTTGATCGTCCAGCAATGATTTCTTCATCATTTGTACCATTTCATTCACGGACATGCGAATCGCGTCTATTTTTTTCCTACTCTTTTTCTGCGACTCGACGAGTCCTTTGATTTTCGCAAGCATCCCGGTGTTCTCGAAATACTTCCCGACGTCTGAGCTCATATCCACGTTGAACACGGCCACTCTGCGACCACCTAAAATATCATCCTCTTCTTCTTCGTCAATCAAGAAAGATATTTCTTCCTTCGTCTTCGCGGCGTCTTCAACGGCGTCTTGTCCTTCCGTCGCCCTCTTCTTCTTCTTCTTCGCGGCGGTCACAAACTCGAGCAACGTGAACCGTTTTTTCGCTTTCGCATTCCCTTCCTCTTCGTCGTCGTTAAACTCGATCGGTTTCATCGCATTCTCTGCTCCAAAAATGCTCACAGAATCGAATCCTTCGCTCGCTAACTTTTTCCCGAAAAACTGGTTTTTTTCCATCTCTTTCCTTCCTATCTCTTCCAAAATTCGTTTCTTGCTAAAACCGACGTGTTTGCCGTTCAAAATCGTCGCCGGGTGAAGCAAAACTGTTCGTTCCCCAGTTCTCGGATTTTCGTACGGCGGTAACGTCGGCAGTCCGTCGCCCGTGTGCGTGGCGGAGGATGGTTTCATCTTCTCCAACGCGTTGTTCAGTTGTTTCGCATTCTCGTCTTTTCCTCCTTCCCCGGGGGGCAAAACTCCCGAAGAAGAAGAAGAAGAAGATAACGCGCCGTCTGCGGCAAAAATCGACGCGAGAAAGGCGAGAAAAACCACCCAAGAACAAACGTTTAGAACGCTCGAGGCAGAGAGGAGGAAACCTCGCCCGCGTTGCCGCATTTGGTTTCTGTGAATTACGACTCGAGGCAGAGAAAATTTTTGCGTGTTTAGATACAAATTTGTGACGTCTCACACGAAATTATTACAACGCTTTGTTTTCGGGTTTACGCCGTTTGAGGCTTCTTATACTTTAAAGTCTTAATCAACCCTCTCATCTTTCCTAAATCCGTCGACGGTCGTTGGCCGTCCTCGACCGGGCAGAAGTTCTCCTCGGAGATCAAAGAGGCAACCGCTTCCCATCCGGTTTCCGTCGCCATGACTTCGGTCATGGAGTCTTGTTCCGACCTATTTTTCGCCACGTTAGCGTCGATCATTTTCTTCCTCTGATTGCGCATCAACTCGAGTTCGGCTACCGCTTCTTCTTTGATCGTGTCTATCTCTTCGCGTTCGAGTTTGCTTTTCTGTTCGAGCTCTTCGCGTATTTTCGCTAAATATTCTTTTCGGAGGTCTCTCGCCGGCGGCGGTGGCGTTGGCGCTGGCGTTGGAATCGCGGAAGACAATCCCCCGAGCTCGGCTACGTTCTCCAACGGCGATTGTTGTTGCATGGACGAATTCTCGAGACTGTTGGTACTCGTGCCCATCGCGTCCACGCTTTCGCTACTCGGACCTTGTTGCATCGCACCAAAGTCGCCCTCGTCCAACGGAGGAGCGGCGGGAGCGGAAACGAACTCATTCATCGCGTTAGTAGTATTACCGGCGTCGTTAAAATCAGAGCCTTGTCCAGTGGAATGGACCGAATGCGAGGAGTGAATGCTCGCGTGCGACATCTCTCGTTCCATTTGCTCTTGGTTTTGTTGTTGTTGCGGTTGGAAACTTTCGCTCGATTCGTTCTTTGGAGGAGGCGTGCCGGTGTTGGTATTTTCTCCTCGCGTAAAGTCTTCGTTGCTCGGCATCGATTGCATTCCCGCGGAAACGAACCCGTCCGTTTCGCCTATGTGCGCATCATCGAAAGAGAGAAAGAGATGAATACTCGTGGTAAGTAAACGAGAGGAAAATTCAGCGATGATGGGAGAATAAAAAATTGAATTGGAAACGAATATATACGCGAACAACGGTGGGCAAAAGAAGCATAAAAGGTACCTGCGGCGAAGAAATCGTTCGATTGATCGGGCTGTGGCGGAGGCGGCGTAGACGCGGGAGACGCGTCTGTTTTGAAAAACTCGTCCATTAGTAAAACAAACTTGTTGTTGTCGTTGTGTTTTGTGTGGGTTTGGCTTGACTTTGTCTGAGTGAAAAGACAGATGAAAAAGAGGAAAATGATTGGTTTTGAGTTACATTTATCCCGCGCTCTTTGTGGCGGTTGCGGTATTCATCATCGCCTCCATGTTCGTCCCGTGTAGCTGTTTTCGACTGTCCGGCCACGATTTTTGCTTATCACCGTCGAAGGAAACTTTGGTAATGCTCCCTAACCCTCTCGTTCTTCCCTCTCGAAATATAACTCGGAAGCCTTCCTCGACAAACTCCGGGCGATAGAGCCATTGAAAGACGACTTTAGCGCGGTCGCCGGCGCGTAAGACATCTTTGCCTTCGATTTTACATATCCGGGCGCACTGTCGAACGGACATGCAGTGTAAGACGGGGGCGTAACCGACGGTTAACGTCGTCGGAGAGACGAATATTAAAATCTCGGCTTCGAAACTCCACGTCGCGCGAGGATGCAAGGATTTGCAAATCATCGCCATGCCTTTGCGCACGTCCGCTTTGTGCACGGGTTCTTTGCTGTTTTTAGCTTTTATCGCAAAACTTGCGGATTGGCCACACACAGCTTTAAGGACGGACGTTCGATGGGTCATTGTCGATTTGACGACAACCTCTTTGAAGTGGCCGAGAGAATCTGGTCCGAGAAGAAGTTGTTGATTCGTCGAAATTGACCCTTTAGTTACGACTCCGGAGACTACTGTACCTACACCGTTTACCGTGAACGCATCATCTAGATGCACCAGTGCACCACACTCGTCTTTCCCGTGTTTATTCGTCGTTTCCTCTAATTCTTCTTCTTCTTCTCCGTTTTGTGTCTTTTTCTTTTGCACGTCGAACTGTCGCCGAGACGGTAGATGGTTTAATAATAGTCGCAATAAATCCAAATTTGTGTTTTCTACGCACGATACTTGAAAGATGGGCGTGACGTCCGAATCGCCAGCCATGGTCTTTATGCACGTCGAGACATCATTTCTCTCTCGGACTATAATTGGTTTCTTGTGTACCCCGGGTCGCTTTAGCAATCGCAAAACACTCTCCATGGTCGACTGTAATAAATGGTCGGCGCACATGTCGATTTTCGTCACGCACACGAGGAACGGAATCTTCAAACCTAGAACAATACCTAGATGTTCTTTCAACATGCCTACGACACCGCCTCTGTTCGAGTCGACGACTAACATGGCGTAATCGGGACACACCGAGGTTAAGCCGCACAACGTCGTCTTCAAATAACGCTCGTGACCGCACAAATCGGAGAAGCTAATGACCTTGCTCGATTTCTCGACAATCTCCGACCATCTCAACGAGTGTGTTTCCCTCGTTCTCTCGTCTTGATAGTTCGCAACTTTCCCGTCCGGCGTGAATCCCATGATTTGCGTCGAAATCGAGCTCGTTCTCCCGGTTTCCATCTCGTGTTTGTGTCGAAACACGTTCGCTCTCGCGCTCCCTCTCCCGTTATCCAACACGCCCTTCGTCAACACGCCTAGGAGCGTTGATTTCCCGGAATCGACGTTTCCAACCGTCGTTATCCGTAACTCTAGATGATTCGCCTCTTTCGGAAAGATTTTCCTCACCAACGCGCACTTTGCGAAGCGCTCTTTCTCGCTCGTCTTCCTCTCGAACGCCTCGGAAACTTTCGCCGATAACTGTTTCGCCATTTTCTCTAACGTCTCCACGGAGAATTTCATCTCCTCCTCGCTGATTCCTCGAACGAACCCATCGTCGTCCACTCCAATTTCGTACAAACACTCCCCGCCTCCTTCGTTCAATCGCCACAACAGTTGCGTCGTCAGCTTCTCGAAATTTCTCGCCGATGGGTTCACCAGGTGCCGTTTATATTCCACCGAACCTTCGTCGGATTCAGGTTTGAGGAGGAAATCATCGTACGAAGACTCCAAGTCAAACGGCGACGTCGGCGACGCTTTGTTCTCGTTCTCGTTCTCGTTATCGCCGCTGCTGCTGCTGCTCCTGGATTCCTCTTTGTCTTCTCCTCCTTTCTCGTCCTCGTCGAGAAGCTTCAGCGTTCGCTCCAGTTTCTCTTCGAGCATCTTCACGTAACCGGAGTCTTCGTCTTTATTCTTTTCTTCTTGTAACGAACTTTTTGTAACAAATGTTTAAAATTAAAATTACGAAAAACAAAGAAAAAAAGGTAGAAAATCTCTATACAACCCTAAACAGAAAGCAGCGCTTCCTTCCTTCCTTGAAAAATGCGAAATATCGCACCACTTTCGCACGCGTTTCATCTACACCCTTTGGTTTTATATACACACACATCACACGCACACACATCTGTTTTAGAGCGCGAGAATGATGCAAAGCGCCTCGACATCATCACACTCGACCAAGAGTTCGATCTTCTGCGCGGGCTCCTCGTTTGAAGGCAAAGGAAAGAAATCGAGGAGGAATGTGTTTGCCGCTCGAACGAAAAAAACGAGGAGGCAATCTGCGGTGCACATCGAAGCCATCCAAACGCCGAAGAAACCGTCCTCTTCCTCTTCCTCTTCCTCCGTTGAATCGTCCTCCGTCCCTGTGCATAAAAGAGGAGAAGAAGACGACGCGAAAGAAGCGTATCCGTTCGAAAAGGAGTATAAAGATTGTGCGTTTTGATCGTTCGTAGTCGTAGCATCATCGGTGCTTTTGCTGCAGCCGAAAAGCGTATCGTTTTCCCATATCTTTCTCTTCAAGTGATAAGCGAAAAATTTCTCCGCCTTTTCAAAAAAAAAAACTGACTGACTCTTTTACTCTTTATTCGATGAAAACAGACCAAACCGGGTACGCCTCTGTCCCAGGCCTGGCGTACGAGAACCAAGGGTGGGTGACGGAAGTGGAAGGCGAAATCCCAAACGAGATGGAAGGGACGTTGTTACGAAACGGGCCCGCCATGTACGAGAGAGAAGGCTTTATCAAATCGTACTTGGACGGGGACGGCATGGTGACGTCCGTGGCGGTGAAGGACGGGAAAGCGTATTTTCGGAATAAATTTGTCGTGACGGAGGATTTTGACGAGGAAGAGAGAACGGGGAAGTATATTAAGAGTTCTATTTTCACGGCGGAGGATCCGAGACCGTTCGCGTTTGGGCAGAGATTGTTCAAAGACTTGTTGGGAGGCGATATTTCCAAAAAACAAAACGGGGCGTATAACGTCATCAATTGGGGTGGATCTTTGTGCGCGGTGGATTATAAGAAACCGTACGCGTTGAATCCGGACACTTTGGAAACGATTGGTCACGGGAACTGTCCGTTGAGTTCGACGACGCATACGAGTCACTACAGAACGGTGACGGAGCCGGACGGTTCGAGACGACTCGTGGCGTTTATTAACGAAGTGAACTGGAGAGTGAACCATAAGAATGAAGACGGATCGGAGCATCTTGGGACTACAAATGCGGTGTTTTATGAGTTTGATGAAGACGGGAAGGAAGTGGCCAGACGCTCGTACCCGTATCCGTCCTCGTACGTTCACGATTTGATCGTCACGGAAAACTATTACGTTTTGTTCGATTGCCCGATTAAAATTGATTTCAAGAAGACCTTTACTGACTACTTGACACAAAACGCGTGCTTATCCGAACTCATTTGCGAAGACACCGAGCGACAGCCGTTATTTCGAGTCTTCCCGAGGCGTGGGACGGATATGACGGTCCGAACGGCTCCGGCGGATTATTGGTGCTACGCGTACCACCACGTGAACGGTTTCGAAAACGACGACGGAGATATCGTGTTTGATACGTGCACTTGGGATAAGTTTACGTTGTATTTCACCGATATCACGAACCCAAACGGGAAAGATAACTTTCCAAGAATGAAGTTGAGTCGATTCATCATCGACATGAAGAAGTATGAAGCGAAACATTATTTATTATCCGATGTTCCTTGCGAGTTGCCCATCACGTCTTGGGATTACACCGGGGAAAAGTACGAGCACATGTACTTGTCCACCTCGGTTGGTCGCAAAGATGGTGTCAACGGCCCGATGCAAGCGTTGACGAAGTGCTCGCTTAAAACGGACGAGACAAAGCTGTACACGGAGGAACAGTGGATCCCCGGGGAGCACAAGTTTGCCATGGAACCGTTTTTCGTCCCGAGATCGGGGAAAGATTTGGATGAAGACGATGGATGGGTCGTTGCGTTAGTGCACGATGCGAGGTACGAAGACTCTGACTTTGGCGGCAGAGGGACGGAGATGGTTATTATCGACGCGAAGAAGTTCTCGGAAGGACCAGTCGCGCGTTTGCGATTACCGAAATACGTTCCTTATGGCGTCCATGGCTCGTGGTCGCCAGAATACATCGCTGGTCCGCCGAAAGCGGACGAGTTGGCGCGTTTGGAGGAGTTGAGAAAGAATAGCGATGGAAAGGTCCCGATTTCGTTGGGGCATAAAGACATCATCCAAACGACGAGTAAGAAAGAGGTGGAGGAATTAGATTTGCGAAAGGTTGGCGCAGGCATTGGCGGCGCTTTGTTGGGTATCACCGCTTTGAGCGAAATGGTTGGACAAATGGGTTTCTTCCAGTAAAGGAAGAAAAATGCCCGCTTGTATACGCATAGCGCGTGCGTTAGCATCTACCATCCCCGCCCCCGCCGCTCTTTTATATTGTAAAAGCTTAAGTCTTAATAGCCAACCGTGTAATCTAATACTAAAAATATAAAATCATAAGAAAATAATAAATGTTTTAATATTTCATACTCAAAATCGAAAGCGTAGAAAAAAGAGTATGCTATAAACACGTCGCGGGACAATTATTGTCACTCAAATATTAAAAACTATGTTACTATTTGTATTCGCTAAATGACATCTACTACCTAATAAATAGCTTCTTCTTGTCGCATAGTCGCTTCGAGAGAGAAGACATCATCGATGTCCTCATCCGAAGGCGGCGCAGGTGTTGACGTTTTTCTTCCGAATTCGCTCGCCGATAACACTTCGCCCGCTACTAAATTATCACTACCGTGACTATCCGGCGACGCTTTGCGCTGGCAAAACGATTCTATTCTATCCCACGCTTCAGAGAGCGTTTCCGTTGGGCACGTTAAAACAACTCTCGCGTATCCAAACGCTCCAAAACATTGCCCGGGAAGCACTAAAACGCTCTCTTCGCTAAACAAGGCGCTCGTAAAAGCGACGTCGTCCGTCATCCCTGCCGCTCTGAACAGCTCGCAATCGATTTTTACCAACGCATACATCGCCCCGTCTGGCAACGACTCCATACTCAAACCAACACACCTTTCGCATTTTTCAATACACACGTCCCTGGCCTCTCTTAACGTTTGCAACGTTTCGTTTAACCACGCCGAGTCGTCGTTTTGCAAAATAAACGGCAACGCCGCCTGTAACGGCGTCGGCGGGCCTAGCGTCACCTGTGAAAGCTTTTCCAACGCGTCGTGTATCCCCCCATTCTTCATGACATCGTTTCTATCGTGCACTAACAACCATCCTAGCCTCCAACCGGGTACCAACCATCTCTTTGACAAAGATCCGACGGCTAAAATAGGCACCGTCTCCGACACACTCGCCAAAGGCAAATAGTTACACCTATCGCCAAAGGAAATATCCTCGTACACTTCGTCCGCTATGATCGGTAACTTCAACTCCTCGCACATTTCGCAAATTTCCACCAAGTGCCTCTCCGCAAACAACGCCCCGCACGGATTACTCGGATTATTCACCAAAATAGCCGATATCTTCCTCTTCGTTCCGTCTCTCTTCCTTTCCTCTACCAACCGTCTCACGTGCTCTAAATCAATCTCCCAATCCTTCTTCCCGTCTAAATCGTAAAAAACACACTCCACCCCGTGCACCTCGCACAACGTTTGGTACAACGCAAACCCAGGTTTCGGCAACAACATCGCCATCTCCCTGTCCCCTCGTTTCGCCAAAACCTGAATCGCGTGCGAAAGCGCTTGCGAACATCCGTGCGTCAAAAACGCGTCGTGCGCGCTCAGTTTCGCTCGAGAGTTCGGGTAGACCACGACCGCGGAATTGTCCGTGCTTTTGCGAGGTTGGTTTTGTACGCGACGATGATGCGTCTCTGTGCCCCCTTGCGCGAGAGAGATGGTGTTCGTTTTCGTTTTCAAAAAGTCAACTTCTTTTTTATTTGAGGTGTTTTTTTGGTCGTCGTTTTCGAGGAATTTTTTCTCCTCCTCCGCCTCCGATCTCCTCCTCGTCACGTCGAAACTCTTCCGTGCCATCCTGGGCCCGTATCTCAGCGCTAAACTCGCCCTGCTTTCGTGTAAACCAGAACTCGGGGCGTATCCGTTATTTTTCTTCTCCTTGAACATGTCTCGGACGTGTTCGACGACGCCGGGGGGGGGTTGTAAGTGCCCGAAAACGGAAGGATCGCCCAACGCGCAACTGATGACGGTTTTGTTCGGGTTGGGTGTCGCGTTGAAATTGTCCATGATTTCTCGGATCGGATTCCGAGTTTGCGACGCCGACGTGGAGGCAGTTATCGACCAAGGGGTGTTTTCGTCGTCGTCGCAAAGAGGACGCGCGTCATCGTTCGAGGAGGATGTGCGAGGCATTTCGCGCGCTTTCTCGAGAAGTCTTTCGTACGCGGGGAGAAATTTATTGTGACGCGTTGCGACTGGATGTGAGCGTGAAAAGGACTCGATCGAGCCGCCGCGCTGGATGCTGCTGCTGCTGCTGTTTCAGTGCTGTTCAACTGTTGCTAATGCGAGACCTATCTATCTACAATCTACTCCTTTCTATTCTGGTTACAGTATTTTCGCGTTCTTCTTCTTCTTCTTCGTCGTCGTCGTCGTCGTTTACGTCGGCGTAAATACCCAACACGTTCTGGTAGACTGCGTTGGCGAAGACTTCCGGAGCCGATAACGGACCGAAATGTCCGAGTAAACCAAGCTCTAACAAACGCGCACCTCTGATCCTCTCCGCGACAGTTTTACCCACGCCGTACGCGTACGCTTTTTTGGTCGCACCACCGATGGCAATTGTGATTGGACATTTCGCGGTATCGATTCTCTCTTCGATAAACTGCAACGCGTTCGCGTCTTCCTCGCCGCTTTCGTAAATCCTCGCTTCGATTTCCGGCTCGCACGTCAAAGCGACTTCTTCGCCAGACGAATCATCCACCTTCCGAAACCCGCCGTCGAACACGTACCCTCGCAAACTCCTCTCGTCCATGACTTTCCCTAAAAATCCTTTTCGATAGGACGCGAACGCGTCTTCGAAACTTTTAAACGTCCTCTTCCTTTTCCTCGCGTTGACTTGCAAACTCGCGTCCGGCGCGGCGTACGTACGCATCCCCGGATATTTCGTACTCTCCAACGCAAATATCGGTTCGTACGTTAAAATCGACGCAAACGTCCCCGGATTCGTTGCTTCTAACCAAAGTAAAGCGAAACCGCCTAAACTGTGTCCAACCGCGTGCCACTTCTGCGCGGACGACGAAGCCCATCCGCCTGCTCTTTTTCCATCTTCACGCTGGACAGATTCCAAAACCATTTTCGCGTCTCTCGCGAACGTTTTCCAGGACCACATCTTCTCGTCCTCGTCGTCCTCGTTTAAGAACTCTTCTGCATTTTTTCTTTGAGTAGTAAACGTGCTCATTCCGTGTCCGCGTTGGTCGAACGCGACCACTCGGCAGTTGCAGGAGACGACCAACTGTTCGACGACCGCTTTATAGGCGAGACAGTTGATGCCGTTGCAATGGAGGAGCAAGATGTTCTCCACGGGTGGGGAATTGTTCTTTAGGGTAAAGTCGTAGCACTGCAACTGAACCTCCCGATGAGGGTTGTTCTCGTCGTCCGAGGTGATGCAAACCGAGAATGGTTTCATCATCATCCTCGTCGTTTGAATCGTCAAGTTTACATTTGTGCGGGGAAAACTGAGTTCCAACACCCAAAGTGCGTCACTTTTAAAGCGCGAGAAGAAGACGAAGAAGAAGAGGGCAAAGAAGAAGACGAAGAAGAAGAGGGCAAAGAAGAAGACGCGAGAATGGGAGGAAGGAGCAACACGAACAACTCCGAAGAAGACGAAGAGGCCGACGAGTTAACGAATTATACCTCGACGACGAATCCAATCTTCGACCAAGCGGTCGAAAACGCGAAGAAAACGGAAACGGAGATGGAAATTTGGATCGCGAACGCGACGAACGCGTCGGTGACGTTCATCGACGAAGTCGTTTCCGCGATCGAGGATGTCGCGACGTCGGGGCATTTTAACGTGTCTTCTTCGTCGAGTTCCGATGAGACGAACACGAACTCGACTACGGTTGTTCCAGTCGTCCAGGAACTCCAAAACGACCTCGAGGCGGAAGAGGAAAAGAAGTTTGAGATTTTACGAAACGTCCCGGAGTTCAGATACCGGAGTTCTCTAGGAGGCGCGAGCACTTCAGATTTCTCCTCGAAAAGTAGCATTCCGAGCGCGAGCAAGTCCGCGATGCTCTTACAAAACGTCAACGAATACGACCGAAAAGATTTTTTCGTCTTTGGGACGCTCTCGATGGCGTTTTGCGTCGCGTTCTTCGTCGCCGTGGTGTTGAGGAAACATGCGCAGAAGTTTAAAGTCGTCGCGGCGGGGGAGGAAACGACGAGCGAAGAAGAAAAAGAAGAAGAAGAGGAAGAGGCATTGATGAGGAACGAACACGGTGCGATCAAATACGGCTCGGTCGTGTAGTAATAGCAACGTCATGGATTCGAGGAATCATCCATCCCGTGTATTTATAGTAGCCTGACCCGCGCTCGAGTGTAATACTATCATCGCCTCTGTGTAACCACCTTGAAATGTTGTCATTTTTGTGCACATCAATCACGACGTAAAAGATGCCGTCCCAAGCGGCGGAGAGGAACAAAAAGCGTAGGATGGAAAAGAAGAGCAGGAATCTCAACGCGGCGGGGAAAGAAACGGCGACGACGACGACGAGTGTTAGTGTTGGTGGTGGAGTCAGCAGCAGCAGCGGGGAAAAAGAAGAAACCGAGGACATCGAGTTCGTGGAGAGAACAGGAGCGTACGGAAGCTACGGCGCGAACAACGATAGATTCTCGATCGAAGACGACGAGTGGGCGACCAGTCAGAGAGCCTGGAACGCGCTCGCGAAACACTTGGAAAAGTTCAAAGGGAAGAAAATCTGGGCGCCGTTCTATTACGACGGGAAAGTCAAGACAAGGTTGAAACAGGCTGGGTTTCGAGGCAAAGTCACGCACGAGAAGCGAGACTTCTTCAAACTCATGAACGACGCGAAATTTCTCGCCAACGTGGACGCGATCATCGACAACCCTCCGTACACAGGAAAAGGAATGAAAGAGAAAATCTTAACGAAGTTAATCGCGAAAGATGTCCCGTTTTGTTTGCTCTTCCCGTTGGGCGTGTTGCACTCGAAGTTCTTGCGAGACTTGACCGCGGCGAAAGCGCGGAGGAAAAAAGTGCAAGCCATCGTCCCGAGAAGAGTGTTCGTGCATAAAGAATTCGGCGAGGAATTGCCGTTTAAGTATTTAGTCTGGTTGTGTTACGGGTTAGAGTTGGAGAGGGATTTAGTTTTGATGGATGAAGAGTAGAAGAGTAGCGGTAGTCGTTTAGTTTTAGAGAGAAGAAGTGCTCGTATTTTGGCATTTTGCGAAATTCAAAAAACCTTCCAACACAGACACAAAAAAGTTCATAAAAAATCTCTACACACACACATCAATCGCGCGAGTGTTTCCTCCCCACACTTTCGTGAATCGACATCATCTCTCTGCGCGCGAGAGGTATTCGTCTTTTTCGTCGGATCCGTGTCAGAGAGTACTACCCGGTTCTTTCTCACGTATTTTATCGATACGTTTTGTAAGGGGAAAATTCAAAAATTTGAACCCCCCTCCAAAACAACGGCAACCTTCTTGGTGGATATATTCAATACTGATAATGTCCTCCGCTTCGACGCTCGAATCGACCATCTACGTTCGCGATGATGACGAGGAGGATACGAATTTTAACGGCAAAATTGAGCTGATTTTTGGTCCTATGTTCAGCGGGAAATCCACGGAACTGCACCGAAGAATTCGTCGACACAAAATTGCCGGTCGGTCCGTCCTGCTCATCAAATACAAAGACGATACGCGATACGCGCACATTTGCGGATCGAACGCGAACGTCACGCACGACCACCAAACGTTACCCGCGCATTCCGCGAAGGAGTTAATGGGGAACATGGATAACATCGCGCACAATTACGACGTGATTGGTATCGATGAAGGACAGTTTTTTGGAGACGTCGTTGCGTTTTGCGACCGGTGGGCGAATAAAGGGAAGGTTGTTATTTGCGCCGCGTTGGACGGAACGTACGAGAGGGAGATGTTTAACGATATTTTGAAGTTGGTACCGATGGCGGAGAGCGTGGATAAGTTGACGAGCGTGTGCGCGATGTGCTCGAAAGACGCCTCGTTTACGTTGAGATGTTTTGATAGTAGTAAGAATAGCAGCCGAGAGAAGGAAGAAGAGGACGGACCGGTGGAGCTCATCGGCGGGGCGGAGATGTATAAAGCGGCGTGCAGAAAGTGCTATTTTGCGGCGATGAAAGGTAGAAGAGGGGACAAGAGAGAAAGTTTAGGCGAAATGGCGACGACGGAGATGACAAAAACGGCAAAAAAGAAAGCGACGACGCCTTTGGCGACGAGACCCGTCATCGGCTCGCCGACAAACGCGAAACGCGTCGCGGAGGCGTTGGCGGAAACGGTAGATTCACTCTCGTTGCAAACGCCGCCATTGAATGCTATGACCAGAAGTAAAGCGACGCCTACGAAATATAACGAAGACGTAGGTGATGCGTTTACGTTTGCCACGCCAAGTGGCGGGAACGCCCTATTGGATGATATCGGCTTCGCCACGGGCAAGTTGGGCGAACAAGTGAAAAAGGCGAAGAAAACGGCGACGAAGAAAAGTAGAGGATTCGGTGGACCAGGGAGAAGTCCTTTGACGGATTTCATGAACACGTCTAGAAGTCCAATCACGACGTTGCGTTAAGTTACTGATGAGGAAGAGAGAAAGGAAGAGAGACATCATATGTAGAGCACACTATAAAAAATATATACGCCCGCGAGGTAGGCGAAGAGCCTGCTTGCTCATGTTATAATAATACAAAGAAAATACTTGAATTTAGATTTGAATCATTGAAGACCACCACCGCCAAACCTTGTAGACAACCCTCCACCGGCACGTTTCATCGCCTCTCTTGGATCCATTTCGCCTACTTTGGATATTCTGAGATCTTTTTCGCGATCAAAAGGTCTGTACGTCCAACCGGTGCCGTCGTCGTCATCATCCTTCCTAGCCTTTTTCTTCCTCTGCTTCTTTCTGTTTAATTTTCTATCGTCCTCGTCCTCGTCGTTCGACTCGTCGCTACCACTACTCTCTTCTACCTTCTTCTTCTTCGTCTTCTTCTTATTTTTGTTATTGCCTGAATTCTCTCTGTGCTGCTCTAAAAGCGATTTCGTTCTCCCGGCGCCTTCGTTGTATTCGTCGATCATCTTCCTCTTCTCGTCTTCTTTCTTCGCCTGAGCGGCGGCGTTTGGAAGCGCGTACATCTTTTCTTGCTGCTCTAAGAATAACATCGTCTCGCTTTTCCCTTCCTTTGGATTTCGGGTCCACTCGTCGATTGTTTTTTGGTCTCGAACCATCAATCCGTCTTTAGCGAACGCAGTCACGCTGGCGGAAAGTGGGCATTGTGCAGCTTTTCGTTCCGGCGGAAGCTCCGTCATCCACTCTTCTCTCGTTTTATCGTCGTCCGCGCTTCCGGGTGCTTTATCAAACGCGTCGTTGAGTAAATCTTCGTCGCCTGGAAGCGACTCGTTCCTTTTCTTCCGCCAGATGGCTTTCTCTCGTTCATTCTTCAACCATGCTTGAAACTCCTCGCGATCCTTCGCGCTCTTTCTTTTTTCGTCCAAAACTTTTCGTTGCGTCTCATCTTTGAGCATTTCGTACGCTTTCTTCACCGCGTCAAACGCAGCAGCAGCACACGGATCGTCACACTTATCCGGGTGAATGACTAATGATAATTTCCAGTACACCTTCTTCAACTCGGCGTTGGAATGTTCCGGCGAAGCGGAGAGCACGTCGTAGGCGTCGCCATCGTTTTTGAGTATAGAAATGACGCGTCTCGCGGTAGCCGCACGACTTTCGGACGACTTTGAGTCCAGAAACTCCACAATATCCGGCGGAGGCGGTCCAAACCCGAATCCTTCGTCCGCTAATTCTCGCTGTTGTCTTTGCATTTCCTCGAGCATTTCTTTTGGCGGCGCCATCGGTCCGAGTTGTTTTTTTGGCCTCTCTCCTTCTATTCCAGCAGCAGCCGGCGCGACTCCAACGCTATCGTTGTCCGTTCCTTGTTCTTTAAATTTAAGCGTACCTTGCTTCTTCACCGACTGTTTTTCGCCTTTGTCTTTCTCCGTATCATCGTCGGTATCTTCGTCAATCTCTTGCCCGTGTTCCTTCAGCCTCGCCGCAGCCTCTTCCCCGGTCAACACCTCCGCCTCCTCCCGTCCACAATTTCTCTCCATCCTTTCTCTCATCATCTCCTCTTTTTTCTTCTCCATCCTCTTTCTTGCAAACTCCTCACTCTCCCAAGGCAGCATGCACGTCCGAAGAGTTTTCAACCGTTCCTCTTCAGCCTCAAACGCCAACGCGACTTTCGCAAACGCAAACTCCTTCCTCGTCAACCGTTTCTTCGTCAACGTCCACGCGCCGGTACTCGGTAATTTCACCATCCCAACGTTTTTAAACACAATTTCTAACAATCTCTTCATAATTTCATCCGGTATACCGTCGATCGGTACCGCGTTTCCATCGTCCACGTTCTTTAACAAAACTCTCAAATCCTGGCGTTGGTTCGGGAATCGCGCGAGGATGTGCAGCACGGCTTCGATGGCATTTGAACCTCTCTCCAAAAGCGTTTTCCGCGACACTTTGACATCATCGTCGCTCTCAGAATGTGTGCTCTCCGAATCATTTTCATCGTCGTCGTCGTCATCAGATGATGATGACGACGACGATGAAGAACGCTTGCTCTTCTTCGCTTTCTTCTTCTCCTTCTCCTTCTTTTCCTTTTTCTTCAGCTTTTTCTTCTCCTTTTTTTCCTTCTTCTTTGCTCGTTTCTTCTTCTTCTTCTCCTCGAGGTCCTTCTTTTTACTCGATGATTCAGATTTTGTCTCTTTCGTCGCTCGAAAACTCTTGTAAACTTCGTTCAAATCGTTCACGTTTCGCAACGCGGCGGTCATTTGAGGGTGGTTGGACATCTTTTACCGAATTTGGATTTTAGGGAAGATGGAAGCGAATTTTGGTGGGGAGTGTTCTCTGTCTCTCTCTCTCTCTCTGTCTCTCTCTCTCTCTCTCTCTCTCTGTGTCTCGTCTCTCTCTCTCGCGCAGCAGAGTGCAACGAGAGAAGCAAACGAGCAACAGCAGCAGCAACAACAACAACAACGGCAACAACACCAAGAGAGAAAGAGTTACGACGAAAGAGCTTGTTTTTTCTGACGTCTGTCTGTTTGAAAACTTTTTCCGAAATCCCCCAAAAGGAGACACGCGCAGCACTCTTTCTATCATCATCGCCCTTCTGCCTCGTTTCTGCGCTTCTTCTTCTCTTCCTCCTCTTAAAGAAGAGCGCGTTTCTGAGGCGTATTCTTCTTCTTTGCGCGCGGCCGTACTGTATCCTTTTATCAAAAGTTCAGGAAACATCTGCGAAAGCAGCGCACAACAGGCTGTTAGGGGATTTGATTACGTGGCCGACCTTTCTGTGTGAGAGTACGCGCAACGCAACGACGAGAGTAAGACTACAGTAATAACAACGATGGCGACACCGTCCACGGCGAAAAACGTAGCGGACGTTCTCTCGCGAATCACGGTCGCGTCTTCGCAGAGAGCGTCGACCTCTGCCGCGACTCGATTAGTCGCGGTTTCGAAAACGAAACCCGTGGAGCAACTCCGGGAAGTGTACGACGCGGGACACAAAATATTCGGCGAAAATTACGTCCAAGAGATTCTGGAAAAAGCGCCGAAACTCCCGAACGATATCAGCTGGCATTTCGTCGGGCACATTCAATCGAACAAAGCGAAAGCTCTGGTGCAAGGCGTGCCGAATTTGAAAGTGGTGGAAACCGTGGATTCGAAAAAATTGGCGGATAAATTAAACGTCGCGGTGGAGCAGTGCAAAGCGCTTCGCGAGGAACGGCTGTTGGACGTGATGGTGCAAGTGAACACGAGCGGCGAGGAGAGCAAGTACGGCGTCGCCCCTGGGGAAAACGTCGTAGATTTAGCCAAACACATTCGCGATAACTGTAAGGAGCTGAAATTAATCGGGTTGATGACGATTGGTATGCCGGACTACACGTCCAAACCGGAAAATTTCGACCGCTTGAAAGAAGAGAGGAAACGCGTGTGCGACGCGCTCGGTCTCGGCGAGGATTACGAGCGCGCGTTAGAGTTGTCCATGGGCATGAGTGGGGATTTTGAAAACGCAATCGCGATGGGGAGCACGAACGTCCGAGTCGGATCCACTATCTTCGGTGCCCGAGATTACTCCAAATAAGTATAGCAGAGAGAGAGAGACGGAGAGAGAAAAGAAAACGTATAGTTTTGTATAGACGAAAATACTTCCAATTCGTGCTTGCGTCACTCTTTTCTCGCGCGATATATATATATGTGTACTTCAAATCATTTTATTAAAGTTGTTTCAAATTATTCGATTCGGGTTTCATAAACAGAAACAACAGGAACAGAAACACGAAAACACCGGTGATTCTTCGCGTGATTTTATTCATCGTCTCGTCTATCGTGTCTTGCCAACAGCACCCTTTGTTTATCTGTAGAAAATAAACGAGCGTATATCTTAACCCACTCGTGACTTTTGCGCCTTCGTGATCGATCTGTCCACCGTGCACGAGCACGTCACCAATCTTTTCTAACTTGACGTTTGTTTTCGCCCTTTCTTTCGCGCTCTTCTCCTCGAACTGCGTCCTCCTTCGCTTCGCTTCGTAAAAGTTCGTCCCTCCGCCTTCGTATTCGTCCGCGTCTGATAAGCTCACCTGGAAAGAAATCGGCCCATCGTCTTGGTGCATGCGCAAATGCGAGTCCTTTTCCGACTTCCCATCGTACCTTATCACGAACGCATCTTCGATCGATACGTTCCAATACGACGACTCCCCCTTTCCCTCGCCACACTGCCTTTCAATCTTCCCTACCATGGTTTCCCAAATCTCTTCAAAAGCCAATATCTTCGCCCTCGATCCGAGCATCCGTATCGGAACGTCTTTGGTCGGGTAAAAGTCGTGTCTGTCCGACGTCCAAATGTTCTTGGAAATCGCAATCTCTCGAAGCTCCTTCGCTTGCGTTGGGAACACGTGCGGGTAGATTTGCGGCACGCACGTGCTTTTCCGAACGCATTTGCATTCGTCTTCTTTGTCTTCTTTGTCTTCTTCCTTTTTGTGCTCGGATTCAGCTCGAACTGCCAAGAGAAGGAGGAAGAACGAGAGCAGAAACAGAAACGGTACGCTTCGAACCGCCTGATTCTTCTTTGACGATCGCAAAGTCATCGCATCATCGTGGAAAAACGAGCGCGCTCGTTTTAATTATGTAAACGTGGGGGAAAAGTGATGTCATTTGGAAGAATGTACGTCATAAACACGGCACATATAGCACACACACACGCACGACGCGAGGCACACATGAACCTCCCGAAACCGAAAAAGTCCTCATCAAACGTACCACTCGCGTTCGCGTTAACTTTTTTCGCCTCGCTCACCTTCGCCTTCCCTTTATACGTGTCGCACAACCCGTCCAATCCTCTTTCCACGAGCGAAAAATCCTTGTCCTCGGCGGCGATACGAAGAGGCGTGTTCATGAACAGCGGGAGCAAAGACGTCGGGTACGATCCGACCACGGACGTGGACACGATGCATTCAAAAAAGAAAAAGAAATGAAGAAAAGGATGGAGTACGAGCGTTTGTACGAGGAGCGGATGGAACGGCTTCGAGAGATTTCAGAAACCACCGGGGACGAGGTGTTGTTTTTGCTCTATTTGCGAGCAAATATAGTGCCGTTGCGGAGGATGTTTTCGTGGGCAGTGCCGAACAAAGAAGCGCTGGAGACCGTGCGGAAGTATTCACCTCGTGGTGTTTGCGAAATCGGTGCGGGATTAGGATTGTGGGCGAAGATGTTGCGAGACGAAGGCGTCGACGTTTGGGCCTACGACGTATTCGCGAATGAAGGAGAAGGAAACGGATACGTGGCTGGAGGATTTAACGCGTCAAAAGAGGAAGGAGCGCCGCCGCCATTTTGTACAGTAGAGCAAGGAGGCGTAGAGAAAGCGACGTTACACGAGCAGCAATCCTTATTTCTTTGTTGGCCACCGCCCGAAGCCGCGAGCGGCAACGCGCCAGATATCGCTCGGTACCTCGCGCTAAAGGCGTTGACGCATTACAAAGGCGACTGCGTGTTGCACATAGGGGAAGGCGCGAATGGAGAAACAGATGGAGAGAAATTTCGCGAGAAGTTACGCGAACAGTTTGAAATGAAAGATGCGGTATCCATTCCGAATTGGCCAAACGCGTGTGATCGTTTGACCGTGTACGAGAGAAGGAACAAAGCGCAAAGAACTCTCGACGAAAAATTGTCGCCTTCGTTGCAAATGAAAGCATCAAACGCGGAGCGAGAAAAGTGGAACGAGGAGCGCGCGGCTCGTTTGAGCGCTCAGAACGAAAGATGGAAGGAGTTGTGTGTTGAGCACGTCGAACGCAAGAAACGCAACTCGTCGTCGTCGTCTCTTTTGCTTTCCTCCATCGAAAGAGAAGCAATCGAGGCGGCTAAAAATAGAAGCGGCTTCTTCCGACGACTCGTCCTTTCTCGTCTGTTATTATGAAAGTAGTATTAATAGAAATAGGTTTCAATAGCTATTAGTAGGTGTAGAATGTATTATTGTAAATTAGCGACTAGTTTTCTAATGACTGCTCTCAACGCCGCTTTCGACTTCCCGGTTGCCATCGACGCGTCTCCAAACACCGAATCCCCATCTTCACCCGCTCTCCCGATTCCGGTATCTATCGGAACCTTCCCTAGAAAAGGAATTCCTTTCTCTTTACACATGTGCTCCGCTCCACCTCTCGTCGCCGCAAATACCGGACAATCAATCGTTAAACGACTCGAATCTATCCCTTTCGCGTCTAACGCTTCTCTCACCAACGCAGTCACATCCTCCGTCCCGTCGTCTAAACTAAACGTCACCTCCCCTAACCTCAAATCTGACCCACTCATATTCTCAACCACCCCTAAAACCTTCACCCCAGTCTTTTCGCAAAAATTCACCTCTTTTCTCACGTCTGCCATGGCCACCTCTTGCGGCGTCGTGACTATCAGAGCACCATCAATCTTTGCCCCTCCTTTTAAATACTGCACGATGCTCAAGTGTTCGTCGCTCGTCCCCGGCGGCGCGTCGACGATTAAATAATCCAACTCCCCCCACTCCGTGTCGCACAAAAACTGCTTAATCAAACCATTCTTCCTCGGACCTCTCCACACGACCGAATCGTCTTTATTCGGCAGCAAGAATCCAATCGACATGACGCTCAAATTCTCCGTCACGTACACCGGTTGCCACCCGCCGTTGCTTCTGTGGACGTCGGCACCTTCTTTTTTCGTCATCGTCGGCACCGACGGCCCGCATATATCGATATCCAAAAGCCCAACTTTGCTCGTTTCCGATAACTCTCTCGCCATCGCTTGCGCCATGGTCGATTTCCCAACCCCTCCTTTCCCGGAGAGCACCAAGACGACGCGTTTACACTCCGCGAGTCGACTCGCAATCGCGAGTTCCTCTTCCGTCTTTTCCCCGTTGTTCACGTTTTGAAATTTCCCACTCGCGCACTCTTTTTGGTTCGGGCATCCGTCGCACGCCGACGCTTTCCCCGCGGTCGTCGCGGATGGGCCCACGCAGTTCGCGTTCTTCTTCGCCTCGTCGAACGACTCGTTTTTTTCCTCCTCCCCGTCCTCCATGATTGATTTTGTGTGCGTGCCCTCCTGGTACACTCACGATGCGTGTTTTTTGCGCGCGTGTGTTTTCTCCCGTCTCTCTCGCTCTTTTTTCCTCTCTCATCACTCGCACAAACAAACAAAACGAACAGAGCTTTTTGTGCAACGAAAACACACGCGTTTCGTCCTCAAAATCGGTTAAATCGCTTATTAATTACCAAATCTATCGGTCGCGGTGTTGTTTTCGAAGGAAAAACCAGACTTTTTGCGGCACACTGATTTTGCTTTCTCATCTCTTCTTCTTCGTCTTCTTTCTTTTCGAGCGTTTCCTTTTCGAGAGAGAGAGGGAAAGACACTTCTTCGTTTCCGCGCGCGAGAGAGCGAACGCGCTCGGAAGAACACAGAGAGAAAGAGAGAGATTTGTTTTTAACAAACGAAAATGTCCTCCTCCTCGGAACAAAAATGGGAACAAAATCAACAGCCTCTTTTAGGAGAAGAAGAACGAGAAGAACAACAACGACAACACAGAGAGTCGATGGAGGAAACGACGCAACACCTCATCGAGGATTTACAGATGGAGAGGCGGCAGTCGATGAGCTTGGAGAGGACGACACTAATTACTGCTGATACTACTGCAAACGCGGGGGAGGATGATGCGAAGAAGAATACCGCGGGCACCATTTCCTCTCTCGATGGTGGGGAAAAAGAATTGCCGAATCAACAACCTCTTGCGCCTCCGTTTAGATCGGCGGAGACGTTTTTGTCCACGGCGTCGTCGCCGAGAGGTCGCGCGCAAGCGTTTTTGAGGAATAAGCTCGGGCCGTTTGCCGGTGGTGGTGGAGGAGGGAGTCCCCGAAGCGGCGCGGCGTCGTCGACGCCGGGAACAGAACAGACGTTGCACACGGCGAGGGAGTCCTCGGTGCCGCTTCGGCCTTTGTTGGATCAGTGCGAAAAGTTACACAGAGAAGGAAGGTTGAGAGATAAGGCGATCATCGACAATTTGCCGCCGTACATGAGCTTGACCGAACTTTTACCGCAAACGAATAAAGTCGCGCTGAGTGGCGGGCACATGGACCAGAGACAGGCTTTGACGCACGAGGAGTTGAAGAAATTTATCGCGCGCTGTCAGAAGGATTTCGAGAGGTGCGGCGCGACGGCACATTCGTTGCGTATCGCGGTGTGCGTTCCAAACGGACCAACGCTGGTGACGAGCTTGTTGGCGACTATGCACAAGCACTGTTGCGTACCTATTAACCCGCAAACGACGGTGGAGGAGACCGTGGCGGAGTGTTTGTCCACAAACGTGAGCGTGATTTTGTACCAAAGAGATACGGGAGATAGCGAGAAGAAAATTAAAAGCGTGGTGGACCAGTTAGGGTTGATTCCGATTTTAATCGTTCCAGATGAGAAGAAATCGGGCATGTTCGAGATGGAAGGCGATCCGTTTCGGGTGGACGCGACGCGAATTAAACGGAAAGTGTTCAGTCGAAGGCAGTTGAAGTCGACGTTTATGGAAGATCCCAGAGCGCGCGTCGGATTGGTGTTGCATACGAGCGGGTCGAGTGGGAAGAAAAAGGTGGTACCGATTACGATATCACAGCTGGCAGTCGGGGCAATTGCGATTGCATCTTCGTGCGAGCTGAACGATACGGATAAGTGTTGTAACTTTATGCCTTTGTTTCACGTCGGAGGGATTTGTCGGAACGTGTTGGCGCCAATCTTTTCTGGTGGCTCGTTAGCGGCGATGGCGTTTTTCGACGCCAGGGATTTCTGGATGACGCTGAAAGCGAGAGAATCGACGTGGTATTACGGCGCACCGACCATGCACGCGTTGATTCAAAAGTCCGGCGAAGAGAACCCCAAGTTTTTGGAGTACTCGAAGATTCGCCTGGTCGCCGCGGCGGCGGGGCCGTTGCCGCACACGCTTTCCACACAGTTAAGAAAGACGTTCAACGGAGCCGTGGTGTTGCCTTCGTACGGTATGACAGAATGTATGCCTATTTCGTGCCCTCCGGCGAATTACGCTTTGGAGAAACCAGGATGTTCCGGTCGAGCGATGTGTCCGGATATCGCCATTTACGATCCAAACACCGGCGAGGAGTGTAAAACGGACGAAATTGGCGCGGTATGCGTCCGAGGCGAGATTGTCATGAGCGAATATGAAGTAGATAAAGCCGACGCATCGTCTTTAGCCAGAGAAGGATCCGTGTCGGGAAAATCGTCACCGGCGTTGAGCGGCGCGCAACCGACGCTTGCGAAGTTCTTTGACGGTAATTGGTTCGATACCGGCGATATCGGTCGTTTAGATAGCGATGGATTTTTATTCATCACTGGTCGTTCGAAAGAAGTAATCAATCGCGGCGGTGAGATTATTTCGCCGATTGAAATCGAAGACGCTATTCAATCGCACGCGGGCGTTTCTGAATGCGCCTGTATTTCTGTGGCGCACGAGACGTTGCAAGAGTGCGTCGGGATTGTTGTGGTACCAACGCAAGACGCTCTTGCGCAGGCATCTTTTGCCGCTGGTTTGAAGTATTTGTGTGAGCACGTCCAAGATAGATTACCACCGTCAAAATGGCCGAGTATTTTGGTCATCGCCGATTCCATCCCGAAAGGATTCACCGGGAAAGTCTCTCGTGCAAAAATTGCCAAGGCATTATCCATTCCAGAAGTGAAAGAAAACGATAACGAGTTAGATCGAACGTATTTTGCCGTAGATATGAACCATGGAACGGATGATACCCCTGGATCTCCGAAAGACGTTGAAGTTATCCGTGCGAGCGATATTGCAAAAGATCGCGTGACAACGGCGATGTTAGCGTTGGCCAACGTTGAAGAGGCGGAAACCATGGTAGATTCTTCCGGTGTTGTCGTTGGCGTAGTGAAAGTGTCCAACCGAACTGTTGGCGAAGATGAAAACGAAGACATGGAGCTTTTAAAGCTCATTAAACCGAAACTAGCTGGATGCTTCCACCCGAAAGTTATCGTTCCGACGAACGTGATTCCGAGGAACGCCGAAACGGGAGAAGTCGATTACGATTATATCTTAGGTTTGACAACGAAAGCGCGAGCCGGGAGAAAAAAATCTGACACAGAGGCGTTGATTATTCCGTACTGGGCGGCGACCTTACACGGCGTCGATCCAGACATGGTCAACGTAAAGGACGATTACTTCGCGGTCGGAGGCACGTCTATTTCCGCCGGTCAGCTGGCGTTCAAGCTTCGAAAAGCGTTTGGGATGAAAGCGATGACTGGAGCGGATATGTTTGAGCTACGAACCATCGAAGCGATTGCAAAGAAGATTGATGCGAAAAAATCCGGTGGAAACTCCAAAGGCGGCTCTGCTGCCGACGATAAGAGTAAGAAAGTTCCGGTCGGTCCCGTGAATTGGGTGGAGCCGCATTCCTCAATCGCGCAGTCGACTTTGCTCATCCAGTTAATTCCGTTGTTCATCATTCGACCAAGTTTGACTTTGTTTCGATGGACGGTGTTTTTGACGACTTGGAGTACAATTTTTCACACGTTAGCACCGAGCGTTCACTGGTTGCGTCACACGTTGCACTTGATGGTGACGAGTACTTCCTACGAAGGCACGGCGAGCGTTTTGAAATTACGACACTATGGTTCCGTGCAGCTCTTCTCCTTTTTCTTGGCGTTAATTTGCGTCGAACTGATTTGCTCGATTGCGTTTCCGATGTTTGCCATTATTTTCAAGTGGCTTTGCGTCGGAAGGTTACGACCAGGGACGTATAGGTTATGGGGTTCGTATTACTTGAGGTGGTGGCTCGCCGATCTTGTTCGCGAAATGTGCGGCTTGGGCGTCTTCAAAACAAACTCGCAAACGTTTACCTTGTACATGCGTTTGATGGGAGCGAATATTGGTAGGAACGTTTCTGTTTCACCGTCAACAGATATTGCAGAGTTTGATTTGATCACCATCAATAACGGTGCGACAATTGATGAGATTGCCAAAGTGCGCGCGTTTGAAGCGCGACGCGGGGGCATGCGCTTGTCGCCAGTGTACATCGGCGAAAATGCAACCGTGTGCGTTCACGCCATTATTGGCCCAGGTGGCATTGTTCCCGCGAATGCCACTTTACCACCATACACAAGTTGGAGAGAGCGCGATCCGAATGTGAACGTGCACACGCACAAAGTTTGCGCCAGAGAACGTCTCCCGGGACCGTCGATGATTTTCAAGCTTTTTCTAGGCTATCCGGCAATCATGTTTGTACACACCGTACGTTGGGCACCATGGGCGCTTCTATTGAAGCTTTTATACTCCTCTGCGGCCAAAGACGATAACATCTTAGCAAACGCCGGCATGGTCAACTGGCAAAAACAGCTGGAACGCATCGGCGACGATACGGACGCCATGGAAGTGTTCGTCATGCTCTTAGCTCGACTCTCGTGGCAAGACTGCATCGTGTGGTTTATGGATCCATTCCGTTTGACGTGTATTGTCATGGCGCGTTTGTTACACGAGACCATTGGTCCTTTGCTTCAAATCACCGCTGTCATTTTAGTCAAACGCGTGTACGTTGGTAAATTTAAGCCCGGAGCGAATCCAACCGGGTATTTCGCTCGAGAGTGGGAATACACACGTCGTTTCTTAATGTCGCGCTTGCTACCGGATGGTAAATTTTGTGGCGCCGGGGAAATTCTTGGCAAACATTATAAGTACACGACTTTCATTTGGCGTGCGTTAGGTTCGAAGATTGGCGAACGTATCTTCTGGCCGGGAAGCGGCGTTCACGTGGCGGATGGGATGTACGATTTAATCGAAATCGGTGACGACGTCGTGTTCGGATCGCGGTCTCGTTTGTACCCGAGCGATGCTTTAGGTTCTTTGCCCATCCACATTGCCAGAGGTGCAAACGTTGCGGATCGGTGCATCATTTACGGTGGCGTGACGTTACACCCGGAAGCTTTGTTGGGATCTGGTGGCGTCGCTCCGAGACGAACGACGTTGAACGCGGGCAGTATCCACGTCGGGTCCAGAGACGGACGCGCAGTCATGCTCAACCCGGGTAAATCGAGTCACTTGGACGACGAGGTATCATTGCGCGTGGTCGAGGCGAAACCTTTTGGTCGTGCAACATATCTAGGCTTAGCGACGTACGCTGTGATTCCGTGGCAAGTCATGCCGGTCATCGGGATCTCCGCGAGAGTATTGAAAACTGCATTTAACATTTTGCCGGTGTATTTTTCGTGGTACGTCACCGCGTTTTTCACAGCGTCCGTGATGGACGTCGAGTGGAAGGATATACCAGCTTGGCAATACTTTTCGTTGTTGTACGTGCTATTTCTCGCGATCAAAGCGGTACACACGACGCTTTCGATTGGGTTAGGTTTGATGAACAAATGGTTGCTCATCGGGAAACGTCAACCTGGAATGTACGCCTGGGATAAGTCTAGCTATTGCTTCAGATGGAAACTTGCCGATCAGCTGAGTTGGAACGACTATCCGAAGCTACTTCGAGGCTCTGCGCACTTGTGTGCGTACTATCGCTTTAAAGGGTGCCAGATTGGAAACAACGTGTGCTTGTATCCAACCGGCGCGGATCCTCCGATGCCGGAACCTGATTTGATTTCCATCGGCGACGGTGCTTGCGTGAATTTTGCACATGTTATCGCACATACGAATACATTGGGCACTTTTTCGTTGAACACGGTTATCATTCGCGAACGCGCAACGTTATGCTCGGAGTCTCGAGTTATGGGCGGATCTGTCATTGGTCCAGACGCAATTTTGCTCGACCACACGTTGGCGATGGTTGGCGACGACGTCGCCGCGGAAGCCATCTGGCAAGGATGGCCGGCGAGGCACGTCATGGAAGATGCTGATTTAAAACCAGTAAAGAACACTCCAACCACCGATAGTGGTTTATTTCACAAAAAGAACAACACGAAATGGAATTCGTTCTTTTCTACTCCGAGAAAACCACGAGGGAAGAGAGGATACTCGCCGTTATCGTCGGATTCTCCGGGCAGCAGGGGAAAAATGACCGGGATTAAAGGAGCGTCGTACGGCACTGGTGATGCGCTGTAATTAGCAAATGCTACTGCTATACTATACTATATTAGCCTATATACTACCAGGTACTAAGAATCTATAACTATGTGTATTGTAATAAATATACCCGTATGGTACCGGTACAGTTTTATACTTTGTTGAAGTTTTCTCTCTTTGTTCCAAGCGCGCGTTCCTTTTCCTTTTCTAAAACTTCAAAGGAAATTCGGATATCTTCCCAGTTTTCATTAACTTTTCTAATTTCTCAAACGCGAGAGGAAAAGCTTGCCCGAGGACTCTGGCTATGATATCGATTTCTTCCCAGTGAGTCTTTAATGCTTTGGCCGTGGGTTCAGAGGAACGGTCGTGAGATTCCGCAATCGACGTCGCCCACTCTTCCGCGAGGATCAACTTCATGAGATGTTTCCGTTGCTCCGGCGCGAGAAGTTTTTCCAACTGCTCTTGCGCGTCCGTTTCTATTTTTTCATTGCTAACAATACTCGACTCTTTCATCTTCACCGCATTATTATCATCTTCCCCACCTTTCGCGTGCAGCCAAAGGGTAAACATAACGCGACGTTTGCCCGTGTAAGGTAACGTCGAATGCGCGACGTACCTCGAATTAAACATAACAATCGTACCCAACTTGGGTGGCACGACAACTATCTTCTCCTTTTGAAAAGGTAAATACAAGACCACCTCCCCGCCATCCTTCTCTTCCCAATCGTCGTTAAGATATACGAGACACGTCCAACGCCTGTTGTCCGTGCTGCTATCGCTATCGAAATGAATCGGAAACCTCGCGTTTTCGCCGAAATTCATTTGCACCTTCAAAGAGACGTTGAATAACATCTCGTTCGGCGTCTCGCTCGGTTTTAAAACGTTCAACAGCGTCAACAACGTGCGATCTCTCTGCAACGCGCGCAAATATCTTCCATCGGTCTCTTCAACGAACGGTGCCGAAAGCTCAAGAATATTTTTCTTCACCAACTCTGTTTGGAAACCGTCTTTCACGAACCTTGTGGAATTCGGAACGAACCGTTCCGGGGAGGAAAGGAATAACGCGTCTATCTCTTTCCGAAGTTCTTTCCCGACGTTCGAGTCGAATCCGCCCTCGAAAACCGCGTACCCTTGGCGATACAATCTCTCGACATTTTTCCCCGTAACGCATTTCTCAAAAGAAGCTTCGATTCCATCTTCTCCTTTACTCGACACGTTCGTTGAATAATAATAAATAGAATCAGAAGAGTTATAATTGCAGCGACGGCAGCAGCTCCGAGCAGAGATTCTGGAGGATGACAACACTCTCCGCCACATCCTTCTTAAATTCACTCTCGTTTTCCCCAAGACCGTTATAAAAAGTGGAGCAAATTCTTCACTTTTATAAGAGGATGAACGACGACCCAGACGACGAGAGAGAAGAAGAACACGCGCAGGGGTTGCTCTCAGATCATTCCGTGTCGTCGTCGGAGTATACTTCTTCCGATGATGATGAAGAAGTCTTGCTGCTTCCGAACGACGGAAGAACAGAATTTGATCTCTCGGGGGAAGATTCCTTTCTCACTCCTTCGGGAAACAGTCCCGGGTACAATCTCGAAACGGACGTGGACGACACGTACTCCACGCACGACATCAAAATAGTCTTCGCGCTTTGGAACGCGATGGTTGGCGCCGGTAGCGTGCTCGTGTTCCCGTGGGCGATGAGTCAATCCGGTGTTTTTTTAGGGGCGATAATAAGTCCAACCTTTGGGTTCCTCTGTTGCGTGTTTAGCGCGAGTCGATTGGTGGAACATTCCGTGAATACGAAGAAAAATAGTAATAGTAGTAATAGTACGAGGAGGAGGAGTGTTCAGCACGCGCCGACGGACTATTCCGACGTGGTTGGAGAATGGTTTGGGGAAAAATGGAAGCGGGCGGCGCGCGTAGGTATCGTCTTGCTCATGATGCAATCCGTCGTCGTGTACGATATGATTTTGTCGGATGTGATGTTTGGGTTGGTGAGTGGAGGGTACTCGGATTGGCGAGAACAGTACGATAAGGAATGGGAGAAGAAGAAGAAAAACGTACGAGGTGGTGGTGATGCGAATAGTAGTAGTAGGAATAGTAGCGACGCGGGGGGCGGCGGCGTGAACGGCACGGCGACAGCACTGGAGGATGCTCTTTTCCTAATGTACGACGATGCAAATGATAGCGGCGGTAATGGGACGATATACGCGACTCCTCCGTTGCCAGCCGCAGCACCGCCTTCCCCTTTCGCTCCTTCCAGTAGTAGTAAAGACGACGACGATAACGACCATCACGAAAACAACGATCTCCACATTAATTGTCAAAAGACAATCACGTGGCGATCGTCGTTGAACGGCGACTGTTTTACGCCCAAAACGGCCTCGGTAATTGTCGCTTTGATGCTCTTCGGCATGTCCACGAGAACATCCGCGGACGTTTTCGTAAAACTATCTGCGTTTGGGCCGGCATTTACGACGTACCTCGTCGCATTTGTTCTTCTGCAAAGCCTCGTCGTAGAAAATGTTGTCGCACCGAGACACTTCTTCCCGAGTCGTGGAGGCAAGGCGGCGTTTCGTGGCGTCGCCACACTTTTGGGCGCGTGCAGCTCGGCTTTTTTCGTGCACCACGCGGTCGTCCCGGTGCTTAAAACGAATAAGAAAAGCAAAAACAACATGCGAAATTTAGTCTTCGCGTACATCCTCGCCGTAGGAACGTACATGTGCGTAGGAATAGTAGGCAATTTCAGTTCCACGTACGTTGCTTCGGAAGCAAAAAGAGAAAAAATAGGGTTACAAGGCCCGTCGGAGAACTTTTTGAACGCATTTCCGACGGAACCGAATAAGGCGCTGTTCGCGTTTACGGCCCACGTTGCAGCGGCGTTGCAAATGTTCACCATTTGTCCTCTCTTACTCTTCATTTTGCGAACAAGCGTGTACGGATTATTCTTCGGTCGCCGCGCGGAATCGAAAACGACTCTGGGTGGTATCGCCGTCATCAACGCGGTGTGTCTTTTCATCGGCACGCTGTGTGCCGCGGATAAAAACATAGACGTCGGTGGCGTCGTGAGCGTTTGTGGTGCCTGCTTCGGTTTCGTCTACGTTTTTTTACTCCCGTCCATGATTCGCTTAGAAGCCACGAAAGACGAAGCGATCGGGAGAGAGGCTGTTCAACCGCCGCACCACCGATACCCGCTCCGAAGTCGACACGCGGTCATAGAAGAAGAAGAAGAAGAAGAAGAAGAAGAAGAAGATGCCGACAACGAAGAAAGCGCGCCGCCTTTGGAGCGACGAAGAACTCGCGGGGCGGCTCGACGCGGCAAACGTGGCAAAAAAAGCGGGGCCGCGAAAACATCCTCCTCCTTCTTGTCCGCGCACTCCTACCAAACATTATTCTTCCACGGCGCGTTCGTCGCGTTCGGATTTAGCATATTAGTGAGCAACGTTCTCTAGCGCAAAAGCGTATATAAGTAGTAGCAACCAAATAGTAGTTAATTTTTAGGAGTTTTTTTAGTTGTTGAAGAAGAGAAAAAGAGCAAAATGAGAGCCACAAATTTCCGTATCTTTTTTGGATCATCACAAATTTCCTCTTTAACTAAGCGCTGATGATGATGACGACGACGATGCAGACGACGCACCAAACGCGCTCTCTTCTCACTCTGAAGAACGACTGTCGTCGTTCTTTTGCGCTTTCCCGATCGGGATTCGAGAGGAGGAGAAGACGGACGATGATTCAGAGTCCTGGAGCGTTCCTTAAAAATTGGAAGAAAGAAGAGGAGCAACTCTCGAACGAATTGGACGAGAAAGGAAACCCGAAAGGCATGACCGGAAAAGGCATGTCACAACTCGTGAAAATGGGCCTCGGCGCCATCTCTGGAGATATCACGGAGATTAACTTCGACAAAGAGAACGCCTCGAGAGCGGTGGTGATGGAGTTGGAAGCGAACAACTTGGAAGATAGCGAAGGAAACCCACTGTCGACGAAATTTATGAACAACGACGGGTACACGGAGGAGGAGGACGCGACGACGAAAGGAGGGATGATGAACGTGGTCGTGCCGGTCGCGTTGGGGGTGATTGCGATTGGCGGTGTCGTCGCGACGTTGAAAGCTCTGGCCTAGTTTATGTATTATTGTTCTTGTTTTGTTGTTGTTATTATTTGCGCTCTTCTTATATTTTCAAATCGTACGGATACTTGTTTACGTGTACAACGCGTCTTCGTCGTCGTCCTCTTCCTCCTCCTCCTTCTCAACTTTGATACCGGTTTCTTCTGCATCGTTATCTTCCGCATCTCTCTTATCCTTCCACGTTCGATGGTCTTGTCGGTTGAGCAACTCTGCGGATAAATGAACGGCTCGTTTTAGCGTTCGTTCGTTTTTCTTCGCCTCTTTTCTCCTCTCGACGTTCTCCACGAGCGCCTGTTCCAAACGTCTTTCGCTCGAAACGCATCGCTTCGTCAACCGGTCGTTTTCGCATCGCGCAGACTCTAACTTCCTCAAAATCTCTTCAATTTTACGCGTTCTCGATTCCATCGATCTCTTCTCGTCCCTTTCCTTCTCCAAAAACTCTTTCATCTCCTCGATCTCTTCCCTCAAACTCCGCACGACCTTCTCCTCTCTCCTTTTCGCGCGTTCGCATTTCTCCGCCAACTGCTCCATCGCGAGTCTCTCCTTCACCTTCTCCCGTTCCCAACTTTCCTTCTCCTCTCTCAAACGTACCAACTCTCTCTCCAACTTTACTCTCGACGCCTCCAACTCTAACCCGTGCACTCTCTCGTCCACCAAGGCCCTTTCCAACGCGTGTTCCGTCCTCGCGCGTTCTCGACTCCAGTCTCTTTCCACCAGTGCAAGTTCTTTCCTTTTCGCGCGTTCCTGCGCGAGTTCCACCCGAAGGCGTAAGATGACCGAGTCTTTATCTTCTTCGTACATTACAGAGTCGTCTCTCTTCCTCGTCGTCTGAATCGACGTCGTCACGTGTTTCTAATCAGAAAGAAGGATTAAGAAAAGAGAACACTCTACACACAAAGAGTGCGCGAGAGGATCTGAGCTAAAAATAGAGGAAACGAGACGCCGCGTCTCTCTCTTCCCGACGAAAGTTCTTTCCCGACGTTCGACCGTCGAACCCGTTTTCTGCGTCGAAAACCGCGTGCCCTTGGCGATGCAATGTCTCGACACGTTACGCGCGAGATGGAGCGGATCTCTGCGCTAAAAATAGAAGAATTTATTTAAACGAGAAGCCGTTTTTACTTTTAATCTGAGCACCCCAAACGACGAAATTTTACTTCAACAGTGTTTGTTCCGAGAGAGAATTTATTCAAAATTCTTCTCTCTCTCTCCATTTCTATACACACACATCGATCGCTTTGTTCCGTTCACACGATCGGAGCAAAACGTCGTCGTTTCTCTTTCTTTCACGGAATACCCCTTTTTTTCCTGTTTTGAGGAAGAAAGTCGTCGCAGAGAGGATTTCTTACGAGAGATGAGAGGCGTGGGCGATTTAGTGGCGTCGTTCATGGACGAGGACGAGGAAAATCATCATCCACGAGAACAAAAACAAATGGTACATAAAGAAGAGGCGGTAATGTCGGTGGATTCGGACGGGTTTGAAATTATCGCGAATCGCGACGACGCTTTTAAGGCGGACGCGTCGTCGTCGTTGAAGAATAAGAAGCAAAAAGAGAAGAACGCGGAAGAGGAGGAGGAGAAAAGACGCATAAAAGAGGAGAAGAAATCAGAGTCAGAGCGATTGAAGCAAAAGAAGGAAAAGGAGAAGGAAAAACGAGCGGAGGAGAAAGAGACGAAGAAGCGAGAACGCGAGAAGGAGATGGAGGAGAAACGTTTGAAACGCGAGAAGGAGACGGAGGAGAGAGAGAAGAAGAGGAAAGAGCGCGAGAAGGAGATGGAGGAGAAGCGTTTGAAACGAGAGGAAGAGAAGCGAGCGAGAGAGGAGAAGAAGAGGCGAGAGCAGGAGGACAAGGACAGGATTGAAGAGGAGAAGCAAAAGGAGAAAGAACGGTTGGAGGCTCTGAAGCGGAAGCAGAGCGAAAAGTTGCTCGGGTTTTTCAAGCAAAAGTCGCCGAAGAAGATGCAGAAAACGTCCTCGGCTTTGGATGTTGTGGCGTCGCCGAGTAAGAAGCACGTCGTGGAGAAGTTGGACGAAGAGTTGTTCAATAAGTCGAAGGCTTTGGAGGTGGACGTCGTTCAAAGTTGGCTGATGACGTTGAAAAAGTTTAAAGCGGAAAGAAGAATGAAGAAAGAAAATACGGAGACGACGATGCGACACTGGAATGCCCGCGTGCATGTTTCGCCGAAAGATTTCGACCCGTTTCGCGCCAAATCGAGTTCTCCCGAGGACGGCGACGACGACGAGGTTCAAATCATCAAGGACGATGGTGGCGACGTGCAAATCGTCGATGCGCCGGAAATAACAACGGCAAAGGACAAAGGGCTTAAACGATACAAGAAGTATTACAGTTTTGCGTCGTACGAGATGAATTATCACGAGCGATTACCGTGGTACGGTTATGGCTTGCCTCCGGGACGACCGACGTTGTCTCAACCTTTCGTTAAAAAAATGGCGCGAAACTATCGCAGAAAGTGCGACGAGGTCGATTACGGCTGTGATTCAGGCGGCGAGGATTACGAGTACGAATCTGAGGGCGAAGATATCATGGACGATGGGGATGATTTAGACGAGGAGGACGAAGATTTAGCCGACGAAGAAGACGAGGAGGAGGATGGACAAGAGTTTTTCATCCCCGATACGCGAATTATCCGGGGCGAGTTTGGCCAAGACGACGAAGAAGAGAATCTCGACGCCATCCGAAGAGAAGATTCAGGTGATGCGACTTCTATTGATCCGAGTACACCCACGTACGTGTCGAAATCAAAAGCGCGACGGACGGTTCAACAGTGGGTCGGAGAAGCGAAGAAGCAAAGGAAAACGCTCGTAGTCACATCGCTCGCGGGTTCCTCTGAAGACGGTATCACGCAAGATGCTGATGGTGTTGTACTAAAAGGTTTCGAGATTATTACACGCACGATGAAGGGTATCATCATATGCGGCGTCGATTATGAAGAAGCAAAGAAAAAAATCGAGGACGAAGCCGAACGCGCGAAGCTCGAACAAAAGAAAATGAAAGCAAAAGAAAAGAAAGCGGCAAAGGAAGAAACGAAAGAACAAAACGATGCCGCTAAAAATGAAATTATTAGCAACAACACGGAATTCGGTAAAACAACTTTCGTGACGCAAGAAGGATTAGACAAGCTGTTCAAGATGAACAACGCTGGTACTAAGCGGATGTTAGATGCGTGGGTCAAACCCAAAGATGATAAACTCGCGGTGGAGGAGACCGAGATTTTGGAGATGCCGGCAGTTCCCGAAAGCACAGATTCTGAAATTTGGGAATCGTTTAGAAATAAATTGCTCGAAACGAACGCGGGAACTAATCCAAGTCCTTTGGGAAAGTACGCGCTATGGTTTGATGCGGATCAGATGGACGTCACCGGTGCCGTTGTTAGACAAATGCCGACGAATATTGCAAAGTTAATCGCGAAACTCACCAGTCAAGCGGGGCGGCCGCAAGTTGCCCGCGTTGAACTTTTCAACGCGATGACGAAAATCATAAGTATTACGCGCGACATGTATCTTCGGTTAGAGACAGGCATTACCTTTGCCAACGGCATGGAAGCTTTGCCAATAAAGAAAGCGGCGCCGATGCCGGTCTTGCTCGAAGAAGCTGCCACCGCACCTTCCATTAAAAATATGGTCGCGAGTATTTTCTCTTCGCCAGATACTTCGCGCGCGTTGAGAGACGCAGCTTTTGCACTCGTGTGGGAGTGTGTCGTCAATATGGCACATCTCGACCCCGCGAGGCAGATGTGGAGAAACGACATTATAAGAAACGTATGTCACGAGAAGAACTTTCTCGACGCGGCTGCTTCGTATTTTCTTAACTCATCGAAAGGTGAACAACACAACTACGAACAAGCAAAAGCTATGCAGATAGCAAATGAAATCACGAAAGGCGCGTTGTGTGATACGTTTTGTGTAATGCGCTCACTCGAAGCCAGTCGTCTGGCTTTGGCGCTCTGTGATTTTGTTTCGCACACTTTCGGCGACGACGGCGGATTGAAAAGTACAAATTTAGAGGATTTCAGCGCCAACGGAAAAGAGTACACGCTCGCTTTTCGAACCTTACCAGAAGCGATAAAAGCGATTTCGAACATGGTAACGTCGTGTCCCAACGTTTTCGAATCTTCGAAGGTTTGCGAAGGCATCGAGAAAACGGGCAAGTTCGTATCCAGACTTACTGCAATTTTTGGCCCTTCTGGTTTTTCTTCTGAAACGAAAAGGCTCACGGAAGACGCGGTGAATGTTTTAAAGAGCGCTGTTGGTTTTGGCACCGAGAAAAGAAGCGGCGATTGCTTGATCAAGGCGCTCGGTGATTGTGGCGACGTCATTGTAACGTTGAGTCTGTTTAATCATCCGACGATAACGGAAGTCAAAGACTTTGTACAAAAGCGCATGGAAAACATTCGCGAGAACAAAGCCATCCTCGAAGAAGTAGGAATTGATCAGTAATAACTTTAGTTCGCATTATTTTAGACATACAAATATATTGAAAACACTAACAGGCAAATATATCACAATTTCTCCGTCGCGCCTCCCCGTGCTATGTTGTTTCTGCTCTTTTGTTCGGCGCCGCCGGTGCCTTCGTTTGCTACTACGCCAACTGCGGCGTAAGGCGAGCTCCCATTCAACACACCTTTCAGTTTCATGGGAAGCGTAACTTTGCCCAAACACAACGTTTTCACGGTACGAATGACGTCTGTTTCGACGTTCGAAAGCAAAAAGAGGCAATTCTCGGCCTCGTTGACAGAACGAACGACGGCTAAACCTACACACGAATCGTCCTCGAGCAACAATCCAACGACCGAGGCATTCAGAGCTTTCAAAGCGTCGTTTTTGTTTGGAATATCCGAAAACAACACCTTAATTTTTACGTCGTCTAACGAAACGCGCCACGGTGTCGCGTGTTCTAAACCTCTAGCAATGGCTGCGAACGAGCTGGCTTCATTCGTCAAGCGCAGACCGCCGCATTCGGGCCGACCCGCGTGTCTCGCCACAACTTGTTTCGCCCAAGCGAGCCAAAGTAACGCGCGACTATCTTGAGGCGAACGCTTCCAAGCTTGTTTTTCGCCTTCTGTTTCGTCCTTATCGTTTCTACCTTGCGCGCCGGCGGAAACGTAGGTAATTTTCGTGCCTTCTTTATCTGGGAACGACATGGATCCATCGAACGAAGCGACGTCCCTCTTCTCTCCTCCTCCTTCAGTGCTATTACTATTGTTCACATTCCAAAACGCCCCTCCAGGGCAATTCCTTTTCTCGGCGTGCGATTGAACGTTTAATACGTGCGTTAAATGTGGCACTCTGTCTAGAAACTTCGCTAAAGCCTCCAAGCCGGCGCCTTTTACCCAGCCGTTGCAATTGATCAAAAGCGCTTCCGTTCTATTCGTCGATCTTTCCTCCTTCATTTTTTCCAACCATTTATCCAAGCACTCCACGCAGGCGTCCACGTATGCATCGATATCGCTCTCTGGAGAGTAGTCTCCGATAAACTTTTGATAAAAAGGCTTCTCTCCCGAACCCAAAAACTCTCCGCCAGATAACCTCAGCGCCGGAGGTCCAAGCAGAGGCGTTTGCAGCGTCGTCACGGAAATCAAACCGGGCGCCGTCCGTTCTGGTTGCCCGGGATCGATGTCCAAGAACCCAACTTTTTGGTAATCAATCAACAACAAATTTGCCACGTATCTAGCAAACGTGGACTTCCCAACACCTTTTGGCCCGACGAACGCGATCACCGCGGGCGGTCCTTTCGGATCCCTCGAAAGTTGCCTCACCGTATCCCCCGCCGCCGTACCAGCTCTCGCCCAATCCTCTGGAATCTTATTTCTAGGCAAAGTGCCGTTCGCGTTGTCTGAGTCTTCCTCTTGAGTCGTCGACGTCGTCTTCATCGAACTCCCTTCGACTTGGCCGCTCATCGAGTTCAAAATCTCCTCCGGGACCTCCGGTTTGCCGCCCTTTTGACTATAACTGCTATTATGCGTATTAGCATTCGCATTCAAGGACACCAACTCGAACGAAGATATGTTTCTCTTCAACACTTTCCCGCCGCTTCTCTCTGCTTTCTCCCTCTCGTCCTCTCTTTGCAAATGCGCCACCTTCTGGTGCCGAAACGACACTTGCTTAATCCTTTGAAACCGCTCGGCGAAGAACCCTTTCCCTCTCGCTAATATCACCGCTTTCAACTCCTCTTTCGGCAATTCCACATCCTCGCCGCCTTTCACCGTAACGCACAACTCGTCGTCCAACGGTAACGGCGTCAGCCTAACTTCCGCTCCTAACGCTCCCGACCGCACGGTCACCGCGTTCCCGACCAATCTCGACGCTCTGCAATACTGCTCCGGGTGGTCGCACCTCGCTAAATATCCGTTGATGCACACCACCGCGGACGTCACTTTCACCCCGCACGACCCCTCGATAGCAATCGACTGGTGCGGGTGCAAAAGAACGTCCACCGGTTGATTCTCTTCCGAATGTGGTGACGTCGTCTGCGTGAACGCGTTGTTCGTGTTTGTCGTTTCCTCCGCGAAGCCTTCTTCCTCTTTCGCCACTTTTTCTTCCAAATCCTCCTCCAAATCTTCGCTTTGTTGTTGTTTCCTTCGCCTTTTCAACGACGACGACGCCCCTCCTCCTCCTCCTCCTCCTCTCGACGGCGACGAGGAGGAGACTTTCATGGTCGTTCTTCCTCGAGAGAGTCCAAGGGGAGTTACACCTTCTTCTCTCTCTTGTCTGTTTTTGTTAATTATATATTTTGTGGCGTCTTTCTTTGACGGCACACGCAGAGAGCGTGTCGTGCAAATCAAAATCAATTAAATTCGACGAAATATAATCGAATCGCAGAAATCACGTCATGTTTTTTGGTCGTAAAATCCCGCGTGTCCGTATTTTTCGAAGGACGGACGCTTTTTTATACCTTTACGAACGAGTGCCTCGATCGATTGAAACTTTTTTTCCAAGCAAGCTCGGGGGTAACGACTTCACTCGAGAATGAATTCGTACGAGTGATACGTATACTCTACCGATGCGCGCAGAAATGCCCCGCTGCGCGAGTGGTGGTGGTGGCTAAAAATTGACACGGTGATAGTTCGTGTGGGTTTTGGCGTTTAAACGCAGCGAGGAGTGTTTTCCTGCGTGCTCCTTTAGCGCGACACACGCTCTGAATGGGAGCCAACATCATCATCAATTCGGGGGAGTTGTTTCGCTTTTGTAGCAGCAACAACGCGACGATTCGGACGAGGAGAAAGAAAGAGAAAAAGAGAGGAAGATTCGAGCGAGTTATCGTCGCGCGAGCGGGGATTCGACACCCTTCCGAGTTACAACCGACCAATCGGCGGGTGAAACTGATCGATTTGAGCGACGAACTCGTCCCGTACGACACCGGGTGGCGAATGCAAAAAGACTTGCTCCAAAAACAGTTCGACATCGAAACCGCGTTTACGACGTCGAATTACGGAGACAGCGAGGAGGATCACATCGAGAAGATTTTATTCGAACACGACGCGTTGATTTTGTTGCAACACGAAAAAGTCATCACGTTAGGTACCGGGAGCACGACGGATAACTTGAAGTTTGACGCGGAGGAACCGCCGAAGGACCTCGGGTTTGAAGTGCGCCGATGCGAACGCGGCGGAGAAGTCACCGTACATTTACCCGGACAGTTGGTTTTATATCCGATATTAAAACTAGACGAACGCAAAGGCTCGAGTTTTAAGCCCGATTTACACGAGTACATGCGGAATTTAGAAGAAGTCGCTCTTCTCGTCGCCAAATCCTTCGGCGTTGAAAAAGGACATCGCGAAGACGGTTTCACCGGAGCGTGGGCGAACGGCTCAAAGTTTGCTCAAGTCGGCGTCCGCGCGAGACGATGGGTCACCTACCACGGTTTAGCCATCAACGTCGACTGCAATTTGTGCGACTTCACGAAACACGTCGTACCGTGCGGTATTGGCGACAGACCGGTAGGAAGCATCCGAGAGAGACTGCGCTCGCAACAAAAACGAACGGTTGGACGAAACGGAAACGAAGACGAACCGCCAATACTAATCGACGAGAATGACGATAAAAAAGTCTCCGTGTCAATCGCCGCAGATCGTGCGCTCGACGCGTTTGAAAAGGTTTTCGACGTATCTCTCGTCAGATGATTCATCGTACTAGTATTTAGTATACGTTACATAGCGTAATAGCAACTTAAGACTCCTTAGCTTACGAACAAAATTTCGTCACATCGGAGATGCTCGCGACGAGGACGAGCGCGCTCTCCTTCCTCATCCGCCGAAAAACCCTTTCGAGAACGACGACCAAAATACCAGTAGTAGTAACGACGATGTCTTCTTCTGAAAACAGCAACGATAAAGTGGTCGTCGGCATCGATCGACTTTCCGACGGCCCGATGCACACGCAAGATCCGTTCCTCTTTTGCGTCTACCACAAAGACCAGTATCCAGCCGGGAACGGTAAAATGGAAGCGCCGCGACGAGGCAACGGTGCGGATTTCAACCCGAACGCACCGTACCGAATGTATCACGGGGAAAAAGTGCCGGGGTTCCCACAACATCCTCACCGAGGGTTTGAAACGATTACCGCGACTTTAGATGGCATCATCGACCACACGGATTCGATGGGCAACGCGGGGAGATACGGCGAAGGCGATTTGCAATGGATGACGGCAGGGAAAGGCGTCGTTCACGGGGAAATGTTTCCGTTAATTCACGAGGATAAAGAAAACCCGACGAGGTTTTTTCAGATTTGGTTGAACTTGCCGAGTAAGAGTAAGATGACGGAACCGGCGTTCGTTATGCACTGGGGGAGCGAGACGAAGAAGGTGAAAGACGAAGGCGGAGCGGACGTCATCGTGTGGGTCGGCGAACACAAAGGCGAGAGGACGGCGATGAAATCGCCGCCAAACTCGTGGGCGGCGGATCCAGAGAACGACGTCGGGGTGGTTTTTTACTCGTTGAAACCGGGAGGGAAGTGCGAAATTGCGCCGGCCAAGGGAGGGAAAGCGACGAATAGATTTTTGTACTTCGTGGAGGGCGAAAACGGTAAACAATTCGTGAGCGACGTGAACGTGCCGAAGAAGCACGGCGCGGAAATTGTCGGTGATAAAACCGCGGTCTTAGAAAATAGAAGCGAGACGGAGACTATGGACGTGTTGTTGCTCCAAGGGAAACCGATCGGCGAACCGGTGGCGTCGCACGGGCCGTTCGTGATGAACACGAGGCAGGAGATTATGCAGTGTTTCGAAGATTATCAACGCACCAGGTTTGGAGGATGGCCGTGGGAGAAAGACGCCATGGTGTTTCCGGCGGATAAACCTAGATTTTCGTTATTAAACGGAGTTGAAGAATTGGGCAAATGAGGAGGGAAAAAAAGGAACAAAAACCATCATCACATTTGTGCACTGTATTTTATCGACTACGATTTATAAATTAAACAATCTCTCGTATCACCACACGTCCTTCATGTATCTCTTATCGACGACTAATCGACGAATGATTTCCTCGGCTTCGTGTATCGCGTATTCGCCTTCGCGTTGTAATACTTGCAACAAGGCTCTGTTGACATCCCTGGACATGTGCTTGGCGTCTCCGCACACGTACACCGCGCCGTTTGGGCTTCGGAGTATTTTATACACGTCCTTCGCTTTCATTTGAATTTTGTCTTGCACATACACTTTCTTCTTCGGGTCGTCGCGACTGAACGCGACGTCCAGGGACGTGATCACCTTCTCCGATAACGCGTTTTCCATTTCGTCTCTGTATATGTAATCGTGCTCTTCTTTTCTGCAGCCAAAAAATAACATGCACTCTCCCAACTCTTGTTTTTTCGATTTCAACAGATACTCTCGTTCTTGTAAGAAACCTCTGAACGGGGCGTACCCAGTCCCTGGACCGATTAAAATGACCGGCGCTTTCACATCTTTCGGTAACTTGAACGTCGCTTTGCGCACAAACACGGGCACGCGATCGCCTTCGCGAACGTTTTGCAAGAATGTCGAACACACGCCTTCGTGTACTCTCCCCGTTTTCGTTTTGTGTTTCACCACCGCCACGGTTGCCGTGACGATGCCGCTCCCGTTGGTCACGTCTTTCGGCGACGACGAGATGGAGTAATATCTCGGCTGCAATCTCCCGGCGACGCATCCGAAAAACGCGCCTAACGTCGGGACCGCAGACGGGAACTTTTCCATGACTTCTAATAAACTTCTGTGCGGATTGGCGACGTACGCGTGGTATTTCGCCTTGTCTACGGCTAACAAATCCAACTCTTTCGCTTCTTTCTTATTCGTCGCGAACGACGCTAACGCTTTAATCGCGGTTTTTCGAGGCATGGACAACACGTCCGCGTATCTCGCCACGGCAATACCAACGGAAATCGGCCCCGGGAATACCGGCAACAACGATTTCGGCGCGTCGTCTCTTCTCACCAACTCCATCGGCGTTTGTTTCGACACCTTCAATAACTTACACACTCTATCGACCACATCCGGCGCGTTTTCCGCGAACACACCCAAATGGTCCCCAATTTCGTACGTCAATCCTTTACACTGCGAGACGTCGAATTCCACGTGCACGCACGATCGATCCGACTTACCCGCGTGCAGTTCTTTGCGCGACTTTATCGGACACGCGTACGGTTTCGCTTGCGTCGGAATTTCACTTCCCCTCGACATCTCGAACGATTTCCTCTCCCTGATCTTCGTCAACTCGTTCACTTTTTCCGCGTCTTCTTCTTTTCTAATCGCATACGAATGCTTTTCAACGTCGAAATCGCCTTCCTCTCCTTCCGCTTTCAACTGGAACGTCTTTTCTAATTGCCTCCACAACGCCTCCTTAAACTCCTCAAAATCCTCCTCCAAACTCTTATCGTCGTCTCCTAACGTGATCTTCATCATTTTTTTTCCACCTAATCCGGATATCGCTTTATCCACCTGCTTCGCAGCGGCGTTAAAATGTTCGTACGATCGATTCCCGAGTCCAAACGTACAAAAATGCATATCCTCGAGCATATCCGGCATCCGACCATCCGTCGCCGTTTCCTCCAACCATCTGCAGAAGTCCGCGGACCCATCCGTCGGGTCTCCGTCGCCGTACGTTGACTGTAAAAACACCGCGCACTTTTCCGAGCTCAAAACCTCCTCGCACACGTCTGGTTTCACGTCTTCGCAATCCACCGCTCTGGCGAAGATTTGTTTCAAACCGTAGCGTTTTTGCGCATCTTCGACTAACGTGTTCGCGTACCGTTCCGCGGTGCCGGTTTGCGTCCCGTAATAAAACGTGATCGTAACTTTCTCATCATCGCTCGCACTCGAACATTTCAGTTCTTTCAAAGTCGTCTTCGGTTTTCTCCCTCCGCCTCGCTCCTGCTCTCTCGTCGTCGCGCTCCTTTCAATCATCATCGTCATCGTCCTCCTGGAAAGTTTCAGCGCGACTAATCCGACGACCGAGGCGCACAACGCGAACGCGCACGCGTTCGTCAACGCGTCCGAGGTGCCCGTGAACTCTTCCATCTTCGATGCGATCAAGTTCTGATATCCTCCTCCGTTTGCTCCTCTTCCTCCTCCTCCCGCTCCGAAAGAGAACGATGATGATGATGATGGCATCTTTTTTTCTTCTTTTTCGCAGCAGGAGTAGAAGAGTTCCTTTTAAATATGACGAGATGGAAAGATGAAACGAGAGCAAGGAAAAGCACTTGAAACCTTCCTCGGCAGAGCTTTTCGGTCCTTCTCTGGCGGCTTTTGGCGGCTTTTCAAATCTTTTTTTTTCCGCCTTTTCGTTTGGTTCAAAAAATCTTCAAAGTCTGCCCTTTGGGAGGAGATTGCACAGTCATTTCAGACGGACACGCGCGCCGTCGTCTCTTAGAGAAAAAAAAACTTCTCTCTTTTATATTCACAAATTCTATCGCGCTTAGTGTTGAACACACAAAATAAGAGCACGTAAAAGAAGAAGCGACGAGAGAGGAGAAAAGAGAGGAGAAAAGAGAGCGCGTCTCAAAACCGCTTTCGTTTCCTTTAAATAAAACGCACACACACACACAGAGAGAGAGAAAGCGGAGAAAGAGATTTAAGATTTTCTAACTGTGTGTCCAAAGTCTATCCTTTTAAAAGATTTTAAATAAACGCATTTGAACACAACCACGAGTAGTGCGCTTTTCTTTGCGTGCGGTTGATATACGTTGAACGCGCGGAGAGCAAAAAGCGGTGTCGACGAACAGACGACGGACTTTTAGCCGTTTTATCGGAGTCAAAGAGAGAGAGAGAAAGATTTGATACACATAAAGAATATGGTGTCGAACAAATCGACCACCGCGGTCGGGGTCGCCACATCGACGCTTCCCGGCGGCGAAGATCATCATCATCTTCACGCGCATCATCGGTCCGGGAGACCACCGCAAGCGCCTTTACCGACTCCGCAAACGACGCAAACGCAAACGACGAATGCAGCGTTTGCTACGGTTCCAGCGATGGGCTTTTTCAATCCAGCCGCCACGATTGGGTTTCCGAATATGTTTGGGACGACGAACACCAGTGCTGGCGGATACCAGCCGGGCGGGATAGACCCGGCGACGGTGGCGGCGTTTGCGAGCGGCTTTTACGCGCACTCGGCGCCGGCTGGGAAAAGCACCGGTGCGAGCGGGAGAGGATTTCTTCAAGCGACGACGTCGACTTCGAGTGGGAACGCGCAACAATCACAACAGCAACAGCAGCAACAACAACAGCAGATGCAGCAGCAGATGCAAGTTTTGGGGACGTCGCCGACGTTTTACGGGTCGAGTCCTACGGCGGCGCCGATGCCGAGCCGGGCGACGATTGGTGGCGGCACGGCGGCGCAGCAAAACGCGGCGGCGCAAGCGGCGGCGCAAGCGGCGGCAAACTTTATGAATAACGTGGCGGCTATGAATAACGCGGTGGCGAGTCATCAGAAAGAGACGTTAGCGTTGTTGCAGCAACAGCAGCAACAGAACTTTCACAATCAGGCGAGGAGAGGCAGTAGCGAAGATTCTGGATCTTTCGGCGCGACGGCGGCGGCAAACGCCGCGGCGATGAGCAACTCGCCCGGTTTTAGTTTGCAAACGCCGCAGATGCCGGCGTGGACGAAAGGGTTATCTAGTTCGGTGGGGAATTCGGCCGGGACGCAAGTCACTCTCGGATCGTCGCCGAACAGCGGCTTTTCAACGTTTTCTCCGGTGAATCATTCGCAGAGAGGATCGGCGTCGTTTAATTACGGTCACGTAGGCGCGGGGAATGCAACTAGTAATCAGCTCGATAAACAACAACAGCAACAACCATCCGTAGGTAGAAGAAACTCGACATCTGGACGACACGCGTTTGAAGGAAGAAACTCGTCGTTATCGGCCTCGCCGAGCAGTTCGCCGCCGGTGCGAGGCGGCGGCGTGCAGAAATCGACGAAGAACGATCCGTCCGTTTTGAAGCGAAATAATTTGAGTAACAACGCGGCATTTGTAGAAGGTTTAGCGAGCGCAGCGGCTGCTTCGAAAGCGGTCGCAAATGCGGATGGTGGTTCTAACGATGGTAGTAAAGAAGCAACGGCGGGCAAGACGGCTTCGGGTAAGGCGCAAAAGTCAATCTATCGAGGCGTTCGACAAAGACCGTGGGGTAAGTTTGCGGCTGAAATTAGAGACCCGACGCGGGGATCTCGATTATGGCTCGGGACATTCGATTCTGCCGAGGATGCCGCGTTGGCGTACGATGCCGCCGCGCGAGCTATTCGTGGCGACGCCGCCGTGACAAACTTTGCAAAGGACGTCGTCATCCCGGAGCATGTGAGAGCGCAACTTCCACCTTTGCCAGTCAGAGACGAGAACGGTAACATCATCGAAACGCACGGTCACACGTCTGGTAACGCGCCTGGTAACGCTAAGAAAGGTGGTAACTCAAAGAAACAACAAATCACGCCGGGAGGACTCGCTCCTGAGTTTGCGAATTCCACGCCGACGGTGCAAAAGGAGTCCAAGAAGAAGAATAAAGGTGGCTTGCCATCGGAAGACGCATCGATGCTGATGATGTTAAGCGGCGCAGCGTTGTTGGATGATAACGATAGCCCGAACACCACAAACGACGGATCCAAGTCGACGAACACGACGGAGGATGCAGAGGCGTTGCAAGATATGGACATGGACGACGCCGAGGCAATCAACACGTCGACGAACGCGCCAAAGTTGAACTTGAAAGGGAGTAAAACGAAAGGAAAAGGGAAATCGACAAAGAATGTCGCCGATGCCATGACCAGCGCTATGAATCACAAGTACTGAAAAATAAGGTGACAGTTGTGATTAGCGTATGTAAAGAAGAGGAGGTGTAAATTATGATTGAAGAAGAAAAAGAAGAAGAGCGAAAGCGCGAAAGCGGAGGGCTCTGACCACCCTTAAATATCATCATTTATGTAACAACAGTTTTCATCATACCATTCATATATACATACAATAAGCATATGTACTGGCACATATTCGTTTTAGTTTTTAAATCAACAACCCAAGCGCCACAACGACGAGCGCGAAGAAGATTGAGACGGACGCGGCCGAGGAAGACTCTTTGTCTTCCTCGCAAACGATATCCTTGCACGCGCTCGTTTCCGCGCAAATGGTCTTGCTCGCACCGCAACAATCACTGCTAAGACAGAAGACGCCATCTGTATCGACAACTTCACCATTGCAGAAGAATTTACACGACGGTAAAACACGAGAGGTAAAGGAACCATCCTCGCATTGAAGAAAATCGGACGGGCACGCCTCGAAACTACGTCCGTCTAACGCAGTCGACGTATCGATAATTGCGACATCGCCAAAGGATGCGTCGTCTTCGGAAGAAGGTGGACCGGATTGGACGGCAACGGTGTCATTATCAGTTTCAGCTGCGTCGCTGGTTGGTTTTGTGTGATTCATCATCCAATCGACGAGCGCGGTTGAAAAAGTATCCGTGAACGAGTTCGCAACCGCCGTATCGGTATTCATCCCGTCGATTACCCAATTCTCAACAACTGTTCCTTCTTGGCACGTACCATTCGTCCACGTTTCTGAGGAAGTATCCGGCGCATTCGCGAAAAGCTTCGTTCGCAAATTCAGCGCTCCATCAACAACCACCGATTCTTCCGTTTGGCAGCCGTTTCTCGATGCCCATCGCTCGGCGACTGTTTGGATCGATGGGATGTCCACGCCCTCGAAATTCCCGCCGTTTACCGAAGGCACTCGATCCAGACGTCCAGAAATTTGTAACACGTTAACGAAGCTGTTCGACGGCACCGAGGACGACACCGTGTTCAACGCCTCGCACATGCTCGCATTTAAGAAGCTCGATCCACTGATAGAGACGATACCAGAAAGCATCTCGGGGTGTTCGCACGCCATTCTGTGCGCCATAAATCCACCGTTCTCGAATCCGAGCACAAACACTCTCGTCGGATCAATTTCATATTGACTTTTCACGGCGGCAATTAACTGATAAATGTGGGTCACGTCGTCGTACGGTTCCCAAGCTTCTCGAACTAAAGTCGCTCGTAAAGGACCCGCGCTCGCGCAGCACGCGTCCGTCGCCGCCCACGTTCTGCACCCGTAGCGCGTGTTCAAAATCCCATCCGATCTCGAACACGTCGAGCACCAAAAATTTTGCCTGTGGCCTTCCGGAACGGCCAAGATGAACTCTCTCGTGTCCACGTGTTTCTTTAAATCAATCAACTGGTCGATGGAGTTCCCGTCCATGCATCTTCCGTGCAACATTACGACGAGACCGACATCTTTGCCGGATGAGGAAGTGCCGTTCGGAAGCGCCACGTCCGGTAAGAATAAACGAGTGGGATCTCTGTTGTATTCGTCGTCGTTCGCGTACACGATGTCGACTTCTTGCGTCGCGATGGCATCCGCAGTTGACGCGAAACAGAGCACGAACGCGACGAACGACGCGACGAGGAATCCCTTGATGTTCGTTTTGAGATTCATCTGTGTGTAGTAGTGGTAGTAATGGCAACGGAAGAGCGCGAGAGATGTGTGTAAAAAATACGATACGAGCGTTTTTTTTTAATGAAGAAAGCAGCCGTTTTTTTTTCGATTGGTTTTACAAAAAAAATTGGGTTACGAGAACATCTTCGGACGACACTGCGCGTAATACGCATCTTGAACGAAACAGTAGTCGCCAGAGTTCGCACAACACCGAGGACCGTTCGGTCCGAGGCTACCACCGCACTGTTCGTACGTTCTCGCGCACGGTAAACCGTTGCGCTCGTACCGCGGGCGACACTGCGAATAATATTCGTCTTGCGTGAAGCAGTAATAACTCGGATCGCAGCAGCTGTTGAGAGAGCTGCCGGCGTTTTTCTGCCACAAACGACCACCGCATTGGCCATAGTTGGACGCGCACGCTGGTATTTTTGGCCTACACTGCGCGTAGTATTCATCTTGAACGAAACAAAAGTCGTTCGCGTCGCAACATCGATTCGGGCCGGTCCAAAATTGACCGCCGCACTGCTGCCATTTTTCTTGACACGTAAAGGATGACGTTGGATCTCGGTAGAGCTGTTGTTGGTTGAACGATATTGGCGGTCGTAACTCGGATGTGGTACCATCGCCAATGGTGAAAGAGGATGATGGTCGGCACTGCGAGTAATAGCGATCGACAAATACGCAACTATTGCCACTCGTGCAGCATTCGGCACCTGTCCAATATTCGCCTCCGCACTGCTGATACGTTTGGGAGCATCCCTTGCACACGCCGTCGCCATCGCAAATTAGACCAGCTTTACAGCAGTTTGGTCGACCGTAAACTGTGCCATCGCAACGCTCGTTCGCGTTCATGCACGGTACGCACGACTTTTCGCCAAATCCAGAAGTCGGTTCGCAACTGAAGCCTTCTTCGCAACACTTTTCTGCGCTCGCGCCGGTAGGAAGCGATAAGACGATCGACGACGCGGAAGAGAAACAGCTTTGATCTCGTCGTGCACAATCGCAAGGTTTACCAAGATTCGTCTCTATCCGAGCTGGATACAGCTTACACGGCTCCGTTGGCTTATCGCACTCTTCCTCGATGGCTTCTTTCGGCGCGTTTGGTAAGAAAAATGGAATTGGCCCGCATAAATTTCGATTAAACGCCAAAGAAACCGTTTTCAAAACCGGTAAACGTCGCAGACTTTGCGGTACTTCGCCTAAAAACATGTTTCCGTGCAGTAAAAGCACCTCTAAACGTTTAAAGATTGAGAGCGTTTCCGGAATAGGACCACTGAAGAAGTTATCGTGAAGATCCAAAGTCGTGATATTTATAGGAAACGCGCGCGGGTTTACGCGACCAGAGAGCTTATTTCCTTCGAGAACGATAACTTCTAGCTTCTCAGCGCTGCTCATACCCAATGGAATTGGACCACTGAAAGTACAGTCGTCAAGAAATAGCTCTTTAATATTCCGTAATCTTCCAATCGCCGCCGCGGGAATTTGGCCGGACAAATCTCTATTTCCGCTCAAATCTAAATACTCCAACGACTGCAAATACGCCAACGCGTTGTACGAAATCGGCCCGGAAAGTAAATTTCTGTGTATATTTAACACTTTCAATCGTTGTAAAAATCGAAACGACTCGGGAATCTGACCGGTAAACTGATTTCCAAAATGCGAACCGGGAACGCCATACTTATTCTTCTTCGCTTTGGGAAACCCGTCGTCGTAATATATTTGTCTTTCGGTGAAACCCCCGTCTAAATCTATCTCTTCCAACCACTTCAAGTTCCCCAACTCGTACGGAATACTTCCTTCTAAATTATTCACGCCTAACTTAAACGATTTTAAATTCGGAAAACTCCTCACAAACGCGTTCGTCACCGCGCCACGCAACCGGTTGTTTCCAACGTCGAAAATTTTCACGCTTTCCAACATATTCGGCAACCCATCCCGAGGTAACTCGCCAGTCAAATCCATGCCGTAAAACGAGACGAACGAAATTTTGCACAAACCGTCTCCCCCTTCGCACTCGCACCCAATCTCCGGCCACTCGCACGCGTTTTCAACCTTCGCTCTCGGAAGATCCGAATACCACCCGGTTCGGTTCAAACTGTTCATCAGACTTACCAAAGACTCGATTTCCGATCTCGCTAAACTCGCGCTCGTTCGATCGAGCATCGCGCAAAACAAAACGAACAAGAACGAGAAGAAAAAACATCCAAATCTGCTTTGGTTTGATGCGTGAACGCGCGTCCTTCTCATCATCGTCATCATCATCATCATCTAGAAAGTGGATGATTTTTAAAGACGCGTGATCTGTTTGTTGTGTGCGAGTATTTTTTATTTTTTTCTCCCTCGTTGTACATTGTAAAAAAGCCGTTTCGGCGAAAAAGAAGAGGAAAAAAAGAAGCTTCCTTCGAGAAGCACCGAAGAGGGCGCGAGAGGCAAGAAAAGTATAAGATGAGGATGATTTCGTCTCTTCTTCTTCACAAAACGAACGCGCGCGAAAACACCCGTGCACAAGCAAAGTCGCGAGAGGGAGTCTTTTTACTCTCAAATATATCTTTTCGTTTCGTACCTTTTTGTCCCAGAGGAGGAAGAAAGAAGAAAGCGCGGAAAAACAATCGGGAAAGAGAGGAAATTTGGATCGTCGCCGTCACTCTGATTTTTGAAGAAGAAAAGTATGCCGCCGAAACGCCCTTCCTCGAAGAAGAAGAACGGAAGCAAGAGTTCGTCGTCGTCGTCGTTTAGTTCCAGAGATGAGGAGGAAATGCACGCGTTCGCGCCGTGGTCGAGAACGGTGGAGGAGAACTGTCGGTTTTACGAGACGTCTTTGGAATTTGGTTTATCGAGTGCAGAGGTGGCGAAAAGGCAGGAGAGATTCGGCGCGAACGAACTCACCAAGGCGAAAGGGAAAAGCTTACTGAAATTAGTTTTGGAACAATTCGACGACGCGTTGGTTAAAATTTTACTCGCCTCCGCGATGGTGTCGTTCGTTCTGGCATTCTTCGATGAAGGGCCGAACCCGGGGGGAGGGAAAGATATCACCGCGTTCGTCGAACCTTTGGTAATTCTGTTGATTTTGGTTTTGAACGCCATCGTCGGGGTATGGCAAGAAACGAACGCGGAGAACGCGTTGGAGGCGTTGAAAGAGATGCAATCGCCAGATGCGAGGGTGATTAGGAACAGCGGGGAGATGATGACCGTGCCGGCGAGTGAATTAGTGGTCGGGGATATCGTCGCGCTGCAAACAGGAGACAGAGTGCCCGCGGATTTGAGAGTGATGGAGCTAAGAACGGCAACGCTGAGATGCGAGCAGGCGAGTTTGACCGGCGAATCCGTTGCAGTGGACAAGCAAGCCGAGGACGACGAATTATGCCCGGTAGAGATTGAGTTGCAAGGGAAAACGAACATCATGTTCAGCGGGACAGCGGTGAGTAACGGCCAATGTACAGGTATGGTGTGCGCGATCGGGATGAACACGGAGATGGGGAAGATTCAAACGCAAATCGAAGAAGCGAGTTCGGAGGAAGAGGATACGCCGTTGAAGCAAAAGTTGGACGCGTTTGGTGAGGTTTTGAGTAAACTCATCGCGATTATTTGTTTGTTGGTGTGGTTGATCAACTATCATCACTTCATTTCGTTCGAAAACGGAAGTTTTGCCTTCAACTTTGCCAAGTGCACGTATTATTTTAAAATTGCGGTGGCGTTGGCGGTAGCGGCGATTCCCGAAGGCTTACCGGCGGTAATCACCACGTGTTTGGCGCTCGGGACGAGGAAGATGGCGAAACAAAATGCAATCGTGAGAAAGCTTCCATCCGTGGAGACTTTGGGGTGCACTTCGGTTATTTGTTCCGATAAAACGGGAACGTTGACGACGAACCAGATGAGTGCGGTGAAGTTTGTTACCGCAGACAAAAACGGAACGAAAACGAGGGCGTTTAACGTCGCCGGGACGTCGTACGATCCCACACAAGGCGGGGTTGAAAATTTACCAGATTTGAAGCAAGACGCTACTTTCGTCGTCGCCGCGCAAATCTGCGCCGCGTGCAACTCCTCTCAAATTGAGTTTGTTGAAGGATCTGGGTACAGATGTATCGGCGAGCCTACAGAAGGCGCGTTGAAAATATTAGCAGAGAAAATAGGGTGCGAAGATGATGCGAAACATCGAAAGGCGATGAACCGCAGGGACAAGAGTTCAAAAGACGGCGCGCAGGCGGTGTGTGATGAAATCATGAGCAACGTCGAGGTCTTGTCTACTTTGGAGTTTGATAGAAACCGTAAGTCGATGTCGGTAATATGCAGAGAGAAGATGAACAATACTAAAAAAAGTAAAAATAGTAATGGCGTGGAGAACTACCTTCTTGCGAAAGGCGCGCCGGAGTTTATTTTAGAGAGGTGCACGCATATTTTAACCCCGGATGGTATGGAAATTCCTCTGACAAAAAGCATGCGCAACGATATCTTAAAGCGACAGCAGGGTATGGCGAGCGTCGCGTTGCGATGCTTGGCGTTGGCGATTAAGTCTGGACCGGAGCTTGGCGTTTTGTCGAGTTACGATGGCAGTCATTCGCACCCGGGGTATAAGATTTTGAAAGATCCTTCGCAATACGAAGTGGTAGAGTCGGAGATGACATTCGTTGGCCTCGCCGGCTTACGTGATCCACCGAGACCAGAAGTGAAAGATGCCATTAATGATTGCAAGAAAGCCGGCATTCGAGTTATTGTCATCACCGGCGACAACAAGTTAACGGCCGAGGCGATTTGCGCAGAGATTGGCGTTTTCGATTCGATGCGCGAAGCGGCGGAGTTTTCGTTTACTGGACGCGAGTTTACGCAAATGACGAAGCAGCAACAGAGAGCATGTCTTGAAGGCGAGTTCAACGGCGTTGTATTTTCGCGCGCGGAACCGAAGCATAAGCAAGATATCGTGCGCTTGTTGCGAGAGGACGGACATATAGTCGCCATGACTGGCGACGGTGTGAACGACGCGCCTGCTTTAAAACTCGCGGACATCGGTATTTCCATGGGTATTGCGGGCACAGAAGTTGCAAAAGAGGCGTCGGATATGATTTTAGTCGATGACAACTTTTCCACCATCGTTTCCGCGGTTTCCGAAGGTCGGTCGATTTATGATAACATGAAAGCGTTCATCAGATACATGATTTCCAGTAACGTCGGCGAGGTTGTTTCCATCTTCTTAACTGCCGCGCTCGGCTTACCGGAAGGTTTAATCCCGGTGCAGCTATTGTGGGTCAATTTGGTTACCGACGGTCCACCAGCAACTGCGTTGGGTTTCAATCCCCCGGATAAAGACATTATGACGAAACCGCCGCGACGCAAAGACGACGAGTTACTCACGCGATGGAGCGTCTTCCGCTATGCCGTCGTCGGCTTATATGTTGGCATCGCCACGGTGGGTGTCTTTTGCATTTGGTACACCCGAACGTCGTTTATGTTTATCGACTTGTCGGGTGATAACCACACGACGGTATCGATGAAACAACTCATGGATTGGGAAAACTGCGCTTCCTGGACCGACGGCGCGTTCAAAGGCGGTTCGTATTCCACCGCTATGGATGGTCCGTCCTTCTCTTTCACCGGTAAAAACAAGTGCGACTACTTCAACGAAGGTAAAGCTAAGGCATCGACGTTATCTTTATCTGTTCTGGTGACGATTGAAATGTTCAACGCCTTGAACGCCTTGTCGGAAGACTCCAGTTTGTTCACGTCGCCGCCTTGGATCAATCCGTACTTGCTCGTCGCCATGTTCGTCTCCTTCGGTTTACACTTTGTGATTTTGTACGTCCCAAGTTTTGCGACGATCTTCTCCATCGTCCCGTTAAGTTTCAACGAGTGGATGTTGGTCGTACTGTGCGCGTTACCAGTGTGCATCATCGACGAAGTTTTGAAATGGTTCGGGAGACGAATGAACGAAAAAGAGTTGCGAGCGAGACTCGACGCGATGAAGAATACCGGCAAAAACGGCAAAGCGAAGAAGACGACGTCGACGCGAAGAAGACGTTAATACTACTCACGCGTTCGACAGCTTATTCTTTAAGTGCAAAACATAATAATATCTTTTTCAATAATATCAACGACATAATATGATATATAATACGCTACTATATAGATTTTACTGAGGTCCTCGTCCCGCGGGAAACGTCTCCGTCATGACTCGCAAAACAGGCCCAGCCAAGCTAAACACCGCGACGACACTCAACACGCTCAGAACCACGAACCCGGCTTTCAGAGCGTTCGAAAACGTCTCGGATTCCATCGCGTCGTTCTCTGGCCCCGGCGGCGCGGGTGGGCGTTCGTAGTACTCTTCTTCCTCTCCTTGTTGTTCTCTTTGTTGTTCTCGTTGTTGCGCTCGCACGGCGACCACTCCGCTCTGGTGATTGATTTTTCCCCGACTTTGCGTTTGGGAAAACGCCGACACCGCTTTAAACGCTCGTGATGATTTTGACGATCTCCTCCTCGACGACGCGCCCCCCCCGCGAATCTCGATATTCACGACCGACGACGATTGAATAAAAGGACTCGCAAACATTGTGTTATAGCAGTAGTAATACGCGCAGCAAAGAATTTTGAAGCCAAACGTGGGAAAAAACGTCACACACATCTCACCATGGACTCTCTCGTTCCGAACCGAACGCGCGAGAACGTCGAGGTGTGCCACTCATTTTATTCGTAACGTTCTCCTCTCGTTATTCACGAGTCTCTCTCTCTCTTTTTCTTTCACTATTTGCGCATTCTTCGCGCGCGTCCGAACAACAGACGCATCTCATCACTCGCCAATTGGAAAAGTCAATCCAATTGACTTCTTAAGAAGTCGCGCGGAAAGGTTGACTCTCCGGGCCAAAAGTACTCTCTTTTTACTCTCAATGCTGCGCAACAAAGAATAATACTGACGACGACGACGTTCTTCGACGATGTAACAATACCAGGACGTGTCTTCGTTCGCGGAAGACGTGGAGAAGTTTCTCGAACTCGCCAAGAGGAAAGATGGGTCACTTTTAGAGGAGAAGAAAAAGAGGAGAGAAAAAGCGTCTTTGACTGATAAAGCGGCGCGCGAGACGACGCGCAAAAAAGAAGAAGAAGTTAAAGAAGAAGAAGAAGAAGAAGACGTACTGTTGAGGGAACGAGGGAACATGCATTTCAGAAGAGGCGAGTACGCGGAAGCGGAAGCGAGTTACACGAAAAGTTTGCAGGGTAAAGAAACGGCGGCGGCGCTGAGTAATCGAGCGATGGTTCGACTGAAACTCGGGAAGGCGGAGGCGTGCGCGAAGGACTGCCAGAGGAGCGTAGATTTATTGTTAGAAGAGGACGAGGTTGGAGAAGCAACGAGTAAGAGAGACGGTTTGTTAGTGAAGACGTGGCAGAGGAAAGGTACGGCGGAGATGGAGATGAAGATGTATCGAGAGGCGGCGGCGTCGTTTGAAAACGCGTTGAGAATAGAGCCGGAATCGAGGACGATTCGAGAGCAAAGGAAGGCCGCGGTGAAGGAGATGGCGATGATTGAGGTGAAAGATGGAGAGGTTGAACTGCGCGCGAGGGATTTCTTAGCTAAGAGACAACGTGTTTCGATAGAAAAGAAAAAGGAACTCGAAACGCCGTCGCCTGCCGCGATAGTACAGACTAAAAGGAAGGAAGCGATGGCGAAAGAGGAAATGAAGACGACAACAATGGACATTGAAAAAGTGCGCAAAGCGATATCGAAGCTCGATCACGACGAGGAAGAAATAAAAACTGGACCTATTTTCGACAAGCAATGGAAGATCGCCGCTACTTCCTCAGAGAAGAAGTGCAAAATCCTTCGCGCCGTTCGCGCGGAAAACATCACCAAAATCCTCGCCGAAAGACTCACCGGCGACCTTTTAGGGGATATCATCGTTGCCATTCTCACGCACTGGATCACGGAAGATTACGCGAACACATCGTCAAACGACGACGACGATCCCGTAAACTGGCTCACTGCGCTCACCAAAACCAACCGCTTCTCCATGGCTTCCATGCTCCTTTCCGGCGAAGCGAAAACAAACGCCCGCGAAAGCTGGAACCGGTGCGTTCAAAGATTAGAGAAGAATAAGAATATGAATAGCGTAGCTTTAGATAGGTTAGAACACTTGCGCGCGAACTTTAGATTGTAACAACACATTTTAACGCATTAGTACTCTTCGTGGAGATGTGTATTGAGACATTTTCTCGCGAAAAACGTGGACACAATTAAACGACGTGGACGCACTTAGATAAACGCTAAAAGATATCGGTATCTTTAGCTTTTAAACGCGCTTAGTAAATAGTAAACTTCGCGCGCTGCTGCTCTTTCATCATGTCCGCAGGCAAGCACCTCGACATCTCCTCTTCCACACCGAACAACAAACCGTTACCAGATGGCGTCTCTAAAACGTACGACGTGACCTCGAAATGGGAACCGTACTGGTTGTGCTTTATCGGCACCGTGAGTGCTTTCCCGTGCTTGGTGTTCTTTTGGGAGACGAAAACGTTGACGTTAGAGACCGAGGAAGTCGTCTTGAACTCGCGAAACTGCGTCAAGAATACGAACAAGAGATTACCGTACGGCGAGTTAGGATCTGTGGACCAAACAAAAAATGCGTGCGGGTGCTACGAAGTCGGAGGCGAATCCATCGGACGGTTGTCCCCGGGATGGGGGAGTACGAATGAACTCCCCGAGATGCTGTCGATTTTGGCGACGCTGAAACACCGACAGCAACAAAGAGGCGATCAAGGGCAAATTCAACGGACGGAGAATCTGGAGAGGAAAATCGATGCAATCATACAGCACTTTAAGATTAAAATTCCGGACGACTTGGATATCGACCAAGCGCCGGGTGCGATGTCGATGAAGCGTTACTAATAGTACTCTTATTTATTCTTCGACGATGCGAGACGACGCGTGTTGTTTTTGGCGACGAGGAGGAAAAGACTATTTATACACCCAATAAAGCCTCTCTGGCTTGTACAAACGCGAATGCGCAGAATATGTGTGTCACACTATATATAGAAGTCATACTAGAAGTCATACTAGAAGTCATACGTTTTAACACATGGCAAGTTCTCCTGAAAATAAGATGGTTTTCGTTTGTCAGTGGGAAATCCAACCTTGAAGTTTTTTAATACCGTCTGGTGGCTCTCGATCGGCGCTGCTCACGAAAAGTCGAAAAAGCGCTTTCCTCGGAAAGGAGATTTCATTTAACAATGAGATTTGAGTCACGATTTTCCGTCGTTTCGCTTGTTGTTTGCTGCAAAAAAAACACTTCCCCAGGCGCGTTTAATAAAAAAGCGCAGATACTACTCCATCAAACGTAGCGCGACTGAAGAACGCATCGTCATCAGCATCAGCATCGCCATCGTCATCTTCTCGGTGTGCGCGCGAAAGTCGTTTCACCGCACGAAGAACGAAAGAGAGAGAGAGAAGAGGCGTTTAGATAAAATCTACTCGCGACTCTTGAGAAAAAGCGTCGGTTAATTGGATACATCCGCGAAAGGACGCGAGCGACGGATGAGCGCGTTGACGCACGCGTTGGACGATCATCTCAACCACCAAAGACGAAACAACACGAATGGTGGTGGTGAGAGCACTGCTCGTAAAAATGGTCGAAATTCGAGCGATTCCACGTCCACGTCGTCGCCGGAGTTTTCACCGGAAGTGACCCTTCGAGATGGAAACAAAACGCACGGATCCGGATCCGCAATCGCTTTGTTACGAGCAACCGTCTGGGAAGAGGCACAAAAAAGAGGCGAAAATTTCGGCGGTCGAAGCGAGGACGACGAGGAGGAGGAGGGTGGACAAAGACGAGGAAGAGGAGGAGGGCCGATGATTGATGCGAAAACGCGCGCTATTTTGGAGACGGAAAACGCGGAGCAAATGTTCGTTGGGAGGAGATCGATGGAGATTGAACAAGTCGCGAGTTTCGGGAACATTCAAATAGCGCCGGCGGTGTCCGGGCCGCAAACGCAAGCGTTTAGCGGGATCAGTTCGAGACCAAGGGAAGTGCCTCGCGTGAGACGAGTGACGGTGTACGACGACATGAACGAGGATAGTAACGATGCGAGCAGTCCTGGGAGGAAGCGGAGAGGCGCGTCGACGAGTTACTTGGCGATCGAGGCGGATTTGTTGAGCAGAAGCGACGAGAACGTCGGGATGTTTTGTTCTTCCCCGAATAGGAAGAATTTTACCTCTGCGCCATTCGCGGCTGTTTTTGCCGCAGGGAGAACGAGTACGGGAGTAGGGTCACCTTTAGGTCAACCGTCATCACCAAAATCGACGTCGAAAGGGTTTTATTCTGCACCTTTTGCGACGGTATATGGATCGCCGAACGCACCCTCCAGTCCTGCGAGCAAAATGAACTCTTCGTTACATTTTTAAAACAGAAAAAAAACGCGCTGTACATATGTAAAGCACACATGAAGAATCAACAACAAATAGTAAAGTCCAATAGCAAAGCAAATAGTAGCACATGAAGTTTCGCGGGGATTACGCAAATATCCTGCTCGCGGGTTGTATATATACGAAAAAGAAAGTATTGCACATAACGATAATTACCGTAGGTACCAAGTACCGCGTACCACACGGTAGAAATAATTGTCTCTTTAATATACAAGGAAAACACAAACGCACGCATGCGCAACACACGCACAACACAAAAAGCAAGCAGCTCGGTCTGATCTCTCTCTCTCTCTACAAAGTTTAATATCCTCTGTTATGACCAAATTTACACCTATGTCCCCACGAACACCGTCCAGTTTGCGCGAACGCGCGACAAATTTGACTCTTGAACGTCACCATGAGAGGCACTGAACCGCCTAACAAGGTTGTTCCATTCGCCCCTTGCACCGCTCTCGATGCCTCTTCGACCGATTGGAACCCAATAATTCCAGTCGTCGCGATGCGCGTGCACGATATGATGCGCCCAAACTGCGCAAACGCGTTCACTAAATCATTCTCATTACTATCTGTGGGCAACCCTTTGATGTAAATGTTCTCCGACGGTGGATTGGTCATCGCAGAACCGCCGACGCCACCACCACCACCGCCCGCCTCGCCACCACCTCGCCCACTACTACCAGCAACCCCGGAACTATCCGTATTCGCAAACTTCACCTGTAACGGCCTGTGCGCCAAATCTTCTCTTAAAACTCTTCCGCTGACTTTCTCAATCGCTTTCTCCGCCTCCTCGTACCTTATGAACTTAACGAATCCGTATCCTTTCGAGACTTGTGACATTTTATCCCGCATAATATTCACGCTCTCCACTTCCCCGCACTCCTCGAACAAGTGTTTCAACGACCCTTCCTCCATATCTCTCGGAATATTCCACACGTACAAATTTGAATGTGTCGGTAAACTGGCCATAATCTGCTGCTTCGCGTTGAACGACACCGACACTGGCATCGCACCACCGATTTCGCTCACTATCATCTTCCCGTTTGCCTCTCTCACTGCCACCTCTGCTTCCCCAACCGTCTCAAATCGTATCAACGCCGTCGTCGCAATCACGCGACAACTCACAATCTTCCCAAACGCGCCAAACTTCTCGCGCAAAATCCCTTCGTCGATATCCAAAGGTAATCCTTTCACGTACACGTTATCCGTGGGAATCGACGCCACGTCTACGCCCGTCGCGCCAATCATCCCGCCGTGTACCCCCATCAACCCGTTCGAATCCGTGCTCGCGAATTTAATCTGCAACTGCTTATCTTTCACGAATTTCCCGTGTAACTTCTCCTTCGCGTTCACCGCGTCCTCGAACTTCACGTACTTCACGAATCCGTACCCTTTCGATTGTTTCGTTTGCACGTCTCGCATTATCGTGCACGACTCCACGGTGCCGAATTTTTGGAACAAAGTCGATAACTGCCGCTCGTCCATGTCTCGAGGAATAGACCACACGTACAAGTTGGAGTGCTTCGGTTTCTTACCACTCTCCCCGCCGTAGTGGTTGTTATAGTTCGTCGGGTAATTATTCGTCGTAGTACTGTTGATGGTGTTGTTGTTCGAGTTGTGGTGGTGCGTCCGCGCGTTGTTGTCGTCGCCTCCGTTGTTCATCGTCATCATCTGATCGTCTTGGTTGGACGACGCGCGCTTCCGATTCACCGGTAACGAAGAAGGAGGATGAGGGGCGATTGTGTCGACATTATCGTCTCCTCCTCTCGTCGTCGCTGCCATGCCGGGTCTGCGGAAAGGCATGTTCTCGTTGTTGGTGATTACGAGAGTGTGACGACAATGACGACGACGCGCGCAAAGGGTGGTCTTTGTGTGACGACGGAAGAAGAAGAAGCGAGGATGTTTCTTTGTAAGACGAACAACGCGGGAAAAATGTGTCGAAGTAAAATGAGGAAAATTCCAAGAAGTACTTGAATATATATGTACCCGATGCGTATGAACTAATAAAACTCTAATCCCATTCAGATGGCACTTCTTCTGTCGCGCCTCGTTGCACTTCTCCCTCTTCGACCACGTCGAATGGTGCTTGAGAGGAGGGCGGTTCTGGGGTTGGGTCTCGCGGCGGCGCGAAGGTTTCCGGAGGAGGCGCCGCCGCTTCCGAGACCTTTTGTTGTTGTTGTTGTTCTCCTACTTCGAGATGCGAGAGAGAGAGATCGCTTCGGAGCATAGAAAAGTCGCCGAGTTGCGTCGGTGCACCGGCAAACCCGCCGTATTGGTTTTCGAGGGAGAACGCGAGGTCCTCGTGGTGGTCTTCCTCGTCGCCGTTTTCGCCGGTACTTTTCTTCATCGCTATGGAGAGGTCGCTGTCGATTTTGATTTTCGCTTCCGGGCGTTGAACGCGGTCTATGAGGCGGTGACCGGTGGATTGGTACGCTCCTGTTGTTCCAGTGCCAACGCTTGGACGACGATGTTTGCCCTCAATTCGGTCTTTCGCGCGTCTTCGGAGTTCGCTTAAAACGTCTTTCGCCGGTTGAATGGTTTCGTGCTTGGATAAATCGCCAAAGTTGGTGTTGTTGGACCACTCGTCGAGAAATGCGATGCATTTCAACTGTGTTTTCTTGGCGATATCGTATGCACGTTTCCGGAGATTGATGTCTTGGGACAGTTGCGATTCGCCACGCATGATACCTCTGAGCATCGGCCGGAGATACTTTTGTATATTTTCGACGACGAATCCTTTCGCTTTCACGGCCACGGCGAGTATATCGGAGCTCCCACCTTCGGAGCTGTGTACGTCCTCGATTGCCGCTTTCATTATGGCTGAACACAAGGCTAACGGTACTATTTTACGCTCAATTTCAAGTTTCATTTCGGAATCATCATCGTTGTCGTCGCCAACACCACTACCACTAGCAATCACGGCGTCAGTTTCCACGTTTTCATCCGCGAGCTCTTTTAAACCTTCAAAAATTTTATCCGCACCAACGTCGCCGTGTTTCTTCACAAAGCGATACGCTTCTCTACCTGTGCTGCTCACTTCCGAGAACATTTTGTTCTCGCGAATACTTGTGCGTACTTTATTTATGAACGCATCCGAGCCAAATCGAACGGCTTCCGGGACAAACGCATCTGCCAAAGTCGTCGGCGACGCCGACATAGACTTTCCATTTGGCGGCGATATGTGCGTCCCGTTCGAGTTCATCGAATGCAACGATGTCGGTGGTCTAATGCTATTGTCTTTGTCTTCACCTTTCACGGCTGATATTATCGACATTACGTTTAACGGCTTCATCGATTGCTTCGTCGCGCGTTCGCTAAGGAGTCGATTCCTCTCTCTGGTATTTTCAATCATCTCGTTTATTTTGTTCACACCTCTGCGAACTTCCTGTTCTGTCCCTTCGACAACCAAACCCGTAGGAGTCTTCGCGTCCACTGTCACCGTCGCCCCAGTTACCATCCGAATCAAATCTAACTTCTCCTGTGATGACACCACGTTGAAGAAATTTTTACAATCGTGTCGTCTCGTAACTTTTGGTTGTTGTTGTTCCTGAACCATCTGCCTTTGTTCTATTATTCTAGGTTTCTTAAGCGATGAATGTCCTCCTTGTTGTTGTTGTTGCTGCTGATATGCGTCGTGAGGCCTCGCTAATCCAATCGCCGAAGATGCTATAGGTAATTTTGCCCACTCCTCTCTCGCTTCCGATGTCTTGCGCTTCAATCGATTTCCTTGTAACGACATGGTATGCGTTTCTTTCTCGCGCGTTTCCACCATATCCTCGTCTGCTTTTTTCCCTTCTTCATTTTTGCCTTTCTCCTTCTTTCGCGCGGCGTCGGCATTCGTCGTCGGCGCCGACGATTTCGTCTTCTTCGTCGTCGTCTCTTCCTTTACTGATGGTTTCCCTTTGATTCCCGAATCCAAAAACTTAAACACCTCGGGTTTACTCCGGTACCGATTTCCATCCTCGTCGAAATAGTACGCGTCGTAATGTCTCGAATTATTACCCTTTATCACGCGTTTGCTCGCAGACACGTTCCATCCTTTCAGAGCTTCGAATGGATCTCTCGGCGTTGCCTCGCGTTCACGCACGGCGTCGCACAATCGCTGCCAAAACTCGATTCGTTTTTTTCGAGTTTCCTCCGTTGGGTTTGGAGACGGGTCGGAGGTTGGGAGTGCGGGGTATTTCGACGACGACATTCGCTACGCTTTGCCGAGCGTCGCACCGTGCTGCGCGTGGTACCGGTGGATATACAGGAAGGAGTGTATGAGCGACAACTCTGTTGTTCGACTTTTTAGGGGGAGACAATATAGAGGAAATCGAACGAGTTCGGAGAGATATTTTTACACGACTCGTCGCGTAAACGCTCAAAGTATTTTTCGGAAAAAAGTTTAAAAAGAAAAAGTCTCGCAGCCTCCATCGGAGGTCAAGCAATCCACGTAACCCTTAACTATTCTGCCGAGTAAACTACCGATTTGTGCGTCTCTTTCGTAAATTTTCAATTCTGGTAAATAATCCTGACGATAGAAGACTTTCGAGTTTTCGTCTACGCGCACGAAGGATACGCCTTCGAACGAAGGATCGGCATTGAGGAATTGTCTCGAGATATAGGTGCCATCTTTTGTACACAGTTCGGCAGATATGGTCCAGTTGCGTCCGTAAATGTACGTAGAGCACATGTTGTTCAATGTTTCATCGATTTCGGATATATTGTTAGCAGAGTAAAGCCCGTCTGTGTACACCGATTCTTCCGAGTAGAGACGCTGGCGATTTTCAGCGCAGTGCACGCCGTCGCGAGCCGCTTCCAATTTTTCACTCGTAAAGTATTTCGAACACGACGGAGAAACCTCGTTTGGCAAGGTTTTCTCAGACCCGTCTGCAAGGACAGCCATGATTGGTTGCGTGACTTCATCTTTACAACGTTGCTTCTCGTTCTCATCTCCTAAGAATGAAAACAAACACCGTTTCTTCTCCGCGAGTAACGAACCGATCAAAGGCACGTGTTCGTACAGTTTGCCCTCACCGAAAAAGTCTCGCCAGTCGTATACTTTAAAATCTGCGTTGAACTTGATAAACGAAACACCGGGCACGTTCTCAATCGGATCCGTTTTCAACTCGCCGAATTTCCAACCGGTCGTGTTGTACATGAAAAAAGGCACGTACAAGTCATCTTCGCACACTTCTCGATACACCTCTAAACTCCACTCCTCGACTAAATCTTCCGAGAGTAGATTTTTAAACAGCAACTCGACCTCGGATCGATTTCTACCGACGACGGAACCGTCCGTGTACACGATATCGTCCGCGAAATGCGCGCTGCACTCTTTCGCGGCGTTTACGCCGGCGTCCGGGCATATGAGAAAAATCTCTCGCGCTTTTTCCAACTGCTCTTTGGAAAAATTTTCTTTGCACGAAGGGGAAACTTCGTCAGGAAAGGAGGAAGTGAGCGCGAGGGCGTTGTACGATACAGAACTGGCGTTTGTCGCGTGAGCTGTGTTAAGTAGAGATGCGCCGAGCAGTGCAAAGAGTGTGAGGAAAAAGTGACGAATCATGGCGCGTGATGTTTAATGAAGAGAGAGAGAGAGATTTTTTCCTTTTTATGCCTGTCAAAAATACGAGGGACGAGCCTCGTTGTTGCGGACTATAAGTGTTTTTATGAACAATAGGTGTTTGAAAAGAATTTCCGTGTGATTAATCTCTCTGTGTTCTGCTCGTGCTTCTCAATCGAAAGTCACCTCCTCTAGATAGTCCTGCGCATCCTTCCTCTGAAATCAAGCATTCCGAATATTCCGTAGTGATGCGTTTCAATAAGCGGCCGATTATCGGGAGATTCTCGTTGGCGTATATTTTCAGATTGTCCACGTAATCCCTTTGATAGAATGCTCTGTTATTTCCCGCATTGAAAACAATCTTGCTCATTCCAGTAATATCGGTAATATAGTCATAAGAAAGGGACATGTTGAAGGAGTACGAGGGGAAGTAAGTATGTTCGGTACACTCTTCTTCGAATACTTGTAAGTGTTGCTTGGTGAAGTTGAACGCAAACATATTCGTGAAAACGCGCGATACTTCCTCCTTATTCGAAGCAGACACCGTACCATCCGTGTACGTCATTGAACTGTCGAAGTTATCCAAACAGGCTGTCTTATAATTGGTGTTTCCAGAGTCTTGATTGCAAGTAATTATATGCCGCGCAATTTTCAAGCGTTCCGGAGAAAAGTGTTCGCGACAAGACAACGATACCGTACGAGGTACGAGATCTTCAAGCACCGCGCAATCTGCACTCGTAAGCCACCGCCACCCGCATAAGCACATCAGTGCAAGATGGGCCCAAGCAAACATTAGTATATTTGGATTTTGTGGATGTGTTTTTGTGTGCCTGAATGACATATTCTCATCATTTTTAAATATAATATCCAAACGATCATGTGATTGTCAAACGAATACTTCAAAACCAGAAATTCACACTTATCGAAGTTGAGAGAGACCGAACGTAATGCCATGCGCCGCGTGGGATGAACATAGCATCTCCAGGTTTTAATATTGTGTCAAAGTACGTCGCTTCTGCGAATTTTGGAAACTTTTTCAAGTCTGGATTCTCCACATCCTTCACTAAACTTCGCGTGAACGCGTTCACTTGATTCTTCCCAGCAGCCCCCGTAGTCATGACTGCTTCGGAATAAAGCTTCTCGGTTTGGTCATCGAGGTATATGCGAACGTATTTAAATCCACTCACTTGTACAAATACGTTATCATAAGGGTCGCGATGAAGTGATGTTCGGGTTTCTCTCGTGCCTATCCAGAGATTCGATGCACCCGCACTTGTGACTTTCCCGAGCGTCAAATGTGGTATCGAGATGTATTTTTGCAGCTCTGGCGCATGATGAAACAAGCAATGTTGCGAGACATACGCGACTTTACATTGAAGAGAGCTGCTGTTTTCACTTGCATCTACGGCATTACTCGCGTTTAGCGCTTCCGAGAACTCCGATAAGCTCACGACGCCGGCACCGGAATCGTTGCTGCCTGGGAATCCAAACTCAACCGGAACGACGCGCTTGCCTCCGAACATTTCATCTCGTAAAAACTCTGTCGTTTTACACAAATCGAGAAGTTTCCATTTCTGCTCGTTGGCGTATTTTCTCACCACGCACGGTTTCTGCGTTTTGAAGTACTTTTGTAGAAACACTGCCGCGCTCAAGTCCGATAATTCCGACGCGATTTGATTTTGTACGAGGTCTCGCGATTTCTTTTTCTGCCGCGCTTCCGGTATTTTCATCGCAATCTCAACCACATCACTCTTGACGCCCCAAGAGTGTTCTTTTTTCTCCCGATGAAATTCGTAAAACACTTCCACCTCTCGCATCAATTTGCCGTAAAAACTTGGCACTTTCTTTAAATTCTCCTCGCCGTCGACTCCAATCACCATGTTCAACAGGTCCAAATTCGCGCGAGCGATTTTTGTCACCGAGGAATCCCACTCGCGAAGCAACGCCGGCAAACGCGGGTCGTCCGCAACGTTCACTCGTTCGTCGTCGCTCGCAAATTCTATTTCAAACGCATCCAATCCACTTCGATTCCCTGTGCCATCCCCAACTACTTTCATTAAAATCAATACGTGCGCGTACGCTGAGGCGAACAACCACTCGAACGAGTTCCAATCTTTCAACCGTTTTTGTTCCGTCACCATCAACGCGCACTCTTTCGCGCCTTTGATTGTAAACATCTTCAAAGAATCCCAAGTCCTCTTCCCTCGCTTCGATTTCGAAAGCTCCGGCTCGAGCGCGTCCACGAGAACTCGCATCTCTTCCTCTCGCGTCGTCTTCAAAGTCGTTCTCGTTCCCTCTCGCGTCTTCTCGCCCCAAACGCGTTCGGTAAACAATCGAAAATACTCACTCGTCTCCGCGGTGGGTGTTACTCTCGCTGCTCCCGACGAACCGTCGCCTGAATCGTCGCATCCAAAGCACGTCCACGGGTTGTTCTTTTCCTCCTCCTCCTCCTCTTCTGGAGGAGGCATTTGTTCTCTCTCTCTCTCTCTCTCTATCCGTCTCGTCGCATGTCTCCGTTTTCCAATGAGAGCCAGTTTTGAGGAAAAATTTCTCTGAAAAATGGCAGTTTGAGCACAAAACACCCCAAGGGGTTTTGGGAAAGCACTTCACATCCTCATTATTAGTATTTGCTGCCTTTGAAAAACGCGTTTGTGCGAATAAAGAAAGCTCTTCATATATATATAGTGTATCATATATATATATAGAGAGAAGCGACTGGAACGATTCGGGAGAGAGAAAGAGAGAGAGAGAATTGGAAAGACTACGCGTCGTGGCATCACTTCGTGTTGTTGTTGTTGAGAAAGAGTACATTAAAGTGAGAAATCGATCAGAGATACGAAAGAGATATAAAAGAGAAGAGTAAATAGAGAGTTATACGTATAAAGAAGACAACAAATGAGCGGAGATGAGCACCAACCGCCGCCGCCGAAAGTATCCGCGTCGGATTTAGATTGCTTCACGCGAGTTTGCAACGCGTCGGTTGCGATGTTTGGGATCGGGTCCATCATAGGGGCGGTGAAAGCGACGTGGGCGGAAGCGCCTTTGACGATTCAAAGAGGCCAAACGCTCGCGGCGGTCAGGAATACCGGGTCGTACATGGCGAATTCCGGCGGAGTGTTTGCCGCGGTAGGGGCCATGTACACCGGGACGTCGTGTTTGTCTAAAAGCATTCGAGGTAAAGATGACTTTTGGAACGGCGTCTACGGCGGGCTGGCGGCCGGGACGGTTATGGGGTTGAAGGCGAAAAAGGTTGGCGTCGCGGTAGGTGCCGGGGTGGCATTTGCCGCGGCGAGCGCGAGCGTCGACGGGACCGGGGAGAAAGTTCGAGGCGACGGGTTGTTTGACGACAACGCGACGCCGGGGAGGGTTTATTTTCCGTACGACGAGATTAAGAAGTAATAATAAAGCTTTGTTTTTCGAGATTGAATTTCGTTCGCCCTAAACCCCCCGTTCGGCGCACCAATGCCAAAAGAGTTTGTAATTTAACATCAATTGAAGGTACTAGTATCATACTTTTCGTAGAACTTTAGTTATTATTACCACGTCGTCGTCGTCGGTCGTTGATTTTGGCGAAGATTTGTGCGATTTCATGATGAGAAATTCAAAATCGGAAACGCGTCGTCACAAAACGACACCTTTTCCTGCGCCGCGCAGCACATAAAAATGCTCCTCCCTTTCTAATCGACGCACATCAAGAAAGAGTTCGAAAGAATAATGGGCATATCCTCTCTCCTTTTGAACATCAAATCGATCACGAAATCTGGCACGCACATCAGCGCGCACAAAGACAGCAAAATCGCGGTCGATTCGTACTGTTGGTTGCACAAGTGCGCGTATTCGTGTTCGAGGGAACTGGTTGAAAACTGCGGGAACCAAGACGTGTTCGTGCACGCGTTTTTGAATCGAGCGAGGATGCTGAAGAACTCCACGGGTTCGTCGGAGGTGACGTACGTCTTTGACGGCGCCTCGTTGCCGAGTAAAGCGAGAGAGGAGAAGCAAAGACGACAGAGACGCGAAGCGGCGAAAGATATGGCGAGAAAGGCGTGGAGCGAAGGGAACAGAAAATTAGCGTTCGACTGCTACGGGAAAGCGTTGGACGTGACGTTTGAGATGGCGAAGAGAGTGATGGATGCGATTGAAAGAGAAGGGCTGGGGCGAGTGTTAGTCGCGCCTTTTGAAGCGGATGCGCAGCTGGCGTATCTGTGTAAGAACGGGTACGCGGACGTGGTCATCACGGAAGATTCAGATATGTTAGCGCACGGTGCACCCATCGTGTTTTATAAAATGGATAATAACGGCATCGGGGATGAGATTCGGTACGAAGATTTACCGAGGAACAGAGGGTTACGATTCGACCAGTTTACGCCGGATTTGTTTTTACAGATGTGTTGCATGAGCGGATGCGATTATTTGCCGAGTTTGCCGAACGTAGGAATGAAGAAGGCACATCAGGCGATGCGAAAGTGTCGGGAGTACGGCGCAGCTTTGAGGTCGTTTAAATTTGAAGGGATTCGGGTCGATAAGGAATATGAAAGTGGGTTTCGGGACGCGCTGATTACGTTCAAGCACGCGTTAGTGTATTGTCCCACGAGGAAGAAGTGTGTGAACTTGAGCGATTGCGCTGAAGACGACGGGGTACCGTGCGAGGACGTTTTGAATTTGAGGTTTAGCAAGGAAGATGAAAAGAGGCTTTTGGGTGAACGAAGAGTCGATGCGGTGTGCGAAGGCGTCGCAAACGGGAAACTGCATCCTGTGAGTTTAAAGCCGTATCCCCCGCAAAGAGAGTTGCCGAAAAGCAACAGAAACTTTAGTACGAACACCACCACCACCAACAACAGCAACAACAGGATGACCATGAACAATTATTTCACGAATAGAAAAGATGAAGGGGGAGCGATGATATTCGGACAGCAGCACCAGCATCAGCCGCGATCTGCTAATACTTCAAACGCGCCGAAAATGCAACCAAACAGGCCGATTGTGCGCTCAACGTTTTTCGCCAACGCTCTTAAAGACGACGAGGAAGAGAAGAACAGACGAGAAGCGTTGAAGCGATACGCCGCAAAGCCGTCCACGTTTGACGCATTCGAATATTCCAATAACAGCGCTTTGTTGCCGATGAATCGCGCCACGCCTGAGCTATCGTTACAGTCGCCAATGAAGAAACGCGTCGTGAAAAAGTTTGACTTGTACGGCACGGCGTCCAAGAATACTCCGGAGGATACGAAGAAGAAGAGTATGGTCGAATCGTCACCGAGTGCTCTTTTGAACACGGCAGTTCGAAAATCGCCGAGACTGACGAAGATCAGATCGAGTGCACTCGACAATAACGACGACGATGACAACGCGACACCAGCTACGGGGAAGAAAACGGTTGATTTTCTCGAAAACTTCAGATTCGATTCTACCTCTTCAAAGAAGAAAGCTTTGTCGGGAAGAAAAACCACCGTCATTCCGAGCACCGTGTCTGTCGGTAAAAAGAAGAAAGCAGTTTCCTCGTTACCAAAGACGACGACGACGACGACGAGTAAAAAGAAAAGACGAACATCGAAACGACTCTCGGCGGGTGGAGAGAGAACTTCTGCCGCCGCCTTATTTTCGGAATTTGCTTTGCACTCGAACAACGACGAGAAATAGCTCTTCATACAATAGGACAACAACACATATTTCGCTTAAAATAGTTTCATGATAGCAGCAGCTTACACAACCACGCTTGTTTTAATACTAATAATTACTAGAATACAACGAGAAATCGTTTTTCAAACTAAAAATAGAGCTACTATCGCACCGCGAACTGATTCTTAATCTTTCCCGTTCGCGTGTCGCAAAGCATTCGCTCGTCTCTTCGATGCTTCGCGTCCAATCTCCGCCGCGCAAAATCAACCGCTTTCGGATTCGCCTTCATCTCCGCCAACTCGTCCACTTTCGAGCGAATCACGACATCAAATCCATCTCTGGTCGTAAACTTCGCGCTTTCCCGTCCCATCGCTTCCTCTCGCATCCTTTCCCGTTTCATTTGCTTCTTCCGTTTCTTCCTTTGCGACTTGGTATCGTGAAAGTCTTTCAGGTATTTTTCTTTCAACTGGTTCTCGCTCGCGGCGACGGCATCGACGATATCGTCGTCCAAAGTGAACGCGTCCGGATCTTCTTCCGCTCCTTCTTCCTCCTCCTCCTCCTCCTCTCGTTCGTTCTCTTTTCCTTCCTCTTCCTCCTCTGCTTTCCTCTTCTCTTCCTTCTCTCGTTTCCTCTTCGCCGCCGCCTCCGTTCGCGCTTTCGCTTTTTCCACTCGCTTCTCTTTTTCTCTCTCCTTCGCGAGTTGTTGCGTCTCCCTCGCTCGTTTCTTCAGGAGTTGCTCCTCTCTCGTTTCTTTCTCCGCGACGGCGCGAGTGACTTCTTCCGGTGGCGCGTCGTCCGAGTCCGAGTCTTCCGAGTCGACATCATCATCACCTTTGTCCTCGTCCTCGTCCTCGGGATTGATGATGGGAGGACGACTTTGATCACGTTTTCCCCCCGCACCACGAGTTTTATTCGCAGCGCTCGAGCGAGTGACGCGCGAAGCACTAGAAGCGGCGGGCATATTCTTCTCGCGCGAAGTCTTCCCCTTTTCTTTCGCTCTCTTTCTGCCGGCCGTTGTTGTCGTTGTTGTGTTGTTCTCGAAAACCGCTTTTTCAACGACGAGATTCTCCCGAGAGACGAACGTTTTTCTCCCAAAACCGCAATTAAAAAACGAGAGACTACACGCTTTAATCATGCCGAGAATCACGTGCACGGGCACTCCGCAACAGCGAGGGTGCGGCACGGTGTTAGTGCACCCACCGTCGGCGCAGTTCGTGCGATGCGCGGTGTGTTCCGCGATTACCGCGTGCGCTGCTGCATCATCATCGTCAGCATCGGGAGGCAACCCCCTCTCGTCGTCCTCGTCGAACGCTGGGGGTGGTTTTGTTCGAAACAACCGAGGAGGAGGCGCGAACGCGCGAGAAATGGCCGCCATCCACTGTCAGGGGTGCACGGTTCGATTGATGTTCCATCTTGGCGCGACGCAAGTGCAGTGCGCGTTGTGTCACACCATAAATAGAGTCGCCTCAAACAACAACAACGGGAACGGTGGTGGTGGGCACGTTGAAAGGCAGGACGTTTCGCACTGTCGCTGTCGCGGGTGCGGGGTGACGCTGATGTACACGAGAGGCGCGACGAGCGTGAGTTGCGGGGCGTGTCACGTGGTGACGAATACAGCTGGTATAGCCGCGGAAGGAGGAGGAGTGAATAGCACGGCGAGTAAGAGTAGCGTGGGAGAAGAGGAGAGAGAGTTGGTGGTGGTGGAGAACCCGCCGGTGAAGTTGCGAGACGGAAGAGTCGTGCCGAACGTGAGCGTGGCGGTGGAGATTCATAACGTTAACGATACAAAGTAGTAGAGCATTGTTGTATATAAAAGCGCTACGGTGTATATTATAATTACTATTTTACAACATTCATATTTGATGATATGGTACAAAGCTCCTTCCGCGTTTATTTATTTTTACTTATCCGTCGAGTTCGCGAAGCTTGAAGCCGATGTTTATGTATTGCAACTCCAACGTTTTCAAGTTCGACGGCATGTCGTCGTACCCGGGTTCTCTTCCGAAACGAATGTGGAAGTTTATTCTCCATAACTTCAATATTCTCGCCAATCGAATGTGTCGATTCACGTGCTTGCCTAAATACGATTCGTACGCCTCGTCGCCGTGGACCTGCCTCAACGCTTTCCCGAGCTTCCCGACCATCGGGCCTCTCCGCGTTCTCATAAACTCGAACACTTTCGGGTTATTCGTGAACGGATCGTCTAACAACGTACCTCTAAATTCCTCGGAGACACGTTTGCCTCGTCTCGCGTTGTATTGCGCTTTTTCGAAATCAATCGGCGACGTTTGACCTTGTCTTCCGATGGTACACAACCAGTTCCTCGCCGCTTCGCGAGCGTCCGCTTCGGACACCGATCCGTATTCGCCGCTCTCGTCGTCGTCGTTTACGTCGTCCTCTGCGGCACCGTACGTCCAGTTATACCCGTGTTTTTCCCTATACGACGCGTACGGTTTCTGTTGTTGCTGCTGGAAATCGTTCGTTGCGGTCGATCGAACCCGATAGGCTCTTTGCGTTTTGCGGTTGTTGTTCTCGTTGTTGTTGGTGGTGGTATTCGTATGATTATTCGTATTCTTATTAGTACCGCTACTTTTACTCGTCGCGCGGACGATGATGCTGCGAGTATTCTTCGAGACCTCCTGATGAGAAAGAGAGAGAGTAAGAGGATGAAAGACAGCAAAAGTCAGTTCCATCGTTCCAAAGAGAGAGAGAGACAGAAAACGAGAGAGAGAGAAAACGAGAGAGAAGAATGACGTTGCACGAAACCGTATACGAACGTAACGAAACGCTCAATCCTACCTCCTTCTTCGTCTTCTTCTTTCGTTGCAACGAAGAAAAACACGAGACGCACAGAGACGCCTTTTCGGTCGTCGTCGTTCTCATCATCTCGTCGAACAACGGCGCGTTTTTGTCTCTCGCTCTCTCAGAGTAAGTAATAAGTCGTTTTGATATATTCTTTTTCTTTATTGTGCGGAGATGCCCGAAAGAACAAAAGGAAAATGCCCAAAAGAACAGCGCGATGGTGGACACACGAAAGGATGGATTTTGATTTTGATCGACGAGCGTTGTGTTCTCGTGCGTCTGTGCCGCAGACCCATTTCCCGCCAAAAGAAAGAGAGAAGAGGCAAAATTTAAAAAATTTCAAAAAACCAAACACCTCTCTGAAAAGAGACACTCCTCGTCAAAATCTCTCTCTGCAAAACGACAGTAACACACGCGCATAAAACAACAACAACAAGAACACAACGACGAAGAGGAAGAAGTTTTGAGCGAGCGAGAACAGTTATTCTGGTTTTCTTTCGAAGGGAAGAGAAGAGAAGACGGATTTGTTGTTTATTTTTTTTGTAAGATTTTACGACGAAAATCATGTCGACGCGAGGAAGTCTCCGAAATCGTCGCGCGAGATCTAACGTCGTCGAGGAAGAGAAGAAGACGCTGGATTTGAAACGAACGCGATCGAGAAGTCGAGGAGGACCACACTCGTCGAAGAAAAAGGAAGAGGCGGAGGAAACAGAGGAGGAAGAATCGACGAAGAAAGAACGAGGAAAACAACAACCGCAAAAGTCGATTTTGAAGACGAGGAATAAAAACGCCTCGAGCGGTGGCGCGAAGAAGAAGAAGGAGGAGGAGGAAGAAGATGATGAAGAAGAAGACGACGAGGAAGAAGAGGAAGAGGAAGAAGAGAAAGAGATCCCGCCGGTGGTGGTGAAAGAGAAGGACGAGGAGGAAGACGCGGAAAAGCAGTTACCGCTCGTCGTCGCGGCGACGCCGCAACAGCAAGCCGAGGGCGGCGCGGACGAGATGGAGGAAGAAGAAGAAGAAGAAGAGGAAGAAGAACAAGGCTTGTTCGAATGGCTCGCGAAGAAAGAAAAGTTGCCGGAGGAGAAAGCGAATCGATTAGCCGCGGAGTGGACGACGCGGTACCAAGAAGATCAGGCGTCTGCGGCGGCGGAAATGTATACTTTGTTGACGAAAGCGAGCGGCTGCAAGGCGAAAATTTACAAGCCAGAGTTGATGAACTCGGAGTGCGCGATTATTATGAAGAGAATCGAGGATGAATTGAGACAAGGTAACGTGAACCCGGTCGATCCAATGGCGGGGAAAGGGAAATTATACAGGAACTTTAAGGACGATTTGGGTTTGTTCATGCGCGCGGTGGTGAGAGAAACGATCGATTCGAGAGACTTGTTTGACGATACCATGTTTGAAATGTTTCGGGAGATTTTTCAGACGTGTTCAAACTCAACCGCACGAGTGATGAGAGTAGTCGCAACGGGGATGGGGCTGAACGTTATTTCCGGATTGGTGAACGCGTGCTTGTCGCAATCAAAGCAAGCGGCGTTAAAGCAAAGACAGTTGGATAACGCGTTGGCGTCGAAACGAAAAGAAGCCAAGGTAGAGGCGGAGGCGATTAAGAAAACCATGGACCAGTGCTCGAAGAATACCGAGGCCTGCGCGGGAATGATTAAAGAGATGTTCAACGGTGTTTTTACGGGACGATTTCGCGATTACGACCCTCAAATTCGCGCAGGTTGCATGGCGGCTGTGTCGAACTGGATGTTGGAGTACCCGTTCATGTTTTTGACGGATTTTTACTTGAAATATTTAGGGTGGTCCATGAACGACAAATCGTCACTGGTGCGATTGGAGGTTTTGAAAGGTTTGCGACGTTTGTACGCAGACGGGACGAAGGCGTCGATTATGGATGGCTTTACGAATAGATTTAGTGCGCGCATTAAAGAGCTTTTATTCGACGCTGATCCTATGGTGACGTGCGAAGCGATTTTCGTCGTATCGCAGTTGCGCGAGTACGAGACTTACGACGCAGATACGATGAACGAAGTGTTGCACTTGCTGACGGAAGAAAACGAAAGCGTTCGGGTTACTGCGGCGAAAGTGTTACCAAAAATGTTACCGTCGTTGTTGGAGCAGTACAATAAAACTCGCACGAGCGCTTACGGCAAAAAGAAGAAACCAGCGGCGAAGAAAAAAGCGAAAGCGGCGAAGAAGCCGAAAAGGAAAGCGAACAAAAAAATACGAAACGAGGACGACGAGAACAGCACGGAAGACGAAGAAGAAGACGAGGGGGAGAAAAGAGGCAATTTGTTTGGCGATGACGAAGACAACGACGAGATGGAAGACGAAGATTTCGATACGAGCTTGGGTGTCGGCGAACTCACGGCTTCCGAGACGCTGGAAAGCGTTTTGGAGTTGGTGAAAATTTTGTCAAACACGACGCACGCGAAGCATCTTGCAGTGGACGACGCTTTAGAAACGCACTCGAAAATCATCGACGCCGTTTGGGATGAAATGCCTCTGTTTCACTCGTTTGAATTCTTGGCCATGAAGTTGAGCGACGAAGAGTTTTGCAGCGACATCGCGGACGCCGCCGCGCTCGCAAACTTGACGCTCCGAGCAGTGAAGAAATCGCAAATGGAAAATATCATCGCCGATGCGTTGGCGAAATCGAATGTACCGACGCCAGCAAAGATGAGCATGACCAAACGCGACAGAGAAACGTGCGATCAAAGCAGAGAAAAAATCACGCTCGCGTTCACCACGCATCTCCCGACGTTGTTGGAGAAATATTCCGTCGAAGACGAAGTCTTGGCGCCGCTGTTGGAAATCATCCCTTACATGAAGCTTGAACACTACCCGTTGCGACAACGAGACGGCGAGTATCAAGCTTTGTTAGAAACCGTGAAGAACATCTTATTCAAACGCGTGGATTCGAAGGTTTTAAATAGTGCAGCGAAAGCGATCGCATTTTGCGCCAACGACGGCTACGAAGGCACGAGAAGCGGTGCGGTCAAAGTTTTCGATTCCATCGCCAAACATCTCGGCGAGAAGCTTTCGCAGTTAGCAAAGAGCGCAATTGTAAACAGAACTGTGAATGTCGACGAAGACGAAGATGAAGACGATGAGTTCATCGTCAGCGAAGATAATGGCGACGGTTTCATTTTGAAATGCGCGCTGTTGCGCGTCACGGCGCTTCTCAAGTACGCGAGATTATCTAAGCTCGAAGGCGAAGCGGTTTTTGAAGCGATGGCGACACTTTTGGACGAAGTTTCACGCAACGTCCTCAGAGATGGCGAAAAGAAACTTTCGAAAGAGGTTCGAGTCGGTCCAGTTTCCGCGGTGTTACTCGCAGAGGGGGTGATGTACGAGATGGTTTGGCGCGGGATCGACTTGTCCGAATCTGAAAGTGAGCGCGTGACGGATGACGACATCCTCTCTTTTCAAAACACGCGCGACAAATCTTTGACGAGCTTGATTCGTCTAGCTGAAAATGTGGACAAACTCTTTGGGAAGTATGGCGCAAAAGTCGTCGCCGATACCAGACGTAACTGCACAGCTGCCGTTGCCGATGCCGTCTTGTATCTCAAGATGGCTGGGAAGATGTCCATTTCGTTACCGCCGAACATGATGACGGCGGCGTGGCGTGCGGCGGATAAAATCATGACGCCGGAAGACGAGAATTTAGATGCCGACGTCAACGCGGCGAAAATTGGATACCAGTTAGCTCTAGTAGACGCCAAGTGCGGCGATCACTCGAGCGGAAGCATAGCCGCGCCGGCGTTCATTTCGAACTTTGCCATCGGCGGGGACCACTTGGATGCCGCCATCAAAGGTTTTATGACAGAGTTACGTCGCGATAGTCAGAAAAACCTCGCAAGAACAATCTTCATGGCACTAGCGGATGCTTACCAGGTGGTATCAAACGCGATGAAAGATAAGGACGCAGACGAAGACATCGCACAAAGAGCGATTGACTTTTTGCGCGACCTCGCGACGCGCATCGCGAGTATCTTCTCCCCGTCCGTGCAAAGAGACCGCTTGGTCGTGCGTGTGATGACTGCAGATTGCGTGAACTACGCGTTAGTACCGTTGAAGCCTGAACGATTTGCCTTTTTAGAATACGCGGTGTCGGCGTTCATTCCGAAAATTTCACAAGTCGACGCGAAGAACGTCTTGGAGGCGTGCGAAAAGCAGTTAGAGCACGTCGACGAATCCGACAAACGCTCGTTGAGCTTTAAAGAGTTCATCGAAGTCGTACGTGTGCGATCGCTGGGTAAAAGTGCGGCAAAAGTTGAACGAGAGAGAAAGGCTGCGGCTAGAAAAGCTGCCAAAGAAGATGAAACGGAAACTTCGTTCGAGGAAGAGGACGAAATCGAGACGGACTCGGAGCTCGCCGGCGCGACTCCCGGATCGAACAAAACGCGCAAGACGAACGCGAATTCCACGCCTGGCTCGGAGAAGAAACGAACCTTAGAAACGGAGAAAGACTTTGCAAAGATCGTCGAAAACGAGGAGAGCAAAGAAGAAACGATCACCACTACCGCGGATGAAGGTGAAGCGGTAGACGCGGACATGGAAGACGTCGTCCCGGTGCAAAAGCCTTCGCGTCGCGGTCGCAGATAATTTGTTATACAATAGAGAGACGAAAGGTAAGAAAGAGAGAAAGAGAGACACACATACACACATGTAATTACTACTAAACACTGAATTATATATATATATATATATTAATAATAAACTTACAGGTAACACAAACAAGCGCATTAGCATCGCCCGAGCGGCTTCAATTCTCTCGCAAGTCGTCTTCTTGTTTCGTTCTTCGCTCTCAACGCAACCGCCTCCTCTGTGGTCACGTCGTCGTCAAACCCGAGCACTGGTGCGGCATCAATTGCCCTCTCAATTGTCCCCGGTGGCGCTCTCGTTCTTTGATTATCAATCTCGTTCGTCAACCTCGCCAACTTCTCCAACGCTTTCTGCAACCTCTCCTTCGCCACCGGCATGGCGGCCAAAGACTTTTCCAGCTTCTTCTTCGTCTCTTTCAGCTCTTCTTCCGAGATGTTCGCCGCGGCTAAAATGTTCTTGTTGTTTTCCTCGTCCTCTTTTCCTTCCTCGTTCTCTTCGTTGTTGTTGTTGTTCTTCTTCGCCTCGATTTCCACGCGTTCGTCTTTCAATCTATTCTCCAAGTTTTGCAACACTCTCGCCGGTCCAGTCAAGCGCTGCTCTCCAACCTTCTCGGTCAACTCCGCGACTTCGTTTTCCAACTCGTCCAACTCTGGATCACACGTTAACTCTTTCAACCGTTTTTCCTCTTTCACTCTTAAATCTTCTTCGTCTTCTTGCACATCCTCTTCTTCTTCGTCGTCGTCGTCCGCGCGCGGTTCTCTCCCAGACACCAGAACGTTTTTGCTCAGCGTTTCCGTCACGGATTCGCACATTCGAATCAATTGAAAGGACATCATGTTTTGTTGAATCTGGTCGGTATACGTCGCCTTCGCTTCTAAGGCTTTATCCGTCGCCGCGTCCGCGAGGAACTCTTCGATCTTTTTCAGCTCTGACGGGGATTTTAACCGGACTTTCACCATCTTCTTCTTCTTCTTCTTCGTTTATTACTTCTTTCCGATTCTTATTTAATAAGGGGGAGAATTTGAAAATAATGTAACCCCTCTCCTCTGTTTTTGAATTTCTCTCTCTGTGTTTTCTCTCTCTCTCTCTCTCTGTGTTTTCTCTTCTCTTCAAAAACAAAAAGTGGTCTCGTTTATTTGGGACGGTGTTGCTCGTAGTCTCGCGAAAAGATGGTGCTCTCTATCAAACGCCGCCAAAAGGTCTCTTTTTACGCGTGAACGCGCGTTAAAATTATTAAGACGAAAACGCGTGCCGAGAGCAGAGACGGAAAAAATTCGAAGAAGAGAAATTTGAACGAAAACACGAAAAAAAAAATGTTTTTACGAAAAAACATCCGCTTCTTTCTCTCGAAACCCGTGAGAGTCATTCCAGGCCGCGAATTTACGTACTTCTTCTCGGAAAAAGCGTTCGCGTATACACGAGTAGTGACGTTTTAATATATCTTTATTTTACACGCATCCACGCGCGCGCGCGTTTTCTTACACACACACATATCTAAAGTTGAAACCAACATGTTGAGCGCGACGAGTGCGACGACCTCGTTAAGTAGCTGCCTTCGAGGCTACTCCTTGAAACAACAACAACAACAACAACAACAGCGCTCGTCGTCTTCCGCGGAGTCGTCGTCGTCGAGAAGGTCGTCGACGTCCGTGATGATGAGAAGCAGCAGCAGCGAGAAGAAATCATCGTGTACGTCCTCGTCGTCTGAAGATGTCGGTCGCACGGCTTTATTGGCCACCATCGCGTCTTCTCCCATCGTGTTGTCCGCGCAAGACGCGTTCGCGAAAGGTGGCGAGTTCGGTTTACTCGAAGGCCGCACCGCGGCGTTGGTGCACCCGTTTTTCCTGGGCATCATGTACGCCACCAGCTTATACGCCGGGTATTTAGGCTTGCAGTGGAGAAAAGTTCGCACGGTTGGCGAAGAGATTCAAGAGTTGAAAAAGGCCTCGCCTGTCGGCGCGGACGCGGAAACGGCGAACCCGAACCAATCGAAAATCGACGAGCTGACCAAAGAACGCAAAGAGTTAGTCGCTGGGAACTATAAAGAGAAACACTTCAACGCCGGCTCGCTCTTGTTGGCGTTCGGGACGTGCTTAGCCATCGAAGGCGGGATGAACACGTACATTCGCGTCGGGAAGTTATTCCCTGGGCCGCACTTGTACGCTGGCATGGGAATTGTGGCGTTGTGGGCCGCCGCCGCTGGTTTAGTGCCGGAGATGCAGAGAGGGAACGACAAGGCGAGAAGCGCGCACATCGCGTTGAACGCCGTCAACGTCGCGTTGTTCACGTGGCAGATTCCGACGGGTTTGGAAATCGTCGGGAAGGTGTTTCAGTTTACCAAGTGGCCGTAAAAAAATAAGTATGCGAGTAATGCGATGATGCAAAGAGATAATATATGTTCTTCTTTTTAATCGTGCTCATTCTTTCAATGCTATAAATTGTGTTCAATACGCTCGCTTCGTTTTTCGTTTACTAAATATTCTCCTCCTCTTTTAAGCATTCGATGGCGTCACTTTTTTGTGGCTTCTTCCAACGTCATCATCATGCTTCGACGCTCCTCTACGAGGAAACTCTTCTTTCGGCGCTTGGCCTCTTTGCATCACGCGCAGACGACTCCCACCACCGCGTGTTCTTCTTCTTCGTGTTTTTCAAGCTCGCTAGAGCAGCATGAGCAGCAGAGAAGTGTCGGGGGAAAAAACATCGTCAGACGTCACTGGAAGACCCCCAAAGACGATGATGACGATGTTTTCTTTACCTTTCCGCCTACAAAAGGGAGGAGGTTTTTGAGCAACAACGCGTTCGAGGACGATGCGCTGGAAAAGAGAGGAAGTTTTTTTACGAGAGACGACGCGGACCCTCACGTGCAGAGACGATGGAAATCCACGAAAGCGTCGTCGTCGTCGTCTTCGTCTGCAAAGGAAGGGAAATCGAATTCGAAGCGTTTTTATACCTCTTCGAGCAAAAGTCAAAATCAAAACCAACACTCTTCTCGGTTCACGTCGAAACCGAAATCGTTAGCGATACCGTTCGAGTCTACCTCGGAGGTGTTTGAGGTGCCGGAGAAGCGGTCCACGAGTCTTCCGTGGTACACGCGCATCATGTTGAAAGTAGGCGGGTACGATAGTTCGGAAAGCGTGCAGAATCGAGCGTCGCAGCGGTTGTTTAAAGCGGTGGTAGAGAGATGCGACGAGGCGAAATTTTACGAGATATTGGGATTAGAGCACTCGTTTCGAACGGAGCACGCGATGTTTGTGTTGCACGTGTGGTTAGTTTTAGCTCGATTACGACGCGAAGGGGATTCCGGGAAGGCGATTTCGCAAATGTTTTACGACACGTTTCAAGAGGAGGTGGAGAAAAGAGTCCATCGCGAAGGCGTAAAAGTGAGAGTTCGTTCGACTTTGAAAGAGTTGGAGCAGTCTTTTTACGGGTCCGCGTTGGCGTATGATAAGGCGTTGAGCAGCGGGAACGACGATTTTATGAAATCGTTGAGGAGGAACGTTTTTATGAACGAAGGGGACGAGAAGAACGCGAAGGCTTTGGAGAGGTATTGCAGAAGGGAAATGGCTTGTTTGCATATTACCGAGACGGAAGCGGTGGTAAGTGGGAGAGTGCGATTTTCAAGCATCGATTGATGGTTTTTGATTGCATGGTAGTGTCGAACAAAAAAGCAACGCGGCGTTTTGATACGACTCAATCACGTGGTTTGTTTCAAAATTATTATAAACTTATCGCAAAATTCAATATAGAACAATATTTATTAATATAGTAGTAACAAAAGTGTCTCTCTAGCCTTCCCGTTCTCTTTTTAATCGCTCTTGTGACGCTTGTTACCGCCACCACCACCGCCGCCTCGTCCGCGGTTACCTCTTCCTCGGCCGCCGCCTCGGCCGCCGCCTCGATGATCTCTTTTGTTCCCGTTACGGTCTTGTCGATCGCGATCTCTCGCGCGTCTGTCGATGGCTTCCCAGTACGACTTCTCCTCGTCGCCCCCAACGAGCTCGATCGCGCACGCGTCGCCTTCCACTTCAATCGCGTTGCCGCCTTGTATGGATTCGATGATTTTCGCCGCTACTTTTTCGTCTTCGAATCTCAAAAAACCAGACTTTTCGCCTTGTTTGAAATCGACAAACTTGATTTTACCGTACGATTCAAACGCACTTTTAATGCCCTCGCGAAACTTGACGAAATCGTTCCACTCCATGTTTGCTTTTTCGCCCAAAGTGATTCTCGCAATCATCCCGGGCGTGTACACAACCTCTTTCTCTTCGCGCGGCTCGCCGTTGTTTTCTTTGTTCTCTCGTCGTCCTCCTCCTCTGTCGTCATCGTCGTCTCTGCTACGTTTGCTACCGTTGTTGTGATTATAGTTATCGTGACGACGATCGCCCATCACGACTTCCCTTTCCGCTCTTTTCCTCTCCTCGTCCAACTTTGCGTACTTCTCCGGATTGGCCGCTCTGTCCGCCTCCTCCTTCGCTTTCTGTTCCGCCTTCAACGCCTTCTCCTCCTTCTTCTTCTCCAAATACTCCTTCTTAAACATCAACGTCAACTCCGCGCCTTCGTACACCAACGTGTTGGACATTCCAGACACCTTTTTCGCGCTCTCCTCCGATGAAAACTCGACGAAAATGCTCCCTTTGAAATCTTTCGACGCGATGTGTCTTCGTAATCTCACCGACAACACTCTCTCGTCGCACTCCTTCTCGAAGAAATCCGTCAACGACTCAATCGTCGCCGTCATCGGAAAAGGGTTCGCATACAACGACCTCTTCTCCACATCTCGATCGATTTCCTCTTTCGGCCTTAAATCCTCCTTCCTTCTCACTCTCGGATCCGGACTCGTCTCCTCGGCGACTTGCAAACTCACCGATTTCTCCTTCAACAGTTTCGCCACGGCCTCGACAACCTCGGGGTTATTCGAGCCGCCGGAATCGTTCAAAATATCGCGCATGCGTTGAAATTTCAAAATCAATTTCAAATCCACGTACGCGTCCGGGTCTCGTTCCACTGTCTCGCGTAAAAACTTATCCCTGGGTAAGTTTGAATCCGAAAAGTAAAACTCCAATTGCCGGAGTAATTTCCTCTCCAATTTTTCGTCGAACGGGACGAAATCCTTCCGAAATTGTTTTCGGTCGCTCGGCCATCTCTCTTCCTCTTCCTTTTGTTGTTCTTCTTTTTGCGCGTCGTCGTCGACAGCAGCAGCTCCAAAAGCTTCCTCGTCGTCGTTTTTATCTGACATTATTATTCGTATTACACGAGAGTGTGGTGTATATTTCGTGGTTCGTTTCAGCGCTGATGCATTTGTGGCGGCGGATGTGCTCGCGATCTCTTTTTTTTCTTTTTTTTTCTTTTGGGCAGTCGAGAGAAAATTTTTCTCTTTCTTGTTTTTTTTTGGTTCGCCTCTCTTTGTTTTCCTCACTCTCGTACCAAAAAAAGAATTTACTATAGAGGCTTGAATTGAAATTAGTAGTAAAAAGAAATCATCATCATGCCTCCGCGGCGAAGCGCGCGAGGAGGAGGAGGAGGAGGAGGAGAGAAAAGCGCGAGCCCGCAGGAACCACCCCAAGGCGTGGTGGCTCTGAGAAGAGGACGGTCGAAAAGCGCGAGCGTGGAACCACCGGGAGAAGAGGAGAAGAAGAAAAATGCACCACCAAATTCATCTTCTGCGGCGAAGAAGATGATGATCAAAAGCAATGACGAGAAAAAGACGACGACTTCTTCACCCTCTGCAAAGGCGAAGAGTACGAATACGAATAAGAAGAAAGTCGCCGCCGGGGGCGCGCAGAAACAGCCAAAAACGAAAGCGACGATGGACACCACCGTCGTGGACGAAACGAATCGATTGAAGAGAGAGACGGCTTTTTTGTGCC